GCCTTGGTCGCCTCTCCCAAGATCCTTAAGGAGATGGTGCCTACTCTTGCTCAGCTCATCATTCGCCGCCTTGGATCCTCGAACATGGAACAAAAGGTTATTGCCAGCAACGCGCTCGGCGACCTTATCAAGAAGGCTGGAGAATCAGTCCTCTCCACCTTGCTGCCTCTGCTTGAGGAGGGTCTCCAGGCTTCGCCCGACGTCGATGTCAAGCAGGGTATCTGTATTGCTCTGCGCGAGCTTATCACCTCCGCCACCCCCGAGGGTCTGGAGGACTTTGAGAAGGTCCTCATCTCTACTGTCCGCGTTGCTCTGGTCGATAACGACGAAGATGTGCGTGAGGCAGCTGCCGAGGCCTTTGATGCTTTGCAACAGATCATGGGCAAGAAGGCTGTGGACCAGGTTCTGCCATACCTTCTTCACCTGTTGAGAAGCGATGAAGAGGCTGAGCAAGCTTTGTCCGCGCTGCTGACCCTGCTTACCGAGCAAACTCGCGCGAACATTATCCTTCCCAACCTCATTCCCACTCTTCTTACACCCCCGATTACCGCCTTCAACGCCAGGGCCCTGGCATCTTTGGCCGAGGTTGCAGGTGGAGCCATGACAAGAAGATTGCCCAACATTATCAACGGCCTCATGGATGGTATCATCCAAACAAAGGACGAAGAGCTCCGCTCGGAACTCCGCAGCGCACTCGACACAGTGTTGGTATCTGTGGATGAGTACGACGGCTTGAATGTTGCCATGAACGTGATTTTGGCTCTCGTCAAGCATGACGACCAGCACCGTCGGGCCGAGGCTGCTCTCCACCTCACTAACTTCTTCGCGGAGGCTGATGTCGACTTTTCGAGATACTACCAAGATATCATTCGCGTCCTGTTGATCTCATTCGACGACTCGGACAAGGATGTTGTCAAGGCAGCTTGGACTGCTCTCAGTGGCCTCATGTCTCACATGCGCAAGGAGGAGATGGAAGTGCTGGCCATTCCAGCTCGCCAGATTCTGCGACAGGTCGGTGTGCCTGGCGCGGATCTTCCTGGATTCAGCTTGCCGAAGGGAATTATGGCCATTCTGCCGATCTTCTTGCAAGGTCTTCTCAATGGCAGCACAGACCAGCGTACTCAATCGGCGCTGGCCATTTCCGACATTATCGACCGTACCAACGCCAATTCCCTGAAGCCTTTCGTTACTCAGATCACTGGTCCTCTTATTCGCGTTGTATCGGAACGATCTGTTGACATTAAGTGTAAGCGTTTGACTGCCCATGCTTGCAAATGATTGGTCGCTAATTCGAGTTCCTTAGGTGCCATTTTCTTCACTCTTAACAGGTTGCTCGAGAAGATTCCGCTTGCTGTCAAGCCTTTCCTGCCTCAGTTGCAGCGTACCTTTGCCCGTGGTCTGGCAGATACTTCTAGTGAGACCTTGCGCAACCGTGCAGCCAAGGGTCTTGGTATCTTGATTACTTTGACCCCTAGGGTTGATCCACTCATTGCTGGTAGGCATTTGAATTTTTATATCCACTCATCTTGTAAACATTGCTAACGTGCTCTACAGAACTCATCACTGGATCTAAGACGACTGATGAGGGTGTGAAGAATGCCATGATGAAGGCTCTACAGGAGGTTGTCGGCAAGGCCGGTGCCAACATGAGCGAGGCCTCTCGGACATCTATCCTTGCTCTGATCGACGATGAGTCCAGTGACCAGACCGATAAGGTCGCCATTACCAACGCGAAATTGCTGGGCGTCCTTGTCAAGGTTCTCCCAGAGGCCAGTGCGATCACTATGATCAAAAACCGCATTCTCAACGGCCAGCTTTCGCACTCGTCTGTCCTTGGCCTGAACGCTCTTCTGGTGGAGGCTCCTGCCATTTTGCTGGAGCACTTCCCTACTGAAACCCCTTCGGTCATCTGCCAGGGTATCGCGAACAAGGATACCTTTGTCTCTGACAACAGCGTCCTCGCCGCTGGTAAATTCCTCTTAGCCGATGACGGTAACCACAGCTTCGAGACGCACAAGACCATGTTTGATGCTCTTGCCCCAGTCATCGCGCCGGGTGCCCCGTCCGATACCCGCCGCCTAGCGCTGGTGGTGATCCGAACCATCAGCCGTCTCCACCCAGAGATGACCCGCGCTCACCTGGCTCTACTGGCACCGCCCATCTTTGCCAGTGTGCGTGACATGGTCATCCCCGTGAAACTGGCTGCGGAAGCTGCTTTCCTGTCCATCTTCTCTGTGGTGGATTCTGACGATGAGGTCTTTGATAAGTATATGGCTGGCCCGGGTGCCTCTCTTCCGCCCGGACCTAAGCGCAGCATGTCCGACTACTTCAAGCGTGTTGCCATGCGTCTTGCGCTCCAAGCCCGTGAGCGTCGCTTGGCTGAAGGAGGTGAAGGAGGACTCGGTCTATCCAATGACGAGGTGGAGGACGAGAAGGAATTGTGGAGTATTGGTAAGGTGGATCTGGGGGAGTCTGCATTTGCTGATGACTAAGTGATGTTATGATGAACCCAACTGCCCTGATAGGGTAGCAATTGAATTGAGCATCCCAAGGTTTCATTGTACATGTGCATAGATATCACTGGGCTCTTTTGTTGTTTATTTTGTTTGTTGAGTTTTACGTACGAAAGCTGTTTTGACGATTGAATGGATGTCATGTAATTGAGTAGACTTGTCATTTATATTAGAATAAAGATGCCCAGTTATATTACTGATGTATTTGTGTTCTCTAAAACGAAGCTATCTATTAGGGTTCTATTTCAAACAAATGATCACAGTATATTTTTGGTTGTCCATGTTCACAGGTTCATTGTTCATTGTTCATAGATGTCATGTTTGCATAGTGGAGCCCTTCTGGATTGAGAAATATTTAGTCATGTGACCTTATAACGGTAGGTCACGTGGAATCGGAATCTCAGTGCATACAATAGACAGTCAAGTTGGCACCGCGTGGTGATAGCATCCAGTATAAAAAATATCAAAGATTGGAAGATTTCATGCAAGCACTTCTTCTTCCATTTCCCTGTTAATTTCCCCATACAATTGTAAGTCTTGGTTCTCCACATATTATATTTTTCCTTTTTCAAGATCCGGATTACCCGATTGGGAGTAGGGCTAAGGGTTGTAGCCCTAGTACCCTAGTGTGGCCGAAGCACTCGCTTACCAGGAATTAGCTAATCGGCCCGCCCAACTTCTCACTGCCTGGATTTCCCAGTCGAGTGCCCTACGAACATCATCCGCCAAACGACCGTCGATACGCCGACATCAAGATGTGAGTGCCATCAAATACACTGCCTACACGAAAACCCATGCCCTATGATTTGATTGCTTTGGACTCGCTGTGTCGCCCACTCGAGCAAGGAAAAATGGATCGATCTCGATGAATGTGATTGTGTGGCAGACGCTGACCTCAACTTTTTTTTTTCTCAGGGTCAACCTTCGCACCCAGAAGCGCCTCGCCGCCTCCGTGGTCGGCTGCGGCAAGCGCAAGATTTGGCTCGACCCCAATGAGATGAACGAGATCTCCAACGCCAACTCTCGTCAGACCATCCGCAAGCTCGTCAGCGATGGCCTCATCATCCGCAAGCCCGTCACCATGCACTCGCGCACCCGCGCTCGTGAGCTCAACCTCGCTCGCCGTGAGGGTCGTCACCGCGGTCTGGGTAAGCGCAAGGGTACCAAGGACGCCCGTATGCCCAGGTATGAAGGAAATCTATTTCCATGGAATTTCGACCCCTCCGAGGGGAGGTTGATTTGCCCACCCAGCAATATCCATGCTGATCGTGTTTTTTCTTTCTTTACAGCCAGGTCCTCTGGATGCGCCGCATGCGTGTCCTCCGTCGTCTGCTCGTCCGCTACCGTGCCGCCGGCAAGATCGACAAGCACCTCTACCACGAGCTGTACCACTTGAGCAAGGGTAACACCTTCAAGCACAAGCGCGCTCTTGTTGAGCACGTAAGTACCACCGGATGAACACTTTCCCCCACCTGGCAATCGATCTACGAAATATCATCAGATACCCCGCCACGTCGCAACTCTACGCAGGATATGTCCGGCTGACCCGTTTTCTTCTATCCTACAGATCCAGAAGGCTAAGGCTGAGCGCCAACGCGAGCGTATCCTCAAGGAGGAGATGGACGCCAAGCGTGCCAAGAACAAGGCTCTCCGCGAGCGTCGGGCAGAGCGCACCGAGGCCAAGCGCACCGCCCTCGAGGCCCAGGAGTAAATCCTCTCAAAATCCCATTCCGTTGTGTGACGTTTTTCTCTCTTTCGGCGATGGTGCGGAGGTTGAAAGCGGTTCCCTTGTGGGTTTGTTCCGGGATTCGGCCCCTGCAAAGTTATTTGTCCCCCCTCGAATTCTAGGTCGGCCTTACTTTTCGACTCTTCCTATGGTCGGACTCTTTTTTCAGTTGACACGCGGGGCTTTCTGGAAAGGGAATATGGGGGCAATAGGAAGATGCGATGATGATGTGATACTCAAGCTTCTTGTTAATAACCAACGAGAAAGCAAAAGGAAACTACTTTTTCAAAACAAAAAAACTAAAAACTTCCCCCGGCGCTTGTTACGAAATGTGATCCTTTCCTTTTCCTCGTCGGTCTGGCGTTGTAGATGTATTCAAATCCATTGATATCTGCTATATTCAAGTCATGATCTTATGTATATTGTGTCCACACATGCAAGGTCACTCGCTCCAGATTGGACTCTGTACTTAACAGATTGGCCAGGTGGGTTTGAACTGGTTCCTACGGATATACATTCATGGAGGACCAATGTGCATCCACTGGGTACCTCGAGTGTCCAAGCTTGGAAGGTTCAAACCCTGCCCACCTGGGCAGGTGATTCATCTAAGTTAGGGACAGAGTAATTGAGCCCAGATGTCATATGTGCAATCCAAAATTCAATAGTGGCAGCTGTATATTTATTTAGGAGATCAAACATGTTGAGCGAGATATGTACATGAAGAACGAGCGTGGAGTTCTGCAACCTTGATACAGTATATATCACGCCAACGGTTTTACCATCTCCACAAAACACAAATCCTCCGGCAAGGCCAAATGAGGAAATCTCTCTCTCGGGAAAGGCGTTTCTTCCCCGGTCTTCTGATATCCACGACGCAAATACCAAGCAATAAGCTCCTGTCGCGTCGACAGCGCATTCAATTCCGACGTGGTCACGCGCCACTCCCGTTGCGAGTATTCTTCCGCGTAGGCAAGGACCCGCCGGCCAATACCCGCTTGCTGGTATTCAGGGTTCACAGAAACCATTGCAAACCGGACATGATCATTGGCGCGCTTGATCATATCGGTAGAAGCCACCAGGATCTCGCGACCCTCGTCTTTGGTGAAGGCTAGGAGAATGGCGCAGTCGGGTTTGGCAATTGTTGATTTCACATCCTCGAGTGAGATAGTAATAGCTCTACCTAGTGCCATGTCTGCCGTCCAGTCTTTTCGGCTGTCTTCTGCGCGGAATGCGGATTGGACGAGTTGCTGGATGGATGGAGCATCGGTTAGTGTTGCGATGCGGAAGTGGAGATCAGCCATTGTGATGAGGAAGGGATGTTGTGATGCTGTCCGTAGTTTTGGTGTTATATGTCAAACCAGGTAAGGCGAGATAAGCTGGTTTTTATAGCCTATCCTGTTGCACTGCTCAAGGGGATGTGACCGTCCGATGTCGAGGGAAGGGCGTGTCGGACTTCGGGATTCCATCGACCACGCGCATCAAGGAAAATGGCGCAAATTGGCGTTCTATGCCCATTGGAGAACAGCCGAGGTATTTATAGAATAAATGAGACGTGAATGATAAGAAGTTCATTGGCTAACTATTCCTCACGATCGATGTCTGACTAGGTGAGATGCACGGTGAGGTCTCCACTTCTTCCCGATATCATTTCCCGCTCATCGCTGCTTACTCCTTCTCCACCTTCAGCCGCTTCCTGTCAGGGATTTTCAACAGCAAACTGTCATTGAACGCATCCCTTGGCCTTCACACTCACCACCGTCACCACCATCCTCATTTAATCAAATTTGTTCCATTGTCACCTTCCTGCATCCTGGAAATGAAACTGATGCAAACAGTCAGCGACCTCAAATGGAAAAGTCTCCAACCAGGGATCATCAAAGTAAGATGACTGACCAGAATCAACGCTGCGCTGTCTCTCGAGGGCGAACAATGCAGTAGATGAAGATATCGTCGTTGAAGGCTTGCCCACCAGGCTGGGGACGATAGCCACAGAAGTAATCGATAGCATGGACCATGGTCAGAGCAAAGCTATCCTCCGTGATCTCCTCCTCATAAGGTTGTCTCTGAGCAAGATATCCATTTTCAGGATCGGGCTTGACGGGACTCCACCAGAGTTCATGCAAGTCCGAATCCCACGGGATGGTGTCAGCATGCGTGTCCAGGAGACCCATCAAGGTCCAATAGTCGATAGAGTCGGCCCGTAACCACAGATCATCGCGGTATCTGCAATCCTGTAGATCAGAAAGTGACCAAGAATTTCTAACTGTGGATGTGCCCGGATTGTAGATCTCTACGGTGGCTTCTTGGATCCACAGCCATTTCACATTGTCTCGGAACTGCGGTGGAATGGGGTCTGCCATGATGAGTGGCGGGCTGAATGACTTTTATGATGTCCTTCGGTGAATGAAGATGCGAGGACAAGGCGATGCGTCACGTCGCGTATCAAAGCTTCCGTGCCGGAGTGAGAAACAGAAAGTCCACGACGTGAAACGCAGAGAATACCACGGATGGAAAGTGACGCGAATGGAAGGTCAAACATCAAGATCACAGGATTTATGTAGTGCGCAGATCGACATTCACTGATTTCCTATCTGGGACTTACTTAGTGGGCTGGATACGTGAATGTACATTGTCGTAGCTGCCTAGGCCCCCGACTCTATAGGCTGCCGCGCCTAAACCAAGATAGGACCAGAGGACATAGACGTGAAGCATTGCATTACACAGAGCCGCCAAGAAAAGGCTTTGACGGGGATGTGCAGCTGATCACGTCCAATCAGAATGGCCAGACGTACAGCCCCTCGTAAAACGGGGCGGCAGGATCAACGACACACTCAGTTGATGATCTTCATTATTCAAGAGAAGGGCATCTTGACCCGGAACCATCATGTCAACCACTCTCAACGATGACTGGGTTCACTGTCGGTTTACCCTTGAAGCCAGCATACTGCTACTTGAACTAATAGGATCAACAGGTCAATCAGCCAATGCGTTAGCAAACGACGTTAGAACATGGACTACATCTATCTCAAGGTCCCGAATATCTACCATCGATGGTCTCGGATTCAGTGAAAATGGGGATGCCGAGGCGACGACCAGCCTCGAGAGCCTACTCCGCACGGTACAGCAACTGAAGCTTAAAAGAGTCCGCATCGAAGAACTCGAAGAAACTCAATTTATCGCAGCCGGTGAGACCTTTGCAGTCTCAAGGTGCCATTGCGAAGGGTCTGTGGTGGCGATAAAGCGCATTCAACTTGAGGGAGAATCTCAACCTCAACATTTCCAGCGTCGCTTGCAGTCCGTTATACGAGAGGTCTTGATAATGTGCCATCCACCACTTACGCATCATCCAAATATCATCAATCTGTTGGGATATGGATGGTCTGTCGAAAAGCAGCGACCGTCCCCATTTCTAGCGGTGGAATTCGCTACCGGTGGCTCATTAAGAGAATACTTGAAACAATGTCCACAGTCGATTCGGAGCAAACTGATACTCATGGGGGATGTTGCGGCAGGATTAATGGCGCTACATAGATGCGGAATCGCGCACGGCGACATGAAAGCTGACAACGTGGTGATTTTCTCTTCGTTGGATCGTCCTTCTATGTCAATTGCCAAAGTTTCAGATTTTGGACATTCGATCCTTGTGAGCTCAACGCCAGAAAAAAGAACACATTATTTCGGAACCAAGCTGTGAGTCTGTTCTCTACTCTAGAAAAGAGCCTGCTGAACATCCCAGGTACAATGCACCCGAGGTGGCTGCTCAGAAAGACCGGCCTATTCCCATTGAGCAACTCCATAAATGCGACATCTGGGCATTTGGTCTGTGCGTGTGGGAGATACTGGCAGATGGGAACCTTTATTTCCAACATGGTTGGAAAAATGGCTTTGCGTATAAGCGCCCTCCCTCATACACAGCGTCATCATCGCCCAAAACTTCAAAGCCCCAAGTAACCCCCAACGAAGACGGTCAGGATGCTTTCGGTCACTTTGACCTTTTTCATCTCAGGGGAATATCAATTCGGTTTTTGGAAAGCATGAATATACCAGGGATTGGTTTCGAGAAAGGCTTTCTCAGGCCTCTATTGAATGGTACACTGGATGTCGACCCCTCTAAGCGAATATCGGATCTAAGTCGACTGCCAATCATTGGGTTTTGGAGCAAAGCACCAGGGGGGCATTCGCTCCAGTCAAAGCTTGCCACTTATACTTTATCTGGAGACATTCGGTATTCCATCTTCAACCGGGATGGAGGTCCTTATATCATTTGGGAACAGCAACAGCAACTCTTGCAGAGTTTCGAAGCTTTGGCTCAGCAGACGGATCCCGAAAAGGATAAAGGGTCTGCTGCATTCCAGACGATGCTTTGTTATGTAAACGCTTTTGGAACACCCGTGAACTTGACCAAGGCTACTGAATATCTTCATAAGACTGAAAAGTCGGGCCATCTGGTGGCTGATATATTGGGTTGTCGGCTCCTTGATGGATTTTCTGGTGTGCACTCTGATTCACCCAGGGAGTACCACGAGTGTTTGGCTCAAGGCTTTCATAATATATGGAGCAAACAAGCTTCTTACATCTCTGTGCACGTTGGCGAGACTGTCACCGAATTTGCCGATTACACGAGCTTGCGAAATGCCTTTCTCAACGAGGGGGACTTGATCGGGATTGACCAGGACGACATCGAGACAATTTTTCTCACGCGAAAGGCTTCTTCTGAGCGTAACAGCATCCTTGAAATTGCTATCCAGCAGGGCGATATTGATCTTGTAAATCTGCTATTGGCCAACTTTGGCAAGGTACTCACCGGGATGAAGACAAGCGAGTGTCTCTTGGTGCAAGCATCCCGTAACGGCCACGGTGCCATCGTGAATCGGCTGTTACAGGAGGGAATGACCATTGCCCGCGAGGACGCAAGATCCTGCCTTCTACATTGGCTCTTCTGTCTCGATGACACAAGTTTGTGTGAAGTGCAGCAACAACTTGAAAGCGCGAGTCGTCCTGATCTCGAGCGGGCTCTCAATCATGCTATCACCCAGAAAATTACGATCCACCCGCAGTGGCCATTCCAAGTAAATGGTACCCCACTTGCTACTGCGATAGCCTCAGGAAGAATCGCTGCTGTGAAATTGTTACTGGCATTGAAGGCCAATCCCTTAGCCGCGGCGTTTGCGGGTATCGATAGCGAATCAACTCCAATATTGACACCTATTCACCTCGCTTTATCCTACCAGCTCCCAGAAATTGTCAAGCTACTATGGGATGCCGCATTCAGGGAGCAAATGAGTCCTGCAAGTCAAATGTACCGTAATGTTGCCTTGGGTCGATTCCCAATTGCCTGTGCCTTGAGCTTCAGAAGCAATGCCGAACGATTTGCCATGCATGGTAGCATCCATCGACAGAGCCTAAGAGAAGTCGTCCAGCTCCTACCAGTTGAAGCATTGGCTCAGTCCTCACCCGAGGGTAGGAATGCTCTCACTCAGGCAATTGATCTGGAAGATGTTGAAGCTGTGAAGCTTATTCTGGAACATCACCCCGATCTTGTCTTTAAGAGAATTACTCAACCAGGGATAAGCAGCTTGTTCACATATGCGCTCAATTTTGCGGTCCAAGTGGGCTCACTTCGTGAAACCGATGAGTCAATCCAGATATTAAAGTCAATTCTAAAGCTCGATCCAGCTGCAATCAACAAACCAGACAGTTCCTCAGCAAAACCAATACACGCCGCAGCCATGGGTACATCGCCCCACATCTTGAAATTCCTTCTTGAACACGGCTGCACCACATGCCATGACCTAGATGGTCGAGGACAGACTCCCTTATTCTTCTGCCGCAATGCGAGTATGGTCAACATCCTATTGCAGATGGGCGCTGATATTAACCATCGGGACCGACTGGGGTATACTCCTACCCACACAGCCGCAAGTCATGGGACGGAAGAAGTTCTGTGCGCACTTATTGAGGCTGGAGCCGATCTAAGCTTTGTCAACAATGACATTGGAGCTCCACTGCATTATGCCGTCCAAAGGAAATCACTTTCGATGGTAGAAAGGCTTTTGAAAGCAGGTGTCGATGTTAACGCGAAAAACACCTACGGTCAAACTCCCCTCCTGATCGCAATGGATACAAGTCGATCCGATTTGGTTTTCTTACTGTTTGAGAACGGCGCGAACCCGTTCATTGCGGATAATAGTGGCTCTTCACCTTTCCACATGGCGCTTTCTTGGCCCAACACCAGCGTGCTGAACAAGTTTCAAACCCACACTACGCTCAGTGAGCTACCATGGGAGAATAAGGTAGAAGCGTTACATTTTGCCGCTGAAAGTGGAGAGCCCGAGGTGCTGAAGCTTTATCTGCACAATGCTTTCGGATCAGGGCTTAGTGCCGAGAATCCTGTTTCTCTGTACCATAAAGACGTTGTGATAGCCCTTCACAAGGCGACATCGGCTTCTCGTGCAGACCTCGTCGATGTTATGCTGGCGTATGGGTTTCAAGTCGATGCCCAAGATGCCAATGACAATACGCCTCTCCTGATAGGATGTCAAATAGGACGAGAGGAGCCTTCTCCCAACCAATATACTCGTACTCAAATCTGTGAAAAGCTTCTTGCCAATGGCGCCAGCATTTGCAAGAAAGACGATCGGGGACGTACGCCGTTATCCATTGCCCAAGCGCACAAGGATTACCCGTTGATGACTCTCTTGCTCGAGCATGCCCTTGTAATAGGCGACCTTGACCAACCTAAATTAAGATCGCGCATGCTGGAATCCATCAGAGACCCCGATAAAGACAGTCAGCATTGCAAGTGTTCTCAAGCCCTCATTGGTGACGAGATGATTGAGCTCGAACTCATCCAGCAGGCGACGACAGAAGAAGAATGGGACTTCGTCATGACATGTATCAGAGGACAGTTTATTAACAAAAAGCAGCTCCACCAGATCTTTCATCGAAGAAGATGGTCATATGGCGTGGATAGCTTAGACATGCTACGCTTCCACTCCGTCCGCCGAGACTGGGAGATAGTTCGCTATCTAAACCAGGTAGCCACCACTGGCGAATACACCGTACACAAAACAGCCCAGCTCGGGCTCCGGAATTTACAGATTGAGTGTTCGGATTGGAGAACCAGTTTGAATCAAACATTGTGGCCAAAGAAGATGGAAAAGATATTTCGAACAGCGAAAGAAGGCGAGCCAGAGCAGAGAACGCGTAGTGAAAGGTTCACGCGGACATCGAGGGAATATAAAACAAGGGATTCAGACGATGAGGACAGGAAATGGGGTTGGAGCTCTGATGACCTCTCTGAAGACTGTTTATCTTCTGCTGAAGAGTCGGACTCGGAGCAGACGAAAAATAGCCCAGTAGCCGATACCTTAGGAATCTTGCGAGGAGTATAGAATGAGGTATCGTGATCCTCAGCTAGCGACCAACTGGCACTCTCCCAATGAAGAGCATTTTTCTGAAATATCGATCCTTCTCTGTGAGTGATGGCCCTGAGAAAAGTTGTCTCTGCGATATTCGGGCTTTTCAAGAGCTCATCATGCAGACATGGACTCTTTTTGTGAATGGCTTGGGTCAACGGTACTTGACCGGTTCAGATGACGATATGATTTGATCGGGCATAGCGGCGGGAATGAAGATTTCTAAATGAAGTACACAGAGAAAGTGAATGTGGAGAAAATCTTCTAGGAGAGAAAGAAAGGGACATGTAGAATGCATTGTTGCTTATTCGAGCCGAGATACAATAATAATACGGCCTTAGACAATCAAGAAAAGGTAGCAGCTCAGTAGTTACTATATCGCACTTCACCTTCACTTTTCCGGATAGCCTAAGATAACTAAGCAGCTACCTGGATATGTACTCGATCATACTATTCTACATTTCGGGTACTGCACCTTGCCCAAAGCCGTACATCTGCCCTTTAACCAAGACTTCGTGGAGTCTTGTGAGAAATCTCAGAATCTTCATTCCTTCTATCTACAACAATCCATACTGTTAGCTCTATCGCCTAGTTTGAAGAGCCTCTGCTTTCCTCTGGATCTCTCCCAGATCCCGGATCTGGGTTTCTAGGTCTGCGCGCGTTTGCTTTCGTCGATCATCCTCTCCAACAAGATCATCAAGTTGGTCCTCTGGGAGGCTTCGAATCCAGTCAGTGCTGAAACAGAAGACGAGCCCAGAATCCCCCAAAAGATGACGCCTGACAACCTGAATGATTACATTATCGATGAATCGCCACTGTGCCATCTGCTGGAATTCTCTCAGGTTCACATGTGCTGAGGTAATGCGTCGTAATTTGTTGTCACCACAGCCTGCGAGAATATCGTTCAGTTCCTGATGCGACTCTTGGAGTTGCTCCTTATATTGTCGGTGGCAGGTCGTCATCCTATCCAGCTCTTTCAGAATAGTATCGAGCTCCTGCTCTGCCCGAGAAACAGCCTCCACCTTCAAAGTTTCCAGGGATTGTTGAATCCTGCCACGAATCACACTGTCGGAGCACACATCATTCAACAGGGTATCCGAGAACGCTCGAATCTTTTGTGAAGCGTCGTCAAAATAGTCTCGAGCGAACTGTCCCCAGGATCTGATTTGGAGTTCCAGAAGTCTCTCCTCAAGATCTCTGGGGTCCTTGTACCATAGGCCATCGCTGCGGTTTTCATTCCAGAACCGCAGGATCCAAGACAAGACATCATCGACTTCCAACATCTTGGTCTCCCACATTTCGGGTACAGTACCATAGTCTAGATCCCTTAGTCGGTACAAAATCTCGTCCTTTGACAGATATCTGAAGTTTGTCCCATGGCGCTCGATGTGTATTTGGAATTGTTCTTCTAGATCTATCAAATGGATCGTCAGTTTTGAGGGATCATCAGGAGCGCAACCCTCTTTGTAAATCCCGGCCAACCACTTTTGTGCCAAGTCTTTGTACTGTCTTTGAACATCATCGAGATAAAGCATCTGCATTTTCTCGTTATCTCTCGAGGGGCCAAGCAGGTCCAAGTCATGTCTAGCCGCTCTCAGCTTTCTGTTGATGTCTTTTTGAACACCAGGAAAACTTTTCTTGACATGTTTGTACAGTGTATCGGAGACACATCGATTCAAATTGGCAAGGCCCACGAAATTGCTCTTCAAGCTCGACCAGGGTTCCTGGCTGAATAGCTGATGCTCTTTTTCATCACGCTTCTGGTGTGACAGGTTCTTCTCGACTTCTTCAGTTGTTCGATTGCGGACAGCAAACCATCCAAGATTGAGCCGGTACTCGGAATTCTGATTCTTCAGGAGCTCAATAGTCTGAAATTATAGTTAGAAAGAATGTATGATGCTTGGACCAAATCAAAAATTCACCTTTGGCTCGTCATTTTTCTGCAACATGTCGCATTTGGTAATCACTCCGATTGTCCTGTTCATCGCTCCTTCCTCTCTTGCAAGACGAAGAACAGCTTGGTTATGGATATCGTCAACGGCAGGCATCACCGCCCTGACCAGTCAGCGGAATTTCACAGCTCCTCGAACAAGACAGACTTACAGAACAATCGCACGAGGGTTTGCCATATATTGACGGGCAAGACTCTCAGATAATCTCTGATCCGCTCTAGAGCCACCTGGAAATGAGAAAGTTAGACCAAAGGGTTCAAACGAGAGATGATGCAAGGAGTGACGACTCACCACTGATGAGTCCAGGAATATCAACCACGCTGAAGTGGGCCTGGTTATGCTTGTATACATTGACCCTCATGACCTGCTCATGGAGTCGATCAAGCCCTGTCTTCCCACCATGCACTCTGGGGGTTTTGCTTTGCGCATGCTGCTGTGCAAATACATCCTTCAGATCCTCTTTGAGGTGCTGAGAAACATTTGCCCAAGATTCATTCGAGTATTCACGGGGCAAGAATGTATTTCCCCCTCCTTTCGTCTCGATGGTGATAGTGTAGTGAGGATGTTTGAAGGGATCGCATCGATGGATGGTGGTCTCCGTGGCGAAGAGCGTGCAGATGCCGTTGTCCACTGGAAATGGAAGCTTTGTGAGGGCCTGCAAGAGCGAGGATTTACCGCAGCTGGTACCTCCAACAGCAACCAGCTGAATTTTATTAGCGTCTTGGGCACAACTCGTGTGAACGAGTGGCTGGACTTACTTGGGGTAGAGGAAGGCTGCTTGTGTCGATTTGGTAGGCATTTCGCACTTTGTCAAAGAATGCAAGCAGTTCTTCACCTTCAACGCTGCCAATGCTCCTCAGCACTTCCTCATCCGACTCATCGTCAGATTCGGGTGCAGGGCTTCCTGCACTTCTTTCTTCGTCTGTCTCGCCATGGGTAGACACGGAAGGCTCCAACTGAGTTTCAATCTCAGGATCACGCGAGGCTTGTTCGTCTTTCGAAACTGTCGAAGTAGACATCTGAGCTTCTGTAGTTTGCTTTGGTTTTGTTGGGGTATGGAACGAAAAGAGCAATGGAATTGGATGAATAAATAGAAATGGTGCTGCGAACTGAAGGGCCTTTATGCATCAATTAAATCCGTCACATTTATACTGAGAGATAGCGAGCTGAATGTTTTTTGCAACTAAAGTACGATCTGTTTAGCGCATATGCGCGATTAAGCGCTAACGTTTGAAATATTCGGTGGAGAATCGCTCGCGGAACGGCCCCCAAAATCCACTTCTTGGCCGCAGCGAATGTGAGTTCTTGAAAAATGGGGCAATAGCGCCTTGTATTTCCCCAAGGCAGCGCTAATGTACAAACTATCACTCTCTGTTGCCATCCTATCCCCTATGAAGAACCGCTTTAATGAGACCCACCCGACTTAAGTACGGTACCTAGCACGCCCAGCCCACGAGACACGTCAGTACTACAGGGGTAGCCAGGTTATTTGCAGCCGTTTCACGCCAGGTGACCTACAATCCCTGGTTCCCACATCTACGAAGGTGGATCCCTAAAAAGTGCAGGGGCATCACGAACTCAACGGTATTTGGATTTCAATACTGTGCTTTATTCATTCTCAATTGGTTCATCTGCCGTAACAGCCAGGTACCGACCTGGGATCCCCGAGTACTGCATGTGAAGCCCGACAAAAATAATGAGTGGTGGGCCCATCGTCCATAATGAGACCCTTCAAATGGGGAGGCAGAGAGGCCCCATACAGAATTATGATTCCTCTCAGCAGAAAGTGAGGCGTCTCGGATTTTTTCAAATTTTGTGACCCTTTACCTTCTGGAATTAGGGCATATTTGTCGACCAAGTACATATCGGGAGAGGCCCTAAAATTGTTTGAAATCTAGATACTCATATTTAGCATATTCTTTTACCATGGCACGAGTACCTAATTGACCTTTGCTGGCAATATCGACGGCCACTATGATAGGATACGGATAGACAGTACAGAAAGGGGCGTATGTCGCAAGGCTTATTATCCTTCAAGTCATTCAATGATTTTGTGCTACAGCTTCCCATCAGGGTCATAGGCATAATTGCGAGGAAGGAATGAACTGAGCCACGTGGATTTTGTTACGTGACTATGCTAATATGGGCTAGCCGCGATGAGATTGACTATATACCAGATCTTCACACTATACACATAGTAGTGATACTCGGAAATCGCCATCGTGATCAACTCATGGTTAAAGAAAATTTCCATCAATTAGAATAAAAGTTATAAACAGTTTGGTCAAATTCAAACATTAGTCAACTGCGGCATATCGTAAACCACATCGGGCAGTTCAACCTCCTTGGGCGCAGTCAAGATACCAAACTCAAACGTGTACCCAGATCCCGAGTAGCTTGTTCCGTAAAATCCTACAACAACCTCATCATCATTTGGTTCAAGTGCAATGACCGATGATCCTTCATGCTCATCGTCACTTTCATCATCCTCACCATCGTCATCATCTTCTGCTTCGTCACTGTCATAGTTATCACCTCCTTGATCATCGTGCAAGCAACCCCATTGAGCCCCATTGCTCAGAGTCATGCGAATTCCGGACAAACTACCACCCCAGTGCCGGCCCTGTGTGCGAAGACGAACTTTGGTGATAGTCTGTCCTTCGGGGAGATCGTGCTTTTCGGACGCATGTCCACCGAAGGTATGAGGTCTGCCTTGCCTATTACGAGCAGGGCCGCAGTTCTCGTGCCGCCCATCGGCATAATGCACAACCGCTCCGTCCATGGTGCATCCAACCCGGAGATCGATGGCTGTTGCTCGGTGCAACTGACCGTCTTGGCCACGGTGCTTGAGGAGCATGGCCCATTGGACAAATTCGTCGTCATTGATCTCTCCTTCGAGCTGCTCGGATCGAACAGATTGTTTACGAAGGACCACATTGCTGCCGGGGATCAGGATGTATGGCTTTTCTTTCAGCAACTTCCATGCATCTGCAACCACCCGCTCCTTGCCGTTCATTCCCAGAGCAATGATCTTCAACGGTTCAGTCCGGTCGAATCCCTCCTGACTGGTGTTGATATGGAATGCTGTGTACTGGCCCGTCCACTCGGTATCCGCGAATAGGACTTTCGGCTCCTCATTGCCATTCCGGATTTTCACTTGCGCAAGGCCTGCCGAACAAGAGATTTTGATGAACTCGTCGCGAAGTTCCTCATCGTCATTCATTCTATCCGCCATGTCAAGATCAAGCTGAATGCTCACGGCAGCGTTCTTGAAGCCCTTTGGAACAGGCATGTCACCAGGGAGTGCAAAGTGCGGAAGGAGCTTGAATTGGAGCACATCGCGCAGATCCCACCTCGAGTCGTTAACCACCTTGTCGTTTGTCTTGTGCTCTATAAGATTCATAGCCCAGGATTTGCTGTAGCCTCTCGCCATGATACCCGTCGTATGATCAGCACCAAATGCATGGCCGACCTCGTGAAGAAAAGCGCCCTGACCAACAAAACAGGCACCGCGCATAGTATCACATTCGCCATTATCGTTACCGACAGTATCCCCGGTAAGCGTCAAGTCTGTCAGACAAGCAGGAACCTCTTCCAGAAAGCGGGGCCAAGAGTAGGTAAGGTGGCTACCAAAGACTCCAAGCGAGATTCCATCAGACTTATGACAGCCCAGCGCGGCATGGCCCATGATCATAGATTTTTCAGTGGAGTAGTGAGAGTCCAGAATCAGCCCAGCGACGACGGGGCGGCATCGTGATTCAAAAGGACCGCCTGATTTAACCAGAGCTGCCTCAAAGTATGCATGAAGGTCGTCGCGATTTCGACCACGAGAATTCTGCTGCGCAACCTCGGCATCTCTGATCTCCGCGACAGACTTGTCAGACCGGATAATGTGCACCTTTGCAACGGCGGCCATGCGGCCCTGATCTCCAGGTGTCGTTTGATGAGCCGTTTGCAATGTCGTATTGGACATCCATTCCTCCTCCAGACGGAAAGAGCGCCTACCAAGCCCCTTTTGCCGGAAGTCTTCGGCCGTAACAGCCTGCCACATGTACGCCGACATGCGGAGCTTGGCAATAGCCGCGTCGAGACTGCTGTGTGTAGTCGAGATGCCGCCATACTTAGCGGGTGGACAATCGATAAAGAGAGGTGAGTCCTTAGCGACGAGGATCGCCAGATGGAGTGGTGGAAGTTGCAATAGAGGAATATAGTTCACGGCCATTTCCAGAGAGCCCGAGACTCCCCCTGCATGATGCAATTTGAACACGATCTTATTGTTTCCCGGGGCCAGCATCACTAATGCCTTCCATTGCCCCTTATTCAAGGGCCAGTGGTTCACAGGTTGTGACTGATTGAGTGAATCAGCCGACGAAACGGACACGAAATTGGTTTCTTCGGCATAGTCGAAATTGTGACAAGTACCGTCAATCACAACGCATGTTTGGTGTACCACATCCCCATCTTTCAGATTGGTAATTTCAAAGGGCCTCTTCTCCACGGGAACGGGCTGGACTCGTCGTTTCGGTGAAGTCAAGACAGCTTCAGACTCGAGTGATCGTTTCGCCATGGCTAGTATTTGTAACAGTATTGGATTATGGTGCGAAAGAAAGGGAATGACATTGCTTATATACTGTATACCAAATAAAACTTTAGTTAGTCAAGGCTTAGGCAACGACAAGCATTTCCAGGCATCGGTGTGGTGGCGGTTATCGACTACTATAAACGGTTAGCTTATGTCGCTGCTGCCTATGAGGCTCCAACTATGGCGGTATTTAGCCCCACTTGGATAGCGCCCCGAACTTGCATCTCGGCTAGAAAACCCTTTGTTTGAGGGCCAACTGGAGGATCGCGGGCCGGAATACCCATGACTCCGAGTCTTTGTACATCTTTCTTGAAAGGGCCCTTGCTAGTAAGACATCGCGGCACAGTATTATTGCCTTGAACAATACGCGGCAAATCCTCCAATTCAGAACCGGGCGAATAAAGATATTGCCGAAGCTCATAATCACGACGGCATAAATAGCCTTCCACCCTTCGTTTGCGATTACAACGACGATTCACTACTATACACCAATATACAAGACCTGTCATTACTATTTTGAGCTTTTATGCATATTTCGTTGTCAGCAGGTATTGTTAAGAATCTTCTGTGTTGGGGAGGTTCGGACCAGTTCGTTTCCCATTGTGATTTTTGTGAACTTGAACATGCTATTGCCGAGGACCAGTAGTGGAATATGCAAAACAACTTAAAATGAAATTTGGGTATTGGTCCTTGTAAGCCTAGGGGATGTATGAATGTATTCGTCAAGAGTTGGCACCCCATCCCGCCGTCAACCTCCAACCTTGTCCAACTTCCCCAACACCGCGAACGAATCCCACCATATGGTCAACAAATCCAGCATCACCTCTATTGACACGCTCCCGTCTCTCTCGCTCAGCCTCGGAATCTCCGCGCTGGAGACCAAGAAGCTGATCCGTATTCAATCCCTGGACCCTTTCCGCATCCATCCTTGTTAGAGTATTTCCATTTCCACATCTTTGACTCCACGCCATTCGTTTGACGGCCGGCCCCCAGAATTCTCCCAAAGTGGCCTCATCCCGACCGCGAGCGTACTCCTTTACCAACCCGGAGTGGGGATCAGTGGTGATCGAAGAATGCCAACGCGTGTGGACCAGCTCGTACCGCTTCTCAAGCAGCCAAATGATTGGCCATGTGATAATCCACAGCTGGAGGATAACGAAAGTCCACCAGATGTAGCGGTTTGCACGTAGCCGGTTGATCCAATGGGGAGAGTAGATAGTGACTGATTGCTGAGCAATGGTGAAATTAAAGTCAACCGAGCCGAGGTAATTGAGAGAGCGAATATGTGATGCAAGGACATTGCGCATGGCCTTCCAATCGAAACCTGAGAGTTGGCGATGTAGGGTAAATCTAGAAACGTGGTTAGTCGACGGCTGTAATTGAGGTCGAGCGATAGACATACGATTTAACGGGGGAGGGATCATTGCAGAACCGCTCACACCATAATTTCAAATTAGCTTCATTCGATGTGGTGGGTTGTTCTTCAGCACCATTGGCTCCAAGGGCTGCATCTGAGGCAAGAAGGGCATCGCTATCCTCGCCACGGACTCGTGCACAACACGGCGCCTTATAAGTGCGTGACTTGAACCTCCCACCGCGGAAAGCAGGCTTGTAGTCCTCGTCATTGAGCACTTCTTCCTCCGTCCATTTCCAGGGTCCTCGCGCATCGGCTTCCCACCCACTCAGCATTGTCTCCGCGAGGTCAAGCTTGAATTCAAAGTCGGTGACGCTATTGCTTCCTTTCTTCTTCTTGTCGTTGCTTGACTCACTGTGTGAGCCCTTGATCCAAAGCAGCGGTCGTGGGGGAAGTTTCATCTGTCGGCGAATGGCGTAGAAGAGCTCATCGCTATTACGCGAGAGGCTCGGCGCGATGGAGATCGCGCGCTTGTCATCGGCCTTGATATTTGAGTCGGGAAGAACGTATGCGGAGTCCACCAGTCGAAGATTGAGAGGAAGAGGGGCAACACCCGGAGCGGGGTTTGAGGTTTGAACAGAAGGAATGAAGTCAGGCTCGTCGGTGTAAGGGGGGTGGCAGGTCATCTTCGATGGAATGCAGCGAATGCGAAGACGCCCCGTCGGGGCGATCGTCCTTGTGGATGCGACCCATGGTTCCGCCGATAAGAACGGAGAAAGAATAACAATTAAAATTCCGCACCAGAATCGGCCAGAAGGAACCGTCAAGTTGGAGAATATATTTTTGACTTAGGAGCTACTGAGACAGAAGGAGAGGAAGAAAACAAAGGGATTGGGGGTTTTAAGGGTCCGGAGTTTTTAGGCTGCAAATCTACGGAGAAGAGCCGCTTCCCCTCGCATCCACGCTAGCCTTGATAAGGTTAGACTGCGGGTATTTATAAACATCGCGAAATGTGTCCCAATCGGGGTCTACCATGCTCCAACTGAAGGAGTCGCGTAACTTCCTGTCGCCGAGCTTCCTGAACACTGTGAGGGGACTTGGTTCGCACCAGATGCGCCCCAGGAACTGGGTACGGCACCAGCCCGACGATCTTCGGCAGTAAGAAATGCAGCGTAGGACCAAGTCAGATCTCCAGCAGAGGTCGGGACACCACTATCTCTGGTAAACTGCTCTGCCAGAGATCCATTGCTGGGCGTGTATTGCTGCACGATAGACACAAATCCGTCCGCATAGGTTTTGACCGCGCTGGTGAGCGACGAGTAAGTGGATGAAGAGCTGGAGTAAGTCCCAGTGGCGGCGGAAGAGACGAGGGCCTGGAAGAATGGGAGGCTGGCTTGAGTAACAGCTATCGATCCCTGCTTATCCCACTGATAGAGAGCGTCATACAGCTGTTCAGCGGCAGCCAATGTGGCCAAATACCAAGGATTTCCGCCCTGGTAAGTATCCTCAGCGTATCGTCCGATAGCGACCGCTTCACCAGCAGATTTGCCGCTGTTGACGGTATAAATCGATCTGAAGGAGTCAACGACTAGTTTGTGATTGGATAAAGCGCGTGCAGAACAGGGCTGGAAGGTCGTGTCATCGCATGCAGCTTCAGGGTCAAATGTTTGGATGGAGCTGATCAGGGAATTCGCATCCAGGCCCGAGCGCCCGTCGTTTGCCAAGTTGGAGACGACAGAGGAGCCGTTCCAGAAGTCCTGGAGGAAGCACAGAACCTGGGGAGCTTGGGAATCACACCCAGTGCACGACTGACCCAGCGACTGGGCAAATGCACTCCCTTCTACCAAGGCCCGATGCTGCGCAGCGATGGTGAAGAAAGAGGAACCTTGGACCTCCTCCCAGAGATCAAATCCAGTTTGATTCCAGTACTGCGCAACGTAATTGAGATCGTTCTGCACAATGGGCCAAATGTTTGACGTAACAAGGGACTCTTGTCCAGCCGAGACCAGATGTTTTCCATATGCAATCAGAGCGGTCGCTCGTAGCGCTGGTCCATCGCGCTGAGGTCGGCCCCAGTCACCGGTAAATGCTGTAATATCCACATTGAACTTGGGCTCACCAAGTCCTGAGCCATTAGACAGATCCCCCGAAGGGTTGGAGACAGTCTGCAACTTGGCCTGTGCAGAGATATACTGTTGAATAGTAGATTCCAACGAGCTATCTCCTGCAATGAACCTGTCAACCAGGACCTTCAAGGTCAGAGCTGCATCCCGAGTCCAGGTGTAAAAGTCTAGCAATCGTTAGTTTCCAATAATTTATGTTTTCTTTTTTTGGGGAACTCACAATCAGGGTTCACTTTAGATGGGGATGCTACCACAACACCAGACGAGGCGCCCGAAACTTTAGACCCATCGGCACCAATATTGTCGAGCACACCCTGGAGGGCAATAGACGATTCCGATTTGATATAGTCACTCAGGCTAGACTGACGACGCGCAGGGTGGAGGGCTGACGAGAGAGCTCCTGGTGCTAGCAGGGCAAATGTCAAAAAATTAGCAGTCCACATAATGAAGTCTGTGATGAGAGGAAATGTGGAATGAACCAATTCTCAGGACCAGTGACCTCCTTATATGCCCAACCTCCTATAATCATGTCCTTCAAGCCTACATCTTGCCCCACGGGGGGAGATGGGGATTCGCGGCTGTGATTGGTCCGTGACCTGACGATCATTGTGGTTTGTGATGCACCGGGAAATTACTTCTCGAGTAAAACCGACCATCCAGCGGACTCCGGAGGAAATTGAGGGGCGAATGTTTACCCCATACAAGACTTAAAGAGTAATTAGCAAATGAAAGAGCTTTTGTTCCCCAGATAATGTCTCAAGGGGCCCGCTGTTACATTCGGAAGCCTTCAGGATCGGCATCGTCGATCCCGGACCGAGTAAGGTCTAGTCCGATAAATGACCGATGCTCCGTTCATCGTCATAGGAAACTTGTGGGTTGTGTCGTCATCCGCCGACACCGTATTGTTCATTCAGCAGATGTTCTCTGGAAATTATGTCAAAACTGGAGCACAAGGTTCGACAGCATCTATTTAATTGATAATTCAACAGGTTGCCTGCTTCCGAGGCTTCATGATGTCGCAAGCCTCCACCAATAGATGGGTTTACAAACATATGCTTTGCTCCAATAGTTGCGCAGGAATTTGTCTTGGCTAGCTCCGACGTAATTAGAATGTTTCCAATAAAAATGGAAGCATTGGAATTTATTAGACAATCGGACAAAGTAAGAGATTGTAAAATTATCCAAACAAAGAGAGCTGGCAGTGAGCCATCTCATCAATAAATCTCGAAGAGAGACTCCAGCTGATGGACATTCTTGTCAACCAATCACGTCTCTCATGGGATGGATCTTAGGGAAAGGAGTTGACTGGATTAAGAGAATGGTCAAGGCCTGGGAAATGAGGCCTCAAGCTGCCACGTCTAGTAGGAGCTCCTCGGTCTGTGTGCCCCATGGTCTATTTATGTTGATACTGGTTAATCTTCCCTCCTGGCTCACAATTACAGCAAAACCTAGCTAGAACGAATTGAACAAGACACGTAAATAATCTGCTATGACCAGGAATCCGTCCAACCAAAAGCGCCACCACTACGGTGGGCGCTGCCGCTTCGGTAATGGCATACAGGGGTAAAGGAGCGGACTCAAAGTTGAAACTGTCATTGTCAAAGCGGAGGGAAACCAGATGAGACGAGAAAGAAAGAAAAGAGTACACGGTGCATCCCGGTTTAAGGTACGTGATGTGGGCTACCAATAATGCGTCGGAAAGAAAACAAATCAATGAAGATGATGAGAGAGAAGGCAGAGAGGCAGAAGCATTGATCTCAACCAGAAGGCGCACGTCGTGTGACTAACAGAAACGTTGATCTCCAAGGTAGTGACACTATTTTGTGGACATGGCCTCACTGCATAAAAATCATCGCTAAATCAATTGTATTTTCTTTTCCTCTGTGATGGATCTTATGTCGATTTCTGTCATGAACGTGATCAGTGGTTCGGGCTTTAGAAAGCGGTTCTAATTTCAAATATAACAAGCCACCACCACGAGATCAGCCCCAGAATTCCGACTGAGCCCAGTGCCTTGGCCATGGCTCGGGTGACTGTCTATTAAAGGATTCATCGAGAATGGTTACCTACCGATTATCAGATTTGGTTTTTTCTCAGTAATGAGCCCGACATGACTTCAACAATTTGTTAGAAAAGGGCAAACAATACAAACGAGATCCCCAGGTCCCCAATTTCCGAGATTGTAGATTTTTCTCTCTTCTCCTATCATATCATGTACGTATTTGTGCAGAACTCAGGTGAGCCTCCATTTTCTAAATTTATCAGATGCCTTGGTTCTCTCATTTCCTGACTAGATCGGGTTTAAAGGACCCTCTGCTGGCATCTTGGCTGTTGAAAACCCATGGAAAATTTTTACTTGCCTGAACTGACTTCTTACTTTGTTCCAAATTGACTTCGCAGAACGGTAGTCAAAAGAAGTATTTACTCCTACCACATATCTCACACCTGCTCCTCACTTATTCTCCCTTCTTCACTCCCCAATACCGCAATCAGGGACAAATATTGTGAGCACATCGTGGAGGACAAAGAGACTTCTTGGATTACCACCAAGTGATCGACTTAAAGACACCCAACCTTTGGCCACTGAGCCTTCAGACGGAGACCAAATGGGGTCAAATATTTCCACGGTGGAGGGGCACAACCAGAAATTACGTTATCAAAGTGACTACAGTCTATGGTATAGCGACACACCAGGCCCGGCAAAGGAGATTTCCCTTATACTAGTTGAGGCAAAGACGCTAGGCCTGGCCAGAAGTGACGATGTCCAGGCCTTAGCCAGTTTAGAGAGGTAAGTCTAAAATCCCCTTTGATTCAATTGCTACGAAATAGCGACTGATACAAAAGAATGGCGGTCTCTTCGCATCACTGACTTAATTGGGGGATTGTGATCTACACATTCGAGGAGGACGCCTCTATGCTTGCATTCATGATTCATCAGGTTGGGCTCATGTCCCCGTACGCATCGAAAACCCATCTAAGGAAAATCTCCATGGAAAACGCCTAGACGACAGCCTACAATAACAATGCTACTTCCCAACTCGTCGCGCACCTCACTGTTGCGATAGCCTAACGGGACCATCTCTTCCGGACCAGTCTCCTGCGATGCTTGATCAAGATTCATCGACGCGATGCTCAATTCAATCTTTCTCAGAGACTGCGGGAAATTTCTCGCAATACCCAACTCAACGCTTGGCTGAGTGAGTTCGATGTGGCGAAGCGACAGCTTGACGCGAGCCAAGCCCGACAGGCCGAAATGACCAAGGGATTGGAAGCGGCACTGAATTGTTTCGCGATTGAACAGCATATGCGTGATTGGGAGGCGAAGCAGAATGACGCGATGCGCACGGAGAGCTACGCGGATAAGAACCAGACTTTCGATTTGAAGCGGAAGATCAATGACCTGGAGAAGGACATGGAGTTCTTGACTAGCGGGAACTGAAGTGGCTCGAAAACCCGGACGGAGGTGTGGTTGCCTTGGGTTTTCATCCCAAGCAGCTTCAATTATTCCATTGGCTCGGACCCCATTGAGGCAGTACTCAGAGACGGAAAGCTATTATTACTCAGCAAATGATGGGCGCAGGGGACCATGTATCCACAGCTCGGGAATAAGTCCGGTTGCTCTTAGTTTCCTCTATTCTTAATCAAAACTTTACATTCTACCTTCCTTGTGCGGAGTATCTATTGCTATCGTATCTTTGCTCAGTCTGTGGACTGGGTTCTCCGTGCGCTCTAAGAGGAGGAGAAGTGTTGTTTGTGTGTTTTATGGATTCCTTGTTTCATCACTGATATTGCTACTTCGATAGCTGTTATATCTTGGACTCACACCGTTGCTCCACCTGCGAACAAAGATGCATACATTGACTTGACTATAAAGAATGTCAGCGTTGAGAGTGGAGAGGTGCTGCATAAGTAGATTCACCTAACCATCATACCGCGCTAGGCTTTGATTAATCTGTCAACCTTGAAGTAATCCTGTCCTTGTCCATTGAAGATGCCTGTGCCAGTAATGCTAACCATGCCAATCTAGCTTATACATTTATTCCGGTAAGCGGAACTCGCTGCAACTAATGGGGAAAAATAGATGTCGTTACCCCTTGAATTTTTACAGTTATTTTTACATGGAATTTCTTCCAAGTAGACACGCATTAATAATAACTCAATGGGCCAGCATTATAGTGAGATTCTAAAAAAAAATTTATGGAGGCTTTGCAAGTCTTTAGCCAACTATACTTGCTCAAATTCAAAGCGAGAACGTCACGAGAAGTATCTTCAAAGATCGATCAATTCGTCTCTCTTTTCACAAACAGACATTTTGAGCACGTCGAGTCAATAGTAATAAATGGTAATAAATATGCACATGCTCCAAGGCTGCGGCAATCCCGTCATCCCGATGTCCAGCTAATCATAACTATGTTGCCTTTCACTCCTAAACGTGAAGGCTGATACCTCCGATAATTGCTAGCGGTATTCGCCCACTAGCTGCAACCGAACCAATTGATACAAAATCTGTAATTACTTGACGTCAATTATCGCGCGAAGAATCCATTATTCATTGGTCCATCCTATCCTGCATGAGGCAATTTCTATTTCTGTGGATGCAGCACAAAGGGGCCAAATCAAATGATTTCAACTACTGGTGTGCCAAAGATATCCTGGGGCTGAATACTGTGTGTTTTTGCGTAGGCCAGACGAAAAACAGGATTCAGCCCAGGAGGATCATTAGCGTATGATACGCCCCTCTTCCCCTCACGTGTACCTGACTTGGAGATTTGACGAACTGGCGGGAGGTGTGGTGACGCATTAGCTCGGATCCATAACCATGTGTGGATCCGCAAGGATACAAGCTGTAATTACAGTAATTACGAGTGATAATCCTGGAGATTGGGTTCATTGCGAGCCGCCGACTCCACTTGCAGTAGGTCCGTGCAGTCGATGTACACCACTGTATTTGGCCCGTACCAATGTGACTAAGTTGGCACAGGACTAATTTTGGCGTCGAGGGGAGTCACTCGAACCCCGCGGAGATTTGTAAAATCCGAAGCCGTCTTCAGTTGGCCTTCACATACTGTTGTATAAAGACTTGACACGGGTAGTGGATAACTTGAAACATCTGTTGACCCGACTCTAAAGTTTGCCAAGGAATCAGCCTTTTAAGCGACTCGCCAAATCCGCCTGGTACAATGCAGTGGACTCAGAGGGGAGACCATTGGTATATGCCACTAGAATGCCATGAAAGGCATTTTCGGTGGATTGGAAGCCTGGGAGCACCCTTAGGGCGCGAGTGTTGGCTGGTAATGGTGAACGCACGACTTCGATTCCCATCAAAAAATGCGATTCAAGATGTGCGCAATGCCTGGAAAGCACTGCGATTTCTACAACCAGGTATTGCAGTAGAACTTCATGGGGACGAGAAACGGTATCATCCAATTCGCGACGAAAGCATGCTAGAAGCATGGTGTGATGCGACATTTCGGGTGGAGACAGAAGCCCTTGCGGCTGATGATCTCTTTAAACGCCATGTACGGATGGCAGGACCCCAGGCAACATGCCACTGGATTCCAGCCACAAACCAAATTGCTTTGATGGCCTCTCACTGGCGATGGGATGCGCGTGGCGCTTCATGGGTCCTCAACGACCTACTCAAGGAACTGGGCGGTCCATCATCACCTCCAGATTTTACAGGAGCAGAGGTGAAGAACCTGCCATTTTCTTTCGAAGAGGCCCTCCGCATACCGGACACATGGGATCCGACCTGGGAACAACGCGGTCGTGATCTTCAAGCGCTGGAAAGCCAGGGTGGACCGGGAATCGCACTTCGACCATCTTACCCCGATGTGCTACCGGGTGATACTATTCGCACAGAGGTTGTTCTGTCCACGGAAGAAACAACCGCTCTTCGAGCAGGGGCACGTGCCTATGGCCTCACAGTCACGCCAGTCTTGAATGCCTCTGCAATTGTGGAAACGGCGCTCGTGAACGCCGAATCCTCTGCAACGCGTTTCAAAAGCTTTGGTCTATTTGACCTGCGTAAATACTGTGCACCACCGAGCAATGGGCCAAGAGACGCCTCTGCATTAAGAATTCATTTCTTGCCGATCAATGTAGATGCGCATGCTTCGTGGAAGGAGCTGACGCCTCTGCTCTCGGCCTTTTACCGTCAGTCTTGGGACTCAAAATGCAATGATGCGATATTTAGTCGCGTTCCATATATAGAGGCAAACCACAAGATGGGAAAGATGGCCCCACCCGATGCAGCACAGCTCTCTGAGCCCATGATCAACAGTTTGGGTGTAATCGAAGATTATATCCAGCACCGGTACGGAGCTATTGAGGTTGAAGATGTCAGTTACAGCAACTTAGCTCTTGGAAAGCAGATTGCTATCCAGGTATTCACTTGGAGAGGCAAAATGCACCTCAGTGCAAGTTTCAATGAGGCCTTCTATACGAGCGACTTTGTGGGAGATTTTCTGCAAGCTATCAAAAGTAATACCTTCACAAATCTGGGCATCTCGAGTGAGGGAAGACCACAAAGGAGAGATAGAGATGAAGTTCTTTGATATAGAGGCTGACATTTGCGTTGGACTGTTATATGACACAATGATTCACGTTTGAAGATTAAATTAAAGTTAAATAATGGATATTCAAGGAACGAGTCACTTGCACATGCGTACCCAGTGACTACTAAGCACTCGAGGCATTGAATGTTCGATCTTGGCTTGTGGATGCTAGGCCTAGCAATAATGCTATCACATTTGCTTCACTTAGTGTAGATAGAATTGAAGTCAAACGCTTCTCTTGTTTGAATTGCTAGACTGTGATGTCTCAAGTTCAGTCATTACATTGACCACCAGCCAATCTGCACAAATGGCGCAGCCTCGTCACGGAGTGGCTCATAGAGGGTATCAATGTTCTTCGCAAGTTCATCGGGAAGGGGACCTGCCTCGCGGGCTTCGAGGTAGTCATTGAGTTGCGCGAGATTATTAGGACCGATGGCAACATAATCGGTGCTCTGCAGATCAGAATGGAACAAAAGCCAGCGCACCGCCACCTGGGCTAGGGCTGAACTGGTCGCCTCGCCCTGATATTGCGCCACCGCAGATTTGAGCTCCCCGATCGCGTTATGAAACACCGGCTTATCATACCACATGCGGTAAAGGAAACCCAGCATGTTGGTTTCGCTCTGCTCGAATCGAGTGCCCTTCAGCTTTTCGGCATCTTGGGTACCGCTGACTTTGCCTGTAGCAAAGCCCCCCGCGAGAGGAGAGTTGGCGACAAAGGGAATTCCGTGCTTTCGCAGGAGAGGAAAGAGATCGGTCTCGTACTGGCGACAAAATATGTTGTACTGGCCCTGGTAGATCGCGGGAAGAACATAGCCTTTCTCCTTAGAAATCTCAATGTATTCGGTCAACTGCTCAGGGGGATAGTTGCATAGGCCGAGCTGCTCGAAGTAGCCAGCCTGATAGAAGTGGTTAAAATTGGCGGCCTGCTCGGCAATTGGGGTCACTTTGTCCGGGGCGTGGGCATAGAGAGTCTTGACCTAAGGGTGTGTCAATATTGAGTAGACCCAAGCCGACCACAATGGCGGCAGTGGTGAAAAGAGGAAAGCACCTTTGTAACGCCCAGGCTTTCCAAACTCTGACGCAGGGACTCCTCCATCAAATCTCTCCGCAAGCCCTCAGGCCTGAAGAGAATCTTGGTATCCACGACAAAGTCAGATCGCCGAACACTCCCCAGAAGCTTCTCAGATGCTCCAGAGTTGGAAGGCGGATAGAAGCGGGCAGTGTCAAAGTGCTTGATCCCCGCCACCTCAAGGCGATCTAGTAAGCCCTTGATATTATCTGCGTCCCAGTTGTAGCCCCAACCGAGGCAGCCAATCACATATTCCGGGGGGGATGACATGTTGTGATGAAGGGAAAATGGGAAACCTTGGACTTCAAAACACAAAGATCGTAACAATAAGGATGTTTTGCTTGAAGTGAGTGTGGCAGGTATGACAGACAATAGTTGACTCTTATATGTGGGCGTGCGGGGGAAATTGGTCAAAAGCACAAAGAACCTGATGCCTGCCTACAGCATTGGGTTTGGAGGAACGTGGTATGGTTACGAAATGTAAATACACCGTAACACGTACTGTATGTAAACGGAGTAGCCGCTCAATGTAGATCCCTGCACGCCTCACCCGGTCCGATATTGCGGCTTTGGGGCCAAATTCAAAAAAGGTTTAGATGATCTCCCAAACTCAAAACGTTCGGCTAAATGTCATGTAATTTCACCGCACAGAAAGGGGTTAAGTGATTCAAAATCGGCTGATCGTAAACTCAACAGCGTTGACCACGTCAGACTAGCCCCCATCACTGCGGCTGAGAAGGTAGATGCAAGCTATACGTGATTTTTACGCAAACGCAAATGTGGGGCGATGCGGCACACCGTTGGGGGCGGAAAAGAGCTGAGCTGAGTTCTTGACCTACTGTGACTGGACAGGGATTGATGCAGGATCTAGACCGGCAAGTGTGAACTTGGTGAGCTTTACAAAGGTATTTTCGTCATTTATTTCTAGTCAAGTGCTAGAGGGGAAATCAGGCATTTCAATGGTATTTCTCAATACAATAAATTACACTAGAGCTATACATAGAATTTCGCTCGAGGGTATGGGTGTAGCGGGGCAGGAGAAGAAATGAAAAGTCTGAGCCAATCACTCTTGATGCTACGCGCTGCAACCTTGATCCTCGTAGAAGCTCAAATGATCCTGGCTGTACTCCAATTGGGATCCCACCTCAGGCTCCAATGCAGTAGCTCCACACGGGTAGCGAATACAGAACGAGCTGCCAGAGACACCACCACTTCCAAGCCGATACATCCTCTTTCTTCCACATGACGCTTACACCAATCCATGCCCCCAAAGATAGGACTCCAGCTGATACCAGGTAAGGCACAGCCCAAAATAGAACACAAAAAATACTCCAAAACACAACACATGCAGAAATCCATATGCGTGAGAAAGAGTCGCCCAGCACAAGGGGCCATGTTTGCCGCCCCCGGGTTCGATCTCCAGCCTGGTCTCGAAGATCCTGGATCTGCATAGTTGTCAGAATTATGCCACCAATTATCCCAAGCCAGCGATATCCGGTCGTGGAGAGTTCGACATTTGTACACCCCGTCGCCGCACTAAGCGCAATACGTAAAGAACCGGCCAGGAATGCGTCGTAAGCAACAGCGATAATAAAGTCGCGAGTCAGGGCATCCCCTCCATGTAGATCATTATACATCCACGTCAGGAGTAAGATCAGCGCGGTTTCCCAGCCCGCTTGAAGGACTATGCCAAGCACCAAGGCAACAGGTACAGTCCAAAGAAGTAACTGCCTCGCCTGAGAAAGGCTCATGCGCCCTTGAGGAAGCGGACGCCATGGTTTGTTGATTGAATCCTCCTTCACGGACTCTGGGAGGCGCTGGTTGGCGACATCAAAGGCGATGAGATTGACCCAATTCCACAGCAGTACTAGTGGAGCGGCTCGGAGAACGATGGCCAAGGCGCCCGCGCTTTTAGTGCAGGTTGTCAAAGTGGGACTAACATATGCAGCCAAAAGCCCGAACCCAGTGTTTGGAATAGCAAACGTGATGAAGTCATTCTCGGTAAACTCCCAGATTAGGAACGGGAGCTCTGCCAATCGAAAGTGTCCTCGAGTGGTTGGCATGGGGCTGGTACCTCAAGGCTGCAGAGGAAATGCGAGTACAGGGGGTTGTGATACTGAAACGGTGTGGATTAGATACCTGGGTTGATGAGACTTCTTATATAGGTACCTCGGGTGATGGCCCGCTCTGGATTTTTATTATCTTCTCCTACTCTCTTCCCAATACACTATTCTAGAATGATGTATTCTATTTTTTCTCCGTATTACGGAGTATTTCTCGGGCATTTACTGCACACAGGGCTGTTTATCCATGGAGAATGGCACGTTCAGGCCCCAAAGATTCTTGTATGTCATCTGATCTGCTTCTTTGGTCTCATTGTCACCATTCCAACCGCCTGGCAATTCATCGCCGGCTACTTGCTCGGCTTGCTGTCCAGTATTCTCATCTATCGAATCTTCTGTCATCGGCTTCATGCATTTCCCGGCCCTAAACTGGCCAAGGCTTCTAAGCTGTGGCACTTGTGGCAGTCAAGGTCTTCTCGAAACCATTTCTTCATGGAGAAGTTGCAAAAGGAGTATGGGGATTTTGTGCGAACAGGCCCAGGCGAAATCACTGTTTTCCATCCTGATGTTTTCATGGCTATCGATGGACCACGAAGCAAATGTTACAAGGGGGAATGGTATGATTTGCTGCACCCAAATGACTCTCTCGTGAATATACGATGGAAGGAGATCCATCGGCCCCGACGCCGTATATGGATGCAGGGATTCAGCTCGAAAGGTAAGCGCATGTCCATCTGGAATCTATTCAAATTTCACTGACAGACCCCAGCACTTGCTGATGGCAAGTATCAAGCCGTTGCCTTGATTGACCAGTTGGATCGTTGTATCCAGGACGATATGGCAGTCGGCCGAAGCTCCGACATTTCGGACCTCATTTACTGGCTTAGCTTCGACCGTATGGCACAATTCGTCCTTGGCAGATCATTCAATGCGCTGAGCGATCCAGAAGGGCGTTTCATGGTAGAAACGTTGCAGAAAGCGTTGTCAATACTAGGACCATTGAGTCCAACTCCCTGGCTCGTGCAAATTATCCTTCACCTTTTCCCTCGCGTCGGAATCTTGAGGGACTGGTTTGCCACCACCGGCACTACTGCGAGGGAGTTGCGCAAGACAGAGGTAGGAGCAACCAAAAATTAGCACCTGGATACTATGAAAATACATCAGGCTAATTGTGGTTCGAAAAGGTCCCGGTCGAGATGTCTCAGGCCACTGCGCTCGGGTCATACCTTGTGAAGGCAGTCCACGATGATCCGACTCAAGATAAGTGGCTACCTGGAGATAGCCTTCTAGCCTTTGTCGCCGGAAGTGATCCAACGGCCGGCATCATACAGGGTCTTCTCTTCGAGCTTGCACGAAACCCACATCAAGCTGAGATCCTCTATCAGGAGCTCCAAAAGGAGAAGCAGGCGAATCCTGACAGCAACAAGAGAGATTATGTTCCCCGGTGCAAGCATCTCGAGGCTGCAATCTTCGAATCCATGCGTCTATATCCTTCTTTGCCCTCAGGAGGTCATCGGAAGACCCCACCTACCGAGGGGATCACAGTGGCTGGTGTTTACATTCCTGCCGACACCACCATAGTAGCTCCGCGATATGCCATCTCACGTCGTATGTACCACCCGTGGACTCATATTCCTTTCATCAACGTTCATCAATGGCGAGAATAAATTGCTGATGAAAAACCCTCTACTGGTAGGCGAGGATAGCTACGTTAAGCCCAATGAATTCGTTCCTGAGCGATGGACTACACGGCCTGAAATGGTCCTGAACCGTAATGGCTTTGTACCATTTGGAACTGGTAAGTGACTACTACTTTCTCTCTCCCAAGATCAAGCTACAAGCCGCATTTGATACTTACCATTACACGCTTAGCGTCCCGGAGTTGTCTTGGACGAGGTCTTGCCATGAACGACATGATGATGATCTCCGCACATATTATCCAGAATTATCGTATGAGATTTCCCCCAGGCGAGAACGGGGACAGTGTGCTAGAGAACTGGAAAGATCAGTTCACGTCATGCCTTGGTCGCTTTCAATTGAGATTCGAAAGACGGACAGATAGGACTGATACCGCTTGTATGTAGCGATGTTTCTATATCGAGATATACTTGTACCTAATTTGAAATGGTATGCATTATGTAAAGTATTTTTATCTCTTTACCCACGAGCTGATAAGTAGGGCGAAAAAGGTAATAATAGTAACAACGATGACAACAATAATGACGAAATTAATGATCAAAATAAGAACACAAATCATGGTAATAACGATAACATATCATTCTACGCGAGCCTAAGGACTGGTAAGTGTCCCCTGTTATGTAGGAAACACTTGGCAAAGGACCAATAAACATAAAATGGGAGGAGTTGCCGTGCAGAGGCAGGATGTGAGGTGGAGTTGCGGGTAGATTTGGGGCCCACAGCAGATGGGTTCCCACGTAACTGTATTACGGAGTACCATGGCATTAGTACTCAGGCTGTCTAACTCAGTCCACTTTAGGTGCGATGCATTGGTTCTACGTCATGGACTTGAGGGACAAACAAAGAAAATATGGGCCGAGAAACGGGTCATATGTTATATGCAGTGAAACGTAGTGTGCTGGGGGCCGTAAATTACCGAATGAATGTTTAATTGGACAGATATACCCCGGTCCCTGTCTTGACTCCCCACCGCTCTGTTACAGCTAGTCTTTCCACATCTTTACCATGTGGGTCCTTTAGGCTCCAGGTCTTGTGCATTCATCCGCATGCTTGCTTAGTCTGCCGTTGATCCCTAGGTACCAAGTGCTCTTCGTCACACCCTTTTCCAAGCGCGCTGGCAGAACGGCCAACAATCTTACATAAGACCCCTCATTTTCAACACTTCGGATCCAAACCTTACCTGGTTTTCTTTGAACTGTTCTTCCATCAATTGATTTTGTTTGTCATTCCTTTTCCCTTGCCATTCACATCTGGCATGATGGCACGGCGATCGTACGTCGCACTGCTTTTTACTATTGTGATTGTTCCACTTGCAATATGGCTAAGACCAGGTCGTCAATCATCATTGTGCCGCTGCTACCCAGGTGAACCATGTTGGCCTTCTGCGGGGGAGTGGGAGGCTCTCAACGTCTCCATCTCGGGCAATCTCCTTCCTATTGACCCCATTGGTAGCGTATGCCACATCGACTCCGCTTCTTACAACAGCGAGCAATGCGCAACTCTAATTGCCCGCTGGTCCGTCCCTGAAACGCATTATAGCACTCCATCATCTCCGATGGCCGCCTGGTGGGGCAATCACTCTTGTTCGCCATTCTCTCCAGCCGACAGCCCTTGCACCAACGGGCCTTTGGCGCAGTACGCAGCGAATGTCACATCAGCAGCCGACGTGAAAGAAGTCCTGAAGTTCACAAAAAGTCATAATATTCGCTTGGTCATTCGTAACACAGGTCATGACTACCTTGGAAGATCAACTGGAGCCGGTGGGGTGAATTTGTGGACGCACAATCTCAAATTCATCGAGACGATCCCAAGCTATGTTTCTGAAGGCTACAATGGCCCTGCTATGCGCATTGGGGCTGGAGTTCAAGGGTTTGAAGCTCAAAATGCGGCTCATGAATCCGGCTACGTGATCGTGACTGGATTTTGCCCGGATGTTGGAATCGCGGGGGGCTACACCCAGGGTGGAGGCCATGGCTCACTGGCTTCGCGATATGGCCTCGCTGCCGATCAAGTCCTGGAGTGGGAAGTAGTTACCGCTGGAGGAGAGCAACTAACTGCCTCACCTACTCAGAATGCCGATCTCTACTGGGCGCTCAGTGGAGGTGGCGGCGGGACGTATGCTGTCGTCCTGAGTATGACTGTCCGAGTATATCCAGAAGAGAAAACCTCCGTTGCGTCGCTGTCTTTCACTTCCGGCGCTGGAACAGACGCGACAGATGTGGAACACTTCTGGTCCGTAATAAAGACATTTATCGTGGACACACAGTCCCTTCTGGATGATGGTGGCGCGCATCTCTGGTTTGTTCTCCCCACTTCGTTGACTGGCGGTCCATTGATGTTCATGGCTGGGCCAATCACTTTACCTGGAGGTGGCTCAGAGGAGCTCCAATTCCATCTGGAATCTACATTGTTGAAGCTACAGGAGCATGAGATGCCGTATCGTACGTTTACTCCCGGATCCCTGTTTTGAACCCTCGTTCCCTAATCCCCCTTCAGAATATACCATCAACGATTTCCCAAGCTATCATGCTGCGGTTGCAACCCAACCAGTGAATATCTCCGACGTTCACGTCGGGGGCCGTTTAATCTCCCGAGCATCGATTCAGTCTCAGCCAGATCACTTCATCTCGGCAGCTAAGGGTATTGTTGAGCTTGACACTGCCTTTTCTGGCTATCACATGAACGTTTCCCGACCCAGAAATGCAAAAGATCAAGGATTTTACTCTAATGCAGCCAACCCCGCTTGGCAGACAACTGCATCTTCTGTTGTGATTGGAATGTAAGCCTCCGCTATCTCTCCTTGCATATTTTCACGTGCCTACCAGCCTCCTAACACCGGAAATATCGTATAGTCCATTCAGCCACACAGACCGCCAGCTGAATATTGACGGACAAAAGCTCATGACAGATGTACTGATGCCAAAAATTGATGCACTGGTACTTCCTGGCGAGGTGGCGGGCATCTACGGCAACGAAGCCGACTTCAACACCCCAGATTGGCAAACAACCTTCTATGGTGAACACTATGACCGACTCCGGGCTATCAAGGATAAATATGACCCCGATCAGATCTTCTATGGTCGCACTGGGGTAGGAAGTGATCGATGGGTGGAACATGCTGATGGGCGGCTGTGTCGGCTTTGAGGAGGCCCACTCCCTTTGTGATTGTATGGTAACCTCCCGGATTTAATGAATACACATATAGAGAAAGTAAGGCCACTGAGTAACGTTGAAAAACATTGAACTTCTAGTTACGCGTCGGATTCTTCAGGATTGGAAGCTTCACCTTCCTACATAATAATTAGAATATTTGAACACCTAACAATGGAAGAATTAGACAGAGTAGAGGAACATATGTATAGGTTCTATTTTCCCTTATGTTTCGCGAGGGAAAATTCTAGGTATAGGTCCTCCAAATATTGAAATGTGCATCCCAAACACATCATTTCCTGGACATTTCCTGGACATTTCCTGGAAAATATTCATCATATGAGACAGGCATGCGAAATATACCCCCTTGGCGCGACTGGCCTTGAGTTTGGGCTGTGCCAATTTAAACAATATGAATATCCGTGCGAACACCAATGCCTCCCGCCCGCTCCGGATGAGTTGAGGTAGCTGGAGGTACTCCTAATGTCGAGGTACTTTCACGATGATAAGCGCCCTTCGTCTTGGATATAGAGGTTTTGTGCAAAGGTAGCGCATCCTCATCAGTGATGCTGTATAAGGTTTGACCTTCGCTAAAAAATGGACCCTGCCTCCCTGTAGCCCGTCGGCGCACAAAGCTATTCATCATGCCTGAAGATCCACCGGGGCTTCTATTGGAGTATTTCCGTTGTGTGCCAAAGATTAATGGGCCCATGGCAGGCAGCGAGGCACAAATCATTCCCACATTGACTTCAAGGATGGAGAAGAGACCAATCAAAGCCATTGATGCAGTCACGTCGCTGGTGTCTAGAGTCTCAACAAAAACGACTCGGGTGAGATTCATGGCGCAAATTCTATGTGAAAGTCTATGATTAGTAACCGCATAACAAATATCCCGGAGCTATACCCCCTGGTATAGCAAGATAGAGGCGAGCAGCAAACTCACAGGAGACCAAGGCCGAAAATACCGCTCAACATCGCCTTTCGCACCCAACTCAGTTTGAGCTTCCAGAGTTGAGGAAGAGGAAGGATGACGATTCCGAGATCTAGCAGCATGTTGATGATAGCGGTAATGAGATCCATCTTGGTACTGTCACCGCAGTGGCCACCCTGCATGGTGATGTCCCAGTTCTTTTGAATGGGCTGACAGAGGAGACCCCCAACCAGGAACATAGCCGCCATCAACATGACACTGAGCACACCAATCGTATAGGCCAGAATCTTAAAAGTCTTGCCGCGGAAAATGTCCAAGTACAAACTCAGCATGGAAAACTTGACCAGGGTGGTTGCGGTGGCCCAGATAAACTCTTCAGCTAGGACAGCCTTGATGGCGCATGTTAGGCTACCAGTTGGTCATAAAGTACGGATGATGAGCGAAGGAGAGTAAAGCGTTGCGTACCTTCAGAGAAGTCTCCACCTTTGCAGGGTATAGGGTGTAAGCGGCCATGAGAGGGACCCCAATGGCGTTTGTAATTCCCCAGAGGAATATTGATGAGTAAACGATAGCAAAGATGTATCCAGCGAAATAGAAGTAGTCCATAGGTGCTAAAGGTCGGGGACTTTTCGTCACAACCCAGATGCGAAGTCCAAGGAAAACCGTGATGATCACCATGCTGACGGTTGTCACAATGAAGGCACTGCGGCCGTGTGGGGTAGACAGGCCGCCATGAGGATACTCCATGCTGAGTTGACCTGAACCAAGTGAAGCACAATATCTGTCAAGGAAAGAAATAGTTCGCAGGAGGCCTCCGGAGGCGCTTGTGTGGCAGGGAGCCTGAAAAGATTTGCTCACTCATTTGTATTAGACTAATACGCTCCTAGTTGAAAGGTATTTGGCAAAAGTCTGGCTCTCATACTTTTTGCCCCCAACCTTAGCGTGCGTATGATGTTCTACTGCATATTTGTCCTGCAGGCGAGCGGTAATGTTTGTCACGTTTTGGGAAGAGCTGGATCTACCGATCCCTACCTGATGATCACATGTGGGGGGCGGATGTCACCTACAGACTTGGATCGGTGCAGCGTGGCATCTTTGCTCACTCAATACATGGGGTATGCCTTGTCCGGACAGGAGGCTGTGTACATTGGGGTCGAAAACATGTATCGGGGACATTTCCCTCCTGGGTATTTGATCGGCCATGCAATAATCACGCTATCCTTGCTAGCATCCCTGTACAATACATAGACTCGGGATGAATCTTTCTGCATGAGATTCTGTTACAACCCGTTACACGATACCGCTAAACTTAGTCGTATTCTTAATCCACCGGCAGGCGTCGCTTTCGACCCGAGCAAAGTGTAAATCCTTGGTCCAAATGGCCCCCATTGTTTAGCGCTTCCGAGATATGAGCGCGACGATCACTTCGGCAAATTCATCAAATTCCGGTTCCAGATGCGTAGAGTATGCGTCTGCTTTTCTAATGTACAGAATCCAATCCACTGGCCAGGCTTTGCCTAAGTTTTATCCCACAAACTCCCATCATAACAACCCAGCTTCCAACCTCGAGCTGCGCAGACATGACTGTCGAATCCGATACACAGGTGGCCATCGTCATATGTACGGGATCATACCACACTCCCGTTTTATATCAACCTTTTATGCAGGCTTTGATCTCCAACGGATTTGAGGCTCACTGTCCTCAGAGATTAACCTGCGATCTGAGTAAGCTCAACGTCGGAGACGTCCGAAATCCAGATTTCGACCGGGGTCCACCTCCAGAGGGATACCCAACCGACCTGGACGATGCCGTAGTCGTGAGACAGTTACTGCACAAGCTCATTGACCAGGAGAACAAAAATGTCCTCTTGTTTGGTCATGCTACGGGTGCGGTGGTCGCCACCCAAGCCGCAATCCCCGAGCTGCATTACCGAAACCGTCAATCTCAAAACCAGAAGGGTGGAGTTATTGGCATTTTCTATGTGGGAGGAATGGTGGTTCCTCTTGGCGAGTCGGTTCACACTTTCTTCCACCCCAAAGATGGAAGTTGGACCCCCCCGCCATTTGTGCGATTCTACGTATGCTTTCCATCACTGCCCCTATATTGCCCTCAGCTTGAATGCCTACCACTATGGATTGAAGAGAAGCTCTTCCTCACATCTAAGCTTTGTCTATACTCGCTACTGGGTGCTAACTACATGACTTTAGAAACATGGCAAAGAAGGCCTAGCAACCCCAACGGAAAACCAGAAATACCTTCTTGTTGGATTGAATGCCGAAGAGGTTCAGAAATGGTCATCAGAAATGACCGCCTCGCCAGTCAATACTGGTGTTTTGACAAACGATATTTATTCTACCTTGCCATGTGGCTATCTGGTCCTCGACCATGATACTTGCTTGCCCCCGGCATATCAAGAAAAGATGATCTCGATGCAGAGCCGGCCTGGCAACGAATTCAGGGTCTACCATGCGCCGTCGGGCCAATCGCCACAGCTGACCTGGATAGAAGGCTTAGTTGGAAAGGTGATGGAATTCACGCAGCACATTCAAAGTCTCCAGTAAGCTTGTAGACTGGTTCAGATGCAGTTCAGATAGCAATATTAAAGATTACCATGTGCTGTACTACCACCTCCACTGTCGATTTTTTGCCGAAGATAGCTGCGTTCATGCTATAATTTGTTCCAAATCTAACGTGCATAGTTGCTGCCGAATCCCTTACATGTGTTTCATCCACACCTTTTATATACCTTCCCCAAAAACAGCCTCTACATATAGTTTTTGAAGTCATGTATATGTTAAGATGCATATGGGCTATGTTCGCTAACAACACGCATCTGACTAATCTTGGACATGTCGATATATTACATTCATTCTGCTTGAAACCACCATAGTACCTATTGAGTACCTTTTTCGTTCCAGATCTCCATCGGGCAATGGCAGCTTTCAGCGCCGACATAAACGTCCATCCTCGCGCTGCACCCAGCTTTCACTTCCCACCGCGGTTGCCGCATATAAAAGACCTCTAGGATCGTATTTTTGCTTGATTTTAAGTAGGCGCTCATACTTATCACCATAGAAAGTTTGCTGCCAATGCGGCTGATTGACATCTGCCTCGTTTAAATAGGCGCCGGCTCCCGGAGTGATCGACTCGATATATGGAAGGAGGACATCAGTGGTTGTCTTCATATGTTGGGCGTCAAGGGATTGGTTTGTTTGGCTTAATGGTCTAGAGGAAAGTTAGTCTCTCTCGTAGCAAAAGATGGGGGTAACTCTTACAGTCCAAGAACGACATCTATGGCGGCCTCACGCCAGCCTGGATTGACTGAGTTTGCGATAGCCTGCCCAGGCGAGGACAGCGAAGCATTGACTGAGACCCCAGATACAGCTGCCCCATAACTGGCGATGCGGCGGAGTCGGTTGGCTACAGTCCTCGGCTCGCGGTCTAGCACGTGGCGTGGGACGAACCGACCGGCTACATTGTACTCGGTCACATTGACAACTGGACTCATCTTCTCAAAGCTGGTGTAGAAGGTAGGAAAGCTGCTTATTTGGTAGGTATAGGGTAGGTTGGTGCGTTTTAAGGCCTTCAGCATGGGGGCCAGGATCGCCTCCAACTGCTTCTTGGTGCCCCCGGGGATGGTGATTGGGGTGAGCTCGAACGCCTCGCTTGTGATATACCAGACGCTGGCGCCACGGGCATCTAGCAGTGGACCGAGAGTGCTGTTCATGAAGATATCGAAGACATCATTGAAAGCGGCCCTGGTGGTGCTGTTGGTGGTTATGATGAGTTCGGCGGTGGCGGTTTGCATTTCTGGATGAGCAAGGCTGATCATCGAGACAACAACACCGTAAGTGCCTCCACCACCCCCAGCTAACGCCCAATACAGATCGGAGTATTCATTGTCTGGAGTCGCTGTTACCAACACCCCCGTGGGCGTGACGACTTCCCAAGATAAAACCTGGTCAGCCGCCAACCCAAACCGTGAGACCAGCTGGCCATGTCCGCCGCCTTGACTGTAGCCCCCAGCCAGGCCAATGGTGCGACAGTTGCCCCCGACGACAGTGAAATTCCGCTTGCTGGCCGCCGCGTTGGACTCCCCAACCTGGACCCCAGCCCCAACCTTAATTGCCGATCCGTTGTAATAAGACGACTGATAGTCAAGGAACTCAATGTCCTTTAGGTGATGTGTCCAAAGTGCTATCGCCCCTGCTCCAGTTGATTTTCCTAGGTAGTCATGTCCCGTGTTGCGTACAACGAGGCGGATACGATTTGCTGTGGCGAAGGCAATTGTCTTCTGGATATCTGTGGATGACTCCACTCGAACAGCATACTGCACATAGGTTCCGATGATGCAGCGCGATGAAGGGCCCAGAAAGGGATTACAGCTTTGGTTGGTATAGAATCCCGCCATGATGGAAGAGGAACTCTCATAGTGAGTACTGGTAAGGTCCCACTTTGCACGCAGGTCCTCACAGGCTGAAGCGTTGTAAGCGCCGAAGGGTCCATCACTATGACAAACACTGCCGATTGGATCGGTGGCAATAAGCCGTCCTTTCAACGTGCGGTTGAAGGCTGCCCACTGCGAGATGCTGGGCCAGCATGGCTCACCTGGGAAGCAGTAGCAGTCTTCCTTGGCCTGGATGGATAGTGCATGAGAAAATTGCACAAAACCGATGATCAACAGAAATGACAAGCCGTATAGGACATTCGAGGGTCCCATAGAGATGACCATGATTGTCTGGTCCTTTCAATAGAAATACAAAGGTAAGAAAAAAAGAAACATCTGTTCCAAAGTAGTCCCGCAGTGTCTCTGATATAAATATATTTTCATTTCGAGTCCATAGAGGTAGTAGGCTGTGTTGTTGGTTCTTTTCCCCACCAAAATCTAGTGTAATACCAAGTGGGGGCAGTACACGTTTCGATACAGGCGATCGCAGTGAAATTACAATTAGGATAAATTTTCAGCCGCATGTAACTCGGTTAGCTTCTCTGGCCTATATCGCCTATATCGTCCCACATCCGCAGGCCGTGTATAACACGTACACGAACGTGCGCGTTACGGACCCACTAAGATGAGAAGCTAAAAACAGTACCAGCTAAGCTGACAAGGGGGTACAACTTGGAACCTGATACGTTACAATACGTGTGGATTGTTCATACCCGTCATATCGCTGTTTTCTCCTGTTAGTCGCTTTCTAAGTGTATCTTCATCAGGAATAGCGCGTGACGAGTTATGCCGATTCTTGCAGCACTAATATCGCACACGTCGCATGGAGCTTCTCTAATTTGCAAAGTTGTACGTCACTATTTTGATGCTTAGCTAATACAAGCCAATCCTATTTCTGAGAGCCGCTTTGGTAGACACGCATCTGGTTTTTGTCCAAAGGCAAACTGTGTGTCAATTTACCAGTCCTGGAATTTCCACCGAACCAATCAGCAATCTCAAGCCTGATCGCCCTTCTATCCAATTACTCAATGACAGTCACCTCAGTATCCAAGCTCACCAAGGGGATACCAGATGAACTCATGGTGGCAGCATCTTGTGAACGTAGTCATGTAATTCGGTTTCATTAAGGCCATAATACAGACGGTCCCAGTATGCACAGTTCCAAGCTTGAGTTATCTGTCCCTAGTAGTCATATGGCGGGACTTGGAAGGATCAGGGAGCAGCCTGAGCAACCCCGAATCTCTTAGAGAGAACAATAAATTGACAAGTGGCAAACGCAGATCGGAAAGACGTCATGTCCTTATCTTCGAATGCTTTGCGAATATTCTCTTGTGCTCCCTCCCAGTCCACGAATCCCAAAGCGTCCACATTCTCCCGAGTAGTCAGGCGAAGAAATAGTTGATGCAGGGGGCCATTTTCCGGGAACCTTGTCGGTCCAAGGTACGGCTTCTTCGTTCGCGTGTAGATCTCATCTGTGACGAACGGGCGTACTGCTTCTCGTAAGACGTACTTCTCCGTTACAGTTCCATCTTCCAGTGAGCATTTAATCTTCAGGCTAGGTGGAAGACTATTTGCGTATTCGGTAAGATGGTGATCTAGAAATGGAGGTCGAGTCTCAACGTGGTGGACCATGTCGATATTGTCACCCAGATACCGAAGTAACAAGTTGGAGAAAAAGCCTTTCGTAAAGACATACTCTGCAGTATGCAGGGGATGCCAACGTCTCATTATTGCCTCACGAATCTGTCCGTCCAGACTTTCGACCTGCGCGGTTTCGGGGATAGTTGTGGCATACATGTTCGTCCATTCGGCGAAAGGTAGACTACCGATTGACGATAGAACTGTCAGAATTGAGGAGTGGTTGAGCATTCTCTGAGTGGATGCAGGGGCTCTCTTGATATTCGGAAAGCTGGCCCCTGACATACTTGTAATATTCAGCTTTTCAGCTAGTTCTGCAAGCTCAGTCTCAGATAGCGAGTCGGGCCATGAGGGGTCGGTTTCAAGCATGAAATCGTGCCTCAATTCCGCATATCCCCCAAAATGCTCATCGGAACCCTCACCTATTTGCATACAATATAAGAACCAGGAGAATAGGCGTGGAGTAATGATCACGAACCTGTTAGAATGACTTTCATTCCGTGAGACTTAGCGACTTCGGCCATGGCAAGTCTCCCAATGCCATTGGTGTCCGGCAGGGGGGCTTCACTGTGCCAAATCGTATCCTCAAACTTTGAGACAATGATATCTTCTGTTATTGATACCGGATGAAAGTCAACACCAAGCCATTCGGCCGTGCGCTGTGCAATATCTGCCGGGTATTAGTCCCGCAATCCAGAGAGAAACAGTAGGCGAAGACAATCATACCGGATTCATCTGCCCCGCTATTTTTGTCAAACTGCACTGTGAAGCATTTGATCCGTGACAGAAGATGGCTATCATCGCTTCCCAGTCGAGCACCCTCCTCTTTGACCAGATGAGCGACCATGCCAGCCACTGCGGAGGAATCAATTCCGCCACTGAGATAGATTCCCAATGGCACATCGGCGCGAAGACGAATTTTAATGGCTTCCATCAGGTGGTTTCGAACATTATCGATCATCTCCGCTTCTGATCGAGTTTCAGGGGTTCTCTGAAATATTTACTTAGAGGCCATGGATCTATACCATAGAAGATAGAACCTTTACTTACTTTGTCTGGATACTGAGCATCCCAGTAAACGGCATCCTGAATAGGTTTGAAGCCCCTGCTTATCACGTAATGCCCAGGAGAGATCTGCGTTATATTAGAAGGGGTGATTTATCTCATGAAGGGCCACAAACCGAATGGACCCCTTTGAACATCGTCCCAGCACCAAACGTCCAGCCACATTCCCTGAGGCTTTGAACATCCCACTCGGGTTTCCACCCAAATGGAAGGAAGCACTTCATTTCAGTCGCCACGAGAAGGCGACCATTGACGACGGTGTAATAAAGTGACTTGACTCCAAACCGGTCTCGCGCAGCAACAAACACCTTTCTACGGGCATCCCACAAGATGACGGCGAATTCACCTCGCAGGTGCGACAGGAAGGATAGACCATAGTGTCGATAAAGAGCCAGCACAACCTCGCAGTCACTTAAACTTTGAAAATCGTACTCGTCACCCAGAAGCTTTCGATAATATTCATCGTCGTACAATTCACCATTCACGACAGCGTGTACATCATCTACACTGTCGTGAAAGGGCTGGTTACCTCGTGGGCTCAGGTCCACGATGGAGAGTCGGACATGTCCAAGATCTGAAGAGGGTCAATATCTCAATTGTTCTGCGAAGAAACAAAATACTTACGAACCTTGCCATCCTCGCTCGCCCACTGACCGCGCGCATCGGGTCCACGGTGCTGAATGGTATCTAGACTCTTGCTGAGCTGATCATCTAAAGATGACAGGTGTTCCTCTGTCGACGGTATGGGGTAGCCTTGGAGTGAAAACACGGCACTGATTCCACACATGGTTGTTGTTTTCTTGGACAGTGTAAAATGAGATATTCCAACAGTATAGATCGTAGCTGGACTGGTTCATGTTACACCTTGACTTCTGCCACTTAAAATTATGAGCCGTCGCGGCTTAGGCGATCCTAATTTCTCTTCGGTGCCTACATGGGGGCGTAAGGAAGCGGGGATTGGAATGTCCAATGATGTTCGTTAAGGCGTTCGGCTGGAGGGGCCCGAGCGCTGACTACGATCACACCAGCCCAGTCGGTGCGGTTCCCCATCAGATCCCCCGCATCCAGGCGTCCAAAATGCTACCCTAGAGAAGGATTGCCGTATTATTGGACATGCTCAAAATGGGCCCACGTGTGAATACCCGAGAAACAGATCTGAATTCTGAGGTTTTGTCTCGGGTGAATATCTCAAAAACTGTTTTTATTTTCTCAAAATGGAGGTCGGATGAGCTGGTGATTCATCAATTTGCACGGTCGGAGAAAAGAGAAAGGAAGAGGTTCTATAAACAGGCTCAAATTGTCCAAAATTAAACCAGTCAGGATTAGAACACGAATGGAGATGCCTTGATTCCATGAAAAATGATACGCGCAAAAGAACCGCAGAAATACAATGATTTGCCTATTCTGCACGCTGAGGTACCTATACATACCTTTTGCTGGTTACCACGGGTAATTCACCAAAATAGGTCGATACCGGAGATATTCATTGCACGACGACGTAACCTAGAAGCAAATTCTTTTATTCAAAGATTTAGACATTATAGACAGCTAACCATAGCAAGAGAAATAAATAATATAAGCCATTACTGGGCGAATCTGAGAGACAACCATCCAACTACTAGTTGAAGAATTTCAATCAGGAGCACTTGGCCGTCTTTGTCGCAGTCACAGTATGAGTCGACGTCGTGCTTACAACCTTGGTAGAGGTAGAAGTAGCACGCTCCGTGATGGTGACGGAAGGACTGTTCGTCACCGTGGATGTTTTGATCACAGTGCTTGTAGTTGCGGGAAGAGTGGTAGTGCTCTTAATAGTTGTCGTCTTAGTAGTGGTCTTGGTGGAGGCAGGCAGCGAAAGCGTGCTCTTCACTACTGTCGTCTTAACACTGGTAGTTGTCGCAGTTTCACCAGGTGCAGTCACTGTAGAGGTCTTCTCGACTGCGCTGGTGACAGTGCTAGTGACCGTGGACGCTTTCAGAGTGGTAGTCTTACCCACTGAAGTTGTCTCGATAGTGGTGATGGTCGATGTCACGGCTGGGATCGTGGTACTCGAGACCTTCGTAGCCAGGGATGTCACAGTCTCTGTAACAGTGGAAGCCTTCACTGAGGTCGTCTTTGTGGTGACCGAGGTAATATAATCGGTTACAACTGGCAAAGTTGTGGTTGCAGTCTTGGTGACGATATCGACATCGGTGACATAGACAGTCACTACGTCAGTCACATCCCGAGGGAAAAGACCACGCTTCATCTTCTTTGTGGCAGCATCGCAGCTTATCGTTGTTGTTACGGTCTTGGTAGTTGCCTTGGTGGAAGTGGAAGTAACAGTTGAAGTTGTTGCCTTCGTACTGATGGTCGTTGTGCCTCCAGTCCCGATCGTCACGTAAATGGTGGAAGTTGTTTTTCCAGCCTTGGCGCTTGTGGTTTTGACACTTGTGATCGTCGCAGTATCTGTGATGGTCTTAGTGGAGACTTCGGCAGTGATTGTCGATGTTGTGGTCAATGTGCTCTTCACCGTCGTGGTAGTGGCCTTTCCAGTGACAGTCACGGTGTCTGTAGTTGTGGACTTATCAGTCGTGGTAATTGTCTTTGGATTGGGTGTAACTGTTGAGCCCACATCAACTGTCACAATCGAGGTCTTCGTGGATGTTTTTGTCGGCTCAGTCACAGTCACAGTGGTTGTGATAGTTGACTTTGCGGTGGTGGTCTTTGACACAACATCAGGGGTAATTGTCAGAGTGATAGTGGACTTCAAAGTCGAAGTCTTGTCAGTGGGTGTAACTGTGGACAGAACATCAGAAGTAGTTGTGGCCACGACGTCGATCGTGCTGGTAACAGTCTCTGTGGAAAAAGAGAAAGATACAGTGGAGGTGGTCGTGGGGGTGACTACAGCTGACGTGGTGGTCGATGCAGTACCCGCGATGAACGGTACCCCGTCAACGTGCGTCAGATCAATCCAAGAAGTAGTGGCAAAAAAGTTATCCAGTTCAAACTGAACGACCCCGGTATCATTGAGCTGTGTGGCAAAGGATGCACGACCCGAGGTGCTTGAACCCGGGCCAATGTTGCCATATTCTGCAAAGGTGACACCATCAGTTTGTGGGCTGGAAGACGACCATTCATTCCAGCCAGCAGACTCAACACAGGAGTCAAGGTAAGAGTCGATGTAAGCAACTCGAGCGTAGGAATTCCAAGGCCGACCGAGAGAGATCTTCGACATCGACCCTGCACCAGTGGACGGTACGATGGTACATTGATCGAAGACAAAACCTCCAGCAGTTGCAGAGGTAGCACGCTTATCAGCAGTGAGGTTAATACCGTCCTCATTGGGCGAAATCGTCGTGTTGAGGAAGTAACCAGCTCCACTTCCCCAAATCATGTCGATATTTCCCTCCACGTATCCGTTCGACATCCACAAGTAGCCATTGATCAACAGCGCATCTTGGTTACCTGTTACTTGGCAACCTATTTCATCTGTCAGAATTGTTTCACAAAATGACAGAGATATGAATCATGTGACTTACCATAGAGACTAGCATACTTGCTTGACTTCACGGCGAAGCCCAGAGATGCGATATCTTTTTGGGTGCCATTGTTGTTCACGAAGTTGATGTTTATCGCCTGCCAAATATGTTAGCCATGACTGTCTCAGCAACAAAAGCAAAGGCAAAAGGCAAAAGACATCAAAGTAAAAATACAACCAAGTGGAACGTACCTCGAAGTAGTTGCCGGTAGCATAAACAGTTGCACTGTCCGAGTTAGACTCATCTGCGCCAGTGTCGACACCCCTGTTGTACTGAATGGTGACTTGGTTGCTGGAATAGTCGTAAGTAGATTCCGAATAACCAACCAAAATAACAGTCCCAGACTTGCTGATGACAAGCTGTTCCTCATAGGTTCCAGGGTAAATGAAAATGGTAGGGGTGATCTTTGAAGAAGTGGGAATCGCATCAAGGGCGCTCTGGATGGTATCGTACGTCGTGGTATTACTTCCTAGGCTGCTCTTCGAGACAATGTAGGCTCCATTGGGTGGCGTTGTTCCATCGTATGCCGCAGTAGCAGTAGCAGTAGCCGAAGATGTAGCCGTGGCAGTCGCGGACGTGCCCGAGACCGAGGTGGGGGTATCGATTGAGTCCCAGTAAGTCATGTCAATCCAGTCTGTGGAATCCATGGCACTTTCGAGAGAGTAGGTGTCCTCTGTGAGAAGAGTAGCATAGCCGAAAGCCTCACGAGCAGCCTCGTTATTTTCCCAATTGCCAGGACCCGAGTTGTTAAACTCAGCGAAGGTGACAGCACCTGTACGAGGATCGGTAGTCGACCAAACCTTCCATCCAGAAGGGTTGATAACATCGGTCATATAAGAGTTTTTGATCACGACAAGTGCGTACTCGGAGTAGGGGCGGCCAAGGTACACAGTCTCTGTGAGATCAACAGTAGCATCGGCTGCGGCAGTGAACAAAGTCTGGTCAAAGATGTATCCTCCGATCGCACTGGATGAGGCTCTGCTTTGTGCTGTGATTGCCGACTTTGCCCGTTTGGCTCCGATTGTGCAGCCCTTGAAGTAGGCCTTCGAGTAACCCCAAATGAAGTCAATTGCACCTTCAATATATGAAGACTCGTAATACTGGTAGCCGGTGGTGCTTCCAGTGAGGAGGGTATCCTGCCAACCTTGGAAGTAGACGGCTGTTGGGTGAAATAATTATTAGCAACGCTCGAAAGAAGAGAATTAATTAGAAACATACCATAAAATGCGATGTGGTTTCCATAGATTGAGGCTGCCAGTGTCACGTATGATGATTCTAAGCCATCAAGATTGTCCGAATTGATGATGTTGACATTGTAGAATGCGATCTTGGTCGAGGCAGTAGCGATAGTTGCAGTCTCAGCATCAGAGTGGCCGGTTGGCAAAGGGGAGACAGAAAGGCCACGAGAGAAGGTGATGGTAACCTCGTTATCAGCATAGCTTTGACCAGGGTTTCCAGTGGTGTAACCAATGATCATGACAGGACCGTCTCTTTCAATAGAGGGAACTTGCTCATCATAAGTTCCAGCATACATGAAGATCACCTGAGTCGTGGTATCGTCAGGAAGCGACGCCAGCGCATCAGTCAAGTTGCTGTAGGAACCATCAATAACTCCAGCGACACTGACCAAGACAGCACCAGTGGGAGGGGTAGTACCACTCGTGGGGTGAGTCCAGGTGGCTGCCGCTGTAGATGTAGAAGTTGAGGTCGAGGTGGTACTAGATGCGGTAGACGTAGCCGTTGAACTGGCCCCTCCAGTCAGATCGTAGGAGGGAGTGTAGCTGTAGGCGTCCATATCGAGCCAAGTAGTGTCGCCGATCCAGTTAGACAATGTGTAAGCCTCAGCCTCAGTCTCAGTCAAATTAGTGGCAAACGATGCACGGCTACTGGACCAACTGCTCGGACCAGTGTTGTTAAACTCTCCAAAAGTGACATAGTCGGTTTGAGGGGCGCTCGTTGACCAAATGTGCCAGCCAGCGGGGTTGATATGCTTGTCCAAGTATGAGTTCATGTAGATAACGCGGCTGTACTCCGAATAAGGTCTTCCGAGCCAGGTGTCCTGGTAGGTACTACCGTAGGTAGAGGTGTAGGTTACAACACACTTGTCAAACACGTAACCACCCGTCGCAGTCGATGAAGAACGACTCATAGCGGCTATACTTGCGCCCGCAGTGTTAGCTGCAATGACAGACTGGTAGAAGTATGCGGTTGAGAATCCCCAGATATAATCGACGGAGCCTTCAACGTAACAGTTGGAGAATACTTGGGTGCCTTTGTTGGCGAGAAGAGTATCTTGGTATCCAATAAAAGAGCACCCATATGCCTGGACAGTGCCGTAGAAATCAGCAGCGAGAGCAGCGGTGTTGGAGGTCTGAGGATAGGTGTTCTTAAAATCGATGTTGTAGATAGCCAATCCCTTGCCATCACTGTTCTTGGCGTTGATAATCGGAGTAGACTCATCTTTACCAGCGCTAGTCAGCTCCCCATTCGAGTACTCGATGGTGACGGTGTTCTGAGTATAGTCGTTCTCAAATACGGTTTCACCGCGAAGAATGGTCTTTCCAGTGCGAGTGATAGAAATCTGCTCGGTGTATGTACCGCTCTTAACGTAAATAGTGTATTCGTTCCCGTCACTAGGAAGGGCCGCAATAGCGGCTGTGACGTTTTTATAAGGGCCCGAGGTCGGATCGACCACATATGTAGATGTGGCGTCAGTGGAGGTGGTGGTAGCGGAAGAAGCTGCTGTTGTCGTAGAAGCCGAGGTTGCTGCGGAGGTGACGGCGGAGGTAGCAGCTGAAGCAATCGAAGTTGTCGCGATCACGTCTGCACCTTCGATGGCGGCCAAGACGGAAGAGTCAACCCAGGTGGTATCTGAGGAGGCGTAGGTAGGGTAGGCGGCAGCAAAGATAGCAGCGACGCTGTATTCTGACAAATCGGCTGCATTCAAGAGAGAGCAATACTTTGATCGAGTGGCAGCGTTGTTTGAATAGGCCCCTGCGCCAGTGTTGGAGTACTCAGCGACAAGATTTTCACCATCTTGGGTTGTGGAGTCAACATGGGCACCAGAGGCAGCAATGAAGCTGCCCAATACGGAGTTTCGGTAAACGACAACAATTCCAGCGCCATTTGCACTAGCTAAAAAGACATTGCTGTTGGATGCTCCCGACTTCTGGGCCACTGTAACGTGGTCGAAGACAACCGTTGAGTTATAGAGGATCGATGAAGTGGAAGTGGTACCCTTCATGTAGGTCACAAGTGCAGAACTATCGACAGGCACAATCTCAGTGTTGTAAACATAGATACTTGCGCCTCCATAAATAATCTTGTCAAGGGCTTCGATGTAGGAGTTTGCAATAACACCGAGACCGACACTGGCAGTGATTCCCAACGTTCCGGTCGAAACGATTTGGCATTCATAGAAAGCATATTTGTTTCCTTTCAGAACCATCGCGCCATAGGCTGTAGCGGTGTTCAGAAAATTGACATTCTTGAAGGCCACTTGTTGGACGTTGTTATTCACAGTCAAGACAGTGCCGGCGTTAGTGATGGTGACCTCGTTCTGGGAATAATCATCCGCATCGCTACTTTGGCCGATCACAGTGACTGTCGGGGTTGCTGAGATAGTAATTGCCTGAGTGTAGGTACCAGCAGAGACGGTGACTGTTGGAATTCCATGGCTCTGGGCGTACAAAATTGCGTCGCCAATCGCCGTAAATTGGGCACTGCCATCCGTTGCGACAGAAACAACGGTTGTGGAAGCTGACTTGAATTAGTATTGTGGAGCTTTCATGTCGATGTAAGCTTTCAATTTGGACTCACTAGAAGAAGTCGTGGTAGAAGTAGAACTAGACGTGGACGTGGACGCAGCCGTGGTCGCCGGAATGGTGGTGCCGGGTGTCGCGGAAGCAGCAGCTAGACCGACAATTCCCAGGAGAGAAAGGAGACGCATCTTGACAAGCCTAGAAAGGCAAGCAGAAATAATAGGCGTCACACCAGGGGAAATAATCCTACCAATTTAGCGCCAGCTGTGAAGGCTTCGGGATGGTCTATCAAAAAATCAAAGGACTATCGATTACATTTTGGAATGTGGATAATATATAGCCATTTGCTTTACTGGAGACTTAAAGAGAGACGAACCAAAATAATATACTAGTGTGGCGTTGCAAGAAATCTGTGCTACTTCCACCACTTGCAATCTACATGTCTTAGGCATAAATAACCGAGGTGTTCGTACCAACGTCAGGAATGACAAGCTTAATCTGGGTTGTACCACATATCAATGGTTCCTAGGCAGTTCCAGGCCCACAGCATCGGGATTTATGAACTGAAATGGCTTTTTCAGAGATACCCGACTGTGATCATCGTGGCAACGGTCTTGTCCGACCCGGTCAAAATGTCGGACTGGTGTTATCGGGTAGCCGGATTCCGTAGATGAAGCCCCCCCACTGGACCAATTCTGGATTGCTCCGAGCCTCAATAGTTCAGCACAGTGGCCTCTAGTCAGAATAATGTGCACCACATGGTACCTGTTCTAGACCCAATTCACACGTGGCTTGATCACTGAAAAGGAACCGTGCCAATCAATGACCCTTGTTGTGTAAACATATAACGGGAAACTATGTCCAAAGCTTAAATAACGCTAAATTTTAGCGAAAAGTGTCATTTTTCTGACAGGAGCACCGGAGAAATTGCGAGACACGTCATAAATTGTAGTCCAGTGGTTTGCCCCCTGAGCGTAGAAATTCTAAAGACCTTGAATTTTTATTCCTGACACCAGTAGCCAAAAACACGACCAAAAACACGGTCAATAATCTCGGACTCGACCACGAGGCTAAGTCCCGGTCGGAAATGTGTCCGCAAGCGCATTAGACCCAACCACAAATAGTCGAATTTGTGGCGCAGTCAACACAATCTAGGAGATAAGATGCAAAGCGCTACGGAAAATTTGTCCCGTCTTGCAATTGTCTGGCACTTTTGGCGCTTGGCCAAGCCCATCCTGTGGATTGGATTTTCCACCAAGAGAATTCCACGGAACTTACCGGCGGGCGATATAGATCGATCGAGCCTGTGTACGAGGGAAAAGACTGGCAGAGACAAAATACCCGATCGTCCGCCGCAGCTCCGTAGCTAAGGCGCACCGTGGCCATGAAATGCATCACGTGTCAATGTGGTATGCGATACCCACCATTGTGTTAATTTACATGCTTTGAACCAATCCCAAAGAGAATACAGCAGAATGAAACCAAATTACCATAGTTCATCACTTGACGCGAAACGCACATAGCCAGGGACTGCATCTTCCAAAGTGTTTTGACCCGAAAGAAACAAGGTTAAGAAGTGACCCTAAGTAATTTGGGTCGGCATTATTTGCCATGCCCTAAATGAACCACAAGGTGGGGATTGAAACCCGACAGCACTTGGAAAAACCAAAGCAATTTTCTTCGGGGTTTAAGGGTTCCAACAGACCACGAAGGAAAAATTGGGTCCACATGGTAAATTCTTCCCCAAGAAAAATCCGGGACCCGTGATAATTCATCGGCCGTGGATCCGTAAATCAGAATACTCCGAGATAACTGCGAGACAACGACCGTTCCCATCTTTTCCATTGCTTTTCTTCGGGAACTGCCCGAGAAGGAGAGACTTTCGCATATAAACTCATATTTGCAGTAGTTTGCCGTCATCGAAGTAGCGAGCCACGAACCCTAGACCGTTAGGCTTGTCATCTCTGTACTTTCAAGGTGCTACGGTTGTGGTTGCGGTCGCGGTTTCTTCGGGATTGTCAGAACTTCAATATATTTTTCAACTTTGGTATGTATCAGGGGGGCAGAGGTACTTTTGTACGAGCCCATGCGGAGTAAATGCTCATATTTGTCCAAGTGGAGATCAAGGGCATTTGGACTGTACGAATTTGACGTTCCGATAATGCCTTCTTCAGTGGCGTTTTTGGGGCCTCCAATAATCCTGATACTGTTTTAAGGTCATTCTTTGGTCAAGCACTGGTTCAAGGTATTCTTGGGCAAAATTTGCTGATAAAACCAGTCAGTCCTAGTATTCCGTCTGGGCCAGGCTTACCTCTCCAGGGCTCGCAAAATATGTATGCTTGGGTTGAAGTCGTACTTACCAAGTCAAATGTTGGAAGCTATGAATTAACCCCAGAATTGTATGAAGCCCAAGACTAGGTAGGCAGGAATTTACAAAGGAGAATGGTCAATAAGACATGGGATCGGCAAAGCTGAGGTCAGGGGCACATTATTCATACTTTCTCGTTTGGATGTCTTGGTCCTGGCACATAGCGTGTCTTGTAGAGCGGGTTACTTGTCTAGAAAAGAACAATTGAGACTGTGCCGTAAGTGAAAAGCAATATGTGGCATCTCGAGAAACCCCTGGCCGCTAGATGAATACAGATGCATTAACCATTAATAAGAACGTCAATCGTATGTGATCGAAGAAACCATGTAAATTTGTTATTAGTCTTATCCCTCTAATATCGGTATCTGAAACCTGGCGTCTTCCAGTCCGTGATATCCTCATAATCGTCAGAGACCAGCTGCACCTGATTCACCATGTCGCCCACATTTTGCGAATGATTGTCTCCGTCTAGCAACTTCCCACCACCAACAGCACCCGCATTTCCAGCGCTTCCTTGGAACCCTTCTAAGCGCACACGTTTTGCGTTCATCCATTGCAGGTAGAACCGCAAACATAATGCGAGTACGATGGTGAGAGCGTAACAAATCATGATAGTGCGGAATGCGGTTCCATATGTGGGTGCCTCGCTAGTAAGGAAGAATTGGGGGCCCGAAATATTTCCAGCGCAATATGCCATGAAAAGTAGAGCCGTCACTGTCATCTTTTTGGTAACACCGCGGTAGTTGGCCTGCACAAGCGACATGGCAAGAGGCATTGCTGCAGACCCAGTAGAAAGCAAGAAATATCCGAAGAGTTGAACGCCTAGAACAACATGAGCACGGGAGTAAATGATTGCACTGCCGATAACGCAGGGAATAACGACGGCGATTATTAAGAGGCAGTTGAGTTGGCGGAACCGACCCGCAAGCCAGCCTGTGCCCATGATGGTAGCAACTGTAATTAGCGAGTATGGAATGTTTATCAGAGTAGACTGAAGGCTCGTGAAGCCGAAGGATACGATGACAAGATTCGAAAAATTCTGGGTGCCTCCATTGGGAATCTGAGTCAAGAGTTCCAGACCGAAGATAAGCCACGTTTTTGGGTCCACAAGGCACTCGACAACCTGGTCCCACTTCCAGACTGTCTCTTCTGTAGTTCCTGTTCCAGCGACCAGCACCCTATTGGTCGCAAGTTTACGTTCTTCTTCAGAAAGAAATTTGGCCTTTGAAATAGAGTCTGGGAGTAGGAACCACACCACGAAGCCCCATAGGAATGTCAACAGACCAAGCACAATAAACATCCATCTCCATGGACCAACGCTATCGTTGATATGTCCTAGTCCGTAAGCGAGAAGACTCGAGACTATGCCGCCCATGCTCTAAACGAAGAGTCAGTATACCTGGATCAACAATAGCTGTCAAAGATACACACATTTCCAGCAAACCATATCCCTGTTCTGGTAGGAATCTCATCACGAGTGTACCATGTGGATGTAATAAACATGAAAGCGGGCGTAGTCGTCGCCTCCGCAATGCCCAGCAAAAATCGAACAGTGATGAGACCCCCAAAGTTGCTGCATGCCGCTGTGAGAGCCACCACTGCTCCCCAAAGAAGAGTGTTGACTGTCAAGTATTTACCAGTTGGCAGGCGGGCAATCAAAAAAGTCGTTGGATAGGACCAGCCCAAATAACCAAAGTAGAAAACGGACGAAACCCAGCTATATTGCTGGCCAACCAATCCCTGTAAAGATCAGCATGACTGATCGCGATTCATCTGTAGAGGACCTACTGTGTCATCTTTAAGCCCAAACACGGACGCGCTGGACAAGATTGTTTTGTCCATAAAGTTCAACATATAAGTAATAAACATGAGCGGAACTAATCGTCTGTCGATCTTTCGCAGAACGCGTTTTGCGATGCTGTTGTCCATCGCCTGTTCCACGGCGGGACTTGTGCTCGATTCCGCCATGTCTGCCGTTGAGAATTGGCTATCCAATGCAAACTTTGTATGTATTTTGCGTGGATGAATTCAAAACAGAGTCATCCCTTGCTTCTTATTCACGTGTGGACCTTCCTATTGTTATCTTCCCTCGCACTCCCATTGGCTCCAGCCCCGCACCACTGAAGTGTTATCGGTATATATGGAAATTTCCCATGCCGATCTTGAGATGAAGTCCGCTGTGAGGGTCTACTATTCTTCAATAGCTTCTGAAGCCCAATCAATATGTCCATATAAGCTAACTCCAGGATAGAAATTATCTCCCGTGTCGGAAATCTCCGACAACACGCCTTCCCCTCCAAGCCACTCAAATTTGTTTATCTTTTCTGGAGCTGACAGTTGAACCTCACCAACTAATCTGTTTAATTGCTTATTCAACACCCAAATCACCCGTTGTTATACCAATTATACCAATGCTGATTCTATGATTTTGAAGAATACGCTCTTTCACCATGAATGGTCTCTCCATCAGCCCTTTTATAGCGAGCCTCCCCAAGGTTGAGCTTCACATTCACATCGAAGGCACTCTCACACCATCACTGCGTTGGGAATTAGCACACCGTAACGGAATTGCTCTTCAGTATACTACGTTGGAAGATCTCAAGGCGTCATACGCCGTTACATTGAATCATCGCCCCGAGATCAACGGACGTCAACCCGGGATCCCAACGTTTCTTGAAGCCTATTTTGCTGGATGCGAAGTGTTGCGCACCGAAGAAGACTTCTATGACCTTGCCATGGCATATCTCTCTCGTTGCGCTACGATGAATGTGCTCTATGCCGAGCCCTTCTTTGATATCCAGGCGCATACTCGTCGCGGGGTTCCAGCCGCTGCGGTCCTAGATGGATATCTCCGGGCCCAACATGATGCCGCGGCAAACCTTGGTGTGCATTCACGGTGGATAATGTGTTTTTTGCGCGACGAGCCCGTGGAGGAGGGGTTGAAGGCCTATGCCGAAGCGAGGCCCTGGGCAGCGGGAACAGTCGAGGGTGGCAAGGGTTTGTTCCACGCCGTTGGATTAGCCAGCAATGCATTTGAGAGGCCGCCAAGTCTTTTTGAGGAAGGTTTCCGCCTCGCTCGTGCGGATGGCTTGCATGTTACCATGCATTGTGACTTTGGACAAAAAGATACGCATTCTCACATGACCGAGGCGATATTCCAGGTATGCGATGGCCGGGGGGCAGAGCGGATCGACCATGGGCTTGATGCTGAAGATAAGGAGGAGCTGTGGAGAGGTCTTTTAGATAGAAACATTGGTCTAACTCTGTGCCCACATGCATACCATCGCAGGACGGCAACCGAGATTTTGTTTCCTAAGATTCGAAGGTTGTGGGAGAAAGGAGTGAAGTTTTGCATAAATAGTGACGATCCTACACTCATGCACGACGTATGGATTGATGGCAATCTGCAAAAGGTGTATACATATGGCGGATTCAGTCAGAGTGAAATGGTCCAATTGACAAGGAACGCCGTGGACATGTGTTGGGCCGAGGACCATCTCAAGAAGACCATATATGAAAAGCTAGATAGCATACACAGTACTCTGTGTCTGGCCTCGTCTCAGTGAAAGATTATACAATTCTATTTAATATGTGATGACGTAACTTTCTGACACCTATAAAAAGGGCGTATTGTCCTTCTTTCTTCCCTGCCTTTCTAATCACACGTTGCCAACGCTTCGATAGAAAGGCCAAGCGAGACAGGAAAATTAGCTCTGGTTGCCTGCCAATAAAGTGTCTGCCTGCATTCGCCACCTGCCTTGATCAACATATATATGGCGGGCTATTATTGAGAATTTATACAAATAGACACAACTAGGAACGGCAAATGTAGGTCCCCATCAAACTGATTATTCTATCTACCACCCTGGACTCATTATACCAGACCTTGCGAAGCAATAATTCCTATTTATGGCGAGCATATTTCAAAATGTCTTTGGAGGAACTCCATCTCCGCCACCAACTCAGATCAATATCAAAGTGTCGACCTCATCAACCACGCTCCATAAACACGACTCTACAGAGCCATTTACACTCACTCTCGAGGAGACTCTTCCTGAACGTGGAAATGTGCCTAACAAGCCTCTCACCATCCTGACCTTCGACACCCTCCTCGACCCTAACGGTAATGCCCTCTACGGAACTGGCATCGACATCATCGACAGTGACACCGGAACCCGCGTAGAGCGGATAACCCTAAGGAATCATTATACTTTTGGCGACCAGTCTGGCATCCCGATCGATCCCCAGTACGAGAGATATTTCGTCACTCTAGAGCCTGGGGTGCCTTACCGAGTGACGCATACCATGAGGCCCTGTCCTAGACCTCCGTCCGAGGGTGGAGTGAATTCTGGGTTAGGCAGCAATCTCCAGCAGAAGACGATACAACGGCTGACGGTGAATCAACTCTTAAAGCTGAATGGAGCGCTAAGGACGAATATGTTGTTGCCGCGGCATTTTCCCACGTTACGTCTCTTAATGTGGGGTCGACATATCGGGTAGAGTTAGGGAGTAAAATGAGCCAAATCTCATGGTATCGAACTGGATCAAAGGAGGAGGTGTTGAGGCGCCAAAGTGCTGGAGGGCGCCTTCTGCAGACCCTGATCGGGCCAAAAAGGCACCATGAGCGGGTTGGGGATAGTGAAATGCAGGCGATCCCGCTTGTGATGCAGGAATCAGCTAGATTCACGGTCGAAGTTTAAAAAATATACAGACAAACATTGCTACTTTTGGCTTATGGCGTTTTAGGCATTCATCAATTACTGGTCGAAATACGTCTCAAGTATAATCTATCACTGGAACATGGAGTTGACTCTGGGCAAGCTTGGCAGAGGCATTCGAGCTAATATTTATATATGTATGCAGCTGTTCGTACAGTAACAGAACAGGCGATGACGCGACCTAGATGATTCTCAGATAGATCTCAGCCCATCTATTGCGCGCTCATCCTTCTCGCCCTTAGTCAGGCGACCGCCCTCTTCCTCACCAGGGTAGACCAAACATTTAGCCAGCATGGTCATTTGACGTGTGGCTCAAACACGGCTGAGCGGATTGAATACCTTATTCTCAACACTCTATGGTCTTATGTAATTGACACACTATAGAAGGGACTCGTACACTGTATTCTTCACACATGTGTTACACCTGATAGAGTTCCCATTATCCTGACAATCAATCCTTCAGGCATATTTCTACTTTTAAAACGAGCCTTGGTACCTATATGCCACCCTGTACTGTGTATTGGTCAGAGACTGTCAATAACAAAGTTTGAATTATATCAAATGAAGTTTTTGGGTAGAGTTGATGTTTGCCTAGTCTGTTCCGCCGAGCTGATAAAGGTCTTCATATTCATTTGGCACGATGCAATCCATTGGCAGCTGATAACTGAAAATAGATGGTGGAATACGTTCATCGAAGACCAGATTGGAATAGTCAGGGGTGGGCATCATATTCAGCTCATCGAAGAGATTGAAAGCACATTCGCTACTACCTTGCCACTTCTTTGGCTCATGCTGATGAGTGACCGGACTCACGTCGCCCTGTATTGATGAAGCAATGCCTTGTGATGTGTCTGGCATAGGGATTCGCTTGGACAGGCTATAGGGCTCGCTGTGCTGAGAGGAGACGTCGGAGGAGAGATATGGGTGGAGAACAGGCGACTGCATGTCCGTAAAGCTGTCATCGGCCGATGCGTGGCACTGGGTGTCCCTGCGCCATAGTCTTCTCTGTATTAATTTTGTATTCTCTTCAAAACGCTGACCAATAACGAGATCCAGGGCGCCAAGGCGTTTAAGAATGTCGTGGATGAGAGGCTGGCCGTTGGGCTTGAGCTTCAGATGCTCACCAGGCCACCCTTCACCTTCATTTATGCGACGGTAGAGTTCTTGGAGACCATTGACTAGCCAGGCTTGTTGTTGTTCGAGCTTCTCAGCATATCTGGGAGCGATGGCGGGTTAGTATGATATCTTGGTAGTTGATACTATGGCTAAAGGTTCGCTCACCCGTGAGGATACTCTTTTTCGGCAGCTTTGTTGTTCCCGCCGAACACGCAAATGGCATTATCCGATCGGCAGCGTGAGCATGGCGTGGCTGTGTCACACTTATCATGTTAGTTACATGAATATTAATGCGCTATCTGATACCCGATGTCACATACCTTGGACTTCTTCATCCGACAGCGATCGCAGGCCTTGCCCACACGCTTGCGAACAATCTCAAAGTGCGAGTCATCAGATGGTGATCTTGACATACGCGCTGCCATAGCTTGTACCGTGCCTGTGAATAGATGTAGTGGTATAGTAGATAAAGATTCAGTCAGTTTATTCGATACTAGACGAACCCAAAGGAAATGAATGATTGGGATGGCTTTTTGACTCTCAAATCATACCTACTCCCAGGCTTGGGCAAGGCCAATTTAATGTTAATTATTCAACACTCTAACCAGAAGACGGAAGTTCGACTTTGTGCGGTTAGGGGGCTCTAGGTTCCTTGGCTCGAAATAGGTGACCAATAAATTTCTGAAGGGGGTTTTTGGTGGACGGCAGTGTTCCCCTTTCTCCATAGTTGAACTTTGTATTAAAATGTATATCTAATGCCTCATTGCATAGGATCTTGGCAGGCGATGCACAAGATGGATATATATTCATTAATATTTATGCAGGCTCCACTCTTGATCTTAGCGGGCCGGCTTCTAGACTTGGCTATGTACATCCACGGACATATCGATTTTTGGAAAGTGCATGATTAGTCCGCAGAGCTCCATACTAGATTATCTATTAGACGCCATTGGCTTGAGAGTCAGAGATTCCATCAAATATCGGAGACTTTCACAGGCTGACTGCTAGTACCCACGCATGCTGTGAGAAATCAGGATCCCGGCGATCTTAACCAATGAAAAGCCCACTTTTGCTTTTGCTGCCTCTAGATTTGAGATAATCCCTCTACCTAATTCCTTTGTATGGCACCTTTAGACTCATGTCTTCGGGGGCGAGAGCCTTGGAATATGGAGAGTCTCTGAATTGGCTCAGATTTGACATCAGTGGCGAGAATGTAGACAGAAGGCGAGAGTTGATGGATTGTTGCAATTTTGCTGTATTAAATGAACACGGCAAGTCTTCCCACAAAGTCGGAAAGCGGAACGAAAAAAAAAAGGCTCACTCTAAGGCGGAAACCAGCTATTTGTCCGTGGGCATCCAAGTGCCGCGTATAATCGGGGTTTCCGTGGACCGGGTAGATCCGGATCGGCAGTTAAGCATCTGCCAAAACCCCTTATGTTCGATTGGAGTGTCATAAGCATTGGACAAGTACTTATGCATTCAACCCACCCTTCCCCACATTTCATTGGCTTACAGGCCGTGTATCCGAGCTGCTCGTTTTATGTACCTTTATTTCAAGATTATGCAAAATGCGCTAGATATTGACTCCGCTGATTCTTTACACACCGTCAAAATCCATGGATCCATTATTGCAATGTACTGTACCTATATAGGAGGGCGCCCAGCCTTGAAAATCTCATTTGAGCTCGTTCCAGAACATTCTTTTGATCTTATTTGTATATCTTCAACTCTCTCCTCTCATTCCTTATAACATTTTTCTTTTGTTAAATTTGAAATATAACTTCCATTGGCTTAGCTTCGAACCAGCCTGGTTCAAACAAACATGGAGGAGGACACGGCAACCGAGTCGGTTGAGAAAACAACCTACGTTCGCGAAGCCGAAAGCCATGAAACCCTGTCCGATGTTCTTCGTGGTGCCGAATACCCAGCAAAACAGCCTGCCAATTGGGGCCTTGCCGGCGAAGTCATGGCCATGCAAAAACGAGATCTGGCCGCGGGCTACAGCAAGCGTGAACTCGGCATCACCTGGCATAACTTGACCGTCGACGTCCTTTCAGCAGAAGCCTCCGTCAATGAAAACTTCTTCTCCCAATTCAACCTCTACCAGCTGGCGCGCGACCTCCGAAAGAAACCCTCAGTTCGATCCATTTTGCAAGACAGCCATGGCTGTGTGAAGCCAGGAGAAATGCTGCTGGTGCTGGGAAGACCGGGCTCTGGTTGTACGACATTGTTGAACGTCCTCTCGAACCGAAGGGCAGGCTATCGTTCAGTCTCAGGCGATGTGAAATTCGGTACCATGACACCCGAGGAAGCCATCCCGTACAAAAGTCAAATTGTGATGAACAGTGAGGAGGAGATCTTTTTCCCTACACTCACTGTCGGACAAACTATGGATTTCGCTACCCGCTTGAAGACGCCCTTCCATCGTCCCGAAGGGGCTGCTCCAGCAGACTGGGCAAATGATTTCAAGCGATTCCTCATGGAATCTATGAAAATCTCGCACACGGAAGGCACCAAGGTCGGAAATGAGTTTGTGCGTGGTGTGTCCGGCGGAGAGCGAAAGCGTGTTTCGATTATCGAGTGTATGGCGACCAGGGGATCGACATTCTGCTGGGATAACAGTACTCGAGGCCTGGACGCATCTACTGCGCTCGAGTGGGCGAAAGCCTTGCGTGCAATGACCGACATTCTGGGTCTCACTACCATTGTGACGCTCTACCAAGCGGGAAATGGTATCTTCGATCTCTTCGACAAAGTCCTCGTGCTGGATGAGGGGAAACAGATCTTCTATGGCCCAGCTTCCTCGGCGAAGCCCTTCATGGAAGAACTAGGCTTCGGATTCACCGATGGTGCCAATGTGGCTGACTATCTTACCGGTGTTACAGTGCCAACTGAGCGGAAGATTCTACCTGGTTATGAGGGCACATTTCCTACAAACGCAGATGAGCTCCTTGGAATATACCAGAAGTCCGATATCTACCAGAAGTCTACGATTGAGTATGACTATCCTTCTACACCGCTGGCTCAAGAACGGACAAATGCGTTCAAAGACTCGGTAGCATTTGAGAAGAGCACCTCACTACCCAAGGGCAGCCCCTTAACCACCTCCTTCAACCACCAGCTTAAGGCATGCATTACCCGCCAATACCAAATTATCTGGGGAGAAAAATCCACCTTCATGATTCGACAATTCGTGTCCCTCGCTATGGCTCTGATTGTCGGGTCATGTTTCTATGACTCACCAGCTACCTCCGCCGGTATCTTCACCAAAGGTGGTGCGGTCTTTTTTGCGCATGTATACCAGGTCACGATGGCGATGGCCGAAGTGACAGGCTCTTTTAAGGGGCGGCCCGTTCTGACCAAACACAAATCCTTCGGCTACTATCACCCGGCAGCATACGCTATAGCAATCCTGACTGCGGAGTTACCAGTGGTTCTCTTTCAATGTACCATCTTTTCTGTTGTTTTATACTGGATGGTTGGCCTGAAAGCAACTGCTGCTGCCTTCTTTACCTTTTGGATCATTCTTATTGCTATAACCTTGGTAAGTTCAATCGAGCTCCCAGTGCGCCTATGTTAGGGAAAGCGACTTTGATATATATTTGAGACAAAGCTAACTAAAAAATACAGTGTGTGAATGCATTGTTCCGATCTATTGGTGCTGCTTGCAGTAATTTGGAGGTGGCTTCTAAGGTGTCTGGCGTCATGATGAAGGGCTTGGTCATGTATACCGGCTACATGATCCCGAAACCTGACATGAAACACTGGTTTGTCGAACTTTATTACGCCAATCCATTGGCCTACGCTTTTCAAGCAGGACTTACAAACGAATTCCACGATACAAACATGCCGTGTGTTGGGCAAAGTCTGATCCCGCACGGCGCTGGCTACGACGACTCCACCTACCAGTCTTGCGCCGGTGTTAAGGGAGCAGAGAAAGGTGCCACATATGTGACTGGAGACAACTACCTTGCAGCTCTTCACTACAAGCACTCTCAGCTCTGGCGCAACTTTGGAGTTGTATGGGGGTGGTGGGCATTCTTTGTCACCATTGCGATTGTATCAACATGTATGTGGAAGGCTGGAAGTGCAGGCAGCAGCTCGCTTCTGATTCCACGCGAGAAAATGAAGCATTTCAAACGTGCCAAGGACGAGGAAGCTATTTCGTCCGACAACAAGCAGCACCAAGTCAACGCCCCTATTCCCGCCGATGATGCTCAGAACCAAACCAGTCTTATGCGAAATACGTCGGTGTTTACATGGAAAAACCTTGTGTATACCGTTAAGACACCTTCTGGAGACCGTGTTCTTTTGGACAATATCTACGGATGGGTCAAGCCCGGAATGCTTGGCGCTTTAATGGGATCATCTGGAGCTGGCAAGACAACATTATTGGATGTCCTAGCGCAGAGAAAGACAGAAGGCACAATTCAAGGCACTGTCCTAGTGGATGGCCGTGAGCTTCCGATGTCCTTCCAGAGAATGGCAGGATACTGCGAACAACTTGATGTCCACGAAGGATACGCTACAGTCAGGGAAGCGCTTGAATTTTCTGCTCTTCTCCGTCAACCCGAACATGTTCCTAAGGAAGAAAAGCTAGCCTATGTCGACACTATCATCGATTTGTTGGAGCTTCACGATCTTGCAGACACATTGATCGGAACTGTTGGCGAAGGGCTTAGCGTCGAGCAACGAAAGCGCGTCACAATTGGTGTCGAGCTTGTGTCCAAGCCTAGTATTCTTATCTTCTTGGACGAGCCCACGTCCGGCCTTGATGGTCAATCGGCTTATAACACGGTCAGATTTTTGCGCCGGTTGGCCGATGCTGGTCAGGCAATCTTGGTCACCATTCACCAACCTTCCGCTCAATTATTTGCTCAATTTGATACATTGCTTCTACTTGCTAAAGGAGGTAAGATGGTGTACTTCGGAGACATTGGCGATAACGCCTGCACGGTCAAGAATTACTTTGCGCAATATGGAGCACCCTGCCCAGTGCGCAGTAACCCTGCGGAGCATATGATCGATGTGGTCACTGGTGGCATTGAAGACGTGAAGGATAAGGATTGGCACCAAATTTGGGTAGACTCGGCCGAAAATGCGGCTGCTATGGTTGAGCTTGATCATATCGTTGCCGACGCTGCCGCAAAGCCGCCAGCAACCTTGGATGACGGTAATGAGTTCGCTACTTCGCTTTGGACTCAAATCAGACTTGTCACAAAGCGTATGAGTGTATCTCTGCTCAGAAACACGAAATATGTGAACAACAAGCTGGAGTTGCATATCATCTCTGCCTTGCTCAACGGTTTCTCATTCTGGCAACTTGGAGATTCGGTTGGTGCGCTTCAATTGAAAATGTTTACCATCTTCAACTTCACCTTTGTTGCACCCGGTGTCATCAACCAGCTCCAGCCTCTTTTCATTCAACGCCGAGACATCTACGACGCTCGTGAAAAGAAATCAAGAATGTATTCTTGGAAAGCCTTTGTTACGGGTCTCATTGTGTCCGAGTTCCCCTATCTCTGCCTGTGTGCTGTCTCATACTTTGTCTGCTGGTACTACCAGACCAACTTGCCAACTGCATCCAAGAACGTCGGAGCAACATTCTTCATCATGTTGATATATGAGTTTATCTATACCGGCATTGGGCAATTCATCGCGGCATACGCACCAAACGCTACCTTTGCAGCCTTGGTAAACCCCCTCATTGTCAACAGCTTGGTGTTGTTCTGTGGTGCCTTTGTTCCCCAGCCAGAGCTAAACGTGTTTTGGAAGTATTGGTTCTACTATCTGAACCCCTTCAACTATGTTGTGGGTGGTATGTTCACCTTCGGTATTTGGGATGCGAAGGTGGAATGCAAGACCTCTGAATTTGCTTACTTCGACCCGCCCAACGGAACTTGCAAGGATTACCTGGCTGGTTACATGGCTGGAGCCGGATCTGCCATCAACTTGATCAATCCGGAGGCAACTTCCCAGTGCCAGGTCTGTGAATATTCGGCTGGAAGTGACTATTTGAAGACCCTCAACATCAACGCCTACTACTACGGTTGGAGAGATGCCGGAATCTGTTGCATCTATGCTATCAGCGGATACGTCTTGGTCTTTGCCTTGATGAAGCTTCGAACCAAGGCTTCTAAGAAGGCGGAGTAAGCACGAAGAACATGATCACTTCACACAAAATTTTACTCTTTCCGTTCATGTTGAAACAGAGCCCCCTTGATGTGTCTTTTATTCATCGAAAGCTGCAGCGGCATTTCTTTTCATTTTTCCTTTTTTCTGCCTTTAGAAGGTTATTGATTCTATAGATGAGTGGCGAAATTTGGCGAAAAGCGATTTAGACAGATCGATATAGATAGAACTTACATTTTAGATTATCATCTTTATATTTCAATCCATTTGCAATCAATTGTGGAAGTAAATCGCGTGCAGTATGTCGTTAAAAGTACTCTATTATTCTAGGTTCAGTCGTTGCGTTGGGAGGTAATTGGTTGTCGGGGAGAAGAAGAAGGGAAGAAGAGAGAAGCGCTGACCTACACAACGGAGGGTCAATTGACCCCACAACAATATCTTGAATGTACGCTACACTGCAGCAACCCTTTTACCGGAATGCCCTGGACATAGGATCTAGATATTGCAAACCAATTACAAGAAGAGAGGATCATTGCTGTGGGGCTGGCGGGGCTGATGACTCAGTGATGAGGCTAACTAACTAATGGGGCGGGGAAGAATGGCTCTTGGCCCCCATAGTTTGTTGATATCTTAACATTGCATTGAAAATCAGAGCCACCTCCTCCTGAGTCACCCTCTTGCACTTCGAATACACTAGGAACTTTTGAAACTGAAGAAGTGAGCTTAAATACTCAACATAATGACTTCCTCAAGTCGGCCAAAAGTACCACCAAAGCCCAAGAATCTTAAGGCATCTCCAATCCACGATCCTCAGAATACGCAGGCAGAAAAATCCCCACGAACTGCATTTGTTGGCCCAGGGTCTGAGACTATACTGCCTGATTCCACCCCAGAGGAGCGGCCACCTTTGCCAGAAAGGCCCCGCGTCCCAGCAACTGAAACGATTTCGGAGAATCCGCCTCGAGTATTCGGTATTCCAGTTGTCACCTTACCCCCGGGTTTTCCACAGGCAAACGAAAACGTAAGGAATGCCTTTAAAGATATCGTCAGCAAAATCAGACCCCCCCACAGCCTTCGCTGAAACCAAGGATGACGTTGATGATTTGTTTCGTAAATCACTCGGGCGGAAAGACCTGTGCTCCAAGTGCCGCTCGCTTCCTGTGGAGAAGTGCGATGGGAATCCCCTGGGAGAGGCGGATGAGAATGAGGTGCACTGGGCAACACCATTGTCTCGAATCATTTTCCATGCAGATTGGTGTCGAATGTGTCAACTATTACTCTCTATGCTTGTTCGCCCTGAATTTGACCCTTTCAAACACCCCGAAGTTGCACCATATCTCCAGGAAAAACTTCAAGGAACCTCTATGAGCCAGTGGGTCCAGCAGGGCTGGAAATTTACGGATAAGAACTGGCCATTTGGGAGGAGCGAATACCGTCATGCTGGTGCCACACATATGCTTGGTCCCGCGCGAGACATCCTTTGGGATGTAATACGCAGACCAGAGATAATACATACATTGTCCGCAGCTGTCAGGGTTGCTGCTACTGGATCCTTAAAACCCCTTCAAAACACCAAGAGACGAGAATTGAGTAGAAGCACTTATGGAGATGGACTGAAAGAGGGTAGGGAGGCGGCGACGAAATACCCCCTAAGCTGTGCTCTTGAAATTTCTATAATGACGAGAAAGCATCCTGAGTTTCCAGGTTTGGTATTCGCGAGCCTTGTCGGGTTTGGAAACCGTCCAGGGGGAGATCCACAGATACTGAGTCGGTTCCGTCTCCGCGTCACTAATCCAGCAACAGATCAGATTCTCAATACTATGACAGGTCTATCATATGGCAGAATTCTTGACAAAAATTGGATCGACCCTTCCACCATGAGACAGTGGCTCATTCACTGTGAAATGCATCATGGAGACCGGTGCAAAAAGCACGACTGGGGAATCATTATGCAGCGGCCTCGATTTTTGCGACTCATTGACGTCCACAACCTTCGCCTTGTTGAGGTTCGTAATCCTGCGAACCATCGGTTTCTGGCTCTATCCTATGTATGGGGGCAATCCAACACCGTCAGACTCAATTATGCCAACAAAGAGGAAATGATGCAACTTCAAGGTCTTAGAAGATTTCTTGATTCTCTCCCACGAACTATTGTGGACGCAATGGAACTTGTCAGAGCTATTGGTGAGAATTTTCTATGGGTCGACACTCTGGTAAGTGTTTAAAGCCCGAAATGATATCCTCGATTGAAGTTCGCGGCTAGATCTTAATTTTTTTTCATAGTGTATATTGCAGGATAATACATCGGAGGCTCGGGAGCAGATTGCAACCATGGATCGAGTCTACGGAAGTGCCGTGCTCACTATTGTTGCAGCTCAAGGTGCAGATGCCAATGTTGGGCTCCGTGGAATTCAGAGGAAGTGGTATCCTTCCGAGAATACTAGTTTGCCACGTAAGATCGCACAAGAGTCGGTTGAAATAAAAAATGGGACGCATATCATTGCACCCTTTCCTTGTACTCAAGATCTGACGAAGACAATCTGGAATTCAAGGGCATGGACCTTCCAAGAAAAGCTCTTGTCCAAACGGTTTCTCATTTTTTCCGGAGATGAGGTTGTGTGGCACTGTCGGCAAATGATTTGCAGAGAGGATATGCACAACGGGGACTGTGGATACAACACTGACCCTCTGGAATGGTTATCTTTAAAGCCTCAGTACTTCGGGGTTGATATTGATAGACACTGGGTTGACGGAAGCTTGAAGATCGATAGGCACGGCAGAACACGGGTTGTTCGTTCGGGAACCTTTGCCGAGTACGCGAAAGCGGTTGAAAACTACACATCACGCCAGACCACGTACAATTCGGATGCTATCAGAGCTATGGAAGGTCTGCTTCACATCTTTCAACGAAGTTTCAAATCCGAGTTCATCTGTGGTCTGCCCGAATCTCTACTAGACATTGCTTTGCTGTGGAGAGCGACGAGGCAACTAAAGAGGCGCGAAGGGTTCCCTTCTTGGTCCTGGGCAGGCTGGGAAGGCCAAGTCACCTACAATAAGCCAATGGCAGTAGAAAGAGATAATGCTGGGAATGTAAGGTCTGCCGAAAAGACAGAATCTGGCGAAGAAGGCATTCAGCCATTACTGCGATGGCACATTTGCGATGAGTCTCAACGAGAGGTGAAGCGCGTGGGTGACCATGGGTGGGGGGTTCCGCTCAAACAGGGTGTCCCTCTAGAGTGGGAGGCAACACCCTACTACGCCGGTCATCAAAGCGACCACAAAAGATTTGATCGACCAATTCTAATATCTGATCTGGAGCCCCGGCAGCTTTCTTATCTATCAAGCAGCAAAACCCCTCATCTCGTCTTTCTCACAAGTTGTGTTGACACATTTCAACTTGGCGACTACGTCCTTCAAAACGGTGATTTAGAAAGACTCAATTCGTTTGATCCTCCAGAAACCTCCGACCAGCGACCGCTACGACTATCCATCACAGACTCAGAGTTGCAGTGGGTTGGTACCATTCTTCTCGATAGCAGTGGACCAGAATGGATTTATAGAGGCCAACATGAATTCATTCTGCTCTCCGAGGCTCAATATTTTGGCCTTGATCAAGAGAAATACGACGTTGGCGAATTCCCCCTTTACTCAATTATGCTTGTGAAGCGTGATATTGTAACAGGAGTCTCAACCAGACTGGGATTGGGAAGGGTCAATAAGATAGCTTGGATGATGGCTGACCCTGTTCTGAAAACTGTTGTTCTTGGTTAATAAAGAATTTCTTGTAAAAATTGACGGGGTCGGCCCAAAACCTGATCTAGAGAAATACTTTTGACTAGATAGTGTATCAATGCATGGTTGTCATAGTTATTTGAGTTGCAAAGAAGCTATAGGGCTCACTAGAGAATCAATAGCAGGATTTGGCTTCTCCCATCGAGCCAATTCGACTAGCTGGCTTATCTGATAGCGAATGGAAAGTTCAACTGGTGCTTTGTTATCGTCTGCGAAGCTCCATAGTGGGGAACTTTGCAGGATGAAATGTTCTCCATGTAAAGACGCCTGAATTATTCTTCCGTGCTTTTCCCCTGTATGGGAACGAACCAAGAGCTATAGGATGTATATCGGTCACTGGAGCCTTAACTGTAATGCGAAGTTTCGTTACTAACTGGGTGAAGGGGGTGGCTACGGAATGGCCTATGGGTTGTCCGGATGACCATGATGCCTAGGATAGCTTGCATTTTATGTAGAGTAAGGCAGTTCTTGGCATTGCTTGCCGGAACATCCGAGGTAAGTATAAAAATGGCATGTGGGTTAGGTAGGCTTTTATGACAATCCTCGTAGGTTTTGTGAATACGCCAATGAACCCGTTAGTCCGATTCGAGCACAATTTAAATGGCTTTGAATGAATGAGTATGTTTCTCTGGCATGGTCATGCCACTCATCCGGCCCAAGAAGCTTCTTGGCTGAGTTATAAGTAGCCCTTGCAGCCTCATTTTTAACCCCTGTTTCCTCTTCTATCTGTATCATGGAAGTAACTTCAGGGCGGGAGGTCAGCGAGGTAAGGGTTTGAGGCGGGGATATATCAGCCATTTGCACAAAGTCTGGTGGATAGACTTGGAGGGCCTTTTCGGGGTAAGGACGAAAGAAACATGGGTCAAACTTCAGAGTACCATCACCCGTGACGTCAATTTGGAGGGCTTGAATTCCGAGGCTTTGGAGGTCACCAGAGGAGTAATACCAGGGCTGAGATAACCCGAATTTTCGATAGAGGTGCTTGACAGCCTTACGGCGTCTGGCCTGGCTTTGTGGATCCATTTCTTAGTGAGTTTCAGCAACGTTAGTCAAAATCTAGAATTCATAGATCGGGATTAAGGACTTGACGTTGGTTTGTGTGGGCATCTAGATTAAACAATACAGAAAAGCTGGCACCCAGCTGATCAGGCACAAAATTTATATTCAAATGGTGGTAGTGACGACTTCATGACAGAATGTAGCTCATCTGATCAGTTGGCGGTTTCGTACCAGTTTAAGCTTAGCGCACCTTACTCCTTCTTCTCCACCTACTCCTACCAAATAAACGTGTGGTTTCCTGAGGAATACCACACCCACTTGAGAAATGATCAGGCTACTAGTGCAGATTAGCTGGCCTCTTTTTTAGAAAATTCTGGGCTGATGGTGGCTAATTATTAGCTATCATTAACTGGACTCCGGTGAGTGGACACATCCAAAGCACAATGGTGCTATATGATGACCATAATCTCAATACTTCAGTATGTTTCTAATAAGACAAATTCCATAATTATTTTGCCTTTGCTGTACGTGTACTTCATTTGATCTCTTGGGCAAGCATTCTGTTACTGGCAGTGTGATCTCCACGCCTATTATTCAGCAACCGGGCATAAAGTACACACTCAAAAGGCTTTGTCAAGGAACAAGACATAGCAGTCTGCGACCTCGGATATCAAGGACCCATCTATTCTTAAGCATGGCAATTTGACTAAGGATTTCCTACGTACTGTGAATCTGCGATGAGACAGATTTCAAAGTTACTACTAAACCGATGATCAGATTATAACTATACAGTCTACATGAGTTAACCGTAAAACGCTAACTTAAAAGATACCCCCTACTTATGTAGCCCTCCACCGGCAAGGGATTGTCCGGTGCCGATGATGATATCGTTATGGAAGCAATCTGCATCAGTACTTTTGCGCACTACGCCACTAAATTGAATGCACGTATGTTTGTTTCGCACGGTATACCTACTTTAGACTAGCATCATCGGGAGGCATTTCCACCCCGGCTAAAATGAACCGCGTGGCCATGCCCAGCATATGACGAGTCCTCTTTTTACCAAGCCACATCATCGAGTCAGAAATTCCATTGTTTGATTAAGTCAATTATTAGATGTCGCTCATCATCTATCTCTATGTCGTGCTTCATATCATATAAGGAGCATGCAAAGAAATTACACAACGCTACTTAATATAAGTGTAACTTTTTCCGCCAGCGCAGGGATTCAAACCGTCGCGATAACCAATTTTACTTCAGTCAATGTATTTTGGGAGCGTGTTCATGATGCCGTCCTGGGTAATCAGATCCATGGCAGTGGTGACTTCCTCGAGGAACCTCTTGTCGGTGCGCAAGTCATCGCCAAAAAGGTTGTCGATCTTGAGGACATCGATTGGATTGCTGCTACCTGCGCGAGCTTGTAGTTCCTCGCGCATCGGATCCACGACTTCAAACTTTTCACCGCTGTCGTCTACTCCATTGATGTAACGGAACCAAGCAGCGACAACAAAGCACAAGTGGCGGAAAGGTCCAGCAACCCAAATGGCTTCAGCAATGGACGGCATAATGAACTGTGGGATCTTTCCAGAGGCGTTTAAGCAAAGGCGGGGAAGCTGGTCCATGATAGCTGGGTTGGAGAAGCGCTCAATAAGGGTAGTGCAGTAAGCATCGATGTCGACACCCGGGATCACAGGCAAGAGGGGCTTGACTTCCTGCATTGTCTGCCACACAAAGCGACGGTATACCGGGTTCTCCATGACTTCGTGGACGTATTTGAAACCGGCCAGCTGACCTGCATAACCAATTGCCGAGTGGCCGCCATTAAGAAGGCGAAGTTTGTGTTTCTCGAATTGCTCAACCTCATGGACACCTTTGACAATCTGGATTCCGACCTTCACCTGCTCGAAGGGTGGGCGACCATCAGAGAACTTATCTTCAATAACCCATTGTGTAAAAGGTTCAGTGATGACAGGCCATGCATCTTCAATTCCGAAATTTTCTGCGAGGTCTGATTTGTCAGATGCGTTGGTCTGTGGGGTAATACGGTCGACCATGGCGTTGGGGAAGGCGCCTTGCTCCGCAATCCATTTAGCGACTATGGGGTCCCCCCGCAGACGCGCAAAAGATTCAACCATATGGCGTGTGATAGATCCATTTTTTTGCATATTATCGCATGACATAACAGTGAATGGCTTAAGCCCTTGCGCGTGGCGTCGCGCCAGAGCGGCGTAGAGGTAACCGAAAGTGGTACGCGGAGAATTGGCTGGGTTGAGGTCGTAAACAATATCCGGGTGATCATTTTGTAGCTCATGGGTGTTCTCATTATAATAATAACCGCTTTCGGTGATTGTAAGAGACACAATATGGGTATCGGGGTGGGCCATCTTGGCAATAACAGCCTCAGAATTATCGGGCGCAAACAAGTAAGAATTGATGCTTCCCACAACGCGGGCCACATTTCCCTTTGCTGAGCGCTCGATGACTGTGTAGAGATAATCTTGCGATTCTAGAACGTCGCGCATGGCAGCATCAAAGGGTTGCAGGCCAACGCCGCAGATTGCGTAGTCTTTCAGGCCATTCTGCATCAATTGATCGACATAGACCGCAAGGTGAGCTCGGTGAAAGCCCCCAACCCCAACATGAACAATTCCTTCCTTGACGGCACGACCGCGTGGATAATTTGGGACTTTGACCTCACCTGCGGCCGCAATCTGAGACAGGTTTTCGCTGTTGAGCTTGAGGGGTGCCATTGAGTTGTGAAAGAATTGAATTGAGATGGATTGAAGATAATTGAATCAAATCCAGGGCGACCTGTTTGCAGCTTATGAATGATTTCCTACGGTCACCGCCCCTTTTTTGGTTTGGCAGCTGATGAACAGAAATTTCCCAGGCACAGCATTGCATCACAAGGTCTTAAAATACTAGTCCCTTTGGTGGAGTTCTGAACGGGCCTCGCCTCCTTTGCCCAGTAACGATCTAGATGCGGGTCAATTACCAACAGCATATTTTTGAGAGTCCAGGTATGTAGCTGACGGTAGGAGAAAAAGAAATAAGGGATCACGAGTTCATACATCCTGGAGGTCATATTAGCGTGCGCGGGGTCCACTTGCCTCGCCCTTGGTGACCCTTGCGGTACATTTCTGTATTGTGGAGGAAATGTGGAGACGAAATCCGGCATAATTTGAGAGGAAAGTGTTGGCCGGGATCTGGGGGGAAACTGTGGTAAGCGGTAATTCCCCCGTACAGTCAAAATGACAATACGCGGGGCCCACCTTCCCACTCGACGGCTCCTAACACTATACATAGGTGATGGATAGGTATGAATCTGACGGGAAACGTGAAGGAATGAAGTTGAAACGTGGCGGTAGAAGGAGGTGGTAGATCATAATTGACCCTTTGTTATGGCCGGTCGAAGGAGAGCTTCATTCCGGAGCACCTAATTCAAAACGTATTTTGAGATAAACAAGCACCGAATGCTCTCTTGGCTTGAGACGATATTGCCAAGCCGCTTGCGTCGACCTTGAATCAAGCATGAAGAATATTCGACGCCCTATCTAGAGTTAGCTTTTCATAGGCGCCTCTAGCGCCCTGAATGTTAAGAAAAAACAAAAATTAGGTCACGGGGAAATGAAGATAAGCCGGTGTTGACGTGGGCAAATTCTATTCTATGGAGTCCTAGATATCATCAAGCAATACCATTACTTGATATTTATGAATCCTTTTTATAGGAAAAAAAAAGTAAAGAAAAGAAAAGAAGACAGAAAGAAAGAAGACAGGATAGAAAAAAAAGAAGATAGCAACAGAGAGAAAGGGAGGGGAATTGAACCAGCAAAGGTCTTCGTATAACAGATGGTCAAATGAAAGCGAAAGGGAAATGTAACTAACTCAACAATGTGGATCTGCTTAGGTAATAACTTCATTGTGTTCATCACGTCAGAAAAATTACCATGAAGTCCTTAAGTGTGTCTAAACCATGGATATGGATATCATAATCCCATAGAGGCCTCTTACATTTTCCGGTATCTTTCCAAAAGTAAACCGAGTCCTCAATTCCCCCGGTACTTAGTCCTGGGGTCGCATTTCTCTCCGAGCTTCATTAAACCCATTGACAAAGGCTTGTCTATCGGTTCACATAGTCAGGTACTCAGAATTGCGAATTGTGTTCAACACAGACCATCCAGTCTCACCCAGACATGCAAAAACATAACAGATATTATGGAATGTCTCTAGAAATGACAAACATGTCAAACCCGTTTATGATACAGATGCCACACAGGCTTGGGGGTGATCCGAGGGATTTCTCTCAGCCAACACACGGATGGCATGCAGAGTTCAACGACAGATTAATACGAAAGAATGATTCTTCGACCCCTCAAATCCATTGCTACTTGTTCCTCATGAGCTAACCTAACTGGAGGTACTTTCTCGCAAAGCATATATATCCCTGACAACTATCTAGTATTCTTACACATCCAGAGCCTCCAAATAGGAGGTCTCAATACCGGCTTGGGCCTGAAAGAAAATGAATTATGTGCTACCACATCGTCTTTTTTCATTGGTCACCCATTAACGCAATCTTATCCTCACATGTATATGCCCTTCGATTTGGGGACGAAGAGAATTCGCAGTCTTCTAGCTATTCGCTTCCTGCTTGAATTTGCGGAAGTTCCATTTCTCTTGGGGCTACTTACCTCTCGGCAGCATAGCACCCTCACTGAGAGCTCTCGCACCAGTTCGCTGCATTTTCTACAGGTCTGGCTATTGCAAACATATTTGGGAGCTTATTGCCGCTGCCCGGTATTGTGAAGAATCTCCGAAGTTTGGGTGAGCCTCCAGGCTTGGTGGTGGCTTTTCATTATCGAGCCCATCATGACTGTTGCTGCCACCTTCCTCTTAAACTTCCTCCAACCTTAGATCTTTGATAACGACCCTGACTCAACGAATATGGGCGAGCATATGCAGAGTGGATAACCGTGGCTGATATCGGTGATGATGATACTTTGATGGATACCAGGAAACGACAATTTTCCACGCTGCTAAGCTGGCGATAAAAAATTATCGAACCTGGATCTTCATGATTAGGCAGCATTGTGTCAGACTTTCCCAAACAATGACTTCTTTTTCCCTTCCGTATTGAAACCGTCTTGCTAACAGCACTCGCCTGTTTGACAGCCTTTCCCCTCAACCTATTCGTTCTATGACCGGCCTCTTGCACCGAGCAGCGATTCATTCATATGGGCCCTTCCATGCTGCTGGCAATAGTCAGAAATGTCATGTTGATGACCATACGCACACGGGGCCCTTCATTCCTGGGTATACCTTTTAGTGGACATTGGGGCTAGGCCGACATATATGTTTATCTTGACGTAGATCGCGAACCGCGTTTTCCTTGCACTTGTCAATAGAGCTGCAATCACCGCCATTGCGAGTATGGTTAGTAGATTTTCTAATATATACGGGAGTTATTTGCACCCAAGCAGTGCGACTTCCTAGTATGTGAAAAGTCAGGGGTCTGGCAACGAAAATGAATTTGAAAATATTTGGAATATCGGGGCAAATTGTAGCATCCAGGATTTTCCGCACCAATTTGTGGAATTGACTGCTTTCTACACGTTCTTTGTCTAATTCGACGCGATTCACAGTGGGTCGCGATATTCGGTCTTCTCTCCGTACAAGCTTGGAGAACCTCCGAGGCGGATAAAGCTTGGAAATCCGGCCGCAATGAAGAGTATTTATAAGATTCGATATTCTGTCAGGTTCCGAAAGCAATGTTTGCTCCTGCAATATCTCAAAAATGACTACCAAACCTACTGTTCTTCACATTGGTGACGACATCAAATACAATCATGATTTCTTTAAAAACGAATTTACGTCGCGCTTCAATGTTATTCAAGCCACAGAGACTGACCGTGATTCTTTCATTCAATCACTGAAATATAAAAAGTGATCTATTCCATCCACCACCCGTTACGTTTCCTTCATGCGTGCTAATGTTGACCAGATACGGCGACTTCTCAGCCATATTCCGCCCTCACTTCCAAACGGGAGGTTTCATGGGCCAATGGGACGCCGAACTCATCTCCTTGCTTCCACCTAGTGTACGCATCTTCGCCTCCGCAGGGGCTGGTTTCAACTGGGCGGATGTCGATGTCCTGGGCCAACAAAAGATCTGGTATGCCAACGGCGCCGGTGCCTCAGACGAAGCTGTCTCCGATACAGCGCTGTACATGATTTTGAGTGTATTTCGCAATTTCACTCGCTCCCAGCTGGCCGCGCGGACAGCCGACCCGGATAAATTCACCGAAACCCACAAGTTAATTGCGACCATCTCGCATAACCCTCGTGGGCATGTGCTCGGAGTGGTTGGGTTCGGGAACATTAGTAAGAAACTTGCCTTTAAGGCACGTGTGGCTTTGGGGATGAAAATCCATTATTTCGACATTGTGCGTGCTGATCTCCAGGAAGAAGAAGAGCTGGAGGCGACGTATCATGAATCTATGGATGATCTTATGAGGGTGGCAGATTGTGTGACTTTACATACGCCACTCAATAAGCATACACAAGACTTGATTGATGCAAAGGCCTTGGCTTTGATGAAGCCCGGAAGTCGACTTGTCAATACTGCAAGAGGGCAGATTGTCAATGAAGATGCCTTGATTCAGGCTCTGGAAAGGGGACATCTTTCGGCTGCTGCATTGGATGTGCATTATCATGAACCGCAGGTGTCCCCAAGACTAGCAAGTATGCCCAATGTCACATTGACTACACATATTGGTGGTGGTGCATTGGATACCAGAATAAACTTTGAGTTGAACGCTATGAAAAATATTCTTGAAGTGGTTGGGCCGAATGGAGAGTTTCTGGGGGATCCCATTACACCTGTGAATCGGGCAGCTTTCGAAGCGGCGGCATGAATTCTTTCTTATATTTATTACGAATGGATTGACCCTTTCATGATAGAATCATATATTGCTGAGCTCATTCAACCCTGTGGCTTTCAAAAATCACTGCGATGCCTGCCAGGCCTTCAGATAGATGGGCAGATTTAACAAGAACTCTGTCCGCTTCGGATTCCATCCTAGAACAGTCTTCGCACGGGAAGCATCCGACTTGCTCACCAAGCTTAAAGCTTCTAAAAACGGGTTTCCATGGGTCCCAGTGTACTCAAGCGGAGCATCCACCCCCAACGCCGTCTTAACATTCTCCAAAACTTCCACCACTGAAACTGTCTCTGTAATCAGATCAAAAACTGGCCACGAGCCCAGCCGACCGTCAATACGATCAATTGCGGCATGATAACCAGCAGCGACGTCATCAACGTGAACAACTCCAGGGCAAGCTGTGCGATCAACAGGCACTTGCACGGGTGAGGTACTACGCGACTTGGCCGCTTCTGCCAAGGGACCCCACCAGGTTCCCCAAACCCAAGACCCACGCCCGTAGATAGTATGAGGTCGTAAAATGGCGACATCCAGCTTATCGCGCGATGCAAGGATAGCTTGTTCGTGCGCCGGACGCCATGCGACTGGCGTGGCAGGTTTACCCTGGGACAAGACGCTTCCAACCGGGGCAAGATCGTTGATGCGCGTCTTCTGGGAGCCATGAACCCAGGCGCCCGAGGTGTACACAAAACCAAGCTTTGGGCCGATCATGTTTTCTTTCGCCAATGCTTCCTGTTGGGTAGTTGCGGCTTTAATGACCCCGTCGAGGATCTTGCCTGCGGCTTCATAAGCCGAGGAAGCATCAACAACGACGTTGATGGAATTGTCAATGATGAATGCACTGAGAATGGTCGGGTCAGTGATGTTGTCTTCGACAGGGACTATCTCGTTGGAGAGGAGCAGCTTTGCTTTCTCGGGGGTTCGGGCAGTTCCCCAGACAGAGTGGGTGCCTGCTTGAAGAAGCAATTTTCCAAGTGCAAGGCCAATATAGCCCGAGCCACCAAGAATCAGAACGTTTGGCATGGTTGATATCAATCAAAAAATAGATACTCGAGTTTGAAAAGAGTGATATGAGTTCAAGGCAGGAAGTCAAATTTCATTGATACATATATTCTGAATGACGATCAATGTACCTTTTATATTTGATTTCAAAGATTACTCTTCCCTCCGCAATCCAAGCCTTGTTGTATTTGTCAGTCGGCATAAACCTCGCACCGAAATGCCAATTGTTGGTTACCTGGAGATGAGCCACAATGTGTTTGAGAAAAATACGGTCTGGGGCACCCAGTGGATGGCCGGAGATCGACGCAAAGACCGAGCTTAGTCGTAGCTCTTAAGCCCGAAAGTCCGGGACAGTGCACGTCACCGATAATCGACCCTTCGGACTAGATGGAAAGCGGGGAATTAATGCGAGATTAAAGCTCCATACGGCTTTACTGACAGAACTATGGTTTCAAAGTGAAGGAGGATTAAAACTACAAAGGTTGGAAATCGAGATCTACAATCGAGGGCGCTAGTCCTCTTTAGGACACAGAATCCTCAGGCAGAAACAGCTCTTTCATGTGACTTTTGAGGCTCCTTCACTGCTCCCGCGACTTTCATTTCGTCGCATTCACCACGCTAGGCGCCGTCCTGCGCGATATTCATTCTTTCACCCGACTTCTTCTCCCTTCGAGTCAAGTCTTTGAGCGATGACCCACTTTGTCCGTCCTTGATCCCGCGACCAGAAGCTTCGTCTTCCGACTCGACTCTCTCCACTCCCCTTCACACGCCAGAACACAGCTCTCTACGAGTGCGCTCGCACTAAGAAACCAACTGCAGACATGGATCTTGCAAACACGCTCATCCGGAGCGTTGTCCGTGCTTTCTATGAGACCCGTCATATTTTGGTAGTAGATGCGCTTTTTCTCCACTCGGTGTATGATACTCTTTTCCTGCGGAATTGAATATGCGGATAAGGATGTTTGAACTGATCTATCGCAGCCTCCACGCGGAAGACCTTGCGTTTGTGATGGGAATGCAACAGAAAGATCTCCGCAAGCTATGCGCTCGGTTGCGCGAGGATCGCTTAATCGGAGTGTAAGCTGACTCCAGTGAAATGAGCTTTTACTCCCATCATGAGCTGACCATGTGTGATTTCCCTGAAATATAGAAGCACGCGCGCCGAGATCCGTGATGGGTCAACTCGTCCTGTGAACCGTGAATACTACTACATCCCGCTCCACCCAGTCATCGACGCAATCAAGTACAAGGTCTCGAAATTGACCTCTACGATCAAAGCGCAATACACGCCAAGCGAAGAGCGGAAGGAATACATCTGTCTCCGCTGTGGTCAAGAATGGACTGAGCTGGATGTGCTGAGTCTAGTCTCGGACGAAGGCTTCGAGTGCCAAAATTGCGGAGCGATCCTCGAGCGAACAGAGGATGTTAAGGGCGTGGAGGGCATCGATCGCACAGGTCACGAGAAAAACAGCAAGCTGATGGCCCAGTTGGATAATATGCTCAAATTGCTGAAGCAGATTGATTCCGTTGAAATCCCACCCAATGACTTCGATACAGCCTGGGATCATAAAGTAGAGATTGCCCGGAACCAGAATACACACCCTGTTCGTGCCGCCATTGCCGTGGCCCCCAGACAACAGGACGTTACACGCGCCAACGTCAAAACAGACGCCGCTGCCTTGGAGATCTCTCTTACGTCTACCGAAGAGAAGAGCGCCGCCGAGCAGGCGGAGGAAGCTGCCCGCAAAGCGGCTGTTGAGAAACAGAACCAACTTCCTGTTTGGCATACAGAGTCTACTGTCAACCGTGAAACAATCGGTGATGTCAATGGCAAGAACGAGGCTGGTGTGCCTGTGAAAGCGGAGCTGGGAGACGAAGACCAGAAGCCAAGCCTCGATGCACTGGACGACAAGGTGGCCGCTTACTACGCCGAGATGGCACGTGAGAAGGCCCTTCAAGCTGAGGAGGATGCTAGTAGCGGCGAAGAAGACTCGGACGACTTCGATGAATTTGAAGATGTCGGCCTTTCCGGCCAGAGTGGTCCAGCCACCCCCGCAACAGCAGCGGGTCCAACCAGTGTTCCTACGCCTACTTCTGCTGTTGCTGGGATCAAACGTGAGCTCGATACCGCGTCGAGTGCTGCCCCGTCTTCTGCTGGGACACCGTCTACTCCAGCTGATGATGAGCCAACTGCTAAGAAGATCAAGACTGAACCTGGTGTCACTACTGAGCCCGCTGTCAAACAAGACCCTGATGTGAAGGCTGAGCCAGGCGTGAAGGAAGAAGAATCGGATGAGGATGAAGATGAGTTTGAGGACGTATAAGACAATGCGTTGACAATATTGGATCCCCATCTCAAGAAAAAACCAAATATTAACAGCAATCTTACTTTAACATTGGCGCTGGCGTCTATGTTTACTGTATCAACACCAAGCCACTTGAATAAACTTGATCTAGAACACTGTGTCCCCATGAAACCTGCAGTTAAAGCTTTACTATGCTACTTCAGAGAACAGAATAAGAATTCTTATGACATCTCATTGGAGCATCACAGCCCGTGGCCTAGTACAAGAAAAAGCAACGCCAAGCCCCCGTAAAACGGAGGGGAACAAAAGTGCAAGTTTCCAGGTCATAAAATCGTAATTGAATCTTGTCATCACAACTCCATGTCACGCTCGCTGAAGCCAAGTAATATCTTCTTAAGCAACAAAGGGGAAAAACTAACAAAACAAGAAGATTGAGTCGAGTGCCTAGGCTCGACCCAGCTAAGGGGAGCCCGCGACTCCCATTTCAGAGTCGCTAGCCAACGCAGATGTGGCTTCCCATTCTTCTGGAGAGGGCATTTCGGATTCTGAAGGCGCTGTTAGATGCAGTCGTAGAGGCGTGAAGTCAAGGATGGCGTACCTGAGATAAAGTCGTCGGGGACATCGACCGTGATTTGATCGAGCAAGTTGAGGGTGTCTAAAGGAAACGCCAGTATTAGTTGAAGGTTCCGTGTGAATGACAAGGGAAATTAATGGTACCGTTTGCCCGGTGAATGAAGAGTTGATCCTGTTCATTCTCAGGGTCGAAATAGTTCTCCAGACAATGAGTAAGGGTCGATGTGATGCTGTACACCAGTCTGGACTCAACACTTGCGATTTGCCCAGTGAGGAATGGATCATTGATCCTTTGTACGCAGGCTTTTGCTAGCTGTCTGCCAATTTCGATGTGCGGCGAGCGAGGTTCTTCAAGGTTATTCTCACGATCCAGAGTGAAAAGGAGCTTGTTGGCAATGTCAAGTGTTTGTTGGCGGACCACTCTTTCGGTATCAACCAGCAAGGTTGGAGCAAAGTCAGGAATCTTATGCTGAACAACACTCTTGAACCACTCTGGTCCCAACGACAGCCGCTCATTGACAGCACTTTGATTGCAAAGCTGCGCGAAAAAGTCAATGTGGTCAATGCCACCACTATTGTTGATGGAGCTCACCCCCTTGGCCACAAAGTCGATCATGCCAGCCACCTCTCCTACTTCAGGTGCGTGCTTGCAGTAGACAATTGCGATGCAAAGAAATGGAGCACAAAGATCAGCCGGTGACAGCCGCAGACCAAGCTCCAAGGTTTTGACAATACGATCCAGGAAGTTCGCTTCGGGCTCTGCTGCCACAAGGCTGACAAACATATCCAGAATAGCATCTTGAAGACCGAAATGCTCATGTTGGAGTAATTGCTTTAAAAAGCCGGCATTGCCATCATCGTCGACCTGCCAGATATACTTGCTTTCGGTGTAGGTGAGCGCGTACTTTCCGTTTGGTGACATTCGACGAACTTCGTTGTCTGAAATCGGAGGCAATGAGAAGTCAATACTCCTGAAGAGGACAGAGCAGAGGACCAGCATATTCTTATAAATGAACCGGCGCCCCTTCTCTAACAGTCTGCTGTAATTCTGGTAGGACAGTCTTAATCTCATCTTGTCGTCCTGGTCGAGCCAAATGATTTCGAGACATCGGGTCAGAATGTTTTTCTCAAGCAAGATGCCAATGACCTCGGGTCCACACTCGGCAAGTCTGAGAAAACAGTCGAAGTAATCGTCCCAGCCGCGTGGGGTGCCCAGTAGTACAGGCCACAGACGCTGCAGCATCTCCACAATGTGCTCAATAAGCGGCTGAGCTTGACCCTCCAGGTGACCACGGTCGGTCTCATCCATGTCTGGGTCTTTCAGGTGCATCCGGAGTCGTTTGAGAGATCCTATCAGGAGCACAATACCCTTTTGTCGAATTTCCTGGCTAGAAGTTCGCAAAATAATGTTGTGAAACGAAGTGTCCCTGTCACAAGCCCATTTCAACGTCTGCAAAGCTGCGCGTGGATTCCGACTGAGCAATTTGTATAGCTCAGTGTAGATACAGTCTGCTCCCAGATAATCCTTGGTTCGCGCAATCAGCTGCTCGAATGTATCGAGCCCAATGTCCATGGCAAGTACTTCAAGTTCTGCTTTATGGGCATACTCAAAATTCGTCTCGCGTAATCTCTCAAGGAGACGGTGTACAAAGAATGTATAGGAAGGATCCAGAAGACAATAGGTTCGAATGAACAGCTCGTTGTCCATAGCGATGTGATTCGCATAGTCAACGGGTACGGGGACTTGCACCGGACAATTTTGTTTCAACGGCTGATAGCTTTCTTTTGACTTCTCCATTGTCGATACACGCTGATAGAACAGCATGTAAGCGTTCCAGGCTTTGTTAATCTGAACCCCACCCATCGAATGCATCGAATCGCCCTGGCCACCGAAGCATTGGTCCGCAATTGTGGAAGGATCAAATCGGCTGACATCCGAGTCATTGAACTCGACCCATGACGATACAGAGTCTGCAGAGGGTCTCTCACGAGTGTATGAGTAGTAATGCCCAGATTCAGCCGTACCAGTGTGGACTAGAACACCGACCAATTCAAAGACATCAGGCTCAGCAAGCATTTCCGGGTCAGATAGATACTCAACATTGTATGGCGTCATATCAATTCGTTCAGGGAACTGGAATTCATCGTTGATTTTGCTTCGCATCATTGACACCATGTCGAAATCGAAACGTTTCAAGTGAAAAATGAGATTGTCAGGGACGTCTTTCAGACAGGCCCGCTTGACAGCATCAACATGACGACCACAGGCAGTGCAAGAGTACTTATTGTCACCTTGCATGATCTCACCCTCAACATACGCCTGCAAGCTTTCTTCGAGACTTGCTTTGCCCTTTATGTCACACTGGATAGCAGAGAATGGCTCCAGCCTCTCGGAGATGTGCGAACACTCCTTAGATTTTATCTGCTGGACCAACTGACCACCGTAGAAAGATCGAAACTTCTTCTTGTCCTTTGCGTCGACAACCTGGGCTTCCCAGCGGTCGAAGAGAAGATTGTAGAACTCATCAACATCCATTTGAATGGTCACATCAATGGCTTCGTTGTCATAGGTACGAATGCTCTCAACAAAAGACTGCGGATCAATGCTTTTCGTCCAAGTATTTTGCATCCATGCAAAAAGCCTTTGAGTTTCGTCTAGCAGCCGCTGAGAGGAGTCACCATCCACGACGTGCAGTCTAAGCATGAAATCCCGAAATTCCACGTTCATGAAAAGTTGCGTCATCAAGGAATTGAGATAGCAGGTATTAGACAGGTTCTTTAGACCCGCGTATCCCTCTGGGGCTCGGATCATCTTGGAACGATCGAAACTAGAATTCGGGCCGTAGGAAATGTCGCGAGGCACAATGTCTTCAAGCTGCTGCATAGTTTGGTGGAGATTCTCATGCGATCGCTTGCACAAGAGGTTGACGATATTGTACAGCTTCTGACGAGTCATTGTGTGCATCACAGGGATACGCGGGATGACTGGACCATTGGAAACATCCGACAGATCTGGGAAAAGATAATTGTTCAAGATGTTCTCAGTGAGATCAAAAGTATCCAGCTCGATATTGGCACGATCGGCCAATTCAAGGCAGTTCTCCAACAAAAGAGCAAATCCCAGGACGAATTCGTCAACTATCTCACGCCCAACAAACTCCTCATTCTGATGGCGAAACATGATATCGGTCCATTCCCGAAGATAATGGCTGATAATGACATCTCGGGGGGACTTTTCGGCAACAGAGCGGAAAACCGACAGAGCGACTCTAAAAAACTCGGCAGACTGTGTAGCATAATCTGATGTTTGTGGAATGATTTTGACCAACGCGTTCCAAAAGGTTGCAAGCATGTCAATTCGGATAGGGCTTTCTGCAGAATTTTGAGTCTGCAAGTCATCACTAACCATCTTCCCCGATTGTTTTAGCAATTTGGAAGGGTTGCAGATCATCTTGATCCTCTCTGCAACATCGTTTCGGATAGTCTGTCGACATTCTTTGAGAAGAAGCTCGCGTATCAGCTGATCAAACTGGGCATGTTGTTTAATTGTCTCCCATAGCTTATAGTCGCGGACTGAGCCTTCAATAAGGAATGCAAATGAACTGCAAATCAACTTGTGGACGCCAGGAGCGATCACGGAAGATACAGGTAGAGTGCGAGCGATTTCAATAAGGTTTAGTAGCCGCTGGGCAAAAGGAGCCGGGTCCGAAATCAAAGCCGAGCTATCATTATCCGGGTAGTAGACAGCTAGAGCACACAACAGGGATTCAATCGATTTTGTGGCAAGGGCAAGTCGAAGTTTATTGAGCTTCAGAGACTCCAAGAGTTCGTCGGACATCAAAAACACTACTAACATCTTGATGCTGTGCGATACGAAGCTTTGCTTGGGTGTCACCTGAGCTTCCTCCTCATGAAGACTTGACAGGAGTGCATGGAATGAGTAGAGTGCCAGGAAAGGTTTCTCAAGCGGGAACAGCGCCTTCTCATCACTCTCTTCTGACCTGACGAGCTCCAAGACTCGTTCTTGTGGCGGGAAGACAATGAGGAAATCAAATATCTCTCTCGCCAAGTCATCTTTGAGGGAGAGGAGCTCATAGATCTCATCGAAATGCTTGAGCACTTCAGAGTCGACTGCTGTAAGATACTGGTGTTTGCTATCACGGGAGACTTCTTGGGCATCCGGTGCCTTGCGAAGAATTAATAGGCCAGGGTGGAGTGTCATGTTCTTCAGGAGTGCTTCTGGGTCTTTGAGGAGATCAATACGCTGGCCGCCCCAGATTGCCGACAATTTGGAGAACCCAGTGAGCTGGGTAAGTCGTTCCATTAGCTCGGCTGCCGAGGAGAGATCCCCGATTTGTAGAGTACTGATAGGCGAACTAGCGCTGCCGTTGAAAGACTGCCAGGAGATGTCGATTGGGCTGCCTTTCAATGGCCGTTCTGGGAGACGGGGAGGGGTGCCTCTTGGAGGACTATAAAGTGGGCGAGTTCTCAAGCCATACAAGAATTGCCGAAGAAAGAGAAGAGAGCGCCTGAACTTGAGCTCATCAGCCTCTATTTCTCCAGTCGGAGTAACGCTGTCCATCGAAGCATCATCATTGAAAACGGCACATTCAGAGGTTTTAAGAGTGGCTGCGGTAGATTTCAATTGATCAATGCAACGATTGACAATCGCGATATGGGTGGCTTCTATGGCAGCTCGTGGAGAATTGCGGATAATCTGATGATCTAGGTAAACCTCGATGGCAAATGCTGTAGCCTCAGCCTCAATAGTGCCGGGTAAAGCTGTCAGAATGAAGTTCCAAATCCTCTCCATCCCGGGAACAGTGATAACTTCATCAGCTCCTGCCGGGGGTGGTGGGTTGAAGCGGACATCGTAACTGATAGACTGTTTCGCAAAAGAGAGAATCTCAGTGGTGTAATCGCTCGGCGACAGTCCGGGTAAATACTCGCGAATGCAGCGCTCTAGAAACGGGTTGGATTTGGAACTTCTGCTCAAAGCACTGCCCATCATGTTCCAAGCTGCCTTTTGTCCATCGTGGCCCAATTTGTTCGACAAGAGAATCTCGTTCCAGAAGGCGCTCCCGAGTTCGGGGGTGATTGTATCTGGTGCCATATCGATGAGGCGGAACAAGATGGCAACACGGGAGATAATGCCATAGTGCGAGAATCCATCGGCAAGACCGACTTGATCGTCATTCACAGTGTGAAGGAGATCCTTGATCACGAGACGAGTCAGGTCAAATTCTTCGGCCAGCTTTCTCATCTCTTGCGAGTCATGAATCGGGACAAGAGCACTGATCACCTGGATACTTCCCGCAGTGAATTGGTTCATCTCGGCGATATCTTGAATACAGCGCTCATACATCTCCATTCTATCGTTGGGGCTGACACCGGTTTTAATAAATCGCTCAAGGTGCTTGGTACCCAAACTCTGCAGCAACTTCTTGTGTTCAACGGGCATATCTTCTGCGGCAGTACTCTCCCGAATCAAGCGCACGCATAATCGCAAGGGAATTGTGTTCACGAAGGCACCGCCAACTTGTTCAATAGGTCTTTCAGAGACCCGGCCGAGTAGGCTGTCACAGATATCAATGATGCGTGTATCAAATCTATCCAAGGGTAGCTCCAAAACCTTGGCGCAGATGTAGATCAATGCTGGTGATGTGCTTGGGTGCATCCAGAACGTCTTGATAAGCATCGATAACACTTCAGAAACAATGCGGCTGTCTTGACTGTCTGTCACTGATTTCCAGATAATGTCTGTCTCTGAATTTGTATATGACGATGTCACAATCAAAAAGCCAACGATATTGCTGCTGCGGGTGATCAATTGGGGATGGGAATCGACGCCCACAAGGTAGTTCACGATCTTGTTGTCCCGGATGAATCGGACCAGATACTGAACAAATGGTAACGCGATTCCTGCAGGCTCCGGGGAGACGTACTGCTTCCAAATTGTGATCAGATCTGACTGCATTGTTTCTACGCCGTGGGCTCGAAGTTCCATGCGACCTTCCATTATGTATTTCTTCAATACTTGGAATTTCCATCCCCAGGTGATGACATGAAGTTGGTCTTTGGAATCAGCATTATCGGGGATCTCAATCGAAAGGTCCTTTGCTAATTGTTTGATGAATTCACTGTCACGAAGACAGAACATGTTTAAGCAGCGTTGGATTTGACGCAACAATTGCTCAGCCAGCTCACTTGTCAGCCACGGGGACTTCTTGGTAATCCATTCTTGGAACTTCTCACTAATCAGGCGGATGGTGTCATAGAGAAGTGTAAGGTAAGGGGTGTCGGAAGGCGAATCGAGAGATAATGTCTCGGGCAGGCCCTGCCTGCGTTCCAGGGTACTGTCAATGGTGCTGTTCGCGGTATGAAGAAAAGGGATCAAGGCGCCGACCCAGTGCGGGCACTTGGCCACATTCTGGATGATCAGGGAGGCGTAGTCTGTCAGTTCCTGGACAACGTCGAGGGCAATTGTCTTTGCCCTGACTCGGGCCAAAACATCAACGACTTCCGCACCATAGGCATTTTCAGTGGCTCGGAAAAGCGGGATGGTGTTATATTGTAATAGCCAAGCAAGAGGGTCTAAGTAAGCATGGGCCATGCTTTCCTGTCTATCTGGCTCGTCGATCGCGTGGCGCAAGGTCATGCAATCCATGCGAAGCAAGTGAAGCGTGATGTGAACATAATCCACAAGGAATTCTTCGAGGGTTAGAAGGACTCCCTTTCCATCATCCATAGGCAGTTCTTGACTGTGTATTCAGAGTTAGCTCGCAGGTAATAGACAAGTATCAGGAATCGGGATCGTACTTTCGGCGAAGCAAAACTTCCATCAATTTCGGTATAAGCTCCCAGAAATCAAGGTCATCGGTAAAAGCTATGGGAGTCAAGGCATACAAGTTGTGAGCACATTTGTCCATCCAGGCTTTCACAACTGTAATTAATCTGGCATCCCGACCATCATCTGTGCTCATGATTAGTTATGACCCCGAAGAATCATTAAACCCACCACGCTGGGGAAGACAAGGAGAGCTTACGCTTTTCGATCATGATAATAATTCGCTGTAAGTTTTCCTCGGCTGACTGCCCCTCGTACATTATTGGAAAGTGATCAATGAGTGCCAGAGGATCGTCGGAATCATCGACCTCGACCACGTCCGAGACGGCATGGCCACGTAATGCCTCCCCCAGAGGTCTCCAACTAGATGTATTTGGGTCTTGATCCATGTCCTCCAGCTCCGCGACCTCGATTTCAGGGCTTTGGGTCGGTGAGGAAGCTATCGAGATCACGTTGGATGGGGTCATGTCGGTGTTGTCGGTGGTTGAGGGTTGTGGGGTGGTGGCAGGAGAATGAGGATTTTGGGATTGTGTAAAAGAGGCGTTTTCAGGTTCGGCAGTCATATCAATAAATGGAGACTTCACGTTGATTGTCACTTTGCTGGGGCGAGCTGAATCGGGGGTGACATCCATATCCGAGGCAGGTGCGGCCGGAGGTGTCGCGCGGGCGTCAATGGATAACGACTCTCCCACGCGAGTTCCACTATCGAGACGCGGGCGTTTCCGTGTCGCTTGGGGATCTGGATCTTCCATGGAGTCTCCGTAGGATCGAGAAGAATCGATCAAGGGCGTACCAGGTGGGGGGTGAGAGCTCTCTGGCGGGGGTTCTGCCATGACATTTTCCGCCAGGCGATGACAAATGATGGCGCTTAAGAAATGAGCAATCCAAGGATAAGGAACCCCTCTATATCTCCAGAGGGAACCAAGAGAAAGGAAAGTGCCGGGTGGTTGGGAGAAATCGAAGCGGTTGATACAAGTTGGTAGCTTTTTTTGGCGGGCGGGAAACGCGACGAGGAATCGGTGACGTTGTACTGTGGATTCATTCACTTAAGAACCCGATCGACGTTGAATTACTTTCACCTTGCACCTTCCTTACTCTATATAATTCTAAGGTCTTTAATTGTGTTTATTTGCCATCTTCCAAGTGAATTCTTGTTTTCCTTTCAAATATCTACGGGAAATGGACGGCTAATTGCCTAAACACAGTTTCATGCACAAACAACATATCTACGATCCGCATAAGCCGCAGGAACCAACACGATGTACCTCACAATCAGACAAACGGTTAGTACTAAACTGTGGATAGCTTCCCCGGAGTGGAGTTAACCTCTCCACATCACTGTCTGGGCCAGTCGTGCAGGTCGATGTAACCTAGAAACTGACCTCCATTCTTCTGTCCATGGTAGCTTGCCTACCTGTAGTACTAAACACCTAGAAGTTAGACATTTACCACGTCTCGCTGGACACCTAGTGTTCACATTCCTTTCTTTTCATCAGTTCTTAGGTATTACGCCGGATATTGGGTATTAACGTTTCAAAAAATCGGGATATATTTTAGACAATATTTCTGGTATCAGGTGTGGTATATGACAGGATCACTCATCTAATGCAACTATTCTCGAAGGGTCTGAGATCATCATAGCTTACTCTCAGGTGCCACCCCACCAACAGCACCACTCATAAACGGTCCAGTCTCCTCGGCTTTGGTTTCAGCACCAGGGAGAGGCTCGGCACCAAATAGAACCAGTTCACGGCCACCTTGAGTGCTCCACCAGTTGACACAGTAGTGGGCTCGGTCAACATCCATCTCACCGACACTTAATGCTTCCCAGAAGCGTTCAACACAGACATGGCGCATAGTCCTGTCTGCAATAGTATTGATCAGTTCTGCCGTGAGGGGGAGCCAATCCTCCAGGTCCTCTACTCGGAGGAAAGACAACGAGTCTATCAGTGCCAGGATGAGTACAGCTTGCGCGGAAAGAGGGGGGCTAGCATCCATGTCGGAAGATGAGCTATTCCCGGCTGTTGGTGTGATTGGAGTTGTGGGAGCATTCAGTGCACGATCTCGCACCACTTCAAGTAGGATTGAAGGGAGCATTGGTTGGCTGTTGGCCAATGGCGAGGGGGTGCTGTGACCTGGATGACAGTCTTGAATGCGAGACGGAACTGTCGAGCGGACAAGTTTTCTGGGAACACCTGTTGGGGATCATCAGACATTGAACCTTGAATAGTCATGAAATTCAAACTTACCGCAAAAAGGTTGTCAATGTAGAAGGGAAGGTGTTTGGCAGCCAGCTCCGAATTGTGGGGAATAGCGAAGACCACGAGCACCACGCTGTGAGCGGCTTCGAAGATTTCCAGAAGAAGACTGTTGGCGCCAGCTGCTAGGTATGGGAATGCAGCAGATAAGAGCAGATCCTCGTTAGCCTGGGATGACAAGACTATAGGGAAATGTTCGGCAGTATTCAAGAAAAACAGATCTAAGCATCGCTCCACTGGGTGTTCCGGAATCTGACCAAGATCCACTGGCTTGATACTTCGTAGAAAATTCTCGGCTAAGTCAGGGTATTGGGAAAGAATATCTATCGCGGCCAAAAAGACGAAGCTCTGCTGTGACGATCCATTTTGGCCTGTGCGAGAGGAAACGAAATAGAGATTGCGTAGAATATGGAGGCATTGCATAGAAAGGTACGGGGCGCCTAAAGGAACGCTTTGTCAGTAGGGATTTTACGAACCATTTCCTAGCGAACTTACTGCCGTGGGCTGCGAGAGCGGGGTCATTGATTGTTCTTCCAAGAACTGCGCGGAGAACAATGACCACCGAATACAAGCAATTCCGAAGAAGCTTCCAGAGTGCCGGAATGGTAGTTTGTAGTGACTCGGCATCCAAAAAGTCTTTCTCCTCCGCGACGTCGATTTCAGATAGTTTATTTTGACGCCACTGCACCATCAAAGTCCTAACAAAATCGGCCATGTAATCGACCGTCTGCGCAACCAGTTGCGGGCTCTGGACATTCTCAACGGCATGCGAGATAAGCCGGGACAAGGGCCCCAATGCCGATACTAACGGGCGAGATGAAATGGTCGAGAAATAACCAAACGTCATAGTATCAGCTTTCCACCGGAATTTCTTCCCAGGAGCTTCGACTACATCTTCATCAATTGCTCCCAAAAAGAATCCACCTTCGAGTCCTTCGGGAGATAAGAAAGCGGATCTAACCATCACAGGCAACAACCGATCATAATTGATTTTATTTCGTTGCAGATCCGCCAAGAGCTCAAACGTGTAGTTCAGGACCATGATGATGCAATGACCATCAATCCCCGCTTCAGGATCCAACTCCTCAAGCGCCAATTGGGCTGCTGTTGCCAATGCTGACTCGAGCTTTGTTCGGATATGCCACGGGAGACCCTGTCGATTCTGTCCCTCAAATCCGAGGAGTATACCGCCAAGCAGGATCATGTGTCGCCAGCGGGGAGACTTGTCGTCCGCGCCCTGAACCACGGCCTTCACCCATGCTTCACGTTCGATGCTCCGATTCCGCCCATGAGGCATGCGGGGCTCATCAGTGGCATCGTTTTGCAGGACTGCGATGGCGGCGGTATTAAAGACGCTCATGAGTTTGCGACATGCGTGTAAATCGACCGGGTGGTTCCAGAGAGCAGGCGCGGAGAGGAGCTGCGATGCAAGAAGTGTCAAATTTAGCGGATTCCCAAGAATAGATAAAAAGCTCGTCGCTGTTGGAAGGAGACTATAGGAATGAAGGTATTAGCTATCGGCCATTGCCGAGCAACATATGGTTCGGGCGCAACTTACCCAGCCGCATCTTCGAAGCTGGAGGTCGCCTGCAGCGACCGCAGCAGACGGGCAAGCGAACGTTCAGTTGCCATGGAAAGTAGACCACAACTGGGACAGTAATGCCCACAAGGTCATCTACATGGCCTAGGGGAGGAAGAAGATGGGGGCGCCAAACCGCGGAGAACCCCAGTCCCAGCCGAGGTCCCGGAGTGGAGCCGCAAACAGTGCAAACAAGCAGCGTCATGCCCGTGGGCCCAAACATCTTGAAAGATAAATGCACTCGCGGCATTCTCCTATAAGACCAGGTCATGCTTTCGTTCTGCAGCATCACCAACAGAAGATGATTTGACCTTCTTTGATTTTGCAAAGCTGAGGAGTGCAGCATCCCGTCTTCATGGCTAGCAACCGGGTCCCAATCAACTACAACACGCCTTCGTTTCCCTCGCTGTACAACCCGCTTCCCTACCACCACAAAGAAGCTTATTATCTTTACTATACGACGGATATTTGGCGCTTCACGCTATACTGGACTTTGATTTTCTATGGAGTGACTCATCTGGTAGTCGCCGGGTGCGCTATACTCACGCATTTTCGCAATTGGAGCGTGATATGGCTTGTACCATTGCTGTATGGCGTGGTTGCCGGCTTAGAAGCACTGCTATCTGGGAGCATTGTTGGCGTAGTGTGAGTGCTAACCACACACGAGATACAATCCAAGCGACTCGCTGATCACAAATAGGCTTGGTTCACTCTATGAATCAGGGAATTTTAGGATGTCAACATGGGTGCCAATGATCTGGGGTGGAGTCAACGTCATGGTGCTCATTTTGACCAGTTTCCCTATGCAAGGTGGACTTTAACCTATGAGGAACGACATTTGCGGATTTTTTGGGAGCTTTGAAGACATCCGTTTTCATTTTCTATAATACATGGCCAAGGGAATTTGATATTTCGCAACGAGCGCCATCCACCAGATCCATGGTTGCCACCACAATGCATGATATATGTCCTGTACGCCGACCAAATTACACCACAGAATATCCTCCACGGGACTATCGACGTCCACCATCCGGCATTCCACCTTGGAGACCGGGCAGGCCACCCATTGCGGCAGCCATGTTTTGGAGGTTGAGATTGGGGGGCATCTGCATTCCTTGAGCCATCATTTGCTTCTGGAACTGCGCCATATCCATATTCATAGGCGGAGTCCCACCCATTACGGGAAGCATAGGGAATCCAGGCATCCCGCCGTTTGGAGGACCCGATTGAGGCGGTGGAGGCGGAGGATGCGAAGACATAATTGCAGCTAGGCGACCGGGGTCCATTCCACCCATGGCACCCGAAGGCGGAGGCTGAGCCGCACCAATACCAGGAAGCAGCCCCGGGGTATCGAGCTGAGGTGCACCAGGACCACCCTGTATTCCCGGAAGAGAAGGCCCACCAGGTCGTCGCTGGTCGACCAAACTGTCGGCCTCATCTTGCATTTCTTGTTCCTCTTCCTCGCGCATTTGTCTGCGGCCGAAGCCCCGATTCCACGTTCCTTGGGCCTCTGCAGCCTCCTCGCCGATGTGGAATCGATCTTTCATGTAGCTAGTCTCGCCAGGCCGAGCCCGCGACCAGAATCGAGTGAAATTGTCCTTCGATCCAGAAGCAAGAATGTGTCCCAGTGGGTGCCAGTCTAATGACCAGATCGTAGCGCCGTGGGCGTATTGAACGCGATGAGCTGGGTAGATAACTTGCGGCGGTGTATTGGCAGGGTCCGGGCTGTCGTATGGCGCCACGGTAGGGACGACGCCAGCGGGCAAGTTAGGCTCGTCGAGTAGATAATGATGCATAGAACCGTCTTCCGCACCAGTCGAAATCAAATTGCTGTGGATCGGATGCCATGTTAGAGAAGAGACCGGCTTCTCATGACCGCGGAGAATGCAAATATCCCGCATCATCCGCAAATCGAACACTCGCGCTGTCTGATCCCGCGACGACGTAGCAAGGAGGTTGTTGTTGACCCGCGAGAACCGAGTCGCGGTGACTGTGTTTTTGTGACTGTGAAGCGTTGTCAAGCATCGGGCGGTCCTGGGATCCCAGAACTTAACCTGATGATCCTTGGAGCCGGAAACCAGCAAGCCTTTTGTAGGGTGCCAGTCGCAAGATTTGACATCCCAGTTGTGTCCGGTAAGAACGGTATCGCAGGTTCGGGTGGTGAAATCAAAGATCTTGAGGGTCGTGTCGTCGGATGCAGAAAGGAATTTTGTATCGCTCGGGGCCCATGCTAAGTCTCGCACGGCGTCATGATGAGCATCGTCAATCGTTTCAACGTTGTTGAAGTTTGGGCGCCAATATTTCACGTCTCCTCGTTGTCCGCCCGAGATCAGCCAGTCTTGGCTATGAGCCCATGCTAGCGATGTCACACCTGCTTGAATTTGATCGTAGTGTGCCTGTAAAATGATTAGTAACCGCGCGAATCATTTGCGATTTAAATGAAAACATACATCCATCACCGTTTCGAAGTTAAACGCCGTGCCGTTCCAGAGCATGAACTCGCCGGTGTGGCCGCCGGTCAACAGCCGCCTGCCCTCTGGAGTCCATCGCACCACCACAATAGGTTTCTTCGATTTTCCGATCGATTGATGAAGGTGTCGCACGGGAATTGTGTCGGCGGGCGAATGGGTTCGACCGACGGGTGGAATCATCTTTGTGGATCGTCAATCAGTTTTCTTTTTCTTTCTGCTCTGCGACACAGCACTGAAGGAATCATTTGCATAAACTCACATCGACTGCAAAGCTGGGGCTGGGCCTTTCCACCTCCATACGGTTTTCACCTTGATATCGAGGTCGGCGCGTGCGCATCCACTGTACCATTGAAGAGCCATAATCAGTGACCAGTCCTGTGCGAGGTTTGTTAGTCTGCTAACTCAGCTTGAACAGCATGCTCGGCGGGGTGAAAAGACGTAGCACATACTTGGCCGACGGGGACCGACAGGGCCTTCGAAGTTCTTGTTATATCTGCCAAACTGGGAGTCGCCCCCATGCTCGTCGTAGAAGGCCATTGTGACCAAACCCGGGAGGAGTGTTGGAAATTGCAGTGGGTCGAGATCAGAGAATCATGACCAGGGGTATGGGTGGTTTGATGATGTTAAATAATCGGCAGGGAAGATCCCTGTGTTATAGAGTCGCGTCGTGAATGCGTTGGGAGGAAGGTCGCGGAGCTTTGCAGGTCGGGACTCCTTGGAAGCTCGACCGCCCCCGCTGATTGGTTACATGGATTATCTCGCGCTGCTTGCGCTATGATGCCTTGTTCTTCCCCGCCAAGTTCAACGGTTTCTAATTTTGTATTCTTATTTCCCCTCATCTTACTATGCCAGGAAGCCATAGATTCTCTATTACTTGAGGATCCGTTGTCTTTCTGGTTTGTAACTCTTCCGGATCATCCTTCGCTGGTCTCTTCACTTCGTCATCTTCCGCATTGACCCAGCTCGGGTCCAATTGCGCAATCAACCCACAGGGCTCAAGGACCGAAGGTCAAACTTCCTATTCTCTCTCAAGATGGTTTCCCAAACCCAAGCTGTGACCACAGCCCAAGAGCATCCAAGCTGTTCGGTATCGACCAATGGAGCTGCTTCAAACAAAGCCGAGGTCCAAATGCAGTCGAGTGGGCCAAGACGCAGCAAGTATCGTCATATCGCTGCGTATCACTCGCAACTGCGGCATTCCAGCCTTAGTAGAGACTCGGATGTGACACCTAGTTTTCTGGGATTTCGAAACCTGATGGTCCTGGTCCTTGGTAAGGAATGATGCTTCGAAGTAACACTTGCATGTGAATGTGGTAGCTGACAATGAATAGTGGCCATGAATCTACGGTTGATTATTGAGAACTTTATGAAGGTATGCTCACTGAAGAAAAACTAAGGAAGTTGATTGACCAGTTTTATCCTAGTATGGAGTCTTGATTTGTATTAAATGTCATGACTATCGCAAGCAGGACATAATTCTCGGGTCAATTCTCTTTGCTTTAGTTCCCTGTCATTTGTTTTTGGCCTATGTCATCGAGCTATCTGCAGCTTCTTCTGCAAAGCAAGCGGTAGGCCAACAGAAGAAGACAGCCGAAGAGAAGGAGCGCGATCAACAGGCTTTCCGCTCCACTTGGCCGTACACGGCTTTCCTTCACACTGTGAATGCCACATTGTGCCTTGCAGTGACCAGTTTTGTGGTCTATTTCTATGTTCATCATCCAGGAATTGGCACTCTGTGTCAGCTTCATGCGATCATCGTGTGGCTGAAGAATTGCTCATATGCCTTCACCAACCGAGATCTACGTCTCGCATATCTCAACCCGTCGGCTGATCCTGGCCTTCCGGACATATATGCCACATGTCCCTACCCCCGAAACGTCACCATCAATAACCTCACATACTTCTGGCTTGCTCCTACATTGGTCTACCAGCCTGTCTACCCTCGCTCTGCATCAATTCGTTGGTCATTTGTCGCGAAGCGACTGGCTGAATTCGTCGGATTGTCAGTTTTCATCTGGCTTCTCTCCGCGCAATACGCCGCGCCTGTCCTGCGAAACTCAATTGATAAAATCGCTGTCATGGACATTGCGTCTATCTTGGAACGTGTGATGAAGTTGTCCACCATCTCCTTAATCATTTGGCTTGCTGGTTTCTTTGCCCTTTTCCAAGCCTTACTCAATGCATTGGCGGAAGTCATGCGCTTTGGAGACCGTGAATTTTATACCGATTGGTGGAATAGTTCCAGCCTTGGAGGGTACTGGCGGTCGTGGAACCGACCAGTGTATTCGTTTATGAAGAGGCATGTGTTCTCGCCCCTGGTGGGTCGTGGATGGAGCCCTCTAGCCGCGAGTGGTATGGTCTTCACGCTATCCGCCATTCTTCATGAGATGCTAGTGGGGATTCCCACCCACAACTTTATTGGTATGGTCCCTGAATTTTTCTCTTTCAAAAGCTTAAACTGATCCACCCCAGGTGTTGCATTTTTTGGTATGATGTTCCAACTACCGTTGATTGCGCTCACGGCGCCCCTGGAGAAGATGCGAGACCCACTGGGTAAGACCCTCGGGAACTGTATCTTCTGGGTCAGCTTTTGTCTGGTCGGGCAGCCACTTGGAGCTCTACTGTACTTCTTTGCTTGGCAGGCCAAGTATGGCAGTGTTAGTCGAATGCGGGCCTGACTCTTCTTTTGACTGGCCCGCGTGTCTTGCTGACGAGGTCGTGAGGCCGTCCATAAAAAGGTCAGAGATCCATGATGCGGACTCAGCTTTCATATTTTGCCCTCATTGTCAAACTGCTGCTTCATTTTGCATATAGTTGTTATCTACGCCTATCTAAGTGTGACTTCGAGCTCTGCATCGGCCTAAATAGCCCAATTGAGTGGCACTGTGTACTATTCTATTTCATTTGTAATCATTTCCGGTTAGCGTCCCTCCGGGAAGGTAGAGAGCCATTGTTCCGAATCCCGCTCGCGGATCTCGGAGCTAGCAAGGTACGAAAAGGACAGGTCTACCACATCTACAACTGGAATGCATATTGAGTTCCAACCAATTATTAATCAAGGAGTTTGGGCCTTGACAAGCTCCTTGTGCATCGTCAGGCGTATGATCGAATCGAATAGTAAATTATCGAAACCGTGCGCGGAACGGATGGATTGATTGTGCCGGCGGGGACCAATTAGCCAGAGCCCCCCCACAGGTATAAAGGAGCCCCATTTAAGCTCTTTGGTCCGCATTATCTAAAACAACAATACTCATAATGGTTGCTATCACTATCCCCAATAACTACGGGTAAGTCGCCTCAACGGAAATCTTTTCCGATTTCAAGTCGCTCACACTTCTACCAGCGCCGTCATTGCCGTCGCCCTTGGCGCGATCCCTGTCCTGGGCTTCATCCACGGCAATGTGACTGGCTCTCTCCGCAAGCAGGCCAAGGTGCCTTACCCGCACTGCTACGCCTCTATCGAGCAATGCAAGGAGAACGTACGTCTTACCCGAGTGATCCGGTCCCTCTCCAGCCACTGACTATAGTTTGCCCGCAGGCCAAGGCTGAGCAGTTCAATTGCGCCCAGCGCGCCCACGCCAACTTCTTGGAGAACTCCTCGCAGACTATGCTTTTCACCCTCGTTGCTGGTTTGAAGTACCCCGAGCTTGCTGCCGGGATTGGTGGTCTGTGGGTTCTCTTCCGTACTCTGTTCATGTATGGATACGTGTACTCTGGCAAGCCTCAAGGCAAGGGCCGCATGATTGGCGCATTCTTCTGGCTGGCACAGGGTGCTCTTTGGGGCCTTAGTGTGTTCGGTGTTGGCCGTGATTTGCTCTCAATCTAAGTGGATTGGGATCATCCATTGTATTATTAACAGTTTTCCATACCAAATTGAAATGATACTCGTTTTCAATTGTTATCAGTGAAACATTGATTCATTTTATTAGCAGATATAGGGGGGCCCCTCTAGTCTAAAATACTACATGATCCGCCTGCATGCCAGATGGCATCACTGGAAGGCTTTTGTCGTCGCTCGCGGACCAGGGCATTTTTAGGTGCGGCTAGGAGAAGAGGAAATCTTCTCACAAGTTGTCGAGAGAGATATTAAGCCCCCCGCGTCAAGGTGTGAGGCCATTGACGGGAGATCCTTTCTCTAGAAGTTGCAAATTTTACAGAAAAGAGGAATAAAATCACGTAGAGCTTCATATTGATGATACGAAAACGGAACTCCTTTCTCCTTCGTTTTATTCGCAATTCATCTTTCTCAAGGATGGTACATGGTGAGAAATGAGGGAGAAATACTTCTGCCTGCACGTCATCGATATCATGCAGTAAGCCGTGATTCAATTGTTCTGTCTCCGTCAAATTCAGCAGTTAGCAAGAAGGCAATGTGTGACAACATATTGTTTTGTGTCGCGCTGAGACAAGGATTTCCCGGATTCCAACTCAGCCACAGTTAGCTTCATGTGGCTGAGGGATCCACTGTGGCGTACAGAAAAAGTTCCCGCATTGGCAATACAACGAGGTCGACAGCATGATAGACTCCTCAATCTGAGCATATCGAGTCGAATGAGCCAGCTGACTCTTTCACAATAAAAGCGATTTTCATAACAGGTGACTGTGATTGCACCTCTTCTGCACCTCTACCGTCCACACCCGCCACTTTTTATACCCCGCCAACCCCTCATGTCGTCCAAGTCGCAATTGCCCTTTGGCACTCGTGCCTCCAGCCACCCCAACCCGCTGGCTCGGAAGCTGTTTGAGGTTGCTGAAGCCAAGAAGAGCAATGTCACAGTGTCCGCCGATGTCACCACCACCAAGGAACTCCTGGACCTGGCCGACCGTTAGTGAAACGAAAAACTTCCTACTGGAATTTCACTAATTTGGACCATCAAATTTCCAGGCCTCGGACCCTACATCGCCGTGATCAAGACCCACATTGACATCCTGTCCGATTTCAGCCCCAAGACCATCAATGGCCTGAATGAGCTGGCCGAGAAGCACAATTTCCTCATCTTCGAGGACCGCAAGTTCATCGATATTGGTAACACTGTCCAGAAGCAGTACCACGGCGGCGCCCTCAAGATCTCTGAGTGGGCCCACATTATCAACTGCGCCGTCCTGCCAGGCGAGGGCATCGTCCAGGCTTTGGCCGAAACTGCACAGGCCGAGGATTTCCCCCACGGCTCTGAGCGCGGTCTGCTGATCCTCGCTGAGATGACTTCCAAGGGCTCCCTGGCCACCGGAGAGTACACTTCTGCCTCGGTAGATTACGCGCGGAAATACCCCAGCTTTGTGCTGGGCTTCGTCTCGACCCGTGCGCTGACCGAGGTTCCCTCGACCGTCACCGCTGCCGACAACGAGGACTTCGTCGTCTTCACCACCGGTGTCAACCTTTCATCCAAGGGCGACAAGCTCGGACAGCAGTACCAGACCCCGCAGTCTGCTATTGGCCGCGGCGCCGACTTTATTATCGCGGGACGTGGAATCTACGCCGCTCCAGACCCCGTTGAGGCTGCCAAGCAATACCAACAGCAGGGATGGGAAGCCTATCTGGCTCGTGTTGGTGCTGCCAGCCAATGAACAATCCTTAAAATTAAAGAATATAAACCTCAATTTGACCGATGCATGCAATAGCGCTTGTTCGTTCCGTTGATACCGCTTTCTCGGAGAGGTTCCGCATAGCGAATCGTCAAAAGTTTAATCGATTGTCAGCTCATTGTCGGACTCCACTGTATTGCATGTGTCAGCGATAAGATAGAGTAATGAGTCCCAGATAAGACAAGGCAACGTGTTATTGATGATGAGACACGATGGGATCAGATAAACACGCCACATGCGTCCGTCGGCAAAGCCCCGGGGCTACTTCTGTACGCCGAAAGCATCCATCAAACACGTCGGCGCTCTCATCCTTCAAAGTTGGCCCTCTCGACGCCCAGTCCCTTTTTTGTGCCCCGAGCTCGGCAATCCACCACTCAACCCCCTTTGATCCATCCCAGTAAATCAAATCTTTTGACCAACGACGAATCGTTCGGCGTGCGCTTCCTCTGTGGCACTGTTTGCCGATCTCTCCTCACTTCCCCTCTCGACAGAACCAATGAAGAGCTTCGTGACTGGTCAACCCCAGATAATCGGGTGCTTATCGCGGGGAGACCCACCAGGGGCCACATCTTGATAGGGGGAAGCAGGGAAGAGAAGGCTGATAATTACATAGATAACACCGCATTGGAATGTACCTATGTCACTATGTGCTACTAGCAGATGCGGAGATCTGCCCTTATTTACATGCCTCTTACCCTGCTCTGTGAGGGGGAACGTAGGACCTGTCCAGCTTTTCTTTTTCCTTCCAGCATCAGCCCTTGCCACTTAGCTATATACAAACATACCCCTCGGAAGGCAATTCCTTCACAAATTGAGCCATGGCGGAGGAAAAACAGACGATCGGCGCCTCTTCGGCCGTGGATGTTGAGACAGCCACGGACTTGAAGAAGAAGCATGTCGACCCGACACTGGAGAAGCACGCACACGATGCCGACGAGGCGATGAAAGCTCTTGAAGAGCTTCACGGCGAATCACTCGAGTTGGACGAGCCCACAAATCGACGACTATTAAGAATAATTGATTGGCACATGATGCCAATTATGTGCTGTATCTACGGAATGAATTTCCTAGACAGTACGTGTTATGAATACAACCCAAATTCACGTCACCCTGCAGCCGCTAACCAACAAAAGAAACTACCTTGTCATACGCGAGTATCATGGGAATCAAGACAGACCTGAATCTAGTGAAAGATGACTATCAGTGGCTATCCAGTCTTTTCTACTTTGGTAAATCCATTCCCCCTTTCGGGCATACAGACGGGTCTTCTAATCGCGCTAAGGTTATCTTGCATGGGAGTATCCGACCAACCGGCTGATGCAGCGATTACCCCTCGGGAAGTACTCCGCAGCCTGTATCTTGATGTGGGGACTTGTTCTGTGCTGCTTCGCCGCCGTGAATAACTATTCGGGCGCGATTGCTATTCGGTTTTTCCTGGGTGTTTTCGAAGCCGCCGTGACGCCTGGCTTTGCGTTGCTTACATCTCAGGTTCGTTGACTGCTTCTATGTTGGCATTGACAGGCAATACTAACATAGCTCGATCAGTGGTATACTAAGCAAGAACAAGGTAGCCGTGTGAACATTTGGTTCAGCTTCAACGGCGTCGGCCAAATTCTAGGAGGATTCATCGCATACGGCGTCGCAGTCGGAACCGCAAAGCATGGTTCTGCGATTGAGCCATGGAAGATCATTTTCCTGGTTACCGGGCTCTTGACCGTCGCTCTGGGACTTGTTTTCCTCTGGATTGTCCCCGATAACCAGTTGAATGCCCGATGGCTGAAGAAGGAGGATCGCATTTTGGCTGTCGCTCGTGTGCAGTCGAACCAGCAGGGAATTGGAAACAAGCATTTCAAGATGTACCAAGTCAAGGAAGCACTTATGGACCCGATGACATGGGCATTCTTCTTCTATGCGCTCATTGCTGATATCCCCAACGGTGGCATCACCAACTTTTTCAGTCAAATGGTATGTGGAGTCTATCACTCAGAGAAGGTTTGAGGTTGATCATGCTAAATCAAAATGGTATAGATTACTAGTTTCGGGTACTCCAGCCAGGAAAGTTTGATTCTTGGTGTCCCCGGTGGTGCGGTCGAAGTCATCGCCCTCTTACTTAATGGATACATGGGCTACAAGACCAATAACCGCATCCTGTGCAGTCTGGGTGGTCTCGCCTCCGCACTCGTTGGCATGATTCTCATCGTGGCCCTCCCCGAGTCCATGAATGTCGGTCGGTTGATTGGATACTACATGACCCAAGCTAGTCCCACGGCGTTTGTTGCTCTGTTGGCAATGATCTCGTCTAATGTGGCTGGGTACACGAAGAAGACTACCGTGGCTGCTTTGTACCTTATTGGGTACTGTACCGGTAACATTATTGGTAAGTGAATTCTCATCTGCGAGCCGAGAATGAACCTGATAACTAATCTGAATGTTTGTTCCAGGCCCCCAAACCTTCCGTCCGAAGGATGCGCCTCGCTATATTCCTGCGGAAATCACCATTATTGTCTGCATTGGCGTAAGCATGTGTATCATGCTGTTTGTTTACTGGTGGTATGTCAAGGAGAATCGGCGCAAGGAAGAGATTCGGTCGCACCCGGACTATGTGCGGTTGCAGAACCAGGCCTTTTTGGATTTGACCGATAGGGAGAACATGGATTTCGTGTATGCGGTTTGAGCTCAGACTATGCACTGGCTGGCCATGTGTAATAATTTCGAATAATCTGAATGACGACATTTATCTCGATTTAACATCTGACACCTGCGTATCAATAACCTTAGATCGAATAGAGTTCTGAAATCATGCCTGATGTCTGCACCCCTGGAGGTCATATCATACTGTATAGCAAGTACCCTCGGGAGTACTCTCCTGATGAATGCAAAAGTACGTGTTGGGAGAGGTGAACAAGTGGGTCTTAGGGACTAGAACACCGCAACTTGTACTTTCCATGTGGAATTGTTGAGAAAGTGGGCGGTGTTAGACCCCGCACCACAGACCTATCATTTCCAGGTTGGAAGCCACGACTCTACGAAAATAGATTAATAATAAACTCAGAATTATAGTCAAGTCCCTGTTTCCCCTACTGTAGGAACTAATGCATGAACCGTGAACTAGTGAAAACAAAAAGAGCGGTGCGCATTCTCGCCACGAGGCACCGGGGGTGTGACCTCAAACCCATGATCAGATTCATGATCGCCATATCCAGAACTGAATTTCCGCAAACTCTGAGAGAAACCCTAAATCTGCAGTCCAATCCGCTGTACACACAATGGCAATTCTTCCCCCTCCTTTTAGTGGGGCACAACCTAGGGCGGGGCGAAAGCTATCCTGTAAGTCTAAGCCCTTCTAGCTCGGCGCTTTGGGTTAAGGGGTAGGTATTCCCTAAGGGTCTCACTGCAGCGCCTGCTGTAACAGCCTGTCGGCGAGAACCGGTGGCAAGAGCATCCAATAAGCGCCCATTACCATGAACATACCCGAGCACCTTGCAGATTGGTCACTGCAGGGGCGTTTGGACATGACGATCCAGACCACGGTTGCTTTGAAAAGTGGAGAGGGTGCTAAAGAAGAAAAAAAACCATGAAAGCCCCCACTTTGTTTACTCCACGCTAAAATCAAGAAATAATATAAGGAGCGGTGAAGGCTTGTAAATAAGTCGAGTTGCGCCATTTTGATTTCTTTATTTCTTTGTGTGTATGCGTTTTATCGGTTTCTTTGCTTTTTTTTTTCTTCTATGCTTATTTATTTCCCCCACCTTGGGTGCTGCTGATACGTTCACAACCTTCCCGAGTGAGATGTCACAATGAGATCGGCCCTGGCCATCTGAGCCCTAATTTTATCGTGGGATCGTCACGCAGTTATGAATATGGCGTCCGTCACATGTGGCATTCACATGGGAGGTGCGCCGGCGGAAATGGCAGTCGCGCACCTGAATTTAGATCTCATCTCCAAACTGCCATCCGAACTTGCCATCACCGAGATCACTGAGAGATGCTCCACTGTGGACTTGTCGGAGCCCTCATCCCCGGAGATGGATATACCGAGGGTGAAAAGGATCGATCCACCCCGCTCTAGGGCATCTATCCCAGATTCACCAACACATGCCAGCCGATTTCGAGCTGTATCTGGGTCTCAGTCAACATCTGCAACGAACTCCATTCATCACTCTCGTTCAGCTTCACGTAGTACCGGTCGATCCCGACCACCAAGTCGCCATAGCTCTTTCCACTCGCCGCGACGACCAGTGACCAACGCAGGCATCGTTTCGGTCCCAGCTCGTGTGCCACAACAGGAGAAAAGGGAGTCCCTTTTAGCCCTACATCGAGAGTCATGTCGGCTTTTCCAAGACCCGCCGTCTTCAGTCTGGGTCCCAGAGGAAATGCGAAAAGGGCCAACAGCCTCCCCATCTCGACACGAACGCCGCACATCGTCAGAGGCAGGTACTTCAGGACCACCATCCCCGATCGCGTCGTCCTCATCTAGTCGCCGGTTTGAGTATGATCACCGCGGCTCTATAAGCTCGACCACCTCACCACCTTTTCTCCACTCCCGAGATCGGGCCAATACTCTCCCTATTATTTCCAGTCATTCCCACAGTCCATCCGAATCCTCCATTAACGTCCCGGCGACAGTAATGGAGTGGACCTCAGACTCAACCCGACGAGCAGAATACGAACAGATAGACCGCGCAAGCCGTGGTGTCCGTGGCCTCTGGCGCCGCGTCGCACCCCGCTGGTGCCACCGGGACTCACGCATGCCCTTCTTCGAAGAAGGCAAGACGAGCCGTGAAGGCAGCGTCCGCCGATTCCGCATGGACCTTCCCGACGAAGAAACCGAAACAAACACCCGAGACAAGCCCCAAGCGCAGATCTTAGACTTTCTCAACAAGAAACCTTCTCGAGATGGCCACGGTCGACGCCTCTGGACAGGTCGTCGGTCTAAGACATCTCTCACCTGAGCTCTTTTTCTATAGAGCCCTTTTATTACTATTATATTTCGGCCCGGTACGCCCGCACCGGTGCGACGCTTTTTCAACACACACACACACACGCGCACAACTTCCTTGCCTATGATACTATGATTATCGGACACCCTAATGACCGGGTTCCCATTGCATTCTGCATTGCGTTGCGTTGCCCTGAATACCCTTCGGATTCCTATGCGTGATTCCCTTTCTTGTTGGCTTTGTTAATTTTCGAGGCTTATCTAAGTCTCACGCCTTCCCTAGCCTTTATTGCATACTGCATGCATCTTTCATTGTTAGTCCAATGTTGCATCACTTACCCGAGAATGAGATACCCATCTGTTAATTGTGCTGTACATATGCACTTTGTACTGGTGTTACCAGTCGAGATTCAAGGAAATGTACGACCTATTTGAGTGAGAATATACCCATTACTTAGTTGACTGTGTTCATTGTCTTCGTCATTGTTTGGACATTTGCTATAAGTTAGCGAGTATGATGACTAAATTTAGATCAAACAACAAAGCTGAACCTTACTGTGGTTGCCAAGTCTTCCAGGCAGCCCTTTTCCCCATCACTTCTCCATCTCTTCCCGCACATGTATCTCCGAGCCTCGTATGGCGTACTCCTGATACCCCCACCGCTTTCAATTCTATGCGTAAGGGCTGTAAAGCATTGTATTCATAATACGATCGTTAGATTTGAGTAGTAAGTTTCACACGAGGCTGCCATACACAAGTAACGAGTCTGTCGTAGACAACTAACGAGGCTGCCGTACATAAGTGACCTTCACGCCTCTTCTTCCACTTTGGCAATTTCGAATCAGCTTTCCCTACCCATTTCTCATGTGGCGCCTTTCCAATTGACCAATTTAAGGCCAAAGATATAGTCCCAAGACTTCCTCGCATATCTAAAGACGACATACGCTCAATCTTCATGTATCATTGCAATGAGATTTCCTACGGAGATTTATGATTGTGTAAGTCTTGGAGGTGTAATAACATATGATGGTACCTTGGAGACTAAGATGCTATCTTCAGATCGCGGCTCACGTCGAGAGTGCCAGTAACATCAGATACATCGGATACCTAGATTGGACCCATGATGCTCAGCACTACAGCATTTGGAATGATGAAAGTCGAGCAAAATTGGCTACTCTTCGTTTAGTCAACAAAAGCTTTTGTTACAGCGCCTCAGTGCGCTTATTCCGACATTTGGATGCTACTTTTGGGTTGAACACAAAGATTCCACCACTCGTGTGTCTCCATAAGATCTCCCAAAGCCCAAATGCTATGCATGTACGTCATATCGATCTTGGATATCTCCCGGAGATTCGCACATCCACCGCAGAGATGAAAGTGTATGTGGAAGACCTATCTGGGATTTTATCTTCTTGCCTCTGCAGATTTTCGAATCTAAGGGCCATTTCCTTCGGGGGACCTCCAGCATCGCTCCATGAGGAGCACAGAAAGATCCATATGAACACAGTCATCACGGCGTTGCTCTACGCGCCACTTTCAAATCTGGTCGAACTGGAACTCTTCTTCCCTATTGCCAATGATTTTGGAAAGCTCTTCCCTGCCGAAACTAGCTCGCTACGCACACCAATTGAGAGCATTCTTAGGCGGCTTCGGTATTTAGGACTCTATGTTCGTGATTATACAGGAACTCAGGACCAGCGATATGATAAGCAGTCGGTTTTACCAGAACACGCTGCTCTTCCAAATAACGCCCATTCGTCTCATCTTTTCAAAATGGTCAAACTTGCCACCAATCTTGAATCTCTCGCAATAGCCAGCTCAGATTGTTTGATATTGGACGACCCCGAACTGCTACCCCAGAAGCGTCTAAGGTGTCTCAAGCTGAAAAGTCTGTCTATCTCATCTGATGGGCTGCTTGCTCTCGTGTTTCAATCAAGGGAAACAATGAGGTATATCAGTCTCTTTCAAGTACAGTTGAGCTCCGGGACATGGCAACATGTATTATCTGAACTATACCATCTGCCACATCTCCTCCAATTTTCTATCAAGTCTTGTGGCTATTCATTCACGGGAACCAGCTCTCATTTAGCTTCCGAAATTCCACCAATAGACTTTCCTGAAGCCATCGAGACCGACAACTCCCTCGACAAATCTGCACTTAAGACTTTGCGGTACCAGGTCAATTTGAACAAGATTGCTGCAGGGTTTAGCACATTCTTTGATTATTAGTTCCCTTACAACGACCATGTCTAGAGTCTCAGCTGGCACGTGAATATATTTCACGTTCTGACTGAGCCCCTAGCCGTTTTAGCCTGCTGTTACTGTCCGAGGGTACCATATTGGAGCATGGTATTAAGACAACGTGCTAATAATTGGGGTTCTTTGATCTTTAGCAACAATGCGTACCATTTGCCTCTATCCTTCTTTTACATATCGCCTAAGATTTCCCAGGATGTCTCCACGTAATCACTGGCTTTTTGTGGGCCAAAACTTGCGTAGCGTAATGCAGCAGCTCGTTCTAGCATCTGATGCGTAGGTCTCTCTACAGAAGACATAGCCAGACTGGGAGTGAAGGCCTCTAGGTGAAATGTGTAAGCTCGAAGAATACGTAACCAATTTATGGCTGTCTAGCCCCTCTTCATCACAGTACGATAGCAATTCTCAAAGAAGTATTATTGATAAGTAACTTCCACGATTTATCTATTTGCGTGCTTCTAATGAGTCTTATTCATGGGTCTGGGAAAAGAAATCGATGCCCAGAATAATTCGCAGTCGGGAGGAAGATCTAGCTGTTGATCGAGGTGGGCAAAGATAATGCTTCAGGCAACAATGCGCACCAGACAGATGAAAAAAGATCTAGGCCGTTCGAATCATTTTGCCTTGTTTCTGTCGCTAAAGCTCACTGGGGCCAGGATTAGCTTGGCGCACGCCTGGCATCGAGCGGAGACGGAAATTTCTGCGACATAAAAATGACCGGAGTACTTCCTATTCAAGTGCTATCCTGTTCCCGTGACGGAGCGATGCTGAAAAGTAGTGCCGCCATTGCCCCCTGAACAAGATCCATCTCATGTGCTATAATTATAATGACCGGCATATGAGAAGCCATCATCTGCAATGGGAGTGGAGTCTCCTTCAAGCTCCACCAATCATCCGATGGAGGATTTCATCGTTTCCTAGTCCCGGGGTCTTGTGAGCAGAAGGTTGTACAGGCTGACTTGCAGCTGCCCTAACATTGGTGCCAACCACCGGTTCTTGTAGTTACTAATACAAAAAGAGAATAGTAACACTGCAGAATCCCCAAATCGCTGAAGGGTGATGTAATTGAACAGGGATCGTGGTTTAGTGGCTGAAGAAGTGCATCGTGTCCAAGCGTCTCGGCAAAAGTGCCATGTGCCTGCATAATCGACAGGTCCACGGCTATTGTTTCCACATTAACCAGGACTTTCACGTGGCCCGCCCACGAGTATAGCACATGGAAACACGTTGACCAAAGAATCATGACAGATAAACTGGAAGATCGTAATTTCTTCCAAGGACATCTGCCGATTTTGTCAGTTTGCCAGACATCTTGAAACAAAAGCAGGTTCCAGGGGAAAAGGATCCACCGGGTGGATCGCGAACCGCACCCGCATCGCGGGACTTGATCGTGGTTCTTGATCGTGGTTCGCGAGATTAGATCGGCTAAACGATGTGGATTAGATGGATGACGAGGGTGCCCTGAAATGAAATCTCCACGCATTGGCCGCCGTTCACACATGCCATGAAAACCTAACCCTGAATCACATTTTCATGTTCATGCCGAGGATAAAGTAGACCTAAGTTTGGGTCATCCCGCAATACCCGCTGGACACAAAATCAAGCAGCCGTTGTTTGAAACTTTCGGTTGTCTTGAGCGAAGTGGGTACAAGTGCCGATTATTTAGTTCTGTCGATCAATGGGTTCCCCCCAAGTAGCATTCCACCCCTTCCGGAGTATCGGAGTGCCGGATGTGCTAAAAATCAAGATTAATGGAAAAAATAGAAACGTGAGAAGCTAGTTGTTTCATCCAATAGATGCATTTTTGGTCAGGGCCTCGGACTGTTAACGCACACGGGGGTTACAGGCTTTGTGACATATATTAAGCCTCCATTCCCCGATAGTCACTAGATTTCCCCCGTTTCCCCAGCGATTTTTAAAAAAATGAATTTGCTGTTTGGTTCTTCTCTCATGTGCCTGGCTCTTCATGCCGGGTACGCGCGAACAGAGCCTATTGCGCGCAGAGGTGCCCCCTTGCTTGATGCTTCATTTGACTATGTCGTTGTCGGTGCTGGCACCGGTGGTAGCGTCGTGGCGACGCGCCTAGCGCAACAGTCATTCAAGGTCGCCTTGGTGGAAGCAGGTGGTCACTATGAGGTTGAATCATTGGCAGAGGTCCCTGCTGCCGATGTGCTTCCGGTGGGATCTGATCCCAGTACATCGTCCGCCGTAGATTGGGGCTTCGTAACGAGTGGACAACCTGGAGCAAATGGACGGTCAATACATTATGCGCGAGGAAAATGCCTCGGTGGATCGTGAGTGCTCAATGACAAAAAGACCTTAGGACGCGAGGATTTGATGCTGACCTGACTAGATCTGCTTTGAATTTCATGATCTATCAACGGTGAGACCGAGACAACATTGCGATTTGGTATGATACTAATTCCTGTCCAGCCCGACGATCGAATCAATGGAACAATGGGCCAGCACTGTCAATGACAGCAGTTATGAATTCGACGCAGTGCTCCCATACTACAAGAAAAGCGCGAAATTCACACCACCAAACACGAGCCTGCGCGCAAAGAACGCAACAGCTGAATATAGCACCGAAGGATTCGAAAGTAACGGGGGGCCTCTTCAGGTTTCCTATGCAAACTACGCACAGCCCTTCTCCTCCTGGATGGAACTCGGCATGAACGCCATCGGGATCAACGACACACAAGATTTCAACCTGGGCTCATTGATGGGAGCGCAATACTGCTCGTCGACCATCGATCCTAGCACCGAGTTCCGCAGCAGCTCCGAATCTTCTTTTCTCTCCAACATCAAACCCTCGACACTGACAACTTATGACAATACTCTGGCTAAAAAGATTGTTTTCAACGACAATAAAACGGCGACAGGAGTCCAAGTAAAGGGGGCACTTGGAAACACGATCACACTTTCAGCAAAGAAAGAGGTGATCGTCTCCGCAGGTGTTTTCCAATCCCCGCAACTCCTCATGGTGTCCGGCGTTGGGCCATCGGATATTCTGGAGGAACATGGAATTACAGTTGTAGCAAACCGGCCCGGCGTCGGACAGAACATGTGGGATCACCCGTTCATGGCGCCTACATACCGCGTGCAGGTCAACACACTCACCAAATTTGCGACGAACTTGATCTACGCCGCGGGAGAATTCCTCGATGGAGTACTTACCAAAAACGGGCAATTGACGAACCCCGTTGCGGACTATTTGGCTTGGGAGAAGATTCCCGCGAGTCTGCGCTCTGGTTGGTCTCAGAGCACACGAACAGCTCTTGACAAGTTCCCGAGTGATTGGCCAGAAGCCGAAGTGAGCAACTTTAAACTTCATAAAGATGGATGATAACTGACATACAACCTCTAGTACATTTCCGGCGCAGGCTACATTGGAAACGTCTCCAATCTCCTCACCGACCAGCCCAAGGACGGGTACGAGTATGCCTCAATGTTGGGCGTATTGATTACACCAACCTCTAGAGGAAACGTCACGCTCAAGTCTGCTGATACATCGGATTTGCCAATTATCAACCCCAATTGGTTGGGTGAAACTGCCGACCAAGAAGTCGCCATTTCTATGTTCAAGAGAATGCGACAGGCCTTCCAGAGCGACGCGATGGCACCAGTAATCATTGGCGACGAGTACAATCCGGGTCCTGATGTACAATCCGATTCGGAAATCTTGGAGTTTATCAAGAATAATGTCATGACCTTATGGCATGCCGCTTGTACCTGCAAGATGGGTACATCTGATGACGATATGGCGGTTGTTGACTCTCAAGCCCGAGTGTTTGGAGTAGACGGGCTTCGCGTGGTTGATGCTAGCGCCTTCCCATTCCTTCCCCCAGGTCATCCCCAGTCTACTGTTTGTGAGTAACCCAAGGACTTGGATTCGATCTGACGAATTTGTTCTAATTTCTTTCTAGATATGCTTGCAGAGAAGATTTCGGAGGCTATCATTCAGGCACAGTAGGTTCTGGACATGATATGTGAAATAATATATACTTTGCTTTTGCTCCGGTCGTAATACTCAGATTCTTCAGCGATGTGTAAATAGATTCAGAACAACCTTTTAATACATCTTGAGAAGTACCGCAAATTCTCGCTTGGATCAGATATCCGAATCGTACTGCGCAACCCCCCTGAGAAATCGCTCCCGCATCTTATCAACCCCGGTTAGTTCCGGCAAGAAAGCCGGCCACGATGACCCACTGCACGCCCTGTCAACGACAGACCCACCTAGCCCGATGAAACACTAAAACCCTCCAGTCTGGAGGACTGGTGCTCAAGTTAAACACCAAAAGCCTCACAATGCGTCGAATCACAAGAGAAACAGGCTATGGGTTGAATGACCACGAGCTGAACGAACTAAGCACTACCTCTGAGAACCACGATGCAGGCGTCAGCCACGCATTCCCAGAGGGCGGACGTGAAGCATGGACTTCTCTCCTAGGTTCAAGCCTGATCATGTTCCCATCATTCGGGTTCCAAATCGGCAGTACGAGGTCCAATCCCAGTCAAAGAAGTCAATATCTAACCAAACGACAGTCGGAACAATTCAAGACTACATCAGCACTCACCAACTCTCGGACTACAGCGTAGGAGAGATAGGCTGGATTACGGCAATCCTTTGCTTCCTAACACTATTCCTAGGAGTGCAAGTCGGTCCATTATTCGACCGCCACGGTCCTCGACTGCTCCTAATGACTGGCTCCCTCGCCAGCGTAACATCCTACCTGCTCCTCGCCCAATGCACAAAATACTGGCATTTCATCCTCTGTCTCAGTATTCTAGGCGGGATCTCCTCCGCCGTCGTGACGACCGTTGCGATCTCTGTGCTAAGTCACTGGTTCTACCGTCGTCGGGCACTGGCCTCGGGTCTCTGTATGTCCGGATCGTCAGCCGGAGGTGCCATCCTCCCTCTCGCCCTCCGTAGTCTATTTGCGAAATACGGATGGACATGGTCGATTCGGATCATTGCTTTCATTGCGCTCGGATGCTATCTTTTGGGAATCACCTTGGTCAAGGGTAGACTGCCTGGTGGGAACACGAGTAAAGCGACGATCGACTTTCGGGCATTTAGGTCGCCGAAATTGTGCTTTCTGGCTGTTGCTGTGTTTGCCTTTGAGTTCATTATCTTTGGCTGTGCAGCGCTTTTACCGACCTATGTTCGGTATACTGGGTTGAATGAGGATGTGCAGTTTTATTCGCTCACGGTGTTGAATTCTATGACTCTCCTGGGCAGAGTGTTGCCTGGTGTCGCTGCCGATCAGGTTGGTCGGTTCAACATTCTCTTGTTCACGAGTGTCATCACCCTCGTGATTATGGCCGCGGTGTGGATTCCGTTTGGGTCTCGTGATGAGGCGACACTTTATGCTGTTGTGGCGGTGTTCGGGTTTGGATCTGGAGGTTGGGTTTCTCTTGCTCCAGTTTGTGCGGGTCAGTTATGTCGGACGGAGGATTATGGTCGGTTCTATGGAACGATTTACTGTGTTGCGTCGTTTGGAGTCTTGTTGACTGTGCCAGTCGGCGGTCAGCTTCTGCAGTCAACGACCCCTCAAGCGCTAGTGGGCTTTTACACGGCAGTTCTCCTCATTGGACTGGTGAGCGTTGCCATGTCGCGGTGGGCTTTGCTAGATTGGAAGTGGAAGTGGAAGGTGAAGGTGTGAAATCTTCCTGCAATACTGTATATACCAGACAAACCCAGTCTTTAAAAAATTGCAATTGCCATGTCCTGCAAGTGCTTCAATTCGTCCAAATTCTCAACATTCAAATCATAATTCCTCGGGACGCCAGGCCGATAAGAAACAATGCAAAAAGCGCCGGGTATATCAAAACAAGACCCCAAAATGTTTTTCCAGGCAAGCCTTTTTTCCTCCGACTATCACAGAAGATCAAAGTCATCCAGCTTCTCACGGTACCGCATGATGTTACGCTTGATCTTGCTGGAGTCAACCCAGGTAATGTAGTCCTCCACGTTGCGGGTAACCAGGTAAGCCGGGTCATTGACGACCTCAGTACCAACACGAACCTGGCCTTGCTCGATAAAAGTGGTAGCCTATGAACCAGTCAGAATCCTCCATGTGCTGGTCAATGTCCACCATCCAATAACACTTACAGCCTTGATAGTCTCAACCATTCCAGACCGAACCATCAAAACGGCCAATCGCCGCCGACAGAATGCCGAAACAGTAACCTCCCGCTCAACACGGGACAAACTCGCACCCTGCTCACGCGACTGCTTCAAGATACCCATGCGCCACAACTTATCCAACAATTCAGACTCCAACTTCTTGCGCACGGGGTCACTTTCCGGGTCCAGCTGGGAAAGTTTGTGGGCGAGCGATCGCATGGATCCGCAGAGGGAGTTGTATTTCTTGTAGTCCATCGGGTCTTGGAGGAGGTAGCGTTGGATGATCTGGTGTTCACGGTGATTGCCATCGGACTTGTAGGTGTGGAAGTCCACCTTCCGGAGAAGCCTGTTCAACTTGGTTAGATGCTGTCGTACGGACAATGGTGTGGGCTGTTTTTCCTGTACGGTGGCAGAACTCACTTTTTCTCATGATGCTTGAGTTGACGAACCATCTTGGCGGTCTAGTCGTTCCTATATTGGAGAGAATTGAGACAGCACAAGAGCTTGAAGTCGTCTAAAGAAAATCGGCGATAACAAAAAATTGTTATCTAGGCGGTCGGATTTTGCCGGTGCTGCTCTGCCTTGGTCACGTGTGGGCCCACTTTGGGTATAGTTACAAATTACGGAGTCCAACTTACCTTTACAACTTACATTTACGAGGTAGAAAAATAATGAGACGGCTCAAGTGTTACTTCCTGGAAGTTGTCAAGGTAAACACAAAGTCTACACATTATGGAAACTGGGAAAAATCAAACTCATAAATGCACACATGAATGACAGAAGTTCCAAGAAAAAAAACGAAAAGAAGTTATAATGAAGGAAATCGAACTTCAAACTTCATCACTATGCATAGCTCGTCAATCGAGTTGTATGTTCAATCTTTTCACTCAGGGCATGAACATTGCGCGCTCCCATGACATCCATCAAAGACACTTCTGCCTTCAGAATTTTGACGATCCAAGAAACAAACTCCATGGACGCAAGCGAGTCAATACGAGAGAAGCTGAATCGCTGGGCATCGATTTCAGAAGATGGAATTGCAAGTAAAGACGAAAGCCTCTCAACAATTCCCTCTGATATTAACTTAATAGCTTCAATCGAATTGGACGCGGCATGAAGACGAGTCGCAATGCTGACAATTTTCTGGTCACCTACTTCCATGCTCTTCGTCAGATTGGCCGTGCGCATATGAGTGAAAAGAGGAAAGTCGATATATGATGGCGTCGGGATGTTGTTCTTGCGGCACATATCCGCTGTCGGAAGTCCAAGCACCAGCTGAAATGGTGAGAGAAGGTCCAGTGCAGGTTCCTTCTTGTATCGATGGTCGATGAGGAATTCAACTGCTCCGTGGACCTCTTTCTCGCGCAGGAACTCAAACAATGTGTCTGTGTTCATTCGCATCGAGTCTCGATTCTCTGCAACCCATCCTACATTGGATACGCTGCCAAGGTTGATGCTGGATGCATTCATTCCCCGTGCAGTACGGTATGCAGCTAGTGCGTCTTGGAAAGTATTTCCAGCTGCATAATTTGACTGGCCGCGGTTACCAAAGATGCCGGCGACTGATGAAAGCATGACGAAAAAGTCTAGGTCCATCGGCAGGATTTCATGTAGGTTCCAGGAACCTTGTACCTTTGGGCGGATCGCTGTCTGCCAATCCTCAAATGACATGTTTACAAAAGCACCATCCTAGTGTAATGTTAACATCTTAGAACTAATAAAAGTTGGGCGGTTTAAGTATACGTACCCGCAGTACCATAGAGCCCTGAATGCATCCCTTAATTGGTGGCAATGAGGCAGAGCATTTTCCAATGATATATCTCAGGCGCTCGGCATCGGCAACATCACAGGTGAAGATGTGAAGTTGACATCCAAGTCCTTGCAGATTGGAAATCATTTCCCTCACAGGATCTGTAATGCGGCCTGATCTTGACAAGAAAATCAAATTCTTCGCACCGCGTGAAGCCATCCACAGGGCCAAACTTCTTCCCAACCCTCCAAGGCCACCTGCAAGAAGGTAAGAAGCCTGGCTATCGAATTGGTACGGTTCGATGATATCAGGAAGCACAAGGATCTTATCCGAAAGTTCGGGAACAACGACAATCTTTCCTTTCTTCTCGTTTCTCTTCACATCATCTGTGATTTCTGCGAAGTTTTTGACGGTGAAAGGTTGGGTTCGATTGATTTTGCCATCGGCATACAGGTACAAAGCATCACCAATCAGCCGACTGATGAGCTCTGGACGACCTGCCATTAACTGCTCAATATTGACATAAGCCACTGTCACGCATCTTTGCATTGTGGCTAGATCAATAATGTTATCAACTCGAGCAGTCTCGTTCGATGCATGGATGAAATGACCAAAAGGAGCAACACAAGCCAAAGACTCTTGCAAAGCCTCGCCAGTTAAAGTATTGAATACGACGTCAACGCCAATGCCATTGGTAGCCCGTATCACAGCCTTTGAAAACCCGAGATCTTTATTAGAGCATATCCGTTCTATTGGAATGCCATACTCAGAAATGAGGAAGTCCCGATCTTCAGCTGTTGACACTGTGGTGTAAATGGAGGCTCCAAGCAAATGTGCATATTGTATAACAGCTTGCCCAAGAGCCGTGGCGCCATTTTGAATCAAAACAGTATTGCTCTCATGTAGACGAGCTACCTCTGTGAGACCGTAAATTGCGGTTGCATAGATTGAAGGCAGCCCAGCGGCAATTTCAAACGGGACATTGCCGGGTATCTTGACCACACATGACTGGTTCACCCGTGCCAAGGTTCGGAAACAGTGAGGACTTCGCCCCGATATTGTGAAAACGACATGGTCACCGGACACGAAGCCCTTCACGGCTTGACCGACATCTTTCACGAAGCCTGAGGCCTCGTTTGACGTCAAAGCAAAGTCAGACTCGGAATCAAGACCAATGGCACGAATCTCCACTTCGACCTCAGACGGTCCAAGCTCCTCGTCATGCTGGTGATCTGGAGTCCAGCATAATTGACGTGGCTTCGACTCAGATGTCGAAAAATTTAACTCAATTGGCCGGCTCACGCCACCCAGGCAAACTAGCTCAGGAGCGGGTCCTGATGAAGGAAGAGCAAGGAAGTTGTCAGCTTCTTTCCATTCACGAAGACGACCAACATGAATAATTTTGTTCTGCAAAAGGTATTCAGCATGTTGTTCACGGGCATTTTTCTTCACGAATTGATGAATAGCAATCCGATGAATACATGTAGTCAAAACGTCCAAAGAATCTTCCGAAACCGTCAAAGTCACGATATTAGAACCATCTGAGTTTCTTTCCCAGCGCATCGTCCGCAACAGACCAAGGCTTGTATTGGACAACGGTTTGTCACGGGGGTCAGGTATAACCCACAAGATATTTTCACATTCTGTGAGTAACTTTCTCGCAGCTATATATTGGGACTCAGTGACCTGCGATAGAAATGATGTGTGCAGGTCAACCAAGGAAATGCAAATAGTATTTGGACCAAACACAGAATTCATTTCAGATAGCTGTATCGACGACACATTGGGAAAAGTGCCTTTTAGCATAGCTTGTAGATGAGAGGCTACAGGATCTTCTGCAGCTGACTCCGAAGTAAGGATGAAAACTTTTGGTCGAACTTGCGTTTCGACAAAGTCGGCTGTAGATATTAAGATACTTTGCCAAGTCAAATCTTCTTCTGTGGAGCTCGGATACTCAATGTCCACACCGGAGAATCCGGACTTATTGAGTAGAGTATTCCACTCTGATGTCGGGATGTATGGACACCATTTCCGGATGGGCTCGTCACCAAGCCACCATCCAGGGAGCTGGCCAAAGACAAGAGGGTACCACAGAAAATCCTGTCGGATTCCCTCTTGCATGATAAGCTGACCACCAGGTCGAAGTAAGGATCGGAGGTTTCGCAATGCTGTTTCCAAATTTTTGGTTGCGTGGATGACATTTCCAGCAAAGATCAAATCGTAAGAGCCCTCTTCAAATCCTTGGTCAAATGGACTTTTCTCGATGTTGAGGGGCTGGAACGACATTATGTCGCCCCAAGCCTGAAATTTATGCTTCGCCTTCTCAAAGAAGCCAGGCGAGATGTCGGTGAAGGTATATGTTGAGATGTTTGCTCTCGTGGCATCTTCCTCTGGTGCAAGCACACTGAAGACCTCCGCCGTGAAGCTCCCAGTGCCACCACCAATCTCAAGAATCTTCAACTCCGAATGCTGGTGACGAAGAAGAAATAGGTGGCTCTTCAAGTACTTCGGAAGATTATAGAGATGAAGTCCCTCTTGATAAACCCTCTCCATCACATTGTCTTGGCCAAACATCAGAGTCAAAGGGTCAACCTCTTTCCGAACGACAGCGGCAATATTGCGACCCATCCGGGCTGTGATAGCGCCTTCAGCGCTATGGCTCTCGAGCTCCTCATATATAGTCTGCTTCAACGTTGGATCTAGAGACACTTTTTGGAACTCAGGATATGGAAGATGGATGATATCATTATTCACAAGCATGGTCTGCCAACGAATCATCCAATCATAAAATCTCTTCATGTGAGGATCCAGGTTCGTGACATTCAAGCCATTGAGCTCAAGCAAGGCGTCAGTAACATAAAGCATAGTTGCCATTTGAAGTCGCTCAACCCAGTACCGATTTTCCTCGTTGTCAGTCTCTGAAATTGAGCTAAGCTCATTTGCTGTCGTGGACTCAAGGAAATATAAATCTGGCGTCCATGCAATAGCGGTGCACAACTTTCGCTTGTCATTCTCAATTGGTGTAGACTCAAGAGGCGTGAGCTCAATGCCATCCATCCGAATACAAGGCTGACCTTGGGGGCCCATAATTCGAATTTGGCCTTGCAACTTGTCAGATGCACCATTGGCTACTGATGCATACCCAAAGAAGTCGTGAAACGGTGCAGCGTTCAAGTCAGATGAAACCCACATATCCCGGATATATGTGGGCAGCCTAATATGATCAAGTACTGGCTTGCCAATCAAGTCAATATTAGCGGCAATGATCATGTGTATCATGCTATCCATGGTGGCTGGGTGGATTAAATGTGAGTGCATGTATTGCTTTGGCATTGATTGAACAATTTCGGGAACTGTCACCACACCAGTCATCAAGCCAAGTTGGCATCCACTATCCTTCACGCTATGAAGGTTTCGGAACAAAGGACCGAAATGAAGTCCAATCTCGCGCAGATCTTCGTATGTCTTTTCGAAAGTGATGGACTTGAAGCACCGATTTTGTGCTTTTCTGAATTCCTCCTTCCAAACTTGGTCTTCCGCACTCGCTTCACGGCCGTTGTCAACCGGGTCGGCGGATGATTTGTATTCCACCGCCACATAGCCATTGCAATGGTCAGTCCATTCATCGCTTGATTCATTGAAAGAGCTGATTTGGAAACGACGCCATGTTCTCAAGTCGGATGGTCCGTCTGTAGGGGTCATTGACAGGCTAATCTCGATGCCTTCCTTGGTGTCTGGAACCACCAAGGCTCTGTTGATGGAAACCTTCCGCAGTTGAATTCCAGTGATTTCACTTTCTCCAGCTGATTGTCGCGTAGCCTCAATGACCATAACAAGAAAACCCACTCCAGGGTAAACAACGTTCTTCGTAATCTGGGATTTTTTAGATTGGACGCATAAATACAGAATAGAATACATACCATATGGTCTCTCAGCCAAGGGTTCTCGTTCAATCGGATGAAATGTCTCCATCTTGGAGCTCTTGGATTCCAATCAGAAACAGGGGCACCAAAGAGATCATGACGCGGAAAATTTCTCGTGCGAAGGTTTTTGCTGGGTCTACTCTCATACAAGTTCCTCTCGGTGTGGTTGAAGCTGTACGGCGGTAGGTCAATAAGTAGCCTTGCTGGCCTGTCCAAATATATACAAGATGCAAAGTTAATTTTGTGCAAGTCTAGCTGATAGCCGTTAGCAGCCAAAAGACCAATTGTGCTAAGAAAACTGCTTAGACTTGGGTCACTTCGTTTCAGAATTGAGAAATATCTGTGGCCAGTGTCGGTGCCCTTTGGCACTAGTGTCTCTTTGATAGCGCTTTGCAGGGTAGAGTGAGGCCCAATCTCCACAAGTAAAGGGAGCGATCCAGAAAGATCTGAAAGATCTGATTCTGAAGATCTACTCATCACTTGAGATAGCATTGCCTTCAATCCGCTGGTGAAGCGAACCGGAGATACCATGTTGTCGACCCAGTATCGAGCCGTGAGACTCTCTGACTGAATTTTTTCTCCAGTTACGGTAGAAAACATGTGGACCAAATGTGGTACAGCTAATTCTTTTCCGAAGGACAAGTCTCCCATCAATTGGAGATATTCTTCAGCAATGAATCGCATGTGGGCGGAATGGTAGGCATTTTTCACGTTTAGCTTCCGCGCGAAAACGCCGTCACTGTCCAGCCGTCTCTTGAGGCAATCGATCAACGCCTCATCTCCGGAGACGGTGTTATTCCTAGGGCTGTTATAACAGGCAATTACTAACTCGCCGTGAAGCTCTTTGTGGATCCACTCAATATATGTTTCCAACTTTGAAGCACTCAGACCCACGGCCATCATCGCGCCGTTGGCTGCGAGTTGCTTTGAGGAGACATAGCCACGGTAGTAGGCGGCTTTCCAGGCTCCTTGCCGAGACAATTTTCCTGCGCTGTAAGCTGCAGCTATCTCTCCAGAGGAGTGGCCTGTCACGCCGACTGGGAATATATTCCAGCTAGCCAAAAGGTCCACGAGTGCCACTTGTAGTGCAGTACACAGTGGGTGCGCAATCTCTGGGAGATCTACTTTGGAAAGGGCTCCCTCGGCCAGGAACTCATCTTTGGAAAGGGTCAGCACAAAGTCATCTGTAATGGAAAATGTGAGAAAAAAAGGTACCGATAAGTGACCAGGGACTTCCTAGTCTGCGAATGTATTCCGATGCCTCTTCGAGAGACTTTTGAAACACTGGATAAATTAGAAGGGCCTTTCCCATCGCCGCGTATTGTGCACCTTGTCCAGTAAAAATGAAATGTATTTCCGATACATCGAGTGATCGAATTGGCTTTGAGAAATTACCCTCGGCCAGTTTTTTTGAGAGCTCTTTGGCTGTGGAGGCCAAAACGAGGCTTTTCCATGGAAACGCTGAGCGCCGCTTAGTGAGTGTAAAGGAAAAGTCATCCAATAGATGCTCAGTGTCACTGGGCTGGTTATTTTTCTGGCTCAGATAACGGGAATGTGTATCCGCAGCTCGCCGAATGCCGCCTTCATCGAATGCCGACAGCAATAATATTTTGGGTGCATCCTGAAAATCAGGGTATAGGCTGATTGGTTTCAGTCCTGCAGATAAGCAGGAATCATCGGCCACAGAGGACTCGGGTGTCTCAATAGAAACGCCACCGTCGGTCTCATCCGTAGAATCAGGGTTGCTGTCAAGCTCGGCATCCATGGTCTGAGATACGGACAGACTGACAGATTTTGGAACATTGGGATTGGTCCTGTGCTCAGCATCAAGGAGGCGACTTTGAAGATAGTGGAAGGCGTCGTCAAGGACGCAATGGGCATTGGTTCCTCCAATTCCAAACGAATTGACCGAGATCCTACGGAGTCCCTTTGAAGGCCATGGAATAATTTCCTTGGGAAATGCGATGTTCCATTCGGCCGCAGGGATTTTGGCATTGATCTCCTGGATATCGAAGTTGGGTGGAATGATTCCCGACTCGAGGATAAGGATGGATTTGATAAGACTGGCCACGCCGGAACCTCCTTCCAGATGTCCAATGGTAGACTTGATGGTCCCAACGTACAGGGGCGTCTCCCGTCGACACTTGAATGCTCTTGCCAGCGCCTCCGCCTCAATCGGATCACCTATGCTGGTTCCCGTCCCATGGGCCTCCACAAATCTAGTCTGTTCCAGATCAAGGCCAGCTCTCCAGTACACTTCTCTGATAAGCCTTTCTTGGGCATCCGCACTTGGGACAGTGAGTCCCGACGTACGACCATCCTGGTTGACGCCAGTTTCTCGGATCACGGTACGGATTGTATCGCCGTCTCGAATGGCAGTGCTCAAGAGTTTCAGAACCACTGTCCCCACTCCTTCCCCACGAGCATAGCCCTCCGCACGGGAGTCAAAGCTAAAGCACCGGCCTTGAGTTCCGAGTAGACCGTGATGGCTCATACCGACTGTCTCCACAGGATTCTCCAGGATACTCACCCCACTGACCAGAGCCTTGGAACAGAGCGCGAATTAGCTACCCGTCCCCAGTCACGTCATCAACAAAAGCTTACCATACTTGTTTCTCGGGCCCGGAGACTCTGCACAGCCAGATGCAGTGCGACCAAGCTACTGGAACAAGCCGTGTCGATGGTCATACTGGGTCCCTTGAAATCGAAGAACCAGCTGGTTCTGTTTGACAGAACGGCATTGACAACACCCGTGGGCTTGTACTTGAGGGCGGTCTCTGGATCGGAATTAAGGATTCCCAGGTAATCATGATTGAAACCACTGACAAAAACCGAGGTATTGGAGCCAGCAGCGGCAGCCATTGGAATTCCGGAGTTTTCCAATGCATGGTAGACGTTTTCCAGGACCAGGCGCTGCTGGGGGTCAAGAGTCATAAGTTCATTTGTCGTAATATTGAAAAAAGTTCCATCAAAATAAGCAGGATCCTCAGAGAAGAAATGGCCTCCTTGCACATGAAACTAATTTCCGAGTGTGCTATGATTAGCATGGTAATAATAGATGGATGGGATATCGGGAATTGGACCCACTGTGCCTCCATGCTCTGGATCCGGATGAAAGAACGCGTCCGCATTGAATCTTTCCTTCGGGATAGTCGACCAAGTTGATCGAGCGTGTAGCAAAAGCTCCCACAGGGCTTGGGTGGAGGTGGCCTCTTGAGGGAACCGAGTAGCAAGACCAATCACGGCAATGGGCTCTACCACATCTGGAGACAAACCGTCATTATCGGTGACGGTGTTCAGAGACCGCATTCTGTGAATATCAATGATGTAAAAAATAAAAGGATAATAAAATATGGAGGCTTGGCCTTTCTGAAAGAGACTTCAGGGTATGAGAATGGAGTGAAGTAATGAAATGTGGGGAGGATAGAATCAACATATAAGCAAAAAGGATATACACGGAGACATGACAACACCTAAGCACAGTCAGAGAACCAACAGTCCGTAACAAGAGATTGGTTGTTGGTAGGCAATCCAAGTACCAGAGTCGCGGTGCTCCATATACATAAATAAAGTTCGCTCATTTCTCAATGGGGGCGTTATGAGGCCGTTTTCGGGCAACCTGGAACAAGCAAATTGAATCAGAAGATACATAGTTTCCTCTGGATCATAATTTTGGGCCAACCAAATTCCATCAGACTATCAAATCCGGCACCTATGGCAAGACCTTGGTCGATCCCATGTGCGCCACTATCAACGGCAATCACGTTTTCCAAGACCTGCGCTTGCTTGAACTTTTGGATCGTAGTCTTGTTATGCTCCATAATCCATATTTTCGACGCCGATTGGTTAACTGTGATAGGGTACCGTCCGACACTCGCTCCACTACGGAAGATGTCATTCTATGCCCTACTTCAAGGATCATCATAGTCATGGTGAATGTTATTATCTGGTCTTTTTGAAACCGGAAATGAGCCAATGTATTGCGATAGACCGAGTCTTGTTGGGGGAAAATATCAACAAGGGGCTGTTCGCATTGCGGAAACAAAGAAATCGACACCGCCATTTATGAGCCTGGATACACGATTGACTCAATCCTTGTCGGACTATTGAGACTAGTCGCAATAAAAAGTACCAAACCATTGGTTCCTTAGCCATCCCATCTGTACCGAATCTACAGCGCATCAGGAATATGGCGGGTTTCCCCTTTGGTTTTGTTCGAGGAATTACTCCATTGGGAAGCAAAATCTCTGATTCATCAGATCTCCAGCCTAATGTCAAAGAAGCCAAGCAACTCTTATCGTCTAGTCATATACGGTGCCCAATGAAGTCATCCGCCATCCAATTTTCTTTGTTTTGAGATGAGATAGACTAGCTCGCGTAGCGCCGAGTGGATACGATCTCAAAAATCATATGTAGGACATGGGATTGATCGTCACATTTTAACTTTACCAGCCGCTTTCACGGGGCAGCCACTTCATGTAAGTGTCTTAATTCGGCTCATCGCATGGCCGTTGAGCAACACATCAAAGAAAGCAACGGGTGGGCCCTGTTGGGTGGAGCCGGGGGAGTTCGGATATGCATCTCCATATTTTTATAGTTAGCCTCCATCGGCTCAGCCTTGCTGTATAACGCAAAAAGCCCCCTGGATTAGGCTGGTACAGATGGACACGTTCGATTTCCCGGATTACCTCAAAATTTGGTCATTCGGTGGCGGTGGTATAATGCATTAAAGCGTATCAGAGAGGGAATTACGAGCCAGCGGCGCTCGATTTTGACCCAACGTGCACCACCTGGACAACATTTCGTAGGTCCAGAGTCCATGAAGCAATCTTTCCTCACCTAGTGACGTACCCGGGCAATGATTCTTGACTTTATGAGCATTGAACAAGCGGGTATTACGGTGGCGCTCTATCCGACGCCCGTGAGGCCCCGGGGTCATAGCGGGAATGAGGGATCCATGCTGATCGAGGAGCTAAGAAGTAAGTGTCTGCTATTAGCTGAGCTTGATCAGGGATACCTTGGTTATCAGGTCAACCGATAGGCATGATATTTGTCGGTTCCAGCGGTAGATGAGTAAATTCCGGATACGCCCTCGAGGCCTAACACACGGCATTGACTAACAGATTCATACCATCAAAAGACAATGAGTAATAAATGATGACTAGGTATAATTGCGAATGTAGCTTTATACCTTTAGTTGATCATATTTGTCCCTACGTTGACGATTGACATATGTATCAGTTTGATAACAGACCTTGCTCCGGTGTCGAATAATTCCGAGGTCATACAGGCAAAGCTACACGTGTGACAATAATTTTGAATTCATTACGTATTTTTGCTCTAGGATGCATGTGGAGGTGAATAGCTGAAAACATTTCTGGCTGAACCATTCGCCTAAGCTACCCCGACGCCTGTGAGAGGCCTTCCCCTCACTGTTCTTTTTCCTCCTCCTTACTATTAATAACATCAACTTCTGCTATCATAGCCATTCATTGTTATTAATAGGTGTACAGCTCTTGACAATTATCTTAGACACAACAGGTTTTTAGCACAGAAGAACAAGGAATTTACGGAGAAGAGAGAGATGATTGTCACAAAGGTATCCATTCCGTCAGAAGTCTCAACCCGTTTTCAGTAGTTGAGCTCTGCATACCTTGAACATATTGATTAGATACATAGTACGATTTGGAAAGGGTCAAGTGCGTCAAGTGCAGGGAAAAACCTTCTGCAAGACCAAATCACTCATTCGATGGCGCAATCGATCTCATCGACACAGAGACGAACTCGCCGTCGTCCTCGTCGGTAATATTCCACTGCAGGGAATACAAGTCTTCATAATCCGTTTTCTTGGCATAGAACAAGGACGTATACTCGCCGCTCTCATCTTCAACCAGCAGGAAATGACCATACCACACGAATTTGTTGGTCACCTCCTTATCAGTCCCAGATGAGTTGCCGGTAAAGCCAATCTGGTGGCTGGTCGAGTCTGAGCTTGGGACAAAGAGCTCCTGATCCGAGAATGACCTTTTTGTGCCGGTAGTATTGGCTGGATTTCCAACCATCGAATTTCCGGACGAGGAAGGGGAGACTGTGTGCAAAGGTCGTGTCAATATCCGTTAAGGATGCGAGGACTCGCAGGAGGTATTTAGTTCTTACAAGTCACTTCAGTGGCATTCGGAGGAGCCTTTTTACCAACGACTGCGTTACCTGCCCGATTCAATTCACATTAGTACCCAACTCGGCTCTACGATTCTTGTCTTGGTGACTAACCTTCGTTGTAGTACAGTGCAAATCCCCCCACGCCTTCACCATACGCATAAAGACTGTATGACTCGGAAGGTGAAGACCGCGACTCAACCTGAGCGGCAGCGGTAAAAGAGCCCAAGGCGAGGAAAGAAAGGATCGATACGGCACGCATTATGTGGGTAAAGATCAATGTGAAGGGAATGGGGAAAAGAATGGCCAGGGCGGTCTCGAGATGGATTCCGTCGGGCACGAGACGTATATACCTCGTTGCATATGTGATAATAGATCGATTAATTCTAATCGCTCGGAACTACTTTCCAACGGGATAGAGCCTACGTACTCACGACCTCCAACCGACCTCAGGAGGCTACATCGAAAGCAAGCCCCACAGGGGACAAGAGCCTTCTATATGAAGAACGGGCATTATGCGTAATTGTACAAAAAGGATCGTCCAAGGCAGTGAGATTCCCGCGCTATAAGTTGCTGATCTTGGCTTCATGGGGTTGTTGGTTGGGGGTGGCTTGCGTGGAAGTGACGCTGAGTGGATCTAGTTATACTTAGACCAAAGCTCGGCACTGGTCGGCAGATGTTTAACCTTGATTTGAACCCAATCACTTACTTTGTGCGCCCGTGAGTAAACGCGTCCGATGATTCCCAGTTTCTATTTTTTTCAACAAGTTGTATACCGCCGAGAATCTCCCGAATTTCAATGCTGTGTTTACTCCTGCGTTATTCCAACCTCCGTCTACATCGCTCTTCTCTCGAGGGCAACTGTAGGGCTAACATGAAATCCGATCATCAGAAGCTGGTACTTAGATGAACGATCCGCAGTTAATGGGGATTACCGGTCCCATATTCATGAATTCTCCAACCTCTTAACGCCATTAGATTTGCAATTGTCCTCCCCTGCCAAGAAAATAAACTTTGTGGGTGGAGCTGCCCGGCCGCGTAACTCGATATGAGTATAACCCACTTGACAGTTCCCGAACGCCGGTTCTCGTTGCAGTGGTACTAGAGAATAGCCCTTCTATTTTGGTGAAAATCTGTACTGCGAAAGGATCATCCGCCCTAATTCAATTCTAACATTTGATGATCTATCATGTCCTCTTTCCAATGACTTTTATTACCCCTCTTTGACGTTCTTTTTTTCTTTTTCCTACAATTTGTCGTATAATTGACGTGTCATTCGTTTATAATTCATCCTCTCAAAATCTTTCCAGCCCCAGAGTGCGAGTATATCATATTATGAGGCTCAATTCTGCTTTTTCATTGTTTTGCGCATTTGCTGCCACCGCAGCATCTGCAGCGAGTCTTTCTGGAACTCGTGCGTCAACTTTGACATCTAAATCTGCTCTCGCCTCGGCCTCAGCAACTTCCGCAGCCGAGCCTTGCAGTGCAAATACAGCCAGCACTCGCAGTGAATGGTGTCAATATGATATAAACACCGATTACACCACAGTCATTCCCGAAACCAATGTCACTCGTGAATACTACTTCAATCTTGAGAAAGTCACAGTTTCTCCGGATGGACGCTCACGTATGGCACTGGCCATCAATGGCTCTATTCCTGGTCCGACAATTGAAGCGAACTGGGGTGATTGGGTTGTGGTTCACTTGACCAATAGTCTGCCCAATGACATCAAGAACGGTACAAGCATTCACTTCCACGGTATTCGGCAATTATACACCAACCAAAACGACGGGGTTGTCTCTATCACCCAATGTCCTACTGCCCCCAACAATACCATTACCTACAAGTGGCGTGCTATGCAGTACGGTACGACCTGGTATCACTCCCACATTGGTCTGCAAGCCTGGGAGGGACTCTTCGGAGGAATCGTGATTCAAGGTCCTGCCAGTTCCAACTACGATGAGGACAAGGGGGTGATCATCATGAATGACTGGGACATCAACACCGTCGATGAGTTGTTTGGCACAGCCCAGATGGAGGGTCCTCCCTCATTGGACAATGCTCTGATCAACGGCACAAATGTCTTCGGAGAAGATGGATATGTCAACCAAACTGGAACACGATTCAATACTTCTTTCACAGAAGGAACATCCTACCGACTTCGTCTGGTAAACGCAGCATGTGATACGCATTTCAAATTCATGATTGACAACCACACCATGACGGTGATTGCCAACGACCTCGTCCCAATTACTCCCTACAAGACCAACGTGCTCAACATCGCAATGGGTAAGTTCACATGTATCCGCAAAATACGCATCGACCACTAACACACTCCCAGGACAAAGATATGACGTGGTAGTAACAGCCGACCAAGCATCCGTAGCCAAGAACTTCTGGCTCCGCGCAATTCCCCAGACCGCATGCTCAGAAAATCTATCCCCTCAAAACATCAAAGGCATCGTATATTACGGAGACTCGCCCTCGACTCCAACAACCTCCGAGTATAGCTACACAGACAGCTGCGATGACGAAGACATGTCCGATCTAATCCCCATCGTCACGGAATCCGTTTCAACTCCTTACTACAACAAATCTGAGCCCGTCTCACTAGGACAGAATGGTGGAGATCTGTACCGCTGGAAACTAAACTCTACATCCATGCACGTTGACTGGACGGATCCGACCCTACTCGAAATTTATCGTGGCCACCACTCCTGGAAAAATAGCAGCGGAGTTATCGAGCTCCCGAAGAAGAACAAGTGGGTCTATGTCGTTATTGAGACAACGCTTTCTGTTCCGCATCCCATTCACCTTCACGGACATGATTTCTATGTTATGGCTCAAGGAAGTGGAACATACGATGGTGATGTGACTTCGTTGGCTCGCCCGCCAAAGCGCGACACTGCTATGCTGCCATCGGATGGACATTTGGTGATTGCTTTCAAAACGGATAATCCCGGTGCGTGGTTGATGCATTGTCATATTGGGTGGCATACCGAGGAGGGCTTCGCTATCCAGTTTGTGGAGCGTTATGATGAGATCAAGGCTTTGATAGACTATGATGACTTGAAAAGTAACTGTGCCAGCTGGGACACATATGAGAGCTCGTCTAGTGTTGAGGAAGATGATTCAGGGGTTTGAGGTCCTGGGTGTCGTTTCCGGTGAGCTTTCAATACTTTCCAGTTTGTTGTTGGAAGCGTTTGGTGGCACAATAGTGGAATCGCTGCCCATAGTGAAACTGATAAAGTTTCACGTCCGCTCATTCCAATTGTTGTGTCTGGCAGGGACTGGGATTAACTAGAATTACCTTAATCATCCATATGTGACTAGTTTCTACTCTTGAGCATAATGCGACTCATTTATGTGAGGGTGGTGCCATATTCAACCTTACAAGTAGCCCAAATACGTACCCATGCATAAACTATAATACCTTGTCACACGATCACCACGAGTGTAAGCTTTGTCGTATGTATTCATGTCCGATACCATTATTACTTAAATACAAAAATGATACCAGGATCAATAGCCAATAGCAACGCATAGAGGGTACGTTGCAGGTTTCGAGGGATTTGAATGGCAACATCCACACAGCGAAGTGCAAGCTAAAGGCCAATGCGACTTGAAGTCAAATCCACCACTTAAGACTGGTTGTTGCAGGCAGCGTTGTCAGCAGCGCACTGAGCCATGTTGGCATCGGCACCAACGCGGCAGCTGTCGTAGACGTCGGCGCAGCAGCTGAGGTGCTCAGAGACACAGGTGGACATGTTGGCATCGGGGCCGACGCGGCAGGAGTTGTACTGAGTCTGGCAGTCGTCGTTGGTCTTGGCCAGAGCACCGGTGGCCAGAGCGAGGGCAGCGAGGAAGAAGTTGACACGGACCATTTTGATGGATTTTGTGAGGAAGTCGAAGACTGAGGAATTGAAGATTGGATTTGAGTTTGAGGGTTGAATGATTCCCCTGTCACAGGATGGTACGCCCTTTTATATGCCAAGGATCCTCACAACGTGCCCAAAAATCAGAAACACCTTTTAGGCTCCCGGCAATCGGGCTTTTTCGTCGGTCATTGAGCATGCAGTTGGTTGGGGCAGATCGTCTGAAACATAGTCTCTTTCTAGAAATGTCTTGGACCCTCAATTAAGAAAAGTCTTGGAGGTGACCCCGCGATGATCTCAAAAGGGTGCTTAGCCTTGCGGATCTCGGGTGGGTTGAGACATGTCTAAAAAGGAGAGCTCCACCCGGGATGCCGAGTAACCAGGATTTTGGCGGGGAAATTGACTGCATACTGATTGGGTCGAAATGACGGTGTAGAGAAGACAGTGTGATCTCCAATGCGCGCTGCTGGAGAAGCTTGACCAGATAGTTCTACATGATCAAATTGAACGATCGGGTAGACCAAGGGCATGATTCGGCGATTGAAGTAAACATGAGCAACTATTTATTCCCTATTAATTGAATTGTCTGAATACAAAAGTACGGGGTTTCACTATTGGCGATTAGCAACTCAATAAGGGGTTATGCGTTGAGCGCCCTATAGGGATCTGCGTTCAATAGCCGTCTTTACCGAATCCACCTTGGGAAGATGACCGAGGCTAAATGGAACGTAGTATTGAGGTCTTCCAGAATTCCATTACTAATGAATTCCAAACAGATGTCTTACGATGTTCGGTCATCTAAACCTGATATTTGAGTCCTGAAGAATTAAAACTTGATCATAAGACTCGGGAGAACGGAAGACGTCATTAACAAAAAAGAGAAAGCCAAGGGGAAACGTAGTATATTCACTAGCTAATAATTTCAGTCATCACAAACCAATTGGATATCATGTTTGTTCGCCATGCCCAAAACTCCAAAAACGTTATGAAAACAGTGCCATTGCTCCAGAGATCAACCCCAGAGTCACAAGTAAAAAAAATCAAAATCAAAATCAAAATCAAACATTAAACAATTAAACAAATGCTAGTTCACCACTGCTCGCAACGGGAAGGCCCCTGTTGCTGAGGTCGCGAATCGGAGGCGGCCGGTCCATGAGCGGCGCATTCAAGAAGGGATTATTGGAATTCTTCTGAGGGCTTGCTTTCCGAGACAAGTGTTCTTCAAGATCGGAGGCAATAGAGGAGCTGAGCGGCATAGACGACTTTTCCTCAGTCTGAGCTGCAGCCTTGGAGTGATTGCCTGATTCCAGACGGCGATTACTGCTTAAACTAGTTTCACTCCAGAATCGAGGGAGCGGTGAGATGACCCCACGATAATCCTGCGCCAAGCTAAGTTGGCTCTGACTCTTGCCACCTCCTTCAGCCAATGGGAACAGGGTCTGTGGAGGCTGAAGAGTGTGATACTGCGACATGCGGTTCTCGTCACCGTATTCAGAGACTGAGAGTGCAGTCGAGTGTGGACGTTCTTGAATCGATTGGCGGAATTCATCGGTGAATGTTGATACGGAAACTGTGTCTGCGCGGCTTCGAATGCTCCGAGCTCGTTCTAAGGCGCGCAGGCCGGATGCTGTGCGACGGCTGACCTGGGCAGAGAATAGTGGGTTGGCGGAGTTGCGGCTCTTCGCCCGGCTGTGGACGAATGCTTCTAAGGAATCGGCTTCCGAGATAGTTGATTCATCAGGCTCTACTGCACGCAATGTAACCCGCTTGTAGTTTTCAGGGATGCTGGATGCCATGCTATGTCTCCCTCGAGCGGCTGCAGGGGGTCTGGGGAATAGTGGTGTCATGTTCATCATGCTGCTGTCATCGCTCATCAATGAGGCCTTAGTACTCTGCCAGGACATATGCACAATTCCGTGTCCTGGAGGGCCGAATCCTCCGGCGCCATGCCCAGCGCCGCTAAATCGCACTGGCAATCCGGATGCCATCGTGGAAATCCCGCTCGACCTCTTTGAGTATCGCTTGGAACGAGATGACTGCATAGACTCGCGTTTCATGGCCCGTGGCTGGATTGCTTTCAGGGGCTCACGTCGCGAGCGGTTTGTAGATCGGCGGCGACGCACAGGAGGACTACTTGTGAATGACATGCGCTGATTTTGTTTCCTAGTGGGAGACTGCTTAGGGGGAGACTGAGAAAGTGGCTTGTCTTCCTCGCGGATCGAATCTCGCAGCGGAACAAAGGCACGCTTGGGAGAGCGAGGGGGTGGGTTTGGTGAAGGTATGGCAGTCATAGATTCTTCTGGTTTATCGAACGATGCCACGTTCCAAGCCGGTCCAAGCTCCAACTTGGGAAGATCAGCAGCAGGGGTCAGCGGACTCATCCAATCATCTGAGTTATCATCTTGCGAAATCCTCCCGGTAGCCCCAGGCTCGCAGTTTGGCATATCTGGTCTTGCCGGGCGTGGTGGAGGTGACTTGGTTGGGAATTGGCCCTCTTCCTCCACCTTAGGCAACTTGCTTCGCCGGCGCCAACAACAGAATAAAATAACCAGGCTCATGATCACCACAACGGGAATGACCACCGAAATGGCAATTACTCCGGCTTTTTTGTGAGAAGAGGCGGACTGGCTTGAAAAAGGATCTCCAGAGCTTGAATGAGTATCTGCTGGTTCAAGGACATCAATGTCAAAATCTTGGGTGTCCTCGGTGTTTCCCTGGTGTGCCGTCAAAGCCATACTGAACTTCTGTGGCTTGGCATCCGACGGGATATGGCCATACAACGTTTTATTGCTGGGGAAGTAAGTAAGCCAAGACGATAGTTCCTCGGGTAGATCAACGTCGAGTTGTACGGAGGAGTCGGTGACTGTGGACTGGTTGAATACAAATGTAAAGTCTTCACCAATGGTCGCTTCGCAGCCTTCAACGGTGTCAAGGAAAAGCTTCAGGAAATCCAAACGCACCATAAGCGCCGCCTGGTCCGAATAGGTATCCGTGACTGTGATTGTGATGTTTTGGTTGACTGCGTCTTTGGGAGGTGTGCCGCTCAGAGAAATTGAATCGTTATCCATTGACAACCAGTCAGGTAGAGTGGCGTCAACCTTGGCCACATCCTTGCTAGTGATTGGCGAGCCATCCACTGAAAGTAGGCTCTGAAAACCGGGGCTGGTAAATTTGTCGCCTCTAGTGAGATTGAATGTCTGCGCCGTTTCATTGAAAGCGAGTATATGTGGGCCAATCGAGAGCTGGAAGGTCATGTTCGCGGCGCTAAAGCCAGCCACATCGGAAGCAATGAGCTGGAATGTGAAGGTCTCAGGTTCAGCTCCTGGAAAGGCCGGGGTGTTGCCGACAAATTTGAGGGCCGCAGCATCGAAGCTGATCCATGATGGCAATGGGGCATTATTAGGCGATGTGCCATAGTATATTGTCGAAGGGTGGGTATTCTGGAACGTCGACGGATCAAATTCAATTGCGAACGGGCGGCCGGGGTGTATGAAAAGTGTCGCTGGGTATGAAACGGGTCCCAATGCCTCTAGTTGTGGTAGGAGAGGCGTGCCTTTGGTTGGACCTTGATCTGTGGTTACGATAAAGGTAACGTCCATGCTATCAGACTCTGCTCCATTCGAAGCGACTAGCTTGAAATTCTTGGACCCAGTATCATTCGATCCCGGAGTCCCAGATAGTACACGGGTACCATCTTCCACAGAAAGCCATGACGGAGCGTCTGAAAGTGAGTATTTGGTATCCGAGTCTGAGTTGGCGAAAGTACTGGCAGCAAACACCCATCGAAATGGCTGTGATACTCGTGCGACTGGAGGTAGTTGCGCGTTGATAGGATAATTGGCAGTAAGTGCGGCAGCATTTACTGCAGCCACAAAGGCCAGAACAACGACGAGGAAGGGTGCCATGTCCGGTCGAGGTGCCCGAAGCAAGCCGTGGGACAGTGAATAGACTTGAGGGGACACAGCGAGCACGGCCGAGGACAGAAATCACCATCTACACACCAAAAAGAAGCCCTCGGGTGGCGGATAGAGAACTCGGGGTTGATGGAAGGAGACAGAAGCCAAAGATGAGAGAAAACGCCTCCATGATCTCTTGAAAGGATATCAGATCCCTCCCGGGCCAAAGGGACTGATAGGGAGCCATTCAAGGCGTGCCCTTCCATGAAAGCCATGCCTGGATATGCTAGACGTCACTGAAGTATGCAGCGGAGTGCAGAGTGACAGCCGAGAATGGGGGGAAGCGCGTCGGGGTTCGGGGCTCACGTTTCAAGCAGCAAGGGGTGGCTCCTTCACCAACCAAGGAGCGCAGGGCCCAACCACTCCCATGATTTTTGACCCCTCTTCACATTTCCAAAAGGCCTAAAAGGTAAGGATCACGAACTAACCGTGCATTTGAGGGAAAGCCCCGTAGTGTGCTTCGGATAGCTGCAGGTGGCTTTCATCCATCACGTTCCAAGTCCAGGACCATTCGAATACCGGTCCGTCCAGGGGCATAATAGTCAGGGATCTCCTCCTGCTCCTTGAATCCACATCTCCCATACAATGCGCGGGCAGGTTCCCTGGCCTTGTCTACCCATAGCTGAATGTACTGGCAGCCCTCCTTCCGTAGGCGCTCCTGAATGTAGGACATGAGCTGTTGCCCTACACCCTGTCGGCGACAGGCTTCTATCACGCAGACCTTGTGTAGGAGGGCTACACCCTTTTGGCGCACGTACACTGCATAAGCAATGAGCTCCGGTCGAGTGCCCTCCTTAGCTTGGGTCGCGTATATGACTCGCGTGTTAGGCTTTTTTCTCCACAGCTCTTCTCCAAAGCCGAAAGCCTCATTGGTCGGAAATGTCTTTTTTTCGATCCTGGTTAATTGGGCAAGGATCTCCAGCGCCTCTTTCCTCTTCAAGGAATGAATGTCCGAGATGGTTATTGTGGGCGGCATTCTTGATCGCGCCGTTAAGATCTCAGCTCATTCCAACGTGTTACGGTCTTGAATGGAGCGGTCTCAGACGCGCCGCGCTTAAAAATTTGATGCGTGTGATTTATTTAGGGAATGAATTCCCGGGCTTGATAGAGGCGCAGTGATGCTACTCTGTAGGTTGATCAAGTCATTTCATGCAGGATTTGTTTGGCCCACTTGTACTGCCTCAGGCAAACACGTATCTTGTTCTACGAAGAATAGATTTCTTCTCACACGAGAAAGAAGAAAAAGGAGGGGATTGGAAAGACTGTCTATCAGGCAATTGTTAGAAATGGAGTAGCACTCGTCTTCTAGCTAATAATTGATCGGAATATAATAGGAAAAGCGATAGTGACCTCAATCTCAACCGTCCCGGTCCATGTAGTGCTACCTTCTTAACTCTTCGTCTCAGTTTTGCCGGTGGTTATCTATGTATCTATAGGCTCTAAATAATCACTTTAATCGGATCTCGACGTTCTTCATCCCGCAGTCCCCCAACCATGCAAGCATTCACAAATAACCCCTTCGCCTCAACATCCGGACGCAAGGACGCCTTGATAAACTCCAGGAGCACACACATAAGATTCCAAACTCCTCCTCCAGATAGAGAAACATTCTCATATTTCCTTTGCAACCCATCATAATTCACCCACTCGGTCCCCATTCCCTCGTGGATGTGCCCAAATACATGAACCCGAGGGCGCGCACGCCACACTTCCCGTAAAAGATGGACACAGCCCAGCTGAAGTCCATCTAGATGTCCCGCCGGTGGACAGTGCGTCACAAGTACATCGACATCCTTGGGGATAGTATTCGCCCAGATGTCCTCGGAGCGTGGGAACTGGAACGCTGGCGTACCGTGCTGCGGTGAATGTGAGCTACCGTAAATACGCAGCCGACGGCCATTAGCACAGAAAACTGTTGTTTCTGAATCCTCGAGGTAGATAATATCACCCCAGTCTAGCATTTGCCGCTCTGCTTCTGCAGTCGTTTCTGTTTTCGAGGATACTGGGTCTTGACACCGATCAAGAAGAAGGTCATGGTTACCAGCGATGACGATCTTCGTCGGGTGTGATTGTGCTTTTAGCCAATCCAAGGCATCCTGCATCTCTTTGAAGGAGCCAGACTGTGTCAAGTCTCCGGCATGGATAAGGATGTCCCCGTCTGCGCATTTTGGTTTGGTGTTATGTGTGTCGGATATGCAGATGATCGACACCGGGTTGCTGAGCGGCTGCGCAGGGATTCTCTCGCGCCACATGTATACATTCTGTGCTATGGAAGTGCACGGATTGGCCAGGAATTGTTGCCAGAGCCCTGGTCGAGGCCGATTAATGAGGGCATCAAGACCGCTATTCTGCCCGCTGAATATGCCCATGAAGAGATTGATGTGCGTATTTGGGATTTAATGTTTTTGATCAAACATAAAATAGAGCCATAAAATAGAGCGATGATTTACTCCATGTCCGATTTAAACAAGGAGAGCCCTGAAGGGTGTGGTTGATTCATTGGATCCCAATGCCGGTTCATGTGCAGCTTATGAAGTGCACGCGGAGTTTCCGCCCAAAATCCCCACCAAACAACCTTGGAATCCTACGAACCACGTCCTCCCGATATCAACACCAGCCCCTTCGCGTCTCCATAGACAGGCAAGCGTGGTCAGACAATATGCCTACGGATGCTGACAACAAGCGCCAGGCTGCGCGCGATGTCATCGATATTCTCGAGGATATCTCCAAGATCCTGGTGTGTATCCTAGTCCATCGCTCTACCGCACGGGAGTGACTCGTCTGAGACAGTTAAATGCTAACTCACGACCCCAGAACACCAACCTGAGCCGCACAGAGCTGTCTCTATGTGTCTCCCTCATTGAGAATGGTGTCAATCCTGATGCTCTTGCGGTAGGAGACCCCAGCCCGAGGATACTTGACGTCTGATCGGCAAATCAAAGATAGGGATATGATTTAAACTGACCATTTCTTTTGTGTAGGCCGTGGTTAAAGACCTGCGCAAGGAGTCTGCGAATGTCAATCGGGCTCAGTAGCGCCAGTGGTGATCTGGTGTGAGCATTGTACGACTATTATTGTTCCACTTTGGGACGTTTTGGACAAGACTGCTCTGATGGAGTAGTAGTTTGTCTATGGTTTACAGCGTTGATTGGTCTACGTGACCTGATCTGAGAGATACCCTTTTGTTTAATACTGTCCAGGTAATGGAGATCAAATCTTGGAATTGATTAAAGGCCGTCTAGGCTACTTTCTCGTTATCATAAAACTAGAACTTGTAATCTCTTCGGAGGTTGATGTAGTACCCCGAATCTGCTGGATGCGATGCGCATTAGTGGAAATGAAGGTAAAGGATGGCTCAGGAATTTGCAAGTCATGAAGATAAATCAAGGCCAACATAGGCAATATTCAAAGCAATTACACATGGTTCTCCGCATTATTTCGAAGAGTTCTCGGTCTTGGTGTCCTTATCCTTGGAGGCCATGTCACCGGACATAGCCTCGGCTGTCGCCTGCTTGAGCTGTTCACTCTCTGGTACGGTGGTCTGTTCTTTGGTCTTGGTTTCCTTCTCGTCATCGCTATCTCCGAGGCTGAATGGGTCATTCTCCGCCACGGGAGAAGGCTCAACGGTCGCCAAGGGCTGCCATTTGCTTGACTTGCCACCACTTGAGGAATTGCGTCCAGTATCAATTTCAGTAGGTGGTCCATCCTGGAAAGACACTTTCCGCCTGTCGGGGGAGGGTGATGATGTTTTCTTAAAGTTCGTGTTGGCCAGAGGGCGAGGTGGACGGGCCGGGGGAGCTGACACGATGTCGTTAGTCGAATGGGGATATGTCCAAATTGAATAGGATACAAACCTTCACCGTCCCTTAGTTCAAGAGCCGAAAAATCATCCCCTAGAACCTGAGGGTCTGCATCATAGCGCTCCCGATCTCCACTGCGACGAGCCATGTCACCACTTCGTCGCGGACGCCCATACGGCGCAGGCTGCTCCTGGCTTTGACTAGGCTCCTCATCCAAATCATCTCCATCAAGTCTCTTCTTGAAGTTTGTAACCCATGAATTGACCTTAGACTGCGTTTCCAAGAAGCCCTTGCGCAGGTTGTCACGAATCACCGGCAAGTCATCTGCGAATCATCCCACGGTCAGTCCTAGTATATTTGCCGGAAACCGAACAGGGGGTGTTACCATCAAAGAAGCTGTACTCCTTCTCCTCAGAATCCTCGCTTCCTCGTGGTTGGTGATACCGGGGGTCGTTCCGCCATCCTGGGGCCTGTCCTCGGCGTCCGGACGAGTTGTAATGTTCAGCCAATTGGCGAGCATACTGTTCGTCGGATTCTAGTTGGCTCCGAGCTGTAGAAGTGGCAGGTTGGGTAGGGCGAGGAGGCTTCGGGGGAGGAGTCATATCCTCCTGGGCAGTCGGATCCGTCATGCCTGTCCAGGTCAGTTCCTTGTCATATCTGTCCCACAGGATATCTACGGACCGAGGAGCGCATTGAATGCTCGTTCGACATTCCAATTGCTGGCGGTTAAAACCGCTTTGATTACCCCAGCGTCGATTGTAGGGAAAGCTTCTTTGAGCGTATTCTCTGCATGTTGTTTCGGGCTCATAGGCCGGGGCGGCTTCGGCGGGGCAGCGGGGGGAGTTTCAGTGGCGGTCTGTTGGGAAGGGGGGTTGTTGACCGTGGTCACGCCAGACTCCTGGGGCTCATCATCAAAATCTAGTGGTCGCGCAGTCGTAGGCGACTCAGCGCGGGGACTGTTAAGCGCAGGCATAGCTGCAGGTTTGCTGGGAGTGGACTGCAGATTATAATCAGCCTCCGGTTCAGAGCTGCAGGCAGAAGGGCTACATACAGTCTTCTCCTCTTCAGACATTTTGGGTGGTATTTGCGTATCGAAATCAATAAGAAAATCGGGCGACAACAGACAGGAGCAAAAAAAAGGGTTGCCTGTAGGAACAAGAGAAAGAGAGTGAGGCGCAGGCAGGAAACAATTGGGGAAGCTCTAAACAAGTGACGTGGTGCACGTGATGGTCGCGGGAGCTTTTATAGTCGCATGGAATCTTCTCTGTACATTGTTCTCACCATAGAATCTCAATTGTCATTTCAATAGAGCTCCGCGGTCACAGCATGCTGTGCTCTAATTCTTACATGGGAATTTCATGATCTACAGACTGAAGCAAGAGTTCAGTGTACCTTTGATCTGCGTCTGCAGAAAGAGAAGAAAATGGCTTCAGATCAGGATTTGTCAACCTCCTTCATTCCGGCCTTGTATAAACCAGCAGCACTTTTACCCATTGCACGTCACAAAGCAAGCCTCCTGTACCTGGTTGAGACATACCCGGTCACCATAGTGGTTGGTCAAACCGGAAGCGGGAAAACAACTCAACTCCCCCAATATCTCGATCAAGCAGGCTGGTGCGAGGATGGAAAAGTCATCGCCGTTACTCAGGTACATTAGAATCCAGAGTTATTGGGTGATATAATACTGACTTTTAATATCAGCCTCGACGAGTGGCTGCCACTACGGTTGCTACGAGAGTTGCAGAGGAGATGCGCTGCAAGGTCGGAGAGGAAGTAGGTTACTCAATTCGGTTTGAGGATTTGACCTCTGCTGCAACCAGGGTGAAGTTCCTCACGGATGGAATGCTGCTTCGAGAAGCCTTGGTAGATCCTCTATTATCCCGGTACTCCGTGATTATGGTCGATGAGGCTCATGAGAGATCCCTGAGCACCGACGTCCTCCTTGGAGTCCTAAAAAAAATCATGAAGAAACGTCCTGAGCTTCGTATTATCATCAGCAGTGCAACATTGCAAGCAGAGGACTTTCTCAAATTTTTTGCTGGGGAAGAGTACCAACCCGACGCAGAGCCTGCTGATCTTGGTGGGAAAGTTGGGAGAATTATCAGCATAGAAGGCCGGATGTATCCTGTGGACACATTATTCCTTGAAACCCCAGCAGAGGACTACGTTGAGAGGGCCGTCAAAACGGTGTTTGATATTCACACACAAGAAGCAGAAGGTGATGTGCTTGTTTTCTTGACAGGCAGGGAAGAGATCGACCGGGCAATTCAATTAATATCTGAACGAGCCGCATCTCTTCATCCAAAATCTCCTTCTTTGCTTTCATTGCCGTTGTATGCTGGTCTTACTACGGAACAGCAAATGTACGTCTTTGAGCCGGCGCCGGAAAACACACGAAAGGTGATTGTGTCAACCAATATTGCGGAAGCCTCAGTCACGATTGACGGAATCGTGTATGTTATTGATTGTGGCTTCGCCAAACTCCGGGCTTATAATCCCAGCAGTGGGATTGAAACCCTGACAGCGGTGCCAATTTCTAAGGCCTCCGCTACTCAGCGGGCCGGTCGAGCGGGGAGAACGAGACCCGGTAAATGCTTCCGCCTCTACACGCAACAGACCTATGAGCAACTGCCTGAAGCGACTATTCCTGAAATTCAGCGAGCAAACCTTGCCCCTATCGTCATGCAACTAAAAGCATTGGGTATCGATAATATTGTTCGATTTGACTTTTTGACATCACCACCTGCGGAACTGGTAATCCGGGCCTTTGAGCTATTGTTTTCCCTTGGTGCAGTTGATGATTATGCCAAACTCACCAAGCCACTGGGTATGCGGATGGCAGAGCTTGCGGTAGACCCCATGATGGCCAAAGTTTTACTTGCTGCGCCTGCATTCAAATGCTTGGGTGAGATTCTTTCTATTGCAGCCATGGTCAGTTTGCAGGGCACTGTTTGGGTGCAACATAGCGATAATAAGAAGGCTGCGGAGAGCCATCGACGCAAGTTCGCCGTTGAAGAAGGTGATCATCTCACCTACTTGAATGTATATCAAGCATTCGTGACCAAAGGCAAAAAGGATTCGAAGTGGTGTCGTGACAACTTGTTGAACTACCGGGCTCTACTACGGGCAGTCAGTGTCCGTGGCCAATTGAAACGGTATCTCGAACGCTTCGGCATCCAGGTTGACGAGACTCTATCATCTCACCAGCAGACCGCAAGCGGAATGCCAGAGCAAATTCAGCGGTGTCTTACAACTGGCTACTTTGCCCATGCCGCCAAGATGCAGCCAGACGGCACCTTCAAGACCGTCAGCGGAGGTCTTACTCTCCATGCTCACCCTAGTTCTTTGATGTTTGTGAGTATTGCCTCTACGTCGATGCAATCTATATATATTTTTACTGACTTGCTATGTAGAATCGAAAAGCAGATTGGGTGATTTTCCATGAAATCATGCAAACAGGTGACAAAACGTACATCCGTGACATCACAAAAATCGAGAAAGGCTATCTCTTGGAATATGCACCGGAATATTACCGGGTGACCTAGATGTATTCTGTTTATGGGAAATAAAGAAGTCGAAAGATACCCAGGCGTTGAAATTTAGGAATACAATAGAAATTTGAATCAGGGCATTTAACACAGCGCTTCCTTTCAATCTAATGTGGCGTTCATCCATCTATATTTTCCCCTTCATTGGTTCTCATTAAGCTCATTGTTGATCGACGTCACGGGATGTGGAGAAGCTCCGCTCTTCAGCATCGACCTTGAGATTTTGACTTCCAAGGTTCTCTCTGGTCTCATCATCAAAACTAATTCAACCACCCACTATGTCTGGTCATGACCACCACGACCATGGCCATGGCGGGCACTGCCATGGAGAGCACGATCACACAAATGATATTACCCCGGCTATCCAGTCTCTTCTCTACACCCAAATCGACTTCGATTCGATCAGTACTCTTAATGGTAAAGTCCAGTATATCGTGCTATAATACTTCCGCATCATAATTGTGGCTGACTGTTAGCAGAGGCTGCACCCAAAGCCGGAGCTGCAATCGTCCGAAAGACCTGGTCGGAACGACTGAGTGACGAACCTGAGCTCGAGAGTGATGCCGATGAGCAGCTCCTTATGTACATTCCGTAAGTCCTCTCTGCCTTTATTTGATATTACATTGTGCTCTCTTTGCATGCGGTTTTTGCTACTTGGAGCTTGCTGCAATTTGAGAACCCCACTATGTCCCTCACGATCGCCGAGGCATGATCAGATAAAAAAAAGCAGAAGCTAAATTAAGTCACCACCAGGTTTACCGGTCAAGTCAAAGTACACTCTCTCCTCCTGTACACTGCTCCCACCTCCTCCGCTCCCAAGACCGTTAAGCTGTTCAAGAATCGCGATGATCTTGACTTCTCCATGGCCTCAGAACTTTCTCCAACACAAACAATTGAAGTCCCGCAGCCACAAGCTGGAGCCGATGTCTTTGAGCTTCCTCTGAATCGTGCCCACTGGAACACCACCACATCTATCACCCTTTTCTTCGAAGACAATTGGAGTGATGGAGAAGAGGATGTCACCAAGGTAGGTTACGTTGGGTTCAAGGGCCAATTTATGGCGCTGAACCGGGAACCTGTGAGCTTCTTGTACGAAGCGGCAGCCAACCCCAATGACCATGTCGCTATCCCCGGTGTTAATGGCGTCGGAAATCATGTCATGCCTGGCCAGTAAGCTTCGGGTTTGAATACAGGAAGGCAAAGAAGGCTTGATAGATGAATCGGGTCCATATCTCTTGGGAAGCCAATTGAGTGTATTAACGATATCTACATGCCAAACAATAATGAATGATGATAAGAATGAAGTTACATTAAAGCAAGCCACCAACGCCATGCAATGATTTGATCAAAGTTATGCAAAGACAAAAAAGCTATCATGCAGCTAGCGCGGCTGTCCGGGTCTTCGTTTTGGACCTGGTTGGCTCCGCTGGGCCCTCTGCCTCTGCCTCTTCTGGTGTAGGCAACTTATTGTTCGGGGCACTAGGCAACTTCGGCACAACATTGGGCTGAGTCTCGCGCTGCAAGGCCTCCAATTCTTCCTCGACGTCGTCTTCGTCCTGGTTTGTAAGATTGCCCTCGAGCATTTGGCTTATTTCCTAGAGTTGAATCTCCGTTAGCCCGTTCTATAAAACAGCGGAACAGCAGTCTTCGTACCTCTTGATAAGCGCGTGCTTCCGCTGTCTCTCCCATAAGTCGCTCCACGCCCTCGATCCCACCCATCTCCTTGTTGATCGCCTGTAGAACCTCGGTACCCTGCTGCAAGCCAAACAACACGTCCTTCTGTACGAGCGAAAACTCCACCTGACTGGCTAATTGCTCCAGCTGTGCGAGTTGGCCATCAGTCTTATCCAATAGTGACTCTTGATATTTCTTGCGCCTCAACGCGAGTAGCGCTCGTCGCCGATCGTTCTGCGCCAGGCATTCTTTGGCGATTTCGGTCTCGCGGTCGGTGAGGACAGTGATACGTTTCCGATATTGCTTTAGCTTATCGCGCTGGTTTTTGAGATCAAGGATCGCCCTAAATTTTCCATGAGTCAGTCACCATTTGTCTAAGAAGATGGTGGAGCATGTATAGGAGGGGTCTCGTGAGGGGTCCATATGCTCTCTTCCTTTATCGGGGGCGGCCCATCCCGAATGGGTTCATCGAAGGGGGGTTGAAGATAGTAAAACTCACCGGTCCTGAGACGAGATCTTCGGTGAGCTGCTGGTATTTCCCATTTCGCATTATATTGTAGAGTTGAAAGCATTCGAGTTCCGCGGATGACGTTGGAGTCCACCGCTAATGGGCGGCCGCTAAACCCCGAATCGTCCGATTAATCTTTCCCGCTCTTTTCCCCAAATCTTTTTTTTTCTGGTTATCGCACTCAAATCTACACCATGCCTCGGCCTCGTGCAGGTAGACCGACCCTCAGCCAGGGCTTAGACCGTGATGTATGACTTCGATGTTTTAGAATTATGTCTCTTTGTCACCTTACTGACGCCTTGTGTAGGTCTACCAGGTCGTGCGCAAAATTATTGACGATCAACCCGAGACCAGTCGCATTCGCCTTTCTGCCCCGGCAATTTATGAACAGATCAAAAAGTCCAATTCGAGTTTAAACCGCAGACCAAAAAGGCAACTGGAAGACAGCCTGGAGCGCGTATTGGAGGTGGTCAAAGCCGATCTAGGCGGGGACGATGAGGAAGACTCAGTGGAGGGTGATTTCGAGGGTCTAGAGGAGCCGCCTGTGGTGGTAAGCGATGCTACAGAATGAGCTTGCCGGTCACCAGAAGACTAAACAATGTCATTTTAGGAAACCAATGGCGTCAACCAGAGCATCGTCGGCATGTGGAATACCCCGAAGGCAGCTACAGCCAAAAAATCCGAGTCGTCAGGCACATCCTCGAAGAGAAAGAAGGAAGGCGGAGAATCAGCTTCCAAAAGACGCAAAGCCGATGCGGCGGTCGACCGTTCCCCTCCTACACATGTCAGTTTGGCGGACTTGGGTGGCTTGGACGAAGTGGTGGAGCAATTGGGCGACATGATTATCCTGCCCATGACTCGGCCACAGGTTTACATCTCGTCAAATGTACAGCCGCCGCGTGGAGTGCTGTTACACGGTCCTCCAGGTTGTGGTAAGACTATGATCGCAAACGCATTTGCGGCAGAGTTGGGTGTGCCTTTCATTTCAATCTCTGCTCCATCCGTTGTGTCTGGCATGTCGGGTGAATCTGAGAAAGCTCTCCGCGAGTACTTTGACGAGGCTAAGCGCCTCGCTCCTTGTCTGATTTTCATTGACGAGATCGACGCTATTACACCAAAGCGAGAGAGTGCTCAAAGAGAAATGGAGAAGAGAATTGTCGCCCAGCTTCTTACTTGTATGGATGATATCTCTCTGGAAAAGACGGAAGGAAAGCCCGTTATTGTTCTTGCAGCGACCAACCGCCCTGACAGTTTGGATGCCGCATTACGTCGTGGAGGTCGCTTCGACAAGGAAATTAATATGACCGTTCCCTCAGAGCCTGTCCGAGAGCAAATCCTTCGGGCCTTGACCAGAAAGATGCAGATGGCGGATGATCTTGACTTTAAGACTTTGGCCAAGAGAACGCCTGGTTTTGTCGGTGCTGATCTCAACGACCTTGTCTCCACCGCAGGTGCCGCGGCCATCAAGCGTTATCTGGATATCCTGAAGTCCAACAGTGGGGAGGAGATGGAAATTGAAGGAGAGGACGAACTTAGCCCCAGGGTCCGAGAACTTCGCCGTCTCATCACGCACGCTAGAGAGAACCCGATTGGCGACGAGACAGAAACCGTCCTTGTCTCCAACGCCGACTTTTTCACCGCACTTCCTAAGATCCAACCCTCCTCCAAGCGTGAAGGCTTCGCCACTATCCCTGATACCACTTGGGCTGATATTGGTGCCCTGGGCGGTGTCCGCGATGAGCTTTCCACTGCCATCGTTGAGCCGATCAGAACTCCCGATATCTACGAAAAGGTCGGTATCACTGCGCCCACCGGTGTTCTCCTCTGGGGTCCCCCTGGTTGTGGTAAGACATTGCTGGCCAAGGCCGTGGCCAATGAGTCGCGCGCCAACTTCATCAGCGTTAAGGGTCCTGAGCTGCTGAACAAATTTGTCGGTGAATCTGAACGTGCCGTGCGCCAAGTGTTTGTCCGCGCCCGCTCTTCTGTTCCTTGTGTAATCTTCTTCGATGAGTTGGATGCCCTTGTTCCCCGCCGTGACGATACTCTTTCCGAGGCCTCGGCCCGTGTCGTCAACACCCTCCTCACTGAGCTCGACGGTCTGGGTACCCGCCAGGGTATCTATGTCATCGCGGCCACCAATCGTCCCGATATCATTGACCCAGCCATGCTCCGTCCTGGCCGTCTTGAGACTCTGCTCTTCGTCAACCTCCCCTCGCCACTTGAGCGTGTTGAGATTCTCCAGACTCTTATCCGGAATTTGCCTATCGAATTCAACGACGAGCTACGGAGACTCGCTGAGGATTGTGAAGGTTTCAGTGGTGCGGATCTTGGATCTCTATTGCGTCGCGCTGGTTACATGGCTATCAAGCGTCGTGATAGTATTCGGATCGAGGACTTCGTGGCTGCGAAGACTTTCGTTCGGCCCAGCGTTACGGACATGAAGAAGTATGAGAAATTACGGAGAGACTGGAGCGGTAACGGTGGTTTGGTTTGAGACCAGAACCTGGTTTACATGTTCGCTCGTGCAAGTGATATCGAGCTGGTTTTGGTTATCTTCTGGGTACACTTTTTTAGACATAGATACCCTGTGAATTTGCAGTACATTCACGTTGAGTAAATGAAGCAAATTCATCCGCCTAATGATGAAATATTTTTCACGTACCCTATAGAAACCTATTGTATTGCAAATACTCGAAGATAAAGGTTGAAAACTGGATCAATGATTTGTATCTCTAGCCTCTGGTTTTTGAAAATATTTTCAAAAGTACTTTTAGGACAGTATGGGCTATACAAAAGAACTATGCACACATACAATAGAAAACGCCATGGATAACATAAATAGGAAAAGAGAAAAAGATATCATGTAGATGAGCCCCGAAGCAAAATTACATCCACAACCGACATGTACCATCGGCACCAGCACTGACACACCACGCTTCACGCGGGTGCCAGTCGATATCCAAGACACCCAACTCTCCAGTAATCTTGTGACCCTTGAGAACCTTAAGCGGAACAATGGTGGCGTTGCTAAGCATGTCACCAGTGACACTGCCGTGGAAGATCTGGATAGATCCGTCGTCACTGGCATCCGCGAACAAGGGGTAGCGACCACCAGGGTGGAACTTGACGGCACGAATAGCCTTGCGGTGGTAACGGAGAGTCTTGTAAGGGCGGGGCGAGAGGTCGAGATCGTGCCAGAGCAGACGACGATCGTACGAACCGATAATGATGTTATCGCCGCCGGAAGCAGTCGAGGAGGTAGGGTGGATATCGAAGGAAGAGATCCAGCGCGCACCAGGCTGCAAGATCTTGACCAGCAGTTGTCGTGAAAGGTCGTATGCGCGAATGGAGCGCTGGTTGGCAACGAAGAGGATCGGCTTCGAGGGGTGGAAGTGGGCTGTCTGCGGGGGACCACCACCCTTGAGACGGCGTCGGAAGGGGAATTGAGTGAGGTGTTTGGAGACAGTGTGAATGGAGATGGCCACCGATGCCGGGGTCGAGGCACCGGAGCAAACGGTGACGAAGTAGTCACCACGACGGTGCCAGGAAATGGACTTGGGCACGTAACGGAGAGGAATGACGACGGAAACACCTGCATCAGCCAGGGCAGATGAAGGCCGGATCCACTGAACGGGCTTGTTGGCCTTCTTGGCCTCAACGGTGTTGAGAGCAGGGGCAGATGCTGCGTAACCCCAACCGGCATCGACGAGCTCAAGACTGGCCTTCTCGATCTCGGGGTCGGCAATCGGAGGCACTGCGAGGTAGAGATCGTCTCCACAGGCGGCGGCAAGAACGATGGCATCCTTACCGGGACGCCAGCTGACCACATTGACAGCATCCTCATCACTCAGCTTGATGCTCCAAAGTTGGCGACCAGTCAGGAGTTCCCAAACACGAACGGTACCATCATCGCCACCAGTTGCAAGCCAGATTCCAGTCGGGTCCACAGCGAGCGAGCGAACACGGCCCTTGTGTCCACGGAAGACTGTCGCGCAGGTCGTGGGGAAGGGCTTGAGCTCTTCAGGGCTGGGAAGCTTGGGAAGAAGGCTTTCAGGATCGATGTTCAGCTTGCTGCGACGCACTCTGGGTGCCAGGTACAGATCCAAGCAACGCTCGAACTTTTCCTTAATAAAGTTCTCGAAACCTGGGACACGACGGAGAGAACCATAGTCATTGGGCAGGAATTCCTTCTCACGATCTTCGGGGTCTGTCTGCTCCCACTCCTTGCGCTCTTTCTTATCGGGCAGATACTCCGGGGGCGGGTGATAGCTCTCCTCGTAACCAGGCGGCGGGAGCTTGGGTGCCGGGATGTGCATGATGTGATCCTTTCGCTCGACCTCATCGGCCCAGAGATCGAAGTTGACCACGGTATCATCCTGTTCCTCACGCTCCTCTGGTGGCCTGTATGGAAGAATGCGGCCCTCACGGATAGCCTTCACAATCTTCATCACACGCTTAGCCTCATGCTTAGATGGCACGAATCGGCGCTTGGGTTCCGGGGCAGCGCTAAGTGGCATGATCTCCTGCTTGCCAGAGAAGTATTCCACCAGAGGCTCATATTGATCATATCCCTCGCTAGTGATCTCATTCATCTGCACCTTCTTCAACAGTTCTAACTCAGATTGACTCAAGTTCAATGGCTTGCCAGTGGATGGGTCGGTAAGACCGGTCCAGCCCTTGGGGATCTCGATGCTGTCCAACAATGCATCCAGCGCTTCACCCTTGGCCGGGCGCATAATCTTCTTTCCATTGATGTCGTAACCGATGTGAGGGTACTGGTCGTAGAATGTCAAAGGAATGTCACCAATAGTGTTGGCATTTTCCTCTGCCTCCGAATAGTCCGAGTTGTCGTCAGGAATGATTTCGTCGTATAGGTAGCGGTCGTTTCCATTGGCATCCTTCACGATACGAACATTGGGGTCGTCGGCATTGGAGCGTTTGACGGTCTTTTTCTGCTCCTTCTCGTCTTCGTCATCGGATGGGATCTCGTCGCTGTCCAATTCCTCTTCCTCATCATCTTCATCGCTGAAGTCGTCAATCAGCTCGATTTCGGAATCGCTCTCATCTTCGCTCTCCGAAAGTTCGTTGTCATTGTCTGAGAGGGCGCCATCGAGATTCTCCGCGCTCAATTCATCACCTGAGAAAACCCCAGCTTCCTCCTCCACATCACGAGTAACAGCCTTGCGCTTCTTTGAGGCGTTTCGGGTGACCATGATTGCCGTTTGAGCTTGAATACTTTGATCCGCGATTTTTTTTTTCTTTTCTTTTCTGTCGACTCCGCTCACCGCCCACATGACTGCCCCCCAATCTTATCGCGTATCGACGATCGCTGATTCAAAGCTCAATTAATTGCTTGTTTGTCTTGGTTCTGGTGTTAGGCAATGTCAAGTTGAAACGCCATGACAGACGTCAGAGCATCTGCGCCTAATGGCGATTCAGCCATAAGTGCCGAACCAAAACGGCATGCGGCTTGTGATGAGTGCAGTAAGTTTAGGAAACTATTGCTATCAGATTAGCGCTGATCAGTATTCAAACAGGGACACGAAAATTGAAGTGCTCCGGAGATCTGACTGGCTGCTCCCGTTGCTTGAAACAGTCTATTCGATGTCATTACTCCATACAGAAGCCTATGGGCCGCCCACCGAAGAGGAAAGCTCGCGCAGACGAAGAGACACCCGATTTCTCGACTCAATCCAATAATAGCATCTGGCCTAGTCCAGGCAATACATCATCAAACTCCTTTCTTATAGCTCCGGACCCCATTGCTGCCACCGATGCACTACATCTGTGTCCCCAACTCTTCTGGCAACCACATAGTCTCTCGCCTTTATCACAGTCCACGCCGCCCGATCCATTGGCTGGAGATGGAAACCAAAACCATAGTCTTCAGCCAGACAGGATGAAGAACCCCAACCTTCCTGTTCCCACATCTTCAAGCCCTTGGCCAGACTTTTCCACTGTGTCTCAGTCATCAGCCATGCCCTTCGCATCCTCAACAAGCCTCTCCGATATACCTTCTTTTCCACTGACCCCGCAATCTCTATGCTCCGACTCCGCCCCGCCTCAGTGTACATGTCTATCATATCTCTACCTCTGTCTCAGCCATATATCCTCTATTGCTTCCTTCCCAGTCAACAATCATACCCTCTGCTCCCTTTACATCGCGGCTCGAACGGCGCGGGATGTCATTCGCTGCGAAGCCTGCCCCCAAAATTTCTCGTCAGGCGTGCAGAACGTCATGTTTACCGGTACGCTATTGACAGTCGTTGCAGATGCCTGGCTGCGAGTGTACAATAGCGATCCTGTCGAGCTAGGCATGCAATCTGCCCCGCCAGAATATGTCTCCCACGTGCTGCAAAGCGAGGATCCAGCACACTTGTGGAGTAGCTGGCTGCGGCAGATAGTGCGCCGAGCCGTCATTGGTGGTCCCTATGACCCGAATGTTGAGAGCCGTTGCTCTGGCCAACCACCCCTACTTGGTTTAATCAATGAGGTTGAGAACCGGCAACGGCGCTGGCATGAGCCTGGTGGGCATCCATTTCCACAAAACCCTTTCAATTCTTTCAATGGTGCTATGTCGGAGGAACAATCTACTGATGAAAAGGAGCTGCTTTGTATGCGGGTTGTTGGTAGTGCGCGCGCAGTCATTTCGAAATTCAACTTCGAGCCCCATGAATTTCCTGAAGGCTCGGTCCCGGAGGCATCTAAACAAGAGAGCGGTTAATCGTTTTGAATAAGCATAAACATGGAGTTTGATTCTGGTTGGAGGAATGCGATTTCTTTTGATGTGATTTTCGTACTCAAACGACTCCACACAGATTTCCTCATGGTGGACCAATCTACAGTACCCTCCAGGGAACATTCTGCTACAATTTGAAGTTCCAGTGAAATCATCGATCATTTCATTACATGTATAATTTTTGGTATCGAAAATGGCAAATACGTTAGAAACTAGCTAAGTCCAGATGGACTCGGTATGCCCACACCTGTAAAATGACGCCAAGGCCGTGAAAACCAGATGGAAAGAAGAAAAGTGAAAAAGGAGCTGGACGAAGTGGATGGGATCACTCCTCGTCCTCGTCGTCCACAACGTACCGATTCTTCTTCCGGGCTGGAGGTGTTCCACTACGAGGTGCCTCCGTCTTGCGGGCAGCTTTGGCTGGGGCGACCTCGTCATCTACCTCGCCCTCCGCATCCATATCCTCGTCTTCCAACTCTTCTTCCTCCTCGTCATCAACTTCCTCGATATCCTCATCACTTCCAACGAGGAACCCGTCGTCCTCGTCATATTCGTCCTCACGAGAACGGGCACCACGACCGTAGTCTTCTTCATCATCGGAGTAGATTTCACCGCGGCGATTAGGACGGCGGGGCTTGGGGCGAGCTCGTGTAGCTAGGCCATCATCTTCGAGACCACCAACACTGAGGCCGCTTGGACCAGAGCGGGTAGGTGCACGGCGGCCACGGTCTGCTTCACGATCCGCAAGCTGTTGGCGACGACGCTCAGCCCGCATGGCCTCCCGCTCCATATGTTCCGCTTTTCGCTGGGCCAGTTCGGGATCCTCAATCGTATCAATGACAGGTGCCGAGCCATCAGCAGTCTTCTTGTTACCACGGGTGGCCGCGGCCAAAGATGCCTGAAGTTTGAGGACCGCGTCGTCTGTCTCCACTGTTGTCGGTAGAACTGTGAGGCCATGTGTGACATGGGAAGTCAATCGGAAGAGCGAAGCAGTTTCCACTGCAGCACCGAGGTAGACGTGTGAGTCTAGCTTGGTATCATACTCGCCGGACTTGTTGAGGGGAGCGAGGGGTTTGGATGCAATGCGATATTGCTCGAGAGGGGCGTGTGCAAGTTGAAGGGTTAAAGAACCATCTTCCCATCGGATAATACGGGCGTTTGACTGTAGAAGAGATCCATTCTTGGGATCTTTGCGCCAGCAGAGTGATGTAGCAGCGGTGGCATAGGGAGGCGCAACGTATGTTTCCGGGTTGAACTCCTCCGCCTCGGTCGAGAGGAAGTCCGGAACTCGCATGGTGTAGACCTGTCGGCAATAATTAGCTTAAGCGTTTCCCATGCTTCAAACTTTGATCTTCATGTACCTCTCCATCATTGGTCGCTGGTACTGGCGCCCGCGCAAGGCCCACGTCCATGATGTTGACTGTCTCGGCATAACCATCCTCATCGGGAGCCTCGTCCATGCGGTCTTCGCGACGATCGTAGCGGTTCTCGTCGTCACCAGAATCCAGTTGCTCATCCTCTAAGGTGCGGCGAGGCCGACTAAAGTGACAGTCAGATTCATTGCGCCTTCTGTTGGTCTGAGAGTGTTCCATACTCGTTTTCTCCTCCATCGTCATCTCCGTCCGAGCCGAAGAGATCCGCGTCGTCATCCTCATCCAGATTGTCATTTCCTGCCCCATAAGGGCTCTTGTTCTCGTCGCCGGAGTCATGAGCATTGCTGTGAACAGGACTTTGCACGCCGTTGCTGCGGCCGGGGCGGCGGACAGCTTCCTCGTCAGAAGAGGACATGTTTGGGAAGATGCTCGGAACCAATTGCAGATAGCAAGATCAGAAGCTATCGTGAGGAGTAATATACAAAAGAAAAAAGGAAAGAGGGAGGGAAAAAAGGTGATCGGGAGCTCATTCACTTTTGACGACTCCATGCACTGTATTGCGGACTCTGGGCGGATCAACACGATGATCCGCGGCCGGACCCAAAGGAGTCAAGTGGGACCCGTGGGATTCATTCGGGCATCTTTCACCGTTCTTGACCTTCAATCGTGTCTCAGTGTGCAATTGATTGGATTGGATTGGATTTTATACAGACACGACCAAAGTCTACGAAAATGGCAACTTTCTTCCAAAGCGTGTAAGTTTATGGTTGATGAGGCTCAAGCCCAGGAAATATGGTTTCTCCTTGAAATCGAACCTCATGCTCTCTGATGTTCCCCCTCATATACACTCTCTACTTGAGTCGCGGCGTCACATCAGAAAGGCACATTCCAATTCCCCTCCAAACTTTAATGTTGAAAATGGCCCATTTGATCATGTTTTCCTTTCCCTCCAATACCCCTTTTTGCTTTCCTCAAGGGACCCCCCTAGTAACCAGCTGACCCAGCCCCGGGCCTATTGCTAATGTATCCTCCTTTTCGCAGTCGCCAAGGGTTTGGCAGGGGAGGAAACAACAAAAACCAACCCCCCAAGAATCCCGCGCAAGCACCACAAGACCCTCGTTCCGGCACGATGTCCAACTCGCCCTCGTTATCCAACAGCTTAACTATTGATAACCTCGCCGCAAATGATCCCGATGCCCCCAAGTACTTCTTCCAGGAGAAGTACGCCCCACTCAATGTCAGGGGTAACTTCTTGACACTATGTGCTTGCCCTAAGAATGTCGAGCTGGGTGAATGGTTGGCTCACCAGAGTAAGAAATTCCACCACGATCCAAAATCTCGCGGATCGGTGCTGACGCGATGGTCCACTAGTTGTCGAACAATATCGCTTGCTCCACGGTATGCTCCAGGTGATTCAGGAGGTGAATGGCGTGACCGGAATCCCTATTTGCAATGAGGGTACATGCCCGACAATGTCTGCTGGACGGTATGTTGAACACTGCGGGGTAGTGAAGGAATCCGGGGTTGACAGAACTGATACGCGTCTCATAGATTGACCTACACCTGGCTTGTCGACGGCCGCGCCGCTAAGATCTCGGCGCCGAAATTCATCAACCGTGTCGAGAAGTGGATTGTCAGCAAGATCCATGACCCTGTCATGTTCCCCACCGAGAAAGTGACCGGCACCCCCGAAACCTCCGCCATCAGGGATGCAGCAAACGCCTCAGCCACCCCCACCACAGAAGGCGCTAGTCCCGCAGCAAATGGCAACGGCGCTGATGAATGGATTGGCAAGTCAAGCGGTTTCCCCCAGACCTTCTACAAGGACTGCCAGGGCATCATGAAGCAGATGTTCCGCTGCTACGCGCATCTGTACCACGCTCACTGGTTGAACCCTTTCTGGCATATCAACAAGCATGACATCTTGAACATGTGCTTTGTGCACTTTGTGACCGTGGCCAAGTACTACCAGCTGGTGTCAGACAAAGAGATGGAGCCTATGCAGCCCCTGATCGACCTTTTCATCAAGCAGCAGCGGGTGCCTCCGGAGGCACTCAATGGTGGCCACTGGGCTCAGGCCTCGACCTAGACGACTCGAGAGCGTGCATTTTCCATTTTTTATCTACACTTGACGACCATAACATGTTCTTCAACCAGGCGTTGGACTGCACTGTTTATTTTAGTTCTTTTTGTTTGCGACAGGATGGCAAATAAGAGAGAATCTTCCGATGATACAACCCAGATCTGGGACTTTGAGCATTTAGCATGCGTGAAAATTTTATGATGATCTTGCATATCTTCGGTTCCCGCATCAGCCCCCAGGTGGAATGTTTGTCATGAAGCCTGCAGATGCAGGTCATTTAGACTGCTATTCTGGGTCACACAGCATACTCAGCGAACAGCAACTTGAAATAGGAGATTCAGTAGAACATATGAGTTTTCTGCATCTCAACTTCAATCCATTGTAACAGCTGTTTCGTAAGTTGCGTCACCCGGCTCTGATCCGAGGCGGACGGGGCGCGCATGTCTTCAATCTGGTTTAAGCCTTTGTTATGGCTGTGTCATGGTTTTTACCGGGTCGTCAAAGTCGTTATTGTCGAGATATCATCACAGATAAACTCCATCTTCCTCCTGCCCCGCAGTCGCATTCGAGCCCTGGTCACCAAGCCCAGCCCCTGTCCCATTTGACACCGGCACAGCTGTCTCTTCAGATACCGGCGCCTCGCCATTCATATCCTTCTCCTCTCCCTTCTCCTCAATCCAAGTCTGCCCGCGTCTCTCCACCTCAACCTTAAGCAACGAAATTCGCTCATTCATCGACGTAACCACCCCCTCATTCTCGATGACATACCCCTCCAGCTCCTTCTTCTCTTCCTCTGTGTCCTGTGATTCTGCAAGGAAAAGTCTGAGCTCCTCGTTGGAGCGGTGCAGGTGTGCGATTGAGTTGCGGAGCTCGGAGACTTTGCTGTAGACCGCGCTGAGGGGGAGATCGGCGATAGCTTCGGCGAAGGCCTCCGGGTTTATGGCGTGTGTCTCAGCAGACATGCTGGTGGTTTGTAGGACTGGATTAATCTTTGGTTGGATATGTGTTGAAGTCGAGAGAAATGGCTGAGTAGCTTCTGCGTGCATGTAAGAAGTAGCGCGGGTTTCCCTCTGGTGGGGCTGCTTGATTTGAGCTACTGTACCTCAGTATTCGAAATCAAATTTACCTCTACACTCTAAGACTTTCAATTCCGAACCTTAGCTTTAATTATATAGTTTTTTTTTTTTTTTTTTTTTTTTATACTTAATGCGAAGAGACTTCTCTTGGTTTTGATTTACACGAAACTCCCATACTACAATGGGGACCGTAAGTATTTCCCCAAGTGCGGGTCCGGTAGGGTCGACCCAACAACCAACTTTTGGGAATGCATTTACCACTCATTATGAAGAGGGCTCACTTCAAAAAAAGTCTTACTTTTACCCATGGCTATAGAGAAGTATTTTGAGAAGATAATTCGAAGATCCATATAGCTTTGGTGACGATAGAGCGGTTTAAAAGTTGATGTGTAAATGTGGAGGACCCGCTAAGGTATTCACTAGGCTTTTAAACCCCTTCAACATTATCTACATGGTCTTAAAAAAAGAGCTTCTTATATTATAGCTAAAGTCTATTTATAGAGGAAGATATGAATTCTTGAGTAGTACCTTTAGGGGTATATACTAGAATTACGGTGAGTAATACTACAAATAAGCATGACACGGTGAACGGCCGTTTTTGACGCCGTTTTAGGCCTCTCGCTCACTGTGGGCGGTCTTGGCGTCACGTGTGTCAAAGCCCACGGCCGGCCCTGTTTACTGCCACCCGTGCTTCGTATTGGTCGTGCCTGGTGCCTGGACCCATTGATCGACCGATATCCATTCGTGCCGCAGCCGCCGCAGCGCCATATCCTCGCTCGCTCTCAGTCACCCTCCTAGCGGAGGGGAGCCATTTTTGGCTCCTCTATTGACCGTTCTGCTTCCCCGGGTTTCCATAAATATCGACCACCATGGCCTCCGATCGACAGTCCTCCTTCGCTCTCCAGAAACTCCTCTAGCCTTAAGCCTAGGTTTCTAAATGGTGACTTGCTCTAAGTAGACATCGCCCAAACCCACAAATGGGTTGGGTTTTGGGCCCGTTGCTCGGCCCACTAGTCTACAAACAGTACAAACATTTACTAATTTTGGTAAAAAATCAAGATATACAGTCTTTTTGTGCATTTTTCTATATTAGTCGGGATTTTGAAAACATCATCGTTGAAGCAGTCGATGAGACGGATACGGCACCACTACCTAAACGCAAAAGAACTAAAACGGAGGAGCCGTCTGGATTAGTACTAGTTTCTCATAAGACCTTCTTCCCTTCTTCTTCCTTAACTAACAACGGACCAGGACAACGCCTTTAAGGAGCTCCGGAAGACAGTTAGCCATAAAATGCAACGGCTACAAGAGAAAAACCGCATGCTTCGAGATGAACTTCGCCAGGAGAAGGAGAGGCACCAAAAGACGGAAGAGGAACTTTCCCAGCAAAGGGAAAAGCGTATTTTAGAGTGCAAGATCTGCTATATGCAGCCGGATCGCTGGGTGTTCATTCTATGTGGGCACATGGTCTGCAGATCATGCGCAGGAAGTATTGGAACAACGGAAAAGTGTCCTATTTGCCGAGCGCCGATCACGGGACATATTGGGTGCTAACCTTTTGCAGGATAAAGCATATATATCGTGTTGCAGGTCAAGTTCAATGATTCGAGTTCAAGCCGTTTTTTCGTGTTGCTTTCTCCTCCCACGTACTTTCGGGGGGATAGCCGAATAGTATTTATATCACGTGGAGCCCTAACTACGCGCCGTCTTAGAGCCTAGGTACTGCCCAACCCGCAAAAGACCATGATTTCCTTAGGAAAAAATCGTGGTCCTTTCTATGTTCAAAAATTGAAAAGTGCCCTTTGCACACTTTGGCTCTTTCCTGTGAACAACTATCCTTATAGAAGCTTGCGTTTCTGATGCTTTTCAAATTCATCGCTCCCCCAAAGAGCAAGGTGACAACTCGCAATGGCTGCTATAAAGCGAACACGATCTAATTAACGCTCAAAGAGGAAATTGATGCGACGAAAACAATGCCGTCGCAGAACAAGTTTGATGAGAAAGTATCTCAGCTATTTTCGGCATAGTAATCAAGTTGGTAAAATTGCGAGATGATCGCGATTGCCCAAACGACAACTCTAGCTGCCTCAATCTGTGACAGAATCGTCCAGTTGCTCGGCATAACCAAATAGGGGCCTATGGAGATTGTTCCTCACAAGTAGGTGAGTTATCAGACAATGAACCTCAGTAGTCGAAGATCCTGACCGTATAGCATTGATAAGCTGTCGAATGTGAGTATCGTCAGAAGTTCGGATTGCTTCAAAAAGTCCATTCAGGAAGCTCTGGTAGTAGCTGAGGGATTTTTCAGTCTCCCTTATGAGAATTGTGCGTCGTTTATCGGAGCGCCTGTCGTAAGAACAGACCAGTTCGCGCTTTTCGCATTCTGAAAACGGGCTCTCGCCACTGCACTATCGTTGCGAACACCAGAAGTAAGCTTGTTTCTCAATATCTTTAGAACTACCGGTCAGACAAACTTCTGTCCGGCTCTGCTGACAGTTTTTGCAGGCATTTGATACTATTTTTCTCCCAACACCTTGAACTAACGCTTCGCTTTGCGTGGGATGAGACTCTTCATGAGATTCAACCAAAGGAGGTCGGATAGACCTGAAGCGGGAAGCAGCCATGTTAGCATAGCTAGCGAGGCGAAGAACTAAGTTTTCTCAAGAAGGAGAATAGAGAGGGAGGAAGGCGGGAAGCACGAAGGTTGTCGCTTGACATGTGGGGTTGAAATTGTCGACTTAACTGGTCACAGTGAGTAGGTGCCGAAGGTGATACGTACTGATGCGGATTCCGAGAGTCTGACTTGCAATCTATCGTCTCCTAGTCCGCTAGGCTTTTTAGTCGGGCTCGGTTCTGTAGAGTAGACTTGCCGGACTTGCCAGGTAGCCCGGGTGATTCCGTGGTATACCCAAAGCACGTGAGCTGCAGCTAATGTAGTGTTCCTGGGATTGGCTGGCTCTCGGTGGCCCATCAGTAAGTTGCGCCCCCACCCGGTGAAATGCTCCGTACATCCCCAACTGAAAATTCCACCGGAAGTCACTATGTACAAACCATCATCGGAAATTGTGATGCAACAGATACTCGAGACTGTAGGTGTGGATGACCCCACCGCTGCCCAAAATGTGCGGTGTGGAAGCAAATAGCACCGGGCTGGCAGCATGTGACATATCGTATGATTCACGGTCTGCTGTATAGCATTAACCTACCACATGCCCATCCCCTATCTGCATGTGAATTGTATATTCTTCCCGGCCCAGCGACCTGGCTAATAGTTGCATGCGGCACCTTAATGGGAGGAAAGTTGACGATGACAGCTAATTTGGCTGAAGGTTATAGTGGACTATGCGAGTTTAAATTTGGGCATAGCCGTGAATCGATCCGCATTTTGGGCTAAGGCACTTTAGGATCTTAGAAGGAATGAGCAAAGTGCCACCAGCGAATGTTTCCAGGCTGGAATTTCGCGAACTTGGGTTTAATGGCGGAGCTGGGCGCTGGGTTTCCAGTGTAATGGCTCGGCAAAATTTGCAGTGTGGCTCGTGTGGCGTGGTTCCAGACTGGCCGCTGCGAATCTCCGAGCCTGTAACGTACTGAATGGTCTGGATAAATACAAGCGCTGTGTGATGAGCGGCTACCACCAAAAGCTGCATTAGCCATACGTCAGCGTGGATGAGTCCTAAGGAACACAAAGGCTTCAGATAACAGGATGATGATGCGGAAAATATATCCACGCTCGTATTGAAAGATGTGATGTGTGCGCAGGCATGGAATTGGAGCTCACTCTCAAGGTTGCAAGCCAGTGGCGTGTGATACTGGTAGCTGGTACATGAAAACTTTATAAATTTCGTCAGGAGGCCTATTCTGCCCCTCCCTATTCTATATGATACCTGCAAGTTAGAAGTTACGAATGCCTGCTGATATCATCAAAAAGAACTCGTCTAGTTTACTAACTAAGCGATGTCATCAGAAGACGAGGTGCTCCTTGCGACAGCCGCCGTCCTCAAAACGCTTGTTGAAGACAATCAAGCACGGGCAAGTATGGATTCCAGACATATTTATTATCTCGAGCTAATTTCTTTAAGATCCTACCTGAAACTAGATTATGGGGACCGCCAGGTCAACAGAGCAAAGCAAGAACAGCACTGGAGCAACAGCTTTCGTCATTGATTCGTCGTGTCGCCCACCTCGAAAGAATGGAGCAGGAGGTGGTAAAACGCCAGCAGATGAATGAAGCCTTCCAAAAAGCGCTCAGAGAAATCGGAGGAATCATTACTCAAGTCGCGGATGGAAATCTTTCCACGAGAGTCCAAATCCATCCACTCGAGATGGATCCTGACATCACGACTTTCAAAATCACGATCAACACCATGATGGATCAGTTGCAAGTATTCGCCAGTGAGGTCTCCCGAGTAGCACGGGAAGTGGGTACAGACGGTATATTGGGCGGCCAAGCCCAGATCGCTGGGGTGCATGGCGTCTGGAAGGAGCTCACCGATAACGTGAATATCATGGCGTCCAACCTCACGGACCAAGTCCGGGAGATCGCCCTTGTTACGACAGCAGTAGCCCACGGCGACCTCAGTCAGAAGATCAAAAGACCTGCCAGAGGTGAGATCTTCAATATTCAGCAGACCATCAACACGATGGTGGACCAACTCCGTACGTTCGCCACAGAGGTTAATCGTGTTGCGCGGGACGTTGGGTCCGAAGGCGTCCTTGGTGGACAAGCACAGATTTATGGCATCCAGGGAATATGGAATGAGCTCACTGTCAATGTCAATGCAATGGCAAATAACTTGACGACACAAGTTCGTGATATCGCTACAGTAACAACTGCAGTCGCAACAGGGGACCTCACACAGAAGGTTCAAGCTGAATGCAAAGGCGAAATCCTTGCACTGAAGGAAATTATCAACTCAATGGTCGACCAACTCCGACAGTTCGCACAGGAAGTCACCAAGATAGCGAAAGAGGTTGGCACAGATGGTGTTCTCGGAGGCCAGGCGACAGTTCACGATGTTGAAGGAGTCTGGAAGAACTTGACAGAGAATGTCAATAGGATGGCAATGAACCTAACCACCCAGGTACGGGAAATAGCAGATGTTACCACGGCTGTGGCCAGGGGTGATCTTACGAAAAAGGTGACCGCTAATGTCAAGGGCGAAATTGCGGACCTTAAGCACACGATAAACGACATGGTTGATCGTCTGAACCAATTTGCGTTTGAGGTCTCCAAAGTTGCACGCGAAGTCGGAATTGATGGAGCACTGGGCGGCCAGGCTGTTGTCGCCAATGTCGAGGGAGAGTGGAAGACATTGACAGACAACGTGAATACAATGGCTCAGAATCTAACCTTCCAAGTCCGAGCGATATCAGAAGTTACCCAGGGTATCGCTAAAGGTGACCTTAGTAAAAAAATAACGGTTCATGCCCAAGGGGAAATTCTGACATTGAAGGAAACAATCAATGATATGGTCCGCCAGCTGGATCAATTCGCCCAAGAACTCAAGCGAGTCGCACGTGATGTAGGCGTGGAGGGCAAAATGGGAGGACAGGCAAACATTGCCGGCATGGGTGGTCGATGGAAAGAGATCACCGAAGATGTCAACACTATGGCGGAAAATTTGACCTCGCAGGTTCGTGCATTTGGAGAAATCACAAATGCAGCCACAGACGGAGATTTCAGCAAATTGATCACCGTTAGCGCATCTGGGGAGATGGACGAGCTCAAGCAAAAGATCAACAAGATGGTTTCGAACCTACGCGATAGTATTCAGCGCAACACTGCGGCTCGCGAAGCAGCTGAAACAGCCAATAGAAGTAAATCAGAGTTCCTTGCCAATATGAGCCATGAGATTCGAACACCAATGAACGGAATTATTGGCATGACCCAATTGACTCTTGACATGGACAATCTCCCACCAGATGCAAGAGAGATGTTAAATGTTGTCCACAGCCTCGGGAATAGCCTGCTCACGATCATCGATGACATCCTCGATATCTCAAAGATTGAAGCAAACCACGTGGTTATAGAGGATGTTCCTTTTAGCCTTGGCAGCACCGTCTTCAACACCCTGAAGGCCCTTGGGGTGGAAGCCAACGAAAAGGCCTTGAGTCTTACATACAATATTGACAATTCCGTGCCCGACTATATTGTCGGAGATTCTTTTCGTCTCCGACAAATCATTCTCAACCTAGTTGGTAACGCTATCAAATTCACTGAGCATGGAGAGATCCAACTTGCGGTAAAGCAGCGGAAGTTCAAGGGACGTCATCTCCAAAAATGTATCCTTGAGTTTACTGTTTCTGATACCGGAATTGGCATTGACGATAGTAAGCTGGACTTAATATTTGACAAGTTTCAGCAGGCCGACGGTTCCACGACCCGAAAGTTCGGTGGCACAGGTCTTGGCCTGTCGATATCAAAGAGACTCGCGAAGCTTATGGGCGGTGATATCTGGGTCACGTCAGCTGTGGGCTCCGGTAGCACCTTTCACTTTACATGCGCCGTTAGACGAGCAAATCTGTCTTCCGAGGCTATAGCCCAGCGGTTGATGCCTTACCGGGGCCACGGAGTACTTCTTACAGAGAGCTGTGTCGAAGGCCGTTCGATGCAACTATGCAACATGCTAGAGGCACTCGGGTTTCATCCCGTTATAATTCCCGCTTCCCATGTTCTGGCTCGGGGCAGTTCTGACCAACCTCAACCGCTCGCAAGATCCGATTTTGAAGTCATCCTGTTTAGGCAGTTGGAGACTTTGATTGGTCTAAGATCCTTGGATGAATTCAAATCCATTCCTGCGGTCCAAGTGGGTCCTGCGATCTCAGTGAGCATGAAGTCGGCTTTGGATCTAAGCATCACATCATATGTGTCCACTCCTTGCCATATTGTCGACCTTGGGAATGGTATTCTCCCTGCATTCGAGAGCCGGCCGTCACGTATCGTCAAGGGACAGACGCATCCTTTATCAATCCTGTTGGCCGAGGACAATGAGGTCAACCAGAAAGTAGCTCTCAAAATTCTTGAGAAACACAACCACCATATTACTGTTGTGGATAATGGATTGGATGCCTTCGTGCGAGCCAAAGAACGGGAATACGATGCGATTTTAATGGACATTCAAATGCCAATTATGGGCGGGCTCGAGTCCACCGCTAAAATTCGAGAGCATGAACATAAGAACAACCTGGCACACACGCCGATTATTGCTCTCACTGCCCATGCTATGTTTGGCGACCGAGAGAAATGCATTGTGGGGGGAATGGACGGCTATCTATCAAAGCCTCTTAACCCAGATCAGATGATACAGATGATCCTCAAGTGCACCACGGAGAGGGGTATCGATAAAAGCAGGCCGCAATCTTACTAGTGCGCCCGAGGAAGGTTCAACCCCTTTCATATGCCTGAATTCAACGATGGTTCGTGAGGCACTCACTTCCATTTAACGTACTTCCCGCCTAAATGGGCCACCCGCCTAGATGGGTCACTATATTAATCCCTGTATCTTCTAAATAGGTTTTCGTCGCCAAAATGCCATGAATCAATTCAAATGAAGCTACTTTCACACTTGATCTGATGCCCTACCTCTCTGCGTCCACTATACCTTGGCGGTGCCTTCTAGTAGGCCAAGGTGGCTATGTAGCCTGTTGCTCGGCTACTGCTGGAAGAGACAAACACGACGATCACGTGAACACTAGGTGCTCAGTGACCAAAGGGTGAGCGCTCAGCGGCAGAATGACCCGAAATGGCAGACACAGCGGGAATCCTGTACATATGCACCTATACGTACAAAACCGCGAGCTCACCGCCTAAGGCCATTTCTGGCCTGCTACTCACCGACACAACGAATACTATATATAAAAATGAATGTGTTAGTATAAAGGGCAACGAGATAATTGCTAGTGGTTAGAAAGCTTAGAGTAATTTTTTTTCAATATATTAAGAGACAATTCTATGCGTTAGATGGTTGTTAATAATTTTGCGTAATTATATAGAATTTCAGTAAGATATAGTGATCTGGTGAACTGTTTAGTGAATATATACAGTTGATGGGATAGGCCCGAAGACTGATTTAGGGAAATACTTTTGACTAGATAAAGTAGTATGATACTAGCACCATCATCATATCATCGTTAATCAAAACGGGGACGAGGTTTATCTCCGGGAAAAGGCACTCCTCTGTGAGCCCACTGTTTGTAGCGAAATTTCTGCCAATCTTTACGAACTGGCTCTAGCAAGTCTAAATTGAGCCGGTCGCAGTCGAGCAAAGCCTTTTCCACCTCAATATGACCAAGATCCCTAGCTGCACCTAGAGGATGACATCCATTACTGCCGGTTTGATGCGGGTCCGCTCCAGCTTCGAGAAGCATCTTCGCTGTGGATACATTTCCTCTTCTAGCAGCGTGGAACAGGGGCGTTATGCCTCCACTGTCATGGGGATCTGGATTTGCGCCGCACTCTAGTAGTGATCTAACTGTCTCTTCTGATCCAAACCGAGCCGCATAATGGAGAGCAGTCGCGGCATTGTAATCCCGGTAATCAACATGTATTGCAGGTGAAGTCAACAAAAGTTTGGCAATATACGGCGTGGCAAATTTAGACGCCAATATCGGCGGGTTCCTCCGAAAATTATTCCCATTGTTCAGGTCGATTTTGAGATTTTTGCATCGAAGAAAGCACGATACAGTCTCAGTTGACCTGGAAGTAACGGCGTTTAATACCGATGTCCCAGTCTGATAATTTTGTTGGTTTGCCTCAATCCCGGGAGTCTGTAGAAGCAACTCTACCACGGCAGCGTGCCCATTAGCAGCTGCACGAGAGACAGCCTTGTAAAGATTGTTCGTCCGACATTCGGGGCATGGACTGGCATCAATTGACATTTGAGCTACTTTGACGAGCCCGTGCTTTGATGCCCATTTTAGGGCCTTCATATTACTGAGCCCATCATGGTCATACAAAACTTGGTTCATAATAGTGTAAAAACGGCGACTTGTTTTGACAAATGAATTGATGTCTCGGGTGTCGTCTAATTCGCTCGCGATCATGAGCAAAATCTCGATTGGCAATGCCTCGAGATAGGTCATCTTCGCTGCTCATGTGATCTGAGGTGTTGAAAGACAGTAGGAGAATATAGGTATGAAGTTGGAGTTAGGGGGATCGGAGACATAAATTCCTAGGGAGTCCAATTCAGTCCGACAAGGCTGGGGAATTGCTAAAAATAAACTAGCGTGTTACTAGCTACAGTAAGGCTCGGGAATGGAAATCTGAGGATGTAGAGGTAACTCCGATGCCCACGCTATATCGTCACTATCTATGCCGTCCACATGTTTCCGACTATAGCATAGTGCCTGGATTTTGACTGGCTTGTTGTTTTCTTTGCGGGTATCGAGAATCAAAGAGCAGTTCCCAGAGAAAGTAAGGATCAGGAATCCCCGAGGGTCTCAACTCTCTCTTTCAGATGCTTATTATTTCCAGTTCTTCTAAACAAGGAGCTATGACCAAGAATGACATTGACCAAACTATAGGAGTCAACTCAGCACCATGTGTAGTCTAGAATCCCAAAACACAAAAGACTGCTCAATTAGGACTCGGGGGTCTCAAGGATCAAAAATAACTTCCATGCTCTTTGTGCCATTTAAACACCATCTTAAACCATCCTTCTTTATGACCTCTTTTCCTTCTTGGCACAAAGACCAGCACAAAGCCTCGAGCTTGAAACATCGCAAAGATATCATTGTTGTTGTTTTTTTTATGCACTGACTTTCCTTGTTCCCTCGACCTTGACAATGCATATCCACCAGGGTATCTTTGTTCTGGTAGGTTACCTCTTCCTCCATACAAAGACAGCTTTCATCATAGAATGGGACGAGTCATTGTGCACATCTATCCCTGGACAAACCCATTAGCATATAAAGCAGGGCTTTTCCGGCAAGGCAAGACGTGCTATCGTCTATTCCATAATGCAAACAGCCTTTGATTCCCGTGAATAATTCCATATCCTTCAAAACTTCAAAAATTACCTCAACTAACATGTCGAGCTTCACTCAGCCTCGCATCAATTGGGACAACAAGGTTCAGCCGCTGGTCCGGTGTGCCCTTTCCGAGTCCCCAGCCCCTGTGCTTAAGAAGAGTCTCGCAGCTAAAGTGCAAGAGGCGTCTCGTCATCCTTGGGGACTGGTTGATCATCATCTATATCTAGCAGCCATTGAGCGAGGCAGGGATTGCCCCACTCGCCTTGATGCTTGCATGCTTCAAGAGGGTGAGAGATTCCGCAACGTTTGTTTCGATGAGCTCCGTGACATTAATGCATCCGCTCGCCTGTCAACGTGTTCCCATCTCATTACGTTTATGAATATGCCCATGTTGCCTTTGTCTACTTTAGCCCCATTAACCGAACAGAAACTCGTCCTGGGATTTGATCTCCAGCGACAGCACCTCTTGGGATATTTCTTCAAATCAGCCCCCGATGACCTTACTGACTTATGCTATGTATGGCACCAAGGCCAACTAGTTATTGACATGCATATTTACCGTTTCCTGGAGATGCACCAATACACCGTGCAGAATCACTTAGAAATCTGCGGAGTAGGCATGTTCCGATATTTTCGGGAAAGCAAGCGCGAGCTCCCCACCGGTATGGACCTGGTTGTGACAATTCAGTTCGCACAATTCCTCCATGACTTCGCAGAACTAGTCTGGGGGGGAAACAACACCGAATCTCGCAGCCAGCACGCCGACTCCGAGGAGTACCTTCGAACTCTCCTGTCCAAGGCCTCATGGGACTCCTGGTTTGCAGTGCGGGACGGACTAACACTCCAGCAGTACCGACAAAAGAAAATGGATAAGATGAGCCAGTTGGCTTCGTGTGATTTGCTATTCGACCGGCCCTCCACCGTGCCAAGCATCCAGTCTGTTCCGCAGCTCCCGGTGAACTCAAGCTTGATTGCAAGCTCACCAGGCCCAACTGTTCTGTTAAACATGGTTCCAGTGCTGGGGCAGTTGCAGAACGTTCAGATACAGATACTCCAAGCATTTTTTGCGTTGATCTATGTCTTTGCGCTGATCCCCTAGGATCAGTTTCAACATGGCCTGAGTCGAAACTGGAGTGGATCCTAGCCAAGCCAATAGAGCGGGTGGGGTCTTTAATGTATTATTTTTATCTGTGATCTGTATAGCAGAAAAAATGCGAAACGAAATCATCTGTGCTATGAACGCATTGGAACTCACTAGTTCCGACCACGTAGCCATGCAGGACTAGTTCTCAGCCTACGTGCACAGCCTGGTCAGAGATCGACTACAGTAAAGTCCCATCGTATTCATGTACCAAAGGCAAGGCGACCATGCAATCCATGGATCGGAGCTCCAAAAGGCAGCTAACAGGCCAGAATCTCGCACCGCCACTTCTCGATGCCAATCAGAATCTCCAAAAAACCGGTTTCTGTGGCGCGACGTGGCTCATGAGCCTTCGATTGGTCCGCAATGTCCACCATGCGCGGGGAGCTGCGCGCTGAGTCTTGGCGGCGTCATCAGTGCAGTTGCTAATACCCAGCAGTGATTGGTGTGGTGGTTCCGAGTGGAGGTGATCCTAGGTAGTGGGTACTTGATCCTTTAGTACCAAACCCCTGCTAATCTCTACATGTCCCAGGTAACGGGTACCGATCTGCATCCCCAATTTCGCTTCTTTTGCTTTTTTTGACTTGGTTATTTTCCTGTAGGTCCGTTGTCTTGCGCCTTTACGTTTACAAACTTTCAGCCCTGCAGCCCTACAGTTGGCCAAGACTGAAAAGCTCTCTGCCTAATCTGACATTCCTCGGTTCTCCTTTCTCCTTCAATCGCGACACTTGAAAAGCCTCCCCACCCCCCGAGCGACAATCTGTCCTCGGCTCCTTTCTTCTCCTCCACCCCTTAGCCCTGTGCAGTTTCGGTGCTTTCTGTAAATCCCATTTATTGCCAATGGCAGACTCAAATACACTCCCCGTCAATGGTAGGTTCAGGTCATACCAGTTACCCCCAAGTACGCGCCAGCGCATAGGTAGCCGTGGAAATCGCCGGAAGCTGCGCGCAAAGCGAAAGGTGCTGATTGAATCTCACAGGGGCTCCCAATGGCGCGACAGCGCCAATTACGCGCAGCGACAATGACCGTTTCGAATTGATCTCCGGCCCGCTGATAAATCTGAAGAACATGCACTACAAGTCCACCCCGATGTGGCATGGCAGTGTGTTGATTGTCACCAAGCCAGGTCAGGACCAGCCTCAGCTCCACTTGCGCCAATTGGCTCCTCTCTCGTCCGAGGGCCAGCACCAATCCCCGACGAGTCAGACTATTGAGGGTCTCAAACTCTACCAAGATCTCCACAAGGCATTCTGGCGATTCTCGCTGAGTGTGCCGGTCCAGTCCTACGAAGCGAGCTGGGAATACGAGATCCCGGGATTGTACAATGAGTCGGGGGAGAAGGTTAACAGCCCCTGGACCTTTGTGGTGCCTGCGGAGGACCAGTCTATGCGCATCATGTTCCACTCGTGCAATGGCTTCTCTGTTGGTACCGACATGGAGGCCTGGAAGGGGCCCAACCTGTGGCATGACGTCCTGCGTGTCCACGGGGAGAAGCCTTTCCACGTCATGGTGGGTGGTGGTGACCAGATCTACAACGACGGTATCCGTGTGGATGGCCCTCTGAAGCCGTGGACTGCCATTCACAACCCACACAAGCGCCGAACTCATGACTTCAATGGGAAGATGCGCGCAGAGTGCGATGAGTACTACTACGCCAACTACGTCCGCTGGTACAACACTGAGCCTTTCCGCGCTGCCAATGGTCGCATTCCACAAGTCAACATCTGGGACGACCATGATATCATTGATGGCTTTGGTTCGTACACTGATCATTTCATGAAATGCGCTGTGTTCCGTGGTATTGGCGGTGTTGCCTTCAAGTACTACTGCCTGTTCCAGCATCACGTGGCTCCTCCCAAGTCCACTTTCACCACCGATGCGCCTGAGACTATGCACGCCGTGAATGGTACTTCCGGTGTGGACCCGCGCCAGCTGGAGAATACCTTTGTGCTTGAAGGCCAGCCTGAGGATGACAGCTGGATTGTGGGTAAGCGACCAGGTCCTTACGTGGAGGAGCGCAGCCGCAGTCTGTACATGCGTTTCGGAAAGCGCATTGCTTTTGTCGGCCTGGATGCGCGGACCGAGCGCACCCGTCACCAGGTGAACTACCAGGACACCTACGACCTCATTTTCCAGCGATTGCAGGAGGAGATTGCCGCTGCCGAGGGCGATATTAAGCATCTGGTTGTTCTGCTGGGTGTCCCTATCGCATACCCTCGTCTGGCGTGGCTTGAGAACATCCTCACCTCTCCCATCATTGCTCCGATTCGCCTTCTGAACAAGCGTTTCGGCGTGGCAGGCGGTCTCTTCAACGATTTTGATGGGCAAGTTGACTTGCTGGATGACCTGGATGATCACTACACTGCTCGCCAGCACAAGCGTGAGCGAAAGATGCTCATTGAGCGCTTGCAGGAGCTTGCCCGTGCCAACTCAGTGCGAGTCACCATTCTTGGTGGTGACGTCCACTTGGCTGCGATCGGTCGCTTCTACTCTCACCCCAAGTTGAACTTGTCTGGTGAGAATGATCACCGCTACATTGTCAACGTCATCAGCAGTGCCATCACCAACAAGCCACCCCCTAAGGCCGTGGCTAACCTGTTAGCCCGCCGCAACAAAATCCACCATCTGAGTCGTACCTGTGACGAGACTTTGATGCCTATGTTTGACAAGCAGCCCGGTGGCCTGGAAAAGAGTGCTTCTTGGAACAAGGTGACTATGCCATCGCGTAACTATGCCTGTCTCACTGAAGTGGTCGCTCCCGCAGCCAACGGCACGCCCGTGGAAGTTGAGACCGCCAAGCTTGAACAACTTCCCAAGGACGGGCACGCACCCCTTCACAAGGGTGAGTTTGGAGCTGGATCAACTCACTCGGCCGCCGATGGCTTCACCTGTAACAGTAACATGCACGGAGGCTTGGATGTCGCCATTCGTGTGGAGATTGATCCCCAGGACCTGCAGGGAACCACCGAAGGCTATGGATTCAGTAGTAAGTTTTTCATTCCCACCTCATTATCTTTATTTCGAGTCAACCTCTAACCTTGTTATTAGTTCCCCCTCTGACGGCCACTGCGCAGCCGCCTTCCTCCCGCCACAGCCTTCGCTCTCGTATCTCGCGTCATGATGTGCGCCATGATGCTATTCAACAAGAGGCAGCTGGACGTCCGTCGACTGCCCATTAATTGTAATGCGCATATAAGTACTTAATCATTTCCTACTCTGTTGTTTTTTTGTGATACCTCTTTATGCCATGGTTATGGTTTTGATGCATTGATTTCTTTACATTTACTCTTAAACCTTCTCTTATACCAATACAAATGCCACTATATACAAAATGCCCTTCAGCCATTGTTTTCTGGATTGTCCAATTCAAATTGGCCCTATATCATGTATAACTAACTGGTTTTTCCGGCCCATGCCTTGTCCCGGGTCCAATGCCTTTGAGGAATTCTGTAGTAGATATAGCTTGGATATAAGAACAAAGGCCATTGAGGGTAAGCTCAGATTTCATTCGACCGAGAGCGACAGCCAAGAGCAACTCATAGTAGAATTATTGCCAGTCCAACAATCTCACCAAACTTAGGCTACCACCGGAAACCTTCCTCGCAATCGAAGATTTGGTGTGCTCTTGTCGCCATTGTGAAAGGGCCACCAGATAAGCCCTAAACACGGCGACAGAATTAAGAGACGGGCTGCCAACATATATGCGCAGGTGTTGCAAGTCCAATCTTGCTAGAACCAAATTATTGTATTTTGGACTAAGATCATTCACTTCTCCGGCCAAAGACGGTACATTGAAAATATTAGGGCTGTATCTAGCGAAGCCTCCAAGGACAATCACAAGACTTTGGCTTTCCAAATCTCTCGAGGTCCTCTCGGGGTTCTTTCGGGGCCCTCTCTATAGTATTTACGCTTTGAATTACCGATTGATATGAGGCATTTATTACCCAAAAGCCTTGCTCATTCAGCCTCGAGCTCTTACAGAGCACTATCTCCAGTATATACATTAGGTATATCTTGACAGTACTTGAGCGTTTTTCTAAAGTTCTGGGTTAGAGCCAGATCGCCTGGTAAGTATCTGGTTCTCATATTTATCCCTTAGAAAGCAAATGTCTTCATGATATAATAGAGAATAACGTCATTATAGGTTGAAAGCCGCCATTCGGTACATTGTTCGCCGCCCGTGGTGGTACATGAGATCGTATATTTGGAACTTGGTAGCGTGCGGAGAAAGAGTAGGGAGAACCCTGGATCCCGTGTGGTATCCGTGAAATGATACTTGCTCAATGGAATTTATATTTCATTGGCTCTTAGAGCGTTTCCGCGTATGTGCAAGAAGCAAGGTTGCCGATCCGAGCTTGAAAAGGCGCATACAATTGCCTGATCTGGTCTAGCAACCTGCTTCTCCACGAATACGCGCTTTCTCAATACCGTCGTATATCGTTACTCTTTGCGGTCTAGAACACCCTTCCTTATCTTGATCCATAACAAATCCACTGTTCCTTAGGTCGGACTTTGATTGCTTAAGAAGCGGGTCCCATTGAGCAGAAGATGTGACTGGCCCAGCCACATCACATTGTAAACAAAGGGTGATAAGAAATGCAGCGAGTTTGAAATAAACCTCGCGCCAATCACTAGACCCCTCTCCCGCCAAGCCTCCCAATTTGTATACGGGATCCTAGTGCGGAGAGACTTTGAGCCCACGAGCTTATCAGCCGGGCCTATGGAGTATGGAGGAAAGTGCAGCTTGCATTCCTCAGGTGACGCAGCTTGCGCGACCATTGCTCCGCAAATTGAACAGAATGTAATATAATGCACGGGGTCACTGCTGCAGCGCAGAATGCAAATACTTTATTTTGCTTTTTTCTTCGATCTTATAATCCTAGACCCTACCTTTGGAGTACATCACGACTGCTCCTGCGATAAGTTACATTGAACCCCTTCTTTTGGGCCTGTGCTCGCGAGCGGCGCAAGTATCATGATGGCGGATCAAATCACTGAGAAAATCGATCTCCCGCCCGATGCCCGTGGTGCTGACCATGAAGCGGGCGAGATCGCCAGTGTGCACGAACAGACGGAACTTGAAGGCTTGGGATACAAGCAGGAGATGCGTCGAAATCGATCGGTCATCACGCTGCTCTTCCAGACACTGGCCATAGCAGCAATTCCCTATGGCGAGGGCAGTCCTTTTATCAGTGCCATCTATGGTGGTGGGCCTCTATCCATCTTTGTGGGATGGATTGTAGTTTGTGTCCTTGATCAGTGCATTGCCATGTCTCTCGCGGAATTGGCTTCGCGATATCCGACCTCTGCAGGGCCATACTACTGGTCTTTTCAAATTGCGAAATCCTCCAAGACCACCATCTCTTTTATCAATGCCTGGATCTGGGTCATTGGTAACTGGACGATTACCTTGTCGGTCAACTTCGGTTTCGCTTCTTTGCTCTCCGCGACAGTCTCTATGTACCATCCGGACTGGAGTGCCAATAGCTGGCAGCTACTCTTAATCTTCTACGCCATCTGCCTAGGCTCACTGGTCATCTGCACATTCGCCAATCGCTACCTACCCCAAGTCGATATCGCTTGCGCGACCTGGACCGCACTCACGATTCTAGTCATCCTCATCGCAGTCTCGGTCAAAGCCGATGTAGGTCGACACAGCGCTTCATGGGCACTATCACACTACGACAAGAGCTTCGCAGGCTGGGGCAATTTCACCTTCTTCATCGGTCTCCTACCCCCAGCCTACACCTTCTCCGCCATCGGCATGATCTCTTCCATGGCCGAAGAATGCGCCCACCCAGCCGTCAAAGTACCTCGCGCCATCGCTCTCAGCGTCCCCGTCGGCGGCATAGCCGGCCTCTTCTTCGTTATTCCCCTCTGTGTGACTTTACCCCCTCTAGAAGATATCATCAACTCCCCAGGCGCCCAAGCTCTCCCTTATATCCTACACCAGGTCATGGGCTCGCCAGGCGGCGGTCTAGGCCTCGTATTCCTAGTGCTGGTAATCACCCTCTTCTGCTCAATCAGTATAACCGTCGCCGCGTCCCGTTGCACCTGGGCCGTCGCACGCGATAACGCCCTCCCACTCTCCCGCCTATGGGCGCATGTCGACACGAAACTTGGTGTCCCCGTCTGGTCTCTTATTCTCCTAACTGTAATCCAAATGCTTCTCGGCCTCATCAACCTTGGCAGCTCTAGCGCATTCACTGCCTTCGTTTCTGTAGGCGTCATCGCCTTAGCAGCTGCATATGCTATCCCTATCTTACTGAGCTTGTTTAACGGCCGTGAAGAAGTTAACAAAGCACCCTGGAACTGTGGAATGATTGCCGGGTCAATGTTTAATGCTCTTGCGCTCGCTTGGATTGCTTTTGAGTTGGTTTTGTTTAGTATGCCGACGGCTTTACCGGTTACGCCTATTTCGATGAATTATGCGTCCGTTGTCTTTGTGGGATTTATGGCTATTTCTGCTGTTTGGTATGGAGTTTATGCTAGAAAACGTGAGTTGATAACCTTATCTTGTATCTTGGTTTTGGATCATACTGATGGCTTTATAGATTATAAGGGGCCACCTGCGTCGGACGCTTTGGACGATTGAGATAATGACCTGTCAATTACTTCGTTATTTTTATGTATTTCTTTTTTAGTCTTTGTAACCATATCTCAAGTCCAATGGCTAGGCCAATAGCCTGTCTAGTCTTTGTGCTTGCATACACGCTGCAGGCCCCCAGTCCAAATGCAGAAGTACTCGCCAACAAAACTGATGTCTCCAATTCTGAAGCAGCGGTGATAGTCATTTTCATGGGGCCAGGATGAAAGATCTCCTCCCGGGTCTACTTTATTAGCAAAGACTGTATACGTCTAATAGCATGCAGGGCTTAAGCTTTGAGATAAGTCTACCTATTGACGAATCAAAGTGTATAGAGTTGCCGTGATATCCAGAGAGAGGAGCACTCCATCGAAGAGTCTTGATACTATTTTAACAATTTCCCAGCCACTGAATGAATACCCAATTGATTAGGATGGGCGCCAACCTTGGCAGACTGGGCAGGTAAAGTTTATTACAAAGGAGCAAGCTGGTAGGCTAGTCTGCATAGATTCCTGTAGCATGATCCTCACAATCCGACTCGCAGTCCGTCTCACAACCTATAGCATGGCGCTGCAGAGAGAGCAACCCCCGTTCGTCTAGATGGTCCAGCCAGCTGGCATACCAATCCAAGAATTCTGGAATAGAATCAAATCGCGCCTTCCGGCCGTACAGAACGGTAGGATTGATATTCTCGGCTTTGAAAACAACCACCCGCCATCCCCACTCCCGGATGTTAGCAGCATCCTGGATGTCTTCATCCTTGTCGTTATCCGTCAGCAGCCGGCAGTATACATACGCACTATACCATGAAGGGCATGCGTATAGCCGGCTATATCCAACGCCAGTAATAAAGCCAGCCCGAACCTCTAGATCATCATCGATATACGGCTCCAGGAACCCATTCGTCGATTCATCTTCCAACTCTCGCTGTAAGCGCTCTTGCTCGCGCTTTAGCAGATCCGGATCCGCCAACTTGTCGCGTTTTTGTTCTTCGTCAAGCCCGTCCAGTTCCTCATTCTTAACGCCAATCGAAAAAGCCGGTATAAATGGCGCAATATCCGAGAGCCGGAGGTCAGCGTCTACCACCCCCTGCGCGTATTTTAGGAACAGGGCTAGCTCGTCACACCGCGGGATAGTCATCAATCTGTGGTCTTTGTGGGATCTACATGCGACGTCGAGCTCCTCGTCATCCTCGGCGACGATCTCGTCCGCCTGGCGCTGGCATAAATACTGAACTGTGTCGAGGTACATCTGCCGCCACTGCTCTGTTTGCAGTAGGGGCGGCAACACGCCGTCGGCCGGTTCAAAGGGTGGCAGTGCTTTGAGAATAGTAGGAATATCGCGGTCTTTTACTAGAGTCTGCGGTGGGATCTGGACCGCATTGTTACTCCCACGCGTTTCAGGGTCTTCGTCGCCCCATTCGAGATCGTCCATCCATTTGTATAGGCGTATACGGTGGCGCTTCTCCTTTTCAGATGCCAGACCTCTTGCTTCGATCTCATTGACGCGGTCTTGGAGAAATGTTTGGTTTGCGGCGGCCATTCTGCTACGGAAGCGGGTAATGGCAAGGCGCATGGTTTCCTCTGCGTTTGTGTCTGTACTTGAGGCTAGGGCTGGGGCTGAGCCTGAACCTGCTATTGCTGTTGCCGAGGACATCTTTTTGTTATTTTCTTCGGTCATTGTTGGTCGTCCTTTTTTTTTTTTTTTTTCTTTTTTTTTTTTTTTTTTTTTTTTTTCTTTTTTCTTTTCTCTTTTGAAATGAGAGACTTGGGACTCTGGGGCTACTGAATACGCTGAAAGTTGATTAGAGTGGGCCTGCTGTTACTTATAGTGTCTATCTAACAATAAATATGTACTACTTACCCATAAATAATTACCTTAGATCCCTAGCTGTCTCACTACATCACATCCGACCTCCAAGCTTTGCATGTCACTAGATAGTTCACTGCCCTGTGACTCGTGGATCGTAAACAGATGCGCTTAGTGGTCTAGCGGGGCTCGCTGGCCTTTTGCCCTACCTAATGCCGTTACCCGGTGTTTGTGTCGAATGATAGATCACATTTAAAGAGATCACCACGAATCCACAAGCAAATAGCAAGTACGTATTTTATTTGACCCCGCAACCGAACATGACGGGTGGATGATGAGCTGACGTATAAACCTAGATCGACTCGTGTTCTCTTTATTTACTTCTAATCCTCTTTCTCGCTTCTTGACTCTTTCACAGATCTCTTATCATACACAACGCTCAATACTGATATCAACATGCCTTCTGGAGAGGGATACAGCTACAAGAGCTCTGGCACTAACAGCCAGGTACATAGACTTCGAGAACTGCCGTATATGGGAGATTCGTTCTAATGTAAAGCAGGGCAACCACTACTGCGCCCGCGATTATGGTTCCGGTGCTTCTAACTCGAACAGCTACCACTATTCCAACTCGTGAGTGAAGCTTGAGAATTTGTTTGAGATCAATAGACTAATAGAATTTGCAATTCTAGGAACGGTTCTTACTACTACTCCAACCCCAATGGAAGTACTTACTACAATAATGGAAATGGGGGCTCGAACTACACTCCCGCTGGCGGCTCAGGATCTAGCTCTGGCTCGAGCAAGAAATAGATCTTCAAGATTTATTCCAGCTGTCTCTGGTATTTAGCTTTGCGTATCTAGCTATGACATGCCCGACCGGATCATGAATCGACGATGAATTTATTGATTTCACTCATACTACGTAATACTTTATATTGTATTCGACGATTCTAAAGTAAGCTGTCATGAGCCGAGACTCTATCGCACTAGCAATAGCAAACTAGGGTCTATTCTAGTTTGATTTATAGTCCTTCAGCGACCTGGCCTTTCTCGCATTCAGTTTCGCCCTCTACCCGTCTTCGACGAGAGACACCTTCATTTGGAGATGGGCGTATCGGCGGAGGAAGAGCTTGATCACTTGGCCTCCGCCGACGAACGATTTGGTAGCCCCTATCCAGCTCGATCTCGATAGCCTCACGGACCTTCAATGCACTAACGGCGGGCCAGACACCTCGCTCGCCTTTCAGAGTCCATTCTGCGACTTGTGCTCGCGTAGGTTGTTGGAAGAGGCGGCCCAGATCTGAAAACGACAGATCGGGAACAAGAGTCAGGTTTGGGCCTGGGATGGTTTCGTCGATTAAGAGACGACTGACTGAGCCTGGGAGGAGGCCCAGATAGTCCAGTTGTCGGAGGCGGTGGCGCAGCTCCACTAAGATCAGTCGCATGAGTGATCGGGAAAGGTTGTTCCAACCGGTTTGGCGGCGATCGAGAAGATTGAGTTCTGATCGTAAGAATGGGATTAAGTATGGACGGGCTTGCGAGACGATGAAATGGTTCACGTTGAAGAGCTCGGCGATTCGACCGAGGGGTGATTCGCCTTCATTATAGTGGACATGTCGCCATGGTTGGAAGACAGCGTCTTGTGCATGTGGCCAAGGCATGATGGATCCTGTCTCATCTTTGCAGTAGATTGTCACGGGCAATGAACGTCTAGAGAATGATGAAGCGTTGGAAGCAGCAGCAGCAGACCAGATCAACTATTGCATGTCAGATGAGAGGCTTTAGTTTCACAAGAAAAAAGTTTACAATACTTACCACATTCGGTGCGGTGAGGTAATTAAGCAGGTTCGGTGTACCTGTCTTACCTGCCGTAGCCACCGTGATGTTCAAGATGCGCTTCGACCGAGCATATGCTTCTTCAAAGGTCAAGTCTCCGACATTGGCTCGCACACATTCCTCCAGCAGCTCCATGTCAAACAAGTGACCCGTTTGGAGGAATCGCTTCACCCGCCGAAAGAAGGTCCTGAACCAACCTTCAGCTTTGTTAGCCGATGACCCATTGATATGACCTTTCCACCGCCGATCGAAAGCAGACAAATCTATTGTATCTCCTTCTAGTAACCCAAGCAGCTCGCTCTCCGGGTGGATACCGACTAGAGCTGCAATCATAGCACCCGTAGCGGTCCCTGTAATTATTCGAGGCAAAAGTCCTTGCAGATGCAATGCCTTCACAACACCCAAATGACACAGTCCGAACGCCGACCCGCCTTGCAGCAGCAGGGTTGTACGTCCAAAAGCTTGTCGTGTATCATGCAGCAGCTCTAGCTTCGCCTGCGACGTGAACCCATTGGCATGCCCAGGCACCGGCTGAAGCGAGGTAACATATTGAATAGACAGCGCGACCTGTGTAATGTAGTCGTCTATCAAAAGCTTCGTGCCCGCGTACGCATGCGTGAACAATTTCGTAGACGTGATGTTGCCCAAGTTGCGCACGAGTCCGGATCGAAGGAGGTTAGCCAGCGTCTGAATATTCTCACTTTCTCGCGAGAGCATCAACGATTCCAGTCGTCCCAAAATCAATCGGTGGTCATAGTGTCTACTGATATTATTCTGACGCCTGTGATCGGGAGATTAGCGGGGCATGTAGTTGGGCTGTAGGCGTCTCCTTCGTACCAAAGGTCCTTGTTTAGAAGCTCATCCAGGTCAAACGCCGCGCTTTCCCACTGCTCGTAATTGGTCGCTGTTTCGAGCGTATGGAATAGTTGGGATCGAGGAGACTTGGAGGTCCACCATGATAGGAGCGTCTTTGAGCTTTTGTTAGTTCAAGGCCTGCTTCTACTGAAGCTCGGGAAGCAGCTGGTCTTCCCCGCGCCAAGGTAGAGGGACTACTCACTTGTTCCCAGTACTGTGCAACATCCAGCATCATGCTGAATATCGCTGATATGAAACTCCACATGCTAAGCCACCAGGACCCCATGTCGTGTGGTGAGGAGGTCCAGATCGATGGGGGGAATGGTCGGCGGAACTGGCTTTCACATGCTTATGGCGTCACGCGCATACAGACTAATGGGGACGAAAAGAAGAAAAAATCACTAAAATAATTCAATATGTTTCAACCCCCGCCATCATTGGGCGCAAAGGGCTAGACTGGCAAGGTTGGATGTTTGCGGGGAGAAAGAATTGAGGATCGAAGACTTGGTCAGACCAAAATCGTAGAGTAATCGTGGGTGCAAAGTCCAGACCCATGTTACATCTACATTTTCCAATATACAAGTACACCAGCCCCGAAGGAATCTACTATAATTCGATAACATGGAAAATCATGAATTTGCAAGTCGTTTGATTTTTGTCATTCCGCTTTTTGCTTCCTATATGCAAGAGGGCGAAATTGAAAAAAGAAGCTCTCCCGGACACCCGAACCCATCAAGCGTCATTCTTTATTCCTCAATGATGTTACCACGCTCAGACACGTACAGACCGTCCAAGAACTATAGTCTTATTAGTATGTGCAGATTGAATGGAAGCTTGAGAACGAATATCACGTACCTTACGGATATCCTTGTTGCGGACACGGCAGATCTGCTGGATGTCGGCAGCACTCTGGGAGACACCCTCGAGGGAGTTTCCGGAAAGCTGGAGCTCATCCTTGACGTTGGCGGAGGGGACAATGTCGACACCGGGCTGAGCAGTCACGCGGCGAACGTACTTCTCACCGAGGAAGTTACTAAAAGAGATAGTCAGTTTCCATGTCCTACTCTGGCTTTTTTTTTGTCGAGCCTCTCGTAAATAAGAAGTAGCTAGATTGAACATACCGGATCTCAATGTCGTTGCAGCCAGTCTCGGGGTTCTTCTCGATGTTCACGTTGATGGGGAAATGGGCGTAGACGTAACGCATCTTGTAGAGGAAACCGCGGGTAACACCGATGATCAGGTTGTTGATGAGGGTGCGGACGGTGCGGAGGGTAGCAACACCCTTGCGGACACCGTGGTGCAACTCGATCGAGATCACGTTGGGCTCGGGGCGACCGAAGGTGACGGCGATGTGGGAGAGGTCCTTGACGAGCTTGCCACGGGGACCCTCAACGGTCACAACGCGCGAACGAATGTGAACCTTCACTATAGGAGAAAACTTGTATCAGCCAAAGGTCCAATTTTTCCCTTCATGTGCGCAATTCCATATGTGATTTCGTTCGGTGCGTATTAAAGCCCCGAAACAAGATCCCAAATTTTCCCTCCGGTGTCGTTGTTGTTGCTGGGCGTCTGCCTTGATAGGTAGATCATCGTCGAGCATTCCTCCTACTCATTGGACATGAATAGGCATCGCGCCCGCCTCCCACATTTTCCTCCACACCAAAATCCTCCTTGGAACCTCGAAAAAAGGAAAAAGTCGCATGCTCACCATTGTCCGGAATGGGCAGCCGTTCCTCGGAGTGAATGTACCGCATCTTGACTGCGTGGGTGGTGTTGGCCGAGGGGGTGAATTGTCGATGTCGGGAGGATCAAAATTCGGGTTGGAGTTGTTGGTGGAGCGAAATTGTATGTCACGGGGTTGTGCGTCGCTTAACCACAAATCCGGTTTAGCGTAGGGTTGCTTATCTACTTAGTCATTCTATCTGCTCTTATCGTCACCTGACCTTTGGCTATCGGCTTATCTAATCTTTCCACCAGTTTACATCAACTATATGAACTTGGTTCTCTGAATTGTTTCGCTTCCAATCAGTTGAGCTAAAAAAAAATCTTTTTCTATTCAGCCTCAAGTACCGTGATATCGAAACATCTTCGACAATCCAATGTAGCTCTGGAGAGTAGCATCTTCACTAGTCGGCATGGCATTAAAGCATGACTGATGACATTTGAAAGTCTTTCTTTTCGATGAACAGTGTCAATAGAAAGGCATATGGAACGACTATTGTAAATATGTATGACATGAGTTGTACCTGTGAATACCGAGTGTCCGTGCATATGTGGTTGTGCGACAACCTGTGGATCCGCTGGGCCTTAAACGGTCACACCGAGGTCTAGACTGCCTGGTCCCAGGCCCTTTGACAAGTACTTTTATACTTGGAGAGGGTTTCAAGCAACAAATATCGGGTAAACCCCTTGCGAAATAGGTATCACTATACTAGAATTATCACGATTCCACCCGAGTGGCCAGACCCGGTCACCAATTGCACATCAGCTATATACAAGTACAACATTTGAAAACAACGCCGACCCATGATGAAATACGCCCAAAGGTATAACGATTCTCTTACATGTGCTGCTTCGGTGGACCCCGCGAAACATCGGCAACCCATTTGCCGCCATACTCCCGCAACCGCGTCGCCAGGTCATCGCTCTGATCCATAGCAGCAATATCATCGCCTCCACCGATACTCTTGCCATTGACAAGGATATTGGGCACAGTACCACGGCCTGTAGTCTCTTTCAAGAGAGCCTGGATTTCCTTTCCAATGGGGTGCTTGTCGAGCTCCACGACGAACGGCGCCGGCGAGATAGTGTAGCCCTCTAATAGGATGTGCTTAGCTTTCATGCTGTAGGGGCAGTAAGATTTCGAGAAGATGATGACTAGTTAGCGAAGTTCGTTAGCTTGTGGATTTTGGTGATAGTTGGTAGTAGACGGGTCGCAAGACGACCAGGGCTTTGATTCAAACATACTAGGTGCCCGCTTGAGAATGTCATTCAGCTCAGTCTTCGCATCCAGCTTTGGCTCCTCTTCCTCTGTCTTCTTAGTATCAGACTCGGAGTCCGATGCAGATCCAAATCCTGAGCCCTGCTCGGTCGACAAAGAGTCCTGAGAGACCTTTTTAGGGACAGTCATCTTTGTCCGTCCAGCAATAGAAATCTCCTCCATATCGTCACCGACGTTCGCGACAGGGACAGCCGGCTTCTCTGCACTTTCCGCTTGGGCGACAGCAGGTTTAGTCACCGCATCCTGGGCCTTCTCATGCTTCGCATTCTCCTTCGCCCTCATCGCTTCAAGGGTTGATTTATAGAATTTCTGGTTTTGAATACTGCTTCCTTCGCCCTGCATCCAAATAGCGTTAGTAAAGCACGGACACGAGCCCAGATCAAGACGATCTTGGGGGCCAACATACCGAGTAATAGAACGTCAGGATGATGATCGCGATCACTGCGATCACCAGCAGTCTTGTGCGCCGTGGAGAAGGCATCTTCAGTCGATATCTTCTCTATGCGTATCAATATCGAAGAGACAGTGGCTTGGATTGAAGGAAAGTTGGAAACAAGTTCCCGGCGCAATAGAAGATCCGAACACGAACAACGTGACGGGTGCGGGTTCTCGCGCGCCAAGGAGGAAATCCGCCGATCTAGGTTCCGCACCAGTAACAATCTGGCCCCTGTTTCCAGATTACAGGAAATTGAGGAGGAATCAGACTAAATGTAGGTAGGAGGCCTGAACTGCTGCCCGAAAGAGTATGATGTCGTGTGAAATGTGTCAAAAATGGGACTCAGAGAGGAGTGGGGTTGTTTGTTATAAGGGGGTGACGGTCATCCCTGAATGCGGGACTCGGCGGACTCGGTCTGAGCGCAATGCTTGGCAGGAGATACGAGGCTCTACAAGATCAGGGGCTGGATGATATGTGGGTATTAAATTAACAAAGCTAACATGGGTATTATGCTAAATCACAGAGTCTTTTGGGTCTGGAGAATATCTCCACATGTGAAATCAATAGACGGGGCGTACATCAGCCACTATTAGGTTTAGTGATGGGGTATGTTGTATGTATGAGTAGGGGTGCCAATGATAGGAATGAGTAGGAGGCATGTCAAGAAACAAATCCTCAGAACCAGCTGGGGTATAAAATGCAGGGAATTAGGGATAGGTTGGATGATCCGCCGGGACCAATTGCGTAGAGCGTAACGCAAAATGGTAGAAAGTGCAGGGTTGAAAGACCAACGGTTCAAAAAACAAAAATAAAACACCCATGTTCATGGATCATCAGGTCTGGATGGAGAGACCAGGTCGGGTGGTATGAGCGGTTGCCCGGCGCTTGCCCTGAACAATAGTCGTCCAGTCTTCCCACTCTTTGGCAATCTCTGTGAGGACACTGCCCATTACACCGGCCGAGGCCATAAGACCGTGGCCCTCGCCTTCAAGAATTCGCACCTCGCAGCGCCGCATGGTTTTGCCTAACCAGTTGACATTCTCCACTGGTACACGAGTATCCTTGCTACCGTGGTGAATCACCACAGACCGGGTGATGTCGACATAGCGGAAGCCGATGGTTTGACGGCGTTCCAAACAAATCAAAAGATCAACCGCCGGATTGGCGTTCGCGGTGGCAAGTTCCCAGATTCTGTGTGTGAGCCGGGTATCATAGTCTTGCTGTCGTTCACGCTCCTCCTCGGGGGACTTTGCACGAGACCCAATGGTTGCATCACTCTTTCTATACGAAGCATGGGCAATATTGGATGGCTTCACACCACTCAATGGCACGGTGCTCTCTTTCTGGGACTGGGCGTCGGCTATAGCTTGCGCTACAGATTCTGTATCGGCGATGGGGGTTTCTTTAACAGCCTTGCGTTTGGTTCGCTTGGGGGATTTGGGAAGACTGGTCGTGATGCTTGCACTGGTGGCGCTCATAAAACTGGTATTGGCCACCTTGAGGAGAGATGTTGGGAGGGCACGAAGGATGCGCTGCGAGTAGGGGACTGCATTAGTCGGAGCCGGTTCCTTTTGGGAACCAAGGCTGGAGAGTTGAGATGGAGGAATCCAAGGCGCAAGAAGATGGATGCGTCCACGAATATGCTGTGGAATTCGCAGAGCTGTAGCCAAGGCATAGATGGCTCCGGCAGAGTGAGCCAGAATGGAGAATTTAGTCACTCGTAAATAGTTACAAACAATAGCAACATCATCTGTACCTTGATTAATACAAGGAACTTGACACCGAATTATGGAACAACTTACCAGGCCAGCTGAGGGGATTGCTCGGTTCGTCAAGTTGGTGTGCACCACTCTCACCAACACCGGGACGGTCCAGGGTTACCAGTCTCAGGTTGAGAGTCCGAGCCAATTCATCATAGAATGCGGGAAGATAGCGAGTAAGGCCCATTCCGAGACAACACAGGACGACATGACCTTTGGGATCGCCTACCTCAGAAAATGCGATAATACGACCGGTTGCAGGGTGTACTACCTTCTGAGTCAGCTTCGGAGAAAAGGCGTAGTCTTCAACGGCCAGATCAATTGAATCAGCGCTAGATGGTCGGTCGTGAATGGTCGAGGTGCGACCAGTAATGCTTGGGCCTGAAGGGGATCGACGATGGCCTGGGGTAGGCGAAATGGGCTCCAGAGATGTCCTGTATCGCGATTTGTCGTGATCGAGTTTATCGGACGATGACTTCGGCATTTGCGGCGCAAAGTTGGTAGGCTTCGAAGCCAATGGGACTCCAGTTTTTCCGGTGCGACTCTTGCCGGTCATGACCGAAGGTGATGGTGCGCTATCATTCAAGACAGAACTTTCAACCTTCGCTGACCCGTTCGGAGTTCCAATCGGGGTCCCCGGATTTTTATCAACTTGACTAGTGCTGCGTGGAGGTTTTGATTGCGTCACCGTGGTCCTTGTGGATTTCCCAGGCCTGTCGTCTACTTCCAACTCGGTCTTGATCTTCTGTTGCTGGTCTTTCAACTCCTGTATCCTCTTGGTAACCTGCTCGGCATCATTACTCGTGCCTGGAAGTCCATTCTCCGCGGTTGACTCTCTGCTGGCAGTAGAAGGGTATCTACTATGACGAGCAGACCTTCGTCTGCCTGATGATTGGCTGTGTCGGTGTCGAAGTGAGGAGTCACGAGTGGGAATAATTCTCCCGCTTCCGATTCCCCCGGGATTGTTATTATTATCCGGTGTGTTCTGAACGGAAGGATGCTCTTTGGAAGGAGGTGTACTCGTCCCAAGACGATCACTTGAGTCTTTGGGCGCCGCCTCCTCGGCCACATCCGCCATTGAATGTAACGAGCGCAGACTAGCGCGACTGCGAGGCATGTGTCGTAACCCGTCGTTGAGGCTGGTCGTCTTTCGCAGACGTTCGAGCGGAGTATCCTTGTCGCCAGATAAATCCCGGGATGATGATTTCTTGAGCAATCCAAACGTACCCTTCAGACTTTTGGTCCGACCCCCGGAGCTATTCGAGGCGACGCTAACCGCAGTTGAGAGACGGGGACCGGGTTCGGTACTGATCGTGCCAAACACAGGGCCTTCTTCCGGAACCCTTACCGACGAGTAAGAGTCTCTCGATGCGGGTCGAGCAGATGAATCGTTTGATTTACCAAAAGGCTTGAATCTGGGCGATTTAGGAGATTTAGGTGACGGCGGCGCTCTGGCCATGCGAATGACGGGGGACAGCGCAGCATCATCTGGATGCAAGAATGGGCTATCAGCGGGTTCTGGTTCTTCGAGATGAGTGCCGAAGCTCATTCCAAATCCATTCTGCTGGGACGGAGGGATAGTGAAACACGGTGCCGTGTGTGGCACCTCGGGCAAGCCAGGATCGGAGGAGTCCTTCGAGTCGATTCGGGGCACGTTGTCGAAATGAGAGTTCAGGGGCACGGAGATGGTGGAGAGGGACGAGATCAACGATGAGATGACCTCCGGCGACGTTGGATCGGCTGAAGTTCCTCCCTGGCCGCGTGAAGGGAGTGACTTGCGACGGCGCCGGCGGCTTAACAGGGCCGACTCGGCGGGTTTGAGCGTCGCGCTATCGTTAAGCTGCATGGCGATTTTCAATAGTTCAAAGGGGGGAGTTTATTGAAGGTTCCCCAGGGATTAACGAGATATGCAGGGAATCGACAGGTCACCGCGCATCATCTACTGCACTAGAATATAGAGGTTTTGCGCACGCCACGGGCCCTTGCAAAATAGAATAAAAATCCCCCCTTACTGCGTCGAAGTCGACGTGGGGCGGGATAGCTGATAAGACCAAATCTTAGAGGTAAGGATTGAGAGATCAAGGGGGACAGAATAGAACAAAAGAAAAAAGGAGTGTGGTTGAGAAAAGAAAGAGAATGAATGATTAGGAGAATTAGAAGCCAAACGACAATGATATACGGGATATTCGGATTGGATATGGAGAAGTTTTTTTAGCGTTCGCGCATGTCCAGCTCCACAGGGTGTGGATGGATCCCAATTTCCCACTCGTTTGTGTACAGATCCCGTTCGGGTATGGATGATCGTGATCGGTCCATACGCCGAAACCCTCCACCCTCGTGCCTCATGGACGTGCGAGGGATCGACTATGTTTCTAGATGCATAGAACCAGGTATGTGTCAAAGGGCTGGCTAGAATTCCACGTGGCATACGAGTACATTAGTGCCTATAACCCGAGAGGTATTCTAGAAGTCCGCAAGGCCCCTTTAGCATGCCAAGCAATGTGCGCGATCGCGGAAATTAGCAAGCACTTAGAGTCCAAACCATATTTAAGGTCAGTCTGATTGCTGCGGACACTTATGAAATAAGTTTATGCTGAGGCTGGATTGGTAGCTCATTCGATTCTATGAAAAAGGGCAGTATGTACAAATTAAAAATAAAAATTTATCACTCGCGTTTGAATCAATTGCTTGACAGGTCATTCAAATGCCGGTACGAGGCGTCAAATATATATCCACATGCCAGAACCTATTCTATTCAGTATTGAAGTGGATCTGGTCCCAAGATGTAGTGGGAAGAATGCATCAAATATTTGCAAGCATTTATCAAATATTTGTAGGTGCTATTCAATATTGAATCAATTTCCTACTGTATAGAATAACCGTAGGCTTTCAAAAATCAAGCTTCGCAAAACAACGGAAGTATATATGGCTGACCGCCCGCGGGGGCGCGGCAATAATCCACGGGAGAGCTTGGGTCGTGTTATCGCATTTGTTGTCTCCTTAGGAACTACTCGAACCAAAAACTCCCCACTCCGATCGACAAACCACTTTCTCAGTCAGCAACCGGCATTGCAAAAACCCCCGACCGGAATATCGCTGGTCTAGAAATGCGGTGACCGAGCTCAGACATTCAGCCCATTGTCCGCAATGGACGCATACCCCGAAGACTACGTCAACCACAACCTCCCTCTAATCCTGCTTTCAGGACTCGAGGCAGGCGTGGAAGATAATAATGGGTCCTCTGTGGATTATCCTCTTGCTGAGACGGGACCTAGGATCTTCTCTGATTTCCCCCCGCTGAGCGGGGCCGTTGCGGAGGAGCTGCGGAGCGCACTGTTGGAAGAGGATAGCTCCCAGAAACCCTGGAGATCAACTGTTGGCCCGAATGGAACGGCTCCTCTGATAAGATACAAGATCAAGAGTACCGGTCGTGTAAGTTTCCTTTGATGATTGAGGGAAACCTCCTACTCATGCATTATCAGTCTTATCAACTGCCACCGCGAAAAGCAACCCCTCCCCAAAGCTCACCACCTACAAGTCCCACCAGCGACCCAGATAGCAATCCTCCAGCTACCAGCACATCATATGTACTTCACTCTCCAATCTCACCTTTATCTCCGGGCTCTCCTACCTTCCCGGATGGACTTCTCACTCCTTTATGGGTGACAAAACACCAAGATCTCGTCCCGGCTGCGGTGATCAACTTTTTCCCTTTCTCCCTCGATCCGAACATGAACTCTCTCCGAGATAATCAGCTGAAAATCGAGATCAATAGTTTGAAAAAAGAATGGGCATCCTCGGGGGTCAAAACAAGGTTTGTGGTGGTTTTGATCTCGGAGGAGGGCGACGGGGGCTTGACGGGAGAGATCGATGACCGTGTGGCGGCAATTCGACGATCTACAAATCTAGACCAGAAGTCAATCTTTATCATCCCGCCAGATGCCACGTCGTCGGAGCTGAAGGAGTTCGCGACGTCATTGTTTTCGCTATTGCAGCCTTCGGTGGTGGAATACTATCGAGACTTGTCAAAGCATGCCCGGCGCAAACGGAACAGAGGCAACATTCCTCCCCCCACGGCACCACCCACAAGTGGCACATCTCAGACATTATCGTTCCAGGGCTGGAACGTGCGATATGAATTCAAGCTTGGCATATTTGCTGAGTTTCGTCAAGAGATGGATGCTGCGTGTCGAAATTATGAAAGTGCATATGATACATTGTTTGGACAAGAGGTTTTTGAGAACATTGCAGGCTGGGATCCTCGATTCAACGATGCACGTCTATTGGGTGATGCCCTTGCCATCCGTATAATCCGCTGTCTACTATGGACAAACCAGACCACTGCAGCAACACGTTTTTGGGTCGATCACAGACTTCGTACCCAAGACATTGTCAATCGGAGGGGCAAAGGGAGTAAGAATTATGGATGGGAGGCCTGGGAAGCACGGTGGTCCATGGTTATGGCGCAGCTCATACGCCGCGCAGAAACTTCCCAAATATCACAGGAGACTTCTACAGAGAAATCATCGGAGATGCCCTCAATCCACATGGCACCCGAGAAGGCTATTCCTGCGGGAGAAATAGTCAGCCCCTGGGAGCATCTGCACCACGAGGGATATTGGTTATACCGTTCAGCAAAGCACACGATGCGGCGACGAGCGTTGGCGGAGCGTATTCCCGACGAGGATCGGATGACCCCCGGTCAATCGCCTGCCTCCCAGATCGCCAACAAGTCATATTTATATGATACATACCTTGCCCCGGAGACGCATTTTGAATCCGCCAAACCAGGACAAACAGGTTTCGATCATTCTCATCTGATTCTAAGAACACTAGAAGATGCCCTAGGTGAATTTTCCAAGCGCGGCCAAGTTCGAAAAGTGGAACATCTTAGCTTGGAGATTGCTGAGGAATATATGCGAAATGGCTCTTGGGCCGAGGCATACGCTGTTTTGCAACCCCTGTGGCCAAGCCTGACCTGGCGTAAGTCAGGATGGTGGCACCTGATGGAAAGCTTTGGATGGGCATTGAGAGAGTCTGCCCTTAAGTCACAGGAGTGTGAGATGGTCCTGCGAGTGGACTGGGAGCTTCTTAATAAGGGTAGGCTGTCATGATTATATCGCACTATTGTGGGCCTAGGCACTAATTGATCCATAGTCTTCCCATCAAGGTCTACTCTGCACTATGACATTCATAAGAGCCTCGAGGATGTTTCAGTTGAGAAGCCTAAACCATCTGTTGTTCTCCGGGCAGAGGATGTCATGACTAGCTGTGAGTTTATTTTTGCAATGTGTTCAAATCCATTGCATTGAAAACTGACATTTTATCTCTACGCAGTGACTGCATCTCTAGTCTTCGAAAAGTCCGAAGGCAATGTTGGTGAGCCTCTTCAGGCTCAACTCCTGATCACATCCTGTGCCCAGCAATCGTCATCTCCCATCAAGCTTTCAGAAGTGAAGCTTGTGTTTGAAGGATGCCTTCGCCCTGTCAAGCTTCAGTCCAACCAAAATAAAGACTCCGACACTACCGCCCCGTCCTGCATCTCATCGATATCTCTGCGGGAACCCAGTACCCAAGACGACTCGACTCTCCAATCCCCAACCGGTGTTTTGTCCACTCTGGTTGGAGTCGCTGATTTGACAATTGGTCCTTCTCAAACTAAAGTGTTCAACCTCACATGTATTCCTCGTGAAGCTGGAGAGGCCCAGGTTGCTTCGATAGCGATGCTTGTTGAAGAGGAAAAGTTTGATCTCACCTATGTGATTACAGAGCACAATACCCGGGAGTCTTACTGGTGGCAACAAACCAAGAAGGGTGCATCTCGCAGAAGAATTGGAAAAGACCGCGATGTTGGGAAATGCAAGATCATGCCCAAACCGCCCAAGATCCGTATCTCTACTCCGAACCTCAAGAACACATACTATACCCATGAACGAGTGCCGCTGCGCATCAGCATTCATAACGAAGAGGATGAAGCGGCTGATGTTTCAGCCGAGATCAGGCTATTTGGACCCGCGGACTCCACTACGAAGCTAAAATGGCTCGATGAGGATCAAGTATCCGAACCTGAAGAATCAGGAACGAGTTCTCCAACTGAGGGCCCATCTCACTTCCTCAAACGGAATATTGGACCGATGGAACGTGCTTCGGACAAAGATCTTATCGTTGTCTTGGACGACACCCAAGAGGCTGCAAAACACACACTCGAGATCTCTGCGGTTTACCATCTCGTCTCCGATGTACAAACACCAATAATGAAAACGATCACCGTGGAATTATCGTTCATCCGGCCATTTGAGGCCAACTACGATTTCTTACCTCACATCCACTCCCGACCTTGGCCGAACTTCTTCTCGGTCAATGATGAGTTAATTGGTGACGACGCCAGGACAACACCAGGTGGCTTGTTGCAGAGGTGGTGCCTCAATTCTAAATTGGTGTCATTTGCCCTTGAGCCCCTCGTCATTGATCAGATCTCCCTGAAGCTTCTGACCTTGAGCGGTGGTGCTGTTTGCAATGTCGAGTCTGAGACGCTAGTCAGCCCAGAAACTCCACAGATTGCAGCGGAGGAGCTGCGCGAGTCCAATTTCTTCCTTGACATACAGAAACTCACACTGGGTGACCGTCGACCGTCCGCACTCAACTTTGCATTAGAAATTGTCTGGCACCGTGCATCCACTGACCCAGAGAATGAAGGCGACACTACAATGACTATTCTTGAAGTCCCTCGCTTTGTGGTCCCTATGGGCGAGCCTCGAGTGCTTGCCTCAGCAACCCCTTCCAGTGCTCTGTCCGGTCTCATACACCTAGAGTATACCGTTGAGAACCCATCCACCCACTTTCTCACTTTCAACTTGATGATGGAAGCCAGTGAACACTTCGCCTTCAGTGGTCCCAAGACGATGGTGATCCAGCTGGTCCCACTAAGCCGGCATACTGTCCGGTACAATATTCTGGCCGCGAAGCGTGGGCTCTGGATTCAGCCCCAGCTGGTAATCGTGGATACCTACTTCAACAAGACCCTTCGTGTCCTTCCCACAGGCGAGATGCGCTCAGACAAGAAAGGGCCCTTAGTGTGGGTTGACGCAGAGGACTAGGGTGGCCTACCAGTGAATCGGTTCTTATATGTGTGAAATATCTCCAAATATCATGAGAAATGTACTTAGAGTATCTATATCTTAAATTCCGCATTTGCTCCGTATCATAAGTCATTCAAGTTCATCTATCACCTTCAAAGAAGAGGCATAGTCACCCGATTCGTATAATCCACATTTTCCTTCACACTCTCAATTCGCTCATGACAAGTCCCAAATATCCTATCCCACAGCCGAGTCTGCTTCCCATAATTATGACTCTTCCTCCACCCGTACCGATGATGAAGATCATGATCCTCAATAACCAACTCCGCATCAAACACCTCCAACAACCAATTCACCGTCGATGGAGCACCGCCATGAATCCGAAGCCCACTGTGTCCAATAAACTCCGAGAAAGCAATATACTGGAAACAAACCCACCACTCATAAAACCCCATCGGCAGCCCAGCCAGCTTCATGGTGGTATACGCCAAAAGTGGAATCCCAGTAATATCCATAAACTCCTGCTCATGGTCTGCATACGCCGAAAGCAACGGATTCGGATGTTTAGTGAGATGGTGCTTGCGGTGATACTTCCACAGCGGCCCGGACGAGTGCATCAGACGATGATACCAGTAAAACCAGAAATCAACAGTAATACTGTATAAACCAATCTCCAACGGAAGCCACTTCCACTGAAGCGAAGCCGGCGTCTGATCTCGTTGGTAGGTCAAGAAGATAGACATGATCATCCGGAACGTCGAAGTAGAGATTAGTTCTCGGAGAACCTTGCCCACACCCACATCTGGGATCTCGTCTCGTGCATGCTTGTCGCCGTCTAAGAACCCATAGACCTGACCCAGTCGGCGCATAATATGCATTTCGTGAATACCGTTCACTTTGAAGAACGTGGAATATAGTGCGAAAGCGGCAAGGAGATTCAGGTTGTGGCCCGTGTAGACTGTGTAGACGTGGTGTAGAGCGAGTGGGATAGCAGCGTGCAGTAGGATCCACAGATGAACAGTCCACTCCCGCATAGCGGGGACCTTATCTTTCTTCGAGAAGATGGGAACTTCCTTATTGAGGTCGATGAGGTGTAGGCCCAGGATTTCGATCATATGGTGCCAAAATGTCCACTGAGATTGATCCTGGCGCCAGGTAGACGCCATGGAGTCTTGGGGGTTGGCCTTTTGGCTAGACATTTTGAGCCACTTCAGTTGTATCTGTAGAGACTAGCTTTTGCATTACTATCTAGAGGCAGATCTGTAAATTCTTATATACCTGAGCCAGACCGAAGATGTACGGCATGTGAAGTCACGATCGTCAGCCATGACACATTGTAGGGGGTTTAGAGAAGAACTTTAAACTCTTGAACGAATCAGCATAGATTTACGCGTGCTCAGGGACTTTTCAGAGATTTTTGGGGAAACTAGGGTTCTCTAGCGCGGGGGATCATCGTAACCTGTGATTAAGGCGCTGCCTCGGTTGCCGGATATTGCCCATGGAATAGGCGGGGAAGCTCCACTGGTTCTCTGGAGACCCCAGAGTTAGCCTTGAAGGGGCTAGCGCTTGGTTTGCATGGTGATTAAGCCCATTCTGGTATGCGTTGCGATCCTTGGCCTGCTTATTCAAGTCTGCCTGCCTAAGCGAGGCATATGACATCCAATGAAAAGACTTATACTACATGGCAAGAAGATAAATCATCAAAGAGAGACAATTTGGTTTAGAGTCTCAGTATCCCTCTTTCTTATCTAATATTTATCTCTAAGTTCAGTGAATCATGCCCATGTCGACGTCAAATGGCAATTTGGGACGAAGGGCAGTTTGAAGAGAGTCATAGGGCATAACAAGATCTATTAGACAATGAAAACTGGCTCTAAGTAGCTAATGCAGTCCCATTCATTATTTGAGAGTTTTATAACGAGCACCTGCTCAATAGAGCCCTGAAATGTGCGTCATAAACCCACAGGCTTGCAATATCAAGAAACATATGCATCTTACATTCCGAGGTAGCGAGACGAGAAACAGCATGACATGTGCCATGGAAGCTAAGGTGAAGATGGTTTGTTAAGCACATTATCATGTACATGGTTAGTATCTTAGCCCAACAAACTGTTACCGGTGTACCCTTGAGTTTCACATTGTCATCATCAACCCAAACCCGCAATGAACGAGTTGCTTGTCCCAACGCGATAAGCCCGGAAAAACTCGTCTGCTCAACTTGGTTCTATCTTGATTTTCGGCCACAGAGAGCACGTAAGAGTGATTTTAGTGCTATTTCTTTTTTCTGGAGTCTAAATAGTTTGCAATGGAATGTTTAAACCATGATTGGCATGTATTTCCGGCAATCTCCTCATATGGCTGGTTTCAATGACCTTCCAAATACTCAACATTTAAACAGTCAAAAGACGAAACTACTATCAACCTATTTACAACCATACTTTGGTCCCCTATCAATATGGCCGATGGGAAGATCTGTAATATCGTTTTCCCTACTCAACAGCGGTGTTTAAATGTCCATACTTGATTACTTAGAAAGCTGCCAATAAGATGAAATTTCGTAGAAATGAATAGCCTCGCCGTTGGGCTAAATACAAGCCAACTATCCACAGGTCTACTATTTCTCTTAGCTACTCTAATTACCGGCCATATCCCTAGAAATAGGAAGCGAGACTAAACACGATCAAGTCTGGGACTTAGTGATACAAAAACAATTCATGTCCAAGAAATTGAAAAGGTATTGAAACATTTTATACTATACACAGGCTATGTCACATGGGCGAAGCGAAGGCAAAATGCCAGAAGAATAACTCCTATGAAATCGAACAGGAAAACAAAGCCCAACTGCCATGTCCCGGGACTAATAATGGACAGCAGGCAGAAAGTAGCATGCAACGGCTTGACCTCGAAATATCTACCTTGAGGTGGCCTCCTCGGCCGGGGTCTCCTTCGGAGCAGACTCCTTCTTATCCGCAATCTTCAACTTTGAGATAGCACTCTCCAAAGCATCAATACCATCCTTCCGGAACCGAGTCACCTTCCGCACGTTCAGCGCAGTGAGTTGATTCAAGTTCTGAATACCACGCTCACGCTGGCGCAGCAAAGTGCGAGCAGTCATGGCAAAGCGCATATCCTTAGGTCCATCGACGAGTTCCAGAATGGCGCTGGGGGCTTGGTCGTGAGGCTTGCGCTCGGGTTCATCTCTACTGCCCTTAGGACGGTTGTAGTATTCGTATTTCTGCTTCGGCTCGACACGGAGCACGCGGGTGTAGCCACCAGGGCGGTCCGCGTAACGTTCACGAAGAGGACCGAAGAGTTTGGGAAGAATTTCATGAGGTTTCTATTGTGTGTATTAGTGTACTGTTTCTCGAGAGGAGTGACCCAAGAAAAGAAGGAGAGTTACGAACATAGAAAATCTCCAATGCCCGTCTCCGGCTGGCCTCAGAGTTCTTCTTGCCCAGAGTGATCAACTTGTCCGCCAATCGCTGAGCCTCCTTGGCTTTGGCCCATGTCGTTGTGATAGATTCGTTCTCGAAGAGTGAGGTGACCAGGTTGCGCAGCAAAGCCTGTCGATGCGAAGACTTGCGACCCAGGTGTCGGTATTTTCCTCCACCACCGGCCATGGTTGCGACGGTTTGGAAGGGAGGGAGAAGGGGAGAAGAGAAAGCGGGAGCCCAATTGATCGACGAGAATCAATTTCGAGACGTCGGGATCAAACTGGTTGGGGGACTCTCTTGCAGTGTTTGTAGGGGAGGTTCGGGACAAAAGATTCGAGAGTTCGGCCGGCCAATCGGAGAGCTGCCACCGCCTTGGCCGACTTCAACTTTTCCGCGTCAACGAGATAACGCAGCTTGATTCGCCTGCTGATGTGCAGTCACCACAAACAACCTGATTGTTTCATTCTTTAGGTCTTTAGTCTAGACCTGGTGGTTCAATCTCTTCCGAAAACTAATTACGAAACCGAAACACGCCTGCATCGCAATGGGGTTTATCACCGGCTTCGTACGTCGAATCCTCCGCATACCCTACGACAATGATTTACTGATATTCTTTTCTCTGATTAGTGCAGCGGCTTTGCCCTAACAAGCTCCGTTCTATTCATCACAATCACAATTCATCGGGCCAACCGCTTGGAACAGCGTCGGGCGATTCGCGAACAAGTCGATCAGATAAACTGGATTGCCGCCTCCGCTGGCGCATATGACCGTCGCTTTGCTCCACAAGATATCCCAAGACGACTAGAAGATCGCCTACATAAGAACGATGAAGATATTACCATGAAGGAAGTTTTGAAGCATCGGTGGAACCAAGAAGTGGAGAAGATGGCTCGGAAAGCGCATGATACTCGGTGGGAGGACGTACGAGACACAGCAGTCGATGCATGGAAGTCCGCTACAAACCTTTTCAAGAAGGAGTGAGTCGATTTCCTCTAGACTGGATAGATAAAACAAGGGCGGTTGTGCTTTTGTTGATGATGTATTATTATTTGAGTTTGCATGGCTAGCAATGGCGTTTGGATACCCCTTGTCATTATATTAGAATTGAATTCTTTTGAAACAATGGATTTGGAAGCAGTGGCTTGCGAATATAGTACATGGATAATTATGACCGGGTGAGCGTCCAGCGCTGATTCGTAACGGCATTAAACGCCAATCTTGGCGGAGGAGTTCAAGCTTACTTGATGATCACGGCTTATAGAGCGGTGTTAGTAGAGTTTTCATCCGTTGTCACGCTTTCTGTGTCGCTCCAGATATCTTTGCTTTCCCGCTCCACAGTGCGCATTGCTTGAGAGACCTCCTCAAGCTTGGCAACCACATCCAGCACTCCTTGGTTGACGCGGTCAAAGTAGCGATCATTTGCTTCTCGCCGCTTGCGCGCAAGATTGATATCCTTCTCCGTCTCCTCATCAAGCGTATGGTGTAAGAAACGGTCCCCGGTAGAATGCTGCTCAGTCGATGGAGCATCGGTGCCGTCCGCCGAACCAGGCCGTCGAGCAGCGCTTTCTCCATCTGCGGTATTGCGACCGGAATCGACGAGTTCATCGTCTGCTTCACTACGTGCCCAGGCTTGAGCCAGTTTCAATTGTTTCATGCGCAGATCCTCCAATGCTTCAGCGTGTTTTTCGCCGAATACGCGCTCGCTTGTTACTGCGCTCAATTCAACCTCGGATAAAGCGCTTTGCATCTCCTGCCAAATGGCATCTGATCCGTCGACATCGTTTTTTGAGGGGCGCTTGGAGGTAAAGGGCGAGTTGGCACGATCACTGCGGCGAGACTGGTTCCGGTCGAGGGGCGGAGGTTGGGTGCCGGCTGGTGTTGCCAGTGTTGAAGCTGGCGGTACTGAAAGAGATATGTTGGAGGCGTTGTGGGATGGAGGGCCCTGAAATAAGGCTGGCGGGGGTAGCCGCTGTGGCCCTGAGGGTGAGGGGCTTCCTCAAGGAGTCCATCGCTTCTATGTAGACAGGAATAGCCTCCAGGTTGTAATCATCGGAGATTGGAGAAGATCCATAACAAGCGGATCTAACGATAACGGGGCTTATCGGGCTTATAGAAGCATGATGACATAATCACATGCGATCGACGGGCGGGGGTTAGTAAGATCAGGTGACTCGCTTAGGGCAAGCGCACAAAGTCACGAGGGAAATGCGTTCCAAGCAAGCGAGTCGCTGGCGTTCAAGGCAATTCCGAAACCTTCGACTTTTCGACACCCCACGATCCAAGCCCCTTTGGCGACAACACCCATTTTCAGTCGGTACGTACACCGTTGTTGATATCCCCGCCCACTACAGGATAGTCTTTGGAAGTTATTTATGTGTGACGAAGGCGAGATCCTCCCAACCATCTCGTCCTGCGCACACAAAAATCGTCCAGACCCTCAATCCTCAACCTTCACCCACAACCAACGCCTCCCACACACGAACAATCTCCGAAGACGCGCGGAAACGACAGCATTTGAAGAACCGATTTACTAACGTCGATCTCCTCGTCTTAGTTGACCGTCAAGAATAATCCGACAACATGGGTAAAGGAAAGCCTAGAGGTCTCAACGCCGCCCGCAAGCTCGAGGCTCACCGCAAGGATCAGCGCTGGGCTGATCTCGGCTTCAAGAAGCGCCTTCTCGGAACCGCCTACAAGTCCTCTCCCTTCGGTGGTGCTTCCCACGCCAAGGGTATCGTCCTTGAGAAGGTCGGTGTTGAGGCCAAGCAGCCCAACTCCGCTATTCGCAAGTGTGTCAAGGTCCAGCTGATCAAGAACGGCAAGAAGGTCGCTGCTTTCGGTGGGTTATCTCCGTCCAGTGTTTGATACATGGTGGAATGGTATATGCAATTTGAGCCCAGGCTTGAACTGCATTCACTACCACTACAACTTGACTGAAGCCAGGCGCTAACATAATAACTCTACGATAGTTCCCAATGACGGTTGCTTGAACTTCATCGATGAGAACGACGAGGTCCTCCTTGCCGGTTTCGGTCGCAAGGGTAAGGCAAAGGGTGATATTCCCGGTGTCCGTTTCAAGGTCGTTAAGGTCTCCGGTGTCGGTCTGCTCGCTCTCTGGAAGGAGAAGAAGGAGAAGCCCCGCTCTTAAACGAGTCAAAAAGCAAAACGCAGGGGTGGAGGAGTGAATCGGTATCGGACAGAAAGCCCGTCTCATCAGCGCCTGGATTTCATGAGAATTTTTTTTTGGGAAATACAACCCGGTCGGGCTTTCGTCTGGGATTACGTGTGCGAATTACCATGATTTGATACAATTCCAAAAAACAATGGCGCTATGATCTTCATCTGCGGGGGGGCTCCAGACCCTTGTCTATCATACATTCTAGACCTGCTCGTAGGAGAGTAAACCCTGACCTAGGTGGGTCTTTGAATTCAGCATCTTCAGCTTGGAGATGCCCTAGATACCACATTCAAAGTCTAGCCTTAAAACTCCAGGGCTCCAGATAGATCGACATAACCTTAGAGACCAGACAGTTCATTGGGTTGCTGCATGGTTGATCAGGCTGTTAAACATTTAAATTCCTATTTTACTTCGCCATTTGTCTGGCCCTGGAGCAATTGTATGTTTGCAAGAGCCCAGTTGCTGACAATGAGCCGCCTAGCAGAAAGTGTATATGTCCTGTATGAATTCCCTAGCCAACCTCCAGTTGGAGATGGCACCCTTGCAATTGGACGTTCATCTGCGATGGCTGAAAACTATATTGTGGTATACTGTACCTAGTATGAGCCAAATTTTGTGTTTGATACTATATATCGATACCATTGAACGCGATATATACATGTACCAAAATGGAAGTATCTCTTGGGCATAAACTTCAATCAAGAAGAGAAAAGAAGGGTCTTGCTGGGCATACAAAGCCTCTGACATCTTCCATGATCCGATCACCTAGGCACCTAGCGATAGTACCTAGTAGTTATATATTTCTGCCTCCACTTGCACAGATAACTTGAAATTCACTCTCTACGTAGACAGCCCTTGCTTTTTGTCCTTTGACAGTGGTATAGCGAGTATCAATAACAGCAGATTTATGGATGTTCCATGGCCGTGATGCAACCTACTGGGATTATTAAAATGACTAAGGCAATAAAGCCTTGGGAAAGTCTATCCTGGTCTTCATTTCACATTGTATTTAAGCCATCTATATCTTACGGCTACCGTAGGAAAGACCAAAAGGCTTTCAAACACCCACGTAATAATCATCGCACATAAATCCTCGGGTATCTTTTTCAGTATTCGACCTACTTTTTCATGTCTGTGAACTACTTCCAAGCCCCTAAAAGCTGATATCCTCTTTTCGGTAGTGATCAGACACGATACGGTAGAGGTATGACGGGGCATGGCCACCTCTGTAATGAGAAAAGCACATATTAGTAAATGGACACGAAGGGCAAAATTGCCATATCAAGAAAGACTTACAAGTTGGTGATGTAAAGATCAACCAGCTCTGCCGGGACATAGTCGTAAATTGGGTTCTGAACATCGATCTTCTCGACAAGGTCTGCGTCTTCGAAGGGCAAAACTTTGCTGGCATCGCCATACTCAATGAGCGAGTCGAAGTCGAACGGATACACGGGACTCAATTTATAGACACCACTGACAACAACGACAGGGGTTTGGTGAACCTTGGCGGCGCGGGCAATGACACGGGTGCCGGCAGCAGCGACAAGACCACCATTAGCAAGGACGGAGTGGGTACCCAAAATGACCTTGTTGACACGGGACATGAGCGCGAAAACAGCGGAGTCGGGAATAAGAATCACAGTGATGCCATGAGCAACCAGCGGCTTTTGGAAAGATTCAAAGCCGAGGTTCTCATCATCACCGGCGCTATTGCCACTAACAGTAGCGTGGGTGGAATCGTGATTGTTTGGAAACGACTCGGCATGGATGACTGTGAACTTGCGCTTGGCGGCAGCTTTGAGCAGGAACTTCTGTACTGTTGTGGAAGAGGTGTGTGTGAGGATGATCTCGTTGGAGTGAATGTGTTCCAACGCATAAGCAGCAATCTGGTCATCTACTTGACCCAGCTCATCAATAATCTCGTTGATACCCTCCAAGACTTCAGCTCGTACGTCCTTGCTGAGGCCGTGGCCAGGCACACGCCCAATTGGCGATTGAGTGCCGGGAGTGCTGGGAAGGGAGTGTTCGGGCTCCGGGTGGGAGAGCAGGCTAAACATCGAGGTCAAAGGGGGACGAGAAGACCGGTCAGAGCCCTCTGGCCTGAGACCGAGCATATCACGATCCAAAGGCAGTGACGGATCTATTGAGGGTTAATGAGTCATGGTTTCATCGAAGGCGGAGCACCATAATGAAAGAGCTTAGACTGACCGTCGTAGGCACGGGGAGTTTGACACTGGCTTTCCGAGCCAGCCTCACTGAGTGCGAACTCAGCATCGCGATCATCTTCAGCTTCGTCACGAATCAGGCCGAGGACTCGTCGCACAATGTTCCCCACCACCATCTCACGCGGCTGCGCAGCCATAAGACGTCTACCCACACTTTGCACACGCTCAATGAGCTTCACGGACTCGGATGTTCGGCATGCCGATACAACTCGCAGGAGGAGGTAGGCGGTTGCAGTCGCGCATGATCGAGAATGACGGATTTGACGACGCTTGAGCAGCCTGTCAAGAAAAAGAAAAAAACCAAGGGTGAGCATTAGGGTCGTTGGCCAAAGAGAGCAAGGCTAGCGTACGATACTAGGTTTTCAATAGAGGTATCTATCGGATTCGTCTTGAGGGATTTCAAGAACGACGACAGGCCCGGCGTCAGAGCTGTGGCCGTTGACGGCATTTCGGGAAGTGGGATGTGTGAATATCGAGGATCTGTATGCATAGAGTCAGAGTCGGGGTTTTTGTCAAAATAGCTCGAGCGATCCACATACATTGTTGTCTTCTCCCTCTTGCTTCCCTTGAATTTTGGTTATCTTTTCTTCGTAGGCGTGGAGGGGATCTCGAGAATCACAAGGGAATGCAAAGTGGGCAAAAGAACCGATTTTCTGCCGTTGCGTCCTTTGTCCGCTTCCCCACACTTAGACTGTCCCTTCCTCTCTCCTTTTCATCGCGTCGTGTCTTCTTGGCTGGTTTGGCTTTGATCTAGATCTTTTCACGCCTCTTATTTGAATTTTGTTGCTCTTTGATTCCCCCACCTGCTTTTTTCTGGGTAGAAGACCCGACTGGAGTCCGCGCGGAATTACATCCGAGGCAAACGGGTGACTGGCGCATTGAGGTCCGTAGAACTACAAGCTGCCCAGTTTACGCCTCTTTGCGATGCCCCTCTCTTCCCCTCAAAGAATCTTCGACCCCAAGACATCTTAGCCCATAGCATGCCACTTTGACGGTTTCGCTCATACTCTCCATCTTTAGATCCCACGCGCCCGTGTCTCCCGTGGGCTTCGTTCGTGGAAGATGAACTCGCTGAACATCCTATCCTCGCGAGTCATTGGCCAGTCTACCAGCTCTACGCGCCCACGATCGCACTCCCAGAGTGAGAAACGGCGCGAAGCACCGCCTACGGACCTCGCCAAATTTCGATCCTATAGCGAAGACAACTTCCGGTCTAGCCTTGTCTCCGAGAAGGGTCATGACGGCCGCGCATCATTCGCGGACGGCGCCGGAGAAGATACGCCACAGTCGGTTGACGAGACAACGTCCCTATTACATGGCTCCCAACACGATGGCTCCTTCGTGACTAAAAGCACCTGGCGACTTTTCACAAAGCGTATCTTCGATACGATCACCGAAACCATCCGGTTCATTCTATCTACGCTTGCTGCACCTGGTGTATATATCGCTCAATGCTTCCAAAACGATGACGGGCACTATTCGTTTCTTGCCCCGGTGAGAAAAATCTGGAGAACGTCTGCCGAACCCAGGATCCGGCCGGTTAAAGCGAGCTCTCGGGTAGAAAATCGGCGACGAAGTGGCTCCACCCGCAAGTTGAAACCTCAAGGATCTCGAGACTCAATACGATCCACAACATCCGAATCAGATTCAGAGCGAAGGGGCATCAAGGAACTTACGAGTGGGAAGACTCGACCCAATAAAACTGACAACCACCAAGATCATGGTCCAGATGAAAGCACACCGCGTCGGTCTATACGGATTAAGCTCAATAACGAGGAAACACTCAATAGACAACGACAACGACGAAATAAAAGCGCTGATTTTGGTACACCGATGCCAGAGGGTGTAAGTCGGGTTCAAGCCGCCGTTAATCTGGACAATCTGAAGTCTCCCTTGTCATCATCTGTGCATCGCATTACGAAATACCCACACTCTCCAAACCCGCCGCGACCTCTTCTCCCTCAACGACTGCCTTCATACACAGCCGCTCCGCGGAATGCTAGGCTCCCACAAAAAACCCTGGTGCTGGACCTCGATGAGACACTGATTCATTCGCTTGCCAAGGGTGGTCGTATGTCCAGCGGCCACATGGTTGAAGTCAAACTTTACATGCCTATGACCACTGCCCTGGCCCCTGGGGCCCCGCAGACCACTCTGGGACCTCAACATCCCATATTATACTATGTGCATAAGCGGCCGCACTGCGATGATTTCCTACGCAAGATTTCCAAGTGGTACAAGCTCGTGATCTTCACAGCCAGTGTCCAAGAGTATGCCGACCCTGTCATCGACTGGCTCGAGTCGGAAAGGAAGTACTTCCAGGCGCGTTACTACCGACAGCACTGCACATTCCGCAATGGCGCCTATATCAAAGATCTTAGCTCTGTGGAACCGGATCTGAGTAAAGTGATGATCTTGGACAATAGCCCAATGAGCTATATCTTTCACGAGGGTATGTCGGGAAGCATTGGCAATATTTTTCGAGGCACTATCTGACATTCACAATTTAGATAACGCGATTCCCATCGAGGGTTGGATCAACGATCCTACGGATAACGGTCTGCTGCACCTAATCCCCATGCTGGAGGCATTGCAATATGCCACTGATGTTCGGGCACTCTTGGCTCTTCGCCGTGGTGAAGTCGAGGCGTAGCCACCTTTCGCACTTGTAATTATGGAATGCGCATGTAGGTGTAAAGGGAGTTTTGCTATTCGTTAGAAGCGAAGTCAATTGAACAAGAAGAAAAAACCAAAGCAAAAAAATATTGACTCCAGGGAGGACATAAGGACGATCAATGAAGCTATACCATTGCAGCATATCTTATAATAGCATCGAGTATATTGTTTAATGGTGAATGGATGAACGTACATACCCCACTCTTCAAAGTTCCCTTGTTTATTTCTTATTTGACTAGGATAGATTTCCTTTTCAACATCTGTATTCATGTATCTCGGCATGAGAAATGTGAACCGGTTGATATAATGACTTAGCTGTTGAGACCGTTATCATGTAATGATATCATGGCCACCGGTTTTAGATACAGGAAATTGTTGAAGTAGAAGACGGCCTTGAGCAACTCTCGACTTTCGCTTCTCTTCAACATTACAACTTGAGAATGCCATAACATATAGGACCAGTCGTTGTCATCCATAGATCTGGTAGTATAAATTTAAGGTCCTCAAAAGTGCCATCTTGTGGCTGGAAGACCTCACGTTGGTAGCTGGTTGACGCGCTGCCACATGGGAAGGTCAAGGAATACCGGTATGGTTGAAAATTTGACCAGAAAGTCCCAGGACAAGGGAAGGTGGCACTGTTTCCATTTGGAGAGGTGATGCGTTGGAGGAATATGGCTAGTAATGCGTCGGCACGTTCAGACCTTAGGCCGAAGGGCATAGGACTTGACAGGAAGGAGCTTAAACTGCTTAGGGAATCCAGTCTGAATCTCAGACTTGATAACATCCATCCCAGCAGCAGCAAACAACTGTTTAAACTTTCCATCCGTCCTTGTCACACTACTATCCAGATCATCGTACATATCCTGATTCTGTGCATCGGTTGACAAGTTCTCCTTCACAACCATAACGCCGCTTTCCGTCAAAGCATCGCGGCACCTCACAATATACTCAACCAATTGCGTATCGGTGCAATGCCCAACACACCACTGAGTCCAGATCAAATCGTATTTCTTTTGTGGGTACCAGTTCTCCAGGCCAACGGTGTAGATATCACCCACAACACCATCTTGTTTGAGCTTGCTCTCTGCCATAACGTTCGTGAATTTCTCCACCGGCTCGACAGCGTCCACGACTTCACAGACATGGCTAAGAAAACCTTCTGTTACACGTCCAACACCGGCTCCACAGTCCACACCTTGGCGGAGTTTTCCACTTTGGGGGAGAGAGGGAATCATTCGACGAACCTTCGTCAAGAAGTTCTTGGACCCTTGCAGCTCGATGCGTGTATACCAGGGATAAGTTCCGAGCATGCCTAGCATCTCGGCTGAGGTGCTGGGAACGCTGTTCCAGTAGTTGATGGAAGCGGCATGGTTGATTTTGGAGTCTGCGGACTCCGACACAGAGGCGGGTACCCCCGTTGAGCTCTCGTTAATCTCATTCAAAGACATGATGAAATACGGAGAAGAGTATCTTGTGATGCGCGTGGAAAGTGGGGTGAAGCTCCAGACAATTTTATGCTCACAATGATATGATTACCTAAGGATTTAGAATGTGGCACGTGACCATGATGTATATTTACCGGCCTCATCGTGACAACTTCCCCTTCAATTTTAGAGGAAAACCTTATTATTTCGATTCGCCAGTCATCCAAAATGAAATTCTTGGAAAATTTCTCATTGAGATGGCTTTGGCTGTTCAAACGGTCAAAATCAGAGAATCATAATAGCGTAAGCCTCTGGCATTGTGACCAATATAGCAATGGAAAGTTACACCCTATTAATACCTATACAGGCAAAGCCAGCGATCGTGATGGACTCACGAGAAGCTGGACTAAAGCTACTATTTGATGGAGCTTCACCACAAGCTGAGTATGAGAACTATCGTCTTCTAACAATGAGGCTAAGCTAATCATCGCCAGTATTATTGCCGTTCATGGACTCGGTGGACATGGAGAAAAGTCATGGACAGCAGACGATGGAAAAAATTGGCTGCAAAGTATATTACCAGAAGATTTGCCGGATTGCAGGATTTTCACTTGGGGCTACAACGCGTCACCTAGCCCTAACCATGAAAAACAGCCTCTTCAGACTATATCCGAGAAATTGGTGTTGGATCTGTATAAAATGAGAGATTTGACCAGGGTATGTTCGATAACACGAGCTATGCATGACTAGATATGAGCATGGACTTATGGATTTCCTGCAGACACAAACCCGTCCAATCGTCTTTGTGGCACATAGCCTAGGCGGCAGTCTGGTCAAGAGTGTAAGCGCATCCGTTTCTGAGAAAGTTGATAAAATGTTCTAATAAACAATTTTCAGGCCCTGGTATTCTCTGACCAGGAACAAGAAGATATATCTAGCCGGCTCGACATAATCAGTGCATCAACACGCGGGGTTTTCTTCATGGATACAACAGAGCTAGGGATCAGCACTAATGGAATGGAAAAGTTCTTACACAGCATCGAAGGCTCAATCCAAGAGAATAGTGACAGTTGCAAGGAAGCCAAATGGTTACTAGCTATATTGAAACAATACGCATCACTCAGTGCCAAGTATCGAAACGTTTATGTTTCTCCTCGACGGGGCTCAGAGACAATTCAGGAATCAGAGACGGAGGTAAGAGATCAGACTTGTGACCAATGATCTAGCTAACGGTATTGCTGAGTTAGGATGCATCTTCATCTCAAATAAATTCCTCATATATTGTGGTTGATGCAGATCATAATACAATCAATAAGTTCAAGTCTCCTGAGGATCCTGGGTACCTGAAGATTAAAGCGGAACTTCTCGACATACTCAAAGTATCATGTTTAAGTGCTAGACACATCTCTTGGGAGAAATAACGGAAATTTGGGACCGCATTTATTTAAGAGAAAAGAGACAGGAGGTTTTCAGCAAATGCTTTGATTACCATTATAAGCCATTAGGTCTTGGGAATTGCCTATTTGACTTATCGGTCATTTTTAAGACAAGCCGAAATATGGACTTGCTCTTATTTCCACTTGTTAAACTAACCAAGAGAGAGGAAAAATGCAAACCTGTTAATGTACACTTATAGCATATCCTCATCGTCTTCTACATTTCGTGGCTAGGAACTGTAGTACTACTTTTATCTTCGTTGTTCTAGTCAAGGATCCATGTGTGGGGGGCTAATATCTATGTGGACGATTGCTTAGCGGCTCAAATGAATAGCGTATAGCTATCTTAGCCCCACCTGTACACGTGCTCAGAGCTTCACTATCCCAACCTATTACGAACCTGCTACAATTAGAGGAGTCAAATATCAGCTGCCTTAGCATGTCAGGACGATTCTAGTCTAAGCTATAGCTCCTCGTTCCAGGTTGAATGAAACGAGTATGTTAGGGAAGGTTGAGCTCTGTATACAGTTTCTTCAAACAACTGTTGCAGGCTTTTGAAAATTGTAATCTTTTCCATTTTTAGGGTATACTGCGTGACGGATGCCTTGGATGAAATGCAGCTTCCTTTTCTTCCAAAAAGGTTGATTTCTTCGTGAGGAAAAGTGAGGGGTCTTCGCTGCTTCATTCATTCACTGGTATCAAGCTTTATGAGACATATCAAGGGAAAAAGGAACAACAAGAGCCTGGTGAACGATTCGGATTCTTACTGGAGGTTAAGCCTCAATCTTATAGCGGAGGACGTGCAGATACATACGAGCTTGGATTTTGCAGCTGCTTGTGACAGTGACCATATTCTGAAGATCATTGAACGCATTAATGGAATGGCCCTTTTTGCCTAGGTGGTCCATGATCGAAGTTTGATCATTATTTGGGACCCAGGTTGTAAGGGTTGCAAATTATATATTTCACAGGACATTTCAGTTACCCGTAACCAATAGGGCACATAATAAAACATCTCGGCTTACTTCTCGCGGCTAGAATATAACCTTGAAGAACAGGAGATTGCGGGGCACAAATTTTGATTTGTCACATAGATTAATGTACCTATGTGCGACCATAGCAGGATGGGTTTACAATATCGAGATACAAACCTGGCTGATGAACTCCAACGGAAGCAAAATCGCTCATAGTGCCAAAAATGCAGTTCCCTACATCAAGAACAGCCCGGGTGGTCTAGTGGTATGATTCGCGCTTAGGGCAGCAACTCCTAAGCACTCCTGCGCGAGGTCCCGTGTTCGATCCACGGCTCGGGCCTGTTATCTTTTTGTTTTTCTTTGTCTGCGTGCCTTCACTGCTGGTTTTTTTTTTTTTATAAAACTCTCCACACATCCACCGGCAAAACCTTAATCCGACCAATTAGCATCATCTCCAGGTGGAGTTGATGACTCATACATTATGATGGCTCGGCTAACGTTAATTGATGCTTTATAAAATTGAAATAATAATATAGTAAATAATGACATATTGGTTACTGAAATATACGTACCGGATGTCCTCTGAGGGGTGGGGATTCCTATTTAAGCTGCCGCCGCTTTTATGAGGCCGCTCAGACTCAGGCTCACAGAGCAGCTCATCGTAATCAGGTGGTTTATCAGTGACGCTCAGTGAGCCTGAGGCCTGTTGATTACCCAGACACATTTATTGACTAACTACCCAGTCTACTCCCGGCCCATCCATGTGCAGAAAACGATCAGATGAGTACTTGAGACAATCGATGGCCAGCCGAGACTCAAACGAAGTGCTGGTGCAAACCAAGCCGGGCCACAATGAGACAAGCACTGGCAGTTAGTAACAGATGCTAGATATTCCTCTTGATTGAATGCATTCAAAGCCTCTAGAATCAATAGCACCTCTAAATTTTCTTGTTTGAGTGTACTGATCTTTAGTTACTAGTGAGATCCTATTCCGTACTAGTGCTCACCCGGTGCTGGCCCACTTAGGAGATCTGAGCACGGCCTCATGCTCCACATTAAGGAGGTATAATAGCTCGACGAAAAGAGGAGAATAATAGTACTAGGACTAGGGGTAATACTTCAAGGCCAATTCTCTAATTTTTGAAGAACAGAAGAGGAACAACCATTCTTTTCCCTTCGAAGGTTCAAGCAGGAAACGCACCTGGGCAGGCGATTCGCATACAAAAACAGGCGGGGTATAAGGGCCTACGCGCTGATACTTAACTATGTGCCTTAGTAATAAGGTATCCTTGGCTCTCCTATAATAAATATCTTAATACAGTACATACTAAGGTACCCTTAGCTATTGTATAATAGTACTACACACCTAGGTAGCACACAGAAAATCTCCATCTCGCTTACCTAGATGGAGGTCCAAGCTGAGACTGTGTATAAGTCTAAAGGCAGCCAGCCATAGAGAGCTGCTTTCTGGAAAGGATGCTTTACTGATCTCTATGAATTAATCATACACCGTTTTGCGAGGCATTCAAAACTGCCATTGCTCCAACCAGTTCATCAATAGATCAGCTGTCACTGGGCCTAATTTGGCCATTGTTACACTCGCCTTCTGCGTCTGCGCCACACTCACTTCCGCTGACAGCACACTCCCACTAAGTCCGCGGTAAAAGTTCAGCAATTTGAGAGCCGGTTTCCCTCGCACTTCCGCCTCGCTGGGGGATCGCACCGCCTCCAGCTTACGAAGCCAATCTTCAAAAGAGACAGTTCGCACCTCAGGGTACTTTTGCTGAATGGCAGGCACCAGGTCATCCCATTTGACGTGCATCGGGTTCACCAAGTGATAGACACGGTGGGGGTTGTGTCGCTGTTCATGAAGACGGGTGTGGGTGAGTTCGACGGCAATCTTAGCAAGGGTATCCTATAAAACTGTTGCGTTAGTGATCGAGGCCTGGCCTTGAAATAAAGGTTGTCTCGTATGGGAGAAGAATGGATTGAACGTACCACAGGAATCCAGTCAACACGGTACGCGCCCAAATCCGCCGGAGCTTCGCTCATAGACACACTGGTCTTGACAAGATTTGGCACCCACTCGTCCACATTCCATATTCCTTGGGCTGTCGTCGGACCTCCAATCTGTCCGACACGCAGCACAGTCGTGGGGATTCCGATGTCACGAGCTGCCGTCCAGCACAACCGTTCGCCTACATGCTTCGACTCACCATATCCCTGCTCCATAACGGCATCGGCGGACTCGAGGGGCGCCTCGGGGACGATCGACCCCATGGTAGCGGAATCCCACTCGCCGATCGTGCTGACGGAGGAGATAAAGGTGAGGTGCGCTCGCGCGGCGCTGCGATGGCTGAACCAGAGGAACTCTAACACACCGTGTAGGTGCGGGTCTTCGAAGGACTCGAGTGGGTGGTTGAAGTTGACTTTCCATGCGTTGTGGAGAATAAGGTTTACCGAGTCTAGGAGTTTGGTGTAGGTAGCATCCGAGAGGCCGAACTGGGGGGCACCAACGGCCACGGTGAGGAATTCGACGCGAGTAGGATCGTCAAGTAAGCTGGGGTCTAACCCTTTGTTGGCGAAGCTGGTACGTTGGCGACCTTGGGCATCATCGGAGCGGTTAAAGCAGTAGACCTTGGCAACTGTATGGTCTTTGAGGAATTGATTGAGGAGGTAGGTTCCCAGCGAGCCAGTTGAGCCGGTGAGGATAACAGTTGACTGAGAAGGATGATCAGCGCCAAGTGGGCGGCTCGGGGGTAGTTGAGATGTGAACTTTTCCACCACTTTTGCGATGCGCTCGGTGCGGGGTATGGCGGTCTGGGTGCAGCCCTGGACAATGTCGACAAGGCATTGGGCCAATTGGGAAATCGTCGGGTGGGCATAGATCTGTTGCTGATTGATCGTCGTGCCTGATACCCGGGCAGCGACCGCGGTTTGCAAGTCTCGCGCCAGCTGAATCGTCTGCAGGGAGTCCAGTCCAGCGCTGTAGAAGTCGTCATCATCTGCGATATCGGGCTGGGAGAGGATTCCCACCACCATATTGCGGACGTAGTCGCGGGTCGAGGCCAAGTCGAGTGTCTCAGGCAGTGGTGGTACGTCCGCAGCCTCATTTGCCTTCGCAGCCTCATACAGGGCCTCAATTTCTTCTTGGTAATCACTGGTAATGGCGCGGCGCTGTGTGGTCCCCTTAGGAGTGACCAGGAAAGGTTTATCAGGCGAAGCCAGTCGGATCTTATTCTTCGATACCCTACCATACTTGGGCACGGTCTCGTTGGCTTGTTGAACCGTCGGCCATATGGCGTCAATGAAGCGGCGCTCGTCCACCATGGGGTGCGTGGGCTCCACTATCAACGCTGTTTCAAATCGATTTTGGCCAACAACTAGAGCGTGCTTGACGTCGTGATGGAGCTCGACGGTCTCTTCCAGCGAGATAGGATTGAGCTTCTCACCGTTACTTAGCACAAGAACATCATCTTTGCGTCCGTGATATCTCCATAACTCTGGACGCTCTGGATGGTGGGCAAAGAGGTCATTGGTGTGATACTCATTTAAGTCGGGGAATGAATGGAAGATGCCATGAATACGGCGGCTATCAGGGCGACGGGGAATAACAAGCTCATACAAGCCATCACTCTGAGGCTCCATCTTGACTCCATAAGCGGGATTCCACTCAAAGTAGTTCCATAGCTTTTCACCTTGAGGGACGAAAGAGCTGAGCAGCCCCATTTCGCTGGACCCAAACAGCGTAATAACCTTGGTGTCGTATTGTAAAAGGTTGCCCACCTCAGGGGCCAATGGCGCACCGCCAAAGTAGACTGCATCAAGAGTTCGGAGAACTTCACGCATCGTCGAGGACTCGCTCATGTCTGCCAGCAAGGACGGTGCCAGCATGGCGGCAGCGGGTTCGGTGGCTTCAATCACGTCGATTGCCAAATTCGCAGACATGGGCTTGTCTGGGCATAGCACAAATGGAATTTCATGGAATATGGCTTCTGTAAATGCCATCAAGCCCATTAGGTGGAACAGCGGGGTCGTTGATACAACCAGCTGACCAGGCTCGAGGTCGAAGAACACACTGGCTCGACGGCCTTTCGGACGGGGAAGATAGGCTCCGACATCCATTGTAGCGAGGAAGCCATGTGTGAGTGGTGCAGGCTTTGGCATGCCTGTAGTGCCAGAGCTGTGGATGATAATGGCTACCTCATCTTCAGCGTCTTGGTAAGTCTTGTTGAATGGATAAGGGGAGCTTTTTGAGTGGAGAAGATCTGCGAGAGGTGGAATTTCCAACGGCATTATATTGGGATGGACAGCTTGGATCTCAGAAACGCGACGTTGTTTATCTGGAGTGAAGAAAAGTTTTGCAGAATGGGTGACGGTAAGGATATGCTTGTAAGCTTCGTCAGAGAGACGATGGGAAAGGAGCAGGGGCTAAAATCCATTAGCATATCATGCAAATCACGTTCAAGACCGGCGACTTCATACCTGATACCCAGTTTTATGGCAGGCCAGGATAAAGATCAAATACCGCACATCATTACTCGCCATATACGCGACAGTCTCGGGCTGTTTGGCGCAGCCGATGCGAGACTTGATCCAGAAGGCGCACGCATCTACTGCGCGGGCAAGGTCTTCGTATACCAAGTCTCGGTACCCATCGGTCACCTCAGAGCCTTGCGGGATGCGGCCGACAAGCTTCTTCGGTGCTGACCGGGCTCGGTGGTCGATGACCGTGGTCCAGAGTCTTGTACCGGGTTGTTCTGCCATGGTTTTGAATATATCGCGTCAAGGGAACCTGGGCAACAAGTATCACTATTCAAATAGGCCGGGAATAGCTGAGTGTGAATGGTAGAACAGTTGCAAGAGGCCTTGGATAGTGAGGATTTTATATTATAATTCAGTAAAGGAAAGGGGCAATGATGGTATTTGTAGGCAAGCTGTCTGCCTCGAGGCGACAAAAACTCCATGCCGCTATCCCGTTTGCCATGCTGTATTCCCAGTTCTGTAACACAAATAAATGAAAGTGGAGCACTGCTGGCTAATGATCGAGATGCTCGTGCTACCTGTTGGCCTTCCAATGTATTCGACATATTGTTCTCCACCGCTGTAATAGGGAACGGACTGGAGCCTGTACATTTTTGGCGGACTCTGCTCTATTGACGTCAGTAATACTTGTGATGATTGCAATATGCAAGGCCGAATTTCCGCCCGAGTTATCGACGCCACCGTCAGATTTGGGAGATCCTAATGTCTTCCAATTTTCGCCCTTGTACTTTGCTCCTGGCATCGACCGCTAAGATTTGCCAAGCTGAGATAGCTTATCTTATGGTTGAAGCCTGCGGCCCGTATCCGAGCCGCCGCCATCCGTGAAATCAGCCGGCGTGGCGCTGACGCCAAGTGTTAATGCATTTGTTATTTCGAAGTCAGGAACTATCCGAGACAGACCCGGCTTGTGTGGGGCCGTTACCCAGAAGTCAAAAGAGTGACGCCGGGGGCCGAAAGCAAAGAAAACAAGAAAAGCAGGGGATAACGGATGCCGGCAATAGAAATACAGTAAGTGGGGTGGCGGGTGGTGGGGAGGCGGTTGTTTTGCAGGAAGTTGCGTGGATTTGCACCGGGACGATCGGAATTTATCACAAATCATAGCGGACTTTCTGAAGCGTCCGGAGCATATCTCCCAATTGGGCATAGTCTAAGCAACCTCAGAACGGTCCCAAATCTAAATAGCCGCCATATCTATCGTCGACGATCCTTTAAATGTTCAATACATGTATGGCAGGAGAGTTAAGATCCTCTGTAGCTTGCATTATACGGAGTCATCTCAACGGACTCGGTTTTCTTGCGAAATGACCTCGAAAGAAGCCGTTTTGTTTATCACTTCGTTACATGCTTTACTATTACTCGTTTGATAAACATAGACCAAGCAGCACTTTTACACCTAAGGCTGAGATGCAGCTATATGAAGGAGTGGTGATACCTGACGAACCAGTGGAGTAATATTCAAGCATTAAATAGTCCTCGAAGCCAAGCAAAAGCCAAACTAAATCAAATCCTCAAAAGCCACCATTTCTCACTATATGGACTGGCGCTTGTGTTAGGAAAAACGCCAATGTTCTGCACACCTGCGCAGTGAAAAAGGAAGCAAAAAGAAAAGAAAACACTAGGAATGCACATGTGCGGTTCTATCCTGCTAGGACCACCGAAGCAATCAGAAATCTTGCGCTACTTCGAAATCAGCATCAGCATTCTTACAGCTTATTACTGAATAAGCAACAGGGGTATAGTAAGGATTCGGGGCCGCAGCTATATTTGGGAGGCCTCGGCAATCCCCAGCCTATCTACAAGTTCGAAGAGGCAGATGGAATATGAATGGTGTCTGTGGAATGAGAGCCTGCAGCTCGGTCAGTAGCCAAATTAGCAAGTTGAAGTCGTGGGACAGTATTGCATATGCAGGGCGAATTGCCTAAAGGGCTACTGGGCAAGTTCAATCAACATAGAGGTCCCCACAAAGGTGCAGTTAATGCAGGGTGGCTGGCCATAAGATCAATGCATTTCAAAATAGCTGAATCCGAATTGATCAACGCGTTTTGATCGAGATATCTTGATGGCAATTTAAATAGTAGCCGACCATGTGCCGGATCCGGTTGCGCCGTGGAAGCACTCTGAACCCTTTTCGGGAAACCGGCGGAAAACCACCAGGAAGTCACCGGGAAACACACTGGGTCAACTCAGCCTCTTGTTTCTTTCCGAAGACTCCGAGAAAACTGGAATTGCAAAGCCCCGCCAGGATCTTGGTGACACGCTAGCGTAAATGTATGGAGATCGCAGGTCACTGGTGCTCCGAGCGGAAATTACATTGCAAAGACCTCTCCTAGATAGTTGGTACGAGGAGATGGCGATTATATCACTCTGGCAGTCTTTCAGAGTGGAATTTCCATTCTTTGCTAGGATCCCCGCATCCCTCGAGAGCCTTGGTAAGGGAGAATTTGGACATGATAATCAGTCTGGGTCCAATTTCTCACTGGCCGGTGCCTGCCGGTTAAAGTCTTTACAATGGTCAAAAGCGGCCATTCAGTACGTCATCAGTACGGCCTGGTCTTAACCAAAAGATAGTTCTCTATTTTCGTTGACTGCGGAGAACGCACATTGAATCAGCATACCACAATCATGCAACATTCGAATTTGCGAACTGTTGTCGAGCAACACCGGCCAGACCTCGACCGTTACGAGGGCATTTACCGGGAGATACATTCGTTGCCAGAGTTGTCAGGACAAGAGGAGAAAACATCAAAGACAGTGGAAACTCATCTTCAGGAGCTTGGATTCGATGTTCATGTCAAAATTGGGGGCTACGGAGTCGCGGGAATTTTGAAAAATGGCCCAGGCGCCACCATCTTACTGCGGGCAGATATGGACGCCTTGCCAATGAGAGAGAATACAGGTCTCCCCTATGCTAGCAAAAGAGAGGTCAAGGATTCAGAAGGAAACGTGAGGCCCGTAGCCCACGCCTGTGGACACGACTTTCACGTCGTCAGTTTGATGGCTAGCACCGCTCTACTTTGCTCTGCTAAAAAAGACTGGTCGGGCACCTTAATTTGCGTGTTTCAGCCGGCCGAAGAAACGCTTTCGGGGGCCCGCGCGATGATTGATGACGGACTGTTCGATAAAATTCCGAAGCCGGATCTGGTCCTCGCGCAGCACGTCATGCGTATGAGAGCCGGACAAGTGAGCGTTCGCCGCGGTCATTTGCTGACGGCTGCGGACTCGTTTGAAGTCCGGATTAAGGGACAGGGAGGCCATGCATCTGCACCTGACGCGTGTATTGATCCCATTGTGATGGGTGCCGCCGTTGTTTTGCGCCTGCAGACAATCGTGAGCCGCGAAGTTAACCCTCATGATCTGGCGATCGTCTCATGTGGAAGTATCAATGCCGGGTTCAATGCCAATATTATCCCGGAAGAATGCGTCATTCACGTAAACATCAGGACGTATAACCCTCGAACGCGACAGCGGGTCATTGAGTCGATCAAGCGGATTGTTAAGGCCGAATGTCTGGCATCGGGTGCCCCTACGGAACCTACAATCGTGCATTTGACATCGGTCCCTGCCACGGTGAATGACAACAAAGTCGCTACAGCCTTAGAGGAGGTTTTTAGCTCATACTTCCAAGAAAATTTTGTGGAGAGCGAGCCGGCCACCGCTAGTGAAGACTTCTCGCTTTTGGCAGCTGCTGCGAACGTTCCGTACGTCATGTGGACGTTTGGTGGCATCGATGAAAAGGTCTGGGACGATGCAGTCGCGAATGATGCGATCAATAAGTTGGGCGGGAATCACTCCCCTTACTTTGCACCGGTGCTAGAACCAACTCTCAAGACGGGAGTAGATGCAATGTCTATCAGTGCACTACATTTCCTGCAGAAGAAGCCCTGATGTCCTATAGAATATAACTTCCCGGGCAGGGCTCGCTAATATAAGCATAAGCATAATACGAGAGCAGCAGTAGCTAGAGACGATAATAGTAATAGTATCGCTTTACCTTAAGGAGGAACTAAGGCTCTTAGTTCATCCTTAAAAACCATAAAATGGGGGCAAATGGGGCCCCATCAATGGGCCTGGCCCATTTTTAAGGTAAATGGGGGCCCCATTTTAAACCCACCCCACCCCACCCCACCCCAACCCCAACCCCACGTGCCGAAGCCTACTACTGACTTAGCTACTCCCGCACTTTTCTCGGGCTATTCGTAGTAAATGGATTAGACTGCTTAGTGAGTGCCTGGTGAGTGCTTAGTGCGTGCTTAGTGCGTGGATTAGGCTACTTAGTGAGGGGATAGGGCTGTCCCTACACTCACTAAGTACTTACTGAGCACTAAGAGGGTCAATGTGGCCATCGCATGACACGGTGATTTCTCACCCGCTCTCACCCTGCTACTCATCCTGTCTATTGCACACTCACCCTTCTCGCCCCTGGTCCCGCGACGCTAAAGCGGCTCTCACCCAGTTCTCGCCCTGGCGGTACCCACCGGATTACCGGCGCATCGAGGCAACACATAAATACATCACTCGTACGCTTTTGCTCTATGATTTACTTCAATGTGAAGTCAAGCACATACGACCATAGGGTGTGGAGAACAGGGCTTCCCGTCCGCTCAGCCGTACTTAAGCCACACGCCGGTTAGTTAGTAGTATGGTGGGTGACCACATGCGAATCCTGACTGTTGTATGTTTTTGTTTTGTTCTATTTTTATGCCCCGTTTCGGTAATTACTTTAGGCGCCCTAGTGGTGACGGCTCATGAAGACACTTGAGCATCCACACAGTCAATATTTGATTGAGAACTTCATTTCTTGAGGAACGCTGTATCACAGAGGGTAGGCTTCACTTTCCTGGATCCTCTTCTTCGTTCCTCGCCGTTCCCTGCAATAGTGTGTGCGTACCACTTTTCTTCTCTTGGTACCTTTGATTCTCTCGTACCCGTCAAGCAAGGTCACCGTCTGTGCTCAGTAAACAGTCGAAATGTCTCCACATGTATCACTCGGCAGAGCTACGCCCAGTAGCTGCGAAGAACAAGGTCGACTCGAACTTGAAAAACCAACGGGGATTCCCAGAAAGCGGCACTCGAGCTTGGATGGTAGTTCTGGGAACCTTTTGTGTTAGCTTTTGGACTTTCGGATACATGAACGCTTTCGGGTAAGCTCCAGACTCCGCAATGCTACGGTTTGATACGGATACCTAACTGATGAATGGTGAAGAGTATTCCAGGATTACTACACTAAGCATTTTCTCGCCAACGAAACTTCATCCAATATTTCTTGGATTGGAACTGTGCAGGTTTGCTTTCTCCTCTCTGGTAGCATTGTTGGTGGGCCATTGTTTGGCCGATACGGCGCTTCGGTAAGGACGTGGAACGTCGTCTTGTTAGCAACCGAGATCATATACTGACTGCAGTACGCATTTTAGATCATCCACGTGCCCTCGGTCACAATAGTGCCGTCAGTAATGATGCCCTTCCTGTTCAAGAAGTACTATCAATTTATGCTTGCCCAAGGTGTCTTGGGTGGGACTGCTTCCGGCATGTTGTTCGCCCCCGTCATGACATGTGTGAGTCTCGGGGTCTTCTATCGGAGGTATCGTGTTTCCCATTGCTTTGAGCAAGATGCTGAAAACCGAATACTTGGGGTTCGGGTGGTTCGTCCGAATTGTGGGCTTTATCGTCTCGTTCATGGTATTGATAGGGATAGCAACTGTGAGAGAGCGACTTCCTCCTCGTCGCCGTAAAATCCTTCTGCCGGCAGCCTTTACTCGCGCTCCTTACACTCTCGTCACACTCGGGATCTTCTTCATGATGTGGGGGCTCTTTACTCCATTCTTTTATCTGCCGCAATATGGACAGTCTCTTGGCATGGACCCGCAGCTCTCGTCTTACATTTTATCAACCCTGAATGCTGGCTCCGTTTTTGGCAGAATATTGCCGGGGATAATTGCGGATAGGATTGGTCGCTTCAATATCTTGAGCCCACCTGCTCACCCCCTGCTCACAGCTCTGCTTAGTGAGCAGGTGAAATGATTTAGGGTGAAAGGACTAGGATGCTTGGTATTAGGAGATATACATGACTTGGCGATCTCGCAGTTTCTGGAAAGTCAAATGCTCATTTGTCGGAAGCTTCATTGTCAGGCAAATGAACAGAGGCTGGGTACAGTATTTCCGGAAATCGGTGTTACCACCTACGCTCCTTCGTTGTTTCCCCATCCCTAAATAGACTAAACTCCATTTGGATATCGAACTAAGTAACAATTTCCGGTTTTTTACTAATACAGATATTTTACACACGCGTATGGGAGATACGAATACATTGCTGGAACCTTCCCGAGAAAAGTCACATTCTTGCTGCGTGTCCACTACCTTGTCGTATATCAACACATTACTATTCACGATTTAATATATTTCCCGAAAATCCTCAATGCACCACCAGTCGGAAAATATACCATGGCATCTGCTTGCCTCAAATCTTTACTGGGCCCCGGGTGAGCTTGCATCGCAAATTCGCGGCTTGAACCTTCCTCGGCTTCCCGGCAAACTGAAGGACAAAAAAGGCTGCGCGTGCGGTGTCACTAACTTGCACCCAAAGTCCCCTGCTCCTAAATCTTCTGATCAAGATGAATTCGCTCAGGCCTTTGCACAGGCCGTGAAGGATGATTCGAAACGCAAGCGAGGCCAGTACCCGGAGAATTACAGCCCCCCCAGTCCCAGTGATGTTCTCTTGGGGGATGAGCTCGTTGAAACAATCGAATCACATTTGTCGGAGGAGATGAAGGAAGGGCCTAGACTTTCATATGAGCAACGAACTGCTTACGCGTTCCTTCACCCTTGGGATGTTAATGATGATTGCTATTCCTGGAGTAGTAGCAATAAGATCGGATTCCTCAATCTAGAGGTAGTGAAGATACTACTCATGCTAGGAGAGCTAGATCCAATTCTTCAGGCGTGCGCTCACCCAGACGTGGGACTTTTAGAGTGGTACTCTGCTGCATTCTGTAGTTGCATGGTAAGTGCAGTTCTGATTCTATTGTTCCAGACAATAATATTAAATCATCTTGCAGGCGAGTCCCTATGTTCTCGGATGGGATATGGTCCTAGGTAGTGCTCTGTCAGCCTACATTGCACTCAACATCGCTCTTTGTTTCCCGCAAATCTGTGACCCGACAGCGGGTAGAAATGATGAAACCGACTATCGCCATACAGGATTCTATCAGTACGTGCTGAGAGAGATCACTCAATCGCTTGATCCTTCCGAAGCGACATCCTATCCACATCAGCAGTTTTTTGGAATTCCCCGCGACCACTTTTGCGAAGATGATATGCATATGATGATTGATAAGAAACACTGGCTGCATCGCACGGACATTATCAATCGCGGTCACTATGGTCTACTTTCATTTGATGAGTTCCTCAACTTAGAAGGTCCAATTACTGATCAATATCAGCCACTGGAATCTGATGTTGAACTAGTGAAACAAGAACTCCTTTCTAAAAGCTTTCCCCTCGAGATTGTCCTTTTGATCATGAATTTCGCCGATTATAAAGCCAAAAGGGTTCTCAAGGTCCCGCATGATCCCCTCCATCCTGCCAACAGAGCCGAATTGAACCAGTATCTTGATCAATGCTGGCAAATCATTATTGGCTGTGACATCATGAGCCACGCATTGGGGGATACGATTGACTGGCAAGAAGAAATACATAATCACGTTAAAAAGCTTTTTCACAAACCGGACAGACCCTCCTGGATGAGCCAAGGTGGTCCGATAACGGGAAAGAAATGTAGTGGTTCGGAGCAGATAGACAGTATGTGATAAAACATATTTTCCGGTATTATGATAGTACCGGTAATTTACGATAAACTCCCAAAATCACTGGCATCTTCTAAGAGTGGTTTGGCTTTTATTGGCATTAGGGTTCGAGAAACAATCAAAGAGTGTAGGATGTGACACCGAATGCTGGAAATACTGTACTGTATTAGCTTCAACTGTATAATTACGACTTCACTTCTTGAAGGAAGCAGCAGGGGAGCAACCGTTGAAGTTTTCGATCCAATGTTCAGAAAATAGGTATACCAATGAACCCAGACGGTCCAATGTGATCTGAAAGTAGAAGAAAAATACACTACAATAAAAAAGGGGTTGGTTTTTCGAATTGACACCGGCGCTTTATTCCTGCAGCATCTGCACCACCCTTTTGTGACCTCTAGATGGTGCGGCCTGGAGAGCATTGTCAAAACATCAGCCCTGGGCGTTGACATTAACGCCTTTATTTAGTAACACTTACACCACCTTTTCATGGTTTCTAGATGATGCGGCCTGAAGAGTGTTGCCATAACATCCGCCTTGGGCGTTGACATCGGCACCTTAATCTACTAACATCTGCACCACCTTTTTATAACCACTAACTGATGCGGCTTGGTAAGCATTATCGTAGAATCCGCCTTAACCTTGACGAGACGCGTTTCTGTGCGAGAAGTGGTGCCACGGCGACGCATTTGGAGGGTCGATTCTGGAACGTCAAAGACGCGTGCTGCTTGAAAAATAGTGCATAATACTTTCTTCTAGTAGGCTTGGATTGCAAGGACAGTTCGACCCTCTTGTTCGAGCAATTTCTGACATTTTGGACGCGAATGGGTGGCATGGTGGGTGGTTGAAGAAGAGAGGTATTGTGAATTACTAGATTTCAGATGGGGTGCGCAGCTCGTTTACTGAATACGTTAACTATTAGTTAACTAACTTAATTAAAAAGGATTACTAATAGCTTTTTTTCTTTGAAAAGTCAGGTAGAAATCAGGCGCCTATGGGTCCCTATGGTTCCCTACAGGATGGTTAGGCATGGCCTATAGTAAAGATTTTTTTCATCCCATGGTTATGGTCTTGAATATTAGTCCCATAGACTAGGATATTAAGGTCTAGTTCAATCTGGGTTAGGTCCGGGTTATATTATTTATATTATGCGCAATTTCAAGTACAACAAACCTCTGGAGCAGCCAATTTATAGTACCTTAAGAGTGTTATATAATATTCAACCTACTAGATAGATTATATCATTATGAAAATTCACTTACCTAAGTATTAGTAAGAATTTAAGTCATAATTTACTATATTTACTATAGTATTTTGGGGTGGCCACTCGCTTACCGATTACGTTAAAAGCCAGGTAATAATAACTAATATAGACCTAGAGCTATAGGCGGTGGTCCGGGGTAGTATGTCAGGGCGCGGGCTGGCAGGGTTGTAATAGGAGGAGATCGACAGGATCAGAACGTATCCAGAAGGATTCTAATTGATCAGGTGGCAGGCGGGGGCAGACTAGCGTAAGCTTTTATACAAGACGTAGCTCGAAGAGCTATAACAGGGTCTAGGATGGATGTGTAGATAAACAGACTAAAGATCACGTGCCCGTGATCTTCCTTATCGGTCCTGGCGGGTCCGGGCGGACCCTTATAGTTCACACCGTGACATAGTATGAGATTTTAGTAGAATCATAATATAAAGGGAGGGATTAAGTCCACCATACCCAGATATTCGCGATTGGCCCTCCAATGAAATCGCCGATAGATCCTGGGTCCAGCTATTTACTCCGTACACGGGTGATAATATTTACTCTTAGCCTCCAAACACCACACATGCTATTTAGTGCTAAATCCAGGGATTTATTTAACCTAGCATTAGTAAGCATAGCGCAATTTAAGGTTCACACTTCATCAAGGTAGATTCCCGGTCTATTAGGGAGTAGGAGTGGGGCGTATTTACCGCGCCAGTTCGGGGTCTTAAAACATTTCCAACATTTCTCTCATCCAACTCTTCCCTCTTTTAGCAAGCAGCCTTCAACCCTGAACTCTCGGATTCTATACAATCCTCAACCCCCAGCTGAGCGCTTCGCTGTGACTTCTTGTCCCCGAGGCAAGATTTTCAGTCAAAATGTCCATCACGGCCCTGCCAGTCGAGTTGATGTCTAAGGTCTGTAGCTATCTACAGCCCTCTGAGTGGCGAGAACTCAGATTATCATGTCGCACATTGTACAAGTCATCATTCGCGGGATTCACTGGTCGCTTCTTTGAAAGAATTCACTTCATCGTGACAATCGATAGCCTTGGGGAATTGGAAGCCCTCGCCGAAACAGATGGTATTCGAGAACGAGTTCACGAGCTGTGGATGATCCCCTCCGTGTTTGATGGCTCCCATGCGGCAAGCGAACATGCTATTTTCGAATTTGCCGTGTCATCGAAAAGTTGTCAGCCGGTATCTGGCGACGAACTCAAGGCTCGTTTTTCAACATACAAAGCCTTAGTTGCGGATAACTCAAGCCTTCTAGAGTCGGAGAATTTCAGTACGCGTCTGCGTGGGTGCTTAGAAAAGTTCGATAACCTTGACACGATCGGACTTGCACATTATTCGACGAGCTTCTTACTCGACCCACGACAAGAAAGAGTTCGTTTCCTTGGTTGGCGCCGCCTTATCAATCAAATCGACTTCCGATTCCGGAGTAAGAACCTCCAGCCGCTTCATGGTAGCGGAAGCGTAATGGGAAAAGTTAACTCTCTGGCCGCGTCGAGGCTTTTGCAGGCACTAAACGGGACCAATCGTAAGATCAGGAAGTTGCAGACTTGTAATCCTGATTACTGTGGTAATATTGGCCCAGAAATACTTCTCGCAGAAGAGCAATACAGCTCTGTTCAATCCACTTTGAATGATTTAGAGGACCTCCATGTTTGCACAGCTTTCAGAACCACAAAACGAGCTCATATTATGGATGCACCGACTTGGGTCACAATGCTTATCCATGTTGCTCCCCGCCTTGAAAGACTTACTATCTCGCAAGACTATTACTTTGGAGAGCTTTCTAGCAAAATCCAATTTAATCGCCTTAAAGAGCTCCACCTCCATAAGACTCGGATCAATTCCGAGGATTTGAAATCATTTCTCATGAAAGCCAAGGGAACCCTCACTGTTTTCACACTATTTGAGGTGATCATGGAAGGTATCTCGCCATCATTGTTGCCAGACCATTCATCACTTTGGTATTCGCCTACCCCAAAATGGCTTTTGCGATCTTCAATCCCGCCTTCTGCGACCTCAACCCCAACAGCCTACATTCCAACTTCCTCTGCCTACACTTCGACGTCCTCCGCCTACACTCCAGCCCCGATAGCAAACACTTCAGTCTCAACTCCTTATTATGCCCAACCAGCTGGACAGCTGCTATCCGGACGAGATTACGCCCCTTCAACACCCTACATACCCTCTACAGATCGTGAGGATGCTCTTTGGAAGTCTGTTTGGAACTTTTTCGGCGAAAACCTATCGCTACAGAGTTTCTCCATGGCGAAGATCGCGGACGGTACCTGTCAGATCTCTATTCAAAAGACGGATGGCTTGATTGAGCCTAGTGAAAATGCTATTTTTGATGCTGAAACTGCTGGAATGTCGTTCCGTCAATGGATCGACCAATTCACCTCGATGCATTTACTGGATTCGCCTAGTCCTACAATGTGGCCCGATATCGATCAAAGTAAGCAAGCCGAAAAGTTGAGCTTTTCAAGAATAATTTTAATGAAATTTAGAGGCGTGGTCCAACAAAATGATACATACAAACAGCAGCTCCGTGAGCCCTGCCATATGTGACTGTGAGAATGTAGCTAGAGGATGCGATTTTGAATGTAAGTGAGTATTAAAGCCACACATAAGATCATCCCTCATAAACATGTACTATATTATTTACTTCAATGTGACTTCAAGTACATACGACCATAGGGTGTGGAGAACAGGGCTTCCCGTCCGCTCAGCCGTACTTAAGCCACACGCCGGTTAGTTAGTAGTATGGTGGGTGACCACATGCGAATCCTAACTGTTGTATGTTTTTTTGGTTTTTGTTATTTGACAATGCCGACTCACCAAAGACAGAAAGAGTTGAGCAATCGGCTTTTGGATTGGATGAATGCTTGCCTGATCGAAATTTGAGCCAAGCAGCCCGATAAAAGAGGAAAGGTCATGTGGAACAAACCATTCGTTTATAGATGAAATAGAAAACACTTGTTTAAGTAAGTGAGGCTTTCGTGCAGAAGCAGTGGGTTGCATGGTATCGGGGTAGCTCACGCACGCCATTAGTCTTCTGTGGACTGCGCTCAGTAAGCAAAAGCCGCGGGATGGGTGAGCACTTATACGCAAAGAGAAGCTAGAAATTAGCAAATGAAATTCGGTGTGTAGGAACTAAAGAGCATCAAAGTGATTCAGCAGGAACGGACGTGAGATAGTATTTGACATGTGTATTCTTCAGAGCCAGAACCAGGTCACTCCAAGCCCCAACCTCCACCGCCTGGACTGTTGACCTGCATAATCTCCCCAGCTTCTAGAGAGAGAGCGGCTTTGCCACCTAGTGATATCTTCTCAAGTACCGTTCGGTCATCATTCCACTTGAACACATAATTCTTTCCAACTTGTCCGGACCGACCTCCATCCATGCCATACGGCGCGAAGACACGGCGATCACTGAGAATGCTGAACTTCAGCGGAACCCGAGCTTCAACTTCCCGCACTGCACCATCCCCACCTCTATACTGACCATTACCGCCCGTCCCAGGATTGATGGCATGTTTACGGATAATGACAGGTGTCCGCTTCTCCACAACCTCCGCATCAGTGATCTTTGTGTTGGTGGAGTGTGCCTGGATAGCATGCTCTCCATGCCAACCCGGACCTGCACCACAACCCCCTCCGACTGTCTCACCATAGCTCCACCCAGGCTCAATAGCACCGGTGTGGGGATTTTTCCCACCCATTCCCCAACCAAAGCTGTTCGCACACCCGGAAAACGCAGCACAACATTCAAATGCCTTCAAGATTGTATCGATGACTCTCTGGCTTGCTAGGGTACTACCGCAGATTGCAACGGAGGCACTGGGTCGTAGGATGGAGCCGTGAGGAATCTGGATATCTATGGGCGCGAGACATCCATCATTGAGAGGAATATCGACATCAACTAGACAGCGAATACTGTATATCACAGCGGAATGGGTGATGGAGATCGGGCAGTTATAGTTACCCCACATCTGAGGACCAGTGCCCGCAAAATCGAAGATTGCGCCACCCGACTCGTCGATTGAGATAGATACCTTGATCACAGTCCCGTCATCAAAGCTGTCACTGGCTGTTAAAGGCATGGGCTTGGATTGGGCAACCTTTTTGAGATAGTCTCGAACCGCGACCTCCGAATTCATTTGAATAGCGTTCATATAACGAGATACGAAGCCGAAGCTGAATTGAGAGCACAGGCTTTGCAACAATAATATACCACGTTGATTCGCGGATATTTGAGCTTTGATATCAGAAATGTTGTCATCCAGTCGACGAGTCGGACTACAGCCGGGGAAGTCTCCTGCTGCTAAAAATGCTTTGCGCACATCATATTCGAGGAAGTTCCCACTGTCGACAATTTTCATTGAGCGGACATTGAAGCCCTCTTCCCACAGCTCCTTTGAGCCGGGCATCATGGATGTGATTCCAAGACCGCCGATGTCGGTATGATGGCCCCGAGCTGCAACATAGAACGCAACACTGGGCTCTCCATCCACAAAGACGGGGGTGATGACTGTCAAGTCTGGGAGATGGGTTCCACCACACTCAGGATGGTTGCTCAGAAGAACATCACCGGGCTTGAGTTTGCCCTCCCAAAGGCGATGTTGATATTGGATTGCATATTGCATACTTCCAAGGTGGATGGGGATATGTGGGGCATTTGCGACCAATTTGCCATCTCGCGAAAAGATGGCACAGGAGAAGTCCAGGCGCTCTTTGATACTTGTGGAAATGGATGTACGCTGCAGTGTATGGCCCATTTGTTCGGCGATTGACATAAAGCGATGGGATAAAATGGACAATTGAATCGAGTCGATATTTTCAGAGATTGAAGGGATGACATCTTGAGAAACTGTAGATCTCTTCTCAAGCATAACATGATCTGGAAGAAGATATGCATCGAAGTTGGGCTCGACAAAGATGGTTTGGGTAGCATCGATGAGCAACGCTGGGCCTTGCAACTGACTAGGCCTCTCAACGGCATCCAACTTGAAGACGGGTATTTCTTGCCATGTGCCGTGAATGAAAGTACGTTGGTTCTCTTTTCCTTGCAGATATTGAAGGTGACGGTCCTTCACGTCTTCCAGTAATGGGTATGGAGATTTGGTCTCCGCGAAAATACCACTTCGACCTACACCGCGGACCTTTACTGAATCGACATGAACTTTTCGATCAAGTTGGAAGGCAAATTCCCTCAAGTGAGTGGTCTCAAAAGACTTGCCGTAGTCATCATTTTCAGGCTTTGGAACGACAATGTTGGTGTCGGTGCCTGCGTATCTCATACTCAAAAATTCCTCAAAGACAGTGGTGAGGATATCTGCTCCTTGAGAAAGAAGTTCTGCTTGCACTTGAGCTTTGAGTGCTTGTATTTGAGATCGTATCTTATCAAGCTCATCCAGATGGAAAATTCCAGTGAAGGGCGCGGTCTTTTCAACTTGCAGATCAGCCTGAGATATCCCAACTGCGGATAATAGCGAGGAATGTTTGTGAATGAGGATCCTAGAAATTCCAAGCTTATTTGCAATAGCACATGCATGCTGACCACCCGCTCCACCAAAGCTGACCAGGTTGTGACTGCTTGGTGCAAAACCACGAACTTCAGTGGCATTGCGCATCGGTCGAGTCATTGTTTCATTTGCGACACCAAGGAATCCCGAAGCAACTTCTTCTGGTGTAAGGCTTTGTCCTGTCTGTTGATTGATCTCAAAGGTGATTTGATGGAATCTGCGTCTTGTAATTTCACAGTCCAGACCTTGATTAGCCTCTGGTCCAAAGATAGCCGGAAAGGAAGCCATGACTAGTCTTCCCAAGAACAAATTTGCATCCGTAACCGTGAGTGGACCGCCTTTTCGATAACATGCGGGCCCTGGATGAGCACCAGCACTCTCTGGTCCAACCACGAAGAGGCCGTGCCGAGCAAAAAGCATTGAGCCTCCTCCAGCTGCAACAGTTGCAATGTTGAGCATCGGTACTGTGATCTTTCGACCTCCCACTGTGGTCTCCGTCAGGTAATCATACTTGCCATCATATCGGCAAACATCTGTGCTGGTACCGCCCATATCGAACCCCAAAATGGGCGTTCCTTCAGAGGGATCATAACATGTCTGTGCGATACCCACGACTCCTCCAGCAGGTCCACTGAGCAGAGCCTCGTTCCCTCGGAATTTGGCCGCTTGTCTTAGACCTCCATCTGATCCCATAAACTCCACAGAGCGCGGCAGACTACTGAATCCAGATTGGAAGGCCTTGACATAGTCCTTCACGATAGGATGAAGGTATGCTTCTGAACAAGCAGAGCTGCTGCGTTGAAGGTATTTGATAACGGGGCTGACTTCCGATGCCTTAGTGATATGCTCGAATCCCATCTCCTTCGCTATCTCGGCAATTTGATCTTCGTGATCGGTGTGAAGATATGAATGCAGAAGTGAGATAGCCAGAGAAGTGTATCCCAACGACCGAAGCCCGCCTAGAACCTCGCGAACATTTTCAGGATCAAGTCCCTTCAGAATGCGAATCACCTCCCCACTTGGAGTCTTGACCAGCGCAGGATCTACGATCTCCGCCGACTTATCCAGCGGACATGGATTGAGGTCGTAGTCCTCAATAGTGATACGCTCATCTATCTCAACCGAGGTAGCATGCAAGGCAGGCGGCTTTCTGACATTCAAGTCGAATAGCTTTGGCCGTGTCTGGTCATCGATTATGCAGACATCTCTGAATCCTTTGGTGGTAAGTAAAGCAAACTCACGCCCTTTCCCCTCCAGCAACGCATTTGTTGCTATAGTGGTACCAATGCGGCAAGATGCTATCCTGGACCCATCGAGCTTGTCTTCAATGGGGAATTGCTGCTTTTCAATAATCTCCAGTGCTCTTCGAATGGCTTCTGTTGGAGCATCACGATAGTTTTGCGGGTCCTCGGAGAGTAACTTGAAAACTAGATCTTCGCGACCAGCCACTTGTACCAAGACATCGCAGAACGTGCCTCCCCGATCTAAATGGCTGTTAGCGCTGGTGTATCTGCATATCAAAGTGCAAATCACGCACCAATGGATATGTTGATGTCAGGAGCAGCCATAGTTTCTCGGCGAAATGAGAGATCGGGATTGTAGAGCCAGTCAGAACCTATCAAATCAACAATCTGCAGACCTTATAATAATTTTCACATGCACGAGGGATGCCACGATGCCTTTTTCAAGGGCTTGGCTTTCATATACGCCATCAAATCAGATAGTCCTTAAGCGGAAATTAAGATCGGAGATGCCCCGATCGCCCCACAGGAAAAGACCCCGCGCAAAGGCAAGAGGAAGGAAGTGCTCAGTGACCGAAGTCAATTACAAACGAGCCGAGCGTGATTCTCATCTCTTGACAAACATGAAAATGTTTTTTGATCTCAAACATCGTGCCATGGTGCGGTTTAGGGCGTGTATGGCGTGATCGTGCGTGGAGATGAATGAAAAGCTTCATTTTAGTGCACATCTTGTATCCAACACTAATTTATGACAGATGTTGTCGGATCAATTCGATGACCTCCGCATTCTTCTCCACATGTACCCCGTGATTAGCCCCTGCAATGACTTCCAGCCGTGCTGAGGGAACTCTTAAAGCAATATCTCTCGATAGCTGTGGGGGACAAATCCAGTCCCGCTCGCCGACCAAGATGAGAGTATTTGCCGTGATGGATTGAAGCTGATCTGTATAATCAAAGAATTTCTCGTCATCGGAATAGAGGTCATCTTGGTTTGCGTGAGCGTAGTTCCTCAAAGTTCATCGCGAGGCGAAAGAAACTTACTGTGCGACTTGGCATAAAAAGCCGTTTGGAGGTTGCTTTCAAGAGCGGACTCTGCGTCAAACTGCTCGCTATATAGAGGAGATGCGGCATACATGACGAGTCGAAACTCGAGATCGCTGTCGAAACGTCCAAAAACCTTGTCTCTAAGGAAGTTGATAGAGAAGCTAGGGGCTCTGGATGCTCTCTGTTCGAGAGTTCGAATGGCTGTTTCTTCGTCTAGATCTAATGTTAGCTCATATTGACTAGATGTTCTTCGAGATAACTTACGGTGATATGAAGCAGCAGTCCCTCGTAGAATCAAATGGGACACACACGACGGGTACGTGATGGCATACTGCTGAGCCAGGAATCCACCGAAACTGCCACCACAAATAATGCAAGGGTCATCTCCTGCGAATTTCTGTCGTATGCACTCGATATCCTCGACTAGTTGGTGGAATGTGTATGGCTCTGTTTGCGAACTTTGACCATGTCCTCGAAAGTCAAAAGATAGTAGTCGAAAAGATGTGGATAAAGGTGAATATGCTTTGAAATCAGATCGGTGATCGCCTTTGAACTTGCAAATAAACCAATTAATTACTCCGAATGACTCTTGTTGAGGAGCGACTTACCAAAACCTCGACCACCATGCAGAGTAATTATGAGAGGTGCATCTTCAGGGCCGATTAATCGATAAGCTAGTTGTGCCCCATTTATGGACGCGTATTCAACCATTGTCACCGTCGAGCAAGACCAAGAGATCGCAGCACAGGATATCCGGTATCTGTGAGTAAGAGTAAGCACGATGAACAGGATGTATACAAATAATGTGAATGGAGACGTTATCTCTCGTCGGCCCCACGCCGTGAGCTATGTCCACATTAGGAAATGATCGTACAAAGCTTCCCCTCATCTGCAGGACATATCCTCGTCAATCCCTAATTAAATGTCGTGATAAGCTGAAAGCAGTTTTTGCTTTGAATATGTACGGCGGACTCATTGGGTCTAGACACTCACCTCTTGCAGCCCACTGCGGCGCCAAAACAATCTTAAACATGTCATTCCCCCTGCCGAACCCAATCTTTGTTTACCTACAGAGTTATCGCCATGGCAAGCTTAATGCAAAAAGCTGCGGCTCACAGGCCAACCACGCCAGATAGCACGCATCGAGACGACCAAAAGCGCAACAAAAATAACCTCACCGAATCAATTCATAGTCGACAGGATTCAGGCATAGCATTCAATGCTGCCTCGTCACAATCCAAGAAGAAATGGTTTCACTGGCACGAGCCAGGCACGTCAAAGGCCGACAAAAAACTCATTTTCAAGCTCGACTGGTTCCTACTCAGTTACAGCTGTTTATGCTTCTTCATTAAGTACCTCGACCAGACAAATATCAGCAATGCATACGTATCGGGCATGGAAGAAGAGCTCGGCTTCGGACCTGGCAATGAACTGAGCTGGATGAACACATACTTCAGCATCGGCGTTATAATTGGGGGTCCAATCAGCAACATTGTTCTAACCGTCGTTCGACCACGCATTTGGCTTCCCAGCTGTCTACTCGTATGGTCACTCTTCGTTTTATTCCTATTTAAATGTCAAACCGCATCACAGTTCTACGGCTTGAGATTCTGCGTTGGATTACTGGAATCTGCCGCATGGCCGGGTATTCAGTACGTGCTTGGTTGCTGGTATAAACGGTCTGAGCTGGCATCTCGAAGTGGCCTTTTCGTTATGTCCGGCGTGCTGGGTCAAATGTTCTCAGGATATCTACAGTCAGCCCTCTTCGACGGAATGGAAGGTAAAGGTGGATTATCAGCTTGGAGATGGCTTTTCATTTTCGACTTTATCCTTGCTGTTCCGGTGGTTCTATACGGCTACTTCTTCTACCCGGATACGCCGCAAAATACCAAAGCATTCTATTTGACCGAATGGGAAAAGAATCGTGCCCGCGAAAGAATTGAAGAAGAGGGCCGCACACCAGTCGGGAAGATGGATTCATCAGTATTGAAGCGCATCCTGCAATCCTGGCAGCTGTATGCTTTCTCCATTGCATATGCTCTGTGGTCCCTGACCTGCGGGTCTTATGTGATGCAATACTTTGAATTGTGGCTGAAAGCTCTGAAGACATATTCGGTCCCGCAAATCAACAATATTCCTACATCAATGGGAGCTGTTAATTTTGCGTTCATGGTGACGACAGGTATCGTTGCTGATAGGATTGGTCGCCGGGGACCGGTTTTCTTCGGTGTCGGGTGTCTGTTGACGTTCTGTTATGCCGTATTTACCGCATGGCCTGAGTCCGAGGGACTCAAAATGGCTGCCTTCATTCTCACCGGCTGCTACGGGTGTTTTACACCGCTTCTGGCTGCGTCTGTGAATATCTCATGTGGGAATGATCAGCAGCTGCGAGCGTTCGTGATGGCATTTATGGTCAGCCTTGGTTCTGCTGTTGTCATTCCCTTCCAGCAACTGCAGTTTCCCAGTGGAGAGGCGCCGACGTTTTCAAAAACTCATGGCTGGGTTAGTGGACTCGTCTTTGTCATAGCCTTGACCATGTGGACTGGATTTGGAATAGAATTTGTGGAAAGGATCATGACCCGCTCAAAAAGGAAGAGATTGGTTGAAAAGGGTAACGGGGTTTAGGTTACAAAATCATAGTCGGATTATAGAAGACTACCTATAAATCATCTAGCATGTTACAGAAAACATAATCTAGTATGTTACGGAGAACATAATTGAAACTTCATTGCAAGCATAGCGGGGCAATGGACGAGATATCAGCGGAATTACTAGCTGCATGGTGTTCTTATCCATATCGGAACGCCATTCCTGAGTTCGAAATCATTGAAACAGCTAGCAAATCTATGTGTGGATGGCAGTGGAAAGAAATGTGACAAAAAGTGCAAAATAAGAAAGGACGTGTTGTAAGGCACGATCAGTGTGAGTGTCATCCGAGGTCTACCTGGGTATCCAGACCAAATGGTCGTTGCGCAAGGTAGTGATTCTTTCTTAAGTTGCCAATCTTGATAATTCTGAAGTCCCTACGGTCAACCAGAATCTTCAGTCTCAATGTACCAAAATCCTGCATCCGATTTTCGCCATGATGCTAAAGCCTAGCTAATACCAAGAATCATCCATATAGGTGCAATTGGTGGTCAGCGTCAAAGCTGCATTCATCGTGTAGGGGCCGTCACTATGGTTAAAGCCTTGGTTCAGCGACATAATCTGCCCTGTAGTCACTCCAAACTCCCGAGCAACATCGACAAAGGTGCCATAGTGAAACTCAAAGGTGCGCAGGATACACTCAGTGTTCTCACAAAGGGGAATCTTCACCAGCTGCCCAGATTCCAGCTCTGTGTACGGGCCTGGGTTCGAGTCGACAATATAGGCCGTCTGTGCCCCGTAGGACAAGATCGAATCAGTCGTGATATTATAACGCGCATTCGCAATTTTCTGAGGTGTATCGCCAGGCATTGTCGTGTAGACATGTGGACCGCCAACAACGCATGTGTTGGTTGTCTCGGTGTTGTTCTGATCCAGGCAGGAGTAGTCATCTGGGTGAGCCGCTATGGAGGGAATAAGAAATTTCTCTCCTGGGTAGATAAAATCTGGATCAGCCAGGCCGTTTATGCGTGCTAGATCGCAGACGCCAAAGTTGTAGGTTTGGGCGAGCTGCCAGACGGTATCGCCCTCTTCCACGTAAATTTCCTTTCCGATGGTGATATTGGCATTGACTAAAGGGTATTCAGTAGCTAGATGATGTCAGGTTGATGTTGCACAGCAAAGCTAGTAGTGTAAAGAGGATAGCCTCACTGGTACGCTCGTGTAGCAACCTATAGCCACTGGGAAAAGCATAAATGCTGTTGGAAAGAGCCAGAATGGATGTAGCCGTCACGGCTGCGTGGAAGCTCAACATTGTCAAGGTATCTTGAGTACAGATAGGTTCTTTCCTCTATGCTTACCGAGCTTAATTCGGATTATTTGACGTATTTATATTCATCAAAGGCCAGTGTATGGATGACAGAGGGCCTGCAAAGAGTGATCTCGGACGTTAGGGCAACAAGACGATCAGCAAACTTCTGTAGACGGACGCAAATGTGCCCCCGATCTCCGTTATTCCAAAATTTCCTACAACGAATGCCGTGAAATCGATCGCAAATGGACAAGGCATGCCCGACTGATAGGTCGATCAACCCGGAACTCCCAATATTCCCCACAATTTCCCCACGCGGCCCAAGCCTCTCCAGATTCGATGATGCATTTTCATGATCCGAGTATCTGAAATCGTCAATGTGAAGCCAACAGGAATTTGATGATTAGCCATCTCACCGTTCTGGAGAGGGGTAACTGTGTGCCAAGCCAAATAGTTGAAGCGGTGCAGTTGAAGATGCAGGAAAGCATCTGTTTGCTATGGAGGTAGCCTCGGACTTAATTTCTAGATTTACCCACAATGTATGATCTGGGGAACTCTAGTACTTCTGTTTCCCCACATTCAATGAATTGATGTGCTCCGCAGTAGCGGTCAATGCTGGATCATTGAATGCATTTACGTGAATACAAAGGGAGGAACGACGAGGGGCAACTCTCACTGATAGCGAAAACTTTCTCGACGGCTCTGATGAAACAATCGTGCATGCAATTTCAGCGTGTTTACAGACAACCAGCATGGTGACTCGCTGGAGAGGCTTATCCAGACCTGAATACAGAGCGGGACTGTGTGGCAGTAGTAATGGCGGAAGTGAGAAAGGCTCCTGGGATAGGAAAGGATGAAGATCGAACGCTGAAGGAAGTGCGACTGTATTGTTATTTTCCAAGCGAGTGTAAACTTGGTTCTATTGGGCACTGGCATCATCTTAATCAACAAAGCTTAGGAGCTCTTGGCAGAAGAGGCCAAAGGGTAATGCCTGTCGATCCTTGCGCCAGATCGAGCATGGCGCTGTTCAAAAACAAAGTTACTACTCCTTACTTGGTGCGTTCAAGACTATGCGTTGTTTGGCCCCACAATGCAGACGAGGGGGGTGGCATTAATATTGTTTTACCTACATCTCCTTGTTTATCCCCTTCTAATCATCGCGCTCGCGAGTTGACAATCCCACAACCGTTGACCTATCTGGCCCCGGGAATAGTGGCGTGATAAAATATTACATAATGTATATGTAGATACTTTGCTACCCTATTCTCCAATTTATAAACTCGGAAACTTCATGTACATTCTATTATAAAGACATCTAATTAAGAACAGTAGTTTGGCTGCTGCACTTGTCCTTTCAGGAATCCAGCGTCAATGAATCCCTCATAGTTCCAATAATCACCCTTATCGCCCTGTCCCGAAATAGTGGCATTACTCAAGAACTTCGAAGTCCAGTAGGAGCTTCCACGGGTATACTGCGCGAAAGCCGAGATACCCGCCTTGAGGTTCCGTTCCCTCAGAGCCAAGTCGTTGCTACCACCAGCTTCCATAGCCCATTCACCCACAAACGTGGGGAACTTTCCGTCACCAGCACTTGTCTTCGCATCAGCGCAGATGAAAGTAGGCAGGTTCTCCGAAGTCGAGTTGTCATACTGATAATAGTAGTGGTGCAAGTCGAACACGATATTCTCATTCTTGTGGAAATGCGGTGACCAGAATGTCTCAGGCTTGAAACTACCCTGGATCATAACAGGGATCAACGGATTGACGGCCTTGACATGCTCCACAACCTTATTGAAGTATTTCAGCAACCACACGGCACCGTGATCTGTCAATGCAGCGGAAGTTCCAAAGTCCGAGAAGTTGTGATTATCAGCCGGCTCATTGATGGGCTCGATACTGTATGCCTCTGGGTGACCAGACTTCTGTACGAAGTCGATAACAGCATCCACGGCCTTCATCGACCACTCCAGCGCTGTCTGATTCCACCACCAGCCCCAGTGACCCACCGCCTCACCGATGTCAAGGCCGTTCGTGCCACCGGGCAGGGAATGAATGTCGACGACGACGTGCATGTTGTGTTTCTCGATCGCGTAGTTCGCAATGCGGTGGAGGTGCTCTTGCTGCTTTCCGTGGTACATTTGGGAGCCTGGCAGGTCGATCCATGCCGCGTATGTAGTTGGAATGCGCAGGAAGGTCACACCACCGGCGGCTAGCTTGTCGATATCGCTTGTTGTGATGTAGGTCTCGTAGCGGTGCTCGAAGACTCGTGGGCAATCGGCTCCCAGATACTCACAGAGACCCCATTCTCCTAGAGCACAGAGCTCCGTGCCACCGGCGCACTCTTTGGCCCACCAGAAGGTGTCGATCGTAGATTCCTGCTCGAGCCAACCACCCAAGTTCACACCATTGGCATGGAAAGTGCGCCAATCGATGTAGCCGTGCTTGTTGGCGGCGGAGGTTCGTTCAGTTGGGTGAGCTGCAACGTGGGCTGTATAGAGGCTCAGCAGGCCGAGGAGAGAAGCGTGCGTACGCATAGTGTATTATTCAATCGCAATGTTTTCGGACCGAGAATCATCTCCGGAATGGAGCTGGTCAATTGCCATTTATAAGCTACGAACGAGCCGTTTTCTTCTTCCGGCCCCCAGACATGTCGGGATATTTCCCCCATATTCCCCGCAATTGTGGGGACATGGCAGTTCCTGGCTCGGAAAACCCTGAAGAATAATTTCAACTCAAGACCAAGCGAAGCGATTTTCATTCCCAAGTGGTACCGAAATGGAATCTTCCCGGCGGTGATCTTCTGGTGGATAACTTAAGGTCATGGTGATTCGCTCGGGTATTCCAGGACGGATTTGATCGTCAGCGGTGCCCAGAGCTCCTTGCCGAGGATAGTCGGGTAATCCGAAGAAGAAGCGTTATTAAGCCCTTATATTCCCCAGTGGATTGGTTTTCAAAGAATTCTGGGTCAGATGTATTACCCCAGAAATATTGAGATGTCCATGTGACTGCAAAGCCTAAGGTCGACCTATGCAAGACGGGCCGTTCCACCTGGACTATGATTCGCTGATAGTTATCTCCGACTGGGAGTCTGGAACATGAATGCCTAGTCAGCAACCTGGTTCCAAGTTCCCAGTTGATAGATAATATTGGGTCCGAGAGCAGGGTTTGGGTCGAGTCATTCCATGGGTTTCCATGGGATTCTTGAGCATCTGCTTAGCTTTCCCCAGGCCAGGTTGCCGTATTCCTTTAGTCAAAAACAAAAAACCAAAGATGTATCCAAGCGTCCTTCCGCGATACGGTTGTGAACTGTGATTTGCTTCTGCCGGGTGAGACCTGGCCGAATCCGGGCAAGCGGGCTATCCCCCAATCATCGATCTTGATCTGTGGCCCAGACCACACCTTATCCTTGGCAACGACATTATTGCTTCCTGTAGAGGGAGCCGCAAGCATCCGATCATCGGGAAATTGAGAACAAGTGATGAGATGAGCAGGAGTCAGTAGAGAAAATGAATTCAAATCAAATGCAATGTAAATCGAGAGAGATCAACCTAGAGTAAATATGTACAGTTGAGATGTGCACTTGAAACGGTACATGACGTGTCGCAAAAAGGGATTCCACGTCAGTACAAATCACACCATGGTCTCCGCCCCCAAAATGTTGTTCCCCCCTTTCTTTCCCCTTCTCTTGACTTCATCCTTGTTTCCCTTTTTTCCTTTCTATTTCCTCTTTCTCTCTCCCCTTTTTCTCCACCCAAAACCGACAATTAATTATTAGATTTTTCGCCACTTCTTCGTAATTCGTGTTTGGGCTACTATTTGCGGGCCCAACTTGACACGGTCGCGCATCTCGTCGACGTCCATTCCTTCCCCCCTTTCTACCGCCAACCTTTCACCGCTATCTACACAAAAAAAAAACAATACTTTTTTTTAATTACCAATAAAAGCAATATCTCCAACGATACGAATGATCCATTCTGTCGACTGAATTAACTGGAACCTTATTTATGGTCGGACTGGATTACCAACCTTCGCATGGCATGTTTCGCCTGCTACCCTGGCCCTCTGCGATCGGAGGGAACAAGATGATGTCGGAAGATGTCAAGATGTTGACCCCTAGTTGTGTCAACACCTTGGTCCCCCAGCTCAAGCGGAAGCGCTCTGACGACTCTGTGAAGGGGGCACCTGTTCCCACGAAGATCCGCACGGATGATTCAGTCAAGATCCCGTCGCTCCCGGTCGCACCTTCGAATTCTGTCGCTACCCCAGATGCGCCATCGTCTATGGCCACACCCACGCGTCCACCAGCGCAGGCCGCCGGTCGCACCACGGATGTGGATCGTCTCCGCGACACCATCACCGCCCAGTTAAGTCTGGAGGTGCTGTTGAAGCACAATGAACTGCGTCTCATCGACCAGGAAATCGCCAAATGTCAAGTCTCACTCGAACAGTTGCGCCGCTGCGCTGAGATCCCGTATCCGGGATCCAGCGTTGCGGGTATCTCGGCTGATGTGAGTTTAGGCACGGGCGCATCGGTGCTGCCTGGAAATGGCTCAGCACCTATGTCGCCTGCGCCCTGGGGTGTCACAGACGGCCCGTATTCGCGTCACTACGCGAGATGGTTGCTGCCAGACCCCCGGTTTGATGGTGAGGTCGACTCGGGTTTGTCAGCAGGTTCTGCTATCCCCGTCGAAGGCCGGTCTACTCGGGGGAACCCGGTGGACTTCAGCTCGCTGGCTGGCAAATCGCGTCCTTCGCGGGGCTCGGGTGCTCCCAAGTTGCAATCGCTGCCTAGTGGATATCCGGTCGTCAAGGAGAAGGCGGGCCCGATGATCATGCGCCGCAAGTCGGATGGCGTCTTTGTCAAGCTGACCTGTCTGGATTGTCAACGCGTTGACTTCTCCAGTACGCAAGGTTTTATCAATCACTGTCGTATCGCACACAACCGGAACTTCGCTAGTCACGATGCCGCTGCCATGGCGTCGGGCGAGCCTGTCGAGTTGGATGAATCTGGCGCCATTATCGGTGGTCGGACTGAGTCCACTGCCAGCGCTGCCGCCTCGGGACACGTTCATCCGTTGATTCATTCTTCCAACCTACCCACTCCGGCCAAGGAGTCGGTGACTCCCAAGAAACTGTCTGCGGTGAGCAACTCTGCAGTTGCGACTCCTCCGGCAACTATTCAGCGGAAGGTTGACCCACGTCGCCCGTCTGAGCCTGCTAAGGCGCACAACCCCTCGTTTCTTGCCTCGCCTGCAACTCCCCATCTCTCTGCTTTGATGAAGTCGCGTGGATTGGGGTTGAACATGGATAAGTTGGTGGAAGAGGCCAAGACTCCTGTTGATCTGAGTGGTCTCTCCGATGATGACTCCGATATAGACGAGTCAGCTCCCTCTTCTGCGAGGACCCCTCAAGACTCCCAGCAAGGTCCTCGTGCAGCACGTCATCCTATGCGTATGCCTACTGCCCAAGACGCGACCGATCAATCTGGCCGAAAGGCTCTCCAGCTTCCCGATATGACTCCGAGTCGGCCTCAGTCTCATGCGCCATACCTCTCTGATCTTGCGTCACTGTCTGCTTCAGCCCCACCGTCTGCAATGGATACTCCTCGGGATTCCATGGATCATTCAGCCCATCTCAGCCCCAATACTATGGAATCTAACCAGGCTCCTAGTTTGGTCAGCGATGATGATGACTACGAAGTGGCCTTTGACTCCGACAGCCCCAGCTCGTCTGAGGCCGAGGACAATGATGAAGATTTCCGACACATCGAAGTGCAAGATGATGAGCGCACCAGTGCTCCATCCGCTCCTGCAGAGTCCAAGCCTGGCCCATCACTGGCGAACCCGATGTCACAGCCTGCAGCCCCTCTCCCCAAACAGATGAAGCAGGGCCGCTCCGCGCTGCCACCATTTGACCGTACCCGGGATGACCAATTCAACACCATGCGTGATATCACCAAACCGGTGAACTTCACACGGCCTGATTTCCGCTCTCCCAGCGAGGATCCGTCCAAGACGAACCGGGACAACGGGCGCAACCCCTCCCCCCTTTCAGCAGATAAATGTCGTCAACCCTGTTACCGTGGACCTGATTCCTGCTCACATCTTGAATAACTTTATCTTGTATCGCTCTACTCCTCTCTTCCTTTCTGCGCCAAGGTTTTGTTGATCGAAAGATCGGCATACTCTTGGCTGTTACTGTACCGCCTTATGGCGGTTTTACCTCTATCTCTGTCTGTTTTAATGTTGCGTCCACTGGACGAACTTTGCGTTTCGGCCCACAGGCCATCTTGATGGTGGCCGAGGTGAGACGGGTGATGACTTTCTTCATGATGCTGTATTTGATATTTTAATGAAAACTGTTCACGGCCGTGTTTTGTATATAAGGGAAAATTGACCGAAACGCGATCTAGCGTAGAGATAGAATTCTTCTCTGTATTGTAATCCATTCACTTGAGCTATGAATGTGCTTATCTGTAGATTAGAGGTGGGACTACCCCAGAATTTCCAGTGCAAGCCCACTCGGCCATTACACAATTGAATCCTGGTGTGCAGATCAACGTTTCACCACGCGCTCTTATCGATAAAGAAATCGCGGAGAACCCGTCGCGACTCGCGACAACCTCATGGCACAAACCATTCATCTCCAGCTGCCTTCGATCAAATTCCAACGTCAATCCTATAGTGCATACTCAATCGAAACCCTCGCAACCCAATAATGGTCTCTAAAACTTCAAAGACTCCTCAACCAAAGTTGAAACAAGAGTCCACAGACACGACCAAAGATTCAGTCGCTCTGGGCAATAATGCGGAATCCTTCCACCCAGACAACATAACACTACCTACATTCCGCAATCTCCTAAGCTACTACCCTAAAACGGTCGAACAAGTCCACCGAAACAAGCTCATACTAAAGCTCCAATCCAAGCCAAAGAAAGGCGCAAAAGGCAAAACGGATAAAAAGGCCAACATAACGCTTCTACAGCACACGGAGCTTGATCCGTCCCAGGAAGCATATATTGACGCCGAGGTCGAGAAATTCGTTAAACTCGATCAGTGGCGATATGAGGACATGCCCGGGATCATTGCGGAGCGAAAGGTTTCGAATGAGGAGGTGGTGAACAAGGAAGATCTGATTACCGTCATGGAGTGGAAGACGTGAGTTTCTTTTGTTGCCACTATAATAACCAAAATCTCTCCATGAATTAAGTGGATGGGTTATACAAGGAAAGAACCACTACTAACATCATCCCAGAACGCACGGTACACCCAGACCAATGCTCATGGGCATGATAAAATCCAACCAAAGCAACCTCGTCTCGAAATGCACGTCGAGTGCTATATCGGCTCTACCAACTGCACACCCAATCCTTGATGCGGAGAATGCATTTCCCAAAACCAGTATGGATGCACTAAATCCACTCCGCGGTGTTGGTGTAGCAACCGCCTCACTTGTCCTGTCTATCGCGACAGGGCGAAACGAGTATGCGCAGCAGATACCCTTTTACAGCGACGATATGTTCCTCTGGCTCGTTGTTAAGGATTATCCCAGCACGAAGTTGAGCACGAAGCCGAAAGTTGATTCGAAATTCATGCGTCCGAATGGGGAGTTGAATGTTAGGTATACTTTGAATGAATATCGGGAGTTATGGGATGCGTGTGCGGAGTTGCGGATGCGGCTTAACAAGGAAGTCGATAGAGATGAAGGATATGTGTCTCCAAATGATATTGAGAAGGTTGCGTATGTTTTGCGCAATATTGATGTGTCGGGGTTTTTTGCTCAGGATCCTGGTGCTGTTGCTGATTTGCAGAAGGGGGTGGAGGGAGAGACTGCTCAGAAACGGAAACGGGAGGATACGGATACCTCTGAGTTGAAAGTTGTGAGGGCGACTAGGAGTAAGAGGAAGGCTGAGTGAGGGGATGGACGTGGTTTGCCTGGTACAGCACTGGTGTGTATAGGTGCATATTGTTCATATAAAGATCTAGATTTTCCTTAGTAACCAATTGGAAAGACGTGATTAATACCTTTACTGAGACCCAAATGACCCTTACTCTTATCCATCTGGATACTTTATCCAGTGTAAGTCTAACTGTTTTGAAGCGAATGCCATTGACCGATGCTAATTACTTCCTAGAGAACGTCGTCTCACGAGATCGTCCTCTATTTTGGGATATTTGGATGATGTATCGCATTGGTCACTGGAGGATGGAGAACTCTCCGGGATTCGACAGATAGCACAGATGTAGGTACTTGAGAGAGAAATGCTGAATGCTCGGGGTTGTTATGTCTCGGCGTTCTAATGACGACCTGTAGTGTATAATGGCGGCGTTACAGATATGCAAGAGAGTATATGAATCCAGTTGAAGGAATTGGTTAATCAAATGACAAGGTATATCAACAGTCTATATGTTCAAGTCGTTCATTTAGTAGTATCTATCTGGACACTTTTTAACGTGACGTATTTAATTTAATAACAAATGAGCCATTTACAGTCCCTTGGCCTGCTTGGCCTCGGCAAGAGCCTCCTTGAGCGCTGTCAGGGCCTTGTCAATGTCGCCGCGGTTGGCATCAGTAACACTGACACCCATGTGACCGAAGCGAATGTAACGGGTAGCAATCTCCTTGTGCAGACCAGCTGCGAAGATGACACCACGCTTCAGCAGACCGGGTAGGACATCAGGAGGAGTCAGACCTTCCGGCAGGTACATGGCAGTCATACCGTGAGCCTGAGCATCTGGGTTAGGAGCCAGCTGTTTCAAACCCAGCTGAGCGACAGCAGCCTTGACGCTGTCAGACACCTTAGTGTGAATAGCAAAGCGCTCAGCCATAGGGCGGGCTGTGATCTGGCTCAGGGTAGTGTGCAGGGCGTGGACAAGCTGAGTGGGAGGGGTAGCGAAGTACGAGGGCTTGTTGTTCTCATAGTTCCGCATAATAGGCAGCCAGTTGGCAATAGAAGCGTAGTAAGATCCGGGAGGGGTCTGACGGGTGGTGGCACGCTGAATGGCGCGGCCGGATGTCATGACGATGCTAAGACCAGGGGGGCAACCGATAGCCTTCTGGCTAGCAGTGACGACAGCATCGAGGTCCCACTCGTCGAATGCGATCTCCTCCGAACCCACGCTGCACACACCATCCACGATCACCAAGGTCTCTGGGCTCACCCGGCGGACGAGCTGAGCGACACCCTTGACGTCACTCAGGACACCGGTGGAGGTGTCAACGTGGGTGAGGGTGATGAGCTTGTAGGGCTTCTCCTTCAAGGCCTGCTCAACCTGTTCCAGCGAGGGCCGCTCGCCGATGGGGGCACGGAGCTGGGTGACCTGGGCACCGTATGTTTGCAGACATTGCTCGAAGGAGTCACCGAAGTAGCCAGTGTTCAGGACCAGGGCATTGTCACCACGCTCGATCAGGTTGGCAGAGACAAGATCCCAGCCGAGGGTACCACTTCCTGAGATGATGAAGGGCTGTGCGGAGGGATCGGTGGACTGGAACAGCTTGCGCGTCATAGTCAAGGTCTCGCCGAAGACCTTGACGAAGCCGGGAGCCACATGGCTCTCACTATGAACAAAAAAAATGTTAGTTCAACAGCACCTTACGAGTCAATGGAAATCGGATCAATGGAAGTACATACGCATAGTGGGCCATCGACTGCAGCACAGCATCGTCGAATTCGATGGGGCCCGGGATGAGCAGAGTGTTGTGAGGGGCTTGAGCAGACATGGTGGGTTTAGAGGGAGTAGAGGGGGAATCTGGGATGGTGCGATCGAGGGGTTTATATTCGGTGTCGTCCGGGGGTAGGGAGCTTCTTTCGGTCGAGAAAGGAGTATTCAAGTTCGGCAACGGCAAGCGCTGATCCAGGTGTCTGGAGATCAGGCTTAAACGTTGCTGCGTGGAGGGCGCCAGCTTTTCCGATTGCGGCGGGGCAGCCGCGGGGTACGTCCTTGGTTTGGTAGTGATTGGAAGCTTGTGAATTCCCGAGGGAAATGCGAGTTCGGGATTCGCCGCCGATGGGTGTCTTGGGTGGTTGGGATTGGCTGAGGTCAAACACAGAGTTTAAGTATACCAGCCAGTATTTCCAGTCGGGCTCAGTAAAAGATAGATTTAGAATTGTATTCAATTGAATGGATGGAAATAGAGACCTGGGGAGGGGTTATTTATGAAGGCAAGTGTTTCCTTCCAACCCCAACAAATTCTGTTTGAAGGCGTTGCGGTCGGAGTCTAGCGGCCGGACCCTACCGCGTCTGCTAGGAGAACTCGTAGGAATGCCTGCGTCTACGCTGAAGTCTCTATTCTATATTCCGAGATGCGAAAAGAGATCTGTGGTATGCTAGCGTTTACGATCGATTTCATTGTCACATTAAAGCTTCGTGTGTCCAAGTAGATCTGTGTTATGTGTAGGTGACAACATGTTAAGGTGGGTTCTATATAACGATACACTTGTACCTTCCAAACAACTAATATATATGAAGCAACGATATCCTACTAGTAAATGACTATATACTACCGTACAGCCCTTCAAATACTATGTAATTCTTATATTTTCACTATCCTAATTATTCTCGTCCGATCAATGCAGTCTCTTGTTTGCGCAGTAGTTCACTGTCCTGATCCCGCACATCACGGCGACCTCCGCAGAACTTTGGAGGATTTCGGCGTCTTATATTTTTCCTACTGGACTAGTCAAGCCGACAACAGTCAGGAGATCGGCCAGATGAGCCAATGTTTATTCGGAATGGAGAAGCGAACCTGGTCGGATGGCCATCCGACCTCCACTTACGATAAACTGATAGCAGCCTAACCGGATTCAGGCCGTAGGGTATAGGGCCTGACGTGGCTTCCCCGCGAAGCTCCAGACCGTCTGCCTGACACGCGCATCTTGACCTTGCGCGATTGGAGACTCTTTGAGCTTTTATCTCTTGCCCCACCGTTCCAGCATGACCGCCCGCCTGGTCCTGATCATCGGTGATCTGTTCATCCCCGACCGAGCCCCTGTGAGTACCCCATTAGCTCCATGGCGTCTTCCAATCGACCGCATAGCTAACCCCAACTTCTATAGGATCTTCCGGCCAAGGTACATCCTGCCCAATCGATTGAACCTCCCGCCCACCGCTAACGCTGATTCCAGTTCCGGAAACTACTCACCCCCGGAAAAATTGGCCAGATCCTATGCCTGGGAAACCTGACCGACCGCGACACCTATGAGTTCCTTCGCCAGGTAGCCCCGGACCTGCAAATGGTCAAGGGAGACTATGATGTGGACTCCCCCAATCTACCGCTGTCGAAGATTGTCAATCATGGTAGCCTGCGCATAGGCTTTACCCACGGTCACACAGTCATCCCTCCAGGCGACGCTGACGCTTTGTTGATTGCGGCTCGACAGATGGATGTGGATGTCTTGCTCTGGGGTGGCACACATCGGTTTGAGGCATTCGAGATGGAAGGCCGCTTCTTCATCAACCCCGGCAGTGCGACTGGTGCAATGAGCTCAGGGTACTGGCCGGAGGGCGAAGAGCCCACGCCAAGCTTCTGTCTGATGGATGTAAGTGACAATCCTCCGGTCCCACTACCGTGGATACAAAATACTAAGTAAACGTGAAACAGATTCAAGGCGATGTTCTGGTGCTGTATGTCTACCAACTCAAGACGGATGCGAATGGCGTCGAGAACGTGTCGGTCGAGAAAGTTTCCTATCGCAAGAACCATGCCCCAGCCCCAGTCTCTGCCCCAACCTCGTGAATGGCCTTCACATATTCCATCCCTCCATCTTCTTGACCCGTGTATATAGTCTTCATGTTTTCCTCCCTCCCCTCCTGTTTGTTCTTTAGCTTGGATTCCATGCTTTCTCAATTCGAACCTTTGATACCTTGAGTTAGTGCAATTGACTCAGTCCACACATAACCGATATCCACGTACGGATACTTCATTCTTCTATAAATCATCACTACTCTTGTGTTGCTCATGATTGTTGTAGTTATTGTTAATACTTATCCCTAGTGGCTCTACAAAAATATTTGCCCACATGGGCAGAAATTCGAGAGGGTACCCGATCATTGGAGATCACCATGGATCTTCAAAGGATTCACTTGAAAGGCGTCAATTCTTTAACGGTTGATACCAAACATGCAAAACAAAGCCCAATTCTCGGCCGACGGCGCTAGTCCCGAAATGGCAAACCTCAGTGATTTCCAAATGAATAATCCCATCGCGCCTCTCCGCCCCGCAAAGATCCTCAGTGAATCTGGCTTCACACCTTGATTTTATCTTATTTAATTCATAAGGGCTCTCTACCCTTGGCATTTCCAACTCCAGATTCTTCCCTGGATATTGCCCGCGATATTCGTCCATTCACTCGGCGCCCAATAGCTTCCGCTACTCCAACATCTTCTCTCACCTAGCTTTTCAAGCTACCACCCACACTCCCAGACACAATGGCGACCGAAGGACCTGAGCCAACGGAGATCATGGAGGAGCAGATCCCCCATGAGGAGGGCGGCGAAGAGGAGGTGCGTATGGCGATATTCCGACCTCGTGCGATGAGCTTGCTCCATCGCAAACCAATTCTGATCTGAGCATGGCTAACATGAGATTACTTCATACAGGAAGAGATTGCGGCCATGAAGAGGCGCCTTGCTGAGATGGAATCAGATGCAGCGAAGCTGCGAGAGATGCAGAGCACAATTGAACAGCAATCTTCAGACGCGGCAGAGAACAAAGAGGATATTGACGCACGGAGTATCTTCGTTGGCAACGTGGACTACGGCGCTTCCCCCGAAGAGATCCAGGCACACTTCCAGACCTGTGGCTCCATTAATCGGGTGACTATTTTGCTGGACAAATTCTCCGGCTCACCCAAGGGGTACGTTGGATAATCTGCTCACCCATCGCAAACTTTTTAGGAACCTGACTGACAATTGATTATAGCTACGCTTACGTGGAGTTCGCTGAGCCTAGTCTCGTGGCCCAGGCCTTGGTCCTGAACGAGAGTGTGTTCCGTGGTCGTAACCTCAAGGTGAGCTTTATACCTGGCTATATTTGACCCCTGTGCATTCCGCTTACTTTGATATCCAACAGGTGACCCCCAAGCGGACTAACTTGCCAGGCATGACCCGTGGTCGTGGCCGAGGACGTGGTGGTCGTGGTCGTGGACCCTTCCGAGGCTACCGTGGAGGCTACCGGGGCCGAGGACGTGGCTTCACCCCATACTAAGGCGTGTGGCTTTACCCCATACGAAGGCGTGTGGCTTTCAGCTAATAGTTTTTGTCACTCTCCAAGAGCCCACTTCTTTGCCATCCGGTAAAGATAGGCCGGGAGTACCCCCACTCCGAACGACCCGCGCGACTAGCAGTCGAGTAAAGATATGGAAAATTGGCTTTCTGGCGGAATTTGGAGTGGGATTGGAGTTTGGGGTTTTATTATTTTAAACGGATATGTACAATAAGTGGACAATCCAACGAGAGGATTTAGCTGAGATACTCTCGGCGAATTGTGTAATGGATATTTGGTCAGAATTCACGATCACTTAGGGTACTTGCATCTTGCACATGGAGCTTGAACTTGGTTGGAACCATGAATAAAGTCGCTGCCTAGTTCGCCCTGAATCGCGCGCTAACAAAGCACCCATTTATCAGCTAATGACTTCCCTGTTACATAGTGGGAAAGTACCTGCTCATAACTAATCATCTCTCATCGCCACCCGCGCCCGCTTTACAAAGATTACGTACGCTAGATACAATCTCTACAACTTAAATGCTAGACAAGATAGTAATACTGAGAGCGACCGATTTCATAAAGGAAAAAAGAAAAAAGACACAGTCTAGTCTATAGGCGATCTCCCGTGCTCAGCCCCAAGAAGTACCCGACAGGTATCTGGCTCGTAGTTAATACGTAGCGGGAGTACTTACGCCATACAATCCCGCGAATGAATTACGCCCAACCCTTTCCTCTCTTCTTCCCTTCTCCTCCTCCAAAATCTCCATTCCACACACCCCTCTCCACAGCCCACTTTCTATCACATCCGTGATCTTGAATCTGGTGGATTGGCCGACTACGCCGCGATTCCGCCCCTCCCTGGATGCGCGCGCCGTATTCACTTCAGGCTTGATTGATCGGCCTCTTCGAACCGGTGTGCTGTGAAAAGCAACCAGGGCCACCATGACATCCAATCTGCCACCGTACGTCTCGAGATCCCCTCCCTTTCCTATCTGGTGCTTTCGAACGTCAGAGACCTACAGAATATTCAAATCTTTTCATTTTACTTTTTCAATGCTAACCTACCAACGTTACAGCCAGCCAAATCTCCGAGTCACGAGTAAGATTGCCTTGGTTGCTCATCTGCGAAGGCGGGACATTGCGGGGCTTGGACCTGAACCTGAAAACTAACATCTTTTGATCATTCGCAGTCATCGCGGCAGACGGTCTTTACAAACGCGATGTTTTCCGTATGTGATCCCCCTTTAGATTGCTGGTTCGGCCCCAAGCGGGGTCGACTGACTTCTGGTCTAGGATTCCCCGATCCATTCGCCGTGGCTACGGTTGGGGGCGAACAAACCCATACGACATCGGTGATCAAGAAGACTTTGAATCCTTACTGGAATGAACCCTTCGACTTGTACGTCTTGGTGCCCCACTTTGTCGGAAGATCGAGGAGAGGTTATTAACGGCTAGATTGTGGATATAGGAGAGTCAACGAGGATAGCATTCTGGCGATCCAGATCTTCGACCAGAAGAAGTTCAAAAAGAAGGACCAGGGCTTCCTTGGTGTCATCAATGTTCGGATCGGAGATGTCATTGATCTTTCCATGGGTGGTGATGGTACGTGATGGTGGTACTGGGTTCAAGCCGCGATCGGGACTAACGCTCACCCTCCCAACAGAGATGCTCACTCGCGACCTCAAAAAATCTAACGATAACCTTATTGTTCATGGAAAATTGATTATTAACCTTTCTACCAACCTTACCGCCACACAACAGTCCCAGCAAAATGGCGGTGCTCATCGCCCAGCGAACGCCCAATCCTCTACCTCGAGTGGCCTTGTCCCACAAGTTGCATCACCGATACCCCCACCATCGGGTGGCCCCAGTGCCGCAGACGGATTGCCCGCTGCTATGTCCAACGCGTCGCTCAACAACCGCTCGCCCTCGACTGGTGGACTTGCTGCGTCTCCTGCCCCTACCGGCGCTCCACCTAGTGCCAGTGCGGCATCTCGCACCAACCTGAGCTCATTTGAGGACAGCCAGGGCCGGCTGCCCGCCGGCTGGGAACGAAGAGAAGATGGCTTGGGACGCACCTACTATGTGGATCACAATACGCGGACTACGACATGGTCCCGACCCTCTGCTAACTACACCGAATCTGCTCATCGTAGCCAGCGCGAAGCCAACATGCAGCTGGAACGTCGAGCCCACCAGAGCCGAATGTTGCCTGAAGATCGCACTGGCACTAGCTCTCCGAACTTGCCAGATCCTCAGCCGCAAACACCACCACCCCCGGTAGCAGCCCCATCGGCCGCTCCCCCAGGGCCCCAGGCAAATGCTGTTTCGATGATGGCAACGGGAGCTACCACTGCAGGCACTGGCGAGCTTCCACCAGGTTGGGAACAGCGACACACCCCTGAGGGGCGATCATATTTTGTTGATCACAATACCCGCACCACAACCTGGGTTGATCCTCGTCGCCAACAGTACATTCGCATGTATGGTCAGAATCAGAATCAGGGCGGAAATAATACCACTATTCAGCAACAGCCCGTTTCACAATTGGGTCCCCTGCCCAGTGGATGGGAAATGCGACTTACAAATACTGCTCGCGTGTACTTTGTGGACCACAATACCAAAACTACTACTTGGGATGATCCTCGTCTACCTTCGTCTTTGGATCAGGGTGTGCCACAGTACAAGCGTGATTTCCGCCGCAAGCTGATCTACTTCCGCTCGCAACCCGCTCTGCGGATCATGTCAGGCCAATGCCACGTCAAGGTCCGTCGTAATAATATATTCGAGGATTCTTACGCGGAGATCATGCGACAGAGCGCGTCCGATCTGAAGAAGCGCTTGATGATCAAGTTCGATGGCGAGGACGGTCTGGACTACGGTGGTCTTTCTCGGTACGTTCAAATCCTATTATATTTTTTTGGTTCCAAACTAACAGCCAACAGTGAATTCTTCTTCCTCCTTTCTCACGAAATGTTCAATCCCTTCTACTGTCTGTTCGAATACTCCGCCCACGATAATTATACCCTGCAGATTAATCCCCACTCTGGCGTCAACCCCGAGCATCTCAATTACTTCAAGTTCATTGGCCGAGTGGTTGGCCTGGCCATTTTCCATCGCCGTTTCCTGGATTCTTTCTTCATTGGAGCATTTTACAAGATGATGCTTCGGAAGAAGGTTACTCTTCAAGATATGGAGGGTGTCGACGAAGATTTACATCGCAACCTAGCATGGACTTTGTAAGATTGACCGAGAACCTACCTCTATCTATACTTCTAAGCTAACAATCTGCTAGGGATAATGACATCGAAGGAATTGTGGAGCTTACATTTTCTGTTGATGATGAGAAATTTGGCGAGCGTCGCACTATTGATTTGATACCCGGTGGCCGGGATATTCCCGTCACCAACGAGAATAAGCCACAGTATATTGAGTAAGTTATTTAATGGTCTATTTGGTGAGCTTGTGCTGACTTGTGTAGGTTGGTTACCGAGTGGAAGATTGTCAAGCGTGTGGAAGAGCAGTTCAATGCTTTCATGTCCGGCTTCAACGAGCTTATTCCGCCGGATCTCGTGAATGTGTTCGATGAGCGTGAATTAGAGTTGCTTATTGGTGGTATCGCTGATATCGACGTGGATGACTGGAAGAAGCACACGGATTACCGTGGCTACCAGGAGCAGGATGAGGTTATTCAGAACTTCTGGAAGATTGTCCGCACCTGGGATGCGGAGCAGAAGTCGCGTCTTCTCCAGTTCACTACTGGAACTTCGCGTATTCCTGTGAACGGCTTCAAGGATCTTCAAGGTTCCGATGGACCTAGACGATTCACTATTGAGAAGTCTGGCGATCCTAATGCCCTCCCCAAGTCTCACACTTGGTATGTTCCTCAAATCCTTCAACTATCTACATTTACTAACAGTCAATCAGCTTTAACCGTCTGGATCTTCCGCCTTACAAGACCCACGATGCCCTTGAGCACAAGATGTCTATTGCAGTGGAGGAAACTCTTGGATTTGGACAGGAATAGATGCCCGTCATCCTCTGTCACTAAAATGCAGAGAATTCCATTGGATCCCTTGCTCCAATCTAAGCTCTAGTAACTCACTCCTACCTAAACACCTCATGTTACTTTCTCATCACGCCCCACCCCCACATCCATCTCTCGTTTCATACCTCAATTGTCCATGCCTATTGTAACGGTGGTGCTATCCACCCAGAACTTATTTCGTTCTATTCAATCGTTGCTTCCCCAGGCCCTTGATCATGCAGACCAAATTCGTGTCACTTTGGTCCTATCGTTTGCTTTTTGTTTCTGTGCTTCGGTGGCGCTTCTAGCTTGTATATAGGTATCTGTATCATCGTGTAATCACGTTAAGTTGAATTTATTCTCGTCTTGACGAGGCTTTCTGTCTTGGTTTCATTTTCGTTCCTATTCGACAACTCCTCACTGCCGAGTCTGTACACCACTCTTCCTTGGCAGGGCAAAACCAAGCCCACTATGCGGATCACTAATGCAAAGACGGGGATCACCACCATCAAACCACAATATGGTTCGTCGGACCCATGGTGCCCCGCTCGGAATATACGTCAATGGCGCATTTAGATTGCTAGGTCGTCGTCTCGGCACACCGTTCCCGTTTTTTGATTTATTTTTAGAAGCTACCTTGTTCCAGACTTGTTTGTGACTGAGTTGCATACATCACCTACTCGGCAGTAGTCAATTCGATGGCTCGTGGTTTTCATTCCGGGTTTTCTCCGTGAACACGAGCACGTGGGTCGATTTATGATGCCCGGCTTCCTCGGAATCAATAGAATGGGTTGTTTAAGTGCCGAGTGCCGAGTGGGGCCAGGATGTATATCCGTGGAGGTGACGGATATAATCTGAATTATAGCGACGGATCTCGGATGGGAATTCGGCAAGACAATTGGATGTATGCTTGCTTTATGCTCTCCGCTCGTACCCAGATGAATGAGACGGCATGTCATGCCTGCCACGTGAATCAGACCATGGGCCCAGGTCTTCCAGGTATTGATAGATCATAGATTTTTGTGGACCCTCCATATAGATTAACACAAATCATTGTAACGAACCGAGACCATGGCACTTTCAGTTCCTTCCACTCTTCTCTCCAAGTTTCTTCATCCATTCTAAATTTATCCCTCGATAATCGCGGCTGGTATAACATTCAAACATCTCTCTTCGCACTCCTGACTTCCTCCAGTATCTCAAGCCCAGATCCCTCAGTAACAGATCCACATACGGAATCGAATCAAAAATCGTCTCAGGAAACCAAGCAGAAAACCCCCACGGATAACGAAGTTTCCCAAATCGACTCAGTAGTGCAGTTTGCTCGTATACATTCTCCGTCGGGATCGTGATCTTGTCATTGAGATAGGCATATACCCACAAAGATTGAACCTCGGCAACAAGCATATTGGCCGTACTGTGAAACATCTTGACATAGGCGAGTGAGTGAGTCGATTTCGCTGTAAGGTTCGGTGGGGCAATTCCACGGTATAACCTCAATGGAGTGATATTTGGCTTGTATGGCAGCTTGGAAGCGGGCGGGCCACTAAGGTAAGGGAACTTGCTGATGATGGTATCTTCTGCATCCTGGTCGAGGTATCTCCAGAGAGTTTCTTGCTCGGTGGTAAGCTTGCTGGCCGCTACTGGGAGGCCGAGGGAAGCGTCCAATCCATCTGGCTTGTATTTCATTGTTGGAGCCAGACTCCAGCCTGTGATTTCGATCAACGCATCCGTTTGGATGATCAATTCGTCGGCGAAATGGATATTTCCAGAACTAGATAGATGGTCTACGTCCTGTTTGAGAATTTGTACCTGTCCGGTACGGATGTAGTCGTGAATATCAGAAGAGTAATTCAGGATGCCAATGCGGGCGTTCCAGAATAAGCTTTATTCTTGTTAGCATTGCTCTTCAGGGGCATAGTTGCTGCGTAAATAGAATCACCTTTCTGTGGGCTCCAAATGTTTGATTGATGCTTCCTTTCTGTAACCGTTCACTTCTATCGCGTCCATCCTCATCTTCTCCCAAAAATGATGCACCAGGAACCGACCCACTCTAGTCCCGTGCAGGATACGTCTGATCCAGCCAAAGCCATCATTGTCACCCCAGATACAAGGACTAAACCAGGAGTAAAACCGAGTTGTCGCCAAGCTCTCTAGCTTCGCTCGCATCCAAGTTATATTGACCCAGGGCTGCATCATCCACACCGCGCCACCTCCAGACTTGCGAACTACCCACTGAACCTTCTTCCCATGGGATGCCATCAAATACACTGCGTCATATCCGGACTTCGATGCTCCAACTACAGTCACAGACTCAATCTTGGGATCCGATGCTAGCTCCGCCCCCTTATCTAGCAGTCGAGCGTGGCTGATCACGGGCCTATCAAAGTCCTGCTGTCCAGCAATTGAGATAGGCCTCGGAGTGGACGCTAAACCACTAGCAATGATCAGTTTCTTGCATCTATAGGCTGCGCGTCGTTGTTGCGCGTTGTGTTTCGTCTCTGTAATCAGCATCCAGCCATCCTCTAGCTGCTCTATCTCGAGCACATTGGTGTTGAATCTGACTCGTCGGCGAATATCAAAGTGGTCTGCAAAATCGCAGAAATATCTGTGCATAGTAGCGCAGGGGATATGTTCACCGTCGCGGACGCCGTATTTTTTTTCATCCATGGGAAAATCAGAGAACTCATACGAGCCATGGAGGTTATTAGTCTTGAGACCCTCATAGCAGTTTTCTTGAGCCCAGACTCCGCCTAGTGTTGCTCGCTGATCGAGGTCAATTTCATTAATTTCAAAACAAATTGCGGGCTGGTTTGACGGTACCTTGTCAATTAGGATGAGGTTTGTTTGGGGGGATAGCTCGAGGTATGTCTTTGCCGCCGCGAGGCCTCCCAACCCCGTACCGACTATGACAACGTCGACCAGTTCCTGTTCAATCTCCATGTTTTTTGTTGTTTTGGGAGTAGGATCAGGTTGTTCAGCGTGGAATTTTTTTGAAACCTCATTTCCCCGCTCTGACCAAACGTCGTCGTGCATCTGCTTACGAGTGCAGCCTGCAGGCTGATGGACCTCAGCAGATAAGAAATGCATGGTGGGGGTGATCTGCATAATGACATGACAAGACTATTGGTTGGATCTTCTATCACATATTGGGCATATCCTAAGCTAGTAACAACTGAGTTTTTACCATCATTTTTATACTAGCTTATCCACCGAAAGCTGGGAAAGATGCGTATAGTAGCAGAGTAACTTTAAAAAAGCTCGTTACTCATGTGGTTATAGCCCCAGTGAGCCTGTTCAAAGGATTCAGCGAGCTATGAATCCTGGGCTATCAAGCTTCTTTCTCTAGTGAAAACAGGAATTGACATATGATCTTGGAGCCTAGACTCAACGGATGTATGAGTGATAGTTAGAAGTAAGCTCTCTCAGAGTGCTCCCATATTTGCTCTCAGCCATAGCTTGTGCCTTCAGCGATGCAAAGTTGTCCAAGGCTCTTCCGCTGCCGAAGCCTGCTTGTTCGCGGGAATGTCTTAGCTCCATTGGATATGACAGTCCACAGGAAGAAATAGCGAAGAGGCTTAAGTAGAATTTTGTTTGGAGACTTTGCGGGTCGTCGATTTTCCTATGCAGTCAGAGTCACCTGTATAACGTCAACGGTCAAGAGGCCTATGCCGTTGCCCCGTTCTGACTCGATAAACAATTCATTAGATTTGACTCTGGTCGATCTATGGAAGATGCTACATCATTGAAATAATTTACGTAATTTTCATGAACAAGTGCTGGATCAATTCGCTCGGTGCCCATTGACACTGAACATGTAACTGAGTAGCTAAACCTGACTGTTGCCTATTCGAAAGCAAGAAGCATTTGTCTGAACGACATACCGGGATGAACCAGTATATTCATCACTTCTTTCAAACCATAAAAAGAAAATACTAACCAAGCAAAGTCTCTTAGGAAAGTTGAGAGGGACTAGTATGCCGGTATCAGCCTCTAATGCTTGTTTATGACGCTCGAAAACCCGAGAGACTAATCCTACGGCCTACCTGGTAGGCCGAGAGGCACCATGGAAGCCTGACAAAGCATATTACGGACAACAGTACTAATCCCAATTGTGATGATGCATTCAGTCCCTCATGCCGGGTTCTTCGTGGGGCGGGGGGGCCTAAACGCTTCCCCCCATTCACGGATCCCGCCGAGAGCTTATTCCCCTCCTTTGAATATCCACCTAGAATCTAACATAATTAACATAAGGAATTTCAGTTCGATAGAAGAGGAATGCCGACATCAACAATGAGTAACAGTGCTGAAGCACGCGACTTCACCCCGTCAGATACCTCACAAAGTCAATCCGTGGACACGCACGGCCCTCCCATCGGTATTGAAGACCCTGGCGACCCACCATCACACGCAGTCGACATCGCACCAAGATGGAATGAATCCAAAACCATGATATGGCGGGTAACCGCTACGTGCTACTGTGCGTTTGTCATGGGTGCGAATGACGCTGCATATGGTGCTATAATCCCCTATGTATTTTCCCCGTGGAACCGATATACAATATGATCGCTGACATAGTCAAGCTTGAACTTTACTACCACCAAAGCTACACAATCATCTCTCTTGTATTCCTCTCGCCATTTATCGGTTATACCATCTCGGCTATTGTCAACCATGCAATTCATCGCCGCTTCGGTAGGCGGGGTGTAGCAATTATCGGCCCTGCATGTCATCTACTAACGTTCGCCGTGATATCAACTCATCCCCCGTTCCCGGTCCTTGTGCTTATGTACGTCTTCGTGGGATTCGGCAGCGGAATCCAAAATGCAGCCTGGAACGTTTGGATAGGCAATATGGCGAATTCGAACGAGGTGCTTGGCTTCTTTCACGGGTTCTTCGGTGTAGGCGCTACAGTAAGCCCTCTCATCGCGACGAGTTTAATCACAAAGGCCGATTGGATGTGGTCCTCTTTCTACTACCTGATGGTATGTTCTCCTCAAAGCTCATTTCAGCTGAACAGCGAAGAGCCTGACAGAATACATAGACCGGGGCTGCAACCCTCGAGCTAGTCTACGCCACGACCGCATTCTGGTCAGAAACAGGCTCAAAGTACCGACAAACACACCCCAGCTCTTCAACTCAAGCCCAAGGCAACGGAGCACTAACCTATAAAGTAACATGGATCTGTGCTATCTTCCTTTTTCTCTATGGCGGAATCGAAGTCGCAATAGGAGGTTGGGTGGTTCTTTTCATGACAAACGTCCGCCATGGCAGCGCTTTCGCATCTGGAATGACGGAAACGGGCTTCTGGCTCGGAATCACAATGGGCCGATTTATCCTTGGCTTCGTTTCGCCGCGTGTCGGCGAGAGACTGTCTATCGCTCTATACATCATCATCGCCTGTGCACTGGAGTTAGTCTTCTGGCTCGTTCCCCAGTTCTTTGTGTCAGCAGTTGCAGTCTCATTAGTCGGGTTCTTTCTTGGGACTATCTTCCCGGGCGTAGTAGTCGTTGCGACGAGGCTTTTGCCCAAGGATTTGCATGTTGCTGCTATTGGATTTGCGGCGGCGTTTTCAATGGGTGGGGGTGCAGTTTTTCCTTTCTTTATTGGGGCTGTTGCGCAGGCGAAGGGGGTGGGTATCTTGCAGCCTGTTCTGCTGGGGATGTTGGTTGTTGCCCTTGGGATTTGGGGGGTTTTGCTTCGGGCCCCAAGAATTGAGCAGGCGCACCAGGTATGATTTAGTGGGAAGAAGACAAGACTGCATCATAGGGTGAAGCATTTTATGTTGTGATGGGTTGATTCCCAGGAAACAAACCGGTCAATATTGTATCATGATCTCGTGTATCCTCAACTGGCATTCTGAGGTCATATTTGCTATTAGATTGTAATTAATCGTTCGTGTACATTAGCCGTGGAAGAATGACCCGCGCCAAACATGAAGAAGAAAGAGAAAGAGCTCGCTAAATTCAAACCCAAGATGGTGGTATCATTCAATGCCCATAACTTTCTTAAGTTTTTGAAGCGATAGTGGTTTGACGAGATAGTCATTGATCCCGGCTTTTATAGCTTGCTTATGCATGTCATCGGAGGCGACGCCAGTGACAGCCAAGATGCAAGAAGAATCGATGCTTGTCTCCTGTTCATGTTGGCGGATCTTTTTAGTTGAAACAAGACCATCCATAACGGGCATTGAAATGTCTTGCTGATGTTAGTGGGCCTGTTCATTCAGCAATGTTGGAAGACTTACCCATCAAAACAAAATCGAAATACTTTTTGGATGCCATATACTTCTCTAGTGCTATGAGTCCGTTGGAAGCTGTTTCGTAACTGCAGCCCATCTTGCGCAAAAAAGTTACTAAGATCTATTGATATAACGTTAGCATTTCAATTGATAATTTCAAATTAGCGATTCTTTTCTTCTCGCACCTTGACATTGATCTCATTATCATCGACAATAAGAACATGCATTGTCTTTGGCTCGTCTGATGGAGTGGGATCGACAGCAGGGAAAGAAGGGGTGGCTTCTTCAACAGCTGCCTTGGGTGTTGTTTCTCCCTCTTCTGTCGGGCTCTCAGACGCAGGCAATGAGGCAGGCACTGGCTGCTCTGAATTCAAGCTCTCCGAAGGCAGTGTCGATTGATCTGGCAGCTGGAGTTGTGATTTATGAGATTCCAAAATTCCTTGGACTGCATGGTAAATCTTCCGTGGCCCAAAACTGTTTACAAGTTAGCTTAATTTTGGCAAGCATAGCATATTGCTGAACTGAAACTCACGGTTGAGACACCCGGACGAAATTGGACCCTGCAGTGTTGTGCCAAACAGAATTTTTCTTTCCGAGGATGATAAAGAATTTGATCCCATAGTCTGAGGCTACTTTCTCCAAAGATTGGGAGTCATTTGTTGCAGCTTCCAATGTGGCTTCCTCGATAACAGCAATGTCACCCTGCACTTTGTCAAGAGTTTCCACTAAGGAGACACTCCAACCAAATCGAGACATGAAAACGTCGGCCAAATTACTTTGAATTGAAAGTTTTCGCTTTGCTTCGGCAGTCAGAAATCCAGTCGGCGTCTCTGTCAAATCGGGATATGCGTTAAAATCAACCAAACAAACACGAAGGTGCGGCATAGGTGGTTGTCTGGTGACCAAACGAGATCCATCAGAACTGCTAGATTCTTTGACGATTTGGACCGGAATGTACACGTCAACTTGTGTGCCCGTGCCTAACTCGCTCTTCACGGTGATGTGGCCGCCAAGGGAAGTTACAAGAAGGCGGACGATGCTGAGCCCCAGCCCAACCCCCTCAGTCAGGGGATCTTCTTGGGTGAAAGTCGAATACAGTTTATGCTGCAAAAATTCCGAACAAATTCCGCTACCCGTGTCGGTAACCGAAAGATGAGTAAGAATGGATTGTGAATCTGGCTGGCTTTTGGATTGAGAGAGGGATACCTCGACAAACCCAGTCTCAGTCCACTTGATTGAATTGCCGAGGAGATTCATCACTATTCTCCGCCACGCACCGGCTTGAGATCGAATGTTCCAAGAAAAGGACTGCTCAATCCGCACAATGACCGACATTGTGTCGTTATCATTGCTCTCAGTGGCCTTTTTGGACTGGAGATTGTTCGCAGTGGCTGGTGCGGATTCAGATGCTCTTCGACCAGAATATATAATATCGGTAACCTCCTCGATCACCTCTCCGAGATCAAAATCGGAGACCTTACCAGAAACCTCGAGTGGAATCTGCAGCTCCTTTCGGCGCTTATTCCTAAGTGCGGAGTTATTTATGTTGCAAAATGCCAGCCTAATTCATTTCGTCAGTAACAAATCCTCTGGGGGTGTTATTCTCGCAAACTGACAATTGATCAGTCGTGTCTAGTAGAGTGTGGCCTGATAATTCAATCATTTTGATCATTTCTCCTTGGACCGGTCCCAGCGAGGTGGTGTTTAGCAACTCAGCACTTGCCAATATTCCATGTAAAGGCGAACGGAGCTCATGGCTGACGGAAGAAATAAAATCGAATTTGGATTTCTCGGTGGTACTCCAACTGATACGAGCAATCTCCGAGACAATAGAGTCCCCAAAGACCTTGAAATAATTCAACTCATCCGGCTCAAGAGGTCGGTGATTGTCTCGAGTCCATACCAGAGTTCCCGCCATCCATCGAGATTTGTGATAATCCCATAGTGGGCAGAATAGAACCGATGTGGCACCTGGAAGAATCCGTGCCAGATGCTGCAAAACCATTTCGTAGTTGTGGGGTGGTGACAAAGTGTCAGCGGGAATTTGGGGCTGATCATCTACACTTTCCTCTAAAGTCGGGATCTCAAATATTTGCCCGTGAGGGAACTGTGTAACCAGGACATGAAGCAGGTTCTCTGGCACGGTAATGGGACCATCAGGGAGTTCTCCAGCTCGGGTCTTCAAGGAAGAACCAAGAACTTCACACATGGCATCGGCCTCATGCGTGGGAGTTTTCAATGGATGTAATGTATCTGGGCGCGCTGTTGATATCGAGCCAGCACGCTTTGGAAGTGGCTCCCAGCTACCTTGCTCCTCAGGAGGGAGGCTGAGAACATTAGAGTCACCTTCTAAAAAAGAGTCTTGAAAGGACTCACAATGATGGATTGCAGCGGGCCGCATCGAGAAAAGCTACGCCATCCAAGTTCATGGATCTCGTCAAAAGTCCACTCGCACGGGCAAATATTGTGGCTATCCGATCGGACATTGGGACTTGTTCAGTAACCGAAAACATTGTATCTTGGGGAGTTGCATTAGAGACCGCCTTAGGATTGAAAGCTTCATTGAGGGATTTTTCCTCGTCCGTGCTTGGAGATTGACGATCTGATGACTGGGACACTATAGAGGTACGCTCCGTGATTCCTGAAGCCGACTCGGGGGAAAAGATCGAAGGATTTTCCTCTGAAGGAGATGTCAAGGATGATTGCAAGATCGAACCATCAGCATTCTTGCTTCTGTCAGGCAATGACACGGTCATCGGTTGCTGTTCAGCCAAGCCATCCGCTAGATCGGAATCGGAGTTGAGCTTTTGAGTACTTGACTGGAGACGGTGATCAGTCGAAACCTGGCGGGGGTCAAACTCTGCGTAGTCTTTGACAAAGCTGGTTAATCCTTTGACTAGGTCTTCGGCGCGACGATGATAACGCACGGAGCGAGTGTTCTCAAGATGAAGGGCAATCGCATCCGAGACTTCCTGTAGCAAAGCTACCTCCGCATCTCCGAATTCTTCGCGCGGGCTATCATCAACGACGCAGTAAGACCCAAGCACATAACCCGAGGGACTGAACAGAGGGACTTCGGCATAAAATCGCATGTGCGGCCATTCTCGCACATACGGACGATCCTTGAAACAGTCCTCCTTTCTGAAGTCTCGGATAATGTAGCGAGTTTGATTGGCAGTTATGTTGGGAGTATCGATTGCGTACGAGAGATCTTGACTGGTAAATAGACGAATCGTATGAGGGCACACTCCCCATTCCAAATCTAACCTCCGAGCTCCAAGATAAATACCATCATCCGGTAGATGCTGATCGGTGATACGAAGGGAGACGGATTTGGTCGCTTCGGCGATGATGAATTGGCTGTCACGGTCGATTATCGAGACGAACGAACGATTGCATCCTAAGCGGTACACTCCTAGTTGGGCTAGGGCGTTGAGGGTGATATCTGAGGACAATTCAGAAGCAGTCGGCTGCTCATCTCCTGTGGGGGCTTCCTGGTCCTCCGAGGTGTCTGTTACGTTTGCGACGGGTCGGTCTACGGTGCAATAGTATCTGTTTGAACGTTCGCGTTAGCGGTGCGGGGAATGGGGGGGGGGGAATGGGGTGGATACCTCGATAATTCCTGGATTCTCTCGCGCTCAGAATCACATGGAGGCGGATGAAAGGCGAGAGAGCCTGATCGATTCATTTCGGTGAATTAAGCATTTCCTAAATATATGCGAAAGATGTAATCGATAACTGAAGATCCCCCCGGAAAAACCCAACGAATCCCGCGAAACCTGCTAATTGACTCCACTTGCTGATGCAAACTCCAACCAAACGGCCTCGGCTAGATCTTGGTGGTCCAGATCTTTGGTTCATCTCCACTTGCCAAAGATGATTTATCCGGGCCCCGTCAATGTCAAGATGATCATATCTCATTTTTGTCAATTTTTGCATTGATTCTTTTATCGACGAAACAACTGGTCTGGTTTGTTATCATTTCAATGGCGTGCTTAGGTCCGACCCCACTGTTGATGCACGGATAATCAAGGTTAAGTTCGCTGGAAATCTTCCAGAATGCGGGGAAACTTCTTAAGCTCCAACACAAGCAAGGATGGACCCTGAATCAAGGATACGGAAACGCATCCCAAAGTCTTGCCGACGATGCCATCGTCGTAAGCAGAAATGTATGGGCTTTCCGACTTGCTCGAATTGTGAATCCGCCAACCAGCCTTGTTCGCGCAGTGAAACTTCTCCATCATGGCATCATGCTATGTCTAAAGAGGCACTCGCGCATCAGATTGAGAACCTTGAAGCTCAACTCGCTGTCGCTCGAGATAATAATGCTTCTACCGGTCACAATGAACCAAGCCCATCTGATGTGACGAGTCGCCAGCGACATCGGCGAGATGCTGCTCACAATGACCATCTCCGTGGGGTAATTCGATTTTTGACACTGGGTCATGGGACAAATGAAGAACAGGCCTATCTGGGGCCGTCATCTGGAGTCTCCATCGTGGAGAATGTCAGTCGATTGGTTCGTGATGCAGCCGGAGCAAAGCTGCTGCCCATCGACAACAGTATGCAACAACCAGAGGCATCGGTGGAAAGTAGCGGCGAAACAAAAGCGGCTCCACCAGACGATTTGACTGGGTCTAAGATTCTAGACGCATATTTTAACAACATGCATGTTCGACTTCCCTTTCTAGATCGATGCGAAATCCTTGATTTACATGCCATGAGACATCGGGTGCTGGGAAACACACCAGGGGAGCAATTTGGTCAATTCAAGCTTTTCATGGTCTATGCAATTGGCGCGGCCATACTGCAGGTCACAGAAACCTATAAAAGAACTCCTCCCAACATGTTTCTCGTGACAGCGCTGGGATTCGATCCAACGCTGAGAGAGTCAATCTCCATTGCCAGCATAGAGGCAATGTTACTGCTTGTGCTATACAATCTCCGAACAACTTCCAACTCCAGTGTTTGGTACATGATTGGCCTGGCAATGAGAACTTGTGTCGACTTCGGGCTACATAGAGAAGCGCGATATCAGAGGCTCCGACCGCACGAGGCCCAACTACGGCGCCGACTCTTTTGGAGTGTTTATATCACCGAGCGTTATACTGCATGGTCTCTTGGCCGACCTTTTAGCATTCCGGAAGAAGAAATCGACGCCGAACCGCCGTTCAATATTGACGATTCTATCAATAGCGACGAAATTGTCGAACAAATCGTCAATAACCATGCAGATACGCCAGCTCAACAGCAGAGTGCTATCATGGGGAAATTCATTGCGACGATAAGACTGAAGAGGATCGTCTCCCAGATCCATGCACGCGTTTACCGAGTTGACAAGCATATCTCAACCTTACTCCCAGAAATCACTCCGCTCATGTCGGCCTTACAGGAGTTCAAAACAACTCTATCCTCTCTCGACCTCGCCAGTGGAGATTTTGTTCATATGCACTGGAATAACGCTATTCGTATGCTGTTGCAGCCCTTTCTCAGCACACTGCACCCACAAAATGAACTCATTAGCACCTGCCTCCATGCCTCGGGGCAAATGTGCCAGTACTTCAAGAAAATACGCCAAAGAGACTCATCGGGCCATTCATTTTTGCTTGTGAACTCGGTCTTCATGGCAGGCTTAACAATGTGGTAGGTCTAAGCACAATCACCCACCGACTCATTCTGACCCCGCCTTTCAGCTTTTGCCTATTCCGACGTCCCAGTTTGTGGACTCCCGCAATATCAAACGACATCCGCGCCTGTTCCTCCGTACTGTGTGTCATGGCAGAACGAAATGACAGATTGAAAAAGTACCGAGATGGCCTTGAAACAGTTATCAACCGTGCGATGGAGTATGTTGAAGATGCATATCAGACGAGTCCCAACAATTATGGCCTTTGTGCCCAAATGGCCATTAGCAACGGCCAACTACACCCGATCACGATATCAAATTCTACGACTAGCGCCAAGTCTCATATGCAGCCTTTACAGGATCATGCACTGCAGGGCATCGGGACTGAGGAATACGATTGGCAAAATGTAGATCTCTTCTCAGATCTCCCCGGTCTTCCACCAAATCTGCAGAATTTGTTCACTGGTGACCGTGCGGATGTCCTAAATTCGTCATTTCATGGTTTTTTCGCGGACGATCTTTGGGCGAGCGATGCCTTTCATCTACCGTTTTTAGAGGAACATGAGCGTATGACCTGAGCCATGCCATTCAAACCAATGTGTGTGCCATACTTGAACGCTAAATCATTTGCACTAATTGTAACAACGATAGTTATCGTATTGTTCTATCTCTATTCACAGATGGCAAGGAGCTAGGTCATCCATGATTCCCAGATCTTCACGACGGGACTTGCTGGATGGGTCGAAGTAGGGGACCTCGCCAACACCAACGGCGCGGTTACCACTGCGGGGTCCAAATCCTTCGTGGTCGCCAGTAGCGGTGTGGAAGACACTCCTGTTATCCCAAATTGCTAGTGATAAAATTAGTATGCATCAATTGAGGGAGATATCACTGGAGCTTACCAATATCATTAGGGTCATTCCACTTAAAGCGGACCTGCAGATCATGACCATAGGTAATAAGATCATGGAACTGCTGCAACATGTTTGCGCTCTCTTTCCGGTTCAAGCCATTGATCTCAAGTGGGAAAGATCCTATCAACATAGTTACAAGATGCCCGACATGAATCAAAAGACCGGGTAGCTTACCAGCAGCAAAAATAGATTTCCAGCCAGTAATGGGGTTAGTCCGAACAACCTAAACACCGTCAGCACAAGAAACGAGAGCTCTCCATAAAATCATGGCACATACAGGATGATCCGCACGAAGCTCCGGTCCAACATTGACCGGTGCACCCCTCTCTTTCTCATAAAGCTGGAACTTACCAGACTCAGCCATCCGTCTGAACCCCACGCCGTCATGAGTAGCAGTCAAAGTTTCCAAGAATTTCTGGAACGGCTTGCTTATCCGATCATACATCTCATATCCCGATGCCCAGAGTGTATCACCGCCTGTCTTGGGCAGCTGTACTAACCGCAGAGACGAAAAATCAGCAGGTGCCTTCTCGAAGCCGATGTCGTTGTGCCAGACAGCTGCCATGCGAGTATAGTCGGATCCTTTGTAGAGTTTCTTGCGGCCTTCCGAGTTGATAGTGCTGATAGCCGGGTCTGGGTCGCCGAACTCGCGGGAATCGTTTGTTACTGGGTGAATGTGTAGGCCGTGGCCTGTGGGGCGGCCGGTTAGCTCACCCATGCGGAGGATGAGTTGTTTTTGGAGATCGTTTGTTAGATTGTCTTGGGCTCGAAAGAAGACGACGCCACGCTCAGCAACTAGTGGACAAAAATATGAGTTTTGGGTTTTGTTTGGTTCAAGAAAGTTATGGGGCGTACTCATGATTGCGAGATCGCGAATGCGCTTTTCGGCATCCGGGGCGCTCAGGATGTCATTGACGATGTTGCAGGTGCCCTTGGTGAATTCGTTTCCTATCACTGGGGTCACCATCACAGGCTCAAATCGATCGAGAGAGCCTGATGAGTATTGGCGTATGGGGTTCTGCATTGTGGAGGATTTGGCTTTGCTGGAAAACATGAGGCGAAGTCGCGACTAAGTTCAAGTACTAGTTGAGTTATTTGAATATTGTCCGATTGACTGTTCAATGAAGCAGACAAGGTGATTTGAATTTTTAGTCTGGTTCGATTTTATGTAGCAGTTGCTAGACGTAGGTACTTATAAATTAGCTCTGGGAAAAGTTTCTAGCGATGCTGTGTTGAAAATGAAGTCTATCGGCTTTCGGCGTTAAGCAAGTTCCCACTCGTCAATTCTTCCAACCCCGAATTTGAGATCAAACCAATAGCATATTGGTATTGTGGATTTCTATGACCCCATTAATCGAAAATATTGCGTTACTACGGGTATACCCTTTCTATGCTGTTGCTAGACAGCTGTCTTCAAGGGTCAGTGTTGTACTGCCTAGTACACCTACGAATTGTATGTCATGAGTTGCAAACCTGGAGATAAATGTTCTTTGAGGACTCGTGCGATACAGAGGGGCTCAATTTCTATTTATTTTCTTCTAGCATCTATTTCCTCATGAATATTCATGGAGGCTTTCGTGGAGATTATCCATGCATAGTATCGGTCAATACTAATGACCCATTTTAACCAAGCACATCATTCCCCACCAACATGGCATATGTACGTGTAAATCGTCTTTTCAAATCAAAATAACCAATCAAACTCCTATATGCCATCTTTCCAGGACATCAATCGGATTTTCGGCGATAGGACGCGCGCCTGGCGACTCACCCACATATTCTTAACGCCGATATGCCGACGCATGCGACAGTCTTGCGGGGCAAGGTTTCAAACCCACCCAATGATATTCAGCATAAACAAAGCAGAGGCTTTCTAGCTATCCAGCATATGCATTACCCCACAAAATCAATGCCAAGCACCTTGACACGGCGCGCTTGGCAACTCGCATGCTAGAATTGCAACATAACAGGTGCATCTTTCACCACAGTAGCCGGTTTCAATACAAAGGGTTTCCCTATATCTACCTCGCTTGAACATCATGTCCGACAATTATTATTTTATCACTGCCAAGAATCTCATCCGCCCTTATTATCTTATTGTTCGTTCAAAATGACATCCATAGATGATGAAAAACTGGGGTCAGAGGCTTGTGTGGAGCCGATTGAGTCCCAAAAACCAGTGCTAGAGAATATTGATGATGATCCAGTCTACTCACGGAAGGAGCAGCAAGACATCATTCGTCGCGTGGACTTTCGGCTAGTCGTGATGCTGGGGGCTCTGCATTGTGTTTGTTTAATCGATCGTGGGAATATTGGAGCAGCCAAGTTGGCGGGCATGTCTACCGAGCTGAATTTGATTGGAAATCGATACGTGAGTTGTGTACAGATATTTCTCGATTGGCAACTAACAATTATCAGAGCGTGATTGCTGTGTCGTTTTTTCCTCCTTATATTTGTTTGCAGGCATTAGGTCCTATACTGATCCGTAAGATTGGACCTGTGAACTATCTCTCCTTTGTCTGTTTGATCTGGGGTGCGGTCATGGTATGCGCTACAACAACATACGCTTTTGAGGATTTCTTGACAAGCTTACCAATCTTATAGCTGTCAGCTGGGTTTGTTAAGACGTGGTCACAAATGGTTGGTATACGAATCATTATTGGCTCCCTTGAAGCGGGATTCTTCCCAGCGTCAGTCTATTTGATCTCTACCTGGTACACACGGTATGAAATACACAAGAGATATGCCATATTCTATTTTCTGGGATGCGTAGCATCTGCGTGTACGGGTATCCTGTCCTACGGTATTACATTTATGGTATGTTATTTTGCTCCTTTCTACAAAGATTCATTGATTTGACAATATGCAGAATGGACTAGGAGGTCTTACAGCCTGGCGGTGGATCTTTATCATCCAAGGACTTCTCACCTGTGTTATAGCAGCAATTGGTTGGTTTGTTCTTATCGACTTCCCGGATCGAATGAAGGCGAGCAAGCGGAAATTCCTGTCAGATAGCGAATACGACTTTATCATGCGACGAATCAGCAAGGATCGGGCTGATACTGTCCTCGAGCCTTTCAACCTGAAGAAATATTTGGCAGCTGGTCTAGATATCAACATTTGGGCTTTTGGCTTTATCTATTTTTCTTCAACCACGACAGCTTACGCTATTTCGTATTTCTTGCCTACCATCTATCAGGACGGGATGGGGTTCTCTCAGGGCGTTTCACTGTGTCTATTTGCGCCGCCCTTCGCCGCTGCGGGTATTCTCATGTATGCGACCTCATGGGCTGGGGACCGGTATCATATTCGAGGCCCCATTTTGATCTTTAATGCTCTTGTCACCATCATTGGTCTTCCTCTATTGGTTATTATGTCCTCCATACAGTTCCAGATTCGAAACTAACTTCTATCAGGGATTCACGGAAGGAAATGCCTCTCGCATGGTGGGAGCATTTCTCACCACCATGGGCTGCAATTCAAATATCCCCGCTGCGATGGCATACCAGGTATCTCAAGCTTTATTACATTACTACCCACTGATACTGACTTTGGCAGGCAAACAATATTCGTGGTCAATGGAAGCGAGCTTTTGCCAGTGCTATTTTTGTTGGGCTCGGGGCTTCTGGAGGCATGACTGGATCATTAGTCTTCAGATCACAGGACGCTCCAAATTACCACCTTGGAATTCTGACTTGTCTTGGATTGTCGTGCCTGATTATTGTGTTAGTCATTCTTCTTTCCATTCGCTTCTACTATTCAAACAGAAAGGTGGATCGGGGTCAGTTGGTCATTGGGAAATTGCCCGGCTTTAAATACACATTTTAGTGAGCATTAGTAGGAGGCTCTTCGAGGTACGCAAATTGCATGTTGACATTATTTGATGGACGCGAATTGCAGTGGAAACCTATGTAGGAAGATTGCTCGACCATTTATGCATATCTTCATTCTCCGCCTCGGCTTTATTGAATTTGATGAACCAAAGATCACGAGGGAAAGAGATTAATAGCAGAGAAAGATTGAAAACTCAAATTCGAAAAAGAGGAGAGTTTATGTTATACTCGAAACTGCGCCTTCCTAAAAAAATCAATTGTGCCTGCCGCTTAAGTTTGGCGTTTCGCTATCTCCATTTACCAAATGCGGGCAGTATCGCCGTCTCACTCGGTCATGTTCCATGACCCAGTCTCATTGGACTGTCCGCCCCACAATGCCACCGTCAGTCCCAGGCTCCCAAGATCTCACACCATTCTTTCCACGCCCACGAGAAAATGGTGGGTGTCGGAGGTCGAAGTAAAGGCTGCAAGACCTGCAAGAAACGAAGAGTAAAGTGCGGTGAGACACTTCCGCACTCGACAAAAATAGCGTCCACTGACAGTATACAGACGAAAGAAAGCCGACTTGTGATCGATGTTACAGAGCGGGTAAAGAATGCGAAGGCTATGTAAAATACATTGAGTTTCGGGATGAAACCGCCCGAATAGCTCAAAAGCGAGCGCCAGCGCCAAACGCGCTCGCTCGAGTACCTAGTCCGGTATCAACCGCCAGTCATCCACGCTCGGACGAATCGGTCATAGAGCTCCCATTTACTTCTCTGCTGATGAACCCAGCATGGGATGCAGACAGTCTCTTTACGACTTATCTAATTGATAGAATCTTTACCTGGCATGATGATCCAACATCGCCTCATTCGGCAGGGTGGGTTTCGATGCTCTTGCGCCCGACGGATGACGAGGCTGCGTTATCATGCACTTCCATCCGTGCTCTAGCTACATCTTACTTTGCCAAGATGCATGGCCATGTGAGTCTCCTGCAAAGTGGCGTACGGCAATATTCACGTGCGCTGGGAGCGTTGCAGAGACGGCTAGACGATTCAGAGCTTGCATTGGAGGACGACGTGCTTCTCGCTATTATTTGCATGTCGGTGTATGAGTTGGTCACTGTCGCAGATCCATCTGCCTGGATCAGTCATTGCAAAGGACTTGCTCAGCTAGTATGTTCATTTTTGCCCCTTCAGTCTCTGTGCACATGTTATTGACAACCATCTAGACTGCTATACGAGGACCACATCGTCATCAGACAGGGGTGGGACATGCAGTTCTTCCCACATTGAGATCATCAATTGTATGGCAAGGATCCTTTCCCTGTAGGATATTTCACTAACATCATCCCAGTCTATCGCGTACATTGTTGACCGCAAACGATGTTTTCTAGAAGACCCCGAGTGGAAAATCATTCCTTGGGCTTTACGGGGTTTGAACTCTAAGATCACGGTAGAAAAGCTACACGACTTCTTAGTAGATGTTCCGGGTATCCTTGAAGATATGGAACGTCTTCTGGTTTGGAGATTAGATGTACCTGGGCGGGAAGAATTCAAACAAAAGCACTGCCAACAAGCCCTTACGACACTCGAAGGCCTCTATTCATGGCGCTGGGACTGGGAAAGGGAATTCCCCCATGCGACATCGCTCATTCGGCCAAGTGATCTCGATTCCGAGGAAGTTTTCCTCCTGCCTTCGAGTCCCTTTGAAACTGTCATCTGGTTCAGTGAACATTATCGTGCTACAGAGCTGATTGTCTATAATGCCATTCAATTGCTATTGATAATGGCCCTCAAAAGAGCAGGTATTGCGATAGAGGCAAATCATTTGTTAGATGGTGTTAATGATCCTCTGCTTCCTATGCAGGGAAGTCAGCATGAAATCGCGGTTGAGATCTGCCGTATGTCGAGCTTTCATCTGCAAAGCTTTCACCAAAGTTCGGGGGCATTTATGCTTCTTTTCCCTCTTAATGTTGCCCTTCTTCATTTAGACGGCGATAAAGACGGAGTTAAGCCGTGGCTTCAGAAAGTTCTGGCGATAATAGCCGACTTGCATGGATTTGAAGTTGGACGACGGGATTTCAAATCAATAATATTGAGGCGGAAACAGGCGTGGAGTGAATGAATGAATCAATACAGGGTATTCTTGACATAAAACGCTACAAGATGAATCCAATCACACTACGCAAACCAGAATTCTCCCCTGGATCACTCTTTTTTCATGCTTCGTGGATCATCGGAATCAGAATCCCAATCATCATCACCAGCATAGCTCCCCACATCAGGCAAAATAACAATCCACAACATCTTGTTCACCTTCTGCGCCTCTTTCATCTGTCTTCGGCCATGCTTTTCATCCCTCCGATCCCTTCTATCAACCTTCTCCATCAAATCCTCATACTTCTCCTCCGCATCCCGCAGATCCTTCTTCAGATCCCTCAAATCCTTCTTCAGCTCCCTGCGCATCTTCTCATTCCCCTGCTGTTCAGGACCCAAACTTTGAATTTGAACCATAACATCATCAATCTCGCCTTTCAAATCATCAATCTCCTCCTCAATTTCCTCTTGCTTCCTCTCAAATTTGCCCTTCTTCCGATCAGACTTACAACATCTCTTCTCCGCCTTAGCCTGCTTCTTCCCCAACTTCCGTAGTTGTTTCTGCTCCGCCCGTTGCGCTGAAAATGACCCAACCTTCTTCATCCAGTTATCCGGTGACACGGGCGCATTTACGCCCTCGAACGAAAGACGCATAACCCGATCCCCGAGCACACTCATGCGCTGCGTAATAGGATTCTCATCTGCCGGCGCATCCATAATGCGGCGGTATTGATGACGCGCGAAGACCGCGCCGTCATTCGGCATGCCAATCTGCGAGAGCATCTTGTCTGTCTTGCTAATTTGCACATGGAGACCCTTGGGTTTGAAGATTGTCTCGTTGGCTGTCTTCATGTAGCTTTTTGTGCGTGCGATGGATACTCCGGCTGTCGCAAGCCCGGCACCAGCGTTGAGTCCTGCGCCGACTATCTGGGCTGTTCCCAGGGGGACGAGGCCGATGATACTTCCAACGGCATTTGTGGCTTGGAGGGCTGGGTTTCCGAGGAATGCTTCGTTGAGGCCGTCGATGAAGGTTGTGAGGTCAGATGGTGTTAGAGCGGTTTGTTGCTCTAGTTCTGGAACGCGGACGCGGACGAAGGGACTCATGTAGGATCCACCGAATACTTTTGTTATCTCTGTTTTGGTGAGTCAGTGCCGGATTGGCTTGCGTGTCTATTGGGTGTTCTCTTACGAGGAATAACACATGGTTTCAGTCCCTGCTGAAGTGGTCGTTGGAGTGGCGGCTGCGGTTGCGAGTAATACTGGCTTTGTTGCTGGGGGCGGGCTGGGGGGATGTATTGTTGATATGGGAAGTCTTGGTAGTTCTGCTGGTACTGCTGGTATTGCCCATTTTGATATTGGTCCTGGTAGTTCTGGTACTGTCTGTTCTGATACTGGTCCTGGTACCTCTGATATTGTCCGTTCTGGTATTGGCTTTGGTACCTATTCTGGTAATTATCCTGGTAGGTGCTGGATGGTGTATACTGCGTAGACCTATTCCATTGTGGTGGTGGTCCTGGTGGATGTGATGGCTGATTTTGGTACTGCACAGGCTGAGCGCAATTCTGCCGCATGTACTCTGCCGGCTGGGGTATCGATCGGGCCGAGTCTTGTTGAGTGGGCTGATCCACCGAGTCTGTCGCCCATGGAGTATAAGCTGGAGGCGGCGCCGTTTCGGCCTCTGCCTGGTCTGGAGGGTTTTTCGAGCTGTTGGAATCAACGCCCATTGCTGCGGTAGATATGGGATGGGAATGGAAATACGCGGAACTCGGAAGTTGAGGAAGACAGGCGTCTGTTCAAACTCCCATTTCGGGGGCGAATGCTTTTAAACATCTTTTCATGCTCTTTGTCATCAGCATCAACCACTTGCCTATCTTAGACAATTCTGCGATTACAGGCCCCCACTCCATGTCATGATGCCTGCTGCACCGCCATACTATTGGTCGGTGTCATGACCCACCTTCGCGAATTGCACCCGAAAAGGTTAAGTGTGGATTTGAAGTCTCGAACTCGCAATGGATTCCCTTTTGACATTCCATGGTGTGGCTGTGCCAAGGCTATGCCACCATGTAGTATGCAGCCCTATTCTTCAGCCAGATTGCTAACTTGCAAAAATTATGGGCAGATATTGATTCCTTTTCTTATTCGCCCTCTTTCAAGATGATTTTAGGCAGCTATTAATGTGACGAGTACGTTTTTTCGAAATGCTGACATCAGATTGCTCGCTACCTATACATAAAATCCCCTTACTTCCTCTGTTCCCTTGTTGATAATAATGTCCTGGTTATTTCCTTCATCTGGGAACTAATACCAAAGCTCTGTATCTGGAATCCCCGGGAGCCTATTGAGTCATTGTCATGAAATGTGATCAAATCTTGGAAGGGCACAATATAGCGTGATCGTTCAAACAATCAATTTGTACTTGGGCCAAAGTCATAAACCTTGGGGTTCCAAGTTTATGAAGGGAAAGACGGTTATCGCCTCAGCTCCAGATCGCGGGTTCTATGGAGAGCAATTGGCCCCCCCCCCCTGGGGTAGCACATCAGAGAGGTTCTTTGAGCAGTTGAGGTGAAATGGTTGACGGGTTCTGTGATGGATCTATTTAAATACATAGCCTTGGGGGCCAAAAGCGGCTGAAACTGAATCGTGCACAGGCGGAAAGCACGCACCAAAAGACGATAGTGTGATCAACCCACACTTTTAGAGTTCCGCGCCGTAACTCACCCGTCGACTACTCAGCACTATATCGCAAGCCATCTCTAAGCTCCAGACCTACTCCTCTACGAAAGAGCTTCCACTGTGTAACGTAACTATTATTTTCTGTTCGGTCTGTTAAGCTGATCCTTCTAAGGGACTTTGACCTGTGGACGCCTTACTTTTTGGCCCCTTAGCGTGGTACATCGTACACTCGGGTCGCTATGGAGGGAACGTGAGTTAATGCGATCGATAATTTGAAACAAAGTTGGAGCAGATCAGCAGGAAACAAAAGCAATATCCTACTCCGTCTCTTTGATTGCTTAGGCGGACACGGAGTTTCACGATACATGAGAATACTAGCCCTCAATTCAGCCCGTTGTACTTGAGATTAGACTAATCAATCTAGGTGGCTTGGCATTGCGTTTCCAACATCTTGGCGTAAACGCCCAAAGAGGCACGAGCGTGGATAGGTTTGTAGATCGGTTTCAACAAAAACCTATATATGCCAGCTCTTCTCTATCCATCTTTGAAGCCAAACATTTTCACAGAGCAAGGTGGTTCTCTGAATATCCTGTATTCGTAGGTCGCGCAGTGCATCTTAATGCGGCGACCATGCTCCGATTCATGACACACGGACAGCCCCCATGTAGACCCAGATTTAGCTTAGTACATAGGCTCAGATCTATTCACGCAGTTGCAAATCCGGAGATTCTTCTCATGTTCGGATCTACAAATCTCTCTTCATTAGGAAATATTCATGTCGTGCCGAGTTCAGCTAAGAGCAACTAAGGGCTTGGCTAGGATACAAGTCTTGGATTTGCCCAACAGCTCCCCTGAACTCCGGCTTGGAGGCCACCGCCGAGAAATGTATTTTTAGTACCCCACTTTTCGAAGCCAACCTGATGTTCCTAGTGGTTACAGTAGGGGGCGGGGGTTTTTCATACAGCGTGGGAGCTAGGGCCCCCGGGGCTGAAGTGGGCCTCCGGGGGGTTTCCCGTAAGGCCGGCTCTTACCGGAGATATGACTAGGGCTGACATCTCGGCGGGGTGAAAATGGAGATACAGAATATACGCTACTGAGTTAGGGATTAAGATTGAACAGGATCTTCAACGTGATCAAGTTATTCAGTTGATTGGGGGCCCGAAGGTCTGGGTCGATCAACAAAGTCACATTCTGCCAAGATGCATCTCGATTTCCTCTTTCGTCCACTTCTTCTGGACTTTTCTGGACAATTTTTTTTTCTCTTTGAGCGACTGGATGGCCTGTTTTAGCAAGATTTGTTCCCTAGCGGAGTTGATATATTCCATATTTTATAACATAGTTTAGGAGTTTCAGTACGACGTAGTACCCGTAGCATTGGCTATAGCTCCCTTGTAATTGTTTCCTTAGCTATGTTTAAATGCAGACTGCTCTCAGAGCATCCCATAGTACATCATATGATATTTCTCGCTCATCCAGGCTTGTAGAGATTTTAGCTCAGCTTCAGACTTTCCATACTGGGCGATGAGCTCTGAAACTCCGGGGCCACGCGGATGTACATACCCTGTAGCTGCAAATAAATGCATATATTAATAATTATTCGCCCCACAATGCTATTGTCCTTTTAGGCTAGACTGAGGGGCCGATTCAAGTTCTATACAATATCAATATTCAAGTTTTGTAGTATATAACGATGTTGATTTCTGCACGTTACTCCGTCTTTCATTCCATTGCATCGCGCTTCTTCACTACTCTCATCATTCATCATGCGTTTCTCAGCTACCCTCGTTGCCTCTATGGCAGTAATTCTTCCAGTTCTGGCATCTTCCAAGGAAGCTACAGCGCAAGCTCTCCTCAAGACCGCAGAAACCGCAGTTCCTGGTGAATCTGCCCTTTTTACCACCTACACTGGCAAGAAAACACCACTTGCATCCAACTACACCCAGGTCATCGATGCCACGGGCACCGGAGAACCTGGCCAGGATGATCTTCTTTTCCAAAACCTGCTCGCTGCCGAATGGATCATCTACACCTTCTACCAGCAAGCCGTCGAGACTTTCAACACTTCCTCCTTCACCAAAATCGGTTTCCCCAACACCACTTACGAGCGCATCCGAGAAATCCGAAACAACGAAGCCGGCCACGCCCGTATCTTCCAAGACAACATCTCCAAGAACTCCCTAAAGCCCGGTCCTTGCAATTACACCTTCGGCTTTGGAGACAATGCATTGGATTTCCTCGCTCTCCAGGTTTACATCGAAGTCGCCAGCCAGGCCTTCCTTACCGGCCTCCAGCTCCAGGCTGATCTGAACGTCTCCCGCTCGGCACTGATGGCAATCGGACAAGTCGAGGCTCGTCACAATACCTGGGCCTTGATCGATAACTGGAATGTCAGCCCATTCTCTGGCCCCTCAGATACCACCTACCCCTACGCCAACCAGATTTTGGACATGACCAACACCTTCGTGACATCCTGCCCAGCTGAGAATCCTGTGTACCCGTCTCCTCGCCAGAACCTGCCGCAGATGGTGTTCTGGGCAAATGGAACCACTGCTACGCCTGGCTCGCAGATCCAGCCGTACTTCTACCAGTCTGCCAACAAGCCCAAGTTCCAGGCTGGCAAGGAGTACTTTGCCGTTTTCTACCATGGTGTCAACACCATCAGTGTTCCGTATAACTGGCAGAAGGGCATTGTGACCATCCCCAAGGAGATCGACGTTGCCTCGGGTATTATCATTGTCAACATCGCTGATAAGAAGGGTGCCCCCACTGAGGATAGCGTTGTGGCTGGACCTATGATTATCTTGGAGCAGCCTGTTGCCTTGACTTTGGAGGAGCCTGATGCTATCTCTATCTAAGTTGGTGCACATGGAAGTAAGACGGGTTCAGTTCAGCAAATGTTGCTCTGAGTGTCACAGTATAATCTCACACTGCTTCACTCTTCTTTCTCAGTGCGTCCAGCGATCTGAGCTTTGATCCAATCTCTTTTTGCGGCTCCGCTTTGTCAAATTTGTGGCAGCAACCTTTCCGCTTCGTCATTCTTCGCGAGGCTATCAGCATCATCTCTCCTTGCCTGTGAAATACTATTCCTCAGAGCCATGGCTGGGTCATGGATATTGTTTTTTGTGATATGCGATTTCAAGCGTGAGGTTCTAAATTAGACTTTTTACAATTGAATCTTATAGAATTTGTTCATTTCTTCCATCCTTGATCGGATTGTAGTGAGGTTATCAGAGTCATGATCTTCGATTGCAGGCTAATAACCGCTACATTCCCAAAGGCGGTAATACTAGGCCATCATCAAATTCTCAACACATTTCAGCCTGCGGTGCTGTGGTCTAAAGGGGCTTTTCAGGAGCATTGCACACAATTGCAGCGGGTATGAGACAATATTAGCCAAAGAGGCAGAAGGAGGGTGTGAATTCTTGGGACGAAGGCCGCTTCACAATTGGGGTGCAGCAAGTCGAGGTCAAATCGAGGAGATGCGCTGGCCATTTAGAGCCCGCTCGATGTCGAGATACCGGAGTTGGTTGTGTTCTGGCCTCTCGATACACTTCTTCATTCTCTAAATATTCAGTCTCACTAGCTACATCCCAGATTGATGGTGTGGATCAGAGATGTACAGTACATTGAATTGACGACATAGAATGGAGAAACTTAAGCAGAACCACCTGGATGTATATATAGTTCGTTAACACGTGGGAGCACTTTTCAAAGTTGATGATAAATCCATGTAAGCTTCTCCCTTCAAAAGATTCATTGCCACCCAACCACAGTCAACTTCAATTGTCCTATTCTTTCTATCTCTCGCTTTCCAAGATTATTGGTTCTAGTGTTCCATTAGGAGAGCTTGGAAGATCTGCAAATCACCGGCGATTATCTAAGCCCCACGCTAAGCCTGGACCAACCAGAACCCGCAGCGCCCACGCGGTGATGCCACTCACCCAAAACAATCAGTCTTCCCCGGCCCTCACACATTCCCAGACTTGGTCTACCAGTGTGACTCGAAATATCAGCTGTGAGTATCTCCGTGGAAAGTAATCCAGAGCTCAATCCATGTATCTCCGTGGCCCAGATGGAAATTACCCAACTCCCCGCATTGCACGGAGAACGCGCCACACCAGCGATCCCCAACCATGAAGTCGCGCGCAACGAGTGCCGAGATACTTCAAACCGTAATATGAAGGGACCTGTGACTGACAAGATGACTTAATCTAGCGCTTGAACATCACCATCCCCACATTACCAGTATAATGGCTGTTGACGGCTCCGCACCTGCGTCGGTACGTAGAATCATTGCGACATACTTGATGCACTCGCATTGGATTCAATGATCGCCAATTCTGCTAGCTCATGGCTAATACTCTTATCGCCAGCCCATTCCCATCCCGGAGCTGACCAAGATCACCTCTGAGGTACGTCGCATTCTGAACCTGATCCTGAGAGGATCTCATGGCCAGCCACTCACGTTTCATGTAGGCTTGCGATGCGGCGTTGAAGAACACTACCGAATACGAGCATGCCAATGTCGGCGAATGGAACTCCCAGATCATTGTAGGTGAATTCAACCGTAATTGTTCGCACACCTCTAACCACAAGACTACTAGAACACCGTTCTCAAGGCTCTTATCGCCGCTACTGCCCCCTCCGACTCCTCCACCCCGGCTCCCTACCGCTTCACCGTGAACAGCACGATCGTGCAACAGGGCGTGATCGACAAGTCCGCTGCTGCCGAGGGCGCACAGAACAACGCTGGCAAGCGCGGGATGCACTCCGCGTCCGGCGCTTTCTGGGACGTTAACCGTGATGGTATGTGGACCTTCAAGTACCCCGGTGCTGAGGAGCGGGGACTCGATGTTGTGGTCAGTGTGACTTGGTTTGCGGTTGTTTAAATGCATAAAGTTCCCGGGGCCTTCTTGGTGCCTTACAATTGATAGATTGAGGGATCACATACCAAATCCTTGTTTTACCCTTTTGTTTTTCTGGTTATGCAGTTTATATGAGCCAGTTTTTCGTGAAAGATTTGCAGTGCGTCTTCTTTTCCTTTTCGATTGAGCGATGTGGGTCTATTTGTGTTTCCAATATCAGGTACATCTACTTTTGACTGCTACGATGAAGTGTAGAACATGCAAATGTATGTCCTTTAACGGGGAAGGTATCCCTAGGAATGGAGATGGATGGATCTATGACATACGAGTTAATTCAATAATGAGATTGATTGAAATCGCACAAAAAAAGAATACACCTAGAGGACAAGTCCTCGGGTAATGGTATCTCGGTAGATCGTGAACGGGAAAAGAACATCAAAGAAATGAAAACCAACCCACGCCTTCCAGCCCAATTTGCGCCATGCTATGAATTTTGAAATGTAGAAAATTTGAAACTCCTTTGATCAACGTGAAGGCCCTCATCGGGGTTCGGAGTAGTCGTTCAGCGCAACACACACTGAGCCACGGTGGTGGCCACTGTACTGGCGAATGATGCTGCCAGAGCTTAATTCCCACAGGCGGGCATAGTGGTCACTCGATACAGTGACGAGGTATGCGGAGTCAGCGGAGAATGCACAGTCCCAGACCCATCGCTGGTGGTTGGCTAGTGTGGTCTCCAGGAAGAGGGTGCCATTTGCCGGGTCCATGGGTGGGCCATCGGGCTGAGGGGTGAAGGTTTGCTGAGGGGTTTCTGTACGTGGAGCGTTGTCTGAAATTCGAAGCAATTCGCGGTCTTGCACGGGGGTATCGAAGATGCGCAGTAGATCGCGCGCTTGGTTCATCAACTCAGCCCCCTGTTGCGCCTGAACCGCTTCCGCAGTAGGCTCATTTTGGTCCTCCATGGTGGCCTTCTGGGCTTGCTTCTCATTCCATTCCTTAATGGCAACCTTAGCAGGTGCGTATTCTGGGTCCAGGTTCCACACCTTGGCAGTGTGATCGGCAGAGCATGTTGCCAAGTGCTTGACATCTGGAGACAGAAGGACGCGGGTGAGATAATCTTTGTGGGCTTGGAACGTGCAAATAGGGATGATCCGAGTCGACTCTTCGGTCTGGACCATGCGCCAGATGTAGACGTTACCCTACATGCGAGAAACGCATTAGCGCATTCTAAAAGACAGGACTGGGGAAATGGCGATACCTTTTTGTTTCCTGCACAGAGCAATGACCCATCACTGGCAACGCTCACACTGAGAACGGCAGTATCATCCTCTGGAATCAACTGGTGCGTACAGACACTCTCGCCTAGATCCCAAACGCGGACCATACCAGCACGATCACCACTGATGAGCTCCCCCTGGTTAGGGTGAATCACGACGTCATTGACGGCAGCTCGGTGGACGTAGTTGCGTTGCAGGCTACCGGTACGAGTATCCCAGACTTTCACGGTTCCATCCTCAGAGCTGGTAACCATCCATTTCCCTTCGCAGTGGAATGCGACTCCCGTAATGTTGCCTGTGTGACCTTCGAAGGTCATCACCGGGTTGGGATTAGTGGACTTGATATCGAAGAGCTTCACATTATTATGACCAGCAGCAGCAAGGAACCTTTTATCAGGGGTGATGCACAGGCGATTGACCTGCGAGTCAGGGTGCTGAATGGTTCGTGAACAAATGCCGGATAAGGCCTCCCAGAAGCTGACCCGGAACGAGATTAGCTTATGATATGAATAGAGGACAGGCATTGACATGTGGCCAGCATGCTAGAAAGGGGAATCAAGACATGAAGAGCTCGAGCTTACCGGATGGTATGATCATACCCCGCTGCAATGCGCCAACACTCATTAGTCCATACTCGGAATGCGGGGAGCTTAGGACTCACCTGTGCAGAGGATGACACTCATATTCTGGTGAATTCTGTAGATTTCGATGAAAGACCCTAGATGTAGGACAGGTTACTGGAATAGGTGGCTGGCTTGAATAGGTCACTGGCGGCGAGACACGATCTCTGGAAGCACCCGACGTGGGATCGGAAGGCGGAGTTGGAGCTGCAACCAAAGGCTCAACCGGAGCCTGAGAGATCTGGGTTTCTGCCTTGGAAGCCATGTGACTTAAAAGGCGGTCAGAGATGGACGGTCGGAGAGAGTTCACGTGTGATTGTGCTTTAGAGCTTCGACAAATAGGCGTGAATCGATAAAGGAGCGGTGAGCTCGATAAGCAGCGATAAGAGGGATGATGGACGAGAGAGGAATAGAGCAGGCGGGTTTTGACTGGCAGAAACTGACCGTAAACAAAAAAAGTTGGCCTGTATTGCACGCATTTGAAGAACAACCGCACTCCATCTTCAAGCCCTAGCCTTCGCCTGCTTTCATCACTGAACTGGGGTTGAGTCGGAGAAAAAGGTTAGGGGGTTTGTCATTCACTCAAATCGTGGCTTGGTGATTATCATTCACTCACCCATGGCCTGCTAATTCACCATGGATTTCCCTCCCTCTCTTCCTCTTCTTCTTTTACCACCCTCCCCTTGAGTCGTTGTCTGCATCGTCATTTATTTTCTGCCAACCTGCTTTGCCAAAATTTCCAGTATCTCAATATGAATGGAACCATGGATCGTTGTGCATCTCCTGTGTTTGAGACCAACAGCTCTACTGATGTTGATCTGGAGTTAATGTCCTCTAATGAAAGGGAATCTCAGCTTTCATCATTATTCGGGAGCCGTTCTCCATCGACAGTGGGTGAAAATGACATTGGCCATTTTGCAGACATTGCTATCAACAACGGCTTCGACTTCAGCATGGACTTTGCATCGCTCGAAAGCTTTAAATTGACTGCCGATGAGCTTGAAGGCATTGATGATATTCTTGAACAAATGCCAAATGCCCCTCCCGACGTTTTTCCCAAGCTTCCTCCTTCCAAGAGAACCATCGACCTTACACTCGAGGGAGATGACCATCAATTTTCAGAAGCTCTCCCGGCTCCCAAGAAACGGGCCCTTTATGCAACACATGCACCCTCAGTTGTGGTTAACACCCCCGCGACCATGAAGTCATCTGCTTCCATATCATCTCGCGCCATGCCTGCAGTCTCACAAGTAGCCCAACCTCCCCTCGTCATGCCTACAGGCCCAGGCGCGGCTCAACCCCCACTGAGTATGAAGCCGCCGCCTCCTTCCATTTCCTCCCATGTTATGCCTACAGTCTCATCTCCGACCCCGGCTAGCATGAATTCGAAGGACAAGTTTGAGATTGATCCAACTCACATGGCGCAGCATTTCGCCAATGAGGTGACCTCAACTTTCCCGCCCAACACTGACGATCTGTCGCCTTACCAATCGGTTGGATACAACCCTTCGACCCCAGCAATGCATCCGAAAGTGGTCAAACTCAGCAACGAAACAATGGAAAACCGTGTGAATCTGGCCAAACAACGTTCGGCTGCTCTCACAGCCGATCGCAACAAGCTCCAAAAGGGTTTGCTTCAGTATACCCAGATTGATCCAGTTACCGGTCTGCTGGGTATTGACAAAATGAAATCCGAAATGGCAACCATGCGGCGCCTCCTGACACTTGCAAAGAATAGAGAGTCCACTGAGAGTCAAATCTGGAAATCCAGATGTGCAATGCTTGCCGAAGAATACAGAAAACTTGCTCACAGGCATGATGCTCTGCGACGTCAGTATGAACCGTCGGCTCCGTTTTATGCGACACCTGCCTACCCATTCGCTTTACATCAGCAAGCAGCAGACATCAACCAGCCAGTTCCTCACCAAGCAAACACCAATCCACCAACTTCTCGCCACCAAGTGATCGATTTGACCATGGAAACCAACACACAGCCCGTGAGTGCCCAAGGAACCCGCTCACCAGGAACCCATTCCCGGAAGGAAAGCTCCTCCCAGGGAAACAATTCTTTCCAGGAAAACAGCTTTCAGCCCAAGAATAACTCGCTAACCGACTTTCACCGTCAATTCAGGAACAAGAAAATGGATTGGCTTCAGAGCTCTGAGACCGCCAGTGATGTGAAGACACGCGTTTTCGAGCAGATGAGCCCCCCTAAGAGAGGCTCTTTCGACAAGGTCTCTCTTTCCGATTGCTCCAAGATTGCCAAATCTAACAATGGAGTTCGACTTGCTCTGGGAGGGCAATTCAGAACGGCCGTGATGGCCGAAGAATCCGAAATTTACGAGCCCACGAATGAAGAACTCGCAAGCATGATTGAGGACGAGCTGTGCAAGCTAGGGTAGTCACATTTAGTTTGATCATTGTTAGCTTATTAATTATTCTTTTCTCAGCGCTGTTGCTCTTCTTCTCCATTATCAATTCTCTCCGAACAACTTCCAAGGTTGGTGCGTTTGGAGCCCAAATTCTTAGCTGCTCACCCTGTATGCCTTTCTCTCTTTTCAATCGTTGGAGAGTATTACGAAGGCACTGGTCTTTGGGCTACTGTCTGGTGACTTCGTTCACACGGATAATCAAAATGAAAAAGGCCTTCTTGATCAGACTATACTGATACAAAAAGCAGGCAGGTTGATATGATTGTGTCCTCTCAAGAGGCCTTGAATGTTGAGGAAGACGTGAATATGGAGTTAAGAACTCGTGTCGCAGAAGACGGCTTCTTTTTCTAACCTTTGAAACCCCTTAAAAGGTTGTCAAATTTCCTGAATCTATATAGATATGTCATTTTTTCTCCATCGCGAATTGGTTCTGTACAATCGTTGAGTTTGTACTTCATCTGAACCTTCCTATTTGATTTGCTTCACCTGACATCATGACTTCGCAGGCCCTTGTTATACATTACCTTAATGGCTATATTCATCACATCCATAAATCGCTCAATATCCAGGTAAACATCTTCAGAGTGCCAGTCACCCTTGTGAGTTAAACGCGGGTCTGACGCATGTATGCTGAAATAGTCATGACCTCGTAGAGAAGCAACATTGCGAAAGCCCTTGTGATTTAGCCCAGGTGGTAGGATCTCCACCATCGCCGATCTAGGAGGCAGGAAGATACCATGTGTGAGACCTGCTCCATGGACACCTGCCAATATATCTGATTCTTGAATGATCTTCAATTGATCTCTATAGGAAATTGCAGCAAAATCAATCGATTGAACGTTCACTAGAGGAAATTCTCGCTCGAGTCGCTCTAGGTATTGCGTTTGATTGACGAGTCTTCGCCCGGACACTCTGTTTATGAACGTCAAAGTAATGTTCTCGCTCTGTCGCGGCTTAGTGTCATTCAACCCGTACAAGGTCAAGGCCCGGTCGACAAACGTATTTAGCAGTATTGACTTTTCGCAAGAGTTGACCTCCCAGTCACCCTGCCAAAGCGTATTCCCTGCACCAGCAAGTGGCACGATGAGGTTTTCAAAAGTTGTGTTTTCCGGGAGATCGTTGAAACGGAGGATTGGCTTCGCGGTGAAGAGTGACCACATGTCGATATATGGTCCATCTGGGTGGTCATCTAAAATGACAACTTGGGTGTTCGGTGAATCGCGTTCGGCGATATAAAATGGGGTGGAACCTGGCGATTCAGGGGTAATTTGTAGAACATCCATACTCAGCGTCATGGAATATATTTCCATTAATGAGTGCCAATGATTGGTGGAGCCCTCTCGCTTGACCAATATGGTGTAATTCCCAGTCTTCGTCGATGATGTTTGGGTTTCATTATCCATTTGAACCCAGCCATTGAAGACTAGGGGTGGGCCAGTGTCATACCAGTACTTCTCAAGTTTATCGAATCTTGGGAACCCGGGTGCCTTCTCAAACACTGTTTGATTCAAAGCTGCTTCTGGTTCTTGGCCTAGGTTGCAATGCAGGTAGAATTTACCTGTGCTGCGGTCGAATTTGGCTCCCTTTCCGAAACAAAACGAATCCCATCGATCGCTCACGGTCCGCGTATGGAAGCAGGTAAGATCTGACGACTGGTTGCAGTATTGTGTTGCCGAGTCACGGAGATTGTGAAGGAATGTCGTTCCAAACCTCTCTGCACAGAATGGTATTTCAGCAGGAACGATGCTGTATTCAGCAGGAAGACTCAGGGTTCGCTTCTCTTCGCCAACGGCGATAAGTGCGGCCACCTGGTGATATTGGTAACCAGAGATACGCAACCATGAATTGTACATGAGCAGAAGTATTGTGACCAACACAAACGATCCAGCCAGTACCAAGCGGCGCCGTTGACGGCCACCACTGATTGCTATCGCAGGCATTTTCACTGAAGCTTGAGAGCATGAAGGCGAATATTCGAGGGAAAAAATTGACTGTATGCAGGTGAGCACAAAGTACAAAGGTAATCACATGGGCTCATCACTTGCCCCGCCTCGAGACAGGAAATCCTTGCTTATTGGGACTACCAATATGAAGGCGTGATTGCTTTTGTTCAGCCGCAGTGGCGCCAGTGCGCGTACCTGTAGACGGCTTACGATGCGGCCCAGTCATCTTTGCACGGGCACCCTAAGCCGCTAAGTCCCACGGGGGCTGAAATGGACCCCGGAACGGATCTTGCCCTGGAGCCTTGGATACCTGAACTTTCGTCACTTCGTCAATCTTTAATTGAACATTCCTGGAATAATGCGGTCATAACTTAGAAGAGTCCCTACCGTACCTGGTTCTCCAGATATGAAAGGGCATTGATCTCGCTTGATCCAAGTCAACATGCATGGTACTTAGACTTCCACAGATTGACCAATCCCCATTGGGGCCAACCAAAGCCCATTGGGGTTGGGGGCGAGGTTTTGAAGCTGAGGCCCATGGGCCCCAACGAAGTGGGGCGTTATTTTAGCATATTTTAGTTTAAATTATGCAGTATTTTTGGGGTTTTTCATTGGGAGAGTACTCCATTCGAGCCGCATTTTATGTAAGAAATGGCGCCGTCTCGGCCCTCGGATGCGCATCGTTTCTAAATCATTGTCACTCTCCTGGGCAAACTTATGTGAGTAATTAGGTACTCGGGTATGACTCGATAATATTACCGCTTGCATTTCGAATACTGCACCTTTGCCTGATACCGTTAGTGTAGACCCGTGCAAACTGGTTCCCATGGGTCTGACATAGGTGGGAAACCCATTCTAAATTCTTGGTTGTATTTGAAGGAAGTGCACAGGTCTACGTTAGGCAAGTTGTCTAGCTTTAAAATTTGGGGGTATTCTATATAGATGCCCGAACTTTACACATACTGTGACCTCAAAGCTGATCCTAGATGAATCCTCAAGACCTTATACCGCAGCTTTTGTAGAATCTGAAGATAAACTATAAGACTGTTGAATTTGTGTATGCTTCATGAATATAGCATAGCATATTTCGCCTCTTGTGTTTATACGCTCAGTTTGGACTTAGCAACTCAGGAATTCATGTTATGAGCTAATTCCCAGAAGGTTGTTAGCCAGGAACTCCAATGTCAGTTCCAATGATAGATCCACTCACTTTCTACCTAGCGAACGCGAAGGCTAATCTTGGTCGCTTATTCAGTTTCCACACGTCTCCATAGATGGGATTCACGACAAGACTCATAGGAGCGCAGTCACTCCCGAGCTTCACGTCTCCTGGAGAGCTCAGGTACAATATGCCATCTGGTAAGAATCGGAGACTCATTTGTCCTTCTATAACCTTTTTGACTGAACATTGAACCCACAGAGATCAGCACCCCCGTGGAAACTGCGGCGGATGGCATTGATCCCCCTTTGACCAAGGATGAATTCGAAATAGCCTTCTCCTTTCGAAAACAAGCCCGTGAAACCGAGAGAGCCTGCGCTAACATGACCGTGGATTACAATGCCACCATTGATCCGTACCGTGCCACAACGCTTCAACCTGCCTAGCCACATCCACTCACCCTTCAATTTGACCCTAAGCTAGTCAGAGACATTGAACCAATGGAGTCTGACATAGCCAAGCAGCTCTGGATCGGTGGACTCCACAGTCAAGGTCTTGCTACTGTCGCGATTGTTTCATCAGAGCGATAATTCAATCAGCCACCTCAGAAGCTTCTTACAATCCGGTTTCTAGAACAGATCACTCGTCCCGATGCTTTGAATCCAGTAATGCTCAACATACAAAAGATTCTAGATAATATCGGCTGTAAAGACATCTATGTTGGTATCTACAACCCTCGGCTCCGCTGGAACCCACCATTCTACGACGTCCCATCCAGTCATCCGGCCTACCAGGCTTGGAACGAACGCAAAGACTGGGTCCGTGGTGTGGTTCAGCTTCATCTTGGCGGTGCACCAGTCAAAATTAGCTAATGTGGGATGGCATCAAAAGGCATGTACACCATGCATTGTTATTCTGGTGCGCCGCTCGACCGAATCACGCTGGGCTGATTTGCGCAAAGAGATTTTGGCTGGGTTTTCGGGAGATCTGGAAATCGAGGTTGAGTTCATACCGCGCTAGGATGCATGAAATCAAAGGGTATGTACCTAGCATCATGAGAATTCTCACGCTTTCCGTGACCGTTACGTTGAGGAGAGAGTTGCGAATGTGGCAGCACATTTTACATTTCTTCCTTCGCGATGACTTCAAGTTCAAATGTCCAGGGAGAAACGGCATTTGAGCTGTACAACACTCGTATCGAACCTCACCGTGGGACGCTCTCTCATCCTTCCCAATATCTTGGAAATTTGAAAAGTCTCAGTCTTTTTACAATCTTACCTACGAACTGCAGAATAAAACTCAACGGTCAAACACCCTCCTTGCACGATAGGACTATAACCTTGAGATCGGGATCTAGATTGCTGACTGGGACAACCGAATTCATCCAGGGTCTTTGTCAAAATGGAATTCTCGGGGCCAAGCATCGGAAAGATCGCGTCTAGTCTTGTCTGCTTAGTATTGTTCTCACGTGCCAGTAGCCTTATGAATTAGGGCTTTAAGTTCGGATGCTCCAGTGTTGTATGAATAATTCTAAACGTTGAATATGTGTAGATACTATGATTTGATCTATATGAATCATGACGTACTGTGTCGTGAACGAAAATCACAGAATAAAGAAAAGTCAACCTGACCAGGTATAAGAAATCGTCCACATCGTAGATCGACAGAATATCCACAATCCAAATGTAAAAAACCGGCCTAACCGGAAAAGAAAAAGTGCCCCAAAATTAGTTCCAATTGCCAATTAATCCGTAGTAACTGCATGTGGTTCAGCATGTGGCTGAACATGCCCATCCACATGATCCCCACCGCTGTGCGGAGACTTCTCCCGCAGCACAATTCCATCCTGCTTGAGCTTCTTGCGGGCTTTCCGGCCGCCACAACAAGCCGCACAGCAGTCACCGAATTGAATGATGAATCCAAACAGACTAAATGCCGAAGCCACCCACATGAACGCAAACATTTGCTTGCCGATGTGGGCCTTGATGTTTAAACTAGGATCCGCATTTTCGAAGACATTGGCGAAAATGATGAACATGACGGTCGCAACGACGGATCCCACGATGGTCAGCAGCGCCGTGAAAAACGTGATGAAGAGGAATGGCAAAGAGCGCAGGAAAATAAAAGTGCGACGGCGGTGGGGCAAACGGCCCGGGTCTCCATTGCTAATGGATTGGTCTTTGCCGACCAGATACTTGATCGCTTGTGGCGGCCGAGAGGAGACAGCGAGAGGGCTAAGGAAAATCATGACAAAATTCAAGACTGTAGCGGCGAGGAAAATGCCAAACATCCATCGCGATGCAAGTCGGGCGAGCTTGAGTGGACTAGTTATGTCGGAGGGCAGCGCAACTAGGCAGCAGCAAATCGTCAGTTTGGAAGCTCGATTGTTTTATGGGGGATTTCAAGAAAAGCAGAGTATACATACTACTGGCGCCCGACAATAGCTCATTGATGATAATCTTGACCGGGTTAAAGGAATACAAAGTCTCTGGCTTAGAGCAGTGTGTAATTCCCTCATCGTCGTATCCCTCGCAAAAGTTCCACAGGCCAACCTGGTAGAAATCGTGTAGGCCAATGGATCGAGCGATAGAGTTGATCAAGACCGCATTGGGGACCGAGACGGGAATGATGTTGGACAGATCCATGTAGAGAAAGTAGGTGTCGCGTAGAACGGGCTTGTTGGAGACATTTCCGATCTCCACCAAAACACAGAAGATAAAGGCGATTAAGTAGAACAAGGAGCGAATGCCACGATGCCAGTGAACGGTCGATTGGCGGCGTCGGGCGATAGGCTGAGCGGGCTGGGCCCGGGCACTGCGGAAGAACGGTAGCCTTCGCCTGGCATTGGGAGCTTCCGTCCCCTCATTCATGTTGGGATGGGGGGAAAAGGATGAAGAGGGGGAAGTTGAGAAGTGGGAATATTTGAAGCCGAGTGTTAGACTCGGGAAGCTGGAGACACCTAAGATGACGTTTTGTTGGCACAGTTGGCAGGGGTGAATATTTTTTTTAACTTTAGGGGCGTCTACACCAAATCTGATCCGCAAGCCCAATCCCGTGTGATCGTCAGTGGAGGTACACTAGCTTGTCTAGCCGTGCCGATCATGCGCAGCCGACTCGGACTAAGGAGCTGTTTTTTTAGTTGTGCCGAGAATAGGGGATTATTCATTGCATAAGAGTATTTCTCCATGAATGCACGAATTGGTGGTGCATGGGTTTTGTGTAGCTTCAATATCAGGCAGCACTGATCAACGTGGAGATACCCGGGTGATTCTTTAATCGTTGATTCATGTTCTGGCCACGTCTGATCATCGCTGAAATCTATTATTGGCTAATCGACCTAGCAACTGTGGCGGGAAACGTCATCTAAATCATTTCGGTGCTGGCGACTCCACTACAGCTCCACCAGATCCCACTTTAACCCTGGGCTATTTCTTGGCAAATCAGACCTTAAGAAAAAAAGGGTTTCGGAGGTTCGGGGGTTAAGCCTTAGGGCGTGAAACATAATGCCGGTTTAATCTCCCTTCTTCCCTTCCCCAAACTTCTGTTATATTTGACCAACACACCATGCGCTGGTCACTAGCGCTTGCCCTCCTCGCTGGAGTGGCCTGGGCCGAAGACTCCTCCACATCTACTTCCACATCTGAATCCTCTCAATCCTCTGATTCGACCACCACCACTTCGTCCCTGGCCCTGAGCGATGCGACCACGGTAACGGACCCCAGTGCCGCCATACCCACGGGTAGTTACGAGGTCTACGACACGACAATCACCCTCGCCGATGGGGATCAGCTCACCTCCACCATCACTGGAAACTCTTCCGCGACAACAACCGGCAATGGCACCGTCGTTACCACCACCCACAACTCCGTCACGGTCCTGGTCGGAGGTGGCGGCACCACCACCCTGGGCAATTCCAGTATGAATGCAACTGCGACCACATCAAGCACATCGACTGCCGTGGCCACCAATACCCGACCATGCAACAGCTACGCTGAATTCTGCCAGCGCAAGTACTCCAACATCACCATGGTCGCCGCGCACAACAGTCCGTTCGTGCGCAAAGGCAATGCTGCCGCCAACCAAGATTTCACTGTCAAATACCAACTGGATGATGGAGTTCGCATGCGTAAGATCCTCCCTGATATGGTATCTTTGGTCTGGAAAATTGTCAACTAACTTCCCACTAGTACAATTCCAGGTCCACAACCAGAACGGTACAATGGAACTTTGCCATACTTCTTGCTCCATGCTCGATGTGGGCACCTTGGAGGCCTACCTCACCACAGTGACCGAGTGGATTCGCAGTAACCCTTACGACATTGTAACTATTTTGATAGGTAACTACGACTACGTCTCCCCAAGCCATTTCGTCGACCCAATTAAGTCATCCGGTCTGTACGACTACGTCTACACGCCTTCCAAGATCCCAATGGCCCTGGACGACTGGCCGACTCTTTCAGAGATGATCATCACCGGCAAGCGGGCTGTCATCTTCATGGACTACCAGGCCAACCAAACAGCCTACCCATGGCTGATGGACGAGTTCTCTCAGGTCTGGGAGACGCCGTTTTCGCCCACCAGTCGGGAATTCCCCTGCAATCAGCAGCGCCCACCAGGAATTACCGTAGCGCAGGCTAAGGATCGCATGTACATGGCCAACCACAATCTGAACATCGAATTGAATCTTGGTTCCATTGACCTGCTTATCCCCAACTCTGCTGTGCTCAACGAGACCAATGCGGTTAGTGGCTATGGCAGTCTTGGTAAGATGGCGCGAAACTGCTCTGGTAAGCTTGCACTCTGACCTCCTGACTAAGACATGATTCTGACATTCTTTGTAGCCAGATGGGATCGTCCCCCGAACTTCCTTCTTGTTGATTACTACAACGATGGTAACTTCAACGGCTCTGTCTTTGACGTAGCCGCAGAGATGAATAATGTCACTTATAACAACCAGTCCTGCTGTGGAACTGACTCTGCTGCCGTTCCTGGCATGTCCACTGTCACTGTCTCGACAATGGTGCTGGTGGCAGCCGGTGTGCAGTTCTTCTTGTCCGCGTTCTGATCTGAGATGACTTTACGATTTTGTTACAGCCACCCTTTTTGTCTTTTCGGCATCCGTCCCCATCGGCGCTTGGTACTTAATACTTGGATATTGGCACGTTTAGATCGTGTATATATGGAACTCTAGACTAGCATTTCGAGCACCAAATCATTCATATCATCAACTCCATATCGACGAGATCGATAAATTTATTTCAAAAACGTCAAAGCAGCAAGGCAAAGCGCATCCACCCCTGACCTCATGGTCGGCTGAATAACAGGAGCAAAAAGCGCCGAGTGATTCCCCGCAATCTCCTCAGTCGGGTTCTCCTGACCATGCACCCTATCCCAAAGCTCCGCATCAATTCCTCCAATAAACCAAAATCCACACGGAATTCCCCTACAAGTCCCAAGCGTGGAAAAGTCCTCACTGACATTAGTTCTCGGCGTATCAGCATCAAAATCTCCAAAATGCCCCCCAAACGCTTCGGCCAACCTCCCCGCCACCTCCCTATCATTATCCGTTGGTGGGAACCTGCGCGTAGGCACAAAGACCGGCGGCTTGGGCGACCCACTAGCCATACACTCCGCCTCCACAATCCTCTTCACAGCCGCAATAATCTTCTGCCTAGTCTCCAGTTTGACCGTCCTAAAATCTAACCCTATCTCCGCCCGATCCGCAATGATATTCTCCGTCTGCCCCGCCTGCAAACTACCCACCGTAACAACGCCCAGATCACTCGGGTCAACTTCCCGACTCACAATCCCCTGCAACCTAACCACAATGTGCGCAGCCAGCAACGCCGGATCCACGGTCTGATGCGGGAGTGATCCATGTCCTCCACGCCCAAACACAGTAATCTTCATACTATCCGCCGCCGCCATAATAGTGCCAGGTCGAGATCCAACACTCCCAGCCCGTAGTCGCATAACATGCTGCCCGAAACAGTAATCGGGTACCGGCACTTTATCGTAGAGCCCGTCATCAACCATGGCTTGCGCACCCCCACCCCGCTCTTCATTCGGCTGGAAGAGAACAAGTACCGTCCCGCTCCATTCGGCCCGTGTGTTCGCCAGCGTCTCGGCCGCGGCGAGTAGACAGGTGATGTGCATATCGTGGCCGCAGGCGTGCATGACGGGTTTCTCGATGCCGTCTGCGTCGCGCATCGTTACGGTGCTGGCGTAGGGGAGGCCGGTGAGTTCTTTCACGGGGAGAGCGTCCATATCTGCGCGAAGCAGAACTGTTTTTCCCGGGCCATTTTTTAGGACGCCGACTAGGCCGTGGCCACCTATGTTTGTGTGGATTTCATAGCAGTTGAGGTTTGAGAGTTGAGATGCTATCTTTTTGGAGGTTGCTTCTTCTTGGAGGGAGAGTTCGGGGTTCGCGTGGAAGTGCTTGTAGAGGTCTTCGTATGGGGATAGATCTAGTGAGTGGTTTTTAAGGATTGAAGATGGGGTTGCCATGTTGGCCAATTCGATTGATCAATTGGAGTGGAAGGAAGATGAAGAGAGTTGTGCTTACTCGCCAGATGGAAATGTTTGGTATTCTCTCCGCACTCCGCATGAGTCAATTCTTGGTGGGGTCGCTCTCCAATTGACCCCAACACCACCGCTTTGAAGGATACCCCTCAAGGCTCCATATCAAAAACAAAAGATTCTGAATTCAGTCACTATATCAACAAACATAGATGCAATGTTTTTGAATCGAGTATATGGGGTCATATATTGTTGTCCGTAAGCTATGCTTCATCCAACTTTGTTTATCGAGGATGGACACGAAGCTCTATAGGGATGAGAGCCGGGGGATCTGAAAGTCTGTCTGCGCCATAAAACATTTTTCCGCATGCTTGCAAGATCTCACACTAGTCAATTTGGCTGAGTAGAAATACTTGCATGTGGCAGGTATTGCGAAGGAAATTTTATGGGCCTCGAGGCAGTAGCGCGTAGTTGTTGATTGCACTAAATTAAGCCTAAATTCCGACTTATGTCGTTTGTGCATATGTGCATATCCACTACTTAAGTTGGTCAATGGTTACACAGCAGATGCTATTAGCCTTGGAGATCAAACATCAAACTGTTTCTTGGCATGACAGCCATATGGTGCCTTAAAACACAGGCATAGAAACAAAGCAGAAATGTCATCGAAGTACCACTATCCTATGTTAGAGCTACAGAGCGACATTACGTAATGACATGAAACCATCAAACCCTGCATGTTTCCTGCTCAAAATCAACGATGACAGACACTTGCGAAAAGCCCATGTACGATTCTTCATCCATGGGTACCCTGGGAATCAGGCTCTCAAGGTACGGATAGAAAACAGGGAATAGTATCCGAAAGATTGTAGAGATAAAGACAAAAGTTGGTACTTTGGTAGACCGTTCCTATCGGCTCGCGTCAAAAGTGCAGCACATACATCGTATGCGCAAGACCCCTGTTCTTCATGCGGTCTAGAGATCCGCAGTCCAACAAATGACGTATTCTCATCAACAACACGGGCCCAGGGTAGTGTCCACCTGCAAACAAACTTGATTGGTATGATTCTAGAGCAGGCGTGCCATATATCCCTGTCTAGCCTCGATCAGACAATTCGATTTTTTAGGCAAATGGGTGGCCCCGGGTCTCCACTCACGCAATCTTGGGAAAAAAGTACGAAGTGGGAGGGCCGGGGGCCACATCGAAACTGAGTTTCATAATTTTAATTCCTAAGATCTTCTATAGCCTAAAAGGCTCGCCATTCGTGGAAAGAATGGCACAAGAGTGTCTAGAGATGATGACGTACGCCCCACAATATTCAAATATCAAATTACCGTATTGGGAGGGGGAGGCATCACTAGTATAGGGGAAGGGGGGAGGGGGGGGTCAGAACTACTAGGGGCCAGTCCCTTGGAATCTATATAAGCACCCCCCGTTCCTCCAACATTGCGGACGACCATCATTCGCCTTTTTTCTTCGCCTCTCGCCCATGGCCCAGTGGACTGCATATCGATTTACCCCATGATCTGCAAACATGGCTGGCTCAACAATCAACGCCCCGCAATCCTTGATTGATTCATCCTTCCATTTCAATCCTCTCTGTAAAATGCCAATGAACATCCTTAACCCTACGCCTGAAACCCAATTCATGCCTCCACCAATCCAACGTCGCCACTACACCAAATCTACCATGCCTCGCCCCCAAGTCCCCTCCATGAGAGAAAAACAGCTCGAGCGGAACCGGGTCGCCGCGAACAAATGTCGCGAAAAACGAAAGCAAGAGCACGCGAAGATGCAAAACGCCCTGGATATCCAGGCAGCCCGGCACAAAAACCTGCAAGCCGAAGTGGGGTTTCTCAAGGAAGAAATCTGGTATCTGAAAAACGAACTCTTTGTTCATGCCAAATGCGACGATCAGTTCATCAATTCTCAACTTGACGAGATGGCTAGTCGGTTTACACAGGGTGCGGGCGACCCGACTCGATGTCCTTCGCCTTCTTTTTCGGTCAGCACGCGGTCGGACCAGTCAGTAGTGGATCATGGGACGACGTCAAAGACGGCAAAGGATGGGGACACGGCCCGGGAATTTTATGGTGGTGGGCTGTTTGATAGTTTTGTCGATGTACCAAATATGTGAAGTTAATATGGGGCATACTGTATGTGATGGTGGGCTGGTTCCAATCCACATAGGAAGATCTATTGATGTCATTCAATATGCAACGTACCTGTCTTGGTTTTCAAGGGGAATTGGCCCCTCCGGTTAGCGAACGTTGTTATTCGTTCGCGTATCTACTGTTGTTCATCACGGACCCGGCAAAAAGCGCCGACCAGTCGGATCCCTAGAGATGCAAGTTCGGCTGGGTCCCTTTCCAATCTCGGCGCTTGAGATCTGCTGGTGAGCAGTCATACGGCCTAAGCGGGATAATACATCCGTACCGCCCTTCAGGTGGATACTGTATAGATCAAGATTTTGTCGAGATATCCATTCATTCCATTGATGCGGGTGATCTGTCTTGAGTCTGGTCCACTAGGACCAGTTAATTGGTGGATAAGTCAGCCGCTTCCAAGATTGTTAAAAGGAGACCGACGATCGTGCGGGGACAAATCCTACGTTTGAATATACACCGACGCGAGGTCTTTGTTACGGTCCGCGCTTTGTTTGTGCCTTGATACTGATCTCCTACTTGTAGATCGGTGCACGAAAATCGCCGCTGATGTCACACCATGATTTTTATAACTGAATAATTCGGACTATGGCTGAGATTTCCGCAAGGGATTTTAGAATGGCTGTGGAGCTACAGGTTTGACGTTTTTGAGATCACGTCCCACCAATTAGGACTAAATGTACTTGGGGCTATAGATACCAAGGCGAGTCTGCTGGCAACGGCCCTAGTCAAGCCCGAAGCCTAACCTTCCCGTCGGCCAATATCATCCTTTGAAATGATATAGACCATTCATTCAATTAAAGAAAAATTTATATTTTCAAGACACGTGGACTAATACCCTGGTGGCGCGACCGCTAACTGGCTTTAGAGTTATCTCGTGACGGATCTTGCAGATGACCTCCACACCCTTGAAAGCGGAGTGATCAATGGACTAGGTAGTTGGTGGCAAATCATTGAATATCTATCTTCATTTGAAGATGGATTCTGCTTAACAACCTCTGGTCGCGAGATGTGCTATATTGCTGGCGTGATGCACGCGACCTGAAACAAGGAAACATCCTTGTCAATAAGATCTGCGACCTTCCAATCAAGGCCGTGCATTTCTATCCGTTCGTATTAAAAGGGTCCGGATGACCGACCATATACGAATTACAAGGTTGCTATACAAGATTGCGATAGCAGAGAATTAATCCTTTCGATGGATGGCTTCATCTTATTGGGCTAAATTCCTTGATGGACAGTCCGATGGGGGCGGACAACACTAGTTAAAGCCGCAATCTGCAGCCACCCCTCACTCGTTCCTTATCACCCTTATCAGTCCTCACTATGGTCAATGAATCATCGAAGGGCTATATCGCACGCGGGTGAACACCTGAGCAACAAGAGCAATGTCTTCACTCGAGCCACGTCAAGGTGTTATACGGTGCAAGCAGACGAGCTTGGTCGATTGGGTCCGATGTAGTTATGAAAGAATGCTCTGAAGAAGGCTTGGAGACCAAGTAGACACACTGAAGCACTTCACAAAATATACATTTCCCAGCTCCAAAGGCGTAAAGTGACTGGGTTGACAGCGACGGGAGATATTTTTTGTTTCAGGAACCGATACCAGAACAAATGCTCAAGCAAGCCTGGACTTCATAGAAATCACAGAACACAACTATCGCAGACCAGGTGGTTGAAATTCGTAATCAGCTTCGATTGATCACCTCGCCAGCTACACAAAGTGTTGACCAAGGTCCTTGTTGCCCGGGCTTACTTTTCTCTGGTAAAGAGCTTCAGGGACCCTTTCGCTCTGAGCTTGAATTCTGGGGGGCTTCGGGCCTCACCATTCATACATCTCGAAATAAAATCCTGCGGAAAGCCTCAGAGAATTTCGAATGAAAAATGCTGCTCCAAGAGCGTTTGGACATTCATGGTGATGGACATGACAATGCAAAGCCTTTCTGGAAGTGTCTTTACACAGTATCCAGCCTTGGATGAGAAGTGCAGAGAGATCCAGGGCAGATTGTGTTAGATGAATGTCGAAAGAAGGAAACAAGACTTATCAATACTTCTATTTCCGCGGGCACACCTATCAAGGAAACTTGTCACTTCTGTTTCAGCAGCCTGTCGCATCTTTAAAGGTGCAGAGTAGGTTTCAATCTGAGCAGAAGTATCTACACGTACTTGCGTGATCGATTGCGGTTTACCTCGCCGACGTACTGCCGTTTTCGACGAAGGCTACCTTGAGCCTGCTTTCCGTTGGGTGATTGCCCCACGCGAGGATCAAGCTCATCTTGAACGAATAGCTTTATGCTGCGTTATGCGGCCGTCGGGCAAGCTCCTGTGGAAGGCACTTGACAGTCCCTTCTTGCAAAAAGTCAATTACAGGGAAAATACTACTGAGAACGAGACGGAAGTTCTGAACATAATTTGTGATACTGTCCGTGTTCAATTGGTAACCAGTGCCTCTATGTGGCGTCAATCTATTGCCTGATCTGGTTAGCTTTGTTTAGTACTCTCGATCAGTTAAGAACTGATCGCAGCCCTGCGAAGCTTGTGCAAACATGCTGACAAAAGCTGAAAATGTCAACCTTTTTTTTCTCTTTCTTCCGTTGAAGAAGCTCGTCTTGGCGGTGCTGCTATACGGTGATTGTGCAGATTAAGAACAGGCTTTCGTGCTGCACTATCTCGCTAGCTTCAAAGATTCTGGTACTATTTCCAGGGTAAAGTGGGGACTGGTGGATTGGCGCCAGTTCTGAAGTGGACATATCGATCACCGAAAAATTGTTCGCAACGCACACACTCAAGCCACAAATCCTAGTCATATATTAATTCACCCTCAGCTTGACACTTTTGGGAACAATACGCCCAGTACAAAAATAAAGCTAGACGGTGATGACCGATGACGCCATGAGTTACAAGTATACATCACGTGATGTTGTTTCCGGACCGACGATCTGCTTTAGACCCCGCGCTCCCCTGATCAATGTTCCCATACCGATTATTTAATCCTGGTCCTTCGAAAGCTTTATCCATCTCCACCTATCATAATGGGTATCCTGGGTCATCACGATCTCACCCCGGTGGCCGAGCCTATCGCCATATTCGACCAATTTGTCAAGATAGAGCCACAGACATTAGTCCTGAGAGAAAAGGTGCTCTCTGTCACTGGGGACAGCTTCGAAATCAAGCTGGCCAATGGTGAGACACTTTTGAAAGTGCACGGTGCCTGGGTATCGCTTTCTGGTCGCAAGAAGGTCGAGGATGCCCATGGCAATCACCTATTTGATATTGTCAAGGAGCATTTACATCTCCACACGACCTTTGCGATCGAAGACACCCACCGCAAGAAAGTTTGCGAGGTGAAGAGTAATCTCACTTGTAAGTGCCATCTATTTGATATTTGGAAGGAGCCCACATTTTATACACGTTACTAACTAAATCTAGTGGTCGGCTCCAAAGCCACTGCCACTTTCACTGATGCTAACGACAAGGCAAGAGTTTTCAACATGAAAGGAGGCTGGTTTGATCACAGTGCCGATATTGTTGATGATAAGTCTGGACAGACTGTGGCTCGTATTGACCGAAAATTGCTTAGCGGTCGTGATCTTGTATTTGGCCAGCAGACCTACGCCGTCGTTGTGGCACCTGGCGTGGATGCAGCACTGATCGCTGCCCTGTGTATATGTTTCGATGAGAAGAACAATGAGGAGCGTGGCGAGTAGTTACATCGGGTTATATCTGACAGCATCTGACTGGGAAAACAATGTAGCTGGGCTTTCTAAATTGATCCAGGGCAGCTGTTTAATAGTCATTCAAGCATGTGGCGCGCTCTCTTATGAGAATGGATGGTTTGCACTTTTCCCACAATACGAGTGCTCAATAATATTTCTCAAGGCAGAGTCACATTTGGTTTAAAGATCAGTTGTAGTCGTAGAAATACACATTTCAGAGCAGACGGGCTATTACATTTATGGAGCTTTATTTCTGCAAGGGCTGATTGTTTCTAAAGATCAGTTCGCGAAGGTGATAGACTGAAGTAAGTAACATTTTCAACCCTGCGAGTAAGTCAGAGCCTAAGTGAAGTACTCTCCAAAAGGACTGCCATCTTCTCCACCAAATTGCTTATAAGGCTGAAGGCATCAACTTCTTCAGTCTGGTAATAAGGTGAACTCTGCAATATTATACTGGTGGGGTAGAATACGGTTCCCGAATGCATGTAGAAGCTGCATGTCACCCATGAGGCGGTCCGATCCCATATTTAGAATCTAAATAATAATCATAGATCACCAATTGGGAAGTCGAGGATTAGTATAGGTATTCAGGGGTACATTTCTCTGCAAGCTAGTGTTTTGCTTGTTAGTGTTGAGGTTATAAGCAGATAGAAGATGATTGCAAAAAGTTCCAGGGCTATGATTAATGTGAGGACCATTTCCTGGTATTCATATGCATTTTATGGAAAGTGGTGAGATAACGAAGTGAAAGTTTCATGAAAGTAATACATTGAAGCAAGAATCAATCTTCGTTCTAGGGTATACTTCAAAACTAAAACCTCAGGCAACAATCACATGACCCCCGCAATCATCACCAAATCCAAATCCAAATCCAAATCCCACCGCCGATCAGTCCAATTGAACCACACCACCTCAATTCCTCCTCTCATCTCGCGAGAAAAGGCACCACCGCAAACCCCCATCAAAGCGAGGTCTCCATCCCTCGCCGATCACCACCCAAAATGGTCGACATCGTCCCACTGAGCTCCTACCCCTCCTACATCGACCTCCTCCCCTCAATCCAGACTTGCAACATCACCAACCTCCCCGAGAACTACTTCCTGAAATACTACCTCTACCATGCCCTGACATGGCCTCAGCTGAGCTTTGTGGCTATCGTCCGGCCGAAGGGCGGGTACAAGACCGGAACTGGAAGAGGTGCTGCGGGCGATGTCTCGGGACAGTACCCTAAGGTTGTGGGGTATGTGCTTGCGAAGATGGAGGAGGAGCCTACGGACGGAAAGCAGCATGGTCATATTACCAGTTTGAGTGTTATGCGGACGCACCGGAGATTGGGAATTGCAGAGCGCTTGATGCGCATGAGCCGTAAGTTTTTCTTCCCCCTTGTTTTCTTGTTCTTTCATTGGGCATTCTTGTGGTACAAGAACAGCCGTGCGGAGGAGAGTTTACGGAAGGTACGAGATCGCTAACCTATTCTGTGTTTATAGAAAGAGCTATGGCTGAATCCCACCGTGCAAACTACGTCTCGCTTCACGTTCGCGTCTCTAACACAGCTGCGCTACGCCTATACCGGGATACTCTTGGCTTTGAGGTCGAGAAGGTCGAGGACAAGTACTATGCTGATGGCGAGAATGCGTATGCTATGCGCCTGGATCTCTCGGGTCTCTGGATGGATTGGAAGGCCATTGAGGCGCGGGACCGGGAGAACGAGAAGAACGACGAAGACGCACAGGATGAGGGTGAGGAGGTTGGCGAGTTAGGCAAGAAGGACGATGCCAAGGATCAGGAGCGGATGGTCAAGGTTAAGATCGGACGTGCTTTGGGAGTTGGAGACTTGGTGGAGAAGAATGAGTCGCAGCAATCATAATTCTGATCGGATTATTCATTTGGTGCTGATGGGGTTTTTTTTTGCAAGGTCTATATAGTCTCCCACGGGTCAACACTATGCATGTCTGCAACCTTGGAATGGATACATGAGGTGAAAAGACCTCGGGATGAATAATTAGAACATATCCAGATGTGTACATTCATGTCTGTACTTCGAATTGCAAAGATGTACATACGCCCAAAATGCTCAAAATACAATGTGGAGATCATTCCAAATGCAAGGGAATCGTAAAGTCATTGGGCTAGCTGGAAGAGCTGCCTTTCCAAATCGTACTCGCCAATTTTTACCGCTACAAAAGGAAGAAATAAAAGCAAAGCTTACTCCTTCGCTTTCTTCTTCGAGGATGACTTCTTGTCAGACTCTTCATCTCGGGATGCTTGTGCAGGGTCACTTTGCTGCGCTTTCTTAGAGATGCGTGGCTTCAGCTTGTCCCTGAGTCTTGTCTGTGGGGCAGATTTGCCCTTACGATCCGGAAGCTCGTTCGGAAAGCCATGCATGCTAGACTGAGAAGAAGAATGCGTGTTCGAGCCGGGGGTGTTGGCACCCGAACTGATATCAACACGCATGGGGGGAATCCCTGAAGTAGGAGAAGAAGTCTGAACAACAGGTGCCGTTTGGGCACGAAGGGGAGCTTGATGTGACCCATTGAGGGCAAGGTTCTCCATACGCCCAGTCAAGGCACCCTGATCTTTCTTTTTCATACTGTCCATAGACCAGTGATGTCTTCCATGGTCGTGACCATGACTATGACCATGGCGTCGATGATTCTTATGAACCCGTCTGAGACTGTGATGCTCTTCGCGTGCTCGGCGAACCACCTCCCGAAAAGCCTTCTTGGTGGCGCGGTGTTCCTCTTTGAAGGCGCGCCGTTCGGCAGCCTGGCGCTGTTGCTGCTCGGGCGAATCCCATCGGCCCCAGTCACTATTATCGGGTTTTGGAATTTGTTGATTTTGGTTCTTCGTCCCAGGGCGCCAAATTTGCCGGCCAGAAAACCGGGCTTCGCGGCGAGACGCTTGTAGAACATCGAGCTGACGTCGAAGATCAGCCGCAGCATCATAAAGAGTACGGTCGTGTCGGTCATCCAAGGATTGAAGCTGGGTGCGGACTGTGGCCAGGTCAGACGCATCGAGATCGGAAGTGGTAGATAGTGAGTCGAGAGAGCTAAGGGACGATTCGGATGATGCTGAGCTGGTGGATAGGCGGCGCGTTTTTTCAAAGGGAGGTATGTCTTTAGCGTCATCTTGGCTGCGGTTTTGATTTTGATTTTGACTTTGACTTTGACTTTGACTTCGATTTTGACCTTGATTTCCACTTTGGGTTTGGATTTGTGGTTGGCTGTGACTTTGGTTTTGGTTTTGGGTTGTGGTTGCGGCTATGACTGTGGGTTGCACCGGAACTTCTATTGTTGAGGGTTGCGCGGCCAGCTCAGCTAACGGTGGTTGGGTTGGGGGATTTGGCGTATTATATAGAGTCCCGTTTGTCTGACCAGGGGGCCAAGCAGGCTGAGGAGGATAACCAGTTGGTTGGTATGCATCTGGCTTTCGACCAAACCGGGCCTGCTCTTCGACCCATCGACCATGTGCCATAGCTTGTTCCTCGACCTGCCGGCCATAGTACATGGCCTGTGCACTGATCTGATCCCCATAATGTTGCGCTTGCTCTGCGAAGCGCTCGCCATATTTCTGGGCTTGGGCGGTGATATTAGAGAACCAGCCAAATGCACCCTTGGATGTGCTGGAATTTCCATTTTGAGGTTGAGAATAAGCCCAATTGTTCCATTGCCAGGGCGGGACGCCTGGAGGCGGATGTGGCGGAGGATAGCCGTGACCCGGAAATGGGGGAACACCATATGGGCTACCATACTGCATAGTACCAGGCGGAAGTCCATACGGAGCAGCTGGGGCATAAGGCCAAGATGTTGGCGACTGCGACTGAGCATACTGCCCTGGCACAGGGGACGACGTGTTTGAGCTCCATGGGGATTGCCCTTCTGGGGAAGCTGTAGAAGCTGAGGCTCCATTTCCCTGTGTCGCCTTGGTTGCCGCGGGGTAGCAATGGGGACAAAGTGCTGACGAGGGAGCAGCATCCGGCTCTCCAATATAAACAAATGCAATATTGGTGGCCCGAGGCTCGAAAAAGCATTGATTCCATTCATCAACCACGGCCATAATACGAGCTCGTCGCTGTTCATCCGTTTCCTGAGGCCTATCTTTGCGGTCCCGCTGGATTTCCGCTCGCAATTGGCGGGGGAGATGCTGCGACGACGCAGCCAACCCTAATTCGGGTGGGAAAAGGTAACGCAGGAAGGTGTCCCAATCCTGTTGGGATATCTCATTCTTGCGGGATGTCCAGCAGCGGGGTCGCCGGGGAAAGTCTTTTGCTTGGCTGCGAGGGTATATCGTCATGTGGTGATGAAGAATACTCCGGCTGTCGTCCAATATGAGCGGAGGTCTCTCCTCGAAGTAAGCCACGGCGGAAGTGAAATGGATTGGCACAATTGCAGGCGACGTTGGTGGAGGCAGCTCCGCAATCCGGGAGCTACCGGCGCCTTGTGGCTCTGCAGCATTTCCCCGCGAAGGAGCTGAGGTCCGCTGGGGGGTATTGTTCCTGTTATTCGCCGGTGGCACTAATGGATCGACGGCAGAGTAAGGCGGTGGGGCCTCCTCCTGGTCCATTTTGAGACCTTTTTCGCAATCGCTGCGTATCAGACGGTGGGTATGTAGTAGGGGAACCACGCTAGTGGTCTCCAAAGGATCACGGGTATCTGGCAGCCCGTCACAGCTCGCCAGACATGTTGCGATAGGGTAATCAGGTTACCAATTCGAAGGCAGCAGGATTATGACACCTGGGAAGATTGTGAGCGGGTAAAGCTTGGCGTGGGAACTAGTCTCCGCGATCTTCTAACAGTGCATGTGATCATCCACTGGGCCGTTTTAGAAGCCGTGGACCCTTGTGTTGTGAAGGATGGTAGCTGAGGAGAAGGTCGGAGATGTTGGAAAGGCGGAGTACGATAAGATAATCACGGGTTCCGCGGATTGCGACAGAACTCCACCGAAACTATCTCAAGCTTGGGATTTGACTGGAGAAAACGCGCTCGGAGGCAAGTAGGATCACGGACGGCCATAGGGCTGGGTATAAGCAACGAAACATCCATGGTCCAAAACCGTGATTTTGCGCTGGAATGGCGGGGTAGTTCATCCTACATAATCAGCCATAGGGCTGAGTCCACCCGATCGACAATCAATTTAATGACGATGCACATTAATTATTCGCTAGAAACTCTGGAAGACCCGCTCTACCCACTATTTTCCTTGTTGCCAGCCCGGCATTCTGCACATACGTATGTACAACCATGAGAAGATTTATTGGGAAAGAAAGAACCGAACTCTAATCCCACGCGTCTCCCCATCCATCATCTTCGTCTTCATCCTTTGGCTTAGTATCAATCTTCTTGGTCGGTGCAGCCACGACGCGCGGCTTGGGAGTGGCTTTAGGGACCATCGCATTGGAAGACCCCGCCTTGCCGAGACCCTTAGGTAGGGGCTTTTTAGTTTTAGCTTGGCTCTTAGCGGCCAGCCATCCTGCAAAGTCAGGCTCACCACCGTCATCGTAGGGCACAGCAGGAGATTTGTTTGCTGAAGGATCAGGCGACGAAGGGCTAGGAGAGGCCACAGCAGCAGTAAATGGGTCTACTTCCTTTTCGTCATCGTCCATAGCACCCCAGGCATCGAAGACATCATCTCCTTCCTCTTCCTCCGGGGGTTCATAGACAGCTTGAGGAGGGCGGTCGGACATAGACCGGCCTAGCGGCTGGGCAGTGGGGCGTAATGTTTGTTTGGGCAACTCGAGCTGCGTGGAAGGAGATGATTTGGCCGGGCGGGGAACAGATGCAGACCGGGTAGTATCGGGTTCGGAAGGGCTGGAGACGCCGGCGGTTGGTTCAATCTCGCCATTGGCGGTTGCTATCTTGTTGGTGAATGATGAAATTGCCCATCCAGCCCAAGACTTGTCATTCGAGTTACCGGGTCGCGGATCGGACTTGGTAGATTCTGCTTCTGTGGGGACGGTGGGTGGAAGCACGGTATCTGCCATTGTGCTGCCGAATTTGCGGACTCGTTGGATGTAAAGGTCAAGGGTTTTATTTGCTTGGTCTCGTATAAGTCTAGAGGCCGGTTAGCACTGGAAGCAGTAACTATTAAAGTGCTCATGACTTACTTTTCCTTGTCTAATAAGGCTGGGCAGATGGCAGGTAGAATTTTCCCGGCACAATCTTCCTCACTGAAGACATCTATTGTTGCACCCAACGCAAGCAAGCCCGCAACACGGGCGTGCGCGAAGGGGTCACGAATAGACCTTGTAAACGCAGCAATGAGAACCTTGGACCGGGTCTGGAGCAATGTTAGCACCAGCTCATGAAGCTGTGTTTAGGGAAGACGTACACTTTGTCCCAAATTCTTCGCAATCCGCCCAAGGCAGATAGTTGTGTTTGTTCGAATACCAGGTTGCTCATCATTTGCAGTACGAGCCAAGAATTTGAGCAACTCACCATTGACCACTCGATCACTGAGTTTATTAATGACTGAAAGCACAGCCTTGACAGTCTGTTCCCGCACCACCGGGGCAACATCGGTAAAGCCAGAGGTCTAATGATGTTAGCGATTTTCTGAGGAGCGGGTGCACATAACTTACCATCTGGGGAAAGATCTTGTCATTGACAATCTTATGGGGAAGGCTGTCAATCATCAAAGGCAAATTGTCCAACAAGCACACACGGAGTGCTCGATCGGGATTGCCAAATAAGCGCACAATGACAGGAGTCAACTTTGCATTGAACTCATCTGCCGAAAGCTTGGAACCAATCTTCACGGTAGCACTAAGAACCTTTGGTCCACCGCCACCAAATTCAACAGACTTAAGTAATTCAGGGAGAACTTTCATCTTGAAAAAGTCCTCTGGGAAGTCATCAGATAGGTTATCAAGTTCACTGTTGATATTTAGCAGCTGAAACCATCAATTCAACCAGAAGAACTTACTTAATGAATTCTTCCCTTTCGGCATCAGTCTTGAGGCCTAGACTCTCCATATCCTCCGTCAACCGAATCAACGAGGTCTGAAAGAATCCACCATGCTTTTTCCCCTGCTCGACAAAGTGACCCGGGCTCAATCGAAGTTTGGGGTTTGCAGTACAAAGACGTTTGTAGCTTTGATGCATGCTCGGAGGGATATTCGTTGTCTTGCCAATCTGATCGCCACCAGAAAATTGACCATTGAAGACCTCGAAAATCAAGACTCCCAAGCCATAGGCATCAACTGCCGCCAATGGATGGCGCTTGATGACTTCCCAGCCGCCTTTTACCACTTCCGGAGGAGTGTATCGAGCTGCGTCGGGGACAATGCTTCCATACGTCTGTTTTTAATTAGTAAAGCAGGGTCAAATTTCATTGGCTTTTCCCATACTCACATAAATAATGGCGTCGTCTTCCTTCATCGAGCTCAGGATATCGAATCCACCTAACTTCCACTCGCCGCTTTCACTTGTGTAAACCGAAGACGCGCGAACAGCACCATGAACCGAGGATGCATCTTCATTAATAAACTTGAGCGTAGACTAATGAAGCAGGGCAAGTCAGCTCGAGTTCTGAACATATATAGTGTAGACGAACACCTACCGAGACAGTATATAATCCCCATTTGGCAGTCTCTTCGCTCAAACTGCGACGCTTGACCTGCCACGAAAGCGGTACAACTCGTTCAGTGACGATGTAAAGAGTTGACTCGTTCTAACGGCAATATTAGCCTCTGAAGCTCAGCATGCAGCCCAGCCAATACAGCAAGGCAGCCGTAGGTCGATATACCTCGATTGTATCCAAAACCTTTATCACACCCGGATGGCGCAAGGTCCTCGATTTTCGCACCGCATTCTTCGCCAAGGGGAGACGCGACTTATTCGCCGCAATATCAAACGTGAAAACACTGCACGCTGAGCTGTCATCCTAATCGCATTAAGAAGGAAGCCGTCAGCCTTGTTGTCCGAGGGTGTGTTTCGCGGTGAACAGAGAACCACCCTACCCGTTTCGTACCGTTATGCAAAGTCCAGATCGAATCGCCAATGTCCACTCTATCGCCAAGAGAGAAAGGGAGTGAGCTGCCTTTTGCTATCGCGGATGCGACGGCGGATTTGAGGAAATCCATGGCCGTGTGGCGGCGGGTTGCTGGCTGCTCGGTGGTTGCGGTGTTGTTTTGAAGGCCCCGGGGGCTTTTGCGGCTCAATGGCCGAGTTCTGCAACTCAAGAATAAAACCAGGATAGCTTGAAGAATAGCTTTGAATTGCAGCGAACGTGTTTAGATCCGGAGACAATGTGACAGGGGGGAATTATGGGTAAAGTGGTCTGGAAAGTTGGATGCGGCCCCGCCTTATCGGCCTGAGCTGGCCTTTGGTTAATTTCGCAGGGTCCACCTAGGTTTGTTTCTCTAAGCTTTCTCAAGCTCTTTCACACCACCACCACCTTACACACATAATGATGTCCACTCTCTGCCTTGTCACTAACTCCTCGTGCCGTTACTTATCGCGGAAAGCTTCCAGAATACCATGAACACCCCGGTACGTTAACCTTCAATCTCTATACCCAACTCCAAGCACCACAGCAAGCGACTTCGTCGCGTCTCCAGTGATGACCACCTGGTAAAAGGTCAGACTCTACAAAGAACCGACAAACCAAAGAATCACAATCAAACCGATGGTACTCTCTTTTTCCAACTACTCTAGATTCCTCGGCTTCCCCGCAACGCATCGACCTGATTGAGCTCATTCGACTCGAACCCGGCTCACACGCAATACTCCCGCTACCCGCTTTGATCTTGCAACCTACCGTCATCGTGTGGTAATCTCCAGGCTTATGTTTGGTTCACAAATTCGGCCTTTGTACCTCAACCCTCAACTCTTCGGTGAACGCACATACATGGGCGAAAGGCAGAAGGTCGAGCCAAAAGTCTATGGCTTCCTCATTGAGGCGCCGTGAGCTCTTTCTTCCTATCTGTCTCTTTGAGATCGAGAAAATAAGAGGACTGCGGTGGGCTTTGGGAGTATTCATGTATACATACATACAACTTCCATGTTTACATGGGGGTATGTTGGGCCGTTTTCTGGGGTTCCTAAGTCTGCTTTGCTCCCATGAAGACTGATAGGAACCAATGGCTACGGTCTACATGTGAGATATGAGAGTCTTTGGCTCTCTCATTGCGTGAAGAGTTGCAGGTTTGGGTATGAGGAACGGGTTAGACGCGGCCGGAAGTAGGAGAGAAGTGGTCAATTAATCGGTTATTGCGAGCTGTGGTTCTTGTCGGGACACGGTGGGCTTGCTTCTTGTTGATGTGGAGAGGTTGAGTGTTTGGATTGGGCAGAAATTGTGAGCAGCACCGCGGTTGATGGGGTGGGTTTGTCTGGGACTGGAATGATGACTCTTATGAACTGAAAAGACCTGAGGAGATGTGCTTTTGCTTTGAGGATTATGCTTGAATTGTGATGAAGTGTTACTGACTTTCGCAACAGATTTTGTCCGCGAAGATTATATTCGAACATCAGCTAGGTCTTTGCTAGATATAACTTAATGCCAAACAAACATTGTCGTTCCGACTACATGTTTGAATGATCAAATTTAACTTGATATAAATCATTTCATTGGCATCCCGCGGGAGCACTAGCAATCACTTGGAGACTACCCCTCGTCCGTACATACCACGCCTACTTCTGCTCGTATTCAGCTTGGAATTCCAACCATCGTCCTATCCGTTGCTGGAAACAGCCTATCGCACTTCTCACACTTCTCATGCCGATCCACTGGAGGCAGGAAATGCCACCTACAGAAGATCCAGACATTCAGACATACACAATATCAACAACCAGAAAAATAAAAAGGGAGCAAGGGGTAAAAAGGAATCAAAGACGGGAAAGAAATGCAAATCTTGACAGGCCCCCCTTCAGCTGCCAGTCTTGCCATGAGGAACAGCTGACAATGAGGAGGCTCTGTGGTGGTTCGTAAGATGTCAACGGCAGTGGCTGTATGTTGCGCAATACAGTAAAATTTCACCAGCAAGTATACCACTGAGCCCACGGCTCCGGGGGGGGTTAAGTAGACAAGATAGATATGACCACTCATTGAATCTGGAAGTACATATTAGCAAGTATAATTGATGTACGAGAGAAAAAGACAGGCCCATTTTACCTGTTAGATCCCATGGATGTGCGCATCATCACTTGGCACACCAGTATAAGTATCAGAACTCACAGAGAGGACGAAAGCCAAGATACAGGTGGCCGGGGTGATCTTCCAACTGAAGATTGACAACGGCGCATATGTCATCGCCAAGTCAGAGGGGCGGCGATAAATATTGACATTGAAGGGAGAAGCTCCGAGACTTAATCATAGTATGTAGTTCATTTGCCTTCATCGGTTGCCTCAGCGGAGTGAGTTCCAGATGCGGGAGTGGCGGGGGTGTTGGAGGCCATCTGAGGGGGTATCTGAGGAACTTGATTGAAGTTATTGCTAGGGGCGCGATGCTGGTTCGGAGGGAAATGATGTGCCTGGTGCGGGCTGGAGGAATAGTGCGGTTGTTGGGGGTAGCCGCCACGACCAGGAGGCGCTGGGACGAAACAATCAGATAACGTATTCTATATTTTAATGTGAAAAATATACTAACCGTGTCCTGGCTGTTGACCTCCATATCCAGGCTGGCCAGGAGACATGAACATCATTTGCTGGGGTGGCTGGCCGGACTGTGAGTTTTGGTGCATCATCATAGGAGCGCCCCGGCTTGGGCTGGGGTAACCGCTATGAGGCTGGGGCGGTGCATGCTGTGGGTAGGCATGGCCTGGAGATGGAGAGTACATCTGCATCTGGGGTGTATAAGGGGACATGCCCTGGGGTACACCCATATAAGGACCGTTGGACGGTTGTTGCACCATCATAGGGGCCCCCATCTGGGGGTTTACAAATTGCGGTCCATGACCACCTTGGTAATGTCTCAAATGGGCAGGCTGCGGACCTCCATAGAATTGTGGCATTGGCTGTCCAAATGCAAGCTGTGCCGGAGGAGCCATAGGAGAGGGATATCCCATGTGACTCTGTTGCATGCGAGGGGAAGGGAAGACTTGGGATGACGATGCGGAAAGCTGCATACGATGATGATCATCCACGTGAGGGCCATGGGGGTGATGGCCGTGCGGCCCATTCGGAGGTCCAGAAGAGGGTGGCATGCCAGGGTTACCCTGCTGGAACTGGAACGACATCTGGTGCTGTTGAGGAAGGTGGGGGTTGTTGGAAGCAGACCGACCCTGGGGCGAGGCGGACGGTACTCCCGCGTTTTTGAACATTTGATCATAAGTCTTCTCCTCATTGCCATCAGGGGCATCCCATGTTGGCAGAGTCTTATAGGGCGGCGGAATACCACCGTTGAAGATGACAACCCTCTCTGCCGACTCGGCACTCTCTTTCTTCATGCGTTTGATGGGGTTAAACTGATCGTCAATAGACGGCCGATCAGAAATTGGAAGAGGCTTTCGGACTCCGAAGAATGTGGAGGGAGTGGTTGCCCGTGACAGAGAGTGGTTTCGCGAGAAGGGACGTGGGCTAGCAGCGGGGCCTCCCGAAGGAGTACCGCCAGGAGTAAAGGTGTTAGCAGCCGGGTTGGGCTTGAACTCCATGGCGCGAACATTGAACTTGGCCGCAGCGGAGGTCTGGGCCTGGGTCTTTCCAGGGCTCATGACTCTAGGCTGCTCGCTAGCCGGGCCAGTAGGGGGTCCACGAGCATCCTGTATAGGGAGCGGTGTAGGGACGGGGCCCATGGCAGCAGCTCCCTTCCGTTGCTGCAGGTTATCGGCCAGTCGATGACTGAGCATACCCGTAGCGGGACGACCAGGTTGCATTGGCTGCTGAGGGAATCGACCGCCTGGTCCGGCAAGTGGACCCGTGGGCGGGTACCCTTGGCGACCCCGAGGGTAGTTCTGGCGATCAGAAGGCGCTGCAGGGGGAGCAGGTCCAGTGGGTGCAACCGGACGACTTGCGGGCTTCTGTTCGGCAGTCTGGGCAACAGCTTTCGTGGGTGATTTAACATCCCCAGGAGTCTGGACTCGATTAATTATAGCTTCTTGTCTATGCGGATCCTTGGCCAAAATTGGTACCAAATCCTTCGGCACAGGAGTCGAAAGCTTAAAGTTCTTTGAGAACTTCATCAGCTCGTTCAATTTGACCGTCCGATCATAGGATGCTTGGTTACGTCGACGCTCTTGCATCTTCAACTTCTCGCTGTTAGCGAACTGACGGAAATGGTCAAGCACCTCTGTTTCGACATTCGCGGTGGCATTCTCTGCGACAGGTCGCTTCACAGCAGCAGGGACGGTAGCAGGTGTGGATGCAGGGGCATTGGCCGAAGTCGTCTTTTGTTCGGCTTCAGCAACGGGCTTGGTAGGTGCCGGCGTCTGCTGTTTCTCCGCGGGGGCAGGCTCCTTGGTCGGAACCTGAACCGCTGCAGGGGTAGGGGCAGGTGCCGATTGCTTAGCCGGGGGTGCGGGAACCCCGGGTTGTCTGCGGGCTGGGGGCGTGTATCTGTTCGGCTGCCCTGAGACGAGAGGCTGGAAAGTCTTATTATCGCGGTGAACACCACTGTATTTTGCCTCCTCATCATCATCGTCACCCGTAGTCGGGGCCACAAGACCTCTCTCCTCGCGCATATGGGCGTTGTCGGTATCAGTGCCTTCAATCTCCCGCGCAATACGAGCCGCCTCTACCTGCTTCTGGCGGAAGGAAGGGTCCGAACGATCAATGGTAGTTGTATATATGTTTTCGTCGTAGCTGGTCTTAGCTCCAAACAGTCGTTCATTGGTCTCAAATTGATCCCAATTAGATGAATCGCCTGTGGTGCTCTCCAACGACATGTCAACATCCATCTCAGTCGGTTCCCAGCGTTTCAATGTACGTTCCCGCATCGCGAGATTGCCAGAGATGTCACTGTCAGTTCTGAACCCACTTGCTCCTGTAGATAACATATCAGCATGGTGCTTTTCCAGGACAGGTTGTCATATTCCTTACCATTTGACTCCTTGACTGACACCTCCGCAGGGACGACATTTGGAACGGAGATATCTGCAACGTCTCTGATATCAAAGCACATAGCATGGTCGATTCCAGTTCCTAGATAAGGGTTGACCACGTCGCTTGCACCGTTCGTCTTTGGCTGATTGTCGTCTGCCCGTTGCACCATCTTGAGGGAAAACGACGAATCACTAGACTCCAGGGTCGAAGATGAGAAGATACCCGTGAATTTGTCCCCGTTCTTTGTGGTGATTGTGGTGCGCAGGCCCTACAGTAGCTATATCAGTACTACTCGTGCAGCTTTCACGGTCGAGGAGTTGTCTTACAATGAAACTGGCAAATAGGAAAACAAGACGGTCATGAGCATGACTGTCGGGGGTGTTTGACTCCTTTTGGTTCGGACGCGGAGAGGCCGACTGTCGATTCATGTTTCCGTTGGATGAGGAGTGCGAGGAGCGTTGCGTTATGGGGTTGGTTCCTTGGGTCCAGGCCTTGTGCGAATTTGTGCGCCTAGGGGCAGAACATGCTTGTCAGTAGGTGCAACCCTCAATTATGGAACAAAAAAACAGCTGTGTGAATATCGCTTTCAATCCCGGGGTCCGCAATTGGCTCTTGATGGCACACAATGCCTAGCCTGTACCTCAGCTCGCAACGAGAGGGCACGTGCATAGACGCAGTGACCGAGGGGCCAGAGTGGACAGGATGAAAATGAAAGTCATGGCACCATGTCGCCGGTCTTCGGTAACAGGTGAAAGAAGCAAAATTGGGGGATTGGTACTAGTGGAGCGAGTGGATGTGGGGGTGGATGGGAGTTCTAAAGGGAGCGACGTACCGTTGACCACCATCCCCAGGACTGCCAGACTGTCGGCGACCGTCCCCCTTGGTGCTGGCGCTCGGCCTCAGCGAAGGCCTGCCAGAGTTCTGTGCATTGACAGCATTGCCAGATGAGCTGTTAGCAGCTGGCACGGAGTTGAGAGTAGAAGCCATTGATTGACTCGGGTGGTCAAGTCAGGGCAGGCTTGCAGTCGTGGAACTTCACACGGAAGGTCCGCGAGGATGAGGCACGGAGCCACTCTCACACCGCCTGCACAAACAAGACGTGTTTGGAAGGAGGGGAAAAGAGTAGAAACACAACCACAACCACACAGACACTCAGGTCGAAGAATCCAATGGCAAGGGGAATATTAGAGAAAAGAGGAAGGGGGGAGGATGGAGATTCGAAAATGGGGATTTGTTTGGGGAAAGCAGGTCAGGTGCGAAGAGGTGGTAATGTACGGTACCGGTGCGACCCTGATTGACAGCGGGATCGCTTTTCTATGGGGTTGGAAAGCAATGGATCTTTATTATGGAGATGCCCTGATGTAATGCTTGTTAGTTTCCTTTATTCTTACTAGGCTCATCAGAGTAATGATTTCCTATCATTTCTAGTATCTATCAATATCTACCTTTGATTCTATCATTTCCCTCCTACCTATTGTTTTCCACTGGCATATTCAATTTTTTTTTCTCTTCAGTTATATATATTTGGGATGTAACCCCCGGTCCAGTTGTCAACCGCGATACTAAACGTATTACCAATACACAGTAACTTACAGCCTGCAGCATCTGAATAGCTGCAACACGATAGGTGTTCGTATTGGGATTAATTTCCCGATCCCACGATCTGATCTGTATAGATTCCGAACCACGAGTTTCCACTACGAGAGGTCACAGTGGAGCAAAAAGAAACGCCTGATAAAATCAATTGGAATTACTCATATCATCAGAGGGACCCGGGCGTACCAAAACAAAGCCAATAAGGGATCTGCAGGGAACACAACTTTCTGATACATGCACATTGTAGATTTCTTTTGTGTGAACTAAGTGACTCGCTTACCCTTGATTGGCCAACCATATCTTCCTGAATGGACATGGATAGTCGATCCAACAATAATATATGTTGGGAGGCCCGGCGGCAGGACGGTGATGCCCAATGGGTTGGACGAGGATAAAGAGAACCACAGATATCCTAAAAGAAAAAAGGGGGTGGGTGTGAATATTATATTTCCATCAAGACCCCCAAGAACCAAATCTTCAAGATGCAAGTCAACAAGTGGATTAGTGCGGGAGCTGCCGAGTACAGGCCGTGGTGATACAGATCCAATAGATCCATGCAATCCTGCAAGATGATACTTTAGTCCATGGAGTTATACTAAGACTTTAGTGTAGTGATAGGGTTCCATAAAGGAGTCCGTGCTCTTTGTCTAAAAATCACATGTGTGGAATCATGTAATCATACATTGTAATTACCCGCCACTCTGAATAAAATGCGGGAACTGTGCCGTCGATCTGCCCTGTGGCTGTTTATACGCGGTATTCGGGAGGCTGGGTCTGGTGCCTTGTTTGCTTGGCATCCCAACTCTCTCTCTCTTTCGCCCCCCATCGTCGCTTATCAATGTCAACACACCCTCGGGCTCGCTGGAGACCCTGCTGAGAATCACTTCGACTTGAAATTCTCTAGACAGACCTCATGGCATCAACGTCTGGTCGCAGCTCATCGGCCTCTGGCCGTTCCCAATCGGCAAAGGGCGTGGTAAGTGTCGGATCCGTGTGGGATCGTCCCCAAAGTCCAGCATACAGCTAACAGTGCCTTTCTTCTTGCGATAGCCCGATAAACAGATATCCCAAATTGAAAAGAGCGTGACTCACCTGCTTGTCGCAACAAAACAACTACTTGAGACCTTGACGCAGTGGTCTCGAAAACAAGCCTCTGAAACGGACGTGTCCGATGTATATGTGCGCCTTGGTTACGAGTTCAATCTGGCATGTCGTGCTTTCAATGCGATCGGTGTCGAGACTTCCGACCTAGGCCCGGTTCCAGACGTTTTGCGCACAATTTTGGAAGACACATTAAGCCAGGATGCCTCTTCTCAAAGCCTCGACCGATACCTACCCCAAATTCGCGACATCATCATCAACTTGCTCCATGGTTTGAAGAAAAAGCAGGCGCGTCTCCGGTCACGACATCAGCGGGAGGATGGGCGAGGACTCCCCGGGAGGCAAGCCAGTGCGGGCAGCATTTCTAGCAGCAACTCCGCCATAGGCCAACTCTACGATGAAGCAGCGGCTTCTACCTTGCCTCAGTCAAACATCCAATCCCCAAAACGGTCAGCCCGTCGTTATGGCAGCAATGGATCTCTGGAAGAAGTCCAGGGGACCCGTCGTACATCACCCCCGGTACCAGGAGATCCACGCAGTTACTCGGAACGGGACACCTCGAGACGGGAGGCCCAACAAATGCTCAGCCAGCCACCCACCGGCGGTGAATCGATTTCCCAAAACGCCCCGCCTTCAGCCCCTCCAGATTTCCCGGCCCCGCCGCCACCTCCCAAGGAGGATGACGCGTTAGGTGCTTTGCAGAGAAGTGGGGAACTAGAGCGACGGGCTTCCCGGCGGTTCTCCGCATACCAAATCCAGAAGCATTTGGGGACCTCATCCAATGGGGTGCCGGTTCTTCCTACTCAGAATTCTCCAATCCCTAATCGTGGACGGGATGTCCGCGAATCTCTCAATGCGGTCCGTCTGCGAGGATCATACGCCCACTCTCGGCAGCGGTCCTCGAATCGTCTACAAGAAACTGCCAAGACTGCCCAGCCCCAGCCAGGGGCAGGTATTCCTCAGGTGGTGGAGGAGGAACGCATCGAACCATCTAGCCAAGTGGCTGAAGAGCCAGAGAATAACGAAACCCCTCGACCCCTGGATCAAAAGCCCGAACCCCCCGCTAAGGATCACGCTGAGGCTCCACGGGATCAGGAAGCTCCCCCTAGCTTCCCGCGGCCACCAAAGGGACCTTCGCTCGATGAGGCTTTTGACCCCGAAAAGGCCCCTGCACCTGCCCCTGCCACAGGCACACGCCCGGAAACGCCAAAGATAGCCCGTCTAGACCCAGCTGACATTGCCACACCTCCCTCGGTTGCTCAGTACGTGGCAGAGCAGCCGTCTCCAGGCAAAGAATTAACTCTGTTCTTGCAGTACAAAAGCAAGATCAAAAAGTACGTGCTGCCGGACGGCATCGCGGATCTCACCATTGGACGCCTCCAGTTGGCATTTATCGAAAAGTTTGCGTGGAATACTCACAACAATGGCGCCGATCTACCTGAGATTTACATCCAGGATCCGATTTCTGGGATTCGACATGAATTAGAAGATTTGACCGACGTTAAGGATCGGTCGGTTCTTGTTTTAAATATGGACAGTCTAGATGAGGTCAAGAAGCATTTCGATGAGGGCTTTGGAGGAGTTCGCACCTTGGTGGAAAGTGTGAAGGAGGCATTGGCTGGCCAAGGAACTGTTATCCAGTTGGTCCAGGCCCGCCAGCTTGAAGCTGCCAAGGAAATGGCCCGTTTGGCTGCTGCTCCTTCAGCACCTGCACCCGTGACTGCAAGTACTGGCGGCGTCCCTAAGGCTTTGATATCTGCAAGTGGAAGTCAAATCGCGGAGCTGCAAAGCCTTCGCCGCGATCTGGCCGTCTTGCGCCAAACCTACTCGAACTTTACATCTGATGTCACCAGTTCTATGAGCGCAGTCCGTGCCAAAGCAAGTAAGGTCAAGGCTGCTGCTGAGGACGTCGCTGTTCCCACCTATGAGGGCGACGCTGGCCGTGCGCGGGTCCAGACTGGTAAGAAGGAGCTTGGTGACGAATCGGAACGTCTCGTTGCACGCGTGGATGACCTGCAAGATCTGGTTGAGGATCTTCGGAAGGATGTGGTTACCCGAGGTGTCCGACCTCTCCCAAGACAGTTGGAGGGTGTGAGTCGTGATATCAGTAATGTCATGAAGGAGATCAAGAAGATGCAGGACTTCCTTGGACGCGAGAAGCCCATTTGGACTAAGATCTGGGAGAAAGAGCTGCAACTGGTCTGCGAAGAGCGGGATCAGCTCACCATGCAAGAAGACCTTGCTGCTGATCTGCAGGACGATCTTGAGAAGGCGGCCCAGACTTTCGCTCTGGTAGAACAGGCAACCAAGGAACAAGCCATGGAGAAGGCGAATGGCGGCGGTGTCGTTGGAGCGGTTTCTTTGCGGGCCCCTTCGCGTACTCTTGGAATTGACCCTACGGTCGACCCTATGAAAGCCAAGGACGGTGTTTTGGGTGAGGTTCGTGCGCTACAGCCCAACCATGAAAGCCGCCTTGAAGCCATTGAGCGAGCCGAAAAGGCTCGCAAGAAGGAGCTTGAGACTCGACGTATTGGGCTGTTCCAGAAAGAACTTGGCACCTTTGTTCAAGAGGGCAAGCTGAAGAAGAGCGGTGGTGTTGAGGAGGCCGAACGACTTCGCACTGCCAAGGATGATCGCATTCGGAAAGAAGTCTGGGACCGACAGCAGGCCCGCAATGCGGAGATGGAGAAGGCCGAGGCTGAAGCTGCTGCGGCGGCAGCCGCTGCTTCTGAAGAAAAACCCGAAGAAGAGGCGGACTCAACTGAGCCGGCACCGGAGGAAGATAGGGCGAAGTCCCCAAAGAATGACGACGAGGCTCCGGCCGGAGAAGAGGCTAGTCTCGATGAACCGGCAGAGCCAGAGCCAGAGCAAGCGCATGAACCTGGATCCATATAGATGAACTGCTTGGTGCTCGTCTTTTCGATTTGACGTTTCCCCCTTGTTGTTTCCATGCGTTTTGTTATGAAAGGTCCCATGTCGTTGCATTTTTCGATTATACCTATGGCGTGTTTTCCTATACTATGTGTCCTTGCATTGCCTGTCATTTACGGACGATACCCTGCCACCTATGTGGCCTGTTTCCCTTGTTCATTCGCGAAGCATAGAGTTTGTGCCAGGTAGTTCACCCGATTTCGGAGCAAATGAATTTATCTGAATGCAATTGATTAGTTTCAATTCCTATGGAAATAATCTCTCCCACTAGTTCCCACTAATCAAAAGTGGAGAGCATAAACAATAGAGCTTAGACCAAAACAAACCCCAGCCATCCTAGTTCCTCACCGTATTTAGCTCGAAAACGCCACTCTTGTCTCCCTTCGTAATCCATGATCTTCATGATCGACTGTGCTTGTCCTAAATCTTCTTCAATTCTCGCCAAGCCACTACTCCGTACACAGGCCCGCATCAGCCTCCAGCCCCGTCTGAAACACAAGTCCAATCCAAGACACTGACGCTAAGCCATCCTGTACGACTCTATGCTCCTCTCTCTTATCGTCAGGATCTGATCGTGACGCAAAACTTGCCAACGATAGGATTAGCGTCCAAATCTTGACATACTGTATTGCGCCGTTGTCGTCACCTTGGCTAGCGATTATATTTGATTTCCCTCTCTGGTCTCAATTTAACCCCAATGCAACTCTTACCAACAGTTGTTTTGTTGCTCTTGAATGCAGTATCTACTCGCTCAGCAACAGAATATGCAAATCCCTCGTTGGAGGTTGTTGAGAGCAGCCCAGCCTCTACATATTCCGACAATGATATCGTCCGCCACATCAACGAAATCGAGTCGCGACTTGCTAGCACACCCATCCATGGGCTGAAGAAGATGAGTCCCGACGAAGGGGAGAAATTCTTTTTCGATTACTGGAGTTTTGGACCCGAGCCACAAGGCCAATTATCAGAACGAGAGGAAGAACAGAATCAAAGCAATGATACCCTGGGGATTGATGACCTCCCGTCGAATCCCTTTCACCCCAGGTCTTATCCATTTCAACCATCGCTTCCATTCGAAGCGAACCGCTGGAGTCTTTTGAGCTCTAGGGATTTCAAATGTCCGACTGGAACGCAGGCGTGTACATCGATTGGGCGATCTGATCGGTGTTGCAGTACTGGGGATACATGTGAGCATGTTGAGGATACAGGATCGGGAGATGTAGGGTGTTGTCCCAATGGAAATACGTGCTCTAATGTAGTAGGAGCGTGCCCGGGCAGTGAGACAACTTGTTCTGAGGCTCTGGGGGGAGGGTGCTGTATAGCTGGATATGAATGTGTTACAGGCGGCTGTAAGTATTTTTTTTTTTTTTTTTTTTTTTTTTTTTGGAACTATCCAATCCTTGGCGGAATGTTGAGATATATGGGCATTGGCTAATGAGTCGTATAGGTGTATTCGTCTCTGTTGTTACGATGACCATCCACTCCACAGTGACGCTGTCTACAAAAACATATTCGTCCGTTCCGCAGGGCAGCCCGTCCTCATCGCAGTCTACCAGCAACACTGCAACTACTGAAAATCTCGTGCCACCAGCGCGACCGACGGGTATTTCGACTTCTACGAAAGGAACTACAAGTCGTGTTAGTGTCTGTCCGACTGGGTTCTACGCGTGCTCTGCTGTTTATCACGGCGGTTGCTGCCAAATTGGACGAAACTGCGATACGACTTCGTGTCCTACCACGAGCTCGACCACGTTCACATCGGATGGGGTGACAATCGTTGAGCCTGTGACAACTGGAAGCGGAGAGTCTGGCAGTGGGAATACGGGGAAGTGCGCTACGGGTTGGTTCAGCTGTGCCGATACGGTCGGCGGTGGGTGTTGTCCGTCAGGGTACACCTGTGGATCGAGTTGTACGGCTGCAGCGTCAAAGACAACGATCGCCAAGGAACAAGCGACCAGCCGAGGGGGCAAGTTGACAATTCCGTGGGGATTGATAGGAATGAGTCTTGCGTGGTGGATCTAAACAATGTATCGGTTAAATGAAGGAAATGGAAAATCGAAAACCCCACGGGGACCCGTTAGTAATAGCCGGCAGTTCGTTCCTGCGGTGAAAGCTCTCCGAATCCATCACCGAATCTCGCCGACACCGGTCAGCGCTTCTCCGTTATCTCTCTTCTCTCTTTCCTTTCTTTTTCTTCCTGTGATCGTGTCCATCGCTTGGTCGGTAATCCTTTATGATCTGCATCAATTCTTATTTATCTTCATCATCTTTGCGTTATCTCTCAATCGCCATTCTGATCACTTCTCGCAGGTTAACCGCCCATCATGTCCGACAAGCCGCAGCAGCCCCTCCCCTTCATCTACCAGTTCGCCGCCGGTGCGGTGGCTGGTGTGTCTGAGGTATGACTTCCTTGATACTGCAGAAAATCAAATGCAATCGATTTCACTGTTTGAGGCTGGTTTTCCTCTCTGCGAGATCCTCGGTGGCTAATGTGTCTCCCCGCACGGACAGATCCTTGTTATGTACGATGCTCCAATCGCCCCCATCTTGCGGGCGCGCAATGCCCCCTTCACAAGGAACACGTCGCGCTTTATTCTATAAAGAATCTCTGAATTAATAACGTGCGCTCTATAGGTACCCATTGGATGTTGTCAAGACTCGAGTGTAAGAATGCCTTCCCCGATCGGAATGAGTTACCGGATGCAGCACACGACACTAACATCCCCGCTTCAGTCAGCTCCAGAGCGGTACCGCCGCGGCTGGTGCCGAGCACTACAATGGCATGGTTGACTGCTTCCGCAAGATCATTAAGCATGAGGGGTGAGTTTCATAGCAATCAACATCGCGATTGTCTCCGAGACCATACCTAACCCGAAATGATCTCCGCAGCTTCAAGACCCTGTACCGTGGTATCTCTGCGCCCATCCTGATGGAGGCCCCCAAGCGTGCGACCAAGTTCGCCGCCAATGACAGTTGGGGTGCTTTCTACCGCGACTTGTTCAAGGTGGAGAAGCAGACCCAGAGTCTGGCGGTCCTGACCGGTGCCACCGCTGGTGCCACAGAGTCTTTCGTTGTTGTTCCCTTCGAGCTTGTCAAGATTCGTCTGCAGGATAAGGCCTCTGCCGGCAAGTACAACGGTATGCTTGATGTGGTGAAGAAGATTGTGCAGACCGAGGGCCCATTGGCCATGTACAACGGTCTCGAGTCGACCCTGTGGCGCCATATCCTCTGGAACGCCGGTTACTTCGGCTGTATCTTCCAGGTCCGCGCCCAGCTGCCCACCCCCGAGCCTGGCAACAAGAGCCAGCAGACCCGTAACGACCTGATCGCCGGTAGCATTGGTGGTATTGCCGGTACTCTCCTTAACACCCCCATGGACGTCGTCAAGTCCCGCATCCAGAACACCACCAAGGTTCCCGGCCAGACTCCCAAGTACAACTGGGCCTGGCCTGCTCTTGGTACGGTCATGAAGGAGGAGGGCTTCAGCGCTCTGTACAAGGGCTTCACCCCCAAGGTGCTGCGTCTCGGACCTGGTGGTGGTATCCTGCTCGTCGTCTTCACCAGTGTGATGGACTTCTTCCGCAAGATGCGCGACGAGTAAGCACATACAGTGTCAAACTCTTATTGAAAAAAAGTATGCACCTATTTTCTTGCCGTCAATTCATTTGTCCTACCAGTGAAGGTTTGATCTATACATGGTCAAACTAGAACCGCCGAGGGCATTTTGACCAAACCTTGGTCCCCATATACCCTGCTTTGCAAACCGCTCATTCTATCAAACCCATACGAGTTGGATAGACCATGTCGAGCCTTGTTACCTTTTGTTTTCATTTGTTCACTGTACCACAAAGCAGAATAGAGTATGACTGCCAAATGGATATAGAGAAAATCGCATTTGAATCAAGCTTGTCTTACTTCCATGATAGTTTCAACTTGCATCAACGCCCCCAGGGCCACTCTAGTAAACACCTGTACAAAACATTCTCTAAACAACTCAGTTCCCCAAGATATGACCATCCCCCGGGAAGTCTCGAGCATGCTTCCCATTCCCTTCCTTATGAAGCTCCGCAATCAACCGAAGCCCAAAGAGACACAGCAAGAAGATAATAACGATAAACGTCGCCGACACCATCATACAACAATTCTGACTACTCTTCCGCCGCTCCCGACGTTCTTGCCGGCGATCACATTCCTCACAGTGCAAGTGAACCAGCTCCTCATTCTGAGAAGCCAGATGAAGGACGGGCGCATCGTTGGAATCGAGATGATGTTCGTGTCCCCGGTGCTCAATGTCGTCATTTTCATCTGCGACGGAGACATGGGAGTACTGTACAGATGTGAGTAGAGTATCTTACACAGAAGATCACAAGCAGTAGGCACTGGATGATCTGGGGTATTGTATCTACTCACTCCCGTCATAGGATTCGAAGGACGTTGCTCGTACAGCTCTTCATAAGCTGGAGCGGCCTCCTGAGGGGTTGAGTTACCCATGATGATGGCAGGATAGTGTCTAGTATCAAGTGATGTAGAGTATCTGGATACACAAGATGAAGGCCGATGAGGCAGTTTCTGGTATTGGAGGCAAATGGCTATGGCATGACGATGACACACGACATTACTAGCTAGATGTGGCTGAGCAGTGCCAGTAAAGGCTAATCCATGATTACTGCTTATGCCTGTTTCCATTTCAGGCAACCGTGATAACCGTCTGTGCTGATTGGATCCGAGCTTTCAGGCCACGGGATCCGTGCGGGATGTCTTCACTCGCCATTCGGGATATATGTAGAAGACTCGTGCCCTAATTGCATTTGATGTTCTACAATGGTATGACTTGGAGTTGGTTCATTTGAAGAGAGAAAAAAAGAGATAACAAATTATGTGTAGATAAATTGGAACAGGGGCTGGAAATTTTGGTATAAAATCAGAAAAAGTGAATTCATAAACTCTCATATATCATCTAAATCTATGTCGAAATCAGAGTAGCGTTCACATTCGAACGGAAGTCACGGCTACTGAATCCAGCCTTGAATGTGAACTGTCCAGCAGGAATACGCCAGTCCTGGGCAACAACATCCCAATAACTAACATCTCTGCGCATCAACTCAAAAGTAACAGTCTTCTTCTGGCCAGCACGAAGCCAAATCTTGTCGAACCCACGAAGTTGGCTTGGCGGTGTGCCAGCAGGAGTGGAAGAAGGATACTCGACATACAGCTGCGGCACAGTATACCCGGCCACGTCTCCAGTGTTCGAGACCTCCGCTTGAAGGGTGTAGACAGTATCCCAAAGAGCAGGGTTACCGCCAGGCTGAACAGGGCGCTTCTCCGGGAGAGCAGTGAGGTTACTCGCGGTCTTGGTCTTCGCCTTGAGGCTTTGTAGATCAAACGTGGTGTAGCTCAGACCAAAGCCGAACTCGTATCGCACAGGGATATCGTGCGCATCGAAATACCGGTAGCCGACTTCGAGTTCCTCATCGAACCAGCTTTGCCAGTCGTATGTACCATTGGTCGTCACGTTCGTGGTCAATGGAGCGTTGTAGTCGGACGCGTTGTATGCAATCACGTAAGGCAACTTGGCAGATGGATTAACGTCGCCGTAGAGAACATCTGCGATGGCATTTCCGGTCTCCTCACCAGCGTAGTGCTGAGCAAGAATGGCCGTAACATTCTCGTTGTCGGCAAAAGGCATGGTATTGATACCTCCCGAGTTTGTAATGACGATGGTGTTGTTACAGAATTTGGCCACGGCCTCCACGACGGCGTTGGCATTCCAGTCCAGCTCCAAGTAGCTGCGGTCTTCACCTTCCGAAGAGTAGGATTTCAGGAATACAAGGCAAGCATCAGGGTGCTGGGGAATGGCCAGAGATTTCAGGCCGGTATCGACGATTTGGGTATTGTTCAAGTACGATTGGACCAATGTGCCATCCTTGCGGGCTCGAGCAGAGATCGCTTCAAGGGGGTTGGATAGATAGCTGAATCGACACGCACCGGAGCTTCCTGAGTTGGCAAGGACACCGAACTCGAAGTCTCCCAGGGTGTCTGGTCCTTGGGTCAGAGGACCAGCATCATTTCCTGCGATGATCAGGTTGCGAGGCTTGCGAAGCGGCAATGCGTTCTTTTCGTTCTTGAGGAGAACCGTCGAAGCAGCACCGTGCGCACGGATCAGAGCGCTGTGATTGCCACGCACATCACGGTTACTTGTGCCCGTGAACTGCCAGTCATAGAGCCAGGTGTCTGGAGCCGAGTCCACGTTGAGCGGACCGACGGAAGCGTCCACGCTCGGGTAGTTTCGGTCTTGGTTAAGCCAGAAGTAAGGGGTCATGATACGGACAATCATGTCATCCATGCGGTCCATATCCACGGTGCCGTTTTTCAACGCCGAAGTGAGGTTCTTCCCGAAGTAAGACCCTTCGGTCCAAAGCTCGCCATACACAGTGAACCCGCCAGGCATGGTCATATCCATACCACTTTCAATAGATGACACTCCGCTGTGGGTGGCACCCCAGTCAGACATGACATATCCCTGGAAGCCAAGCTCAGTCTTCAACAGGTGGTTGAGGACGTATGAATTTTGGCAGGAGTGAGAACCGTTCACACGGTTGTACGAGCACATGGCGCTAGCAACACGAGCCCGAACCGCATTAGCAAACGGCCACATATAGATTTCGTGCATAGTGCGGTCATCCAGGTTCGAAGAAACCGAGTCCTGGATGTAGGTAGTCGCGTTGGCATCGGGGGCATATGTGGGGTTGCGTTGTGTCTCTTGCTCATAGGCAATAAAGTGCTTTGCGTTGGCTTGGACGCCGGCATCTTGCATGCCGTTGATGGCCTCTTCCATGCAGACACCCGTGAGATAAGGATCGGCGGCGAAGCCCTCCCAGGTACGGCCATTGTAGGGACTGCGGCCCAATGGTCCACCGATGGGACCCAAAATGACGTGGGAACCTTTTTGTTTGTGCTCTTTTGCCAATGCGTTGCCTCTCTCGTATAGTAGCTTTCGGTCCCAGCTAGCGGCAGCCGAGACACCGCTCACGAAGACGCTGGAATAGGAGCCTTCTTCGACACATTGTGGTCCGTTCTGGAGGCAGAGACCAGTGAAGTTGAGACGTGGGATGGGGAGAATGTTTCCAACGCAGGGGCCAGGTTGACCCGTTGCCATCCAGGCCTTCTCTTCCGTTGTGAGTTTCTTCACCCATTTCTGTGCCTTGTGCAAAGCTGCCTCCCAGCCACCGGTACCATTGATCTTCGCTGTGTCATGTTAGTCCAAGTCATAACCATCATGTCGTGAAGTGCATTAATACTTACGCGAAGGGAAAACAGGAGGGGAGTGGCCATCAACACCCAGAATTGTAGTGTTCAGTGGCTGAACATAGCTGAATGCAGTACCCGGGTGGTTCACAGGAGGAGTCTGGCAGGCATCAGATCCTAGAGCAGGAACCGATAGCAAAAGCCAAGCTCCTAGAAGAGTGTGTGGAGATATCATTGTGACACGTGAAACTCCCCGGCTTGGTCTACTAGAGCATATCAGAATTATCAGACTGAAATCTGGGCATGACTTCACTCTTAAATATGTTGGTCAAACCAGCCCGGAATTCTACGCATCCCACCCCAGATGGCTCATAGTCCCACTCGTGGGGGGAAGGACCCACCTGCATCCGGAGAAACAGGGCCTCGTGCCGAGAAACACTCGACGGTAGATGGGTCTTTTCTTTTCAGGAAAGAGATCGACAAGCCAAGCCAAGCCCCTGCCGTGCTTGGGTAGGATGCGAAAGTATAAACAGAAAATCACGGTTTGCCGAATTCAAAGGGAAAACCATCATCTTTTTTCTTGGCTTCGGTAAGCCGAGTGATCTGAACTATACACGAATATGCCTGTTCATTTTCGATTTGTCTCGAGTCTGTATGAGCTCTCGTTACATTCCGGGGAAATAAACTCACACTAACAATGCGCATGGGCCGAGCTAATGGTGTGACGTTGGGGGTTGCTGCCGATGACGTTGGATAATCTCATGTTCCTGAAATCCATGCCGGGTCAACTTCGGCTAAATATGTCTTCACTCCCGACCTTCCCGTATCCGAAGTAGCTGTGCTCCAAGATAAGTTGAATTCCACGATCTAGATTCTTTCCATATTAGTGTTCCAAGGTATTGAAAATATTGATGGTCATTGAATCACGCACTTCAATTTTCTGTCTATGTAAATGAGGTTACCTCTCCAACGGAGTCATCGGAAACTCAACGGAGAACTCGGCAAGACCCCGAGATTCAACACGGCCCTTTCCCCACAACCCCACGGAGACCGGGTTTTGCATGTCGGGGCTCGGCAAGGATTTGTCTCCCCGGAAAATGGCATTTTCCGTCACTTACATGCCCCGTCGACCTCTTGAAACCATTGAATAGGTACTTGGCGGTAGTGGGCATATATAGCCATGATACCTGCGAAAGGATTTGCTAACAAGATTGATTTCTCAGAGGCAAGGTATTGAGTTGGGCACTTTCGTATTGCAGAAAAGCCAACAGTCACAGTGCCTCATGGACAGTCGGCACCAACACCCGATAATTCTCCGCACATATCCACAGCAATTGCTTGCTTGACCACCGAACCAGGTTCATTCGGCATTTAGCGGAGTAATGGATTGCTTACGGCGCCATTGTCTGACATTTTATGGCTGGCAACCAGCCCTTTTTGGGCAATGATCACCCACCTTGTGGGGTGGAATGATGTACGTGGTAGATTTGCTTCAGGATACTCGGGGTTCTATCCACTTCTGAGGGGTTGAGGGAATTATTTATGAGGCAAGGAAAGACGAAAAACCCACGTTCCATTTCTTACATATGAATATTAAATACTAGAAGAGAGGAGACGCCAAATACTTGTTTCCGAGCGGGTATCTCAGACACTGTACATAGGCAGTTCATTGGGTACCTTTTCAAGTTCCTTCTCGGGCATCTCCTTGGGCTTCTCGACCTGTGAATGAGAATGCCTCGGAAAGAGCCTACTCCAATACTGCCATATAAGCCCTGTTAAAATGGTCGTTGGAACAGCAAACACCCAGTATATCCAGAACTTGTCGGAGACGGCCCAACCCTTATCCCTATCGTAATTAAAGAATGACATACTGAAAATGGCAGAAATGAAGGTCGGCGGAAGGAATGTGAGAGTCACAAATGCGAGTGTCTTCATAGTAGCGCTGTCCAAACGTGCGGCATGGCTAATTTGCACTGTAACGCCAGCATCATATTGCGCGACTTCATTGAATTTGAGCTGAATCTCGTTCTGTAGTCTCTTCTGGTTCGAGATTGATCGATGTCGTATACTTTCAATATGACTTTGAAAAAACGACAATCGACTTGAGATATCCTCAAAGGGCGTGTCTTGAGGTGTCTGTGGTGCATATTGATTTCTCCGTGCGTGTATGTACATTTCGTGTTGCCGAATTATATGGTTCACGTTTTGAACAGCCACATCTAGCGACTCGGTAACGTGAATGGCATGACGTGCGATGTCGTGTAGTGGCCGATATTTAGGTTCAGGTCTTTTCCCCAAAGACCTGTTCTCGTGCTCTTTTTCTTTTTCTTTCTCTTTCTCCTGTTTCTCTTTCTCCTCTTTCTCAGCCTCTTTCTCAATATCGCGAACATGGTCACGAATCTTCCAAACGGCGATTTCTTGGAGGCGAGCGACCTCTTGTAGTAAGTCCGAATAAACCCAAAATGGATCATTCAGCTTTCGCGGGTCCGGGTTCAACAGTGGAAGCGAGATATCCTTGCTTGGGTCAAGTAAGAGAATACCCATCTGGTTTGTTGATCGTAGCCACCGTGTGGAAACATTGAGCTTGGTCCAGTAATAGTCTTCCAGTTTTTTGGGCAAGTGCTTCATTTCGAAGAAAGACCAGGTATCTACATCGGATTAGTATTTGTCGCGAGTAAGACAATCAAGCCAACTCACTGAAACCGGTGACATTGCCCGCATCCCGAGTAGCCTCGCATCCAAAATACCCGTTTGCATTATTGAGATGATCCGACTGCCATACCTCCGGCATAAAGAAGCAACTCGTAAATTCCTTACGGTATATGTGTTGATGCTTTGCTTTTTCAAGATCTGCAGGCGTGCGCGCAATTCTGACGGAATTAGTTGACTCGTCTCGGAAGCGATTTGAGATCCATAACACACATAATGTACACTTTTGTATCCGGCCAGATTATCTTGGGCACCTGGCCTGGGCCTTCCGTGTATAGCTCCTCAAGGCTGACCTTGGTTGTGGGCTGCCACCCGCCTATAGCTATTGTTACCACGGAATTGCTATACACAATTAAGAGGGACAAATCACCTTCGTTCCATTGCATAACAGATATATTCTGACATGCTGTAAAGTCTCTTTGATCCATAGTTAAACTCGAAAGTTTAAAAAAGTTTAAATGGTATCCTAACAGATCTCCAGGCCGCCCTTTTAATCAAGGGACGGTGTCCAATCTGCCTTGCAGTAGGGTGGCTGTGAAGACATTTCTGACAGACCGACTTTTTGTCGCTACCCCTCAATCCTGCCATTTTGATTTGTTGGGGATAATGACACGTCAGTGCGCCGGCTGTGCATGCAGTTACGATGGAAATTAGCGAATGAGACCAAAAACTTTCAGCCGCGCGCGAATGTCGCCTGCGGGGCATCGGTCTAAAGGTTCTGGCCCCCACCGGGCACCACCCGGGTTCAAACACCTAGGTATCGATTGACGGATCACCAACAATTTTGAGCCTCTTGATGCCCGGGCGAATTTCCTGTGGACGACTCGTAATATCTCTACCGCTTCGAGGGTGGGAAGACAGGCTGATTCTGCTGTTTACTTTGTTGATGACACCTGTACAACCATGATAAACCTACACATTCATCGCCAGACAAAGAGTTTTAATTGATACGCGTCAGGTATTTACTAGTGTTTGAAAGTTTCATGAAACTTGTATGAGCATTCTTGATTTCTGTAATGATCTTAAATTTGCAGTGTTGGATATCATGAGCATTTAGAATGTTGCGTCTTAAAATTCTTTGTTGATTGTTGCTTACTAGTGGCAGAGGTCAGCAATTAGAATTTTTAAACCGATAGAAGTACAATGGAGCTCAATTAGAGAAGGGAGAGTTAGAATCCAGGTCGATGACTAGGAAACCAGGAGGAGACTGAAAGCTAGCTATTGGGCTATATTGCACAGTCAGTAGCCAATTGCAACACTGGTTTTAGATGAAGACCTTACAACTGGTCATAAAGCTATCCCTTTATTCTTTTAAATCACCGTAGGTAATTGACTGATAGTCTGTTCCTGGTGTCAGCGGCATTCCTTTCAACCAATATCTCTCTAACCTGATCGGGACTAGATCCATGTTTTCACCTTTGTCTCTAGGTTTGAATCTTAATGGAATCAAAGACCCTGGATTGTGGATCTGAGGTTAATTGCAGTACCAAGTCTGGCCGTGGGTCCCACATGTACAGGCGATCAACCACGTGGTGTTGGATTGAAGGCCAACCGGGCCGAGCCACGGAAGATGTCTCTCTCTGAAATAGGGAGATTGGCCTGAGGTCTTTCCACGAAGCAGTTGAATTCAATTCAAACGCAATGAGTGACCAAATTGAGGTTTGGCTCACATTGCTATATGGCTGTGTTCAGATGCTTTCCGGCGATAGTGCTGGTCCTAATCCTGAGCAACTCCTGGCTGCCAACTTCCAGTAGTAATAGCCGATGAATGCCATGACTTATTTCGTCATTCTCACTATCTCATGTTTCCGAAGTCGAACCTTCCCATACTGTTCCAGAAGAAGTAATCACAGCAACCAGGCTCAATCCCTTCGAGATCAGACCCTTCGAAAGATGGAAGATCTGATTCCAGGCTCACAGAATTCCACTTCCCAGCCGGATCTCAGTTGCAGATAGATATGCCGCCCCATATTGCCACAAACCTTCTTATAGCCGAGGTATAAGGCACCTCCTTACAGCCGACGAACGAAAGCAAGACCGGACTGACGTTAATCATGAGAGTTTCAACGTATTTCCCCCATTCAGAGTATAAGACCCAGAACGCATAATATTATCAACACGACTATCATCTATACCCCATGTTTTGAATTAGATCAGGCCACTAAACTCCAACCCCCCGCACTTTCGGGGCTTGCCGAAATGGACCGAGCTCCACATTACCGAGGATATGCTCCTGGAAACACATTCACACACCTCAACCCCTCCAAAATGGCCGAACGGGCGCATAAGCGTAGGAAGCCTACGCCAGGAATGACTCAAAACCCGGCCGTTCTAACCACCGTCCCACTTGATAATTTATTGACCGAGATCCACCGGCTCCTCGGTCCAACCTGGGCCTTACCCCCCTACGACAACCTATTACCGCCATTTCTCAAGCCACCATCGTCGCGGTTGCAGATTGAAGATCTTAACTACCTGGTAAGGAAAGGCGCGTTCGATGTTCCACAGGGTGCACTTGGCCAAGAGATTTTTAAATCTTATATTCGGCATGTGCATCCCCATATGCCGTTTTTGGATCTCGATCTCTTTTCAGATGCCATCTTCAATACGAGGCATACCAGAGATGATGAGCAGGGCATTAGTCTTCTTCTGTTCCAGGCGGTCATGTTTGCCGGTGCATTCTTTGTTGACTTGAAACATCTTTACGCTGCCGGGTTTCTCTCTAGGCGAAGTGCACTGGAAGCACTATTTCAAAGGGCCAGGGTAGAATATTCAATGTCCTTGACTCCCGTATACTACTGACACATTCCTACCAGGCTCTCCATGATTTTGACTGCGAAGAAGACGAGCTCATCGTTCTCCAAAGTCTCCTTCTCATGACATACTGGTCCGAAAATCCGGATGGAGTCAAAAATGGTCGATACTGGATCAATGTCTGTGTCTCACTCGCAAGCAAAGTCGATCTCTACCCCGATCCGTCAGACATCAAAACCACCTCGGGGCGATTCAAAAATCTTCTATGGTGGAGCATGTTCACTCGCGACAGACTGGTCGCACTCCCATTGCAAGAGGCCCCTCTCATCAAAAACGAAGTATACCTATCACTGCCGATACCCACAGCGGAAGAACTGGGAATATTCCCTCCCCGATCTCCATTCAGCAACGACTACGCCAATACCTGTTACCAAGATAACGGGAACAATCTGGCGCTGATCTTCATCGAGAAGATCAAGCTATGTCGCTGTATCAGAGATGACATGTTTTCATGGGGTTTGCAAAGACCAGATCTCGGGTCCAGGGGTATCAAAGCACGGCGAGAAAGCTTAATGCTATCAAAACTGGATTTGGATGACTGGCTCGAAGGATTACCAGATGAGATTGCCTTCCGACCGAAACCGTTTTTAACACCCAACGACGCGGATCTGATATTCCATGTCCATTGTGCATGGCTACAGATGATATACTGTGAGATCCACAGCACTCTTCATCGGCAACTGGAGTTCTTCGCTGAGCAAGGAAATACATCTCGTCGAGTACTCTTGTCGGATTCTCTGGGGTGTCCGGTTCTACGTGGCGCTGTGGAGATGACGACTGTTATCGAGGATCTATGTCAGAAGCACATAATACGCTACCTACCCACCAGCAGTGTCCCCATGGTTCTCCGGGCGTGTATCATTCATATCCAGCAGATGTGTTCTGGTGATGCCCAGGTTGAGCGTACAGGTCTGAAGGGTCTGTTGCAGTGCATTCGCGCACTGCAGCAACTTAGTAAGGTCTATGGCTGTGCGCTGTTTCTGACATCTATACTTGGAGGCCACGGAAGTGAGCCGCTGGGCTCGTCTCCACAAGACCTATTGAAAAGTTTGGATATGGACACGCTAGATCGGCTAACTTCGGGGTATCATGAATCTGCGACGTCGATGGTCAGGATCAGGGAGCCGTATGACGTGGACGTTATTGCTCAATTAAGGACTAGGCGAGAAAGCATTTGTTATTGAGTGTTTTGTTAAAAGTTTCAGCATTTGAGCACCATGTGTTGAGTTATGGTGACACTCACTTGGGAGCGCTAAAAACCAAAATGAGAGATACCATTGATGACTATGGTAGAGCAAGTCTTGAGAAGACAGACGTACGTTGTTGATGAAAATATCGATAGAGGACATAGCTATAGTTGCTATTTGGATTTACCAAAACTACCAACCAAAATGCGAAGACAAGAACAAGGCACAAGCCGTGAAAAGGGCAATATTAGGGCCAGAATGAAACACGCAATAGCAAAGAAAGACGCGTCGCGATCTCTGTAGAAAAAATTCGAAATTGAAATGTAGAACCCGAACGGCAGTTCAGAGGTCACGAAATTCACGTTGTAAGACTAAGGTCAAATGCAATCGACGTGTAAAAGATAAAGTCAAAGGAAATCGGGGGGTATCGATGGGATAATGAAATCAATAACAACGAAGATCAGTCTGAGAAAGACAAAACCCAAAAGCAAGAATCATGAAGACATGAGGGATCGAGGCTCCAGATGGAGGTTATGAAAGAAACCATGGCGAACGTTCTATAACCCGTGGTCGTGTACCTTGCCATCCTTACCTGATCCTTGCCATCCTTACCTGATCCGCCAACGAAAGAAAAGGAAAATCAAAAGCACGACAGAATAGACCGTAAACCGTAGTCACAGTAAATGCGTTCAGCAAAATAAACAAATAAGGCCAAAAAGTACTCCTCAAGAGCCATAGCTCTCTCACTCCTTGTACGCCGACTAATCGGGACCTTCATTAGACGCCGTGTATGCAACATGTCACCACAATATAATCCAGATGAGATTAATTTGCAGCTCAATTCATCTCCATTCCATATTCGTCCTCTTCTTTGAAGCTCATTCCAGCGTGACCAGAAGTGCTCCAGTACTGAGCTTGGCCGCCGTTGTTGCTGCTAGCACCGCTGTGGTAAGAGGGGCTCAAATTAGGGGGAGTGAGGCCGTCACCACCCTGCATAGCATCACCGGCAAGGTTGGTGTGCTTCGGAACCCGCAGGCCACTACCCGGACCTCGTGTGTAGCTAAAAGAAGTGGGATCGTTGTTCTCCAAGGCATCGAGGATCTCACTGCGCATGCGCTTTTCCTCCTCGGTGGGTTCAAATGGCCAAGTGCCACCAAGGCTGCTGATCATCTCGGCGAGCTCAGCTTCCTGCTGGTATTTGACATTCAAGGCCCACATGAGATCGCGCATCCAGCTAACAGCTCCGTTCAAGATATCTCCCTTGTTGGGTCCCTTCTCCTTCTCTTCAATAGGGAGACCCATAGTAATGTTGCCAGGTGTGGCGCGGCGTCCGTTGCCCCCAGCAAGGAGGGAGGTGGCAGCATTTCCACCGGCACCAGCCATAGAAAGGGCGCTGTTGTTTACGAGCTGCTTTCGGACCTTGTCATCCTCCAGTCGGTGCTGAGGTACCAAGTGGGAGAGGTCCTGAATGCGTTCGTTGATGTTGTCGCGGCGGCGGCGCTCAACCAGGTTGTGAGAGGCACGCCGACGTCGACGCTTGGCTTCCTGTGATTCAAGATCTTGGGCGCTGCCGGGCATGTGGTTATCAACCTTGGCAGGCAGGGAGGCATGTTTGCCGGATTTGAGAATCTCCGAAATTCCGGCATGATGATGTTGGGAAGGGGAGGAAATCGGTGAGTCAACATAAGATTGTGCGCTGGTCGGGGTTCCATCCCATTGGTTCGACAATGTCTTCTGGTGTCGAGGTTGCAGGCCTCCTGTACGAATTGGCTGACCGGGGAAACTGCCAGACTCCGGAGTGCCCAAGTTCAAGGATCCAAGGGCAGGGGTCTTAGGAGTCATGGGGCTCCGGGTATCCGAGGGGGCGCGGTCCATGCTCTGCAAGCCGGGGCGGCTCTTGGCGTAGTTCTGGTCAAAGGAACCTGCGTGCATGTGGGGGTTTTGCTGGTTCATCCGGAATTGTTCATAGTTGAAGCTGTTTTGGACAAAAGGGCTGGCCATTGGGGCATTGTCCGGGGTATTAGAGTAGAGATGTGACATCTGGCTTTGGTGACTCATGGCGATGCCTCCTGTGGATTGGTCCTGCATGTAATTCATGTCGTTGCGCTGGTGGCCATTGGGCGCACTGATTTCCAAGTCCAGGAGTTCATCGGTATCAATTCCAGAGTTACCAAAGTTGAAGCTGGAGGACATGTTCTGTTGCGAGCCGTAAGAATAAGGCATAAAGCCGCCTTGCTGCATGGACAAGTCCGAGGGGTCCACAGCCTCGTTGGGATTTCCAAACTGGTTACCCATGGAATAACCGGAGTGAGACATCATGAAAGGATTGCTGTGATCGTCAGATTCGTGTTTGATGAAAAGACTTGCTTCTGCCATTTTTCCTGGATACCAAGGGTTGTGTATGAAGATTGTGGGGCAGCGCGGGGTCGGCGAAGTGGGAGAGAAAGTCGTCGCGCCGGATTACTGACCCTCTCTAGATAGATGAAAATGGACAGCACAGGGGCGACTGTCACAATAATCAATGGGTGGGGATCAAAAATCTGAGAATTCTATTTATACAGCCAGTTAGCTTCGGATGGTTTCACCTGCGGAAAGGGGGGGGGCAGGATAGGTCGGCAAATGGGAATGCGCTTGCCTGCGTCGGCAAGGCGCGCGACGAGGCAACTACTTTGGCCAGACTAATGACGAATAAGAAATCGCGATAAGTACCTTTCTGAACCAGATGTGCAAGATAGATTGATCCCTAGAATCGCGATGTCGGAGGACTCCGACAAAATTTTGGTTGGTCGTGTAGGTGGGATGAATGGACGGGTTCGGGGAACAAATTGTCCGGGGAATTGCAGATCGGAGGGTCCCAGGCCGAATAGACCGGGGTTGAAAGTCGAAAATAAAAGGGTATCAAAGAGGATCCTATAAGACCCGAAAATCTTCAATGAGCCAAGTACCAGGGGAAGAAAAGGATAATAGGCAACGTGGTTAAGGGGAGGAACAAAGGGTAAGAAAAAAAAAAAGGGCGGGAGGTAGGTAGATAAGCGCGGGCAAAAAATGCAGCTAGAAATCGAGCAGAGTTAAGAAACCAGGTCCTGCGCTATCCTCAAGCAGAACAAGTCCCGTCTTTTCTCTGTCAATTCCAGCTAGACAAAAGATAAAAATAACAAAGGCACATTCGAAACAAGTAAAAAGCGGAGAGCGGGGAAAGCGAAGTAACAAGCGGTGGAGAGGGGGCGGTGAGTCAGTGGCAAGGAGATATCGCGAAGTGTACAGACCCACGCTCGGATTGCAATGCAATACGAAGCCCACGTCATCTCACAAACTGTTGGTGGAGTGGGAAAGAAATCAAAGCGACCAAGAACGAGTAGAAGAAGAAGAAAAATAAGAAAAAGAAGAAAATAGCAAGTTCTTACCTGATCAACCAGAACACTTTGGTAGATGGAGGAGGATCTTGATTTGAGTGTGTTGTTGTCTGCAGGAGATGTAAGTAAGAGGGATGATCATGGAAGAAGACAGCCATGCCAATAACCGCAGAGCCCCTACACGTGTCGATAACTACAGAGCTCCCTACACGTGGCCCACTGGGTGAAGCTCTGGGCAGGCAGCAATGCAGGAACGAACCGGGGGGGGGGGGGGGGCACCAAGGCATCCCCAAGGCCAAAGGGATATAAGGAGCCTAGAAGGCAACGTACCTGCGTTGAGACGACGGAAGTAAGTCTTGATCCACTTGTAGGGCTTTGCGAATCATGGGGCGCAGGAATGGGGCGCAGGATACGAGAAACCAGTGATGGAGTGACAACACAGCAGCCGTGGATGCAGAAAGGAAAAGCACTTGCAGAAAGATCGAGGAAATGGAGACTTTAAGAACTCAAGCCCCTAGCCTCTCATTTGATATATTACAGCATCGGTCATGCAGCCCGTCGATCGGTGGAAATCGATGAGGCTTGCCGGACGTCGGCATCGGACATACGGTGCCTTGGTTTTTTATTTTTATTTTTCAATTATTTTACATTTTAACAATTTTATGATTACTGTTTCTGTAAAAGGTGTGGGAGGTAAAAAGCTGAAGGAGGGGTGTGCATGAAGGGTGGCAACAGCCAACCCCCGAGCCTCTTGTTTTCCTTGGGATTCGAGGTTTTTGGTATTTTGGAAATTTGATTGATAGACATGATCTGTACAGAAAAAGACGGAAACTGGGACGAAGGGGGGAAGGGTGATACAACCGGATGTAGTTAACGGCGTCTATCCCATGATGCCGTAGATGTTTGTCACCTGTATTGGCGTCATGACTCAGAAAATCCAAAATTATAAATCCAAAATTATAAATAAACAATCTTAGACCTTGATTGCACAGGGGAAGAAGAATGTATCAGATGGACATGGGTTACAGGAAAAACAACATAGTAGGTTTGGGCAAACCACCAGAACCAGTGAGGTCTGAAGGAAACCCTAATCTATCAAGAAGATGTGCATTAGTGTGCCCGAAGGTAGAGGGGGGGGGAGAAAAGATCCCCCAATAAGACCATGTGGATATGACAAGGGGACGATCTCTAGGTATGCAGAATGGATTGATAATCTGGTACCAAATCCATAAATCTATAAATCTAGAAATTCAAAATTCATTTTTTAAATTCCTCGAGGAAGGAGTGCCGGAGATCGACAAAGCTCGAACATGAGACGCGCCGGAGAATATAACCCAGAAAACAGACTGCAGAGGGTATAATGTCAAAGTCGACAGTGTCCACGGCGTCGGATCTCACCTTCGTCATTTCACGTAAGCCCCATCAACTCTATCCAGTGCGTGATGGGGATGCAAATGTCGTGCAGCCCGGTGGCGATCATACTATGATCGGAGCGTGGACCGTGCCCTTTCTCTCCGCGAAGCCCCGAGCCTTGATGCTTTTGCTTTGTTGAAGGTCCGTGTGTTCAGGCTCCAGCGCAACCTGATAACGGTTCTGTGGTCTCCCGGTGTGGTACTGGCGTATGCGCACTTCGACGAGGCACGATTTCAAGAATGTGGCGGCGACACACGATTGGAGGGGCTGGAATGTGTCTGAGATGGCCCACCAATCATGTTTGGGAAAGGACCACCTTCATAGAGCGAACCTGTTTTGATCCCCTCTTTTGGAGACTGAGCCACATCGCGAAACTTTTCCATGCGGATCATACTGTAGGAATGTGTCTAAGCCACCCCACCTCGGGGGGGAGAAGGTGGGTGGGAACGAAATGGACTGTAAATTCCGATGCCCCAGTCTTGTATCCTCAGTACGGGATGATCTCCGTGGGGTGATGCACGGATAGAAGGAAATCATGGATGGGGTCTTGGATCTTCTTACTACGTCCCGTCCCGTCAAGGTTCGGAGGGTATCGCCGAGTATCCACGGTTGACGCAAGGAGGCATCTACTGAGCTGAGGGTTTCCGGGCTGAAACCAGATAAGAGTTTCTATTTCGCATTATCGTGTCTTCTACGCAGTAGCATGCATACAGTCCACAGCCCATGACGTCGCCAACGGTGCCGTACCGATTCATGCGCGGGCATAACACGGAGGAATTATGGAGGAGCATGCAAAAACCTGGGAAGAAAAATGGAAAGCCCAAGAAGAATGAAGCTAGTGGGAAGCCAATGTTACCCAAGGCCGTTTAGGGATTACAGGGCAATATCTCCATTCGGCTCTCGGATAATTCGTTATGGTCGTACATGCGGGTAGCGACGTTAGAGGTAAAGGGTATGCAACCTCATATCGAGCACTTTCAGGGAGTGCTTCCGATACGACTGCGGGACGATGGAGCCGCCATTAGAGAGCCAGATGAAATTCTGCAGACTAATATAGTGCCGTCGTCATGGTCCAAAGACATTCGCGATCGTCAACAGGGTGTGCACCAACCAGAGGGATCAGCAAAAACCATTACGAACATCATGTACCCAGATAGCTGAGTCATGAACATTTACGAAATTAAATCTATTATTCTCATAGTTTGTAGCTCAAATATAAACCATACATACTGAATGATTTATTGGATCGACTTATTGGATGACATACTTATACGCAAATCCGGTTATGGCATGCCGCATTAGCCCCTCCCAAATACCAAATATTCAGTCTGACTTTCCAAATACCGAATGTGTTCTAGATAGCGCATGTACTAGTTCCAACCTAGGTTTTGCTTTTTTGGCGAAGTGAGAAGAAGAAGTCCAACGAGTGGAGGGATCAATAACGAGTGGAGAGGAACTTGCGGAGACCCATGGTCCGTGCCCCTTCTTTGGGGTCAGTGACCTCGGATCTTCCCAACTTCCCTATCCCCCCTTCCACACCATTATCTCTCCAAGGTATGTACCATCTAGACACTAAACCCTAGCTTCGAAACATGTATCATCTGACAGCTTCTTCATTCAGCGCCGATCTGGGCTGCTCGCATCGGTAGCTCTACGCCATCTCGTCATCCGGCTTGATTGACCTTCGACTTTCTACCCCCCCCCTCTCGAATAGTGCAGCGCTTCCTGATCCAATCATCGCTCGGCTCCCTCGCCGTGATTGACTTCCCCTCTTGTTGAAAACGAACCCGGGAAGGTTCAACGTCTCTCCGCTTGGCGAGTCCACTGTGTTGACGTACTCTCTTCAAATCCCGCCTGTGCCGCGTCGGATTACTCCACTCGCAACTTTACCCCTCTGCTGGCAAAGGTCAGCAATAGTGCGTATTTGTCCCGGATAGTGTGGAAGATCAAGCGGTCTGGCGCGTATCAAAGACAAGGCAAAAATCCACTATTTGAAAGCGTGTGGATCACCCGTAAGGTTTTCGATCGCCTTGCCCATTCTCAGCGGTGTTGCACGACCTCTCCAATAGGCGGCCGTTGTCGTCATCTTGTAGGGCTCGATTCAACTCTGATCACAGCCGTGCTCGAGACAAGTCGGGGCCGTAGTCAAGTTGGGAAGCCGAATCCGCGTTCGGCGTGGGCGTCATCTGCTCCTCCGTTGGCTTGCTCTAGTCCCCACAATCCAGCCAATCCTCTGGGATCAGCTCATCACCCGGCGCAGATCATCTGCACTCCATCGTGCATAGTCCCTGCAGGCGTTTTCTACTGTGAATTTTTGGGCCACGGGCCTTGTCTGCAGACGCGGCCGTGCTCGCTCCCATTTTGCCTTTCAATTGGGATTACTCTCATTCCAGATAGACAGTAGCCAGTGTTCACTATGGCTACCAACTCTTTCCGTGACTCTGTCAACTCGCTAGGGTGGTCGCGCAGAGACCCGGATTTTCCCGTCCGTACTAATGCTTCCTCTGAGACCCCGTTCCTTTCGCGGCTACAATCCATGAACCCGTTTGGCCAGGGTGGCTATGTTCAATTACCCACCCACAATGAGGCCCCAGGCGCGCCCTTGCCTGCATCCAATCGCCGGGAAGAGGAAGAGGGTTTCTTTGCCTGTGAGTATTTTGCTTTTTTCCATTTCCATTATTCATTTTTATTTCCCTTTTTCCTTTCTCTGCTACGCTACTCCATCCCGTGATCCATACCTACGATCAACCTATTGCGGTGCTGCCTTGTTCCAGGTGACGAATATGCAGTTCCTGCGCCGGGAAGATTCATCATGGCTATGCTTGTCTATGTGGTTGTGATCCGAAGGGAGATTTCAACATGCGCTAACGAGAACTGTGTCTAGTGAGTCGTTGGGATCGGATGCTCATATTTGGCGCCTGTAACTTGGGTGCCGCCGTCTGCTTCATGATATGCTTCTTCCTGTTTCCAGTTCTCTCGCTCAAGCCCCGCAAATTCGCCGTTCTGTAAGTATTCCCCTTAGCGCCATCGGGGCCTTCTGCATCTTGCGTTCCCAACCCCACCCACCCTTTCCACATCTCCGTTCAGCTTCTCTACGGGTTCTATTCCAGCCACTTAAATCCCGAGCTACCGTGATCCTGGTCATGGGCGGTATTGGGCTCGGACCATGTGCGAATTCATGGCCGTGCAAGCCTGGTTTTATTCGTTCATTCTCAACGTCCTGCGCCTCATGCCAAGAATTTCCAAAGCAAGACCACCATAGGATATCTCCGTGCTAACAGAATGTCTTTCTTTGTAGATGGTCTGTCGGTTCAGTCCTGTTTTTGCTATCATGGGCAGTCCTCATGGGACCCTGGTCTTACGCTAGACATTTGGTCTCGGGACCACGGTTGCCCTTCACGGCAGCATACTTTGGATCGATCGGACTTACATTGTACTTTGCTATTGGGGTAAGTCTTTGGATTCTCATTTTGGTATCATTTTTTGTCAATCATCAAGTCCACACACAACCACTACTTTGTACGCCAGCCTGGTCGCACAGTACCGGGGGAAAGGGAATTCCTACGGTATATCGCAGTACTACATGACCTGTCCCGTCACGCCGGCAGACATTTTTGCGGAGAAGGCGGCGGGGCTATTATCAATAACACCCTATCTCATCGGTTTCTGTGCAACTATGCTGCTGCAACAACAAAACCTTGCGCCACTTCCATCTACCTCAGACACCCCGAATACACATCTCACTGTCCCTGGCACCAGCTCGCTGGAAATGTTGCACGATTTCGAACCCCTTTCTACTGTCCCTTGCTCAAGCTGCAGCTCCATGAAGCCTTTGCACTTCCCTCGTTAATGCAGCATGGACCTGGCTAACATCTCTCTCATAGCTCCAAAACCTCTTCCTCACGCTCATCTCCTCCATCTTCCAGCTCGCCGCCCTGGTCTGGTATCTGGTCAGTTATTTCCCCATGGGCAGTACCGGTCTGCAGTTCATGGGCCGTTTCGGTGCGTCGCGAGTTTCTGCTTGGATTTCTGGTTGAGACTTGTTGGCCTTATACCCCCGAAGTGACCGATGAACATCCAGCGGGCGCAAAGCAGTCGCCAGTTGTTTTGCATAGACCAGCAAGCGTCATCATTCCCCCTTTTTGTATATGTAATGATGTCCATAGTGGAGATAGAGGTCTTGGTATTATTTGTCTTTGTTCTGCATTCTTATTTAATAGCCCAGGGGCATATACCCAGTTCATCCAAGGATCCTACTTATTGTACAAGTGCCCAGCAAGTCTTTCATTCCTGCCACAGTTTCCTCGTGCAGATAAGTAGACCTCGCTATTACTATCTACCCTGAAATCATGCGAGCGTAGGCAATAATTTGCATAGTCCATCAAAGCACCGATCCTGACAAGATAATTCCAGGCCTTCTATCGCATCTGATCGTGGTGTACATGTACGCCTTGGAACCAAGTAACGTCCTCTTTGTAACCCTATAACACCAAAATTTTATCTTCATTATATGTGCCCATCGTACAAAGGTAGTTGACCGCGAAAACCTCATGTTACCTCCCCAACCACTTCCTAACAACGTCCCGCTTAGGAAACCCCATCCCCCATCCATTCCCGTAGACAACTCTCGTGTCTCTCTTGTCCCATCCTCAAGCATATTTACACAATCATCACACTCCTGCAACTCAAAGTTTGTGTGAGAAGGTGTAGAATTCTCTTTCTCTTTTCGCCTTTTCTGGACGCAGTTGTAATACTTGGCGAGGAAAATGGAATGACGACTCCACAGAAGAGGCCGATTGCCACACCCCGGAAAGATTCTTATAGACCTTTTGAGAAGAGAGCTGGAAGGTCGGAAATCATCTTGAACGGTGAAACTGATATTTGAAATCAGATATTTTGGATCTGTAGCAGGGATGATCAGGTATAAACAGCAGTACGAATATCATCTATTCTTAGAAATCCAGTGATTGTGACCCATTTAGGGACCATAGTCTGTCGTCTTAACCAAATTTTGGAGTCAACCAACCACGTATATCAAACCTCATTCATCCGTCATATTGTTATTCAAGGCGTAAAATTTTATGAGAACGTTGTACTCTCGCCGGTCACGGATATCTATAAAAGGCCAACAGAGACATAAAAACGATCAATCCTTCTCGCCCAAAAACGCCAATCCCTCCAAACTACCCTTCTTCGCAAACCTCATCCCATCGAAATAATTATAGGCGGGCCCCCAGATATCCTGATTACTAGCCTTAGGCAAATGCCCCTGCGCTTTGAGCACATAAGTTGAGTTCAAGCTCATGAATCGCCGCGGCTGCATGCTTCTAGCTTCGACAGGATCCAACCATGGAACAGCAGCAATAGCGGATCGATCATCCATCTCCTTCAATAACCGACAGACGAAAACTGAGGTCGCATCTGCACCAAGCGTCCAAGATGCATTTGCGTACCCGAAGAGGAATACCGCGTTGGGCAGATCTTGGAACATCATCCCCCGCCATGTGTATTTCTCAGGAAGAGAACACGGGATTCCATCCACCGAGAGGGAGATATTTCCTCCAAACTGGACGTTGAGGCCTGTTGCTGTGACGATCATATCTGTGTCGAGGATGTCGCCAGAATGCAATGTGATGCCTGTAGATGTTACTTCTTTGATCGTATCTGTTTTCACATGCGCGCGGCCAGTGTGGAAGCTTTTGAAAAAGTCGCCGTCTGGTGAGACGCATAGGCGCTGGTCCCAGGGATTATAGCTCGGACTGAAGTGCGGGTCGACAGGGATGTGATTTGGAAGTTGGCGAGCGACACCACGCTGTAGCATCCGCTTTGTGGCATTGGGGAATGATTGGCTGAAGAGGTAGAATAAACGACCCATATATAGGTACCGAAAGCGCTTGATCTTGTTTTGAATTGATGTTGGTAGAAAAGATGTGAGCCAAGAGCCGGTCTTATTTCGTACAGAGACGATGTATGAGGGGCTGCGCTGCAGCATGGTCACGTCTGCTTTTTCGGCCAGTTTAGGGAGGAGCGTGATTGCTGTTGCACCGCTCCCGATTATGACGATCTTCTTTTCGCTATAGTCTAGATCTTCGGGCCAGAATTGGGGGTGAATAATTTGGCCTTCAAACTGGTCTATGCCTGGAATATTGGTTTGGAGAGGTCTCTCATAGTTGTAGTATCCCGTTCCGAAGACCAGGAATCGCGCCGAGAAAGACATTGCGTTAGGCTTGTCATTTCGCTCAACGCTCAGTGACCAGGTCTTGTCGACTGATGACCAATCTGCACCGAGAATACGGTGCTGGAACAAGATCTTTTCTTTGATGTGGTGCTCCGTGGCTGCATCCTCCATGTAATTGACAATAGCTGAGCCATCGGCAATAGGGTTATTTTGGGACCAAGGATACCAGTCGAAGCCGAAGGTAAAAAGATCCGAGTCGGATCGAATTCCGGGGTATTTAAAGAAATCCCAGGTGCCACCTAGATTCTCACGGGCTTCCAGAATTACATAGCGAAGGGAGGGGAATTGGGATTTGATTCGGTATGCGGCGTTGATCCCAGAGATACCCGCACCAATGATGATCACGTCAAAGTCGTTATCCATGATATCTGTTGACCTGAGAAAGAATTGCTCTGGCAGTAGGATAGAGTACCTATCAGATCGCCCAGCTTTATATGTCGCAAGATACAGGTATAACACCCAAGGACAACGTTGCGCTTGCCTCGGTCCAACGTCTAGTACGCGAGGAGACGTTTCAAATTTGGGACAAATCTCAATATGGCAAGGACGATGCAAGATAGAAACCAAACGAGGATACTCGTAGTCGATGTCAAATACTGATCGGCGTGGATCTCACTCTTGCATTCTGATTGCAGTGTTTAGGGTTTGGGGCCGGTGCATCGACTGATTTGGGGGCAGTTGCGAAGGACCCACATCTCTAGACCAATGAAAACAAGTATAATCAACTCCTGAGGCCTGACCCTTCACTTATTACTCCGTTCTCCGCCCAACGGTCTTGATTCGGAATGCTTATACAAACTAACATTTCCCATTTCGCTTTTGCTGATGGGCTGTGATATCATCAGTTGTGGTCCCGCCCGATGCGTTGTAAATCTTGAGCTTCGCACGGGTGGTTCGATCTTTGCATTTGATTTCCGACGATGGGAATGGGATGACCAATCAGATCTCTGCTATGTACGTTTATCATGCCAATAGAATGTATGGTAGAGCCTGTCAATGTGGAGAGAATCAGGTTGAAGAAAATTTGCATCAGGTAAAGGACTGGTCCATTGGTCCACTGGTCAACCGGATACTTCATATAACACGGAGTATACTGTAGGTTGGAATGCAGAGCATATGACCTTGCACATGACCAATATACAAATGACGCTGGTCAGAAGGTGTGGATATTTGGATTTCCTCAAGTGGTCTATTCGAGATCTGAGGTTTTATTCAAGCGCCACGAAGTTTGTTTTTTTTTTTGAACGCTGCTCAGCAGTATTGGACGAAAGTGCAGTAGTCGGAGTTCGGAATAACTATCCTATCGAGACACGTAGCTTATAGCCCACAATATGCCACCCCGGGGCCAGATCATGCGATGGCCATACCTAATCAGGTATTTCAGTCCTATTCGGAGAAGATAGGATGTCCTGGTAAGCCCTGCTTGCTAATCTTTACTAGTGCAAGCCATGGGCTTTAAAAGCTAGTTTGAAGATCAACCACCTCGCAATACGCACAGCAATATCTAATGCAGAACAAAATACACACCATAAAGGTTATTGGAGTGCATGAAATCATCGAAAAAACCCGAGTACTATCGCGAGGCGTTGAGAACACTACATCTAAATCTACCACATTGGCTGTAAAACATTGGGAAACTGCAACCATGGCACGCTTCTGCTCCACTCTTCGGAGGAGATATAAAATGTAGTAAAGTGGCGCACAAACATAAAGGCCGCTAGGCTTAGAGTGGAGCTACTTCCGCACTAGCGGCTCAGGGCCAAACAAACGCAATGAAAACCTTATTTGAAGCGAAACCGATCTATCCGAACCGTCAAGCCACGAGGCTCTCTACACGTGGACTACATTCTAGTTTCACGGTCAAAATCCTCATTCTCCGATTGCAACCGATATGCAATGAGCGAACGGAGTAGGTCGGGGAAAAAGACGAGCCGTCGGGACGGGAAGAAAAAGTCACACCATCCCGAGATTTCTGAGCCGAGGTCGGGATCAACGTGATTATCGGCTTGATAGCTTGATTAGCAACTATAAAGAAACACTAAACTATTTACAGCCTGACGTTGCGTTCACATGCGATTCTGTTCAGACTTTTTCCTGTTTATTAAGTTCACATGGTCTTGACTCTTGACGTGCACTCTCCCACGATTCAAATTTCATCTGTGTCAAGACAACAGAAAATGGGTGTTGAAATTCCTGAATCAATGAAGGCCCTGGTGGGCAATCGCTCATTTGTGACTCGCTTGTCAAACTATGCGTGCTCAAGCTCACATGGGGATGGAGTGAAAGTCGCCACTGTACCTGTCCCCAAGATAGAAGAACACGAGATTCTCGTTCGGGTGCACTCTGTCGCTCTCAATCCGACCGACTACAAACATATCGATATTCTATCCCCTCGAGGCGCAATTATTGGCTGCGATTACGCGGGTACCGTCGTGAAGGTTGGAGCCAAGGTTACTGAGACTTGGGCAGTCGGTGATAGAGTCGCGGGAGCAACGCATGGAGGACTATATACCGATCGAGGATCTTTCGCTGAGTATCTCAAAATCCCGGCACATCTGGCGTGGAAGGTCCCTTCATCCCTCAGCGACGAGGAGGCAGCTACGTTTGGCGTGTCGGCCGTGACCGCCATGTTGGCCCTGAATACTCGACTGGGTGTGCCCTGGGCAGATGGAGGCGAGGACATAGGGCGATCAACAACACCTATTCTCATCTATTCTGGTTCGACTTCTGCTGGTCTCTATGCTATTCAATTGGCAAAGCTAGCGGGATTGACAGTGGTGGCGACTGCATCCCCACATTCTCATGATCTGGTGAAGGAATATGGTGCCGATGATGTATTCGATTATCGATCACCTACCGCTGTCGAAGAAATTATTCGCGCCTATCCTACCATTGACAGAGCAATGGACTGCTTTTCTGAGGGAGGTTCTACTGCGTTCTGCGCGGACGTAGTTCGCAAAAACCGGGGGTGGGTAGTTACACTCTTGAACTCTAGGAAGACGGATTTGGATGGTGTGAAGGTCGACTTCCTGCTTGCCTACACGGCTTTTGGGGCTGAGTTTCAATGGCTTGCTCCCTTTGGTCCTAAGTTTGGCAAGGTACCTTCAGATACCGAAGCATTGCGCAGATTCTACGCGTCATTACAGGGAATTTCCAAAATCCTCAGGCCACCACCTCTTCAGACTATTGATGGTGGGCTAGAGAACTTGACAACGGGCATTGATCTACTTCGCCATGGAAAGGTTTCAGGTACCAAATTGGTTGCGCGTTTGGTCTAGTGGAGTTGAGGATTTGGAGATTCGGTACTGGCGTTGATCGTATAGCCCAATATAATCTTAATGGTCATTCTGCGCAGTCTATATAGGAAACCAAGGCGCGTTCAGCTGATTATTCATGAAACAATCATCACGTATAATTATGTCAAAGATTGGCGCTTGAATCAATATTACGTTAAGTAGGCATATGGCATCAAGAAAATGATGATTCCCCGTGAGAAAATTTCAGGTGGTGGTATCTGACTAAAGGAAACGATAGCCCTGCAAAAAGCAATGAGCATGCTGTGCAATCAATGATATCAAGATTCAACTCTTAATTTCATGCTTCGGTTTATCTGCCACGCATCATGACCGGCCCAACAACCCCATTCACAACCTTAACACCGTTGACCTCCATCTCGTAAATCCCAGTATCACCACCAGACCCTACTTTCAACCAACGTTGAAGAAGATCATTGCTTTCCTTAGGCTTGATGTCAGGCGAGGCAGTTCCAATGGTTATGTGAGGAATGATGTTTGCACATGGCAGACCGGCTTCATTCTCGGGGTTGTTGTCAACTGCGGGCAGAATGCGTGCAACAAAAGCCATAACACGATTGTCCCAAACTAAACGCTCTAGGCGTACACGGGCAGATCCAAGAACTGGTGGGCTCTGGGTTTGATTGATAGTCATAGTGTCAATGTATTGTTTCGTGTAATGGTTCCAGATGTCGGAGCGATCATTACTCAAAGCCCGGTGGATAAGAGTGACATGGCATGTAGGCTGGATGCGTCGCTGGTTCACAAGTTGGTGGTACAAACGTGAGGTTTCCGCGGGTACTTCAGGGGTGAAGAGAGAGTGGAGGACGGAGAAGACCTCATTGGCTGCAAGACCGATTTGGAAGAATTCAATTTTCCGGGCCAGAACTGCTGGAGAGACATCAGCATCCGAGACATGCTGCGAGTTTTTGGACTTTTTGTTCTGCGAGTATGATCCGCTCAAGTCTTCCTTGACTCTGTATTCATTCATCGCAGCCTCTATGGCAGCATCCAGATCCTCAGCCGAAGGCATGTTGGGCACGATCTTGGGGTAGGCAGCATGTAGGGCAGCCACGACCGTCTCAAGGTTCTCTCGCGAAGATGCGCACACGTCTAGGTCAATGACGTGATGGAAATGCTCGTCTGGATCTCGGCTTGTGTCAATACCTTCAAATCGATACAAGAACCCGTCCATGATCCCAATGGTCTCTTCGGGATTCTTTGTGCCGGCGCGAATGGTCTGGTGGTTGTCGCCACGCTCCAATACTCGCTTTCGGGTGACTTCTTTGATGGCTGGTAGCATTTCATTCTTCGGCTCATGGACATAATGAAGGGCAACAAACTGAGCATGGGGGACAACGGGAGAGATGTCCTCTATCAGCTGCTTCCGTTCGCGTCGCTGGTGGCTGTTGCGGTCCGCAATCACCACTGGACTTGTTGCCATGGCTTTCGTAATTTCGAATGCAAACTTCTTGGGTTTATGCTTCTGCTTGGGGATGTCATCATTCTGGATGTGGCCCCACCCGAAAAGATGAACGAGGGCCAAAGCCAGAGTAGTCTTTCCACATCCCAGAGAAGCGATCGGGGCGATGATAACGTCACGCTCGATGTTGTCACTTTTTTTGTCTAGCTGGGCTTCCATGGCGATAATTTCAGAGCCATTCAGGCCTCGCTCTTTCAGAAACTGTTCTCGCAATTCGATGATGCCGTGATTTTGATTGTAGAGTTTTGCCTTTTGGGGGTGCTTGATGAGTTCTCTGCGTGCGAACTGGAGATATTCCTCGGTGATCTTCACATGTTTCTTGATGTGGGGAAGCTTTCCTGAGATCACAGCCTTTGTGCATTCACGCCACTGTCGGTACATGAGGTAAGGCTCTTCAAACTTGTATTTGAAAAACCAGTCACGGTAGGGACCCTGGCCACCGTCATTCATCTTGCAGCGAACCACAAAGCCTTCAGTCTCCCGACCATCCCATGTCCCAGTCTCGGCCGCGTCTTCCAGAAATTTCTTCACGTCATCAAGTTCATCATATTTGACAAACTTTGCTTTTTTAAACCCCCATTTGTCGGCAAATTCATGGACTGCCTCGCTGGGTTTTGTGGAAAATTCAGGGAGGTTGTAGTTGAGACCATGCAGATATATACCAGCAGCGGCCTCATCATACGCCAGAACATGTTCTTCGAAGGAATCGTCACACAGCTCACCTACGGCTGTAAGGTTGTTTTCGCGCAGTTCCCGTGCAAGGTCTTTCGTTGATTTGTTCACGGAGGCGACATGACGCTCCACCCAATTCTCACCAGCTATAGCATGGCTGATTTCATAGTCGTTACGCCATCCGGTGGAATGCTTGCTGCAAACCAGCAATTTGTCATCCTCCAGGCCTGAGATGAAGATAATACACCCATTCTCCTTCACACTCAGCTCATATGGACCTCGCGTGTTATTCTCGATATTCCTCCAACGCGTGTTTTCGGTTTCACCCACATTGTGAAACTTGTCGTACCCACGCACAGAGATTTCCGGTATACCATCTTTGCGTCGGGAAGTGAAAAGACCGCGGGCATATGTTGGAAGGTCAGATCGCTTGTAGTCCCAGTCCATGAACTTCCAAGACTGAACCGTCACATCCTCGGCCCCGTGGACCTTGAAGGTCGACATTTTACAGGTATAAGTCCGCTTCTTCTGCGCCGTTTCCATCTTGCGAGCATCTTCTAAGCTTTTCAGCAGCTGCGCTATGACATGAGGATCTTGGCGCGCCATAGTTGTGGCTTAGAAACCAGTGTCGCGTGGTGAGGTGTGGGTGAAATACGGGAGGGGCAGTCGAAGTGGGGTGGAGGGGTGGGCGATAGGAAGAGAAGGTAAGGCAGGAACGAGTGAATTTAACCTTCAGGCGTCGCTTTGTCAATTCTTCAGGTGGAGCCTTTGAGGCTGTGAATACGGGTAGGAGTCAATTGAGAGTCATAAGGCTGTGTGTGTGTCACTGCGGGGAACTAAATAGGAAAGGCGGACAAGCCTTATCGTGACTTTTTTTTTTTTGCCCGTGACATAGAGATTTCTCTCCAGGACTTAAATAAACTTCTGCCTTGAATGATTCACTGGGAAAAATATTTTCAGACACAAATTTAATCTCTGACTCATTTCTTCACCATGGCCCAGCCAAACCCCTACCTCCTTGCTTGCGACAACCCCACGGCGCTTCTGGATCTGCTGCGGTCTAATCCCGCAATCGCATCCTGCCAGGATGAGTCTGGATACTCGCTTCTCCACGCTGCCGCATCCTACGGTCACACTGATCTCCTCCGCGCACTCGTTAAAGAATTCAACGTTGATGTAAACCTGGTCGACGAAGACGGCGAAACATGCCTGTTTGTGACAGAACAGCCCAAGGTCGCCCGGTGCCTGGTTGAAGAGCTCGGGGTGGACTATAACAAGACAAACAATGAAGGCATGAAGGCCTATGAGAAGATGGAATCTGAGGAGGAGAATCCCAATGTGTCTAGCTACCTTCGCGAAGCTAGTGGCGCCCCTGCTGCTCCTGTCGCCGACGAGCCCGCAGGCCCGTTGAATACCCCGCCGCCGATCCCTGGTAACATGCAAGTCAACGTCGGTACTATGTCGGAGCAAGAAATGAATGCAGGCGAGGCCGAAGTAGATCCCGAGTTCAAGCGACGAATTGATGAGTTGGCGGCTCGTGATGACTTCAACAGCCAAGCTACTCAAAATGAGCTACGTGAACTTGTGATGGATGCTATCGCTAGCTCCAGCATTGAAAACAATGGGCGCGAATCTCGCCAAAGGACGGAATAAAGCGACATACCCTTCGAAATCATTCGGCAAATCTCTATTGCATCGGCGCAATCTTGAAAAGACTACATGTTTGACCATATCATCTCACGACTCTATGAATTGTACTTGTCTACACCATGGAATTTGTTTTCCATTCTATGTCATCCAAACACTCCCCAAAATAAACTGTCAGGAGTCTGACCACTCTGAAGATACCCGGGCTATCTTGAGATGATATGGTACAAAGAGGTGGAGGCAACCGATGCGGCAGGCTACTGTTGCTACGAGAGACACGAGGCAGCTGACATGTTGGTCCGCTGGTCGCTGAATATGGGCAATCTGTGGCCTTTGCTGTAATTAATATGAATAAATGAACTCCATGATCATCAAAATATGGCTCAATATTCCAATGGGAGGCCATCTGAGGTAATCTTCTTGTGAGGCAACGGTCGCAGTGTAGATACTCCGCCAAGCTTGAGCTGCCCGCTCTCCAACTCCGACCTCCGAACCCCACACCTATACCAACAGCCGACCACCCTAGTGTACATCATGTCTCAACCAGCGTCGCCCTTTCCTACACATTCCCCCTATTATTCAACCCCAACAATGCCACATACCACTATGAATGCCGATACACCTCCCCCTCCACCCCCCAAACCCAGCAGCCACGAGGCAAGCCGAGGAGGCACCCCCCAGAACATGTCCTCCCTACCAGCGCCTCAACAGCCAACAGCCTCCGGCTATCCGCCCGATATTCAGGCTGCAGGAACCCAAGTAACACCATATCCTCTACCCACTCCGCTCCCTGCACCACCAACAATCGAAGAGGGCTGGCTCCCAGAAGTAGTCAAGGACAAGTCGTAAGGTCCTCAACTTCCCAACCACGATAACAATCTAACAATTCCAGAACCCTCGATCTCCAATCCATTCTCAAAGACCCAAACCTTATTTCCGCACTCTCAAGCCACCATCCCTCCCACACCGCGCGCCAACAAAACCTCGAATCCCTGCTCCAAGTAAACAAGGAGCTCGCAACGCGCGTTCTCGAAATGCAAAACCACGTCGCAGAGCTCCGGGCGTCCACAGAGACCATGCTCCTCCAACACCAGTCACTCGAAGTCTCCTGGCGCAAAAAGCAAACGGAGATGGACGCCGCCTTGGCGCCGTGGTCGCCCAAGGCACTATATCAACGGTTGAGCGCGGCGATCGCCGAGCAAGAAGCAGTTTGTCAAGCTGTGGAGGAGAGTTTTTTGGATGAGGATCACCATGGCCGTGCTACAGACAAGGAGATTGCAGATTGGGTGCGCCGGGTGAGAGCCGAGGCGTCAAAGTTGGCCTCGAGGAAAGAGGCCAAGGCGCGGTGGGATGAGGGGAGAGTTGGGGGATGGCGTTGACAGGGTGAAGTTTCCATCTGTGAATAGACGTGCAACCTTGGAGCCGTTGCCTTTATGATGCCATGCTGCCTACGAATATATGAGTTGACTGTATAAGTGTATTCAAGACTCTGTGTACTATAATGTCCAATTTCTCTTATACCAAGTAGACCACATCTGGTTTAAATTAAATTCGCCGTGCTCAAGTCTCTGCTTCCTTCTTCCGAGCACGCTGCGTCCTTCCCAAGATAATAGTACTCAAATCACCCACTGGGAGTGCAAATGGGAAATCCACGGCCTCCAAAATCTGCGCAATGAAAATATGCCAGATAGGTATACAAAGTGCGAAATTAAAGGCACCGGCAGTCTGTCAAATCACATTAGTTTTCGTCCATGATCAGAGAAGTCGATATTGCTTACCATTTGCAATTTAGCCGCAGCAGCTGTGTTCTCCAAAGCCATTTGGAAATATGTGGCTGCAGTTAAAGAAAACGTGATAACAAGGAGGAACAAGGCGAGGAAAAGGCAGACGTTCGTGCGGATTGAACAGATCAAGTAGACGAAGGTGAGAAGGGCTAGAATGACATAGTAAAGGCCTGCATTTATCCGATTAGTAAAATATTCTGGCGCATTTGGCCTGGGACAGAACGTACCAATAGTGGCATCAAACTCAGGTGTTTGAGCCCCTTCAAGTGTATTACCAGTAGAGGAGTAGTTGGTGCCTACACCAAAGAATGGCATTTGCGTTGTGCCTTGGACAATCCAGAAGGTGCCGTATGTGAAGAAGAGCGCACAGGAGAACGTGTTTCCAATGATCCATTCGCCAATTCCACCGAAAATTTGGACCATTCCGCCAAAAAAGATGAACACGGGCCTAGTGGAGAGAAACTCAGTCAGCCGGTTTCCTACCCTTGTCATGGCCAATGACAGAACATTTGGAACTTACAAGATAGCACCCCCATTACCGCCCGAGCCTCGCCATCCCATAGTCTGCATCGCGCCTGGTGTTGCAGCAAGCAAGAAACCCATTAAGGAGATCGGTGTCGGGTTACCAAATGTTCGGCGCAGGTTCCCCGCCGTCGGCAGCTTGGGACTGAGATACAGTTTTTCAAACGCGTCTCGCGGGATAGGAAGCAAAACACTATCCGCAGTCTGCATACGGCGCAGCATCTCCACAGTGGAGGTCTCCTGCTTGTCACTGGTATTGTCGTCGGACATGTTGGGCTGAAGTGGTGGCCCCAGGAACCTTGAATATGAGGTTTTATGGATGCCAGACAAGTCCGGGCGATCCATCAGATTTATATTCTGCAATGCACGCGTCAAACCCCAAACGCCTCCCTATTTCCCCACGTCCCCAGATCCATACGTCAATTCCCCATACACGCTACCCCAGAAAAAGCGGTGGGCCCGGAGTAACTCCATGGCCCCAACGCCAAGATGAGATTCGAAGAAGAAATACCTAGATCGAAGTTGTAGGTACCTTACAGAGGAAGCATCGTGAGTTTTGATTCGCGGACCGATCTAGCGCAGCCTGTCCTGTCCAAGGCAGGCGGGTCCGAGGAGGTCATTTTGTGGGGGTGTAATGCGGGGATGGGCATTCGAGACCCCGGAATTGGTTTTTCGCCCACAAATCCCGGAGGGACCGAAGGGTTTCGATGATCTTGAGTCGGCTGCATGTTGGGCTCTTCGCCTTTATGGGCGGTTGAGTTGTGCGACATATAAGAAGGTTGCATGGCGCTCCAGATAGACTTGGCTAGATGTCGTCCATGCTCCAGGTGGCGTTCAGTGAAAGTCTACTTTGTCGCTTTGTTCGTCTTCCCATGGCTCATGTACTCGGGAGGTCTTTCTCCTGAGTTCATGGCCTATTCCAAGCTTTGAGTGGCGTTCATGTTTCTAGGCATTGTCTTGTCTCTCGGAACACCAAAGAATGTGGCGATCTGACTTGAACACAACTATTCACTAATTTATGCATCTGCATTAGCATTCTGGCCCTTTCAAGGCTGGACAGCGGAGTTGCTCCGACCACTAGAAAGGTGTATATGCAGCATGAATCATTTCTGGGTGAATTGGGTTTGATCAAAGGGCCAAAATACCCGGACAAATCCCCCGCATCTTAGCAACCGCGGCACTTGGCACTTCTATACATCCGAGATAAGCATGCCAAGAATACATACCCGACCAGTGTCGCGTAGACTTGAATGATAAGGCACTGATGGGTGATCTTGACTAAATAAAGAAGGTGATTGTAGTCATAGCCATCGAGGGCCGGTGGATGTATACCTACCCTGAATAACCCCCCCGGGGTCCAATGATAAACCCCGGCTTGGTGCTTTATAATTACCCCTCGATCCCCCTCTTTTAGATGATAAGATAGACTGATAACATTTTTCTGAAGTATACCTGATAGCAGCTACGTCGGCCGCTTGGACGAATCCCAGGACATGCTGTGCTGTAAGATCTCGGCCGTGGGCTATGTTTGTAATCGCTGTACGCCCTTGGTGAACAAGTCGACGTAATCGCCAAGAGATCTCTTGCTGCTAAACTTCTTCTAGATGCTTGACACACCGTCGCTTAGAGAGTTCCCTTCCTATCAAGGGCAAACAAACCCTCATTGACGATGATAAGAACGAGATAATGCGGTGTCTCCGACTATCTCGGTAACTAGATGAGAAATTTCCGAGCAGTGGATGATACTGAGGTAGCATTCTAGACTCTGACATTCTCGGCTTATATATCAATAGTATAAATTCCTGTGAGATGGAGGTTATTGTGAGCATACTTCAGTACGCATCTATCCTACAGTAGCGAATCAATTGGCATAGTGATGAGAGGTTCTGTTGATTATATTCTGCTTGGGCTGAGTGCTTCAAGCTTAGCCCTCGCCAGAGTTGTGCCAAGAGATATTATAAGCTTTCATGGACCCCTGGATGTGACTGCTGGGTCATTGCATAACATCCATGTGGAGTTTAGTGACGAATTTGAAGGTCCCCTACAGCTTGTATATGGGGACTGCAGCGCTGAACATCCAACGCAAGGACACCATGAAGTTGTGAATATGTTCGTGAAACGTGAGGCTCAGCCAAGTCGATTTGTCTGGGTCACTCCTTCTGATGCACCCCATGAACACTGTCTTCATGCCTTCTCCGGAACGACCTTGGTGGGTCGCTCCTCACCTATCTTTGTGAGCTCACCAATCATGAGACGCGAAAGCATCGCCGATGTGGCCGATATGGAGGGTCCCTGGTTCGACGGTGTCGCATATATGAAGTCAAAGAAGAACAGTGACGCCTTCATCACCAAGGCAAAGAGTACATCTGTTGCCATTCTTGGTGGTGGTATGTCCGGATTAATGACGAGTTTACTACTCGAATCTGTTGGTATACACGACTGGCATATATACGAGTCATCGGAGCGAGTTGGCGGACGTATCCGCACCAAATATCTCAACAACACACGTCCAGATCAGTATCAGTATCAGGAGATGGGTCCAATGCGTTTCCCCGTCAGCATCACCTATGCTGATACAAATGAGACCCTTGAAATTATGGACCACCGCATGGTCTTCCAGCTTGCAGGCGTTCTCAACAAAATGAATGCTGAAGCTCCCGAACTCCAGGTCAACTTCATCCCGTGGATCCAAAGCGGTCCCAATCTTCCTGCAGATTCGGGAGGCAATCGTCTACCTAACGGCCTGATTCCAACAGCTGCTGAAGTGGCTGCGAACGCGTCTTTAGTCTACACAGCTGCCTCGTCCAACGCGACAGCTGTTGCTGATGCAGAAGCCGCCTTTGATAATTATACCACACTTGGCGACCGCGCTACAATCCGGGAAATTGCGACAAACATGTACAAAGCCCACAAGAAAGCTGTTGAAGATGGCATGTTCCACTGGTCTGAAGCTGGGTATCTACGATATGCGCTCGGATACAATTCTAACATCACCGACTATGTGGCCGGAACAACGGACGACCCCATCTGGGGCGACTTCTACGATGACGTCTATTTCGCAGCTACAACGTGGCGCACTATCGACAAAGGACTCGAGTCTCTTCCACGTGCTTTCTTCCCCCATGTTGCGGCGAAGACAACCCTCAACCGTACCGTGTCAGGGCTGGTTTACAATGAGACATCGGGTAAAGTTGCTGTGGCCTGGCGGGAGAATCCTCTTCAGATGAAGCCAAATACTACCAAGGAGTACGACTACGCAGTAGTGGCGGCACCATTCAGCAAAGTCAGACTATGGGAACTTCCGCGCTACTCCTCCCTACTGAGCCGAGCAATTTCATCCCTCAATTACGACCCAGCGTGCAAAATGGCACTTCTTTACGAAACTCGATTCTGGGAACATACGGAGAACCCCATCTTTGGTGGCTGTGGATCCGTAGATGTTGCCGGTGTCGGAAGTGTCTGCTACCCTTCCTACAACATGAATGGGACTGGACCCGGTGTTATCCTTGCATCTTATATCTCTGGTACTGAAGCCCGTTCTGCTGCTGCTCTTAGCCCCGAGGAGCATGTTTCGCTCATCCAGCGCACTATGGTCGAGGTACACGGCGAAGTTGCGGCTGAACAATTCACCGGTATCTATGACCGCCAGTGCTGGGAATTTGACCAGCACCAAGCGGGTGCGTGGTGTGACCCTCTGGTTGGCCAACAAGAGCTGTACTTGCCGGCTTATTATCAAACGGAGTTGCAGACTATTTTTATTGGCGAGCATACTAGTTATACGCATGCTTGGATCTTCTCGGCTTTGGACTCCGCTGTTCGTGGTACGACTCAGTTGTTGCTTGATCTTGGATTGGTGGATGAGGCGAAAACAGTTGTGGATACCTGGATGGGTCGCTGGATCAAGCTATGATCTTTCGAGTTATTATATCCATACATCCATCTGGGTATTCGTCTAGTACATACGTAACAAGGAATAAATTTGAACAAATTTAATACCTAAATTACTGCTCATCCTTTGGAACATCATCTTCTAGGTGTTTTGAGCAGCTTTGGAGTAGTCTGGAGCTGCTACAAATGGAAAGGAGATCGGGGGAAACCCCCATTCCTCTGAAGAAAAGGGATTGCGACTCTCTTATGGCAATATCTCTTCACCCTTCCAATCCCAACACCTCCCTCTTCCATCTTCAGGACCAGGAGATAATCTCGTCAGGACTTTCAATAGCCGATCCGCAGAATCCAAAGGCTCCAGCATCTCACGACCATCCCAGAAGTCTTTAGTGAACTCCGTGCGCACGGTACCAGGATGTAAAGCCACAGCCAACGCTTTATTCCCACACCGTCCACGGAGATATAGATCAAATGTTTTGGCAATTTGGTACACAGATGCTTTACTCGCCCGGTATGAGTACCAGCCACCAGAATTGTTATCGGAGGTTGAGCCCACACGGGCTGCCATCATAGCATAGATTGCATGTGCAGGTAGCTGCAGTTCACCTCCAATATCTCCATCATCGTCTGCAGGAAAAGCAGAAGAAGATTTTGTCGGAAGAAATGGGGCAAGGTGCTTCATCAACAATAACGGACCAACAGCATTAACTTGGAAGCTGTGCAATGCGCTCTCGGCATCGATCTGCGTAGGTGATTTCTCTACATGCAGAATCCCCGGCACCGTCAATGCTATGCGCAAGGGCGTCTTGGGATACTCCTGTCGGATAGTATCTGTCATTGATGATATCGTCGTTTCGTCTGTTTTAGTCTGTCAGTTAAGCAGATCCATAGAGACCGGCCTACAGGTAGTATTTACCTGTCACGTCGACCTTCAGCACACGAAGCCTTTGCTCTGCATTTTGAGGCAATCCCTCGCTAGAGAGTAATTGTTCTCGAACCTCTGCACAGTTTTTGCGCGCTGTTGCCACGACTGGGAGCTGGGTCTGTGCTAGGAGTTGCTGGGCAAAAGCGAAACCCAACCCTCGGGATGCAGGCGTCACTAGAGCGAATCCATGTTTTGCTGATAGCATCGTCATCTCAAAGTGTTTGGCCTATAATTGAAGGGCATTGGCTAAAAGCTGCAAAGGGATTCTGAGGTATGTGGTCTGCCTGGTTTGCTAGGGATGTGACGTCATTACTCTAGTAGGTAGTATAAGAACTACATTTCATGATTTTCGTAGATCTCATTTTTATAGCGTTCCAATTCATCCATTTGGAAGAAGACTGTGTTCAATTTCATCAAAATTCAACTTGCAAATAAACACTTCCAAATAACCTACCCCGTCTTGTCCTCCAAGTCCTCAAAAAAGTCTCGACCAAACTCTCCACTACTATCATTAAACCGAATTTTCCTGTTCAGCTTAGAGATCTTTTCCATATCATGCGGACTCAATTTGAAATCACCCTCAAGGTTTGACTTGATCCGTTCCGGCGTCTTAGACTTGGGAAGCACCGAATGGCCCAGCGACACTCCCCACGCTAAAAAGCCAGTAAGTAACCATATCACCTATTCAAAGAATACTCTCATGAAAAAGAAGTATGAACTCACCGAGGACAACTTGAGCAGCAGTCTTTCCATACTGTTTTCCGATCTCGGCTAGCACAGGCTCGTCAATCAATTTCCCGAATCCAGCTTTCAAACCATAGGTGGTATTCTGGTTCCCAAAGGGTGAGTAGTGCGTAATATGAATACCCTTTTGGTTATGCCACTCCGAGAACTCATGCTGCTGTAACCATGGATGGAATTCCATCTGATGAACAGCTGGAACGACTGAGGTTTTCGCAAGTAGTTTCTGCAACTCGGCTTTGGAGAAGTTCGAAACGCCTATTGCTTTGGCTTTGCCGGTTTCGAGTAGCTTCTCCATAGCCCTGTATGTCTATAAGCAAAAGAAAATCACCTAAGTTAGCATAGTAACCTTGAAAATATAGAATGGGGGCCATACATAAACTACATCGACATCTTCCATCGCAGGCTTGCCATGGAGCTTCGGGAACAATTCGTCTCCACGTTTCCACGCGACGGGCCAATGGATAAGGTACAAATCCACATACTCTAGACCCAGTTCATTGAGTGAGTGTTGAAGTGCTTCCTCTACATCATCTGGGTGGTGCTTGTTATTCCAGAGCTTTGTTGTGATGAAGAGTTCTTCTCGGGGTACGCCACATTTCTTGATGGCTTGACCGACTGCCCTTTCAGTGCCGTAGCTGTAGCCATTTTCAACGTGTTATCATTTGAAGTTGAACTTGCAAATATTTGCTTACACTGCCGCCGTGTCAATGTGCTTATAGCCGGCTTTTATTGCCTCTAGCACGGCCTTTTCTTGTGCATCTTCGTCTTGCCAGGTACCGAAACCGATGGCGGGGATTTCGGCGCCAGTGTTTAACTTGAACTTCGTTGGCGTTTCAGTTGCCATTTCAGCTTTCCTTTTCGAGACGTTGTGAGACCTCTTTTATGTCTAAGAAGTTGAGATTGATGTGAAACAGAAATATTTTCGTAAATTAGGCGGTCCTTTAATAACTTTGGAAAAATGACGTCGAGATGACAGATGAGCCAAAGTATATGAATACGAAACCAATCTTTGTTACTCAACAAATCACTTATTTATCGGTCTCCTGGATAAGGCTTCCACAACCTCTGCACCTCCCCGCTGGCCGGAACGCACAGCACCCTCCATGTACCCTCGCCACACATGAGATGTCTCGGTACCAACAAAATGAATGTTGTTGAACGGTGTGGCTAAATCAGTTCCCACGGCGGTCAATGTTCCCGGTGTCATGACTGGACAAGGAGCCCCAAGGAAGAAAGCCTGTTTGGCCCACTCCATCTCCAAAATATTCGTCGGCTCAGGGATCTGGCTAACAAATTTGCTAAATGCCTGACTGAACTGCTCCCACACTTGCTCACGGCGCGCAGCTTTGGACAGTTTTGACCATTGTCTCCCGCGTTCGCCAACTATGAAACAGGTTATGGACCATTGATCATCTATTGGCACACTTGTATCTCTTGTGAAGGTGACAGGGCCTATTTCACATTCCATGACACCTGAAGATCCAGCATTCTGCCACCACGGCTCCTCGAAAACGAATATCATTTTGCTGTAGTATCCCATAACAGCATAATCACTCAGTGCTGCTTTGTTCTTGGGTAGCGGGGGGTTGAAGGTAATTGAGCTGTACAGGCTTGTTGGAACCGAAACAATGACTTTCAACCCGCGGAAGACGTTTCCGGGCTCTGTCGTCACCTCGCAGATGTCTCCACTTTGGTCGATTGAAGTGACTGGCATGCGTAGAAAGATTGTGTCCGCTCCGAGATCTTGGGCCAGTCGCTTAGAGATTGTTTGGTTTCCTATGGTTGGGTTAGTATAAAGCCAACATGTGCAGCAACGGAGGTATGAACCTTGTCTGTTTCGGATGTATTGCCCTCCGTCTTTCTGATCCGACAATAGATTATCTATCCCACAGCCGCTTTTGATATAATGAAGCATGTACAAAGCGCTGAGTTCCTCGCTTTGTACGCCAAGAAGTGCCGTGGTTATCGAATCTGCGATACCAGCTGCAACTATTGATTGGGATCTCTCGATCCAAAATTCCTTGAACGTCAGCTCATCAATATCTTTAGCCCCTGGGGATCCGGCAGGGTTGTTCAAATCTACTAGAGATGACTCTTTTCGGAGCACCTCTAGAAGTCGTTGAAGCAGTCGCTGGTCTCCCTAAAAGAAGTAAAGCCGATCAACAAATGCAACAGCTATCTCGCTTGTCTGCTTACCAGTAGTTGGCCGTATGGTTTCTTGATAACTAATCCGTTTTTCAAAAGCGCGACATCGTCTCCACAGGCCCTTTGAATCAAACCATCAATCTCATATCGTTGGAAAAGCTTGAACATCTCGCTTTGGTTTGTATCATTGATCCAGGCGGCCCCCAGATCATTGAACCCTTTCTTACTGGAATGCACGGATAAAGTTTTCCCACCGACTCTATTGGTCGCTTCCACCACGCACACTCTGAGCCCTGCGGCGCGGGCAGAATGAGCAGCTTGAAGACCGCTCAGACCAGCTCCAATCACGACCACGTCATACACTGGTTTCATGCCGGCCGGGGCTGTGATTTGAATTGGATAACGCATTTCCAATAAAGATTAGCGATATGCACGTGGATTTGAGGCGTTGGGTTGTATTCGGTGGTACTGCAAGACTTAGCAAGGGTGGTAGCTTGGGTGGAGGTCAGCAAATGTTTAAGACGAGGCCGCAAATCCCGGCCCGAACCCCGCCCCACAATGGCCCCGGGATTGACCCAGTAGAAAGAGAGTTAAAAGAATGTTTATCATCATATTATACTTTGATCGGAATTTCCTATGGTATTGAGCTCTTCTTTATTATGACCCAAGAATTGGTCTTCAAAAGGTCAAGACTCGGAGAAGAGAAATGACCTTGGATCGAAAATTCTACAGGCATACTATAAGATAACGCATATTTAGGATTGCCAAGCACTTGATTCCAATCAATTTGTACTTTTGACATCAAAAACATAGTAGATGATACAGAAGTTGCCAGGTATTTTAATAAGCTAAGAAATCAGTAAGGCGTTAAAATATATAAATTAAATGTGTGAATCTCTGATTAATCAGGAGTATCTAATAAAGATAGAATAATTCTATGCGAAAAGGTCCCCATAGTACTAGTTAGGTTCCATTGCCATCTAATTTAATCGCCTTTGTCATCATTCATCATTGAGGAATCCAGTCCTTTACTAACCCAAAATAAATTAATAATTGACGAGTATTGAACGCAATCAATAAGAAGGGTCTAGCTAGGGTCAATTTTCATCGATAGGAATTGAATATGCAAAATCGATAGACCTCCTAAGATGACCCATTCAGCCCAGCATGAAGCTAAGAAGATGTAAAACCCAAGAAGACCTTGGGATCCAAAGGCTAGCTTCTGTGCACTTGACAGTCGGAGCAGACAGGAAAAATAAATTGCACGGGGCTCTGGGGTTAAAGAGAACAATATGAAGTGATCCATGAAGGTGGGAGCTAAGGTGCCACAACACCATAAGAGAACCAGTCGAATTCTCGAACTCAGGGCTCTAAGTTATAACTCTACCACTTAGCAAAGAATTACTCTTTTGGCATAATGCCGAATGAATGATCAAGTCTAGAAGAGCGGAGTCAGACACGATAAGGCGCTAAGAGGTTGGGTCAGCGGCAAGTCCAGTAGCTTTAGCTTCTTGCGCGAGTCCTCTCTTTCATGTCTCATAGCTATCGCCAAGCGGGGCCTCTGACTACTCTGGCTCTGCCATGGCTCCTTATTCCTAGACGCATTTCACCAGGGGGAAACATTACTAGAACCTGAGAAACTATAGTGGCGTACGTTGAAATTGAGACACTCCTCGACCGCCTATTTGTACTGCTCACCATATTTAGCTGGCCGCTCTCAAACGCGTCCTGCGAATAACTTAAAGCATAATGCGCATACTCTATTATTTCACATATTTTACAAGTTGATTGATATTTTCCCAGCTCGCACAGGCTATGGCTTTTTTTCATTCACGCTCATGATATAGTAGTATAAGATCGGTTAAGGATAAGTTTCCGCTCAGTACACATCACCACAAATTTACATGACAATAACCTCAATCACAGCGCAGCTCCAATCTCCGATTTATTCAGGGGTACAGACGCACTCAGAATCCGCCCAATCTTATAACTATATAGTGAGTACGGGATGGACGCGCGGCGTGACAGGGCCGCTCCGGTACACTACAGGATGAATCGAAATCAATTTCATCACTTTGCTTTCTTTCATGTTTCCTCGAAGCCTATTCGTTGGAAGCGTGCTAGTCACTATTTGCTTTAGCGTGTTATATAAATATTGAATTTTGCTGTAGACCTATGATTCGGAAGCCGTTTCTGGCATGATTTATTGGATCCTTTGTCGGGGCGTGCTTAGGCACTAGAAAATATACGAGATATGGGGCTAGCTTATGCCCCTCGGAACCGGTTGGCTCTCACTGGTCCATCGTGATTAAAACAGCCCCTCCGTTAGCTGGCGGTTGCAGGGGTTGTACCACATCACCAGTGATCTGAGGTGTGGTTGGTCTACACCGGTGGGAGCATGCTGTACCAACTTCCCGCGGTAGCAGCGACCGAAGGATTCAGGCTTTTTTTTATAGTAATCAATTGCGAGGATAAAGACGATGGCGGTGTTCTTTTCTTTCAATCCAGGATCAGGATGGGCGCCGTACTTTTGTATTTTGGGAAAGTACTGTATGCAGCCTGATGGGTGTTTTCATCGTGGCGTTCGATACGAGTCTCTTCCTTTCCGAGTTTAAAGGTGGGACTGAGACAAGGCTAGCAGTGGGGTTACAGGAAGACAAACGCAAGTAAAAATACCATCCCCTTGGGCTATCTCTTGGTTCAGAGCACATTGGTAATTGAATTTTCGACATGGATGTCGCTGAGTCGTTTAAGGAAGATTGATCTAATTATCACAACTGATCTAATCATCACAACTGATCTAATTGTCACATACTATGACAACTAATGGTGTACTGAGTTTGGTAAAAGTCCGGGGGCTCGTTTTTGTTAACCTGTTGAACCGTCACTCATCACTAGATTGTCACCTTTTCACTATTTCGATGATTATACTCTTGTGCCTTCTTTGTTCTAATACAAAAAGCAGTTTACTGTTTTCTCCTAGGAATGATCTCTTTCAAAAATCAATTTGACTTTTATCTGATATTCTTTCCGGGATTACGAATAATTCTTACGCGATGGCTTAAAGAATTTATTGAGACTGCCTGTTTTGTTCACCTCTTTACGGGGTGTTAGGGTGATTGATTCATACCCATAGATATCAAAATCATATAGTTTTATAAGCCCTAACAGGCATATATAACGATGAGTTAGTTTCTATTCAGTAGAATATAAGCTTTTCCATAGGCGTCAAGAAGCGTCATACGTATGTCTTTACAATGTGATAGGCTTTACCAAGAGTATTCGTACAACCTTGGAACGCTTAATATCTCCGAGTATCGAAAACTCATGTGAATATATAGATTATTGTATTACTTTGTATTCTAAATTACGGTATCTCTTTTGTAATATTAGGTCTTGAGCCTATTAGGCCGCCAGCTCAATAATGCGATTTATGTGACTTTGGCCCCGGGGGCTGTTAAAGAAGGGCCCCAAGGATCGGTTTGAGAGTGAGCGACAGTTTGGTGGCGGAGACGAAATAGAAGCCCCCTCAGTTGTTGCCGGCAGCCACGCGGTTAATGGTTAGATTATGTGATGGTTGTATGCAGTAGTATGTAGCGGCTTACCCACATATCGCAATCCTTAACTTTGGGGGCCTTTTCGCCGATTCGTGATATGCCGCTGCCACACGTGACCAAAGGCATAAAATAACAAATGAGCCAAGATTTGCTGGGTTGAAATTTCTGGTAAAATCCAGACGAGAACATCCCGGACAGACTTACATGATGAGCTCAAGCTTGGCATCTGAAGATCTTCTTTCCATTCGGACCTCGTGCGACAGATGCCGCTCTCAGAAGCTCAAATGTCTTGTCAAGCCCTCACCAGACACTGCAATCACCGCCATATCCTGTGAGAGATGTGTCCGTGCGATGGTTCCATGCACCTTCAGCCGTCGAAACAGACACAAGCGGAAAGCGTCGGCCTCGGACGAGAAAGAAAGAACCAACAAGGCCGCGGCGGTCCTCAACCCCGACGGACATGCTCGTCCGACCTCGTTACCTCACCCCGCGTGTCTTAACAACCAACCCCCACTTCCGATGGGACCAGACTCTATCACAATCGCAAGGTATATGAAAACTCCAGAAGAGGAAATTTTCGATCTCGAATTTGGCTGGAATCAAGAACCAGCCCAAGGCGTTCTGGACCCGAGCGGACCTTCAAACATACTAGAACAGCCTAGGAGAATCGACAAACCCATCAAAAGCGTGTTTGAGGCACACGGCTTCATGCAAGACGAAAATATCCTTTCCAATAATATGAACTTCACAGGCCAAGAGAATGATGACCCACACCGAGGGCGTCAGGAGATTAGCCCCGCTGCATCAGAGAGTCATGATATCCAACTCTACTCGAATGATCTTCCGAATTTTGCAGAGGGGACAATGACTTCACGGCGCACTACTAGTGCAAGAATGCTGCTGGCACTCGCGTCGGACCTATATGAAAGATTGGAAACACTGGAAACCGGCCCGTGGCAGTTTAACGAAGCATATCCTTCCTTGGATGCATATCCGATCGGAGCAATCCTCAATCTATCTCGGCAACTCACCATGGCTACAAACGCTTTGCATAGAGACAAAGCAGAAGATTCATCCTCGATTTCGAGCCAGACATGCTCGACAAATGGCCATGAAAACGGTTACCGGAGATTAGACTGTGAAAGTTCAAGGTGCATTTCTACTACTATGTCTACCGACACAGCCTTTGGCGACTCATCGACCACGCACATCCTCCTGGGGTGTTACATTACGCTTTCTCAAATCCATTTTCTTGTTCTAGACCACTTTAAGCGTTATCTGAGCTTACAACCCAATGCCCAAGCCTGGGTACCTTCAGCAGGTGGAAAAATCGGACCGACCATTTGCGTTGGCGAACTCCCGTCCATGAACGATATGTACAGCCGCATTCATACCGCTGTGTTTCTTCTTCTCAATTGTTTCGCAGAGGTGGAAGAAGCTTTAGGCCTGCCCCCACAGATACGATCTGCCAAAGGACATGAATTATCGGGTAGAAATACCGCCGACAGTGGCACGATTGATGATCCACTTGCTTTTAGATCTACTAGCTGGGGCCACATGGTCTGTGCGACGGAAATTCAGGAAGAATTCGCCGCTTTTGGGAGAAAGGTGGTGGAAATCAAGAATCTATTACGTGAGAAATTGGAGTTGTAGAATGATTTAGAGTTTTGGATAAGCAAATCACATCAATTGTCGAAAGTTAGCGTTTCCTTTCAATTCGGACGCTTTTTTGATAGTTAGGATACGGCCTCATACTAAATGGTGTTATCTCATTATTTAGTACGATAATTGCAGACGTCACGTCTAGACTTACTATTCAATCTTCCATGCCGTTCATGTGGTGCTCATGTGGGTGAGATTTTACGTAGTGCTTCTTGTGTGGAGGGAAAAGAGGCGAAGCTAGACAAGGATAATCTAACTAGACGAGCGCTAACATGCCAGCAGGCAAGTACTGCCACATACAAGGACTACTTGAAACAACTGCCATTTTTGCCCCTCAGTCCTCCGACCCTCCGGCCGTCGAATACTAACGGCGGGGCTCGACGGACCATCCGAGCCCCACTTGTCAACCGATATCCGAGCCTCAGTGCTGGTATTGATACAATGCTTGAAAAAAAAGATTCGTATTGTTTCAAGTAATGAATTTGTTGCAATACATCTGAATTACCCTGTGCTTCTCTGTCAACGGCTCTATCTGGCCCCTGCTCATACAGGCAGCAATTCAAGGACCCCAAAATCCGTCGACTCATCATTAAAAACGGCATTGACCCGGAACTGTGCCTGAGTAGCAAGTTCACGAAACATAGATTCGCTGCGGCGCTTGCCACCAAAGTTCATGACCGAAATATCCTGCGCAATTGTGAACTTGGAGGCATTCGGTTTCAACAACTCCTCGATGATCAAAACTCGCGTGTCAGGCGTGCAAGAGGCCCGAACTTGCGTCAGGGCAAGCACGATATCCTTATCCAGAAGATCACTCAAAACGCGACGGAACTGGTAAATGAGAGCACCTCGGAGAGTGTCTGGAATTGGCTCAAGCATGGACCCGCCGACCAATTGAACAGAAGCCAGAGCCGGATCAAGCTGGCTCTTTGTCTGCTCAATGGTCTTTGGAAAGTCGAAGACTGCACATTTCTCGGCAGAGAGAAACGTATTGTCCGAAAGTATTCCCTTCAGAGCCAGGCCACTACCGCCGCCAACATCAACAATAGCAGGGCCATCATTGAGCTTGGGTAGCTCCTTCTCCATCCAAGTAAAATCGTACACACCCTTCAGGGAGTATATGCTGGCCGATCCAGCCTGCGCACGGTTAAACATGTGCGCCAATTTAGGCTCCGCATCGAGAATGCCGTACAAATCCAGATCAGGATGTCCAGTGCCAAGCCCCAAAGGAATATTGCGAGCATCTTTAGGCTCCTTGAGGCCATTTCTTTCGAAATACTCTGTCCATCGCGCGACGGGGCGAAGAAAAAAGTTGCACACATGGACTATGAAGCCAGCGGGGATTTCACCCGTCCGGTATGCACGCGAACGATCCGTATGCGCGACTTGACCAGGTGTCGGAGATGTAAGAAGTTCGGCCGCAACCAAGTAGTTGCAGAAGCGCTCCAAAAGTTCTGCCTCGCCTGCGACCTTGGTCGCCAAATCAGGATACGAAATGGCGCCCTCGTCTGGAATAGCATCAAAAACTTTGTAGTCGACAAAGGTTTTGAGAATTCCAATTTCAACGAGATTCAGGTAATGTGCGCCTGTTGCCTCGAGGGCCTGGCGAATATCCGGGCGTCCAGCAGTCGAAGCCGTCATTTTGGATAATGATGCAATTGCGGTAAAAGGGCAGCAGGTGAATAGTATCGCAGATTCCAAAGAATAGTGATTGAGAACCCTCACATCACTGGATCCTGTGAATTTATATCTAGAGCAGTATGTATTCCATAAAATGCTCGGAGTGTATTTCGGACATCCGTTTTACCTTGTGTAATAATAGCCTAGCCGATCCTCCGGCCTCCACTTGCGTGTATTGAGTCGGCATGCGGGCTTCTGAGGTTACCCCAATGATCACACTTAGGAGGTTTTTTCGGTCTTTTTCGGAGCCAATATTTCTTACCAGTGAGACCATGGGTAGTCTTCCTGGGCAAGTTCCGTGTCTTTCGAAGGTCCAAACTATGTTCCGCACCTAAGAGGATTATGCCATTTTCAACGATTTAAGAATGCTTTACGGTGTCCTACTTGATCTTGAAAGAGCTGAAATTCCTCGTTACGGTTCGACCCTAAGGCCACCAAGGAATGCACGGGATGATTCGTGGTCTCAATGATTCCAATATCTAGTCAGATATTTTCTACGGAATTAAAATATACATTGGAAATCTTCTGTCACATTTCAGACCATGACTATCAAATATGAAGCTCATAAGTAGTAATCACTCGACCTTGTACACAAGCTTCTTGGCAGAGATCTTCTTTTCCCTGATAGACCCCATACCATCTAACACACCCGCCAGCCCACCTGGCTGCACAAGCAATGGATGCTCACGAATGAGGCCTCGCGAAATGAGTTCCTGCAGCGTCTGTCTCCATTGGACACCAAATGCATACATATCCATATCAGCTGCGCGACCATGGGGTGCGGGCCACCCAATATCCTTCCCAAGCATGATCGGCCCAAGGACCCAGTCACATTTGATGATCTTCCGTGTCGCAGCCACAGTCTCAGAGTATGGATCCAGCGCCGTGTATTTACCACCCACTCGGCCAATGGACGCGTAGCAGATTGCCATGCTGTCCGCGGAGGTGATGCAGTCGAGGGCATGTTTCAGTCCATTCCGGGTATAAGCACGGATTGATGCTGCACAATCAGGTGCTCGGTAGTCGAAAACAGCATCTGCTCCATAAGACTTAACGAGATCATAGTTGTGTGGAGAGCATGTCGCGATTGGTCGAAACCCTGCGAGCTTCAGAAGTTGGATGGCCGCAGTGCCTGTAGCAGTAGATCCACCGTTGACAAGAACTGGAATGGGCTTAGGGCTTGGCTCGAGCGGGTATCCGGGAAGGTCGAGACTCTTAAAGAGTGCCAATCCCGCTGTCATGAAGCTCGTGCCGAATGCACACCCATTCTCGAAACTGATATTGCTAGGGAGCTTTATGAGGCTTTGAGACAGGGCACCAACGTGCTCCGCAAAAGCACCCAGGTGAGGTTCAAGCGGGTTTTGTCCCATTATGGTGGCACAGACTCGATCACCAACTTGGATGTCGTGTTGTTTGGCATCGGGTCCAACTTCCTCGACAACGCCCGCGAAGTCGCAGCCAGATATTGCCCCGGCGGTAACGTAGGGTCCCATCATTTTGGCGTCGACTGGATTGACCGAGACTGCCCGAGTCTTGATCAGAACCAAATCACCAGTAACTTGTGGCACTGGAGCATTATGTGACAGCACCATATCACCCGCCTCATTGCCGACCACGGCGGTTTGGACACGACCTGAATCTTCCCAGTCTCCCATTTTGCAGGATACCGTGTGAAGTCTTTTTATGGAACTGATATCTCGAATTCCGAAAGTTCAGCTTCGGCGTGTTTTGTTATATGAGTAATAATGGAATGTAAATGTTCTTGATGTAAAGTTTATGGCGGATTATGCGCTTTTAGACCTCTCTTTTTCGACTTTTTGTTATTATTACGATATCCAGGAAGGCCCATTGACTGCCCCATTCCTCGGTGCCAGTAGAGTCTAATTGAGAAGCCAGATATGGAAGGATTCTCTTCGCCATAAGTCGGTGTTGTCCGGTGGATCACAGGGACCCAAAGAGTTTCTCTATAGGTTACCGAAAACACGCGATAAATTCCGATTAGAAAGTTTTCTGATTGGGCTATGTGTTTTGAGAGCAATTGTTCGATAAGTGTACTCCCAGAATCAACTAGTTCGTGCCGCCGGGCCTGGAGTCCTGAAATTTTCCGATTCTGCTTATTTGATGCATATCTAGGATTTCATTGAACCCACTTCCAATTGGAAATCAATAAGTTGATACTATCAATACCTATTTTGAGACTCCTTTCCATTGAGATAGGCCCCGTAATGTGAATAGTAGGAGACCAAAGCGCAGCTTGAGCATTTCAGACTTCTATAAATTGAAGTAGCATTTCGAAGAGAATCATTATTATTCGAAGTCAACAAGTGGTAGAGTAGTCTCTAGTGTATTTCGTAAGATATGCCACGGTTTATCCCACCTGTCATTTCACAAGACATTTCGTGGGAAAGTCTACAGCCCTGGTACACTCCTAAGAAGCTATACGGGTAGAATACGGCCTAGGGTATGGGTCTTTGAAAAGTTAGACCCCTAAATGTCCCATCGATATGTGATACTTGGTTTCAGTAACACCTCGGTATGACTTGAATAACTGTATTTCCAATACTCAGGCTATTGTAAATCACTGAAGTTAGGGAATTCAACTAGAAATTGGGTTTAAAAATAAATTGCTTGGTAGCAGCCACGGCGCACTATCCGAGGGCTAGTCGTGGGGCGTCAAGGCAGCTGCAGCTGACCCGCTCCGGCGAAACCTTCAAACTTCGGCCCATCCTGCGATCCTCCGAAAAGCGCCTCGATGAAACCAGATTTGCCTGTCCCCTGGTCACTAGTATAGTCACTCCACCATGCGACTTTGTGACGCGTCTCAAAACGCCACTTTTTCCCAGCGTCTCCTTTGACAAATTCAATCACGTAACCAACGTTCTTATCACGAAACGCCCCCTTCAGGCCCCTTTCTCCATCAAGCACCTTCTCCACAACAACGGCATCTTCCTGCAGCTCTGGTGCTCCGATGCCAGCAATTTGATTCGCGGCACAGACTAGCTCCGTATTGTGGTAAAGGCGGGCAACGACCGATGGTTTATAGTCGTCCGCAGCGGTGGAGACGATACGGATGAGTTGCAGCATGTAGGGGCCAGCGGTCCCACACATGTAATACGCGTCGGTCATGAAATGGGGCCATGCAAGGCTAGACCAACCTCGAACAAAGCCTCCGCGGTCTCCATTTTCTGCTTTCAAGATCAACGTGCGCCTGTTCGTGTCATCGGCCGCATCAAATACTAGATCTGCGGACGAGACACATGGCCCGAGTGGGTAGATGTAATGCACAGATGAACCAAGCTTTGCTGCGCCGTCGGTGGCTGGGAGGCGTGAGTCTGAGCGGCTACTAAGGGAGCTCAGCTCTAGTGTTCCTGTCACTCGGCCGGGCACAGAAAACTGCAACGTGGCTACCGAAAGATCTGCCGCGATTCGGAATGTGACACTCGCGGCGTCAGACTTCCAGACCCCGTGTACCTTTCCCGTATGGGAAAAGTCACCTTCAGAGGTAATGACAGACTCTTCAAAAAAGAGTTTCTCACCCCAGCTGGTACCATCCGGCCAGATAGCATTCAATTCGGCATGAAAACCACCTTCAGTAAGTGTTCGCGTATCGCGGTAGAAGGAGACGGTGACTGCTGTCTTGCCATTTGCGGCGAGTCCATCAAATTGCCATAGTTCCCAGGCAGCATCGTTGATTTGATTGACCATTTTGGGAAAGATATTGCCCGAGTCGGGCACAAAGGGGTCCACTGGCACTGGCCCAGAGACAATGGAATCGCCATCAAGGCTGAAGAAAGAGACGAATGTGTTCGACATAGCTGGTGAATATCGAGGGAACTTTTTTGTGCCTTCAGAAGAAAGGGTTCACGGATTTGGTAGAAGCCTTGGTGATGTTACCAGTCTACCTTCAGGTGGATTTATTTCAAACAAAACCCTGGGCAGACACGCCCTACTCTATATAATTTTTCCAATCTACACACTCTCTACTACAGAACTGGGCCGTTGTATTTCGGATATTTTCGGAGCCATGATTGTAGGCAGGAATTATCAAGAACCAGGAAATAAAGTATTAAGGTAACTAGAGAGCTTGGCATGGTAGTGGTCACATTGATTGTGGAGTCTGGTATCAAATCGAATGTTTTTATGTTTTGAAGGTAATGAATGGAATGAGTAGAATTAAACTCCCGCATCTATAGGTATGTAGATAACTGGCTGAAAACGGAGCGGAAAGACCCTGCTGCATGCAATTTCGATCTTCTTAGACGCCAGACCAAAAACGCATATAGTAAAAGAACATAGGAGAGGCTGGTCAAAGTGAAGACCCGGGAAAAATGTTGATGGCGTCACACCGCAAATCAATAGTTCACTGGAAAGCGAGTTCTCAAATACTCGCCATATTTGAAGAACAGCCATGGGACTGGGACAAAGGCAAGGGCAATGAAGCCAAGCAATGTGTTACCCCAACCAAGCCCCAGCCGAGAATACATGGAGGGCCCTGCGAGTGGCAGAAATGCGGCAAATAGACTTCGCAACACAGTATTACCAGCCAGAGCAGAAGCGCTTCCTTCAGTCCCAAAAGCATCCACGAGATACAGTTGTGCCGGCATCATAATCAAGAATGCGCTGATTCCGATGAATCCAGTGCCAAGGATTGGAACGATCCAGTGTGTTTGGAATTTGGCACTCCAGCCATACCAGATAAAACCGATGGGGACTAAGGGCGAGCACCACATCATCAAAATCAGGCGTAGCTCAGGTCGGGCAACAGTGCCACCACGCGGCTGCTTCAAAAGTTTATCACTAAGCAGACCAAACAGTGCAATGCTGAATATCATGCCTATACCGAGCCCAAGGTATGCAAGTCCTGAGATTCCAGGGCCCCAACCGTACGTCTCTTCGAAAACACCTGGAAATGTGGTGAAGAGAACGTAAAGCAGACCAAACATAAACGCACAGTAGATTGAGAGTAAGAAGACAATAGGTGACAGAAATATCATCTTAGTGGGTCGCATAATAGAACGCATGAGAATTTGCGAAGGCGTGAAGTTTTTATCGAAAGTCCGAGCGTAGAGCGCAGGGTTTCCCGACTCTTTACGCAGTCGGGCCGCTTTGCCATGGAGAAGAGCTGGCTCATAGGTCTCCCGCAGAAAAGCCAACGCTAGGAGAGAGATCACGCTTGACTATAGGTGCGTGTGTAAGAAGAGTGAAAACATGAAGGGGGTCGGGTTGTCACTCACTAGGATCAGGATCAACCAAAATGTCCACCGCCAACCAATATTCTGTGAAACAAATCCGCCAATAACGGGGCCAATGACCTATAGCATATTAGAAAAAACTTTGCTTATTGAGTAGATATTGGTAGAACCCACCGGACCGAGAAGAGGACCCATGCCAAATATCGCCATTGCCTTTCCCCTCTCAGCCTCGACGTGGAGGTCAGCAATCGTGCCACCCCCAATGGCCATTGGTGAAGATGCAGCAATGCCGCAAAGAAGGCGGAATGCCAAGAACATGCCCGTGTCAGTGCTTAGAGCACAACCCACAGTGAATCCGAGATAAACCAAATTGCAGATATGGTAGACGACCAACCGGCCATATGTCTCTGATAATGAGGAGAGGACAAGGGGGCCCAGACAAAATCCCAGGAGATATATTGTGACGGTCAGAGACGCCACAATCGTGTTCGTGATGCCGAACTCTTTCACGAGGTCCTGAGCTCCCGGGGCAAACATGACGGCGGCAAGATTCCTGTTCGCTTTGTCAAAAGATATTCATCGCAGGTGAGTGTATTGGAGAAGGTATCTCACGAGTAGAGGGTGAATCCGCTAATCAGCAGGACATGGACGAGCTTTTTACCCGATGGCCAGTTCCGAGGGTTCTTCGGGTCATCGGGACCGTCCCAGTCAACGATGTGAGGATCTTTCTCGTCAATGACCCCTTCCTTCTGTGCCAGCTCAGGATCACTCCAAGCGGCATCAACTGGTGTTGTTTCCATGTCCAGATCGACTTTTGATGAAGTCGACATCGACTTTGTATTCTAGTAACGGTGTGGCGGATATGGCGAATGACGAAGAATGTATTCCCGGCGCAGATGAAAGGGATAGAGAGACCAATGTATGTCCTGATGAATTTAAAGGAAATACATCGGAGGTTCCCCTGATTGACCGAGCCAGGTGAGGCCCTAGTATATCGGAGTGTTCCCCCGAGGCCGAATTATTCATGGTTTAGGCTGCGGCTTGCGATTTCTTTGTCCTAAGAACCCGATCATCTCGTCGATCGATCCTCAAGTCTCTATATGGATGGGTACTGTGTTTTTTCTAGCCTGGAAGGCCATTTTGGTGTTATTCCTCACTTCATACCTGGCGTGGCACTGAATCGCATCAGGCCTAGCCAAGTTATCTCCGAGGGCCTGTTGGAACGCCGGAGTCGTCGTGTTCCTTGGTGTCATCCTGGGTACGCGCTAATACTGCTTTAGGGTTAGCCTCTATATAAAGACCGGTTCTTTTAGCCTGTGGACCTCGGAAGCCATCAAAAATACAACTTTCATACGCATACAGTACCGTAGGCTCTTACCGGGCGGTACACGCGTGCTCCACCGAAGCAGCGCTCGGATGATCGACGACCCTCCGCGGATGTCCGAGCGCCACGTGATGGGCCCACCGAGTCTCATATCAGCTCTGTTACCCCAGGTAAATATTTGAACAAAGCACAGCATGTCGGGCCATTACAGCCCTTTGGGGCCGCCCCCTGAGGCTTCAATTACAGTTCACCCAGAGGACGGAAACCTCCCGTCGTCTGCAAGGCGTCGGGACAAGCCCCAGCTAAGCTGCAATGCATGCCGGAGGCGCAAGTAAGCAGCCCCACTGACCTCTACTGAGACTGCCGTGATACGATGTGCCGGACCTTGGCTGCGATTTCGCAAAATATCGCCGTTTCTCTTCCTTCTCTTCCTTCGCCGGATTCACAGCGTATGATGGGTGCTTACGAACGGATGCGCTAACCCAAAAGACAGGGTCCGATGTGACCGACTGCAGCCTTGCAGTAATTGTTCAAGCCGGGGCCATGGAGCCTCGTGTAAATACACGAATACTCCGATCTTGCCCGGCCGCTCGCAGAGTGGGGGACACATGCAGGATCGCATCAATCGGTTGGAGAACTTGGTGCTAGGGCTAATGCAACAGAGTGCTCCAGATTCTCATGAATCACCATGTGAGTCCGGCCGATTCGCAGAGCGGCTTGTCGGTCCACATGATTCAAACTTTGGTCGAAGGCTTTCTCGAAGTGGTTCTGAGGGCGATGAGAGGTCGAAATCTACGCGAGCTGAACAAATCCAGGACGGAATACCATCCCCGTCCCCGTCTGACTATGGCAGCGTCCGCATTAAGGGGTCCGGTGTCAGCTACGTGAGCAGTGCACATTGGACTGCTGTTCTGGACGGTATTGCCGAACTCAGGGATCATTTTGAGCAGGAGGACAATAACCACGTGGTTGCTTCCGATGCAATTCAGCCCCAAGTCAGCTTTCCCAGTATCCAGCTTCTCTATAGCGGGTGCCCTTTGCATGTCACGCCGGCCTCAATTCTCAATTCGATTCCCATCCGACCTGTCGCTGATCGATTGGTCGCCCGCTACTTCAACTTCTTGGACATGGCGCCAGGTAAGCAGATCATGACCGAGATTATCCAAGTATCTGTATTGACAGACCGTAAACCAGGCGTCCCACACAGCGACAAGTTTCTTCGTGAGGTAGGGACATTTTCATTTCACCTTCTCTGGATTTTCAACACGTTACTAGTCACGATCCGAGAGTTTCCTTCTACTAGTGCTGATGAGAACAATTAGTATGAGGAGTTTTGGAAGTGTCCCCAAGCAGCGCCTATCATATGGCTTGGACTTCTTTTTGGAATGATGTGCCTATCGACACAATTTCAACGGTCCTTTCTTGCACCTACCAACACCCTGTTTACTAGTGGGTACTCTCCGGGGTCCGCACAACCCCAGGAGGGCGATGCCGCGATTTCAACGTTCCGAGACAATATGATACACTGTCTGATACTTGGTCACTACACAAAGGGAGGGCCTTACGTGTTAGAGACTTTGATTCTCTATTTTATGGTGGAAGTTTTTTCCGCCAAAGATACTGAAGCCGGCACTCGAATCTTAGTTGGAATTATCGTTGAGATTGCGATGCACATGGGCTACCATCGCGACGCCAAGCATTTTCCCAACATTTCTCCATTTGAAGGAGAGATGAGGAGGCGCATTTGGGCCCTGATAGTGCAGCTGGATTTTAGTATCTCAACTCAAGTGGGACTTCCCCGGATCATCAAAGAAAACCAGACCGATGTAGCCGAACCCAGAAATCTGGCTGACTCTGACTTGAACGAATTCACCGCTGAACTCCCACCGTCCCGACCCGAAAATGAAGTGACACCCACCCTCTACACCCTCGCAAAACTCAGACTTCTTTCTGTTGGGGTAAAGGTTGCTGATGTTGCCACCGAGCCTCGACCATATTCGTACGCGCATGTCCTTCAGCTCGATAAGGAAATCGATGAGGCGCGTGAGGCACTACCATCAAGCATGAAATGGGTCAGTCTCGCCTCGTCTCTGTCAGTCTCTTCACAGGTCATCATTCAGAGAATATGGCTAGAAGTCAGTGTCCAACGCTTGAAGATCGTTTTGCACAAGCAGTTCATGGTTGCTTCACCTCTTCAGCAACAATACGAATATTCAGCTTCCGCCTGCTTAGTGTCTGCCAAAAAAATCCTCGAGCTGCAACATCTAATCGATGAAGAGACTCAATTAAATGGTCGACTGTACCAGAGCCGTTGGAGGGTGACTGCCTCGTTTATTCATGACTTCCTACTTGCTACTAGTATTCTCTGTATCTATCTCCAGGCTCGCCAATCAGAACAGGCAAGGGATCACATTACTTCTGGAGAGGAAAAATCTTTACCTGTGGACATTGACGGGCTGAAGCAACTGCTGAGGAAGACACAAGCGATTTGGCTTCGGGAAAGTGAGACGTCTAGGGAAGCTCGAAAAGCTGCATCAGCCTTAAACTATGTTATTGGCGCCCCTGGGGCCAGTCCAGATCCATATTTGCTTGCACAGCGGCTTGGTTTATCTTTTCAAGGTAATATCATTCTTTCAGCTAGGCACTTGCTTTCTTTGCCTGGGCTGTTTTCTTTTGGCTTGAGGATTTGTTAGCTTACATCTATTAGGACTCTCACCAACGATACTGGGGTTTGAACTTCCTGGGTTTAATCCTGAAGCGCCCAATAGTTGTCTATCTTGGCAGGATTTTGCACCACGCATGGATAATGCGGGCGAGTCGTACATGGACATTAACACCCTTCAGTAGACGAATAAGTTATCTTGAACTGGCTTCAGATCATTTATTATCCAAGGTCTTTACCATCGTGACCTCTGAGGTAACGCCTCCGCTAAGTAGTCGTCCAAAAAATTTACTGGGCGTCAGTCCCGTTGGAACCTTTACACGGAATATATCCTAGTAAGTAATTATTCGTTGTAATTAGTAATCGACCTTGAATATTTGCGTTTGTTTATTAGATTCTCATAGTGTAGTAACAGGTAGTTTAACTAATCTTTTCTCTTTCATTCTGACCTTAGTATCACTCCGTAGTATGTAGTATTGAGATATATTATCAGGAAGAGGCTCAGAAAGGACAGTTGAGGAGTCCACCGTCATCTGGCAGACCTCCCATTATCTTTCCTTCCGGTAAAGATTTGTACAGGTTTCTACTTTCGGACTAGGTTTGTTTCATCCTCAAGTGCAAGGGGTATAGCTTGGCCACCACGTGTAATGCCCATGTGGCATGGGATCCACTCGGATGCATTCTCGTCCGATATGATCTGGTATCGCATTCTTTCGGTGCTTTTCGGTATGACTACTGGTACCGGGGAATCCCAAATCAAATATCATCCCACTCGTATAAGAGTTTAGAAAATAGAGATCAAGAGTTGCAGAATATTGCTTTAATACTCTCGACATTTGCACAATTTGTCTTCCCTAGAACGAAGCTTTTTCTACTTGCTCCTTTCGTACAACGCAGAGCTCACTCACCAAGTCGATACCATTTTCGAAAGACAAAATGACCGAACATACCCCCTCCGAGCCCATTGCTATCGTTGGAAGTGCATGTCGATTTCCAGGCAGTGCGGATACTCCGTCGAAGCTTTGGGAGATTCTTAGGGAGCCGCGAGATCTCCTTCGGGAAGTCGAACCAGGTCGTCGTTTTGACCCAGAAACCTTCTATAATAGTGATCCCGAGCACCACGGAACCACCAATGTTCAATCGTCTTATTTTCTTGATGAAGACGTTGCTGAATTTGACAATGGGTTTTTCAATATCCAGCCTGCTGAAAGCGAGGCAATCGATCCTCAGCAGCGCCTGCTGATGGAAACTGTTTATGACTCGCTGTGTGCGGCTGGCCAAACCATTGACGGCCTCCGTGGATCGTCTACTGCAGCAATAGTCGGTCTTATGGGAGACGATTGGAGCGGTATCATGTACAAAGATTGGGAGAATCTTCCGCAGTACAGTGCCACTGGCATGGGCCGTAGCATCATGTCCAATCGGCTCTCTTATTTTTTTGACTGGCACGGTCCATCTATTACCCTCGACACCGCTTGCTCTTCCAGTCTCGTTGCGGTTCACCTGGCTATTCAATCTTTGCGAAATGGAGAATCAAAAGTTGCAGTAGCCGCCGGAGCCAACCTTCTTCTCAGTCCCGGTGAGTTCGTTTTCATTTACGCCTCCGTTCATTTTGAAATTATCGAAGTATTCCGCTGATATCTAGTGCAGCAATGTATATCGCAGAGAGTAATCTGCACATGCTCTCACCTACTGGCCGAAGTAGAATGTGGGACGAAGGGGTGGACGGGTATGCTCGAGGAGAGGGCATCGCCGCTGTTGTTCTCAAGCCTCTCAGTGCTGCTCTTAAAGATGGCGACCATATTGAGAGCATCATTCGCGCTACAGGTCTCAATCAGGATGGTAAAACCCCCGGCCTAACCATGCCCAGTGCTAGTGCACAGGCTACTCTCATCCAAGAAACGTATGCTCGTGCAGGCCTCGACCTCAGCAAGCCCGAGGATCGGCCCCATTTCTTCCATGCACATGGAACGGGTACACCTGCTGGTGATCCTCAAGAAGCGGAAGCCATCTCGCGAGCCTTTTTTCCGAATGGCTCAGCTAACGATGGCAAGCTCTACGTTGGCTCAATCAAGACCATCATTGGACACACCGAAGGTACCGCTGGTCTTGCCAGCCTTATGGCTTCTTCCCTGGCTCTTCAACATGGCCTCATTCCGCCAAACATGCACTTTAACAAACTCAATCCTAGGATTGCACCTTTTTATGGAGGGCTGGAAGTTCCAACATCGGTGAAGGCATGGCCCAAGCTACTTCCTGGTCAGCCAAGACGAGCGAGTGTCAACAGTTTCGGTAACGATACCCAGGGGAGACTAAATCTATATTAGAATTTTGCTGATCCACCTCTCACAGGATTTGGAGGAACTAATGCCCATGCGATTATTGAGTCCTATGAGGCACCTGTTGTTAATTCTTCGACCGGTCCTCTGTTCACCCCCTTGACAATATCCGCCGCTAGCGAAAAGTCACTACGTTCGCTGATATCATCCTATTCGGCATACCTGAAAGATAATGTTGATATTTCTCTAAGAGACTTTGCTTATACCCTGCAGGAACGGCGTTCTACCCTGGCTTACCGTGTCCCTATTGCTGCTGCTTCAGTTGAGGAGGCGTGCAAAAAGATGGATTCCCTTCTCCAAAATGAAGATGCCCCCGAGCTCAAAGAAAAGCATTTCGGTGTTCCAAATTCACGAATTTTAGGTGTTTTCACTGGTCAAGGTGCTCAATGGCCACGCATGGGCGCCCGTCTGATTGAGCAATCTCCATTTGTGTCTAAGCGGCTTGATGAGCTGGACACGGCTTTGGCGACATTGCCGCCAGGCGATCGACCCAGTTGGTCCTTGCGTGAACAGTTGCTTGCACATTCAGATGTCTCGCGGACTGCCGAGGCTGCAGTCTCGCAACCTTTATGTACGGCTGTGCAAATATTATTGGTCGACCTGCTTCGACTAGCTGGTATTCAGCTCAATGCGGTCATTGGTCACTCCTCTGGTACGGAACCTCCTTGCCCGCTGATCTGATCATGTTCTGATTGTTTTAGGTGAAATTGGAGCTGCATACGCGTCGGGCTTGCTGACAGCAGAAAATGCAATCCGCGTTGCATTCTACCGTGGGCTTTATGCCAAGCTTGCCAAATCCCCTAATGGTGCGAAAGGGGCAATGATGGCTGTAGGTACATCTTTTGAGGACGCAAGAGAATTTTGTCAATTGGAGGACTTTGAAGGCAGACTTAATGTTGCTGCCCGCAACTCTTCCTCTAGTATCACGCTTTCTGGAGACGAGGATGCCATTGCGGAGGCCGTTGAGATCTTCACGGATGAAGGAAAGTTCGCTCGTCAACTCAAGGTTGACACTGCCTACCACTCTCAACATATGCTTCCTTGTGTCGCTCCCTATCTGGCAGCCATGAGTGCTATCGCCGACCCTCCAAATGACATTGAAGGCATGCCGACATGGTATTCAAGTGTTCATAACGAGCAGGTCATGTCAGTCGATAATCTTGACTCACAATATTGGATCGACAATATGACAAGCGCTGTTCTATTTGCACCCGCTGCGACAACTGCCATCAGCCAGGGTGGCCCTTATGACTTGGTGGTGGAAATTGGGCCTCATCCAGCGCTTAAAGGTCCATGCTTAGATACCCTTGAAGAAGTGACGGGTGATCGCATTCCGTACTCTGGAGTCCTTTCGCGAGGAAAGGATGATGTTATTGAGCTATCGGCTGCCCTTGGATTCATCTGGTCTTGTCTTGGAGCTGGTCGAGTCTCTTTCGAGAAGTTTGAGCGGGCTGTCTCTGAGGATCCGTCTCCTAGACATATGGTTCCAAATCTCCCCAAGTATCCATTTGATCATTCAAAATCATTTTGGACTATGTCGCGCGTTTCTGGTGCCCACACTACTTCTGCCTTTGGTGCCCCTCATCCCATTCTCGGCAGGCGCCAAGTTGACCGTGAGACTTCAAACGACATTCAATGGCGCAACATTCTCCGGCCTAAAGAGGTACCATGGCTGAAGGGCCATAAGATCCAAGGCCAGATTGTCTTCCCTGCTGCAGGGTTTGTGGCCATGACTATTGAGGCCATGAATATCGTCGCTACTAAATCGAAGATTGCTTTGTTCACGATCAAAAATCTTTTTATTGGGCGCGCAATTGCCTTTGACGATGAGAACTCAAATGTCGAGGTTCTTTTCACTGTCAAAATCAAGAGTTCAGGGCAAAATAGTATCGAGGCCAGTTTCTCATGCTACTCCGGCTCCCCTCATGAAACTGGGGTTCCCATGGGACTCAACGCTGAAGGTTCCGTCGAAGTGGTTTTGGGCGAGCCAGATGCAGATACCCTTCCCTCTGTTCAAACGGAAGATTGGAATATGATCGATGTTGAGGTTGATCGTTTTTACAGTCAGTTCCAGAGCCTCGAGTACGGCTACACAGCGCCCTTTCAAGGCATGCGCTCAATCAAACGCAAAAATGGCTATGCAACCGGTACCATCAAGGATGAATCTGGATCAGACTGGGAGGACCAACTCTTGATTCACCCAGGAATGCTAGACACGGCGCTCCAGGCCTCTTCCGCCGCCTTTTGCTGCCCAGGTGATGGGCGCATGTGGGGTTTGTATATTCCAGCTGGCATCCAGTGCATTACCATCAACCCCTATTTCACTTCCTACGCCACCGAAAAGCAGGAGGTGAACCCTTGGGAAGCTGTTGTCAGAAGCTTCAAAAACGCCCATAGCACTGTTGATATCACACTCTTCTCTGATGACCATGCCCATACCTTCGTTCAGATAGAAGGCCTGGAGCTGATGCCTTTCACGGCAGCAAGGCCGGAGAACGATACAGTACTGTTCTCGCGGTTTGACTACAAAATTGATCGTCCTAACGGCAATCTGGCCGCTCCTCTTGATGATGGGCTCTCACCAGAGGATATCGAAAATGCTATCAAGGCAGAGCGGGTCTCCTTCTACTACCTGCGCCGTCTAGTCGAGACTATCACTCCAGAGGAGAGGGCCAGCACTCTACCACACTACCAGCGGCTGCTTGATTGGGCCACCCGTGCTGTGAACACTGTCAAAAACGGAAAGAATCCGTTTGTTCCTTCAAGTTATGAGACCGACACTGAGGAACAAATCAGTGCTATCCTAGACAGGTAAGAAATCTGGACAAGGACGGAAAGCTAAATGATATATGTACTTACAGGGTTCACAGGTACCGCGACCGGGTTGATGTTCGTATGCTCGAATCAGTAGGCAAAAATCTTCCGGAAGTCATTCGGACAGGGTCTGGAATTCTTGAACACATGACACAGGACGGTCTATTCGATTTCTATGACGAAGGTTTAGGTCTCGATATCGCTAATCGCCATTTCGCACGTATGGCGGCCCAGGTATCCCATAGATACCCTCACATGAAGGTATTTGAAATTGGTAAGAATATCTGTTGCTTGGCCTCGATTGATAAATCTTCAATGATACTGATTGAATTCTCCAGGCGCTGGAACTGGTGGGTCGACAAGACATATTCTCCCTACTCTTGGCTCTGCGTTCTCCACATACACCTATACGGATATTTCGAGTGGATTTTTCGAAGCAGCCGAAGATCGATTCAGAGACCATTCCAGCCGCATGAGCTTCAAGGTTTTTGACATGGAGAAACAACCGGAATCCCAGGGCTTTGTCGAAGGCTCCTATGACCTGATCCTGGCTTCCAATGTTCTCCATGCAACCGGCACACTAGAAGAAGTGATGACCAATGTCCGTCGACTACTCAAGCCTGGTGGATATCTCATTGCTTTAGAACTCACAAGCAATGACACTCTCCGTGTGGGTCTTCCCATGGGGAGCTTGCCTGGATGGTGGGTTGGTTACGACACTGGTCGGCCTTGGGGACCAACTTTGACTCTTCCACAGTGGGATTCTCTGCTTCGAAAATGTGGGTTTGGGGGGATCGAGACAAGCACACCATTGTTTCACAAACTCCATCCTTCTTCTGTTTTTGCAGCACAGGCCGTGGATGATCGCATCGATTTGCTTCGGAACCCATTTTTGTCCATCACTGCTCTCCCTCCAACCGACGCACCCCGTCTCATCATTGTCGGCGGTGAAACACTCGCCGCTCACCGTCTAGCAGAGCGCCTTGAATCTCATCTTTCTCATAGATTCAACTATATTGAACGCGTTGATTCTTTTGAGAGCCTTGATGAGAATATCCTACTGCAGGGGAGCACGGTACTCTCAATTGCTGAACTCGACGAGCCGATATTCAAGAATATCACCCCCGAAAAGCTTCAGGCTCTTCAAACACTGTGGCGTGAAGGAGGTAATGTCTTATGGGTCACTCGAGGCGCTAGATCTGACGAGCCATACTCCTTCATGACTCATGGACTTGGGCGTGTTGTAAAATTCGAATACCCCAACATTTCGCTTGAGGTTTTCGACCTGGACATAATTGATGAGAGATCTGCTCAGTTAATTGCCGAGGAGTTGCTTCGTCTTGAAGTCCTCAAGAAATGGGAGAGAGCGGCCGTCCCTGGTGAGGAACTGCTCTGGTCCATCGAGCCAGAGGTATATATTGAAGATGGTGTTCGCATCATTCCTCGCCTCTACGAGTTTGAACAGGCAAACGATCGCTACAACACCTCACGTCGTGCTGTTACAACATCCGTCAATCCTCAAAAGACCCCAGTATCAATTACCAGCAACGGCACGACGTGCGAAGTGCACTATCCGTCTCCTCTTCGTCAACCCAGCCCACCTCCGGCATTTGGCTTGACAAGGGATCTCCAGATTTCACACTTCTTGTTGCAAAGCATCAATGTTGCATCTGTCGGCAAGCTATCTTTGTGCTTTGGAATTGATAAGGGTAGCAACGAAAAGGTTTTGGCTCTGGCTCATTCCAGAGAGTCACGTATCGAAGTGTTGACGGATTGGACCGTGCCTCTTGGTAGTGGTGATGATCCTGTCAAAGCTCTAGTATCTGTTGCTGCTCGGATGACTGCTTCTAATATTCTCAACCTGGCGGGCGAAGGCAATAACATTGTGATTCATGAGCCAGATGAGGTCGTTGCTTATGCCCTATCTTCACAGTCGTCGCATAAGTCAATCCACGTGACGTTCACGACTTCGCTGAAAGAAAAAGCCAGAACAGATAGTACTTGGTGCTACATTCATGAAAACGCCCCTCGACGGCTCATTGAGAGAGCACTGCCTGCTTCTACCTCTGTGTTTGTCAACCTATCTCAAGCGCCCGAATCGTCAATATCCGGCCAGCTGGTTGCCCGTTGTCTACCTCGATCATGCGCCATTTACAGTTCTCAGGATTTCTTTGGCACGGGTCCCATGATCAATAATGTGAATTCTTTTGCTGAAGTCCCCAAGGCCATCAAGGAGGCGTCGGCCTCAGTATTTGACATTTCAATCTATAGCCCTACGATCATTCAGCTCCAAGAAATGTCGGGTTTAACGGTTCTTGAAGCGCCTTTTACGGTCGTTGATTGCTTCACTTCAGGTGCTTTGGCCAAAGTTCAGGCCATTGACGAGGGGACTATCTTCCGAAGTGACAAGACCTATCTCATGATCGGTATGTCAGGTCAAGTTGGCCAGTCATTGTGTCAATGGATGGTTGAGCGCGGCGCCAAGCATGTCGTTCTGACCAGTCGTCGACCGAACGTTCATCCCCAGTTTATCAAAACAGTCGAGGCAATGGGTGCCACCGTCAAAGTTCTACCACTTGACATCACAAGCAAAAGCTCCTTACTCAAGTGCTACGAGGAAATTTCGACAACAATGCCTCCAGTTGCAGGTGTTGCGCAGGGAGCTATGGTACTGGAAGACTCTTTGTTTGACAGAATGTCTTTCGAGACGCTCACCAAGGTTCTCAATCCAAAAGTCATTGGCACCCAGCTATTAGACGAACTTTTCCACGATACTCCATTGGAATTTTTCATTGTATTCTCGTCATTGACGGCAGTCGTCGGCAACAGTGGACAGAGCAACTACATTGCAGCCAACATGTTCATGACTGCTCTGGCGTCTCAGCGCAAAAAGCGTGGAGTGGCTGGTTCCACTATCGCAATCAGCTCCGTCATGGGGATTGGTTACGTGGAGCGTTCAGACGACTTTACTGGTGACTATTTTGCGAAACTTGGATACCGGAACATCTCTGAGCAGGATTTGCAGCAGCTTTTTGCTGAAGCTATCCTAGTGGGCAAGCCGGGATGCTCTAGTAGTTCGGAAGTTGTCACGGGTCTTCAACCTATATTTGCTGACGCCCATGTAAAGGCACAGTTTCGAGACGATATCAAATTCAATCACTTTGTCAAAGAGCGATCCGGAACTCAGAACTACGGTGGAAAGCTCTCTGCTGTGCCTTTGAGAATTAAGTTGACCGAGACTCAGACCAAGGCTGAAGCCATCGATATCATCAAAGGTATAGATGCTTTGCTCATTTTCTTTCTTTTTACATGAACTTGTGCTGATTTTCAAATAGATTCATTTGTCGTACGGCTCAAGCGAACCTTGATGGTTTCCCAGGATGAGGTTATCAATGAGAAAGCTTCTCTTGTGGAGCAAGGAATTGACTCCCTCATGGCCGTGGAGGTCCGCACATGGTTTCTTAAAGAGCTTGAGGTTGACATCCCGGTGCTCAAGATACTTGGTGGCGCTTCTATCACGGACCTTCTTACTGAAGCTCTGGAGCGTGTTCCTACATCCGTCGTGGATTTGAATGCTCTTGCCAGTGGCACTGGGAAAGACACAAAGCCTGGCGCAAACACCAAGATTCCAGCTTTTTCGCCCGCCACTCCAGTCGAGCTAGCGGCGTCTAGCGTTGCTTCTTTAGAAGATATCCTAACACCGTCCGATAGCCCTCCTCAATTTGCCACTCAGCTTCATACGCCGATGACTGAAATCGATGCGCCAATCCATGCAGTTCCCGCTAATGATGTCGATAACTTGAAACTCAACGTTTCAAACGACAACGCTTCAATGCCGATCAACCCCGTTGTTGAGGCTGTCTCGAGAACAGGGCATGCAGTAAATGGCAAGGCCAAGGTTCAGGGAGCTATTCCAGACCTCAGTCGTTTGATCGACAAAGAAGAATCTTGTGCCATGTCATATGGTCAAGCGAGGTTCTGGTTTTTAAATGACTACCTCGAGGACAAAACAAGTTTCAACATGACTGTCATGTTCAAGCTTACTGGGAAAATGAATGTTCCTCAACTCGAAAAAGCCGTTCGAGTGCTAGGGCAACGCCACGAGGCACTTCGGACTCGATACTTTTGGTCAGGGACAGGAGAAAATCGGGTCCCAAAGCAGGGGATACTACCTGAGTCTCCTATTCGTCTAATTCACAAACATCTTGAGTCGGAAGCTGATGCGTATGAAGAGTTACGAAAGATGCATGGGTACATCTGGGACTTGAATTCCTGGGAGGCCGCCAAGATCCACCTCCTCAGCGTCAATGAGAATCTGCACTTCCTGCTTGTAAGTGGTCATCATATCTCTTGGGATGGCTACAGTTTCACTGTCCTTTTCGTCGATCTCGAAGCGGCATACACCGGGAAGGCACTGCCACCTCTAGGTCCGGAAAGTCAATACCGCGCGTTTTCCCGATGGCAACGCGACACGTACGAAATGGGAACAATGCAAAAGACAATCGAAGAGTTCCGAGGAATCATCAATCCCAATACACCCCCTGTGCCTCCATTCCCCTTCGCCAAATCCCAAACTCGGCCAGTCTTGGATCGCTTCCTTCAACACGAAGCAAAGGCAACCCTTGAAGCACCACTAGTGGCAAAGCTCAAGCAGATCGCGCGAAAAAACAGAGCCACTATGTTTCACCTTTACCTTGCCGCTCTCCAAGGCTTGGTCCTCCGCCTCCTCCCTGAAGTCGACGAATTCTTCGTCGGAATTGCAGATGCAAATCGCATTGATAAGAGGTTTATGGGAAGTCTTGGTTTCTTTTTGAACCTTCTTCCTATACTATTTACCCGAAATCAGAGCGCTAAGATCAGCGATCTTATCAAGGACTCTCGTGACAAAGCATATGGGGCGTTACAGCGATCTCATGTCCCATGGAATGTGATCCTCAAAGAACTGAAGATTCCGCGTAACAACATACATGCCCCTATCTACCAACTGTTCGTGGACTATCGCCAGGTATATCAGGATAGGTCTGTGTGGGGTGGATGCAAGTTGAGTGATGAGTCCTGGCTGAATGCACGGAACGGTTACGATCTCACCCTTGGGATCACTGATAACCCTAACGGCGAATCCTGGCTTTCTATCCGCTTGACAGCAAATATGTACACAAAAGCTAGCACAGATCTACTGATGGAATCCTTTGTCAATGTTCTGCGAACTTTCGCTGAAGGCGTGGACCTCGAAGCCAGCGCACTTCCGGCCTACGCCCCCGAAGATATTGAGGCGGGTCTTCGAATTGGAAAGGGTAAGTATTGATAGTCCAACCTGACAGACCGTCTGGGCTAACCTTCCACAGGACCGCAAATGGAACTTCAATGGCCTATCACAATCTCCCACCGCATTGACCAGATGATTGAGCGACATGCATCTGAGCCAGCATTGAAAGATGGACTGGGAAACACCCTCACGTACAAGCAAATGGGAGACCGAGTCAATGCCATTGTTTCAGCCCTTGTTGCCGCCGGTGCAAAGCAAGGCGCTCCTATCGGGGTTTTCCAAGACCCATCCCCCGATTGGATGTGCTCCATGCTGGCCGCTTTCCGAGTTGGAGGAATTTATGTGCCTTTGGATCCGCGCAATTCATTGTCTAGACTCTCCAGGATCGTGGAAAATGTGCAGCCTCACATCCTTCTGACTGATCGCAACATGACAGATAAGGTTAAATCAATTGGTTGCGTCGATGGGGTCGAAATCATGGTCTCGGATCTTCCAGCTTCAACCTCGACGACACCATTGCCAAATCAAGCAAGACCCGAGTCGACAGCAGTCATTCTCTTTACCAGTGGTACTACAGGAAAGCCCAAGGGAATCCGATTAACTCACAGCAATTTGCGATCGGAGAGTGAAGGATATTCGCGGTTTTGCAATATCCCTGCCCTGGCAAAGGTGGTACTTCAGCAGACCATCTTTAGTTTTGATGTTTCGTTGGACCAAATTTTCGCCGCTCTTGCTGACGGTGGCTGTCTTCTTGTCGTCCCGGCTGAGAAGAGAGGTGATCCGCAATCTATCACTAAGTTGATGGCAGAGCACGAAGTGACATACACGGTGGCTACTCCATCTGAGTATGAGATGTGGTTCCGATACGCGCGTGAAAACCTGTCAAACTGCAGGTCCTGGCAAGCTGCATTTGGTGGGGGTGAACATCTTCATCGCGGTCTTATCCAGGAGTTTGCCGAACTAGCGCTTGAGCTACCCAGTTTGCGGCTCTTCAACAACTACGGCCCCACCGAAGCCACACTCGCCATCACGAAGGGCGAGATCAAACACAGTGACCCTGATCTGGAGGACCATGTCCCAGCTGGCTTCATCCTACCAAATTACACCGTCGCTATTCTCGACGACAGTCTCCGGCCGGTGCCCGTGGGCGTGGCTGGAGAGATCTGCGCAGGCGGTCCAGGCATCGCCGATGGATATCTAGGACTCGAGGAGATGACAAAGGAGAAGTTTATCCCTGGCGCATCCATTCATCCTTCAGCAAGTGGTACCTGGTACCGTACTGGAGATCGAGGCTGTCTCCGGGAGAATGGTGCAGTTTACTGGCTGGGCCGCATTACAGGTGACAGCCAGGTGAAAATCCGAGGCTTCCGGATTGAAGTCCAAGAAGTCGAAACAGTTCTCCTAGAGGCGGCGAATGGCGCCCTCACGCATGCTGTTGTCACCTTAAGAGGAGAAGGAGAGCAGAAGTTTCTGGCTTCTCACGTCGTCTTCGCGCCCGACTACCCGCAACATCGTCGCGCAGGTCTCATCCAACATCTTGAATCCAGACTGCCGCTGCCTACCTACATGCAGCCCGCGGTGGTTGTTCCGATTGCCAATATTCCAGTTACCGGCAACCTGAAATTCGATCGCAAGGCCATTCAGGCTATGCCGCTACCTGAGGGGTCGGAAGACAACGGTCTAGCTATGGAAATGGAGAAGACTTTAGCCGACCTGTGGCGCCGAGTCATTCCAAACAACATTCGAGAGCTTACTCCAGGGACCAACTTCTTCGATGTGGGCGGTACTTCTATTCTGCTCGTGAAGCTGCAGGCTCTTGTCAAACAGGAGCTTAACTCGGCGCCTCTTCTGGTCGATCTCATGAACTTCAGTAGTCTGGGAGGCATGACGAAAATTGTGAAGTCCTTTGCAGGCACTCACGTTATTGACTGGGAAACCGAAACCGCTGTATCAGAGCCGTTGAGCCTCATTGCGAAGAACAGGATCCCAGCCAAGCAAAAGAAGACCACCGACCTCACTGTGGTCTTGGCTGGACCGACTGGATATGTAGGCCGCAAACTGCTCCAGCGTCTCATTGATACCCCACAGGTGAGCGAGATCAAGTGCTTGGTTCGTGATGAGCAGGCTGCATCTGCATCTCTGGTATCAAGCCCAAAGATCAAGTTCATCCGAACCGACTTGTCTCAGCCAAATTTTGGTCTGTCTCCTGCCGGGTTTGCTGCTCTAGCCGAAAAGTTAGATGTTGCTATCCACTGTGCCGCCAATCGTTCCTTCTTTGACAGCTATGAGACCCTGCGTCCCGTTAATGTTGATTCTGTTAAGGAGCTTGCCCGAGTCGCCATGATCAACAATGCACCCCTTCACCTCTTCTCGTCGGGATCCGTCCAGATCTACGACGGCGCAGCCCCGCCCACAGATGGAAGCGATGGATATGTGGCCAGCAAATGGGTGGCTGAAACATTCCTCCGTAAAGCCGCGCGCCTCGGTTTGCAGGTCTATATCCATCGGCCACTCGCAATCCCAGCTGGAAAAGCCCCTGGTGGAATCTCATCCCAGGATATCCTGATCGAGCTGATTAGCATTATACAAAATCTTGGAGTAAGGCCCGATTTCTCTGTCATCAGTGGCTACTTGGATTTTGCACCTGTCGATGAAGTGGTCGGGGATGTTGTCATGACTATTACAAGCGCGAGCAGTGAACCTGGCAGCGTCCAAGTCACCAAACATGCTGGGCAACTGCGGGTTCATATCAAGGATTTTGCCGATTTTGTGGAAGAAGATAATCGACTGAAGGCATTGCCAACCAAAAACCCGTTGTTCTGGTTTGCGGATGCGAAGAGATCAGGTTTTAGCTATTTGATGACTTCGCACCACCTGGTGATGAGCTCGAAAGATGGCAAGTTGGTCACGAGACGTTGAAGGAATTCCTGTCTTAAGGTGTCTCCCCCCGATTGCATGATATAGGGATCAATGTTAAAATTAAGGTGCTACCTCGAGCATAGAAATAATTTGTTATATGTTCTGAGTCTTGATTCTTTAGTATAGTTCACGTTAAGGCGAGACTAGGCCTAGGAAAAACCCACCTGGGCATAGAATTTGAAATATTTCTATGCGAAAACATCCTCATAGTACTAAGAGGACTAATCGCATTCTCCAATTCAGGGCTGTGGCTGTGCCACTTAAGAAACCCCTCTTTTGAGATGATACCGAATGAATGATCGAGTCCAGAAGAGCAGAGTCAGACACGATAAGGCGCTGAGAGGTTGGGTCAGCGGCAAGTCCAGTAGGTTTGGCTTCTTGCGCGAGTCCTGTCTTCATGTCGGGGTAATTGATCAATCTGGCATAGAGTTGTGGATCGGTCGGTTCAACAGTAAGCGAAATTGTATCAGGGGAATCCTTTTGGTAGGAGGGGGATTTCATGTGAATAGCGTCGTTGGTAAATGACCGGCAGGGAAGGTAGGTTAGCTTAACTGGCTTGGGGAAAGCCTCAACACAGCTGGCAAGATATGAGCGGAAAAACGGCTCAAGCTTCCTTAAAGGTGATTAATGCACCTTTTACAAGTCAACCAAGTAAAGAGATTGGGACCATACAGTTCCACCGGTGTGATCGCACGTCCAACACTACCGCTCCGAACAGGAGGTTTGGAGTTCATCTCCATCATTCCCTTGAACTTGATTTTCAACGCCTTGATAATGATCTCCGGAGTAGTCAAAATGCTCAGGATAGTCCACTGGAAGACGAATCTGGCCACATCCAAGGAGCTCATCTTGGTTGGATCGATTGGCGGACCATCACATGTCAATCTGGTTGCCATGCGGACTTCACCTGACTCCTCCATAGTTGTCATGTTCGAAAATGATGTGTTGGACTTCCAGGCACCCGGTTGCAGAGGGTCCATCATACGATTGGACACCAACCCGTCCACCTTTTCAAACGGAGAAGCAAAAATGTATTTGCTCCAGATGCCTTTGTAAAATTTGGCTCGGGGTGCTGATTTCACAGTTTGCACCAACTGCCGATCTTCAAGGTATTCGATGAAATTCGAGGTCTCTGGAGGGCTCAATGGCTCGTCAGAGGTAGGGCTGACTCTCAAGAAAACATTTCGTTTTTCCCAGTAAGAATTATTGATTTCGAGGATGACCGCGTCGAGTTCCCGGTCTCCATTGTATAGGTACCACCAACTCACGACACTCCTGGACCATCCCAAGAACTGGGGCACACTTAGAAGGTAGGCATATGGCCACTGTGCAGGGTCTTCGTTCTATTTCAGATTGTCAGTATCCAATTTGAGGGAAATTTTTGAAATAAAGGCATCCTACCTGGGATTGAAGGAAATTGTCCAGTTTCTGTCGCAGATCCACACCGTGATCTCCTCTATGCAAGAATCGCGCAGAGTCGAAAGTGAACCAGCAGCTAAAGTGGGAAATGGTCCGCTTCCAAGACCATCCAGTAACTCCTGGTGCGGGAGTCACCTCAAGAGACTTGTCATCCACGGCCAATAGGTCTCCAATACGACATCGAAGGCCAACTGGAATCCCCACAACAAGGAATCGGTTGAGAAAATGATCTTTCACGGGTATGAAGCGTGTATGATTAAACTTCACCGGGAAAAGAAGGGGCTTGCCCAGAACTTCTTGGTTCTTATCGGATAATGAAATCAGTCGACGAGGAATCAAGATGGCTCTCGCCAGCAATGTGATAATAGCGGTAGTTGTGAGCAGCAACACAAGTCCAATTCCTACCCCCGCAGCTTTGAACCAGAATGATGGTATGTTGAACTGATGAGCAATGTAAAGAGTCGAGAGAACCACATCTTTAATGGCAATGTGGAACACCATATCTGCAGATCCGTAGATATAATACCCTTGTACGGCTGTTTTATGCAAATAGGATTTGAACATCCAGTATCATTGCTTTCCTTTAAAAGAATGAGACATAGCTCTGAAAATGGAAGGAAATTTTATATTCTACTCGCTACAGCCCTCTCGGTGATGCCCGAGCTGAAGGGGGTAAAAATGCCATAGCCTCTTCAGCCATACTTCGACTCATGCAGGCTTTGCTGAATCCACAGGGCTATGAGGGAGCACATATCGGATCTCTCCGGTTATCAAAATTCTTCAGTGTGGCTGCTTTGACAGATGAAGGCTGACTGAACAAGGGCGCTAATTGACGTAGACGGGGGACTTATCCGGTCAGTTCGGCAAATGGTCGGTGGCTTAGGTTTGTGGCTGAGAACAGGGAGAGGAACGGCCCAATAGACGCCATCATAACAGGACAAAGGCCCAGATTGACGAAGCAGAAGAGGGTGAATACATGCGACACCATTTTATTGGTTCAAAATAGTTCATTTTAAGGAAATGTTTTGACGCTAACCCTATGATTGATAGCCACGTCTAGCATACTCTCTAAATTCGTAGAACTGCTTAACCAAAACAGCGGTGATGTTTGGATGAAAATGGTGAAAATCTTTTCCAATGTTTATTTCCAATCACAACTAGCCCAAAAGCGGGAGGTGGAAGTACGTCTGAGCTGGACGGCATGAGAAATCTCTTGCTGATTTTCAGAACTATAAACAAGTCCCGGACATCACCGTTGTATTTATCAAGTGTTGAATTCTCCCTTTATAACCTCACAGCATTCCCAACTTTGAGAACACTGACAAACTTTGCAGCGAGACATATCCCTCATTACCGTACCATTATGGTGCTTCCGTCGTGTGCACCATGTCGGGCAATTATTATCGGGGGTGGAGTCTCCGGGATAGCAATGGCTTGTCGACTGAAAACGGATTTTCGTCTTCATGACATCTGCATATATGATCGACAAGAGGGACTTGGAGGTGCATGGTGGGCTAATACTTGTTTGTGAACCCTGGGCCAGATCGACCTTAAAGGCTGGGAGATAGATTCTAATGTGTCATACCCTAGATCCGGGCTGTGCCGTGGACATCCCCGGATTCTGTTACAGCTTCTCCTTTGCGCCGAACCCCGATTTCACCAAATTGTTTCCTTCTCAAGCGGAGATCTTGGACTGTTTGGCAAATGTCGTCAAACAATACGGGATTGGCGATCATTTTATCGGAGGAATAGAATGGATTGATGCTACGTGGAATGAACAAACACAAACGTGGCTGGTCACATTACGTGATATACAGAATGATCGATTGTTCACTCAAGAATGTCAGACTTTGATATCCGCAGTGGGTGGATTAGTCAATCCACAAGAGCTGAAAATACCAGGTGTCGAACGATTCCAAGGTGATATCATTCACACAGCCCGTTGGGATGCAACCGTTGATCTCAGCAACAAGCATGTCGCTGTTATAGGCAATGGAGGTAAGTGATTCATTCCATCAAACCTGGCCTCAGCTGAGACTGGAGAAATTCAGCTTCAGCAATACAACTCGTTCCTGAGGTCTTGAAAAAAGCACGTACTGTTACGCAGTTCGCAAGAGTTGGTCTCTTCATATCGCAAAATCTCCAATGCCAGACTAACAGGTTTTAAGACTCCACACCATATTGTCGAGGGGAAAACTATGATATGTCATCAGAATGGAGAGAAAGATTCCGCAATATCCCACTATTGCTTTATCTGGTTCGCATTGTGCTTTTCCTATATATGGAGATCACTTGGTTTCGCTTCCAAAACAATCGATTGGGTAAGATTTCTCGCACTTCAGTGGAGAAAAAGAGCCGAGAATATGTTCAAAGTTCAGTACCAGGTAGGAGACATCATTCTACCCGGTTCGTTGTCATAGGCTCTCTTCTAATTTGTGAGATTAGAGTCATATTGGGATCTTCTGATTCCCAAATACGAGTTTGGGTGCAAGGTGAGGAAAACATCTCAACTATCACGGGCCCTCATCTAATTACTGGTTGCCAGAGACGAATTTTTGACCGTGGATACCTGGCTAGTCTCTGGCAGAGCAACATGCGCCTAACAGATGACCCAATTGTGAAAATCACCGCCAATTCCATTATTACTCGGTCTGGAGAAGAGCTATTCGTCGACGCGATTGTAAGATGATTTGATATCCAGACCTCAGTACTAAGTTTAGCTGACCAATTTTGGATTTATTTAGCTACTAGCGAATGGATTTGCTCTTACACACTACGATACCAATCTGAAAGGTCGGAAGGGAATCACACGCCAGCAACATTGGAATAAATACGGCCACAAAGCAACTTTCAAAACGATTGCTATGCATGGATTTCCTAATTTCTTTTACATTCTCGGTCCTAATTCTGGACGGCTACACACATCCACAATCCAGATCATTGAAAGGCAAGTGAACAGAAGAAATCTTTCTTGGGTTGAAAACAAGAACGTATGCTAATTGTGTACACAATTTAACAGTCAAGTGGAAATGGTGACCAACCTCATGAGACCCATTTTATTGAAACAGGCTTCTTCAGTCGAGGTCAAAGCGATCAGTCAGCGAGAGTTTGATGTACAACTGCATGAAGCCATTGATAAGACTGTGCATAGTGCCGCCTGCGGAAGTGTGAGTTTTTGGCCCCAATAGCTTGTGACATAACTAGTAAGCTAACTTGGTTACAGTATTTTATTGACAAAGGAACCGAAAAGAATTGGTTTGTTTACCCATGGAATACATTCCACTTAAGGCTGTCAGCGGTGTGGAGTCCTTCCAGTGATTGGAATTACCGAACTCTGTAGCCCTACCACCTTGACGATGCTTCTAAAGAATTAAGATTAGATATTAATAGACTTCTAAGATTTCTGTTGAACATTGAGATTGTTTTGAACAGATAATAATTTCGGCTGGTAATTCCAAGATCTTCGATTTCACTAGAACAACGCCAAAGTGGAGCCCAGGGCAATGTTTGACGCGCAGACAAACTGCGGATGTAGCTTCTACGCCCGGCCGGACTTTTCGGGACCATTTATATTTCGCGCTCCACCCATAAAAATTTTTTCTCTTCCCTGCACATCTCCCACTGGGAGCTTGGAGCTTCCAGCTCTTTTTTCTTCTTGTTTATTCCTGGCAGATGTCATGAGCGGTAATGACTGTCTCATGTTCATCTGCTATCCTTGACACCGAGGTACCTACACATTAATGCTTGTTGTCGGCCTCTCGTCTTGATTTTTTTCTTAAAAGGTAAGAAGACGATTTTTTTTTTCTTTCCCCCTCCCCTTCGAATGATGACCCTATGACATGCAAAGGCATTCCTCAAGCTTAAGTTATCGTGTGGAATCTTGTCAATATTAAGTTTCAGCCTTGTCTGACTTCGAAACACTTGTCTCGATCCTTGTTACCAGCTATTATTTGGCGTACCTTGTGCTAACTCAATTCTGGTTAGGTAAATTCAATTCCTCGTCAATCTCTTCCCTCTATTGCGGCATGTGCCTTGCATGAAGAAAATTTGAACGAACGGGCGGACATAACGTATCCACGTCCCCTCATCCTACAAAACCAGAGCGTACAAACTCTGTGGGTGTGTGGGAGGTGGAATACTTGTTGAGAACTCGTCACCTGATCCTTTGCCCAATGTCACAATTTTTTCGTCGAAAATAAGTCTTGAATATCCGTCTGACTGTGTGACTTTAGGTATTCTACACTTCTTTTTTTTCTTTTTGCATGAACATGGTCATATCTATTATGATGAAACTTGATATTCACACTGTTTGATTCGGATTTATCCGAAAATGAACATTAAACAAAAATTCTGATTTAATGAGGTGAGTCGGCTTCCATTGCTCTTACAGAAGAAAACACATGCTGACCAGTGGGCTTCTAGCCTGACATAGTTACCATGTCTTGATCTTACAGTTTAAGCTTGCATTTTATTCGAATGCGATTGCTGACGATGATCAATCATCTAGGATCTTGCTGTCTGGTAAATACGCTGGCGTCAATTTCTTTGTGAGTACGACCTTTATCCATCCAACCCTCTTTGCCTGATGAACAAAAAATTTTCGCTGTGTTCTTTCAGAATTACATTGACGATACAAATTTATATTCACTTTGGAGATCTGACCGCTTCTCTCACCCACACAATATTCACTCATCGCATTTTGTGTTCTTTTGCTAATACGCATTCCAGATCTTGATACCCTTGAAATAGTTTTGAATACATTTGATTCTTATATCATTCTTCCATTGCTAGTACTGTAGCTCATCTTGAATCATCACATAGTCCACAACCCACACCCCCAACACCTTGCTAAGAACAGTTCTCCTTGATAATCACTCCATAAATAAGCCACGCTCTTTATGCCACCCCTCGATGCTGGTCTCCCCGTTATAAAGCTCATGCACACTCTTCTTACCTTCCGGCCACCGCGCCCACGCTGGCTTTGACCCAGCCATGACACAAACCATTTCATCCGGCACGGGCAGTTCAGTATCAATAGCTGATGCAAAGGGGTGAATCAACTCTGGCCAGTGGTGGTCCCAGAGCCAAAGCATGGAGCTGCAATTCGAGCAGAAGTTCCGCTCAGACGAGCATAGCTCCTCATTTGGGGTTCCGCGATCCTTGATGCCGCGGTACTTTCTAAATTGTATCAATTTTTAGTACATGTATATCATGTATTTTCCAACTCAATCTTGCTTGAATTGAATTCCTTGATATTGAAGTTTGGCTCTGGGGCTTGATCCATACTTGATGAGGTCTTGGCCCTTGAGCACTTTCAGGCTATCGGCGATGCCGCCGAGGTTCACGGCGCCCAAGTACCCACCTACTTTGCGGCAGATGCTACAGGCGCAAACTTGGTAAGGTACTGGGGTCTGTGATTGGAGTGTGAACTCGATGCCGCCGCATTGGCAGCTACCGTCGAGTTTCCTGGCATTCGTTAGTGTCGGATTCGGAGTAGATGCGGGGGTGTTTGATGTTGTTTCCCTGTTTAGACATACATAGGCATAGTTGAAAGTCTGAAAATTGTTTTTGAAGAGCTTTAAGATTTCCTTGGGTCTTTTGAAAGGGCCTGGGGGGTTCGAGTAATTCAGCAAGTAGTCAATCAAGTAGATTATGGAGGTCTAGTTGAATGAAATAAGCGACAAGGTCCAGCTATATATAACATCGGTACTCTGCGGAGAACCTAGTCTCCCAATGATGCAGACAAATCAAACATGCAAACTACTGGGACGCAATGCAACACAGACTATCATTGCTTCGCTCATTCGCCCAGAAAATCAGTTCTAGCCCTGTTCTATGCCGGTCGTGTCGGGAAATACATCATCGGTCGTATCTTGCGACGCTGGTTGGCTGATCACATGTTTGTCTCGTTTGTTCTATTTGTCTCGCGGCTTGAGCTTTCGAGGCCCAGTCTTGACCACGCCATCGTCCTCCCTGCACCGCTTGAACAAGTGATTTCCTCTCAATATATTGTTAAAGCCGCAAAAAAAAACATTTTAATATGAGTTTCGGAGCCCCCGGAGGTGGTTCGGTGAACTACAAGCCTTCGCCGTGAGTTTTGCCCCAGTTGGGGATCTTTGCGCAAGCATTCCCCTCGCATCACGAGAGCTTATAACTCCCCAAAAAGGTTATGATATCACTGCAGACTGTATTACTGACATGATTTTCAATCGACAGGCCTGAGCGCGGTAGCTTTCCGCTCGACCATGAAGGTAATCCAGCGACATTTTCCCGCCTACACTCCGCAATGTATACCTCAAGAGCGCCGCTTGTTGACCGATCAAATGTATAGGAGAATGCAAGCATATCATTTCCGGTTATTTGAAGTGCATCAAGTCTAACCGAGGCACCAATGATGAGGCGTGCCGCAAATTGGCGAAGGATTATCTTGCCTGCCGGATGGACAAGTACGTTACCAACTCCAGCATATTTCATATGTCTGTCACTGCAGAGCATATAATATTCGAAACACCGAAATTGAACACCCTGGATTGCTGACCATTGGTACACTTATAGAAACCTCATGGCGCCGGATGACTTCAAAAACCTTGGACTCGTATTCAAGGAAGACCAAGAGAAAACTAAAGCTCCAGCAGCTGTGAATATGCCGGAAACATCACAAGGAACCACCAAGGAAAATTAAATGGGATAGAAAATAATTGGACGATCTGTACGATATCGGAGAAAAGCAGTCTGTCCGCAGGAGGCGGTTTCAGCGCTTCCACAGGCGTTGATAGTAAATTGTACATAGACATTGTATTATACCTCAGGAAATTGTATTTGCAATCTCACCACCCTAGACAAAGGAAGTAACATCAATGACAGCCTCAACTTCATTTTTTGTCGCGATTGGCTCGAGCTTGTTGCATGCGGGGAACCCGGGCTCCGCCCATAGCACCAGCCAAACCGAGCACTCCAGCTCCAACATCGCCCCAGCGAATCGTCAACCCACTAAATGTCGTCAATTGCGCGGCCACCAGACCCATGCCTGGTGGCCATTATCCTCATTGTGCGATCACGCACCGGTCCCCGACTCGTCTTCCACTACCCTCCGAATCCACTCAGCGAGAATCGATTGAAAACAACCCTCAAGGGCGGGCGACGCACCTCTCGCGCGCGGAATCGACAAGGCGCTAGGAACACGGACTCGAGCTCCAGCGATGATAGCGGGCTGAGTTCGGATGAAGAGGAGGAGGAAAGAGAGCGCGAAAACCAGAATCCTACTGCTCAGGCAATCCCGGGCCAGACACAGAGCGGCAGCCATCCGACGGCGCCGAGCTTGCTGCTGGCCCGCCGCGCGAGTAACTTTGGCATCGTCGATGACAGTGTGAATATTGCTGTGTCGCCTGGTACGGTCCCGACGGAACCACCACGCCCTGGGTCTCTAGGGTCTGGCCGGGGGTCGTCGCTGCGGAAGCGGGGTGGTGCTGGGTCTGACCCTGAGGATGATGGGGCGTCGGATCGGGATGGTGCTAGCGGATCATCGGGGGCACCTTGGGTGTCACTTTTGGGTCTACCAGGGAGTGTGTGGGAGAAGCTACTGAGTCCATCGCGATCGTGGCATAAACGGCGATTCGAAGTGGGGATCAATGATCTCGCGCTTATCGGATGGCCTGTCTTTGTGCGGGAGGATGGAACCTGGCGCAAGCAACGGCGGAAGAAGAAAAAGAAGAAGAATCGCTCTGAATGGGATGGTGGGGAGCTGGGCCATAATGAGATTGAGGGCGCCGGAGATGAGGATGGTGTTACTTCGCCTGATATGGAGGCTAGTATTGCTACCATTTCTGAACTGACGCTTTCTCCGACTGAGACTAAGCGCCACTCTACGACCAGTGTGAAGCTTGGGAAGCAGACAGATGATCCCGAGGATAAAGACCATATGACTATGTTCAATGTGGTCTTTGTGATGGATCCACCTCTGCTTGAGTACTCGGGCCGAGTCAAAGAGATCTACGAGAATGCTATCAAGAAGTTTGCAAAAGCTTTGAAATGGGAGCAGGCCCGGACGGATTATGTGTGGAAAGAATCGCAGCATATACTGTCTTTACGGCGAAAGGCTCGAGAGTCAAGTATATGTCCCTGGTCCGGTATTCATTGGGCTTGAGCTAACTACCTTCCTCTAGAAACCTCGATCCACAAGCTTTACGCTGATTTGATAAACCAGTCTTCTCTGGCCAGGGCAATCTATACAGTTTATACCAGCATATCTGCATCTAAGATTGCCTCCGTATCACTCAGTCCCGACGTTTCCATCTCGCTACAGATTCCCCCGCTGACTTCCACGCCATACCTTGCTGGCCCTGCGGACAAATCATATCCAGGTCTCTGGTTGACAACGGCCGACAGTGCAACCCCAGTGGATGAACCTGGTATTGACGATATCAATTCGCCCCACCAAGTACTTGCAAAACACTTTGCACTGCTTCTGCTCGATAGCGAGGCATCTATTATCAAAGACGTTGAGGCTTCTGGCGGTACTCTTGCCACGGCATTGGCACACTACATCCGCTGTTCGAAGCCGACGAAGTCTTTCGCCCAAATTTCGTTATCATCTGGAATCCCACTTTCCACTATCCAGATGCTGGCTAGCCATTTGGTCTATTGGCGTCGTGCCCGAGCCATACCTCCCATTCACCAGCGAGATACATACATTGTTTCTCCGAATTGCGATCTGAGCAAATTGGAAATAGCGACTATTGCATATCAGGCAGCATTTCCCACAGTTCCCAGTCTCCCAAAGATGCTCTCCTCGCTGAGCGGCACCCCTCGCCCTTATGGGAGCTTCATTCCCAGTAAAGACCACAAGGAAACATACTTCTCTATTCTTGCATGGCTTCTGCGTGGTGGTTGGGTAACACAGTTACGTACCTTCGCCCGCATCAAAGTGACCCCCGAGATCAAACTGGCCGTGGAAATGGCTCTTCGAAAAGAAGAAGTGGACCGCTACCTTGCCAAAGGCAATACCAGCTCCCTTGCCGATGTGGACACAGACAGTTCGGATGATGACGCAAATTCTTCGTCCTCATCCTCACTCGCCAGTCACGGCAGCGGAGACGATACGCCCATGCCGGGTCGCGTCGACCCGCACGCACAGCTCCGCACCTCGCACAAGCTATTAGACCGGTCCACTGCGCTGCGGCAGTCAACTTTGATTTTATCTCCGCACCGTGCTTCCCCACTCGAATCCAGATGGCTAGACGAGATTGTCGCCCGATTCCCCGAGAAGCCCGAAGACGAGCAACTCCTCGAAGGTGTGAGCCCGGAACTGGCGCCGAAGGATTTTCAAAAACTCCAAAGTCTACTGAAGATGTACTGGCCGTCATTTTTGAAATACTTCAACGGACATGATGCATTGGAGAAGATCTCCGTGCGGGAGAATCTGAAGCGTAAATTAGTGTGGCGCGTCCTCACCCGCCTGGGCTTTATAGGGCCGACAGGGTCAGTCGAGCTAGACGCGCGCGAACAGGTACTTGTCAGTGTTCGGCATTGGTAGAGATGTGTACATGCTCTTTCTATTTTACTTTTTTTTTTTTTTTTGGACCAAAGAAGCGTGGAGTCAGCGCGTACATGGATTGGATACCATTTCGTTTTCCTTTTGGGCTCTCATACTTTGTTTAATATTATCCTGTTCATCCTTGCCTATATTTCCCTTCCCCTCCCTCTACAGCAGATCGGCCCAGCGGAGTGTATCCGCCGTGCAGAGTAATACAGATACAACATCCCACGTTCCAAGGTCCCCTTGTTTCCGCCGATGTATTCTGATTACATACTCCACCCCATCCCGACGGATTCCGCGTGCCCTCAGCCCTAATTGTGCGCTGCCGAAGGTGAATTTCAGGGTATTTTGGGCGTGGGGGGTGACAATTGATTATTGAAAACGGTATATGATAATATGGATTAGGAATGAATATGCATAGAAGCAACAATCGTGGTCTATGGACAGATCTGTATAGTAACAAAACTCCTTACAACCTTGGGAGTAAAGGATATCACGTGCAGGACTGGCAAATATACCACATTCTTCATTCGTCGGTCGCACAGAGCCGTACTGAATAATTAATGCTTGACAAGATCTTCATCATGATAGCTCAAAAGTACAGAGAACTAAGAAGACCAGAAGCAGAATCAAATGTGTATCTTAGTCCATAATCAATACAAATACAGTATAGGCAAGGGTAAGGAGGGGAAGCAACGCACCAGGGAGGTACTTGTGAAAGTGAGCTAGAGATCCTGCACCTTACTATGTTTCGGGGTCTGTATTACGTATACCAACCTCAGTACGGGCCAAATCAGGTACCCGAGGATTTCACGGGAAGCTCCACGGCTGAAGATGTGCCGGATCAATTGGAAATTCCCTGAACCGCACTGCAGAGATGCTGTGAATATGGAGGTTTGATTTGTCTTTTGTTTATTCATCAATTTTCATCGAGGACCGAATATACTGCGAGTATCTAGAGCAATTTAAGAGGGACCGAATAACGTAGTCCCCAAACGACGAATTGACTTCCCGCCGCACCGCGTCAGATAATCCATGATCCAAGGACCAATCGTCGGCTTGGAACGGAGGGGCTCCGGTGGACCCCGCAAGAGGATAACATTTTGATTCAGAAAATATCAAATGTGTTGAAGATTCTGCGGTTAAAACGGATGCTATGACAAATGTGATCCATACCCCACTAACTACCCATGGATGGACGTTAGGTATTCAATGTACCGAAGAAGTGTCAGTGAGTAGTCGCCCAAGCTGAAGGTATTAGCACGTTCAGTCTGACGATTACGTAGTGTCTTGAATTAATTGCTAGTCTGACAGGCAACGGTTGTCAAGTACCTAGAACGTACAAATACAAAGTACTTGCTGTAATTCGTCCATTGGTCGGATCGTGGGCCCTCATTCCAGGCCATTAAGCCTGGAAGGACCCTGAGCAGATGGGTGATGCCGGAAAATCCATCCCTGGCACTACGATTGGATCATTTGTCGTCTGAGGCTCCTATTGCAGATTTTGAGAACTGGCCTGACATATTCATTATATACCTAGCTTTGGCAAGGCGACAAAGCCCATTGTATGTTCTGTACTGTATACTTTACTGTATACCTTGGGCTTGAACCAGGATATAGAGGAAAAGCAGCCCGAGCAATGGCCGAGTGTATTGTCATTTGGGTAATAATGGTAACCAATGGTAACAAGCCAGTCCATGGAGAACCGCTAGTCCGAAAGAGGCAAGATAATTTCGCAGTCCATTCATATTGTGATTTCATTCTGCCACCTTCAGAGCACCTTGAGGGGCATTGTGTAGCAGAGGAGGATCGAGATCGTTTGTAGTACAGTCCTTGTAAATTACCGCGGATATCATCTTCGATGTGGTGTAAATTTGTGCGTACGGCACCGAGGGATTACTCCGCTGGGCTCCATCCACTATACTAAAGAGATTTTTTTTCCCTCTTATGCGAAATTCCACAATACCTACCTGGGGTACACAGAAAGCGTACGCATTTTCCCTAACAATTTTCCTTGGGTCAAAAAATCCAATACCTTGTGTAAGGTAAGAAAAAAAGCCCCCGCTACCATTTTGCCCTTATTACCCAAATAATTTTGCGTTCTTGCTCTTACCCTTCACCATCTCCCCTCTCACCTCCACCCCTCCCCCCCCCTCGGGTGTTTGTTCCTCGCTTTCCATTCCTCCCTTGTTTTTATTTTGAGTCTTCACTCGGGATTTTGTGATCTTGTGAAAGACCCGAGTCATTGCTTCCGACTCCCCGGAACCTCCCCCTCTCGCGATTTGTGACAATCTCGAAATTCTTTCCGACCCTCACATCTCTCACTTAGTGGATTTTGAACTCGTCGCACACGTGTTATTCGCGCCGACCTCGTGTTACGAATCTCAACGACGGTTCAATTCTGATCCAGAAGTCGAACTGAACATCCGCTTCCTTTGTCATCCCTGTGCATTTGCCTGATCTCGTCAACTTGAGCTCGGGACTGAATCGACTGATCTTTCTGAGATCGAACCGAGGTGGAAACATCCAGAGCATCCGAAAAAAGTTGCTGTGACTTCCTTCCCTGCGAACCGACATCCCGCCGATGCGATTTGCGATTTAGACGATCCAAACACACAGACAAACAAGCCGCATTCCTGTCAATAACATCTTCAAGCTGTGCCTGAAGATTCGCATATTTTCGGTTATACCGTGTGAGAACGATTCTTAAGAAACGAAGAACCGTCCTTGAGTGGGGTCACAAAAAGGTGGAATCCATCTTTTCTCTTCTGTTCTGAAACGGTGCCGGAGTCATCTCGCGCGTGGGCGTTGATTTGAGTTCTCCAGGTTCCCTACAGGAAATACCTGTTTTGCAGTAGAATCCTCTGCGACGCAGATCGAATTCTCACAATATCCAATTTAGCGAGTTTTTGTCGGATTGAGCTACATTGAGCTTCATACCCAAGAAAATGCCTACATTCAGCTACGCGCAAGCCGCAAAGGGGGCGTCTGAGACCCCAGTGCCCGCTAAGCCGGTATCCACAGAGCCCGAAAAGACCGAGACCAAGCCGGTAGAGCAGACCAACAATGTTGTCACGGAGTCGGTAGCTGCGACTTCGGAGATCGAAACATCACAGGAGACTGAGAAGGCCACAACAAGCGTTGATGAGGATGCCGAATTCACCACTGTGACCAACAAGCATGCAAACAGATCGAAGGCTGTTCACTCCAGGACATCATCCCCGAGCGTCCGGTCCACGGCAGCACACTCCAAAGATGGTGAATCATCAAATACCCCGAACGGAACCCAAGAAGCTTCTGAAAAGCAAGGGTCCGACAAGGCCGAGAAGGCCGGTAATGATACTGAGGAACAGAAGGAGAAGTCTGGGAAATCCGAGAAGTCTGAGAAGACTGAGAAGTCCGAAAAATCCGAAAAGGCCGAGAAGAACACCCCACCAAAGGAGTTGAAGGCCGCTCCTCTTCCCTCAGTGAACATCTGGCTGCAACGGAAGGAGGCTCAAGAGGCCAAGGCCAAGACTACCCCAGCTCCTACTGCTGGCAAGGCCTCCACCGGAAAGGCCACCGAAGAAAACCAGCAGGATTCGCCCAAGACCAACTCCAAGAAGAAGGGTACAGATGGCCCGCAAGAAGGTGCCAAAGGAGGCAAGAAGGCCGATGGTGCCAAGGGCCGGGATGGTGCTTTGCCCCCAGTCGAAGATGCCTCATCATGGCCTACACCAGAGGTTGCTATTGGCGAAGATAAGAAGAAGGCTCAGGAGAAGACAGATAAGCCCGAGAAGGCAGAGAAGAGCCCGGTTATGCGTGCTCACGGCAAGGAGAAGTGGATGCCTGTTGACTATGTTCCCACTGCCGTGTTCAACACTCCCCTCCCTTCCGCTGGCCGGGGAGGTCGGAGAGCCCCTCGCGGCGGACGGGATGGTGGTCGTGGTGGATCCCATGCAACCGCTGCCGGTGAAAAGGCCGCTTCAGGTCAGCCTGCCCCTACCTCCGTGGGCAAGCAAGCATCCGGAGAACGTGGGCGGAACGAAGCGGGCACTGGCCGTGCTGTTTCCCTTCCTGCACAGACCAGACGTTCTACCAGCTCTGACGTGACCAACTCTGAGGGTCGCAAGGCTCAAGCCGAGCGCAACAACCGTCCACAGCGCGGTACTGAAGATGCTGCTGCCTCGAATGGCAAGCAGACCAACGGTGGTGACAACACCGCCCGGTCCCAACGGGATGGCAAGCAGTCCCATCGAAACGGCGACGGCCGTAATGCCAAGGGTGGTAACCTGGCCGTTGAATCTCAAGCTGCAGCTCGTGCTAACGACCGTCGATTTGACTCTGGCTCCAAGTCGGCTGACATAAACCGTGAGGCAGGTGCCAATGGCTTCCAGGACTTCCGGGAACGCGGTGACTCTCGTGCCGAGCGAGGAGGCCGTGGAGCCAACCGTGGACGTGGAGGTGCTTACTCTGGATACCCTGGCCAGAACGGCCAGTTTGGCATGGGAAACAACTTTGCTTCCAAGAACTTCGGTTTCAATGATCGCCAACGGTCCCAGCACGGTGTTACCAATGGCTCACAGCAGAACAACCGGATGTCTTTGAGATCGCCTTCTTTGACAGGATCTGCAAACCCCTACGGCGTTTATCCCTTCCCGTCAGAGATCAACACCATGTACCCCTACCAGGCGGTTAACCCCGGCCCTATGAGCGCAGTTCCTTACCAGCAGTACATGGAGCCCTACTCGCTCATGAACATGCTGTCTATGCAGCTGGAGTACTACTTCTCGGTTGATAATATGTGCAAAGACATGTTCCTCCGTTCCCAGATGGATTCCCAAGGTTTTACCCCTCTAAGTGTTATTGCCACCTTCAAACGTGTAAAGTCTTTGACCGAAGACTTCGAACTCCTGCGTCATGTCTCTCGCCAACTCCGCAATGTGGAGTTCCAGACTGGTGAAGATGGTGTGGACCGTTTACGTCCTCGCGAGAACTGGTCCCAGTGGGTGCTTGCCGGTGCCGCCCCGGCGCAACCTGAAAAGAACGACGAGAACGCCCCTATCAATAACCACGTCGATGTTGCACTAAATGGTTCTGTCCACTCTGGATCACATGGATCACAACAGTTCCTTTCTAATGGCACAGCTTCCCACAACACCCGCACACATCTTTCTTCCAACGCCCCGGAGTTCATGCCATCGGCACAAAATGAAGTCGCCACTGTAGGAGCCCCCCGGATTTCTCTTATTACCCCCTATCTCGTTCCGGATCAGGATCCCCCTTTTATATGGCAACAAATTTTGACAAGGCATTTATTGACGAATTTCGATCAGCGCTCGGAATAGCTTCGCACAAAATGACCCCACCTTCTTCTCCCCTGGGAGCGGCGGCACAACTGGCTGGGTATGCCTGAATTCTGCCACCCTATCTTTGAGTTTTGTATGGCAGCTGACAGTCTCCTTTTTTCCCATACAGTAGTTCTGATCAAGTGCAGAAGCAACGTCATTCGACCAACTTTCTTGCTCGCCAAACTACCAAGCTGCCACATAAGCAAAACCGCCAAAAGCGTCCGTCATTCCAGTGGAAAGGAAAGAGCCATTCAAAGCAGAAGTACGCTGATGTCAACAAATCATTCGAAATGCTTTTACATGACGAGGTTGGAGGTCCGGAACAACAAGTCTTGGACAACACAAACATCAGTTTTGCTGGTTACCAATACTGGTTGGACTGTTTGATGCAGGAATTCAATCTGCAAATGTACAATGAATTTAGGCGTCAAGCCCTTGATGATCTTTTTACACGACACACAGACGATGGCTTCACACAGCTCATGAAATTTTATCGCTTTGCTCTCACCAATCCATTTCCTATACCCGATCGGATTCTTTGGGACCTGGTCGGTCTGTGCCGAGATGAGGCTTTTAAACCTCGTGATATGATCTTCAATCTTATTCAAACTGTTGCCAGTGACCAACAGAGTGAGAAGTTTCATAACTCTGCTCTGATTCGCAAACATTTCACCAAGGCATTTGGCAATCAGTGGAAATGGATTGGGAGACAACTATTTCGTTGAACTCCATCGTCACCCGCTTTTGAATACGTTTCTTGGGATCTTCTCTCCTCTTGTTTCTTTTCTTTTCTTTTCTTTTCTTTCTTTCTTTCTTTCTTTTTTTTTTTTTTTTTTTTCCCTGCTTTCCAAAATCATGAACAGCATAGTTGTGTCCCCAGGGGGTTTGCATGCATCGTCAACTACCTTTTTTTTTTCTAAGTGCCTAAAGGTCACATTCTCATCGCAGCATTACGGCCTTATTCTTGTCCTTCCACTGCGTTTCACACCGGATTTGTTTTTCGCTATTGTTTCCCCAATGCTTCTGCGTTTTCCGTCATGGGCTTTATCCTCAAAACGTTTCGGAGTCCTGGCATGCATGATCTTCCGGGCGATATCCCCTTTTCCCCTTTTCGATGCCTGATTCCATTGTGTCTCAGTCCCAAAAAATTACCTTTTTTTTTTTTTTTTTTAAAAAAAAAAACCCCTTTTTTATTCCCTTTCACACTCTTCTGATCATAGAGATTTCGTGTTACCTCTTTCTGTGAAGTTGTTGTACTTCTTCTATCCTTATGTGATCGAAGTGTCTGCTGTCCCGCCATGACGCTCAGATCTTAGCGAGTTCTCAAGGACATCAGCATGGCGCAGCAGCTGAGAGCAAAGCAATGGTCGAGGCCAATAATGAAAAAAAAAGTATTGTATGATGTCATTTATCTTCTCACTGCGATGTGGACGTTCCTCCGACTGCATTTATCCATGAGGGTTTCTGTAAAGAGACTTTTTTCCGTCGCGTTTATTTTGGGTTATGTCCTTTGCAGGAACTCCCGAGAGAGCATTACGAGTTAGCATTTTCTGGACCCAGGGGCGTTGTTCTAGGAGTTGCAGCTTTGGCTGCTTGTGTCGGCACACTTTGTTCATAAATCAGGTTTCATAGGGTGGTTTTTTTCCCCTGGGAATATGACACTATTGCAGTGCATAACATGAAATGCTTTCTCCTGGGAAAATGGCTTGTCGGATATCTATATCAAATTCAGTTTTTTAAACAACAGCCTGCTATGGCAAAAGGGCTTGAACCCCGTGCAAAAGCAATATTCGTATAGAGTGTTCGTCAACCTATCACAGCTGAGTCAATGCGGAGAACACCCATGTTGCCTCAGGCAGCAAGCCCTCTCAACCTTTGTTCCGAGCTCATAACTAGCTTACTCCTCCACTCTCCCTCCGATCCCCACACATACACCCCCAATCTCTCAAAATGGAGGGTGCATCCCGCCAAACATCAAGACTATTACGGTCCCGAGGTAACCTGCTGCTGCAGCTTCGCCGTCTTCCCCGACCGGCCACCCGGACAGCCCTATCTACGATACAATGCCGCGCGCTCTCAAATTCGAGCCGCAAGCTCGCCCCAGAGTCCCTTTTCAGCCAATTTGGAGGTAGCTCTGCGGCTTCGCACAACCCATCAGGGGGCCCAACCACTTACTTTACGAACCGACCAACCCTCCCCGCAAACACGATCGTACGATTCGTGCCCCAGCAGACGGCATGGATTGTGGAACGGATGGGAAAGTTCCACCGGATTCTAGAGCCCGGTCTTGCTATTCTGTTTCCATTCCTGGATCGCATTGCATACGTCAAGAGCTTGAAGGAGTCGGCGTTGGAGATACCCAGCCAGAATGCCATTACCGCGGATAATGTCACATTGGAGCTGGATGGCGTGTTATATACCCGAGTGTTTGATGCATACAAGGCCAGGTATGATACTGTTACCTGATTGAAGTGAGCTCAAATTTCTAACATATTGAGACTTTAGCTACGGTGTGGAAGATGCAGAGTACGCCATCTCTCAACTCGCGCAGACGACCATGCGATCCGAAATCGGCCAGTTGACCCTGGACCATGTCCTAAAGGAGCGCGCCACACTCAACACGAACATCACACAAGCGATCAATGAAGCTGCACAGGACTGGGGTGTTGTGTGTCTGAGATACGAGATACGAGATATTCATGCGCCCGACGGTGTCGTAGCAGCCATGCACCGCCAAGTCACCGCGGAGCGATCCAAGCGAGCGGAGATCCTGGATTCTGAGGGTCAGCGACAGAGTGCGATCAACATTGCCGAGGGACGCAAGCAATCCGTTATCCTGGCGTCTGAGGCTTTGCGCGCTGAGCAGATTAATCTGGCGGCTGGTGAAGCTGAGGCTATCCAGTTGAAGGCGGATGCCACAGCACGTGGAATTGAGGCCGTTGCGAAGGCCATGCAAGATGGTCAGGAGCATGCCCATGGTGCTGTTAGCCTGCGGGTTGCCGAGAAATATGTTGAAGCTTTCTCCAACCTGGCTAAGGAGGGTACCTCCGTTGTTGTTCCAGGTAACGTTGGCGACCTGGGCGGTATGATTGCCAGTGCTATGGCTGTCTACGGCAATGTCAGCAAGAGCCAGGCCAAGAGCATTGCTGCCAAGACACTTGGTGCTCAGGAGTCAGAGATCAATACTACTCCGAATACCGAGAATGCTGCGACCAGCGATTTGGTGGAGGATGAGTTTGAGGCCGAGGAGTCGAAGGAGACTGACCCTAACAATGAGGTCGCACGCAGTGTATTGGAGTCATTTTCCGAGGCTAGCCAGAAGGTTAAGCACTGAGATCGATGAGCTACGTCCGATGTGTAGGAGCTGAGTTTTCTTGGAGTCCTTTTGCATCTTGATCCGACAGAGCCTTCGGTACTTCGCCGATCTGTCTATTTGTACCACTTACGCCTCCCCCTTTATTGTTTTTATCTTTTTCTTTTCCTCATTTCCATGTGTGTTCTGCTTTTGCTTGGTTCTACAGCATTTCTTCAGGAGTCAGAAAAGGTACCAGCTCTTGCTATGCGGGATTCGAATTGACTCGGTATTTTTACGTACATAAGGCACCGCGGGGCATTGGGACTAAGAGCACAAGGGAGAAGGAATGAACCAGAAAAGAAGACAAAGCCTGTATGATAGTGTGTAGCAACAATCATCAGAATCAGTACACTGAAAATTTGGAATTATTGTTGTAAATGTGATCCATATACTATTTTGGGGCTGGTAAGTATTAAATGCTTAACGCGAAAAGGGGAGCTCGGGCCACAAAATCTGGAGATCGCGACTTTTCGGTTTCGCGCCCTGATCAGCAACCTCCCTTTGTATCTCGCAACGCCCAACTTTCTCTACCCCCATCATCCACCCTCGGCTTCTCAGCGGAATCAATTATTAAATCCCCGCGAAGCTGTACAGGGAACTTCCAAGGGGTGATTTCTGCGATGTCCTCTACGATACACACTTGACCCTCCATCTGATCACTACTTCCAGATTCGCCCTTCCTATCGTCAGCCCTCCTTCCGCTGTGATTGTACCAACCTAGAGTACACCAGAGCCAATACGATACACTTCAAGGTTTCATTTCTGCGTTGCATAGGGGTGTGGCGCACTCCGCCTCGGTTGCGCAATGCATATTATCAAGCCAGTTTGGCTCACACATGGAGGTACGGATATCTGTTATGGCTTTGTTCCCATGTTTATCCTGCCTGAGAACCGAGCGCTGGATCTTGGAGTCTCTCAAATAAACCGGGACTTCTACTGTTTGAAACGAATAGTTATGCTAATTATTGGTCGATTCGCATTTAGGTGAAAGGAAAGATTTCGAGGTTTACAGTTGTGACGTCTCGCCGGATGGGAAGAGATTGGTGACTGCCGCAGGAGGTGAGAATTATTCGACATGCACATACCAGGGCTGCCATGAGGAGTGTAGAATAGAGCCCGCGTTGCTGGAATCGCCGAAAGATTGTCGCTAACACCGAGCTTCTGTGTTGCAGATGGCTATGTGCGGATCTGGTCTACCGAGGCCATCTACAATACCGGCAATCCGGAATTCGCGAGTAAGCCGAAGCAGCTTGCTTCGATGAGCAACCACTCCGGCACGATTCATACTGTTCGTTTCTCTCCGAATGGGAAATACCTGGCATCAGGGGCAGACGATAAGATTGTTTGCGTTTATACGCTGGATGCCAACCCACCCACCCACGGTTCTACGTTCGGTAGGTCTTATTCTAGGTATAAAAGTAGGGGGAGTGGGTACTGATAATTTTGAAACCTGTACAGGGTCGGACGAAGCACCGCCTGTAGAGAATTGGCGCACTATCCGGCGATTAATCGGCCACGACAACGATGTACAGGATCTGGGGTGGTCGTATGATTCGTCTATCCTTGTCTCTGTTGGGCTGGACTCGAAGGTGGTAGTCTGGTCTGGTCATACATTCGAGAAACTGAAGACAATCGCTGTGCACCAGAGTCACGTCAAGGGCATCACATTCGACCCCGCAAACAAGTACTTTGCTACTGCTAGCGATGACCGTACTGTTCGCATCTTCCGATTTACTTCCCCTGCGCCCAACTCGACGTCTCACGATCAGATGAACAATTTCGTTTTGGAACAGACCATCTCTGCCCCCTTCGCTAACTCTCCTTTAACTGCCTATTTTCGACGGTGCTCATGGTCCCCTGATGGTATGCATATCGCTGCCGCAAACGCGGTAAATGGACCTGTTAGTTCAGTGGCTATTGTTAATCGTGGCTCATGGGATGGCGATATCAACCTCATCGGCCACGAAGCACCAGTTGAGGTGTGCTCATTTTCTCCGCGGTTGTACTCGCGGGAGCCGATACAGAAGCAGCCGGCTGAGAACCATGCGGGGCAACACCATATCACCGTCATTGCCTGCGCAGGTGCAGACAAGTCCCTCAGTGTTTGGATCACAAGCAACGCTCGTCCTATTGTGGTGGCCCAAGAGATGGCAGCAAAGTCCATTTCAGATCTGGCCTGGAGCCCGGATGGAAAGTGTCTATATGCCACTGCGCTAGATGGCACCATTGTGGCGGTCCGGTTCGAGGAAGGAGAGCTGGGTTACGCTGTTGAAATGGAAGAGAATGAGAAGTCTTTGACCAAGTTTGGAACGAACCGCAAGGGTGCCGGTATCACAGAGACCACGGATGCCTTGCTACTCGAGGAGAAGAGCAAAGCTGGTGAAATCAAGGGTGTTGAGGGTCGTATGGGTGCACTTATGGGTGACGGTGCAGAGCCTGCTGTCAACGGAGGGTCTGCGCCGCAGCCATCGAATGGCACAACCCCTGCAAGAGCCTCGTCGCCAAATCCAGAGCCCGCGAAGACGCAGACAAATGGAACAGCATCAACATCTGCTGCTACTGAAGCTGAGAAACCTGATCCATACCTGGCCAAGCTGGAAAGACTCAAGCAACGCCCGACATATACTAAAGAAGGAAAGAAGCGTATTGCCCCCCTTCTTGTTTCTGGAGCAGGAGCCGGTGAGTCTTCTTTGCCACAAGCTCGTTTGATGGCTTCTGTGAGTAGCCAGGCCAAATCCGATGCGCCAGCATCCATTGTTGATCTATCAAAACCGTTTGATGGGCTACCAAAGGGTGGCTTGACAGCTTTACTTCTTGGAAATAAACGCAAACTAGCCCAACTAGAGGGCGACGAGGAGGGGCAAGTCGAAAAGCGCGTGGCTGCGGCGAGCCAAAACGGTGCGACACCCATTATGGCCAACACACCTGATGGGCTTCTCCCAGCTCAGATACAGCCAGCAGTGGCAGGTCAACAGCCTACTCCGGAATTCATTAGGCCTGCTGTTACAAATCCTTGCATGGCCGTAAGCCAGCTGCGGCTTGCAGTTCCTAAGATCCGAAGTCACATTCTTCGTGCACTAGATTTGACAGGGAAACCTACTGAGCCGCCAGCCCCTGGCGGAGGAGATTCGAGCACCAAGTCTAACGTGGATGTTGTTTTTGAGGCCCGGAATCCCTCTCCAGCCAGTTTGACCGGTCGTGCTGTGGATCGGGAACCAGTGCGCCTTACACTCTTCCGCGGTGAGCACCCCTTATGGCAAGACTTCCTCCCCAAGTCTGTATTGCTAGTTACTGGCAATCAAAGCATGTGGGCAGCAGCCTGCGAGGATGGCTCGGTCTACATCTGGACCCCCGCTGGTCGTCGCTTAGTGAGTGCTTTGGTCCTGGAGGCGCAACCCGTCATTCTGGAATGCAACGGGCCATGGATTCTATGCATCTCTTCCGTGGGTATGTGCTATGTTTGGAACGTAAAACACCTCTCTTCTCCACACCCTCCTGTCTCTCTACAACCCGTTCTTGATGCCGCTATCTATGTCATGGGCGCCAATCCCACGGTTGCCCCAGCTGTCACCGACGCACGGATTAACTCAGAAGGCCGAATTGTCGTATCTCTGACCAATGGAGAGGGATACTCCTACTCGCCAACCATGTACACATGGCAGCGTGTCTCAGAAGCCTGGTGGGCTGTCGGAAGTCAATACTGGAATTCGACAGAGGCACCTGTGGGTAACCTGCAAGCAAGAGACGCACAGCAGGACACAAAGGATGCCAAGGCTGCAGTATCAGCTGGCATCATTCCCTTCCTGGAGCGCAACACCACAAATGAGACCCTGCTTCGTGGCCGTGCATACTTCTTACAACGGCTCATTAAAGTTCTTCTTTCCCGTGAAGGCTATGAGACCTTCGAGTCTAGCGTGTCAATTGCTCACCTTGAGAACCGCATGGCTGCTGCCCTGTCTCTGGGTGCAAAGGAAGAATTCCGCTTATACTTGAATATGTATGCCAAGCGCATCGGTGCGGAGGGCTTGAAAATGAAAGTCGAAGAATTGCTCAAGGGATTGATTGGTGGCTTATTCGATGACGAAGAGGGTTCTGATACCGTGTCAAAGTTACAGAGCAACGAGCGCGAGGGTCGCAATTGGCGCGAAGGATCGGAAAACCTTTGTGGTTGGCCACGGGAGACTTTGCTGAAGGAGGTGATTCTTGCTCTTGGTATGTTCCCTAAAAATTCATTCTTATTTTGGTCTCATTGCATTCTACTGGATTTCACCATACTAACCGATGTTCTCCAGGCAAATATCGGGAACTTCAGCGCGTGACTGTTCCATACGCCAAATTACTGGATATGGTTGACACCACAGACCCTGACGCGATGGACCTATGACGAGCCTGATCTCTAGCTTTTGTTGCCTCTTCTTTTTCTGGCGTTATCTACATGTGCTTGGGATGGGCACGGGGGGTTTTTTGTTTCTGCTTTATTTTTACCCTGATTCTTCGAGATTTCGATATCCTGGAAAGGGCGAGAAGATACAAGGGGGGTTGTATTTGTATTATATTCGATGCACGAAACTCGCAAAAGCATTCTGCATTCTCCCTTAGGGTTAATCGGTTCTTTCTCTACGGTAACCTCTATACTTCCACAGTAGTGACGTCAAGGGCGCAGGGCTTCACGTGAGCGGTGTGTATTGCAGGCAGAAAACTGTGATGACATGTTTCCCCTTTGCTACTGAAGTTGCAAGCTATCAGGACTACAGCTCACTCTCCTTTATTCCTTCTTTTGTGTCTCCGATATCAATCTCAATTGATTTCTTGCCCGCTGTTTGGTGGGTGCCGCCATAACGTCTCTCCTCAATTCCTCCGTTCTCTTCTTTGGTATCGTCGACCGATCCGCAGCTGGTCCTGCTTTCACCGCGCGCTATCCTTGCCGCTTCCGCCTTGGTCCATCCCCCCACCTTCCACCTCCCAAGGTCTTTTGTCGTTTCTACTCCAAGAAGAAATCCAATAAAATGCCTCCCAAGAAGGCCCAAGTTCAAGAGAAGGTCCTCCTGGGCCGTCCTGGAAACAACTTGAAGAGCGGTATCGTATGTGAGCAATGACCCCACTCTGCTGTTTTTTTTCCGCGGTTTTTTTCGCACAGCACAGTCCACTTTTTTATTTCCACACAAACTATTTAAACCTCCCCCTTTCCCCTTCCCTCCTGCTCCTCCATTTATTTTCTTTCCACATCCCAACTCAAAATGATCCTCTTGAATACATGATTCAGTGGAGCTTGGGCTACACAGATACTTACACATTATGATATAGGTTGGTCTTGCAAACGTCGGCAAGTCGACGCTCTTCCAGTCCATCACCAAGTCCTCCCTTGGTAACCCTGCAAACTTCCCCTATGCCACAATCGATCCCGAGGAGGCCCGTGTCATTGTTCCCGATGAGCGGTTCGACTGGTTGTGTGAGCACTACAAGCCCAAGTCCATTGTGCCCGCCAACTTGACCGTGTACGATATTGCCGGTCTGACCCGTGGTGCTTCGACTGGTGCTGGTCTGGGTAACTCTTTCTTGTCGCACATTCGTGCCGTCGATGCCATCTTCCAGGTGGTGCGATGCTTCGACGATGCTGAAATTATTCACGTCGAGGGCGATGTCAACCCCGTCCGCGATTTGGAGATTATCAGTGATGAGCTGCGCGTCAAGGATATCGAGTTCGTCGAGAAGGCGCTCGAGGCTCTTGGCAAGCAGACTCGCCGTGGTGGCCAGTCGTTGGAGATGAAGAAGTTGAAGGAAGAGGAGGCTACTGTTGGCAAGGTCCTGCAGTTCCTCAAGGATGGTAATGATATCCGCAACGGTGACTGGAGCCCCAAGGAGGTACGTTCTTATATCCTTATCTCTATCCTATGCGCTCTTCCCTCTTCCCCAATTGGACTCCATCATATGATGAATAAGAGCATAGCTCGAATATAACCCAGCTCGTCGAAAATGTCCCGCATTTATATCACGTTGAGGACATATTGAGATAAAAACCCTATCTGAAACATTTTGGAGTCCTTTTGTCTTATTCAGAAACCACTCCCAATCATTTGAAATCAAATATACTGACTCAATTGATTACAGGTTGAGGCTATTAACCCTCTCTTCCTCCTGACTGCTAAGCCCTGTGTGTACCTGGTCAACCTGAGTGAGAAGGACTACATCCGCAAGAAGAACAAGTACCTCCCCCCTCTGTTCGAGTGGATCAAGAAGCACTCCGAGGGCTCCCCCATCTTGCCCATCTCTGCCTGCTTTGAGGAGCGTCTTGCCCTTATGGGTGACGATGCTGCCGCTGCTGAGGAGTGCAAGAAGCTGGGCACCCAGTCTGGCCTGCCCAAGGTCATCACTACCATGCGTACTGCTCTGAACCTGGGTAGCTTCTTCACCACCGGTACTGATGAGGTCCGCCAATGGACCATTCGTAAGGGCACCAAGGCTCCTTCCGCTGCTGGTGTTATCCACGGTGACTTTGAGAAGACCTTCATCCAGGCTATTGTGTACAACTACGCTGTCCTCAAGGAGCTTGGTGATGAAGCTGCCGTCAAGGCTGCGGGTAAGGTCATGACCAAGGGTAAGGACTACGTTGTTGAGGATGGTGATATCCTCCTCATCAAGGCTGGTGCTGCCAAGAGCTAGATACATATTTAAGTAGCTCAACGAATGACAAGTCTTGGACATAAAACTTTCCACATGTAACATCTTTCTGTACCCAGGATTCTTGCAAGTATCGTAGACCTTCAATTCTACCTTATCTTTTTTCCAAACCCAGTCGTCCCTCTAGGTATCATCACGTGACATCCCCGCGGATCCCACCTCGCCTTGATAGGATCCGATACACATCACCCCTCTCCAAGAAAAGCACCATCATGTTCAAGAAAGAGTGAGTAGACACTTTCAGCACCTTTATGACCCCTATAAATACACACGGAGCAGCACAAGCATAGCTTCCAGTCACCGACAGGAGTACAATGGACCGGATGCCAGGGTCGCAAAACCAGAAGCTCTACCAGCTCTCTGCGCAAGCAATACTTGAACCAAGCAGTGCATGAAGAGAGCGCCTTGACGAATCTGTCTTTGATGCTCCAATCACACAACCACCATCTCAGTTTTCAGACAATATATCACAGACAATTTATTAGAACAACAGTCAGCTAAAAATAATCATCTTACAGTATCCCGTCGACCAACCGCTCGAAGGTCAAGTCTTCAGTGCAGCGTGGCTTGCGCCAAAAGCTGTTGGAGACCTACCCCGGTTTTGAGCCATACATTGAAGAAATCCTGCCCAAGAAGGCATCTCTAGAGGCCGTCAAGCTGTATGTGCAACCATACAATCCCATCTTCTACTCATTGATACGAAGAAAAGCTGCCAAACCTCGCCAACACAAACTAACAAGAACCCACAGTCCCGACCGCGTTACTCTCTACACAATAGACTCAACCCCTCTCTTCTTCCAACCCTTCGACGGGCCCCCAATCCCCCACCTCAAGCTCGTCCACGCCTTCCCCTCCGCCCTCCCAACCATCCAAATCGACCGCGGTGCCATTCGCTTCGTGCTCTCCGGTGCCGCACTCATGGCTCCGGGACTGACATCGCCCGGTGGCTCGTTGCCGGACGCTGCGAACGCGCTCGAGGCTGGTTCTATCGTTGCTGTGAAGGCCGAGGGCAAGGAGGAGGTTTGTCTTGTTGGTGCGCTGAAGATGGGTACCGAGGAGATGAAGTCCAAGGGCAAGGGAGTTGTTATGGATGAGGGTCATTACTTGGGTGATGGACTGTGGAAACTGCAGTTGGATTAGATCTAAAGCTGGGGCTCGAAGAATCCGAGTCGATTTCACGGTGAATGTGTGGATGCGATGATGGTTTATGACTGTTAGTTTTGATTGGTGGTTGCATATACCTATGGTTTACTTTGTCTACAAGAGTTATGATGATCTCCAGGGATGATAAAAAGAAATCATGCAGTTTTTATGGATGAAATCAATATTTCCATATTATATTTTGGGAGAAAATTTGAAGGTTATGTACAGACAGATGGAAGTCTCAACACCAACACAAAACAAGAGTGAGATTTGAGTTTCAATCAAAACTCAAAGACCATCTTGACTATCAACAGAATGTGGATATTCATCCGAAGCATTCCCTTGGTTTGGCGACAATGATGAAGTCGGAGAAAGAGAGGACCACGATGGAGTCCTCACTGGAAGACTCAGCCCAAGCCCCTTCACTCCAGCTGCAGAGGCAGACCTTGATCCTAGCCCGGGATGAGTGCCATTCCGCAAGGGCCAAGATCGTAATCCTACACGGCCAATGGCACGTTGCAGCATCTCGCCTGACGCATCAAGCGCAATCAGGAACCGAGCGAGTTCGGCACAAAGTTCCCAGTCACCCTTTTGCGAGGCGAGGCCAATAAGGCGGACCACGTATTCCTCGATTCGGCCATCATGGCTCTGTTCCTCGTCTTCAAATGCTTGAAGTACGAGGAGGTACCCAACAGCTGTTTTGAGAGAGTCGAGTTTGAGGGCCTGTTCGAAAAGGTCTTTTGGCGGGGGTAGGTAGGTGAAGAGGGTACGCCAGGATCGGAGTTCTGTTTTCCGGGTGCACTGTACAACGATGTCGAGGTACTCCCGGGTGGGGAGGGATGCCTGGAGGAAGGCGATGACGGTTGGGAGGAGGGGCCCGTCTCGTGGAATTGGGTTGTTGGATTTGTTAGCGCGACTTTCGTTGTCTACTTCGTCATCGAGGACGTGGTGGAGAAGAATTTCTAGACCGTGTGCAAAGTATGATAGGTGCGAGAAGGGTTTGCATAAAGAGAGGGCTGCGGGAGTTCCGAGGTTCATCAAGCCGTATTGAAGGAAGTATGGGAGGAAGAGATGTGTCTGAACAGGATGGTTAGAAACATGTGTTCCAGATAGAAGAAAGGTTGAACATACTCGAATGGCAAATTTGAGAGTGGCAAAGGTAACATCTCGCCGTTGCATCAATTCGGATTCCACTCCTAGTACAATGCCCTTGTTCAATAGAACGGAGAGAGGGTAGAAGTCTAGGGGTATATTAAGCGGTGCCGGCACCGTCTCTTGCTGAAGAACGTCATGTACGTCATTCCAAGCCAGCAGGTCTTGACCGCGGAACATCCAAAGAGAGTCCCTAAGTGATAGGCTGCTGTGGGGTGGATTGAGTGCCATTTCAGCAGAAGGGCTCGCTGGTAGAGACTCATCGACTGGAGGCGCAAAGTTGAAGGAGAGCTGATCACGCATCAGGATGTAATATTCTACATCATGGGAGACGACCCGCATGTCATATTTGAGATCACCCGACTCAGTCACTGTCGGCTGCAGCAGAACAAGATTGCCATCGACCAGGAGGATCACAGATGCGACTTTGACATCTTGGGAAGGATCACCGTTGTCTGTTAAACATGAGCGTCCAGGTTATTCGTAAGCGGACATTGTGAACTTACGCATTTGTTCCTCGGGCAAGACCCAACTGATGGCCCGTACTCGGCTTGGAGCCCGCACAATTCCATTGAATGCAATCTGCCCCACAGGGACAAGGGTTATTTGCGGCTGTGAGGAGTTGATGATGTAGTGGTACAGAATGTTATCGTATGTGTACACCAGGAGGGAGTCCTCTCCAGATGGACCAATGAAAACCACAGGGGCTGGAAGATACTCGATGAACATGATCGAGTTGTTGTTCAACGCTGCCTCACGCGAGTAAAGACGTATCTGATAGATTCAGTCAGCATGGAAATCAATCCACTCCGTGAACAAAACATACCTCATATGACGATTCATCCCCCTCGACAGCAGCAATCAAGATATGTCCATACCAACACATTCCGCCTCGAACAGCAAATGAATTCTCCACCTTGGAATCCTCAAAGACCTTCCACCGGCCACTGTTTACGCTATAATGTGCCAGTCCCCTTCTACCAGCAATGGCCACATACCGTCCATCCTGAGATACGACGGTTGACCGGATAGGCCATTGTGAGTGAAGATATGCTGGTGGGTACTGAGCATGATGCCATAGCGAATCCTTGCCCGAGATAGTCATAAGGTCTGGCAAATCATGACCGCGGTATAAAATCAACTCAGTTCCAGTCTGTAGTAAGCCCCGGGCAAGATTGGCAGCAGAAAAGCAGCCCGTCAAGGCACTGCGAGCTGTCTCTAGAATCCAGAGATGCCGATCGTTCTGTCCTGACAGAATGATATCCGATCCACCACCTATCCAGCAGCCACTGGAAACACCGATCAGCCAATTCTCTCCATTGGACTTCGCTAATGAAGCGTCAACGGTAAAGCTACTGCCGCCAGGTTTCCCAAAGACACTCCATGTTGTCCAGCCATTTTCGTAGCCAGCAAAGAGACAGTATCCGTCCGGCGAATAGCTCATGAAGGTCAATGCCCCAGTGGTACAAGGTGTTGCTGGAAGCTGCAACTTTTGGGAAAGCGGCACATTTCCCGTGTAATCTTTGGCTGTGTATACCAAAATATCGCCATTCGTGCAGCTGACTGTCAGAAGGGAAAAACGGGCATTGACTGCCACTTTGACCGCCTTCTCGCCATCTTCTCTAGGGTCATGGAAACAGTGTCCTTGGAACAGCTTTTTCGGAGCTTCGGGATCTTGTTGAGCCTCCGTCACTCGTTGCACGGCATACGCTTGACCAGTACTTGTAAGCCAAATCATGACATTCATGGCACGATCATAAACCATATCCGCAATAGACACATTTTTGGGAATACCCAGAATGCGGCTCAACATTTCCGATGTAGTTTGGGTCCCACTTGCCTCCGGTGTCCATCGGATGCACTGTAGCGCCGGTGGTTTCACAGTGGCAACAACCAGCTCCTGATCCAGCGCCAGCGCCTTGACAATCCCAGACTCGATCTTGATTGCCATTCGAAATCTAATACTAATATCTCCCACCACATTGGATTCCTCAACGGCCGAGAAGTGCGTTAGTTGTTGGCGGCGCGGATGTGTCGAGTGGTCGAAGCGTTGTCGGTAGACTCGTGTCGCTGGGTCCGATGCAACTGCATATGTAAGAAGGTACCCGTGGAGTGTCTGGACGACCAATATGGTCGAATCCGGGTGCATTAAAAGTGCAACATTTGGTCCGTATGTTTTTAGAGAATATTTAGACCGCGCTATGGCCGCAACGACTGCCGTTGGCTAGATCACGCATTAGCAACCACGTTCAGAACGCAAAATTACCATGTCATGGAGAAACACACCCTAGTTTGCCACAGGGAAATTGAAGATTCTGTTAAGGTCGCAAACATATGACCAGACCGAGACACACATAGGCCATTGATAGCTTCATTCTCCCACTTCGGGATATCCTTTTCGGCAATCGATTCGGGCGTTGGCTCCTGGCTCTCCTCGACTATGGTTTCTTGACCACTTGTAATATCGTTGCTCTCCTCTATTGAGCTGCGCGGATCTGGCGAGGGTAGGGTATGTTGGCGCTCCCCATCAGATGAAATATCGGCGATGTCAGGGCCATTGACGGCGTAGACCCGGGGGACTCCATTGGGCCAGTACATGGCTCCAGGTCAGAAAAGGGGCGTTTATGACTGGCAATGAAGCTTATATGGAGTCATCTCGCCCCGGCAATAAACGCGATTGGAGGGAACCTTGGTTGTAAGATTAAGAAAAAGAAGATATTCGAATGCTTTAGATGACGGTTCCCCAAACATTCGATCCAACGGGGACGATAAGCGGCATCACGTGCGTGAAGCTCCCCGCATTGTTCTTGACACTTTTTTTTCTTCTCCTGAACTCAGTTGACGTATCCTTTATCCTAGTGAGCTATTGTACGGAATACCGTTATTATGGTGAGACCCGATATTCGATTTGGTTCCTGACCGTTTCGTCGGATTCATGCTAATGAAGCGATTTATAGGCCCCCACTGAAAGCAATAAGCGCCTGGCTCTGGCCATCATCGACTTCCTCGGCTCCAGCCTCAAAGATGGCACCTTGACCGCCGACGATACCGAGTCGATTGAGATCGCCCAGTCCTGCATCGCTGACACATTCAAGGTTGATCCGACCGACGAGGCCGCCGTGAAGGAGGCTGTTGGTGGACAGTCTCTAGCCAACATTTACAGCGTTTACGAGAAGCTGCGCAACAAGTCCACCCCTCAGGCCTCTAGCTCCAACGCCCAGGAGTCTCAGGATGATAAACCCAAGGCTGGTGCACCCACTGCCGAGTCTGACCGGTTGAAGTCCGAGGGCAATGCCCTTATGTCCCGCAAAGATTACCCCGGTGCTATCGAGCAGTACAGCAAGGCTTTGGAGATCGCCCCCGGTAACCCAATTTACCTATCTAACCGTGCCGCTGCCTACTCCGCCTCTAACCAGCATGAGAAGGCCGTCGAGGACGCCGAGCTGGCCGTTGCTGTCGACGCCAAGTACTCCAAGGCTTGGAGCCGTCTGGGTCTTGCCCGCTTCGATATGGGTGACTACCACGCCGCTAAGGAGGCTTACGAGAAGGGCATTGAGGCCGAGGGTAATGGTGGCAGCGAGGCCATGAAGCGTGGTCTGGAGACCTGCCAGCGTAAGATCGAGGAGACTAGCCGAGGTGCTGAGCCCCCCTCAGAGGAGCTGGATTCTGCCGCTGGTGCCTCCCGCGGTGCCGGTGGTATGCCCGACCTGTCCTCTCTCGCCAGCATGTTTGGTGGTGGCGGCGCCGGTGGTGGTGGCGGTATGCCCGACATGAGCTCCATTATGAGCAACCCCATGTTCGCTAGCATGGCGCAAAACCTCATGAGCAACCCCGATATGCTCGGTAACTTGATGAACAACCCCCGCCTTCGTCAAATGGCTGAGGGCTTCGGCCAAGGTGGTGGCATGCCCGACATGTCTAGCCTTATGAGTGACCCTAGCCTTGCGGAAATGTAAGTTGTCCCCGAAGTCTACAATTTGAAGTCTGTACATACTGATACCTGGTTTCTAGGGCCCGTAACATGATGGGTGGTGGTGCTGGGCGTGGTGCCGGTGCCGGCAACCAGTAAATCCTGGGTTGAAAGCTTTTCAAATTTGATGCATGACATGCAAAAGAGACACGATTTGATGTTATTGTGGCGAGCGTTTTTTTAGACGAACCATTCCTACTGTCATCTTCATTTCGCTTGGTATTCTTATACTCATAGAACGTACTTTAATACGCCTGTATGTGTTTGGGACGGCAAATTGAAAGTTTACAGCGTTGTTGAATAGACTTCCACCTGGCTATCTGGTCGACCTACCTACCATAGCCTCAAGAAATTTAAATTGCTTCCAGAGGTTGTATAGGCTGCCCATATGGACTCATAATGGAAGGTTGAGGACTTGGCCACATTGGAAGAGAACATGTGCTAGGTTCACTTGAAATGGTGGTCTCCTTTTGGCAGCCAATGCTTTCTAATTACTTAGCACGAAGAAAAAAATCAAGTTTAAATCAGATACATTCTCCGTAAATATATTTACACAGCTAAATGCAACCATGGTCCCCTATACATTCGCTCCGAATTTATCAAACGAATGCAAAGAAACCAACCGAAAACTCAATGACCGATAGAAACGGTCCAAATGCAGATCAGACAGTGTCGAGGGGAGAGTGAAAAATGCAAAGCACAAGACGCCGGGAAACACCTCAAGCCCAGATGCCACCGGACCAGCTCATGTTCAACGCGCAGCTGCAGTCCGAGTCTATGGAGAGGGAGGGATGTGTTTTGCTTTTCAGCCAGATCCGAGTAGGCTTGGAAAGAAACAATCGACAACCTGCAATTAACACAAAAACAAGTGGGAATGAAAAAAAGTGAACATTAATACATGAAAAGGAAACAGCCGATCAAATAGAGCAGCTGCAACCGTAAACAAGCGCCAGCTCCGCCTGGCCTGATATCAAAGTCATATTGTACAGTCGAGAGGAGGAGCAAAGATAAAAGAGGAGTCCAAGGGATAAATAATACAGTTTGTGTGGTGGCTGTATGCTGAAAGGGGAGAGACCAGTCTGTCTCCTTAAATATAGTCACGAGCAGCCTTCTGGAGCTCAATCAATCTCCAGCCCCGGGTCTCAGGATTGTTGACTTCCTCGGGGATGCGAGTCAGACCAATAGCGTAGGTCACGAGCTGGACCTTGTCCTCCATACCAGCAGCAAGCTTGCCAGTCTTCACGTTGCGGTAAACGTGGACTTCCTGGGCACGACAGGTAACAACGAACACGGGGATGTCACCGGGGTCCAACAGACGAGCGTGGGAGACATCAACGCCACGGACATCCAAGATACGACCATCCGAACGAAGACCAGCCGTGGTGTATTGCTTGGCAAGAGCAGCATAGACGGAAAACTGGGCATCAGAGAGCCACAGCTTCAAGGTGTCAATGTCACCCTTGACGTAGGCATCGAGGACCTCGGGAAGCATGTATTCACGCAGTTCACGGAGGAACTCTTCCATCTGGAAGTTCGGATCAATCTCACGGAATTTCTTGATGACCTGAGCAGTCTCATTCTCAGCAAAGAAGCCACCGATACGATCGGTAATGCTACGCGCAGTGCTGATTAGAGGGTTCTCAGACTCCTCATAAACATTCCTGACGTCGAAGAGCTTTTGCATCATGGGGTTGGAGTCACGGAAGGTGCGCCAAGATTCCTTCCAGGCGGCGTCTTTGTGAAGGGTAACGTTGGTACCGGCACTGATATGAGTTAGCAATCAATCAGACCCTATGGAAGTAACAGAAGCTTACTTGGGATCTTCAACGGCCTGTTCCACCTTGGCCGTTTTTCCAGCCTTGGCTTCCATCTCCTCACGACGCTTGCGACGTTCTTCCTTCTCAATCCATCCACCGTAGCGAGAGCTGCTGCCATCATCAATGGCATCCTTAACGCTCTTGTAAGCCTCTGTCTGACGCACGGGTCTGGTGGCCTTCTCAAGACCGGCACCAGTGGCGTTAACACCGAGACGAACACCCTTCACAACCGGAGTATTCCATGTCCAAGCCGCACCTTTTCCAATGACTTGACCAGTGGACTTCAAGGCGGCACCAGTGCGGGTGGTGGCAGCCCCAGATGCAGCCTTGTAGGCCTCACGAGCCCGCTTGATGTTCTCATTCTCGCTGAACTCATGCGCCGAAGAAGCGAGAGCCTTGGTGGATTCATTCCACTCCTTGGAAGCCTTGAACTCGGTCTGAAGAGTGTCACGGAACACTTGCCACGGAGACTTATCTCCATGGGGTGGTGGCGGCGGAGCATCTTCTTTCTTCTCCTTCTTCTCCCCCTCCTTAGACTCCTGGCCTTCGGATTCGGACTTGGTCTCCTCGCCCTTCTTCTCCTCCTTCTGTTGCTGTTGTTGGAAAAGGGAGTTGGCGACGTGGAAAGAACGGGTCAAGGGAAGAGCGGCAAACGGTGACACGAGCTGGGACACGGGAAGACGACTATTCTGAAGAGTGCTTCTTTGACTAGAAGACAATTTCAAAGTCTGAGCCGGCAGTGCCGAGTATGAAACGGCCCGAGAGCCCTGCGCGGCTTTGAGGATCGGAGCTTGAGACCGAATTGTGGCCGCGCGCGCGGCGGTAGACATCTTGGCTGAAATCATGCTCTAGGATTAAGGATAACAGAAAAGAATAATAGGAAAGAGGATCAAGAAGTAAGCCAAGTATCCAGCCCAGCCCGGATGTTCGGGGTAAAGTAATGAGGAGTGAGGGTTGAGACCGGGGAAGAAGGTGAGTAAGGGAAAAAGTCGAGATGCCAAGACTTCGAAAAACTTCCAATGTTTCCCTTTCCGCCTCTTGTCTCCGATCACGGCTGCGACTCCATCCCGGTCTGCCACGTTCACCGAGGCCAATTGCTTCATCTCAACGCCGGAAACTTTTACTCATAACCGAGGGCTGTATTAATTTGCGACTGTCACTTCCCCTACCTCCGTTGCGTGACCTATACCTGCCGACGCATCGGCATCTTGTTGCCATGATGAATTCTTTCTCGATGAACACACTCGCAAAGGCCCTGCCGTCAGTATGCCGGCAACCCCAGTCTCACGCCGCAAGCTTGCGCACTATCCGACCTTTATCCACCTCTTCGAATGTCCTCGCGAGCTTCCGGGACCGCACCCGATCGATGGAGAGCCAAATTCTGAACCGCGACGCAGAGGGTTCAAGTGAATCATCGCCACTGTCTGCCATCACCAAAATGATGCAGGGCGATAGCTCCTCGAGCTCTGCCTCCCGGGTTCGCTCCGACTACGCCAGACTGGCCGAAAGCCTTGAGGCCGACATGATGAAGAACCCCTACGCCGACCGTGCCCCTCCTCACCACCTCCACGTCTACTGTCACAAACACAATACAATGATCACTTTGACACGGCCCAACGGTAACCCACTCATGTCCTTGGGCTGTGGTAACATTGGTTTCCGCAAAGCTGGTCGTTCTGGCTTTGACCCTGCCTACCAGTTGTCGTCACACGTGATGTCTCAGATTGCCGAACGAGGATACCTGATGGACATTAAGCGACTTGAGATTGTTTACCGTGGCTTTGGAAAGGGTCGGGAGGCGTTCACCAAGGTTCTTCTTGGAAACGAGGGACGCAACATCCGTGGACTTGTGAGCCGAGTGACCGACTCGACTCGTGTTAAGTTCGGTGGTACTCGTAGCCGGAAGGTCCGCAGACTGGGCTAGGAGAAGCGACCGGGCCTTATCAGTTTCATTTGCAGGTCATCCATTAGGAAGACCCGGAGTTCCTGCGACTTGTTTTATCTCCGTGGAGGAGATATTGTATTGAAGATGAACTTGGCCTCGGAGGCCATATTCTTTGGGCATAGCTGTTTGCCGTATGATTCTATATACTGTACAATATCAATTAAATTCCTTTCCTATTTAAGAATTTGACGTATTGGGTTTAATCTTTCCACCTTTTTTCACTGAAAGTCTGGATGTCCCTGACTTACCAAACATGGTATAGCGCGCAATCAGCTCCCGCAGCGATCACGTTCTCGAACTTCTTTACTTCAAGTCTTCCCTGTTGATGGTTTCATGCGCATTCGGCTAATTCTTTCTGTCGTGCGCTTTTCTCGCGAATTGACTTTCAATCTCCTGTCCAGTCCTTTGTGGACGCACCGACGGCCAGCCCTCGGCTTCTCACGACCCCGGACTGTTGCCTGCATTCGAATGCGCCGGAGCTTCCCCGCGAAACGACCAACGCACAATCCTCCCAAGTTGGAGATTTGATCACGGCTTGATGATTGCTGGAGACTATCTGCTGGGCCGTCCAATACCGTTTGGATGCACCCTCTAAATCCTTTTCTCCGAGCCTTCTTCCGAAGCACTGTTCCGGGGCAGTGTATACCCGTGGAGAATCATGTGAGTAGCTGATGCGAGACCCCTCGGATCGACCCGGACTGGCTGACCCATGTCAATTTATTTGACAGGTGCTTCTTGTCCCTACGACGGAATGTCTAGTCGGCTCGCGGGACCGGGAGTCCAATTTGTACTACTCGGATTTGGTCGCGTCGGAGGAGTTTCTAGGGAGCCACGTATTGCGAATCCCGATCAACACAGGCTCAAAGGATGGAAAAGAGGACTCGAATGTGCGCGACAATAGAGGAAAAGCAAAACAGGTTACGACGTTCAATGGAAGGACGGTTATCATCAAGGAGAACTCGGTCTATAGCAACAAAGGTGGGGAACAATGAGCAATGAGCTGGTCTGCACAATACTGACTACTATATTGCTAGGCTTCAAATCTCTCACTCAAGCCCAACTTTTGTCCGATGCCTTATACTATACACCCTCGAGTGAGTCGCGACCATGGCTCATATACTACATCTCGCGCCCGTTGATCGGGACCTTTGATCCCGCCAGGATAGTTCCCGCTGCAGTGCCAGGGACCAACCCCAAAACAATCGAGGCGCCCCCTGCAGATAAGAAGACCCCAAATAGGCATTCAATTGGGACGCCGCAAAAGCAAGAAATCAAATCATTCGGCGAGCTATTGGCCAATTTTCCAATGATCGCAAGGCAGATGCAGCCTGGTCTAGAAAGACTGTTTCGAGAGTTTGGAAAAGAACTTGGAAAGCCGCTGCCACCACCACCTTCAAGGTCGCCTTCTGCTTCTGGTAGCGAAAATGAGCACAAATTATCTCGCGCCGAGACATTGATAGATGAGAGTTCATCTATCCGCAGTTGGTCATCTCGTCGTGGACGGCTCCCATTCAATTCGGAAGAGTATTTTGAGGACGACGAGGATCTTATGAGGCGGAGTTTGGAGACCGCCGTGACCGCCGCCATTGATCTCTTCCGGCTGGTCGACAAGCAGCAACTATCTCTTCTTGGTGCTACGACCGATCTCACTGGCCCATTGGTAGAGCGACTTATAGAGCGATATGTCGCTGAGCAAGTTCACCAGCCATTACTGTTCCCTCGTCTTTGCGCTTTTCGACAACCCGAAGATTCAGAGTTAGACTCCAGGATTCGACATATGGAAAGCATCGACGTGACTCAGGTTGGGATCACCGTTGAAGGAGGACGAGAAGGAAAAAGAGAACTGATCCGCCGGCTTGGGCGAGCTGTGGAGGAATTCAGAAAGATGGGCGAAGCCAGAAGTCCTCACGAAATGCTCAATACCCTGCTAGAGACGGTTAAAGTCATATCCTATCCGGGAAGCTATAGCCAACTGGATGGGCTCGGGTCTGAGAAAGGGCGATCTCCTATCACTATAAACGCGGATGTCTTGGTTTCATTGCTGCTGGTTGTTGTGATCAGATCTCAAATTCGTCATCTGCAAGCCCGTTTACTTTATATGCAACACTTTATTTACATCGACGATGTGGATAGTGGTGAGATGGGCTATGCGCTGAGCACGTTTGAGGCGGTTTTAATGTACTTGGTCACTGATTCGGCTGGTCTTCGTCGCGCAAGTGTGAGAAACCGACGATTATGGCAAGCTACCAAAGCCGGTCGAGTTTCGGACATGAAGAGCATCCTCGAGCCTAATGGGAACCACGATTCCACTGATGAAACTATTCCTCACGAGCCTGAGCGCAAGTCAGTCTTCTTTCAAACCGACAGCATTGAGGACCTCGAAGAGTCTCCCTTTGAGACATCTTCAATGTATAGCAACTCAGTGTGTACAAACGGCGAACCGTTCCCATCGCTTGAAGTTTCTTCTTCTGAAGCACCACCCCTATCGCATGTATTCCCCTTCCAGACTTGGGATGGGCCGTCGGCTTTAAGGGACCTCAATAGGCCTGTGAAAAAGGTGTCTATGGATGTTCGCAGTATGTCAGAGTCATCAGCTGTCTCATTCCTCTCCCGAACCACTACCATTGGATCAATGGCGAGCGGCATCGAGGGCGATAGCTCCATTGAAACGATGACCAAAACTCAGGATCCTGCTGGTGATTCGATACCCATGATGGCTGTGGGAAGACGTCAAACGGAAGCATTGAAGTATTTGCTGAGCCTAGAAGAATATTATCCTTTGGAGGATATACTCGAAGACACGAATGCTGATGGGACAACGTTACTCAACGCGGCTGTCCAGCTTGCACACAGCGAGATTGTTGATATTCTCTTGGATTTCCTGTTTAGCAAAACCGATGATAGTGTGGTTGCGATGTACCTGACCAAGTCTGACGTTCATGGACGAACCGTCGCCCATTATCTCTTTAGCACACCTTCTCTTCTGGCCCGGCTGGGTGGCCTTCTCCCCTGGCGACAAAAGGACAAGCATGGGCAAACGCCTCTATTTGCCCTTTGTCGGTCGTATGATCACCCCGAGTACAAGATCATGGTTCAGTCTGCCCTGACGGCAGCACAAAAGGCACAAGAAAATGGAAAGCCCTTGCAACTAGATGACCATGTCGATGCCAAGGGCAACACGCTTCTCCATATTGTGGGAGATCCTGAAATCACCACTCGGATCCTCCAGGAGAGCGATTGCGACCCTAATGCTACCAACGATAAGCGGTTTACACCACTTATGATGGCTAGCAAGTATGGGCGTGTGGATCAAGTCCGAATTCTTTTCTTGGATCCACGAGTCGATGTACATGTCAAGGAAGCCCGGGGATTGACGGCCGTCGAGCTTGCCAAAGACGACGAGGTACGGAATAGAATCGACGATCTGATTCTGTTATCCCATCCACCATCAACATTGGGTGACCCGTCGGGCCGTGTGACTACAGTGGTACGATCTTTCTTTGTTGAAGATGCAACGGTCCGATTTATCCTCAAATCTGGCGCACCACACGCACAAACATCAGATTCGGTAGCAACTTCTCGGCCAGGCTCGACGACATACACTGTCACCACGTGTCGTCGAAGCTTCCAAGATTTTGAAAATCTCGCTAAATGGCTCTCAGTGGAGCATCCCGCTTCCTATGTGCCGTCTCTGTCTGATTTCCGGAATCCGTTCCAGATTCACTCCAAACCATCTCGATCCGTGCTCCATGATCTACAGGAAAAGCTCGATCGTTTTCTGAAGACTCTTCTGACACATCCCACCTTCGCGACCCACGAGATGCTCTGGGAATTTTTCCTTGTGCCAGAAATGCAACCGGAGATGATGGCAGGTAGATCTCGCAGCAAGGCAGCGGCGTTGACTGAAACCATCGCTGATGACTTCCCGCCTATCTCGCTGGAGGGCATGCGCGACACAGAGCAGTTTGTATCCCATGCGCAAGACATGGTGCGCGGCGTACACGTTAACACGCGCAGCCTGATCCGGCGTGGGCATGCACTCCAGAACAGTACCTCGGACATGGCAGACGCTGTGTCTCTCTGCTCATCTGTCCTCTCCACTCTCCAAGAGCCTACGAATGCCCTCCCGCAATCCTACATCGAAGCCTTCACCCGTTACGGCATCTGTCTCTCCACTTCCAGTTCCGACTCCTCTCCACTCCTGCACTACCTTGCCGCACTCACAGCAATTGACAACACCACCGCCGCCATCCTCACATCCCTCTCCCGCCCTCTTTCTCTCATGTCAGATCTTACCTCCACAAACCGCAGCATTGCCCGCTCCCGCTCCTCTCTTATATCCTCTTCCCTCCCTCGCAAATTCAACATCAATCTCCCTGGCTTCGAAGAGTCACGACAGAAATCTGTCCGTGATCTCGAACAGAAGATCAGCGACGGCGAAGTCGAGTCAGCCCGTCTGGCGAGGGAAGTCTCGTGGAACAAAGACGTCGTCGTAGGCGAATTAGCCGGATGGACGACATGGCGCGAGAAAGTCGGTCGTGAGGCCATTCGCGCATTCGTCAAGAACTCACTCGTCCGCGAGAAAGAGCGCGGGAAACGCATGGAGCGATGCCTGCGTAGCGTGCGGGAAATGAAGTCATGATTTCTGATGAGCGTTCCTTGTTGAATACATTCTCATAGACTTGATTTCAACAGTTATCTCGCGCACCCAACTGCGTGTGTTTGAGTTATGCACATTTCATGATGGACATGTTCGGGGTTTCGTTCATTCTCTTGCCTTTGATATTTGCTTTTCTTGCTTTCCTTGGGCCTCGGATATTTTTTTTTCTTTTTTTTTTTTTTTTTTAACAATTGCTTTGATCGAATTTGAAGCTTGGATGCTAGCGTGGGTGGATGCTATACACTTTCTCATATCTTTACGTACACATGTCAATAGCTTGATAGCCTAACTGCTATATCACGATCATGAAATTCCACTGGAAAATTGTATTGATTAATGTATAAAGCTGCGGCGTATCATCTCCCGGTAAACAATATACAGGATCATTCCAAAGACAGTTTTGTCTTCAACCATACAGGTAAACCCAATTCCCCAATTACGCAAAGACCCTTGTCTTCCCCACAGCACCTGGATTCCACAGCTGTGGATATAACGACTGAAATACATGCTCATCAGAAAGAATCAACCTTCCGAAAACCGAAACAAGGACGGTTGAGTCGGCGAAATCGACAAAATCGAGGGTAGCTGTGAAGCCCTTCCGGAAACACTCCCAGAAGAATCAACAGGGGATTCGGGCGTGGGCATACTTTCCCACCGCGAATACTCCACCGGCTCAATGGCACGCGCAGAAGAGTACCTCGGACTGGAGACAGAAATTCGACTCGAAGCTCGGGACGCATTTGACAGGTTGGAACACACCAGCGAGCGAACAGGACTGATTGTAGTACTCCCACCACGTGGATGAGACACTACAGTCATCACGCTAGCAGATTCCGGCTGACAGTAAACTGGGTCCCGCTGTGTGATATCCGCGCCGGTGGATGACCTCGTCGATGCACTTCTTGTAGACCACATGGAAGATGGAGTAGTCGGAGCGGCTGTCGAAGCTCTAGGTAGACGTGAAACCGATGTGTGGACCGGTAATTGCGTAGAGCCAGATCCCGAGCCTGAACCCGAGCCATGGCCAGAGCCAGAGCCACTCGAAATCGACGGTGCTAATTCCGAGAGCAGCACCACGCTAGGCTTCGGTCCGTCTGTCGAGACCCTAGTCAAAGAGTCGAGTTTACTCAGACTCATCGCCGACGACGCGTCGTAGCTACTACGGTAGAGTTTTGAGGTAGGATTGCGTCGATCATACTCGTCGATGACAAATGTGAAGGAAGGTGAGCGACTGCGGCTGAACATCAGCGATGTGCGTTCGGGTTCAAGATCTCTCAGGAGAAATCGGTCAAGGTCCTTGCTTGTGTCCTCTGTCAAGGCGAGACTGGATTCATTGAATGGGCCTTCAAGCTGATTCTCCATATCGAGACGCTGGCGGGCTTGTCGCTCTCGCCTTTTCTTGAGATACCATATGAGTAGGAAAATGAGGGCGAAGAATGTGGTTGTTGCGATGATGGTTGCCGCCGCAATCGAGGGTTTCTTTGCGTAGGTCCAGCTGGATCCAATTGATTTATGAGAGGACTTGGTTGTAGCTGGAGAGGATTCGATTGCAGCTTTGGAACCTGAGGGGTGGTCTCCAGGTGTGATTGTTTGTTGGAGTGTGTCAAGAATCACTGGCCGCATGATGGGTCTTGCTATTTAGGGGAGGACAGAACTCAGGCTGATGCCTGGGATTTGGAATGCATGCACCTCTGAAAATCAATTGGTGATGTGTTCGGGAGCAGAGAAGTATACTCAGGGCAAGTGCTATAAAGCCCAACTAGCAGGCACGTTTCCATAAGGCAGCCTCGGAAGCCAGGCCAAAGCAATTTCCCAATTTGGGACCATTAACTCGAATCTGCCTTGAACTTTTGTCTCATGATCTACTTACGGTCATAGCTACTATTTAAATATGTGGGCATGGATACGGACTGCGTGCGTACCATATCCACTTGACCGGCTTGGCACCACCTTGGCATAAAGCTTAAACAATGTCTATACATAAGGATGGACCCTGAAATGAAAGCCTTTACGTAGTAAACTACACAGCAAAGTCATCATTTCATGACGGATCTCGATTCAAATTCTGGTCTCAAGCTTATATAAGCCAAGCGCTAGTGAGTTCAAGACTAGAATGAATCTCCGCACACAATCTCGTCAATGGTCCACATGCACCTATCTAAGCAGCCACTGGAAACCCTGCATACGATCCGATCACTAAATCACGGAAAGTGGGCGATAATTGACCCCAAAATCGATTCACACGCCCACAATGGCCACAAGCGATCCACCACCACCATACCAAGCTCATGATCCGTCCACTCCGGCAGCACAAACGCCAATAGCCACTTTCCACATTGACTGCCCCATGCAGACATATACACTGGTCCCAACAAGAATTATTGTTTGAAAGCGCAAGCCAATGATTTTGGCATAAACTGCGACCTAGCCTTTTACAGAAGCAATGCGCCCCACCGGGAATTGATTTCTTGCAATTTCAAGGAAACAACCATGTCGGTTGACAAGGCTTCAATCAGAACGCCGACAGGCAAGTTGGAAACAATTTGGTGGGCTGCAGGCTTGGACCCCAAGATTCCCATTTCTGTCAAGTACCGGTTTCTAGCTAGATTACGGAATCCTGCAGATCCGCTTGCTATTATATCAGACCCGGTTAACTCTGCGAGTTCGCAGCCATTTTACTGGAAAGGTGGATCAGACTGGATGCTGTTTCATGAGGCATCAGGTACTGTGGCTGCTGTCGTGCGCGATGTGAATCTAACCGCCGGCAAATACGGCTCGCTTGAGGTTTTGGTGTCTTATGGTGATACGTTCCCTACCACTGTGTTGTCAACGTATCTAACGGTCTGCGAGAAGTTCAAACGGGAGGCTAAAAGACATCTATTTTGGTAAACCATGTTGTATTATATGTATACATGTTTATACGTTAGGTATTCAGTGGACCTCGAAATGGATCGTCTGCTGGATGACATTAGGTGGGTTGACAAGGCCCTCCATGCTTTCAGCATCATCTCGAAAGGATTCCCGCCATCCACTGGTGACCTGCACCGAAGTTCCGGGACTGAGGGGTGGATCTGTCCGTGTAGGATATGACTTTCTCATGGATGAGATGTTGTATTTATTGCTTTTGTGTGCGTCGGCAGTATCGTCGTGGATGGTGAATGCATAGACATCGGGTTGAAGCTCGACTACCAGTCTTCCGAGGGATGGGAGGGCCGTTGTGACTAAACTCAGGTTCATCATGACTCTGTAAGATCACATTAGCTTTGTGTCCATTTGGGTGATCAAGACGAGGGTATCGGTAGTACTCACTGGTCCCAAACAGTCGAGTTGGTGCTTGCCCCTAAGATATCTGTTAGATTTGTGTCAAATCATACTGGATTTTGGAAAGTTGATCATACATAGAAGGTCGGGTGATTTGAATAAGTTGAGAGTGTAGTGGATCTCCACTCCCGTCGCAGCACATACGCTGTACACAGTCATGGTTAGATTGGTAATTTCATAGTGCGGACGTTCGGGACCTTCACTCACATTATTTTACTGGCGATCAGAGCCATTATTCTAAACCGTTTCCACCGGGAAAGCTGTACGTTGCGGAGCAACACACATGGAAGAACCACGAGGGCTACATCCGTGATGATGTTCAATGCTGCGATAGCTTGGAAAAGCGCGGCCTGAAGACTAAAGTCAGCCTCCAAGTCTAAAAAAGTCTTTATAGGCGCCTTACCTGATCAATGCACTTCTCTGGTAGATTCCACTCCCAGGGTGTGGGTAGAGAGCATCGTAGAGCTAACGCCAAGATGGACCCAATAGCCCATGCAGATATGACCCCGATCAACGTCATATTTGCCCATGTATATTCCCGCGATGTGAGCGTGCTCTTGAAGAGGAGTCCCGACGAAAGCTTGCTCAGCGCTATCGTCACGATAAGGAGGATTTGTGCGACATATTCATACTAGAGGCCAGATGAGCTTTGATCTTGTCAACCCCAACGTGGCTGGGATGATCTTAGTTCAGGGTTTTGTTCCTACCTTTAGAAACAGCCGGAAATGGTGATTGTCTATAGTGGGGCGTTTCCGACCAAGTCCATTGGAAATTGCAAGTTGTACAATGACACTCTGCAATATACCTGATAACTATTCAGCCAGAACAGAATTAGCCATATATCTTACCAATGGCACTCTCATAGCAGAAATGAACATACTGTTGCCGCTGCCAGCAAAATATCATCGGAATGAATGACTCGACCAATGTACCATCGACTGAACAGACGAGTGAGAACGACCACGATCGTTAATGCCAATAGCGTGTAGACTGTGACCGCAGCATATCCACCGTGATCCTCATCCGAGATTTCAAAGAGTGGAGGCAGTGTGCCCGCCATCGTGAAAATTCGACAATTGCACCACGTTGTTCATGGAAACGTCAAGGAACAAAATGGGAAGACCGATCGCAGATCGGCGGACCGTGTGTATTTGACAGGTTCGTACCGGGCCCTTAGCGGCATCACCATCCCACCCTGACACTAACCTGCACACATCAGATTCTCCCCTTTTTGAGCAGCAAAAGCAGGAAATCCCGCACATTCAAAGAAGGTTCGCAGAAAGGAAAATTACAATTGGCAACAAGATTATTCTACGATACTTTATCGGTCGTATCAGCGCTATCGGAGTCCGGCCGGAGTGGCGCGTGCGAACAGGGGGTTCTAAAGAGGTCCGTGTTAGCACAAACTTAATGCTATTAACTAAGACATTCGGCTTTAATACCGGCTTCGAGTCCAACAATGGCAGTTGGCGTAAAAGGCGTTTGTAGCCATGTGTGATAGATTAACGATTCATTCCTTCCAAGCTGGCTGAACCATTCACTAGTTGTCCAAGGGGCAATCAATAGCCTAAGCCATGTTTCAGAATGTTTAATTGGCGCAATCCTCCATTGCTTATCTGTCACTAGAATGACGGTACCGGGACAAGCCCGAAAGGACCGTCCAGCCTTAGCAGGTGGACCCGAACGTTTTAGATCTGGCTTGGACCGTCAAATCACCGATTGTGGATTGTTTCTAAACACACGGAGAGCCATACTAGGACAGAAATGTCTCCGCAAATCACATTCACTTTCTCGAACGAGGCTATCGGGACCCGCCGTGGCCTAATTAGTTAAGAGCTCGTGCGCGTGGACTGATATGTGGAACTCGGCACTTCCACTGAACCCTCTCCTCTTCGCTAGTACCTGCAGTGTGATTGCATTCGATTATCACGTGGGATGGAAGACTTGATTGCGCATGATCATACATCAAAGTGTACCTGGCCGTGGACTGATTTGGTTGTTCTAGCCCCGCACGACTCACTGGGCTTTGTGAGCAGCTTCATTCGCCACCATGTCGAGCGAAGGAATTGAGATGGGCAACTTGCCTGTCAAGTCTGTCCAGGTGAGTGTGTCACACACTCAATCTGGCTCTGAGGGGGTTTATGGTGGTGTTTCGACGTCGAGGTCAAGTAGGAAACAGTTGGAGGTAAGTCCGCCCCGACGATATCGACAGGAGCTGCGAAATTGACATGGTGAATTAGAGAAGTTTTGGTTCACTTTCAATTCTCTCACTGTCATTAACCATCCTCTCGTCATGGGAATCTATTGCAAAGTGAGTGTTCCAGCCACAATCATTGCAGTACAGACTGACCCCCTTCTAGCAGCTTTGAGTCTGGACTCATCAATGGCGGACCAGCCGGCCTGGTCTGGGGTATGGTGCTGTCAACAGTCGGTACAATGGCCATGGTTCTATCAGCTGCTGAGATGGTATCTATATGCCCGCTAGCAGGAGCACAATATCACTGGACAGCAGTGCTCGCACCTCCACGAATTCGCCCATTCACTACCTGGATGCAGGGGTGGATCACTCTCTTCGGATGGCAAGCCGCTTTGGCTAGTATCTGCTACTTAATGGCGACGCAGATCCAGGGAATGGTGATGCTGAACAGCCCAGAATATCATGCTCAGCAGTGGCATGGAACGCTCATCATGTGGGCGATTGTCGCTTTCGTGGGTTTCATCAATATATACGGGATCAGGATCTTGCCCGCTCTGCAGATGTTGGGAGGAATCATGCATATCATATTCTTCATTGCGATTATCATTCCATTGGTGCTTCTATCACGTCGTAGTACCTCTGAGTTTGTTTTTACTCAGTTGATGACGACTGAAGAAGGGTGGCAGTCAAAGGGCGTGGCTTGGTGTCTTGGCATGTTGACAGTGACATATTGTTTCATCGGTGAGTAAGTCAATGCGTCATATGGGATTGGAGTCTGATTTGAGTTTGTGTAGGTTTTGACGGTGCCATCCACATGAGTGAAGAGGTTCGAAATCCGGCTACCGTCATCCCCCGCATCTTGGTTCAATCAATCGCCATAAACGGGTTCATGGCTTTTGTCTTTCTCCTCGTCATCCTCTTTTGCATTGGCAGTGTTGAAGAAGCTTTGAACCCCCCGTATATTTTTCCAATGATTGGAATCTTCGAACAGACCACCAAATCTGCTGGAGCAGCTACGGCTATGCAGACGGCTATCACGCTCATAGGCATGGTGTCTAATACGGGCGTGCTCGCATCTGTATCACGACTCACATGGGCCTTTGCTCGCGATGGAGGCTTACCATTCTCCAGCTTCTTCGCTCATGTATGCCCCCTTTCATTCAGCTATCCACCATTATCTGACATTCCATCAGGTTGACCGCCAGCAACGTGTACCGAAACGAGCCATCTACCTTGCTTGCGGGGCAGTTATCATTCTTTCAGTCATCAACGCCGCCTCTGAGACTGCTCTGAGCGCCATTCTCGCTCTTTCCACCAGTTCACTTTACGTTTCCTATCTCATTCCGATCGTCTTGATGATCATCCGTCGTGTGGATACCAGTCGGGGACCCATACCATTCGGACCCTGGACCCTGGGCCGCTACGGCATGGCGATCAATATCTTTGCGCTAGTATTTGGCGTCTTTGTCAGCATTTTTGTTCCATTCCCGACTCAAATTCCAGTCACGGCTGCGAATATGAACTGGTCTGGTCCCGTGTTTGTCGGTGTCGTCATATTGTTGGTTATAGATTGGACATTCCGGGCCAGAAAGAAGTATACTGGGCCTATGAAGGATCTTTTACAGTCAGAAGGCAAGACTAATACTGCTTAGTATTATTTGCTTACTATTATTAAATACTTATACTAATTTATATTGATGATGTCCATGAAAGAGATGTCGCGTAAATTTAGTGCTTTGCGTTGGACATCAGCTCGCCACGACAGACTTGGTATACCCAGCTAGGCAACCTGGCACGACAGCGCATGTTCCAATATTTGATGAACGTCATCTCAGCCCGGCATTAATGCCGATCATTAATTAATTTTCCGACTCATGTTTACAGTTTAGGCTTCCTTGTTCAGTACTGGAGAGCAAATGACTAATCCTTTATCGGCACCTACGTCATTGACACATATATAGAGATGCCTGGCGCACCTTATAAGCGACAGAACATCCCTCCAACTTCCATCTTCTCACTTTCACATTCCAGATTCATCAAGCACATTTACAGACACACTCATAACATTCCAACTCCTTCATTATGCCTCTCGTCGTTCCTGGTATTAACTCCGCCATGGGCGATAAGTCCGAGTGGATGTCCAAGTTGGTGGGCAAGAAGATCAGCGATACCGGCAGCAATGAAATTGTGAGTGACATGAATATTAAACACGAGGCTAGCTTTCCACATGTTAGACGAGATTTCTAATAAGTATTTGTTTGTATAGTCGTTTGCCAAGAAAGACCTTCCTGAGTCTCATCGCGTGCTCAAGCCCGGTGATATGAAGACTATGGACCACAACCCTGACAGGTATGAGATGGAATCAATCATTTATGCGTCAAGATACTAATTCTATGACCAGACTTAACATCCATCTCGGAGAGGACGACACCGTTCGGGACGTTACTTACGGCTAAATGCGTCATGGACTTGGCGACAACGATTCACGATCATGTTTTTATACATTTATACCTTCATTGATAGTAATAAACAAACCAGCTTTATTCATGACCGACATCTATAGAGTTGTAAATGCATCAAGAAACCCCCTTTACTCCGCCTTCCACCGTAGCAAAGTAAGAGAATGCTTAGGGAAAACATACTTCCCCTCACCATTCCAAACAGACTCCTCAACACGAACCTCCTCCGTCTCCTTCATGTTGGTCGCCATAACATCACCACCCGTAACAGTAAACACCTGAGCAGTACCAACAACGCCTTCAACAACAGTCTCGAATCCTTTCTCCTCATGAATATTCACAACCGCCAAATTCGCATACCCATCCTCCCCAAGACTAGCGCTAACATCCAGCCAAGGCGTGTCAACAGTACCCCGCAACCACTTAGGCGCGGTCTCCCCCTCATAAGTCCCACAAGAAACATGCGCAGCAACCGTCCACCCACGCATGAACTTCGAAAACAAATACAACGGCCACCAAGTGGTCTGCTTAATGATCTTCTCCTTGGTCGTCATAAGCGGCGAGATAACGTTCACACTCTGCGCGATACACGCCATTCCCAGATCGCGGCTCTTACGCACAAACACATTCAGCCATACAGCGACGGCTAGTGCGTCGGAAAGCGTGTAGCTCTCTTCTGCGCCCTGGCTTCCCTCTGCGCGGATGGGGTCCCAGACGTTCCACTCATCGAAGCAGATTGTTGGACGGAGTTGGTTGGGTGGAACGCCGTTTTCAATACGCGCGAGATCGATTAGGGAGGATGTGATTTCGATGGCTCGCTCGGCTGCTAGAGGGGCTGTAGCGTTTGGGAGGTGAGAGTTAGAGCATGTGTAGAGGTGAATGCTGTGCATGTCTATGAGGGGGACTGCGCTTGTGGAGAGGGCGGAGTGGGCGGGGAGAAGGCAGTGTTTTAGGGTGTAGTAGTCCCACGAGGCGGTGCCGTCTTGGCCGCAGAGAATGAGGACGATGCTTGGGTCGAGAAGTTTGAGAGCTGATGTCGGGATATAGTTGTTAATACTAATCTATAAAAGGGTGGAGAAGGTTTATTGCATTGGACTAACCTTTCGCCCATTGCAAGGCTTTGTGCGCGTAGGCTTCCTTGGTCATCTGTTCAACTTGCCATGGACCCCATGTCTCGTTGCCGAGTGCCCAGTATTTGACCTGGAGATGTGAGCTGGTGAAGTGCATACCAGATATAGGGACGACATACGTTGTAGGGCTCTTCACGTCCATTCTTGCGTCGTAGGTTGGCGTAGTATGTGTTGCCGGTTCCATTGCAGTACTCCAACCATCCCAAAGCTAACATTGTTAATATAGCTCATACTGATCTTGATGTAGAAGCCATACCTTCGTCAAGAGTACCAGTTCCAAAGTTGAAGCACAGATAAGGCTCAGTGTCAAGCACTTCACACCATTTCATGAACTCATCTGTTCCAAACTGATTTGTCTCTGTTCCAAGCCAAGCTAGCTCGGGTCTTTGAATACATCAGCATATGATCCATCAATCAAAATATTTTTTCCGCGTCAAGCTTACCGGGCAGGTCGTTGATCCTTAGGACCAACACCATCTAGCCAGTGATAGGTCGCGCAAAAGTTTCCGCCGGGATAACGGACAACAGGGATGTTGAGATCCTTCAGCGCCCCAAGGACATCCTTGCGGAAACCATTCTCGTCCGACAATGGATTTCCCGGATCATAGATGCCTCCATAGATGCATCGGCCCATGTGCCTATCCAAAGCATGTCAGCACACTTCCACAGCAAGACAAATGTCAATGCTCATGATAAGCTTACTCAGTAAAGCCGGCATAGATATTCGGATTAATCTTCGAGATTCGGCGCGAAGGATGCACAGAGATGACCGGAGCATCCTGGTCACCCAGCTTAGTAAAAGAAGTCATGGCACAAGTCACAAGTTGTAATTCGTTTCTACTTTGGATCAAATTTGTCCCGGTGGCTGAAAATAAGTAATCTTGAACCCGGTGATCGGTTAACAATGCAAAGACAGAAAGAAACCGATCAAGAGAGCACCAGACCGAAAAGGAACCGACAACGCGTTCCTTCAAGCGAATTTATTTCATACCCCTCCATCCGATAGCCTAGAAGGGGTAAATCTCCTGCGGGGCATAAGTGAGGTCGCCATGGCGTTGGGGACGCGGTCCCGCACCCAATGGCATGTTCAAATGAAACGAAGCCTCTTCCGGGATAGCAGATAGCGCTTAAGGAAAGGCTAGAGTACAGGTCACCTGGATCTCACCAATAATGTGGTTTCACTGATGCTTGTATGGGTCGCCGAGGCTCGTAGAGATATTCCATCAATCACAGTGCAGGGAAGCAAGACGCCACTAGTGCCGGTCCCCGCAGTTCTGGACTGCTTTGTATCCTCGTGGCTTTATGGTGATGGATCCAGGATCCAATCGTCAGGCTCCCAGATGCCGAAATGTTAAAATTGTTTGTTTCTAAGCTAAATCCAGCAAGATGATGGGGGGTGAAGCTCGGTTAATTCGTCAAATCGTCGTCGTCAAGAAGGTTTGGAGTCTTGGCTCTGGAGGTGCCTCCGGGCTGGAAATGTTCATTTTCATGTGGACTTGGGAATTCCGGGGGAGCATGGAGTATATAGTATTTACTGCTGCCCCGCAAGGTGTCAAGTGTTTTGTGGAGCTCCCCGGATTTTTTCTCCATTTTTTTGTTGATCCTAGACCCCTAGTTTGAAGCTCCATTGCTGAGGGAGTTGCCCAACATGCGTCTGTCACCATCTTGGTACCAGGTAAGAGCATTTATATCGGTGCCATTGTTTCAGCACTAATTGATGTTCAGTTCCTGGTTGGCGTGTTCGCCTCCCTTGGTTCATTCCTCTACGGATGTAAGTACTATCTTCCCATAGTGAATAGTTCATGCTAACGGAACCAGATGATTTGGGTGTCATTGCCGAAGTCATTGTTTGCGATTCATTCGTTGATAGATTTGCAGCGGATTCTACACAAAGGTATGTTATAGAAATTATTCGAGCTATACAGATATCATCTAACGAATGGCAGCGGTCTTGTCGTCTCTATGTTCACATGTGGTGCCTTCTTCGGCGCTGGTTTCGCCGGTCCCAGTGGTGATTACCTAGGCCGACGCAAGACAATTTCCCTTGGTTGCTTGCTCTTCTGCTTGGGAGGAGGTCTTCAAACTGGTGCACAGAATATCTCGTTCTTGTACAGTGGACGATTCTTTGCTGGCTTTGGGTAAGTTCTCACATTGATGTATACTTGACAAAAAATTGTTCAATATACTTACATATACCAGTGTCGGTTTCCTTACCATGGTCATCCCACTCTACCAAGCCGAGATCTGTCACCCCAGTATCCGTGGTCGGGTCACAGCCCTGCAGCAGTTCATGCTTGGAGTCGGCTCTCTCTGCGCCTCGTGGATTTCCTATGGCACATATATTGGATTTTCTCCCACCAATGACGCCCAATGGCAGCTGCCCCTTGGACTTCAGATGCTGCCTGCTGTCTGCCTGGGTTTCTTGATCATGGTGTTCCCCGAGGTAAATCTTTCGCCCCTTTTGTTACTTGCCTTCTACCTTCTCTAACCAAAAACAGTCCCCTCGTTGGCTCATCGACCATAACCGCGCCGAGGAGGGCCTCAAGACTCTGGCCAAGCTGCATGCCCACGGCGATGAAAACGATGCTTGGGTTCAAGCCGAGTACTCCCAAATCCAGGAGAGCATTACCTTTGAGCATGAGAACGAGGCCAAGTCATACGCCGAGCTGTTCACGAACCGGTCTTCATTCCGTCGTCTGTTCCTGTGCTGTGCTTTGCAAGCTTCTGTCCAGATGACCGGTGTTTCCGCTATCCAGTAAGAAAACCTTTATCAAATATTGGGGAAAAAGATATTGATCATTCAATCAGGTACTACTCCGTGACTATCTATGAGCAAATCGGTATCTCCGGTGAAGCCACTCTCCGCTACCAAGCCATTAACTCTATCATCGCGCTGGTCGCTCAATTCCTTTGCATCCTGTTCATCGATCGCTTCGGTCGTCGCTGGACTCTCATCGGAGGAAATCTCGGTAACATGGTGACCTTCATCGTCGCAACGATCCTTCTAGCCAAATTCCCGCCCACCACCAACAGCACAGGTGCTCACTGGGGCTTCATCATCATGACCTGGCTTTACAACTTCTCTTTCAGCGCAACCTGTGGTCCTCTATCATGGATTATTCCTGCTGAAGTCTTCGATACCAGAACACGGTCTAAGGGTGTATCGATCGCAACTATGACCTCGTTCGCGTTTAACACCATGATCGGTCAGGTCACGCCGATTGCCATGGCAAACATTAAGTATAAGTACTACTTCCTCTTTGTGATTTGCAATTTCACGAACGCGTTGTTCTTCTACGCGCTTCTGCCGGAGACCAAGAAGGTGCCGCTCGAAGAGATGAATTACATGTTTTCGCATGCGCCGTGGATTGTGCCCGGTACCAAGAAGGAGGACTACTTGCCACATGATTTGGAGCGGAAAGTTGAGGAGCAGGAGGTCAAGCAGAGTGCGATGCATTATGAGTAGGGGGCGCTAGTAGGGCGAGATCGCGGGATGGTGATCCATTCTTCTTTGACGCGTGGGTGTGGTGTTTGGGGTATATGTACATGTCCTCTCCCAAAACTGGAGCTTGTTCCAGACATTGGTGAGGCGACTTTGATTGTTGGCAAAGATTAATTTATTCGGAATCCGAATCAGATCCATATCCAACCAGCCCGAGAGATGGTGCTGGCTTAACTGGTTGAACCTTTTCTGTAGTTGACTTGTCCGTACCTGCAGACGCAGTCTTGGCGATGCTGGGCGCGGACGCCTTGGAGATCTGTGCAGTTGGTGGTATAGTCTCTTCTTGAGCTTTCGTAACCGGTGCAGTACCTTGACTGGGCTTCGTCTCCTGCTCTTTTGTAGCCTCGCCTTCGGTAGATTCCTTCCGCTTCTTGCCAGGGAGCAGTAAATCTTTCTTCTCACGTCGCCTCTTGCGCGCCGGGATTGTCCACTCCTCTTCCTCCGCAGGCGTAACCTCCGACGACGTGGGTCCTAAGGCAGTCTTCTCAGCCTCTTCACGTTGTTTGCGAAATGCCTCCAGCTGGTCAGCCGTGTCTTTCTTCACAGCAGCCTCCTGTGCGCGTGTTGACTCAAGCACGGAATCCAAGAACTCCACCTCATCTTCGTCCAGCGATCGGAATTGGTTCTTTAGCCGTATTTTCTCTTCGAATTGTTCTTGCTTCGCCACTAAAAGCCGAACGAAGATCACCCTAACATGTCAGTCACCGATGCCTTCACTTCCCGACTGCAGTGTCACATCACCCCGTAACGGAAAAAAAGCTCACTTTTGTTCTGCTGGAGAACCTCGAATAGACTCTTCCCGTCATTTTGCTTGCCAATCTCGGCCTTCTTTCGCCGCTCCTCCTCCAGCTCCTGTTGCACTTTGAGCCATTCGTCGTCCCGCTCGACCGGCTGATCGGTAGTCCCGGCTGATACGAACCCTGAGGACATGACGACAGCGGGGGTGAGCTCGGGAAAATTTGGGGTAAGGTTGGAGAGTCTTCCCGAGCGCGCAGGGAACGAGTGTCGGGTATAATGGGCGGCGGTGGAGCGTCTAATTATCCGGGATGCGGGCCAGTAAAAACCACGGGATTCGAGGAGGGGATGTGGAGTAACTCCGGACAGAGAAGGAGGGAATGGACCGAATAAACCGGCGCGGATAATGGCGACTCTCGGCGAATTTTCTGGAAATTGTCGTACGGGCTGGGATACCAGGCAGTGAGATGCGATTTTGCGATGCAAGTGGGCCCGAGACAAGGATTCCTATTGGATTGAAATGCAGGTGGACCAATCATGACAAAAGAGCCGTATTTAGCCGGAATACAAACACAGCGTGTCCATGAATGACGGGGCGCTTATTCCTGGTTCTACGTCTATTGTTACCTATTGGTTAATGGGAAACATCTTCCATATCCAGGGAAAGGATTGACGTCCTTTCAAAACTCACCGAAACCATTGATAACCATTTCCGTAGATAACAAATCACGATGTAACAAGGATTCCCCACAATTTCAAGGAGGGGCACGACATCATCATAGCTTGGACCTGCCCACTTTATGTCGCAATGGTCCGCCACCCTGATATAAAGACTCCCTAAACCCCCTGCGTCCTTCTCTCTATCTTCAACTAAATTTCATTCACAACCTCCAAAATGTCGAACCAGCACACGCAGTAAGCCGCCCATCCAATGGATACCCCATCTCATCCCGTTTGCAACTCCAATTTCTAACCGATTCCCCCCTACAGAAAGACTTACACCTTGAACACCGGTGACAAGATTCCCGCCATTGGCCTTGGTACTTGGCAGTCCAAGCCCAATGAGGTCCGTGTCGCCGTCAAGGATGCCCTGCTGAAGGGCTACCGTCACATTGACACTGCCCTTGCTTACGGCAACGAGGCTGAGGTCGGTGCCGGTATCAAGGACTCCGGTGTGCCCCGCGAGGAGATCTGGCTCACCACCAAGCTCGACAACACCTGGCACCACTGTGTGGAGAAGGGTATTGCCTCCTCCCTCAAGGACCTCGGTGTTGACTACGTCGACCTGTACCTTGTCCACTGGCCCAGCTCGACCGACCCCAACGACAAGTCCAAGCACCTCCCCGACTGGGACTTCATTAAGACATGGTAAGATCGATCTCACCCCCACATAAATATGTTTAACAATACTAACCCATCCCAGGCAAGAGATGCAGAAGCTTCCTGCCACTGGCAAGGTCCGCAACATTGGTGTCTCCAACTTTGGCATCCAGAACCTTGAGAAGCTCCTCAACCACCCTACCACCAAGATTGTTCCCGCTGTGAACCAGATCGAGCTGCACCCCAACAACCCCTCCCCCAAGCTGGTTGCCTACAACACCTCCAAGGGCATCCACTCTACTGGTTACTCCTGCTTGGGCTCCACCAACTCCCCTCTCTACAAGGATGAGACTCTGCTGAAGATTGCCGAGAACAAGGGCAAGACTCCTCAGCAGGTGCTGCTCGTCTGGGGTATCCAGAAGGGCTGGAGTGTTATCCCCAAGTCCGTTAGCAAGTCTCGCATTGATGCCAACTTTGAGATTGATGGCTGGACCTTGACCGATGAGGAGATCAAGCAGCTTGACAACCTTAAGGATCGCTTCAAGGTCTGTGGCGATGATTGGTTGCCTATTAAGGTCTTCTTCGGTGATGACGAGTAAAAAGTTAGAATGCTTGTCGTATTTATGAGTAAATGTGTTTTAGATACCAAAAGAATTGAATGTTAGATGGTCACCATTCACGCCCTTATCTGTTTATCTAATGGGAATCCCACAATTGTAGGCTTTGATTTAGACCCAGTCGAACTATTAATGTAACTGTGGGGCCTGGGCTATGTTGAGAATATAGCTTTTGGGTCTCATCTCTTCTCTAAACCTGATACTAGCTCATGTTCAAGACTCAATACATTACAATAAAAGCGCAGAAAAGCCCAATCGAACAGTTTCATACACAGTGTATGCTGGATTATACAGAGTACTATACGTCATGTTCCTTGATTAGCGCGGCCGTTCCGGGTGGGGCCCCGGTTACTAAGCCGCTGTGGCGGTGCCTCGCCACTGGGGTAGGCTGCCTTAGGACGTAACCTCCTCTCCTCCATACTCTCCTAATCCAAGTACACAAACGTACTCTCGATATCATCTTACCCGTCAGTATGGCGCCTGCAAATGGGCACCTGCTGCTCCCCAAGATCTGGAGAGCAGCAAGGTATGTGTACCTTCTATCTGTAGCGTCTGACTCATAAACTAATCGTCTAGCAGGTTCGCCTATGAGAAGGCCTCCAAGGCCATACGAGCCAAGTTACCCGAACCAACTCAACATACCTCACTTCGCTACCAACCAGCCTATGCCCGGATCAATAGACAGCCCATCAACCGGGCCGCGGCGATTCGCCAGGCCCGCAGCCGTCACTTTTCCACTCGTGCAGCCGGTGCCTTTGCCTCGGCCATCCGAGGTATCCAAGCGGATGTTGGCACCTACAAGGCCACCCGCGTAGCCTCCAACATTAGCCGACTGACTGCTCGCGCCCCGTTCGCATCGACTCTCCGTCCCAACCTGACTGGTGGCACATTGGGCCGCACGGCGGGAGGTTATGCAATCGGTGCCGGCCGTTTTGGCGGGGCCCGATACTTCTCCCATGGAGCTGCAGCCCCTGCCCAAGTCATCCAGAATGTGTCCCAGGGCGTCCGTGCATTCTTTCTGTCGGGACAAAAGATTCGATTTGATGGAATTGATCCCCGCACTGGCGAGAAGCGTTACAAGGCCGTCAGCGCTATCCAGGACCAGGCCGGTCGAAACATGACCGCCATTCCCCGCACTGCTCCCGGTTCGCACATCGACTTCCAGCTCTCCCCGACCATCACCGCCTTCGGCGTTCTGGCTGCTTTGGATAAGAAGAACGGTGCCGCTGCCACGGAGACTCTGCAGTCGGAAGGTCTTATGGATATCCTGTCCGCCGACTTTGCTCGTGCTCTGAAGGAATTCGCTACTGTCTTGAACGATCTTAAACGTCTTTCGACACTGGGCGATATGCCAATTCAACTTCACGATCGATCTACCATTCGTGTCCGATTCCCAGGCTGCGATGCTGAGACAGTCGAGAGTCTTTGTGACGAGGTTGGCGTCCAACGAGGTCGCATTGTTCAGGATGATGACTTTGACCTCCGCACTGGCGCCGATCTAGCCCTTCTATTCCCATTTGCGCCGAGCATGGCCCCGTCATCCAACACAGAGGATTTTTTCGAGCAGCCCTGTAAATCAATCCGTCCATCCACCGACGATCTCGACTGGCACGCCATGCTCACACCCGAGAGCAGTCCATTTTCTCACAAGTCGCGAGATTCTGGTAATGCCATCAGTTTCAATGACAGTGAGCTGTTTTGTGAGAACCCATGGACGTCTCCTAAGTCGGCATACTCGAGTGTCAACATCAGTGAGCTTGGAGACCGTGCATTTTTCCCGGAGGTCTCTGCTTCCTGTGCTAGTTTACCCGATAGTGCACCCGGATATGATGGCGCTGAAGGCATTCACAGATTTCTGGCCGAGTGTGATATGGCACGGCGCTGATGGAGTCGTTGACTCTTGATTTAACATTTACTTGCTTCTTTTTCCTTGCTCTTGTTTTTGATTGATGGAATTTCCCTTGGCTATCCTGGTAGATGCCGATCCATGATGACAGCGCTGATACCACTCCACTCACTTGACATTTCCTTTTTGACTCTGCTTTCTGAGGTCCTGGTGATAGTACAGAATTCATTGAATATTTTGAAATAATCTCTCATTATTAAACTGGTTCCTACCGTTATCTGCAGCTTGATAGTATTCACGTACACAGATTCTGCCAGCTTATTTAATCAATAAAATGGAGTCTTGACGTGCGTTATCAGTCGTCGAGAGCACCTTATCGTGACAGTACCATTATCAGCACGTGATATTACATCATCGGTCCCCAGGTCCTGCACCTTAAGCTGCTTGATCTAACATTCTTCAATACCACATTTTCCAAAGGGATTCAATCAAGACCTTTCCACCTATTCGTGCTAAAATCAATTGTGAAATATCTCCAAAATGACCACCATTCCACTCCGCACGAGAGCATCAACGCTGCGTCTCCGCCTCCAACCCCCACGCCTAAGCTCGGTCACCCCCCGGAGTCTATCCACCCTAACAGCGGGATATCTCCAACAAAGAGGGCCCCAGACTAAATCCACTCTGGTACCTCACATTTACAAGACACCACGACAATTCGCCTTCCAAAACAAAACCATCCACCCCCGCCAATACAGCACGGCCCCCAAACCAACAGCAGACGCCCTCATCGAAGAACTCCAAGACCTGTACGAAATAGCCAAAGACGAATTTGAAATCGCAACCGAAAGCACAGACGGCGGTACAATATACGCAGCTTCAGACCGCGAGTCAGCCCGTGATGCCCTCAACGACTTCTGCGCTACCTATTTCCTGTATACGTCCCGCCCGGACGAGGAGGATACAGGTGTCGTTCTGCGTTCTGGGGAGGCAATGAGTGGGACAAGGCTCAGGAACGCGGAGGTTGTTACGCTTAGTGAAGGAGAGGAGCAAGGGCCTGTTGTTGACACGACTTTTGATCCTGCGAATGTAGAAGTTACTGTTAGGGAAGAGGTGAGGCGGAGGATTGGACAGCGGGTTCGGGAGTTGAGAAGTGCTGTTGAGCTTTTGGAGGAGAGGGCCCACGCGGAGTAATTCACTGGGCTTAATCTACGTATTTGCGAGACTGGCGATGCCTAGGTGGAATGTGTCGTGTACTTGTGCCGAGGTGGTTTGTATATGTATAAGATGAGAACTGTATGGATATCATTTACACGTTGTTTATCCGACTAGCCTTGTGAAGTGCCTTGCAAATTTGTCGTCATAGATCCATGCGCCTGATATGAGCACGTATTTGGATCAGAAATGCTCAGACCGCTCCTCGTGAAGCACCCTACGGATAATTTCGAAGCCGCTGGTGGGGAATCGCAGAGGGAATGAGGCTCTTTGAAAGCCTTTCGTGGTCCATATTCCGAGTGTAGCCATGGTCTTCCCTGTGCAAATAAGTCCTAGTATTCATGTCATTGATTACCTACCCAGATAGCTGTTCAATCAAACTAGATAATTAACTCGGTTACCCCTGGTGAACGGCGTAGCAAATCCTTCTCAAACCAAAAAAATTGTTTGCCTCCTGATTTTCCGCAAGCCCCCAGAATTCTTCAGCTTTTCTCCCTCTGCAGACTTGCTCCCCAGCTTCTCTTCTGCCAGTCACATCATTTGGTATGTACATGCATGTTGCCTTTCAGCTCTCACACCCTTTGACAGACTGCCTTTCGTATGTCCTCTTCTCACTATTCAGTGTAAAGCCGGAAGAGATGATTTCCGAACAGTATCCACTGCTGCAATCATAGATATGATCACAGTATCTGCCCAACCTCCACATATCATCCGCTTCCTTTTTAGCAAATCTATAGTGGTACTTGGAAGCATGATAGTAGTCAATCTTCTCCATCTTCTCTGCGATAACCCAAATACGCCTCAGGTCCTGATCCGACGATCTTTTTCTGAATCTGGAGCTCGCCACTGCAGGGACCTCCATATCAAGCTCAATGTTTGTATCGTTGTGCCGCATCTCGGTGGTTACCCCGGTGTTGAGGTAAGTCACGTTGACCCACTGGTTGTGTGGAACGATTGAAGAGAGATTGTACTCAGTGCACCAAAGCGTGTTACCCTGAGGCATTGCGACCATGTATGAGTGATTGTATGAATGACCGTACGAAGGACCCCAGTTCACCAAGTCACGCGCGGGGAGGGTTTCCAGCTTAGACTTTTTGTAGTGGATCGTCTCGACGGCGAGGCTCAGCATGAGTGCCGTTGCGCTGCCGAAGTAGGATATGAGACATGGGGGAGCTGTCCATCCGGAGCTGGAGGCTACGGCAGCGCATATAGCCCAGAAGCCTGCATATGCTACCTTGACGATATAGATCGAGGATGAAAAATATGTCGACGTCGTCATTTTCACAACTTTCCTCTATCCAAAGAAAACAGTGAATAGCCATATTAGTTCTCTACTCTGACGCAGCTTGAATAATTCATATTTAGCTAAGGGCTAACTCACATTGGGCGAAAGTCAAGATAGGACTGATGATACTACCTGCCATAAGTGAGATGAGAGACAGTATTTATATTTGTTGGAGACTTACGGCAGAGGAAGCGAGATGGCTGAGAATTTGGAATGACTGCACTTAGCGTTAGCCTACGCGAGCTGTGCCTCACTAGTCAGAGAAATACGGCGCTCAAGGATCAGTCTAGACACAAGTAGTGGTACGTATGACTTGGTATGGATATCCTATTACCGATTCAAGCTCTATACTGCGTGAGTTCCCCCACAGAACGAACGGCCGTGGAAAGGGATCGAAAAAAATTGCAGATGGCCAATACAAAACTACTTCCTCTCGAGTGGCCTACTGCTTCGCCATCCATGGATCATTATTAAACCCTGACAATCATTCTCCTCTTAGTCCTCCCCTGTCTTATCAAGCTTCCCTGTCAACCAGTCAGCATCTATGCCGAGGTATAGCCCGTAATGGGGCTATAAAGCACCCTGATATAATGATTGGGGACGATCAACTTGACCCTAGCTCAAGAGCCGACGTGTGGATACTTTTCAAATCTTGTCAAGCTTTTTTGAACCAGTGGGTCCTGAAGCTTACGTCCGCGATGGCGTATGCTGATCCATTCCAGATTTTATCAGGGCCTCCTGAGACTATAGTCTCTAGGGAATAGATCACTGCCATCAATAACCAAAACTAACCTTGTTCAAAATCAAAAGAGAAACAGGAATAATGGTGAATAGCCTTTCTACACAATGAATCGTCTGAATATACAAACACTAACACCTTTACCTGAAATAGCCAATCGACGAGCCCCTTGCCGCTATTACCTACACTGTGCTCCTCACAGGCGTGGTTGCTTATACGCGCACAGGCAGCCCCCAGCCATTCAACGAAAATTTCACGACAAACACAGCACTAGCAATCTCCATTTTCACCCTACTCAAAGGCACAATTAGGTACTCCCGCAATGGTTCGGCTTCTACTACCGCAGTTGGTCTTGGCCTCTCTTACATCTCGCTCTGCACACTAAGCTTTCTGCGCTTGCGCGGGGGCCAGTCTTATGGCGCTGAAATCGGCCTACTCGCTTGCCTCGCGGTAACCCTTACCCAGCTCCTATGGGATAGGGAAAGAGATTGGAATCCGGTTCCTGAGATGTATTCGGTTGCCATTTACGGGGTTGTGGTTTTTGCAAGTCAATTTGGTGTATGGCCGCCTGTGGCCATATTTCTTGGTCTTTTTAGCTTGGCTTTTTGTTTTGACCTACACAAATATCTGCACAGGGTGAATTAAGTCATATCTTGAAAGTCACAATGATGGCAGACCTGATAAGTATTACATTTTACCCAAAGTTCTCTGAGCTCCAGAGATGATACTTGTAGCCGATTAACTCACCTGGCTTCGGAAGGGGTTTCGGTGCCCACCTGGGTAAGTACACATCGATACAAGTGGTATGAATCTAGTTGATGCTAGGAGGCCGAAAGAAAACTAGTAGTTACGAGGTCTAGAATTCATTCAATAGATAAGTCCAGTTGTATGTAAGCAACAGCCGTCAGTGTACGCGGCAACGGTATAATTTGACTAGATAAAACAAATATCTCCAATCCATTTTATGTCCAGATGAAAGAAGTCTGGACGAGGAGAAGGTTTCCTCTCTTGGTTATCATTAAGCAAAAAAAGTCAAAAAACTCCATAGAGACCGTTAATCTGAAATCCCCATCTCAGTGAGCCATAATATGCCCGGCTACATATCGGGCCTTTTAATATCGGGGTCGTAAAGGTGGATCGATCAGGTAGGTAATTGACATGTAAATCGTAATGGTCGAATCCGGGAATCGGTAAATGAAGGGTACAAAGAAGAAAAACCATATTAAAGGGTTCGTTAGACCATGGCGAAGGGTGTGAGTGTGAAATGGTCGGGACTAGGGGAAGGAAGGGTCGAGCCGGGCTCTTTGTGGGTTGTGCGTTGGTGACGTTTTAATTGATCTATAATGTAAAATATTAGTATTTGATAAATAGAGTCCAAGAATACTATGGACACATACCGGGTCGAGTAAAGCTCTTGGTGCAGCCCGGGTAAGGACATTTGTGTTTGCGTTCACCGTGGGCTGGATTGTATTAGTATAATGGATTTCTTTGGAATAAGTGCTAGAAACATACTCAGTCTGTGACTGGACATATTTGATGAATCTCCAGTCTGAAAGTCGCATCCAGGGTAAGTGCATTTGAATGGCTTTTCGCCGGTGTGGGTGCGTGAGTGCGTTTCTATGATAATTAGCCATGTTCTGGGTGATTAGAACGAAATGACGTACTAAGTTCACTGCTATCGGTGAACATCTTTCCACAGTCTTTGCATTTGTATGGCTTGTCACCACGATGACTGCGCTCATGGCGGTCAAGGGTCGCCTGTCGAGCAAAAGACTTGCCGCAGACAGAGCACCTGAAATTCTTGTCTGGTGAAATGGAGAATGATAATTAGCAGTTGAAAATGAACGCAATAGAGATAATCCAAGACATACAGTTGCTGTGTGTCAGGAAGTGACCCTGCAGCTTAGATTTCTGTGAAAACGGCTCATCTGGACGATGACACCCAACCCAACAGCAGTAATATCCATTTCCCTTGGCTCCGTCAACTGTGTTCATATGGCTAGACACAAGATGTTCCTGAAGAGCGCCAGCATCAGTGAAAGTAGCCCCACATGGGGTATTCACTCCGTGTAGTTTTGTTGTCCATTTGCACATATGAATGTCATTTTCCTCGGAAAAGTCAGGAGTCGTTAAGACTGATGAGACACCTCCGTCCAGCGGTGGTGGAGTTTCTCCAGGACTTGAAACAAAGTGGGAACTGATACTGGACCGGGAATGCCGGGAGTAGGGAGAGTAAGAATGGACATGGGCGTGTTGGTGTCCTTTGCATCGATGATGGGAACGATGGGGCCCTCGGGTAATTTGAAGGTTCAGGTCATTAGGGTTTTTGAAGTGACCGTGGCCGTGGTTGTGTTCGTGTACGTAATGGTGTTCCGGATGAGCATGAAAGAAGTTAAGGGGGTCGGACGTATTGCATTTGGGAGATTGAAGGGGCGGGATTGTGTGATCGTGAACATGTTGGTCTTGCTGAATAGGAAAATCCGGACATGTTCCCAACAGATGGAAGACATCGGCTGGGTTGACATTTGTCTGCGTGGGCAGTTGTTGCACGGGGAAGATTCCTTGCAAATCCTTCTGGAAGTCATGGCACTCAAAATGATTGGCGACGCTTTGGTCGCAATGATTCGCGTGAGCCTGGTATGACGACAAGAAGTCTTGATGGTAGCAAGGATCTATGACAGCCGGAAGGGTATGTTCGGGAATCTTCCCGATTTCAGCAACGCCTTGGCCCATTGAGGCAGCTGGTAACATGCCAGTAGCATCCAACGACAGAGGAGTATTGAGACCGAAAAATGATTCGAATTCACAGTTCTGCTGCTCAACACCATCACAGCAATGATCCTCAAAGCAGACAGGGTCCGTGCTTTCGCAATGGTTCCCATCACAGTGAGTGTCGTCGCAATGGGCAACGGAACAGATGGTCGAGGCATCGCAGTCCACAAAGCCGCCACATACTGACCCACACTCTAGTGCGCAATCATCCTGGCAGTTATCTTGACAGTCATCCACATCACAGCAAGCCTCGTCAACCTCACAAGGACCAAGCGTTGTGTGGTGCTCCTGGTCCAAGCAGTCCCACTGGGACCGAGGCTGATCGCCCGATTTGGTCTCATCCTTTCCATCTATATGGAAGTCCTCCCAGCGACACTCTAGACAAAAGTCACGATTCTGGGATTGAGAAGCCATGATGCGCACGGTTCAGGGACGGGATATCCAGGAGAAGGGCAAGGGAGGGACGAGGAAGGCTGAAACGGGGCAAGGCCAGGGCCAGTTCTCGTCTCAGTAAGATACGAGGAAGAAAAATGGAGAAAAGATGGTAGAAGAACTAGGAGCGGGATGTGCGACCGCAAAGTGGGATATGGCTTGCGCCAGGTACAATAATTTCCGTAGCAGAAATCACGTAACCGGCCAAAGGTCTAAAGCCGCCACCTTAGAATCCACTATGGGGTCGCTAGAGCCCCAGAAGAGCGCAACAGAGTAATATTCACTCTGCAATGTCCACTGCAGGTGGTTTCACGCTTGTGTCATGCGCTAGGACCGCGGAAGTAGTTTGCAGACTCGGGGAGGATCAACGACGCAATCGGAAAATCGAAGAGCAATCATGCAGCGCACAATGGATTCAAGGCGTAGAACGAGGACCTTGGAGGTTGAGAAATAGCCGAATGTGTTGAAAAGGGGAGTCTAGCGTATTGTCCGTCGACTCGTAGCGCCGTGGGGACCTTTGGGACGACGAAGTGAGGATGAGGACCTTGGGGGTTAGGCGTCATAGTTTTCGAGCGAATTGCAACGCTGCAGTTGGTGAGCGGTCAACGGCGTTTATCTTGCCTAGTCGCGGACAAACGAGCAGACGCTCTTGGAATTCTTCCATCTGCGAGTGACGAAAGGAAAAGAATGGTTCTCTCTTTTTTCCTTCAGTCCCTTCATCCGATGACTAACCGGAGATCTCTAAGTTAACTAAATCTCTGGCCCCGCCGGTCTTTAAACTTTTAGAACGTTCCAACCGCTCTACCATAGCTGTGGTAACCTATAACAGATATCATATTAGTCGCATAATTCATGCGACACCATTCCAATCATTTTCATCTCGCTTTATACTAGCCACGAAGTATATAGATCCAAAGTTGCATTCTTTATGCTGACGTAACCCCACGTGCCCCGGATCGCCCGCGATAGCTTATCGTTCGCTCGACTAATGCACTGACCACCTCAAGTTCCAACAAAGACCAAGGGACCAGATCTATGAGTCCTGCAGACTTACCTGACTAGCTACAATTCTTCAATCAAACACACTTGACACCTACGTATCTCCAGATCTTAGTGTCGCCACCAATTAGGCCGCCAATTCCGTCCCCTGTGCAGAAACCCCTTTGGACACACCTCAACCCCCGCATCGGCATCAACATGGGTAATATATGTTCCCGCTCCTCGAACAACGACCAGGAAGCTTTCACGGGACCTGGTCGTGTTGTCGGAACCTCAAATCAATCGAACTCCGCACCACGCGCCTCCGTCCCCTCAAGCACAAACTGGAAGTCCTCACCGGGCCGTACGCTCGGCGAGACCTCGACCGGCGGGGCGCAAGGGGCTAGTGACGAAGCGCGGTCGAATGCTGCGATTGCGGCGCAGGTGAGAAGCTACTTCCTCTCTTCAATGGGAGTGAAACGTACAATCTAATATGTCTACTTTTGCAGAAACGCGCGGAATCCATGTCAGCCACGAATAAAGGGAAGCTCGGGTCAAAACTAGCGGCGCAGAAGGCGAAGACACAGACGCAGACGTTGGATCAGGCTAGTCGTGATGAGAGGGCGGCGCGGGATGTGGATGAGGTGGAGCAGGCGAGACAATGGTCCTGAATAAGGTTATCCTATGCTTCAGTCTGAGCGTTTGCGTCATGCATTGTCTTTCATTTTATATTTGTGCGTTTGATAGCGTTGCCGTTAGTGCCCATTCCCCGAGGGTACTAGTTCAATTAAACGGATGACCTGCGTCTGTATTCCGGGATTATTTTACACACTGTTCCACATGCTTATGTGATCTCTACTGGCGGGGAATAACACAATGCACTATTGATGCTTGATCTTATGCCTGCACATATGTCTTGCATGCATTAATGCTATTTCTCTCCATGGTATTTCCTTAACCCCAATTATCGTACAACCACATGTCATGCAGTACATGTCGAAAACATGAAAAATCATAAAAGGTTCGCCAATTCAAGTGTATAGGTGGAGCTTAGACAACACTGTAACGACCACTGGCGGGAGCACGAGCATCACTGTCAGCGGCGGCGATGGTACCCTCCTTCAACAAGCGCATAAGCTCGCGCATGGCGTTGGTGACAGTAATTTCGGTTTCGCCCTCAACCAGGATGTACAGCTTAGGCGCATCCTCGGAGGCAGGTTCCTTGCCAGCTGCATAGAAATTTCCCTTCGTAGTGATGGATGTGCCGGTGGATTCGAGGATCTTGGCGACGTTTGTGCGATTGGTGACAGCCCAACGAGCTTTCTCTGTAGAAAATTGTTAATGAATACCGTCGCCGTGTAAGAAGAACGCAGAAAGGAAACTTACGGGGGAAATCGTTGATCTCGAGGGTGGCATGGAACGCGCCAGCGTCTGGTCCACGATTATCGATGGGAACACCAGATCTCATCACACCAGCTCGGCTCAAACGAGCATGGATATCAGCAACGGCAGAGCCAACCTTATCAAGTGGGTTCTTTGAGCCGCCCGCCGGGTCTTTCTCTGTCCTGTGCACTGTGATTTTACCATCCAAATCAATGCCTTTAGGCACCCCAACAAGCTGAGTAGGAGCAGGAGCAGCAGCAGATTGTACAGATGAAAGGGCCTTGTTGAAGCGCTCGTCATCCTTGGCATTCTTCTCCTCCTTCTCTTCCTCTTCTTCGCCCTCTTCACCGGTTTTGTAGGTGCGACGCTCGCGATTGCGCGCCGTCTCACGCTCCTGGTCAAGCCGTTCGAGACCCTTGCCACCAAATCCAGAGGCCATGGCCTTTTCTTTACCAGCCTTGACCTTTTCCAGGAAACCATCGACTAGCTTTTGAACGGGCTCGGGGATCTCCTGGCCACTCTGCTTGAGCGCCTTGGCAATATCTACAGAGTACCGATCTTGCTCTTCAGTGAGGAAAGTGACAGCGGTACCGGTGTTTCCAGCACGACCTGTTCGACCAGCACGGTGGACATAGTCCTCCAAATGATTGGGTGCGTCGTAGTTGACAACGAGTTTGAGCTGCTTCACGTCCAAACCACGGGCGGCAACGGACGTAGCAACCAAGACTGGGAAGATACCGGCCTTAAAATCTTCGATAGTAGAGTCACGATCAATCTGATCCTTTCCACCGTGGATGGACATACACGGGTAACCCTTGCGCATGAGCTCTTTGAGTAGGTTATCAGCGGATTCCTGACGGTCCACGAAGATCAACGCCCGCGCGTCCTCATTTGCATCATCCTCGTACAGATTACCCAGTAACTCCAAGAGGCGGAAGAACTTCTGGTCCTCGTTACGGACCTCAACGATCTGTGTAATTTCAGGAGCGACAACACTCTTACCACCAACCACAATCTCGACCGGCTTTTTCAAAGTTTTCCGGGCTAAAGCTTCCATATTTCGAGGGAAGGTGGCGGAGAAGAGGACTGTCTGACGATCCGGTCTTACGTTGGCCATGATCTTCATAACCTGGGGTTCAAAGCCCATATCGAACATGCGATCGGCTTCATCAAGAACAACGTAGGTGACTCGTCGCAAATTGATCACTCGGCCTGCATTTGCCGCTAGCAAATCGATCATGCGACCTGGGGTGCATACAACAATCTCTGCTCCCCGCTTCAAGTCCGCGATTTGGTCTTTGATTGGAGCACCGCCATAAGCGCATACTGCACGAAGACCTAACGCTTTCAAAAAGGGTTTGCAGTCTTTGTGAATCTGTGTCGCCAATTCACGGGTCGGTGTCATGATCAGGCTGATCGGACCCTCCATATTTTCAAGAGGCCGTTGATCTTTGATGTGTCGGAACATTGGGATGAGGAAAGCCATTGTCTTTCCCGAGCCAGTCTTAGCAACACCAATCACATCACGACCAGCCATTACTGAAGGGATGGCCTGGGCTTGAATTGAAGTAAGGGATTCGTAACCAAGTCGTTCAACAACGTCAAGAGTTTGTACGCCTAGTCCGACCTCAGCCCATTTCTGTACGGGCTTTGGAATGTCGAGACCACGGACTTTGATACCGTCGAGTTCCAGACGCAGATTTGCGGTTTCCTCCTCGCTCATTTCCGCAAGATGCGCTGGCTCGTGATAAAACATCTTTCGGAATGGTTCGTACTCGACTTTCGCGTGATCAACTGCGGGAATTTCCTTCTTCTTCTTCTTGTTGGCAATGGCGAGAACATCATCGGCATCATCATCTCCGACGGCAGTGATAGATACGTCCTCTTCATCACCGAACATGGCCTGGGGTTGTTGTGCCTCCTTCTTCTTGGAGAATGTGGCGCCCAACGTCTTCTTCGGTGGTGCTGTTTCCGCTAGTCCAGACATGAATGCATCTAGGGGATCGATTTCCTCATCCACTTCCATTTCAACTTCGGCTTCCTGGTTTGATGCATCTGTCATCTGAATATCACCACCGTTTGTTTGCGAGTCGGTTTGTCCATCGCTCTCCGACTGAATCACATTCTGAAGTCGCTCTTCCCGGCGTTCTGCTGCTGCTCGCGCGGTGGCTTCGGCGTCCTCCTCGGCCCCATCCTCGTGCATATCCACATCGTCATCTCCGGCATCATCTGCTGCATTATCTTTGCCATCGTCAAGAGGTGGCGTAGGAAGCCTCTCAAACTTCTTACGCGTGGACTCCTCCTCACCAAATCCAAGTGTGCGGGTTGCTGTAGATTTCTCCTTGTCAGAGGCTGTCTTGGCTCCTCCCAGTCCAAAGCCACCCACATTGCCTATTGGTTTGACGGATGCAGACGCGGAGGTGGAGATAGTTGAGGGTTTCGTAGGAGCTTTCGTAATTTGAGGTACAGCCACATCGTTCCCAAGAACAGCGGGCGATGCAGCAGAAGCTGCGACGTTCTTTGCGATAGCTTTAGGGTCGAACTTTCCGGGGTATGGGGTTGTTGCCGCGGATTCGGTGGGCGTCGCGGGTGTCAGGGGTGAGGCAACGGCTGGCGAAGCACCGGATTTCCGGTCAATTGCATCTAAAATGTTCCGAGGACCAGCCGCGGCCTGTTCTTGTTCCTTGCGTTCACGCTCCGCCGCTTGCTTCTCTTTCCATGCTGCCAGCTTGGCAAGTCTCTCGGCTCGCTTCTGTTCGTCCGTCTGAACTGCAGGCGCAGGCGCGGGTGCGGGAGTGGATTGTTTGGATGGCTCGCGGGTTCGAGACCTCGACTGCCGATTCGACCCACGGTCTCGGCTATCCTCCCGTCTAGACTTCGGTTTCAGGTCAGCAGAATCATCCGTGCGCCTGCGATCGCGGTCGCGTGAATCATCTCGCCTGGGTCGGTAATCTCTATCGCGGCTTCTCCGGCGAAAATCATCTCGCTCTCTAGACCGTCGGCGGTCCCGAGATCGTTCTCTGCGATTAGGTCGGTAGGTGTCTTCATCGCGGCGGTCTAGGGAACGGTCACGTCGTCGGTAGCTGGCTCTGTCGCGCCCGTGATCGCGACCACGGTATCGGCGCTGGAGGGGTGTAATCTGATTAGACGAAGCTCTCAATACGCTGGACTGAGGGCGTTTGCCACGTACCTCTGGACTGCGGGATCGGCGATAGCTGCGTCCCTCATCCCGTCGGCTTCGATCAAAGCGGTCATCATCTCTGCGAGCCCGCTTAGATGAAGAGTGTGTGCTGCCTACAGGAGATGGTGAGCGAGTATCCCCGTGGCGAGCCATTGTTGCAGGCCAACGATAAGTGAGTATTACTGAAACTCGAGAGCACCAGGATTTGAGCACCAAGAGCAATATCACCAGATTCCCATGAAGTGCTCACTGATCAGGTCAGTCAGCTATTCTTGAACTTAGTAAAAGGTGGATCCGAATATATAAAACGCCAATGTTGATGCTATTTTCGCTATCCGGATGGGGGATCATTGTCATGTGATTAGCACGTGACAGTCTAAACCTAAAACGGAAGGTTCTAAACTGAAGCTCGGACGCGACCCTAACAACCAGCCACCGCTTGCGTCAGGAGCCCCTTCACACTCATTTGCTTTTCATTGTCATTCGATTGTGCAGCATTGGTGATCAATTTGCACCCAACTGCATATCTATTCAGACAAGAATTGAAGCTTCTTACACACTCATGTCTTTGCAGTGGGTCAGTCGCGCAGGTGTGCTTCGGCACCTGCACCTCGGTGATGCGATGGCTCGCCCTAGTCGTGTGACCGGATTACAGAATCAACTCCGTCGTCTATGTCTCTCCAGCCAATCCAGGTTGACTCCGCAGGTCGGAGCTCTATCTACCATTATATCCCAACAGTCTCACTCATATGCGACTGACGCCTCTCGCCCTAAGCCCAAGAAATCCACCAAGGCCACCGATGGCACGCGCAAGAAGAGCACAACACCAAAAAAGAAGCGCGAATTGACAGAAAAACAGAAGGAGGCCAAGGAGAAGAAGAAACAACGGGATCACATCAAACAACTCAAGGAAACCGCCCTGGAACCCCCGAAGAAGCTCATCGCCGCTGGCAACCGTCTTGCTTTCCAATCGAAGTTTTCCGAGCTCCGGCCTCAGTACTCGACCATTAAGGAGGCATTTGGAGCTGCGTCTACGGCTGTCAAGGAGATGGCTGCCAATGAAACCGAGGTAAGTTTCCTGCGCGCAGCTCTCCTTGTAAATTGCTCCGGCGTTCTGACCCACGTTAGCGATTCCAAAACCAAGCCGAGGAGAACCGTGTTGCCAACGAGGCCTCTCTAGCTTCGTGGCTCAAGCAGTACACCCCCCTTCAGATCAAAGAAGCGAACAGTGCCCGTCGATCGCTGGCCAGACTTACCGGCAAGCCCGCTCGCCCCATCGTCGATGATCGTCTGGTGAAGCGGCCTATGACTGCCTTTTTCTGGTTCATGAGTGAGCGCAAAGCGTCCGGTGATCTTAAGTACATGCAGGCGTCCGAAGTCGCGAAGCAGATTGCGCAGGAGTGGAAGGACATGACTGAGACGGAGAAAGCGGTATTTTACTCCACCCCCAATGGATTCTCGAGATCAATACTGACAGCCATTCAGCAATACCAGAAGATGCAGGCCAATGACCAGGAGCGGTACATTCGGGAGCACAACGAGGTATACGGCGTGGAGCCTAAGCGCACCAAGCAGGCTTAAGCGCGCGCACAATCTTCTGTACTATTGGCAGTGAGGGTGACGGTGTTTTCAGAAACGGGTTTCCGGGGTCGGAAAAAGGGATTTGATTTTCGAATATGGTGTCGCGTTTTCACATTCTCCCACGAGTCGCTTGATTCCCTTTCCTTTGTCGATGTATTGTAGTCAGCTTTGTACTTGTCTAATGTCACACATGTCTACCTTGGAATATTTATGTCTCCCCTGTGATCTTCAGGTCCGATCTTTATTTTTCACATTTTTATTTTATTTTGATCTATCGTGTGGTCCCCGTATGAGTTGCAGAAGCTCCGAATCCTGCATACCGAGTGTCAATCGCCCGCAGCGGAGCACCCCCGCACCGAGTCTCTCAAAGTGGCGGTGAGTAAAGCGATGTGTCTGGCGTGCAGAGCAGCCCAAGCCGGTCCTTTTCCCTCTGCAGGGTTGTGGCGAATTGTAAGAAATGCTTCCCTTTCTGATTTCCAGTGTAGGGGATGGAAGAAGGGGTTAAGTAAGGTATATAGGAATTAAGCATGATGAGTACAGTGCTCTATAGAGCACAGCTTTCTCCGCACTCGTCCCTGCATGTATCCAACCGCCAGCAATCCTTAGTCATGTACATGAGCTCTTGTACAATTGTTTGTTTATGGTCTGCAGACGGGCTTACCCGCAATCTAGTCGGGCATCCACGGTTGAAGCTAGTCCGATCCACGGATGAGGGGTCCACGTTCCGGTTAACATGTTTCTTGCGGTGAACATCCAGAAATAAGGATCAAACTCATCATGACAATAGGTGGAAAGTAGATTTAGGAAGAGACCTATAAGAGCTTGATATCGAGAGATCACTATGATATCCCCTGCTTGTGGTTGGGGCAGGGGCCTCCCTACTTGTTTCATTCGGGCTGATGGAGGGGGACTCTTGTTATCGATAGGCGGGCCAGCGCTGCATCATGTACGTTGCGCATATCAGCGTGTCTGTGCGACGCCCTCGATGCCGAGTGTATTGTACATTGAAAAATTAGGAGGCATCTGAAGACTTTTTCTCAGGTGTCGAGATTGTAGGAATATATGGGGAATTGGTGATTGTTCATCCCAGCCTTCGCTTTTCTTTTCTTTTCCATTTTTCACTTTAGCCTATTTCGGCTCGGGTTGAACTCATCCCCAGGCGTTCGTCTTTGCCAATTTGACTGAGATTGAGTGTTGATGAATCTCCATGACAATTGAGGAAAAAAGCGTCGTTGACTGAGAGCGACTGTTTTGAATAGAAGAAGCAAAACCCAAATAAGGTGATCGTACGAGTGTGATGAAAAGAGACAATTGTATGTGATGATCACCCACCGCCCCAACTCTACTTCTCCATCCCTGCCTGATCCTTTTTTCGCCCTCGAAACTTTATCTGATTCTTCTCCCAGAATCCTTCCTGAATTCATTCTTCCCTTGATTCCCCAGAATCACAAGCGCAGTGCTCGACTCGATCCATAATCTCGTTATCATCTATCAGTACGACGCTATCCGAGTCTAGCATCGAGCACCGAAATCGCGCCGGTCGTGCAGGGTGGCTATTGTGTCCTTTTGTTTGTCCTACGAAATCACCGACCCGAAAACCCTCGAATCCTCCCTCCATACCCCTCAGGGACCCGATCTCGTCTATCGGCCCAACCTTGACTCATCCCGACGCCCGCGCGGGAATTGTCACCAATAAACCAGACACCCACCTCATGTGTTCTCACCCAGTCGCCAAGGAGGGCCTAAGACACTAAGTGTCCTGGTATCGCGAACAATATTAATAATTTCGCATGCGATATTCATACCATGGCGGCTGTCGCGAGCGCTCGCTACAATGAATGCGCCGGCATGGTGCCAGGAGTACAGCAGGAATGCTGGAAACTGGCGGTGAACACACTACTGGGTGACGTGTGGGCGACACTTATTATGGGAAATAAGACGGCCTTGTGTCGGGATAAGAAGATGGACAATCAGCCGGGCGTTATTACGGAACTGGCTTTCACGTCTCCCGCCCCGCCCTCGTACACTCAACCGCCGCCGCCTTATGAAGATGCCGTCAACGATTTACCGCCAGAATATGAGACTTTGGAGGCGCTTGCGGAGCGGAAAACAGGTGTGCTACCGGTGGCGCTTCCGTTGCTAGCTGAAAAGGCCAAATCAAAGTCAATGGACCAATCCTCTGTATTGAAAGATCGCAGGAGGGACATTGATATTGATTTTGAGAGCACGGTGGGCATTCGGGAACATAAGAAAAAGAAGGGTGGAGCAAATAAGAAGCCCATAGCTTCTACGCCGGCGGCAAATGCTGGTGGCTCGGACGGGGCAGAAGAACCGTCGAATGGGGATGGTGGTGGCGATGCGGGTGGAAGTGGAGGTGGAGATGCAGGTGCCGGAGGAGGCGATGGGGGCGATGGGGGTGACGATAGCTGGGGAGATGGCTGGGCTACAGCCGGGTCTAAAAAGAAGAGTAAGAAGGAAGAGGAGGAGGAAGAGGCAGAACGACTAGCAAAAGAAGAAGAGGAACGGAAGGCTGCCGAAGCGTCTGCTGCGAACAATCTCAGCTGGGCTGATGATGGGGATGCGGGCGACGATGCTTGGGCTGGCGTTGGAAAGAAAAAGGGCAAGGTATGGCACTGGTTACCGGCTAATATGATATGGCATTTTCTAACATGCACTACAGAAAGATGCACCGGTAGACGATTTTCAGGATATCGGCCTGAACGATGGTGCGCCACAATTGGACTTGAACTTCGATACAGGGCCAAAAACTGGCGGGACTGGGTTTGGCTTTGGTGGTTGGGGTAAATCCTGGAATACTGGCGGTTCAGACAACAAGATGGGACTTGGGGCCATTGGTGAGTCTGCTCCAAAGGAAAATTCCAAAGATACGAACCCCTGGTCAACCGGGAAGAGCAAAACCCCTGGGGGGTTTGATTTTGGTGATTTGGGATCTACCGCGAAAGATTCCAAGCCAGATGACGACTGGGGTGCCTGGGATGCCCCTAAGGATAAGAAAAAAAGAGCTTGCTTGATCCTGAACCCGAACCGGAGCCCGAACCCGAACCAGAGCCCGAGCCAGAGGAACCAGAACCGGAGCCTATCAAAGACATCACCCAGGAGGCTTGGTACCTTAATCTTTCCAAGAAGGAACAACGCAAGGCAAAGAAGGAACATGAAAAGAAGGTAAAAGATGCTCAGGCTGAGGCGGATGCTAGAGCCAAGGCAAAAGAGGAAGCCAAGGCCGCTAAGGAAGAGCAGGAACGCTTAGCGAAGGAAGAGGAAGAAAAGAAGGCACAGGAGGAAGCAGATAGGCAGGCCAAAGAGGAGGAAGAAGCCAAGAAAGCCCAGGAAGAATCTAATGACTGGGGTTGGAATGTCCCATCCAAAAAGGACAAGAAAAAAAAGATTGATCTTCTGGCCGACCCCTTACCCGCACCTGATCCTCCAACAGACAGTGGCTGGATGGGTGATTGGGGAACAGCGGGGAAGAAGAAAAAGCCCAAGGATCCAGAGCCGGCCCCGGAACCTAAAGAAGACGACTGGCCTAGCTGGGGTGCTGCAACGACCAAGGACAAGAAGAGTAAGGGCAAAGTCGAACCGGAGCCTGAACCCGTACCTGAGCCTGAACCCGAACCCGAGCCTGAACCGGAGCCTGAGCCTGAACCTGAACTAAAGCGAGAGCCTCTTGATCCTCTTTATGAAGACTGGCACACTATAAGTTCGAAGGAGCGAAAGAAGCGAGAGAAGCAGCTCACACGAAAAGGACTCCCTATCCCTGGAAAAGACGGCTTTGAGCTTCCCTCTGATAAGTTGCCTGAACCTGAACCTGAGCCCGAGCCCGAGCCCGAGCCTCCTGTCGAAGCTGAACCAGAACCGGAGCCTGAGCCGGAGCCTGAACCTGAGCCTGAGCCTGAACCTGACCCCGAGCCAGTGAAAGTAGTGGAAGAGGAGAGTTGGGGAGGAGCCTGGGGCGTTACTAAGACCAAGAAGAAAAAGAAGGGCAAAGATATTGAAGAACCGCCACCTCGCGCTCCTACTCCTCCTCCTCAGGGCCTAACACCAGAACCAGAAGCTTTCAATGAAGGCAATGATGATATCTGGGCAGATCTTGCCCCCAAGAGCTCAAAGAGCAAGAAGACGAAAGCTATTGAGCCACCTAAGGAAGAAAAGCCTGCGGCCAAGGGCTTTTGGGCAACGATTACGGGAGGATCAGCACCAAAGAAATCCACCAAGAAAGACGAACCTTCTAAGGAAGAAGATCTTCTAATCGACGTTGAAGATGATCCCCCTGCTGAACCCGAACCTGTGCTCGAGCCAGAACCCGAGCCGGAACCAGAGCCGGAGCCTGAACCAGTGAAGTCAAAGGCTAAGAGCACCGCTAAATTATCCGTTGCTGAGCGTATTAAGCAACTGGAACAGGCTAAAAAGGACAAGGTGAAGGAGAGCTCTAAGTCAAAATCTAAAGAGAAGAAGCTTAATCCCGAACCGGAGCCAGAACCTCCCGCTGAGGAGCCAGTGAAGAGCTCTAGGTCCAAGAAGGATCCAGAGGCAGAAGAAGATAGACAGCATTCTAGAGACTCAGTTCCAGGTAGTTTCCCTGATGAGCCTCCTGCTGAGCCAGAGCCTGAACCTGAACCTGAACCAGAGCCGGAGCCAGAGCCAGAGCCAGAACCCGAGCCTCCAGCTCCCGATCTTTCAAAAATGTCAAAAAAGGAACTGAAGAAATACAAGAAAGCTCAAGCTGCAGCCGAAGCCGCCAAGGAATTTGCTCCGCCCCCACCCCCAGACCCGGAACCCCCGGCCCCGGAGCCCGAGGCTGAACCAGGAACTGAGGCTGAGGCTGAGGCTGAGCCAGCTGCAGAAGTTGATGACGGGGCTCCTCCGACACCACCCCCTGAAGAACCAGAGGAAAAGCCTTTCAAGTCCTCTAAGAAAGATCGTCCACGCGCTGAACGCACTAATACATCCTCTGGCTGGGGTTTCTGGGGTGCGGCGACACCAGCCAAAAAATCTAGCAAAAAGGAGCCAAAACCTCTAAAAGAGCCAGAACCCGAGCCTGAGCCAGAGCCTGAGCCAGAACCTGAGCTGGAGGCTGAGCCGGAAGCTGCACCAGAGCCAGCGCCGGAGCCTGAGCCAGAACCAGCGGAAGCAGAGGCTCCAGAGGAAGAAGCACCCAAGGAACCCCCAAGGGAGAAGAAAAGATCCTCCAAGGAAAAGGATTCCAGAAGAAAGGAAAGCACTCAAGCGGAACGGTCAAAGCCGACAAAATCTCGACCAAAGGAGCCTGAGTCTCGACCGAAGGAGTCTGATCAAGAGATTGAAAAGTCCTCGACTTCAGACCGAGAGAAGCGACGAGAACGCGAGGCGCGCACCCCGAAGCAGCAACGTGCCTCGGCACTATCCAACTTTATCCTTGGTGCTCCTCCAGCCGCGCGAACTAAATCAATGCGTAAGACAGGGACGTCGAAATCAGCTTCGAGGCCTGTGTCACGAAGACCATCTGTTGACATGGATGGCGAGGGTACCATGCCGTCCCCACCCCCGGATGATAAGCCTGAGATGCCCGATAAGGCAGCCAAACTGATGGGTACATCTAAATCAAGGCGTGAACGCCCGCGCATGGAGAAACGAAGATCAGGTGAATATTCATGAGCCCTCTAATATGTCATAATCTAATCACTGTATTTCCAGCTCCTCGGGATCCCTATGCTATCGAAGACGATGACTTAGTCATGGTCGACGCAGAAGACGCTGGCGGCCAATCGCCCAAGGAGGGCTCCAAGGGATCTGCACCATCAAAGCGTAGATCCAGAAGAGAGGTTAGTAAAATCTCGTCCACCTTATTCACTCCTCGCTAAACCTCATTCCCAAATAGTCGCGAGCAAGGCCGGAGGAGGACGATGCTGTCATGGTGGATGCGGATGGGCCCGATGACGCCGTACTTGTCGATTCCCCAAGAGACCCCAGGGAACGACGCTTGAAGCGTGCTAACACAGCTCCACCAAAGAAGCAAGAGTCCGGCGGCTTAATGGGCCTATTTGGCTCTTTCAGAAAGAACACTACTCGCCCAGAACGTCCAGAACGTCCGGAGCGCCCAGAAATGCCAGACCGACGAAGATCCCGCTCATACCGCGACGAAGAAGCAAGAAATATGACTGAGCCAGAACGCGAAGATCGACGAGCACGACGTGATGATCGTCGCCGGCGATCTGTCAGACCTGACACAGATGTAGAAGGATTCACCACCGATGCTGCTGGTGCAGCGATGGGCGAAACGGAAGCCGAAGACGCCGAAGCTCGTAGAGCCGCCCGACGAGCGAAGCGCACATCTCGACAAGCTCCTTCTGATACACGCGAATTGGAAGCACGGGAAGCCGAGGAAAGACGGGCCAGACGTAAAGAAAAGGACAGATTACGCGAGCAACAGGCTAAAGAAGAAGAGGAAGAGCGTCGTCGCGTCCGTCGTGCTGCACGAGAGGAGCGACGTGCCCGAGAAGAACAAGAAGCCCGCGAAGCCGAAGCTGCTGCTGAAGCCAAAGCCGCAGAGCGACGCGAACGCCGCCGTTTACGCGAAGAGGAAATGGCGGCAAAGGCTAAACGCCGCCGTTCCCGCGCTGAAGAACCACCGGCCCAAAACATCTACCCACCCGAAGAACGACGTCGCGGCTCCCGCACAGCGGATGACTCAAAGTCTCGTCGTAGACCCAGGCCTATCATCCCAGACGCACCCGAGGAAGATCCTGTCATGACTGGCGGACTCAACCACGGCGCGCCAAAGAAAGACAAGACATCGTCATGGGTCTACTCTCAAGCTGATGAACCCCCTGAGCCTCCACAGATCGTCCCGACCTTTATCGATATGCCTCCAGCTGCAGCTGCAGCCGCAGAGAACCTTAACGCGCACTCTCTTTCTTCAGACGAGGAAGCTCGTCGTGCTGTCCGTCGTCGTGCTCGCCGCCGTGCTAAATACGGTGAAACGGCCGACGAAGAGAACGAGGACAACCGTTCCCGCCGTCAGCCTTCACGCCGGGACCCTAAGAGCAGCTCTGGAAGTGGCGATTACGAGCGTGATCGTGGTATGAGGTCCCATGGAAGTCGACAAGGTGCCCCTGCACCTCCTAGCTCGGGAGCGAAGAAGTCAAGCTGGTTGCGCAAACTTGCAAATTTCTAAACCGACATTGTGTTTTCTATTTGGTGGTTCTTTTTGACCTTTGCTTTTTCCCCCCTTGTTTGAATATGGATGGAGCAGGTGGCATGTATTTTGGTAATTTGGTTTGCTTATTGATTATTCCCCCAAATCTGCTCTACTTCAGCGTAGGCAGGCCCCTCACGACAGATACGAAATGATTTTATGATATGATATATACTCAAATGATTTATTGACTTGTCTCTCCCCTTTTCTCGAGATTTGTCCTACTCTGTGTCTCTAGGCATGTAATTGAACTAGATCTTCCAGCTGTACCTAATCATATGCAAGGAACATAGGTAGGTCACTGAAAAAAATGCTTGAATTTTGCGAATGATAGGGACATCTACTTTTCAGACACAACTCTGAAGTCCTTTGACATATGAATATGAATACCACCCGGAGGAGCCCCATTAGACGCTAAATCGGTATCTGACCGCCCATCACCATCATCGCTCCATCTAGTCCCCTTGACACTCGAGCTATGTTTTGTATGCCCCGAGGTGACCTCGCTGTTATTAACACCCAAATCCATTCGAGTCATGGCAAAGTGATTAGAAAAGCTCTTTCGACCAAGTGTCTGTCTATTTGACCAGCCTGACCCGTAATTCGATGATCCAATCCAGCTCCCAGGGATCGCGGCAGAGAACACACGGCGGAGGAGAGGCAAGTTACTCGCGACGATAGCGAGTTGTTCCTCGACGATACTCCACATCAGCGGGAGAGGGAGGGAGTATGTGACATCTGCGAAGTCAATGCGCATCAAGCTCACAACGCGGACCATACTAATTGCACTGACACTATGGACTGTCAATTGTGCTTGGAAGAATATATGGAGGAGGGGCGATAACGTACAAGAGTCCAAGCAAAAAAGTCACGAGCAAACCAATTTTCCTACCAATCGGTAGCTGCAGCTTCAAGATGTACGGAATTGGTAGCGACATTACCATGAAGTCGGTGACCATGTTTAGCACACCGGCTACAACGAAAGCCGCATTTCGATTTCCGCACTTCCCACCGGGTATTGTCTGGTTCCAATTGAAAGCAACAGGCTGGCAGAGGAGAAGTGACTCAATAACAATACTGAAGGCCCAAGCCCAGACGATCGCGCCGGTTGAGTAGATCGCAATTCGCATACTCTTCTTCGTGCCGAAGAGCTTGTAGTATAGGATCATGATCGAGGTTTTGACAATGGCGAGACCAACGCCGTATAGTGCTTGGCAAGGTATAATCATCTAATTATGCAGGGTCAGTATTGCCTTCGACAAGACAAAAGTCTGGTGTACTGACCTTCAATACGAATTCTTGATCTGTTGGGGCGATGTATTTTGCGTGTCGTCCAACTCCTCCTTCTGTGACGGCTAGCAGCAAATCATCAATTAGAATGTCGATTTCTCATGAACGGTGGGTCATACTCAATATCACGATCACAGTCGACACAATCACGAAGCACTTTGTCACAGGTTAGTCGATTGTAGCCTTAGAAGCAGGCGTCAAACGTACAGTCGCTAGTATCATGAGAATATCATCCCATCCCAGGTTAACACCTCTCATCCGCCTCGAAACAAGCCGTAGAATAGTGGACAAGATGGCCAAAAAGCCTGAGACCACCATCACAATGACAATGGCCCTGCCATCTTCGGCACTCAATCCATAATTGCCCATCTTGTGTATCTCCAGCCCACAGGCGTGATTGAGCCAGGCTCGCGTGTCACAGGCGAGGCATTGTGATTAAAGTAAGCCCATGGGGGCGGTAAATTCATAAAATAAGGTGTTTGATGGTTTCTCATCCGCCATCGGCCCCCGGTAAAGTAGAATTCACGATCACTCGAACGTCTCCACAGCGGGAACTCCCCAGAGTTCTGGCTCGTATTGAGGCAGAGTGGGTCAGGAACCATACCGCTTGGAGTCGTTGGGGTCGCGCCCCATTTGGGGGTCTGTGCCAGCGCAGAGAACATCTCTTTTGTCTTCCGTGATAATCTTTGGCTGCACGAAGTAGATCCGCCACCATGTTGGAAGGGCTCCATGGAAAATGGAGGATTGGATGTCAAATGCAAGATTGCATGAACTAGAGTCTCATTTGACAGTTCATGCTGACAGCCGACTTCGGACACAATGTCCGGTGTTTCACTAACCATTAGAACGGCGTTAGAAGCTTGTCCGAGCGCAAATCCTGCGGATACCCATTGGACAAATGAATTTCACGTACTCCTATTTCAATGTTAGCTCTGCTTTGTTCCGAAGCTCCGGCATAAATCTACGGTTTGTCTCCGAGTGCAGTGGGTTATGTCCGTTAGGCTCATATCGGTGAGAAGTTTAGGAGGCTAAGATTCATGTCCTCGTAGGCATAAGGGGTTAGCTGATCCGCGGCATAAAACTGATGCCCCTCATTTAACCCCACGGTTCTGTCTTTCTTCCTTTCAATGGTTGTTTTTGTTTTCATTTCTGGTCAATTGAAAGAATCATAACCTCAATATGCCATCATTCGATACCGAGTCCTCTGCTGGGCTCCAGGATGCTGAATTTGATTTTATCATTGTCGGCGGCGGCACTGCAGGTCTAGTTGTCGCCAACAGACTATCGGAAAATCCCAATATTCGCGTTCTGGTGCTGGAAGCAGGAACAAATCGTATCGGCGACCCTCGAATCACTGTCCCTGGTCTGGGACTCACGGCTTTCGAAGATCCGGATTTTGATTGGAACTTCCGTTCCATCCCTCAGGTATGATGTTCAATAAATTACGGGAAAAGTCCGACATTGACATTCAGGTAGGAACAACTGAATGGTCGCAAGCTCATTGGGAGCAGGGGCCGCACTCTTGGTGGGTCCTCCACTATCAACCTGGGCATGATCATCTACCCATCGCGTACCGGATTAGACGCATGGGAGTCATTGGGAAATCCCGGCTGGGGCTGGGATGGACTGTCCCCGTACATCCGGAAATTTCAAAAAACTACACCTCCGTCTGAAGCTGCAAGGGAGGTCTTCCCGGAAATACAGTACGATCAGAAAGATCAGGGAAGTGAGGGTCCTGTGCAGGTTTCCTACCCAGACCAGTGGATGCCGTACCACTCTGCGTGGATGGAAAGTTTCAAAGGATTAGGTTATCCACATGTCGAAGATCCGATTGCTGGGGCTGGCACTGGTCCTTTTGTTGCCCCCGGTGCGGTGGACCCGGTCACACATACCAGAAGCCATTCTGCAGCCGCGTATCTAGGACATGACGTGCAAGCTCGGGCAAACCTTAGAGTTGTCACCGGTGCACTTGTAGAGAAGGTTTTGCTGGAAAACGGAAGCCAAGGCTTTGTTGCGACAGGCGTGCAGCTCAGCAAGGATTTGAAGACATTCACAATTAAAGCCAATAAGGAGGTTATCCTTGCTGCTGGTACAATCCAAAGCCCCCAGATCCTAGAGCTTTCTGGTATTGGAGATGCGAAGACTCTTCAATCTCACGGGATTACGACTGTAATCGACAACCCCAGCGTTGGCGAGAACCTTCAAGACCATGGGCTCGTCTCATTCGGATACGAAGTGGCGGACGGTATGCCATCTGGAGACATGGTCAGAGAGCCTGCAGTCGCAGCAGCCGCAATGGCCGCATATCAGAAGGATGGCTCAGGCCCACTGGGCTGTCTTCCATTCGTCTCGGCATTCATGCCATGTGTAGACTTTCCCCAAGATGAGCGCGCCCAGTTAATGCAAAGAATCCAAGCTTGCATCGATGACCCCAATACCTCCCGAGCACACCAGAAGCAATTCGAAGCAATCCATCGAATCATGCAAAATCCTGACGACTCAACCGCGCAGTATGTCATGGCACCTTTCCAGCTCTTACCGAAGGAGGGAGACAACCCCAAGCGAATTTTCGGAATGGGACACCCCGGACTTTTCGTCAGTATTGTCTCACTGTTGAGTTATCCCCTCTCGCGTGGATCAGTGCACATTCAGTCTGCCGATCCGATGGTCGCACCACTTATTGATCATGCTATCCTCCGTCACCCGATTGATCAGGAAATGCACGCTCGTCATAGTATGTGGATGGACAATAAGATTGCTGAGACGGAGCCTTTTGTGTCCCTGCTGAAGAAGGGTGGTGAGCGTTTGCACACACCCGAGCGCCTGAATGATTTAGAGAAGGCGAAGGATCTCTGCAAGGAGCTTGTTCTGTCCATGTATCATCTTGCTGGGACTTGTGCTATGATGCCACGTGAAGATGGAGGTGTTGTGGATTCTCAGTTGAAGGTTTATGGCACGACCAATCTTCGCGTTGTGGATGCCAGTATCTTTCCCATTGAACCCCGGGGAAATATTCAGGCGACCGTGTTCGCGGTTGCTGAGAAGGCTGCTGATATCATTAAGCAGCAACTGTAGTAGTGCCACTCTTCATCAATAAATAATTTCAAAATGCATACCAAGGTCGAAGTCTATATATATATCGAGCACCTCTAGGTTTCTTCTTAGGGCCTTTTGATTAACATGTTTGCTGATTTACAACACGGTTGACAACCTCAGTCACGTTCTCATCCGGCAACCCAAGCAGCTCATTGCATAACAAACCGTCCTTCTCAAAATTCGCTCCTCTGTCTGCATCATCCGCATAGAGAAGCATTAGAACAAGCAGCTTCAGACCATCAGAGTAGTCCTTTGTATCAAGCTCCGCTGCCTTCTTCAGTGCATCCCCTGAAGACATTCTGTGCACCTCCCAGGTCGCACCAGTTGCTTTCTCGAGCGCCTCAAGGACCTGTCGCTGCGACACAGTAAATGACGCTACATAGACTGGCCTGTTCATTGTCTCCTCTGGCTTCAACAGCACCTTGCCCACGGCAGCACTCGCAGTCCCGAGGGTCGAAGTCGACCACAGCTTGTCACCCGAGTCGTAAATGGTAACACGTTTCTCCTTAAGATGGTAGTCGAGCCAGCCACTCTCAATCCCCCAATCAAAGAATTGCCCAGTGTGTATAGCCGTCCAGGTCAATCCTGTGTTCTCTTTGGTCTTGAGGTAGGCGATGACCTTCGCCTTCTCGGCGTAAAGTGTGACGAGCTCGGCAGCAGCAGCACATGTATTATTGCCGTATTCTGTTGGAATGAAACGCTTGACGCCTGCTTGGATTGCTGCATCGATCATGCGCAGGTGAACAGTGCAGGGTCTTCCAGGGAGAGTCGAGACAAGCGCATCTTGATCTTTAAATGCATTGACGAGCTGCTCAAGTGGGTAGTCGTCATCCACCTTGACAACATTGATATGCGGTGGGAATGTTGACTTTGATGATTTGCGGGATAGAATTGAAAGGTTGAAAGAACCTTCTTCTTGGAGTGTGGAGAGAACTTCGGTGCCGAAGAGACCCCCGGCCTGTTGCCTTAGTAAGTAGCATGTTCAGTAGTAAACAGGAGCAAGCTTACGCCCATCACCATGACATTTCTTAACATCTGCGCCATTCTCTCAGGTTGTGATAAAACTAAAAGCCTCCAACTCTTTGGAAATTCACTTTACCCCGCGTTAGGTGGGTCTTTTATTACTCTCCATCCTCCTCAACCCCACTATCAAGGTCGAATCAAAGGAGCGGATGTGCTTACGCCAGGATTTACTGTGCAGATGATGTGTAAGTTCTTCATGGCATATGCGAATACCCCGCTTAACGCCACACTGCTGATAACCATAATCTTGAACGCCAATCGTTCATCAAGTGAAATGCTTCCGCAGAAAACTCAGCTCGCTACTGTCTCCTTAGGCAGATAGATCTATTAATGTATCGGAAACAATGAAGCAATGATATTACAGTGGCCGTACAGATAACACTTCGATAATATCGAGCTCCAGCAGTCCTGGACAGGCTGCAATGCCTCATTGACAATATTCGTCGCCAACACTCGCATGCTTTTCTTCGCGTCAGGAAGGTCGCTAAACACCCGCAATTCGGGACAACAAAGGTTGTTCATGAGGGCCATGAAGTCGAAGGCGTTCATAGTGTGAATGCTGATTAATCCGCATATCCGCTACGAGAGGATAACTTCTTGATGTATGCGCCCTCTTCGGCTGTTTCTACACTGGCTGACATTTGCATTTTACAGGTACTTTGACCTGACCCTTGATCCGGAGTCAGGACTGGAAGACTTTGCCAGGGAATGGGCCCGGGAAACGCGAGACCTGTGGAATGCAGCCCAGCCGTGGCGTCATCCGACAACATACGTAAATCATGCTTCTGGAGATGATTCTGCGGAGTCCATGTATGGCTACGAGCTGTGGCGGTTGCGGAAGCTACGGGATTATCCTCATATACCAATATTTAAGGCCCTTATTCCAAAGCTGCGATTGATAGATACACCTGCATGAATCCATTCAAGAGACATGTCAAATAGGAAAGTAACAGTTACAGAATAAAAAGCTACTGTGCACCGATATCCTGCCATGACAGCCTCACCTCCTCTATCCAGCAGGTATGTTTGCACGTCGTAAAGGGCAGCCATGGCGGGTTTCTTGTTTTGCTAAGGCAATGATGTGATGATTGATGCTTGGCCCTGTAAAATGAAGATATGCTATGATATCTCAGTTCTTTTTAACGCCCCTTCAAGGCCTAATGTCGGCGTTAAGCCGTAGCCCGAGAAACATCGGCCGACATTTGTATTGACGTCAACTGGCCAGGATTACGGGGAGCGGCAAGTGGGGCTGCGGGATGTACATGGAGTTGTGGATCTGTGAGCGGAAGGTACATTGCAGATCACAATGGGTCAAACAAAGAGACTCGGCGCTTCAGTTCGATGTCCGGTCCATCGAACCGGGGATAACATGCAGGTCTTTTGGAGTTAAGTTTTTATCGCCGAGGCACTATGCACCATTTTTGTGGGAAGCAATTTATACATCTGTCCTCGTCAAAACTCCGGCCTACTGGGCATATGTTGCCTGGGAAGAATCTTGGCTGAGGACCTCGAGGAAATGGACGGGCCTGAGCCCGCCCCTGAGCGCCACCATTTTGAGCCTAAGCGTAAACTGACAGGCATAAAGGGTACGTGTTTAAGCTTATCTCAACGGCATGACCCGGACCCGCAGGAACCAAAACTTATTTGTCGACTATTCAGTGGTTCTTTTTCAATATTAGCACTCTGACAGCCATTTTCCTCCACTCTCTCGACAACACAGCTGTGGCCAATATCCAGCCTGTGAGTGCTTTCTCACTCTTCTTTCTTTTTTCAAAGTTGACGAGAACTGACAAATACCAAGATGGAACGTACCATGCATTGCTAAATTTGGTTACCGTTAATACGCTGGAGCTCGAACGTCCTACCTGCCTGAGTCTAACGTAAGTCGCTTGACCTTTTCCGTCACTTTCCTTGTCATCCAATGCTAATTGCTAAATCGCAGTGGTATGGTCTGGGGCCTCGGAACTGTTCTAGGCCCTATGGTCGGAGGCGCGTTTGAGCTGTACTCATGGCGTTGGGCCTTTTACATCAACCTATTATTCGGAGCAATCATTCTCCCAGCCCTTGTATCAATTATTCCCTCTAACCACCTAGTCCCCGGGGTGTCTACTCGACACAAACTCGCTACGTTCGACTGGCTCGGCACGATTCTGAGCATTGTAGGGGGGTCATAACCCTTATAATTCCCATTGATTTTGGTGGTAACATGTATACCTGGAATAGCGGGACTATCATTGCGCTTTTCATTGTGAGCGGTGTGCTCTCGAATGATTATTTGATGTCCAAGTTTGGATGGTACAAACCTTGGTACGTTTGTGGCGCGATAATTGCCCTAGTTGGCACTGTTTTGATGAGTAAGGGCATCTCCTCCACCTTTCCCTATCCCTGCACCCCGGCTAATGCAGACCATAGGTCGCCTCAAAGTCGAGACTTCGAATTCAGAGGTCTATGGCTACCAGACTCTAATTGGTCTTGGTGCTGGGTCATTCGCCCAGGCTGGATTTGCTGTTATCCAGGCCACTGTGGACGCGATAAATAGCGTTTATGTGTCACTCTAATCATGCTTGGCCAGCTTTCTGGTCTCGCCATCGGCCTCTCTGTGACCGGTGCGCTGTTTACTAATTTAGCCAAGATCAATCTACAGACCGTCTTTCCGAACGTCGACGAGTCAACTTTGATATCAATCGCGGCAGGGACTGGTGGTGGAATTCTGGAAATGCAGAGTGAGGCAAAACCGAACCAGGCTTTGATTGCAATCGTCGATGCACTGCATGATGTACTCATCGAGGTTTACGTTGTCGCGGGACTCGCAGTAATTCTCAGTGTCTTTTTAAAGGTACTATTGCCCAACCACTGCGGAGCTCAGGCTAACAAAATTCCAGTGGAAAAAGGTATACATAGAAGGTTCTGCTGGCGGAATGTGGTGATATAAGAGGAGGCTTCGGAGTTGGCGGGCATCAAGTGATGGAAGGTAATACGAGAGGGAAACTGGCCTGACAAGCATATCCAGCATCGGGCAATCTAGATAGCTTCGTAGCAACAAATACTAGCATCCCCCAAAAGAACATTGTATCATTCCGAAAAAGCCGGTTTTGCCTGGGAAAGGCCTGGGAGATTCATTATCGCCATATTGGCTAAAGAACAGGTAATTAGGTACGCCACTCCCGTCTCGGCCTCTGAAAAAGTGGGGCCATAGACAGTCGGCCTGTTGCATTGCATGAGATATGAGTTGGAGTTTGGCGATGATGTGATCTTTCTCAGAAGGTTTTAAGATAATTCAGCTACGCCCTGGGAATGCATACAAGACCTCGGACTACGTATCAAGGCGCTAAACCCAAAGTGGCAAGGCTAACCACATTCGGTAATCTACAGGTCTAGGTTTCCAATACAAATATCGGTATGCCTTTTATAGATTTCCCATAGAAGAAGAACAGAATTCTGCGAAGAATGAAAGACCCGGAAGTGCAGGTGCTTCTGCGAATTGAAACGGAGTTATCGCTCATTATGATGGAATGACTGATGAAATCATACCGGTCACATGACAGCATCTGCCCTATGATAGATTAGGGCTGACATTCTACTGATAGATCGACCAAGCTAGATAACAAGGCCATAAGTAGGCAAAGCAACGTGCAAATAAACATTCATGTCTAGATAAAGTCATTGTTTTCTATGAACGGATCTGAGTCCATATGTGCCAGAAATTAGACAAGAAAGACTCATCGTCGTCATGGATACAAAAAGAAAGAGGAGTCGTATAAACATCCAGAGAACATTTTCCCTCCCTACGCCGTAATAAGGTCATGCAATCCCAAAAGCCTCAGGTCCACACACATCTAGTTCGCAGTCTCAGGCAGCAAGTTGCCCTTGGCAGCGAACATCTTGCCGGTAGTCGATGAGACGAAGCTGTCGACCTGGCGAGAGAACTGCTCCACTTGACGGGTGTTGAGCATGCTCTCCAACCGGCTGGGCTCGGCGGGGAGCTTGAACAGACGCTGCCACTCGTCCTCGGGGAGCAGGGGCTGCTTGAGAGTGGCGCGGGTGGCGTTCTCCTGGGCGCGCTTCTGCTTCCAGTTGTTGATCTTGGTCTGCTCGCGACCGAGCACACGCTGGTAGTACTGGTAGTTGTTGACCTCGGTGTTGTGGGCCTCGATGCTGTCAAGCAGGAGATCGCAGTTCTTCTCGAGGAAAGGATCAATGCTGAGGGACAGGTTGTCGAAGTTGGGGGTGAGGATGGAGGATTTGGAGAACGGGCCGGCCTCAAGAGCGGCGAGCGAGGGGGGGGAGGTCAGTGGGGCCTGAAGAGGTAGGGTTCTGCAGCTGGTGGATGAAGGAAGTGATCAGGTGCGAGTTGTGGATCTCCACGGGGAGCTCCTCGAAGATGTCTTGGTGGCGGATGTTGGACTTTTGCAAACTGCAAGAACGTCAGTATAAGAATTCCGAATCTCTGAAGAGATTAATGGCACGTACTCCTCTGAGGTGAACTTGTTCTCCTTGAACGCCTCCATGAACTTAGCGGAGAGGCGGAACGCGCGCAGGCTGAGGGCACCCTGAGCGCTGCGGCTGACGTCGTGAACCAGCGCAACTGTCCGCTCGTTCAACTCCTTCTGGTAGTAAAATTGGTTCTCAATCACGTTCATGTTGACGAAGTTGCCCATGTTGGCGCTGGTGTACCATCCGACGTTGTTAGCGTCAATGTTGACCTCGCGGATCATGCGAATCATCTCGGCCTGGTAGGCGGCGTTGCCCTTGGCGCGGGGAGCAGCGGCGGCGGGATTCGGGGAGGCATTGTCGAAGTGCGACTCGGTGGGCATCTCAACAACGGGGAAAGGGAAAGAGTTGGTGATCTCGAGGGTGTTGTCAAAGTCCATGCCGACGAGGCATCCGGTCGCGGTGGTGGGGAAGGTCTGGTTGCAGTGCTTGATGATTTTCATCACCACCTATAGCATTAAAGATGAGTATTTCTCGCTGGCGAGGGCATGACAGATTTTCAAGATTTGGAGGGGATCCTACCAGGGCCTCGACCTTGACGGCCACGAGGGGGGCTTGTGCTCTAGACGATACATCAGTCGGAGAATAACAGCAGGACTTGGAATCAAACGTACTCGGCCATATTGAAAGGTGGTTGCACCGGGTATAGGAGTGGGTTGAGACTCTTTGACGGGGAAGAGCGGTTTGTGTGAGAACAATTCAGACGGGTGGTCCTAATGGGGCTTAGCGTGGTATGGTAAGTATGTAATATATAACATCAATTTCTACTCCATAACCCGAGCAATGAGGGGTATTACCGTATCATAACACTTAGAGTTTCTCGCCGCAACCTTGGAACTCCGAATTGTGCCTGAGAGAATCTGCTCCACTCGACACGGACTACAAAAGTCGCGAATATGAGGTAACATCCGTTTCCAAAGAACTATATGACTTATTGATAGCCGTTTTGCGTCAGCAAAGCTCCGGCTTACCTCTATCAAGGCTGCACCTAAAAGACCCTTAGTCATATCAAAGCGGAGATTGTCCCACTTCCGCTTCCGCTTCCTATCGATATCATCATCATAAACGTAGAACTCGAGCGTTCCCTCTTCCTTAGATATCCCAGCACCATGAGTCCCGAACAAGCCCAACCTGTGACAAGAACAGTCACCTATGGCAGATCTCATGCCCTTCAAACTATATCTGTCACACCACTAAACACAAACCAAGATGGACACTGGGTGATGTATGAACCAAAGCAGCCCCTCCCAACCATAGATCTGAACAAGACAACGATCAATTCCAAGCATGAATAAGCGCATTAGCTAAATTCCCAACCCAAACCATAGCTATATTCACGGTGGCGCATGGCGAGACCCAACGGTCACTTCATCTGCCTTCGATAACGCCGCAACGATCCTCCGAAACTCCCCAGACCTTCTAATCTCCGGCATCGCGTCAATCTCCTATCGGCTAAGCGCACATCCAGACCATCCTCAAGATCCTGCAAGCACCCCATCAAATGAATATCGCAATGCGAAACATCCAGATCACATACGCGACGTCGAAGCAGCCCTCGCCTTTTTGCAAAACACTTATGCTTTTGGACCCCGCTATATCCTTGTCGGACACAGTTGTGGCGCAACGCTAGCCTTTCAGGCTGTCATGGGCGCTGTAGCGAACCACCGCGAACAATCTTTCAACGGCGGGGCGGATGATGACGGTGTAGGTGCAGAGCGGGTCTCGATGTCTCCAGGCCCGCTGCCGCCGAAGCTGTCGGCGCATCCGATGGCAATAGTTGGTGTCGCAGGTATATATGATTTGAGGAGACTACAAGATACGCACCGGGATATTGGAGCTTATAGGGAATTCATTGAAGGAGCGTTCGACAATGATGTGATGCTTTGGGATGGGGTATCGCCGGCGCAAATGGTTGGATCGCGTGGTGTGGAAGGTGGTTGGAAGACCGGACGATTGGTTGTTTTGGCGCATTCCAAAGATGACGAGCTTGTGGATGAGGGACAAGTGGAGGAAATGCGGGAGGCATTGAGAGGATGGGAAGCAGGGCAAGCTCAGATTCCGGTGCGAGAGCTGTCCAGTCGCGATAGACGGGTCGAGGTGCTATCCATTGAGGGTGCGCACGATGAAGCGTGGATCAATGGAGAAGGACTGGCGCGAGCAGTCAAGTTCGCCTTTGTTGAGCTGCAAAAGATGGGGCTGGCGCCTGAGCCCGAGGTCTTGGGCGGGCCTAGCACCATGTAGATGTAGATGCACATATTTTGGTAACACTACGAGGCATGAAATAGTATATTTGATCTTCTTTATTCCGGTTGTGTTAGAGATGGGGGAAATTGATGTAGATACAATCGAAGATTGGCCCAGGCGGGCCAGAGAACGCCATTATTCGTTAACGTATATCACAGAAGATCAAATCCTAGGAAATCCCTCGGTACGCCGAATTTGCCCGTAAACGATCCAGTGTGGAGTGCAATTAATTGCCAAGATCCATGCGACCAGACGCCGCATCCCCGGCGACCTTTTCGGTTGCTTCAGGGACCTCTTCACCGTACTCAAACGCATCGTCTTCACTCTCACTTTCTTCAATAAACTTGTGAGTCATATCAAATTCGTTCAGACGCCAGTGGAGATCTTCTCTTTGGCCGTCTTGCCAGCGCGCCAGAGCGGCAGCTGCGTGCACTTTGAAGCCATAGATACGGGGCTCATAGCGGCGGAGGCTCTTTTCGGGGTTCAATGCTGGGTAGACCTGAAAGAGGATAGAGTGGAATGAAGTGCCGAAGTAAGCCCCGTCGATTGAGGCATGGCGCGAGGATTTGGGGTTGTAGATGTCCTCGCATTTAGGACAGTAGAGCTTCACGGTGGTCGAATTGGGGAGATCTGCTTGACCCATAGGCAAAAGGGGGTGGCCATCACACAGGACGCGCGGGCATTTGCCAAAGTCACATTTCTTGTATTTATCAAGCTGGAAGCGTATATAAGCCTGGATGATCCTGTATATGGACATGAGTAGCTTTAGACGTACCATTTTTGCCAAACCACGAGTGGTGACAATGTAACGCGCATGAACCAGTCCATACAGATGGCGAGCGGACTTTTCAATCTGCTCTCGTAGATCATCATCGGCATCAAGGTCGAAGACATCGGTCACCAGGTCCAGCGCATATTGGTAATAGGGGACTTCGGTATTCAAACCAGTCAGGTTGAATCGGTCGGTCAAGTAATCCTCATCGATCTCGCAGAAATACTCATTCCCCCGCGAAGAGACAAACTAGAAGGTAGATAATCCAGTCAGCGCAATTCATCCATACAACCAAAAGCCGCTTTCGGTTAGGGCAAGGCGGTCTAGATAGCACATGGGACCTGTAATGGGCCCAGTCGACCGTCGACCCCTCAGCCCCATGTTTAGGGTTTCTGCAGTGTGCCTGTCACACAAAAAGGTGCATGGCAACATCACATGCGAGACCTTTGACCGCAAAACCCGCCTGCGGGGCATATGATCCACCAACGTTCCCCAAAACAGCACATACCCAGTCTCGCCAGTAGCTAGTGTAGTCACTATCCGTCTCGCTATTGAAATCTTCCATCATTGTGGTGGTCAAGTGATCTCTATCAGTTCCCGTTTAGGTTGCTTCCGCGGAGTCGAGGGGTAGGGTAGGTGGGTGAGGGTGACAGCCGCAGAGATTGGGTGGATCAACCCCGGGGTGTCGTAAACCCCCACGACTTTTCAGGCTTCACGATGAAGGCACTTGATATTTTTGAGAAAATGGATTCACGGCCAGAGTCTCCGAGAAGGCGAGGAAGCGTGACTGTGGATGGCTGGAGGTGGTGTCGTTAATGGAAATGATTAAAGTGCGAATTGGGCGGTGATAATACTGCCGGGCGATCCACTGCCGATCGTGAATTTGGACAGCACCAATTCCACAATCCAGCTATATTATTTGGCTCTTGGATTTATACTTGGTTTGACTCAACGATCACTATTTCAATTCATGTTTTTACCCAACAAAAAAAAATGATGCAATATATCAATTTCCTCAGTTGACGAACAGACCCATACAGTGGTTGCACTCGCAACCCACCCTACACTAGCTTTGATATTATCTAGTTTTATCGGCCTGCTTCACTGATCTCCATCCAGATCCCAATGCACCAAAAGTGGTGACACAAGCTATCGCCATGCCGGTATAAAATACCTTTACAAGAGCATCATTGTACACTACCAATGCTTCCACGAGATACTCGGAGGGAATGACCTTTCTCAGGCTCAATGCACCGGAGTTTAAAACGAGGCTAGCATCAAGCCCTGGGACTTTGGTGGCAAGACCAGAAACCAGCTCTATGGCAAACACGTTCTGGGAAATAGCGAGCATGACCACGCCTCCAAGAAGCTGCCCAAAAGTGAGTACCACGATCGCAGACGGCACATCAGATGCAGGTGTGGAGGCCTGGACTGCTATATAAGGTTGCTGCCAGGCGAAACCACACCCAAGGCCGAAGATAGCTTGGAATAAAATGATATGGACGAGAGATGTGGTCGTGTTGAATGTGGTCGTTAGACCGGCACCGATGGACATCAGGATACCCCCGAGGACCATGTACGGCAAGTAGTATCCTGTTACAGTTGTCATTGCGCCCGCAAAAACGATGGCAATGGCAAGACCGAGAATTCGGGAAAGATCCCTCACCCCCGACTCCATCGTTGAAACGTCACGAATCGCCTGATAATAAATGGGGAGCTGGAGAAGATTAGTTTTTCTACACTGAATGGCGATGATTTCTCACTCACATAGTATGTGAAAACATAGAGTGCGCCTGAGCAGGCAAAACTGACTGCGATACTTGACAGCATTATGCGGGACTTGAGTAGTCTAGCAGGGAGTGTCGCCTGTTCTTGCATATACGCCTGCTGCACTCCAAAGGCTACTAAAAGGGCTCCTGTCATGGCCAGTGGTAAGATTACCTGCTTGCTGTTCCATGGGTATTCTGTCCCGCCCGTCTGAAGTGCTAGTGTGAAGCAGATGATCAATGGGACAAACAATGCCATTCCTACGGGATCGAGTTGTCGTAGCTTGGAAAGAGACGAACTCGCCCCCTGCTTATCCGTTTCTGGCAACCGAAGGAACACCAGTACCGAGATGATCGGAATGCTTCCTAGAGGAACACTAATCCAGAAACAAACTCGCCAGGAAGTGACATCAGCAATAGCACCCGCAATCAAAGGCGCAGTCGCTAGTGCAATACATTCCATGCTTCCGATGAAGCTCTGGTAGAATGGTCTCCACCGCAGAGGAATGATTCTGGTGGCAATGCTGGTGGCGGGTTAGCCTGGATAACGTGCCGAACACAAGGCATCAAAACATCTTACATATTGCAGCCGGAGAAGATTCCTGCATTACCCAGTCCAGCCACTGCCCTTCCTACAATGAAGGCGATCGAGGACTGCGCCGTAGCACAGATGATGGAGCCAATGACGAAGACTGCCAAAGCAGACGCAAATACAATCCTCGCAGAGTAGAAGGAATAGAACTTCCCATAACTGAGGATTGTCGCACAGGATGCGAGAGAGCTAGAACCTTCAGTAAAAAAAACCGATAAAATATACACATCGAGGAGTTGCTTACTATGCGATTCCGTACCAGCTAACGTCGTTAAGAGAGTTGAATTCATCGCTGATAGTGGGCCCAAGCGTGCCAACACATGTCGAATCCTAAGTCTCATGAGCGAGGTGATCGGCCAAGCTCAAAATGATTAACTCACATAGCCTGCTAAGAAGCATGCCGAGCACAATGAAACCACAATAGTACAAAACTTCCATGTTGAGAGTTCCACAATCTCGCTATCTGTTGTTTTGGCCCCTGGCGGAGCATCTTGTTGCTCACTACTGTGAGTGTGGGGTGCATTCTCGCCATTTGATGGAGTAATATGTTCCAACTCCATGTTGGTGGTGAATATCTGTAGAAAGAAGTGAGAGGTCAAATCCAGTTACATTGGAGTTAAAAGTGCAGGTGGTGTAAAGTCAAATATGAGCATGGAAGCCTGGTGGTGGGGATAGTGAGACCATTATCCAATTCAGTTGTCTCGCCCAACATTAACATAGATTAATGCAACCTTGGACTAGCTCGGGCGCCATGACCCGCGAGGACGTTCGGAAATGACTTCTCATTGCCCGGAGATAACAGTCCCAGTCTAGCATTCATTGTAGCCTGAAATTGCTAATAAGCGAAACTCGGCATATAGAGCGTGCTATACATTCCAAATACATAACAGATACAAGAAAGCAATCTCGGAGTAATTTATGTTTACAGCCTCATTCTCTCCATATGTCCAACCCTTTTGTTGATCATGATCTACTTCTCCATATGGCCAGGCCCCACACCGCCCTTGGACCCCACCGGGCCACACGCGCAAGGCTACGATCATTTTCAACTCTCCATATCTCGTAAAACACAATCTGCTTTATGTCGCAATGGGCTCCAAGACAGCTGAAAATGAGGGCCAACAAGGCGGCAGTAAGTATCGGCGTGGTTACAGCGCATTGGTTGGGCCTTGCTCACTCTTGAACAGATGATCCGTCCGGCTCAATCAAACCCAACACCACAGGCGGAGAACCACGAGGTGCCCACTTGGCCCGAGACGGAGATGGAAGTCTGGGCGATGGGGATAGCGATGACGACGACGGCGACGATCAGCCCGGGGCTGTTACCGAGTCGCTAACATCGCAATCTACCCCGACAGACGTTTCAAAGAAAAAGAAAAGAAAGAAGTCCAAGAAGAAGAAGACGACTACAGCCAAACAGTCGTCTCCTCCTAGGATCCCTCTCACCAAGATCTACCAAAAGGATCAGTATCCCAGCGGAGAGATGCAGAGTTATGAGTCTGTGGTTGAGAACACAGCTCGCACCACGGCCGAGGAAGCCCGATACGAAGCTCGCCGTCTCGCCCAGGACAAAACTTGGCTCACCAACTATCGTAAAGCAGCCGAAGTTCACCGCCAGGTTCGACGTTGGACGCAAGACAATGTTCGGCCGGGCCATACTCTCTCGGAAATTGCTGACGGTATCGACGACGGCGTGAGAGCGCTGCTCGATAATCCGGGTCTTGAAACCGGAAGCTGCCTTGTCTCTGGATTAGGATTCCCAACTGGTCTTGCGCTGAACAATTGCGTTGCACATTACACACCCAATCCTGGTCAAAAGGATATTGTTCTCCAAGCAAATGATGTTCTCAAAGTGGATTTCGGAGTCCACATCAACGGCTGGATTGTTGACAGTGCGTTTACCATGTCATTTGATCCAACGTATGACAACTTGCTTGCTGCGGTCAAAGATGCAACCAACACTGGTATCAAGGTGAGATATCCCGCGCCCTATCCTTATAAACACAGCTGATTCGATTAGAATGCCGGTGCCGATGTCCGGATCAGTGATGTCACCGCTGCTATCCAAGAGACGATGGAAAGTTATGAAGTAGAGATCAGAGGTCAAACCTACCCAGTGAAGCCGGTGAGAGATTTAAGCGGCCACAACATCGGTCAGTATCAGATTCACAGCGGAAAATCCATCCCCTTTGTGAGAACGAAGGATCAGACCAAAATGGAGGAGGGAGAGGTTTTTGCCATTGAGACATTCGGGTCTACAGGTCTTGGGAAGACTAGAGACGGACCTGGCGTCTATGGTTATGGCAAAGACCTGCACGCCCCAAAGAGGGTGATTACCCCTCTTGCCTCGGCACGATCTCTGTACAAGACGATCAATGACAATTTTGGTACAATTGTTTTCTGTCGCCGATACCTCGAACGCCTTGGCGTCGATCGTTATTTGGCCGGCGTGAGTGCCCTTTCCTTTGACTCCCGGCATTGCATTTTGCTCACATTGAACAGATGAATAGTCTTGTCTCCCAAGGAGTAGTCGAGATGTATCCACCCCTCATGGACATTGAGGGGTCATACTCCGCCCAATTTGAACATGTATGCTTCCTTCCACCTGTTTGGCGTTTCGGGCGTTAACTATTCCTTTTTAGACGATCTTGCTGGGTGAAACCGGCAAGGAAGTCATCAGTCGCGGAGATGACTACTAAGGTGTACTAGCTGCATACACGTGCGACGTACCTGATTCCTTCTGTATGTTTTTGTCCTCGGTCATCCAACATGACCATGATTATTGTCCTAAATTGTTCATTTTACCATTTAACATGGTTGACTCCAGACGAAATTCTTCAAATCCAATCTGGACCTGAATAACCGGATCACCATTGCTAGCTCACCCAAATACATTCATTTTAGCATGGAAATAATATCTCAGTGAATTGCAAGTTCAATAGCTCGTTTCACGTATACCTTAACAGCCTTGGCGGCGATTCCTTCCGCATGCAGTAAATATGGGCTTGTTAGTTTCATAAGAACTTCCCAGCGAAGCGAAGTTACAAGGAACAACAGTAAGCTGCCCTCTCAACTCAATCGAGGCCGACTGCTTTACCGAGCTTGTTCGTCACTAGTGGAATAATAGCTAGCGGATAAATTCTTCGGGGCGCGTAAACGGGAGTAAACAAATGCTCCACTAGCATTCCACTGAGATCATTTTCTAGATCCTAGCTCCAACTTATCCCCAGACTAGTGACTCGGACCCCCGAAAAAGGGGCATGCTTGTTATTGCTATGTGGATATGCATCGCGCCGTCCCTCGATTTAGCGCACTTCTCATCAGGAACGGGGCAGATTCCTCACACGTACGGACCAGGGGCTGAATCCACTTAGCCGAAATCAACTAGGCTAAATTCACTTATTGAATCCACTATGCGCGATGAACTATAAGAAAGCAAGTGAATCCTGAGCGCGTTCCAATAATCAAATCGACAAAATACTCGTCAACGCGGACTCAAGGCCCTCTAGTGCTAGTTATTACTAGGCATATCAAAATGGCGCGTCTCATCGCAGCAACATTACTATTGCACCTAGTGACAGCCCAACAAATTGGCAAGATCCCAGAAATCCACCCAAAGCTCCGAACATGGAAATGCACCACACATACCGGCTGCGTACCACACGACACTTCCATCGTCATCGACGTGCTCTCGCACCCCATACACGAAGTAGGTAACAGCAGCGTGTCCTGCGGGAACTGGGACACGGGGTTAAACCCCACGCTATGCGCAACAGAGGAGTCCTGCGCGGAGAACTGCGTTCTCGAAGGCACGAACTACGCCTCGCATGGAGTGCAGACGAGAGGCGATAGTCTTCTTATGCACCAGTACCTGACAGTCAACGGGACGACATCGGTGGTGACGCCGCGTGTGTATCTTCTCGATGAAAGCGGGAAGAACTATGATATGCTCCGGATGCTGAATCAGGAGATAAGCTTTGATGTGGATGTTTCATCGCTTGTGTGCGGTATGAACGGTGCGCTTTATCTAGCTGAGATGGAGAAGTCAGGTGGACGGGGTGTTCTTAATCCTGCCGGTGCGCAATATGGTACTGGGTACTGTGATGCGCAGTGCTCGGTTGATCCATGGATTAATGGCGTTGCGAATGTTGATGGAGCTGGTGCTTGTTGTAACGAGATGGATCTTTGGGAAGCTAATGCGCTTTCTACGGCATTGACACCGCATGCGTGCAATATTAGCGGGGTTTATTCTTGTGAAGGGGATCTGTGTGGGAGTGATGGTGTTTGCGATAAGTCTGGTTGCGGGTTCAACCCTTATGCACTTGGGGATCATGATTACTATGGGTATAAGGAGGTGGTGGATACGTCGAAGCGGTTTACGGTTGTGACGCAGTTTGTGACGGATGATCATACTGCATCGGGGTCTTTGATTGAGATCCGACGGTTTTACGTTCAGGACAACAAGGTTATTCAGAATGCTGTTGTTAATGTAAGTGGGACGGAGGTTGACTCTTTGACGAACGAGTATTGTGAGTCGTCGAGCTACTTCACCGAGATGGGTGGGCTCAAGCAGATTGGCAAAGCACTTGGACGTGGAATGGTTTTGGTTTTTGCGATCTGGAATGATTCGGGGGCCTACATGAACTGGCTGGATAGCGAGGGTTCCGGTCCTTGCAATAGTACCGAGGGAAATCCAGCTCTCATTGAGGCGGAACATCCTGGGACCTCGGTGACGTTTTCCAATATCAGATGGGGAGATATTGGATCGACTTATAGCCACGGCAAATGAGTTTCAAATCAAATCATTCATTTCATTCATCTACCTACTATAGCTACCACTCCTCCCCTCATCATCATAAAACATTCCCGAAATCTAATATCAATGACATAAAAGAGTGTATACAGTTCGTGCTATCATTAAACAATCATCAATTGCATGAAAATCATTCAGAAACTCCTGCGATCGCACTATCCTCTTCTAAAAAGATATTAGCATTATCCAAAGGAATGAAGGCGCATGGGAAACATACCAGGATGGATCTTGGAAAAATCCACCATTCCAAAAAATCATTTACTGGGCCATGGTACCAGTAGCCTTGAGGTCCTTGTCCTCCTGGTTGTTGTTGTCGTGACGGTACTCGCCCTCAGCACCCTTCTGGGCACCGTTCGTCATACCAGCAGCGCCGGTAGCCTGCGGGTAAGGCGAGCTGGCCTTGGTCTCCTGACCGCGGGCCCAGACACGGGGAGTGGGAGTAGAGTAGCGGTTGGCATCCCAGTCGTGGCGGCAGTCCCAGCCAGACTCATCGTTGTAGTCACCGTTCTTGCACTTGTCGTTGTATCCGTAGTTGTCGTTGTCATCGTAGTTGTCGTTGTCATAGTAGTTGTCCTTGTTGCGGTTCCAGCCACCGAAGGGCCACCAGCGCTTGGTGACGGTGGGAGTGTGGGTCAAAGCCTCAGCAGCGGCGTGGCTCAGGCGGTTGCTGTCGTGGTATTCGTTGCCGGGGAAGTGGCGAGCCTTCAGGCCGGTCAGGACGGAAGTTGCGGCGTCAGCGGCATCGGCGGCATCTTCGCGGTCTTCCTCGCGGTGTCTCTCGTGCTCGCGCTCACTCTCACGGTCGCCGTTGTTGTAGTAGTCGTTGTCGTAGTCGCCGTTGGGGTAGTGGCGGGCCTTTAGGTTGGAGAGAACACCATTTGTGATGGCAGCGGCGTCCTGGCGATCTTCTTCACGGTCCTGCTCACGCTCGCGCTCATATTCACTATCGCGGTCGTTGTCTCGGTAGTAGCCATCGTTCTCGTTGTTATAGTTGTCGTCGTTGTAGTTGTCATAGTTCTCTGGGCGGTACCAACGGACGTGAAGACCGGAAGCAGCACCAGATTGAGCAGGGTTGTTGACGCCGTTGGTACCAGTAGCGCCATTAGCATCGTTCATCGCACCAAGGTTGGTGGCACCGGTGGCACCGGTAGCACCGTTCATAGCGCCGAGGTTTGTCACACCAGCTCCGGCAGCAGGGACGCCGGGCACGCTGGGAACACCGGGAACACCAGGGACACCAGGGACACCAGCGCCAAGGTTAGCAGCTCCAGTGTTGGGAACGTTGGCAGCACCGGGCATAGAGAGACCACGCTTGGCAGTCGCGTGCCATTGGCCATTTGCATCAGTCCAACCATTCTGGTTGTTGTTGGAGTGCCATTGACCGTTAGCGTCAGTCCAGCCATTCTGGTTGTTGTTGGAATGCCATTGACCGTTGGCGTCAGTCCAGCCATTCTGGTTGTTGTTGGAGTGCCATTGACCGTTGGCGTCAGTCCAGCCATTCTGGTTGTTGTTGGAGTGCCACTGGCCATTGGCATCAGTCCAGCCATTTTGGTTGTTGTTGTTATCATAAGGCCAATTGCGAGCCTTGAGGCTAACACCGGGGAGACCGACACCAGGGACACCAACTCCAGGAACACCGACGCGGTAGCGCTCATTGCCGAAGGGGCGGCCGACCCGACCACGGCGCTGGTAACGGCCATTCTCACCATTGGTGTACTCGTCGTTATCGTATCCGTTGTTATATTCGCCAGTCTGGTCTTGGTCGTTGAATTGGCCGTTGTTGTATTGACCGTTATCGTATTGGCCATTGTTGTACTGGCCGTTGTTGTATTGACCATTGTTATACTGGCCGTTGTTGTACTGACCATTGTCATAGTCCGAGCCAGCGTTGGGAACAAACTGGCCGTTCTCATAGTGGCCCTTGCGGTACTGACCACTGGGGTCCCAGACACCAGACTGGTCATTGGGGTCGACTGGCAAGGCCAGAGATGTCATTGGCGAGACAGCCAACAGAAGAAGGCCGTTGATCAGAGTGTAACGCATGATGGAGATTTTTATAACGAATAAATTGTATTTTTTTTGTGACTCTTGGATCTGGAGAATCTTGAGAGTCGCTTTTGCTTGATGAGAATGAAGCCAAAGATGGTCGAAAAGGGCTGTATTTATATCCGAGCTGACCAGAGCTCCACGCTTTCGATTACGTAGCTGATTCAGAGCTCTCGGTAGCTCTCTCCAGCTTTGATTGCGATGTCTGAGCTAGGCCAGTATACCGCGTCATCCAGTTTGGCTGGGGTCACGACGTGGCTGCAAGGGACCGGGCTCAACGTGCAGTCGATTCATTCTGCCTTGCGGGGCACAGTGTGTTTAGCGGTTGAAAATCTGCATGATGATCTCAGTAGGCCGTGACCGATGGCTAATTTTTAATATGCGCTATATAAGTACCCTCACATTGGATGTCTTACTGTACCACGCTTAGACTCTGCATGGTGATCCTCGCATTGGAATCTGCAGTAGTAGCGTGTTGGCGGTGTCGATCGCTCCGGAAGGGGCTTAATCGCATTCCTGTTGATCATCCGGGGCTCGGGAGTGCAGATCCAAGGGGCTTTTGACAAGACTTTGTTTACGCCATCAAAATCATTCTGTTGTTGGGTCAATTCGTGGCTCCAACCCCCGGGGATGACTTCTCCGCCATGAGCCCGAGTGCTCATGAGACTAGAAAACGTGTAAGACATGCAGGGAGGTCTTTGCACCAAGCCAAGCTACTATGTATAGTAACCTTTTGAGTGAGGGACAATGACAAAGTTCGCTGAGAATATACGACATGGGGTTGGACTGGCGGTCTGCAATCAGTTGAATCCATGAGTTTGGTGGCGAGTGGAAAGTTTTCAGATCACTGTAAATCCAAGTTTCTCGCTGCTCTTCTCAAGCGCCATTGATCGCCAATCGAAACCTTTTTGTCGATCTCTCCAAAACATACAATATGTTTAGACACAAATGTCCCAATCTAGAAGATCCCCGCCAGTCTGAGGAGCGTCTGCTGGCAGAAGAGAATGGTATATTGTGGACTGCGAGTGAAAAAAAAGGAAGTCATTTCACAAAAAGCTTTCTTTGGTTCACTGCACTTAGCATCTTCTTCATGAGCGGCACTTTGTTCGGGTTCTTCTGGCGAGGTGACTTGGATGGTCTGTGTAGTCAACATGTCTCCCAGTACTGTGAGTTCAAGATCAAGTCATATCATGCAAGCTCTACTAAGTCAATGCAGCACCCATTATGATGAAAGTTGGAATTAGCTATGATACGCGTGAATTCAACGGCTCGCTTTTTAAGGAGAACATTTTCCGTCAAGATGCGAGCCCCGATGTGGATGCTGCATGGGAAGCTCTCGGGGTAAACTGTCAGTCTAGAGCCCGTTTTACATTTTGCTCTACATACGTACATATTTTGACACTGTTGTTTCTCTAGATCGAGGCATTCGAGTGCCAACAGCGGATGCAGAGCAATCGGGTCTCACCGCAGATCAGGTCCAGATCAATCCCAAATACGGCGGAGGATATCCAGCGAACGTGGGAGGTCTCCATCATTTGCACTGTCTGGTAAGGCCATCATTCTTCTCCGCAAAGATACCAACTAATGGAATTTAGAACGTGATACGACAGTCACTTTACTACAACTACGACTATTATCATATGAAAGAAGAGGGCATCTTCAGCCACAATGATTACATCGTTCGGCGTCAGATTTGTGAGTATTCGAGCCCACAGAAAATCCAGTGTCCTTAGTCAGATTTTACTGACATTCATTATGAAAGCATACTGCTTGGATACCCTTCGGCAGCAGCTCATGTGCACAGTAGACACCGGAGTATTGGGACAGATCTGGGTATACCCCGATAACCCAGAGCCACACCTCGACTCCAGCACTCATCATCGGTGCAAAAACTTTGACCAGATTCGCCGCTGGGCTGAAGTGAATCAATTGCCCAAGGACCCACCAGTGGATTATATCGCACCTCCTGCGCCCGGCACAATCTACGCCGAGATACCATGAAGGACGAGATGATGACTGAAACGTGTCAAAGACGAATATCATGACGGCCAGACGAGACAAGACTCTAAAATATTTATGACCTTCTTCATTCCTCCTTTCGGATATCCTCCGTCAACCCATAAACACTTAAATCCTCACTCATGCCCGGCAGAGTACAAACCGCACTCTCCGCACCCCCAAACACCTCCAACGCCGCAACTCCCCTAAAGTCCATCCCAAGTTTCTCAAGGACCCTCCGACTATGAAGGTTTCTAGCATCACAGAACCCAAAGACATCCGTGATCCCAAGCTCTACCCTGGCCCACTCCAGTAACCCCTTAGCCGCCTCGGTCGCATATCCCCTCCCATTCATCTCAGGTAAAATCGCATACCCAATATCGGGCGCAAGATAATGACGATTTGGCGGTGCACCTTTCATGAGCGATACGGTCCCAATCGGGATTGGTGGGAAAGACTGGGGATCTTGCTCCTGGAGTGATACGAGGAACATACCGTGCTTGTTGCGCTCGTAGTCGGCTAAGATGCGGGTACGGATGAATTCTGATGCGCTTGTAGCATCGACCACTGATGTGCGACCGCAGGAGCGGATAAATAGATCTGTATTCCAGAGCTGGGCTAGAAATGTACAGTGGGTTTCGTTGCTTGGGTCAAGTGGGGTGATGCGTAGGCGTGGAGTTATGATCGCGAAGCCACTTGGAAATGGCGATTGTTGTGAAATCATTGTGAGGAAGTATTATATGAAGTGAAGTCAATGAGTTTCTCTCAGTTTCCCTCGTTCACGTCTTTTTCCGGGATTATATGTGGCCTGGTCCCTATCTAGGGATGACTTGGAGTGACTCAAGTTGACTCACCGGCGTTCAGGGTTCCCGAAATCAGCGCTCAATGTATGAACACTCTATCTCGTATCTCGTACTATATCTGTCTTGTTCGATACCTTGACCACTGCCTAGGAATCATTTATATCATGTAAGCTGTTTCCTTTTCATCATTATTTCCGTAATTTCAGTTCAAATATTTCAACTTTGCCGGTATGTAACAAATATATATTCTAGGGATCCTCACAAGTCTCCTGGGACCTTGACTCCCAAATACATATTTCGACCTACTAGTAGTCTACCTAGTATAGCTTTTGAATCTTCGTTATTCTCAACTCCAAATGTATTAAACGCTATTGACTTGTAGCGGGTAATTGATTCCCTAAAATCATCCATGGCGCCAAGGGCTTCCAACGTAGGTAATGTTCCAAGGTTGTCGTAAATGGAATTCTGAAAATAGCTACAATTGATTGAGGAACATCTCCGAGCGCAAGTGAGTCAGTTAATAAGGTTTTAAATTTTAAAACGTCTATCAATAAATATAGATGCCGGTATGGGTATCTATGGATAAATCACCGATTGAACTTCTTCAGCTCCAACCAGCGCATAGGCGGATACACCAACATCGTCCACGAAACACCAACCCAAATCCCCAGATCTGATCCATAGTCCCCAACCATACTCGCAATGGGACCAACATACCAAATCTGGTCCATTGAAACGATAGCTCCAGCCCAACCAATAAGGAAAGCCAACAAAGCAGCAATGCCGATTGGCAGCTTGGAAGAATTCGCCCAATCATCCCAGTTAAACCCTCTCGTACGACGGAAAATCATATGCTCTTCAACTGCAATCGTCAGGTAGATAGTGACCCAGTACCCCATCAGCGACAAGAAATTATCAAAGATGTCATACAAGTTATTCCGACCACCAAGCGCACAAGCAGTGTAAATCACAACACCAACACAAGAGTAGAACCACCGTGGTAGGCGGGCTAAATGGCGGCCCATAATTTGGAAACCAAGGGAAGCAGAATAAGTGCCGGGGATATTATTGGCAACGAGACCCAGCGCGACCAGGACACCCATGAACTTGCCGAACCCGCCGAGTCCGTCATAGCCTGCTAGAATGAGGGCACCGGATGAGGTGTCGTAGGCGGTGTTCCAGGTTTCGTGGGTGAAAGTGCCAGAGCCCAGACCAACGCCCATAACGTTGGCGAACGTTAGAGCTAGTCCCACCCCTAGGAAGGTCATGAGGAAGGTCTTCCATGCCGACGTGGTTGGTGGGAAGTAGACGAAGAAGTCGGCACCTGCGGGCGCCCAAGCGACGGAAGCCGATAAGCAGAGTGAGAAAAAAGAGAGGCGATTGCCTGCGATCGTCTCAGAAGAGCCGGCTGAGCTGATCATAGTGTCGAATTTAGGACCTGCACTGCCGACCAGCACGAAGATGGCGATAAATTGTGGAACCCAGGCCCATCTATGTAATTGTAAGTTTTTAGGGTGAGAAAGTAGTTTGCGACTCAACTTACCTTTCATAAATGTGGAAGACCGTCATGCCAAACAAAACCACTACCCAGGTCATAATAGCGATAATGATAATGCCCACGATAACGGTCATCCGGCCTCCAGAAACAGCAGAGAGAACTTGCCCACCAACCAGACAGTCAATCATACCATATCCAAGCATGATAATGATATTGAGCAGACAAGCGATTTTACTAGGGTAATAACCCATAAAGTACCTCGCGACGACCTAATCTCATTAGCCCAATTCCAAACATGAAAAGTTACAAACATACCATCGTACGATTACCACTCGCTGGACCAAAAGTCCCCATATAAGCAACCCCAGCAGCACCAAGCAAGGCGCCAAAAGTAGCACAGAGCGCAGAGTCGACAAAGCCCAGATCATAACTGAGTGGACCCAACATACCCACAGCAATATTATTGGCGGTGATATTAGTGCTGAACCACAAAAGTGTCATCTGCATATAGTCTGCAACCCTGATATCATGGCGCTCCTCAACGGGGACACGTTCCACGCCCCGAGACTCGAATAACTTCATCGAATTAAGGCGGGCATTGAGACTGCTGAAGAATCCGGACGAGGTCGGAGAACCAGCTCCGACCGACGCATCTTTGGGAGCTTCTTCCAGGGAGGTCTCGACGGTCGGAGGAGATTGAATGCCCTTCTCCTCATCTACCACGGACTGGGCCATGGTTCTGTCTCGTCACTCGTGGTGAAGTTGAGTCAAGGAAAATATCTTCAGCCGAGAATTGGCCGGGATCTAATTAGCCGCAAGGCTTATCTTCTGGGTGGCGGGGTGGGGATCCACTTATCTTATCTGCCAAGTCTCTACGAATAATGTCAACAGAGCGTTTACTTCATCACATTAATAAGATTTGTGATGCGGAATTGATTCGGGTATCGTAGCCCATTATTATATTAAAGCTTAACAAGTCAGGAAATGACCTTGTCGTTCATATACATAGGGATGATCTCCCTGAATAATCTCATCATATCGCCGGCTGATCCGCTCATAATTCTGTCCATACCGACCCAGTTCCCGTAGACGGATCGATACCCAGTCTTGATAAATCTGATCGGATGTTGCAATACCAGCAATAAACAACGGCCAGGTGATGCGCACCATAAGACGGGGTCGGGTGCGGTGAAGCTTCAGACTAAGTTCCAGGACATGGGACACTGCAGCACCGAGCGACATGAAGCTGATATTGATTTGGGTGCCAGGAGCCTTATTCACAATATTCTGAAAACAGAGATGGAAATATATCATTGTGCTGTAGAATGTGATGGCGGCCCAGTAGATAGTCTCCATGACACGACGACCATTGCCGACCGACTCGCAAGACGGGGCGATTTTGGCGGAAGTGAGCAAAGTGTCGTATTCCTGGACTAGTTTAGAAATGACACATATATGGGACCTATACGGAGTGTCTTACAATAGACAAGGTATTAATCTCGTGAACAAGGCGCTGGTACGGGGATATACTCTCCGGAGTTCCCTCTAATTGAGGCCCCCGTTTAAAAAGTTCGGTTATTTTAAATTGAATGACGTGGCTTCGGTGGTACAATGTGAGACCAGGGAGATTTTCCATATCGTCCAGTTGGGCAGAGACGGGGTACGTTTTCCCCCAGAAGCGAGAAGGTGATTGCCTGCTGATCCGATAGAGCTCTGGCAAAGTTAAAGGACCAGTGGTGGGAGTCTCGGCACCCAAAAAGAATTGGAAAATGTCAGTGTCAAGTCGGGCGGTTCCGGGCCCAAAGAAAAGCGCCGCTGGAGTAAAGAAATATAATGTCCAAAGAAGGAAAAGCGGGACAGAAGTACACCGCAGCGTGTCTAACGATTTGGGCTCTGAATAGAACTCGGGCGGTGTAGCATTCGTAATTGGGGAGTCGGTAGATGACTGCCTCTCGGGTGAGGATTGCTGCGGAAATGCTTCAGGTTCTAGAGTAAGTGCTGAGAGAGAAGAAGGCTGAGATGTAGGTGTTTGAGTCGAGAGTCGATCTTGGAGCAAAGGCACAATATGATTATGAAGCAGAGTTTCAATGCCTCGAATATGGATGTTGATGGCTGGTGCTCCGCTGCCAAACCGGTTCTCATAATCGATCATGAACCATAAAGTGATGAAAATAGCTTCTATTTTCTGTGGAGTCTTCACGTCCTGTTTCAGAGCATGCCGTAGACTCGATAGGGCTCGACCATAATGCATTCGTCCCGACAGCTCACAGGACTCATTATTAGCTGAGATACTAGGCAAGGCCTCTTGGTCATAAAGTCGAGATCGATGGACCTCTCTTGCAGTAGTGGCTAGTATCATGCTCATGACCATCGGCTCTTTCACCGAGATCTTCTGGTAAGTATAAGACACGGTAGACCATGGCCAATGTTTTCCTAGAAGTACAACCAACGTTGAACTTTGGAGATAGTTTAGACAATCCCGGTCAAAGCCCGATAGAGTCAAAGAATTGGCAGCGGTCACGTGTTGATCACTATTGCCATCAAATCGTTCCAAGGGAAGCAAGGGCGCTTGAGAACAGCTGGGCTGCGGCTGAGGATGCTGAGGTCGATTTTGAACCACTTGACCGGTCTCCTCAGCCTCTCTGTGTTGTGCCTCTCTGCCTTTCTTCGCAACATTGGCTAATGGAATTGTTGATTTCCGCGGAATTGGTCCGCCTTTCCATTCACACAATATGCGTGCCGACACGCATCGCCTACATTGCGGCTCGTCGAGGCCTTTCACTTGTCGCTTTTCCTCGTCGCATTTGACCTTGCGCATGCGACACGACCGGCAGCCTAAAATAGCAGGATTAGATTCCTTGCCAGCGAGGGGGGCAGGTGTGGATCCTTACCAGTCTTGGAACGTGTCTTACGCGACTGAAGCATGTTATTTGAGTTTGCCGAGCTCCCGTCACGCTACATCTGGTCGCACAGGGTCAGGACCCGCTTATTTAGCGATGCTGGGGTCCAAACCTGGGGTATTTAGCTTAAGCGAGAGTAAGAGTGACAATTGACAGAAGAATATGTGTTGAGGGGGAAGTGGAGGCCGGGGAAGAACAACGCCTTATCTGCCGAGTGGAGACAAGACTATCGATAGAGCCAAGCCCACTGCCGATTGGCTGCTTCGCCAAATCCTAGATCCACGCATTGTCCCATTGCCGAGCAGAGACACCTTTGGCTTCGCTATCTCTCCTATCGGAGCCCGCCCGAGATAGCCGGGCCATGGAAAGTTTGGCTGGGACTGATATAAATTTGAGCTCGGAATCTTCCATTATGGCGTTTTTGCGCTTTTCAATACTGGTAATCAAAGCCAATCACACACCATGCACGTTGCTGAGTCACAGAGAGTGTTCCTGGATATTGTCCAAAAAGTACTTCAGCGATATGACACGCAGCTGAAAGATATCAACCACAAGGTATGTGGTCATTTGTTGTCTCGGTTTCAAGTTTCAGTGACTGATTCTGTCTAGATCTGGTCTAATCCGGAGCTTGCATATGAGGAATTCAAAGCTCATGATAACATTTGCGAGCTCTTTGAAAGCCTTCAATCGAGCGAATATGAAGTCACTCGGAAAGCGTATGGTGTCGAGACTGCTCTTGAGGTCAAGTATTCCTATGGCACAGGAGGCCGAACCGTTGCATTTAACGCCGAATACGATGCTCTTCCCGGCATTGGTCACGCCTGTGGTCATAATTTAATCGCGACAAGCTCCATCGCCGCTTTCATCGCTACTTGCGAGGCAATGAAAGCTCAGGCCCAGGCTTTGTCTGTGCCGGGATTTACTGTCCGGCTATTAGGCACTCCGGCAGAGGAATCCGGCGGCGGCAAAGTCAAGCTGATTGACGGTGGAGCCTATACCGATGTGGACGCTTGTCTCATGGTGCATCCCGTCCCAATGGCTCCTGGGAATCCGGCTCTCTGCGGTATGGCTACCGTTGTAGAAGGAGGCTTTTTGGCCAATGATAAAGTTCAAGTGACCTTTACCGGCAAGCCTGCCCACGCTGCTGCGGCGCCCTGGGAAGGCATCAACGCACTGGACGCGGTTGTGTCGGCATATGTCAGCATTTCCATGCTCCGACAACAGATTCTGCCTTCTCAGAAAATCCATGGAGTCATTACGGAAGGAGGCACGCGTCCGAACATCATTCCCATGTCTGCCACTGTGGATTATTACATTAGGTCCCCGACCAAAAAGACATTGAAGCCCTTGACTGAAAAGGTTATTAATTGTTTTGAGGCTGCTGCGACTGCTACAGGCTGTAAGGTCTCATATAAATGGTATGATGATTTATCTCTAGCCCTCATAAGGACAATCCGAGCTAATAAGAACTGCAAGGGGACCGTCGTATGACGATCTGAAGAGCAATATGCCGATTTGTGAGAACTATGTCTCGGCAATGAGAGCGATGGGTCACCATACACTACTCGACAACTCAGAAATTAAGGGCGCACTTGCTGGTGCTTCCACTGATATGGGTTAGTCGACAGCCTAGTCCTTCCAAATCTCAACTAACACTGCACTAGGTAATGTCTCTTATGTCGTGCCTGGATTCCACGGCATATTTTGCATTCCTGTCGATGGGGTAAACCATACACCTGGGTTTACTAAAGGCGCTGGATCTTCCGAAGGGCATGAAAGAGCCATCGCATGTGCGGCTGGTATGGCTGTAGTAGCTTGTCAAATCCTAGTCGATGATGAGCTTGCCGAGTCGGTTAAGAAAGACTTCCAGCGAGCGTGATAGAGGAACATATAGCCAATATGAAATGGAATTGTTATCGTGACTTCTTAGCTTGACATTCGTAGGCGCCAGGTTTCTCGAAAATTGAACTTTGTGTATAACCCCGCTTCTCCTAACTCCTGAAAATCGATCTGAAATTTCTGAATATCCAGTTCCGTCGAGTTAAATATCAGGCTAATCGCATACAGTTGTATCGCTCAACTTGCCACAGTCCAAGCCGCCAAGCATCTCTAGTTGTGCCGACATAGCCAATCGCCATGTTGCCGAGGTTTAGCTGCAGTACCTTCTTATCACAGAGTAGAAGATTGCGGAGATGCTTTATCTGTGCCCTGCATCAATGCCAAGTGATAGAAGGAGATTCAGTCATCAGGGACGCTCGCATATAAATACCTAGGTGTTGTCGTCTCATGGAGCAATGCGCTTTACATTGTGAATCTTGATTTTTATAAATCTTCTACTCCAATCAATACGACTGATATAACGATGGAAAAAAAAAGAGCAGACATAGCACAAGAAGCGGATAGTCAAATCGTCGACCATGGAGCTGTTGAACAGTTTCAAACCTTCCAGTTCTCCCCCGAGGCAGAGAGGCAGCTTGTCTGGAAAATCGATCTCATGTCAGTCGTGCTGGAATTTTCCGACAAGAAATTTGATGAGGGTCTATGCTGACATTTAAAAACCGTTTGGCTTAGGATCCTTCCAATCATGGTTTTCGCATACTTGATGGCATTTTTGGATAAACAGACTCTCAACTATAGCGCGTTGATGGGACTCCGTGAAGATCTCCACTTGGTTGGAACACAATACAGTTGGAGCTCGAGCATCTTCTACTTTGGATATCTCATATTCAGGCATGTCTTATAACCACAAACATACTAGAGCCCAAGAGCTGAGGAGCTGACTGTGAATGCAACAGTTTTCCAGCCTCCCTTCTGATGGTCAAGTTTCCCCTTGGAAAATATCTTGCCGTGAACTTGTACGTATTCTGGAGAAGACATCATGGTTTCATCTTTATTAATATACAGCCAGCATGCTATGGGCAATCATTCTTGCTTGCCACGCAGCAACAACAAACTTTGCCACCTTCATGGTCACTCGATTTCTTCTGGGATGCACCGAAGCTAGCATGTCCCCGGGGTTCACTCTCCTAACCTCCCTTTGGTACCGCACATCTGAGCAACCACTGCGCTCAGGGATATGGTTTTGCGGAAACTCACTCTCGCTTATTTTCGGTAACCTTATCGCCGCGGGCATTATACACATCAACAGCAAGCTCGCATCGTGGCAGGTGAGAACATCCCTCATGTCCGGAATGGTTGATTTACCTAACATGATGTTTCTTTTGACAGTGGCTGTTTATTATCTTCGGCATTATTACATTCCTATTTGGTATTGTGATGCTTCTGCGTTTACCAGACTCGCCCACTGATGCGAAATTCTTAACCGAGGAGGAGAGAGTGATTGCCGTTGAGCGGCTGAAGGATAATAAAGCCGGATTCAAAAACAACGAAATTGACCGGGGCCAGATCCTGGAAGCATTCAAGGATGTCAAAACCTGGCTTTTGGCTATGCTAATGTTTGCTTGTAATATTGCGAATGGAGGTTTCACAACGGTTTGTCCATTTCTACCTGCCAAGGCAGGCAATCATATTTTCAAAGAGTCCATTCTAAGAGTAATTAGTTCAACGGACTTGTTCTGGAAGGATTCGGCTTTGACCTATTTCACACCTTACTCCTGGGCCTACCAGGTGGTGTGATTGTGTGTATATTCGTTTTCATATCGTAAGTGCTTTCACACGAGTGACTATGACGATACTCATAAGCATTTAGGGGCTATGTCTCATCAAGAGTGAAGGGTAGCAGGTGTATCGTCATGGCTGTCATGTTTCTCATAAGGTAATCTCAAGATATTGCTCAGCTACTTGCGACCGTGTTAATGCCAGTTTAGTATTCTTGGAAGCTCCCTCGTCTACGCAGGGGGAAACATTGCCTCTCGCTATGCTGGTCTTCTCCTCATGGGAATCTACTCCGCCGCAATGCCGGTATCGATGGCAATGATTAGTTCGAATGTGGGTGGTTTCACTAAAAGAGCCACAGTCAGTGCGATCTATTTCATCATGTATTGCGCGGGAAATATTGTTGGACCCCAGCTCTTTTTTGCACGCCAAGCACCAAGATACGAGGTAAGGAGATTACCAAAGGAGTGTAACACGTCAAGGAAAGAAGTTTGCTGATCAATCACAGAGCGGATTCTTGGCTATTATAATATGTTTGGTTGCTACTGTTGCTATTAGCCTGATAATGCTGTTCTATCTCAGATGGGAGAATAGCCGACGGGATAAGCTGGGGGTCAGTGGAGACTGTGTTACTAACGAAAAGGCATCTACGATAGTAGCGCATGGGGGACTTTTGGATATCACTGATGGGAAAAACAAGAATTTCAGGTATGTGTATTGAGATTACTTAGCGCTGTGCGATCGGAGAACAGCATCGTTGTTCCAATATCAATAGGCGAGAGTGCTCCCAATTCCCAATCAATCCATACTAAGACTGGAAGTGCTTGTTGCAAAACTGCCTCACCAACGTAAAAGGCGTCATTATATTAACACACAGAGCATATTTCTAAATTTCCACTGCTTCAAGGGCGTGCAAACTAACAATATCAGACGGAATTTGAGTGACAGCAAAATTTCCGGCTGTAGTCCCTAGATCATGAAGCAGACAAAAATAGGCCCAAGTCGCTTGGTTAAGAGTGAGCCGAAGAATGTGCTACCTTTGGATCACCATTCCTGCGACGCCTAAAAAAACGGGGCGCATGGTAGAACAGACGCGCCTTGAGGTTTCAGCCGGCATTCGTGCCGGTGTACTTCCCCCAGGGCGGGCTTACCGAAGTAGAAAGCTCTCGTCGAATGAGCTACATGTCTGCAAGGCAAGACGCCATGACATAAGTGAGGATATTTGCGACTTGTAATCCCCATATGGGAACGAGATCTCGCTCAGTGAGAGGGGTGTGAACTGGCTAACAACTGAATGATTAGGATACCTAGCAGCAACATACTGAAAATAGCGTCAAAGATAGTCATTTTCGGCGCTCGATATACCGTCATCTAGCATTGTGGTGCGATTGAAGAAATAAAGTCCAAGTAGTATGGAAAATACATTTATACAGGTATTTGGTTCCGGGATTTTTTGCGTGGTGATTGTGACCTCAATCTTTGGATGTTTCCCCATTGAACGATATGGATGATAGACTCAATTCGTAGAACAAGCTTCTTACATGTTTCCTCTGGAGACTCTTTTCTTCCTTCTCCCTCTTGTTCGTGCCTTTCTCTGCAGAATTAACTTTTTTGTGGACATCAAGAGTACCACTATGAGCTAGTATCCACGACAAGAGCATAAAACATCGCATGCAAATGATGAAAAAAAATGCATGATTTCCTCACAACAAATTACCGAATCAGAACGGCTGTGGAGCAGAATTATGAAAAATGTCACAGTCGGTCTTTTTGTTTAGGTCCACCCACGCCGCTGTTGCACCGGCACTCACTGCTCTCTGAACTCACGGTTCCAAACCCATTCTTATATGTTGTCAACGTTGCGCCACCAGATGCACAAGTCCCGCAGTTCACAGCCTGTCCATTCTTGAGCTGGATCAGACGGACGATGTAATTTTCTTGTTCACAGAGAGTTGACTAATTATATTAAAGCGCATCTAACGTAAGCTAATGCTCATGCTCACTTAGCGCGACCTACAGAAGTTCCAAGTAGGGGCATCGACGTGAAATACCTTTGGATCGTGAATGCTTTCTTACGTTTGTTAGTTGCCCTGGAGTTCGAGGCCGTGAAGCCTAACAGATCATGCTCCAGGGAAAAAAGCAGAAGTGTGTTTGTCTCATTGGTTGAAGTCAGTTGCTGGCATATCAGGAGGGAAACGGGCAAAGATTCGATGGGAGAGGCTGTCCAGCTCTTCAGTCAGCTTCAGAAAATTATGATTCCTGTGCGGTGGGCAAATAAGAAATATCAAACGCCATCACCGGCAAGCTCATGTATGCAAGAGTCTTGTGCTGAGCACCGAGGGAACTATGACTGCTGGTCGCGGCGACGGGAGGATAATTGCATGCTACTCACGTGATCCCGCCCTGCGCTACTGTGTAAGCTGACATACCCCGGAAACCACGCTAAATCCTCCAAGTTCAGGGGTCGAGATAGAATAAATAAGCGAGACCGTTCCTACTAGTGTTTGCCCCTGTAAATTTATCAATATTCATCCCGTTGTTGGACACCTTCGTGCCTTAACTACGCTCACTACCATGAAGATCGCTCCTTTCTGGGTCTACATCGCCCTATCAGCTCCACGGGCTCTAGCAGACCTTACCGGAACCACAGCGACATCTGCTACGTCCACTACCTCTACTGCCACGGCATCAACTTGCACAGCTTCCCTCATCACCAGTCTCTGCAGCTACCCGGAACCTGACCTAGACTTTGTTGTCGCCGAAGACAGTAGGGCCTCCTGCTGGAACTACTGTAACGCCCACCCTCCCTGCGACTTTGTTATCTTTTCTGCCGGTAACCCTACCACGGGCACCGGAACGTGCTGGCTGTATCCGGGTGAAACCTTCAATGCGACCGAAGGTAGTTCGGATTGCGCCAATCCCACCCTGTCCGTATACAGTCAGCCCGTGTGTGCTGGCGGGAGCGCAACAACCACTGCTGGCGCCTGCACGGCCACCGCGACTCCCTCTGATATTGCCTCGGTCTGCGGGTACCCAGCGCCCGGTGACTGCTTTGACGATTGTATTGCTAGTACAGGGGCAACGGACTGCTTGAGCCAATGTGCAACGGCCGACTCCTGCAGCTATGTCGTCTTCAATCCAGATAATTCAGGCAACTCGCCGTATGCCTCGGGAAGTTGCTGGATATATCCGAACGGCACATTTAACGCTGGGTCTGCTACCACTTGTAGTGGCGATCCTGAGCAGTTCGTGTATAAGAACCTGTGTCCCAAGCCATCGACTTCATCATCTTCCCTTTCATCGTCTGCTACGGAAAGTTCAAGTGCCACTGGAACTGCAGGGACTACTTCAAACTCAACTACTAGCGCTGATACGGGCTCAACTACGAGCACCCCAAATTCTGCGCCAGTCGGCCTCTCGCTCACTAATCCATTGGCTATAGGCGTGGCTATATTAATGTGGCAGGCCGTTTGATGTCCTCCTTGTATGTATTATGTATTAATTATCTGTTCATGTTTACAAGCTATTGGAAACTCCATTTGAAATTAATGCACTCAGTATGAGGTGCTTTCTGTTGTTGTATATCTCGCTACCGTAGAGTACATGTTAAGAAAATTTATCCCATATTGCAACTAAAACTAATAGACTAGGGCTCCGAATAGTACGAAACACGTTACTATCTTAGTCGACCTTAGAAAGAAGCGGTGGACCTATAGCTTTGAAATCGGGAATTCTAAACCACGGCATATCAATTGATAGGTATTAAATGATGGTCTTTGATATTGGAATCTTACAGATACATGCCCGTCAACCTTCGTTTGAATATTGAAGTATCTTGGTCATGATATATGGGCATATATCGTGCTCTCTATTCATTCACAGTAATAAAAAGTATATCGTGGAGGATTCAGCTGTTTATCCCAATCACAATCCTAACATACTGCTTTCCTCGATCAGACCGTGCAGCATTTCGGCCACCCTGATCGCAAACTCTGGGTTATTGATATCACGCTTATCTCGGACCACCTCAATCCCACTCCCCTTGAGTTCATTCTCCAGAGTAGAAAAGAGAATATCATCCGCCTCAGGGTCCCAAAATGGTTGGTCAGGACGATCAAGCATACTAATTCCACCAGTAGGAAAGATCACCTTCGTTCTGGAAGTAGAGCCATGATGCCCCCCCTCATCTCCCAACAGATTCTTCGAAATCAATCTTGCAATGCTTTCGCACTCCTCCTTGGTAGTCCTCATAAGGGTGATGGTGGGATTATGCCGATGCAAAACTCGTCCAACACCCGAGTCCCCTCCCTTAAAGCAAGGTGGAACACTTTCAAACATCCCAAAATTAACCATATCACATGCTCCAACACTAACAACCCGCGGAATATTCCTCGCCGTTGCTGCACGTAGCCGTCCAGGCCCAGCACCCAAGACCCCGCCAACAACCTCATCCGCGATCTCAGTAGTTGTCAAATCAAGAATCGCATCAAGCTGACCTTCAGCGACAAGCCTCTCCATCGCCCGTCCCCCAGACCCAGTCGCATGAAAGATATAAATCTCACAAGATCCCGGGAACAAAAGCTCTAAATGTTCTTTCGCCATTGTAGCAGCCGGCGTAGTTACCCCAAACATAGTGATACCAATCCGCACCTTCCCTCCGTCCGTCGTCTTTCGCCGATTCAGATATCCCCAACCCATTCCCACAATGGCAGCGGCCGCATTCCCGAGTACCCTATCCAAAACTCGATTTCGTCCCGCAATATCGACAACCGAGTACATCATGGCGATATCAGTTTCCCCGATGTAAGGTCCCACATCGCCGGATGCCATTGTGGATACCATTAATTTGGGGAACCCCACTGGGACTGCATCGCGCATTACTGCTGCTGCGAGTGTTGTGCCGCATGAGCCGCCTATGCCCAGTATTCCGTTAAGAGATGGCATTAACGTCGTGACCATGCGAATAGCAAGTGGAGTGAGGGTTTTGATGTATGCTTCTCGGGAGAGAGAGCCAATATCGATGTCCTCGGGTGGATCTGTATTGCGGGGTGGATCCAGAGATGATTTTCGAGTGAGTTCTGGATTGAGGATGTCATGTTGAGTGATATCTATTTCTGGGTGGGAAGTTGGTTTATGACCAATGTCCATTAGAAGTACATGGCTCTTTTGCGATTCGAGTTGTGATTTTGTGTAGAGGAGCTCGGGAAGCTTACTATCACATGTGCCAAGGAGGAGAATCGTTGGCTTAGACGGCATGGCACAGGTTTCATAAGTGCCGGGCACAAGAGGCTCGAGATATCCAAGCTGTTGACAGGAGGTGGGAAACTGATGCGTCGTTTGCGGGGTGAAGAGCTTTTTAGGTGGTGCAGATGAGGGGAAATCTCATACGTAACGTGCTCATATCCATGTCCACTCTTCTGCAACTAATGCATCTTCAGCAGGATTTACTCCGCATAGGGATCCACTCTGTCTTTTCCATGCTTTGATTCGCTCCTTTGGAATCAACCTGAACGAACCTTATTGATGTGTAGTTCCATCAACTCGGGCACTACACCTGTGTGAGTGCTCTCGTTTCGCTTTTTTATTACCAAATGTGAACTGAGAGAGTATGATGATTGGACCCCTGATCATCATATCAGCATGCTCTCTATATATCACGTTATTTCATACAGCTATGCCCCTTAGGATAACTGTTATTTACACCTATCAAACGTGATATGCTATATTATCTTGTCTTGGATTCCAGGGGGGTCGACCATCATGTGGCCTCCATTGAACAATTAGACCTGTAAAACGATTCATTTGTATCTGCCTGTTGACTGTAGTATCATAGTTCTATAGCTGGGATCAAGAAACGTAGTCTCACCCTCGAAATCTATCTTGTGAGGACGGAACCCATTCACACGCAAAGAAAAATCCAAGCAAAGCTGATGATCGCCCTCACAGGTGACGGTGGCTACAACAGAGCAATCCCACAGAGCAATCCGCAGAATTAGATCCATAGAAGTCGACAATCTAGTGACAAGAGCAAGTCACTTTGGATACACCCAACAATATTGAATTTATAGATGGTGCTTGCACTAAGCCAAAGCACAACATCCCTGGTAATTTCGCGGCCATAATCAGACTTCCAACATCATACCATTGCTCTGCCTTGCTGATGTATGAAAGATATCTCCCCGATCATATTCGGCGCAACTGACAAGATGAGTTGATGAATAAAATTCTTTCAAGCATGCAGGACGAGGCTCTTACGGAATAGTACAGAAGGTAAGACATAACACCTCGCCAACAACAATGGTCGATCTACTTGATACGATGGCGAACTACAATTACAAACATGGAAAACTTGAGGAAGAGTTTTGCACTCAGCATTATTATGTTTCATTTAATATGAGGTGCGCCAGCTACATCAGCTCAAGCAGCACAATTTCAGGTATCAAGAAAAAAACCCATCCGGTACGCAGTGTTGAATGCAAGACCATCCCGGTCAAACCCACGCCAGTAAAATAAAAAGCATACAGCCCAGGTTTGTGGAAAACCACTTTTTATGCCGTTGAAGGACAACCACTAATGGGATTCTAAGTTGATAAAGAATCCCGAATGCCAATCGTAACATCGTCGAATCATGTTGAAAATCTATATCTCAAGAAAATGGAATATCGGACGCAATTGGAATAGCCTTTTCTTAAAATTTTAAGAGAAGTGTGGTTGCGTTGCGCTTAGTAGCGGTAGATGTCGGCCTTGAAGGGACCAGCGACCTCGAGGCCAAGGTACTCAGCCTGGACGGGGGTGAGCTCAGTCAGCTTGACGTTGACGTGAGCCAAGTGGCAGCGAGCGACCTGCTCATCGAGCTGCTTGGGCAGGACGTAGACACCAACGGGCTTGCGGCCAGCGCTGCCGAACTCGATGTACTTGTTGCCGAAGACGGCATCCTCAGCCTTGAACAGAGCGATCTGAGCAAGAACCTGGTTCGAGAAAGAGCAGGACATGACGAAGGAAGAGTGGCCAGTGGCACAGCCGAGGTTGACAAGACGACCCTCAGCGAGGAGGATGATGTGCTTGCCGTTGAGGAGGTAACGGTCGACCTGGGGCTTGATGTTCTGGACGGACTGAGCGTTGGCCTTCAACCAGGCAACGTCAATCTCAATGTCGAAGTGACCAATGTTGCAAACGATGGCGTCGTTGCGCATAGCCTCGAAGTGGCGGCCAACCAGGATGTCACGGCAACCAGTGGTGGTAACGAAGATCTGACCGATGGCGGCAGCCTCGTCCATAGTGACGACCTCGAAACCCTGGACAGCGGCCTGGAGGGCGTTGATGGGGTCGATCTCAGTAACGAGAACGCGAGCACCCATGGAGTGCAGGGCCTGGGCGCAACCCTTACCGACATCACCGTAACCGGCGACGACACCAATCTTACCAGCGATCATGACATCGGTGGCACGCTTGATACCGTCGATGAGAGACTCACGGCAGCCGTAAAGGTTGTCGAACTTGGACTTGGTGACACAGTCGTTGACGTTGATGGCGGGGACCTTGAGAGTGCCCTCCTTCAGCATGCGGTACAGGTGGTGAACACCAGTGGTGGTCTCCTCAGAGACACCGAAGCAGCCCTCGAGCATCTCGGGGAACTTCTTGTGGACGAGGGAGGTGAGGTCACCACCGTCATCCAGGATCAGGTTGAGCTTCTTGCCATCCTTGAAGGCCTTGAGCTGCTGCTCGAGACACCACTCGTACTCCTCCTCGGTCTCACCCTTCCAGGCGAAGACGGGAACACCAGCGGCAGCAATGGCGGCAGCGGCGTGGTCCTGGGTGGAGAAGATGTTGCAGGAAGTCCAGGTGACCTCAGCACCGAGGTGGGTGAGGGTCTCGATGAGGACGGCAGTCTGGATGGCTGGAGAGAAAATCAGTACAATTCATCTTGTTAATTTTTGGTAAGAAAACATACTCATGTGGAGACAACCAGCAATACGGGCACCAGCCAGGGGCTGGTCAGCACCGTACTTCTCACGGATGGCCATCAGACCGGGCATCTCAACCTCGGAGAGCTCGATCTCCCGGCGACCGAAGGCAGCCAGGGACTAGATGATAGCAAGTTAGTTATCATGCCAGACGGAATGATCAACATTGACCTCCATTGAGAACAGAGAAGGGAACACATACGATGTCAGCGACCTTGAAGTTGTGGGCGGGGGCAGCCATTTTGTATGTGTGGAAATGAAACTGAAGTGGAAAGAATTAGCAACAATTGAAAGAGAGAATTCACTGAGGATGAGAACTAACCAAGAAAAAGGGAGAAGGATGAGGGATAGAAGAAGAAAAGAGGGAAGAGAAGAGAAGAAAAGGGAGGGGAACGCAGATCCAAGAGGAGGGGGAAAACTTCGGGGACCCATGAGTTTGTTTCAGTACATTCTCACCCATACCGATTTGTGTGTGAACTCAGGTACTGGTACTTAGTCGGTCAGCCCACTTAAGCTAAGTTAATGGTGGGGTCAATCTTAGTCATGCATATCGGCATCCGACGGACACTCAACCTGCCGAATAGAACTGAGCTGTCAGATGCAATAAGGGACCTTGGAGAATAACTTCGGAGCTCGGAAATCTTCGGTTTATTTTCAGCTCTCGTCTGTGCGGACAAACTGTTTTAAATGGATTAATCTCTCGCGATCTGAGGTCTCAAAGCATTGCAGCCTCGTGGCCTTGGGGGCCGTCAAGGAGCAACATAGAGTTACGGAATGCCCCGCTTGCCCTAAAGATCTTCTGACTCGGCGAGTAGAAACTCCGTGGGAAAACACATGGTCAAAATTCAACGGTATACAGAGAATGACCATGTTTCATAAAATTGACTTAAAATTAAAGAACATTGCGGCATTTCAAACCAAAAACTCGTCGCATCATCAATCATAAATTCGTTTGCCGCCCGGAACACACAGATGAGGGTGAAAAACCATCATACAGGCACTAGTAGGAAAGCTGTGCAAGCTCACTTGAAGCATTGTTATGGGCAAGAGACCCATTTCTCGAAGGCGGGTACTCGATTTCATCGGGCCACCGATGGCGCTTCGGGGTAGTCTGACTGCGCGAGCGTTTTATGAGTCTCTTCTTTGCCCGCTCCTCACATTCTTCTTGAAAATGCTTGTGTTCCTTGCGCTTCTCGTTAACCTCCTCCCACTCCGCATATGCCCCCTTGATACCCAGTGCCGCTAAGCCCACGCTAACCGCGTCCAAGGTATTGGCCTTCATCCTGAGTTTGCGCGCCTCCTCGGGTGTAATCTTTCCCTCCTCAAGTTCTTGTAGACGCTTCTTTCGCTTCTGAACACTCCCATAAAGACTATGTGCCGCATGAACAGTCGCCACAGTGGCCAGGCCACCGGTCAGCATCATATCTCGCCGCATCTTCTTGTGCTTCTTCTTCTCATCATCACTGTCGCCTAAGTCAGAATCACTCTCCGAACTGGAATGGCTATGGTTGCCCGCTCTAGTGAGTGCGCCTTCGCCTGCGGTCTCTCCGCGCGGCGCGCTAGTGGGTACCGATCGCCTGTTGTTATAGGGGTAAGGGGGTTGGGAATTTCTTCCATCCACGGAACGGTATCGACCTACATCTCTCGAGCCTCTGCCCCGTCTCGGATCCCTGCTGCTGCGGTAATAGTCGCTATCTGCGTCGGAATCGGAATATGAGTTGGAACGATCGCGACGCGAATCGCGGTGTCGACGCCGCTCGCCTCGCTCACGTCCATCATCTGAACGTTTGCTTCCTTCTTCGCCCAGACCCAAGGCCGCCATGCCCTTGCTGATGTATTCTGAGACACTCTTGCTGCGCTTCTTTGAGCCGCGCCGGTCATCATCGCTATCTGAAGATCTACCTCGCTCGCGAGGACGAGATCGGGAGCGAGAGAAACGATCATAGATTTCTTTGCCGGCTGCTGCTATCGCTCCAGAGGCTGCCAAGTCTTTGAGGCCACCACTGGACTTTCGGTCACGGGAATTGCGGCCCCGAGACTGGGATCGGCCTCCATTCATGAAATGGGTAGCGGCAAGACCAGCCAGAGTCGACTCGACCATGTGACGCTTGCTGTGCTTTTTGGGATCGCGATCAACGAGGCCATCAGTTCCAGCGGCTGTGACTGCAGCAGTCAACACGCGCTTGCCCTTTTCGCCGGTCCATTCACCAGGGTCCTTACGAGACCGGAAGGCTTCGACGGCACCGGCTGTGAGAGCGGCACGAGCAGCTTGAGAGATGCGGCCTTCACTGCGTTCACGGCGTTTACGATCGCGGTCACGACTGCGGCTGCGCGACCGAGAGTCTGAAGAGTAGCCGCGATAACGAGATGATGCGCGGCCACGACCATCACGGTCACGGCCACGGTCACGGTCACGGGATGCAGCAGAGCCCAGACCAATAGCGCTCATTGCTTGCTCACTGAATGACTTGCGGCGTCTATGGCGAGGTGGCGATGGACTGGGCGATAGAGAAGAGTATCTGGAGCGGCGCGGTCCTGCGTGGACAGTCAGATTAATGCGCCCAAGAAAATACCGAACATCTTTTCCAAATCAGGTAAGACGGTATAGCACTTACGACGATCGTCATATTGACGAGAGGGTCGCGCTCGCGAGCGATAATACCCATCGTAATACGGATCATGGCCACTAACGGATGAAGCACGGCGCACATTTTCATAAACCGGGCGCCTCGATCGCCGCGAGTCGTAGCCACGCTCATAGACATAGCCCTCACCGGGAGGATAATCGCGCTGGATTTCCTCGACCGACTCGTCAGGGTAAACTTGTCGATCGTGTCTTTCATAGCGAGGGCTGTCATAATAGTCTGCAGCGTAGCTCACGGGGCGGGCACGGTCGCGCGGGGCAGGGTACCGTCGGTCCTCATAGTATGCCATGGTTCCGTGTGGGGCCTCTTTCAGAGGAAAAGGGGGCGTTTGGGTCTATTCAAATGAAAACGAAAATTTGTCGTAGATTTGAAACCTGTCACTGTTTACAAGGACACAGGGGGAAAAAGTTGTTGTCGAGAGAAGATCGCAATAAGCCGAAAGTCACAGAAAACTCGTGGCGGGGCAGGTGGCGTGACGTCGTTGGGAGGAGCAGGGATCAATGAGGCTGGGGACTTGAATTTGTGGCTGAGAGACTGTAGGCTGTGATGTTATTCCAGGTTAGATAAGACTTTTACCCATGATGTACTTGTGTACCAAGATCGAAAGTGAATTTTTGGAAAGGACAAGGGGGGTAAAGTAACTTTGTGGAATTAAGTGAGTTCTCTCTCTATATATTAATATCACACAATTCGTGTCACCGATATGACGTCGTCCCACCGTGCAGATTCCAGCCGTAGCTTCAAGGAAAAGGGTCGCAGGGAAGATATTACCACCGAATAAGCGACCGATCGGATGATGCCGTGGATCAACCATCGACCTGTCATGGCCAAGACAAGGCAGATGGTCGAGCTGCCCGACGTCATGCTGCAGGGTTTGCTCCCCCGGAAGTGGCTAAGTCTTGCCGCTGGGCTAGTTCGTCCCTTCTGGAACAAATCCAATAGCCAACGTCAGGGATCGAAGAGTTAGAAGTTGACCGCTATTTTGACACCGGATCCTGGAATAAGGTTAGAAAGAACCCCACGCACTGGATGTTTACCAACCTTGGGAGTTGCGTTGAAGTATAAGTAATTCCCGTCAACAATCGTTCCACGGAACACAATTCGGCTAATCCCGCACTTTGCCCAGGCAATGGATTCGTGGAATTTACTTGCGATTGTCGCGGATTTATCAAGAAGAAGCTATGTGTTGCTCAGTGCAGCCAGAACTGGTCATACACGTCATTTCATTCATGGTGATCCTTGTGAAGTACTATACTGAAGTACATCACCCTGGTCCCTCTAACGGGTTGGTTTATTCCAACCATTCAGGTCCTTCATAACATAATATAGAAGCAGATGCAATGGTACATGGGATATACAACAGGAAGGCAAAAATCAAACAAAGCCAAATACGCAAATAACCCCTTTTAGGAAGTCTGTCCCTCTTTGACCAATTCCCGTCGTCAGTGCGCTCCCAAATAGGAGCCAATAGCCGGGTGGTGCGAGGATGACAGAAGCCCATTGGCTATGCATGTTCGAGAATTATAACAAAATAAACTCCGGGGCAGAAAATGCGCTACAGAGACAGGATGAGACAGGATAAGGGAGAATGTTGCACACTGCACAGCAGTGTGAGGAGTGGTTTCGTCAGGAGATAAAAGTAGAAGCCGTATGCAGAGAATGGCGAAGGAAGGAAAACAGCCAGCCGGGGAGTAAGACTGGATGATACTCTGCATAGGTCATTATGGGAGGCGTGGTGCACTGCTGGGCGGCGGCATAGAGGCATCGGTATTCTGGCTGATCGTGCGATGGTGGGTGGCAGTAGCATATCCAGAATCAGGTCTTGACATAGCCCATCGCGTCTCGCCGTCCGGCTCGGAGGTAGTCGAGCGCATATCGTCGGAGTGTGTGCGGTGGGTCCGAATGTGTTGCTTCATGTTATCTTTGCGAGTGAATGCCTTGTTGCAAATGGGACAATGCACACTCTTCTCACCCGTGTGCTTCTTGCCGTGACGAGCGGCATGGCCTGAGGTTGTGAAAGTGGCCGAGCAGCCATGGCTCGAAGCATATGGACACGGATACTTGTTTTTTCGCCCTGTCCCCCGGATACCAGCCCCCTGGGAGGATTTGTTCTCTGATGGTGCAGCGGAATGGATCTCTGGGGGTGTTCGCGGCGGAGCAGGCCCGCGAGAAGGATAGCGGTATGGGTCTCGTCGCAGGTCCTGCCGAACGTACGGGTGGTAACCGGCTGATGACGGTTGGCTTAGTAGATAGTCGTAGGCGGAGCCATCGGAGGAGCCTGGCGAGACGGGTTGCACGACCTCGTTGACAGGGTCTAATGGATGCCGATATCCTCGCGGGGAGACTGTGGGGGACTCAGACGAAGCGAGCGGGCGCGAAAACGTGTCGCTGACAGGCGGAAGGCGCTGATACTGGTGTGGCTCCGACTGCGAAGAGTTCAAGGACCCGACTCTGGGGTTTGATCGGACAGCAAACGACGGGTTGTCGTCATTGTTGAGAATCGATACAATGTTTGTCCTGCTGCTGAGAGACATTTCCTCAGTGACCCGATGCACGGTCACCGGGGCTGGAAAATTATACTAGAAAGTTGGAATCTATATTAGTATTTTCGCCTTCACTTTGCTCGCTCGGCCGAGTCTAGGTATTTTGAGTTGATCTGACAGATTACAGATGCAATGAGAGAGGGTGGAAAGACGATAGGAGGGGGATGAGAGGGGCTCTGTGCCTCCCGTTGCATCCTAAGGACGTTCAACATACCAGTGGTTCTCGGAAGATGTTTGTCCTCTGTGTCGTATAACACGCCGACAACATTAGGCCCTTGAATAGGCACCTTTGGCCTGACCTGACAAAAAAACCCCAGAAAGACTCGAAGCTGTCCTCCGTTTCTTTTCCTTCACAGACGTGGCAAAGATCAGAGAGCGCAATCGAGGCGATCCCCAAAATAATGACAGGGTCGATCCCCACCTTCAAGTGACCAGGGTAGAGCTCGGGCTGGCGAATGTCGTTGAAGATAAGAGTTAAACGAATGTCGATTTCCCGTGACGCGAATAACCTCTGACGCAAGCTTTCACCAAATTTCCTTTCCAGGATCTGATTCCTTTTTCTCCTCTTTGTTTATTTTCCGCTGTTCCAAAATTCGTCGGGGGGGAAACACAACGTTCAACGGCAGTTGCAAACCGGCCTGGGGATATTGGCTGGGGAAATCAAATACACGAAACTGCTAGGCTGTCAAAGCTTTTGAATTGAGCACTAGCCAGTCTTCCAGAGAAATCGTAGGCCCCTCAGACGAAATCAAAAATCAAAAAATGGTCCCTTTGATATCACGGTGTTGCAAGAAATAGAGTTGGCCCTTGGTTTCATATGACGGAAGATTGAGTGGTAAGGAGGGGGAGACAAGATTCGTGATAGATAATCGAGATTATTCAAGATGACCCAAGAAGGAAAGAATGGTTAAGGGGAATCAAAACCAAAGGAAAGATCGAAAAGGATGAAGAATACAGTAGAAGTAGAGTCGGAAAAAAGAAGAAAAAAGACAATTTTACGAAGCCATGTCCCATTTCAGGTACTAAACATACTAAATATGGCGCCAGGCAAAGCCAAGCTTCCAGGGTCTGTTCGGCGAGGCTCCCCCAGAAGCTCCATGTATTTTCATACGTTGATACCAAGCGGACATAAGAGTGGAGCGATTCCACTTGGGCAATACAAGGGAAAACAGCATACGTGTGTATTTGAGAAATTAAATAGAAAATGGAGACTAAGTTAAAATGAAAAAAAGATTAAAAAGATTCTCAGTGCCGACAGGACCCCTAATCCACACCTGGAACTATGGCGGTTTCTGTGCAGACCCGTTTCTGGGCTCCGTTTCTTCCGGCCCGCCCCATCTTGACCCTGGCGGGGACGGACTCGTCAGCTTAGATCTACTTTGGCCCACGCCAATGATAATTTAAATTATGGCTTTTATTATGCTTTTGGTTTTTTATTGTCATTTATTATTTTGGATCTTTTGGGTTTGCTTTCCTCTCAAACTTCCTGTAGTTTGCAGATTGATGCTATTCGTTCTAACATATCGGAGCTTGTCCACCGGCAACGACTCCACCTGGATTCCCATTTCGACTAGGGCTTCGGTTGGGCCAAGCGAAGTGGTACTCTAAAACAAAAATGTTCATATCGGGTGAACTACGGGAAAAAAAGGGAAAAAAAAAAAAAAAAAAGTGGTAAAATATTAAGACGGCCCAGAAAGTTTTTTCCCCTTTGTTCCATGGACCCTGGGAACGATAATCGGCACAGGGACTTGATTCCCTGGATCACCCAGTTCGGTCGGGCTTTTCTTTAGCCATACTTTTTTTGCCTCTCGGGAACAGTGGTAAAGACGGCACAGATTGTTGATGATACCTATACACCGTATCACGAGGACCCCTTTTCCTCATAAACAACCTATTGAATTTTTTTCTGTATGGTGCTGAGCTTGGGGGCGAGCCGCTGGAGTCCGGGGACATACGTAAGTGATGATGTTGCGCTCGTCACCTATCCTCATTCGGAACTCACCTCCGGCCCCGAGGTTTAGGCGGTGGGGATTCGCTCTGGAACGACTGGGTGCTTGCGAAGCCCTATCGTCCCGATAAATTCTCCTTCCGTTCTAGTGGTCCTGCAGGGCCTGGAAGATTCTCATACGGGAAAAACAATTCTGATCTAAAGAATAACCCACTCGATCTACAGGGCTATCGATTCCGAGCTTTATGAAGTCTAATTGCATATCTTTAAAGGTTCTGAAGAATAACGTCGTGCCCGGTCCCCAATCGACATGATATTTTTCTGCAAATGGCATTTTGTACCGAGTCTTCGCAAGGGAGACAAACCGAGAGCTCAGTCTCAACTCCATTCGAATTAAGGAAACAAATCACCACGAGCACCTGCGACCACGTAAGCAGATAAGGCTAGAAACAAGCCCGGGATCTCCTACGTCCCCTAGTTGCGTACCCTTGAAAAAAACAAAAAAACGAAACTTGAAAAACAGCTACGGGTCAAGGGGCCACTCCTAGCCCGTGCAACCCTCGTACTCGTACGCGTCTACCGCCCCGCCCCGTGAACCTCTGCGCGGGGACTCTCCGCCCAGCGTACGTAAGTCAGCAACGTATGAGTTTAACTACTTGTTAACGCCTGGTTTTCATTCTGATAGTGCCATACGGTCATAATTACAGACTCGTTATAATGGGTCTTCGAATAAGAAGTGCCCGTGCACATTTTCAAAGCAAGTATCGTTCCACCTTGAATATGCAGACTGATTACGACCCCCAGCCCCTCAATGGCATAAGCAAGCCACAGATAGACTGCCGATCAGCCAAGCTTCTGCATGTTCCGATCTTGACCCTGGACACAGAATGGTTGGTTCGTGCTGACGGAGAAAAGAAAAGAGAGAGGGTAGAGGTCACAGACCAGCCAGAAGAAAAAAGAAAACCAAAAATCATTTAGATCCCGGACTTGAACCGTTGGGTGTATCAAGCCGAGCAATGATTTGTTCGGCGACAACGCTTGACGGAGCATACGTATGCGGTCTACGTATATCTGTCCCCCACTGGGCTGAACTAGCCCCGATCCAGCGATTATGCTTCCGTGATTATCCTGACTAGTCAAACTAGTGCTCGCATCACGACCATGATTCGTACGTCGCCCAGCCTTGAAAAATTACGCCACATGTTTTTGACTTGTCAGGGACTTTACTAGTGCGGTTCCCTTGATTTTAATTTTTTTTTCTTCCTTTCTCAAGCGGACCCTTTTTTATTTAATTTACACCTAGTCTTGGTATTTATACGCCATTTTTAACCCTGAATGCAGGGACTCGTGGCCAGTCCCCTCCCTTTTACCATATCAAGTCTAGTGTGACGTCAATTGGGACCCAGCTTCTGAACTCCATCCCCCATCTCTACTAGTGCTATGGAGTTGCTAATTTACGACTGCTGCACCTACTCAAGCCTGCCCACGCGGCCTCTGCTGCACTATCTTATACGCCATGCGCAGGATCTTGGTGGCTTGTAAAATTAATGCCAAGCGCGTCCTGGTCCATTTAAATCAGGTTGTCCAAAGAAGCTTGCGCGATAATCTTTTGGACCCCAACTTAGTAAGACTTTGATTTGACAGAGTATTTCACCTGGAAATGACATCGAAGTATTATGCTGTGTATTTTGTAGGGAAAGAAGATCTAATCGATTGGTTCGATCGATCAGAAACCACTGGGACGACAGAAGTCTAATCAAAATTAAAAAATTGGCAAAAGAATTTGACATCCGCTTTTCAACCCTTGGAAACAAGTGATCGGGGACTGGAGAAACAAAAACACGTGGTAAAAACAGAAAGCCCCATACCTGTACCAATTTTCCAGTTTTCTTGTCGCTAAGCTTCTCACCTCCAGGCCTCCACGATAACTTGATTCACACAGCCACAGCCCCGTTTTCATCTTCTTCAACCTTGCTGCCTGGCTTCCAGAACTGTCCCTGTCACCAAACCATTGGCGTTTATTCGCTCGGTACTTTACGGCCGACTCCATCGATGATCCGGCACCCGTTCTCCCGGCGTTTGTTTCTGCCAGGCGATCACGAATGTTCCCGACTTATGCAGCTGCCTACATAACCATTCGAACGCTCGGTCCCGATCGCTGTGGCGCATGTCACCGTATCTGGATTCTGGCTCCAAACAAACAATACCAGATCTATTTCTGGTGTTTTGGTCAATGCTTCTCACTAATTCGACTACGTAGTCTACATAGCTACGTAGCTACCTCCTATATCTTGCGAAGGGACCCGTAGACCGGTTCTGAATCCCGAAGTTAGTAACAAGAATCACGCTATGTTGTTACTCATGACTAGCGATGATGAACACGTTCCCAGAAAGGATAATAATACGAAATAAATTACGTATTCCAACCTTAACGTGAAAGCTGATGCGTATCTTCTCCCCATTCTGCCGTCCCGCCTGATAGAGTTATCGGCATTGCCTATTTTCAACCTTGCTACACATCAGCTTTGTCGCAGCCATCGCGTATCGAACACGAAGGAACACGAAGGAACACGAAGTTTGCCTCCCCTCAATCTACGGACAGATATCAGATTAAAGACTCGGCGACAAATGCCGGCTTACTTAGCAACGAAAATCATTGCCCTGGTTCTCGCTTGGAACAGTGATCCACAAGCCCCATCCACCGGAAAACGGGGTACAAAGAAGGTGCTACAGGTACTCGGAAATCCCATGCAGCCTTCAGCTCACAGGTGAAAAAATAAAATGAAAATTTGAATAGATTCTATACCTGCATAAAAATGAAACTCTGGAGCATAGACTCAGTCAATTTACTCCGTTCAAAAGGCGCCTACGGAATTATTTTCTGAGGTATCTGCAGGAGAGGGGGCAGATAAGAGGTAAAGCCACACACACCTCTCATACCAAGTGGATCACATATATTAAAACCAATTTCGGCACACGAACTTGTTTCACTGGAAAAAGACCCCCCCATGATTCATGAAAATCTGATCAGCACAGATAAACGGTTCCCCCAAAGAATTTCTTGTCACATCAGATTCACATACCCCTCAAACCCTAGATACACCCCAACGGAAACTCCGTTACGGCCCCCGAACACAAGCCTATAAGCACCCTACAGCCCGGGATACCCCTTGATCAGAATCAAGGCCTACAGCAACCCCACCAACCACTGAGTAGTAACAAGACCAATCCACAAGCAGCACTCCCATTCGATCGGCGCACACAGGGTCCGGCCGAGCAGCTCAAAGTGGAGTAGGGGCGGGGAAGAAAATTTACCAAACGTGTCCGTGGTAGAAGAGGTGACGAGGCCCGTATTCGTAGACACTGAGCTCGATCTGGTTCCGGACCGATTTGTCAGTGGAGTGCCCAGGTGTGTAGGTGCTAAGCGTTCTACGAAGCTTTTAGAGATGAGTACGGTAATGTCCGGCAGGGCCACTGCCACTTTGTTTGTCCGATGGGGCGGATGGGTAGGGTGTGGCTTAGTATTACCCTCAGTGGATAGAGGAGCAACGTACTGCGTTTTCCAATGCAGGTCGAGAGCTATGTAAATGGAGACACGCACGACCGGGACTCAGGTCCGGTACGAAGCATGGAGTCCCACGGCAGGGCGTCAATTGAATATCATTGGACCAGATATCTTTGTTATTCTCTCTAATTGATGTGTACAGTAAATACCAGCGTGCCACGAGTGTATCGGGATCTGTACTGTAAGACCATCCGATGCAGGGTAGACGAGCTAACACACGCAAATCTGTCCGGGCTGCGTAAGCGGAAACGTCATGCTGGTGGATGGATGTAGGCAAACTCCACGCGATTTTAGCGACATGCCCTTTGCTTGGTCTGTGGGAGATTAATCTACCTCTTTGGGCACTTGATAGGTTGGCCCCTGCATATTTGGTGGATAGGCGATATCGCGGCTACGAACTTGTTACGTGGAAGAGGGTTTGATTGGGAATCTCTGGGTAACAGCTGTTTCTGAACCTCAAGTCTTACGCTGGGCGGTATGTGGGAGGGTTCGTTTACTGGAAGCATTGCTGTTCGCGTAGTCGGTGGGCTGGTGAGTCTGTGGTCTCGGAGATTATTCAGGCAATACAACGCTTACTGTCGAGAAGAGGTTCTGTGCTTGACATGTCGTTCAACGTTCGCCACAGGGATATTATGGAATCCACATTTGGGTCTAATGATAAGCTGCATGAGGAACATTAGCTAAGATCAGTCATTTATGAGATTGATCCTGTCAATGATAGCAATTCGTTTCAGTGGGTGACGTGCTTCCAGTATGCTCAGTCTCGATCTTGATGAAAAGTACGGCAAAGCTAACTAGGTCAGGGATGAAGAATTATCCACAGATAGGTCTAACTCGTCTCTTCTGCAGAATGATACTCGTTGGTCCTGGTCAAGCCTCAATCCTGACACAAAACATCGAGCACCCTTGCCGCAGGCTCGGCGAGTTGATTATTCCTGCATGGCATTCTCACAGGCAACCCTTCGCTCACCATTGAAACAACAATTTCTACACAGCACTGTATATCGTGCGACTTATCCTTTCCTCCAATGACACTTTCGAACCCTTAGTACGACAAAGCAAACTCTCGTGACTTGATGGTAGCACACAGCATCATGTGGGATTTCTTGATGGTTCATCAAGATTCACCACAGGTCTATTTCGATATACTGGGATGCATGTTGCAGACCTTTGGGGCCGGAAGAAGACCCGAAGGCTTTCTTTTGTATCCAGGGGACTGGGAGTTGTAGTTTGTGAGGTGTGAGGCCAACAGCAAGGGTCCCGAAATCTGGATTAAGATCATCGGGGGATTATGCTGCCACAAACCTGGCGAAGGTCCCGTGGTATGCATGTGCGTAAGATGTCCTGACACAACAGCATAATGCCTCCTCAGAGCCTCCCTTTCCGTCTTCCCCGGATACAGTCTATGTGTTAGGCATTCCCAGGTAGCGGGATGAGAAAGCTCGGTTCAACAAACAAGTCCTCGAACAGGCAGCCAAAGGTAGCTCAGAAAAAGAATTTTACAAATAGGTAGTACTTGAATATGTTCTTGATTGAAAACAGAAAGGTTCAGATCCATGAATGTTTGTAGAGACATGGGGCTTGTACTATTAAAGACCAACCTTCCAAGGTTGTACACCGTTACTCTAACCTACACTTTACTGTATGCTAATCGACCACCTGCTAATTTACTGCCGGTCTTGGAAGCAGACATCAACGCCCCCTAAGGTCCAACTATGGTTCCAAAGTCGATTGATTTCTCGACACTAGCTTAGTCCTTGTTAATTTTCGAATTGATGTCCAGCCTTTCAGTCCAAGTACCCACCTGGGCACTAACTGGCAACCTGGTGATAACATGTAGCTACCCTACGTCCAACATTGAACTTAAACCCTGCAGTGACCTTCCAAGGGATATCTTTCTCAAATTGTAAATGTTGGTGTTCAAGTCACATATGTAGCCTACTAAAGCTGTCGAGTCAACTCTGATGATGGGCCCAACTACATATGAATATATATGTTGGATGTCAATCGCTATGCAGGGTAGACCACTTTAGTGGTAAATCGGAAATGTTTGCCGACACAATCATGATTTCTCTACATCAAATTGACCAGCAATTGACCTTACTGGAAGGTATGTTGGGATGGAAGCACCTAAATGTCAAGCACAATGAGGTAATTCGTGGGGCAGTGAGGGGTAGAAAGCAAGCAGCTGTAATGATACATGAGACATCGAATGCATTTTCATTTTCACTTCCTCTTCACCATCTCCTTGTACTTTGCTTGTGAAAAATCGTAAAATTCGAGAAATACAACGGTTCATACATTGGTATTAATATGCCTCGTCCAAAAAACCGCGAAGAAGTCCTGGCGCGACTTCGTAAGACAGTTGCCGATGGCTCCATCATCGTCGGAGCTGGTGCTGGTAATAAAGCCCATCTCGCCACGCTCATAATGACTTATTTGATAAAAGCTTTACTGACTACGCCTTTATCTAGGAATTGGCTTGTCCGCCAAGTCAGTCGAGGAAGGCGGCGCTGATCTAATCCTGGTCTACAACTCAGGTCGATTCCGCATGGCTGGTCGCGGTTCTCTGGCAGGATTGATGCCCTACTCGGATGCCAATAAAGTTGTCGTGGACATGGTGTGTCTACGTCGCCCCTTCCTACTGCCAGACTACGACCGTCCCATGCACACCGAAGCATCGTTCCATGACTAACCGTACCAAACCAGGCTTCAGAAGTTCTTCCTGTCGTGGAAAACACCCCTGTCCTAGCTGGAGTCTGTGGCACCGATCCATTCCGCGAGATGCCCTCATTCCTCGCTGAACTCAAGCGTATCGGCTTCGTTGGTGTACAGAACTTCCCCACGGTCGGGCTGATCGACGGTCAATTCCGGCAGAACCTCGAAGAGACGGGAATGGGATTCGACCGTGAAGTGGAAATGATCGCAGAGGCTCACAAGCAAGGGCTCGTGACCACCCCTTACGTCTTCGATGAAAACGACGCGATCAAGATGGCCAAGGCCGGTGCGGATGTCGTAGTCGCACATGCGGGTCTCACAACCTCTGGCTCGATCGGAGCGCTGAGCGGCCGATCGCTGGAGGATTGTGTGGGGTTTGTACAGGGTATTCGAGATGCAGCTGTGGGAGTCAACTCGGATATCCTAGTGCTCTGCCACGGAGGGCCAATTGCGCGACCGTCGGACGCGGAGTATGTGCTTTCGAGGACGGTGGGGGTGCATGGGTTCTTCGGGGCGAGCAGTATGGAGCGGTTGCCGGTTGAGATTGCGATCAAGGAGAACGCGATGGAATTTAAGCGATTAAGGGTGCGGTTGGAGTGAATGGAGAAGGAATATGGGGTAGAGGAAATTAGCCGGGATTCCCATTAACGTGTCCAAACGGGCAATTTGTCCCCGCGCGAGTGGAGCTGCGGGGACTCAATGCTATCGTCGGTTAAATAGGCGGGGTACAAAATAACACAATCTGGCCATCTTCAATTCAATTTTTTTCTCAGCTTCTTTCTGAATAGTATATGACATCAATCAGTCAAAATGGCAAACACAAATCGCGTGCTTGAGGGCAAACTTGGTCTCGTCACTGGCGGATCCCGCGGTAAGCCTAGGCCCTACGAACGATTAGCTCCAATGCGCTAATCAAAGCTCCAGGAATTGGCGAAGCTATTGCTCGCAACCTCGCCGCAAAAGGTGCCTCGCTTCTATTGAACTTCACATCCGAATCGTCGCGGGCTGCCACAAACGAGCTGTGCGCCTCGCTGGCCGCAGCCCACGGAATTCGATGCGAAAGTGTTCAGGCCGACCTGAGCAAGCCCGAGGAGGCCGTCAAGGTCATCATTGCGGCCGCACAGGAGAAATTCGGATCTTCTGGGAAGCTGCAGATTGATATTCTCGTGAATAATGCCGGCGTCTCAGCCGATCGGAACTTGAACGACGCCACCAAGGGCCCCATTGACCCTGAGCTTTTCAACTGGCATTACACCATCAACGTGCTCGCCCCTCTCCTCCTCACCCAAGCAATCACTCCTTATCTCCCCACAGACCGCAGTGGCCGGATCGTCAACATTTCTAGCGTCTCTTCCTCAATGGGCTTCGTCGGCCAATCGATCTACGGTGGCACCAAAGCAGCACTCGAGGCCATGACGCGCACCTGGGCGCGTGAGCTGGCTGATCGGGCCACTGTAAATGCAGTAAACCCCGGTCCCGTGATTGGCGACATGTACTTTAAGGCGGGCGAAGGCTTCTGGAACGATATCCAAGGTTTCCAAGATAACACCCCTGGAAGCAAGTTGGATGTGAACGACCCGGACACTATGAGCCGGATCACGGAGGAGCAGGCACGGTTGATTAAAGAGAAGATGGGTGGGCGGAGACCGGCGTTCACGAGTGAGATTGCGGGCGTTGTAGGAATGCTCTGCACACCAGATGGCCTTTGGACTACTGGAAGTGTGGTTTGTGCCAATGGTGGAATGAGAATGACCGTGTAAAAAAGCAATGACGTTCAATGGAAACCATAGCCGAACGAAAACTAGGAACGAAAACTAGGAAAAAAGCTTTCATCACCAATCATTTTACTGGTAATCCGGGATATCTCTGAATTCGGCTGGACTCCACAAACAAAACTGTGGGGTGCATAATCAAGACTTAATCAACACAATTCAAGGTTCCTAGATATTCATTGATCATGTGAAGTGAGTGAGGCCAAGCTAAAAGTCTTCGGTAAGTGGAGGTGGAAAGTCGGCAATTCAATGCCATCAGCGTTCCGCTAGGCGAATTAGACTCTACACAGCTTATGCCGATGATTGCCATTCCGTCCCCCAGGGGTCCCAAAGTCGCTCTCACAATAAGCAATAAACTTATAGAAAATGAGCTTGCGGAATATAAAGCGCGATTGATAGAGCCCTTTTTCCCTACTAATAACGAAGGCATGTATCTTATCTCTTGGGCAACAAGGGGGGTTTGCGGGGGCCTCGGGAAATCCGGGGTAAAGCGGAGGTTAGCTGAGGGTCTTCAAGCTAGAAAATCTAGTCGAAGATTTCTCATTGGTAGGCGGCATCTGATACTCGGTTATTGAGATGTGCCTACGTAGGCACTGGATCTGAATGGATTACCCGGCTCGTTCATTCAGTGCTCTTTGGAAGATTCTTATGGAGGGGTATACGCCTAGTTTGGACGGCCAATTTCCCAAGATGCAAATCGAACACTGAAAGTCAAATGCCACCAGATGCCAAGCATTTCTAATACATTGGCTTCCGTAACGTAGATTCAGTCCCAAATCAGACTGACCGCCAGTGTATAACGTTGATGTCCACAAAACTGCTAATGTGGAGCTGCCAAGCCATCATAGTTGAGGAGAAAAGGGCCCTGCAATCTCGATTCAAAAGCCGATCGCCCTAGATAGCCGCAAGAAAATAATAAATTGCAAGGCGAATCCATGGAACATCCCCACGGGGGGCTACACGAGTTGATTCTGATCACCTGCTTTCGAAATGCTGTCTTCTTTCTGTGCATTGGGCCTTGCCCTGTTCGTCACCCACAGCCATGGCCACAACAATCCCATAGCCATCCCAACTCCGGGAAAGCATAGCCAACCAGTTGAAAGGGATCTCTCATCATTCTCTATTGAATTTTCATTCTTCCCCCACTACGCTGGTAATCGTTCACACCCAAATAAGTTCTCAGAGCACTTGTTGGAAAACTTTCAACAGATCACTGGAGTGTACCCAAGAGTCAGAGTTGGAGGAACTTCTCAGTAAGTCTTCAGGGCACTCACATTTGGATACATCTGACACCGGAAACTCTACTACAGAGATAAATCTAACTACTACCCTGATCAAGAAGAGGGAATTAAGCTCACATATGCCAACCCAACGGATGACCAACCAAGCGAAATCAAATACGGCCCTGCCTTTTTCGAGTCATATCATACTTTGGGTAACGTGAAGTTCTCCCATGGGTTGAACATGAATCAGAATGCCTCGCTTCACCAGCTCCAACTGGCTGCCGTAGAAGCATGTACTTCAATTGGGCCTCAATTGGACATTTATGAACTGGGTAATGAGTGGAACTTTTCTGGAGACGAATACCGCCTTGCTAACTACTCACTCCTGGACTATGTGAATGAATGGAACAAAAAGTCTGCTTTTGTCAAAGCCGCGGTCCAAAAGGCCTGTCCAGGTCCTTTCCCTGGATTTATGGCGCCTAGCTTTGTTTTTGTGGATGGGATGACTACCTGGACAGCGGAGGAGCTCTACAACCTTGACTATGACCCGCATGATCTCACGAAGGAGATATCGTTCCATAAGTGAGATCCCTATTCCCATGCCTTCTTAATAGTATTGACCTTTGTTTTAAGCTACATGGGAGTCTTTGCCCCACCACTGGCTCCGGTGTCCTACGATCTTCAAAGTCAGTATTTCCGTTCCAGAATTTTTCCAACGCCATACTGACTCGAGAAGAAACCCTCATGAACCACACCAACATTGTCGATAATTTGGCATTGCAAATCCAGCGCATGAATAACCTCGCTTACCTTGGCCATCCTTACATCCTGGGCGAGACGAACTCGATTGCGAATCAGGGACGTAATGGCGAGAGCAATGTATTCGGCGACGCCTTGTGGGTCGTTGACTTTTCCCTCTGGGCTGCTACAAATGTAGGGACCCCCTACCCGTATCAAACGACGATAATCAGACAATTAATAACCCGTGGCACGCAGAACATCAAGCGCCTCAATTTTCATCAAGGCCTGGACTACCGGTACGCCTCATGGCAACCCATTGCTAGCGAAGGCCAACCGCCTACGACTCGGCCCCCGTACTATGGTCATATCATGGTGGCCGCCAGCCTGGGACACTCAGAGAATATTCGAATCGTCAACATCCCGCTGGAAGAAGATACCGAGTCCGCGTACGGGATCTACAATGACGACAAGCTGTCAAAGCTTGTTGTTGTGAATCTGAATGCGTTCAACCAGTCTACAACTACTGGTCGTCCAAGCCGTAAATACGAATTCAAGGTTCCTGGGCACTATAAAAGGGCTACAGTGGAACGACTGATAGCCCCAGGGAGCGACGCTCTGACCAATATCACCTTCGGGGGTGTCTCTTACGATTATGACTTTAAGCAGGGAAGACCGGTTACTCTTGATTGGAAGGAGGAGAGGGCTGGGATCCACAGCAATATGCTGCAGATCGATGTTCCTGATTCTTCTGCTGTTTTGTTGTCTCTTGATTGAGTTGTTCTTCCTATTGTCTCGTGATTGTAGTATATTTGTCTTGGATTAATGCGAGTGCCCGAATATCGGCCATAACGAAGGTCCTGTCCCACATCCTTTCCCGGTTTAATTAAATGGTAGGTTTCGAGCGCCACAATATGCAGACCTCTAGGGCGCCATTAAACAAAGGAATATTTCATAGCACATTAAAACGAGGTGGACCGTCATAGGCTAATCGAGAGCCGAGGGGACCGAATCCCTGTTCCTGCCCCCACTCGTGTTCCCAGTTCTGGGCCCCTGAGAACACGGACCCGAGATCGAATTTCGCTTCATTACATCTGGTCAATGAATTTGGATAACACATATGGGAATCCATAATGTTGATGCCAAGGCGGCATCCTGAAACTCTTTCTTTTCAAACGTTTCCGCCATCACGGTCTAACTTTGTTTCATCTGGACCCAGAAAAAAAAGAGAGAGATCATCCTGAATGCCAAGAACGCCGAACAAGGCTCTGCTGCAATAAGCACAGGGAAAGGCCCGATAACCAAGCTATTTTTAAATTCGGTCGCCGTACTAAAAGATGCAGCTCAGCTCCAGCTCGACTCTCACTTCAGCGTGCTCACAATGGCCGAGTCGCGCGAGTCCCAGCGCTCCCTACTGCCTCCAGAAGAGGATCTAGTAACAGCGCGACCGTTCCACTCATGGAATCCATTAGGCCGCGGATCTCCCGAGCCTGATTATGCCTATGCGCTAGGCCATTACGAGTCGCGCGAGAGCTTTGCCGAAGAAGTCTTCCGTGAGGTAGGGCTGGGCATCTCCAATGAGTCAGGAGATACACTTCCCCTACGAGAGAATCGAGAGTCGTTCCATGCAAGCGACCATGAGAGTCAACACAGTGAACCGAGCACTCCGGGCTTGAAAACGCCACAGGAGACACCAGCCATTTCGACCCCGCAGCACGATTGTCCCAGCCGAGCGACAGTTCTTCAACGGAGGTTTGGATGGGTCCCGGTGTCTATCTTTTTGTTAGCGCTCTATGCGACCGTTTTTTCGGGTCTATACCTCGCTGTCGCATTTTGGAAACCGCGATGGAAGAATGTCGGCAGTGGTGCACCGCTCGCTGCGTCCACGGCGAATTTGCTTTGCGCTTTCTTTGCCAAGACGATTGAATTGGCCTATGTTACTATCTGTGTCGCGTTTCTGGGCCAAGTGCTCAGTCGACGAGCTATGACGACGAAATCGCGCGGAATCAGTATTGCGGATATGAGTATGCGCGCGTGGATTATGCAGCCGGGTTCTATGCTGGTGCATTGGGAAACACTTCGATACTCGGCGTTAACGTTCCTGGGGCTTATCGCATTGATCGCGACATTTGTAGCTATGCTTTATACTACAGCCGCGGAGGCCTTGGGTAAGTATTGACAAAAGAAGTCGTTGCAAGCGGAGGGCTAATAATCACCTCAGTGTCGCCAAAATTGAATCTTGGTCCGGTTGAAAGGACTATCTTGTGGGGGAAAGTTGCTGCTAGCTTTGGTAACGACATTTATCTTGCAGAGAACTGCCAGACACCAATTCCGGTGGAAATGGACTGGGCGAGAAACAATACTTGTCTTCAGATCCAGCACGTAGGATCAGCCTACCACAACTATCAACAATGGATTAGTACTTGGAGCGAGCTGGTGACCAGCGGTAACGAAACGTCAGACAAGCTGGCTAAAAGACCGGCGCCTACTGGTTCCATCTGGGACAACACAACTGTCACTGGTAGCTGGGTCGAAAAGCAGAATATAACTGAGCTATCGGAAAAGCACAAACGCATGGTGAACAATATCACAATGGCATTTCCGCATGGCGGTATCCCTGCAGCAGCCATGGATGCAATAAACAATATCCGTCAGCCACAAGACGTATCAGGTGAAGGCAAATACAAAATCGAAGCCTCGGTTCCCTCACCCGTAGTCAATGTCCTCTGTGTTGGCATGAATGAATCAGAGCTCTCACCATTAGTCTACTCATCGTGGCCAAATGCCCACTTCAATGCGACGACCTGGAGTGTCAATGGGTCACCCGATATCCCACGGACCCCATCGTGGCTCAACAGCACAGTCGTCGACTCCATTTTCGGCTTCGGCGAGGCATACGGCCAAAGACCACCAGTGTTTGGCACATACCCTGAAGAATATAATACTATTCTCAACACAACAGGTCTCTGGCCTTCAAATGCAATTTACCTTCTCGGAAAGCCGTCCGCGTCCTCTCCAGAATATGTGATGTGTGCCATCAAAGCCACATTGACAGCAGTCTGCTCGACTCGTTACGACGCAGAATCAAGCGGAGCCTTCCTTTATACACACTGTGAGGATGATTCTAACCCCCTGCAATATGATCGCTCAGACACTGTCTTCGAAGAGGGCTTCTGGTCCGCGGACTGGAAAAATGTTGCCAGCGAATGGGCCAATGCCCTGAGTCTCGGATCAGGCATTACAACCGCCCAAGCCAGTAATGAGCGCCTTATTATGCAGATGATGCCGAAACACGATAATGCAACAGACACATACAGTCTTGATCCCGAACTCCCATCTATCGGCGAAGCACTTGCTGTCATGGCAGGTAGCACACTGATTCTCAGTACGCAAACTTCTCCCTTTGTACAGGGATGGAATTACACGGATACTGTTAATGAGATTCTTCCAACGCCCTTGTACCAGCACTTCAACGCCACCGTACAAGCGGTTGGATATGCCTCGGGCGGCACAGAAGAATGGCAGGGTGTGTTCTTGGTCATCTTGATTTTTGCGTTCCTCACCAGTGCCGTGTGCTTGGTGTTCATGATCATCGAGGCCCACGGACACCAGATCACTGATTTCACGGAGCCGCAGAACCTCTTTGCGCTGGCTATGAATAGTCCGCAAAGTTCTCTTCTCCGAGGTGCTTGTGGCTGTGGTCCTGCTGGACCGCAGATGAAGGAGCGCTGGTTCATTGGGATGCAGGAGCACGACGAGCACTACTATATTCGTGCAAAAGTGGACGGAGCTACACCTGAGGCAAACTCGACGGGATATTCGAGGCTTGAGCCGATGGGGACAGATGATTCGGGGCTCAAGTCTGTGAGCCCGGCTGTTAATGAGTTTAGGAGGATTTCGAACCGAGGTTCGTGGTTGTCCAAATTTTATTAGATTTGATGATATCCACGGACTGTTGATATGAGATCTTTTCTTATTCTTCAGCCTTCGATTTTGATTGAGTATACCCTTTTCTATACTGTTGGCGTTCAAATGTTTTAATTTGCCGGCATCTAGCCAGCACTTAATGATGATGATTCTATATATGAATGTACTATGCACAGATCCTTGGGAGCTTCAAATGCCATATCTATAATTCAACGAAATCAAATCCTTGAGCCATTTCACAGAGTGTCGAGCCTGCTAATTTTCCAATCTCTTGGTCAACCAGTCCGGAATACTCGGCTTCTGTTCCCACATCGGCTTCCAATCTTGAGACCTGGTAGGCAACGCATAGACAGCAGTCACAAACCAACTCTCCTGGCCAGCAGCCAACTCGGCAGCCAATGACGGCAGCAACGTGCGACCATGAATCAAATTCGAGTTAGGATCCGCAAGCACAACTCGTCCAGCGCGTCCAGAACTCGAGTTAAAAAGTTCGGTTATACCTACAGCACCAACAGAAGAAACCACCAACGCACTACCGCCATCCAGTTCAGTCCCCTCATCGCCACCCTCTAAAGCTCCCAACATTCTCCCACTATCACTTTGACACCCATAAATCGCAAAGGCCCCTTCAGAAGTCTTCAATGCCCGTTCAGTCCTAACACGATGAGCCCGAATATGCCAATTCGGCGCTTCAGCAGAAGGCGGAATGAGAATAGTCTCAATATCCACATCGCTCCAAGGCTTCCACCCAGAAACAAGGATAGGAGTTCCATCTGACCCCTCTGGAAACTCAAGTCTCGCATCAATTGCCACCCGTCTCGTCTTCCAAATCTCACCATCATCATCACACAACGCAAGCATACTATCAGGCGCATACTGTTCCAACTCATACGCGCCCGTCGGAACTGAGTATCCAAACGAAGCACTGTAGGCGAATTTGCCATATTTAGCCTGCGTGCCCCGCATAGCATAGTGACACGCCTGCCCAGACGATAGAAGGAACGAGTGCCCACCGCGCCGGACGAGGATATGTTTCGGGTAAGTGAGTGCCTTCACCTCTGGCAGCACCGAGCTCGGGTATCCCTCTTCTGGCGAGGACCAGAAAGGATGAGATTCTGGGAGTGCGAGCGCAAGGAAAGAGAGACAGCACCAATACGGTGAGCCGGAGGAATTATAGTTCTCAGTCAGGTAGGGGTTTGAATAGCAGAAGCCTAAATTTAGGGTTCCGTCGTTGTTGAAGATGTCTTTGTGCGTGGCCCACCACCGAAAATGGCGGAGCAGAAGACCTTTTACGATGCCCCAAGTTAATTGGGGTGGAAGGTCGACATCGGCGTAGGCTAGTGCGCCCCAGAAGCCGGCCATTGCGAAACGGTAGGTCATTGAGCGGCCGAAGGGGATTGCGCTACCTTTAGGCTTATTGTCAGTATAATATGCTAGATGGATAGAAAGTCCCACTGACCATCTGGAGCGAAATAGTGCACAAAATCCAAGGCATACTGCTTCGATCGCTGTCTGTATCTCTCTGCGCGCTCGGGATCAAAATCGCCAGCAAGTTTTGCATACAGAAGCTGCAGGAATTGAATAGCAAATGAACCAGAGTAGTAATCCATCTGATGATGACTCTTCGGTCCATCATTACTCCAGCCATCACCAATATGGAACGTATCCAAATGATCCATATCTGCCTCAATCCGCGAATGAGAATAATCAGCGTTATTCTTCTTCAGCCCCAGATTTGCGAAAACCCGGAACCAGAGCCTAGGCACCAAGTCAGTAAACACTTCCTCGCGCATTTTCGGGAAAACCAACCAATTCGTATTCGGCATCTCCAAATCATTAATACTTCTCAGCCAATTCCCCACATCACCTCTCTCTTTCTCAGTAAGCGGGTCCCAGAAGACATGCGGCGCAACAGCCAATGCAAATCCAAGCGGACACATCTCGACCATCCGCTGATCGGAATTCTCCAGATCACCCCAGTACTCTGGACTGGCGGGGTTACATCCATTGATTATACCTGTTCGCCAGCGTGTGGCATCGGCGTAGTCATAGTTTCCTGCAAGGAGAGATGCGAGTCCCCATAGTGGACGAGCGAAGCCTTCGAATTGGGCGCCACCTTCGTCGAAGCGGGTGGCTGTTGAGCCGACTTTCACGCGGGTTTGTTGGGGCGTGAAGAGGGGGAGGAGGGGGTTTAGGATGGCTGTGCAGGCGGATTGGAAGTCTTGTCTTGTTTTGAAGGGGTTTGTGCTGAAGGGTTGAGTGGGTGTGCTGCCGTTGGCGTGGATGGACATTGTCGTGTACTATTCTTCACAGAACTTCTTGATCTTTGTGTCCAAAGTTATATTCGCTATTTATTTCATATGGATTGCGGGGTTCTATATACATTTTATGCCATGGGGTTGAGTCCGGAGTTTAGCCGTTCATTTTGCCGGAACGTGGGGAACCCGTGTAGTGTGGGGGTATCGGCTTAGTCGCCGATGTTAGGTCTGCTGTTCTAGATATCCCACCTATTACAGTTGATTTTTGATGAGGTGACTACCTCATTAAGTGGCAGACACTCGCCATCTTCCTTCTTGCCCCTCTTTGAAGTTTAACTGAGAGCGAGGGCTCTTGTTTGGTGTGTGTCCACTTGCAATATGATGTTCCTTTTACCCGGCCAAGGCTTTTTGCAACCCATATTTCTCGACAAAAGTAGAATCGACCTGACGTCAGTCCTGGAATTTACTCAGCGAAAGATTGACTGTGGTCGTGTTCGCCAGTCATCAAGTACTAATATCATTACCTTGTTCCTGGTCAACGGGCCAGTCCAAACCTGAATACTCTTGTCCATGCTCAAATCCACAAGATATTGCACTGCTTTACCAAGGGGGTCTTGTGAGATGGCAATAATCTCCGGTGGCGATAATATTGATTTTTCAAGACGTCTAGGTGTTTATTGGAAATATTTCGCAGATTGGCACCAATGACCAAGGGGCGATTTCAAAGCGGCCCAGAATGTCATACGAGTTTGTTGTTTGTGTAAGGTCATATCACTATGCCCGATCTCCAGCATATCCAGATCAGCCAATGCTCTGGGCTTCTGAATTGGACTGATCTCTCTCATTCCTTCCAATTATTATCAACACGCTACAGCCGGCGTAACCGTCATTCATGCAGCATGCCGTTTGACACTGTTCAGCTCGTCAATGGCCGCTCAGGTTGCGTTGAGGAAACAAACTCACAGCAGTCTTTTCTAGTGTCACTGAAAACTTCGGTGATATTTTCCGACATCCGGTACGACTAGCTGATCTGTGGTATTGAGTTAGGGCTTATGGAGCACAAGAAAAAGCAGACTAAGCGGATACTTATCGTCTACCCTGTACTAGGTAAATTGATGGCTCCATTGGCAGAAGAAATAGAAGATACTTCGAGCAGTACCTCTAAGTGCATATCTCACTGCTCCAAAATGAACACTTTGGCTTTCGGTATTCACTTCGAATCCTCCGTAGCTGTCGTATTTGACTTATTCCACGCCCCATTCGGCATAAGTTGAAACATCTAGCCCCTTGTAGCCCCGAGAGCCAGGATAAATTTCACGGTCGTAAATTCTAGGACTCCGTGATAGGGCATCTTTCGATTAGTAGAAAAGAGACATTTGTATGGCTCAGATCTTCCAGTCGGGTTTACCCAAGATTCCTCAGGCCTTCATTTTGTTAGAACTTTGGTAGATCTTCGAGCCGACAACAGGATTCGAACTTGAATCTTAGATCTTCCAGGATGATAGTCCCCACTCTACACACTACCTTGCCAACCAAAAAGACAAAAAGAAGCGTCCCCGGGAAGGCTCGAACTTCCAACCTCCTGATTAACAGTCAGACGCGCTAGCCAATTGCGCCACGGAGACTTCTTATTGGTGCACGGACCCTTTTACTGTCCCTGGTGGATTGAAGGGATGTGGAAAGGATGAAGAACTTGCCAGGTGAAACAAAGGGTGGAAGAAGTATCGCGAAATGATAGACATTTCCATGAGAGCGAAATCAGCCTGGATTGAATGTCCATAAAGCTCCCGGGTCCTCCGGGCTCACCGCACGGCCCAGCCGGCATGATTGTTAACATACTCCTTTTACCAACGCACAAGGGCATTTTTGGTCGCAAACAATGGGCACTCCAATGGTTCAGAATACAGATTCAGCAGAAGCGAAAGTCAACTTTGAAATGACAGGTTGTATGGCAGGGCAACAACACTTTTGATATTTGAGTGATGATCTATACAAGCTCGAAAAGATCTGCAAAGGGAAAGCCTCCCCCTGACACGAAAGCTCTAATAAAGCCTGTAAAGCAAGGTACCGAATCCAAGCCCATCAAACCCACCAGATGTCGTACCATAGTTTCCACCACCCCCCTCAACACCATCGGTGCTGTTCGCATTGACCATGTCACGGTAAGCATCGGTCCATGACGAGTCAAGACCCTTCAACTGGCCGTAGTGGGCAGAGAGCAACTCGAACCCAGGACGGACATCTCCACGTGAGCCATTCGAAATGACAGTCTGATTGCCTTGATAGCTTTCGTACAGAGTGTAGGGAACGTCGTAGCCGACGTTGTATTTTCCGACATATTCAGCTCTGGAGGAAAAGGTCAGCTATGGTGGCAGTCAGTAACATTATCAATTTCTGATACTTACGCGTTGAGGATCTCGTTCCCATAAGTAGCGAACAGATCATCGCCCTGATTGTATGCCTGTTGGGCAATGACTCCAAGAAGGACAATGTCCAGGGTAGAATGGCCCTGATCACGACCCGCTTCCTGACCTTGAGTCAATGTTTTCTCCGAGCAGGGTTCCGTATAGTTCGCAATCCCAAAAACAGGAAGAGCACCATTTGAAGGCCCATTACGGACATAGTTCAACGCGTAGTCGTACATTGTCTGGTTATCGGTGAAGATACCAATGGCAAGTAGAGAAGCGAGATTACACAGGTCCCAGTTGGCATAGTAATGATAATAATCATTACCATTATGCTCTTCCATGAATAGCATGTTCATCGAAGCAAAAACATCAGTCAACATAGTCGCAGTGGCAGTCTTGTTACTAGTGTCCCAACCAGCGTAGTCCGACATCAGCTCGGCCGCATTAGCCATCTGGTATCCATACAGACCGGACGCCAGGAATTTGTCGCTGGTACCATTGATTGCCGTCAGAGTCACAGCCCATGAGCTCAAAATATTGATCGCCGCGTCTGCATAGCTCGTGTTGTTTGTGACCTTCCAGCGGATGGCGAGCTGGTATGCGGCTGCCGTGTCTTTATACAGAGACGGGTAGTTTTCTGTGTTGACGCCATCGTAGCCTCGGTATACGATTACCTTGGGGTTAGGCTGGTAAGTTGATTGGGCAAAATCGCTGGAGGTCAAGAGATTCCACGTGATGTTCCACGGTTCATCGCCGTTTGTGATGTGAGTGTTGATGCGTTCAAAATCCCGTGCTGTGTGGAGCGCCCCTGGGTGGACGAAGGCGGTTCCAGCGGCCGACAGAGCGAGAAGAAAAATAATTGGAAGCATAGCGTGCAAGGCGAATGAGTGACTGTGAATGGCAATTCAAGTGCGAAACTTGACGATTAGGTTTATTTCACTTTGACAGAAACCATTGCGTTTACATAGTCGTATCTGGCCTCCTAGGGGCTGCTGCTTCACAACCTGCGATTGGCCCGAGTACGTACCCCAACGGCAGAGATCTGCTTAGAGCTAAAGACTAGGCACGGGAATGGATTGACAGGCTGTGTCCATTGCATGGTGAAGAGCGTTTCACATTGACAAAAAAAAATGGGTCCTGGGTCGGGTAGCCCGCATCATCTGCGCCAAAACAAAGACTGCCGGAGGGTCTCCGGTACTTGGCCCGCGGAGTAGTAACGGTTTAGCGTCGACAAAGTTTCACGGCTGGGGTGGACTCAGAAATCCTGCCATATGAGTATATGGTCATCTTAGGATAGGGGTTCCGACTTGTAGGAGGTTTCAAGGTTTCTGGAACAGGACAGACCCAGGGGCATTCTGCCTTACGAATCTGGCAGCAACAATGAGGTTCGATGCGAAGAGAATACACAGCACTTATGTGAACGAATATGCCGGCACTTCCTCCGCACAGAAAGCAAGTTTTTTGTACGTAGTTTTAGAGGTTCGTGGTTCTATTGCTGGAAATAGAGCGAGGAAACCGCTATTGGCGCCAACCTGCCGCCAGATTCAACCATTCTCCAAGCGAAGCTTCTTTAGCTGTAGGTCTGAAATGAAACAAAAGCTTCGAGGCTGATGACGTTGTGGATATCCGGTCCAGAGTCTCGAATCCGAACCAATCAAAGCCGGAACATACTGCACGGATGGAGTTAATAGTATAGCCCACGCCCCATCAGCGCAGTTGATGGAGGCTCTTTACTCAGAAACGGTCGTGGCCAAAATAGGGGTTATAGCAAGCAGAGCAATTTTCAAGTGCAAGTTGGGCACTCAGGCAGAATAACGCGGAAGAAAGAAATAGCCTTCTAAGCCAAGAAGGTGAGCAAAATACCCGTCCTATACCCCGAATACACCGGTAACGATGGCACATACGTCTACCGCACCCTAGACTTCTGGACATCAGGCTTTCCCTCCCTCTTTCCATGTATCTTCTGCAAGAACATTTTAGTATCACGGGGAACCGCCGAGAGGTTTGTAATGCTAGTGGTGTTGCCACTGCTGGAAATGCGGCGGGAAACACAGTTGATGTCTTTGATTTGAAAGAGGGATTAGGGCTGTGAAGCCGTTGCTGGCAGGTTTTTACGCCGAGAGGCATTGTGGCTTTGGTCTTTACTTGTGTTGCTGCACCTATGACAGTACCTAATATTGAACTGCGTTGAAGAGGTGATGGGTAATCCAGAGGGCGGTTTCACCTTGATACATGGGCACTGTATGCCTTGCAATGTTATAATCCCGAAAGTATTGGCATACTGGGTGTGGAAATGATGAGACATACACGCGCATGTAAAATTCGCGAGACCTGAGTGGCTAGGGTAAATTTCCGCGCTTCTAATGAGTTTCTTGTATATGCGCACTCACCTAGGCAAGGATACAGCCAGTGTCTTGGGACTACAACGAAGCAAATGCAAGGGCAAGCAGACGCCGACATGGAAGTGAAGTTTAATAGAGGGTACCCAGGTACCATGAATTGAATCCGAATATGTACAGAATGACAGTCAACCAAGGCTCAATCAGCACGAGAGCGAAATAGTCAACCGGAACACGCAAGTATGGACGTATGGACACTGACAAACAGTAAGGAAAACAAAAGTCTGAGGCACCGCTAAAGAATCGCTCGCACACAGAGACAAGGATGGGATGCAAGGGATATGCAACAAGGAATGCGACCGAGGAAACTTTTACAAGACACCAACCAGGAGACGCCATGCAAGGAACGAAATATGAGTAAATCAAAGAGGACGGCAATGTAGAGAAGGTAGAGAAGGTAGAGAATTTGGATGAGAAGGAAAGAGACTGCAAGGGTATTGTTCCAGAAATGCTTAGCGTTCGGCATGGAGGTTGAGCCAGCTCATATCTGAATTGTAATTTCCAGAAGGCGGAAGCTCATCAATATCGTCCGGTATGATGACGCTGGATTTGCGGGCATTTGAGTTCCGGGCGAAAGCTTGAGAATTTGTAGCTGGGAGGTTTGTGTTGCTTGCGCCGTAATAACTGTTGCTGTAATTGCTGCTGGTTGGACGTCCTAGCCAGCTGCTGTGGCCTGCGCCAGTCCAGTTTGTATCGTGTGGGTCATCGTCCGAGGCAATGCTGACTGAGTCGGCACTGGATATACGGGCAGATTGGCTTTCGGGGATGACTAGGCTGCGGCCAGTGTGGCCGCCAATCTCTGTTGTGGGACTGCCACTGTGGACTTGACCGAGCGGCTTTGGTTGGTCAAGGAATCCGAAATCTAATGGAGCAAGATTGGACATTGGCCAGGCGCTGCTACCGCGATAATCGGATTTGGTGTAGGCAGAGCTCATGGTGGAGCGATCGGACTGCATTCCAGCAAGGCTCGTCGCGCGATTGTCGTCAAAATACTTGCCCCATCCTTCATCGGTAGTTCGATCCCCAGGCTTGTTTCCAGGGCTGGAGATAGCTTCAACGGCGGCAGCGACGGCGGCAGATCGATCTGAGTCATCCGAGTACATGCTTGATGGAGCCAGTCCACTAGACGGGATCGGTGATAGACCTTGCTTGCCTAGTCCATATCCATAGCTTTGGTTGGGGGCTCTCAAAGCTTTCTCTCCGGCATACTTGCCCGACATAATGGCAAGGGAGTCATCGGAAATCGTTGCAACGGGGACTGGGCTCTTTGCCATGGGGTAAGCTCTTTCAGTCAGGGGTTCTATTCCCTGATCTTGGAAACTGAGGCGATCTTTCCTATCTCCGCCATTTCCTTGAGCTTCTGGGTTTTGTTGCTCTCTTTTGCGGCGAAGTAGCACCAAGATGGCAACTAGGATCACGATAGCACCACAAATACTTCCAAGAGTAGCACCGATAATCACTCCGACTTGCTCGCCGGAACTGCCGGAAGCAGCAGCAGCAGCAGTCGGGGATGAGCTCGGTGTGGTGGAGGCGGTAGAAGAGGCTGTGACAGTGGGTGTGCTAGATGCAGTGGCGGTGGTGGTATGTTCGTGTAGAACCTTCTGTGTGCCACTACCGAATAGCTCCGTTGTATTGACCCAGCTATTAGACGTTTGGTTGAAGATAGACACTGAGTTGTTGCCGCTGCCGCTGGAGATGACAACCAGATTATTGCTACTTTGAGCAATTGCGTAATCAGAACGTGTCGTGGTTCCGGCATTTGTGCTGTTGTACGAGGGATAGTCGCTTAGACTCCGTTTTGAAGATGAGGATCCTATGACCGAGGCTGGGGACTTGGCCAAGCCATCTTTGATCATTTCGTAGCTGGTGATAGTATTCGGCGAAACGCTCATGTCGAAGTCCTCCAAGATCTTGTTACCTTCGTCATCGCTCACGATAGCGAAGCGACCAGTTGCTGACGCGACGTCGCTTGGAAGTGTCGCTCCAGAGGCTACCCAGCCAGTTGAATTTCCATAGATATAAACCTCGGTGGTGGACGTGTAGCCGCCAATCAAGGCAATTGTTGATTCATTCCACTTCAAAAGCATCGGTGAAGCTGCCGAGGGAACGCCTTGGGGCGTTTTGGCATCAGCGCCATAAGGATAGGATGTCGATAGCACATAGGTCGATTGCGAGGCGGTGTTGGAATTCTGGTTTCCACCATACACTAAAATGGAAGCCGCATCTTCGAGATAACCCACGCCATGTCCAAGTAGGTCGATCAAGTACGATGAGCCATGCAAGGTCGACCACTGCTGGTCCTGATATGAGTACCTTTGCAGGCCGGTGTTGTTGGAGCTGCCGGTCCCGCCGACTACGTAGAATGCCAGATTGTTGTTATCACCATCAATTGCCGCGGTAACACATGCGGCTCCAGTAACGTTCACGCCCGGTGATAACGGGTTCCAAGTGGCATTATGTCCAAGGGGAAGGGAGGCGAACCCATCGGGGGAGTACACGTAGAGAGTGCTGTCGTGGACTGCGGAGCAATGTCCCTCCAAGCTCATCGGGGGCTCGGGCGCAGTCATTGTGAAGAATGTGATACCAGACCAAAAGAAAAGAATGCGGAAGGCCAGCCGGCAGAGTCAGTCGGGCCGAATAGTAGAGAATGAACGGTGACTACCAGAGCACTATCTCATCTCGGCCGGGGGGCGTTTATGAGTAATGTGCCAGCATCCGGCAGCCGGGAGATCTTCACCTCAAGAATGTATCGGTTTGGAGATTGTGGAGTTGGTATGCTGTGGAAGCGGGCGAAGCTCAAGACGTTTAAGTCGATAATCAATGATTGTAGGCAGGATTTCTCAAGTTTGAGATTGAAGTCGCGATACCGAAGCAGAATGGGAGCTTGTCCAGTCGGAGTCAACGCGTCGGCAAAAGGAGAGCGAATGAAATTCAGCGACACGTCGCGAAAGAATGAAAGCTGAAGAAGTAAGTAAACCAGACGGCGACGACGACAACAACAACCACGACCGAAGGGACAAGTGCACAGCACAAAAGATGAGGCAGGGTAGAGTGAGACAAGGACCCCCCTAGAGCCAAAGTTAGTGGAAAAAGGAAAAGGACGCCATCCCCTTAACGGCTGCCCATGACGAAATGGCCCAGCGGTAATTTCCCCTTAAACCTACCTGATCAATGATTTACTTCTTGAATTTGAGGAATTGATGGTCTCTTCCCTCCCTCTACTCTGTACAGAATTGATCTCTACTGAATTTTGTTGCTTTTCTGCTGCCTCCTGAGTGGGTCCTGATGCAGAAGAAAACCTGCCTATGTTTACAGTACGTCCTCGGCTATTATGCATGTCTCCACTGGGTTGGCTGGGTTGGTACAGTATAAAGTCGAAGAGCCGTGTATAATGCAAGGAGTGGTAAACAGCGAAACCCAACAGGAACCGGTTTGACCAACAAACAAACCCCCTTTTCCGTAGTGGAGATGCAAACCATGGATTCACACTTGGCTCGTGCGCGTGTGACTTCGAGGAACACAATACGCTTTATACTCCTGAAGGTATTTTTCAAGTGTTTCAGATAGAGTATCTGATCATAATCGCCTGATCGCATCTAAAGCCCACGAAAAAAATTAGCGTGGAATAAAATGAGACGCCCCCAACGAGGCGCTCTTCCGCGCCTCCGCTCCTCCACTTGGGCTCGTGGGCAAAACGGTCGCGTTGAATAGATGATGTATTACGTGGACCGTGCGTCTGTTACCTGTAAGAGAAAGGATTCTAACTGGAGCCGGATTGCCGATGCAGGTACAACCTTGGGGTCAGCCCTCTATTCCTGGATCTTAACTCGCACAGTCCCCTGGGCTGACTTTTGGGATATATCCAACCATAGCTAAAGGATTCGTACTACAGATCACGCCTAGGTAGGATCGAAATCAGCTGCGAATGCTGTCCGGGGGATATTGAGAAATGGTGACAGGTACAAGTATTGGTGGATATTAATAACACATGAAGAATGGTTACAAGGTGGCCCCGCTCTACGCCTGCCCGCTCTGTTTCCACTGGTGCGCCTTTTGGAGCAGCCGCGACAGATTCGCGGCCGATTGGTCGTCCGCCGGGAACACGTAGTCCATGTACTCCTCGTACCGATCGTCTTCCAACTTGCGGCGTTTCTTGACCCGCCGCGGCATCTGCTTCTCGATCTTGTCGATGTCCTCCGGCGAGCCGTAGGTGTTCTCGAATGACCGCCAAGCATTGAGTAACTCCACGCGCTGAGTAAGAATTTAGTATGAAGCTCAAACCTGTCGAGTAGGAATCACATACCTCTTCTTTCATTTCCTTGTCCTTGAACACCTTGTGTGCCCGGTTGAAGACGGCACGGGCACGTCGCTTGGCTTCCTCGCTGATAGGCCGCTCCTCCTCTTCCTCCTCTTCCTCTTCCTCTTCGGGTATATTGACTTCGAATCGGGCGTAATTGATCCACACCTTCACGTGGTCTGTCTTGGCGAGGAGACGCTCGTACAGCGCCCGGACACGCTCATACTCCTCTTCTTCCTCCTCGAATTCAATGTAAGACTTCCACACCAGCTCCGGCATGTCAAGAGTCGGCTGTTCAATGCCCAACTCGTAGAGGGCCCGCGCGCGGTCTTGATCATCCAGGCCACGTTCAAGTTCGGCATACTGGATCCAAGATTGGCTGTTGGAGGGGTTCCATTCGATCTTTTTCTCGTAAAGGGTTCGGCATCTGACGAACTCAAACAGCTGTCGCTCTAAGTCGATGTAGCCCCGGAAAAGCTTGTCCTTGGGGCAAGCACCGATTGCCATACCCAATGTCTTGCGCGCAGTTTGCAATTCCATCTGTCGAATCTCGAATTGCGCTTTCAACAGCCAGACCTTGGCAAATGTGAACTTTTTGTGGGGGATCAGTTTAATGCATTCCTGGTAGATCTGGCGCGCGCGCTCAATATCCTTAGCCTCCATCTCTTCCCATATGGCATAGAAGATCCACAGATAGATATAGCGGCGCCAGTGTCGCTTTTCTTGTGAAGGGGGAATCTGTGCAATGGCACGTTCGTAGATGTCTCGCACACGCTCTGGATCGCCCGCGGTTTCCTCGAGTCGTGCAAAGTCGACCCAGATATCGTAGTTCCTGGAGTTTTCCTTGAGTTGCTCCTCATATTGGACTCGGCGCTTGGACAGAATGACATCCTCGACGCCTTCTCGGTCACCAAACTGCTTCTCGAAAGTTGTATAGGCCTTATGCAGAATCATTGATTTGGACCGCGGTAGGCGATCGAGAGCATATTTGTAAATCGCCCGAGCACGCTCAAACTCCTTCAGCTTGGCCTCGAACTTGGCATAAGCTGAAAACAGCTTCTCATCCATAAAGTCCTCTCCCAATGTCTCGATTGCAATGCCGTACACCTCGCGGACCAAATCACTCGTTCCATACTCTTCTTCGAAACGAGCCCATTTGATCCAATTCTTTGGCTCGGGATGCACAATCGTGAAGCGCTGGAAAATCGCACGCGCTCTGTCAAACTCATTGTACCGCTTCTCCAACTTGATATAAGCACCCCAGGCTCCCTCTTCAGGCTCCCATGACATCCACCGCTCAAACACCTGCCGAGTACCAGGGATGTTTCCAAGAGTTTCCTCCATGTAGACATATTTGTACCAAAGCTTATCGACACGGGGAAGAATCGTCACGGCGCGGTCGAGGAGGTTGCGAGCATGGTTAATGTTCCGGGTTTTCATCTCGGCTTCGATATACCGAATCCAGAGAACGACAGAGGTCGAGTCGACATCAAGGGCGCGCTCGAAGATTGATCGCGCACGCCGAAACTCTTTCTGTTCCAATTCCCATGCTGCATAGCGCATCCAATTATTCATGTTAATGCGGTTTCGCCGCACATAGTCCTCGAATTCCTTGCGCTTGCGGCCTTGGTACTCGTGGAGCTCTTCCAAGTCGGCGAAACGCTGTGTTGGGGCCTGTAGGCCAGGCTCTTGCCGGTCCACGGCCTCACGGAGAAGCTGCTCCGCAGAGATCTGGATCGGCGCAGCGGCCTTGTTTTTGACCCGGGGAGGGCCTCGTGATGCCTCCATTTTGTTGGATTGAGGGTATCGAGGTTGGCGGAGAAGTCGAGTTAATAGTTGGGGGATGGTCGGGCGTGATGGACAGTAGTGAATCAGATAGTGAACAGCGTGATTTGGAGGACAAACCACAGAGAAAGAGAAATCAGTATTAGTCACTGATTCTATCTCCTCTCATAAAGGCGCACAATGGCCAAGTGAAGATGTTGAAGCTCTAATGATCCCTCAACCCAATCGCGGATTGAAATCATTGAACCTGCACCTCTGTCTCATTTCGCCACCCGCACTAGCTCTGGTGACTAAGCCACAGCTCACTTCCGCTCCATCGCAAGTAATAATTTCCACGAACCTCGACATTTAAAAGCCCCGGTGGCACCAGGTAAAAACAATTTCGCACTCGTTCGCAACACTCGCCCAGATTCCTGTCCCTCTTCGCCATCATGTCGACCGCGGAGGAGCTTATGCGCGACTTCGAGGACTCTGAAGAAGATTTCCAACAGGACGAGGACCTCGAACCGGAGCAGGAAGATGAGCAAGAAGCCCCCAAAGAAGGCGCCGAAGTTACCAATGAATTCGACCGCTCAATCACAACAGGTGATGAACTCACTCGCCTACACAAAGTCCTACGTGATCACTACTCTATCCGATTCCCTGAACTCGAAACCCTCGTCACGAGCCCTATCAAATATGCGAAAACCGTGGCTATCCTCAAAAATGGCCCTCTTGACGACATCAAAGCCATCTCGAACTCTGCAGACAATATCGTGGGAGAGTCACTCAAGGGTGTGCTAGATGGGCCGTCTCTTATGGTTGTGGCAGTTGAAGGAACGACCACCCGTGGCCGTGAGATGACTGATTCAGAATTGAAGATGGTCATGGACACATGCGAGAAGATTATCACACTCGATCGGGAACGTACAGCTCTCACAGAGAGCATTCGGTCCCGTGTTCATCAGATTGCCCCCAACCTAGCGACGCTCATTGGTGCTCATATCGCCGCCCAGTTTCTGAACCAAACCGGTGGATTGTTAGATTTGGCGAAAATTCCCGCCTGCAATTTGGGCGCCCAGGGATCTAGGCGGCAAGATGGTTTGGGTTTCGCTACGAACCATGGTGTGCGGTCACAAGGCTTCCTGTACGACTCGCCACTCATTCAGGAGGTCCCCAACGATCTAAAAAAGCAAGCTATCCGCATCGTTTCTGCCAAGATGGTACTCGCAACCCGCGCCGATGTATCAAACTATGCCAAAGATGGCTCCCTGGGCGAGGAACTGAAAGAGCAATGTTTCAAGCGACTGGAAAAATTGACTGAGCCTGCTCCTAATGCTGGAACTAAGGCTCTTCCAGCCCCAGATGACAAACCATCGAGAAAGCGTGGTGGACGACGTGCACGAAAGGCCAAGGAGGCTATCGCCATGACCGAAATGCGCAAGGCCCAAAACCGGATTGCTTTCGGCAAGGAGGAAGCAGAAGTTGGATACGGCACAGGCGAGGGCACTGTCGGTTTGGGTATGCTGGGTCAACAGAACGATGGCCGCATCCGTGCCACACAAATCGACCAGCGTACCCGTGCCAAGCTCAGCAAGAACAACAAGGGCTGGGGTGCATCAACTCCCGCCAGCGGCACCGCCTCCTCACTGCGTGGCTTCGGTCAGGGCGGCGTGAGTGGTACGGCCAGTGTTCTACAATCCAAGGGCCTCCGCAGCTCCGGTGTGGGAACTTCCTTGGGTGGCGGCTCCGCCGGTACTGCTAGTACCATTGCATTCACTCCTGTTCAGGGCCTCGAGCTTGTCGATCCTAAGGTGCAAGCTGAACTCAGTCGCAAGCGCAAAGCCGAAGAGGACCGTTGGTTTAACTCTGGCACGTTTACTCAGGTCGGCGGTAGTCAAAGCAGCACTCAGGCCAAGGAGAAGGATGGGTTCAAGGTCCCAGCTCTTCCACTTAAAAAGAAGGTGGACACCGGTGCGGGCAAGATGGGCCCACCCGCTAAGCCTTAGTCGCATCCGCCTCTTACTTTATTTATTTTTTGCGGGTCTGCATTTGGGCGGCGTTCAAGAACGATCAATGACCAGGGGTGGCTGGCTCTTTCATTTTAACCTTGTGATACCAATTTTGTACAGTAGAAAGGTCATATTCAATCACAAAATACTCAAAGAATCCACGATGAAAAATAATTTCGATTGCTTGATCTATTGGTCTGTCTTTGGAAGGCACGATATATTTCTAGATAAGGAGGCGCGATTTTCGAATTTAACCCCTTCAAAGGTTTTTATTCTTTTGAAAATCTTTCTTTCTATGCATAAAGCCCTCCTCCCCTCATTCTCGTTCATTCTGCAAGCCTCATACCAAATAATTTTACGTTCATCAAATCCAAAATAGTGTGGAATAAGCTTAGTCGCATCATTATTTGTATCTAGCATTCCTACACCTTCCAATGCCAAACAAATCTAATTGATCTTAAACTGGGGTGATTTCAAATGGGCGTCACTCCAACTTTCGCAATCAATTTATGCGGTCAGATGATTTATAACGCAATTGGGGATCGAAATCTAGGTTCTCGGGTGGCGAAGATTTGATCTGTGTAATCAGCAAGATGCTCATCGCTACATTATTTAGACCGAATCACAGTTCGTAAGCAGCCCTTAGTCAGTGTGCAAAGGTTGAACAATATGCCACTTCATGGCAAATTATTAGTCATATACTCTTGCGGTAGCCTTGACACTTCAGGTGGTGTATTAGGTACATGCAGATCAGGGGCATAGGTGTCACGCTCGGGTGTATGTATAGTGCGGCCCCCTATGTCAACGCTACGGAACCATGGTTCAACTCGGAAAACCCTGTTCTAGAAGTTACTTAGCCATACAATTGTACCTATATTGGATGTCAAGAATGGTACATTTGATGTACATTAAGGTCCCAAGATTTCCACCTGGCATGAAACACGTAGAGCAACAGCGTTCAGACGGGATTTCATCACGAAATCGTACTCAACGAATCAATCATAAATGTGTGAGGATATAAAGGATCCGACCCAAACTTTGATTATGGCACTCTAAATGGCGTGCTTATGCCGAGTTCTTTAGCCGTTCTTTCGCAATCTGGGGGAATGTGGCACCAAATAGAGGAACACGGTAGCGGTGTGCAGAGCTTGCGTGTCTAAATTTTATGACGATCAAATTTTCCAAAACCCATAAAGTTAATACTTCTTTTCTCCTGACCTTTCTCTCGTTATCGTCGCATTTTTCGGCTTGCATAGACTCGCCAACAAAACGGCTCGTGATATACCCGCATTGTGTTCGCTTCTTGCAAGCATGGCGATAGATGTGGCTGCCCCGACACTGAACAGCACAGCAACAAAAGCCGACTTTGATAAAGACGCAACCCCTCGGCCGATTCTGAATCGAATCCTCCGCCACGATCTGGTGACATCTGATTTCGATGAATTGAAATTCCACGCTGCAGCATCTCGTCAATTACAATTAGGCGACGAGAATACCCAGCACGAGTCTTCAGACATTGATTCTCGCCTGATTGCCTCACCATACAATGGGTCGGCTCATCTCCTGGACTTAAACAGTCTGGACACGCAAAGCCGGCTGCTATCACTGGCATTGACATATTTCACGCCAACCCGGGACGACTATGCCACGGCCGAGTATCTTGATTCATTCAATTGGACCGAAGTCTTTGCTCTCTTGAAAATGTTTTCAGAGGCTGAAAGTCACACATGGACGAAACAGACTTTCTATGTTGTTTCGTTTAGGTCAGTACTCAAGCCGGGTGTTGATAATGATCATCTCCATGATTTGGATGCATATTCGCATCAGGAAGCAACCACTAGTGGTGGATTGTTGAAGTATTGGTTCGGCACGAAGAATGTCAAGAGACAGAATCTGGCGACTTGTGAGTATTATGTCAATCTCAGTGGGTGACAATGACTAACCCCATGAACAGGCATCTGGCGGAATCGGAATGATGCAAGGTTAGGAGGTCGGGGGCCGTGGCATGCAAAAGCTAGGGTGGCGGGAAGGGAGTTGTATGAAGATATCGAATTCTCAACTCTGAAGTTGGTAATTGAGGATGACGTCTCGTCTTGGAGCATGAGTGGCTGGACGAGCGAGGATGAGTCCGGGATTTGAAGATTAGCGCATTTACTGGAGTTTTTTCCTTCCACTTAGCATCAATAGATATGTGAAATCTGGTGATATAAAAGTGGAGAGTATCTTTGAAGGGTAGTCAGCCAGAGTATCAGATTGTACTGGGACTCATGCAAGGGTCATGCTGCATGCATAGCCCTATCTGGTGACCTTGCATGCACTTATTGGTAGTATAGATCAACATTGGAACATGCTGCGACTGTGAAAGCGCATGGGATATTAACGATGAGAATGAAGATTGAGAGCACTAAGCCCTTAAAGATCTTTGGTGCATATGGGACTGCAAAAATAGAGAAGCAAGGGTATACAGATATCGGAATAACTCCGAACGTGCCTGTAGATCACTGTCAAAAGTTATAATCGCGAGAACGAAAGATATAGACACCGTGCAGCATATGTAATTAACTTAGAATATGACGCATTTTAGATGCGATCAAAGCCAGTCGGTTGTTCGCATTTCCCCACTGCAGGAGAAAAGAGTAGAATTTCCCGCAGTGGAGACATCATGGGTTCCACACTCTTCTTAATCAAGTACACTTCCCCGCAACAAAAGCGGGGATTATTACTCTTCTTTCTTTAATATCGGCACCATGCTGCCCAAAGGAATATTCCATGGAGGCACAAGCTCCACAAATTTGCCGACCTTCTCTGTCATGCAGGGGCATAGATGACAATCACGTTAATCTGGTTGGATATGACACTGCATTATTGAATTGACCACCCCCGCAACCGCGGGGCCCCGTGGAAGCTATGAGGTTATATATTTGCAGCATATCCCACCAGGCATCATTGTCTTTTAATTCAAACATTTCATTGATATACACATAATCTAGCATCCCAGCTTCACGAAGCCAATATGGTTGCCATCCTAGCGGACCGCCTCGAGGTCAATGACGGGCCCTTGAACTCAGACAACGCAGCTCTTCTTCGCCCTTCCGATCCCACACTACCCCTGGAGGAGCTCCGGAAGCGATTCGAAGAAGACGGCTATCTCTTCCTGAAAGGGATTCTTCCGCGCAACGATGTCCTGGAAGCCCGGAACGCATACTTTACATCTCTCAAGTCCACCGGTGTTCTCAAGCCCGGTAGCGAGCCAGTTGAGGGCGTTTTTGATCCAGCCAAGAGCCACGAACAATATCCCGGCATTGGTGCTGGGCATGCGGATGGAAATGGAAGACCAGGTGGTGAACAGGCGGCAGCATTTGTGGACCTAGCCCTCGATGCTCACTATCAGGACTGGTATGCAGAGAAGTTCTGCAACCACCCCGCTTTGTACGACTTCATCGCTCGATTCTCCGGCTGGAACAAAAACACTCTCAGTTATCGTCGCACGTTACTCAGGAACAATATTCCCGGCTCGAAGCCCATTGGTGTGCATTATGACCAGATCTTCTTGAGACATGGTGACCCGACCAGTATCACCGCCTGGTGTCCAATGGGAGATATCAAGTTAAACGGCGGGGGACTTATCTATCTTGAAGATGGTATGTTGGGCGTCGCTTGTAGTTGCCGTGACACTTTGTGCTAAATGGACAATAGGTGACAGCATTGGGCTGGAGCTAGAAGAAGCCTTTTACAAAAAGGCAAAAGAATCCGGGATGAGTGATGAGGAGGCTAAAAATGCTTTCAATTCAAATATGATGGCAACGGGCTTGCTGTCGGAATTTCCGGCTGAATTTGCTCGAGATCATAGCCGACGTTGGTTGGTCTCGGCCTATGAGGCTGGGGATGTTGTCTTGCACAAGCCTCATATGGTATGTCACCCAATTTACTAAATTAACTGCATCTAATGATGTTCTAGATTCATGCGTCGACCATAAACCATGACCCTGATAATGTGATTCGCCTCGCGACTGATCTTCGATTTTGTGACTCGTCCAAGCCAATTGATAAGGTGTGTCTTAGTGAGGAATGCAAACAATCTGAGTATCTAGTTGCTAATTCAACTTTCCAGCGGTGGATGAACCACTATACCTTCAATGATGGTGTTTAGTTGGACAGAAGTTGTAATTTTAAACATTCTACGCGAATGAACTCATGTTTCTTTCATACAATGCCGTTGATAAATGAACCACTAGAAGGAGAATGTAAGACAATTGGATGAAAATCACCAGAGAAAGTAGAGCAGTCGTTGGAACTGAACGGTCTGAACTGTCGCAAGTGCACTTACACAGGTCAGGCTTTCGACCGGCTGGATAACGAGGAGGACGAAAAATCATCCCGTCATGCCGTCTATCCCAGCAGGGGCACAATTTCACAGGATTATTTGCTTTCCCTTCCCTCGGCACTGTCATTATGATTTAGTGGAAGCATGTTATTGGTTTATCCAGCCTTTGGAATGCCGACACCAGGGATTAACATCGCGCACGGACACCCCTAGCTTCGCAACAAGCGTCTCCCAAGAAACGATGGCAGCCAGTAAACACCAATATATTCAATTTAGAACAGATGGCTTACAGCAAGCATGGCAGCTAAACGCTGATTAATTAGCGAAAGTGATTGTAAAATACAAGATGGCTGGCTAGGTTGGTAAAAAATGCGACGGTCGGTATTCGTCTGTTGAGTCCCCTTACAAAGTGCGCACAACCTTCATTCCGGAGAGCCACAACAATTACAAGCCCCCTCAAAACACAACCTATATGAATCATAGATATCCAGGTGGGTCTACTTCGCGTCTGCAAATATCTTTCTCCATATAGTCTCCCTTGGCACTGCTGTCCTCTCTGTTGTCTCAGATCACCAACTCTATACCCAGCTTTGCGCGAATACATCTTAAGACGATTGAATATGATATTCCCGTCTAAGGCCTCCTGGGGAGTCGTAATGGTCACAGGCCTTCTGGCCGCGACTGTTTACGCGATCCCAATTCGCGAGTCGAACACCGATACCCAAAACAAACAGAGATCAACGATACAGCCTCGCGATCCGGTAAATGATCCTACAATCCACACATATAATTCTCCAGCTAACAAATAACAGAGATTGATGCCCTTGACCACTGATTACATAGACGGCATTTTGGACATACTGGGCATGGATTCCCTGAACAAAGTCCTGGTACCAACATCTACTACAGCTACTACAGCTACTACAGAAACCCCAACCTCAAGCGCAATCCATGGGGTTGAAGTCACGACCACGGCGACTCCAACCATTGCTGAGGAGATGCCGGAGCCTTCCTCGATCACGACCGCTGATGAGATGACCTTCACAACGACTATCAAAAATGGAAATAATAGGCCGATTGAGAATATCCAAGTTGGACAAGGCTGGAAGGGCTCCAATCGTCTCCAGGCTTCGGATGTTCCTGTGATTATGGGTGCTGTTGAGGAGGAGCTTGCGAATAGATTCAATGATCTCGTTGATAGCTCTGATGAACTTGGGTTGGACTGATGATGATCACTATCATCATTTTGCCTATCAAGTTCCGTGTTCGGTACGGGCAATCTTGAAACGATGGTGGTGATGGACGGATTAGATGATTTGATGTTGTTTACCCTGTAATGATTTATAGCCTTACAAATGTATAACTAGCTTGCTTCTTGGATTTCCATCATTGAAAATTTCGAGGAATTAAAAAGGATTCTTAATAGACATATGCCCCTGTAAGGAAGGATTGATGTATGTTTATCTTGAGTTTGTTCAAGTTTATGCCTCTGACCTTGGAACCTTTACAAAAATAACGTACGAAGGGCAAGCGTAGGAGCATCCGTGAACATGCAAGTTAATAGCGCAACTTTGCTCGTAGGCATTCATCCTCTGCTACCTAATTCTTTGGCAGAACCTAGTCCCTCGGGTCCTACCAAGATCAAGTGATAGTAAACTGTTCCCCCTCGTTGAAGAACTTCGAGCTACTTGAATATCCTCGTCCAAGAAGGCCTGCCTGGAAGTGGTGAACCGAAAAGACTTGCCATTATGGACGATCGAGACGAACATTTGCGAGGAGAGCACATGGAGAAAAGCCCCAGAACATGGATAAATCAGGTGACGCGCACGGGGTAGTTCAGCCGCGTCGTATTGTTTCTTCTCCCATTATGAACCGACAGGCAGATCAATCTTTCATAAGATTGCTCACAGAAGAGTATTTCGTTGCCTTAGTGAGCATGGACGAGGATGATGAAGAATTACTGATCAACACCACCAGCTTCCACCATTTCATGTCCTTTGTTTTCAACCCTTGATCTGTGATTTTTACTGCTGTTCCCTGTCGACCAATCCAATCCCTTTAAGCTGTTGGCCTTCGCGTCGGGCTCAGGGCTAAAAGGCGTGTGTGTCCCCAGGATCAACATGTTCAATTTGATTTGATTATTGGGTTTAATGACTAATTATCAAACCCGACGAACTCACTTTAGCCTTCATGAAGAGAATGAGGACAAAAGCTGGATTATTTGAATCGGCCATGCTAAGTGAACTCTACAAGCACCGAAAGTCTGGACTCGGATTCTCACGTCTCCTCGAATTCAATTCACCCCTTCCACGCCACATCAACAAAGCCCATTACAACCAGGGCGATGTCATATTTGGGCCACTCAGGTAAACATTGATCTGCATGGCCTGGAGCTTACCATCGTAGTACTGAAGCACTTCAAGCGTGTCACCGGTAGCTCCAAATGGAGCCACCATTGTGATCTCAGCTTCAGCTTCCGTCGCCTTCAGCCACACTTCCTGCGCCTCCTGCGACGATGCCATACGATTCGGGATGAAAGCGGAGACATTCTGATAGGGGTAGACGGTGCCCGGGATGATGCCACTAGTAACGACGAAGCCTAATTCTTCATCGACGACGAGAGCCACTCGTGCATTGTCATCAGTGGGATGATCATCTGGCCAGCTGCAGCCGAGCGGGTCGCTGGAAGCGTTTCCCCATGTACCAGTATCAACAACCTTCCAGCCCAGTTCGGTGAATTGGCAGTCGTCGGCGACACTGACCGCAAGGCTGTTGGTTGACGAGAAAAGGGCATCACTCAGATTATACAGGTAATCTCTGCTCGCCTTGGTCCGATTTGTTGGAGGCGACATCAATGTTGCATAATTCGTCGGAAGCTCTGCGGCCGAGTAGGAAAAGCCGTGGTCTCCGCGATTGCGGTTCATGAACAGTTCAAGCTCGGTGATCAACCGATCGACAACCTTGATTCGACCACGAAGGACTGTTTCCTTGGCGTCGTCGCCTTCGCTAACATCCAGGGCGAAGTAGGCCGTGCCATTTGTTGTGTCAATTGCCAGCAGACTAGGCTCGCCTGCCTCAGTGATTGTGCGCCACGCCGTCATCATGGTGACCGCTGCCGGGTGCGAGTTCTCAGTCGCCTTGTACATCGGTGCCAACGGCAGCATGGACGGATTGTGCACGACCATCGAATCAATGATTCCTTGGACAATGTTGGTCATGCATGTTCGGGAGCAGTCGCTGCTATATGAGCTTCTGCGTGCCAGATCGCTTCGAGCAGCATTTCGAGGAATACGCATAGATTCTCCGCCTATCGCCGACATCGCCACGACGATGCCTATCGACAGTTGAAGCAGCTTAGACAGACCCAGAAATTGCATTGTCGCGAGTTGACCGTAATTGTAGCCAAGTTGCTGATTTCAGGCAGGCAGGGCTATGGATTCACTACTCAGTGAAGGAAGCTTGGAGTTGGATTTTCTGGGGAAAAAACCTACGCTTTATAGGTCGACTCCCCAGACTGGGTCCCGCGTACTCCTCATCCTTCCAGGATTTACTACATAGCACAACAGCTCTATGCAGATGAACAATAATGTCCATAACTGTGCAGGAGCAATCCAGACAGCCAAAGCAATATACTTCTCGGCTCCACGCTCGGCTCCACCCGCTGAATGGTAGGTGATATCCTGATTCAAGCCTGGAGAAGGACCCACCTGGAGTATCCCCGGCAGTTTTGAAATAGTAATATAGATGTAATTACCCCTATAACCTTGGTTAGAAGCATGTATAAAGACGGATGATGACCTATCAGGAACTTTAAAGCCTACAAATCGGGCCCTCCTCAAAAAGCGGTTTAGCTCGAGCAAAGAGGCGTTCACAATATGTTAATATTGACAGCGCAGTTCGGGCCCTCCTCAAAAAGCAGTTTAGCGTAGTAAATGAGGCATCTCCAATAGGCCAATGTCGACAATTCGGGCCCTCCTCAAAATGCGGTTTAGCGTAGAAAGAATAGCCTTTGATCTGATGCGGGGTCCGGGGCGTTCGGGGTAATTCTATCTCCCACTTGCTCATTGAACACACATATTTCAAAGCACCTTTAGCCGGTCAATTGTACGAATATAGGTATCTGACGAGTACTCTCTGCGCCAAGTTAGAGCCTCAGCGTGCATTGTGAAAGGATTCTCGTCGACGGTCAAGTTGTCAATTCCGAATAAGCAACAGCCAATAGCTGCGTTATTCCCATAGGCTGGCTAAATCCTTCTAGCGCCGTACTCGTCGCGTCGTTGATTGGCAATAAAATGATTGTCTCTGTCAGGTGCTTGAAGGTTTCTGAGCACCTGCGAAGCATTTGTAAGCTTTCTCATAGTCTTGGGAATATATGTCGGGATCAAAGAAGCCAATGCAAGACGCCTTTCACATTCCGAGGATCTAAGTGCCTAAGGGATCCTATGGCTTGAAAAGCTCTACTGGATGCCATCGCTCCAGTATGTTGATATACACGGAACAATAAGAGGAGGCTGATACGCGATGCCGTTTAGCTCCTTGCCACTCCAGCTTCGATATTCTCTGTCAATTCAAGGACACTAACCAAATTCCAAACTCAATGGTCCTATGTGACCGAGAGCAGTGGACAAGTGGCGCTGAGTCTAATGCCCCGGGCTACTTGGCTCTAGAGGCCGAAGGGCGCGGAGGAGAGTACCTCCTAACCAGTCTCACTATACCAGCCTCTAGCGAGTCAACTAAGAATCAGGTTATGATCAAGGTGCTTGACCCCAGTTTCACACATCCCCACTTCTCATTCATTACTCCGGGTCGAATTCCATGAATCTACTAGCTTCAAGTCAAGAGAGTCGTTATCATGCCTTCCAAGGTTAGGATTACACGATCTTAATTGAACGCGCCGTGGAGGAAGATCGATGAGGCCTTTGTTGAATTCACCTAGTCTTTCAATATACCTCTGAGGATGTGATTTATCTAAATTATCTTTTAAGTCGTACTTTGAGCCAAAAACTTCCAAGAATTACCCGGAAAATAAGAGGTTGCTGCTAAGTGTTGAGATGACCACATTGACTGTCCACCTTGAGTGTCCACACCAGCTTCAAGTGCCCACAAACTCTATTCAAGCCGCCAATGATAATTCTCATTTGAATTACTACACAGGATTATGGTAATGTCCACTACTCGTATTGTCCTCTCATATCATCATATGATCCGCGCTAACGGGATCAGCCGACTATCAAAGGACCGGATGTCCCACCCTGTCCTCTAGAGCTGTCCACCTTGATCGTTCACCTCGTGCTAAGCTCTAACCGAATCCGGAATAGTGATGCTTTTTCGATGCTATTCTCTGAGCCTCTTGAATGATCCGCTTGTTTTGGTTGGTCAATGACGAGTCGATAGTCCACCGGCATCTCCGAATTTCTGTTGACAGAGGCAGGACCTTTTGCCCCGGACCCCAGATACAAGCTCGTGAACCAGATGTCTCCACTTTACCTGGTGTGGGGATGTACTTAAAACTCAACGCTTCTTCCCCAGATTCCTGGACAACCCGGCGAGAAGATCATTAATTCATCAGACATGGCCTCCGAAGATCTCCATCGCGGAAGGTGGCTTATATTCAGATGAAGCCATCCGTCGCGGAAATCTTCTTGGAGAGGAGGAGCGTCAACTCACGCTTTGGCAAAGTGCCATGGGTAACAAACGCGCTCTCCTGATCTGTAAGTCAATCAAGGTGGCCTTGTATCTTCGGGTATCTGACAAACCACAGGCAGTGTCTCCTTCCTAGGAAATATGCTCTACGGATACGACTCAATTGTTAATGGAGCCTCCGTCTCCATGCCCTCCTTTCTCCTGTACTTTGGAAGTATCGGACTTACTGGATCAGCTTATTTGCCATCAATCTGGACATCTCTTTGGAACTCCATGTCCCTCCTCTGTCAAGCCATTGGTGCATTGATGGTTGGATCTATATCCGATCGATTTGGTCGTAAGTGGCCTGCTTGTGCTGCTGCGACGCTCACAATTGGCGGTACTGCGATGCAATACTACGCTGAGTCTCGAGGACTGTTACTAGCTGGCAGAATGGTGAACGGATTGGGAATCGGAGTTGTGGTTATAATGTCGATGACATACGCTTCAGAAGTCGCACCTCTTCGACTTAAAGGTGTGTTTCAGCAAGGCTTGGTTCTGTTTTATGTCTTTATGATGGCGGTGGGTCTTGCTGTCATCAGAATCTATGTTCCGCAAATGGCCCCGCAGGCATTCAGAAACGTTTTCGCCATTCAATGGGCCGTCGCAGGCATTAATGCCCTAGCATTTGCAGCAACTCCAGAGTCCCCCAACTTCCTGATTTCCAAAGGTCGTTTGCCCCAAGCCCGTAATGTTATGGCTCTAATCTATGGCAAGAACAACTCAATCGATGATCGCCTCGCATATCTGAACAAAGTTATTCGAAAAGAACAGGCAAATAAAGCACTACAGTCGGGCTCATACATTGAATGCTTCAAAGGGGTCGATATTCGAAGGACATTGACTGTTGTCTTTTTATATACCGCATAGAATTGGGGTGGTGCCGCCTTTCTGTCTCAATCCATCTACTTTTTGATCATTGCCGGCCTCCCATCAATCCACGCATTTGACGTTTCAATTGGTGGCTTTGGCTTGGCTATGATCATTATCGTGTTGAGTTGGATTTTAGGAGGTAAAGTTAGGCGGCGGGATGCCTTCATGGCAGCATGCATCCTTAACTTTCTTTTCATGTTGACGATCGGGGCACTATACTACGCGCCTGGGTCCAGTGGTCTATGGGGAATTGCAGTTCTCATGTAAGCTGATCCGTGTTCTTACTTTGAGCATCTACTGATAACAGTCGTTCAACTTCAGGAACGTGATGATCTCCTTCCAAACCAGTCTTTTCCTCGGTATGGGATACCCGATTGCCGCAGAAATATCAAGCTATAGGCTTCGAGCCAAGACATTGTCCATTGGTGTCATTACACAGACAGTCACTGCCTAGTTGGCTCGATTTATTGTGCCATACATCTACAACGTTGATGCTGGCAACTTTGGAGCTCGAACAGGATTCGTCTTTGCGGGACTGAGCGTTCTCCTGATCATTGGCACCTGGTACATCGTGCCTGAAACGACTGGCCTTACCATGGAGGAAATCGATAAGGCGTATATCGATAAGATTACTGTGAGAGCATTCCAGACACGTATTGGAAGCGGCCAGGTTGAGGCTTGATGAAGAAGTCCAGAAAAGCCGAGGTATAATTGACTCCAAATTGGCTCTATTCGTCTCTACCGCGGCTCGGGCAGAAAGCTTCATAAACATTAGCTATGATGTTTTAGCAACCAATGTATTCCGATAGCATATATTGTGTTTATCTACGATGAAACTTTGAATATGACACTCATTTGGGAATCTTGATCGTTCCAAGTACCGTCAGCGTAGAGCTTTCCAGTATCTAATCCATATTTTATACTATCTTCAGAACTCTTAGGTAGAATCAAATGCCTTTGTAATGAGATATGTGGGCCGAGTGGCTTTTATACGTTTTCGTGTGTAGTCATTGTCAATGATGTGGGTTTCGATCTGATCCTTTATTTTCTAACCTCTATATACAAGAAGGGTCTCCCTCTCGCCTTATAGTGGCAATGGAATGTGCCATCGGATTCCACTAGATTCAATGGCCCATACAAACTAATGTGCTGTGACTTGCTACAGTAAGGCGGCTGTTAAAAGTCTTGCTGCAAACCCGTCTCTTCTCTTGACAACTTCGGAATTAATATATTCAGGAAACAATGCAAATTTATTGGCAGCTGGATGGCGAGCATTCACCAGAGTAGTGTAAGAAATGACCAAAATGACAAAGGTCCTGCAACCAAGCACAATATCAAGGAAGATAATTCTTGATGTTCTGGTGAACACCAGTATAAGAGCGAAGCATGGGTGATTAACGTAATTACGGACGCACCCATCACTTCGTCTACATTGTTCATGGTTAGTCGCTGATATAGCGAGCTTTATGAATACGCACAAATTTGGTGACGAGTATTCTCTGTCCAATAGATAGAAATGGCCAAACAAACTGCGAGGATGTTGGACCATGTCCCCATGCCTAAGTCAAGTTAGACCAGACATTTTGGGCTGACTGTTAAATTTCAGCTGTCACTGCTTACTCAGGATAGCCGGGGGCGCTGGCTGCGTTATATGACACTGGGTAGATTTCCTCTTCATTATTACCGAAGGATTGTGTGAGTGTGCCCAGAGCATCGGAGAATGTCATGCAATTTTTCATTTGGCCTCTTCTTGGCATTTTGATGCCCCACTATAGTTTATCATCTTTGCACAACTGTGTCTCAAAACCCTGACGCAAAGACTGACCAGGGGCTTCTGATCCCAACCTTTCGTCTTTGGAGGCAATTTCAGACAATTGGAACCAAGGACCAGGGAAATGGCCATCAGTGATGGTGCGAATATCCATTGCCCTTGTTGAAAATGCTGTGATTAACATAACCAGATGAGAGAAGAAAATATCACATGATGCGAGCCTCCCAATAAAGCGATATTGAAAAGGCTCAAATCAATCGATCAATACATGTCGTGGAGTAAGATGAGAGAGAGTGTGTGTAAGCAAAATCATTTAATAGACCTAGGTAGATAGAACGGGAGGTGTCTCCTAGCGTTGAATATGTATCTGCGGATTCTAATTAAGATCAAACTTCTGGACGCTCAGAGACAAGCGAAGAATGTAATCTCCCGAAGTTCCTTGCTTCCAACCTTGGAAAGTCTCACTCAGAATTGTGTGCTCTTATTGGCGTGAATGCAAATAGTATAAATGTATGACAGTCAGGATTTGCATCCTATAACTGACGTGTGGCTTATGCAAGCCGGTAGTCTGGTGGCTTCCACCTGGGTGTGAGATGGGAATCATGGGTGTTTGGCCCCCTTGCTTCCCTGAGGATCTGCTATTTGTCCAAACCAAAACCTAAACGCGAGCATCCGGCCATAGGATAGGTGCGGAACATCCCGTTGTTGGCTACGGCCGCGTTCCCCGATTTTCACTGTTGGAGTCGCCCTGCAGATCAGCACTATGTACTTCAAAGTGAAAAATTCAACTTCCACCGGTCGCTCCTCCGTCTTTTTAATGTATGGCTACTCACTCCATGCATTTCCTTCCCTGCGAGCCCATAAGTGCTGACACATTCCTTGGAATACGAGCCCGACATTGTTGACATTGGAACCCACATTCCAGATTCCAGATCATGCCACGACGACCCCGTGTTATGGTCGAGAACCATTGGAAATGGGCCAAGGAAATCCACACTTGGATCTAAACATCGTGGGTTTATTCCCTTGCTTGTGGGAAGTAGTGCTTGCATCAAATCTGCCGTAGGTGATATGCTAAACATCACGCGAATCGCTTCTGAATATGATTTGTAGGTATTACTTCCAATTTCTGAAGAAAATCTTTCGCACGTTAGACGAAAAACCCATTTCGGAGAGGCTTTTCATGCGGCATATTCAATTGCTACTGGGTATCGGCCTTATAATATTGAGTTTGACAAAAATAATCCGAAATCTTGATGTGATCTGTCTTCAAATACCACAAGTGTCGAAGATCTACATGAAATTCTTACGGCTCTGATTCCTGCCACTAACGGCTGTCCTTTGCTTCAGCGCGCGCTATTCCTCTTATGGTGTTTGAGTTATGTCATGGTGTTTGAGTTATGTCTAATTAAAGATGGAGCAAAAGCAACATTCCGTGAGCTCTCTCAGGGGACAAGAAATAAGCAAACATAAATAATGGCCTGTTCCCCCTTTTCGATAGAACGTGCACGCCAACTATTAACGCAGCCTGTTCAACTCCCTCTTTAATCTCACCCTCCTATCTCGGCTGGCCTTCGCTACCATGCTTGCACCACTTGTATTAGGCATAGCTGCGCTTGCCAGCGCCTTCCCGGTTTCTACGACCGAAAGTGCGACCACATATCCGGCCGTGGGCTTTTGTTTGGGAGATTGTTGGACACATGACCCTGGCATGGTCCAGCGTGAGTCAGATGGCATGTACTTTCGCTTCTCAACGGGAAGTGGAGTAAACACTATGATGTCCCCCTCGCTCGCGGGTCCATGGGTGAATGAGGGTCCTGCACTGCCTCATGGCTCAATAATCAAGTTGGACGGTGTCGATAGCATGGATATTTGGGTATGCAAGCCGAACTCGGATTCGCGTATCTTATGGAGATTAAATACTGACGTGTGAATCAAAGGCTCCCGACGTGCACTATGATAGTGGAATCTACTATATGTACTATGTGGTATCTAAGCTCGGCACGCAAAACTCGCAAGTCGGTGTAGCCACGTCTACGACCATGGAGCCGGGGTCATGGACCGACCACGGCGTGATTGGCTTGCCCGCTAGCGGCGACTACAACCGGATCGACCCCAACTGGATCACCATCAACGGCAAGCAGTATATGCAATTCGGCTCTTACTGGAAGGATCTCTTCCAGGTTGAGATGGAATCTCCTCTAAAGGTCGGCGGCGCGGCTCCGCACCAGCTTGCATTCAATGCTAGTCTCAACCATCGCGAGGAGGCTTCTTTTATGTTCCAGCACGAGGATTACTACTACCTCCTGTTCAGTGGCGGTGTTGCTGGCTCCTATACAGACACCTCCCCACCCCAGGGTGAGGAGTACCGGATACACATGTGTCGCTCAAAGAGCGGACTTGGAGACTTCGTAAGTGCTCTTAACCTGAATTCATGGAGATCCCAAAATAAAAGCCCTCTAACCCGTTTACGCACAGGTTGACATGGCTGGTGTCTCCTGCTTGAACTCTGGCGGCACCATCTTGCTGCAGAGCCATGACCAGATCTACGCTCCCGGTGGACAGTATGTAACCCATATCTCTTCCTAGAAGACATGCGATATATGAAAACCTGCTAACGAGATCTTCTAGGGGTGTCATCCACGATAAGGAGCTAGGCCCTGTTCTGTACTACCAGTACTACCCACTGGAGTTGAAGCAGGCTGGCGGTGTTGGTAACGACGGCTTCAGATACGGCTGGAATCCTCTGGGCTTCAAGGATGGCTGGCCATACGTGATGTCTACCATCTAAACAAGACCTCATCGAAAAGTTCACCGCATGTTCCGACCATTTGCGCGGATCACAGTGCTGTCATTTTGCTTCTTTCTCCCTGTGAATGATTGAGACCATACTTTTTTTGTCTTGAATCCTGAGTATCAGAGTGTACTCACTCGCTTGTCATCCGGCACTTTGCCGACGCGAGTTTATATGATAATTCCTTATACCAATTATAATTTATAACTTTCGGGGGGACGACTCGGACGAGTGCTCGGACCCACAACCACTTCGGGAATTCCTCATTACCTCCATGTAGTATGCAAAGTCGAGAATCAAGTAAGACCTATAGAGATATCTCACATTGTGCTGTTTCTTGTAGTCGGGTCGGTATAATCTTGGTAAACTAGTCCCTTGCATACAAGGACCATTTGGAGAGCCAGGGTTCACACATATCTCGTCCCAAGTACTCGGTGCATTTTTTGGTGGCCGCAGATAGACTTGGTGATTATCTCAAGCAGTGGGATCCACCAGTGGTCACCTGACTCTCCTACTAGACTCATCAAAATGGACCAATAGTAAGTCTCTTTCCTGATCTACACATCTGGATCATAGCGCAGATCAAGCGCAGAAAATTTAAAAGTCAACAACAAAGAGCCAGCCAATTAGCATTCCTCGTACGATGGCCATTTCAGGATTCGACGAGCACCACGTGCTATCCACGTGCCCTGATCGCGCACACCGACAAGTTTAGTCACGTGACTCCGACAGGTATTTGGCATACTCTAATGTCGCGGGTGATTATTCGTCAAACTCACTTCCACATCCCCACTTGGCGGGAAATCATTCCAAATACCTCCATGATTTTACTCGAGGAAGGGGGGTTTTTGGGGGTCCTTGTCGGATCCGATCAGCTCCGCACATCATAAATTGTGCAAAATCAAATCCCCGTGCCCACTAATTGATCGACAAATCTCGTCCTATTTGGCCGGCATTTCAATGCGGGTAGTAAGGCCCTTCTGATTTGACGTCGGATCTTCTCTCTTGCTACGCCTTTCTCTTCGCACGTCATTAGGCTCACTGTTCTAATTTACAAATCACATTGGATCAAACTTTAGATGAATTGTCATCGGATGTGCGAGACGCACTAAGTGGATCAGAAGGCGATTGTCCATCGGACCGTCTCGGCAAATCAGCCATGATTTGGAATACTGAGGCTTTTTTTATATAGCCATGTCAGCATGCATAGAAGGAAAGAAGCCCACCTGATGAAATAAAAAGACTCTGTGGTCTCCCCGTCTGACACGACATCTCTCTTCGTTAAAATTTTCCTTCGATATCAAGACTTACAACCTTACGAATAACCATGGATACCAATCAGTGCGGAGTTCTTCACCCAAACGAGAAGGTTGCTCACTGGATCAACAATGGTATTGGGTCAAACATGTATGCTTCGAATCTTCCGTCCTTGTTCCTCTTTGTGTACTCATATTTCACAGCAGGAACACAGACGCCCAGCAACATGCCATGCAAGCTCAGAGCTACAAGGATCTGATTGGCGAGCTATTCAAATCCAATTCTTCACACTCTCATAGCTCAGCGGCATCCTTTGATCAGCAGGGCCGACCTGATCAAATGAGAACCAAATGAATAGTCCCGTGAGTGCCAATATCTCAACTTCTTCTAGCCTTATGGAATCACGAGCCGTGTTGACTAACAAGTTCAGAGGCTTAGCTTGAAAAGTGGGACTCACTTCTTCCACGGGCCAAAGACAAGCATGTTTTACGAAATGACGATGTTTCATATGATTTTGAATTAGCGTCTCATGTTAAGCGTTTTTGATTTCAGAATTTCCGGACTTAGAAAATATTCAAACAAAGTTCTCTATTTTATATCGATATGCGGAAGTGTAGTGTGTAACAGATACATGTTGATCAAAGTGTTCAAACCGGGAAATGGGTAAGCATCTTGCTCAGATCGTCCGACGCGGATGAGGGTCTGGCGGGGCCTGAACTACGGGGCCCCCACCCAACGAACCCGAGTAATCGAGTATCACGTGATGCGACAAGGGCCTACAGGCTACAATATTGCACTCCTGCTTTCCACTCTTTCTGAGCTTTTTTCGTGGAAAACAATTAATATTGCCCTATGAGGCAAATCCTTGTATAACATTCATGCCGAGTTTCCCCACTTGCCACACTTATGTCAGGGCTTTTACTAGTACAGCTCATCTGTTAGGCAAGATCATCAATACAACTCGATATTTTTCTCTAACGTTCCATCTAGATATAAGAATGCATCACTTTTAAGCTTTGCAGATATTTAACAGGAAGGCAGGGCGGCATTTTCAATGGAAAATAAGAGAAACCAACTCGGGTTGATTGACAACGAGGTCCATTATGCATTTATGATAGCATCGAGGTGTTGCGCATCCTAAATCCAGGCTTCATTCAACAATGTTTTGTATGAAGCTCGACGGGAGAACTTAGACTTACCTTGAAAGCTATTCTTCTAGTGATCCAAAAATCTTCTCTTCAGGCTTGACCATGGCAGCCACCATATCATCTGAGATTTCAGAACCAGGTCTGATCCGTGTGGAGCCAGAGCACTGCTGGTTATGTTGAACGCAAGCTTTCCATCTTCCGTGGCCATGGTCTTGTTTCTTGAGGTCATAAAGATGCTCCTTTATGAGGTATAGGGTAAATATAACGAGTAGTGTTGCGGTTAAAGCGATATGGACTCCGTATTTCATTCTGTGGACGAGTTTCGGTTCAACGAAAAAAAAAAAAAAAAAAAAAAAAAAAAAAAGAAATACTCAATTGACTTTGAGAAAGTCTTCTTTTGAGCTGGAAACTTTTGAGTTCATCAAGTCATTGACACACCATAATAAGAGGAAGTTGAGGATTTTACATTGACCATTAGAACTGGGGATGGTAAGGCTATGTCAAGCTATTTGAAACAAAAAAAAAAAAAAAAAAAAAAAACAGAAATTCTCTGCCACTGTGATTATGGAAAGTTAATTGAAAGGCCAGAAGTCCGAGCTATCCGTACCAATATCTAGAGCAGGTGTTGTAATACCTCGACGGTGATAAGTTAATGTGGTGAAGCATTTGCAGCCTAGATTATGTAACACTCCACCGGTCCAAAGATTTCTAAAACTTAGTTCAATGGCCACCAGCCACCGATATTACACTTAGTATAGAGTCGGTTTTCAACTCTACGATCAATATTAACACAAAGGCTCAATCCTTCAGAAGGGCATGGTAAGCGATGAGGAATGCGGAGTTCCCCATGTTCTTGCAATTACAGTGTGTCCCGTTACCCGATCACTAAATGACTGCTGTTTGGTTCAAAATATTTGGTAGTGTTTGTCACGATAGGTACCGACAGGTGATTAGTTTCGGTTCAGTTCTTGGCGAAAAGGCTCAAACTATGTCTGATGACTATATTAGTCTGACTAGATTAGGCTATAGCGAACACTATCTTAGCCGCCCATTTCTAATGAACTATGTGGTATGTCTTGTATTTCCACAGCCATGTCCGGTAAGATCCATATCGTTTCCAGAAACCCCAAAAGGCCAAGCAGGCACTAGAGATTAGAGTGGCTGTAAGCAAGATCTGAAAATTTGAAATGTTTCCTATTGGTATGGCCTCGGTCTTAATTGTTTCCGTTTCACCCAGCACCATCCCATGAGCATCCAAAGCAGCGACCCGAAATTCCCTGTACTGATTGATGTTCGGTGCACTTATCCTGGTTTCAAATCCTATTTTTCGAGCCTTTCCCAACGTGCTGAATGTGGGGTTCTCACTCTGGGACTGGTCAGAGACCTTTAGTTGCCATTCCCATACCTCCGTTGCACCATTCCAGCTGACATAGACTCCATCGCCAATTATTTTTGCCTTTGGTTCAGTCAAAGGCAACCCGCTCCATGTTCCCTTGAGGATACGGTAAGAGACAATACGCCCAAAGCTGTAGTATGCCGAGGCTCCAAAATGGACATCACATAGGATTTCACCCTCGGGAGTAAACTCAGTAAAGGCTGCACTGTGGCCCCAACCGACGAATATATTGCCATTTTCCAGTACCTGTAAGTTTCCTTGAGAAGTTGCCAGGACCTTTTGGGAGTCTGAAAATATAGTTTGCAGGGTGGCATGGCGAGCTTCGACATCGAGCTGGATGGACATGCCATAGCTGTATGGTCCAGGACTATCGTATTCGCGTGCTGCATTATTCAACAGAGTGATTGTATTGTTCCCCCACCAGCGTGCATCGTGCTGCCAGGAGAAGTCTGTGGCACCGCTGTCCGCCACGTCGGTGAAGTCGTTCAGACGACCGCCTAATGTCCACAGGACAGCACCGGTCTTTCCATCAATATTGCTGACGGTATACGTATGTCGCATTGAGACCAAATAATTCCCTTGGGCGTCTTTATCGACACTGTTGATGTGGAATGCATCAAATGGTTTAGATATATCCCCGCCGACCATAGGCCAAAAGGTGCTATTGATGGGGTAGTGCTCCGATGCCCGCCATTCAAATAGTAGCTCACCCGTCATAATATCGATCTCTTGGAATAAACCGTCATATATCCAGCCTGATGACGGACCGCCTACAGCCGACAAGTCGAAAGGTATAGAATCGTATATTGTGACAAGAGCCGTGTCGTTGTCGGTTATCTGAAATTCGTGGAGATCGCCCGAGAGGATTTTTCCCATAGGTGAAATTCTGTACTGTATTTGATAGGAAGTATTGAGCTAACAAAGTGGAAACTGGTGTTAGGATGGTATTGGCCTAGATATGATGTATCCTCAAGATACCAGCGCTTACCATATACCAGGATCCTTGACCATGAATATCAATTTCCACACCCGCCCAGAAGGTCAGGTAATCTTTCCCTTTAAATTGCTGGACTTTGAAATCTTGCACCTCACCCCAACTATAGTCCACCCATACCGGCTCCCCCTGCGCGTCAAGAATCAAAAGACTAGGTTTCGCAACGGAAAAGCCTCGTGGGGCTAAGAAGGTGAAACCCGAGTCACATCGAGAATCCCATTGCAAGATTTCTAGTCTTGGAGTGGTCAAGTTGCAGGACAGGTAGCTTCGGGACGGCGCAGCGCCATAAACGCCCCAGTCATACGGCGGTAAGTCCGACCGGAAACGAAAGCGGGCCAGTTGAGGCACACCGAAAGTATAGAGCATAGCCAGAACGGCTGCAGCTGCTATGCAGCCTGTCAGACGCAGGGCCTGGTTATGTCGCATTCTGTAGTTGCCCTGATGTTGAGTATGGTTGTTATATTGAATGCTGTCGAAAAAGGAGGACAACAGTCAACTTCGTCCAGGGAGGGCATGCTTTTGCTGCGAACTCTCATTGGGGAAATCAATAGAATACTTCCCCTGGAGATACAGATGAAATGTGTGGTAAAATTTTGATACCAATGGCCCCTCCCCCCCACCTTGGGTCTGGCTTTATTTTGCTGGTTCTACTAATATGCCCATCATTGCGTTCAGGGATATGCCGACTGAGTCTCACGGGGAAAGAAACCATGCAATCTGAGATTAAACGCGGGTTTCGTTCTCGCCCACGTGTGTATTTCTATAGGTTATGGATCCACTGCCCAGTACACGTATCGTAAATGCGGACTGCTGAATTGAACCTTAAATCGTTATTCAAATACCCCCTACCCTATGTAATGTCTCTAGCGCCGTAACCGTATTTGACAAGCTCCACCTGTAGATCCAGGCCTCTACACATTACTTCTGAAGGCATGACTCCGAAAAGAGCACAGGGTGACAAGGAAGTACAATCAATTAAGCCTAGTATCTACATAAAGATGCGCACCTTCGAATCTGAACTCCCAGTGGCCAAAACACATCGCAGAGTCGCGTCCCGGACTTTTTCTCTTTTCTTTCTGCTGTCCTCCATAGCCTCCGTTGACGAGATACTACCAGCATCGTTCATCACCGAAGGTGCCCAGCGGACACAACTAACGAATCCCCCATGAACTTCCTCAACAGTTCTCCGCAACCTCCCATCATCAGCAAGATCCCAACATCGCAGTGTTCGATCATCACCTACACTCAACAGGAACCTACCACCAGGGTGAAACACCAAGCCTCTTACCCAGTTCTCATGACCCACCAAAGTCTTCAGCAATAACCCATTGAAATCCCAGAGTTTTATCGTTTTATCTCGCCCGGCCGTAGCAACAACCCCGACAGCAGAACCCCCAGAAGGCAGCGCTTTTCCTCCCGCTAAAGCCACAAGATAAGAATGACTAGCCAGAGGCGCAAACGCACAGCACTCAATATCATTTCCATGGCCGCGGAGTATAGCTTGAGGGTCACCGGAAGCGACATTCCAGATCGTCGCAGCATGGTCAGAACCACCAGAAACAAGCCATTTCCCATCAAAAGAGATGCTCACATCGCGAATCCAATCGCAAGATGTATAGATTGTTTTCAAACAGAAACCATTCGAGGCATCCCAAAGGCGAATTGACGCGTCACGGCTAGCCGAGACAAGGATTTTATCGCCTGGGCGTAGAAATCGGACACATGATATGGAATGTTCATGTCCCACTAGAGTCCGTACGTTTGAGTAGTTGGTGTTTGGATCCCAGATCTTGATTGTGAGGTCGGTGGAGCATGAGGCAAGCAGGATTTGGCCTTTCATGCCGCCGAAATCGAGGCCTGTTACTGTTCGCGTATGCCCCTTAATAGTCTTTTCATGTTCGCCTAGCTCCCAGTCCCAAATTTTGATGCTGCAGTCTTCGGAGCTGGAGGCTAATAAGTTGAATGTGGGGTGAAAGGCCACAGATGTGATGGCAGCTCTGTGTGATTTGAGAGCGTGGGCTGGTTGGTCTGGGAGCCAATTTGCTGGGTCTTGATGGCGGGAATGGGGTTTAGGTAGTAACCGTAGCTCTTCCGTTAATCTGTCGACCTCGGTCTCTAATCTCATGATCTAATCATCGTCAAAAGGCTTTCTTCACCAGATTCATCTACTGAAAAGAATCCACGGCTTTCTTACTTTTCTTTGAAGCAGAGTATTTGTAGTCCATTTCTTCTCCAATATTTGTGCAAGCTGCTTGATAGCGTGGTCTGTGAGGACCGTATTCAATTCTAGCTCTTCGCGGAAAGTGGTGACAGTCTTAAAAGCCTTGAGCGTTGATAGATATCCAATTATCGCTTTATGTCTGCGAAAAGTTAGCAAAGAAGTATAGCAAGGGAGAGAGAAGACCATACAGCTCTTTGGATTGAGAATCTGTCAATATACTTCCCATGATAAATTGAAGAGTGTATGAGGTGGTCTGTATGGTCCTGGGGATTCACATAAGCCGAGCGGCTAGTTTATTGAAGAGCAGACTGGGTTAAAAGCAATGCTCACTACCATGAATGAAGGAGGCTGTTAAGCGGTCAGCCTCTTCGCCTCGTGTCTTTCAATGAAAGGGGTTTTAAATGATTGGCTAATATGCATGTTACGAATCACATCTGGTTGCAATTAGGACAACCAATGCAAGGTGTCGCGCGATCTACATCTCTGCGCACCCCCAGCCATCGATTTCTGCATTACTGGAAGGCTTGGGAGATAAGATTGGGGGGGGGGGGGTGGGATTACTGGGATAAAGATAAAATCAATATGATAATGAATAGGAAGGTGCAGATACATGCACATGTACAAGAGCAGCTATTGAACAATGACTTTTCCCGCTGTGGTCAATTCCTCCTTCCATCCCTAAGAAAAGTTCCCCCTCTATATCAATCATAAAGTCATGGAAGAGCTTTTCGGGAACCATCAAAAAACTCCGATAACAAACCATGCCAATCAAAAATCCCCCTAATTGGAGGAGTGTTTCCGCCTGGAAATTCCGGATATGCATATTAACAAAAGCCGGGAGCCTGGCGATAGGGTTAATGACGAGACATGACTAGATGGACCTAGGAATGGAACGAGACATTTGGCCAATGGCTAGCGGAGCCACTATTTAGCCTAAGTCTCCCGCACCAGGATCACCATCATCGTCCTCCTCGCCATTGTCCGGGTTCGGCTCTCCGTCACCAGGAAAAGTCCCGACACGGGAGTGATTCCTGCCCTTATTCACCGAGACTCTGCAAACGCCTGGGAACGCCATTAACCACCCGAACCCTCTTTTGCTGCGGCGCCAGTTGTGGCGCCGCTCAGAATCGCGACCATCACGATGGTGACGGCGGCGATAATGCTCATTGAAGATGCCCTTTTCAGTTCTCTTCCTCCAGGAAGTAGTAGTTGCCAGCCAACTTCTGCTCTTGATCCATCTGACTCTGGTACTTGTTGATACGGGGGCGGTAGCTGTTGGGGTCACGACGGAAGGTAACATCAAGACTCTTCAAGAACTTGTTGCAGCCAGTGACCAGAGACTCGGGGGTGTTGGCGTGTGCGTCAACGGACGGCTGACCGTCGAAAACGATAACACGGTCAGCGAGGTAAGTGGCCATGATGAAATCGTGCTCGACGATGAAAGCAGTCTTCTTGGTGTGCATGATGTAACGCTTGATCACACGGGCAGCGATGATACGCTGCTCGGAGTCCAGGTAGGCAGAAGGCTCATCAATCAGGTAGAGATCGGCGGGCATACCCAGAGCCAGGACGATGGCAACACGCTGCAACTCACCACCAGACAGGTTCTGCACCTCCTGGTCAATGAAGTCATCAATTTTCAGAGGCTTGTAAACGTCGGTCTGGAACTGGGGCGAGAGGAAGGCGGACTTGATACGCTTGAAGAACAGCTGGCGCACGGTGCCCTGGAATTTGGGAGTAATCTTCTGGGGCTTCATGGAGATGTTCATCTTGGGAACAGATATGGTACCGTCAGGCTTCAACGCACCAGCCAGCATCTTACAGAAAGTGGTCTTTCCGGTTCCGTTCTCACCCATCATGACGAGAATCTCGGAATCGGTAAATCGGCCGGAATCAACCTTGAGATGGAAGTTACCGATCGTGATCTCCATGTTGGGGTAAGCGAAAGCCCGAGCTTTATCGGCGATCATATCATCACCGGCCTCGGTCAGACGGAAGCTAAGAGATTCCTCACGGAAACGAAGGTTCTCGGTGGGGATGTGACCATCCAAGAAGATGTTGATACCCTCACGGACCGAGGAAGGCAGAGTCACGACACCGTAGACAGCCGGACGACCGTAAAGCACACAGATGAAGTCGGAAAGGTAGTCAAGGACCGACAGATCGTGCTCAACAACAATGACGTAGTCGTCAGGGCGCAGGAGGCTGCGGATAGTACGGGCAGCAGCCAGACGCTGCTTGACATCAAGGTAGGACGAAGGCTCGTCGAACATGTACCTTTAGGCAAAGTCAGAAGCAGTAGCGATTGGGTGGGATCTATTACCACTTACACGTCGGCCTGCTGGACACACACAAGACCAATAGCAAAACGTTGCAGCTCACCACCGGAAAGGTGGTCAATGTCACGATCCGCGACCTGTCTCAGCTCTGCGGGCTGTTAGATGATGTTATTGTGTAGTTTCGAACAAACATACCAAGCACATCCATGATCTCATCCATGTTGTCGAGTTGGGCACGGCTCTTGATGAGACCCTCGACCTGCTTCACAGGACCCTTGACGGCACGAGGAATCTGATCAACATACTGGGGCTTCACAACAGCCTTCAAGTCATCCTCCAGAATCTTGGTGAAGTAGTCTATATCGAGTCAGTATATAAAGCCTTTCTGCTCCCCGAGTTGAACTAGACACTGACTCTGCAATTCGGAACCGCGGAAGTACTTCAGAATCTCCTCCCAATCAGGCGGGTTATCATAGCGACCGAGGTTGGGCTTCAGCTTTCCACTCAGGATCTTCAGCGCAGTACTCTTGCCGATACCGTTTGTTCCAACAAGACCGAGAACCTGTCCGGGGCGGGGCATAGGGAGACGGTGGAGCTTGAAGCTGTTGGCGGAGTACCGGTGGGTGACCTGGCTCTCCAGGTTGGTGGGCAAGTTGATAATGTGAATGGCGCCGAAAGGACATTTCTTGGGGCAAATACCGCAACCGATACATAGGCGCTCGGAGATGAAAGCGATCTTCGACTCGTTGGTGACCTCAATACAGAGTTTACCGGACCGAACGACGGGGCAGGACTTCTTGCACTCTTGACGACATTTCTGTACCAATCAGCCTCAGATACTGCATAGGATCGAGCCAGTTTCCATACCTTCGGTTTGCACTAATCATCCGAAACATTTCTTGTGAGCGGGTTATGAACGAGAGTTTTTTTCTTTCGCATTAGCGGGGTATTTCGAACGAACCTTGTCCGAGTTGATAATGGCGATACTATAAAAAGAAAACGTATTAGAGAGGCGCACATTCAAAGGGAGCAATCCACTTGACATCCAAGGGAACATACCGTGTGAGCTTGTCAGACATGGTGGCGGCTTCGGTTCAGGGAACCAGGGACTGTATAAAAAGCGGGTAAGAAGAATGCGTAGAACGCTTCTGAAGAAGACCGTTGAGTCAAACGAAGGGACTGCGGCAACGTAAGAAATCGGGTGCAATCGAGCACCAAGTGTCTGCGCAGACTCAAGCTGACGGAGTTGAAAGGCGACAACAATGACAACGTCGAGGGGGGAGGGCGGAATAGAAACTAAGCAGTCTCTTTCTTATTGTGGGCTGTGGTGCCTGAGGCGACGGCATAGAGACCGCCTGGAAAGCGCCCGCATTATTTAGCTTGAACATGATTGGCCAAAGGAGATACACGGATTGACTGTTGATCCGGACAACAAAGACAGGTCACATGACTATACGTTGTTCACGCGCGAAGCGAGTACGCTAGTCCATATCGGGAGCCTAGGAAATTGACTGCCCGATCCTTCAGGCGCGCAGGTCGATCCTTGCCTGCAAACCAAACCAAACCGAATCAATCCTCCCAACTCATCTCTCCCTCACTCGTCTCATCCTCATCCCCATATCGTGTTCGCCTTCCCCACCCACCATTACTTTTTTACAACATTGATACCCTAGTCTCCCCTCTTCTGGGGTCACCACGCTATGGAGTGTAAGTTCTTTGTTTTTTTACCTTGATATACCCCCAGACGTGACGCCAGAACGCTTTGTCCGGGTACTTCTCCGCGTCCTTCGACCCACTGTTAGAAATCCCCAAACCATGCGATATACCTAAAGTGGAGGAGATATACGAACTGGACCCCCCAAATCTGATGCTCTCGTTCTTCCTGGACGGGTCATCGTGATCAATCTCCTCGGGGTGCCTGCCTCTCTGCTGCCCGCTTCCATCCCACTCGGCATCAAAAACTATCAATCCCCATCAGTCTTGATATCATACCCCAATCTACCATCTATAAGCTTAATTTTGCTGCCATTTGAGTCGCGTATCACTATCCTATCGATCTCCACGTACCTAGGGTGCTCATCTGTCTGAATTGAGCTTCAATGCTGACTGCCCCTCGGCCATAGCATCTAGCATGGTGATCCCGTCGGGTCAAGAACCTCAATCTACCTCCACAATGTCGAATGGCTATTCTCATTCGCTAGCCGCCAATGATTTCGGGGCTGATGCCGATGAAACAACGAAGAGCGAACACAGCCAATCCGAGCCCGTCGAGTCTCATCCTGTCTCCGAGTCCTCCCCCGAACCCGATGCCGCGGACGATCTATATGATGCAGATTCACCAGCTTCGGATGGAGAAGATGATGACGATGTGGTGATGGAAAATAGTGACGATGAAATGGACCAGTCCAGTCGTGAAAACTCTTCATCACCACACACTGACCGAGGTCTCAAGCGCAAATCGCCGCCGCCGGACGAACGCGACTATATCAATCAAAATCCCGATTTGTTCGGACTTCGTCGCAGTGGTCGCGCACGCACTACGCGTCATCTCGTCGACTCGTCTGACTCTGAATCAGATTCTGTGGCTCCGCGATCTAAGCGCCGGCGCAAGGAGCCCTCCCAACAGCCCTCGAAGACCTCGCGGTCGGCTACCGCCTCATCATTCTCGGAGACAGATAGTGATGAGTACGGTGGAAAAGGTGCCCGTGCCAATAAGGCGAGACGGCGCCGTCTCCAGCAAGCCGCCGGAACGGAGCCCTCCTTCAACGAAGTTCGCTTCTCTACTCGAAACGCGTCCAAAGTGTCGAACTATAACGAGGACGAAGATGATGGGATATTTGAAGAGGATCCAGATGAGCTCGGTGAGAGCTACTGGGATAACACATACGAAGAAGATACTCGACAAGCTGTCGATGTTGTCCTTAATCACCGACTGAAGGATGGCGTCGACCCCAAAAGCCCAGACTTGAGCCGCCAAGACTTCGAATTTTACATCAAATGGCAGGACCAGTCATACTACCATTCCAGTTGGGTACCAAATGAAGATCTCGCGAATTATCGCAGCACCCGTCGCGTGGACAACTACGTTCGCAAAGTGCTCAATGAGGACCTTCGCCTTCAATACGACCCACATGCCCCTCCCGAAGACCGAGAAAAATGGAATCTTGATCGCGAGAGAGATGTTGAGGCAATTGAGGATTTCAAGCAGGTCGAACGAGTAATTGGTGTTCGGGAAGACAATGGTATCACAGAATATCTCGTCAAGTGGAAACGGCTTTTCTACGACTCATGCACCTGGGAGCCGGAGGATCTAATCAGTGAGATCGCCCAACGTGAAATCGACCGCTTTATTGATCGATCTGCCCGCCATCCTGTTTCCGACAAATTAGAATCAACCCCCGCTACGCGCAAGCCGTTTGAGCCTATTAAAGCCTCCCCAAGCTTTTTGCAAAATGGCGAACTGAAGGATTTCCAGGTCAAGGGCCTGAACTTTCTTGCTTTCAATTGGGTCAGAAACCACAACGTGGTCTTGGCCGATGAGATGGGCTTGGGAAAGACTGTACAAACTGTATCGTTCATCAACTGGATGCGACATGTTCGTCGTCAACAGGGCCCCTTCATCGTGATTGTCCCTTTGTCAACGATGCCAGCATGGGCTGATACCTTTGACCACTGGACACCTGACCTAAATTATGTGGTTTATAACGGTAGCGAAAAGGCACGAGGCGTTCTGCGTGACTACGAGTTGATGGTGGATGGCAATCCCAAGCGACCAAAGTTCCATGTCCTGTTAACAACTTACGAGTACGCTATGAATGATTCCCCATTCCTAGGGCAATTCAAGTGGCAATTCATGGCTGTTGACGAGGCGCATCGTCTAAAAAACCGAGACTCACAGCTCTACATGAAACTAGTTGACTGGAAGTGCCAGGCCCGTCTCCTCATCACTGGTACTCCAATCCAGAACAATCTTGCAGAGTTGTCATCTCTCATGGATTTCTTGAACCCTGGGGTCATCAAAGTGGATGTTGACATGGATCTCAACTCTGATGCTGCGTCACAGAAGTTGGCCGAGCTGACCGATGCCATTCAACCCTACATGTTGCGGCGTACTAAGTCAAAGGTGGAGTCTGACCTTCCGCCAAAGACTGAGAAAATCATTCGGGTTGAGCTTTCAGATGTTCAGCTGGAATACTACAAGAATATTCTCACGAAGAATTACGCCGCGTTGAACGATGGTGCCAGGGGAATGAAGCAATCGCTACTGAACATCATGATGGAGTTGAAGAAAGCGAGCAACCACCCATTCATGTTTCCCACCGCGGAAGCACGGCTCCTAGAAGGGCTTACCAGGCGAGAGGACATTCTGCGTGCTATGATCACCAGCAGTGGGAAGATGATGCTGCTCGATCAACTGCTTAGCAAGTTGAAGAAGGATGGCCACCGAGTCTTGATTTTTTGTCAGATGGTCGGCATGCTGAACATTTTGAGCGAGTATATGGAGTACCGCAATTACAAATACCAGCGACTGGATGGAACTATTCCTTCGGCAGCTCGTCGCTTGGCCATTGAGCATTACAACGCCCCTGAAAGTACAGACTTTGCCTTCCTCCTTTCCACTCGTGCAGGTGGTCTCGGAATCAACCTGATGACTGCGGACACCGTGGTTCTCTTTGATTCGGATTGGAACCCGCAGGCAGATCTGCAGGCCATGGCTCGAGCTCACCGAATTGGGCAGACCAGGCCTGTCAGTGTTTACCGCCTTGTTTCAAAGGATACAATTGAGGAAGAAGTCATTGAGAGAGCCCGCAACAAGCTTTTGCTTGAGTTCATCACTATCCAACGGGGTGTCACTGACAAGGAAGCTTCGGAGATGCAAACCAAGATGTCTCGCGTCATTGGGGAACCTAATTCGACGGAGGACATTTCCCGGATTCTCAAGCGCCGTGGTCAAAGGATGTTTGAGCAAACTGACAACCAGAAGAAGCTTGAGTCGCTTGATATTGATTCTGTTCTTGCCAACGCTGAATTGCACCAGACTGAGGAGACGGAACAAATACAGGCAGACGGTGGTGAGGAGTTCTTGAAAGCATTTGAATTTGTTGATATCAAGGTCGATGATCTCAGCTGGGACGAAATCATTCCCAAGGAACAACTTGAAGGGATCAAAGCGGAGGAGAAACGCAAGGCAGATGAAAAGTATCTCGCAGAAGTCATCGAGGAAAACCAACCTCGTAAGCGCCAAGCTGCCACACAATCGCGGGATTCACGAGAGGAACGCAAGGCCAAGCGGCAAGCTCGGGCTCAAGTCGCCATTGATGATGACGATGAGGACGAAAACAGCTCGTTAGACCCAAAGCGCCCACTTGGTGAAAAGGAATATCGTGCTCTTTCTCGTGCATTCCTACGCTACGGCGACATAGATGACTGTGAAGAACTTATCCTCGAGGATTCCCGACTGCAAAATCGTGATCGGGAGACCGTAAGAGCTGCTCTTCGTGAAATGACTGACAAGGCCAACTCCCTTGTTCATGAGAACCTTGCGCAAATGGACGCCCTCAAGCAAAGTGGCAAGAATCCCACAAAGAAAGAACAAAAGGCCGTCTTGTTCGACCACCAGGGCGTCAAGCGCTTGAACGCCTGGACCATTGTCGACCGTCCCCCTGATATGCGGCTTGTTCGGAAAATGACCACCTCTCTTCCAGATTTCAAGAATTTCCGTCTTCCAGAAGCTACCAAATTGGCTGATTACAGCTGCTCTTGGGGCGCTCGCGAGGATGGAATGCTCTTGGTTGGCATCGGCCGCCACGGATTTGGTGCTTGGACTCAGATCCGTGATGATACAGACCTAGGTCTTGGTGACAAATTCTTCTTGGAAGAACATCGTGTCGAAAGGAAAACCCAGCGCCTCCAAGGCGAGGAAAAGTCTACCAAATCCCCCGGTGCTGTTCACCTTGTCCGCCGAGCCGAGTATCTGCTTTCTGTTTTGAGAAACAAGTACAGCAGTGGTAACAATGCCATCGCAAGGCGTGCGGTTGACAATCACCACCGGAATAACAAGCGCAATTCTCGGCTTGGCAGTGGCAGCGTGTCTGCGTCCCCTGCTCCCTCCTCTCGCAAGGGTCAACGGGAAGTTGATCGTGTGCGCCAGCGATCCCATACACATGGCAGCCGAGACAATGACCGTCATCACACACCTGGCCATGATCGACCGAAATCCGGCCATGATGTTAATCGTCCCCGACACCGCATCTCTGATGTCGGCAATGACGAGCTTCGGCGTCGCAAGTCCCAGGAAAATGGCGGTTCTAGCAAGGAGAAGGAAGACATGGCTTTCATGGTGTTCAAGCCCATTGTGGGAATTCTGGACAACGTGTCCAAGATCACAGCTAAGAACTACCCGGACAAATCCAAGCGGGCGCATGAGCTACGAACCACCATCATGAAGATTGGTGATTTCATTCGCGAAACATTGGGAGGTGACAAGCCCATGGCTTCCCTCGAAAAGCGACTGTGGTAAGTTTTCACTAAACATGGAGTTTTTTTTTTTTTTTTTTTCCTATTGCACATATTAATATTCTATCAGGGATTATGTCTCTGTCAACTATTGGCCCAACCGGGAAGTGACTGGCTCCAAGCTCCAAGCGATGTTCCAGAAGGTCCAAGAAGCTAAGAATGCTTCGAAACCCTCCAATGGTACTTAGCAAGCAGGCTGTGTCCCCTAGCTCACCATCCTAACGGATCCTCACATCCATCTATCATCTCTCTTCGGCTCCGGATGACCAGAGCCTCCCAATCGCCCCAGCGCCCAGCGCTCATCTCATGTCTTAATTCTTAGAGCCACGACTCTTTCTTCTCTTTCTCTTTCCCTCTCCGATATTCAAAAAAGTCAATGATGTTTCATTGAAGTACATACGGATGCAACGAGCTGCATGGCATTGCGAAAGGCGTCGAATGATTTGCGCAACCCAAAAGAAGCACAAGAAGGAGAACCGATTTGACTTGAATACGAATCGAATGTCATACGATATTTGCATGGCGTGTTAGGGGTCTCTTTTTTTGGAGTCTCTGTCTCCTGTTTTAAATTCCATCATTCTGCACTTTCTCATTCAATCGGCAGATCGCAAAACTTGACCCCTACGCTCCATTGAGGGCGAGGGTCCGGGCTAGCTGGATCTGCCCATGTTTAATTCTTGTCCCTTTCTGGGTCCTGGGATACAGTTATTTAAACTGTTCCAGTAGCTACGGCTTTTGTTCCGATCTTGGTTTTTATTTTCCTCCTCGGTCCCATTTCTTGTTGTCATTTTGCTTCCCAGCATATTGTATCCTATGGAGTGGCTACCACGGCGTCGATTGATTTTTCTGTACCTGCACAAGATCATTCAGCTAGCTCGGAGCACTATTTGTGTTGTCCATCTCTTATCTTTACTTAGAGCGAATGAAGTGGTCCTTGGACCTCTTATCTATCATTGCTTCACATTTCGTCTTTTTGTAGATTGTTTATAAAAAAAAAAGAAATCGGATCATTAATATTGACAAGGTCATCGTAAAGAGCGTAAATATGCTCAAATGAGATACTGGTATAACTGCGACTCAGATAGAGAAGCTATTCGTACAAAAGTGCTCAAACCCATTCTCCTTTCCTCCAAACCATGAAAAGTGCAGGTCCAAAAACACCGCTTGCGCCAATAGAAAAAGACCCCAAGGAACCGAAAAATGGAGATTTCAAAATATAAGAGAAGGACAGAAAATTAAGCAGCAGCGCTAGCCTCCGCTGCCTCTGTCTCCGCCTCTCCTTCCATTTCAACCTCTTCCATCTCAACCGACTTAGCCCTCATCTGCTCCTGCTGCCGCGCAAACTGTCGCTGTTGCTGCTGGAGCTTCTCGAGGCTAGTTGACGAGTTAGACCCTGGAAGCGGAACCGTACTTTCCGCGGCACCAACAATGGCACTGAAGAGTCTCAATTCTCCATCAATGAGGTCATCAAGAATAGCTTCTTTCTGGAGCCAAGCGCTCTCACGCAACGGTCGGATCTCATCCCACTGCGTGCGCAACTGAGCACCCTCATTCTCTGCCCAGAAGATCTGTCGGCGTAGCAATCTATATAGGTCATGAGGAGGCATATCTAGCTCCGCATCATCGAAGCCGAGTTCAGGTCCATATTCGGGCATCATCATATCTTCTGCGTCGGGATCTGTTGGAGGCGCGGCGTTCATGGAAATGATATGGTCGTGAGGCTGATCGCCTTCGGCGCCGGGATCCTTTGATGGGTGGGATAGCTTGAGTCGGATGCGCTGCAATTTCGAGGCTGGTGTACTGGGCGCACCGCCGGCATTTGATTTCGCGTCTGCTTGGCGGAGGGAGTCGATTTCGTGGACAGAGCGCATGTGCTTTGTAAGGGCGTCGGAGCGGGTGAAGTTGCGGTCACATTCTGTTTGAGTGAAATGGTCAGTCTGTCTGCTTTCAACTTAATTCCATGTGGGCGAGGCAGAGCCTCATCTCATCCTTTTTAATGATCCAGGGACCATTGGGCAGGGGAGGGTTTGGGTTAAGATCAAACGTACCAGGTAGAGTGCAGTAGAATGGCTTCTCTCGAGTGTGGCTCCTCATATGAGCACGGAGTGCATATGCACTGGCGTGCGTTTGTCCTTTGCGAGTGCAGTCGATCCACTCGCACGAGTAGCGCTTCTGTCGGCTCCCGATGTGCTCATGGTGGAGGTGCTGCACCAAGCCATCCATGTTGCCGAGGTCACCAACAGTGCACCCTTCCCACATGCATACAGTGACCTGGTCGCAGGTTTTTCCGCTATAATCGTCGTCCTGGTGGCCCAGGAGGCCCATGAGGCTAGGGGAGTTCGGGACATCGCCGGAGCTGTCGGAGGAGATGGAGGCTGTAGGTGAGGCTGGAGGGGGCGCATCATCTTGAACAGATGAAAGAGGAGTGTGTCGATCCCAAGAAGCTACCCCTGTTCGACGTCGCTTTGAAGGGGGCATATTTGATGCTGATGGTGATTGAGCGCGGCTTTCTTGCTTGACGGACTCGTGATCGGACTCGTCTGCTGTGCCCACAGAGGAGAGGGGGGAACCAGGTGAATCGCGGGAAGCCATTGTGAATGTGGGCTGTCAGCGACAAAGAGACTTCTGTCAAAAGGTTCACCGGGACAAAGAGCTGGACTGGAATTGCTGTTGATTACAAGGAGGGAAGGTCGAATGAAGCTGTTAGCGTGTCGCCTCACGTGATGCTGCCCCAGCTTAAGTTTCCCACTCCTTTTTTTCGTTTTTCCTCTTTTCCCACTTCCACACCACAGAAATGACATATTTACTCGAGAAATGAACTAACATCAGGTCCAGGAGCTAGGATCTCCACTTGGATGAATCAATGGCCAGGTAAGCTTACATGAGATCTATTCTTTTTCATTCACACCCTGCTTCCTGATGAACACAAAGAAGAATTCTGCAATGCAGACAATCTCCGTGATTGATCTCTCGGGTTCGATTTCAGTGAGATTGGATGTTGACTCTTCTACACTTGATCTGATTTATCAATTATAAAACCTTTGTTATTGTTGCTTTCAAGCTCTAGTTCCATGCTAATGGCCAAAAAAAAAAAGCAGGTTGAACCCTTAGTAGCGCGCTCCAGCAACAGTATTTTCCTTCAGGATGGCATCAACCTCGGCCAATTCCTCATCAGAGAACAGCTTGACACCCACTAGATTCTGGGTCACCTTGTCAACGGTTGTGCCACCGGGGATGGGGATTATAGTCGGCATGCCAGGCTTGCCACTCAAGCTCCGAATCCAACCCAGGGCCACCTGAGCCGGGGCAACACCCTTCCGAGATGCCAGGCTCTTGACCTCGTTGATCAGCTTCAGGTTGTGCTCAAAGTTGGCATCCTGGAAGCGCGCCATATGCCGACGGAAGTCACCTTCCGGGATGTCGGACAACGAGGTCACGGCGCCAGTCAGTACACCCCGGCCCAGCGGCGAGTAAGCAACAACAGGGATGTTGAGCTCTGCACAAGTCTTGGCAATATCATTCTCGAGGATATCGGTTGACCACAAGGACATTTCGACCTCAACCGCAGCGATGGGGTGTACCTTGGCTCTATAGAATAGTTAGATAATGGCACACATTATGAAATGGAATATATCTTGCACATACGCGCGTCGGATAGTCTCAGCATCTACTTCACTTAAACCAATTCCTCCAATCTTGCCCTCTTTCACGTATTTCGCGAGGACCTCCACGGTGTGCTCGACGGGGAAGTTCGAGTCCTGGCGCGCACACTCGAAGATATCGATCTTCTTCTTGCCATCCAGGACCTTCAGGCACTCGTCCACACTGCGACGAATGTTCTCCTCCGAGCAATCTGGGATCAACTGACCAGCCTTGAGTCCACCTTTGATGCTGAGAACCACCTTCTCGGCATTCTCGGGGTACTTGGTGAAGTACTTGTTCATCAGGTGCAGGGAGTTGGAGTCGGGGGTGCCATAGAGCTCGCCGCCATTCCAGAAGTTGGCACCTAGCTCCAAAGTCTTGTTCAGAGTTTCAAAGGCAACATCCAGAGGAGTCGGCTGGGGGTTCCAGGTCATTCCTGCGAAAATTAGTCACATTGCCTTTGTGGTAATATTTTGTGTACAACGTACTCATAGTGCCATAGCCAATAGGGCCGACCTCTTTTCCGACAAGAAACGGCATTTTGGGTAGATTGTTACTTGTATAGCTGGGTGTCTTGATTTGTGACAAAAAGTGTTGTGCAAGAGAATTGGAAGAAGTTTTCAGAGAGGTTGCTGTCGTTGGAAGTTATCCGGGGGCGGAGGGGTCGTTTATATAACCATTTCCACCCTGCACTTTCACCGGTCTCGTATTGATTTGCAACGCAAAACTATCGAGGTCCAAGGTTGCTCCCACAAAGTCTGCTTAATCCCGATTGATGCCCCACGAGACGGTGCCGTTCTAAGATATCATTGGTCCATGATTCTTCAGCAAGGCTGCGACCGGTCTCCGTGGAGTCAGCGGCGATAAGACCTGCCTAGGTGGAGCACCCCCGGAGTTAAGCAAGCTAGCTAGCCGAGCTGCAGCGGGCGTTTAGATACGTCCTTGATACAGTGATGGTCCGGACATTAACTACGACTCCAACATGAGGTACCTATGTCACATTATGAGACATAGTCATAGGAACTATATAGTGTTCAAACTGATTATACTCTAGTAAATAAGTATTATTGAAAAGGAGTATCTCTTTGAGACTTCTGTCGGTACTAGCAGCCTGTCCTACACCTGGGTCTGCTAGGGGAAATTTGGGAAATTTCTACAAGTTTATCTGACAGCGGTCGGAGTGAGCCATCCCTGTCTCCTTCAGGTCTTAGAAAGCACTCCCAAGCGAAAGTCAACAACCGACCATCCTTGGGATGCACCGACCAAGTCCACTGTTTCTCTTTGCACGCTGTCTTGGCTTTGAACCTTTCCCTTTCATGAACGAAAACAAGAGGCCCACACAGTTTCCACTTTATCTTATTCCTGATACCTCCATGGATCCGATTTCAATGACTCAATTTAGCTCTTTTACTATACTGCGTACTTACTACTACCTTCCCACGCCCAACTCTTCGTGCAATTTTCTAAACACACTCAAACGTCACTCCCTTTACAAGATAACTCCATCAATCCACCACGAAAGCCATCAGCGTAGACCAAATCAACAACGCAATAGCTCGCGCTGTGAACAATCGCAGCTAAGTTTACAACTTCTCTTTCGCGTTGAGTATTCGATGGGAGCGAGACAACACGAATGCCGCTGCAGACACCGATAATTTCCAGGCGATCCTGAGCACACTTAATCTCGACCAAGCTCAAGTTGAGATCTTGGCCGAACAGGATCGGACTCCGGGCTGGACATTGAATGACGCTATTCGGTCCATTTTCCGACGCGCAATAGAGGCACCCGGCAAATCCATCGTGCTTATTCACTATGCTGGGCACGGAGAGGTTAGAGGAGAAGAGCTCTGGGCTGTCGAAGGCCTATCCCGCCGAAGCATAAAACTCCAAGATTACATCGATACTGTGGTGAAATGACATGTCCAGTACTTCGACATCGCAGATACAGACGCTGTTTTCGTCCTAGAGTCCTTCAATTCGCTACCGTTATAGGCTCCTCATAGCGTTCAATGGACCTATTCTATCAAGAAGCGTAAACAATGCCGGAGTATTCTTTATCTTCCTGCTTTCTCGTCCATATCCAGATGTCCCAGAGGGATATGATCAATGATGGCCTTTGTGTACCTTAGGTTGTGATTGATGTATGTTGACTCAAGCCTGGCCACGGTTTATCAATCAGGGTGGAGATGACGGATCTCGGACGCGGTCATTTGCAAAATCATTCATCATACTTGGTCCCAAGTGTCGGTCTTTCGCACAGTTGTCGCACGTCTTCTGATGGTTATTCCGAAAACATTTTTAGCTGGAGTACCGAGATAGAATCGCCAGTAAAGAGCCATCATTGGCTAGGTTTCTCCCGGGGGAATACCTGAATTGATCGCAGCATTCCTCCATCCAGGGAGAAATTCCACTATTTGAACGCCTGTCAATGTAGCTAGCAATTGTTTTTCTTTGAAGAGGAAATCTCGGGACGTCTCAATCAAGATCCATTCGATTATGTAGTAAGGGATCTGCTGGGTACGGTATCCTATTTTGGAATGGCGCTCAATTGGCTTATTTTATTTCGTTGACTGGCTTTGGAAGCATTTCTTTGCGTCCGTGGCATGTGGTATGAGAACGAGAGCGGCGGAAGGAGGGAAGTTAAAAAAGTAAGTCGGTTAGAAAGGACGTGGTCAAGGATAATGGCACTGAACTGTGTGCATCGACATCCGCGGGGTAAAGGCACTACCGTTAAAGCCGATATTAGGCTAAGCATCTTTTTGTCCTGATACCTGATACACTTTCGTAGATTCTCATCTTCTTCGCCGCTCCTCCAATATTCCTACGTGCCACTGTTTTCTCGTGCCCCTTATTTTTAGCCCATAAAACCATCTAGAAGATCACTACGCTAATATAGGTGGAAATTGAATGCACAGTGTGATGAATCATGAAGCTCATAGCTCCTAAAAGAATCACTTGTCCTCGAATGTGATTTTATTGCTGAGCCAAGACTACTATCGACCGGTCGTATCCATCATTCTTGATACCGCAGAATGTTGCCAGTGGGAAGTAGTCTACGGAATGGGCTTTGAACATCCTTCTGCTTATTTTGATAAATCTCAATGGAAAAGAGCTTTCTCTCTGAAAGGGGAGTGGAATATACGTTTTAATCCATTCGTGGAGTACATCACAGATCGATTGGATTCACATTTGTTCCTGAACTTTATTGCAAGTTCAATGATCAGCATTCCAACTTGATCAATTCATTGTTCTGGATTCCCGATCTCGGGAGCGCGAGATCGAAAAATGCCCTGGAACATTGTTGATCTTGCCTTCCCTCAACAATTCATGCGGGCTCTCAGTGACCCCTCTTCAAATCTCCACTTCGATAGGGCGCTAGACAAACATAATGCAACCTTCCAATGTCGATCTTCATACAGGTCCCGGCTTGCTTCACCGAGTCTGTGCATGACAAAGAGACAATCAGGGACAAGTGGCCAGGGCCGCCAATCATAGGAGGATTTCGAGTGGGCGGGGAGGTAAACTTTTGATCTACACGAGGGTTTGGAGCATCCAGGATGCACCGCCGGATTTTACAAAAGAGCGTAGCTCCGAATCTTTTGTTGGTTGGTCATTGATTGTCTCTGATTGGAAAGTAAAGTACCTCATGGGCCGAGTCATGCAAGGGATAAATAAATAGAGAGCCAGATCACCAAGATGTAGAAGAGATTTGTGTTTTCCAAAAATGACCCTCCGGACTGTTCTCCTCATTAGCCTCGGCCTTGGGGCCGCTGCGCTTCCCGCCAGCTCTGGCATGAAAAATATCAAACATGTTGTTGTTCTTGTGCAGGAGAACCGCTCATTTGACACACTAGCCGGCGGTTTCACCTACAATTCTGCCATCGACGGTCTAGTTAACAATGACTACTGCAACCTGGCCAATGTCTCGGTGCCAACGTCAGAAAATGTCTGCGCAGCTGATATTGCGAACAATGTCGCCTCAGATGACCCCGATCACTCGATTACTGGTGGAAACATGCAGGTCTTTGGCACCTATCATCCTACTGCAAATGCCAAGTCAACCATGGGTGGCTTTGTCACCGAGCAGAGCTACTATTATAACCTTCAGCAAAACATGATGGAGGCTGCCGAGGTCATCAATTACTATAAACCGGCTCTTGTCCCAGTCACTGAGGCTATGGCAGAGAACTATGTATTGTTTGATAGGTGGTTCGCAGCTGTCCCAGGCCCCACCAATCCGAACCGAGCATATTTGACTTCAGGCACAGTTCATGGTAATGTATACAGTCCAGGATACCATTGATAAATCACTAACGTAGCCCAGGACATGGCTCTAACGATAATGCATACAACGTCTCAATGCTCCCTCAAACCTCTATCTTTGAACAATTGACCGAGCACAACATAACGTGGATAAATTACCAAAATACCACAGGTAAAGGATCTGACAGTTTCCTCCCCGATGCACTGTTCTACCAATGGACCGCCAAATCAGGCATGGGAGAAACAAACGTCCTCCCAATCAATCAATTCTACGAGGACGCAAAGAACGGTAACCTACCTCAATTCACCTGGATCAACCCCGAATGCTGCGATTATATGTCCATGCACCCGAAATCACCCATAAACATGGGCGAGAACTTCATGAAAAGTATATACGATGCCATACGGGGTTCTCCTCAGTGGAAAGATACGCTTTTCATTATCACCTGGGACGAGCATGGAGGTTTCGCCGATCACGTTGCTCCTCCTACTGACGTTCCTGCCGGGGACAATATCCCGTATACGGAGCAGGCACCGGATGGTAAGAACTATACGTTCCATTTTGATCGGTTGGGCATACGTGTTCCGGCTATGTTGATTTCGCCTTGGGTGGAGAAGGGTGTTGTTCAGAATAAGCCTAGTTCGGGGGGTGATTTCACGCATACTTCGATTTTGAAGTTTGTTTCGGAGCTTTGGGATTTGCCGACTCTGGGTCCAAGGGTTGACTGGTCGCCTTCTTTTGGGAATTTGATTACGAATAAGTTTCGGGACGATACTCCGGAGACGATGCCGAATGCTGCGGGTTACTAGGAGGGAGTGTTGGGGGAAAGATAGGGCTTACTGGGCTCTTACCGATATTTGCACAAAATCAGCTTCTTGATTAGTAGACCGGCATAGTTAGAAGATGGAAAAAAGGTTCGAGAAGCATAAAGAAAAAGAAAGCTTGTGATCTTGGTCCTATCGACCCAAGCTAGATGCCGTAGATAGTAAAAGAGACTCTATTTAGTCCTCCTCAATCTCGCCTTCCTCACTGCCGGAATGAATGGCCTTTTCGTCGTTCTTTGCCTCTTCCTCAGGAATGGCGGAACGTTCGCGGGCACGGTCTCGTCGTGGGCCCTTGCTGCGTTCCCGTTCCCGACTGTCCCGGCGATATCGCTTAACAGACCGACTGGCTACGCTCTCAGTGTCGCTCTCCCGCCTGCGTCTGCGATCCCCACTGGCCACGCTACGAGTGTCTCCATAATCCAGCTCGTCACGGCTACCGCGTGGATCGCCACGAGTGCGGTAAAGGCGTTCACGTTCATCTTCCCGACGGTCAAGGTCTCTAGGGCGGCGATCGGAGTCTCGGTCGCGGGGGTCGCGCTCACGATAGCGGTCTGAGCGATCCCTGTCTCTATCCCGATCACGATCATCGCGGGTGCGGTATGAGCGCTCGCGATCCGCTTGGGCTTTGCGTCGGTCTGCTTCGTAGGCATCGGGCTCTGGACTGCGGCTAACGCGGCTGCCACCTCGCCGTTCTCCTCGGCTGCGATACTCACGATCATAATCCCGGCGGCTTCGGTCCCGATCTCGTAGTTCACGATCCTTCTCAAGGTCTTCTTCCTTTTCTTTGAGGCGTCGGATAACCTTGTCGAACGCAGATTCTCGAAGTTCATCGGATTCGACAGAGTTGTATTCTTCGTACTTTTCTAAACGGGGTTGCACCTGATCCCATGTATCTGTAACACGCACTGGGGGCTCAAGGCGCTTAATGCGGGATCGCAAAGCATCAACGGCCCGGCGCTGGTGGCGATCGGCTGCATGTTTCTCTTCCTCATCACGACGGATTGCTTTGTCCTGGATGCGCTGGAAGAGAAGCTGAAGAATGTCCGGGTCGATTTTGGAGGTACGCCGATCAGACTCGACAACAGAATTGAATTCTTCGAAAGTAGTATTGGCGGTAACCTCGTACCGTTTGTCCTGAAGAATTTGTAAGCACAGACAAAAAAAACGGCTTGGGTCTAGATTCACTCACATCAAGAACATCCAACACATCATTGCGAGGACCGCGGAGCGAGCGCTCCTCCTCCTCAACCATATCCCAGAACAGATCAAGAGGGGTAGATCCGGACTGCCCCAGCATACCCTGGTACCTGGGATCATTCTGAACCAGCGGGCAAATGTTCATCCACTTACTACCGGCTTTGATTTTCCCTTGGGACCGCAGTTCTTTCAGGAGGTCAATAAACTGCTCTCGACCGCGGCGTTCCTTGCGGGCTCGGATAGCCTTCTGTTGCTGGCGGGCATCATTGAATGTGCGTTCCAATGACTTGATGTGGTTTTCAAATGCAGTCAAAATATCAGATTTGCTCAGGGTTTTGAACTTATCGTCACTCTGCACCTTTTCATTGGACTCAATGACCGCCTGAGCCTCGGACCAGCGCGTATACGGTTCAAGATCTAGGCCGTTAAGAATGTTGACCAGCTCATCCATGGCAGCTTTCCGCTTGGATGCCTCTTGCTCCACGTGGGTCTTCCTGAGCTCAACGACATACTCTTCGAAGAGTTGCTGTCTCTCATTTTCATCGCTGGTAGCCCTGAAAGTAGTCTCACCTTCGATAATCGGACGAATGGTCTTCCAGCGACTGTAGTGTTTGATCTCAGGATGCCGTTGCAGCATGGTATTGAAATCTGCTCGGAGCTTAGCGAATCTTTCTTTCGCCCGGTCCTTTTCCTGCATGCGAACCTCGACCGCGTATTTCTCAAAGGCAGCTTGGCGGTCTCGGGGATCCTTGAGAGAGCGGTACTGCGGGTCTTTGATTGTTGTGCGCATGGTCTGTTCCCATGTCCAGTCGGGCTGCACGTTGTGCCGTTTGAGCATCTTCATGAAGGCGCCCTCCGCTTCTTCGATGGAGCCGTACTCAGGCTCTGATGTATTGAAAGCCGGCGCGGCCACCATCCCATTCGTGTCAAAATTTCCATATCCACGTCGGTCATTGTAACGATCACCCCGGTCACCTCGATCGTAGTCGTCGCGTTCACGCTGGGGGTGCGAATAGGAGCTGGAGCCACCAGCAACGAAGGAGGGGGCGCTAAGAGGGGTTAGTCATTGCTGGGGAAAAGATGAGAGAGTAACATACGCAACTGGGGCAACTGGAGTTGGAGGAGCCTGTGCGAGCGCATTCTTGTAAACCTCGGGGATCTCCCACGTGCTTTGCTTGCTTTCCGTGTTGTACCAATATTTACGCCCACCGTCCGCTGTGTACTCCTTCCAAGGCTGATCGGCTAAGGCGCGCTATAAGTGAAAGAGACAGCTGATTAATACAGTGTTCATTCAAAGGATTGGTGACAACTGGGATACCAACCTCAACTGGAGTCATCAGCTCAACGGGCTTGGTCCATTGAGTTGCTTTTGTCTGCACATTGTAGTAGTAAGCGCGACCATCTGCATTGCGCGCTTCCTGCCATAAGGCTGGAGCACCACCCGGGCCATTCATTGGATTCATGGTTGTGGAGGTTGACAAGGTGATGGTGATGAAAAAGCGAAGCGCGGATGAAGCTACGTGTTTGCAGCGTTTGCACTTTCACCTTATCATCCCGTTTATCTCCTTATTGCGGCCATGTATTGTTGCTTACCCTAGGAGCTTGTTCCGAACAATTGAATGCGACAATTCTGGTCGCAATGCCTGGCCTGGAGATTCCTGGAGAATTTTTGCGGCATGCAGTCTTGGAAACAGTTGTGCCTCACGCCCCGGGGCTCGATCTAGAGGGGGCCCTGACCTCCGCACTGGAAGATGGCGCAGATGATCTGCCGTCCGTTCTAGCCTCAATACCTCAGCGGTCTATCCTTTTCTTTGGTATGTCATAGACTTGGGATTTAGCTGGAGATGTGCTCTTACTCATAAAAGCCCTCTAGATGAAAGTCTTCCCGTTCGCATTGTCCTCCGTCTCTCCGACTGCACCGAAGCTATTCTGAAGCATTACTTGCCTCGTCTGGAAGTGAGGCTTGACGTCTTTGCTGTGGACCCAGCAGAAGCTGTTGCAGAGAATCCTACACCTACTCGGGAAGCGATATTCTCAGGGGTTGTGGAATTAGACGAGGAACCGCTGGTGGTTTTCAACGAGTTCGAAAGCGAGGATGGTACAGCGGGTAACCATGTTTACCTCATATGGAGTATTGAAAGCTTCCTTAGTGAGTTGTAATGCCATTCATGTGCAACAGAGCCCTGCTAACTGTTTAAAGAGCGCCCTCGGAACCGCATTCATCAGCCCTCGCTTTTGTTTATCGGCTCGGCCACCTTGAACACTTCAGACGGTTGCCGAGCAGATGATCCCGAAGATAACTACCTCCCTCCTCTTGTTCCCGCATCGACCAATATGTTCCAGCCTTTGGCAGGTGATAAATCACTTGCCCACAAAGATCCGTTCCTCCCCGCATCTAGATTACTGCGTGTGGTGCCCACTGCTTACAGCGAAGACCCGATCTATAATATCCAGCAGCAGCATGGCCATCCCTTCCGTGTAGTCCCTGCGGCCAGTGCAAGGATTCGATACTCACGGCTCAGCTCCTATACAGGTGTCCCAACGACGGTTGCTAGTCTTGATTTCGAGGTGACTCCCTTCTTGAACTGTGAAGTCTTATTCGACAAAGCAGAGTTGAAGCTATCCGAGGGGGCCATCGAATCCATGTCCGACATTCCTGGTCTCACTCTTCCTTTGACATGCCGCCCTAGAGATGATGTGACTCTGGTCTACAAACTTACCCCGGAGTATGGCCCGGAGACTAATCCCTCCTCCACCGCCGTGGTGAGTGTGCTGGAAATCTCGCTTGGTGCAGTAATTCTTTTGTCGGAGGACTGCCAACCTCGCATTTCCATGGAATGGAAGACGAATGTGGATTTCTCCTTGGCTCTCAATCCTACCTTTGGTGGGCCCAGTACGGCTCTGCAGAGAACAAATCGCCCCACGAGTTTATCTGTGTCTGGCCAACCCCTAGTAGCGAGTGCCAGCCGTAGCTCCCTCCGAGAGCGTGCTTACTCTGTCACTGATGTGGGTGTTACTATTTCCTTCACTGGGCCGGTCCGAGTGCAAGTCGGCTCACCATTTTCATGGGGTGTTTTCATCGTGAATCGGTCTAATGTGCCACGGAAATTTGCATTGATCGTCATTCCACGTCGCAAGCGCGTTGATCCGCGGGGCCATGTTGCACGTCCTTCCTCCGCGTCTATTTCTAGTAAAAAAGAAGACCAAGTAGCCGAGGCCGTGACAGACGATAATATTGTGCACGCCATGCAAAAGAGCGTTGTGGGTCAAGAAGCCGAGTTGATCAGCTTAAGCACTGATATCCGGGTGGGGTGGGTTTTGTTCTCTGGTTCTCATTGATCTAATCCGCTGATCATCTTTCTAGCCCCCTTTTGCCTGGCACCTGCCACTCCACCGAAATCAAGTTGCTTCCACTTGCTACAGGCCCTCTGCATCTAGAGGCTGTGCGACTAGTGGATGTGAATACGAATGAAACGACCGATATTCGAGACTTGCCGGATATTCTGGCTGATGACCAATCTCGATCATAGAGAATGAACTGTATATTGATAGTGAAAAACATAGAATTCATAACGTGAAACTCCGACTATAAATAAAGTCCAACACTTAAAGTTTTTTTGTGAGAGGATAAACATAGCCGCGCAAGGCTGAGATCAGTGACGTTGAGTTACATTCAACGTGACTTTCTTTTAGTCATAGGCGGTCGCATCATCCACTTTGCTTTTTTGATCTGGGATAGATATGCCCAGGTGTTCATCTTTCCTATCTCCCATACCCATTTATTCGCAGGGAATTCACTCGGTTTCCCTCCTCGACCTGGTTACTTGACATTTGCGTCATACTGGCGCAACATCCACCCTTCCGGAATCTTACCCTAAATCGAACCTCCCCTCCAAAACCCGGGCCACGGCTTTCTTCACACGATGATTGCCGCAACGAAACGGAGAGTTCTCGATGGAATGAACCGCCGATATATTTACGGTCGCGTGGTACGCATCTCCCTCTTTTCCTACGATTTCTACGGAAGAGCAAAGCCAAACAATGTCACCGGTGGCTCCGGATCCCTTCCCGACTCCTTGAGCGCCACAGCTAATTCGGTCGCCTGTCATGGGCTACAGCCTCTCCTACACACGATTATTTTCCTCGTCGAGATGGCCGTAGCTACTCGCCTTGCCGCCAAGTTTAACACCTATTATGCCGAAAAGCCAGGTAGGTTTTGTGTCGGGCTTCCCGCCGGATGCCGGTGTTGCGATGTGTGACGTGGCTGACTGGGGCTTGCGATATAGTTCTTACGACTATGGTCACCAACGCGGTAAGTTGGGATCCTTGACGTATACCGAGGTATAATGCACTACTTGTGGGATTGATTGTTGACGGATATAGGTGCTTGGTGGGGTGGCCGATACGGTTGCGCAGCTTATCACGGCGTTCAGACATCGATCACAGCAACAAATGATGGAGAACAACGACTTTATTTCGATAGAGATTGAAGATTTGGATAAGCAAAGGCCGCCTGTTGTTGGGGAGTTGGGATATACCAAAACTGCGCCGCCACCATTCGACTTTGAGCGTCTGACTCGGTTTATGGCCTATGGTTTCTTCATGGCTCCCATACAATTCCAGTGGTTTGGCTTTTTGTCCCGGGCATTTCCTCTCACCAAGGCGAACCCGACCACTCCGGTATTCAAGCGTGTCGCTTTTGATCAATTTATCTTTGCACCATTCGGTAGGTGTTGCTTGTCCATTTTTGGATTCCGTATTGACACTGACATGCTCGTGGGGTATAGGTCTCGCCTGCTTCTTTTCGTACATGACAATCGCTGAGGGTGGCGGTAAGAGAGCTTTGGCACAGAAGTTCCGCGATGTATACCTGCCGACTCTCAAAGCCAACTTTGTGCTGTGGCCGGCGGTGCAGATTCTCAACTTCCGGGTCATTCCTATCCAATTCCAGATTGTATGCATGCATAGCTACACATGAGCTTTAGATTACCATGCTGACTATACATAGCCATTTGTCTCATGCATTGGTATCGCGTGGACTGCGTACCTCTCGCTCACTAACTCCTCCGAGGAGTCTTAAAAACAGTCTGCACACACAACGACATTTGACGATCACGACCCGCTCCTGATTATATACTCCTTTCGGTTTGGATTCATTCGTTTAGGCGTTCCGGTTGGTTCAGTGGTTTTCATGTCCAGGGGATATAAATTTCCAGGGGGAAATAACAGGTTGCATTTCAAAAGGTCCATTCTGTTGCATGGATTCAATTCGCGTACCATTTTTCTAGCACTTCATTATGTGTCAACATATTTGCTGGATTGCTATTGGTAATTTTGCAGACGATTCGTGGTCTTGTTTGGTTGCAATGGCAGTGTTCGGCATAACGAAAACATCCCACCACTGTAGCGGTTATGTACAATTCCAGTCTGGCCAATCGAATACTCTGAGACGGCGATCTCCCCAGAATTCCCCGACTCCGAGGTTATCGAGGACCCCAGGACGTCCGGCACTTTCCGCAATAAACGGAAGGTGTGACATCAGTCCCGCATCAGCCCGATCTTAGTCCCCGAAGTCATTGAGGAACCTTGGTCGGAGGTACCGATGGCACCAGAAGTACTTCTCTTTTGCGCCAAAATAACGTAGCCAGCAAAAGTACTAAATATGGAGGAGTACAGGGCTGGAAAGTACCGATTGCAACATCAGCTGGATGCGGGCATGTTGCTCTCACCGGGCCCCACCATGAGTGCTCTGCCCCTCCAATCTTTACTTGTCGCGACTCACCGTGGCCCTGATTGAGTTCCTTTATTACTATTGCTACTTTCCCTCCTGGCTTTGCTTTCTCGCATATTCCGTCCCCTGAGGTATGTACTCACCCACTCCTCAATTTTTCCCATCTAACTCTCACCCATCAGACTACCATACACAATGTCTCTCTCCAACAAGCTTAACATCACCGATGTCGACCTCAAGGACAAGCGTGTCTTGATCCGGGTATGTGATGCTTTCTCCAAAAAAGGCTCTATAACTTTTAAGGGGACCCAATTGCTAACAACATCTTCGATTACAGGTTGACTTCAACGTTCCCCTCGACGGCGACTTCAAGGTCACCAACCCCCAGCGCATCGTCGGTGCCCTGCCCACCATCAAATATGCTATCGAGCATGGTGCCAAGGCCGTTATCCTGATGTCCCACCTGGGTCGCCCTGATGGCAAGCCCAACTCAAAGTACAGCTTGAAGCCCGTTGTCCCCGTTCTCGAGGAAAAGCTTGGAAAGAGCGTTATCTTCACCGAGGACTGCGTTGGCGCCCAAGTTGAGGAGACTGTTAACAAGGCTTCCGCTGGTCAGGTTATCCTGCTTGAGAACCTGCGTTTCCACGCCGAGGAGGAGGGTAGCTCCAAGGATGCTGATGGCAAGAAGGTCAAGGCCGACGCCGCCAAGGTTGCTGAGTTCCGCAAGGGCCTGACTGCTCTTGGTGACATCTACATTAACGACGCCTTCGGTACCGCTCACCGTGGCCACAGCTCCATGGTCGGTGTCGAGCTCCCCCAGAAGGCCGCCGGTTTCCTCGTGAAGAAGGAGCTGGAGTACTTCGCCAAGGCTCTTGAGAACCCTGCCCGTCCCTTCCTCGCCATTCTGGGTGGTGCCAAGGTCTCCGACAAGATCCAGCTGATCGACAACCTGCTCCCCAAGGTTAACAGTCTGATTATCACCGGTGCCATGGCCTTCACCTTCAAGAAGACCCTTGAGAACGTTAAAATTGGTAACTCTCTGTTCGATGAGGCTGGCAGCAAGATCGTCGGCGACATCGTCGAGAAGGCCAAGAAGTACAACGTTGAAATCGTCCTTCCCGTCGACTACGTCACCGCCGACAAGTTTTCCGCTGATGCTACCGTTGGCGCTGCTACTGATGCCGAGGGTATCCCCGACGGCCTCATGGGTCTGGATGTCGGTCCCGAGTCCGTTAAGCTGTACCAGAAGACCATTAAAGAGGCCAAGACTATCCTTTGGAACGGTCCCCCCGGTGTCTTCGAGCTGAAGCCTTTCGCCAACGCCACAGAGAAGACTCTCGATGCGGCTGTTGCGGCTGCCCAGTCTGGCTCTATTGTTATCATTGGTGGCGGTGACACTGCTACCGTTGCTGCCAAATACAAGGTCGAGGACAAGCTGTCGCACGTTTCCACTGGTGGTGGTGCTTCGCTTGAGCTGCTCGAGGGCAAGGACCTGCCTGGTGTTGCTGCTCTGTCCAGTAAGTCTTAAATTTGCTCAGCATAGGAGCTTTATATCTTTTTTTTTCACGAATCTGTAATGTACACAGCCGATACATTCCTCAAAATGAATGTCCAAGTTTCAAAATACCTCTTTTTGTATAGAAGCTGAGTTGCTGGGTCGTAGGTACGAGACCGAGGCTTTGAATCTTAAGGGGACCTTAGAGGTGTCAGTAGCTATACATATATAATAACCATAGGACTACGAGCATTGCCCTAAGAACTGAATAGGAGTTAGGCATGGTGAATAAATGCGACGGTGACACGATGGCATAGCGTAGGCCTACATAGATCAGGTTTAGGGAAAGTCCCTTGCATTGCTCAAGCGAGTAGATAACCTGGAATTGAAGTCCTGCCCCTCACCACTCCATTGAGACTCGCCCAAAAGCAACTTGAAAAGTCGTAGTTTCCCATCATAAATGATAGCAGCCGCAGTATTCGCTTTTCTCACGCAATATTTCCAAAGCGATTCGCCAGCCAAGTTACATGGACCGGGCTCTCTTATCTCATCGATCCCAAAGAAGAAAGTAGATTGAAGGGGTATAGTGTATGATAGTAGTGTATGGTATGCGTATGCGCTTGGTAGAGGTCTCGAACGGAGTCAACAGAATTCCCATCCCATCTATTGCTTTTCCCGCAACTTCAGCCAGAGCGCGGCTCCGGGTTTCAGCCTGGCATATGCGTAACCGTCGTTTCTCTTTTGATATTCGTTGTTTATCTTAAGACGAGGCTTCGACCTTCTTCAGTTCTTCCCTGTAGATTCGGAAGAAGATTAGTGGCTGTCTTGATTCCAAATGCAAAGTAGTAAGACAGGGTTAGGCGGGGGTGGAACATGGGGCGAGTGGAATGGGAGTGTGGGTAGCACCCCTCTCCTCTTCAACAGGAAAGATATAAAAGCTTGGAATTTTCTGTCCAGCGCAATGATTGTACTCACTTCAGCTGCTTCGAGAAATCCTCTGCGGCATCGTCATCGTCCCAGCTCTCCTCCCAGAGGTGCTCATTGCCTTCGTTGGTAGCTGACTGCTCAGCTTCTTCCTGGCTCCAATCTAGATAGAGACTTGTTAGCGCGTAGTGTTCGAGACGAGGTTTGGTGGCTAATTGCGTTGGATGGTGGGGAGGGATCTACCTTCAACGGGGAAATCCTCAAATTCGTCATCCTCCTCCAGCACCTGGGGCTTCTGTTGTTGCTGGGGCTGTTCGGAGGCGGTCGCCTTGCCTTGGGGTGTGGAATTCGACATTTTAGTTAGAAGAGAATTTCCTTGTGCAGTTGGAATATCTCTGTTTGGAAAGGTGGAGGTGATGGGAACAGCGATGGGGTTTGGTGTGGTCAAGAGCTTGGTGAGGTCGGAGCTGGAGGTCAGTGACCGTTGACTTAGTCACCAGATCGGCGATCGCAGGTTACACTGATGTATGAAACCATCAAATAGGAACAACAATAACAATAACAATGGGAAAACTAATTACCAAGGGCCATAGGGAATAAAATATTCCATCATTATCCATAATTTATCAACGACCTTTACCCCATAATTTGGCTCGCTTAGCAAGCTACTATTACATATAATTACGCAGTAATTCGGGTTCGCCGGCAAGTCAGCAAGTCAACCCCATGGAAAAGGATCTCTAAGCCACCTTCACTACTTTCCCCTCCTTGTTCCTGTCTTACTTCTCCTTTGTGATCTTACTCAATTTTTCGCCTTTTCCTATCTCTACAGTATATCTCTTCTCAGGTTGTTCTCGGAAACCCGGCATATCACATGGAGTCCCGCTGAGATTCTTCCCGATCCGTCGCTTTGAATTCGGCTCCGGCCATGAACGTGATCTCGGCTTGATATATCGACCTATTCTTACCTTTGATCCCATATTATTTATTTCTTCATATTTGTTGCCCAGCATGATGCGTGTTGGGTCCTGGCTGTATGGCAAAAAGCCGGCCAATGCATCTCAGTTGATAGATTCTTCGGCTGAATTAAGAGACTGTACGTTCTTCAGGAATTTGTTCCCGGGACCGTTTTGTCCAACAGAAATGAGGCTCTTGCTGACCGTGGAATTTCGCGAGCGGGGAAGTGGATGAGGCGATGAAAGGTTTGTATTATCTCCGCCGCATGGACCACCTATGATAACTAAATCGGACTAACAAACTACAAAGCGGCAACCTTTATCCTGAACGACGACGTCGATACTGCTGAGAATGGCCTCGCTAAGGGAGACTCAACTTTTCACCAGGTGGGTTGGACCGTTTGCCCAATTCTGGGAAGTTCAGCTGCGGCTGATGACGTAGTGGTGAATCGGGCTGTGTTGCTGACCTTGGTGGCTACAACTAGTTGGGAAAAGGCATGGTGGCCTTTGTTCGCGCAACTTTAGGGTTTGAACAGGACATTATGAGACAAGGTCCGCAAAAGTCTTCCAGTTCCATTGGTCACAAGACTGACCCTTTCTCCAGCATCCGAGCGGTTAAGCGAAGCCGAAACAAGTGCCGCGAGCGAACAGTACCGCGCCCAGCAGAATGCTGATGCGCCGAATGCCTTTCATTCGGAAATTTACACCCCCGGTACCGAGTATGTTCTGTGCCAGGCCATTGCGCAGCTCTTGAGCGCCGTGGTTGGGGTGTTGAATGAGAGTTTGACGGAGAGTGTCAAGGCGTTCTACCGGTTGCGCAAGGCGTACATTGCATTGGATACGATCTTGAAAATGGAAGAGAAGTTTATGGAAGCCCACAGGCTAAAGCAGGGCATCTCTACACGACCTAGTGACCTTTCCAAATCGAGTGCCAGTTCCGATGAGAAACTAGCGGAGAAGTCCAGCATGGACTCGTCGATCAAAGGGCCTTCGACTGTCAATGGACTGCCCACTTTGGATACGGATCTCGCGAGAAAAGTATCTGGATTGTCAATTGCCCAAGAAAACAGCTCTGAGCCGGTCTCGCGCACCTCCACACCTGGCGGCTCAAATATCACCCATGACCCCGACTCGGACATTTTCAAAAATGAAATCGACATCTTCATTCACTCGGGTGCCAATTTCTGCTTTGGAATTCTTCTCATCCTCATCTCGATGATCCCGCCATCTTTCAGCAAACTCCTTTCCATCATTGGGTTCCACGGAGACAAGCAGCGGGGTCTGAGAATGGTTTGGCAAGCTAGTAAATTCCACAACTTGATCGGAGCCTTTGCTGCTTTGGCCGTTCTGGGTTACTACAATGGGTTTGTGCGGTACTGTGACATCATGCCAGATCCGACTCCGGGCGAGGATGATGTCGAAGGCTACCCGGCAGAGAGACTTGTGACACTGTTAGCGGAGATGCGCAACCGATTCCCGGATAGCCGGCTTTGGTTGCTGGAGGAATCGCGTATGGAGGGGGCGAATAAGAACTTAGATGGTGCAATGGAGCTTCTTGCAAACAGCAAAAAGAGTCCTCTGAAACAGGTTGAGGCTCTTTGTGTGTTCGAGAAGAGTTTAAATGCCTTGTTCCTGCACGATTACAGCGCATGTACGAGTGCATTTATCGAGGTGATTAGCGCTCAGGAATCCTGCACTGTATGCTCCCATATACTGACTTTGCCTCCTTTTTCCAGTGCTCCGACCTCAACTCCTGGTCCCGATCATTGTATTACTACATTGCTGGATCATGCCAAGTCCTTCTCTACCGCCAATGCCGCAAGACTGATCCCAAAAAAGCCGAGGAACACGCCCAAAATGCGATCAAATATATTCGCGAAGCGCCATCGTATGCAGGCAAGAAGAAATTCATGGCCCGCCAGCTACCATTCGACGTTTTTGTTTCGCGCAAGGTCGCCAAGTGGGAGGCCCGGGCGAAGGAATGGGGTGTTTCCCTGGTCGATGCTATTGGAGTGGATCCCGTCGAGGAGATGATTTTCTTCTGGAACGGACATAGCCGCATGACTGACAGTCAGCTTGAGGAATCACTGGAGCGACTTGCATGGTGCGAGAGCGAGGAAAACCCGACCTGGTCCCGTGAAGGAGCTGAGGGACAGGCGATCTTGGATCTTCTGCGCGCTGCAGTATACCGGTCTCTGTGCAAGACTGAGGAGGCTAAGGAGATGCTCAAGACGAAGGTCCTAAACCATGACAAGGCGCTGTTCAAGAGTCATTTGAATGATAATTGGGTTCTTCCGGCCGCTCATTACGAGATGGCGGCCAATCTGTGGAAGGAGCGTCCCACTTACCGAGCCTTGCATGGGTCCTCAGGCATTGCCCAGACATCGCAGAATGCCGATAAACCTGATCGGTCATTCACTGAATCAGGAAGCCCCGGTACCTCTGAGGTCACCAAGGCCGAGAAAAAGCTGGTCCATGACTGCAAACATCATCTGGAAACTGCAGCTAAGTGGGAAAGCTATGAGATGGAGGCCCGCGTTGGCCTAAAAGTAACTGCCGGTAAAGAGGCCGTGCAAAAGTGGGAGGCTATGCATGCATCTTGATCATGATCCCGGTCTCCTTGAACTGTTCATATCATCTGAGAGTCATGTACAGTAAGCAGCTTTACTTAGATTTCTTTTCTTTTTGTTATATAGATTTGATTTAGACAATGGGTGATGACATCATGTGAGTCCGGGGCAGTTTGATCGTAGCTTGCGCTTTCATACTGTAGCTTCCTTGCTCCGTCTATCCAGTCAGTAGACAACGTCCTGCTAACCCCACACGGTTGACACAATGCTTCGCCCTCTACTTGAGCCCGATTGGCGGGAAAAGATCCATCCTAAGTATTGTGTCCACTCAGGCCCCTCTTTGTCCGGCAGTTGTCAATCGCCAACCGAAAACTCTTCCAGGAACCCTAGGCCCTGTGCCATGGCTCTCAAGCCCCGAGTGTGCACATGATCAATCAAAGCCTCACATATCGACTCAATGCTCGGCGCATTGACTCGAAGACCGAGGCCGAAATCGGGGCCAGACACTGAAGCCCCACATATCCCAAGCTCCACGTTTCCCGGATAAAGCGGCTTCTCCGTCTCGGACATCCGATAGCAGAAGCTTAGGTTAAAGACTCCAAATCCGCCACTCCGAAGCAAAGCAAAAGTAATATATCCTTGGGAATCCTTCATGAGTTCCCCTAGCCTTTTTGTGAGAAATATGACGTGAAGAGGGCCCACAGTTCTTCTTGTATCCAATTCCCGTGTTGGGGCAATATCTTTTCCCCTTATCCAGAATCCTACTCTGCTTGAAAAAAAAAAAAAAAAAACTTCGCAGATCTTACTTTCTTGCTTTTTTACCCTTGAAATAGCCTGCGACTGCCATAGTCGTGCATCAACGCTATGGCCAACACAACAGAACACGACTACGATTACCACACGAGTAGCGACGATATCGAGTCACATGAACAAGTTGGTGGCGCCGATAACGCAGAGCCAATCGCGCCACTAGCGAAACAAAGTACCGCAGCATCAGGAATATCGGTCTTTGAAGAACGTGCGCAATCGATAGTATCACGAATCCGCAGTCGAGACCCAGGACAAGTCGCAAAATTCACGCATCCCCTCTCGCATACGAAAACAAGCCCCGATGTCATTGTCGATTTCGATGGTCCCGATGACCCGTACCGGCCATTGAACTGGGGTGTTAGGAAGAAGTGCGTGACAACGGTTCTATACGGATTGACAACAATGGGCACGACTTGGGCGAGTTCGATCTTTTCAACGGGCACGGATCAGATTTCCGCCGAGTTTGGGATTTCCACCGAGGTTGCGACCCTAGGAACGTCGCTGTTGCTGTTCGGCTTAGGGCTGGGTCCACTGGTTTGGGCTCCGCTGTCCGAGGTTTATGGGCGCAAGCCAGCTGTGCTGGCTCCGTACTTCATTGCGGCGATTATGTCGTTTGGAACTGCTGTTGCGAAGGACACGCAAACGATCATGTTGACCCGGTTCTTTGCGGGCTTCTTTGGTTCCGCGCCTGTCACCAATACTGGTGGTGTTCTGGGTGATATCTGGAGCCCAGAGGACCGTGGTGCTGCCATTGTGGGCTATGCGATGGCAGTGGTGGGTGGTCCTGTTCTCGGCCCCATTGCTGGTGGTGCGATTTGCCAGAGCTATCTGGGTTGGCGATGGACCCAATACCTCACCGGTATTATGATGATGTTCTTCCTTGTAATGGACCTGCTTTTCGTCGATGAGAGCTACCCGCCTGTATTACTAGTAAACAAGGCGCGCCGCCTTCGTTTCCAAACCGGCAACTGGGCCCTCCATGCTCGTCACGAGGAATGGGATGTTACATACAAAGAGCTGGGAAATAAGTATTTGATCCGCCCATTCGCCCTCCTCGCAACACCCATCTGCTTCCTTGTCGCCCTCTACGCCTCCTTCGTCTACGGTATCCTATACCTCAGTCTTGCAGCCTTTCCAATCGTGTTCCAAGAGATCCGCGGCTGGAACCAAGTCGTTGGTGCCCTCCCGTTCCTCGGCTACCTAGTCGGTATCCTCATGGGTGCTGGTGTTAACCTGGCCAACCAAAAATTCTACATCAAACGCCTCAAAGCAAACAACAACCGCGCCGTTCCCGAGGCGCGCCTCCCACCAATGATGCTCGGCTCGGTCTTCTTCGCCGCCGGCATGTTCGTCTTTGGCTGGACGAGCCCGAAGCATATCCATTGGATCGCCCCGGTCATCGGCGCCGTAATGATGGGCTTCGGATTCTTCACTATCTTCCAGGCTGCGATTAACTACCTGGTCGACACGTTCCAGAAAACGGCCGCCAGTGCGATCGCCGCGAATACGTTCCTGCGCTCCATCTTCGCTGGTGCGTTTCCGCTGTTCACTACTGCCATGTTCCATAACCTTGGTGTTCCGTGGGCTGCCAGTGTCCTGGGTTTTATTGCCCTTGCGCTTATACCTATTCCGTATCTGTTCTACACATACGGAAAAAGGATTAGAGCGCGCGGAAAGTGGTCCGCCGCCTCTGTTTAGATCCGGCATTTGTTCATATGGTTCATATGGTTTCTTTCCCTCCGTTGTCTGGAGGGATGGATGTTGATATTTTCTTGGATTCGTTCTCATAGATGGAACTGCGTTGCATTGCATATCGCTGATAGATACCCCCTTTACATCACTGTGTTCATGTGACTGATTTTTGGTTGACCAATTAATGACTATCGCATAATCAAAAAGTACAATTTACTACATTAAGACCAACTACTACGTTGAATAACTTGATTCAGAAGTTGATAAGTCTGTTTATAAGATAAAAGAATTCTGGAGCTAGTATTAGGGCCAAATATCGAAGGAAGATACCAACCTAGGCAGCACAAGATGAAGAAAGATTTTGGTGGACACCAGTTTCCATTATACTATGGTATGATATGGTAAATAGGAGAGGTAGACACGATACATCAGAGAGAGGAGACATGTAAAAGACAGAAACAAAGAAGCCAGAGACAGATAAGGAAATAAAGAGAGGCTGATATGAGATCCGTTTAAGCTTGAATCCATACCTCGTGAAAAATGCAAGAACATAAGAAATGTATCGGGTCCTGTCTTCAAGTTCGAGGACGAGAAGCACCGAAAGATCATGAAAGTCAATGAGATAGCAAATGATAGACTCCTATTGCGCCGAATCCCGTCCATGAAATGTTTTGCTTTTTTCCTGGTTGTTGATTTTGACTTTTGACGTCGGTGTTTTCTTTTGTTTTGTTTTTTGCTTTTTGCTTTTTTGCTTTTTTTTCTTTTCTTTTTTTTCCCTTCTTCATTCATCAGATCGCTTCTCCATATCAAGCACGACTAGACACGATGTTGCTGCTGTTGCTGTTGTTTCGACGAGTCAACTTCCTAGCGAGAGTCATAGCCTTTTCCCAAGTCTTCTTCTTCTCAACACGAGTCCGCACAGACGGGTCAGTAGACGCAGCACCAGTAGCATACTCGACCGGGAAGTCATCCTGGTGCTTAGCATTATGCAGCGCCAGGACAGCCATCTGACCCAAGAAAGAGGGGTGCTCAAGCAGATCCTCAAGTCGGACCTTAAGACCCTCTTGCTCAAGTAACCAAGTCAGCTGAGCCATGTTGAAGATATCACCGCCCAGATCAAAGAATGAAGAATCAAGCTGGAAGGCTGTCTGGTTTGCCGGCTTGTCATCTGTATCCGGGTCGACGGTGGTAGTTGAGGCGCGAGGAGGAAGGACCTGGTGCCATGAGCGGGAAAGAATGTCCGAGTGGACGAGGAGCTCGGCAATAGAACGCGACTTGAGATGTGCGCTGAGGAAGTGCTCGTCTGATGTACGGGGAAGGTCATCGATGACTTGAGGTGGTAGGGAGCGCAGCATGTTGGGCGAAGGAAGGGCAGTTGATGGGTTCGCGATGAGAGACTGCGCAGTCTCACATACCATGTCAAGAACCCTTTCTGCAAAGTCAGGGAGAATAGGGCCCTTCTCGGAGTAGCCGAGAGTGACATTAAGGTTGCGGTCATCTGCTGGACGAGAAACCATTGTCAAGTCCGCGAAGTTGTCATTGACGCCTGCACCGCCCATGCGGTATTTGTTGTTGTCGAGCTCAAGTTCGCCTTCGTAGTCAACATTTTGATGGAACACAGATGTAGTGAAGTAAGTCCAGGATGGCCAGTCTGTGCAATGTTTGATAATCTCCCGGAAGCCGAGGGACTCGTAGGGCATGTTTGAGACCTGCTGATCTTGGAGGTATCGGAAGAGTTCAAGGCCGGTCCACTTTTCATTGAAATTGACACGGACGGGGATAACGTTGACGCATGGCCCAACGGTTGCCTCGATACCAGGAACAGTTGCGTTGCGGCCGCTGATAGTGAGACCGAAAACGACATCTGATTGAGAAGACAGTTTGGCCAGAGTCAAGGCCCAAGCGGCTTGCATAACCGTGGCAACGGTAACATTTCCTAGGGCAGTCGGAGGAATCTCGATGGTCTTGCGAATTTCAGTGAAGGCTCCAATGTTTTGGAACATGGTTGTGCCCTTGCGGCGGACAACCTGTGTCATTTGGGAGCCCTTCAGGAGATTGGACCAGTGATTGTAGTGATCGGGACCGATAGTTCCAGGTAGCTGTCGCAGGTAGCTGGCATATGGAGTAACTGGGGGAAGAGGACTACCCTCATAGCCATGTTTAATGGCAGACATGATCTTCGATAGACAGACTCCATCGTATTGGGTGTGAGACAGACGGATCATGATCCGGTGTTGGTCGCTTCCCTTCTTCTTGACAACGTAGAATTGCACATATTGCTCACCCTCGCGTGGGCCATACTCTCTGTCACGCTGCTGCAGGGTCATCGTAAACTCGTCTAGGCCGCGATCGGTATCGTAGACGAAGATGCTTGGGCGAATCTTGCGCAGCACAACCTGGAAGAACTGATCATGGAAGCAGACGAAGACAGTGCGCAATATGTCAAATGCGTCGACGACCTTGAGACAACTTTCTCGAAGGCGGCGAAGATCCAAGGGACCGTTTCCTTCCAGGAAGAAGTAATTCAACATCCAGCGAGATTTGAAAAGTGTTGCAGTCAAGGACATTGCCTGGAAGTCAGTAACAGGGAGAACATCCGCGATGCCACCCTTGAAAACACCAATTTTAGGACAGATACCACGTTGCACTGAATCATCATCCACGGCCATGGTAGGGCGGAGCACAGAGATACTTTCGGATGATGGGGTCGTAGCAAGCGTGGCAGGCTTGCTATCCGGGAATGACTCGACCTCCTTCGTAGCAGACTGGAGGTCGGCATTGAGAATCTGCTGCGTCACGTTGGCAGCACGGACAGTGGTGAGCATGTCCTCGAAAACAGGGTTGTTGAACACGTCCGCAACAGTCAGAACCAATCCATCCTCACGAGCAGCACTGACCATCTTCATTGCAGTGATGCTGTCTCCTCCAAGCTTAAAGAAGCTGTCCTGGTGTCTCACCACATTTGGCGAGAGACCCAAGGCAGTGCTCCAAAGATTCCACAACCTCCTCTCTACATCAGCCGACATACCCTCCTCACTGCATCGCGAGGTTGCTGAACACACTCCCGAATCATCTGCGCCTTGAATCCCTTCCAGTGGGTAAGGCGAGTCGATTCCATCATCAGTGTGACCATAGCCTGAAAATCCGGAGGTCTGGATCTGTGGAACCATCAACTTGCCTTCCCGCAACATCTGACCAATAATTTCATGGACACGGTTATCAATAATCTTTTGGATGGCAACACCATCCAAGGAGTCCATCACAGGTTTGACCTTCTCATTGGAGGTTGACTGCGAGTAGTTCGACTCTGAAGCCAGCTCTTCTGCAACACAACCGGTGAAATTAGAAGAAGCGATAGTTGCTGTTGGTGATTCAATGAATCCAGTGAATATTCTGGCAATAGTATCCACTAAGGACTGAGCTTGCTCATCGGAGATGACATCGCTCCAGTACCTGAGCATAATGCCCTCGCTTCCGCGAGAAATATCCACGTTGACAGTGACAGCGTACTATTTGGGGTCAGAGATACAATGAGGGAGACAGCAACTGGGGATAATAACTTACCTCACTGGGGTCGTGGGCATGTTGTAAATCAAATGACAAGCCTTTGTCTTTGCTGCCACCAGCAACAGTGTGGTTCTGGATAGACAGGGTGGTGTTGAACAAAGACTGGCCCTGCCAGCCAAGTTCGTGCTGAATGCTAGCAAGTGAGCAGCTTTGATGAGGAATGCTGCTAATGTAGTCGGCGTTGACTCGCTTGGAGATGTCTTTCAGAGTCTGAGTGGGGGAGAACTGCACACGACAGCAAAGCATGTTGATGAAAATGCCGACCATGTCCTGAATTCCGTTGACTGGGGCGTCGCGTCCGGCAGACAGGTAGCCAAAGCACACATCATCGGATCCAGTGAATTGCTTCAATACAATGGCCCAGGCGGAAAGAGTCAAGTTTGCTAGGGTAACGGACGCCTGCTCGCAGAAGCCCAGCAACTCTGGGTATCGCTGGAAATTCATTAAGATGCCTTTCAGCTCACGGCTGTTTTGATATCCAGGATTAGAAACCAAGTGGCAAGGGTTGACACCGCTAAGGTACTGCTTCCAGTAATCAAGGGCTTGGCCTCGGCTTTGAGTTCTGATGAACTTGATGTACTCTCTGAAGCAGGGTCCGGGGCCTTCGGCCAGTCGGCGATCATAAGCCATGGTCAAGTCACGTAGTAAGACATCGACACCACCACCGTCAATAACGGCATGATTAATTTCGAGCTTTACAAAGACCCGTCCATTAGGCGTTTTGCACACAGTGAACTGATTGGAGATCTTGGCGGGGCGCATGGCGTTCAGATTGTGAAGGGAGATGGCGCTCAATTTCTCTTGAACTTGGGATTCAAGGCACTCCACACGAAGCACATGATCAGGGATACTCTTGAAAACAAGCTGGTCAAAGGATCCACCGCTGTAGTTGCTGTCGATGAACACGGTCCGAAGAACAGGATGGCGTTCGACCACCATCTGCCATGACCTGGCAAGTCGCTCGGCATCTACCTTATCAGCACGTTGATCTTTGATTTCAAAGATGGTGTGAAACATGTAGGCGCTGGAGTCACGAAGTTGGCTAAGCAACAAACCCTCCTGCATAGGGGAGCAAGGGTAAATGTCTTCAACTTCGTTCTTGTTGCGAATACCGAGCTTGCGGAAAGTGTTGGTGGTGAGAAGCTGCAAACCATGGTAGGTAATTGGTAGCAGAGGATAATCGCTGAGGGTAGGCTCGGGAGTGGCAGTCTTGAGCGTTAACATATCCTTTTCCAACGTCTGCTTGCATTGAAGGATCCAGCGGCGAATCTGTTTTTCATTTTGCATATTGCGGTTGTACGTGAATGCAATATTGAGGCGGTCTTTCACGACAATCGCAGACACCTCGAAGAGGGCAAAACGGACTGTCTCGGGTCCCATATCACCTGCAACGGCAAAGTCAGAGCCATCAAAGACGTTTCCTTGGTGCCGGAAGAGCGAATCTGCCCGTTCAAGCTGCTGCATCTTCCCAAGATAATTGAAGACAATTTCCAGTGGGACCTGGAAATCCTCCCCACCAGCCTGAAGAAGGCTCTTGGCAAAGTATGGCCGACCATTGTCTGCTATTTTCCGGCGAGTGTCCTTCACACGCTTGATCACATCAATAATACCTCCTATGCGGTTATTAATATGTGGCTATCCTTCATTTCTGACTGGAACATACCTTTTTGTTCCTCAACTAGGAGAGGTGACATTGTCGTAAACCATCCAACAGTTCGGGATAGGTCAATATTGGCATCCCAGGATTCACGGCCATGTCCTTCGTTATAGATAGTTGGCACCTTTCGGTCAGTGAATATGTGACCAAACGAGTGGATTATACAGGCGAGCAAGACATCAACAGTCTCGGTTGCCAAGACATCATGACAATCATCAAGGATAAAGTTGGTGGCCTCCTCAGTTAAACTGAAGGATTCCATTTTGATGTCACCATAAAAGTTAGTAGAGTCTTGCATACCCCAGTACGACAGATCAGTCGGTTCGGGGGTGAAAGGTAGTTCCAGGTCCATGTCTTGTGTCTTGGATCGCTCAAGTTGCATTGCGCACCAGCTTTGAAATGAGAGTGCTTTCTCATCTGAGAGGGAGCCTGAGATAATCAACTCTTCCAGGTCTGATAGAACAATGCGCCAGGATACCATGTCAACACAGAGATGATGAGCAACCAGGAAGAGCACCTGACCACCCGTGCGAAGGTTGAATAGGTCGGCGGCAAAGATAGGGCCGTTCATAGGATCCAGACAGGACTGGGTTTCAGCAATGTGGGGAACCATGGCACGGGTGTCACTGACAGAGTGCACACGGAATCGGAAAGATTGATTGACTTCCTGGATGGTTGTTAGCTCATTTCTCCGGGTCCGGGAGACAGTAGACATACCGCTGCGTCCTTTTGCTGCCATTTTCCATCAACGCCTTTGCTGAAGCGGGCGCGGAACATGGCGTGCTGACCAGTGACAGCTTTCACCGCTCGTCGCAAAACCTCTCCCTCTACTCTGCGCGATATGCGGACGGTCATGCTTTGATTGAAACGGGCTGCACCCTGGAATGATGTTGAGGACTGCATGTAGAGCTTCTGCACAGGAGAGAGACCAAAGCCCTCACCAGACTTCTCTTCGCGATGTGCAGTGATGGGAGCCTTAGATTTGGCAGCTTGTGCTAGTTCCTTAACTGATCTGCTTTGAAGGATATCATTCAAGGTGAGAACCAGGCCCTGTTTGCGTGCCCGTGAGATCACTGCCATTCCAGTGATGCTGTCGCCACCTACTCGACTTTGTTAATAATGTTACCTCTTTGAGTACGACCAATTCTTGTTTGAAGCTCACCTAGGCTAACGAAAGAACGGTCCACGTTGACCTTGGAAAGAGAGATATTCAAGACCTGTGAGAAAATCTCCTGAATGACCTTGAGCGAGCCATCCTGCTGTTGCTCCTGTGGTTTCTCTCTTGGGCCACGTTTCATAGAATCGTAGTCTTGCATGATACGCTCGTAGGAAGCCTCATCGATGTTTTCGAGCCAGGCTGTTATCTTTTTCCGGTCAAGCTTGCCAGAAACAAGCATTGGCAGCTTCTTAATCAAAGCCCAAGTTGCGGGTACCATGTAAATTGGAAGTTGGGCTTCAAGGCTTTTTTGGACCTCGACCAGGCCAGCCAGGCCATCCTTGTGAAAGGTATCCTCATCGATAAGCTCACATGCTTTGTCAGAGATAACCTTGTTGTCAGCAAAAATCTTGTTGATGGACATGACAGTAACAAGACGTTTCTGAAACAGGCCAGTCTTAGGCAAAATGACCACGGCATGACGAACTAGGGTGTTTGCTCCAATGCGGTGCTCAATCTCCCCAAGCTCCATGCGCTGGCCATTGACTTTGACTTGATGATCCTTGCGACTGACATACTCTACCGAACCATCAGGATTGTAGTAGCAAAGATCGCCAGTCTTGTAGATCCTTCGTGGAGATGGCAGATGAGACTTGAATTCCTTTGCCCAGCCTGGATTTTCGATGAAGCACTCGGCATTCTTCTCGGGGTTTTTCATGTACTCCCTGGCCAAGGACATTCCCTCCAGAACAAGTTCACCGACTGCACCCAAGGGGGCAAGTTTGTGGTGGTTTTCTGGATCCACAATCCATGTCAGAGTGCTCGGAATGCCGTAACCAATTCGAGACGGGTCACGGTGAGATGGCACATCATTGTCAATAGTCGCAAAAACACAAGTTTCGGTCGGTCCGTATCCGTTCATGAAGTTCACACAGTTGACCCATTTGTTAATGACATCCTGAGGAACCTGTTCACCTCCTACAACCATGTGTTTGATGGAGGGTACAGAAGATGGTTCAATTATACCTGCGATGGCAGGAGTCAAGAAAGTCCAGTTCACGTTCAAGCGCCTAATGGCACCAGACACATCGTTGACACGCTCATCTTCGTTGGGAACGCAGATACAGCCTCCAACCATCAGGATCGCAAGAGTTTCCATGATAGCAGCATCGAACGTCAAAGATGCGAATTGGAACACCCGAGAGGTTGAGGTCATGAACGTCACTGGTGTGAAGGCCATGATACTGCTCACACAATTTCGGTGCTCGACGATGATGCCCTTGGCACGACCTGTACTGCCAGAGGTAAACAGCGCATATGCCATGTTGGACGGAGTGACCGGCTGGCGGACCTTGGAAGAATTCAGGGATCCGTAGGCTATGAGTGTCTCTTTGCTGATCGGAATGACGGTTTTCACGACTCTGGTATACTTGTTTGTGTAGTTTGGAGTGCAAAGAATCATGTTCGCTCCAACATCTGCCAAGATCTCCTCGTGCCGCGAGGTAGGATGATGAGGGTCAAGGGGGACATAAGCACCACCAGCAATAAGAATACTGATGAGGGTGACCATTGCCCAGGCCGACTTATCGAGGCATACTGGTACCAAAATCTCCGGGCCAACTCCCCGAGACACCAGGTAGTTGGCGAAGGATGAAGCCATATCCCAAAACTCTCTGTAATTCAATTCGCCATCCCAAGCGCAAACAGCTGGTGCATCAGGTGTTTCGACAGATTTTTCACGTATAAATTCATGCACACATTTCTCGACAGTCAGTGGCACGTGCTTGTTCCAGTCCGCAATAGTGGCCTTGTCCTCTAGACTGGCAACTTCCAAGTCAGACACCTTCACAGTGCTGGCCTTGGGAGTGGACATCAGTTGCTTCAGGACATGACCAAACTGTTCGATCAAGCGCTTGGCCTTCCATCCACTAATGACAAGCTCATCGTGATGCGCAGTGAAAGTAATGCTGGTCTTGGAAATTCCGCATTCTAGCACAAGAGGGTGAGTGAAGAAGTCCTCGCTTGTCTCACGTTTCTCATCGATCCAGATACTGTCATTCAAGTCACCCTCAGCGGGCTGGATGACCAGCAAGTTCTGGAAGTTGCATGCAGAGGCAGCGTCAGAGCTAATTTGACGAATACGTTGCAAACCAGCATGGAGGTGAGGAATCATGTCCGTGGTAGACTGGTTGATCTTGTCCAAGTACTCGGAGACAAGCATCTCATTGACAACTTGGATGCGAGTTGGTACAGTGGTCAAAACGGGACCAGCGATGTCACCGACTCCAGGAAGGTCAATGTTACGACCGGAGAGGGTCTCTCCAAATGATACCTCAGGAGATGCTGTATGAGTTGCAATCACGATAGCCCAAGCTGCACGTAACAGAACGGGAATCGTATAGTCCATGCTCTTTGCCGGTCGGAAAACGTCCATCTTATGGTGTTGAGTGTTTCCAGCGCGGATGGCATCTGGGACCGAGTTCTTGTTATAGGGGAAAGGATTGCTCGAGATGCCTGCCAGGTAGGATTTCCAGAACGCATCACATTCGGACATGTCTTTCTGGTTGAGATAGCTAATGAAGAGCCCATAGGATGCTGCCGGTTCTTTATTCAGCGATGCCTTGTAATTCTCCTCGAATCTTCTGTAGATCAATGGAATACTCCAGCCATCGTACAGTGCGTGATGGACGGACCAAACGAAGTACCGAGTGGTAGATCCACGGGGCTGGACAATAGCGTAACCAGTCAGTGGACCGCCGTTGAATTTTGGCAACTCAATTGAGTCGCTCGGTAGCTCCCCAAAAGACTCAGCATGAACCCAAGAGATTGGGTCTTCTTTGAGAATAACCTGGGCAAAGTTCATGGCTTCTGTGTGAATAATGCGAGTTCTAAGGATATCAAGGTCGGCGACAGTTTGCTCCCAGGCAGCCTTGAAGCGATCAAGATCAGCGCCATCGGCAAGCTTGAAAGCTGGCTGCGCAACATATGCACCATGATGCTTGACAGACATGGTCAGGAGACCCTCCTGAACGGCACTGCAAGGATAAACATCGGTGACTGAATCCTTAGAGACGATGCAACCCTCGCTTATTTCGTCTAGCAGGCCCTCAAGGTCGACACCAGAAGGTAGGAGGGAGAAAGGGTCAAGATATTGCTCTTTCACAGCCGGCACTTCTGCAGAAGTGGAGCAAATCTTTGCCATTTCAGCCAAGACCGGTGTTTTGAAGATAATAGCAACGTTTAGAGAGATTCCCGCATCCTGGGCAGCTCCAACAAGGTTCATTGCCGAGAAGGAGTCACCACCAAGGGCAAAGAAGCTATCCTCGTTAGAAACGGATCCCTGTTCCAAGTCGAGAATCTGTTCCCACAGGGCTCGAAGCTGAGCTTCAATGCCGTTGTCTGTGGTCTCTTCCGTCTTGGCTCCAGAGGTAAAGGTGATGTAAGATTTCAGCGTCTCCTTCGAAAGAATTTGGACCATAGCACGTAGACGTCTGCGGTCAATCTTTCCAGAAGATGTGAAAGGAAGGTTTCTCAGAGGGAAGAATAGACGGGGCATCATGCTTTGAGGAAGATGATCGGGAAGAGTGCTTTTTAGTTTTTGCACAGCATCCATGTTGCTTACAGAGATTGGCAGAAGTAATGGATCGGCCCCAGGAATTGTAGGAGCAAATTGGTCGTTGGTGCCGCCCTGCTCCAAATCTCCGTCGTGTACGGTGAAGAACGCAGCAAGACCTTTAGCGACGGTCTTCTCCTGAGGGACGACAATGTCAACGGCCACTTGTGATCCCTGTGGCAGGCAACGGGTGCACTGATGCTCAATCTCCTCAAGTTCAATGCGTTGGCCGTTGAATTTGATTTGGGTATCCTTACGCGCGAGGAAAGCGAGAGTACCATCGCTGTTGTAGCGAACAAGATCACCAGTCCGGTACATACGATCACTGCGGCTGAATATACCATGAAGGCCAGTGTGGTGGCTCCAGGTAGGATCCTGAACTAATGCGGCCTTGGTCTTCTCTGGGTTTCCAAGGTATTCACGCGCAATATTGCTTCCTTCGAGAAGCATCTCACCAACGGCACCAACGGGGAGGAGGCGGTTGTAGTTGTTGGGATCAACGATCCACACTCTGCAGTTGGCAGCGAGACCAATGGATGTGGGGTCATCGTTGACACGATTTCCATCCCAGTCAATCTTGACACCGACAGTGGCAACAACAGTGGCTTCTGAGGGTCCGTAGGCGTTAATGACAAATCGATCATGCCAGCGGTCAATGTGGCTTGCAGGCATCTTTTCACCTCCTGTGATGATGGTTTTCAGGGTAGGCACAGTCTTGGGCTCAAGGGTATTGACAATAGCAGGGGGCGATGCCATATAATTAGCCTCCATGCGGCGAATTGCACCTCCGAGATTGTTCATGCGCTCATCTTCACTGGGGACGCAGACACAGCCACCAGTCATTAAAGTCATCATAATCTCCAAGATACTAACATCGAACGTGTAATTTGAGAACTGCAGTGCGCGCGTTTCGGAATTCATGTGCAGTGCATTCATCATCGCAATAGCAGTTGTGCTGAGCGCCATGTGCTCCACAACGGTCGCCTTTGGCTTTCCAGTTGTCCCAGAAGTAAAGATAGCATAGGCAGCATTGGCAGGAGTTGGACGAGCACCGGGCAAAGCCAAAGGCGATTCAGGAAGTTGGGAAATAGCGGTTTGAGACACGGCAAGGGCTTTCTTGCAAAGCTTGGACATCTTGATTTGCAAAGAAGCTGAGCAAAGGACCAAATTGGCACCAATCTCATCGATTAACAACTGAAGGCGTGAATCAGGGTGGGAGGGATCTATGGAGACAAAAGCTCCACCGGCTTTGAGCACGGCCAACTGCGCAACAACTGCCCAAGCTGACTTCTCAAAGCACAAAACGACAAATACTTCCGGCTTGATGCCGAGGCCAGTAAGATAGCGAGCTAGTCGGCTGGCAACAATTTCTAGCTGACCATAGGTGAAGTCCTTGTCCCATGAGCAGATTGCCTCCGCACGGGGGTGCAGAAGAGCTTGCTGCTGGATGAGTTCATCGGCGCACTTCTCAACGCGAGAGGGGGTAGTAGCATTCCAATCGCGAATTTGGTGGCAGGAGCGCTGGGACAGAAGATCAAGGTTTCCAATAGTTCGCTTGCGCGGGTCGGCAGAGATAATGTCGTTCAGGATTTGGTCAAAGGTGTCGATGACATGAGTGACTTGGACAGAGGTCAAAATCTCCGTGGAGTAGCTGAAGTGGATTTCGGCAACGGAGATAGAGACCTGGGCTGTAACTGCAACATCATAGGCTTTGGATGTCAGAGTATCCTTGGCCCTTCGCTGAGGCAGTGATTCAACATCGTGGTAGGTAAGAAGGGTGTTAAAAACGTTGGCATTATCCATGCCTAATTGGTGCTTCACAACGGCAAGGTCGGCAAAATTGTTCTTGCTCTTGTCAAAGTCTATCTTGGTCTTTTGCAGAGTGTCATTCACGTTGAGATCATTCGTCAACATGAGACGGGCAATGGCGACAGACGATGGGTCGTCAGTCTGCGAGGCCCAATATCCAAAACAGACATCGTCGTTACCGGTGTAGCATCGCAAGACAAGGCCCCATGCAATCTGGAACAAAATCTCAACAGAAACTCCAGCCATTCTGCCAAACGCATGCAGCTGGTTTGTCTGCTTGTTGAGAGTACGAATGGAGCGACCCTTCTTGCCCGTTTCTTGGGAAATCGCTGGGAAATTGCAAGGCTCAATGTCGGCCAGGTACTCCCTCCAAAAGTCGACATTTGTGTTAGAGAAGGAGTTGCGGGGGACTCTGTTCCCAGAATTGGCTCCAATCCAATGCTTGACATCAAAGGAGCCAAGAACAGTGGTAGACAGATTCAAGATCTCAGCGTTCAGGCTCTGGTAGTTAGTCTTACCGAAGGAGGTCAGGGGGATGGAAGAAATCGGGATATAAAGACTCGGGACCTTGTTTGCGGATACCTTCGTGCACAAGTATGTGTGTAATGCGGAGATGGCTGCTTTTAACTCTGGCGCTGAGCTTTGGATGACCTTCTCACTAAAGCTGGCAGTAGAGACTTCTGGGGCACACAGGAAAGCGACAATGCGGTCTTCACCTCCAAAAGACATTGTGTTGACCACAGCGCGGCGCTTTGAGGCAAAGAAGACATCGATGCATTGTTCCACATCGAGAGAATTGGAGCACGGCACAAAGAAACGATCGATATTCTTCTTGCCAACAAATACCAAAGTACCTTCGGAGTTGAAGCGAACGAGGTCTCCTGTTTTGAAAAACTTGGCAGGTTGTGATGGTGCAAGATCGGACCACCTCTCAAGACTGGAGAGCCAGGATGGGCTTTCGAAAAAATCGGCGGTTTCCTCTTGGCCCAGGTAGCGAGCGGCAAGAGCAGGTCCTTCAATGACTAACTCACCAACAGCACCAATTGGAACAAGGATATTGTGATTGGAAGGGTCAACAACCCAAGGTGCATTGGAAATAGTCTTTCCAATCATGGTTGGCGCCTTTTGTGGAGATATCACATTGTGGAAGCAACAGGATGAGCATTCAACAGTTCCAAAGAAGTGGTGGAGACTAAGATCCTGGGCTTCCCAATTTTGCAGCTGTTTTTCAGTCGCGGGCTCACCAAATAGCGCAACTGTTTTCAGACCAGGGACATCTTTCGGACTCATGAAGCCGGCAACGCTGGGAGTGATGCAAGTGGTGTTGACATGGAGAGTGTTGATTGAAGCTGCAATATTAGGCGGATTGACATCAGCAGCGATGCATAAGCAGCCACCATGGATGAAAACACCAATTGCTTCAATAATGAAGAGATCGCTCGTGTGGGATGCGAATTGCAACACTCGTGATATGTCCGTTAGATTGAGAGACGAAGCAAAAGCCTTCGCCCTGGTCATGATGGACGAATGGTGAAGCACAACACCTCGTGCAGTCTGCGAGTTCCCAGCGGAGAAAGCAACAAAGGCAGCGTCACTTGGGCATGCAGCAGACAATAGGGGCTCATCATTGAGATATTCCAGCAGAGACTCTGTCACAGGGATGACGTAGGGAATTGTTTCCTCTAGGACCTGGGCCTTCTCAGGGGATGCGAGTGCAACTTGCACAGCATTCCCTACTACCCATGTCTCAATGAGACCCATGGTCTTCGCTGAGTCAACAGGAATACATCCACCTCCGGCCTTCATGATGGCAAGCACAGAAACGATGTTCCAAACAGACTTGTCAAATGAGGTTGGGATCAAACTTCCCGGGCCAACACCAAAAGTGACTAGGTAGCTGGCCAGGCGAGACGAATATTGGTCCAACTTGGAGTAAGTGAGATTTCCATCCCAGGATGTGACTGCTAGCGCCTCTGGCTTCTTGGAAGCCATGTCCTGAATAACATGGTGAGCACACTTCTCAATGACCTGGGGGATCTTGCTGTTCCAGGAGAGGATATCAGCCTTGTTGTTCTCGCTCACAACATCAAGGGAGCGAAGCGGGCTGTCGGTCTGGGTTATAATAATCTCGAGGCATTGCATATAGGTGTTGGCCACATTGAGAGCCTGTGCGTCCGAAAGGCTGGTGGTCCAGTAGTTGATATCGATTCTGGCCTTGGTATCCATCGCTTCAATATTTATGAAGACGGGAAACTCAGCAGGATCATGAATCGATCCGACCTCGACACAGTCAATATCACTGCTCACGGCATCCTTCGCGCCAGGGAGACGGCGGTACGATACACCTGAGTTGAACAGGTTCGCATCGGACAGCTTGAGGGCATGTTGAATGTCAATCAGGGAAGTGTGTCGGAACGGAAGGCTCTCCATGTAATCATCCTGAATCTGCTGCAGGACATCGCCGAGCACCGAGTCACACGACATCTTCATCCGGCAAACCATAAGATTAATGACGGGACCAACGACGGACTGCACACCATCGGCAGCGACGTCCCGCAAAGAAGCCATGTAGCTGAAGCTGACATCATCAGAGCCACAGAACAGGCGCAAAGTAAGGCCCCATGCCGCATTGAAGACATTGGATAGGGTAATCCCCTTCTTTTCACACACACTTTGCAGCTGAGCCAAGGAACCGAAGTTCACAGGCATCGAGCGAAGTTTCTTGTCCTGAGGTGTCTGGCCATCAGTAAGAATTGGGAAAACACATGGCTTTGCATCTGAAAGGTAGGATCGCCAGTATTCAATGCTAGCCTTCTGCGGCGCATTCTGTAGGAAACCAATGTAGTTCTTAAAAAAGGGGACGAGGGCTCTCCTCAAGTCTGCCAACATAGGCGAGCTGCAAATCGCGGAGGATGATAGAGATGGAGTTACCATCCATGGCCGCATGGCTCAGTTCAATACGACAGAAAATTCGGCTTGTGGATGTCTGGCAGATGCTGAAGCGGTACGCCGGAGTGAGCTCATTGTAATCCTTGGGGTCCTGGGAATCGAAAGCGGCCAAGACATCGCTGTCCTCGGCGGACTGCAGTAAAACAGGTGTGGAATCATACTCCTTCAGAACAACCTGACAAAAAGGATCACAAGGAGTGAGATTCTCGACAAAGATGGTGCGAAACATTGCATGGTGAGATACAACCTGCTTCCACGCTTCAATGAGGCGATCAACATTTGGTGCGGTGGATCCTGTAGCCTGGATCTCAAATGTGTCGTGAACAGCATAGTACGAGCTATCTCGAGTACGACCAAGCAAAATGCCTTGCTGTATACGAGAGCAGGGGTAAATGTCTTCAATCATATCAGGCGACTCAATACCAAGGGCAGGTAATCTTTGTGTGAGCATCTTCTCAAGGCTGCCGTAATTCAAGGAGAGCATGGGGAAAGAGCTCAAAGTCAATCGAGAAGACATTGTCGAGAGTTGCTCACAAAGCGTAATAAGCTGCTTCTGACATTGCGAGACCCAAGAATGGATACGATCTTGATGCTGCATAAACTTGTTGAAAGAGAATGTAAAGCGAATCTTGCCAGAAACGACCATGGCAGAAATCTCGAACAAACCGAAGCGAGGAGTATCACGTCCGAAGTCGGCAGCATCATTACCCTGACCTGCTTCACCAGCCATTTGGTCAACCAGCTGAAAGAGACCATCTTCGCGCTGCAAGTCACGGTGTTGACCAACATAGTTGAAAGAAATCTCGAACGGGTGCGGGTAATCATCGCTGTGGGGTCCTGCAGCTTTCATGACACGGCTTGCGAAGTTGGCCCTCCCATTGTCAGAGACTTGACGGCGTAAATCTTTGACCTTTATAAGAGTTTCGATGGCATCGTCTGACTTGTACCCATCCACAAAGATGGGCTGAAGAATGGTGAACCACCCTACCGTGTGCGAGATATCAATTGAAGGATCCCAGACCTCGCGACCGTGCCCTTCGTTGTAAATCACTGGCAAGGAGCGATCTTGGAATGACTGGCCAAATGAGTGCAGCATTGATGCAAGGAACAGGTCAATAGGCTCGGTGTCCAACGCCTTATGGCACTCGAGGAGAATGGAATTGGTGTGCACCTCGTCAACATCAAAAGTCGCACAGTCGACATCGCCGTATGTTGTCTTGTTATGTTTCAAGCCCCAGTATCCGAAATCTATGCTCGGCAGTGGGTCGGTCGGAACCTTTCCTTCTGTGACCAGGCTTTTGGAGTGCTCTTCCTGAAGATGACACCATGTCTGGAATGGCAGCGAGCCATCGGCTGACGCGGACTTCTCCGGGTTCAACACAAGATCTTCCAAGTCCCCAAGAATGATCTTCCACGAAACAATGTCAACAACAAGATGATGCGCAGTCATTGATAGGACATGCGGCTGACTCTGGTCTTGCATACGAAAATAGTCCACTGCTAGAAGGGGTCCAGAAAAGCAGTTAATGCCAGTCTGGCTCTGGCCAATGAATGGCTTGATAGCATCCATGTTGGCCACAGTGTGAACACGCCATTTATAGGAATCCTTGACATCACGGGTGATGCGTTGAGCCGTTGCTGTAGAAGAGCCGCTTTCATCATATCTGGCCCGCAGCATAGAGTGCCGTGTGACCAGTGTCTCGATGGCTTTCCGCAGCGTCGTCTCATCGATAGGTCTGCTCAACCGTGTAAGAATTCCCTGGTTGAAATGACCTTCGCCTTCCTTGCGGAGACCAAAGTGGAGAACCTGAATTGGTGACAGATTGAAAGGCTCATCGATGGCCTCCTGGTAAGTGGTTCCGTGATCGATCGCCTTCGCGCGAGTGGCGAGATCACGAATAGACTTACTGCGGAGAACATCCTGGACAGATAGACCAATGCCACGCTTCTTGCACAATCCAATACATGTCATAGCGGCAATAGAGTCACCTCCCAACCCGAGGAAGCTCTCGTTCAAGCTGACGAGGTTCTGGGGAATATTCAGAACGCGGCTGTACACGGCGGCCAAGCCCTCCTCTGTTGCATTTACAGGCTGCGGGGTCTCTGCGCCCATTGATGGACTGGAAATGATTTTTCCAACATCAGGGTCAGTTTCCATGCTCGTCACCCAACCCGCAATTCCTTTCCGGTCGAGTTTCCCAGAGGGCAGGAGCGGCAGTGCTTCTACACACAACCAAACAGCAGGTACCATGTAAGTCGGAAGGCGCGCTGAGAGTCTTTCTCGGATTCCGGTAATCAGCTCAGATTTCATTTGACCGGAAATCAGGCCCAAAGTTTCCAAATCGTCCTTGGACTGTTCAGCTAACAGCCCTGCAATGGAAATGACAGCAGTCAATCTCCCCTTTGAGAAACCGGACTTCGGGAAAAGAACAGAACAGTGGGTAACCTTGGAGTCACGACTCAGCTGGGTCTCTATCTCGCCTAGTTCAATCCTCTGGCCGTGAACCTTGACTTGGGTATCTTTCCGACCGATGTAGTTGAGGGAGCCAGTGTCCGAGTTATACCTCACCAAATCTCCTGTCTTGTAAAATCTGCGGCCCGAGCCACCTGACTTATCCATCTTGGTCCAAGCAGGGTCGTAAATAAAGGACTCTTTCGTTTTCTCCGGGTTGTTGACATAGCACCGAGCCAAAGTTGGCCCTTCGAGCAGAAGTTCACCTGGGCAGCCGACGGGGACCAGCTCGTCATGATTTTCAGGATCCACCAACCATACTTTGACGCCGACTGGGAGGCCAATGTCCTTGCAGTCGGTGTCGGGTGTTACCCCGGTGTGCAGCACTGATGCAACACTGGCCTCGGTAGGCCCGTAGCCATTGACCAATTTAATTTTGGACCACGTTGCCAGCTGAGACTGCGACATTGCCTCTCCGGCCAGCACCAGACCCTTTAATCCAGGCACGCTTTCAATGTCGATGAAGCCAATGAAAGACGGGGTAAAGCACGCCTGGGTGACCCGCATTTCGTTGATCGCGCCCACAATATCATTTAACCGCGCTTCTCCGCTAGGAATACAGACACACGCACCAGCGATTAGCGGTGTCAATGATTCTGCGAGACTGGCATCGAAGGTGTGAGCTGCGAATTGAAGGCACCGCGAGTCACGAAAGATAAGAAGGCCAGCGGCATGAGCCTTGGCACTGGAAAGGAACGCACGATGCTCCAAAAGAGTTCCCTGTGATAATTATCAGACATATGCTTTCCTGCAACATTGAGATTGGAAACCTACCTTTGGTTCACCCGTAGATCCGGAAGTGAAGAGAACATACGCGGCATTCTGGCTGGTGACACCAGATGCAAGGTCCACTCCATCGGCCGGTTCTGCTAAACGATCTATGGTCTCGGCGCCCAGGGGAATTAGAGTCTCGACAACCGACTGCAGGTCCTCTGCACGATTCTGCGAGCACAACCCAACCGATGCTTTAACGGATTCAATCAGACGCTGAAGGCGGGAGGTAGGGTGTGTCGGGTCCAATGGGACGAAAGCTCCACCGGCTTTCATAACACCGAGCATGGCAACAATGTTCCATTTCTATGCAATGTCAGCAATCTTGAAGCATGAATGTATGCAGACCTGTCGCTTACCGATTTGTCGAATAGCAAAGCCACGCGAACTTCAGGGCCAACACCCTGCATACGAAGGTGGCATGCGAGCTTCGACGCCAAGTTGTCAAGCTCGCCGAAAGTGAATGTTCCGTCCCAAGCGCAAACAGCCTCTCTTTTCGGGTCACTGACAGCCTGGTCATGAATCGCCTCATGGATGCAGCGGTCATACAGCTTCGGACTGTGAGAATTCCACTTTTGGATACGTTGCCAATCATTCTCTGAAAACAGATTAAGCTTGCTAATAGCGGCGTTTTCAGTAGAAAGAACTTTGGTCAGGACTTGCTGGAAGATGTGTGCGACACTCTTCATCTGCTCGCCAGACATATCTCCGTTGCGCCACTCAAGGAAGATGTTAATGTCCCGGCGCAATACCTTCACATGAAGACGAACTTGACACTAGTTAAATATAAGCATGATGTATGACAACGTCCATTGACTAATTTTCATATATACCTGGTCGGGCAGCGCGGTTGCCAACATGGGTTTGGAGGAAGCCGAGTCTGACTTCTTGTATGTGCGAAGCATCAGGATGGTGTTGAACGGCAAATAGCCGTCGGAAGCGACCTCTGCGCTTTCACCATTTTTCAAATTTTTCCGCACTTTATCTACAATTTGCTGAATGGAGTCGTCTTCGTCAATTGCGACTCGGATAGGCGAGAGATTCGCGAGGCTGGATCGCTGTACAGGGTTTCGTGAACAAATGGCGTCGCCGTCAATGTGTTGGTAACCGAAACAGATATCTTCGGTACGAAGATAGTAATGCAGGACCAAGGCCCAAGTGGCCTGCAATACCGAGTTGAGGCGTCCTTCATGCCATGCGGTTAATAACTGCGCATTTTGCGAAGAAGTCGGTCTTGTTTTCATGGAAATCGGGCGCCTAGGACCATCAACGGCAGTTGCGAAGCGAGGAAGATAGCACTGCGAGGATTGGGCCATTGTCGGAGGGATCGGTGAAATTCTTTGTTTCGTTGTTTCGTTGTTTTCTTAATTCCAACAGAAATACCGTCTATATTGGGCTGGTGTGGATATTTCGTCGGACGTCGAAAGAAAAACAAGAGAGTGTGTGAGAAGCGTGCCCTCGAATTAGGTTGGATGTGAGTATGTAAATTAGATCCAGAGGAGGTTTGTCTTTCTACACAAGTGTCCCGCGGAGTGGAATGTCTCAGTGATTTTAAAAGAACGACCAGTTTTATTTTTCTTGTTATTCATATGTTTTTTTGGGTAATCAACATCGTTACGCCATCGGTCATCGGTTCTCGGGCTCTAGATGCATGGCCATTTTCCTCCACAATAAAATACCATTTCGGGGGTCAATAGTACAGCGAAGTGCAATTTCACAATCCCCGCCGTATCTTCCTTGCATAGGTTCGGATCTAGATGGAGGAAGGGCTGAGAGACGCCACGCATGGAGCCCGGTTCTAGGGGGTGGGTACGTTCCCTTTTCGCCCTTGTGGAACCAAGTCAGACATAAGTCTAACTACAGGATAAACTACGAAATTAGTTGCATGGGGCGAAACCAAATGGGTATGCCATTTTTAGCGTTTGAAAAAGAGTGATCTGGCACTGAAAGATAGATACAACGTAGTGAAATTTAAAAAAGATTAGAAGTAAAGAAAAAAAAAAAGAAATCTTCAAAAAAGTAATCATGCAGGGGTACATTATGGGTACTACATACACTAAGACTGTGTATTTTTGTCTGTTCGCTTACATGTTCGCCATTAGGCGACTCAGGTCCACTTGCAATCTCCCGGTCCAACCCCCTGGCCTACGGTCTCGAACGTGGTTCCCGCAAGGATGGAAAAGGTCGTGAGCTTTCATTCGGGGCCGCGCCACCGTCATCTGAAGCGCCATTTTATTTTGCAATTCCTCACATTCCTTAGGTAATTCTCTCAGGTCTGGTGATCTGTATGACGATGACAGTTTCTAGAAGCTGCATAGGGTTTTAAACCTGGAGAATAGGTACATGTCCCAGAATGCCATGCTACCGACTACAGAGTACATGAGAGAAATATGTAGGGTCCAGGGCCAATGCGGCATCCATTGGCCCACTTTGACCTTAGCAGATCGTATTCCATTTCGTTACACCGACTGGATCTTGAAGCACACATGGCAGCTGCACCTTGGCAACAGGACTTCGCCTCCCGGAAGAAATCATAGCGGCTATTGGGGTCTGTGCTCTTGCACCATAGGGCCTGTATCAGTAAGGTTGCAATTGGATCCGGGACGGGGAGATCGATGATTTACCGCGCAGAGGTTCACCTCGCAACCGGACTTCGACCTACAGAGGTGAGACGTCCGGCTAAATCGGGTAGTTTGGATGACTCGTTTTGTCTCATTCTGAGGGCTTTGGACTCCGAGGATGACGGATTTGCTACAAACCGAATTCATGAACAGGCGGTGGGAGATTAGACACTTGCAGTCAAGTTCGTAAAAAGAAAAGTGTAATCAATCTCCTCTGTGTACCCCCAAATCGGCCAGCTCCGCCATTCCCTCTCGAGTGAGAACTAAGACTTCGGGTAAGGTACATCATGAAGGACTCCACGGAAGGGAGGTACTCAACAACGATAATCAATGCGATTGGCCAAGCTGTTAGCGACAGAAGTCCAAACCAGGTCACACGGCCGATGAGTTGCAGGCAATTCCAATGGATTTGGAGCTAACAGGTACCTAAGGGAGACTTGTGGGGGCTTGTGGCGCCCGACCGTCCAAAGGGATGGGTGGCCCCAATTTTCCCACGCTAGTACGCCCAATGGCTGTTCTGCAAGGGCGTAGAGGGATCGCGGGTCGATCCGCCCTGATCGACCTATCGTCCCTCAGCAGCTTTGGCCGCGCTGCCCTATCCTCTTCTATCCCCCTTTGCGTCCCTTAGGAGATACATCAGATAATCGGATCACATAGATAGGAGCCCCAGTTTAAAATCAATAGCACATAAACCGGATGATACCCATAATCTTGGAACCTACGAACAAACAATTGTGGTCCAACCCGGGAAAATATAAGCGAAAAAAGCAAGGTACACCGAACCAAAAAAAAAAAACAGGGAAAAGAAATGCTAGCCACATGGACGGAGAATTATTGTGACATTCTTCTCAACCATGCTTTTTCTTCAACGCACCGCCACTGACACAATGCGGGATCTTTTTTTAGTGGGGGTCAGCAAACAAATCCATGGGGTCTGGAGCTTTGGGCTGCAATGAGGAAAATTCTGACGGCTGTCGAGCCTTTAACCTCACGCGCCCACAAAATGTGGCTCTAGACTAAAAATTGTATACATTAGCGCCACACCGGCAGACAATGCCATCCGTCCTAGGGCGCCATTCCAAGGACGAACGCCTGGACCGTAACAAATACTCTCCACATTAAAAAGATGGGGACCGTGTTCAGTAATCAATTCATGGAGGCACGAACCATTTGGGTGTAAAGATTGCGCGCTCGATGGGGCCACTAGTACAAGTTCGAGCATCTGGTTCCCGCACCCGTTCCAAGCTTGGTGTCCGCGTCAACCTAGTCTTGGAGGCGCTAGTAATAATGACGGAAATATATAGTGTAGTTCATGTTATCTACTGGGCAGGCTTATATTGGGATCGCCCACTAGACCGCACTGACACCTTGACAGATCAATTCAGATCTTGGAAATATATATTTCCGATCTGAAAGGGATCAAACTTTCTATGGTCCGTGATCCATTTATTTCCTCCTTTACTTCAATGTTTTCCCATGACCCTCTCCTCTAATGCACTGGTCTGCCATAAGCACCAGAGTGGAGCTGATTTGGAATTTACTGTGGGTTTTCTGGGGGAAAAGTACGAGGATGCATTCCGTGTCGCCACCCATCAACCACGCTGTTGCAAGAAAAAACAGGATCCATGAACCCCGTCAACTTGCATATTCCTCGCTTACGAAGTGCGCTCCTGGGGCGTACTAGCTGTAGGTACGCATACGTACGGATGCAGCAGACTGGCCTACGGCTTCCACGTCGCTACGCATGTCTTGCCATGCCAGTCCCAATAGCAATGGATCAGGTCCATCCGGCGATCGACTGGACAAGGCTCAGTCGAGTAATTACTCCGGGACCGATCAAAAAAACAAACGTCGAGCGATTAGGTGACAGCCACTACGAAAATAGCGACATTATTCACAGGGCCCCCACTAACTAGTGGATTGCGAAAAGCAAATCCCGGAAGTGACAGGTGGATGTACTATCAGTGGAGTAGTGACGGAAGCCGTCCGGGTGGTAATGTAAGCATAAATCTGAATTCATAATCGTAATCGAAATACGCCGAGCAAAAAGAAGAAAAACAAGAAATTGATCGCAACTTGATCTCAACTAGGGTAAAGTAGACGAGTTGCGGCTGCCACGCAATAAGATGGCTTATTAGCGTATTCAAGGTAAAGCTAATCCCAATGCAAAAGGCAATTCGTACGCCTGACACATAGAATCCTTAACCTCACCGGCACTTCTCGTACGAGATGACCCCATATCGGGCATCATTTTGTCTGACTTCATTTTTCTTTGCTATGCTACCAAGGAAAGTTCCGTGATGGCTTCTCAGCTGCGTTGTTTCAAGTTACATCATTGGGGATCGACCAAGGGATCTTCCCCAAACATTATACAGCTGTACAAGGGACACCCTCGCATGAAGTTAGGTTTTATTACGTTCGGGGAAGTAGGGGCTTGGTCTGAACAGGAGCTACAGATCTTCACCGTCTCCAAGCTCAGCATTTACATTGGCTCATGACTGCATTGTTCCTGCAAGGTTGCTCCTTTTTCCCTCGTGTTCAATCTACCGGCGTCCGGCGTGAGGCCTTTTTGATTAACTTAGGTTATTTGTTTACTCCAGGGGGTCAAGCTCTATTGATGCCATTTTGCCTCCCCCACATCCCCAAGGGGGTAATTCGAAAACAATCAGACGTCCCTCTGCATCCGCAAACAAGGCACCGATTGGTCCTCCAGTGTGTAATAAGAATAGAAATCTGGGAAACTCCGACATGGCTTACCAAAAAGTAAAGTTAAAAAAAAAAATCAAAAAAAATATATATTTGGAAAAATGAAAAAAATGGAAACTTCCATCATGGCCCAAGATACGCTAACAGAAACTAATCATGCAGTCATGGTAGTAAAGTATGGTAATAGAAAAAGAAAATACGAAGAAAAAATATCATTGTGAGAGGGTTGCATTGGATGTCCACTCGGTTGCAGGGACCCTAGGCCCTTTACCATAGGAGCTCAGGGAGTACCTTTCTTGGGATGCAGTGTAGTAAGCTCCTGCAGAGGGATGGGACCTACGCTTATTTTGGATGAATCTGATCTAGAACCCCAAGACTAGAGCTTTTGCCCCCCTATGTCTCGACCTCTTCTTGAACTCTCTTAATTCCGTACTCGTGGAGCTTTCTCTTCTTCAACCTTCCTCACACTCATCAGATGGTTCTTGGTGAGCAGACATGGCTTCCTCGAATTCATCAGCGGCTTTATGCCGTCAGATCGACAACACAATGCGCGTCTGGGCTGGTTCATGTCGAGGAGGATTTGATTTCACACTGCTGTTCGAGGAGACTATTCTCCAGATACTCCCAATCGCCCTAATCTTAATACTGGTTCCGTTCCGGATTGTTCAACTCTCACAGAAACGCCTGAAGGTCGTTGATTCATGGTTGCTTCTTTTGAAATTGGTGAGTAGTTTTCCTTTTGTTAAGAATTCTCCGATGCAAGAAGGCTACAAGCAGTGAAACATTGCAATTGGGGAAAGATTTGCGCTAATTCTGTCGATTTCCTATATCAGGCCGCTTGGATATTTCTACTTGGACTTCAAATCACCCAAACTGCCCTCTGGGCTTTGACTTCTGCCGATGCAACCAAGGCTTCGCTCCCCACAAATGCAATCTTGACCGTTGGTGTGCTGGGCCTCATGGCACTCTCATATGCCGAGCACACACGATCGGTCCGACCCTCTTCAATTCTCAACGCATACTTGTTCTGCAGTCTGCTTTTCGATATCGCACGGACCAGAACCTTGTGGCTACGATCTGCAGACTCATTCAATGATATCATTGCAACCGTGACCAGCGTCGCGGTGGGTGCCAAGCTGCTCGTTGGTATTCTGGAAGCAGTGGAGAAGAGGAGCATCCTCAAATCGGAGTATCAAGGCTACCCTCCTGAGGCGACAGCCGGCTTCTACAGTCAAGCTGTCTTTTACTGGTTGAACCCGCTGTTCAAGGTCGGCTTCAGCAGCAATATCTCCGTTGAGGACCTATTCGTTTTGGACAAGGAGCTGAGCTCTGAAAGGCTCTTAGCTATATTTGAGGAGCAGTGGAGCAAAGGTAAATGAGATCAATCTTGAGATTATGGGAGTGATACTAACCATCAACAGTGAAAACAAAGACTCCCAACTCTCTCCAATGGGAGTGCTTCAAGGCTGCTAAATGGCCTCTTCTCACAGCTGTTCCAGCGAGAGCATGCGTTGTAGCTTTTAACTTTTGCCAGCCTCTACTCTTGACTAGGTCACTCTCATACTTTAACGAGCCGGTCAACAGTGCCACCAACAACGTTGGCTACGGAATGATTGGAGCTTATGCTTTGGTTTATCTTGGTCTGGGTGTATGTACCTACTATCCTTCGTAGGGCACACTTTACTGACATCCGATAGGTTGCAATGGGCCAGTACCAACACAACACTTACCGTGGAATTACAATGGCTCGTGGAATCTTGGTCACGATGCTATATAAGAAAGCCAGCACTACGACTCTCAGCAATGCTGATCCCGCCAACTCCCTTACCCTGATGAGCGCAGATGTTGAGAGAATTACCAACGGATGGCAGACCATGCACGAGATTTGGGCTAATTCTGTGGAGATTGGACTTGCGATCTATCTTCTGGAGCGACAACTTGGAATATCCTGTGTGGTCCCTGTTGCTGTGGCGCTTCGTAAGTAAACACTGGCAAACACTGGCGTTATTTTCCTTTATTTACTGACGTTTTTCAGTCGCACTGTTCGGGTCTCTTGTTGGTATGTCTTTCGTGGTAGCCCACCAGGCTAAGTGGTTGGAAGCCATTGAGAAGAGAATTTCTTCCACGTCTGGCATGCTAGGATCCATCAAGGGTGTCAAAATGCTCGGACTGCAAGACTCCTTTATGAAATTTGTTCATGGTCTGCGTATTGATGAGTTAACCATCTCTAAAAAATTCCGTACCCTCTTGGTATGGAACATGGGATTCGCATGGTTGACCCGCATCTTCGCTCCCATTTTCACCTTTGGAGTCTATGAGGGCATTTCGAGCAACTCCCTGACAGTCTCCCGAGTCTACACTTCTCTTGCCCTCTTTTCTCTACTTTCAGATCCGCTCTTGACTTTGGTTATGGCTCTCATGTCCTACGCCGGATCAGTGGGATCATTCGTCCGCATTCAAGAATTCCTTGAGAAGGAAGATCACAACGACCACCGACGCCAATCTCCTCTTCTACCTTCCCTAGAGGATCTGGGTGAGGCCAAGCTTCTCTCCAAGTCGGGGGATTTGGATATGTCATCAAGCAACTCCGAGTCGGTCGAGTCTTTCAAGCGTGGCTCGTCCTCATCTACTACCAATTCTGCCATGATCCAAAACGGCACTTTTAGCTGGGCTGTTGACCAGGAGCCTGTGCTGCAAGATATCAGCTTTACCGTTCCTCGTGGAAGCTTTACTATGATCATTGGACCCTCAGGTTGTGGCAAGTCAACTCTTCTCAAGGCGCTTCTTGGTGAAATCCCCTGTTCCGATGGCAAGATTGAGGTTTCCTCCGGTAGTGTTGCTTTCTGTGATCAAACTCCTTGGCATATGAATGGTACTATCAAGGATAGTATCGTCGCCATGTCAGACTATGACCCCAGGTGGTATGCGACTGTTCTTCAGGCATGTGCTCTCGAAGAGGATCTTGGACATTTCCCTCGTGGTGACCGCAGTGTTATTGGAAGCAAAGGTGTTGCCCTCAGTGGAGGCCAGAGTCAGCGTATTGCTCTCGCTCGTGCTGTTTATGCTCGCCGCAAGATTATCATTTTGGATGATGCCTTGAGTGGTCTGGATGCCACCACCGAGAACCACATTTTCCACAGCCTGTTCGGACACATGGGACTTCTGCGAGAGACTGGTACTTCGATGATTGTTGCTTCTTCTTCTGTCAAACGTCTCCCTTACACTGATCATATCGTTGTTTTGGACACCGACGGTCGCATTATGGAACAGGGAAGCTTTAGCGCTCTGACCAAGACTGGTGGCTATGTTTCGAGCTTTGGACTCCTCGCACCTGACTGGGACTATAAGCCTAAGCGATTTTCCGAGTCGCCTAGCTACAGTACCATTGACTCGATCGAAAAGGAGAAAGAGGACCTTATTCAGGAACCTGAGCACCGTGACACTGGTGGAGACCTTGGAATCTACACTTACTACATCAACGCTATCGGATGGGTCCCCGCAATGGTCTTTGTTGTCGCTATGGCTGGTTTTGTCTTCTCCATTTCCTTCCCCACTATCTGGGTGCAGTGGTGGGCTGAGTCCGACACAGCTCACCCCAGGGCCCAGCTCGGCTACTATCTTGGTATCTACGTGATGCTCGGTTGTCTGGCCATGATCTGTCTGCTTGTTGGTTCCTGGCAAATGATCATTACCATGGTTCCCAGATCTGGAGAGTCTTTTCACCGCAGACTATTGACCACTGTTCTAAGTGCGCCTATGCTGTTCTTCTCCACCACTGACAGCGGCTCTATTCTTAACAGATTCAGCCAGGACTTGCAGCTCATTGACATGGACCTTCCTATTGCGGCCATCAATACCATCGCAACGTTGTTTCTTTGCATGGCCCAGATGGCTCTTATCGGAGTTGGGTCAAAGTATGCGGCTATCTCTTTCCCCATTGTCCTTGGAATCCTTTTCCTCATTCAGAAGCTTTACTTGCGCACCTCTCGTCAACTACGGTACCTAGACCTTGAGGCCAAGGCTCCCTTATTCTCTCACTTTACCGACTGTCTCCAGGGACTCGTCACTCTGCGAGCCTTTGGCTGGCAGCATGGTATGGAGAAGAAGAATATTGAGCTTCTGGATATCTCGCAACGCCCATTCTACTACATGTTTGCCATTCAGCGCTGGTTGACTCTCTCACTTGACTTCGTCGTTGCTGGTATTGCCATACTGTTGATTGTGCTGGTTGTTGTCCTCCGCGGCACGTCTCTCAACGCCGGCGCTGTCGGCGTTGCACTCCTCAACGTTATCCAGTTCAGCCAGACTATCAAGCTTGCGGTCACTTTCTGGACAAACTTAGAAACCCACATCGGCTCCATTCAGCGCATCAAGGACTTCACCAAAACTGTTGAATCCGAGGATCAGCCCGGTGAAGATCGAGGAATTCCTCCTAACTGGCCCTCCAAGGGTGCAGTCAGCTTCCAGTCGGTTTCGGCAGCCTACAGGTGCGGCGTCTATCATTCTAGTTTTATCATGTGCATCCTACTAACACCCTACCGAATAGACCCTCGGAGCCGGTTCTCAATGAAGTGTCTTTGACCGTCCAAGCCGGTGAGAAGGTCGGCATTTGCGGCCGAACGGGAAGGTATGCAAAACCAGCCCAAATAGCTTTCTCAGTATGAACCTATTTAACAATGACTGCAGTGGCAAAACATCCATGATCATGAGCATCTTCCGCATGATTGAGCTTACGAATGGTTCCATCACGGTGGACGGCGAGGACATCTCCCGACTACCGAGACGGGAAATTCGCGCCCGCATCAATGGAGTCTCCCAGGACTCGCTCTTGTTCAAGGGTAGCGTTCGGCTGAACGCTGACCCAACCGGTTCATGCACAGACAAAGACATCACATGCGCCCTGAAGACCGTGCAGCTCCTCTCTGCAATTGAAGAGAAGGGCGACCTAGACACCGATATCGACGAGATCCACCTGTCACACGGCCAGAAGCAGCTCTTCTGTCTTGCGCGGGCAATCCTTCGCCAGGGCAATATCCTCATTCTCGACGAGGCGACCAGCAAGTAAGTGATCCTCTCCATTATTGTCTCACCCCCTGACGTGTTCCCTCGCTTCGAGTACATATCCACTTCCTCACATCATAGTTGCTTTTTCTCCTTTTTAACCGACATTATTGCTTTTTTTTTTTGGTGCCTGTCATCCCCTGCATGTATGCGGCTTGATCCGAGCGCCATGGCGCTCAGATCTATGCGCCTCGCAACCCCCACCTTTCCCCCTTGCAGAAACGCAGGACGATTGCTAATCGTCAGCAGCATCGACACCAAAACAGACGAGATTATGCAACGCGTCATCCGTGAGAAATTCTGCAGCCACACGATTATCTCTGTGGCGCACAAACTCGATACAATCCTCGATTATGACCGTATCGTGGTGCTGGACGCCGGCCGGATCGTAGAGGTCGGTGAGCCGTTCGCCTTGCTGACGGAGCCCAAGTCTCACTTCAGTAAACTTTACGCGAGCGCGATGGCGTCAGAAGATTCGGATTAGAATCGTCTGCCCCGATGGCTTTTGTGTTGGAGTTGACCTCTTACCCCCCTTTTGCATGGCATTTGCACAAATTCAGCCTTTTTTCGCCATTTTCCCCCTGTGAGCTGATGCTACGGGGGGGTTGCTGTTTTGTTTTGGCGCGCTGATCTACTTTCCTTTACGGTACATATCGACGTCAACATACAAGAGTTCCAAGAATCGTTGCCAGGCGTTTTGTATTTTTTTGGCCACTTTTGATTGTTTTTACACTTTGGATGGGTCTCTTCTTGACTATCTTTTATTGGGGCCTTATGAGCCACTTTGGATTTATATTCTCTTCGCACTCTCGTTCATCTACGTTTTGGATAATTGGTGACAGCTTGGCAACTTCATTGGGTTGGATTGTCTATAATCTGGTGCGCTCTGCACTAAACTGCTTGGTTTTAATGGTATACAAGGCAATGACTTGACTATCAAATTGAATGATCCTATACTTGAGATACTTTTCTTCCTCTATTGGTCTTTTCTTACTGCCGTAACTTTCAGTGCACAGATTCCAGCCTTGGAAGTTTGTTTCTTCAAGTGGATGGCAGGCCCCTACTAGTAAGCCTGTCAGTATCTTGGTCGTTCGGTCAGTTCGTCGTAATCCAGTCCTCTTTCTCTTTTATATGGCTGTCTTTCCTACGTTCGTCAATGGATAGGTCTTTTGAACATTTTCAATTACGTTAAGTGGACCAAGGTTTGTTTGTTAATTCTCAAAATCGGGATTCTCGCGCATGACATATATATCCGCATCAAGCAACTTTGGTCAACGGGCATCTATCAGCTATATACCCCCGCCCCCCACGTTATATTCAACTTTGACTCTTGAAAAACACCTCTTATTGCTGAACTGTCTATGCAAGCTGTCAGAAGCATATTTCAATAGATATACCAATTCTTCCCAGGCTCGCTGACTTCCCACGAAGGCAGCTGCTTGGACGAACTGAGGACAAAGCATGGTTGGCCACTTCTGGGAAGTAGATACATTGGGCGCGTACCTACGAACATATTCGCCTACCTACCAGGTGGGCAACAAAGGTTCCAAGGTTGGTATTTAGCATTTCTAAGATTCCTGGTACCTTGGTTGAAGCAATATTGGGATGAGAAAAGCGTGGTTAGAAAACCTTATGCCAAATCCTATTTTCGCACAAAACATTCGAACTACCTGAAGAAAAATAAACCATATGGAACAAAATGCTTGGAACTCCACCGATGTCAACCTCCAGCTGCAAATAAAGTCTTGGGATAATAGATGAAAAGAAAAATTGTCAAGCTCATTTGAGGATACCAGCCATCCATCCACGGAAAGCACTCGCACTCAACGCCCTGTGGTTTCATGGGTAAATTGCGGTCACCACCCATCTACGAGAGAATCATCGTTTCATCGTTATCTATCTCCTCCTCATCTTCATCAAGGAGACCAAACTCCCAATCGCCACGCTCAATACGACTGACACGATCCAGTTCGGACTGGTATTCACGACGCAGATGTTCAAGTGTAACGATCACGCGTTCCTGGGGGCGTTCGGTGGCAGGCTTGAACGACACACCATTGCGTACATTGCTGATAGAGGAACGACTTCCGCGGCGACCAACAGACGTAGATGAGGCAACGCTACCAGAACGGCTTCTTGTCTTGAAAGCGGTGGGTGATCCCATGTTGTCCGCATCATCCATGAAAACGTTACCGTCACTGTCGGCCTGGGGGCCTTGGTTACGGGTGTGTGAAGAATCAGCAATCAGACCAGAGGAGGCCAATGGTCCGATCTCGACAAGAATGTAAGCCTCGCTTTTGTCAACCGAGGCCAAGAGATTGATCAGTGATAGCAACTCATGACGGATTTCTTTACTCTCTTGATCATCTTCAGGCACAGCTTCTTCGACTTGATTCTTGCCACGGACAACAGCGGAGGAGGGGGTATCTCTGGCTTGACGTAGACGTTGAACATTGCGGTATGCAATTTCAGCCGCACCGCGATAGTCGCCGCGAGAGATGCGGTATGCTTGCAAGATACGGTGGTAATCGGGCGAGCTCTCGGCCTCATTGTTGTCAATGTCCAGCCATGAATGGAAGGAATTTTGTTTGCGGGCGAGTGAAACGAGGATTTCATCGACGTATGAAGCAATGTTGGGTACGAGAGAGGTAGGGAAGCGGAGGATTTGCTTGAGACCTGTGCGTCCAGGTCCGGAGACAGTGAGAATGGTGGAGACAAGTGAACTGAGAGCGGATCTCTGTAGAGCAAGATCCTGGTATCGGGCCAAAGCGGAGTACGCCTGGTCAAACTGGCAGGTCTTGAGAGATGCATGGAACAGTCGAGAAAGTAGGTCTGTCCGCATACTTGAGTACTCGGGATCCTGCTCAGCCCATGCTTCAGAGTCGAGGGCCTGCAGCGCCAGGCTGGCAAAGTCAGCGACATGCGAGAAGGACCGAACTCGTTCGAATACGGAAAGAATATGCTGGTAATATTTGGGAATGCCGTTGTGGAAGCAGTTCACCGATACAAGGTCCAGAAGCGTCGAGGACATTTCATGGAGGTTACCCAGGGGTTTGCCACAAGCTATAATGGACAGTCAGTAGACGACAGAACACACTCAGATCAGACAACTTACAAAGCAGGTATGCTGCCTTCCGGAAGTAAATGGCAGCAGTGTCAAACTCTGACATCGCAACATGCAAACGTCCCTTGACGTAAGTCGCCCAGGATGTGCTCGCTTGGAAACGAAGGAAATCCCACGCGAGATCGATATTATTCTTCGCAATGAGATCGCACTGAATATAGGCCAATGCATTCGCGTATGTAACCTCACCAGGTCGGGTGACCCAAGCCAGGACATCCCGAATCCCCAGAGTCAGTGTATAGCTCTGGGGCAACCCAATTGCTTGACGTGGCTTGATGTCTCTGACGAATAGATCCTCGAGGATAGTCACCGTCCTTTGGTTTTTGGTCTTTGATTTAGAATCCTTCAAAGAGAAAATTGGTGTTGAGGTATCTGCGCGAGTGTCTGTAGGCTGATCGGCGCGCGTTCGGACATTTGAGCTCAGCCAGTACATCATTTCGTACTCGCGAAGAATATTGATGAGAGCAGAAAATAGGCCAGCACCGTCAAAGTTAGAGCGCCCTCCCTGCTCAATCTCCCCATCCACAAATGAGACCAGAATTAACAGTTCGTAGAGAATGCGACGATTCAAGAGAATAGTCTCGAGGGAACCACTGACAAGGACTCGTGCACCAAATGAGGTTGAAAGGAGCTCTGAGTCCTTGCCATTGAATCCAAGAGGAACAGTCTCAATGATGGCATAAAAAGCGTCCCCAGGTAAGTTCTCGGCATCTAAATTCTCATTTAAGGCTGTAACTAGGCCATCAAAGGTCTTGTTGGAGATTTTATCCGCAAACTCACAGCGCTCACGGAATGCGTCCATGCGGTCGGTGATTGATGAGGATGGCTCATTATAGATCTCAATGTCGAGAGCAGCCCGGCAAGCGGCATCAAGCTCTGCAGAGAATCGCTTCCGGAAGTTTGCAGCAACCTTAACCAGCGATGATGCTTGCTCGTACAAGTTTCCAAGTTCGGCACTCAAGTTGCGATGTCTCCAACGATCAGCGATCTTGGGCTTTTGCTCAGCAAGTTCCGCACCGGAGTTGTGCGTAAGTAATTCGGTGGTATTGCATTCCCGAATCACAGCACAAGCATCGGATAGAAGAATCCACGGCATTTCAAAGTATGAATCGTAGGCCAGAGACACCGGCTCAAATCTGCGCTTATTGAGATCGTCCGCAACCTGCCAGAATTGACGCCACTTTGCATCTGTGTCTGTTCGGTACCGACTATATCCCATCTCGTCCTCGGCATATTTACGTAGAGAAACTGTGGCTGTGATCGTAGAACACAATCTTTCTGCTAGTGGCACATCCTTCTTCAGAACACCGGCTGATGTAGATGACAAAGGCTTGAGGGCTTCCTGATAAATGGACAAGGCAGTCTGAAGAACTTCTGGCAAGTATCGATTCGGGTGCATAAGATATTCCAGCCATCGTTCTGTCGGATCCACGACATCATCCATAGTTGGAGGAGGCAGTTGCTGTTGTCGATGAGCCTCAAATGTTGTCGAGACCCAATTGCTTTCCCAGTCGGTCACCAAGGTTTGGAGATCAAAGTGAAGAGTGTATAGCTGATAGAGTCCATGGTTTCTCCAAAGCACCCACATCTCCATGCCCTTGCCTTCATCCATGGGCTTTACTTGGAAATCAGCGATGTTCCAGAACATATTTCCTGTGACATCAGGATCCATTGGCCGGAAGATTGCCTCTGCGTAAAGATCCTCGATAACCAAATCAGATGTAAGGCCTCCCTTCACAGCCCAGAACTTGAACCGTCCATCCTCAAATGGAGAGTATGTCACCACGTAAAAGCGATGGCCTCCATCCATAGCTCTCTCTGCATTGAATACCCGAATAAAAGAGGTTTCGGCAGGGTTCAGGGTATATGGAGGGACATCAGGATCAACTGGACGGCCCAAAAGGTCCTTTGTTGCGACCAACTTGTTCGTGGCCAGATTCCAGATCTTCAATGTATGATTCAGACAAATCGCGAAAACATAGGTCTCGTCAGAAGTCGTGGTGATGGCATTGGCCGTATTCAAGTCGAGGTTTCGTCCGTCGTGTCGAAGCGAGGAGGGTACGTTCCATTTCACGAGGCCACGGATTGAGGCACCCCAGGTTCGTTCGTCGAATGTCAATGGGGTCCAATGTGAGCCTAGCCAAGCTTGGTATTAGTCTCTCTTTCTCTATTTGCCATAACCAAAGACCGCATAGTAAAGACATCAAAGCTTACCGTCATCCCCAGCTCTCCGAGTCAGTCGCAAAAGGGCACCATTGTCGAGGGAGATGAATAGCTCGAGCGGGCTGCTGGCGTGTAGTCGGTGAGGGTGGGAAAAGGAGAGAGGTGCAGGGACACATGTCTTGCACCAATCCGACACATTCTCGTCAATTGAGTCAGGTCTTCTGAAGAACTCCGGGCGAAGCGAGAATGTGTGTAGTTGTTTCGAGGCCGTAATCACAAAAACACTGAGAATCTCATGGTCCTCATGGTCCGCCAGCGCAACACCCGATGGGAGAATCTGGTCCGGGAAGTTCAATCGAAGGGTCACATTGTACTCGAATTGCTCCGAGCCAGCCTTGGTGAGATCCGCGCATTGAATCTCTAAGACCTGGTTGTCATTGACAACTCTCCACACGAACGTTCTTGGGTAGGTTCTGCGCTTGCGGAAATAGACCGTTCCTTGTGTCGCAAGGTAGCGTCTGGAGAATTCGTCTTCGTCTTTCGCGATGGGGAGTTCGTGATCGGGTGTGGGTGTGGATGAGATCGAAAAGCGTGTCCGTCGAACCGCGCTCTCCGGGGAAACGTGGATATTAGCAACAGTGGTGGGCGAAAATGGTCGGAGGTCGACCCTGGTATCCTTGTAAATCTTCGCCATGGTGAACAGCTCGGGGAACTGCACTTAATTCAGCGTCGCAGACTTCCCATGGCTTGAAGCGGGAGAGAGTTGCAGGGCGGAAAGCTGGAGCTCTCAAAAAACAAAGTCTTGGCGCGGTTGAACCGTGGACTTTACCCACTTCAACAATAAACACAAATACATTCTACGTACAGAACTGCACAATCAAATCCACTGATCAATATACTTATTGCATAATGCATTTCATATTGAAGATTTATTGAAAAAATGGTCAGATGTGGAATAAAAAGTCTATTCTACCAAAACTCTTATCAATCACAGCACTAACGGTAGATACAGATGGATATTGGATAGGCTCGTCAAGTTACTTATATCGTGTCAGCCATAATGAAGGAACAATGATGAATGATGAAAGACCTCAGTCATCTAGTCATTCTCCATGTCCTTCTCGTTAGGGTCGCCAATGCCATCCTCGTTGATTGCAAAGAGACAATCACTTTCTGGGAGACATGGGCTGTCGTAAATCTTGCACACTCGAGTCTCACCGCGACCCTTCTTCAAACTGAGTCGGGTTGTACTGGCATGAGCAATAATGTTACCTCCAATAGGTTTCTTGGGATCGGGGTTGAACATGGCACTGGGGCCACCGTCAACTTGCGCCACAACCTGGTTCGTGATCACCACCGCAATGCCGAACTCATCAGCCAAGCGCTGCAATGTGCGCATGAACTTAGCAAGATGTGTCTGTCTGGATGACAATTCGCCACGCCCATTGAAATCCGTTCGGTACAATGCGGTCGCCGAGTCAACCACGAGAAGCGAAAACCGGGTCTCGCACATCATCTGAGACGCCTGATTGAGCAACTGCAGCTGATGATCGGAGTTGTAGGCACGGGCATATGCCACATTGTCGAGGACTTCCTCTCCCACAAGGCCAAATCTCTGTGCCACGGCAAGAAGCCGGACAGGTCGAAAGGTTCCCTCCGTGTCGATGTAGAGACACTTTCCTTCGCCTCCACCCATATCAAAGGGTAATTGACAGGTAACCGCGAGTGTATGACAGATCTGACTTTTTCCTGTTCGGAATTCACCAAAAATCTCGGTAATTGAACCGGTCTCGACACCACCACCTAGCAGGGTGTCGAGCCTCTTGGATCCTGTTGTAATCGATATGAGCTCACTTCGTCGGGCGTGCATCTCGGTTGCCGTTGTGAATCCCATGGGAACCATTTTTGCAGCTATCCAATAGAATACAGTCAGTACCTGCTATACGTTGAACAGGGGCGTTACGCGATTTTCCGCATGGTGACTTACCTTCTACTAAGATCTTAGTGGCCTTCTGCTCCGAAATTCCCTTAATCTGCTCCAGCAATCGCTTCGGTCTGGTGGTTTCCCGTATCAGTTCAAAAACCCTGCCAAAAAGGGCAAACCTGGAGTAATTCCAGCTGCTGCGTTGGAGACATACGTATAAGCCACTGCCTCCACGGTGTGGTACCCAGCGTCGACAAACAACTTGATATCTCTTCCGCTCAATCCCGCGACTCCCTAATAGAAGCCAATTAGTACTTTATATTGTTTCATTGCGGATGCTATCCAATTCCATCGGAAAAGACCTCGCTCACCTCAAGCGCAGAGAGCGGGGTTGGGGCACCAGGACCCGGCAGTTGGCTCTCATCCATTTCGCCTTGGATCTCATGGTCGGCCGACATTTTTGCGGCGTTATTATCGATGATTTAGAGCTGCAGTCACTGGGATCGGCTCGTTGGCGGTCGAGAATTCCCCAATACACGAGCACGCGTCAAGCCCGATGTGCACTTTGGTCCGCGGTGCACACTCCGAGAAGATTTCCGGGATGAAATAAAATAGATCTCCGAATGAATGGAATGAGTCACCAGGCAGCCGTGGCCCACAAGAAAGAGTTGTTTGTGGCAAAGCCGGGGATTTTCTGGGCGAGTCTAATTGTTTCCTTCCAATGGACGCGTTCGATTTGTCGCGCAGTCACGTGGCTTTGTTGACTGAAAGGCAACAACAACACTATCGCCACTTTGGGTTTCTTAACCTAAGGCTACCAAGCCATGCGGAGGTATGAAACGTGTTTTTTCATAGTGGCAAATGATACTCATTGATCCTCATCAATGACGTTAAGAATACATGTTTTTCACGCAAACAGAAGCATTGTGCTGTCCCAGATCCTCTTCTGGTAGTCACGCGACAAATCTAGAGATTGACTCCAATGATTCCCCGAAAACCCAACTTGTTTAAGCTTTACTTTTGCTAGTGTCATGGCCAGTCTATCTCCCTTCTTTGGGTGTGCGCCAACCCAACCTTCGTGGTTTGGCCTGTCCCACGAGAGCAACAATTTCATGACCTGAAATACGACAGCATTGACGTTCCAAATCTCCGTATCTGGGTCTCTTGCAACGTAGGGTCGAACTGGAGTCTCTCGGCGGGTATGTTCATGTGGATTTTATCATTAAAGATCTGGCTCATCTTACGTCTGAACTCCTCGGATGACCGTCTGCGAAGGATTCCTTCAAAGTATGCGTTAGTTTCTCTGCTTCATGTCTCTATCACGCAACGTCGTCCACTCACTATGAATGCGTGAAGCCCTTTGCTGCTCGAATTGGGGACGAGAATTATTCTCGTGGCTGGATGATCCCAGATCAAACTCCTCTTGCTCGCTCGTTCCTGGTCTGCTCCTTCTGGAATCAAACAACTGACTGGCACGCAAGACTCTATTGTGGAAACTAGCCCGCTTCTCATGGCTCCCGAAGAGCTCACTTCTATGATTGAAGGAGCTATAGGTAACTGGGGCACTTGCTATCGTTGCGGGTGGATAAACCACACGGGGCCTGTAAGATTCATATCTGTAAATGTTGGGCCCGGTGATATCGTGACGGGACTGGGTGACAGGAGGACGATGATGACGCGGTAAAGCAACATGAGAGGGGAATGGGTCATCATGCAGCGCTGGGGGCGAGCAGGTGAAGGGGCGGGCGCGAATGGGAACATGTCTCGGTTCTGGATTCAGTACTGGACTGGGCGATCGGCTTCTACTGGCAGGCGTCCCGGGAGGTTGAGGACTGGGTTGATGACTGGTTTGACGACTGGGTTGAGGGCTAGGTTGAGGACTGGGTTGAGGACTGGGTTGAAGACTGGGTTGAGTACTGGGGCTTGAAGTATCGAGACTGGAGATCCAGATGCCAGAGACTCGCACGCCTCTCTCCAAGGCTCGAGCACCAAAAGGGATGTCATCTCTCTTGAGCATGGGGTATAACTCAGCTTCCTCTTCTTTCTGGCGTGCCTCAATCGCGGCATATCTGCGTATGCTCCATCTCCTGTACGTGAGAACGCAGAAGCCGTATATGACCACGATAATCTAGAGAGCTAGTCAGTACTCCGTTGATCATGCTAGAAGGAGAGACGTGTCGCACTATTAGAATTGCCAATGCCTGTGTCCGAGTTGATTGGTTGTTAGCAAGTTAGAGCATGGTCACAATGGATGTCAGGTATAGAGAGATCTCATACAAAACTCAGCTTTTCCCATAACTGCCAGGTGACCCAGAATGCCATGGTCTCTCACTTGTTTTAGAACGCGCATGCAATGGTGAGAGCTGTGTATGATGTGGCAGGCTGCAAAGAGGGAAGGATTAAGGGCAGAAAGAGTATTGCACCAGAATGACTCGTGGTCTACACTCATTATACCAGTGGTTCATGGGGTGTGCCTGCCTATTCGTATATCAAATGAAAACAACTCTGAGTTCTGCCCAGCAACATCGTCCTCTCCATGTTGTCTCGCGTGAATTTCATCGGTGTAGTCTTATTTAAAAGTCATATTTCTACTTTACAAAACAAGGTGAACTGGGGTCTAAAGAAGAACCCCAAAACATGGTTCCATGCAAAAGTGGATGGATACATTGTATACATAAAAAGCAAAAAGAAATCTCTCCCTCGGGGAATCGAACCCCGGTCTCCCGCGCTTATCGGTGTTAATGACAAGCGGAAATCATGACCACTAGACCAAGGAAGATGAGATAGTCGAGTTTCCGCTCGACCACTTGGTGCTGGTTGATGTTTGTGTCTGCAATTTGGACTATATGACCCCCTTCTTTCTAACCTCATTTGCGCGCCCCACCAAACCCTTTCCAAGTCACACCCCGACAATAAACATAGTCATGAGTTTTTGGACCAATACACGGTGATTTGGATTTCATTGATTTCTCAAATCTTGGAGTTTCGCATGGAAATCAGTGGTTAATCAAGGTTGAAGTGCTAAATGTCTGTTCACATGTGTTCACACCTGTTGGCCTCCAAATATATATCAATTGCTGTGCCTACTGATTGATTACTTCATTTTGCCTACCTTAGCAGCCAGGCTTTACAGTGTAGGTAATATGACTCTAATCCCACCCACATCATTGAAAGATCGGGAAATCTTAGAGTCTGGGGGTTGGAATATCTACAACGTTTGATTATGCATAATTCTCGATACTCGATCTATTGGGATGAAGCAATGCAGATTAGTGTATCTATCCTGGGTCTAGCGCTTCCCGGAGTGCCCCGGGGCTCCGCTGCAAACACCTGGACGTTCCGTAGTAATTTCTGGGCTCACGAGGTTGTAAATGTAGTATACAATAGGTTGTCAGTAATAAGTAGATCCACTAGTTCATTAACCCTGCAATGAGAAGCTCAATTGCCCTCAATTGTCTGCTGCATGTTCAACCGAGTCTCAGATTTTACACGCCCAAAAATTGTCGAAGTTCCTCTCTGTGTGTCATGCGAGGTCCCGAAGAGGAAAGAGTTATGGGTGTTACAACAGTCAGCCTGGTGGGAAATCTCAAAACAAGTCCCTAACGTCGATCATGTGACATGGTCTCGGGACAAGGATAGAAATTAAATAGCCGACTCATTGTCAACGCCAATATCCACCGTCCATTTCGCGCCTCTTAATATATTCAACTATTTCTATTTAACTCCAAATGTTGGATGGGCCGCCTTGTAAGACTTTTTTGATCCGAGGTACGTTCTAATTGAATCGCGGCACCTCTTGGACGTGAGATACTGAGTCTCACCACCGTTCGCCTGTCTTAATACGGAGTAGCATAAGAACAATTAATTGAGCAGACGAAAAATCTTTGGAAGGAGGGCGGTGGTGTATTTGCTGTGATTAGCCTTAGCGGTAAATTTCCCACATAAGGATAAGGCTACCTTGATATCATTGATCTATGACATACTTTGCTCGGCATATAACCCTGCTAGTGAAGAGTTTGAGGCCGGTGCCACGGCCGGAGTCTTCCAAGTGGTAAGCTTTTACTAGTAAGGTTAAAAAATCAGGACAGCAAATTGGCGGCAAACATTGAATGCCCCCTAATCATGAGGTTAACGCCACATTCTTTCCTTATGTGGGCAAATTCCACATCACAAGCCCACAATTAGCCTATTATTTTTGCGCAAAGGAAATGATGATGTTCTATCATGTCGTGCATCATAAAGGAGAATCAATATAGGCATGGAGGTCGGGTTATGCCCTTACACACGGCAAGCCGAGAAAGGGGTTCCCCTTCCCCGAGAATCTGAGGGACGACGCGCAACTCAAAACTTCACACTCCCAAGAACATGACGCAGCAGATTCCTGGGTGAAACGATCGACATACAGCCGCCCGAAGGATAAACTCACCCCTGCCAGTGAATATGCGTTAGAATTAGCCAACCACGCACATACCTAAGTATTTTCTTACGCAAGCCCTAGACATACCTGCCCCAAAGCCATTCCATGTGCTGTGTCAGCTATTCTTCACAGGCGATGCAATAAGCACAACCACGCTCATACGGGTACTCTGGCTGTTCTATTTCTACAGAACTGTGCTCTTCAATATCGCCACTGCTATGCATTAGATATCTGATCCGAAATAAACTAATTAGAAACCAATGAGTTAGTTCTCTGGGCTCTCCAGTACATATAGTACATACAGTAGAGCTTGCAAGCTAAGCCCCTTGTAGATCTGCGCTAAGCGAATCATATCTATGATCGACAACCCCTTGGTCGGATGATCTTCAGAAGGATTGCAATGATTGTCAATTGGAGATCGACTGATAATATCATTTGAAATGATTGGGCCCCTTTCTCCACCAAAAGCCAGTTCGGGCAGGTCAGCCGCTTAGAACCGTTGAAACACAAGCCAAGCAATGAGCACAGAATGATGGCACTTCTGATTTCAGAAAGAAATGTAGAGCTACCATGTGAGAGAATCAGATATTGAAGATAAATTCGCCAATCCAGTAAGAGTTTGATGATTCAAACCTAGAAGTCTGCTTGGATTGGTGTATAAGCTTTAGTGGGGACATTTTTAGACACGAACGCCTAATCCACATGCCCTTGCTAGCTGTCACCACTGGGGGAATCTGGATAATATCGATTGCGTGCGATAGAGGCCCACACGGATGTTTCACGGAGGGGCAGAAGAGAAATACCCACTTTTTATCAGCGGACATAGTTCATACCTTGTTTCTTCTCCGAATTTCTTTATTCTATAATTGTTATAAATGATAGTGAGTTTCATGCACCTTTGATTTTTGAACAGCAAGAAAAAAAATTTCAAGCTCCACAGCCGAAATGACGACTTTCAACCTGTTTCGCCGTGGCCAGCATAATGGTCAAAACACCATATCGACCGAAGATGGTGTCGACTCAAGGGACGCGGTTCCCAAGTATCCTAAGTCCACTAGATCTATCCCTGTCACCACGGAAAACTCTGTCACAAGGACACCGTCCTTAGAGAGTCCTACAAGTTCCTTGGGATCCCCCTCATTACAGAAACAGGATATCGACCTTGACTTGGAAATGGTACCGATGGAGACAGAGACACATGGTCGACTGGGGTCATGGAGAGGATCTATGATCTTGCTGGTCACTTCAGGCTCACAATTTCTGGACAATGTATTCATGACAAGTTCAAACATGGCACTGGCTTCCATCCAAGAAGAATTCGGTGTGTCCAGTACCAACCTACAATGGATGATCTCTGCATATACGTTGGCCTTTGGCGGATTTTTATTACTCGCCGGGTCCTTGTCTGATAGGTGAGAAAGCACGAAATGCTGCCTTCTGATATGCCTGAAACCTTCGCTAACAACAACAGATATGGACGAAAGATGATTTTGTGTTTGGGCCTATTTTGGCTTACTATATGGACACTCGCTATTGGATTTGGCCAGTCTTTTATCCAACTTACGATCTTTCGTGGCATTCAAGGCATTGGGGCATCATTGACCGTCCCGTCCGCCATTGGAATTATAAGTTCCTATTTTACAGGTGTTGACCGAACCCGCGGACTATCAATTTATGCTGCTTCCGGAACAGTTGGATTTTGTGCCGGTCTCATTTTTGGTGGTTTTCTCACCTCGTCATTGGGATGGAGATACCTTTTTTATCTGATCCCCATCATTCCTGGCTGTTTGTGTATTTTGGGATTGATCGTGCTACCCAAGGATCGTGAGGCAACCAAGGACAGACAGAGAATGGACTATTTTGGCGCCGTTTTGTCGACAGTTGGTCTTATTCTCCTGCAATTTGTACTCTCTAGTGGTGGTCGCTATGGCTGGGGTAACCCATTCATCATCTCGATCCTGGTCTTGGCCGTGGGATTCCTTGTTGGGTTTGTTATATACGAGAAGTATATCAGTAACCCACTGATGCCGCTTTCTCTTTGGACTATTCCCAATTTTGCCGGTCTTTGGATTGCTGGATTCAGTGAGTTGCCTGCCCAGTCACGAGTTATGAAGCATTTGCTAATTTGAACAGCCTGCTATGGGAGCTACCAAAATGTCATCTACTATATCGTCTTGATGGCTCAACAGGTAGACGGATTGTCGGCCGGCGACACGGCCATTCGATTTTTGCCAATGGGTGCGATAGGATTCATCGTGTCATTGGGGACCGGAAAGCTTCTTGAGTACATGAATGCAAAGTACTGCCTTATTGCTGGCTTGGTTTTGTCCGTGTTGGCTGCAGTACCAAGTGCCGTGACAGCTACCATCACCGAGAATTTGTATGAGTCCCCCATTATCATTGATTATGTGAAGTCTTACTGATCCTTCTAGCTGGATCAATACTCTCGCCACATCACTCATCAGTATATCGGCCGTGTCTTTCATCTTCGTGACGACGAGCACCACTATTTTGACAAGTGTCCCGGTTGAAGTGAAAAGCCTGTGCGGTGGCATGCTCAACACAGCATTTCAAATAGGATCTGGAGTCGCTCTCGCCATTTCCGCCGCAACCACCTCAGCAGTTGATATACAGAAAGGACACGGGCTCCCCCAGCAATACTCAACCGGACTCTGGTGCTCTACTGGATTCGCGGGTCTCGGCTTCGTCATTGGAGTCTTCGCCGTCCGCCGGAAAGGAGCTTCACCTAAGGACCGACTCGGCGGTCCTGTGGCTGTATAATTTGGCAGTATACAACCACCTGTGAATTTTGATAGACAGTAGATAGATATTGCGTGATCTGGACGTTATACTTTTTATGGGTTGGTTTATAATGACCTAATGATGGATAGACAAGCGACTTCGGGCATCGTTGGATTATATCCATTTTTTTATTTATTTTCACAATACATTTTCCAACATTCTCTTTACGCTTCCTTCCTGATATCGGCAAGTTTCAGTAGTGGATCCAAATTCAATTCAAGGCCCACAAGCTTGTCCAATAGAAGTGAGCTAATCTGGAATTTGAAGGCAGAAAGATAATACAAAGTAAATCATTGATAATCAGCAAAGTCAACAAAGAGAACATGGGATAGTGATAGACATTATTGGACACATATAAATACTCCTTCAATTATAACGAGACAATCTTGGACTCCTAGTTATGTCAAAGTTGTTCGACTTTCGCTGAATTAAATTAGAACCGTTTCTACCCGAGTCAGGTTAGTAATATGATCAAAGAGTTTCATCTGGAAGCCTATTGTACTTTTCGAATAGTGTCAAGCGGCATAAAGGGCAGGTGGGACTGGGGCTTGCTGAAAACCATGTCTGAATCGAAGACTGTTCGAACCAGTGCCCACAGGGGAGGACACAAATTTCTGTGTCAAGATCGAGGATGTTATGAGTTATCACACATATCTGCTCATTTTCGAAATCATAGCTTTGGACTCGATCACGTAGCAGCATGCGAGGCAGCGCGAATGCGGGATTCAACCTTGAAACATGAAAACTCTGAGAATCAATGATTATATCAAAAGGCGTGAGCTGGCTTTCTAAGATGGGTCCAACGAGAGCAGATGGGAGAGGCCTCTTTGGGCTTTGAAGGACGATCAACTCACCACCTTGAGCTAGAATGATTCGAGCATAAGGAAACGCTCCGTTTTCGTATGCTTCGATGATCCGAATGGCATTGTGGAGATCATAAGTCTTTTCTAATTGTTGCATAAGATCCGAGTCCACAAACTGATCTGGATGATAAATGTGACTTAGCATTGTGGAATTTGTCAATGTTTTTAGTCCTTTTTTTTCTCTTAAAAACTTGAGGGAGAGGAATCGACCTTTTGTACTGCCAAAGGAGAGAATAATGTCATTGTCCATTCGCTTTGTCATTTCTTTGTATAATGAAACAACAAGAACATTCCTTTGAAGAAGCCCTTGACGAATCTTGTCTAGTCCATCTTGAATGAAAGTAGTCTCACATTGTCAAAGGCATTCTTCTAGTCTTTCATTAGGGGTCGAAGGCAAAATCCAAATACAATGGTTAGAAAAGAGGAATACAGTTGGATTGGAAGTCTATCGCTGGACATGTCCATCGATGCCTTGGTGACAGCCTGTCTAAGTATCCTATAAGTCCTTCGCTGCGTGATTGTCACCCTTTTAATCAGCACATAGACAGACATTTACAAAGTACTCATCGAACTTCTAGATTCAATATTGCCGTATTCCGTGGGAATTTTCGCCGTAAACGGGCATTCGAGGAACCGGCTGGGTTTGGTGAAGCTAACAAAGCCATAGCATTAACCAAAGCTATTCATCATTGAAACATCAGGGACTTATGGCATGAGAGGACGTATCTGGCCTTATCCTCTGGGACATGGTAGAATATGACACCGATTTGCCGTAGCCAGAAGCTCGCCCGGGTAGATGCGAGACGATTCACATATAGACTATACTGCGGAGGTTTAACACTGAAAACCAGAAATTTACTTACAACCTGTCCTTTTTTCTTTTAGTATTGCTCGATAAATGGTCATATAGAGCAAGGCCAGTAGTGATCCCATCACTACCCCAGTCCTTGGGTGGAACAATGAGAAGGAAATAATGGCTCCCAACATAATTCCAGTCCCAACATGGAGAATAGGCGCCTGAGGAATCCATGTGAACGTAGGCATGATCGACAACACGGCCCGAGATCGGAAAATTCAAATTAGAGCCCATGCGAACTGGAACTCCTAGCACACCAATAAAGAGGGTTGTCAAAGGTGAGCTAAAATAGCGCGAATTACTTTGGTTGCTTGAACAAAGACTGTTCAACCTTGCGATTCTTGGCGGTGAAACCGTCAACCAAGGACTTCTTTCCGACTTTCACTTTCCACCTCCACGCTCACCCGTGGAAATTCCCAACCAAATTGCCCCTGAACCTCAAAGGTCTTGGTTGCTTTCAACCAATTCGTTATGAGTAACTCTGGCCTTGTTGTTCCAGGGAGCGCCCCCGCCATGCAGACCATTCCTACCCCCGACAAGTTGCTGAGGTCGAACGATTCAAAAAATATCTCAAATACCGAGCGCAAATCATGCGGCCTTGTCAATTCTGCAGCTCGCTGGTTGCTCCACAATCAAATTTGTACGTGGTATTCTACACCCGACAATCACCCCTTGCTAGACCTGGCCAGTTAGGGGCGCATCAATTCACGGAAGAATGGCCTCCTTTCTCGAAGACAGATCTATTTTGTTTACTTGGAATATGAAACACCAATGCTAATGATGTTATTTGCTTGATAGATATTTCCCTCAACCTCATCGCGATTCTTTTCTGCATTCACGCGTTTTTACCTCAGACCCAACCCTACACATCGAAGCTTTTCACAATCTCCCACTACAATGAAAGAACTGGGGAATACGGCGTCGGTAGCGATGACTTCCTTTTTCTTGCGTTTTGCGTCGTGTTGTTCACTTTCCTTCGAGCAAGCTGCATGGAGTATGTGCTTCAGCCGATAGCCAGATACTGTGGCGCATCGACAAAGAAGGATGTGATTAGATTTTCTGAGCAGGCATGGCTGTTGTGCTACTACTCTGTCTTTTGGGTGCTTGGTGTGGTCAGTGAAGATTGCCCGTTTAGCTTGAGCTAGTGTGACTAACCAATTACCAGTACATATATGTCACATCGGAGTATTTCCTGAACCCCCGAGAGATGTTTACAAATTGGCCAACACGGGAGCTCCCTGGACTTGTTAAGTGGTACATATTGAGCCAATGGGCTTTCTGGATCCAGCAGCTCCTTGTGATCAACATCGAAGAGCGCCGCAAGGACCACTGGCAGATGTTGACCCATCATCTTCTGACAATTGGTCTGCTGTATACCTCGTATACATTACACTTGACCCGTGTCGCCAATCTGGTATTGATTTTGATGGACGTGGTCGATATTTTCTTTCCCGTGAGCCTCTCCGTTATATCACCAAATCTTTGCAACTCGCTAACTCTCTGACTAGCTTGCCAAATGCTTCAAGTATCTTGGGCTTTCCACATTACGAGACGTCATGTTTGGCATTTTCATGGTATCTTGGTTCTTAGCCCGGCATGTTTGGTACGTGACAAACATGTACCATATCTGGGCTTACATGCCAAATATTGTGAAGATTGGCTGCTACCACACCTCGGACAATAAGGTGGTGACGGGTCCAACTCCGCTCCCTGAAGAGGGCTGGTCGCATATGTTTGAAGCATTTCTCAATCCCTCGGGCACTATTTGCTACAGCGACAGTATACGATGGGGATTCCTGGGCTCTTTGGGTGCTCTCCAGATTATTACTTTAATTTGGTTCTTCATGATCGTCAAGGTGGCCATCCGTGTGGTTCAAGGCAATGGTGCCGATGATATTAGAAGTGACGATGAGGATGAAGACGTCGAAGAGGAAATACAAGAGAAAGGCTGGGGGCAAACAGCCTCCAAAGTGGGTATGGACTCTGACCTCAAGGCATTGAAGCGCAATGCTGAGGTCGAAGGGACTGCGTTTTCGACTGGAGCAGGCTTCTCGGGACGCTGGGAGCGCAAGGGATTGCTCGGTCGAGTTGGATGTGAGAGGCAAGTTGATTGATCGACCGTTTCAACTTTTCCCAATCGTATATTAAACATCCACATACTTTTTTAATGCATCCGGAAGACGATGGATACCAAGGTTCCAGCCTGATCATTGTAGCCTTATGAAAAGCTACAAAGTGCTCGATAAGCAGGCGTATTGAAAAAAAAAAGAGGTTCCCTCATCTCAACCTGTCGTACAAAGCTGCTTTTGCACAATGAGACAAACGATAGCAACGGAATACGCAAACATTATTCACAAACAGGAATACCCCATTTGGTTCCGAACCAAGGCTTCATATCCCAGTTCTTTGGATCCCATGGCAAAAATTCACTGTCCGCCTTCAGCACAATCCCATGCCGAGCATAAATATCTAGCTTCAAATCCCAAAGGTCAAAAACCTCTGGCATTGCAAAAGACAACATGATAGCCCTGTCCCGCAGTATCGGCAGAGGGATCAGATCCAATGCTGCATGATGCGGAACAAGAATCTGGGCCATGGTTGGTTGGAGATAGATTGGGATTGACGGGTTGATCTTGTTTGCAATAAGAGCCTGTGGATTATCCGTTGGAGCGATTGAGCTGAAGAATGGGGACATGCTTCTTCTATCGCAGGTCATTAAATCACTAATATCGAAGCCAAGACAGGTAGCATTGTGGAGGAATGCCATGAGGGTTTGCGTTTGCGTCGTTTGAAGTGTGTTCCGCTTTGGATCTGTCTGAAGGAAGGATACACTCGGATCTTTGGTTGATACCATTTCTTTTCATTCGTGTTAACAGGTTTTTGACCGTTGTAGATAGAAATAAACTTTACCTTGATCAGAGGTCGGTGTCTCAGAGACCCCAGGTATCGTTGCATCAAGAATACTGAGACTAGAGTCTGAGTCTATGCATCGTACCTCGGAATCTACCTCGGAAGCCGACATCTGCTCTGTACATGTCCTTGAGATATCCTCTCTATACTGTTGTGCTGTTGTTGAAGGCGCTAAAGGAAGCGATGTTCCTATTGGAGATTTCAAGTGCTGAGTTGTCAAGCCAGCACATTTCTGTCTTTGTCTTAGTCCTTTGGCGAGAAGTTAGCTTGAGCAGTACTTGAATTGGTGGAACGATTACTCCATGCGCGTTGTGCAGCCTTGTTCTGTTCTCTGCGAGCAGTAGTGATAACCCGTTTTTTCGGCTTGCACCCTGGGGCCATTATTCCTGTCGTGGGCATAATGGACTTTGTGCTGAAATTTAGTTGGCTTATGGCTTATGGCTTGCTTATGTTCGAAATGAGCGGAAACAAAGTGGCGTAGGCCTTTGTTAACTCCGCTCCATCTCCGGACCAATTAAATCTTTGCATGAGTCCCTGACTAATTTTGATCTCCGTAAGCCATGGCTTACGCCTAACCAATCATAGAGCTCAACCACAGAGCTCATACTATACTGCTGGCAGGTATATATTCAACGTGACAGAACCATTTGAATTCTTTTTTATATAACCCAGTTGATTCAACAAATTGAGCATGTCTCCCACGAAGAAAATCATTGCTGTCGTCGGCGCCACCGGTGCCCAAGGCTCATCAGTAGCTCGAACCTTTCTCGCCCTGCCCAACTGGCACGTCCGCTGCTTGACTCGATCGCCCTCCTCCGAAAGAGCTCAAACCCTCGCTAAGCAAGGCGCAGAACTGGCTCAGGCAGATCTGGACGACCCAGAAACACTGAGTCGCGCCTTCGCTGGTATCCATGCCATTTTCCTCAATACCGATTTCTGGGACCCGTACGGCCGCGCCATCGCCTCTGGTACAAATGCCGCAACCAGCGCCAAAATCGGCTATGACACTGAGATAAGGTTCGGCAAGAACGCAATCGATGCTGCCCGTGAAATTCCAACACTGGAGCGATTTGTCTACTCTGCCCTTGGCCCGATGAACGCTGCTTCCGGAGGCAAATACCCACACTCCTACCATTGGGAAACCAAAGCGTACCTAGCAAATTATATCCAAAGCACCGAGCTTGGCAAATTGAGCTCCTTCATCTATATTGGTGGATACCTCACCAACCAATTTCTCTATCCGAAATTCCGAAAGGAGTTTGGAGGGTATACTCTTATTCTCCCGGCAAGCAAGCAGACCCGTCTGCCGATTATAGATACTGCTCGCTCGACGGGCCCGTTTGTGAGGGCTTTGATTGAGGAAGAAGCCCCTGGAACTAAGCTATTGGCCTACGATGAATACCTGAATTTTGAGGAAATTATCAAGATTTGGTCCAAAGTCACGGGTAAACAGGCTATGTTTATGCAGATGGATATGCAGGACATGCATGAGAAGTTTGGTGTCCCAATTGAGGTTCTTGGAGGCCCTGCATTCCTGGATGAGTTTGATTACTGTGCTGGTATCGAGGGTGTGATCGAACCTGCTCAGTTGAAATCTCGAGTGGATATGAAGAGTTTCGAAGAGTTGTTGAAAGGTATGGATGTTGATTTTTTGCTGGGAACAAAAGATTTGTGTTAGAGTGCCCTGTAGAGAAGACAGGAAATAATAACACTACCATTTACATCGGTTTTTCCTTTCTTTATTTGACTATCTCTGATATATGAATACCACGTGATGCTTATTACATGACGTGACTAGCCGCGACAAAGGCAACTGCAATAGTAATATTCCGGAATCACTGCTATAGCTTCAGGGCCAGGGAAATTGGCCTCTCTTGCCAACAATGAAAATTTTAACAAATAATGACTTCAATCGTTACCACTGACAAATGAAGGTTATCAATTGTCCTGTTAATTCACGGGAGACTTCTCGATGTTTATGCTTATCAACATGATGCGGGGAACCTTGGTGCGGGGAAGTTACTCTCATGATTCCCAAGGTTTCCCTATATTAGTTTTCCAAATCTATACTTACTAAATTTCCAAGACCGCTGACACTGAAACATCGAGTACCGTATAATGTCTAGCCACACCTCACAAAGTCCTATCCTCGACCACTTCGTCATCCTCGTATCCCACAAAACCCTCCTGGAAATCTCTGAATACACAAATGGCCAATTCACCCTAGCACCAGGTGGAACCCACGCCGACGGTCTCACGACAAACAAATTGATCCTTCTCTCGGACGGTGTTTACCTAGAACTAATCGCCTTCTTTGACGACGCCGATCCCGAAAAGCGCCGCCAACATCGTTGGGGCAATGAGAGGGAAGGCACAATAATCGACTGGGCATTTACATTGCCTTCAGAGAATGATTTCGGCCCAATTCAACAGCGAGTCCGAGACGCTGCCACAGGCTTCTCCTATACAAACCCTATCCCTGGTGGCCGTACGAAACCAGATGGCACTGTTTTGAAATGGGCAATTTGTACACCTAAGGACGACCACGATAACGGTGTAGGTCCGGGATCGATGCCATTTTGGTGTCTTGATAGAACGCCCCGGGTAAACCGTGTTCCATATAAGACGGAGACCCATCTTACGAGACACCCTAATGGTGTGCAGGGTGTCTCCTCGGTGTTGGTTCAGTTTCCTGATGGTGGAGATGTGAAGATGAAAGGGGCATATGATGCCATTTTTGGAGGTGCTTGGAAGTATGAGGTTCCTTCGCGTTCGAGCGCTAGTCGACACTCAGTTACTCTTTCTGGAGATAAGGCGGCTATTCGGTTGGTATTCAATGGGTCAAAAAGAGGTCAGGTGGAACTTTTGCCTGGGCTTTTGTTCGACATTGAAGAATCTGCACAGTGATTGAAACTTTGGAGAATCTTGTTTGGGCTACGGTATTGTAGATAATAAATCAGAGGATCTACGTATGTTATGTCCAGGACCATATTCGTGTATCAATACCCTCGCGGAAATCCAAACTCAAGCACAGGCACAACAAACAAATAAAGAAAGACAAAAATCCTGACGAATGAGATCGCGGGTTGAAAAATATTGAAAAATATTGATATACTGCAATCTTAACTAGATACAGTGTCTCAATGTCACCGACGCGTCTAGAAGATTTAAAGTCCCCTCGGGAGTATTGCGATTGACAAATTTAATTGAAAGGCGGAGAAATTGACGAGTTTTATTCTAGCAGAGGGAACTTTACACAAAGTTTCTGTCTGCAGGGAGAACACTCTTCCAGACTCGGAATAGCTCTAAGTATAAACATCGAGATAATTGGAGCTCGGATATCGTGAGTAATGCAAGAGTATGAAAAAATATATCGAATCATTAAGTTATCAATAGATATTAACCAAGCTTTATTCCGATTTCAAGTCTTGATTATACCTATAAGCTTGCTAAGATCGAAATAATTTGCGTAGTCTTGCACATAATGTCCGCCACCATTTTTGGGAGCTTTGAGCATCACGCGCTTGCCCTTCATTCTGGGACTTTGACGCAGCGTCGACAGACTTGAAGCGTGGAAGCCTTTCAAGATTATCATTAATAGGACTTCAAAGTGATCATTAGCCGGTTTAGTCCACTTGATCGAATACAGAAATCACATATACTCACTGCGGATGTTGAGTTGGTAAAGGGATTTCCTCAGAAACGAGTTGCAACCGGATTGGTGGACGAGATCGCCGATCAATAGACAAGGACCGTGAGCGTATTTCCACCGGTATACTATTTATGAACGGTATGAAAACACCATCTGCCAGTAGCTCACGGGCATGATGGATAGTGGAGTCCAAATGTGCCGGGTTTGGTGGAGATATCAACACGTCATGATTATCAAGCAGCTCTTTCCGGATATCTTCTGGAATGTTGAGTTCATTTGGGGACCCAGTGGATATATAAGTGCTCATTATAGTCTTCCATTGTTTCCCCAGACGACGTGTCTCAGGTGTCATATGTCCTTGTTGAGCCGAAACCCCTGAGTTATAATACGAGTCACTGTAAGCATTTGCTTCAGATAAGAAGTCTAATGTTTCAATGCAATGGTTCCGAGAGAGGAAGTCGACAAATGATTCGAAGTCGTAGGGTGCACAGGCATGCCCAGAGATGATATTGGTGAGGTTAGGACGTGATGTACGAGAAGTTTGCTCTGTCGATTGTGTAGTTTCTGAATCGATTGGCGAGGCGGTATTCGTGGTGTCTTTGCTCTTTCCACTATATGCCATTGGTGATATGGTTAGTGAGTGGTATGGAATATACAGAATAGTAATTAATTGTAATGTAGGAAATGGGGCAATATATCAATATTACAATATGTACTGAACGAACGTACTCTCTTTTATCGGGGTGTATCTTGAGGCACACTTATCCGATTAATAATCGTTGGCCACGGAAAGTCCAAGGTCTTGTTTGGTGTTCTCCCGTCAATTGGCCGGAATGTTCTCGCCCAATCAACATCCGTCTGTGTACATGGTAGGTCGAACAGTGGTCATGGGGATCCGAATATGAACCATGGTAGAATACCATCTTCGAAGCTGTCATATTGGTATCCAGAATAGTTTGGCAGGTATCTCGTGTGTGTAAAAAAATGCTAGCCAGCTTTGGCCGCTCTTATCCATATTGCCACCATTATCGTCGCCACCCCAGGGTTATACGCACGTTTACCAAACTATTAAGTAAAAGTGAATGAGTAGATAATTGGGTAACCCCTATTAGTAAGTACTAAATCTAGGTACATCTGATCCAGGCGCATCCAGGCCCTATCGCTACATAGCTCGATTCCGCTATGTCACGGCCTAGAAAGAGGCGAACATCGGTCCCTTCCAACAAACCTATGGATACATCCCGCAAGGGGTCTCAAATCCTTTCACATTTATTCATCTTCCACATACTGGTTGCTCATCTTACCATTCCATGACCTCCACTCCGGACTTCGAAGCCACTAATTTCCTGGACAGTGTAGGACACTGTATGCAGTTTATAGCGACCTGCCTCCGATACAACAAGCTGAAAACGAAAAAGATTGAATTATTCTCTCAGAATATAGACCAGATGCGCTACTTGACAGTCTGCTCATTGATACCGCACGATCCGATGGGCGCTGTGTTGACCATGCAACGAATTGACTCTTTGCTCATGTTAATTTTATTGCATGGCTGGTTTCACAGAACTACACCATAACTGCGAGCTGTATCAAATGCAATAGTTGCAAAACAGTATTGAACAGGAGCCGCTTTCACTTGCCGAAATTTGCATAACACGAAGAGATGATTAGGAGAATACGGGAAATGGAAGGACTAATTCGGGCTGATAGAACCGTTCATCAAGTCAGCAGACTTCTCTGAACATCCTATTGGTAGTGACTTACTGAGCAGGGCCTGAAGATCACTGCTGGCCAAATTGGCTTCTAGCATCCCAAAACTTTTTCTTGACACTCCCGGGACTATACCATGCAAAAGTAATGCTACAATTTGCACGTCTCACCACTTACTATTTGAATTGAATAATCTGATCTATACAGAATTCTATAAAGCGCTTCGCCAAGGCTGGGATACTGCTGTGCGTCTCAACTGAATTCGAGACACATCCTTTATTGCCGATCAATATCAACTTAAATTGCAGCGTATATGATATTCCACCATGAATCCGAGGTTTGACTTGTTTACAGATTAATACAAGTGAAATGAGCTGGAACTACTTCTTATAACACCTCAGCTGTATGTCCTTTCTCACTACAAATCAATTACGATTATATCTTTGGGAACGAATGATGAATTTATTTTGTTGCGAATAGCGCAATTGGAACACACAGTATTAAATGACGGTCAATTGAACAGTGGTAAGGAAGCCTGTCATTGAGAGCTTCATGGAATTTGGGTCAGGTTCGGCTGATCTCCTAAGAGCGCCAACGTGGCGTCCAGGCCCGGCAAGCAGACACCCCTCAGACGACAGCGCTACACTGATTCAAAGCAATTTTTGCAATGCATTTTGGAGGGTATCAACCGCGGTCATGTGATGGTAGGAGCCAGTCTGAAGGTGCCTGAGCCGCGGACGATTCACGACGAGTACGTCAGTACGTATCGTTGCCCTCCGGGGGTCGCTACGGATTATGACGCAGTATTGCATTGTAGAGGTAACGGGTGATCGACTGCGTAGGTGGACATGGGGAAACATCGCCTTCGAAGAAAACTAGAGACCAACCACGGGTCGTGAAGATCGGAATACTGGGCGTACCTGGAGGGAAAACAGTCATCTCATCAGCATCTATCATCTTCCAGTGCGTCGCTCGTCATATAATCGATCAGCCCATGTTGTAATAGGAACCATTCTCATCATCTCAAGCCAAACCTCGTATAATATTGCCGTCGGACGCGACCTAGGGCATCCTGTGAGTGTGCGACTCCCAAGCATACAAAGCTGGTCAAGTTTCGAAATTGGGTTCGTGGAGGCGAAAATTCCATGGAGCTGGTCTAAGACCATTATCTTGCTCTGGAAACATGGCTGATATCGTTGGAAACCGCTATAAGGAGGTGATGAAGGAGTTGAACGCCGCTGGGAAATTTGCGGATATGGTAACACGACATGATGGGCTAGGAGGCCCCGGGGTCTTTCTCCGGCTCCTGCCATTCCCTCCCCTGGGCATCCGTCCCCATTTTTCATTCTGTCATGAACATCTGCAATGGACAAAGCAATGCTTGCCATTTCACGAGGGAATTCATTGGGCGCGTCAACCTGCTCAGACTCAAATTGAGTTTGATGAGTTTGAAACATGAATCCCTCGATATCTTTCGCTTGCGCTGTTGCCACTCGAAGCTTGAGAACACAGAGCAAGTCTCAAAGGAGAAAGGCTCTGGAGGTTCTCTTCATGGGAATTTCTTTCTCAGAGGCCGCAACTGACACTACGGCTTCATCTTGCCATGAGCTAACGGATAGGGCACAACTGTGCAACCTTGACAGAGAACTGGTGAAACAAGGCTGCAAGATCGAGAGGTTGAGGGTGAACGCAGATGGACACAAGATGCCAGAAAGACCCTGTGACCGAGTTAGTTTTGTAACCTACCGTTCCTTAATTTGCTGATGCCGATGTTCGTTTTTCTTGCTTAGTGCGAACCCTTCCCTCGATGGCCCATTTGCGAGCCCTCCGATAGCCTGCACGACGCAAAAAAGTTGAATGGCAGTGATTCTGAAATAATGAGGTTGCAAAAAGTATCATATCCACACATCTGCTGTCACGTCGTGCATGTAGAGCATGAAGAATACGTACCCGATCGGGATTGGGTCTCGTTTTCCGAGGCGTCAAACCTGGTTGGCGCAGAAGCTGATGAGAATCAAGGATCAAGCGACCCATCTCTCAGAAGCTCCATCAGACTCCCTACCTGCCTTACCTACCCTACCTGCCTACCATCGAGCATCCTCTTTGGATCAGACAAATCGAACAGATAATGACCCTGTCGCCACTTGATGAAGTAACTTCGATCATTACCGCCAGGAGCCAGTGGCAAACCATGTTGGTCTGGTTTGTGAAGCCGCAATTCTTTTTATTCCATCAAAGTTTCGCCTCCCTCCCAAAGAATTATTTCTTGGTAGTAGATACTGCAGCTTCACTCCTTCAGGACACCACAGCAGTGCCTAAGTTCCGGACCCACGCGATGGAGGTTTCGAACCCTCCCCCCTCCTTGACCTAGGACAACCGCCATGGCAGGCTCGTTGGGGCGAAAAAAATGGCAAAGCAAACCAGAGAGTGATCTTTTTTTCATGACTAGAAAGAACAATGACTTAACCCGATACTGGACACGATATTGATGTGGTGACACCGACCCTAGAGACGACGACATTTTAGGAGTCTGATCAAAATGGGAAGGCTCGACCAGGCTTGTTTCTCCAGTCAGTGAATGCACAGTCACTCAGTATCCAAAATTCCGAGCTCTTTCCCAACGTTGGTGTTTAGTGCCCCCGGGCCATTGTTGATCACCAACGAAACGATCATTCCCTTCACAAGGAGAGCACATACAACTGGAAGGGCTTCATAGAGCTTCATATGTCGGTACCGGGAATCCCTATACCTTCATGTTGATTGGCTCGTCAACGCAATAATGCAGATGTGAAGGGAAATCAGTCGTTGAAAGTCCATGGTTCTTGTTCCAGCAAAGCAATCATGGCCAACAGAGCTTCGGCGAAGAGAGTGTGGATACCGGGTCTCGCGAGAGCTATTCGCCTACACTTGTTGAAAATCACTTCTAGGCTCCACGGGGCAGCTCTCGACTCAAGCAAGTATTCCCAACGGGAACCATGCTTGTTCCAACAAAGCCGGTAGCCAAAGAGCCCCTGCAGTGCCCGTAGTGCTTCCCATCCTGAATCAAGTATGGCCAACGGAAAGCACTGAAGCATTCTGCTTTGCGTGAAATATGTTCTCTACTGGCCCTACATGCTCCTGCGCCATGTCAGAGGCTTCTGCCATCACCAGCCACAGCAGTCGGATAAGACTGATAATAGTGTGCCACCCTGCAGTATTTCGTCGACCCACGACAAGCACAGCCTTGTATGATCAACTCGGAGCTGTCACTCTCGGGGTCTACCGTCGTTGGTCCTGGTTTTCCGAGTTTGCCACATCTGGACCTTAGGCCAGGCGGTTTTTCGAAGATGAAGGCTATCCTCATATCACCACAGCATTCGATGTAAGTGTTATGAGGTGCCTTCATGTGTATGGGTGTGCTAGTAGGGCTCGATTGGTATCGCGTTTCCGGTGGGTATTCGATGGAGTTGGCGTTGTGTGCGACTTCAAGGGCCCAGAGTGGAAACCTAGGCACCTGGACGAGTGAGGTCGTGGATGCCCCAGACGAATTATTCTATCAAGCTGTTTGTATATCATCAGTATCATGTTTGTATTCGCTGGGGGTCGACTGATATGGCGTTCCATGCTCACCAGAGAGGACCGATGTGGCTTTGTGCACCACAAAGGTTGTTCTCAAGCACTCACAAAGACTCGGGCAAAGACTTGAGGCTACAACCAAATGTGAGGACTCATATATCAGCCAGGCAATCGAGCTAATAAATAGTCTTGGTGTATGATGCACTTGGATTGGTCTGCATCTTCTCGTGTGTTTCCTTTGCCGATGAGTCCCCATGCATATTTGCAGGCGTCGAGGCCAAGTACCCAACCCAGGTGCAGCGATGCTCCCTCGAGAAAACTGATGCACATCAGATACACAGAGCAGCTTCTCCGAATTGCAAGGCAAAGACAGCAGATCGATTGAGCTCGTGCTGTATGGGCGTGGACCGGGCCATCGTGTGATCGGGGCCGTCGTGCGTGTCGCAGGTGAGGACTTCGACTGTATTTGGAAAGGGCTGAGAGTGACATCCTGCAATTCCAAACATCCCATCGTTAGTAAAAGTCAGATTTCGATGAAATATGGGTTAACTTACTAAACCTCGAAAGCATATCGCGAAATGGTGTCCGTGAACCTGTGTTATGGTCCTGCTGAAACTTCCAGTAGCCTACTAATATCCCTGATATCACTGATCCCTATCCAGAACTATCTAGGCATCATCTGTCATTGTATCAGTATCAACCTACTCTTGCTTTGATCTCAAGATATGGCCTCAACTTCTCGCCTTGAAAGCGATGACTACCGGCCTGTAGTCTCAGAGAAGGAGCGATGGCCTTCATCTGCAACCAGGGTAGATTGGCGCTTAGTTGGCTGGAATGTCTCTCATGCCCGATGTCCAGAGCCCATGAAGCTCATTTTGCAATGCAGAATAGCGATTTCACTCCTCGAAGATGAACGAGAGACAGAGTGATGGGGTAAGAGCGGGCCAAGATGAAGGAAAGAACATCGCGGGAATAGCTTTGAGCGCAACCACCCGCCAGGGTCAACGATCATGAAGATTACCAAGCCCCCTGTGACACACTTTCGACCCAGATTAATCTGCTTTTATTTTAGGAAAATGGGGGGCTTCATCAGCAATCTTACCAGTGACATTTCTGGTAAGACTAGCGAGATAACCCTGGATCATTGCAGGGAGCATATGTCGGCTCTCACATCCGTGAGCTCGAGCCACACATTTCGAAGTCACCTTTCAGTACAAGGAAATCAAGCCAAATACACACTAATACAAACTACAGAATGGAAGTCGAAGGTCGCCGTGCTTTAAGAGACAGAACTGACTTGATGATGTACAGCGGACAGCGCCACAACAATCCTGCACAATATTAGCTCCTTATCAATTTCACGGAGTAATTCAGGTAGGAAATAATCGACATCAGTGGCTTCGTGACGAAAAATACTAAATTCGAACCCAATATCTGCTGGCGACGACCACATGCAGTATCCGCCTCTGCGGCAGTATATGCGAATAGAGGCATTATATCGATCCAGTCCAAATGACCGAGATCTTCTGACACGCATGATGAAAGTTACCGCCAGGGTGAGCTTCCATACGAAAACTATCCACTATTTGCTTGACCGGGAACCACCTGTCGGGTAGTGGCAAACCAACGCGGAGCTCGCATCCAGCATACCACATTGCACCATTCTCAGTGCAAAGAACCCACAACGCACACCGCCCAAAAGATCTTGTATGGTTGAATCAGTATTGGTATTCTAATACCGAAGGTTGGGCAATACATCGGCAATTTTTGGAATTTGTTGGCTTGCGTTCTTCGTGTAATCTCATCCTTCGGACACTTTGCATGATGAATCCCGAATATCCATCAGATCAACCCGAACACGAATCAGCCTTCTTCAACAGCGACTGGATTACTCCTCCCTTAACGCAGCCTGCTGCATTCGACTTCCCTCTCGACTCGCTTCCGGAGCGTGATGATTTGGTCACCAGCGACCGGCCAAAGACCAAAGTCGCGATCCCTCGAATTACTACCGCGAGTGCCTGGCCTAGCAGTAGTCGAGTTAGTCGGGCCTGTGAGAACTGCCGCGAACAAAAAGCTAAATGCAGCGGACACCGTCCCGCCTGTCATCGTTGCAAGGAGGCCGATGTCCGGTGTTCGTACGGGGATCGGAAGCGGGAAAAGATGGCCAAGTGGGTGGATTCTGAGGAAGGAAGCGGCTCACTCTCTAACAACTCTTCAGGCAGCTCAGGGACCTAACCACACAGGTGGAAACCTACGAAGCTCTCTTGCAAGACCTCTATCCCAGACTAGATACCCCATCGGCCCTCCATGTGGATCAAGCCCTGAAGGAGGTGTGTTCTAATTCATTCTTATCCCCCTTTCGCCTCTTCCATCCATCTCATTTTGTCCAGCTTTCGGTTTCTTCTAAGCCCCACGCCGTCACCCAAGACACAGCCCTCGCCCTCGGGGCCATCGACTACACCGAAGAAGACTTTAATCGCGATGAGAAACTCCAGGCCATGGGATTTGTGGGTGAGCACTCAGAAATGTCTTGGTTGTACAGACTCAAACGAGACCTGGACCAAGACACGAAGACGCCGACTAGCGACAGATTCGATCGGCCTTCCATCTCCTCAGTCAACTACTTTCAAGACGACTCCAAACTTCCAGTACTCGAAGACGTGGACCTTCGAGCATGCCCTCCTCAACACGTCGCTCGTCAGCTCGTCGATAGCTATTTTCATACGGTACATCCCACCTTTCCGATCGTTGGCATGACCACATTTCTCGGACAGTACAACTCCTTCTATACGAACCCCAACGTGCAACCTGGAAAACGATGGCTGGCTATATTGAATTTGATATTTGCTATCACAGCGAGGCATTCTTTGTTGATGGGCCAGCCGCCCCACCTAGGGGTGGAGAGCTATTTGGTATACTTTACGCGGGCGTGGCGACTCGGGATTGACAATGTGGCGTTACTTTCACATCCGAACTTACAGCAAGTCCAGGTCGAGGGTTTGGCAGCTTTCTACCTTCTGTCTGTCGGACAAGTCAACAGGTATGGTTCTTTTATGCTCGTTTCATTCTGCGAAATTTCCTCTCTGACGCGACTCTCTGCCTACCTAGGTCATGGATTATTCTTGGTGTCGCGATTCGATCAGCGGTGACGATGGGGCTCAACCTCCGTAGCGAGAGCAACGTTATTGGACATCTTTCGAAGGAAATAAGATATCGGGTGTGGTGGGCGCTTTTTATGTTGGATACCGTGCTATGCGTTATGACTGGCCGACCGCCCAGCACCAGCGAGACCTTTTGCTCTACACCTCTACCATTGCCGTATACCGAGGAGGAATTCAGCGATGAGCGCATCATGCGACTGATCACTGATCAACAAGCCCGACATGCTTTCATGACTTCTCTCCTCTCCTCGGAGCCTGCATTCGCGTTGAAGGAGAACCTTACCAGTCGCATTCGTTTCGGCCAGTCGGAGAGCGAAGGAAAGGAGGCCGAGCAGGTTGCTCAGGTTCTTGCGCCCAATATTTCGCTATACTTTCTATACGCCGTGGACTTGGCGTTTCTCACCCGCGAGGCAGTAGACACTCTATACGCGCCTCGTGCGACGCGGCAATCATGGCGAGAAATCGAAATTCAGATATTCACCCTGAACAGCAATGCGGACCGATGGCTCTCTCGTCTTCCAACAGAATTCCATTTCGTTGAACTCGATGCAACGCATCCATTCGCTCGAGAGCGTGCCAGCTTAGCCTTTCGGTTTTACACCACCAAACTGATTATTTCCCAGCACTGCCTGCGCCGCCTCGCTAATCTATCCAGCGGGGCTTCGCCCGGAGCTGTTTGTGATACCATGGCCGCTATGTGCGTCCAAGTCGCAGGGCAGATTCTCGATCTTCTACCCGACGAGGTGGATACGGCCTGGCTATACAAGGTTTCGCCATGGTGGTGTATTCTTCACCATATCATGCAATCCAGCACCATTCTCTTAATCGCGCTATCCACACAAACCCACCCCGCCATAGCCGAATTGAGTAATATTGCAGAGAAGGTGAAAAAGGCCACGCGGTGGTTGAATGAGATGTCTGCCAACGATCCCTGCTCACAGCGAGCTTTGCTTATATATAGGGATCTACTCACTCGCCACGCATCAAAATTTGGATTGGAAATTGACATTGGGCCCTAGGTACGACTTCGTTCTACGCTTTGATCTATCTAGCCCGAGCTTCTGCTCGAATACATCCCGTTCGAGAAAGCACCAGTGCCAATAGGGTTTGAAGACGGCTTTAAAGTGGCCGTTATCAGCGTCGGCCATTCGCTGAAAGGCTTAACCACAGCGAAAGGCGTTTAGGTCGGCTCGCAATCCGGCGTTCTTGAAACCTGATGGCCGATTCTGTTTCCTGGGTGGGGCGTCTCCCTGCCTTCTTGTGGGTCGATATATACGTCCGGTATTGGTTGGCCACAATCGTTTTCCGTGAGCTTTACACTAGCTTCGTACGAGTCTCGGCCCAGCGCTCTCATAAACCACCGTACCAATTCTTCCAATTCCGAATGACCTCTTAAGAAAAGGACTCAGTTCTTTGACGCCGACGACGTCAGTTGAAGAGCTTTAGGCAGCCCGGCAAGGCTTGAATGATGGGGACGAATTGCTAAATGCCGCCCCTCGTTTACTCGGCTTGCTTTGTGCACAATTACCCAATTGGTCGCACGGACTGACCCACTTTCTTCAGGACGTTCAAATGAGAAGACTAGATATGCAAGCACTAAGTTCAAACCAGCCACCCGCATGCAGTGTGATTAATGATCCCAAAGGTCCCCCCGCAGGTCAGATATCTACAGTATCATCAATCTTTCGACTTCACTAACCAAATTGATGACTTGTTCTCCTATTCAGTCTCCTATCGAGGGCACGATAAAGTTAAATCCAGTCGCATTATCTTGAGCCTTCCTGCCAATATCTTGAGCAGCATCAGGATGTCTCTTTACGGTCGGAATATCAATAGTGTTTTCGCGTCAAGTGGACAGAGGAGAGATGCTTATATTCTTTGTTTTCCTGCCATTACATTTGGCTTTCTGAAATCTAACCGAAATAACTCCAGAAGAAGTTTTTTTTTGCAGTGAAAATACGTGGATATCAATCTTTGTTATGCTATGGTAACTACTCTAGAATATTAATAGCTTACTAGCATGCCTACAATATCACTATAAAGTTTCTGATGTCATCCTACCCAGGTGTCTGGATATGACGTACGTTCGGAGAGCAACTGACGATCACGTGCCGTAATCCGGGTACTCCTGTGTTAGTCAGCGGAATATGACGATCATGAAAGAAGGTCCGATGAGTATATGCTATGTGTATGATCCGATAGGGTATTTGGACGGGCTCTTTGCTTGAGATGAGATACGAAAAATATATCGACATATATATAGACTGTGCAATTGGTAACAAGACTATTCGCCAATCTCGCCTCGTTCACATCCATTGCCACACAGCCTTGCCACGTCCAGCGTTCGCAGCTATGCCCCCGTGGTGGGAACTTCCTGCATTGGTGGAAAATAATATCCTCTTCTCTTATGCTGATTTCTTGGTCATACATGCCGTTTTGACTTCTATTGTATCTATTCTTACTCCGTGACCAATAATATGTAATGCAAAGTACATATCCTTCCCCGCACAGCTTCCCCCGCCATACAAGAATCATAAATGCCGGGACATCTTCCCTGCATGGACTTCGACATCGCGACGGAATGAACAATAGGAGTTAGCCGCGGCCCCTTACTAAAGGAATAAAATGAGGCCCGTGCGCAGAATGCCATGATTAGATAGACGCTCTTGCCACACACCATATCCACAAGATCTATCTCTTTGCCACCTGGCCTTTGAGCTAAACATCTAATAAATGCTTTATTTTACCTCCAGTGCTGGCCCTACCTACGATTTGATCGATATATAATATATGCTCGAGAATCACGTCACAAGGAGGAATCCAACAAGGCGAGCTAGGCCATGCATGTTAGGTAATAATAACCAACTCTATTCAGTCACGATATCTCAGCGCGATGGAGATGAGCTTCGTACCTGAGAGCTTGTTGTGAGTACACGAATCTTCCCGAGATGTAGTCGCGAAGCTCTAGTACCAGGGAGCTGGGTAAGCAAAGACCCCACGGTTATAAACCAAATCCAACTTCCATGATTTCAACGTCTGCGAGCGAGTATCAGGAATGACAGCATTTTAAGATCATGTATGGAAGAGATCAATACTCCACAGCAAAAAGGTATCAAGCTCTAGGTCCAGGATTATATCCAAGACTGGCGGCGTGTGATCACTAAGTAATTCCGAGGAAATTATTTAGACCCAACTTCCTTATCGGAGACCTTTTGAATGCGCAAAGAAATTTCTCCAAGCATAAGGGATGAGACTGTGCCTCCAAATCATGAAAAAAATCTTGGATCTTGGTAATTTACCAGTCCTGTCGCATATAAATTGAAATCTCTTGAATATAGAGCTTCTCACAGGTTACCTAAGTGGGATCGCCATAACTAAGCACTCGGATCTCACACACTGTGGCATCGGCAGGTGTGAGAATTCCAGTAAAAAGATCTGCAGAATCCATGCCCAGGTGGATACCAGCAATGATAAGGACTGACTTGGCGACAAAAGTGAATATATGTGTACTGATACGGCCGTCTAAGTAAGCAATAGCCAGAAAGCTTCGATGGGACGATACTCGGAAGGGACGCGCCACGCAACGCGTCCACATCCCGCACTATTAGGGTAAAACGCCATTACCCAAGCTTGGTTAACAGAACCCGTGCATCTCCTGATGTGGGGGACTCAACTAATAAATGGGATCGGGCTAAAACAGCGTAATATCAAGACACCGAGCATATAAATTAGGCTACACTCCTCATCTAGCTCATTTGGTAACGAAGACCAGAATTCGAAGATAATTTAATGAGTGAGAGGACCCACCCGCAGCCAGATAAGCTAATTCAGTAGCTTTATCACGCTATCACACAATTTAGGCATTATGGCCGATGCCGCTCCGAAGTTACGCCTTCTAGACACCCTAATATGCTTGGCATAAGAACTTGCACTACACTAAACCAGTGATTAGCTCCATAGAAACTGATACTCCGCACATATCTTTTCCAAGGCATTTTATCGCGATTCGATATCCAATCGGACGTTCACTGGTTTGCATTACAGTGCTTATCACGCACAGACCAGGACAATTCAGTCCTTAAATAAATAGTAAATACCCCATTTATGATTATCGGCCATTTACCCCACTTAAGAGTTGGGGTAATGGAGATATACCAAGATATTCGTTTATCTAGAGCCAAATGGCGTTTGACAACAGTCCATGCGACAAATTTCTCACTGAATGAACATGAGCATAGTACGAATAGATAGCGAAATGAATCAAAGAGATCTAGCCATATAAACCAGGTGTCATCTGTGTCACAAAATATAATCTGGATCTAGTATCTATGAAGTCTGCCCGGGTGGTACAATAGACCGGCAACCGGCTATGAATTTCCTATCGGGTTATTCTGGCTTGCATTAGCAAGCCTTAGTACATCGGCCAGAAACACTAATTGGTATTAGGCTCAGTGATTCTAGAGTAATTTGAACCCCGCAATCCAATAAATTTTCAGCATGACCTCCATCCATGCAGGTGGGTCTATCGTGATAATACGCGGGTATTGCAATCATCAAGCGTGGCCTAGGCAATATAAAAAGTCGCCTTCCTCCAACTTTCGTTATCTAGGAAATTTCCAGCCCCCCTGCTTGCAAAGAACCTCTCTTAAACCATCATGTCGGCTGATACGTCGGATGTGGTAACATCGAAAGAGCCTGCCAAGCAAGTAAACATCTCGGAGACGAAAGATGCAGATTTGGAATCAGAAGTGACTAGCCAAGAGCCCGGGACTTGGCGGTATAAATCGGACAGAGCGGAGCTTACTGAACTGACACCCGTTGAAGCTTTCACTTGGAATGTAGAGGGCGATCAGTCTCCTTGTAGGTTGATTTATGCATGTCTACTGATGGATACTAATGATTACCAGTCCCCGAAGTCGCGGCTTGTGTATCGAACAAAGATGACCCAAGTATTTCCTGCAATAGTAAGTTACCTACTCGATATCTTTCATATTCCAGAAAGTATTGAAACATTACTGATGTCTTTAAGCCTTTCGGGCCTGGATATTAATGACGATCTTTGTCATCATCTTTTCTGGAGTTAACCAGTTCTTCGGATTGCGATATGTATGTTGAGTTCCACCCGTAATGTGTGTGCACTCGCTAATTAATCTCAGCCCTCGCTTTCAATTGGATATGTTGTTGCTCAAATTTTGGTGTTCCCTATTGGTAGAGCATGGGAAAAGCTTCCTAGGTGGAGAGTTCCGTTGGGGAAGCTGTCCTTTGACATCAACCCAGGAAAGTTCACCATCAAGGAGCACGCATTCATTGTTATTGTGAGTCACTTTCCACCTGTCATCTATTTTGATATATCGGGCAGCTTATTCTGACAAATGAATCTAGTGTGTCAATATTAGCGCTTCCACAGCCTATGCTCAAGGCTCTCTGGTCGCCATCATCAGTCCGGTATATTGGAACCGCGACTTTGGAGCTGGATTTTCCTTTCTTTACCTTTTGACAACACAGATGATCGGGTAAGAGTATCGTGGACATTCTCATCTACAGTCATTGACGTCTTCCAGCTTCGGATTGACTGGCCTTGCTCGCAGGTGGATTGTTTATCCTGCTGCCCTAGTCTGGCCTACCTCCCTGTCATCGACCGTTCTATTCCGTGCGCTACACGAGCCTGAAAGTCGCACAGCGGCCAACGGCTGGACTATCTCCCGTTATTCATTCTTTGCCTACGTCACAGCCTTCGGATTTGTCGTGTTCTGGTTCCCGGATTATATCTGGACAAGTCTAAGCACGTTTGCATTCATCACATGGATTTTCCCGAACAACCAAAAAGTGAACACGCTATTTGGGGTGAGTGCTTCCTGCCATCGACGACGAAATAAATTACTGACTTAACTATCCAGATGAACTCCGGCTTGGGCCTGCTGCCCATCAGCCTTGACTGGACGCAGATCAATTATGCGGGTTACCCGCTCATGACGCCTTTTTACATCACCTGCAATGCATTTGCAGTTGTCGTGTTGTTCTATTTCTTCCTGTCCCCGATTTTGTACTATGCAAACATATGGTACAGTGCCTAGTAAGTCTCCCAACCTGATACCATATACCCTCATACTGATGAGCCAGTCTTCCGCTCCTCTCATCAAGCACATTCGACAATACAGCAAGCTCATATAATGTGTCACGCGTGGTCGACGCCAATTTGAATTTCGTTGAGAGTAACTACAAGGAGTACTCTCCGATGTATATTTCCATGGCATACTCCCTCACGTACGGGCTATCATTCGCTGCAGTCACTGCGATAGTGCTACATACATACCTCTACAACGGCTCTGAAATCTGGGCTCGCTTCAAGGATTCGAGACACGGTGGTGAAGACATCCATCGACGACTGATGAGAGCCTATAAGGAAGTTCCAGACTGGTGGTATGGTGTTCTTACCGTGATAGTATTGGGCCTGGGTATTTTGACAATCAAAAATTGGGACACCGAGCTGCCGGTCTGGGGATTCATAGTGGTATGCTTTGGCATGGCAGTTCTTCTGATCCTGCCTGAAGGCATCCTTCAGGGAACCACGAATCAGCGTGTCTTCCTTAACATCATAACGGAGTTGATCGCTGGTTACGCATGGCCCGGAAAAGCGATCGCTAATATGATGGTGAAGTGTTACGGCTACAACTCAGTCAAGCATGGCATGGACTTTGCACAGGACTTGAAACTTGGACAATATATGGTATGACCTCAAAGTCTAATCCATTTTCGACCTATACTTACATACCCAGAAAATCCCTCCTCGTGTTCTGTTCTTTGGTCAGATCTACGCTAGTATTCTAGCGACCGCAACCCAGACTGGAGGTACTAGTCCCAACTCAAAAATTGAAGTCAATGCTAACCACATGAATAGTGCTGCGATGGATGCTTGGACATATCACAGACTTGTGTGAATCAAGCAACACCCAGCGCTTCACTTGTAACGGAGCCAAAGTAATGTATAATGCCTCCTTGATTTGGGGGACCATTGGCCCGCAGCGAATGTTCCAGTCTGGCCAGGTGTACAACGGCCTTGTCTATTTCTTCCTGATCGGAGTAAGTTAGCAAATTACTTTTATCCAGAACCATTCACTGACTATTCAGCCCGTTGTCACTGGAATTGTCTATCTTATTTATCGTCGCTATCCCAACAGCTGGGTCCGCTACATCAATGTTCCCATTTTTTTCAACGCAGCTGGCAATATCCCTCCTGCAAATACTAGTAAGTCTGCATATTGCTTTGTAGATTTGTCCGAGTCTAACGCAAGGTCCTAGCTCAATATTCGCTCTGGTTCATAGTCGGCTTTATTTTCAACTACCTTATCCGAAAGCGTGCATTTGACTGGTGGAAGCGTTACAACTGCAAGTCGACAACATATTCTTCACATATTGTCTGCATATTTGCTGACTGGCCACCTTCTAGATTTACTGCAAGCCGCCATGGACACCGGTACAGCAATCGCGACTATCATTATCTTTTTCGCGCTGAGTTACCATTCCATTACGTTTAGTTGGTGGGGAAATAACGTGGGATCGAACACGGATGATGCAAACTCCGTCCCCTGGCTGACTGTTCCAGAGGGTGGCTACTTTGGAAAGGGACCAGGCCAATTCTGATCGAGCATTTTCATGATTCAACTCGATGTAGGTAGACGTTAATCCAACTAAACGGATTGAAGTCAGACCTTAATATACACAAACTAGCTACCGTAAACTCTTGCCGTGGCGGGTGTAGCGCCAGGGAAGAATGAATTGGGAACAGTGGGAATTGCAATGGACGTAGTGAGACCCAATCCCGCGGTGAGCTGGCCAGGCATAGTTGTCGCCGAGTAGCCAGACGGAGCAGATGTTACGGTCGAGGTAACAGTGCCGTATTCCGTGTGTGCGGACCCTGCCTTCAAGCAGTATCCTGATCCCCACGCATCCGCACACTTGTAGTACTCCTTGCTTCCTGATTCGGTCCAGATGTCAAAGTCTTCGATGATGATGTTGGTACAGGGCTGGGTTGATGGGCAAAGGACGTAGAGTGGGGCTCGTGTAGCACCATTTGCGCATGTTCCTTTCCAGTTGCTGACAGTGATTGAGTTGTAAAGGACGCCGTCACCTGCTGCCAAGGTTTCGTCTGTCCAGTATGCATCGATGTAGAATGTATAAGCATTCTCATGTCCGATAAAGTTTGAAAGGGTTACGTCCGTCACTATTATGCACAATTAGTCAGGAGGCTCAAATGAAATTGTCGGCACGTGTTCCTAGGAGGTTCAGTTACCTGAGCCGCTTCCTCCGTTACTCCTATTGGAATGTTAGAGTGGTTTTCTCATGTTAAAAGTATCGTGGTGTCAACTTACTTGAACATGAACATCTGGTTAGAGTTGACGGTGTAGATGTTATTGTATTCGACCTTGGTGATGTCTGTGAGGCAAACTGTCAGCAGTCTGACTGCGCGTTGATGATGTATGCCAGTGTGTTAACATACCGGTGTCGGCTCCCAATGAGCCCATGGCGCAACCACCGGACCAATTGCAGTAGATATTCTCGACAAGGATGTGATTCGCCGGACTCTTGACAGTAACACATTCGTCCTTGTTTGTTACCTCAACATCGTGAATCCAGATGTCAAATCCCCACACATCTATACCATCAAGACCTCCCTCGTTTCCACCGCGAATGATCATGTTGTACACCTCACCCTGGTTGCAGGTGTCGAGGGTCAGATGGAATTGCGGAGAATCAACAAGGGCAATGTCATGGATGGCGAAATTCGTCACTTCACGCTGTTAGTATTCGACTAAAGAGATAAGAGGAAAGGGTTTCATTGCTCACCATCGTAAAGACGCAGTAGACGTGGCCCGTATGTCCCCTCGGCATGGAAGACATAGCCATAGCCTTGAATGGCACCCGCACCACGCGAGGAGTAGATTTCAAAGTCCGTACTATGCTCGATGAAGATCATATTGCCCGAAGCAGTGCCCGTGCGAACGATAATTCCTTCCAAGTTGATGGCCCAAGCATTACCGCCATTCAACGTGACCCAAGTGGCCATGGCGAAAGTTCCCAAGGGGATATTCACTACACCACCATCGATACAGGCCTCAAAGGCAGCCAGAATAGCAGGACCAGAATCAGTGGTTCCGTCTGCCACGGCTCCATAGTCCGTAATATCGCAGACCTTGACAGCCCATTTAGCAGAAGAGGAAGTCAGAGGACCGATTGGGTAGTCAGTGGTATCAGCAAGCTGCGCCCATGCAGTAGACAGCCAGCCAAGACCGAGAAGCAATCCCTTGATTTGCATTATGGCGGTAGTTGTCAGCAGCAAAACCGTGCTCCTCGAGAAAAGGTCTAGCTTGTCTATTTAATAGCAAGGGAACTGTCCCCTTTCAGCCAATTAGTCCGCTAGTGTCTCGGGAGAAATCCGGACTACAATGCATTGAAAATAAGTAAGCGCTATCCATTTGTGTGTGCCTGGCCACTAATTTCCCTAGAATCAAAATTATCACCGGTCGTCTTGGCAGAAATATGCTGAAGAATTCAAAGCTACCCACCTTTTATTTATGGGAAAATGCCCGGAGATGTTTCACGTGGCGCTAATGTTCTCACATCTTTGCCTTAACTGGCACGGAAGGCCGGACCTTCTCCTGATAAACCGCCAAGATCTAGAAGCTATGGCACATCTAAATGCACCAATCACAGTTACACGTGATCAGATACAAGATTCATCTTTGATTAGAATTGCTTGAATGGTCATTCAGAGTCTACTGATGTGCGGCCATTTGAGACGAAAAGCTACTAGTCCGGTGGGTCACTGGCGAACAGGGAGCTGTTGAAACAGTGGCGCACGCCGCGGTGATTGGCTGAGGTACTAGCAGGCGGCCCCGTGGCTTTTTGAAAGCTGTCGGCAAGTTCCTTTTTGATGCATATGCCGGCCCGATTTTGGAAACTGGATAAGGGGCCGTCGACAAATGTGTACAGTAAGGGGTGATGTTGAATCGAACTTTTCCTTGTCAAATGCCAAGGCCGGAAGCTTATACGTGATAAGCTTGCGATCCGGGGTTAATCCACTGACACTTTTACCATTTAAGTTCGGTGAATGATTCCAAAGGTTTCGGCTATTCAGAAAAAGAAAGAAAATCCAAACTTCAACTCGGTCGGCATTCTCACATGGCGACCCACCACGTTCACGACAAGACTCTGGCTTATCTGCGGCTAGTGCATAGTAGACGCCTAGGTGGAATGTGGCTGATGAGGGCGTTGTTAGCTTGAACGTCGCTAAAATAAACTGAACTAGATGTCGGGAACCTATTAGATAGGATAAGGACTCCGTGAGAAATAATTCAACTGCACCTCGTCCCTGATACTTGTCTTACTTTGCTACGCAGGTGTGGTTGCGGGTATGGGATATATGAGAACTGATCCTGAACGTTTCAGGTTCGTCTGGCCAATCACGCTAGACCTTTGGTCCACGAACACTACAACCTGCCATGTAGTCCTCTCTCCAGTATCGTAAATAAATTCAATTTGAAGTAATTTCCTATGTACGGCAACATGTATTAACCGAAACGTTGCTCCCCGAAAAATATCTCCACGTTTCTTGAATCACAACTCAGGCATGGGCATTAAAGAGACTGGACGTCCGGCTGGAAATAAAGCACTGAACAGAGAGATTAGTACCCCTCACTTTGCTATTTGCCCCCCCTTTCCCTTTTTTCTTCCCGAGTTCCTTGTTTGCGTCCAAATTCACCCTTTTCATCATTGACAGACTTGGGGTATCACATCAACTTTTTTAAAAAACATCTAAGCTCGGACACGGCGACGCAATCCAACCTGCAAACCAAGTGGCTTGCGCAGGAAACCCTCACTGGTCTCCATCTCTCCCTCCTGTTCAAGCTGGAACTCGAACAAGCTGAAGACAGTAGCAACAATGCAGAGCAGTTCCATTTCAGCGACGTTACGGCCGACACAGGCACGCGGGCCGTGGCTGAAAGGGATGAACGCGGCTTTCTGACGAGCGGTAAGATGCTCCCAGCGCTCTGGAACAAATTCCTCGGCATCCTGGCCCCAAATTTCGGTTGAACGGTGGACCGTGTAGCTAGGCACTGATAGGACGTCGCCAGGGTAGAATGTTTGACCAGCGATAACGATGGGTTTGGTGCCTTCGGGAATCTCACGCGCAAGACCCATAGCAGATGTGCTGTGGATTCGCATGGTTTCCGAGATAACCCATTGGAGGCTGCTAATGATTAGATATTGACTTAAAGGTGGGAATATGAAACGAGCGCTTACTAGGGGATATCCCTGACCATAGCGTGAGAGGGAACATCAACATCCTTAGGAATTGCCTCGTCTAGAACTTTCTGAAGCTTCTCGATAACACCAGGGGTCTGGATGCACCAGTATAGGATAGCACAAGAAGTGTTAGAGGTTGTGTCGGAGCCGGCGATGAGCTGCGTCAACGCCTCCGCGGTAAGCTCCTCAAGGCCCAACTTCTCACCAGTCTCGTCCTTGCCCTCCATGAGATGAGCCAGGAGATCAACACGGGTGTTCTTCTCAACAACCTCGGGCTTCACACGCTCGTTGACCCGGGCAATAGCAATACCAGCAAGGTTCTCCACAGCCGCAAGTCCCTCGGTGAAGAAACGGTCGGGAATCCACTTAGCCCAGGGCTTCAGAGCTGGCAAACAGCCCAGCGTGGCGGAGACCTCACCACGACGGTTCAGCACTTCAACAGCAGCAACATACTTGGGAGGTTCATCAGGGCCCTTGCGCATCTCAGCAATATCCTTGCCGTTCTTAAGCATACCAAAGGGAGCGCCAAAGGCCAAGTCACCAATGATGTCAAAAGCGAGGTAATTGAACCAGTTCAACGCATCTATGCTGGCGTAGCCAGTCTTTGGGTTGGTCTGTAAAGTGGCAATCTTGTTCCACTGCTCGACAAAGAGCTCAAGGTTGGCGTGGATGTACTGCTCAAACTGACCAATAGACTTGGCACTGAAAGTGTGAGAGACAATCTTCCGCTTACGGGTATGTTCAGCACGGTTACGAGTATTGAACAACCCCCGACGAATGGAGACAAATGCATCATAAAAGTCACTAGAGCAATGATGTCAACATTTGACAATCCCGAATTGTGCGATAAACTTACGCCTTCAAGAACCCGTTTCCGTGTCCATAGATGGTCTGAATGGCAGCATCGTCGGCGACAGAGACATGCTTAGGTGCAATACGCACAACCTTGCCATACTTCTTGTGCGCTTCATCAACGGACAAATAACGCTTTCCCTGTCGTGCCTGAAGCAGCAGCCAGAGGTTGGTGAAACCCGCGAATCCCGGGCTAGGAATACCCCTCAGATGCCAGTTTTGCAAGTACGGCAACAGGAAGTATGCAGCCAGTAGACCGAGAGCGATGAACGGAGCATTTGCTAGTGAGAAAAGCATTGTGGGCGTGAAGGTTCGAAAATCACCCAGCAAACTTTAAACCCAGGATCAGTCAGGGTCACTGCGAGTGTAACGACTTGACAATGGGAAAGAAGTGGATTGAGATTGGGAACGTTATGTGCCCACTCGCTTGGGAACCACGGGACTCGGTCGAGCGCGATATTATTCAACAGTGAACATGTTGCATAACCTACACGTGATGGTTTTGGGGCGAGAATGTGGGAACAGCTTTGTCTACAAGTTGATTGGCTGGACTTATGCGGGGCATCCCTGTCTCCCAAGCCTTTGACTAGTCAGATAGACAACATAACTACCCACATTTGAGGCTATATGAATGTTTGGAAAGTAACTTACGAAATTCAACATTATCGAGTGACTATTGGCTTATTGACTGTTATTTCAAATGTAATGGGTCCGGGGAACCATTCATAATATCCGCGTAGTGGGGAGTCAACGTTGTCTCTGGCCCGAGTGTCCCGCTCCCGCACCCACTCCCGATGCTCCGTACGTTGTCAACCGATTTTCTTGTCAAGGATTCCTATACACAAAAAAAGCTACATAACTATCCAGTATGCTTGACTCACCAGACCTGGCATGTAGGATAGACCTCCTATATGTAGCTCTGGGATTACCTTCAAACCAAAACCACTCAATAACCGAGCTTGGGTTTTCGCGGTCAGACTCTATTCCGTCTATGAACTGACGCACAGAAGTTGTGTGGATCGCCGTCGTTACTAATTGTTTTGTAACGTAACAGTGCTCCCGTTATGCCGCTCTCTTGTACAGAATAATAGATTGCAACGAGCGAAAGATGATCCACCCTGCACGATCGCTAGGATAATCCTTCAACCCCACTTGGCATATAAAAGTGGATAAAGCGGGAGGAAAAAGAAAAGGATCTGGCCAGCTTCTTATTACGATCTACTTGGCACATACTGAATTCCCACTATACTCATAGAGCAGGCAGAAAAAGAGGGGGCCGACCCGACACTATTGAAATGATGATAGGCTATTTGCAATTGACAGCAACTTTGTATAAGTCAAAGCTCATAGCGATATGCAAACGTGCTCCATTTTCACGGGCTAGTGGAACTACTCCGTACTCCTGCAGCAAACGCAGGAGCCCCCAAATCCTTCGTCCGGGATTTGGCAGGCTCCCCTATTCCTGAGCTTCTTGTCCAAGGAAGATGAAAATTTGAAGACGCGATCGCCGGTCTCGACCGATTCTTCAGCGCTCAAAACATGATCAACGCCCGCCATTGTCCCTGACAGATTTCCGTCTAATGCACGACGTCTGATGGTGCTAGATCATATCAACCATGGATCCACGATCAGAAACGTACTCGGAGGAGTACTTGCAAGCCAACATCGGCTACCGGTTGATGGGAGTTGCAACTGCGATGCTTCCAATTGTTGTTGTTTTTCTAGCGTTGCGTTTCTACTCTCGCTACCTTACCAGAACACCATGGGGTCTTGATGATTCCCTGGCTGCTATGTCTGGGTTTATATCGGTCGGATTGTCTGCTCTTGCGATTTGTGAGTAATCTCAATTGAAAGAACTGCAACCGCTCACGCAGGACCTTTCATTAACAAGCTGATCAGGCTTTGTGAAATACGGCGGTGTTGGTCGCCACCTCGCTGCGTTAGAGATGGAAACGCCCAGTATGGAACCACAATACTTCAAATACCTGTTAATTGTGTCGACGTATTACTATTCTACGGTCGCAATTCCCAAGCTTGCAGTTCTAGCTCTCTACGGTCGTCTTTGGACAGTCAACCCATACCGCACTATCATCCTGGTATTGGCTGCGGTCATTACCCTCACGGCTATCGTCTCCGGCGTGATGTGCTTGAACATGTGTCGGCCATTTCGACTCAATTGGGACACTTCGGCTCCTGGTCACTGTCTCAACAAGCAGGCCTTTTTCCTGTGGGCATCACTACCAAACATTCTCACAGACGTTGTCATGCTTGCAATGCCCGTGCCTATTGTCTATCACCTTAACGTCTCCATGAAGGTAAAATTGGGGCTCATCCTTACATTTGCAACGGGCATTCTGTAAGTAAACCGATTGAGCTGTTACTAGTTTCTCCAGATCACTAACACATCATTTAGGGGTCTGGTAACATCCATTATGCGCTTCGTGATATTCTCTCAGGGAAGTGCCGTCAAAGACGGATCTTGGGGGTCAACGGACCTGATGGCCTGGAGTGTCGCGGAGCCCGATATCTACCTCATCAGTGCCTGTCTCCCAACCCTACGGCCGATATTAAACCGACTATTTGGTCGAGCCGTATCTACAACAAACTCGTCATCGCGATACGCCGAGAGATACGGAAATACTGGTGGCTCCGCAGTCAACTCTAAAATGAATGGTACCGTTGCGGATTCTGCCATATATGGTGATGAGGTTCAACTGGTATCCGTTATTGGAAAGGAGAGAAAAGACAGTGCTGAGGATGGCTTGGGTCAACACGGCATCTATGTTCAAAGAGAAGTCAATGTGCAAATCAGTAGGCAATAGAAAATTCGGAGAGATTTGTCGTTCAAATGTTTTCATGCGAATTATTAGACTATTTTAATTATATAATTGATGACCCTTACGCTATTGGACCTCCTGAATGCCATTATTTTTGTTTGTCAGTAACTTCGATAGCTTAACTGCGATACCCACGAAGTTCCGTGCTGATAAACTAGTCCTTTTGCTAGGAGTGATAATCTGTCACGGCCTAAGGCGGAGGAAGTCCACGAATACATAGTGAGCAAAGCTATCAAATCTGACCTGATTGTCTCCGTATTAAGTCAGCTATTGAACCGAGGGAAGTGATGAGGGAGGAGGACCGGATGCTGCTTCAAAGGGAGCCCATGGTGCCACCAGGAACTATCGGCTCGTGCCTATGATTGACCATGATTTACTAAGGCATTCATGACCCCCACAGCGTTGAAACCACGTTGCTTGTAATTTTCAAACCCTCAAAATGTTGACGAACTCAAGCCCCACTTCAAGAGCGAAATCTCAAAACATATTCTAGGAGTCATGTGGCCCCCATGTCTAGAGTAGAGACTACAAATTTAGAGATGAGTGCGAAGTAATTCTTGGCAAGTGGCAAAAAAAAAGATAATTCAAGCATATCTTGGCTACATGGATGGAGCGCGGGACGGAGGTACCACTGTATTTTGAGTACCTAAAGCCATTCATCCAAAGTCTAGGGGTCCACCTGCAGGCTCCGTGCCGATTCTTACCCAAATAGGAAGTGAGTGCGTAGTTTGAAATGAGTGGGAAAATCCATTCACCACTGATTTAACATATGAGGCATTTGATGCCAAGGGCCTCCTTTCAAGCGAGTACAAGGCTTATGTTGCGTGAAGGTCATTCTAGCCTAGACCCCGAGAAATTGTGGTCGGTCACACCCCGGGGCCGGAAATGAGCGAGGAATGAAAGAGGTGCTGGAATGATATCTAGCAACAACTCCCAGCGACTCGAGGGAATATTTTTCTAGTCCAGCTAGATATTTTCAAGACAACTCATGGTGGACCGAGTCAATATTGCTTCTCGCTGTCTTGAAGTGGCGTCAGCATAACTCGATGATCGAGCAAACGGCAACATAAACATTGCAAGTTTTAACCCTAGGGAGGCGTGCATATATACTGATCTATTCCAAGGTCATCTGAGTGCAGATGATGATGCTGCATATATCTTATTTTACAACGCCTGTTTGAGCTTGACTCTGTGAAGGTTGTTTGAACCATGGGCTTTGCAAGTGGCAGAGAAATTCATAATAGACCTCGTCATAAAAAAGTAGACCAGGCCTTGCCCACAACCATTCAGAAGTTGAGACGACCTTTCCGGCATTTCCAGATGGGTATATTCACATTCATGTACAACTCTCCACATATCTCTTTCAGCTACGCCCCATAAGCACTTGGCATTTGCTCATTGTCTTTTTCTTGTCGCACACGTCCTACATTCTGGCCTAGCTCCTCCGAAAACTGGTGAATTTGCTCAAGGTCGACGAGTACCACTTTTCCTCCATTGAACCAGAAATTTCCCAATTCATGATCCCAATACACGGTATCGTGGTCACATGGAGTTATAATGGCACTTCCGGACAGTACCTTCACGACTTCTTAAATATTCATAGTCGCTGCGAGCGATTTGGTGAAGACTGGCTATGCTTGCATCCGAAAAATTGAGTATCAGATGCCCGATGAATCGACACTTGCTGAAGGAGCTCAGGGTCACATCCCCTGAAGACTGCTTGATATCTGGTGCGCCTTTTTTTGAGCCTTCAAATCATTGGTTCGTCCATCTTTTCGTTGTTTCGTTATCAGGGACCCGAAATTGGACTGTGAATTGATTGTCACAGTGTACTGTAATCCGCTCAGTATTTAGTTGCTGTTGTGAGCACCGAGGTATAGCTTTGAAGTCTTAAATAAAGTCAGGATACCCTCCAGCTACGCAACACATCCTCACTCACCTAAGGTGGCACCTTCGTCTGTGGTATCATGGCCGACAGCGTGGGAGAGGCTGTGGAGAAAGCAAAATAAAAGCCCACAAATTACTCATAAACTGTTGGTGTTGTTGCAGATGGTGAATGGGCCGGTCGAGGCCAGGAATGGTAGCTGGAAGGCACGCGCTTATTCGAGTCGGATCGATTGACCAAATTGTTGATTCCCCATTCTATATAGTAGGTCACACAGAAGGGCAAAGAGATCAAAAAGCAGAAGACAGCGACTTGGGAAGCCACTGTGGTGGGCATTATTCCAAGAACTCTGCGAGAAGAGGTGTTGGTGTTAAGAGTTTCACTTCGACGGCAGCTTTGGTGGGGCACATTGGGCAACATATAAGCTTGGAATGCGGTAGCGGGTGCCCAGGTATGACCCGGTTACGGCAGTGGTAGCCGCATCGAGTGTTCCCCTCATCTGACTGTCCATTAACTCACACCGCTCTCCGCCACAATATGTGTCAAGACAGCTGGGGAAATCCACAAGGTTCATCGTCCAACACTGAGAAGGATATGATGTCATGTTTGTTGAGTGGGGGCCAATTAGTAGCGAGAGAGCTCAGCTGGCTGCCGATCACTGAAGATCCGGTAGTTCGTGTTCTGGTCAACTGTAAACTTTACCATAGGTAAGTCCAGATCAAAGAGATACGCATATTTTAGCGCAAAATCAAGGGTAAGGTATCCAATAGCCGTCTTTAATCCTGTTGGATTCATGGTTGCCAGACGCCGAAGGTACAAGTTAAAATTGGTGCTTAACACGTCAGGCCTCGAATGCTTGGCATTTGCCGGAGTTTCGTCCAATGCACTGTTTGTTTTTTTCCTTGTCTTCCTTGTATGTCCTCCTGGGGGAATATCTGGATTAATAACTCTAGTATTGAAAGAACCGCTGTCACCAATAGCACGGGAGCAAAGTGAAAAAGCACCGGATGAAAGATCATTGACGTCCTGGAAAGCATTACTACTATTTGTCAATTTCCTGCCATCATCCCTGCCTATTTGGGTACAACACATACCAAAGCCAACAGAAGGAGTGTAACAGCTCAAATAGCTCATGTTTCAGTTTCTAGTAGCGATGCTGGTTTCTCGCAGGTGACGCACCGAGGTAGTACTATGGCTTATGAAGGAGCATCTGGCCGACCCATCGAGTTCTAAACAGCAAACAGCTTCTAAGGATGTCAAAGTTACCATATTGACTGCATGTTGATGCATAAACGGCCCCCCGTGACTTCCGAAAATTCCAAATCCACATTTCGCTGATTAGCCATATTATGGCCCCCACCATGACACTCGGCTCAATGCCCCTCTTTCTCCATTTAATTCATGCCGCTCCAAGCAGCGTCTGTTCCGGGGGGAACGGAGGTTTTCCAAAATAAGCAGAAATACTCCGCACGTGGTGTGAATGGGGGCAATTCCGCTGTGGCTTACATAAATGGCTTCAGTGCTCAAATTAGACACGAGAATACAGGATCCATCTAAATCAAGCTCTTGATAACTCCGACGCACAAACAATTGACATTTAGCCTACTCCGTGATATTCCACGTGTTGCCGATCTCACGGAGTTGCTTCCTTTTTCCACGGAAACAAAAGACTGAAGCGCCCTATAAGGCATTTTATCGGTGCTTCCCGATGAACCTGCCATGCGCATCCATCAAAAATGGGTTGTGGACCAGAGCTAGGATTGATCCGCGCATGCTAATCTTAGAAACAAGACTCGCGTAGTATGAGTTTCTAACTTCGATATTCAGACTTGCTGGTGATTGGCTGATAGAATGTCGTGGGTCTAGACACACCAACCGTGTTTGTGAGGAGAGCGACGATCTTCTGACTTTCTTACCAAGCGACCTGGCGAATCGATTAGGTTGCGCTGGATGAATTTATGAAGGGTCTAGAGGAGGTAGACCTATTTTGTGTAAATTTGTCATTCATCTTGGGGCTCGATAACGGGCTGTCTAAGCGGCCTTTAGGCTGGTGGTCAGTAGTGAAAAAAAATCATCACCGAAGGCGGCCCTAAATATTTTCTAGAGCCAAATCCCCAGGCAAGCACTAGCTGTTCGTCCATAAGCCATTTCTTGTGATCATTCTGTCTAGGGTGAAAGACACATGCAATACCCTGTTCAGGAAAGCGATTGATATGCAAGAGGCAGTGGCTAGTACATGTGAGATCTAGAAGATGAATAACCGGAGAGTTTAAAGATAATTACAGCAGCAGAAGAAAGAAAAGAAGGCCAGCCTAGAAATAATGTGCGATCGAAGAACGACAAGTTTACTGCCCTGGTCTTCAACGTGAGCTGGGCCATTAAACACTCAATCATTGAATTAGCTAGAGACATCAAATATTTGCATCTCCCGCTGTGGTTCTGCGAGTCATGAGTTACGTTCGACAGCCCGAGGGCGCTCTTGAGCATCGTTTAGTTGGAAAGGGCTGTCGCCCTACATTCAAATTGTATCCTTTGGCTACCGCTAGTCCTTATAGGTAACGTCCCGACCGTAGCGCATCAAATCGCCCCCAGGGCCCCAAGGCCCAAGGGTCGGGTCCAAAAAAGCACAATAGTGCGAACTTCTCATCCACCTCGCCCCACTACCACATGGAGGATCCGGCCCCCATGAGCTATTTGCGGCTACGTAATGATGTAGACCCGACACAATAAATTATTACTGCTATCCCCATCGTAGAAACCTGCAAGCAGAAAGTACATTTTTCCCATCCACTTCCGGGCATTGGCCACTATGTCAGCACAAGCCTCTGTGGGCCGGATCAACAAAGAAGCCTTCCTGGTATGTCCTCACTATTACAGCCACATCCCGCAAAATCTAATCTATATATTAATTCTGCATCTCAGGTCTCAATAGGTTTCTTCCTGGGGCTTGCGATCATCGGCGTAATTGGCCATTTCGTGGTCCGATTCGGTGTGCAAAGGCACCGCCTACAGATCGACGATGGACTAATCACCTTGTCATTTGTCTTTCTCCTTGCAAGTCAAATAATCATTTACAACAGAGTGGTCAACCCAATGTTCTTGATGGCCGCTGTCCAAAATGGTGTCCCAGGCGTTCAGGCACCTTTAGACGCAGTGGAAATATCAGAAACCTATCACAGGTGGACAGTGGCATCTCTGATGATTAGCTGGTGCTCAATCTGTGCGGTCAAGTTCTTCTTCCTAATATTTTTCAAAAGATTGATTGATCGCTTGCGCCCATGGCAAATATATTGGTGGATTGTGTTTACCGTCAATTTGATTCTTCTGTCTTTTGGAATCACTGTCTACTATGTCAGCTGTCCATACTGGGGCGACAAAGCCCGTTAGTATCATCGCTCTTTTTTAAAGCTGCGCACGTATCTGACACACTTCTATCTAGTCCAATGTGCTACTGGAAAGTACATGTCAAATCTTGTTCGATACTCCGCAGCCCAAATCTCCCTAGATATCGTGGGAGACCTTCTCAGTACGTTGAAGGATGTCCTCTCTCTTCTTCTTCACACTTCAAAAACTAACTGTCGAACTTTTCTGATCCAGTCTTGGTGATACCCGTCGGCCTAATCTGGAAAATTCGGGTAGATTGGACCCAGAAACTAGCGCTGGGTAGTTCTCTCTGTCTAACTTTCGTCCTCGTTGCCCTCTCAATCACACGGGTTGCCGGCCTAAAATACCACAAAGAAGTCGATCTCATCTGGGAAACATACTGGCAATCCATGAGTGCAGAGCTGGGCGTTTTCCTTGCTGCGGCTAGTGCGTTCCGAACATTCTTCGTATCGCAGAAGCAGAACAAGCCATATATCCCGACTTATAGCCAAAGGCTAAAGGGCTCTGCAAATAAGGGGTCGATGGGATCAGAACGCAAGCAAGCTGATCTCTCTGATACCTGGGTTGGAACAAATCCGGCTGTCGGTGGCTTTGAGCGTCTGGCCTCTAATGGGAAGGACTTCAGTCAACAAGATGATCCTGAATGGCATGCTATGCTACCCACCAACTCTTCACGGGGCCCTAGTCCTGTTGAAGAGTTTGAGTGCGTGGAGAAGCCTAAGCCTGTTCGTTTACCAGATTTTATTTGATATACGTATTGTATCGTTTTCAAGGGACGTGATCTCATACTTCCCGAGTTACAAGCATATATTCCCCACTGCATTCCGTTTTTATAGGCCCATAGGATTTGTTCTGTTTTTTACATACCGGCAAGGCGTTTTCAATCCTTTCAAATGAAATAATGACAATTGTGATTTTAAAAAGCAATGCACGCATCAATATCATTATTGTCACGTGCTGCGATGTTTATATATCTTTACAGGTCTTGGCGGATAAGTCCATGGATTATAAGTGGCAAATTTGAAAAGGATATCATTCGTATTGATAGTCAATATGAGTATCAAAAAAAATAGAATAGAAAATAACAAATCATGTCAGCTAGTGCATGAAAATAACCCATGTACTTGCGAGCTAAGTCAGTAGACAGTCCACTTAGAGAACCAACGACGCATGAACGAGATCTTCTCTTCGCTAGCAACACTGATCGACTTCCAGGCTTCACCAACCTCCATAACCTCAGGGCTTTTCGCACTAGCATCAGGCCAATTAGGCAGACCCTTACCGTTAGGATTTCCAGTGCTAATAAAATTGGCCCAGTAGCTGGATAGCTTATCGGCAATTTCATAATCCTCAGTCTTCCAAGGCGAGTCCACGGCATAGAGGTTGTTGAACGCATAGTTGAGCTCACTACCATGGTAAGCGCCCTTCTCCTGTCCAGGCGGAGCGTGTGTCCAGTAGTAATTATATGTCTGGTAAGTTCCGTTACCGGAAGTGTTGCGCGCGGACCCGGCCATATACTCGCTTGCCCAGAGCCATAGTGAGACCTTGGTCTGGTCCCGATAGAACGTGTTGCTAGCGGTATCGGCGCTTTCGTCGGTCTTGCCAGCAGGGTATAGCTTGAAAAACTCCTCTGCCAACCCGACGCTGCCGAACTCGAGTTCGCTCTGGGCTTTGTAGCTCTTGACTGTCATGCCAGGGCTTGGGGTTGCGCCGTTCTCGTCGAGGTTGCCTCCTGTGAGGACGGGGGCGGTAGTATGGTTTCCGCGGACGAGCATTTCCTTGTAAGTGGCGGGGAGCACATATCCATCGAGAACGGGTCGGAAAAGTGGAGGCTCAATGTAGGCTGAGTTATCTACAAAAACGGTATCTTTGAAAGTGACGTCGTTCAAGTTGGCGCTGTTCAGGAAGAGTTCAACCGGCGCAGAACGTGCTTGCGAGATGTTGTGGAGGTTCAGGCTGGAAAGGTAGGATACTCCTTGCTTTTCTGCTTCGCCAAGCTGGCGGTAGCTTTGGGCCAGACTACCGATCATTGGGTTGGATGGGTATACGGCGCCACTTTCCGCAATGATCTGCTCGAAGAGATCATCGGCTAGTTCACTGTTGAGGTGATCAAGCACCGAAGCAGCGCCAGTAGACTGCCCACCGAGCGTGATGCGCTTATAGTCACCTCCAAATGAGGCGATGTTCTCATTTGTCCAATGCATCGCGGCTTGTTGATCAACCAGACCGTAGTTACCAGAGCTTCCACTTCCAGAGGTAGCACTCAACTCCGGGTGTGACAAGAAGCCTAGGGCACCGAGACGATAGTTGACAGTAATCACAACCACACCCTTGGCAGCAAGTCCGGCGCCATCGAATGTTGACTGGGTCGCAGAGCCAGTTCCGAAACGTCCTCCATGGAAGAACATATACACAGGAAGGGCCTCTGAAGAGTTGGCCGGAACAACACCGATACCGGTCTCATTGTTGGTTTGCACATTGTTTAACTTAACAGTGTCGGGAGTCCAGATGTTCAAATGCAGGCAGTCCTCATCATAGTTGTCGGACCCGAGTTGAGGGCAGTCCGGACCAAAGTAAGTTGCATCACGTACTCCAGTCCAGCTAGAGACGTGCGGCGGATGTTTCCAGCGATACTCGCCCGTTGGAGCGGCGGCAAACGGAATGCGCTTGAAGTTGTATACGGAGTTGATGTACTCCGATCTGTTTCCTTGCACAGTACTCGAGTATGTGTCGATGTACACGGTCGGCGACTCCGCGGAGGATACAGCAGAGCTTGATCGGCTGCCGAGGCTAGTTCGAGTGCCGGCCACACGGCCTTGCACTGCACCGGCAATAGCCAGGCCGAGGAAGACAATTCTCATTGCCATTGATGCGAGGACTATGACAATCAAACCACTTCTGAGGTATCGAATCCATCCTTCCGCGCTCCTTTTTATACCTGCCGATCTCTCTCAACCATCGGCGATAATTCCTTGAAGGATATAGATCTCGGCAGTGACGCGGACTTCCTGCAAATCAATGGTGACGCGGACTTCCTACACCCCGCACCAGTGTTCTCCACATTGAGATGCAGATCTCGGCTGCAACCCCTGGAACAATCCTGCAGGGCCCACTGAACCAGCATCGTTCCTCGCCATTGTCACAGCTTGATTGTGTGAAGAAGTTCTTCTGGATAAGAGGCTTATTGTTATTGAAAGACACATTCGTACGAAGCTGGCAGATCGGGAATTGTTGTGTTCACCAATCCGCTCAATCTTCGTACTAGTTACTGCAAGTCTTGCAGTACCTTGCATGGTATCTCCGGACGTCCGGTTACCTGCATCGGGCATGGTTGACCAAATCAGTGCGAATTGTTATTAGTTTACCCCTCTCGACGCAGCGCCGTGCACCTCGGGAGATATACCTGCTCCGACGCCAAGATTCCAGGAAGTATCCTTGCAGGATCGGCGGATTGAAATGAAATCGCTGTACCCCGAAGGATACACCTTCTCCGTGCCAAGACTAGGCTAAGCCTGCGGGATCGTCAAGTGAAATGAGGGCGCACGCCATTCCCAAACCAGTATTCGGGGCCGAATAAATTGTACCATTAGCGATATGTGGATTGGAAATCATATCTGAATGCCCATAAAATCCGTGGATTCCTCAAGGCTTGAGTTCGCAGCTTATGGGAGCCCCCACACAACTAGACAATTATTCATTGGCTGAATATCCGATTTTATCATTGTAATTTGCGGTCATTCTTCACGACTCCAACGGATATGACTACAGCCATCTCTTCAAGTGTGCAGAGTTTAATCTCGGGGATTATCACCCATAGCCAGTTAGTACCCCCATCACCAACCCTATTTCGCTCAAGAATTCATTTGGAGTAGTGGCATGTGGCGCTTGACCCCTCTCCGGATGTGGGGGTTTGTGTATAGGAATCACGTCTTTGAGCTTGTAGACGGGCAAATGCTTTCCCGATCTTCACTTACGCTGAGTGCAAGTAAGACAGCCACGGACGGAGACGGACGGAGTCATTCAAAGCAGCGTCATTCGTGAAGATCACATCTTCCAAGGTTTCCTGGTTTCTTAGACACCACAAGTCTCCACAATTTGTGGGTTCTTAGTGGGACGGCTGCGAACGCGGGCAGGGTCCCCTTTTTGCGATTGTTTTCAGACTCGAAAAACCTAGCAGACAAATGCCAACCGGTCGCATCTGCTGAATTATCAGGAACAGGTTCGGACTCTGTGTCACAATTGCTTTAATCCTCGCCAAGCTCATGTCACCGCTCCTCCAAGTGTCCGAAACAAAGGCCCCGATACCCGCTGTGGAGCCAGCGCTGCCGTTGAAGAGGGGGCTCCGTGTTGATCTGCCAACTCTCCAGCTCTAGCCTCGGTCTTAGAATTGTAACGCCGCGATTCGGATGGCCCAGTGGATCTGTAATTCTGGAAGCGCTGAGATGAATGTTGTTCGACTCCAACTTTGTGTCTACAAAGATGACAATTGATAGTTTGCCACTGACTGCGTGGCTGACTGCGTGGGATGCATATTGCACAAAACGAAACGCGATAAGGTGCGACTGGCCTGCTGAGCACGAGCTTCATCAATTGGTCAAGCAAAAGTCGCGCTTTCCTATATCGCTGACAATTAGATGGTCAGAGATATATTCCAATAACGCTTGCGTGCTGCTGTGATCGACAATCCTGAGACGTTTTCTGGGCCGTGTGTCCACCACCTACCGTGGCAGATGGTTGAAACGCGTTTGTCGTTGGATTTCGCCATGATTTGCTTCGGAAAAGCCTTAAGAGTCTTCGATTTTCAGGCAAATTCAGCATGACGCAAACCATGATGCGGACCCTGGATTAGATGAACATAAACACACTTGACGCAGATGGTGCCGATGGGGGGAAAACTTCAAGAAACACCAGACTAGGTGAAGAAATGAAACTTTTCCAACGTCTGGCAATGGAAAGAAGGTAAGAGGGCTGGAAGAATAGAAATATGATTGAGAAGGGGGAAACTTGAATCATGCCATATGGCCTGATGTCCCCCGTCGTTTCTCGCGGCTCGTTCCCTACCAATGCTAGTCTTGGAATTGTATCACAGATTTATTAATACATTTTCTTAACTGGCTCAAGCGACTTCGGAAAGGAGTGATCGGTCACTGATAATCTCACAATATATGGGGAAAGAAAGAATTATTGGTTGGGTGCACATGTGGATATCTAGTATGTCCAGATCACCAAACTGTTTATTTACACCAGGCCGGAAGGCCCTCAAGCCCATTTATTCATAAAGCATGTACAATATTTCATGTGCCTTGTGGCCTAGAATGAAATCACCATAGATCATTCAGTCATTTTTCGCCGCCAATTCCTTCACCGATCGCTTCTCCTTCTCAACTCCATTGCGCCGCTGAGCAACATCGCATAAATCAAGATTCCCACACTCACATTCTCCCTCCCTGACCCACCGATAAGTAATGCTCCAACGATCCTCACGCGGCCGCACAGTCCCATCAACCAAGGTATCGTTCTTGCGCTTTTTGATACCATGAGTCCAATGCAATCTTGAATCACCAGTCATCTGCATCATACTCCGCGGCTTCAAATCAATATCAACTCGGTTCTCGCCTTTGCGGAATTGCATGATAGTTGGCGCACCAAGAGATAACGCATAGAGCTGGTCATATGCCATATGGGCATCGGTATGGGGTGGGATACCAGCGCCCGGGGGATAGTATTGGAGACAGACCTGCTCTGGCGGGCGAGATTCTGTAGTGGGAATAAGTGGCTGCAGCCACTCTGGAAACTCTTTATATGGTATGTCGGGGTCGACCCCGAATGTTTTATAGTCGAATGTGTAGCCATAGTGGAGTGATATGCGGCCTGGGCGATCGGGCCAGATCAACTCGTTGCGGAAGATTTTGATGAGGCGTTGCTCATGCTCCGCATTGACAAAGTCATCTTGCCAAAATATGCCCTTGGGTTCGATGGGTAATTCTTCCATCTTTCGCCCTCCTTCAAGCTGGATGTGTACCGGGGAAGAAAAGACGGCACGTGATTGGGATTTTGATTTTCGTGAAAATTCGTGGGATTTTCACTTTATCTGCTAATCTGCTTATCGCGTTTCCGCCTTTTGCGAGATTGGCCATGTCCAACCCAGGCACATTCCATGACTATGTGTTTGCTCCACTTTCCATTCACCAAGATTCCTCATCCCCAAAGAACGTAGGGACTAGGATAAGAACGAACTTATATGGCCTGAGAAGCCTAGAAATTCCCAAGTCGATACCCATCATACAATATATAGGAAGAACAAAGAAAGAAACACCAGCCACCATGGAATACAAAAATTGTACTGACTGCAACCGCACTCTAATTCTAATTCAGCCATGTGCGAACATATTTCAAGTACCTCAATGCGGGAACCGAAGAACAACTTGGCCCATGCAGACAAATGAGAAAGTCAATTGTTGGGGGAACAGATAAATATGAGTGAACGCGAAGCCGATGAAGGTCACGCCTAGGTGAAGCTAGCACAAGGTTGCTCATTTCCGCCTCCAAGCAGCTCCGCGTAACGACCAAACTAGTAGGAGAGTTTTTTTTAGAATTGTTGAAATTAATTATATTGTTTCGTTTATATAAGTTCATCATGCATGGTGAATGCTGTTGAATATTCACCTATTAAGCTTAAGCTTGGGTATCATCATCATGTATCTTCGCGGGCACGTCATCCACGGTGATCCGCACTTCGTGGCTGTGGTCAAGTTCCGAAAGAACGATCCAAGTAGGCCAGATGCACAAAATCGTAATACCGAAATTGAGACCAATGCTGACAAAATGGTTGGCGTTTCCTTCGGATTGCATCCTGTGATTTATTAGATCGTGTCATTCATAAATAAAAAGGTCGAACTGGGGACACTTACGCCCAAGCAACTGTCTGTCCAAGGGCTTCGAATCCTCGGAGAATTCCACAGTGGTATGACAGAGACGAGATATCGGTGCTGTACTGGCCAATAAGCCAGTAAAGATATTGCTGGAATGCCTGACCTCCGAAGGTCCAGAAAAAGACGAGAGCGTAGGACTTTCCAAACCCGCCCTTGAACCAGTCAAAGACGGGTGCGGTCGGTGCGCTGTAAAATTGATTTTGGAGTACACAAGCCCAGATCCAAGTACCTGTGAGTACAATCACAATAGCCAAGAAACCGGTCTTAGCGCGGGTGTTGATGCGGATGGTTTGACGGTCGAGCAGAGCCGCAATCAGGAACGAAGAAGCAATGCCGGCAAAGTTGGTGAAGAAGGAGGAGAAAGCGCGGGAACGAACGGTGAAGTAGTCTGTCAACCAGGTGCTCAGGAAGGCGTTGTAGAAGTAGCTGATGAAGAAGGAAGGAAGAAGCAGAAGAACCCGGCGCGTGGCGATCAACTTCAGGGCTGCCTTGAATTCAGCACCCCATGTAGCTTGCTTGTGAACCACGACCAGAGTTCTATCTTTACGCTGCACCTTCTCGGCAGGACTGAGACAGAGAGCGATGGGAAGTCCAAGACACATGATCACGATGAAAACGATATACGTCCCTGCGCTGATAGTTCCCTGAGACGAATTCTTGGCGTTGAGGCCAAGACTAATCGCGCCGCCGACGATGGGACCGGCAGCCTTTGCTGTCTGCCAGATAGCAAGGTAGAAGGCCCGGTCCTTGGGACTGGGGTATCCAATGATGATAGCAGCCTCAGCGGCCCAGAAAAAGCCCGCGGAGATACCACACAGCGCGCTACCGAAAAGCATAAACCAGGTTGTCGGAGAGTAGTTGTTGGTGTAGAGACCAGCACCGTAAATGGGATACCCAATAGCTCCAATAACCAAACCAAAGCGAAGACCGATACGGTTGTTGATAGCACCCGCCAAGACACAGACAACCGCAAATAAGCCGTAGACTAGAGCATTTGCCGCCGAAACAGCATAAGGCTCTGCCGCACCACCAGCTCCCAGATTATTCATAGCATCCCACATACCAGGAGCCGTGAAGGAGACACCGCTAGCAATGGCGATTTGGAAAGGAATCGACCGATAGATAGACCGAGCAGACCAGGACCGAGCTGTATCGTCCGCGTGCTCCACGATGGATGGCTCATTTTGAGATGCAACCTCGGTATTTGAGGTGGTGGACGCCATTATGGTGGATTTGAACCACGCTTGCAGTCTACACCAGAAACAAGCTAGATTCGCGATAGTTTACAAGAAAAAACAAAGGAAACTTCCATGGAGCCAAAGAATTTTACATAAGATCCCCCGTGAAGAAATTGCGTGATTGCTGTCACAAATTCCCCTTGGTTGGCGGAACGCCAAGGCGCTTGGAAGGGCTAGATGTGTTTCTGTTTGCTAATTACAACGGGAAGCTTCCTAAAATGTTCCATAATGCCCACTCTGCAGGCCCTTCTCTATTGATCTGAGTTTCTACAGTGGATTGATAGTAGCTACAGTCCACGGCGCAGAACTGAGACAGCAGACAAGTCGTCACGATAGTCAACGATAGTAGTCTTTAGCAAACGCATGAGGCAAATAAGCTCAAAATTGTAGCCCGGAAAGGTCAAGTGCGGGTGGGGCTTAAAATTTTCTGACGGATTTCAAGGGCCAGCCCACGCGACCAAGTCTATTTGTGTACGTACTGAATTTTCACCACGTGGGTACTCTACACTGTACATTCCATACTGCTCAGAAAATAAAATATTGCAATTTTAAAATGTGGCACAAGGGAAAGGGGAGGGGAAGACTATAGGTAATTGTGCCAGTAATTATTGAGCATTTTTGTTGGGTCATGCTAGTGAGTGGCAAACGTGAGGCTGAAAATGCTGAGCTGAGTGTTGCTGCAGGAACTTAATTCAAAAGAGAATTGTGCCAAATGTAATGCCGGTGTGACGCAATGGTAGCGTGTCAGCCTTCTAAGCTGAAAGTTGCGGGTTCGACCCCCGCCATGGGCTATTTTTTATGATTTTTTCACAAACCTCTATTTTACATTTTTGAGACCATGCTATCTCCAGCTCATGACCCAAGGATATTTCTTGACAGACTTCCGCAAAAAGTCTATGTAATCCGGCGCAGGCTAGTAAAGGTTTAAAAGTGGACAAGGAAGAACAGACTCGAGGGTTGCAGATTGGCAGCACAGATCAAAATAAAATTTCCCCTTCGGACCATATTAACGATACCACACTTCGGTACTTGGGGGCGACAGGTGTAGAGGTTGAATCTCCAAGTACATAGTACCTCTATGGATATAAATGCCAGGTGCAAGGTCGCCCACGAACTTTCGTAGTTAGGTAAAACTTCTCTCCTGAACAGAAACCCTAATGAAAAAAATATTCTCCCTTTTTCATTCATGCATGTTCTTCGACAATCCGCAATTTCGTTCTTTCTTTTTTTGTTTTTTTATTTATTTTTTCATTGTTTTTGTGGATGCCTACTCATCTTTTTCAATCTCCATGCTCGTCTCGGCCTCATGAAAATCACCTGCCCAATTCCTAATAATGCTCTCGATATCGAGCGTACTTGGCTCGTAGGATATTGTATCAAAAATATTGTTGTCGGGAAACAAGTTGAAGAATGAATCCAAAGAATCGGCGGAAGAAACATCTTTTTGCTCACTGACCTCCCGACCGATTTTCTCACAAGCCGGAAAAGTATCTGCAGCAGAATGTGATACTGCGGGGAACTCAAATCCTAGTGTATCTAGAGATCCCCCTGAGTATCCAGTGGCTGCCAAATTCGTCAGGGGGACAAAATCACACATTTTTCCGATCTCGCGTGCATCGCTCGCCTTAGCCACCAAGCGCGTTATAGGAAGCCACACGTCTCCCTTATTCTTTTTAAGTTTCCAGCCCTCATAAACCGTTTGAATATACCCCCAAGCACGATCACAGTCATTGGAAGGAGGACGCAAGCAAATTTCTGATAGGAGAAATGCAACCGCATGCCACTGAACATGAGTTTGGGAATGCCAACTGAAATGAGAAATTTGAGGATCTGTCAGCAATCCTTGCGAAAGCTCAAGAATCTTGAGCGATGTGAAGAATAATTTGTCTCTTATCCCCGGGATAAGGTCGCGGTGGTTCCCCTGTTGAACGAGAGGGTAGTATAAGACTAGCCAGGTACGAGCGATTGTAAGCTGCGCAACAGTCTCGCAGACCTTGTGAAAAGGAATACTCCGATCACAATATATCAAATATTTCTCCTCCAGCGTTCGCTTTAGATCGTTAACCAGAGACGCTCTCCTCAAGAATGAATGTTTTTTTGACGTGTTTTCCCTGCAAAACTGTACGTAGCCGGTCTTCCACATAACACGCAACACCTCACAGCGAATAAGACAGTAGGTCATCTCCGTTGTACCCTCGTGCTCGATAGGAAAATCCTTCAATTCAGTAGTTAGGTCGCTATCATTTATGTTCAGCGGTACTCGCGTGTCGAACATGTATTCTTGCGCGATGGGCTCGAATCCGTGATACTCTGCTGATCGGATATCCAGCAAACAGATGTGCCACCAGAGTCTTCTTCGTAACTCTGTTTCCAAAGGAGATAAGGAAAATTCTGTACCATCCCGGTGCAGGCCCATTGCCCGAGCGGCATGGAACATAAGCGCTGTGAGGGACCAGCAGGTTCTGGACGCATCTTCATTGCGTAACGCGGATAAGAATAGAACAACCGCTTGTAGCAGGGCTGTACTCTGAGTATTGAGAATGTTTGCGCGTGCAATAGCGTGTTTCATTGCAAAATGGTAATGGTTGACTGCAGCTGCCCGTGATAGACCTAGAAAATCCTCACATTGCTTGTTGTCCATACTGATGACGGCAGAGTAATAGATGGCAAACATCAATGCCTCGGTATTACAGTCCAGGGTTTCTGGTGACGTAAAGGCCCGCCAGCAGACAGGGATTAGAGTCGGTATGTGGAAAATATGCACTAATGGCACAATGTTCTCCTTGAAAATTTCAAACAGAGTCGCGGCCTGCGAGGGCTGTGGATGGTACATGTATAAGGATTGTGGCGTTGTCTGTAGCCCCATGACAGCGGAGTTTTCATCTATTAAGGCTGACGAAGGAGAGGACCCATTGTTCGCTATATCATCCGAATCATCTGGCCCTTCAGGTTCATTTAATATATCTCGCAGTTCTTCAATCTATGAATAATCGTTAATGTAGATTCTTAGATAGTTCACATAAGAACATACCTCATCGCCGAGGCTCGCCCACATGACGTTGCTCACATAGACGCTACGATTATCATTAATCCTCAACCGCCCAGTCTGTTGATCCAAAGAGCTTGTATCAACTTCAAGTTCTTCTAACCCCAAAGAACTTGATTGTTGATTTGACTGTGTGGATCTTTTGGGTGGCTCCTCAACCCCTCCTTCATGAGCCATACGTCTTATGATTGACTCAAGAAGTTCCAATCGGTCAAGCACCCGTTGATTAACGACTTTTCGCGGTCGCTTAGGTGCTCTCCCTGGCCCTGAAGGGTAAACACATTCGGCTTCTGTACTGACACATCCCTTGCATGGTTTTTGGCGATCGCATTTGATTTTGCGAGCTCGGCACCGCATACAGGTTCGGCTAAGCATCGCTCCGATTCTCAGTCATGGGGCAGCTGGGGAGCTGGTGGTATTTTCGTATTGGGTCTTAACCTTGACGGGATAAAAATGGACCGTCAAATGAGATAGAAGAGGGAAAGACTCTGTGTTTGCCAGTATGACACGTCATGGTCTTGGTCGGTCGTGGGGGCGTCGGGGCGGATAAGCTTATGCGAGCCCGAGGCCGCTCGGAGACAACTTAGTCGACGGTAGGTGGAATGAATACCAAGCGGTGCTTTTGGGTGCATTGAAAAGAAAGAGCTAACCTATCATTTGTAATCTATGTACAATAACTCACAAACACAACAAACTCCTCTAATACCTAGGAACTGAAGTCAGGAACTTTGTCTAGTAGTCTAATCGCTAATACCGAGAGAAAAAAAAAAAAAAATACAGAATACCAAAGATCTCCTTCACCGTTCTCGATAAATCAGATCGAGACGCGGAGATCTGTATATGGAATGATCTTCGCTTCTCCAATCAGTCCCGTATCGACATTGCTTGGGAGCGTTGTGAGGTCCGGCTTAGATCCCGAAATCAAGATCTCATCATAAATGCTCCGAATGTAATTCCACATCAAGGTCGGTACAATAGCCAGGATCTTGTTGTTTCCACTATGCAGAAAAGGACCGATATCAACCAATGGATTGGCGAAATCAAGAGTCTCCACAGCTTGTCCATTTACAAATAACTTGAGACCATGGGCAATAGCTGGAAGAGAGAGGTATGCACCGGAAGCGCCCGTCTGGCTAGAGGACACCGGTTGCCAGGAGAATTGAGTAGAGTAATAGCCCAATCCTGAGGCATTGTGAAGCCCGGGAATGTCGAGCCAAGATACTAAGGATGTTAGATGGTGTGTGGTGTTATGCTTGTCTGCAATTGTGGTAACGTCAGACATATTCTGGGGGGCTTTCCAATGTTCTGCTGTAAGTGTCCAGTTACTCAGGGAGACTGGGGCAAGAGTGGCATTGGTTGAGATGTCATATGTCTTTCCATTGGACAACTTCAAAGAATAGCTGCTCCTAGATGATCCCTTGGTAGCGTGCACAACTAAACCCTCGGCTGTGGTTTAGTTATAACCTAGCACATTCGAGGGAACCAGTGTGGCGTGCACGGAAGGTGTGTCCACCTCTGCTTTCCATTCATTGTTGAATGCCAATATGACAGTCTGATTTGCCGTCAAACTGAGAGGAATCTTGGTGGTATTTCCTTCAAGGCGATAACTGAGTAGAGGCATTCTTTCACCAGTCCAGCTGTTGAATATATAAGGGGTCTTGGTAGAGTTCACGATGAGATAGCCTGTGTCAGCCGTGTCCTTGCTGAATACATAGACATAGTCCGTATCATTGTCTGAACGCATGACTGGATACCAAATTGTGTTATTTGTCGTGATGGTTTGAACACGTGGACGAATGTTTAGAGCTTGAAGTGTGGACGCTATCTGACCATCTGCAGCTCTGTGGACATTTCTTGAGTTTTTCAAAGTTTGCAAACCCGCGTATACGGCCATATGCTCAGAACAGTTGCCGTTGTAGTAGTAGCCTGGCAGGTCCTCACTGAGAATGACAGGTAGACCGGAATCGGCGAACCCTTGAATCATTGAGATGGCGTCCCATGTCAAGTTTTCATATGAAGGCACCACAAGGGCTTGATAAGCAGGGGATTCATGGGCCAGTAAGTTCCCAGAAACATATGCCTGAGAAAAATTGAGGTTGGTAGGGTTCAAATAATTGTATGTGAAGCCGGCATCGACCAAGTCGCTACCATGATACAAAGTTGCCAGCTGAGGATCGGTGTATGAAACTTTGTTATAAATTGCCACATCCACTCGAGGTTTTCCTTGGTGAAGGATAAACTGGTTTCGATTGATGTAGCCAATGGCATCTGGCAAGCCCCACAGCCATGAGGGCTGCTTGTCCATATATGAATCGGCGAACAGGAGGAAAAAAGCTAAATATCCGGGCCATGTTGTCTGATAGTAGTCGCCAGTGAAGGTCTGTCCGTGCAAAACAACCTGATTGATGCCCCCTGAGAAGGCAATGTTGATTTGCCACAAGAGTTGGGCGAGTGGAAGGGCCAGGGCCTGTTCAAGATCTGCGCCCATCTCATTCGAGATAACAGTCTTTTGGGCCACATTTGCTGCACCGGAGAATTGCCTGTATCCATCGATGTTGTCGTTGAATGCCAAACTTTCACACTCGGGAGCTGTCACACGGTCGATATTGGTCTCCATGTCGAGCGGGAGGTTGTAGGAGACTTGTGCTGAGTAACCCAGTCCAAGGCCTTCCAGCCAGGTAGTAAAGGTAGTCAAATAATCCCCATAGCCCTGAGCCAGAGCTGCACGGAAATCATTGACGTAACCTGCGCCCTTATCTTGACTGTCCAGGACACATTCTAAATCTCCTGGGTAGGATGGCTGGACACCGGGGTTGTTATTCCCATACATGAGCAATGGTAGAAATTTGTGAATGGTATAACCGTGTAGCTTTTCAAACTTTGTCGGAAGTTCTGGGGTCCAGGAGATATTAGAATTGATCTCAATGCTATCCTCCCAGCCGTAAGTTCCAACCTCACCCAATAGGGTTTTGATTGTAGTATCATTGAGAATATGATTCTCCCAGAACTTCTTTGTCGTCTCTGCGCCGCGAGCGCTATAATGGTCAACAGTGTAGGACCCATTATCGAAGATTGTGCCAGTGGTGTGGTTTTCGATGTCCAGATTCTTCACCAAATCCTGGTACTGGAAGTAGGCGAACAAGTGATGGCTTTGATGTTTCGTGCCGTTAAATAACAAAGATACTGTGCCATCCTCTCTCACTTTATCAGTATGGAGCTGAAGTGAGTCTGCCGCAAGAACCAGACGAGTGGCATTGTTCGCGGGTGTGGAGAAAGTACTACTAGCGGGGTTTGTTATTGTCGAAGCCGATAGAACCCTAGCAGAGACCAACGCAACCAGTTCTCCAGTTCCCCAACCAGGAATTTGATCCTGATAAGAGCCATTTTTTGGGATGCTGACATTGAAAGGTGCCTAATATCACAGTGAGTAAGTGGTGCGTGAAGATGACAAGATGGTGGCTTACAAGATCCCAATGCAAGCCGGGATCGGTATTCTTTGCAGGAACACCTTGACCCTGGTTTGGCCCAAGCGCAAAGTCCATACACATGCCTGCATCTTTGGCGGCTTGTAAAGAAGCCTTGAAAACTTCATTGAAAGCAGGTGTACCAAATCCGTATTTGGCCCAATCTGCACCCACTGTTGGTCCTGCAAGAGATCCTCCGTAATTATACAAGGGCAATAATTCTACTGCTCCCGCACCGACTGCACCAGCAGCTTCAATGTCGCTCTGCACGGTTGAAATATCCACACTAGCATCTGGCAACCAGTACCGAAACTTCATGCGTGCATTGTTGGCCGGGTTATCAAAGGTTCCGTAGTCGGTGGCCGTGGCCAGTTCAGCGACCAAGATTAGCCCGCCGAGTAAGGGACCACCATGCATGGTGCCGTAGGTGGGCCCAATCGAAAATTGAATCAAGACAAGACAAGTCAAGTGGGAGGAAAATCCCGTGTCCGAGAAAGAGCAATGATATACTTCCGGATAATACCTAGGCTCTATGCCTTCAAATGTTGTCGACTGGGGTAGTTTGATGGGTACAAGTACTTTCGGCAAGGAGTAGGAAATATTTGGAAATTCCGGGTGAACTTCCGAATGAGAAATGCCGAGTGCATATCGGAATGATCTTAATCTTATTTGGAGCACTGAAGCCGATCATTTAAGCTCGCGCCAATATTCCAGTCGTTCTTGAGGGCTAAATCATGAGAATCTGGATTAGCTAAGGTGGGTAATGTTGTCCAAACTTGGAAGGCCTGCATGACGAACCCACAATGAACCCAAAAGTCCCAAGAAGAAACGGGGCGTTTCCATGTACACACTATGTCCACATGCCGATCAAGAAGGACTCGGAATTTCCGACAGGCAACGGCCCCCGTTATGGCATTGTCAGTGGATGCCGAATCCAAGGAAGCCAAATCACATCCCTGACTAGTTCCCTGAAGAAAAAGAACTTAGTTCTGTTACAAGTTCCAAATGATTGAATCAGTCCAGCAAAACTCTTATGTACAAGATTTTGCCGGCAGCGATGAACTGCCCCTATCAAAAGAACATACATATGCATACTGGATTTAGATCACACATGAGGCGGAGTTGCGCCCCACATAACTCAACCATATTACTCCGGACTCCTTTCTTTTTCTATTTTCAATCATTTCATTCTTATGAGATACATTATTGAGGACTCGTCTAACGCATTTTGTCAAGCTTGTGATCTCACGCGTCATGTGATATAAATGGGGGTGCGTTAAACGGTTATGGTGACGCGTTGCGCTCCGCCAATCCCGTCTTGCGTCATACCTTCGGTTGCAGAACAAGCAATACCCTGAATACAGGCGCAAAGAATATCCCTCTCCAATCATCATGCTTTGAAACTAAAGTGACAGGTGATCTGAAATGGAGTATTGATCTTGCCAAAGAACTGCAAATCTACTCCGCATCATCGGCTAATTTAATGTCAGGGGTTACATTCAACTAATGCACCACGGATAATTTCACCCCGCAACATGAGGGATGTGTCCCGATCGTGTTTAGACACAACACGATGCATTAAATTCCTGCAGGTTCATTGCATGATATCCGCCACAGGGCTTTGAACCCTGTTGATTGCGGGGAACTGCCGTTGTAAATCGGATAATGTGAAGTTGAATTTTTCCGATAAGGTTGGCCATATATAGATCTAATTGTTTCTATCCTCCATATTTCCCGGGCAAAGCTCACTATCAAGCTTCTTTCCATGAGGATGCCCGCCAGAAAATTACTTATAATTGCTGCTCTATGCGGTTCGACCACTGCCAAATTGCTCTGGTCAAACTCCCCAGCCAGCACTTCTAATGTCATACAACAAGCATATCCACTAGGTAATGGACGGCTAGGGCTCATGCCTGCTGGAGAACCCGGGGCAGAATCAATCAACATCAACCTAGACAGCCTTTGGACCGGTGGGCCTTTTGAGAATGTGACTTACTCCGGAGGCAATCCTGTAACCGACCGATCTCACTTTCTTTCTGGAATACGCGAAGAGATCTTCCAAAATGGCACGGGAGATGTTGACGAGCTTCTTGGTAAAATATACTCCTATGGATCATATACGCCGCTCGCAAATTTGACCGTCGACTTCGACGAGCTACAGAGCTATACTTCATACTTTCGGGGCCTCGATCTCGAAACTGGGGTCCATTCAGTACGATTTTCAAATGAGACACATGGATTCAATACATCTATCTTCTGCTCTCAACCGGACGACGTTTGTGTATATCAAATCTCGTCGAACTTACCACTCCCAGCAATGAAAATTAGTTTAAGAAATGATTACTTGAACTTCACTTTGGTCAAAACGTCCTGCATTGGAAATCAGCTTCAGATGGCCGGTCAGCTGGCTCAGCCAGGCATGCAATTTGTCGGAGTGTCTCAAGCAGTACAACCAACCGCTGCCAAGTGCAACGGGGACTCCATTATTCTCCCAGAAGGTTCAAAAGATACCAGCTTAGCAATTATCGTTGGCGCCGGATCCAACTACGACCAGACTCGCGGAAACAAGGCAGCCGGTTTCTCCTTTCGAGGTGCGGAGGCAACATCCGCAGTGAAAAAGACCGTTTCCATTGCGGCTTCACTGTCATTCGAAGATATCTTTACCCGACATGTTCAAGACCATCATGCCCTGTTCAGCACATTTTCTCTCAACCTTCCTGATACATTAAACTCCAGCAACATTGAGACCGCGCAAGTAATTTCGGATTACAACAGTTCAACCGGAAATCCCTGGCTAGAATCCCTGCTCATTGACTACGGCCGATACCTGCTGATTGGATCATCTCGTGAGAAATCACTTCCAGCCAATCTCCAAGGGAGATGGGCAGTCGACCAAGACCCTGCGTGGAGTGCCGACTATCATGCCAATATCAACTTACAGATGAACTACTGGGCTGCACCACAAGTCGGACTTGGATCTCTGCAACAATGCCTCTGGGACTTCATAGAACAGACGTGGGTTCCATACGGGGAAGAAAGTGCAAAGCTGCTGTACGGTGCACCAAGCGGATCTTGGGTAATACACGACGAGATAAATACTTTTGGCTATACTGCAATGAAAAATGACGCTGTTTGGGCCGACTTTCCCCTTGCAGCGACTTGGATGGCACTCCTCATTCCAAAATGGCTGGATTACTCCGCTGATGCGACTTGGTACCAACGCCAGGGCTACCCTTTACTTAAAGGCACGGCAATATTTTGGTTATCGCAGCTGCAAGAGGACCTTTATTTCAACGATGGGACCTTGGTGGTAAATCCATGCAACTCGCCCGAGCATGGACCCACGACCTTTGGATGCTCCATGTATCAACAGCAGATATGGGAACTCTTCGATCGCATTCTAGCGACCTGGTCTGAGAGTGGTGATGATGATCACGAGTTCTACGAAAATATTGTGCAAGCAATGGCTCACTTGGATCGAGGCATTCATATCGGATCTTGGGGCCAGCTACAAGAATGGAAATTGGATATCGACGTTGAAAATGATACTCATCGCCATTTAAGTGGTCTTGTCGGTTGGTATCCCGGATACAGCGTTGCAATTGAAGAATGCAATAAGACCATTGCAGACGCTGTTGAAACAATGATGTGGTCTCGTGGTGATGGAGAAACTGACGCGAATGCTGGATGGGAGAAGGTTTGGAGATCGGCTTGCTGGGCTCGTCTTAACAATATAGAGGAAGCCAACTTTGAATTGCGTTTTGCTATTGAGCAGAATATCGCAGAGAATGGGCTGTCTATGTATTCTGGCCATTATACTCCATTTCAGATTGATGCGAATTTTGGTCTTGTTGCTGCTGTCGCTGAGATACTGATTCAGGATTTGCCACAAGCCCATGGGGACCAGGGTATTCATACTGTGATTTTAGGTCCAGCTATATCTTCTTCTTGGAAAGGAGGCTCTGTATCTGGGTTGCACCTGCGTGGTGGAGGGCAAGTGAGCTTTTCGTGGGACTCTGACGGCATTGTGCAGAAAGCCACTGTACATGGGCGAAAGAAGGCGCTCAAAATGATGAATGCGAGGGGGAAAGAGATAGGAGAATGATAGGTCTGGCCATTTTACAAGCCTACAAGTCATGCATGTGGTCAAAGCATAAGATGGCTGGGCTTTTGGTAACTCTTGACGTATTGCCTGTCCATTGCAGTCAAACTTGAAAACACAAGACCAGCTCGACCAAATAAAGTCAATCAATTCACCATCATTTCCGATGCATTTGTACGATCGTCTAATCACATTATAGCTTCGCTGCCGGCTGCAACAGATGTCTCATCTCAGAGTTCGGGTACTCCACATTCTGCGATGAATCTGGCCGCTGCCGGTCCCAAGCCCATTTCTCTACCAATTCGGGCGCAAGCTCGCCCTCAAGCATCTGTGTGACGTATTTCCCAAGCACGGGGAAGAATTTGTAACCGTGGAAAGAACCGCATGTTGCGACGTAGAGTCCTCTGGAGGCTGAGTGAGGAGAAATGATAAAGTCAGACGTGGTGGTGAAGGCGTCCCTGCTGATTGTTAGATCTTAAATTGTGGTGATATGGTTATATAACCCTACTCACCAGCAGATTCTGTGCTTGGTCATGTTCCAAGTCGCACTCTCAGGTCCATACCATAGATTCCTAGCCTCGATGATATCCTGTTTGAGAGGTCCAGGAACCTTCCACTGGTTGTAGTCGAATGTAGGCGGGGGAGAAGAGATGGAACGGCCAGGGAGGACCTCACGGGTGTTTGTGAAGATCTTGGATCCCCACCACTTGAGCTCTCCGTCCTTGGTGGGAGGGAGACTGCCAATGAATGGTTTGCCTGTTCAAAATTAGCGCTATTCATGCAAATATACAAAACAAAGTTACGCACCCTCTTCGGGCGTGTAGCCCTGGAAACCAACAGGCATATCTTTATACTTCTTATACTGCTCATCAGTGAGTTGTGCCATTCCAGTTGTGATACCAGCAGCTAAGATACGCTCTCCAGCCCGGAGACCAGGATTTCCACTCTTCGCGGCACTCCACTCCAGCAACGTAGGCGTAAAAGCGCCCGCAGCAACGATAACATGGGTAGCCGACAACACATCTCCAGATTTTGTCTTTACGCCAGTACAGGAGCCTCGACCGTCGAACTCAAGAGTGGCAACCTCAGCAGTCACATATTTCACGCCCAATTCTAGGCACCTCTTCGTGACGGCGCGGAGCGCATCTCCGGCGGCGGCCCAACCACTAGCTCTGTTGATGAGAACCTCCTTCACGCCGGTGTAGTCCGCATTGTCAAAAATACCACCGTACAGCTTTCGGGCCTTGGCAACAGGTAGTGCAATGATATCGTCATTGCGGCCTAGCTCTTTGTGATTGGTGATAACGGTTTGTGCGTAGTCGCTGCGGCAATTCCAGTACACACCTGTTTGGTGGAAATGAGGCTGCCACAGAGGATCGGATTTGAAGATATCTTGCGCTTCAAGAGCTAGCTTGCAGTAAACTTTGTCGTCGTAGTCAGCGCGAATCACCTTGTTCCAATCCCATGATGCTGCCACGCGAGAGTCGGCATCGTATGCATCTCGGTCGACCAGGGTGACCGATGCGTTTGGGTATTTTTGGATAAGGGTATAAGCAGTTGATACACCGAATACACCAGCACCGATAATGAGGTATGAGGGGTTGCTCGGGGCCATATTTAAAATGGCCTGGACTTTCTTTGTGAAAGCAAGTGAGTCTCACCAGGTGCTCAATGCGACGTTGATCCTTAGAATTATGAACTGGAGATAGGTGATCGACAAATGTATAAGGGAGCTTTCAACGTTGTATTTCCAATAGCTTACAGCGAATTGGCGCCTTATCTGTCAATCAAGACTCGAGATTATCTCAACCGGCGGCGGCTCCGATCTCGGGCGACTTTTCCGCGGAGCCGATCACGTGGGTCGAGGATGAACTAACATCGTTACTCCAGATAGCGGCATTGTATTTTACAATATGAAGTCTGCTTCTAAAAAGAGAACAACAGCTTCATACCATTTGTTCGAATACTACTCGTGGAAAGGGAGATCGACATTCTGCAAGGTCTTTACCTATAGGGCTAATGCTCGGGGGAAAAGCCGAGCCGGCCGTGCGGGGTAGCAATGCCAAAGAGGGTAGCGCCTCCCGGGGCGCGGGGAGATGATGTGACAAGGGATGTTCTCAACTAATCACTAACATAGCATGACATAGGCATGGAATTGTCTTGCGAACCGGGTTACTGAGTCGCTCGGTGTGCCTCTTAATATGCAAGCCCATGAGCTAACGGCGTCCAGCGATACAAAGAAAGTAGCTCTCTGCGTCGAGCTTTGTGCTCATCCCACGAATGAGGACCGGCTTGTTGAGCGTCATACAACATGGACCTGAACACTTTCCGGAAGTTTTTCTGCAGTCACTGGTCAGTGGCTTTTTGCCTTAATTGGTGAAAATCAATCCTACCTGAAATGTCGTATCCAAAGTCACCACACTCACTTCGTGGGCCCGAATAATAGTTTCACAGACTTCTTCCACGGATCGATTAGGACCAAGCTCTGGCATACGGTCAAGGAACAGGAGTAGGATGAAACTTCCTTGGAGAAGATAAATCCCAAAGAGATAAGGCATGAAAAGCAATTCCGGATCTAGGGTCAGAATTTGTGAGACTACGCCTGTTGCACTTAGTGCATGTGACGCGCATTTCAAAAAGCTCTCGGAAGTGATCCAGTCATCTTTATCTTCAATCATGGAGATTGGGTCCCATTTCCCGTGAAGCAAAATGTGGAAGACATGCAAAAGATATGTGCTGTATATCCGGACTAGCTGTAGCTTGGTTATTGTAGAATTGGACATACTGGAAGAAGTGAATTCTTCTCCGCTGTGTGAAGATGGGCCTGTGGGTTGCTGAGAAAAGCCTTGAGCGTTGAGATCATCCGTAAATAACTCGTTGGTCTGAGTTTGAAGTGCAGTCAGCTCTTGCTCTTGTGAAGAAATCATGGCCTCTATATGATGAACAGCCTCCATGGGGACAAATCTGCCCATGACTGGGTGGCTGCGGTAGTGATGCAAATCAATGATATGCCCGAGGACTGTCGCCAATGGTAAAAAGTACTCGAAAAATCCACAACCCGAGATATGTGTAGGTGGCCCGAGCGGACATGTCGGTATGTACGTCAGATCAGCCGTGTCAAGTGATTGCCAAACATCCTCTGGTAATGGTGTTCTGACACAAAAGGTGCCTTCGGGGAGGCTCAATTGCACATTGAAAGATAAGGCAAGATGGCGATCTAAAGAGTAGATCAGCCAAAACAGCCGTCGGCGCTCCTCCTTTGAAATTAGCCACCGCCTGAATGTGGCATCACCATTATACAAACCGCAGAAAACGGGACCCAGGTCAATATCTTGGTCTTCCATGCTAAGTCCACTTGCTCTAACAAGCCTGACAAGTTTATCTTTCCATTTGAGTGAGTCTGCCTTATAATGGCCCCCAGATATGGTCAGGGTCAAAATGGTCACAGCGAGGATGATGTCTGTTGAGCCCAATTGTCTTGGTAGTAATGCCTGTCCTGAAGACTGGCGATTCGGAGTCGAGTTGAATTCGCTCGGTGAGCTGCCATTGGGGTGAGGATGAAATTGCCATCCATCTAACCTGTGAGCTTCTGATCAAATCAGTTTAGATGGATTCAATCAACTCACCAGATGTGCGAAAGTAATTATCAGGATCTTCTGTTTCAAGTAAGTCCAACGCAAGGCGATAAAGAACTACGCTTGTCCGCTCCCGGGCACCCGGTGTGTCGAAGATCTTCATATCCGCAGTCTGTGTAACACAGAAAAGGATCACTGCGAGAAGGGCAGGGGATATCGGACGTGCATCAGCTTGGCTTAACACTGTTGAAGGATGCAGGACGTGGGCCAGCATATAGGGTGATGTTGTTTTGTAAAGTGGATTGGAACCTTCATCAAAATAAATTTCCAGCATCTCTAAAGCTTCTGCCAAAGAGAGCACCCCCTGCAAATGTGGCAAAATTGAATTAAGAAAATGATGTGATTCTTTTATTGAATATCCGTGAGCAATGTTCGAATCGTGATCGATTTTTGGTCGAGAGAAGTCTTTCAAAGGACTGGTAGGGTCCATAGAAATCTTAGAAGCGTGTCAGAAGGTCCGCTAAAGAGATTCTTGAAGAGACTGCTTACCTTCACGGACGGAAATTCACTTTGATTCGAGTTAACTTCAATGCTGGCGGGTGGCCTGTGAAATATTGGATTGAATTTTTCTTGTTGGTTCGAGAAGGACGAGTCGGTACTACTAGTACCAATCGAGTTCTTGAGAACTTCCGACATGCTGTCCGTAGCCTCTCCAATTGTGGAGCGCCTTAGATCGGAAGGAGCCATGCCATTGAAAGTATCTGGCCGCGATGCACTACTTTCCGCTATCATCTCCAGGGGGGTTTGAGGCGTTCTCTGTGGTGATTCATGGTCAACGGCGCGGTGTTTTTCTGTCCTCAAAGAACGGATCGAGTCCGATCGAGGTGGACGCCCGCGTTTGCGAAGTGTCTTGGTGTAGTGACAGGACTCTTCACGCTCTATATAGCGAATTAGATATCATTCACCCGTGACTATAAAATCATGCCGTACCTAAACAGCGTCGACTTGCCCGCGACGCGGTTAGAATCAGCACAGACCTCTATTTCTTGCAAGGACACTTACTCACCATGGTCGCTGACCATCACAGCGTTGCTTCGAGTGAGTACACGAATCGCAGGCTCGTAAAACTCGTGTTTGATGCCGATGCGACATGTCTATTCGCGTTCTCTAGGGGCCAAGTCAGATCGCAGTACTGCGGGGAAAGCAGGAAGCAGAAGCGCGTGGATGCGGAGACGACTTTTGTGGGGAAGCGGAGACCAAAGCGTCAATGGGTAAAATTCTATAAATTGCACGCCAGATTTTGGCACCTAATCTAACTCTATTCGATTCATTCGTCTGGGAAATATATGAAATATATGACATGATAACGTGACTCAAGGGTGTATCTACTCGCGTTACAGGAATGGCCATAGGTAAATGGATTCGAATAAGAATAACATAATGTCATCCACGGGAGATGCGACTGAAAGCGCTTAAGCCATGTGATATTAACCAATCTAGCATTATCGGAAAATGCCTGTTGCTTGATGCTCGAATTTATTCGCAGGCCGGGACGCGTATTACAAAGTTTGGCCTAGAAATGTGCGAGCATCACGGTGAAATGACCCGAAAAACCATATACTCAACCGGACACTCAAGTAATAGGTACCATTTTGGTCACAAAAGATAAGCCTTATGAAGAAAAACTTACGAGAACAATGAGAAAGGTAGAGTATGCCTTCGGGAAATGGTTGATTCAAGTTGCGGCAGACATTAATTTCTACATATATGCTAACTATATTAGCTCCGGAGTACATTCCGCAATAGATCCAGGCTTTCTTATAGACACAGAGCAACTTGATCCAAGTTGCAAGCACTAATCATAGCTTTCCTTCTACCGGACGTTTATTGGCCACATCCCAGCCCTTGCCTGGGCTAGGGAAGCTGTAGTTTCGCCATGGGCCCAATATTTCCTTCACTCGGGCGACCATCTCATCATCTTCATTCACTTTTCCAGGCTCGATATTCCTGGTAATTGTTGATTGGGCTGCCCAAAGCCATTCAGAAGGACAATTTTCCGACTTCCGCAGAACCTTTTGAGCCGATGCAAGATTCTCTTCCAGCTCGGCAACTGATGCAATGCCCATGATAGTTGTGACGCGAAACTCATTTGATGACTCCAGCTGTGCCCGCACAATAGCATATCGCAGCGCCAATGCTGCGAGAGATTCACCACGAGCGTTGACATACTCAGAAGCCGCTTGGGCGGCTTGGCGTAAGCCCGGTGGTGCAGGATGGAAATCCCCCAGATCGCCAACTGGGACCCCGTTTTCACGCAGAAGGCCAATTGCCAGAGGGCTAGAGCTGCACACGCATGAGACGCCAGCTTCTCGGAAGGCTGTCAAGCCTTCACGAGCCAGCAAGTCATTTTGAAGTGTCAGCTGCGCCCAGTTTTGTATAATATCCAAAGCCCGGCCGTATTCTTCTCTGACACGACGGGCGAGGCGAGCGAGGATATCAATGCGATATCCTGATATGCCGATATATCGGATGTGGCCTTCCCTAACCATATCGATTAGGACACCAACGGCTTGAATCACTTCTTCTTCAGGAACAAATTCGACATCATGACAAAAAACAACGTCAAGATAGCTTGTTTGGAGACGCTCCAGCGATCGTAAAACTGATTGTCTTATCCATGCTGGCGAATAGTCAAATTTATCAGCGCTGATGCGCCCGGCCTTGGTCATCAAAAAGTATTGATCGCGAGAGTAGTCGTTCGTGATTTCGGGATGGGATAGAGCTTCGCCGAGGAGAATTTCTGAAGGGTGGTAATATGCAGATGTATCGATTGCTCGTAGACCAAGCTGAAAGGCACGTTTTAGGACATCTAGTGCCTGAGTCGAATTGGGATTGCGGATTAATTGGTGGCTGAATCCTGCGCCGCCCAGCACGAGCGGCGGAAGTATCCGCGATAGCGGTATTGATGGCCTGGAATTGCTCATTTGTGAGATGATGCGCACACAACAATCTCTGTGAGAAAGAAACACTGTCGAATTTTCTTCAATTTCATAGACCTCACCACCCCACCTCGGCGAGGCTAAGATTGCTCGTTATCTTCAACCGAAGGAAGCAAACACCGAGCTTCACAATAACTCCGATGCAAATACCCGACGGAAAAAATATGATTGGTTCTCGCAACAGATGCCGATCATTTCCATCTCCACTCATGGAGAAATACCCGAAGATGTTGGAAACTCACGTCGAGGATGCCACGATTCGTGACAAAGGTAGAATGACCAAAGATGTCGAGTTCAATATTCGAATTTGGACATCATGTGCCAAAAAAACGCGTCGTGGCTATCGGCGCGTTAGGGGAGTATGTCAAGCGAATACAAGATGCTAATGCACAGAAGGCACAGCGGTGATGGTACGATTGAGTGCTTGTGTTCTCTAATTTTCATCAATAAAGGCCCAACCGCCTTGGTTGTATCTCAATGGTTTTTTGAACGCAGTTCATTCGGGAAATTGAAACTGCTGGTTATGAACAACATTCGGAGGTTTTAGGAAGACAGAGCAAAAACCCGAGATCCATATAATTTTTGATAAAAAGTGTATATAATATGGTCTCGAAGAACATGGAAGTGATCTAAGCTACTTCAGCTCACCGAGAAGACTTCTCCATAATACAGGATCTCCGTCGTAGTTGCCCATCAAATCCTAATAAATTGGGATATGTACCCTCCGTTACTTATATTTATATGTATAACCGATTGCTTTTCCTCACGTGATCAACGGGTCACAATGCTTCGTAGGATAACAGGAACCATTGATTCAAAGCCTATGCAGGACTTGAAGCACAATTCTCAAGCGTCTTTTGGCGCGTGGGGGCACCAATTAGCAAATATCCGGGGCCCCGGATCCACAATGGTGCAGACCACAGCTAAAAGTGCAATGAGGGGGTAATTATCCGTTCAAATTTGCTTTCATCATAATAAATTCATGACAGCGCGCAAAAAAAGAAGAGAATTATTTGCAAGATAATCAAGAATACCACCAAAAAAAAAGCCACAATGGGTGGCTCGTGGGTAAGCCACCCCACACTCTTCAGAGGCATTGAGCGACTAATGAGGCCAGAAAATGTACCTCTATGGCATCGCGCCATGTACAGGAGGCGTGGCATTCGGATATGTAAGTACACGAACCAAATAATAAAAACAAGCTTTCATGCGCTGATAATGACAGGATACGGGCTCGATGAGTAAGTCGAGTTTGTTGAGAGTTCGAAGACCATGGCTATTGACCTTCACTAGGCGGAATTCTAACAATGCCACAATTTCTCTCCTATATGAATTACCCTGGGAACTTTTTACAAGGAGGCATAACAGCGTCAATCCAGGCTGGCTCATTTGCAGGGTCGCTCTTGACGGGTGCATTCCTTGCTGACCGTCTGGGCCGTCGGAACACCATTCTCCTGGGTTCCTTAATATTTACCATCGGTGTCGCTATCTCAACGGCAGCGAACGGGGTGACTGCGCTCATTGCAGGTCGCGTTATCAATGGCTTAGGAAATGGTTGCCTGGCAATGATGGTATGACGAGATCCGAAAATCCATTTCATCATCTGCTAATACTGAATCATCGAATATAGGTACCCCTATATCAGAGCGAGATTGCTCCTCCTCAGTAAGGCGGTCTTGTTTGAGTCATTCCGTTGGATATTTCGACTAATAAAAGCAGAATTCGTGGTCGCATTGTCTCGATGCAACAATGTTGTATCAACTTTGGTATTTTTATCGCTTTTTGGATCCAATACGGAACGAGCTTTTTACCTGGCGATGCATCATGGCGCCTAGCTTTAGGTCTGCAGATGATACCTACCGCCTCTTTGCATCTGACCATGTACTTTATGCCCGAGTCACCTCGGTGGCTTGCACAGCGAGATGAGCACGAGAAAGCGTTACATGCATTGGCTAAGTTGCACTCGAATGATGATATAAATGATTCTTTTGTGCATGCAGAGCTAGCTGAGATCGAGGCAAAAATACAGTGGGAGAGGCAGAACCCCTCTCCATCTTATATTCAGATGCTCGTCGGACGCGATCGCCGTCGAACATGGTTAGGAATTGGAGTGGTAAGTTCGTGTCAACATCGAGGAATGACCGATTCTAATCCTTATCAAGCAATTTTGGCAACAAGTTACAGGCGTCAACGTGTAAGTTTCGTTACCAGTCTTCCTATGAGGGAACTGAAAAAGAGCGCCGCTTACCATAATTCCAACCCAGAATCATGTACTATGCGGTATTCCTATTTGAACAAGCTGGTATCAGTTCAACGCGTGGCTCCTTATTGGCAAATGGTATCCAAGGCGCCGTGCTCAATATTTTTACTTGGCCAAATATGTACTGGATGGATACCTGGGGTCGACGAACTCCCATGGTCATCGGTGGATTCGGTATGGCGATCTCGATGATGCTTATCGGAACAATCATGAAGACTAAAGGTGAGCATAGGTCGCGGATCTATACATCTTTATATTGACATATCCAGGAAATCCGGTATACAATCCACTCACCAAGAAGACAAACTTCGACTTCACCAGCCAAACTGCATCAAATGCCACCATAGCATTTGTTTATGTTTACGTCGCGGTTTTCGGCCTGACATGGGCATGTGTCGCCTGGGTTTATCCCCCTGAGCTCTTCACGACAGGCTCGCGTGGACGAGGAACATCCATGACGTCGGCAACGAATTGGTTTGTGGTATGTTGCTAAGTTGTCACGTCTATCGAGTTGAAAGAACATCACGACTGACGATTTATTTTCAGAATTTTTGGTTTGCACTTTACATCCCAACGGCCATGGAAAAGATTTCGTCAGTAGCCAACATTCCTCAGTACATGGAAATGAAACTCAAGACTGACACAGTACTTCAGATGGAAGCTCTACATGGTCTTCATGACTCTTTGCATTACCATGGCCATAGTTGTTTTCTTTTTCTACCCGGTAAGTGCTACATTACCGCTTGTTGAGTTGTAATCAACTATTAACATCGCGAAAGGAAACGGCAGGAAAGAGTTTGGAAGAGATCGATTTCCTCTTTTCAAATGACCGTACGGTTTGGGTCTTCCGAGACCGACAGGCTCGCAAAGTTGGCGCTATCTTCGAACGTGACATGGCTCACGGGGAAGCCCTCACCGATTTCGATGGGAAGATTGCGGGAACCTCTCACGTGGACAATGTGGAGAATGATGCACGGCTGGATTCTTCAAATTCAGGAACAGTGTAGTTCCACGTTCTTGACCATGGTATTTATGAAGTTGTTATTTGATGGCTCGAAGGTTATTGGACGTTACCTGGTTACGTAGAGTTCAACCTGCGCAGCAAGGTGATCGCCATACTTCCATTGTGCAGATTGTGCAATGAAAGCGACTCGTTATGTGTAAAGGAATTTCCAGGCTCTTTTTAAAGACAGAAGTATAGTCGGGATTTGGTGACATGGTGCAACCTAGACTTTCGGCCCGTGGGCCCACAAGGCTTACTAAAGTCTAGCTTGGCCCGCGACTCTGTTGCCACGAGACTCATCTTAAACCAATAAGGACTAGCGCGCGGCCCAAAGTAAATTCCTAGTAATGAGTGGATATCAACATTGAAAAATGAATGGGTAAATATCACCGTTCTCGCACGTCAAAATATCCACTTCCTTGTTTAGTGTGCCGAGCCCCGTCGGCATCCACGACCAAGTCAGGCTTGAGCTGTGCTTCATCGGCACAGATGACCGTGACCAGCCTTGAATTGTCGCGTCGGTTCTCGATGCTCATATACATTTGTCTGGCCGGGGTCGCCTTTACGGTGGAGATGGCTATAACGACATTGCCAACCCGCTAAGCCAAAAGGGTGATCCTCAACTGAGACACTACAAGTAGTGTGGCATCGATACTGGCAGGGAGCAACATCCTCCCATTCGTTATGGACAGTGTAGTTCAAGACTTGAACAATCACCCTCTTTAATTCAATGTAAACACCACTTGCTCAAAAGTGACTTCCATTGAGCATGAAATTGATGCCCACTTCGCTCTCATCGTGGCGCTGACTTTTTGGAGTCTTTTGGTACGGTGTACGGCGAGGGGGACGAAGCGCTTTCCATTGGCTTTGCAATTATCAGCCCCAAAAGGCGCACCTCACACAAGCGCGTGGTCATTCTCACCATTTGTTAATTGTAAGTCAAGTTGGAAAGTTGGAAATGGCCCGAAGGAGATGGTAGAGGTCAGCCTGAGGTTGATCTATTTCTGGACCATAATAACCTCACGCTTGTACAAGGAACTGAGAATTGAGTGAGCGCAAGTGGTTTGATTTTTACAATCTATTCATCATCCTTGTAGTTCGGCACGGCAACCCCGATTCATGGATGTTGTCGTCGGTCGTCCCGGGGATATAGCCCGGACGTCATCTTCACACCAAAGAAAGCATTTTAGATATGTCGGTGATTGTGACATGCAAAAACACAGCTTTGTTTGGCAGGACGCGATGTTTTACAGAGACGTATTGACAAGGGATTATTCGCTGGGAAGAAATTTCCAGGATTATTTAGCCGATCGGGACCTCCGAACTTGTTACTCAACTGGAGCGAATGGTGCATGAAAGATACGCCACAGCCGAGCTGTGGCTAGCTAACGCACAAAAAGTCCAGTTTCAATCGAGAACAACGTGGCTTGCGCAGGTTTGTTGTCACCGGCGGGATTAAAGTACTCCAAGAAGATAGCTGAGTGTTCAGCCGGTGAGGTACTCGAAGTTCCATAAATGGCGTTTCCTCTACTAAAGCCGACGTTGTGATATAAGAAGACAGCCAAACCCTGCGAAATGAAAGAGTTTCATCCCTCATCGCAGTCGCACTCATCTCTTTTACCAGACTACCATCATGTCTACGGAACTATCCTCACCCATCCTCGTTGGGCAAACCGGACAACCGGCAGATGCAGCGCAAGTTGAAATCTCAAGCTGTTCCTCCCAACCCTTACAACTAAGAAAAACTACAATTCCCCCTTATATCGACAACGAAAACATTCTTTTCAAACACAATTGAGATGCCCTATGTTTAAAATTCACTAGTGACTGGAAAGAAGCTCAGAACTGCATGGATACTCACAGTGACATGTGGGCCATGTACTTCCCACCTAGTATAAATCTCGAATTCGACAGTGATTTGGAGGACAGACTTGTTCAAGACCTCAAGGACTGGCCATCCTTGAAATTAATTGATGGCCCTCTCGCTCGACTGGGGCTTCAAGTGGCTCGCCTATGTTCAATCAAATCTCCCCTCAGCTACGAAAGAAGAATACTGTTGCACCGACATGTAACATGGATATTTTATATGGATCAAGTCAGCGAGAAACTTGCATTATACGATTTGCATTCCACTGCAGGCAAGACGTACCTGGAAAACCTCAAAAGTATTCTCAGAGACGGACCCGTCGCGGAAATGACGGCGTTCAAAGGGTCCTGTCCAGACACTCTGATCGAGAATGCTGTCAACGCTCAGAAGATCTTGGCCGATGATTTAATGCCGCTCAAGAAGGAACTACTTTTACCGCATCACCTTTCTGTGTGCAACGACGCCCTTGACCTCTTTTTTGACACTCAGATGGAAGAGGGTGAAAGATTCTGTCATGAGCCAACATTAAAAGATATTTACCAGACGAGAGCCTTCACGGTCGGAACAATGGTACCTTTCATCCTTTACATGACACCTGAGCAGGCTGAGCTCTTCACACCCGAAGACCCATGCCTCATTCAGCTCTCAGTCATGGCAGCTCTTTGGAACGACATGATTGGAATATTCAAAGACCTAGATTCGATCGATAAACAGGATGATGGTTCTGTATATTTGAATTTCGTTCGAGCAAGCATGAGGGACCAGGGACTGACCTTAAGAGATGCTTTACGTGGCTGTGGTCAGCGGCTGAACACTTTAATCCACGACTTCGAGTTCTATTTGAGCTCATATAGGCCTGCTCGACGTCAGTTTTACCACGCAAATTTGGAATTTACATTCATGTACTTTGATTTCCATTTAATGGGATTGAAAGAAAAGGCCAGTGAGCGCTATGGCTGGAAGATCATCAGATAGAACGTTGATGTTTAGCATGAGCCTTCAAGTGTGTACAGTTTTATGAACCGAAATGTGACCTTATTGGAAAATTAAAAACATGCAAGTCTTAATGCCTTCAACGAAAGTGAATCATAGCTTTGCTAATCTTGTAAAGAGACCGTTAATGTAGCTATCCTGTATACTATGATATGGCCCGGTCGGAGAGGAGAAATTGGGAGCGGTTGTGGTTCTAGGCGAGGCTTGCGATAATTAAGGTTACAATTGATGCGAGACGGTTATCTAAATTTAGTCAAATCCCCCCGGATCGAAATGAAAAGTGAGATCGGTGCCGTTTCAATATTGACACGAGGATTACCTTAGAGACCCTTATTGGCTCGCGATACGAGGCGCCCAATGTGGGATTTAAAAAGGCGCGGGCATCTCGAGAAGTTCCTTCCTAGCGAGCGCTATGACCTTGACGATCGACTGAATGAACGATGATTCTTGGGATTTTATAATAATAAGGGCTTACCCCGTGTCTTTCCATTTTTCATCAAGTCATCAAAGATGTCGGTCCTTTCATTTTTGCACTCACAGCTATTCGTGACCCCGCCCGTCCCAACTTACGACTTTGGGGGCCAAACTGTAATAATTACCGGAGCTAATAGAGGCATCGGCTTAGAGGCCGCTCGGCATTTGTTACGACTGAATGCCAAACCTGTCATCCTCGCTGTTCGCTCAGTGGAAAAAGGTCAAGATGCTGCAGAGGAGCTTGAAAAGTCAACCGGTCGATCTGGAGCTGTTCAGGTAGAGGAGTTGGATATGGCGTCCTATGAATCCGTCAAGGCTTTTGCATCGCGAATGGGAAGTATTGATCGCCTTGACGCAGTGCTGCTAAACGCTGGGATGTACACTCATAGTTTCTATCTGGCTGATGGCTATGAAAGCCATCTAACAGTCAACGTGATCAATACGTTTTTCCTTGCTTTGCTTTTGCTGCCAATCCTGAGGTTGTCGACCGAGAAACACAAGATTCAACCGCGAATCAGCTTCGTGTCGTCAGATCGGCATGTTATGTTTAGCTTACCAGAGTGGAAGGAAGAAAAGCCATTCGAGCTGTTGAGCGACGAGAAACGAGCAAAGATGCAAGAACGGTTCGTGGGCCATTTGTTGCTTGTGGTGCTCATATGTACTGACTTGGAGTATAAGATACATGATCTCGAAATTGATGGTGATTCTCCTGGTCAGAGAAATGACCGCTCATGTCAAAGCTTCCGATATCATCATCAACACTTTCACTCCTGGCTACTGCGAATCTGGCCTGATTGATAATATTAAAGGAGTCTCGCGGGTCGTGCTGGATCTTGCCAAGAAAGCCACTGCTCGTACGACAGAGGTTGGGGGCCGCACACTTGTGGCAGCCATTGTTCCGTGGCCAGAGAGCCATGGAAAATATCTCAATGACTCACTTATCGATGAGTAAGTACTATCGCTGCGACGAAAGCCGAAGTTCTGTAGCTGACAGAAACTCTCACAGCTCGGCCTTGTCTTCTTTTGTTCGGAGCGAAGAGGGTACACAGGCACAGCAGAAACTATGGAAGGATTTGATAGAAATTTTGGAGCAGAGGGAGCCTTCGATCACGTCATTGATCAACGCTTGATGCTTTAAACTTTCAAAATTTGCCTGGGCGATCGGTTCCTCTTGTTTGTACTTATCAACATTGAGATTGTATTCGGCACATTCGCGTCTTTTTCGTGCATCTACAGATTGCACCAACTATATATAGAGTAACTGATGTATCTCTTTGTTCATACTGATCTAGCCGATCATCGTGAGATCTGTCAACTCCATAATCGCGATAGAGCTGGTAAAGCTCAGCCAGCTCTACAACCAGTCGGTAAGCATTAACTTTCACTTTGCTTTTGCCACCCATTTGATTTTCAAGTACCACAAAATCGGACCCTCACCTACACGGTGGTATATCTGCCTGTTGTTTCGATAATTTGAACCAGCAGAGAGCCTCCTGCTCATTCATTAGTGAGCCGGTGAGGTCTACAAGATTGAGATACTTATGTTTGAGGGTTCTATATAGTCAATCTCGGAAATCGTTGAAGAATGTTTGACGATTCTGTCTAGGCAGCATGGTAACTTTTAGTAAGTGTTGAATTCAAATTTTGGACCCGCTGATATGAAATCCGGACATGGTGTAGTTGGCTATCGCATCTGACTGTAATAGCATTTCAGTTTATCAGAAAGTCCGCGGTTCGATTCCGCGTGTCCGGATAATTTTTTTTGGGGTTATTTTTTTCTAGCTAACATTAACATCCCGTCAGTGGCGTGGCATTCGCGCCGACCTTGGGATAATCTGCTCAATAATTCAAGTTTTAATTGTTGCCCTGATATCATTGCCCAGGTGCCTAAGACGCGATACAATAATAGCGCCCTGCTAAAAAAGCTGCCCAGAAAACAATTCTGCATTCTGCAAATGTCTCCAAAAGTCTTGTTAGATAACAAAATATGCCACCTTTTCACGGCTAAGCCAGCCTAGGTCACGTCCTTAGCAAGGAAGAACTCGGTACAAACTTCTCATGGATCTTGAAAATATCCATAAACACATCTTCCTTCTTATGTGGGTCCTTTCCATAACCGCCACCTCCAGGCGTATGAACAATGATATGATCACCAGCATTCATATGCGTCGTCGCTTTCCCTCCGAGGCTAATAACCCTGCTCGTACCATCAGGATACTTCCTCAACCACAAGTTCACCCCACGACCCCCATCATCACCACCAGCCATTCCGTACGGTGGAATCACACGCCTCTCAGACAAAATTGAAACCTGCATCGGTAATCGGAATTCGATATCGCGGGTACACCCGTCTCCACCGCGGCGGCGTCCAGCTCCACCACTTCCTTCTCGAATAGAGAACTCGTGAAGAATTACAGGGTAACGCCTTTCGAAAATCTCTGGATCCGAGATACGAGTGTTGGTTATATGGGTATGCACGCCGCTTTCGCCGTCCCAATCTGCGCCGGCTCCGGATCCACCTGCGATGGTCTCATAGTATCCGAACCCTTTGATTACCTCCCCGGTGTCGGGATCTCGGCCACCGTAACCGAAAGTTAGGTTATTGCAGGTACCCTGGGAAGCTGCTGCTGCACGGAACGCTTTGAAGATCAAGTCGACTATGCGTTGGGAGGTCTCGACATTTGATCCGACTGTTGCTGCTTTCAAAGATGGTGACAGGAGGGTGTTTGGTGGGCAAATAAGTCTAATGGGCTTCAGGCAGCCCTGGTTCAGAGGGATGTCGGAAGATATCATCGACCGGAGACAATACTGGGCTCTGATTAGAAGATGTCTTTGCCGCTGACTTCGTTCACGGGATTCAACTCACCATGATTCCTGAATACATGATCGCGGGTGGGCAATTCAGATTTCCAAAATGTTCGGGTCCAGTACCGGTAAAGTCAAAGTCCGCATCACCACTCTCTTGATCGATGGTGATCTTCAGCGCTAAAGGAGTTCCGTCGTCGATATAATCAACGGCCTCCAGAGGCTGACCTTTGAACTTCTGGGCAATAACCTTGAGCAGCTCACGGGTAGACTGGCTGGCATTGTCCTGAATGGATTTCATGTAGAACTCCACAACGGGCCAGGAGTATTCTTTAATTAGCGACCGGATCAATTGAATACCCTTATTGTTAGAGGCGATTGCGGCCTTGAGATCTGCAATATTGTCCCGCAAGGTTCTTGTACCACTTGACCCCGGATAAGAAGCTGGAATATCCACCAGCACCTCAATCAGCCCGGGCTCATCGAACTCGCCCTCTTTGACAATCTTGAACGACTCCACGGCGGCACCCTCTTGCCACAACTCTGTCGAGTTAGGAGGCATGGAGCCGGGTTGGATCCCACCGATATCAGCGTGATGGCCTCGATTCGCCACAAAGAAGAGGATCTTTGTGGGATTCTCATCGCTGTCAAATACGGGGGTAGTTATTGTTAAATCGGGAAGATGTGTACCACCAGAACAGGGGTGGTTGCTCAGAAGTACGTCGCCAGGCTTTAGCTCACCAGGTTTGTATAGTCGTGCCTGGTATGCGATCGCATAACTCATGGAGCCCAAGTGACCTGGAATGTGGGGAGCATTGGCAACCAAGCTGCCATCTCCAGAGAAGACTGCACAGGAATAGTCAAGTCGTTCCTTGATATTAACTGAAATTGAAGTCTTTTGCATAGTGTGGCCCATTTGCTCAGCCACACTCATGAATCGATGTCCGAAGACACTGAGCTGCACTGGATCTACAACATTCGTTGTGATTTCGGGCTTGGCCTTGCCTGTAATTTCAATCACGACATGCTCCGGCAAGATGATCGCTGAACTTGCAGGATCCACAATAATTGTCTGGGTTTTGTCGATTACCATGGCCGGCCCATTGATGCAAGTACCTACCTTCAGGTCCTTAAGCGAGTAAAGTCCGATATCAAGCCAACCGACCTGTTCAAAGTAGACTTTGATATTTCGTTCTGGCTGTGTTGGTGTTGCCGGAGGCGAATTGGCGAGCTTCTTCAGCTCGGCTGTTGGACTGGAAAGAGATACATCCATTCCTTTCCCTGTGCTCCGAACTCTAACATCATCGATCAGAATCTCTCTCGGTTGAGTAAAGCCAAATTGCTGCTGATGACGTGCAGAAAACGCATTACCAAAATCCGAGAAGTTTCCTGGATCGGGAATCATCAATGCCGTATCGCTTCCCTGATACCGCATGTTCAAGAACAATTCGTGTGCGATTTGGGACTCTGAAAATCCCTGAGAAATGAGCCCAGCGACACCCGCAACTTTCAATCTTTCAAATCGCTCCTCTAGTCTAGGGAAATTCTCCATCGTATAAGATGTTGCCTCGGGCTCCTGGTTTTCGACAACCACATCGGCAAGAGCCATGCCATAAGCAGACAAGATGCTGGAATACCGGGGGATCAAAGCTCGCTGAATACCTAGATCCCTTGCAATAGCCACAGCATGTTGTCCACCAGCACCACCAAAGCAGCAAAGATTGTGTGCCGCAGTCTCAAACCCTCGCCCTTCACTCAAAGTTCGAATCGGCCGAGTCATAGTCGCGTTCGCGATGGAGATAAAACCGACAGCAACTTCCTCTGGAGTAAGCTGAGAAGATCCGTCCTTTTCGGAATTGATGACTACGGTCAATGCCGCAAATTTCTGTTTCACAACTTCAAGGTCCAAAGGTCGTGGAAAATAGTCCGGGATGATCCTACCAAGGAACAAGTTCGCATCCGTCACTGTTAGTGGTCCACCTCGACCATAACATGCTGGACCGGGATGAGCTCCTGCGCTGTGTGGGCCGACTTTAAAAAGTCCATTCTCCCAGAAGAGCATCGATCCACCGCCAGCAGCCACTGTATTGATGTCAAGTTGCGGTGTCTGAATTGTAACTTGAGCAATAGTACTTTCGAATATATGTTCTAATGCCCCGGCATATCGAGCGACATCAGTACTTGTACCACCCACTGCAACATGTTAGTGAACGTCGGTGGAATGAATATATATCAACGACATCTTCTTACTATCAAAAGCCAGCACCGGTGTTCCATCTTCAGGATCATAACATGTCCTTGACATGCCAACCACACCACCAGCAGGCCCACTCAGCACGCCACGAAGACCAGAGAAATTCGCAATCGAAGTTAGGCCACCATCTGACTGGTTGACAAAGACCTTCTTTGCGTGCTCGTCTCTCAATTCGCCTTTGAACCCCTTCCGAAATCCATCTAAGTATTTCTCGGTCACAGGAGACAGATAAGCATCTGCAACAGCTGACTGACTTCTCGGAACCAGCTTCGCCATAGTCTGAAGCTCATAGGACACAGCAACTTTGAAGCCAAGCTCACGCGCCACTTCTGCCACCGAAACCTCATGCTCCTGGTACGTGTATGAGTGCATAAGTGCAATAGCGACCGAGCGATATCCTCGGTCCCACAGAGCGAGTAAATCTTTCCGAACTGTTTTCAAGTCCGGAGTACATAGGACACGAACAACTTCACCCGTCAACCCCAAATGCAGATTCTCATCGGAATCAACATCAATCGGCTTTGGACTGGGGTCCTCCGAGAATCCTTCAATCGTCACGCGCTCATCAACCTCGACGACTGTTTCGTATAGTTGACGGAGTCGTTGAACAGATAGGTCGAAAATATTGGGTCGAGCTTGATTTCCGATTTTAAGTAGGTCGCGGAAGCCCTTCGTCGTTAATAGTGCGATGCGATCGCCCTTGCGTTCGAGTAGTGCATTTGTGGCGACAGTAGTACCCATCCGGATAGATTCGACCGGGGTCAAGTCTAGGAGCGTTCCACGAGGTATCGAAGAGCCGCTCGCGGTTTCGAGAATTTGGCGAATACATTCTGTCGGAGCATCTTCGTATTCGGTTGGGGATTCGGAAAGAACTTTGAAGATTATGTCTGAAGAGTGGCCGGGGATCTGAGCCCAGGCATCAGTGAAGGTACCACCTCTGTCGATAGCAATACGAATTCCAGATTGACTCATGTTGAATAAAATGGAGTAAGGGAAGAACCAATATGCCCCTATGGATCCGGAAAGAAGACAAGCAGTTTATATCTACATCGTATTGAAGTGAGGGGTATGAGGAGAAGTCGGTTTCGGCCCGCACTTTCTGATCTGCAGATCTATCAATCGCCTTGGTTTCTTTGCTTTTACTTTGATCACTTGCGTGAGTCCTTGGCAACTCCGCTTCATCTCGGCTAGTAAGCTGTCAAGCCGATAGGTTACAGATAGAAGAGATAAACCGTCGGGAGGTAAAGCAGACACCCCGCACGGCAAGTATATGCCGATAAGGATGACAAGTATGGACTTTGGGCAAACCTTAGAAGGTGCTTGGCCAATTCAAAGTGGACATTAAAAAGCTGAGAAGGTATTTTAGAGTTATCTATCAGGTACCAGCACACTGAATCATGGTATCCTATCTCAGATTTTGAGGATGCTGCAGGGCCATGACCATTTAATAGGGGTTCGTTCCAAAAAGTAAGATCTGTGATTGCGGAGTTTTGCTGCATTTTAGCAACATATTTCATGTATATTTAGAGCATCTCATCCGAGGTCATTCTGAACCGAGCGCAGAAGTTCATAATCACGAGGATCCATCTATATCCTCGTTGAGAAATAGTAGGTCATCAGTGTCCTGCCAATTCATATTCCATTCCATCGGGTCCCATATCGAGAAATCGAGATCCAAATTCGACTCTGCCTCCGGTGGAACTCCTCCTGCCGCGGCTTCCCGGTAATCGCGTTCAGTTTGTGCGGCCGCATGCCGCATGTTTGCTTTGATCATGCCTCTGGCCGCAACATCTGCAACAAAATTGTTAGCCATGAATGATTCGGCTTTGCCTAAATACGGCGTATCTTTGTTCCAGTCTTCGTAGTCGATCATGTTCTCGATGATTCGGCAGACTCGCATGCAGTGATTCCGTCGGTCATTCGCGGTCTGCGACATGTCCCTCATGAGTGTGAAACTTTGTCTGATGATATTTCTGATACCCGCCTCATCGTAAAAATCACTGGGCGCCGTCCCAAGAATGCGTAAGAGAAAGAAGACTGCGTAGCTCGCAGAGCGAAACACATGGAACGTCCCTCTGATCAGTGCGTCGGGAAATGTAGTCAGCACGACCAGGAGCTGTCTCGCCGTGATACTGCTCTGGGTGATGATTTCATTTTCTTGGTTAAAGGTTCTCAGTGGCTCGTTCTTTTTCTGGTCGAGAACATAAGAGTACAGGCTGAGCCGCGCGTCAAGGAGTGACACCTCCTCGGCAGGAGACCATTCGCACGCGTACTTATCTTGTATCATGGAAAGCTCAGTTTCAAACACCCTTACAAGCGGAAGAGGATCAGCCGTAAGCCCGGTGGCCGAGGTCTCACATTCCCCCAGGGCAGTCGAAATCTTCGAGGTGACGACAGCGATATGAAGTTGAATCATTGTAATCGTTGGTATCCAAGGCATCGAAACATTCAGGGCGTGAAGAACTGTGTGGTCGATCCTGATGGAACTAGGCACACCAAACCTTGCGGTATGCCTGCAGAGTAATTAGCGAAGCTCGTGAACAGTCGGGAGCATTCTTACCATTGATCCACGATAAAGCAAGCCAGCCAGGTTACCGTCCGAGTTTCCATGGTTCCAATCTCTGATGCCTTTGCAGCAAATAAAAGGAATGGATGTTTTGGACGATGCAAACCAAGAGACCGTGCCATAGAGATCGCGACAGCTCCGTACATCGAAAATGGCTCCTTGTTCATATCTTCATGGGGAGAAGACCAGACACAGAGTAGAAGTAGAGCTTGAACAAGGTAGATGGACCGAGTACCGAGGAGGAGGATGTCTGCTACCAATTGCCTTATAAGAATTTGCAACCGGGGGTAGTCAGATGTATACTTCTTTGAGTCTTTGCTCGCAATGCCCAATACACTCCAGAACAACAAGGGCGCTTTCTCGTAGCTATCGACTATAGTAGAAGGATCAAGCAACAGCGGGAACCTTGGATGTGTATGAGAATAATACCTAAAGAGTCATGAGCGGGAAGGACATAAAAAGACTACTGACTTGCCGTACTCTTCTAGCAATTCTGCCACAACACTAGATGTGAAGTTGACACCGGTAGCATCGTGGACAAAACGAACAGATCTCCTCCCGCCGATGCGCAATTCAGCAATGATGCTTGTTAAGGAGGAATCCGAGCCACGTAAAGGACCATCCGGTCTTGATGACAAATTAGTCGGCTCAGTACCCGAGGCTTCGGAATGGGGTGTCCTGTATGCAGGTTCCCCTTCTTGATATGCATAGCGGGGTTTAAGACTATGTTCGATTAGAGTCAAAATGCTGCATGAAAGCAATGGATGGGCTAGCATTACCCTCTTTTGGATACCCTCTTGAACGTAGGGTCAACAGAGCACCGCTCACCTGCTTTTCCGCAAGCCGAGCAAGGTGCGGGGAATTTCTGACTGGCATTACATTTCACCTGATGACACTAATTAACTTTCCAGCCGGCGGAGTTGGCTCCAAGAACAAGGCCCGGAGAGCGCTCTGATTCTACCTTCATCTGGCGACATCGCACACAAGGCACGCCGGCCCGGCGCGGTTTGATATGAGAGGTCGGATTTGCATGTGAGCGAGCCGCTATAGATTGAATGTGCTCCATTTCAATAAAGCAAAGGGCGGAGGCCGCTGCTACTTCGAGGTTGACAATATAGTGAATGTCCAAAATTAGCTAGCTGTGAAGTCACGATAGTGAGCTTCTATCAACCGGTCAATTGACAGGCAATTTCATCCAAGAATAAACGGCAATATGGAATCATGGATGCCTGCGGCTCCCGGACACGACGTGTGTTTCCAGCTGATCGGCACCGTATCCGGCCAGTTTCGCTGCATGTAGCGCGATATCGCTGGCACATTTGATTCGCTATCGGGGGTCGGCCCCCACTATTACATGATTCACCATCCACCCGCCATGGGAAAACACCACTATTTGCTATTAATACTGTTCATAAAGACCCCTGTAGTGAACCTAAGATAAGATAACTCGAGTCATGGCTGTTGAAATATACTATTGTAACAAGAAAGACGTAGTGTGGTTTTCTCTTGAGGCGGGTAGTAAATACGTTCCGTGAAGTAAGTATGATCCTTCTGCATTCAAATAAGAGCGGTTGCCTTGCACAGTGCCGATGGGTTTGTTGCTCATGGTTGCCGGATCATGCTCTGACCAAAAATATCTCAAATTCTATTGTTGATAGCTGTTGGAAAATTGCAGATCTCCGCTGAATATTCGCTGGATGTTCGCTGGGTGTTGCCTAGCAGACGCCTTACATAGTACGCGAACCTATAAGATCCACCCAAGATGGATTTAGTGGTGTCAGCCTTAGCAAAAGGGAAGGCTCGATGCTCAAGATCATCCGCCGTCCGCCGTCCGCCGTTTCCGAAGCATTGGGATTCAGCGCCGATGATCAATTGCTGAACACTTGAAATCCCTGCGTCCTACTCCACCGAGTCTTTTGAAAAGCGCTCACAGTTATACTTCCAATTTTTTCACAGCCATATACCATCCCCAGTTCCAACATCGAAATCACCATCTAACACCACCACCAGCCTGGGTATTCATGACAGCGGGCTCGGGTGTGGAGGAAAGACAAAGATTCCAGAGTCACGAAAGATTGTATTTCAGGGAGCTGGCAGCGTCGGTACATCACGATTCTACAGAGCTTCGATCTTTGATCATCTGTGCCGATTGGAGCTCTGCATCAATTTCGACCTCTTGTAGCTGCAGGAAACTGTCAAGGGCTCCCACAGGTTTCGCGATCACTGAGGCGACCCCATGTGGCTTTTAACTAGGGCTACCTATGCGACGCTTGCCTTCGCGTCCCTTTCGATCGCTCACGGAAACGGAAAGTCAATGAATAACGATATGGCAATCAGCATGGATATCCACGCTAGTTCCAGCGCAGCTGCTGTAACAGCTTCCGTCTCACAAAACGCCCAAAGTGAAAGTTTCGCGAGCTACTTTTCCTATGGCCAGCACTCGAGTACCATCCTGACGCACATTGCGCTCATGATTTTAAGCTGGTGCTTTATTCTTCCTGCAGGTGAGAGAAGTTTGTATTCAGGCAACTTTTAAAATTGTGACTAACTCCGCTCCAGCCGTCCTACTTAGCATTGGCCGCTCGCGTCTTGCGCTTCGGTCGCAGTGCTTGTTCCTTGTTTTAAATGCCCTCGGTCTACTCTTCGGAATCATTTATAACAGCCAGACTCCCAATTTATACGAGAACAATGCCCACCACAAGATTGGCTGGATCGTGACATGTATCGTCAGTGGGCAGGTTGTTCTTGCCTTGATATTTGCAAATGCTGGTCGTGGCGAGTCCAAGCAGTTGCAATCGAGATCTTTAAATCGTGATACATTCCTCCCAATTACCACAGATGAGCACGAATGTCTCTATCCTACTAGAACTATGCACGAGTACTCCAGGTACCGTGACGATAGCCAGGGAAATGAATCTAGTTCCTCAATTCGCAGTCTTTCATCGCCGTTCTACGAATTGCAAGTCGAGGAGGATGACTTTGAAAAGCCTGAGGAGCCTCATCCGAGGCCTTTTAATCTGCGTGGCTGGTACAACAGTTCTATTGTCAAAAGGTTTATCGCAAAGTGCGCGCCTGGAACTATCTCGAACCGTGTCCTTAGCATTTTCAATGGCCTATATGATGCGATTGATCGGATCATTCTTCCATTCGGGTTTATTGCTATTGCCACTGGAGCTGTTACCTATGGTGGTATCTTCCATGGTATCGAGATATTCAACGGCCTCGCGCACTTTATTAAAGGAGGAATCTTCTTCTGGTACGGTATCCTCACACTTGGACGGTTTATCGGAGCCTGGGCGGACTTAGGATGGGCCTGGAATAAAAAGCCTCCAGCGTGTGTTGTCGGCTGGAAGGCAAAAGTTCCTTCAGGCGAGTTTGTGGAGTCGTTCGTCATCTGGCTTTATGGTGTTACCAATGTCTTCTTAGAGCACCTAGCCGGCTGGGGGGAAGAGTGGACTGCGAGTGATTTGGAGCATGTCTCAATTTCTATCATGTTCTTTGGCGGTGGTCTTGTCGGCATGCTCTTCGAATCGCGGTATATCCGCAATGCGCTTAACGATACCCTGCTACGATCCCCTGCTCATGACTCCGAAGATGAGAACTGGGAGGCCCCCAAATCACAGAGTGTCCCTCTTAACCCGATGCCGGCTCTTATCATCCTGCTCCTGGGTATGATGATGGCGTCACACCACCAGGACAGCATGACTTCGACTATGGTCCACAAGCAGTGGGGTAATATGCTCATTGGATTCGCGATTGCTCGTGGAATGACATATTTCCTGCTTTTTCTGCGTCCGCCGACCTCGTACCTCCCGGCTCGCCCTCCCACAGAGATCGTCGCTGGATTTTGCCTTATGTCTGGGGGCCTCATCTTCATGCTGAGTGTAAGTGATTCCCGCAAATCCCAAAGGGCCACCTTACTAACATTTAATAGGCCCGGCAAGTGATTGAAGCCATGGAGTCTTATGAGCTGGATGCCATGTTCACCTTTACAGTGGCCTTGGGTTTCACAGCCTTCATTATGTCGCTGGTGGTTCTGACCATCACAATCAAGGCATGGGCGGTAAAACGCGAGCGAGCACAAGAACAACGGTAATACTCTAAATGATGGGAAGGAGCGATCAAATTATAGAAAGCGTAACTTTCGAACTGGATGGTATTTAAAAGGCCGAGACATAGAGAAAGGAACAGGGGAAACAAGAACAAATGAGGGGAGGAAAAGAGAGAAGTTGATCATTATTCACCACACGGCCTTCGAGCTTTTATATCGGGGCTTGTCTTCTATCTTTACATTTATGTCAACCCAAATCGATTAAATTGACCAGATTCATTATAAAAGTTCTCCCAAAATAGCGAAGCGAGCAACTGGCACCAATTTGGGCCAAAATTTCAATGACAGATGTGTTATTTCAATGCATTAAAGTAAGAATATTCATTCACGTTGATATCTTTGTGATGTAAAACTAAGCTGGGCCTCCTCTAGTCGCCTATCCTAGCGTATATGCGGGCCACACTGAAGCCAAATAGCACTTCTTTCAGGAATATTGCCTCCAGAGTCAATAAAACATATTAGGACTATTAGGGGCGTTGAGTGCACGCATTGGCGGACCAATCTCAAGACATGCCAGGTCTATAGATAGAACCCCGTCGGGCTTTTTTGCACAGTCAGGTCAGTGGGAAAATCTTTACTATGCACCAGTGGATACAATCTTACAAGGAAGGTTTTTGTGCACAAGTTCCAAATGACGTCTCAGACTTGGTTATAAAGATCATCTTCATCACCTTGGACGTGACCTGGCCGATGCCGGCTCAGCCAGCCTTGCACGTATGTTCGCGCACGATATTGTTCATCAAGATCTTGAAGATGATTGTTCAACAGGCATAACGAGAACATAACCATTAACGCGACTATCACTGCGACGCGCACACCGTTATGCATGACGAAGGCAAAATAACGTATTCAAAGACCTGTTGCAAACTGCGAGTGTGTGTTTCCCGCGGCAGGAAGCAGTGTCCCTCAATAGAATATAGACTAAGCTCTCGATATCGCAACGTATCTGAGAACTTGGTTGATAATAGGCAGCAAGGTAAGGACACGCAGCTAATATTGTTCTGATATGCATTCGGATAGGGCGGCAAATCTCTGTTGACCACTCGACTGTCAGCAGTACATGGGCATTGATTGAATACTTGGATGTTCTCGGCCGGTCAATCCAACAGCAGCAAGGAATTCTCGCCTCTTTCGCTCCACTCCACCAAAACGCATGTTTTGAAGGTGCCATAGGCCAGCGTCTTCCGTGGAGCGGCTGACTTGGCATCCAGCGAACATTCGGCGATCATCCAGCGAACTTTCGGCGAACTCTCAGCGGACATTCAGGCCAGCAAATTTATTACAATATTGCCTCTGCGTATTCTGTGTTGATTGTAGGTTTATTATTTTACTCTTTGGATTCGTTTCATTCCCTTCCCACTTGGTCAATTCTTGTATATCCTCTCTTCCCGTTGGCGCTCGAGCTTGGGTTCTGATATCTTCACCTCTTTTGAACTCGATGCCCGAAAGCTAAAACCTACCAATCACTTATTACCTACGCGATTTCGATATACTCAAGCCTACAAGGCCCGCATAGTAGCTCGCCGAAGTGATTTGGCTACTCCCGACTTTCGGTTCAATTGACTTGACGCATTTGTTTCCCGACTCAACCACTCTTAACTATCATCATGCGACGCGCTCTTTTGATTTTTATCTTAATCAGCCTCTTCATTATTACTCTCCTGGTTCGCAGTGTTTCGACACTGCTATCGCTACTCGTCGAAAATGCCGCGGCCGACGCGATTCGCGGCGCCGAGCTACCCTCACCAAACTCCACCTTGATCGAACAACTTCACCAGATAATTCCCAAAATTATTCACCAAACTTACAAAAACGACACCATTCCAGAGGTATGGCTCGATGCCCAGCAGACCTGCATTGACCTGCACCCAGACTATGAGTATATTGTACGACTCTCGCGTGACCCGACCCAATTTCGTACTTACCATTGTTTTAGCTGTGGACGGATGAAAAGTCGCGCGACTTTATTGCCGCCGAATATCCCTGGTTTCTCGAGACTTTTGACGGCTATAAATATCCCATTCAGCGCGCAGATTCAATTCGTTATTTCGTTCTGGCACACTACGGCGGAACATATATCGATTTGGACGATGTATAGTCCTACCTAGCAATAGTCCATTTCATACAAATGATCTAACTCTTACCAGGGCTGCAATCGTCGCTTAGATCCCTTGCTCGTTTACCCCGCGTGGGTGCGCCGCACCGTACCAACTGGTATCTCCAACGATGTAATGGGTTCGGTACCCCAGCACCCATTCTTCCTGCGCGTGATCGAATTGCTCCAGCAGTACGACCACCACTGGCTCCTCCCCTACATCACCGTTATGTACTCGACCGGGCCGCTCTTCCTGTCGGTTGTCTGGAAAGAGTACATGCAGGACCACCTGTCCGAGACGAGCCGTGTCCGCATTCTTATGTCGGATGAGTACCAGAAGCACTCCTGGAGTTTCTTCACTCACCACACTGGAAATAGCTGGCATGGCAAGGATGCGCGTTTAATTTTCTGGGTTAGCATATTCCGAGACTCCAGGCAGTTCGATAACCACTAACATACATAAGATGGGCCAACACTGGATCTTCCTCACCTTTTGCGGTTTCTTCCTCGCCGCTGCCATGGGCTTCTGCCTCTTCTGGACTTATGGTCGAATTGTCCTCTTAGGGGGCCAGCATCGCTACCGCTACAGCAAGGTCCCTTCAATCGTCAGCCCATCCGGCTTATCATCTTCGCCTTCACGATGCGCGCGTCACATGGTGTACGCATTGCTATGGAGAATAAGCTCCAAAGGAGACGAGGCCACCAAAACCTTGTACGGATTCGGTGACGTCAACGCCTGACAAATCTGCAATTTCTATGCAGTTTTTGTATCGATATATTATTAGACACGATCTTTGTATATTTACAGCATTGGGTGTATACTTTGTCTTTTATGAGCGCTACATGCATTGTCTCGAACCTGCGAGATCGGGGATTGGTTGCTTTCTTTTGGAGCATTTTAAGGTTTTTATCCAACCTTCTATGTCCACTTTCATCTACCCTGTGGAGAGTAGTAGAATTCACAATGTACTAGTTTGAATATTTGTTTAGAGATGGAGGAAAAATTGCGCTAATGAGGGTTCACAGGGTATGGCGTTACCCGTGCTTAGATATAGGTACTCAGTGAGTCCGTGAGCAAGCACGGCGGGAATGGTAAATACTAAAAAAAGCTCGGGATGTATGTTATTTGGGTTCATTCCAAGGTTGCTTTGTATTGATTTGTATGCTCCACATTATCAACGACTTGTTCAGTAGACTCGCTCCAGCTCTGTGCCTCCTTTTCGAGGTCACTGTGGATCGCGCGTCCTAGGGAGGACCAGTCATTTCCAATACAGGGTTATTTGTGATTGTTACTAAGAGAGATTAAAAAGCCGGACTTCACAGTTCATTAGGCCTACCTGAGCATGTAGCAGCATGCCACAACTGTATTTTCATGCAATAAAATTCGACATTGACCCAAGCCCATCGGTTTAAGAATTCGAATTTGGAAACATATTAAACTAGCCTCTGAGACGATACGAAGTCATGCCCTGCAAGAAAGTGCAGGGTAGAAAACAGAACAGACGCTTGAATCACAGAAGGGCCAACGCATTGGGTGGACTCCCAACTGCGCCCGGCACGTTGAGTGGCGCAGACGTAAGAAGAAAAGTGTATTTCCCAAGGGCTTTGCACTGTTCAGCAAGACCTTTCAAATACCACAGCTCACCAAGCGGAAGACCAAACAAACTTAGACACCACTGGTGTAGAATGAGGTGTGTCAAGGGCTGTTCGACACCATCGATCATGGGGGGCATGGCCTCGACGGCAATATTGTCACTAGCCACCGCTGTAAAATGCTCATTCCAAAGCCAACGAGCCATCTCTTTACTTCCATCCAGTCCGCATGCCTGGTAATTGGCCAGGGAAGCTGCTTGCTCGTCACCAGTCATATTTCCCAATGCTTCTGTGACGCCGAAGCGGACGATGAGAATGTCTCCGGACTTGAATGTGACTCCTTGGTATGATGCGACGGCTTCAATATCGGGGACACCTATGCGGAATGCGGAGAAGGGGCAATATTCAATTCCTTTGGCTTCTGCGTATGATTTGAAGTCGATCAAGACGCCGCGTCCGGCAATACAGCCGCGATCGTGCCAGTCTGCTATTGTCAGGCATCTGATAGGTTTCGGCATATATACCAAGACTGACGGTTTAATGTTGGAAGCTTCTGCTTCGAGGAGGATGGATTCTGCATCTCCTCAACAATTGGCTTGGCACCATTGTATGCTGTGCCAGTTGGGATGTGTAAGAAGTGACCTGTTGATACATTAGATGTTTGTTGTTCTGGCAAGTCCATCAAACCTACATAGGCTATCCCATTGACTGCTTCCCTGGGTGTTGAACTCAACCTGATGATCATTAGACGAACCAACACAACGAAAAATGAAACAGCGATGCATACCTCGTCATCAAATCCGTAATGTAAATTGGCCTCCTTGTCTTCAAGCTTAAAGACCCTGTGCTCAAGGCTTTTCCGGAAAAATCCAGAAATCTTGATGCTTCCAATAGGCCAACTTGAAAGGTTAGCCAGTAATCATAACACCCTTCGCAAACAAAAGTTTTACTTTAGCGAAACGGAAATCCCGTGGCGCACCTCTGCAGCCGCAGCTTTAACCACATCCAGCGTCAAGAGGTTCAGGGTCCCAAAAACATCTTTTTTGCCATCTTTGTCAAATATTCCCCACGCACAGCCCTGCGGCATGCCATAAACAAGCGGTAAGTCATCGAAATTCGGCAACTGGAGGGGCATCGTGTATTGGTTTCTTTTCTGGCGTACAAGAGTTGCACAATAAACAATTCTCTGCGCAACCCTCTTTCGTTGATAAGCACGTATTGCTGGCTTTCTCAGGTTATACCGCGGAATATCGACGATAGTATGATTAAATCGGGTTATGTACTGCGAGGTTTTTGGTATCTGGGACTAGCGCGTTTTGTAGATCACTGAAGTAAAGCTCGCTGTCAACTTCCCGAAGGAAAGTTCTCCACTTCTGTGGAGCCCTGGAGGCCCTGGATCTGCCGAACATTCGGCTACGGAACATTGCTTGGTCCGTTGGAGCGGGAAGTCAGACGGAAGACGGATGAAAAATTATTTTAATGAAGGTAATTCACAAGTATGAAAATGGATTGGCGCGGATCGGGAATTTGGAAACCGAAAGAAGTGTTTGAAATGGATGTAATGTGGACGAATAAATGATGTCTTGTTATGATAAACAATCTGCGCCATCCACTTTCGAAATCTGCTCTGCCAGAATGTCTTTACAATATGACTCGGAGTTTCTCAAACAAGCAGGCCCTGTGCTGCAGCAGCTGGCTCAATTTCAGAAGCCTGCCCTTCATGACGTTGCAACCAGACGGGCAATGACCGCATCCATGACCAGCGCTCTACCCCCAATTCCAGACGACATGGAGAGAATCCTCCATCACGTCCCATCAGAAGATGGGTATGAAGTCAATGTCTATCATTTCCGCAAGCGACATCAGCCTGAAGCAGGTGGCGACCCTGCTATTCTTCATATCCATGGCGGTGGCTATATCTCGTTGAGTGCAGAGCAGTGCTCCGTGCCACATATCAGGTCGGTGTCGAGTACTGGAGTGCAGGTCCTGACAGTTGACTATCGGTTGGCTCCCGAAAACCCATATCCAAAACCACTCAACGATTGCTGGGCAGTGCTCAAATGGCTACATGCGAACGCAAGTCAACTATCAATTGATCCCGCTCGCATCGCTGTCATGGGAGAGAGTGCCGGAGGTGGCTTGGCTGCTGCATTGACACTGCTGGCCCGAGACACAGCGCTATCCCCTCCCATTGCAAAGCAAATTCTTGTTTATCCAATGATTGATGATCGAACCAATATCAATCATGCGGGTCAGTTGGTGTTTTGGGACGAGGTCGATAACAAGACCGGGTGGACTGCATATCTTGGATCTAACGCAGGAACTGAGAACATTAGCTCTTATGCTGCACCGTCTCGCGTGGAGAGTGTGGAGGGCCTTCCTCCGCTATATATGGACTGCGGCCAACTAGATATGTTTGTACATGAAGGGTTGTATTATGTACACCGATTTGTGGCAGCCAATATTCCCACGGAATATCATTTGTATCCTGGTCTTCCGCATGGATTTGAGGCGATGGCTCCGTCAATAAGTTCCACAAAGAAGGCCATCGCTAACCGGGAGAGAGCCATGACTAGTTTTTGATTATAACATATAGATAGTGAAAGGAAGATGGTTTTGTAGGGGATTTTTTGTTTCGAGGCTAAACGTGCCATAGCAGTCGCAATATAGTGAATTAAAATTAGCCTTTGGACTTGCCAGATGTGCTCGGCTAGAACAATAGACGACAAGACACGGGAAATGGAGATGCCGGGTCCGTGTGGGCCTGCAATGTTTATTAACAGTGGGAATCCCACTCGGAGCACTTTGGATTCCAAACAAAGTTCATCGCCTCCAATTTCCCCCTCATTTGAAGCTTCCAATCATCAAGAATGACTTCTGTTCTACGGCCTGATATGAAGACTGTCAAGGACGCTGTTGCCAGTCGCGTTGCCATTGTTACTGGCGCAGCAAGAGGCATTGGATTCGCAACCGCTTCTCTCCTTGCCCAAAACGGAGCACGAGTAGTCCTGGTCGATTTGCGCGAAGACGACTTGAAGCAGGCGTGTGAACAAGTTGGATTTCAATCTACCTACCACGTATGCGACGTGAGTGACTGGGATCAGCAAGTCGCCCTTTTTGATCGAGTCGAATCCACTATCGGGCCCATTGACCTCCTTGTCTGTAATGCCGCCATCAATCCTGAGATTACACTTTTGCAAATGTCCGACTCGGTGGAGCATGCGGAAATGGATAGCCAGGTCCGCTACAACTACCTGGCCGACGAAAACAACAGAGATGATTCCGCACTCCGACGCCCATCAACTCAGCTGTTTGACATCAATGTGAATTCGGTCATTTTCGGCCTTAAACTTGGCATTCATCACATGAAACAAAATGGAGGAGGTCGCATTGTGGTGGTCGGATCAGCTGGCTCTTATGTGCCCATCTCTTCGCAGCCGCTCTACGCGGCTAGTAAGCACGCCGTGTTGGGATTGGTCCGCAGCACAGCGCAGATCGAGGGGGTGATAAAAGCGGGAATTTCGATTTCTTGGATTGCGCCCTGGTTGACTTTGACCTCCATGGTAGAGGGTCTGGAAGCAACAAAACAACCTAATACCCTGAAGAGCTCTCCGGACGATGTTGCGTGGGCGATAGTGGCTGCGGCTGCGGCCGAGAGCCCAAATGGCAAGGGTTATTGGGTGCAAGGAACCGCCATTAGTGAGGTGGAAGGGGCGTATTGGGAGGTTGCAGGCCGATTGATCAGTCCGGAGAATCGGTTCTAGATTCCGGAGGCTGGATCGTGCATGGCGCATGAAATGTGATATCAACTGCACCTGACCGGGGAATACTCCGGTCATTCTTGTTTGCAACTCTAGGTTTGTTTACGCGTCCCATGTATCTTTTCCACGCGACCACCCTCGATTGTGTTGTTTCTTCCCCGCGACATAGACGATGAAAATTGAATTTGCTGATAATTGTCGCATTGAAATGAGTTGCAGCCCACCGTTCCCGCACAGGGCGCTTGGCCCCTGCGTCAGTAGTGGAGCCGATGGGGAAGCCTCGATTCCTTGTTTGCCATCTTCCCAACCTCTTTTTCCCATCAGCGTGCAGTGAGATGAACCTCCTGCTTACTTTATTGGGAATCCCGAAAATTGAGACACTAGGTTACCGAGGAATATACTTTCATCCCTAGAAATTGAATATGAACCTTGAGGTATTTGGAGTTGTATAGACTACTAAGTGCCTTTGTTTACTTAGGTTATCCTGGCCTACTACGTAATAACACCGCGATAACAACCTGTGAATTTTGACACCATGCAAATTCCCTCTCGGTGGCTCCATCGCTCAATTCAATTTCCATAGACATGGCATTCAAGCCCAACAGAACAGTGATAAGGCTAAATATAGGTTGAGGGTGTATAATCTAGTTCCGAATGCGGGGGTCATCCATTATCGTCAGCTGACTCGCCCCTCGAGTTTTTCGTGATCGTCATCGATTCATCTCGGCCTTGATTATTTTTCTTTCATTTCAATCACGTCTCTCCATCTCTCGGCTGTTCCTCTGTGTGTCGTGTTTCCCTTCACGGGAGAAGACGTTAAACCGTTAACTCGACGGGTCTTCTACCCACACGCTAAGGCCTTTTCGGGTTTGGAGGCTGAGACACGCGTACTTGCAACTTTTTACGCCGCGATTGGAAATCCATTGCGGCCGTTTGCGACTTCCCATCTTGAAGGAATCAATGGTCATCTCCGACTCCGGTCCGACCGAGAGGTCTGGCTTGGCTCTGAAATTCCAGGATAGCAATGTTCTCGCTGCAATCAACGATGGCGGTCGCCCGGAAAGTCAATCCAGTGTGGACGGCGGCCATGATTCCTGGCGAGTAGATTCTGCAGCTTCCGTATTGATGCCGCCGTCGCCCTTGCCTTCACTGCAGATTCGCACCGATTTACCCAGTTCGCGTCCTATCAGCTCGCATCGCGATTCCGATCCTTTAGCCTCACTCAGCGTCTCGTCAGGTAGCTTCCCACAGCGTACTCCAAGCTTACGCGCCCTCATAGCCCCGCCCATCTCTAGCGCAGGGTCCTTGTCCCCGGCGTCCTTCATTTCTTCACCACAGCTTAATGCGATGGGCGATATTACCCCACTGCCTTCTCCCATCGGCGGGGCATCACCTTGGCGCCGAGGCGAAGCCTCGCTGTCGCGCACGTCATCCTCGGCATCACGGAGTGGATCTAGTCTTCGATTAAGTGACTCGTCGCAAATGTTGGCTCTTCCGCCCTCGCGATCGCACGGAAAATCATATACTGGGCTCAACGATCTAGGCGAAGAATCCCCAGTCGCCAATCGAATCCGATATGAAACCCCTTCCAAGCATGCTCGCAATCGCAGTCTCAGTGACTATGCGCCTCCCGGTCGTATCTCTCTGCCTCGTCCCATCGCTGTTTCGGGGACCGGTCCCAATATCGCACCATCATCTAGCACCGACTCAAAGTCGACGGGTCTGCATCGCGAACAATATTTGGCGGTTCATCGGGGTATCGCATTGCCGTCTGTCCGTCCTCCGAGCCCACCCCGCAGCAGTGGGAGTGGTGGCTATGGTGACAGCGACACAGAGCCTGTTATTCAACACCCGCCTTCTCTTTCGGCTTCAGATGAAATCTATTCTGTTCGGTCGATCCGTACCCAGCAAGCGCGACTTTACCGGAAACTACGTGTTCTTGGCCAGGGTACATTCAGTCAAGTGAGTCTGGCAGCGCGTGTTGAACAACCAATTCAGACACCCTTATCGCCCTCTGCCGATGGAACAGCCGACATGGGTCCGCCCGTATCTATTCAGAAGTTGGTGGCGGTCAAGGTTATCGAGCATGGACCCGCTGGAGGAGCAGACCAGGAGCGGTTAGAAGTCTCACTCAAGCGAGAGGTCGAGATTCTGAAATCAGTGAATCATCCGTCCTTGGTTCAACTGAAGGCGTTTGGCAGTGACGAGAAACGCGCACTATTGGTTCTTGACTATTGTCCTGGTGGCGACCTCTTCGAATATGCTACATCCGGGGCTCGCTCCTCATCACCCAGCCTCATCAGGCGCATATTTGCGGAGCTAGTCAGCGCGGTCCGCTATTTACATTCCCATTATATTGTGCATCGGGATATCAAATTAGAAAGTATGTGTATTTTGGTGGCCTGCTATCGATAATCCCACGCTAACACTACTTACCAGATGTCCTTTTAACCTTGCCAATCCATGCTATGGAGGACGTTAAAGACTGGCGTACCTACGACCGCGCAGTTGTCACGCTCAGCGATCTAGGACTGTCACGGCGTATTCCAGAGCCTCCTGAGAGCCCACTGCTCCAAACTCGCTGTGGTAGCGAAGACTATGCGGCCCCTGAAATCCTCATGGGCCAGTCTTACGATGGTCGTGCTACTGACGCTTGGGCTCTGGGAGTGCTATTGTATGCTATAATGGAGAATCGTTTGCCCTTTGATGTCCTTCCTGGTACTCGTGGCGATCCTGCCAAACTCCGCGCTCGAACCCCTCACCGTATCGCTCGCTGTGAGTGGAGTTGGTATCGGTATGCCAACGCGGATGAGGAATGGGACCCCGAAAAGGGTCGCGACCTGGAAGGCGCTCGCGATTGCGTGGAAGGCCTTCTGAAGCGCAATACCCGTCGCAAGACACTTGATGAAATCGCCGCCATGCCATGGGTCCGAGATGCCATCGATGTTCCTAATGGTTTGAAACGAGGCGACAAGGAAGTGCCGTAGAGCCGGCCTCGCATGCATTCTTTCCGCCTAAACTTTGCTTTCTCGTGTTCGTTTTTTTCCTCCTCTTCTTCATCTTCACTTCCTCTTCTTCTTCACCTTCTTCACCTTCTTCATCTTCTCCTTGATTCCATACATACATATTCACCTTTTTTCTCTACTACTAACTTCTATTCTGTCGTGATACTGATTACATTCGCTGCCTTTCGGACTTGAGATCTCTTGATCTTTTTTTTTTTCTTCACTTCGTGGCTAGATGAGCTGTTATACCCATTTATATACCGTCATTGGAAGCAATCTCCAATAGACGCCTTTTTACAATAACCATTTGATACAAGTCGCTTCGTTCCTGCTCTACTAGGATAAATAAATTGTATCAAGGAACATCTCAAGGGGAAATGATACCTATGTCCGGGTCGGCAGTCTCTGGGCCGACCACTACGGTCGTGATAAGCGATGCCTTGGACGAGGGGCGAGAGGGGCTAGAACAGCCCTACGGAAGGAAGGAAGAACAGCAAGACAAACGGAGATGGATTCCCTACGCGACCAACCTCCATGAATAGGCTGAGCCGGGATTGTTTGAAATACTTTGATTGAGGAGTTCGCCATGGTCAGTAAAGCATAGGTTCCTAGTCATAGGAGATGTATAATATCTTCCGCCGCAAGTCACACAAAAGAAGAATCTTGCGGTGCGACCTTTCGATTCTTAGCTCTTCTTCTCGGAAGCCACTGTTTCCCCGGTGAAACAGCGCTACGTGCCGTTTCAAGGTACTTTTTGTCTTCCTCTGGCATCTCCTTCTCCGCCCAGGGGTTATTGATTGGCATTCCAACTGGTACATCGTCATGCCACAGCAAATTATCAAGAGCCTCTCGAAGTCTATCTGCCTGAAATGCCACAAGCAACACTGCAGCAATGATGACGACCGTAAATGGAATAGACACCGTCCAAAAAAGCGTCTGAGAGCTTTCCATGTTACGGATGTCATTCGTGTTCATACCAAAGTATCCCGTCACAAATGACAGCGGCATGAACACTACCGTCATGATGGTGAAGATCATAATCGCCTTGCTTTGATCTTCTTGACGAACTTCGACCCCATTGCGCGTCTGAGTGGCTATTGATTCAAGCCTGTCCAAGAGGATTTTGATCAAATTGATATCATCGTTGATTCTATCGAGAATCGTACCAAGCCGTCTTTCCTCGAGTTCGAAGGAAGAGATTCGCGACTGAGTTGTGATGCGGAATGTGGATGGGTTTAAGACTCTACGGTAATTCTTGAGAGTTTGGCGTTGCTCGTCGGCAATCTTCTCGACCATCAGAAGCTCCTCGCGGACGACGTATATCTCCTGCATTAGACGCCTGTTCGGACGTTGGCCGGCTTTGAATTGCTAATATTCCCAGGTATGATTAGTGAGATGAACCCCCAGAGCATCTGTATCTGAATTTGGATACTAACTAGAACTTGGATGTATTTCTCGTATGTGTCAACTAGGCTGACAGGGTTGCCATGCGAGTCTCTGCATCGAATATCCCCCATCACCTGAGCTATCACCAAGCTGGGACTCACAGCTTCATAGCTCACGACATCGGAATCTTCATTGGTGAAGGTCATGAGAATGATATCTCTTATGGCGGCTTCCATCGCTGCTCTCGCCTCGAACGCAGAGTCTGTGATGTTCAATGAGACAACTGGTATGAAGGAGGATAAAGGCTGATCCCGATCCGTATACTTCTCCTGAGTTTGACATAAAAGCTTCACTGCATGCGCACCTGTCACAACCATCAACATAAAGTGTTGAAAGGCATCAACCAGACTTGACGGAATCCTATACGTGTCCCGGTCAAGATCTTCATTCTTTGAAACGCCATGCTGTATCTGGGATGCCATTCTCTCCAAACTTGAGATAAAATCCTGAAGCATGGTGAGCACGTCCTGTGCCTCTTTCCGGCAACTGAACATGTACCTTTCTCCGTCATCCATGACCCACTTTGATCTGGACCTAATAAGCGCCTTCTTTTCAGAGGATATGTCAAAATGGCACTTGAAGAGATGATCCCACGCCTCAGACTGCTTAGAATATTTACGGGGCCTGCGGCAATCATCACAGCGTGTGATAGGGCATTTGAGTAGATCCAAGTCTTTCTCGTCTCGAAGATCAGCGTGTTCTTTATCGACGATGCTGACTATAGAGAAATCTGTCGTCATCCGGGGACGGCGGGCTCGTGCAGCCAGTTCGAGCATTCGTGACTTGTCGCAAACTTGCGGTACCATCTGAAAATAAATTAATAAACATTAGCCAAGACAGGAGACTGTTTAGTTCATATATACCGTGATCAAATCATGGATCGCCCCCCAAAATTTGTCCCCTACGACGCATGGGTACGCCAAGGGCACGAAGAAATTGAACAGCCGGGAAAGACTGCTGACTACTTCTTTCAAGGCTGTTTCCCATGGTGGGAGTCCAGATGCCACCTGAACTTGTCCAACAGTAGCGATCATTGAGAAAGAGATTGAGGCCCTCCACCGTTTCGTGATGGCCTTGTCTACCTCGAAAAATGACATTTCGGTTGCCTTTTGGTAGGCTTGCGTCCTAAGCTGTTTGGTCGAACCTCGTAGCTCGCTATCGATGTGGGAGGAGACATGTTTAATGATCTCCTCCTGAGTATTCTGGGCGGGTTCCTCATGTAAGGATTGCGCGTTCTTCTCAGACTCTGGGTCGGTATTTTCTATACTTGGACTTTCAACCTGTAGGTCTGTATTCTCCCTCTGCTCAGATGACCTTTTCGTTACTGGCCAGGTAAAGACTGGCGGAAATCCCGTGCTGATTGTTGGTCTCTTTTCAGCTGACGATGAGTCAGTGGACACAAGGGATCCGAATGTCGCAGCTCTTTTGATCGGACGAGTCTCGCCTCCTCGGCTTTGTCTCTCATGAATGTTATCCCTATGGTGGTTGATGGGCTCTTTGGAGAATTGACCAGCTTTTTCTGGGGCCGGTGGGCTATACAAATTGGGAGCCACTGGCGTGCTATCGGTTGGCCTCCGACGATTGAGCACGACGCCGGCGAAAGGGGGCGGATACTTCTGTGATCTGTATCGCCTTCTATCTCCCGCTTCTGCATCAAAACGCGGAGTCTCATCATAGACTCTAGAGAATTTTTCTTTCCTTTTTCTTTCCTTTGCCGGTGGATCAGGCGATAGCATCTGGACGTGAATGCGTACGATAGCTGATGCGCTACATGTTATGACTCTGGGCCAGTTTTCAGCTTCTATGACTTTCATGTCTGTAGTCAAAAGCTCGAAATCGGCGTCAGGTTCGTATAGGGGTTCTTTGTACTTTGGAGGTGGGCAATAATCGTATTCATTATCGTATTGAGGTTCTTTGGGCTTTGTTCGCAGGCAATTTTCTATGACGTTGTGTCTCATTGCCTCGCAAAAAGTGTTATTCTTGATGAAGTCACGAACAGTAGGAATATTGGCTTACAAGGAATGTTTTGCACAGCTCCATAGGAAAGAAGAATACGCGCTGGCGTGGATCAACAACACAAATGACTGAAGGAGAGGACGAATTCTCCGTTGGAGAATCCATTATCCTCAAGGAGGGGCTTCCTTGGTGTATAAGAGATATTGGGGCGCTGGTAATGATAAAGCCTGTTTTGATTAGTTTCTTCCCATCGGCGACTACTTGTTTAGAAAGGAAACGTACGGAAATTCACAATCACAGCCCACATTTGAGGAACATGCACGATATGGTCTTGTGGGAACAGTCCAACCTTTCGGATTACTTGTTCCTGGTCTCGCTTTTTGGTCGAATCGAAGTTGTAATAGTACTGCAAAAGAGTACGAATCTTATCCCCCGCACTGCGGCGAGACTGGGTTGCAGCTTCCGCTTTATGGATGGAGTAATAGGGGAAGCGAAGGAAGATAGCACACTTCTCGGTGGTGACTTCATCCCCAATTGTTGAATTAAGACCAATGCAGCGTATCACGTCGTTTGGTTGATTCGATCCTACCACCTTGGGATGTGATTTCCGCATTAGAGACACAACCAGTGCCTTGTCTTCGGCTGCCAAACTCGGCACATTTAATGCAAACCGCTATTGTTGTAATTAGCAGCGGCTATACGATTGATGCTGTTGACGGTACCATAAAGTCATCAAAACTCCTCATCTCGGTATCCATGTGGCTACAACGCCCTAATTAGTTGATTCTCAGAAACACCTCGTGGAATTTCTCTTACATCCATGAGAACTGAGTATCTTGATCCACTGTCGGCTCTGATCGATAGAGAATTACTTTGCCATACCCTGGCATCTGAGAACTCACAATATCTACCCTTTGAGTTGCATACTTTCGGTGGGCTGGATCAGCTCTAAATTCGCCAACGGATTGCCTAACGCTGGGGTGCTTGAGATTCACATCAAAGCTCAGTGAATCTGATAAAGCAATAATCGGTCCTCCGTTGGAGCTCAACGAGTCTGTGTAATCGAACGCCGGTCTTCTTTCTTCTTCCTCGTCATAGTCCTGCCGACTCGGCGATTCCTGATCTGTATCGTTATTCGGGTCGTTATCCGGGTCCTCAATCCAGTCATCTTCTCTTCGTGATGTGTCTGACACGGCCGAACGAATGTATTGAGGACCAGAGTCCCCTGCTCGAATGTTTCGAGTGTGTCGAAAAAGGTCGTTTTGGAAATCCTCTGGGATCCATCCTTTGATGAACAGGTATTGGGGTTCTTTCTGAATATCAAAAGCCACTTAGCATACGTGAAATTCCCTCATATGTTGAAAATCGCAATTGAGCGACGAACTAACCTGATCCCATTCCCATGGTAGCTGGTAGGCGTTCAAGGTGTCTGGGAGCAAATGTTTCCTATGGATCTTGCAGGTGGTCAGATTCAAGTAATCAGCAATGGCTGTTGAGAGAGTATTTGGAAAATTTTGATACTCTTATCCAAGTTGGCGTTTCCTCCTGATTGTGCTCTTGGCTGTCGTGCTCTTCGGAGATTTGTACCCGATGCGGGGTACTCTGTGCTTCTTTGCTTGCGCTCCTTTTCGCACCTCCTCCCTCTTCGGACATCTTCAGGGTTGCAGGTTTTTTCTTGGAGAGAATTCAGTAGAGTGAGCAGTTTTTCTCTGAAATTAATCAGTTTGAAATCAAAGTTCAATTGTGACAGAGTTTGAGTGCATGGTCTTATGCTGACGAGTGGGGCTGACAGCAAGGCTGACATTGGAGCATACCTATTCTGGTGACATACCCCAAAACCCAAGTCGCGCCGGATGAAAACCAAGGGAGAAAACGTTGAAGTCAAATATTCTGTCGAGACCTGCAGTTCAGATATACTTAGTAATAACACACGAAACGCGCCGCTGGTCAATTCATAACGTTCCAAACTTAGACTGGAACCAATTGTACGTCAATCATTACCTACCTAGCCTGGGAATATACAAAGTCCAGGAAGAACCATATTGAAAACAGTACATTAATGAGGTCAAAGAATAAAGCTTTTCTTGAGATACATGTTCCCAACAATTCGCTCAAACGTGTGCCCATATATATCTCAATCCTGCATAGCTGGCAGAACCCCGGCCCACGGATAATAACGCATCGTCGTTATGACCAGGTCTTGTTCCAACTTCCATTTTGCCTTCAAACTTGACTCCAGTATTAAACATCGATGAGCGAGGGTATGCGCTGGCTCTCGCCCGTTATGATTCTTGATTATATCCCCTAGAAAGTAGTTTTGGCGCAAAAGGTTGGAGGCTTTGTCAGTGTGCTTGTTTTTGTCAGCCGTCACAGTAAAATCCATTTCATTGCCTATGATAATCAATTCCGTGAAAAAAGGATCGAACCCGCAGCCAGAATTTCTCCTTAGTTGTGAGAGCCTGTTGACAATAGTGGCAGATTTGCATCGACTTTCGAGGTTCGTCTATGTCATCTGTATTTTCCAAATTTGAGCTTTGAATTTCCGAAAGGTGCTCATAAAACTTTCCAGGCCGCTTCTGTGGAATTGGAGAGGCCATTTAAGGAGATGTGCAAGAATATAGTATTACTTAGTTGCAAGATTGCACGCTAATGATAACATTTTAGCATTTTGGAGTACCCCGAACTAGACCTGATCGGGCGTGATTTTCAACTATGTACTTGCTCCGGACCTTACATGGACACATAATGTAAAAAGTACGTCAATGCCTCGAGTCCTTAGATATACGTCGTTATGAATGTATGCACTGACGTTATGCAATCGCATATGTCGATGTGTAACTGGTACGGTACCTTAGTCATCAAGGCACGACTGTCCCAAGCAGGTGACTCGGTGTCGACGGCGACTTCAGATCGGAGGAAAGTGCGAAATGAACAAAGGGAAATTGAGTTATACAGATATCTCTATGCAGTTGACCATTTAATGATAGTGTTTATGACTCGTAGGTCTGCCGTGCGGACAACGATGACATTTGCGGCTCGCAGATTGGTCAATGTGGAGGTGGAACCGGGGAGCGAAGCGTCAACTCCGACTTCCTGAGCTTCCGCCTTTTCTTATTTCTTGCAACCCCGGCCTTCCCCCCGCCATCATCTTCCCTTTCCTTTTCCAGATTGTCCACTGTGGTTCCTCGGTGCTTTCTGATATCTACATAATGCTGCCTCAACTTAGGGCACGTGTGCCCGCGGCTCTCCGTAGCCTGCGATCGGCTGCGCCCGTGTAAGTGCACTACCCCGGATCAATTGGTGTTTTGGTTTGCTAAACGTTGGTTTCCTGCTCGACAGTCGTGCTCTTTCGACTACCCTCCCCCGCTTCCAAAACGAAGATGTCGGCCTTAACAAGGTGTCCAGCCACATCACCCAGCCCAAGTCCCAGGGAGCTTCCCAGGCCATGCTGTACGCTGTGGGCCTCAAGGAGGAGGACATGAACAAGGCCCAGGTCGGAATCTCGTCGGTCTGGTTCAATGGTAACCCCTGCAACATGCACTTGCTTGACCTTAACAACAAGGTGCGCGAGGGTGTGCAGGATCAGAACTTGATCGGTTTCCAGTTCAACACTGTCGGTGTCAGTGACGCCATCAGTATGGGTACCTCTGGTATGCGCTACTCCCTGCAGAGCCGTGACCTGATCGCCGATTCTATTGAGACCGTTATGGGTGGACAGTGGTACGATGCCAACATCAGTATCCCCGGTTGTGACAAGAACATGCCTGGTGTCGTTATGGCTATGGGTCGTGTCAACCGCCCCAGTTTGATGGTCTACGGTGGTTCCATCAAGCCCGGTTGTGCTGTTACCCAGGGTGGTGAAGACATTGATATCGTCTCTGCCTTCCAGGCCTACGGTCAATTCATTGCCAAGGAGATCACTGAGCCCCAGCGTTTCGATGTCATCCGTCACGCTTGCCCCGGTGAGGGTGCGTGCGGTGGTATGTACACCGCCAACACCATGGCCACTGCCATTGAGACCATGGGTATGACTCTGCCCGGTTCCTCGTCCAACCCTGCCAACTCTCAGGCCAAGTACCTCGAGTGTCTGGCTGCCGGTGGTGCCATCAAGAGACTGTTGAAGGAGGACATCCGCCCACGTGATATCATGACCCGCCAGGCTTTCGAGAACGCCATGGTGGTTGTCAACATCACTGGTGGATCTACCAACGCTGTTCTGCACCTGATTGCCATTGCTGACTCCGTCGGCGTCAAGCTGACCATTGACGATTTCCAGGCTGTCTCTGACCGCATTCCCTTCTTGGCTGATCTGAAGCCCTCTGGCAAGTATGTCATGGCTGATGTCCACGAGATTGGCGGTACTCCTGCTCTGCTGAAAATGCTGCTCAAGGAGGGTCTGATTGACGGCTCCGGAATGACCGTCACCGGTGAGACTCTTGCCAAGAACTTGGAGAAGGTCCCCGACTTTGACGCCGACCAGAAGATCATCCGTCCCTTCTCCAACCCTATCAAGCCTACCGGCCATATTCAGATTTTGCGTGGCTCGTTGGCTCCTGAGGGCAGTGTTGGTAAGATTACTGGTAAAGAGGGTACTTGCTTCACTGGCAAGGCTCGCGTTTTCGACAGTGAGGACGACTTCATTGCTGCGCTGGAACGCAGTGAGATCAAGAAGGATGAGAAGACCGTTGTTGTCATCCGCTACTGCGGTCCCAAGGGTGGCCCCGGCATGCCTGGTATGTGACTGATTCCTAGTTCCTGTTGATTACTGACTAACAAACCTTTTCAGAAATGCTCAAGCCCTCTTCTGCTCTGATGGGTTACGGTCTTGGCAATTCATGTGCCCTGATCACTGACGGTCGCTTCTCTGGTGGTTCTCACGGTTTCCTGATCGGCCACATCGTCCCTGAGGCTGCCGTGGGTGGACCCATTGGTCTCGTTGAGGATGGTGATGTGATCACTATCGATGCCGATAACCTGCGTCTCGATCTCGATGTGTCTGACGAGGTTCTTGTCGACCGCCGCAAGGATTGGGAGGCTCGCAAGGCCGCTGGCAAGCTGCCTGAGACTGGACTGACCATGCGCGGTACCCTGGGCAAGTACGCCCGGACTGTCAAGGATGCCAGCCACGGCTGCATCACTGACGCTGTAGAGTAAATGATACCTTGTTTCTTTCGGGTTACCCGAATATGAAAAAGCGATGTATTTGTTTGGGCGTCTGTGCTATATAATATCATTTCAATACGACTTGTTCCATTTACTTCAAAAATTTTTACTCACCTTCTTTGTTTTCCAATTCGATTTGCCGCTTTTCAGCTGCTAAGATTCGGGGTTTGCAGATCGTGCTGCAGGGCAATGTCTGCCGGTGACCTGATTTGCTGTGCTGCAGGCCAACACTGGGGCTGTGCGCCCTGTGCTTTGGCCTTTCATCACCAATCGCTCCCGCTTCCTTGTCTGATTGTGGCGCAGACTTTCATATGAGACCGATCGCAGCGGGGACCTGCATCGACCTGCGTGCTATGAGTTCTTCTTGAAATCCTGGATGTGGGTCCCTCTCCCTTCTTCAGCTCCGATGGTAACATCGCACCTTTGAGGTTTTAATTTTAACCACTCTTCAAGCTCCATGGTGCTTCGTCCATCTTAATCCTTCCCCGCGATGGATTCGGTAGCTGCTAAGTCCTTGAACCGCCTTCACTTTCATCTGCGGACAGGACAACATCCTAGCGGGGTAGCGGATAATAGCCACCCGGTTTATAGATTACCGGCGGGTGCACACTCCGTCCAGGGTATCCAAACTACGCATCCGGGATCTCCAGGCCCATACTACAATGGACATGGCGTCTCTTCCATGGCCCATCTTCCCGCGCGGATCTCAGCTCCTCCACCACAAACAGACTGTGCAAAATGGAATTCATACTCAAAAGTGAACCAGTCGGTCTCGAATATCGTGTCGCATGCAACGGAAAAAGCCCATGCTACGATTGTGGATCTTGAGAAACTAGTTCTACAGTGCGTGGGCGGGGCGCCGAATCCACAGGAACCTGCTTCACAGCTTTTGGACCAAGTACTCACTTCAATCGATGCTGGCACTTTCTGTGGAAGAGAAAATGACCTTCGTAGGCTCTGGCCCTGAAGCTATGATATTACTTGATCACTAACGTCAGTGTTGGCAGTTGCTGCATGTTCCATCCCATTTCGATCAGGTCCGAAAAAGAAGAATCGTCGCGAGACTCGGACTGGAAAAGAGAAGCCGTCAGGATCTGTCGACTATTTTTCGAAGGTTTATCTATTTGCGAACTCTCGGATGCCTCCAATATTGCCTGTGATTAGATTGTATGTTAAAATCGCTTTCTTGGCCGATTTGACGCTTCTGACACATCACTAGCTACCCTGCAACATATCCGCTTCTTCAACTCGCAGCCCAGTATTCACGCCGAGTTTATGAAAAGCCAAATGGAAGGGAGCGACACTCATATGTGAGTTCCGATTGGCGCCATGGTACCAAAGCAATGGTGATAAAGTCATTGCCCGTGGACAACATGAACACCATCATTTTCTCAATCCGTGGCACTCAAAGCTTCATAGACTGGGCTGTGAACATGCAAATGGAACCCGTATCCCCTAAAGGCTTTCTAGACGATCCTACCAACTACTGCCATGCCGGTTTTCTGTCCGTGGCTAGAAAGATGGTTGCACCTGTCGCTGCCCGATTGCGCGCACTCATCGAAGAAGACCCCAGTCGCATGTCATACTCGCTTCTAATAACTGGCCACTCTGCAGGTGGCGCAGTCGCTAGCTTGCTATACCTGCACATACTATCTATTTCTCCAGAAGTCTCTTCTGAGCTTACTCATCTACGGGGCTGCTTTAAGCATATTCATTGTGTTACCTTTGGTGCACCTCCAATATCATTTCGGCCACTCCTTCTACCGGGAGTTCCCGAATATTCCAGGTTCATTTTCTTTTCTTTTATCAACGAGGGTGATCCAGTTTGTCGTGCTGAAAAAGCATACTTTCTCTCATTACTGGATCTCTTTGCCAAGCCACCACCAGGATCAATCCTCTCCTCAAAGCCTCGTCCCGGATCGATTGTGTGTTGGCCCGTTCCTCCGTCTACGCTTTCAACGGCAGGAAGACTGGTTCTGCTTCGTGATAAGACACAACCGAGTAATCGCCCAGAAGCACATCGTCCCCGCAATGACGGCGCTCCTCCCCTTCCACCTCGTGAGGATGTCGAAGCTTACGGGATCACTGATGCGGGGCTTCGTGGTGTGGTCTTTGGCGATCCCTTGACGCATTTTATGGATCTATATGCTCGACGCATTGACATATTGGCCCGGAATTCTGCAATCATCAAACCAAAAACCAAATCTTTCAATTTCTGAGTCGCCTGCTACGCGTTCACAATTGTGCACTGAGGTCAGGACTGAGTTCGTGTAACAATAGCTAGCTTGTAGCAGGAAACCATCGGTCATCTGATACTGTACCCTGTCGTCGGGTATACCTTGAGTGGGGCTGTGTGACCCACTCCATACATCGGAGCCATTTATCAATCAGATGGCCATGAGATCTTACCAAATGTACCATCATATGATGTCCTACCTGGTTGGCTTGGGGCAGCAAGTGAAAGTCTCCCACTTCCACAGCCCAAAATCCGCCTTTATACTATGGTGAAACATTTCCCTAAACGCAAGAGATCATTGTGTCTCATTCATCTCTTCTCATGCGACTCCCAGTAGCTCGATTTGAGTCAACAAAGCTACTATTTTGTTCATCTTAAATCCGGATACCTGCCTGCACCCTTCAATGGGATGGTGCTTCGCAAGTATTGCTGATCGAGCTTTTTTACATTGAAAGCTAGCACGTGGATTCGCTGGGCCTTTTATCAACTGAATGGTAGAAATAATGGCATGAATGCACGTCTATATAAGCTCATCAAGAAAGGAAACACAATCGTTCGATCTAATTATGCATGAATGGATCTACGCGCATAAGCCAAGAATCAAATCGTCAAATATACCCATCCTTGATCTCATAGACTTTTCATCGATATAACATTCCAAATCGCACAAATGTGCAACCATTCACCAAGTCCTCCGAGTCTTACTCCACTTCACCATAAATTCCTTCTTCTCCTTAACTCCCAATCCAACCCTCTTAACACGTCCCAATCTCGCTAGCGACTCCCCAACAAGATCAAGGAAAGCCTTCTCGCCCGCAGTCACCCCACCCTCAGCTTCATCATCAAGCGTATCCAAATAATTCGAGTTATAAGTTGACTGCCGGTTAGACCGCGCAGGAAGAGCATCAATCGCCTGTGAGTTCGTAACATACTCCGCAATTCGCACACGGATACAATGCGTCGGCTTGCTAAGCAACGTCCAAAGGAAACTGATATAGCTGCCCGGGAGTGGGGTCACCACGTCCGCGGGTGTGTAGCGCAGACTAACGGGGAAGACTTTAGTCTTTGGTGGGACGCCGAGGAGAGCATGGCTCAGCGGAAGGATACCACGGCCATTGGTTGTAGTGCACTCGGGGAAGATGACGATGGGTCTGTTGGGGTATTTCGCGACGAGAGTGGCTACGTCCACGAGTTTGGTATCAGGTTCTGGTTGCGTTTTGGGCTGTGCGAAGGCGCGGAGAACAGCTTGTAGGAGAGAAATACGTTCGACTTGTCGGGTATTTGGGTACGCGGCAGTGAAGACAGGGTCGAAAATTGCGGCTAGGTAAACGGCGTCGATGGGGGAGGTGAAGGATGAAGCAATAATGGAGCTGGGTTGTGGGAGGCGAGCTTGCTGTTGCTTTGAGAGGGATCTAGAGATGAAACGGTCAGCCTCTGGATTGTATTGGTGAGCTTTCAGCTGACGCTTACCCTTTCTTGACTCCGTCCACTTGTAAGTCAATCCACCAGATGCTGGGAACACCTAAGATGCACCATAGTGCGGCCTTTTTGCCCAGGGACCCAATGGGAAGCCATTGGAGAACAACAAAATACGCGAATGTGACAAAAACGAAGAAAGGCAGACGGAAGCAGAAAAGGAAGATTCGAAGAGGGGCCTGTAAGCCTAATGACTCGGATGGAATGGGGAGGAAGGGCGCAATGCCCGAGCCTGGGGGAAGCCTAGGTCAGTATGAATGTGACCCACCACAAAGGCCATACATACCTCGATCTCGGAACTGGGAGAATTTCTCCATTGCAGCTGCTGGACGAGAAGTGTTGCACCTGCCAAACTTGGACAAAGTTGGGGAAAGCTTTACATGTGAATGGCCACGTGACCTCTGTGCCGCGGTAACGATGTTTTGATCAGAACTCCATGATAAGCCCAAGGAAAAAAGAAAACAGAGATTCGATAATAGCGCGTATATATACATATGGAGAAGAATAGAGAAAGAAAGAAATAGCTAGATGATGGGCCGAATCCATGTAAATAAAACCACGCCGAAACACCAGGCAAAGGTTATCCGAGATCTATGTGCAGGTATGATGATCAATGATCGGTATCTTCAAATTCTCCAACCACGAACTCCGGATCCGAGGCACGGCTGGTTTGTGGAAGTCGAAAAGCCCAGATAGCGGCAGCTACCATGCAAAATAACGTGCTAGTCATCATCCAGGCCAGTCCAACCCATACGCCTCCTAAACGAAGACCGAGCTGGAAAACTGTGGTGATGGACACACTGGCTACAACGTTGCCCATGGACTGCAAGACCTCGATGACTGTATACAGCCGGGCAGTCTCATCACGCTCGACCAGGGTAGTAATGATCGAACGTGTGAGGAAGACGAAACCAGACCCGGATGTCTGGATGATCATACTGGGGATCAGAGTGCCGATAGTGGGCGAAAGACCGATTCCCAGGGTTCCAAGGGTAAGACAGATGATGCTCGCGCGAGCAAGGTATAGATCCCTCTCCGTGGACGAGCGTTTGGGGCTGAGATAGTTTTTCTTGAGCCAGGGCAGAACAAACAAGAATACCGGAATGGATACTGTAGGTCGGAAGGAGACGAGCAAATTGGCCTGTGCCAGGGTCCATTCGTATCGTGTCGAGATATACTGTGTGAGGAACCACGAAGAACCGCGACTGAGGCGGTAGACCAAGAAAGCGGTCAAAAGAAGTAGCACAGGTTTGCGGTTCAGGATAAATAGGTATGGTTTCACGTAGAACCGGTAATTTGAGCGAATCCTCGTCCAAACAGAGGGGTTCTGATGGGAGGGATAACTCCAAGACATGTGCGCCTCATTGTTCAAGCCAATCTCCCCGTGCTCATCGCTATATGGTTCGCCCTCGGGTTTGGGAGAGTGATTCTTGGGTTCATCCTCAGTCAGGTCAGAAAGCTCGACATGGGATGGCTCTCGTCGGCTCGGTGGCCGGACATGCATGGTTTCGGGGAGACCAAACATCAATAACAGCCCAAGGAAAATAATGGCATGTCCGATGAAGAGCGGAACCCACGGATTTAGGGACATCAAGTAAGAGGTGAAGGCACTAGAAAGAAAGTCGGCCCCCATAGAGACGATACCAAATTGAAAGAATAGCGTTGCTCTGCAAGTCAATTAGTTCCGGAATCCAGCACATCCAACCGGGAATAATTACCTTTCTTCTTCTGTTGTGACATCAGCCATCATAGTCCAAATAATCGCAAACGCAACAACCGGCCCCCCGCCGAGCAACCACGCCAGCGAAGAGAACCAGATTGCCCGTAGTGGGAATATATCCGAAAACCACATGACCGCGAGGACGATAACAGAATTGAGAGCAAAGCCAGGCATGCCCAGGAGGAGAGTGTATTTGCGACCTCTCCGATCTGCCAGCAGACCGTAGGGAATGGCCAAGAGCGCACCTATTGTATAGTCAGAACATGCCCTTGACACCCGATCAACTCAACTTACAAAGCAACCCGTCAAAGAACATGTTATATCCCTTCACCGCAGCCAACTCTGCTTGTACCTCTGCTCCCTTACACATTGCCTCAGGTACCTGACCATTGGCCCCAATCTGACTCGGATCGGTCACGGAAAAGAACTGACGACACGCAATCGACTCAAAGATCCGGACCTGGGGGCCCTCAATGAAGGAGAAGCCGATATCCACCGCCAGGATCATGGCGAACAGAGTCACCTTCAGCCGGAAACCGATCCTCTGAGCTGACACATCGTTTCCGAGCGGGTGAGGTTTCGCTTCGATGTGAGGGCGGTTAGGGGTCGACGGTGATTGCGGTTCGGGGGCGAGGAACGGAGCATCTTCCCGATCCTCGCGTTCTAAATTATGAGCCGTAACCATGGTGGCCGGTCATGCCGAGAAATAGAAATATATACGGAAGATTAGAAAGAAGGAAAGAAGCACATGGTGTCGGTATTACTTTGGTTACACGGGCCAAAAGTGCAAGTTGGCCGAAAGTTGTCCAATCGTCGCAAGCGGCTCCGTCACGCTGTCCTTGGCGGGCGCGCGTCAGTTCGGCCCCACTCTGGAATACATAATCGAACATTAATTTACATTAGTTCGGATGAATATGTTGATCAATATGTGCATTCAATACTATATATTTCTAAATATATCCTGCTTCTTCGAAAAGACTTCCTCGGGCTTGTACCACGGCAGACAATTCCAGCAAAAACTCGTACAGAATCACGATGTTGGTGAGAACGTGGCCTAGTGTAACGGAAGATTGCGTTTCGTGATCTGCGTCTGGCGTGGGATCCACTTCCGATTCGGGTTGTACGGGAACCGGGGGAAAGGGCATGGCTAGCCGCTGGCGGAGAGCCGTGGGGTCCGACCCGCGAGAGTCAATTGGGCGCACAGACGACTCGTCCCGCATTCCGCTAGACATTCCAGGCGACTGCCCCCGCGAATTCGAGGGCTCGGATGATGATCCGGGGTATGAGGGGCGCGAGCGGTCTGTAGATGTTGGGCCTGTCTCAGCTGGCTCTGAGGATTCCGGCATCTGAGGATCTTGCTCTTTATGCAGTAGCTCACGGCGAGCAGCGATCAGAACATCAAAGTCGGGCAGATCTTGTTTCCACTGGCAGACTTGCTCTACCAGCCGTCGAAGTGCAGCAGTTAGAGTTGGGGCAGCAGTTGCAGGCCATGTCGGTGCTCGGTAAGCCTGGCAAACGTGGTCAAGGCCATCTGAAGGAGCCTCAGTGGAAGGGTCGTATTGGGCTGGATCAACTAACACCCAGCCATCTAGGGAAAACAGATGAGATGATGCTAGGCTCATAAGCACTCCGGTGAGTGCCAGGTTGACGATAACGCTGTTGGTGAAAAACGAATCAACGCAGTTCAGCAACCCCTGCACAATGGGATCATCTTGTTGAAGCTGTTGGGGCAACGGGATATCATCCTCGGCCTCCTCAGCTGACACAGGAAGGCAAAGGCGTGATTCGAGCACCCATGTCGCATCCGAAACGTAGTTGTCGTAGGATTCATTCAGTGTTGGTTCATCGATGACGGATGTTCCAAGGCCAAGGAGCTGTTCAAGCTCGGCGTTGAACGCACCGACAGATCGCTGCTGAGCCGGCTGACTGGATACGGTGTGAATAAGGGCTCGGGCAAATGGATGGTGCCGCTGGAGAACAACATTCAATAGACGTAATGTTGCCAAGACGGTCTGTCGGTTTGTGGATTGAAGCCCCATGAGCGCGAGGTCACGTAAATTAAATAGAGAAGGCGAGGGCTGAGCTGCCTCCGAAGCCAAGGCTGCCAGCACATTGAGAGATTTGCGTCGGCTTGCCGACATATCCATTTGCTCCTCGGGTGGAGGCGATGAAGCCAATAAGAAATGCAAGATGCGGTGAACCAATTCACCCTGATCGATTGAGTCCAGAATGCGGCACATGTAGGTCAACACAGCTGCTGTTGAACCGCCCGCCACATCGGATGATTCTAATAGTGAAGGATATCTTCGGAGGTTAGCCCCAAGATGGGTCCAGCGAATAAGGGATGCTTACAAGAGTTGCTCGAGAAATAGGACCTGGAAATGATCCAGGAGAGTGTCATTGACTTCTGCAGACTTGCAGTGGTCAATGGTATCCTGCCAAAAGAGCAGGTATGACATAAACGCGTCCATAGCTTCACCCAGAGCGGGCTGAAGAGCCGTGACTTCGTTTGCATGGTCCGAAAGTGCAATTATACGAGGAGCCTCCTCGTCAGGCGATGGGAAGCATAAGCTATGTTCTGTCAGTCTCTCTCTTCGTATGACATAGCGTTAGATACCACTCACCTGCCCAACTGGCTGTATAATGCACCCAATCCGGTTGCCATCAGCGTTGCAAGGTCACTTTCAATTAACCACTTTTCTAAGTTTTTCGAGCGTGATGCCGTCTCAATCAAGTATAGGAGCCCAGTCCGCGCAAAATCTCCCGCCCGACCCTCATTGTGGACATAGTCGACAAGTAGATAGAACAATGGGAATTCATCTTTACGCGTCGCGCCTGCAAACTCCGTCCCACTCGGGCCTGACGACTCGCCATCCTGGCCGATGGGGGTGGCTCGGGGGCCAAACCACGCGGGCAGAATAGTGGGTTGTAAACGAATATTGTTGGAAATGCCAAATAGCAGTTCCACCAATCTCCCTTCGACCTCAACTGAAGATTTATCCGCTCGCCGAACGAGGTCCACCATTGCGCGAGCAAAGAGCCGGTTGTCCACCACGCCATCCACCTCTGCATCGATAAGGGTATTGAAGAAGGTCGTCGCCGAGCGCAGCAACCGGTCATCGTGGTACGAAAGGGCTAACTTTGTGACTGTCACGAATATCTGGGAAGATGCGGCATAGGCCACGCATGGATGAGGAGCTGGTCCTCGAGATTCATCGCTCAAGATCGAGTTGAGTTGTTCGATGTAGGTACGCGCGTGCGAGATTGGCTGTTCGCCGGAGGGGGTATTGTTTGAGCGCCATATTTGCTTATTGCATCAAATGTCAGTTCCATGACGAATATGCGGTGGAGGGAAAAGGTACCTGAAGAGCGTTGCAGGCGCGTTTGAATGCTGTCAAGCGTTCAGTTGGGGAGGTCGCCCGGGAGGTCTTGGATAGCGCGCGTGAGCCGCCAATGAGACGAGACCACTAAAAGAAGTTAGCAACAGTTTTGCTGGGTAGCTAGCTTCAGCATCACCTACAAAATCCATTCTGTAGCAGCATCATCCCACGTAGTGGAGGGGAAGAGTGAAGTTACGGGGTCGAAGGTCGAAGTGGAGCCGCGGGAAGTCGAGTATCACGACGATCAGCTCCGTGCATTTGCTAGTCCCATCAATTGTACAGCATAAATTCGTACTCGCCTTGATTGTGTATTCTTGCTTTGTTTAGCCATTCTGAGTTTGATGCTCGAGTATCTATAAGCAGCTTGAAGAAGGAAGAATTTCCAAATAGAAGGATTTGATGTTTTGTTTTGATCTCGATATGTTTCTGCAACAGATTTCAAGTCTACTATAAAGGCTAAGCAATCACTTAGAAACCCCGCATATGCGTAGCTCCGAAACTGGAAGATGATGTTGGTTAACTCCCATATGCTCGTCTCGACACAACAGTGTAGTCAAAGCTCTCAGGTATTCATTTCATGGCGCTTGGCGCCACCTAGAGTACCCATATATACCAGGGAGGTCTGGGTAGGGATGTTCAGCCCTGGCATATAAGATGAGATATCAGCAAAAGTCATTCTACGTTTACTCGCGCTGGAAAAAGGTTAAAAGTAGGTCAAATCAGTCTAAGAGAAGACTGATGACCACGCAGGACTGGGCCTGCACGAAATTGAACTATTCACAGAGAATGCGCTACTGAATCGACCCTAACCCACCCAACGCCCCCAGAAATCAGTTCCCGGTGGTAAACCAACACAAAAGAGACAAAGACAAAAATCAAACCGATCATTAAAATGCGCCAGCCCTATCCCATTCTAGGATATCATGAGTCGTTTTCTTTTCTGCAGCGGTATTTTAGTCGCTCTCCTCCTTCGGTTTGCGACCGCCACGCTTCCGGCGGCCGTCATTTTGGTCGCTTCCGTCATCGTCGTGTTTCCGGCCGGCCGGTTGATCGGGCACCTTGGCAATAATATCAGCCAAAAAGTCCAGCACTTCATCCTTGGCGACGGCGTGCTTGAGGTGGCTAGCTGTGACACGTTTCGAGTTGCGATCTTTGGCTTCTTGTGCGGCCTTGGTGACCAAGGAGATCATAAAGAGTTCCAATGCCTTGGCTGTATCGAAGGGTTAGTTTTCATCCAACCAAAGGATCTATATATTGAGGAAAGATGACTGCACTTACACACTGCGATGGGAGTCACCTGGGCCACCTTTCCAACGTCTTCGTCTGCTTGCATAATGCGCTTGATCCGAGCGACGGGAAATTTGGTTTTCACCTCAATCCCCGCGCCGGGGCGCGTCTGTGGGGTCTCATCTAGGATCGGCGCGACAGGCATTGTAGTCATTGCGGGCTCGGGGACGGACGCGTCCTCGGGCTGTAGGCGTGATGAGCGACGGGCCATATCGCCAGCAAAACTGAAGGCGGGTTGGGCAATTGGAACGTACTGCTGTGGGACGCGACTGGAGCTGGGGCGCTGGTTGCTGTTGAAGAACGGGGATGCGTCGTAGGAGGCGCGGTGAGCTAGTGGGCTCAACGGCGCGTGAGGTGGGGGGTTTTCGGGGGGAGAAGAAAAGTCGGGAGATCTTGGTCGATAGTTGTCCTCTGTCATGCTGTAGCTGTGGAGAGCTAGGTGAATTAAGTCATTTCATTTGGCCTGTTGAGTAAAGAAAAAAAACCGGGACGGGACTCGAGGGCGGTCGCGCCCTTTTTAAATTCGCAAGTGGATCTCACCTACAGCTATGTGATTTATTAGCCTTTTTTTCCTTTCTTTTCCTCTTTCATCTCTCTTTCATCCTTCCATGTCACTAGAATGTATAACACTTCTCACTATATCTATATCCTTGTTTTTCCTACTTTCCCCTAGATTTTCACATTTCCTGTCTATGATGATACCTTGAGTCCGGAGGGAGACCCTGATGAAACCGTCTGGTATCGCAGGCGCCGGTGATGGACCTAAAATTACTTGATCTAATCTGAGACTTATGGATATTGATGTCATATTGATATAGAAATCAACAGAGCCCTATTAGTCAACTAGTTAGCTGTGCATTATGTGATCCCAGTTCTAGAATCCCTGACATCCCTTAATTCCGCGTAAATCCATGGCAAGTTATCTACATCGGCGGACTGTTTATCCGGCGCCGACCAAAATCGATATGCGCGCATCTGAACTTCTCTCCCTCTGCTGACCTTTCTCTCTGCCACAATTTAGACGGTCTCGTTGCGACGTCTTTAATTGTGTGCTTCCTTTCTTCCAGCCATGGCTGCGGTGGACCCGCCAGCTGGTCTGATGGACATCGCCAGGTATGCTCCCACCGATTTGCGAACGCTTGACTTGAGACTTACCTAATTCAGCACGCTGTCCCAGGATGATATCCCGATGAAGCTGCGATGCGCTATTTGCAACATGCTGGCGGTTAATGCTTTTCGCCTGCCTTGTTGCGACCAGTCAATCTGCGAATCCTGTGAGTGTCTACACCCCTCGGCCGAAAAATCAAATTTACAAAGTCACTGAACGAAAAACTTTCTACTAGGCCAGTCATCTCTCGTCGATACCTGCCCGGTCTGCGCACATTCTCCCGTCTCTCCGGATCTCTGCAAACCAAATAAAGCTCTGCGCACAACTTTGAAGGCCTATCTGCGGACCGAAGAGAAGAAACGGGAGAAGGACCGCCAGGCCGCGGCGGCTTCTACCCCAACAATTCCCACTCCTGCGGAGAGTGAAAACCCTCCTACGGACACCCCGGTCGATCAGATCGCCATCGGGTCAACGCCGGCAGAGACACCTGAGGTCCCCGCGACTCAGGTAATCGCGTCTGATGAACCTACGTTGGGGACCGAGGTTGCGGAGACGACCGAGAGTGCAGTGGAAAACACCACTCTTGACCTACAAAAGCCGACAGATGAGGTATGGTTAAATGTTCATTATGTTTTGCACGGTGAACTAATTCCTCGAGCAGCCCAATGAGATGACTGGTGAGCAGATGACAGGCCCGTCGAACACTGCGGACGCGAACGCTCCCCCAACCGATGTCGATGTACCTATCTCCGATGGATTGGCCCAGGAGGCGCCTAAGGCCGAACCTACCGCGATGAACATGAACGGGGGATTCGCTGGGATGGGCTGGAACGGCAATGGCAACTTCAACGGCATGAACCCATTCATGGCCAATCCTATGTTCAATTTCCCGAATCCGATGGGTATGTCACCCTCCCACAGATAATTTGTGTCTCATTTACTGACTATTTCTCCAGGTATGACCATGGGAATGGACCCGATGGCAAATCAGGGGATGTTCGGAGATTACGGGATGAACATGACTGGCATGGGCATGAACGGAATGAATTTCGAAGGGCAGGGCATGTATGGATCCTTAGGTTGGGACTCTCAGCAAAACATGTGGCAAGGCGGCCAAGATAAATTCAATCCAAATGCTTTCGCGAATGGCTCTGGCCCTCCGTATGGAGGAGCATTTGGCGGATCTAATATGTCTTACCCTAACGATTTCCAGTCTGGATACAACGGGCCAGGATATGGTCGTGGTGGGTTCCGGGGTCGGGGTCGAGGCAATTTCTACGGCCCTGGTCGAGGTGCATATGGTGGCCATGGACAAGGACACTACGGTCATGCTAACCACGGACTTCCTAACCGCCCTGTCTCCAGTGCTTCAGCGGGACCCAATATGGCCGTTGATCCTGAAGCTTCCCAAGGGATTGAGAATAATGGCCTTGCAGATGCCACCACAGATGGCAATGATGCTGTGTCTGCAAATCCAGCTTCAGTCGATGACCAACAACCACAGGGCATTCCTACCATTGATAGTTTAGACCAGGCCCAACCAATCGGGCCGGGTGGCTATCAGGGTCCCATGGGCCCTGGATACGGCCGAGGTGGCTACATGCGGGGTTCCAACCGTGGAGGCTATTGGGGCGGACATATGTCTCAATCGCATTTAGAACCAAGAAATCCCGGCGTGGAGGGAGCTCCAGCAGCCCCGCGGGCAATGCGACAAGGGCTGCCCAATACTAGCGTCCTGCGACAGCGAGGTTTCCATCAAGGACGGCCCTCAATTAGCAATAGTATGGGAGGGCCCACAAAGAGGTAAGCCCTTTGCGAGACATTTGTAGGTTTCATTCAATTTCTGATGATTTCCACAGCGACCCCGATACTCCTACCCTGCCTGGCGGGTTATCTCGCGACCCGTCTCAACCTCCGCGTGCTTCCCGCTCTCGTTCTCCTTCCCAACACCAAGCTTCTCGAGCTCAATCGCCCTCAGCGACTGCAGCTGACGATGATCGAGGGAGTCGTCGCGATCGCGATGTGAGGCGCCTTATAGAGCGCCGAACCAACTCACCATCTGCAGCATCCTCAAGACGCTCTTCACGCCCCCGTCATCATGACAGTGACCGGGAACGACGCAGTGGCCGTCGATCGCATCGATCACGTCGCCACCACAGTCGTAGTCGTAGCCACAGTCGCAGCCGCAGCCGCAGCCGCAGCCACAGCCACAACCGCAGTCTCACCCGAGACAACGATAGCCGTCAGCCTGACCGTCTTGCAGCGGTTGCGAAGGATGAGCCCAACGGCCATTCTAGATCGTCTGGAAAAATCCACCCCCGTGACCTCGCAAGCCGAATCGGGAATTCTCATCGAACGAGCAGGGATCGGCCCAGCCGTCGTGAACAAGATAGAGATCGAGACCGCCCCCGAGAAAGTCGCCGTGGTGAACATGACAAAGATCGGGGACGCGACCGTCGTGATCGAGACCGGGGAGACCGCACAGATCGAGCAGATCGGGACTCAGGACGAGACCGCGACCGTGATCGTGACCGTCGTCGAGACCGTGACCGCGAAAGAGAACGTGACCGAGACCGCGGAGGCAGAGATCGCGAAAGAGACCGTAAACGTTCCCGCCGTGATCGATCAGAATCCGCGAATACCAGCGATCACTCTTCCCATCCACGAGCCCGGCGTGTCAAACGTGAGACGAACGACCGTAAAGACCGCGATCCTCCAACTACTGCACAAGAGCCCGAGAAAGATCCCCACACTCTAGAGCGTGAAGCGCGAAACCGCGAACGCCTCCAACGCGAGCAACAACGCCGCGAACAGGCTAAATCTGGCAACCGCCGCGACAGTCGGCAAGAACGTGCGGGGGCCGGCCGCCGCATCAATTACAAGTATGACGGTGATCTTTAGAGCTTTAGAGCTTTAGAGCTATGAGGAATGGCATTTCACATCTATTGCATGTCAAAAGTTTTATGGCTTGAAAAATGGCATCCGGCATTGTTTTGCTGGTTTTCTTCTCCCTTTTCACATCTCATTTAACCCCCTGGTGGTTGGGTTCCCGTGGGTTGACATGAAGTGGCTGAGGTGCGTTGCCTCAGATAAATACAGCTAAACCATATTCAAATCAAAAATTATGTACTACTTAAGGATACCAAGTAATTGAGGCTTCCGCCTTAGGGGTTTGTTGCAAGGTCCTTCTTTGAGCTTCACGAGTAGGTCCCACAGATATTAATTCCCACTCCAAGGTTGCCTAGTACGGCCTACGTGGATCACAGTAAGTATGGCTCTTTCTAGACCTCCCCTTGTATTTGGGACTGATGTTCTCTGTGCTGACCCAGATGCACCTTGAAAATCGACTCAAGCCCTGGAGTCGTCATGAATCCAGATAGTACGTGGACACCGATGATTAGCCGCCAGGTCACCGCATGACAGGTCTTCAAGAACCCAATATTTCAAGCTCAGCACAGAATATCATTTAATAAATATAGACTTGATTTGTCTATGGAGTGAAAATGCCATATACCTGGATGCGAGTTCGAGGATGCAGGCTCAGTTCTAATGTTGTTTTTCTCAAGATTCGATTTTAGGGTTTCGGAAGACAGCCGGGCGTGAAGTATATATGTTGATCGAAACCAAAAGGACCATCAACTTAAGTCAACTGGTTTAATAACTCCACCTACGTACCTACTGAGAAAGTATAAGTTGAGGACATCATCCACGCATTCAAGTGTGACGAGTCAGGCCCCATAGAACCGTTGGCAGGAGCCCGATATATCTAGATCTGGTGGCCATTGACGTCATCCGATGTCCAATTAATCTACACAAAGTTAAAAGTGACAACAGCATGATTACCGGTTTAGAGATATAAATACAACACAAATGTCGCATTACTAGCAAGGCCCTTCCGTAATTACTCTTATACAACTTCAAGTTTGGCCGATCAGTAATCATGAGTATCCCGAACATCGCTCAGCAGCCTCCATCTGGCGAAAACATGACACCCCAAGAGAAACAGACCTATGGTGAATGGCTCAAAGAAGCCTACAGAAAGGGCTACGAGAGATGGATGCCCTGGATTGAAGACCAGTATCTGAGATGGTTTGGAAAGGGCGATAATAAAGCGTCTTATGCCACTAAGGGTACGTTACCGAGGAAACCTTGGACGGCGAAGATGAGATGAGACTAAAAGAAGTTTGACATAGACTCGCTCTCCAAAACAAAGGTTACCGGCGTGGATCAAGTTGATCAAGTGCAGGACGATGTGCATAATCTTATTGGTAACCAAGTTGGCGACAAGGGATTATTGAAGCCTGTGGGGCAGTTCGCTTCGAAGGAGGGAATAAACCGTGCTGAGAGGAACGGGAAGGAGGAAGATGGGTCATATGCTGCTTCTGGCCCTACGACTACATTTACAGATGCTGGAGCGAAGGGTGTTGGTAGTATTGGATCTGGAATGGCGCATGGTGCGCAGTCGGCTAAGGATCTTACGACGGGGGGCCTAGCGAGTATGAAGGGTCTTGTTTCTGGACAAAGTGAGAAGTGAATGGGAAATAACGAGACCAATGAGAGGGAATATGGGGGGTTTTTGTTGAACCTGCTATAGTGATTATTTCTGATATTGTGCTTGTTTAGAGTAGGGAGTGATTATTATTCCGTTAGTTGACTTAGTCGATAGCATCTTGCTTATACAATCAGAACGTTTCCATGCCGAGGTTAAATAGGAATTAATCTAAATGTACAAATAAAGTGTTCTAGATACCAATAGAACATGGAGCCTTTCTGTTTTGGAAATATTGATGCCTACCACTAGTTTCGATGAACGGCAAGTTTGTTCTACCATACGCTCTAGAATGTAAAGACAGTTTGCAGAAAGCACCCATGAACAGTGTATATTTCATGTCGATAGACAAGAATGACTGAGACAAATATTCATATACTCCATACTAAGTTCATAGTGAAAAGTCTCTTCGACATCCCACGTGTTACGCCCGCAACAAGTGCCGAACGAAAGGGGTTAAAATGCGTAAGCTCTCGATCTGAGTGGTGGATGACACTCCCGCTAGACCCAAAGAAGCGAACCGAGTCTCTATAATTGGTGGCAGTGGAGTTAAAAAGAGCGGAATGACATCACAAACATCTGTACCTAGATCCGCAACCTCGATTCGAGTCTAGGCGGGATAAGCTATCTCCCCGCTAAAATGTGACAGTTTGAAGAAGTTTTCTTGGCCTTCAGCTCAGGTCTTCGCTGTCTGGTTTAACGATCTTTTTTTTTTTCTTTTCCCTGGTTTCTCTGCCTCCTTACATTCATTAAGTATGTTTTCTTGAGTCACTAATATTTATCCGACCTTTTGCCGATCACTCTCTCCATCATGTCTGTAGAAGACCACGAGATCGCTGGCGCTCAAATCACAGGCGCTCAAATCACAGACGAGGAATACGGTACCGAAGAAAAAGTTTTACAGGAAGATGTGCCCGAGGAGAATGTTACCTACCACGACAGTCCTAGCAAGCAGCGAGTGGTGATCATTCTGCTTGGATTAGGGGTAAGTCAGGGATCGACGGTTTGAACGTCTACCGCTGATCATTTGATATAAAGTTATCTGTTTTTCTTGCAGCACTTGATATCGTAAGTACTTGCCCCTCCTGCCTCTCATCAGAATACAGTAAAATGCTAACAAGCAAAGACCATCGTTTCCACCGCTTTACCGAAAATCGTCGCTCACTTTAAAGCCTCTGATTCCGCCTACTCATGGATCGCATCGTCCTATTTGTTGGCCAATGCCTCATCTGTAGGGCTATGGGGAAGGCTGAGCGATATCTGGGGACGAAAGCCTATTCTTAGCACTTCCATCATACTTTTCTTAGGCGGAAGTTTAATCTGTGCACTGGCGATCAATGTTAATATGTTGATCGCCGGCCGTGCCTTGCAAGGCGTTGGCAGTGGTGGCATCACCGTGATGGCCAATATTTGCGTCTCTGACCTGTTTGACGTCCAAAGGCGCTCTGCGTACCTGGGAATATTTGGTGCGACGTGGGCTATTGCCGGCGCCGTCGGACCTATCATTGGCGGTGCTTTTACGTCGTATGTCACTTGGAGATGGTGCTTCTATATTAACTGTGCGTCCCTTGTCTTCTCCCAGGTAAAAAATTGTCACTGATATCTAGGAAGTGCCCGTTGGCGGTGTGGCTTTCTTCTTCCTGTTGTTTTTCCTAAAGATCGATACCACGAAGAAGACTCTCGTGGACGGTCTCGCATCGATCGACTGGATCGGTGTAGGTCTCGTCATTGCCGGAACGATCATGCTTCTTCTAGGATTGGAATTCGGAGGAGATCAGTTCGCCTGGTCGTCTGCAACAGTTATTTGTCTGATTGTATTTGGAGTCGTCGCCTTGATCCTCTTTGGCATTTATGAGCGAATCCCTTCTGCCCCGATCATTCCATTGGCTGTCTTTGACAACTGGCAGAACGTCGCTCTTCTCATCGTGAATTTCTGTCATGGTGCGGTCTTTATTGGAGGCTGTTTCTACCTCCCCGTTTATCTTCAAAATGTGCTCCTGGAAAGCTCCATCATGAGTGGTATTCTTCTCCTGCCTTTGGTCGGTGCACTAGCTATATCGTCCGGCTTAGGAGGCTGGTACATGCGAGCGACTGGACGTTTCCGGGAGGTCATCATCTTTGGCATGTTTTTCACAACCCTTGGATACGGTCTATACATGAACCTGCAACCCTATGCATCCTGGACGCGCATCGTGTTGTATCAGATGATTGTTGGTATCGGATTGGGCCCGAACTTCCAAGCAACCCTGATCGCTCTCCAGGCTAATGTCAAGACATCTGAGATGAGCCAGGCAACCGCTGCCTTTTCACTTGTCCGACAATTGTCAGCCTCCATATCAGTGGTTGTTGGCACGGTGATTTATAATTATGAAGTCGCCATGAGAAAGGCCAAGCTGGTTGCGGCTTTGGGATACACTATTGGATCGGAAATCGTTGCTGCATCCACTGCCACATCCAGCATCACGAAAGTAGTGCCCGTTGATCAGCGTCAAATCATTTTCGACGTTATCAACAAAGGACTTTCGTATGTTTGGCTGTTTTATCTTTGCATCTCAGCCTTGGGCTTGGTTCTTGCCTGCACATTACGGAACATTCACAAACAATCATCTTAATTGAAATATATACATCTAATTGATAGTTGGTCTTGTACCAATCAAAATATACTCTACACATGTCAACTTTGTGCAAGACCTAACAATATTGACAGCCTTAGAGAACCTAGAAGAATTCCCCATGCCGTTGAAAGGATTATTCAAGTACCAAACTCGTTGTTTTCTAAGAATTATATTGAGCTCTCTACCGTCACCCCGCTCAGCCCACACTCAGGATTCAGCAGTCCTTGAAACAAGCCACTCCTTATCCTCTCCCTGACCTTCTAACCAAGGCGAACAAGCATCATACAACCTCTTGATCACACCATCTCCCAATCCCATGAACCTCTCGAATAAATCCTTATCAAAACGCTGAATGAACGCAAGTTGACAAGCATAAACCAAATCCGCATACCCGGCATTCTCACCCTCAAAAAAGGGACCCTTTTTCCCCTTCCTTCCTTTCAACATCTTAATCAAAACCGCAGATTCAGTCTCAACCAACTTCCATAGTTTATCAATACTCTCTTTATCTGTAGGCCTAACCTCTGATAACGGTTTCCCCAAAGCTTTAGAACGCGTCTCGTGAAAAAACTTTTGGCCGCGCGGATCCAAATGATCTGGTACACGCGGGATAATGAAGGGCCTAAATCCAGGCTCTAGTAGTGCCATTATCTTGAATACAGCGAGGAATAGTGCATAACTCGCGTCGCCGGATGGGAAGAGTGGTGGATATGGATATAGTTTATCGAGGTGAAGGGCGATTGGGAGCGAGTCCATCATTGCTCCGCTGGGGCTTGAGGTTATTGAGGACTTGTGCATGACCGCTGGTAGTGTGTATGGTCTACCTTCTTTATGAGGTGGAACATCTAAACTGGTCATGAGGGCTGCGATGTCCGGGTAGGAATGCCAGCTCTGTGTGTAGGGGATGCTCTTGAAGTTGAGCACTGCTCGGGTCTTTAGCGTATTGTGAGACCATGATTTTGAGGCACCTGATGGTTGTCGTGTTAATTTGGGGCGTTCTTATTGGGGAAGTGCGATTGCGGGGCTGCTTGCTGACCTTCCTGATCGGAAAAGAGGTCGAAGAAGTGAACACAATCTGCTTTGTCTGTCATTGCGAACTTCGATATCAAGAAAAAATAATGTCAAGGTTATTATTGATAGGAACCTCTCAACTTGCTCGATTGTAAGCTTCTCGAAGAGCTGGAATAAAATACCTGTTTGTTAAATACCCAGCTCACACGACACGACAGGGCAGGGTTTGGTGGCGTCAGACCGGAGGCCGGAGACCCAAGCTTGAATTGAGGGGTCAATGCTTTCAAGGAAAGTGGCTTCAGGGATGAACAGGGGGGTGGGATTGGTGGCTCAGATGTGACTCAATCAGCACCGAAGATCTTACTAGTCCTGAGTGTGGGCGTCTGCATTGCATGTTCGGTGATACCGCACGCTAACGAAGAACTACGGCCTTCGTGCCGGCCGCGCCAAGGCTGTGGACTTTGCTACATCGAAAGAGGAGACTGTCGGATCGTGCAGCATGCGTCATAGAGGATATTACCTTACTTTACATGCGCCCGCTTTTTTAGGAAGAAATCTGAGGAGACTAATATCTGAATAAAAAGGCGATCGCTCAAATTGTAAAGCCTATTTGTTTAAGTTTGAAATATTCAATAATCCCTAAAGTGAGTCGTTTTCGTAATGATACATAACAGTGCAAAGAAGCCTCGTCTAGATACTCGTATGCCCTACACTCTCTGTAATAATGGTAAAAGTCTTTTCGGATTCCACCTCCACAGAACAACCCATCCTCCAAGGAGGGAAGAAAGCCCCGTAAAAAGAATCAATGGACCATAGGAAGTCCCATAGGCAAAACGCTGACTCGCCGCTATAGTTCCCGCATTGAGTAACCCGACGCCTGCAATGCCACCACTCACGTACCCGATTCCTCTGACCCCATTGAGTAAACCATAGAGCATCCCAGGATCAACCGCCTCGTTCATCTCGGCAGCCTCGCGTTCCATTTGTTTGAGGATCCCACCCCAAGTAGCGCTGTAACCACTAGAGAAGAACCCAAACGTCATTGAGAACACTATGAGAATACCAATAGCACCCTGAGTCGTCAAGCCCCATAATAAGAATGCAGCAAGAGCCGAGAAAATTGGTGGAATAGCGCATACAACTTGGACAGAGAACGAGATTCGCTTGTTATCACTCAGCCACCCGAAGAAGGATGATGCAATAATGCCGGGCGCGTTGAAAACAGCCAGCATCAGGGTTCCAGAGGTCTGAGATAACATAGCAACATCTCGAGCATAGGTGCTCAGATAGGTTTGAGGGATACCGTAACCAGAGCTCTGGAAGATAATAGCGATACTATAGAAGTAGATTGATCGATGTCGAAGGAAATGCCAGGGGATTTTGCGTGCGCGAGTTTTGTGAATCGAGACTTTCGATGGATGCGTTGGGATCATGACGATTCCCAAGATACTCAGTCCACCCACTATCGCAGTCCAGGCTTTCACAGTTGTCCGATAGCCGTAGGCATCAATCATCGCCCGAAGCATGAATGGACAGCTGGTTCCAACGATATTTTTGCAAGACAGAACAATTCCGTATGCTACAGCCCGATTACTGGAAGAGTACCACTCGCCGAGGGAAAGAGTCGTCGGACTGTAAATGAGAGCACACCCTAATGCAGAGGTAACTCCCTGAGTCGCGAGCAACTGCCAAACAGTTGTGCAGAAAGCAGACGCGAAGAAACTGACGCATGCAATCACGATACCACAAAAGGCGGCGAGTTGTCGTCTATGAGCCCATCGGCGAGTGAAAAGGGCGAAGAGGAAGGGCATGGACAGATACATGACTCCATTTGCGGTTGTGCCAATTACACCGGTAATGCTGCGATCACCTTCAAATGTCCAGTTGTCGAAGTAGTATTCTTGGAATACACCATAGCTCATAGCAAAGCCTACATGAGTAAGTAATGGTAGCCAAAGGAAGATAATGATCCAACATACCCCATATTGGTAGCTGAAGAATTCCAGAGCCGATCAGAACTGATACCTTTGTTTTGTTCGATTCAATCTGGGTCGAATCGACCGGTTCCGAATTCATGACCGGTTGCTCGATGTCAGAGCCATCTTGCGCACTAGCCGTTGGCAGCTCCTGGAGGGAAAACTGTTCGGGTTCTCGCATTTTGACTGGACTGGTGCTAGAGCAGTGTTGGATGTGGTGAATTCAGGTGAGGAAGAAAGCATGATTTCAGAGCGTCATTGCTGCCGAACTCGGCCGTGGCGCCGTACGGTCTTCGTGCCGGCGTCTTTGTTCTGCGGGTCCGGGACCCACTTGCGGGGCTACAGTTACAGTACACTAAATCATGAGACTTAGGTCTTGGCACAAGACAATACTGATGGATTCGTGGTAATTATGGATCAAGCCAATGCTTGAATTTCAATCAAAATACATACACGACTGCCTCGAAGGGAGCAATGCGGCCAGCCTGGTTTTGTGCAGAAAGTGAGTACCCACGGTCAATCCCTTGCTCTACAAAAAGAGGACAAAAGTACCGACGAGCAGAATGCAAATAATCTGCAAGAGATGCTCTTCCTAGTCAGCATGGAATAAAACTTTCGGTGGATGATCATCAACTTGAACACCACCCCGTCTCTTCCAGTCGCTATCATGATAAGGCAACTTCCAACCGCCTTCACTCTCAGGGGTGGAAAGCCAAAGCCGGAGCAAATGCCGACGCGGTGCTGGCGCCGGATGATCTTCATACCCAGTGCGAGAGTGGAAGAGATGATTATTCGTCATGAAATGCACATCTCCAACTTTGAGCACATTCCGGATCGATTCTTGCAGACAAAGCTGATCGAAGTATTCAATCGCTTCAGCTTGCTCTGCAGAAAGTGGGGGAATGATGCCCTTATCCGAGAATCGGCTCAACGACCGAACATAGTTGGGGTCGAACCTGAGGACGATGTGTAAGTACCCGAATTTTCTTCGTCGAATTCACGTACTCAATACTTGGAGTAGACTCGACCGTTGTCTCTTTCAATATAGTAGATAGCACACCGGATGTAGTCCTCTTGACCCGCGCTAACCTCGCCCTTCCGATCAAAATACCAGATCGGTTTTGCGAGCAGCTCGGCGATATCTGGACGCTTGTCTTGCATGATGTTCCAGACGCGGTGGCCCGAAACAACATCATTTTCACCTCCTTTGAGGGCAGTGTTGAGACACAGGAGTCCCACAATGTCGGCAGGATCGGCGTGGAAAGTCTGTCTGAATGAAAAGTCAATATGATGATTTTATCTTGTGGTAAGTGAAGGCTTAGAGTACCTTGCAGTGGTTCTATACAGGCGAACCTTGTGGAAATCGGCAGGATTCTCACCTAGGTCTTTAACGTGCCCCAGGACATGACCTCTGCCGTTCTGGCTGGTTATATGGCCAAAGTGCGCACCCATGCCCATGTATGCGGTAGCAGACTTTTGTAAGCCCCAGTCTCTGACAGGAAGACCCTGGAACAGGATGAATCCCTTGGCATTGATTAGGTCGTCGCGAACGTGTTCTAGAAACTTGGCCATTCTAGGCAGCGGAAAGTATTCCTGTTTCAACCAATATCAGCTTTTCATGATTCAATAGTTTGTGTGATATGGTCTGCTCTCACCTTGCTCATTTCAGTAAGTGGGCGACCACTGGCCAAATATTGCTCGGCTGCTGTGCTCAGCTCCTCCAGCTCCTCCTCGGAGAAAGGATGCTTCCAGAGAGCCTCTTTCTCAGGAGATCCAGAGTATTCATCACTCGTCCATGCCGTTGGACCAGTTATGTTCTTCGGAAATTCCGAGAAGGGACGAATTTCTTCATATAGGGGAGGCTGTTGGCCAGTGGTCTTTATGCCGTCAGGGAAACCCGCAGACTTTGGTTTAGTCTCGAGCTTCGTACGGAACTCGGTCTTGGTGAGGTGAGAGTAGTCGTTTGGGGTTTGGACCGCAGTGAGACTCATGTTGACCTCTTTAAAACAAATCAAGTATTGACATTCGACTTTGAAGGCAAAATTGAACAAGGAAGATATTATTCGAAAGACCACAAATTACAGATTCATGGATTTGTTTAATACGATGAGCGAGACCGAGTGGGGAGATGCACGTATTGGGCCTGCCGCATATCAATTCCCTTCAGGTACATCATATCGTCATTTTGCATTCATTGACTGACCTCCAATATCATCAAACCCCTAAGATATCTCCTCAAATTTGCTCTTACTCCTCTAAGTTGCTAACTAAGATGTCTTGCCTCACCCATGAACCGGATTCAGATAAAGCTTATCCTCTCCACAGGAGCCTACACAATAAGAAGCAGGCTCGCTGAGATCGCTCAGAACGCCATCGAATGGAACTTGCTTGTGCCAAGTTTCGATCTCACTTGCCCACCATTCATATGAAGAAGTCACCATAAAGTCTCCCCAGACGCTGTAGCCTGGCCAGTTGTCACCAGTGTAGAAATCGCCCGTACGAGGGTTCCGGATAAAAGTTTCCAGTTCTGCACCGCGCTGGTACGGGGCGTAGGCATCACTGACATTACCGTGATTCGGACGATATATGTTTGACCAAACAAGTGGGACATAGAATTGATTGTTTTCATGTAAAGTGTCGACCCATTTCGTCATCGCGTCAACCGGGTAGGTGACCGGGTTGTTGATGAAGCTGCGATATCCATCAAACATGTCAAAGTCGGTCCAGATACTTTCAAGCGGGATGTCAGCTGCCTTATAATTGTCAACGACCTGCTCGATCATCGATAGATTGTCATAGCCCAAGCGACACTGGTGTAGCCCGAGTGTCCAAAACATTTGCATTGCGGGTAGTCCGACACAGCCAGCATGGTACTGACGAATTGTTTGGACAGCCGTAGATCCTCCGTCTTTCTCTTGGCCACTGAGGAAGTAGAAGTCAAAACTCCCACCCAATGTGCGGTAGGTTATAGTGTCCGACCGCAAAAGCCATTCTTGTCCATGGGCGTTGCGTGCATACACTCTGTGAGACGTGGTGTTGCTGCCCGAATGGTATCTGCTCTCTTGGTAGAATGGATGGACGCCGTAAATATTGCCGTCAAGTGGGTTACCAGAGGTGATGCCAACATCACTGTTCCAGAAAGTTTGCGTGTAATTGTGGCCAAGATAAAATTCATGTATGTTTTCAGCTACGTTCAAACTTCAGCATGTATCGATGTCAAGTTACAATACCTCTGACTTACCCAGGCCGTACACATTATAATTGGATATCATGTTGGTTACCACCTCGAGGAATTGATCTTCGTAGACAAGGACATGGCCATAGGTGGAGAACAGCTCCTCCCCATTGGAAGCTCGAGTGATCTTGAACTGAAAACTCGGTGAATCACTGACTAGCAATTAAATTCCACTTAAACAACCAAAGACTAATTGTTGATAATCCTTACCTCCAATCAAATATGAGGTCGCTGTTTGATTTGGTAGTCTTGCCATCGCTCTCAGGCGCAGGAACAATGGAACTCGGAAGGATGTATTGACTTGTATTGTGATGGGACAGATACTTCGGGTAGATCTTCACGTTCAGTCGTTCCTTGGCCTGGTATTGAACTTCAAGAACCAGATTTAGGATATCATTCCCGCTGACATCGGTTAGACCAATCATGCGCGCAATATAATTGAGAGAAGCAGCCAAGGTTGAAGCTTACAATACTTGACAATTTGACCCCGAGAGAGTCAAATCTGCCATCACACCTTTATCATTTTGGACCACATTTGAAGCTTTGTAGCCAGGGCACTCCTGCGGATTCGGGGCCTGCGAATCATAAATTGTTGGAGTCAAGCTCGGTGCGGCATCGACTTGCGGAAGTAGAGAGTAGGTCTGCTGAACGCTGGCTGTAGAAGTCGCGCCTGTGAATCTTATTTTAAATAAATCGACCATTGATCCTCATATGAACTGATTAATCATACCTTGAACGGAAATGGCTAAGACCAATACTGTCACTACAAAAAGGAGGTCCACCATTTTTTCGTTCACGCAAAAGGAATGTAGACGATGGAGAACTGACAAAGTCAAACTACGACTCGCTCATCAGGTACTGGGGTACCACCTCAGTAGACACTTGCTATCAACTCTTGCCTTACCATCAAACTGACCAATCCAAAACAAATTTTGGCATGTCTCGAAAACACGGGGGAGCAGGGAACAGGCTGCACGCCGCAAGCCAAATCCGACGAGCGCCCGCTACGCCGTCGACACTGCTGTTAGGTAGGTCTTGACTTTTCCCCTGATCGTCATGAGTTGGAACTTCCTATGACAAATGTCGACAGATTAGGCGTGCCAATCTTCGCAGGTTTTCACTTGGATAGAACTCAATTTACCCGAGTCTTGTCAAAAATACCTAAAGTTGTGAAAGAGAGTAGCCTTTTCCAGGAAGCTCATCTGCAGTAAGCAATGCGCAGCAACGTGCAGTAATCTGCAGTAGTGGCGTTACCCTTGTAAAAACTGTAATGTAGACTCCGTAAAGCGGGGTGAATATATCCGAAGTGGGAAAATGCTCGTGTGACGTGCTACAGGATCTGCTTGCGTGATGGGATCGCTGCTTATCTGCTGTGAAACCGAGGCGTCCATGCAAGGCAGCATCTGTGTTAGCCACGGACCGAGCCGTTATGCAATGACTAACTAATCAGGGCATATCGTGCGCATCAAGGGTCCAAAAGAGTCCAGATGGTTTGTGTAACAATGAGTTCCTGCACGTACTTCTGATAGGAATGACAAGAATGAGGGATCGGCACTCAGTGCAGCATGAGGCGTGCATAAGCACACTGTGTATTAGTACTGAAATTTCAAACTTCCATAAAATTATATGTAATAAAAAAATAATATCGCAAACTCAGATTTACTGATATCATTTTCTTCAAATATATGGAAATTGCTACCTTTACGGTATTATTACATGCTCCCCGAATCTCAATGCTTGTTTTCTTGATGCACAGTGACTTTCGCCATATCACCCCTTCTTGACTTCCCCAGAGAAGGTACCAAGTCCAGAAATTTCTCGGCGATCCCACCCAAAAACCGAGTCTGCAGGAATTTAGGAATACTCCGCGCATGACGAGCCGTCGATAAGCACTAGTCACGTCGTTGCAGAGATGATGCTTGGCATGGAGGTTCCCAGCTCGATTGTACATCCCGCTGGAAGTCTTACGATGGTGCTTTTCTTCAAAATATCTACCTGTCTACTTCTAAAGCGGATACGTATATAAGCAAGATAAGGAAAAGGAAGACCGCAGGCATATGAACGACAGAGAGCAGTGTTTGTGAACGTTGGGCCTATCAGAATGTTACGACTTCCCACCTTGTCAATTCTATTTTCTCCTGTGTTTGCCTCGGTAATATCGCAATTCTCTGGAGGTAAACTCACTGGCAACTCTTTTGGCATTGCCGGGCTCAATGCCACCTATGACTATGTGATAGTGGGCGGTGGAACTGCAGGGAATGTCGTTGGAGCTCGGTTGACAGAGGACAGTAATGCTTCAGTGGCATTGGTTGAAGCTGGAAGCTTCTGTGAACTAAGCAATGGCAATTGGAGTCAACTTCCGTATTGTAAGTCTTCCCAGTGGCGTAAGAACCCATGGCACTAACAAAAGAATAGGGTCCCAGAAGTGGGAGAGTACGAAGACAGATGATTGGCAGCCATTAGTAGATTGGGGTTACGAAAATGAACCCCAAATTGTGAGTTCCATCCAGGTGTCTATAACATAAATAACTTCGTAGTCAGGGGCTAACAACGACAAAGGGCGGCAACCGCATTCATTATGCTCAAGGTCGGACTCTGGGGGGCAGCAGTGCCCGCAATCAGATGATGTACAACCGGCCTACAAAAGGTGCCTACCAACTCTGGGCTGACAGAGTCGGCGACCAAGCATATACATGGGATAATATGCTGCCCTTACTTGAGCGAAGTGTGCAATTTTCGCCTAACGCTGAACACCGACCTGCGAATGCCACCCCTCACTATGACACTTCGGTGTTCTCTTCTAAAGGAGGACCACTGCACGTCAGTTACCCTGGCTATGTCTGTCCGCTCTCCCATCACGGCCACAAAGCGTTTTCTTCAATCGGCTTGAAAGAGATACCTGGCTTCACTACCGGCTCGATGCACGGCTTCAGCTACTGGCAATTTACGATTGACCCAGACACAGGTCTTCGCGCTTCCTCTGAGGCTACATTTTTAGCAGAGGCTTTAGGCCGGCCAGGACTATCAGTATATATCAACTCCATGGCCAGGAATATCGTGTTCTCTGGGACAAAAGCCGTTGGCGTGAACATCACAAACTACGGCGAAAAGCCATTTATCTTGACGGCAACCAAGGAGGTGATTGTATCAGCAAGGATTTACAATTCCCCTCAATTATTGATGGTGTCCGGCATTGGACCCAAGGAGACCCTGGAGAAATACGATATCCCCGTGGTGGCAGATCTGCCGGGCGTGGGCCAGAACACGCATGATTCGTGTGCCATCAACGGACCGATCTTTGAGATCGATGCAATCTCCTACACAACTTGGCAAGATGCAGATCTCATGAAGCAAGCTGTTGAGACATATTACAAAGATCACAGTGGACCTTTAAGTAATATCGGTATGGACATTGGGGCGTATGAGAAGCTCCCTGCTTCCTCCAGAGCGAATTTGGGCTCCAGTGCCCTAAAAGATCTAGCAGAATTCCCATCAGATTGGCCGGAAATTGAGTATATGCTGGAGGGCATTGAAGCACTTTCATTCGCCTCAGACTCCTTCCACTCTTCGGCAAATAAGAGCTACGCTACTATAAGCATGATGATGGGCGCAACGACAAGTTTGGGAAATATGACTATCAGCTCGGCGAGCAACCTAGATGCACCCATTATCAATCCAAACTGGCTGCGGACTAAAACGGATCAAGAGGTTGCTGTGCTAGCAATTCGTCGAGCTCGAGAAGCCTGGAAAGCTATCCCGATCCGTGTTGGCGAGGAAGTGTTTCCTGGCGCCAATGTCACCAGCGATGCTGATTTGTTGAAGGTCATAGAGGAGAATCTTGTCCCAACTCATCATGGGACCGCGTCTTGTGAGTAAAATTGTTGCTTTTCGCTGGAAGGCTGGTGCTAATTATAATCAGGCGCAATGGGAAAAAAGGGTGATCCAGCGGCGGTTGTCGACTCGAAAGCTCGTGTTTTCGGCGTGAAGAATTCACGCGTGATCGATTCTTCCAGCATGCCATTCACGCCCCCGGGACATACAATGGGTCCTACTTACGCTCATGCCGAGAAATTGGTCCAGGATGTTTTGGATGAATACCTGGCTGATGCGTAGATATATAGCACCGAGGGGTTGTGACCAATACAATGTTCATGCCAGTGCGCCATAAGGGGCCACTGGGTTGAGAGGCAACATGAAGATGCACCTGCGTATAAATAGTTACACTGGGGTCGAAATGATTTACACATGGCGTATACACTCATCCTTACACCCTACAATTATCAACCATCTACACAGCTCTGAGGGCCATTGTATTGACAAATCCGCTCATAAGAAAACAAAAGATAAGACCACATATCCACATACAACAGTGCATCTTAATGTACGTCGATACACCAAACATCATTCCCAGGCTTTAGCTTGAGCAGGGGCGCTCTCCAGAATACTCGCCGCGGTAGTAGCTGCAACATGTGCAGAACAATGAAAATTAATAACTTAGTTCAGCTTGGTCTTGAGCGACTCAATCTCAGCAGTCAAAGTCTGCATCTGCTCTGCCTGCGTGGCGATGATCTTGGTCTGCTCAGCAATCAAATTCTTAATCTCTTCGATTTCCTTGGAGACAGTGGCAGTGGGCACACTTGTCTCGCTAGCAGGAGATGCGACAACTGGAGTCTGAACCTAATGAAATTAGCAAAAAGAGTAAATGATTTGGATGGAACCAACTTACAGGAGAGGGGGCAGCAGCAGGCTGCGGCTTGGTCTCCACCTCCTTGGGACGCAGAGGGCTGCTAACCCTTGGGGAAGACGGCTCAGCAATAACGGGAGAGCGAGTGGCACGCTCGACAGGCTTGGGAACGTCGTCAAAGCTGGAGTCATCATCATCGGCGGGAGTGGCCTCCTCGTCATCAGCAAACTTGTTCACCATTGCCGACATGGCTCCACCCTGCTCCTTCATGGATGGGGCGGGGCGGGCGACGCGCGTGGGTTCCGGGGTGGGCTCAAGAGCAGGAGCGGCCTTGGGGGCAACAGGCTCAGGCTTCTTGACCTCTGGCTCAGCGGGCTTGGGAGCCGGGGCATCCATAGATCCGGTGGGCTTCTCTTGCACACCCTCAACTTCCTCGAGACCGTTTCCTTCAAACAGGCTCTCCATGGAGATCTTGGGAGGAATCGCCTCCTTTCCACCGAACCATTCAGATGGCCCCATTGCAGGGGTTAAGCCAATTGTGGGTGGGTAAATATCCTCCTGGAAGGTCTCTGACCGGCGGGGGACGATGAAAGAGACGGGCTCGATGTACCCGTCGTTGACTGTCTTGAAGGCGCGCGCGATTTCATTATCGTGCATGTTAATACCACGTTTGGGCATGAATGCGACACCACGCTGGGGATCAGCGGACTTGTACTCCGAGAGGAACTCGAACTTGTCGTTTTCGATTTCGAAGTAGCGGATATTTCCGTCACTGCAGAGACGTTAGACACAGACAGACAAGAAGGAATAGAAGACGCGACGTACCCTCTTCCAGCCAGGTACAACATGCTGTTGCTATCATCCCAGAATGGCATGCAGACACCCGAGATGGAATCCAGGGTCTTGAAGCCGTTGATGGGCTCCCGAACCGCACGAATATCCCAAAGAGCCAGCTGACGATCACTCATCTTAGAGAAACCGGTGGTCGCGATCCGGTCGCGCTCACCAAGCCAGACAGAACGGCTGTTCTTGGCTCCAGAGTGTCCGGCAGTTTCATGTGCTGGGCGCTCTTGACGGACATCCCAAATACGGAGCTTCTTGTCGCGCGAAGTGGTAACAAGCAGGGAACCGTTGGCGCTCCAGGACTGTGACTGCACAATGTCGCCAACATTCAAGGTCAGCTTTGGTGCACCCGCCTCAATATCCCAGACTTTCACAGTATAATCGCCCGAGGCCGTTGCCAGCACGTTTTCCGCCGCGGGGTTGAAAAGCACGTGGCCGACCTTCCTGCAAGGGCATTAGTATTCCGCCCTAGCGTAAATGGTGATCGATCTGTCGTACTTGGAGTGACCGCTTAGCTTTCCAACTGGCGCAATATCCTGGATATCATCTGCATCGAGGTCGGGGCGAACGGTGAAGTTGTCTGGAACCCGCCAGAGGAAGACCTGGAGCGCAATTAGCCAAATACAGTATGTTTTCCTTTGACTAGATAATTACCTTTCCGTCATCGGAACCCGAAGCAATCAGATCATCGTTGAAGGGATTCCTACAGCATGTCAGCCCCAGAACGCGATCGGTAGCCCGTCGATCCACGCCTACCAGTCGGTGTCGAGAACGACAGCGGTGTGTCCCCGGAATAGAGGAATGCGCTCCGGTAGCTTGCCCCGTTCCTCGAGGGGAATGACAGCGAAAGCTCCACCACCACCAGCCTCCCAATTGACTGCCAGGTGCTTGGGGTTGACCTGTTTGGCGCGTTAGACCGGGAGCTGCGGCGAAGGTCAGGGGCGATGGCGCGAAGGACGATTCGTACCTTGATTAAATTGGTGTCCCAGGCATTTCGTGAGACTCGAAGATTATCGTAGCATTGTTCCTATAACTATAGTCAGAATGCAATCAGGTCAGCCAGTTCGAATGTGCATCCATTACCTTTCGTGTCGAACGCCCGAAGACGTGGCCTTCCCCAATGGTCAGCGGTAGCTTATCAGAGGCGATCACAAAGACTTACGATACTTGGATGAACGCACAAACCGCCCGGACATGGTCGGTACCAAACCGTAAAGAAATTAAGGGAAAAAGAGTGAAGTACAAGCTTGTAGGAGAGGATTGAAGGAGAAGAATCAAGAGCTGCCCTCGAGCAACCAGGGAATGCGGCAACTGGGGCCTTTTGGGGTGTTTCAGCGGGCCGAGTGGAGTCCGCGCCGGCTTTTTTGGGATTGTCAACGGCTTCAATAGATGATACACGCAATTAATTTGCAATACCCGGGAGATTGGTGCAAATGGTAGGAAAATATAATCAGAAAATGTATGAATGTCGAACTTGACTCAATTACCGTCCTCATACTCTTATCCTTCATTGATTGTTTTCATCCCACCAAGCTCACGTGCCGTATTATAGTAATATAATATATGGTAATACATAAGTAATGCCACTGTGTGAGTTTGTGTGTGTGATACCGTCAACGTAATCTTGTTCATTACCACTAATCCTGATCTGGGGTCTGGCTTTGCTGAGTCATCTTTGTTTACCCGCTCTGTCCCTCCAGAAACCAAACAAGCGTCCATACACTCCGAATCGCATTGCACCTTCCCCTCTTTACATCTTTCTACAGTCGCCCACTCGGCCATTAAGACAGTGGCTGGACGAGAATTCCTTCTACTTGCGCGAATCATCTACTCCCCGGTGACTTGGCGTACTACCAATCCCACCATGGATGGAGAGAACACTGTAAACAGAACACCTACATTCCGTCGCGATTGCGCCAACACTAACTCGAAATCCGGCAGACTCAATCGCGAGCGTCGACTCGGTCGCGCATCCCTCAAGCCGGTGGTTTGGGCTTGCGCGACATGAATTCTGCCACTGTCAACTCTCGTTCGGGTATCATGCCACCCGGAACACTGGTTAATAAGGCCCTTTCACGTATGGAGGACTATCAAAAGATGAACGAATTGATATACTGATAAGCTGCTCAAAGCCACCCGATCTAGGACCATCCCCTCCCCCTCCCCAGAACCTAAGAAACAGCCTTCAGTTGTCCGCCCATCTTCTACCACGTCCAAGGCGCATGCGCGAGGAAACTCGTTCGCATCGTCTACCATGTCTCGATCAGGCTCCACAACCACTCGCGGAACAACCCCCAACTTCTCGGCTACAGTTGGCTATGGTGCGCGCGGAGCATCTGCCATGCCTCGCCCTGCGACCTCCTACGGCGGCCGAAGGCTCAACAGCTCTATCCAGCGCCCGGCGACCTCCCTCGATACCCACATCGATGATAGTGCCGGAAGTGTTCTTGGAAAACGAAAGGGTATGCCATCTGTTCTTTCTCCTTCGTCTATTTTGCGTTCTTTTTCTGGCCCCCTTGGATCTCTCGACGGACTTGATGGAAGTCATTCATACTATGGTGTGCCTCAACTTGTCTCGGCACCTGGTTTTACATCACTTTCCGAGGGCTTCCTCGAGCAACCTGTTTCTCGCTCAATTGTCACTACTGCCCGTGTTACGAATATCAGGGGTTTCCCAGGACTCAGCCCGGCAAAGCAGGCTTATCCATCCAGGGTTCCAATTATCACCCCATCTAAGCCCTGCGAGACGCCACTTACCAGCCCTGGGAGATCACCAAAAAAGCCAAGGCCACACTTGTTTCTTAGCAAAAATTCTTTGTTGACAAATTTTGACCATGTTTCAGATACAGATTGGGACCAAGATTCCCGTGAGAAGAGCATGAACGACATGATGGCACAAGTCATGTCGCGTCTGAATCAGCAAGGGCATGAAGCTTCTGGTTTGAAAGATACCGTTGAACTTTACAAGTCCCGAAGTAAGTGAATTGGTAAATCTAATTGAACCACGATTCTGACTCTGAAATCTAGTTGGCGAGCTCGAACGTTCTCGTGATAAACAAGCAGATGTTAACGTTGAATTGCGTGTTGAGATGGAATCACTAAAAAATCAGCTAGCGCTGGCGGAAAAAGCCTTGAACGATGCGCGCCGGGACCAAGATATTGCGATGGATGATCTGGAAGGTCGGCACCGTATCGAGATCGAATCGTTGAGTCAGGACAATAAGAAGCAGCAAGATACTTTGGTAGCCCGACACCAGGAGGAGATCAGAGACCTGAAGCGCAAATTTGAGGGCGAAATCGAGGATGAGAAAGCCAAACGCGTCCGAGACCTCGGTAACCTTACCACCCAATCTGCGATGGACGTTCAGAAGTCTCAGATTGAACTCAATAATAAGGAGCGTGAAATCAGTACACTGCGGAGCGAGCTTAATGCTATGAAAGCTGATATCGATCGTGAACGCAAGACAGTCTACGACCTTCGACAAAACCTTGACATTGCCAGCAGCAATGGCGTCACATTGGAATCGACTATTAGAGCCCTCAAAGCCCGCATTGAGTTTCTTGAAGGTGGACGCGAAGAGCAGTCTCAAGCATTTGAGCGCTGCAATCAGGATATGATGGATGCACTGGCTGAAACTGACGCGATCAAAGAAAAGCTGCGTAGGGAAGAGACACTACGTCGTAAGCTTCATAACCAGGTACAGGAACTCAAGGGCAACATTCGTGTTTTCTGTCGTGTTCGGCCTTCCCTCAACAACGAACCTGCTAGCATGATTGCGCCAATGCAATACCCTGATGAATTTGAGGATGCAAAGGAGATCAATGTCTTGGGACCTGAGGAGAAGAGCAGTCTTGGTACCATCTCACGCAAGAACAACACTTTTTCCTTCGATCGCGTGTTCGGTCCCTCCACCCAGAACGCCGAAGTATTCGACGAAATCAGCCAACTGGTGCAGAGTGCCCTGGATGGTTACAATGTTTGCATCTTCTGCTACGGTCAGACCGGCAGTGGTAAAACCCACACCATGTCTTCACGAGACGGCATGATCCCTCGCGCTGTCCATCAGATCTATGAAACTGCGCAGGGGCTGGAGGAGAAGGGCTGGCGGTACAAAATGGAAGGCAACTTTGTCGAGGTTTACAATGAGAATCTCAACGATCTACTCGGAAACCCGGATGAGTTGGATAAGAAAAAGCATGATATCCGCCACGATATGCAGCGTGGCAAAACCATCATAACCGATATCACTACTGTTCAGCTGGACTCGCCTGAAATGGTCGAGACTATCCTCCGGAATGCAGATGCCAACCGCTCAGTGGCTGCCACCAAAGCCAATGAGCGGTCATCTCGATCTCATTCAGTCTTCATTCTCAAACTGACTGGTGAGAACCACATCACTGGAGAGCGTAGCGAAGGCACTCTCAACCTAGTTGATCTAGCTGGAAGCGAACGCTTGAGCCATAGTGGGGCCACTGGTGAACGCCTAAAGGAGACTCAAAACATCAACCGCAGTCTCAGCTCTCTTGGTGATGTGATTGCTGCTCTTGGCCAAGGCAAGGACGGTGGTCACATACCCTACCGCAACAGCAAGGTTTGACCCCTCACACTAATCTACTTTCGTCCCGAGTACTAACACTGTGTAGCTTACTTATCTCCTTCAATTCTCATTGGGTGGAAACTCCAAGACGCTCATGTTTGTCATGGCTAGTCCCTTGCAGGCGCATTTGTCAGAGACCTTGACAAGCTTGAAGTTTGCCACCAAAGTACACAACACTCACATCGGCACCGCGAAGCGCCAAGCGCGTGTCCGCGATTGAACATGATGATACCTCTCCCGTTTTGCATATAGTTCGGCTTTCTTTTGTTGGGAGGTCAGAGGTCTTTTACGATCCTGTCCTCTACCTCCGGTGTTTGGGATGGAATAATGATTTTCTTTTATCTTAGCAACCGAGTCTTTGAACATACCGGTCTTACCATGGCGCTTGATTTATTTTATGGACTTTATGCAACTGGTTTGATCAATGGACAGTCATAGGCTTTTTTTTTTCTATTTATGGTTACTTCCTTGCTCTATCGTAACATGATGGATATCTATAGTGGGGGTACCAATTGACGTAAATCCTATAAGGCTATCGATATTACAAATTCCCGAAATATCTGTCTGCCCTCTCCTTCACCTCTTGTGCCTTATGCTTAATTGTCGCGACATCAACAGTCCCATCTTCACAAACATACCCATCGATGAGATTTGCCGAGACCCACTCAAAATAAACATTGTCCACATGAGTTGTGGATTCCGAAGGTCCATCAATTTCCCGCAATCCCTGAAGAATATTCACTCCCTTGATGCCACTATAAAGCCAGCTGCTCATCACTTCAGCAGTATCACATTCCTGCACGTAGAAGTCTTCCCTATCCCTATCTGAGACTTTCTCCATCCCACTAAGGATCAAGACCTTAGCATTCGGACTAATATATTTCGCACTGAGCACCGCTGGCAATGATCCAGTCTTACTGCTCACGCATCCCGAGCTGGAAATCAGGTCCGCGCCCAGAAGAACCAAGTCCACATTGGCAGAAGCTAGAGCCGCAGAAGCGTCTGTGTGCACTGTGACTTTCACAACTTGATCTGGTGATGATGTGAATTTTGCCTGGGACTCGGCGAGTAAAGACGAGCCCATGCTAGCGCCTTCAAAGAGGGGACGAGACTCGAGAATGTGTATATCCAGATGGGAGATGGGTGTTGACGCAAGAACATCCAACAAACTATCTCGAATAGTCGCGTTAGCTGACAGAGTGAGAATGGTGAGCTTCTGCGATTGCGCATTCTCTTTAGGGATCAAGTGCGTCTGCAGATACTTGATGAAAGAATCTTGAATGTGCGATGGAAGCATGCGATGCTTCTCCAGGTGATAATCTAGTACGGCAAGGGTACAATCCCATCTGTCCTCGTTGTCGATATCGCGGTCATATACATCCTCTATATCATCCAGAGTCGCTAGTAAGGCGTTCAAGGTACCAATGCTTATACTCTGGCCACCGTTGATCCATATGTGCCATGCTGCCAGTCGGGTAGTGTCCCACCACCTCGGATCGTCCTTTAGATGCACCAACACATCGCGAAATCCTTTCAGTGCGAGGGAAGTCAGTTCGTGGGATCCGCTCTGTTGATTCACCTGCAGCTCTTCTAGACAGGATTGTAATGCTTCGCTCGCCCCTTGATTCATGTCTCTTTCGAACCAGACTCGTCCAAGGCTTTCTGCTAGGTGAGGGACATCGCCGAGAATATCACCATCCACGACTTTTCCCGGATCGTGCCATTCCCAGGACTTGTGCTCCCAATTTATTTTGTCAGGCAGGCCATCTTGCTCGTTGTGCCTAAGCCGAAATGCGAAGGGATGCACCATGCATTTTCGTCCTGCACTAGTATCGTTAAAAGGATATGGCCTTCCATACCGCCAGAATTCGAGGTGTTGGGAAGTCAACGTGGTTTCTTCCTTTATTTCCCGCCATGCAGCCGCCAGTGGTGTTTCATGTGCGTCTATGTTTCCCGAAATATTCGCTAAATGGTTTCTTTGTCAAGTCAGCTTTATCGACACTAAAAGCCATCAAGTACGATTGATTGGAGGGGCGAATCGGCTAGAATACCCACTGGTACGTTCTAACTTTCGCACTGTGTCGAAACAAGGCGACCTGTGGGTTGGCCTTTTCAGCTGAGAAAATGAAGCATGAAACCACGGAACTTGGATTGAAGTCTGGTTCACTGTGTTGTTTTGACATTTTAAATAAACCGTAGTGAATTGTTAAGACAACTGAAGAATTCCGACACAATCTAGGGGTGACGTTGATTAGAAATCGTCGGGCTTCTGAGATGCGTGTCATAATAACATCAGCGCGGGGAACCTGCATGGATGTATTGCATGCATGAAGAACAAGACATTGATTAAGCTTATGTTGATCACTGTATAGTCTGGTATCCTTCAGGTGACTACTAGCTCATACCAAATCGTCGACTCAAATGTGCATAAAATTCCCATAATATTTTGAAGGGTTCTGTAACATCGTCAGCCTAATTATTTCTATATATCCACATTCATACCCAGCGATGAACTTCGTCTAATGACAGGAGCTATCAATTAAGTACTAAGCCTTTCTATCTGAACACCCCTGGGACAGATCAGTACATTTATGTCAAGAACGTATGTATATGCATGTAGATGGACAGTACCTCTTTTCGGACAAAGTATCATTTCCTGCTTCCAAAAGTTGTCAGACGGATCGATGACGTCATTATTCGCCAACGCGTTGAAGATCGAAATAGACACCTTTATGCTCTCCAAAGATACAAAATCCCAGTAAAGATCAATCCAAAGATGCCAGCATATACCGGGTCGTGTTATTGTCGAAACATCCAGTATGAGCTGCAGCTGGCTTCTCCCGACGATGCGCGTATGTCACTTTGCCACTGTCGAAATTGCAAAGTACGTGGATAAGTTCCAAGATTTCCACAAGGTCCCTGCGATTGACCAGAAGTTGACAAAATTGATAGAAAGCATTCGGGACAAACTATGGTCTCACGGCCAAAGTTCCCAGGGACGCATTCCATCTACTAGCCGGGGCGCCGAAAGAGCATGCGGCAGATAATGGATCTGGAGTTATAATCCACCGCGAGTTCTGTGATAACTGCGGAAGTTTCATTCTGGAATATGGGGTAAACAACTCTTACAATGAACTTTTGGGTGTTTTATAAGCAATCGGAATTTACTGATAGCATGACAGGAGCCTGCCAAGGACACTTTTCGCTATATTTGCGTTGGAACGTTGGATGATCCTGAAGCACTGCCGCCGAAAGCCGAGTTCTTCTGTAAAAGTCGAGAAAGCTGGATGCCAGAAATACCCAGTAAGTCACGGTCTTTGCTACAAAATCCCAGATGATATTTTAACGTGAGCAGATATTGTGCACAAACAAGCAGTTAAGGAGTAACAACCGCAATCAACATCCAGTGGTAAAACTACAACGATTTGCAAAATTGGCACCCGTCATATTCCTTGCATTAGGTATCAAATGTTGAAATAAAAATCGTAGTTCATGTCGCTCTACCCAGACATCCGACTAGGTTGTAGGCAGCGTCACACTCTTCACAACAATATCCGGCGCCAAAAGCTTCTCACGAATCGAAACTCCATTCAAATAATCATTACTATCCACCCGCCGATAACCATCTGCAAGAGTCTTCTCAATACCAGACTGCACATGTCGTTTAGCAGTCCTCTCACGCGCCTCTTGTAAATCCGTATCGACGAAAATCCGGTAATCGACCAAAGCCGCCAAATCCCGCCACCTAGGCTCATCGAGAAGAAGATAGTTTCCCTCAACGATAATGATCGAGACATCCGGTGTAATCGCCAATCCATCTTCTACAGGATCCTTAGCTTCGTGATCGAATGTCGGCGCATGAATGACATCATAGTCAGGCCAGGAACCTGAAATCTGTGCTAGCGGTGTCTTCTCAGCCCAGTTGCGAAGTTGACCGATAAATTTGATAAATCGGTCTACGTCGAATGTCCACGGCGCACCGCGGCGGATGTGCGCTTCTGTGGCATTTGGCATCTTATCGAGTGTTGCGCGTGATAGATGGAACCCGTCCATTGAGAGGAGGGCCGCGCGACATGATGCGTCTTTGTTGAGTTCTTGCACGATAGCTTCGGCGGTGGTTGTTTTCCCTGAGCCGGGGACTCCTGCGATACCGACGAGGAAGCGTGGTGCTGGGTGGTTTTTGGCTTCTTGACGGATGACGTCCGCCAGTCGGCGGTACTCGCATTCCATCTGGGGTATTGTTAGATCAGATTGGACGAAGGAGACGGAATGCAACTTGCAATTAGAGTTTGTGGTGTGAATGATTGAATTCTGTGGTGGATAATTTTGCATAGGATATAGTAAGGCTCCACAGATGGTCCTAGTCAGCGCTTCCCAGCGACAACATAACCTTGAATATGAAGATGAAATAAGCCACTGCCAACAAGCTAAGAGATATGAAGCCCTTGATATGTATGCGGAGGTGCGGATCACAGTGTCCGTGGCGGGTCACAGTGCTCCGATTTAAGCCTACGTCCGGTCGGCTTTGATCCGACGCTGAATCAGAATTATGCAGGAAATACCTAGTGTCCGGTGTGCAGTGAGTTAGGTGCTAAGCGGTGTGGAGGTAAGGTTTCTTGGTCGCCGTTGGTCCATCTCACCGAATAGTGGATGTCATTCATTCCACCCCCACATTCCACATTCCCCCAGCTTCAACTGAGGTCCCCCCTTTTTGTGTTTAAAGGGGGTTCATTCAGGACTATCTGAACAAACCGAGGAGCACTGATCGCAAATATATCATGAATTAATGACTAAGACAAGGATAAGGCATAAACGCCATGATCATGATCTGCCTCAATGCGCTGCACTGGCAGCTCGGCGGCAAGTTTGGTGAGGAGAGAGAATTTGCCATGCCATGCTATGATATAACAATAAAAACACATATTGAAGTCAAAAACGCTGGAGAATAATGCAAGGTTCATGTCTGCATGCGCGGTTTCATAGTCGTCGTCGTGGGGTAGGTACGCGAATCCGGGGTACATCCGTTAAAGGGGGACGATAAGTCTTGCGTTTTGGATTGGGGTCGACATAGAAACATAGGATTTGTTGTTCATAGCAATGTTGACATTGTGGTTTTGTATGATCGCAAAGGACCTGCCACTCGCGACACCCTTTGCAGGCAGTTGGGTCGCTCTGGTATTGGCGGGATGCAGTACCGGGCTTTGGCTCACACGAACCCCACCAGCTAGACAACATCCATTGCGAAATTCGATTATATATTTGTGGAATGGCCGGAGGAAGTGTGTTGGATTTGGAGGATTGTCTGGAAGTGTCTGAAGCAGGTTGTTTACTAAAAAGTAGTCAAGGGTTAGCATTTGCGCGGGGTCGAATCCCGGGGTCAACGTTCACGAACCTCGAAACCGCAGCCATGATAGGATCTCAATGATCCGCCTTTTCTTTAACAGGAGATGTAGAAGGGAAAGAAGAGGGGACAAAAGCAAAGAATTCTCTTGGGGGGCTTTGGCCCCTTATTCCCAGTGCAAAAGTCGGAAAATTGGGCTCCAAAAAAATGAAGTGTTCATGCTTCGTGACCCCAATTGTCTTGATCATCTGGCCCCACCAGAACTTAGAGCGCCACAGCATAATTTGTGTCCACGGGGCTTCATTCCGGAGATTAGAGGCAGTGAAGTACGTCACGCACAGTAATCTGATGAAAGAAATAGAAATAGTTCCATTCAGACAGGTCACATAACAAGTCCTAGGCTTAGTCTTCCAGAAGGACTCAAACTAAATATGGATCGCATCTCCGACACGATCTGCGCCGATCACCGGAAACTCAAGTCCTACTATGATCAAATCATCCACGCGGAAGATCCAGTTGAGCAAACTCGCTGGCAAAACATGTTCACCTGGGAACTTGCCCGTCATGTTGCAGGCGAGGAGCTAGTGCTCTACCCGGCGCTAAAGAAGCACCTGCACGACGATGCAGCCGAAGATCGGCAACAACATCATCAAACTGTACGAATACGAACTCGAGCCCAGGACAAATGACTAAGAAAATTGCATAGATCAAAGAAGAATTAGCTGTGTTTCAAAACCTCAAATCCACCGATCCTCGCTTCATCCCCACCCTGTCAGTTCTCATGGGGGATCTGGCAGCACACGTGAATCACGAAGGAGTGGAATTGAGGAATCTTGAAATGAATATGACACCCGGCGAGAGCAAGCGTCTAGCGGCGTCTTTTGACCGTACAAAACATTTTGTGCCAACACGTGCGCACCCTAGCGCGCCCGATCGACCTCCTTATCAGAAAGCCGTCGGACTTATCACGACGCCACTCGATTATTTGCAGGATCTGTTCCGCAAATGGCCTGAAATCCCTGCTGAGAGTCCCGTAGATTAGAGTTGTCTAGATAACGCCATATTTTTACTTCTCATCAATAGTCATACATTTTATTGGTGGGTCTGTTTAGCCTTTGTACTTGCTGCTCCAAATTGAGCCGCATTTTTGTTTGACCAGACTCTGCTTAGTACGGCGTAAATGCTAATCACGGACAAATGGATTTTTGTATACAGTAAAAGCATCTAACGAAACATTGCATAGTTCGAGTGAGGTCAATCATGTTCTTAGCTAGGAGCTCACTGCTGGGTGGAGTAGCCCCATCTCCATGTGGAGCTCGTCACGTTTGACCGCTAGAAAAGATTAGCCCATGGGCTAACTCTCAAAAATGCTTGGTTGGAAAAACAGCAATAGGGGTCGAGGGTCCACGGGGCCAATTGCCGCATATGTCAGATTGACGTTTCACAGTTAGTCTTGGAACTAGCCAAAATCTTTGCATTGCCATGATGACCGGAGTGGGGTTCCGATATTTCGTGCCTGCATTATGGTCATAAATCTCTTTCACGGGGGCTCATTAACCTAACCCTAGTGTTCTCATGCCACAGCAGGGAAAAGAAAACTCACCATCATGTCTAAGCTACTCTTGGACGAGGACTTTGATTCCATTGCTCTCCTACCGCATGATGAACAACCCTTGAAAAAGAAAGGCGACGCAAACGGCCTATCAAATGACGCTCCCATTGTCGTGGATGAAGCAGATTCAAAGGATCCAATGATTTCATTATACGCGGGAAGATACCAGAAACTCGGTAATCATTTCATTCTCTAAGATGATTTGTACTGACAACATGCTAGCCCAGGACGAAATCGAGGCGCTTGCGGAGTCTCGAATTGTTACGCGTCCTGATTAGCTAATTATTTGTGGTGCTCTGGCTGATGAAGCGAAAGGATTTTCAATCAAAAATGACTTGATTTCAACAAGCATAATGCAGTCCGGGCTCGTAATAATATCAACAATGTAATGCTCGACACAATGCCTCTCCAATACCGCCATAGACTCCAAAGAAAAAGCAAAAGGAAAATAGTAATAAAGGGAATATGGTGCTCATCCATCACGACATCATCCATCGTGAAGTCCAGTCACGAATATAACAATCCAAAATACCATCCTCAATAATCCTTAGACGACCATTTTGCAAAGTAACACTATCCCGCTCCGCCTTGTCCGTCACAAAAGTCTTCGGGCCCAGAGCGCGTCCAGCAGAAGAATCTGAGCCAAACATAGCCTCATAGTGATCAATCAGCTTAACAGCTGGATTAATATGCTCCTCCCCTCTCGCCTCACTCTCCCTCAACAATTGCAACCAACTCTCAAAAGGCACGACATCGAACTGGAAATTGCGGCCCAAGGAAGCTAACAGCGCATCCCAGGAAAACTCTCTCGAGTTACACACATTGTAGATCGAGTCATCGCCTTGATCTGCAGACAGACACTTCTTCTCAGACTCCGTGTTCGAACCCGAACGCGATCGAGTCAGTTCCAAAATAGTAGCTGCGAGGTTATCAACCGGCAGCCAAGAACAGGTTTCCTTCAGGCTGGGTAGGGCTTTCAAAACCAAGGCCGATCTGACCATCAGCGGGAGTGCCTCGGTATCATTCCAAAGACCTTTCTTTGAATGGCCGGAAACCTGCCCGATTCGGAGTGAGTAAGCTCTTGCTCCTGATTTGTGTGCTACGCTGACGATGTGTTCTCCGATAAGCTTCGATTGACCATAGCCCATGTAAGCCATGCCGAGGTCAGCGGGGGATTCTGGAATTTCGGTAGACGTTGAAGCGAGTGTGGTGGAGACCGAGGAGCAGAACATGACGACTGCGGGCTGTGGTTGTTCAACAGAGAGTGAGAACTGGAGAAGATTGTAAAGTCCGCGAATATGGGGCTCGAATTGGGATAGAGGGATATTGAAGTTCACAGGCCAGGCGACATGCAGAATTTGGGTAACGGATTTGCGCATGCGTGTTATGAGCTCTTCGCTCAGGCCGAAATCTGGCTCATCGAGGGAGCTGGTTAGGGCGATGATTTTGGATGCTTGTTCTGGAGTGATGTGAAGCTCTCTCTCAATCAGACTAGCTAGTACGTCTTCCAATGGGGACTTTCGTCGTGTCAAACAGAAGACTGTGGAGACGGAGTCGTCATTGAGAAGCTCGTACAAGGTGTGGGCACCGATTGACCCAGTGGCTCCGGTGAGGATCTTCATTGAGTTAGTAAATGGTTTTCGATTTTGAGAAATGAGATACTTACAACACCCTTTGTGGTCAATGAAGAGCCAGTAGGCATGTGCTGTTCAAATGACGAATATTTCTGAATCAATTTAGACATGACCACGTTGTCATCATCCACCATGCAAAGATCCTCGCCGCTCTGCACAGCACAGATGTACTCCGACAAAAGCGAAATGCTTCCCGTATCGTATACGACATTCTGAGGAAGACTCTCTTTGGGCAGATCGAAGTTCTGGAGGATAAGGCGACGCAGATGAATTGCCTTGAGACTATCAACTCCTTCCGAGAAGAAGTTGGCCTCTGCGCCAGAGAGACTGATACCCAGCTCATTCTGACACAAATCCGTCAAGAGCGACAGGGTTTCGTCAAAGCTCACTCGCGTTCCTCCTTCTTGGCCCTCTGCGCTAGCATATATGCTCTCTATAAGCTCATTGTAATGCAGATAGACCTGAGCTCGGATCATAGAGCCCTTATCTGTCCGAGGGAAGGTCGAGGTGGACGGCAACACGGCAACCATATCTTTAGCGATGCGGGAGAATTTCTCGGCACGAGAATTGGCCGATTCAATACTGGGCCAAATATTATCAAAGCATTCTTCGTCCGAGAGAGATGCTTCGTTCGCTTCTTGGGAGCGGAAAATCAACAGCCCCGGAGCTGTCTTACCAGCACCGAAGACCACTGCTTCATGGATGAGAGGGTGCTGTTTGATACATCCTTCAATAGGGAGTGGTAGCACTTTCTCCCCGTTAATTAGAGTAAGGCGATCGTCAAGCCGAGAGGCGTACTTCCATCTATTGGGAATAGTGGGGTGGGGTGTAAACACATCCTTGGAATGATACGAACCAGGCGGCTCATTGGAGTTTGACGCTGTCAATGCAGGGTGCCCAGCCAAATAGACGCATTCGTAAAGAGAATCTCCCAAGGGCTTCATCCAAATATGAGGTAGAAGATTTTCGAAGAACTTCATATAATTCCAATAAGGGTCGTCTTTTGGTCGGGACAAAGACTCAGCGACGAGACCTGCTTCCGTGCTACAGATATGTGAGACTTGGATTCACCACTACTTTCTTGAAAGGGACTTACAGTCCAAAGGATCCACCAAAAGGAACTCCTTCGCGAACAAGGCGGTCGCCAAGCTCATCGGGACATGGTGCTCCACCATATCCAACCACTTTGCATTTCCGCAGTGCCTCGATGCCGTGGGGGTCATCAATTAGAATTTGCAGCATATACGGCACTGCAGCGACATATTCAGGTTTCGCCTCTTGGAGAGCGGAAACAACCGAGTCCGCCGTCAGTGGCAAGGCCGCGTTCCACATGAATGCTGTTTTCCTCATCCACATTGCCTGCAACGCCGTTGAGATTCCATGGAGATGATACCAGGGAAGGGAGTTGAAGGATGTTAGCCCCGGTCCTCGCAAAGGGTGGGTCATCAGTGCGCGATGTGTGAGAAACATGGGCTTCGGGTTTCCAGTGGACCCAGAAGAGTGAAGAATCAAGGCAATCTTGTTCCTCTGGGCCTCAGAGTTCCGGTTTCTGTGCAGAACCAACAACGAGGTTTCGGTGATGGAGTCGGAAAGCGCAGGTATCGGGCGACAGGTAATGAGTTTTCGTTGCAAGATCTCACCCATTGTTGTGCGGATGGTGCCAGTTTTGCCATATATTATGTTCTCGCAGCCGACGGTGTCAAGTAACGAAACACATGCGTCGCCCGATAAACGTGGCGATAGAATCATCACTGTGTATCCCAACCGACTAAGTGCAAATAGAGTGATCACCATACTCAGGTCCGATAAGGTGAGCAAAGCTACTACGCATCCGTCTTTCTTAGGCTATTACATATTGATTTATGTTAGCAGGCCGCCAACAAACAATACAGCGATTAATAGGAACACAAACCGGCCTGAAGCCATCTTCCATCAGTGTCGAAACAGCTTGGTCTATCATCTCGTCCAGCTGTTCGCCGGTATAATAGTTGTATAATGCGGCATGGCTATCGGAGCTCGGATATGCGAGAATTGGGTATTGAACACTATCGGCGGCGCGAAGACGGATCAAGTCATCCAACACATGGAGCTGGCCGAACTTTTCTGTCAGAGGATCAGAAACATTCGAAGAGGCCGTTGGCTCAGCCGCGGTTCCACGTTGGATACCCATTTCGATGGTGCTTGTCAAAAACAAACCTCAGATTCGAGGAGGTGGGAATAGATGAGCAAAAGGAAAAGCGGTACGTATTTAATATACCCAGGGGGCATCGCCTCGAAAAGACAAACCTTAGCCACGGCGCATCACTCGAACCTCTACGCCGACCGCATTCGGGATGACCGGAGGAAGGATGAGCTGAGTGGGCCAGCTATGACGATTGCGCCCACTACTACAGAACGGCATTAATTTTTCTACAAGCAGAAGTGAGTGCCTGGAAGCTGAAAATTGTGGCGAAATGGACCGCTAGTGGGTACTGTACATGATACTAGTGACCGGGTACTTGATTGTGGCTACCGTATGTGACTACAAACACTCGGGAACAAAGAAGAGACGCTGGCATGCCAATGCAGATGTCAAAATGACTTCCGCAAAGTGCATGACTCGTGAAAATTGGAGGATCCTGAGCGAATGAAAATCGATTGTAGAAAATTAGCGGCCAATTGGGCCTTCCTACTGGCTGCATATTTCCAAGTGATGCGGGATGACCGACAAACGCCTCGCCTCGACAGGGGTTATCCTCTTGCAGTAGTGGATTATCATCGCAACCAGAGACAAAGTTACACTGCACAGATGCCCAAATCACCAGGTTGCAATCGAAATTCCGTTCGTCCAGCCTTGGCATCTTGAATCCTTCACACCCGTCGATCGCATGTGGAGATCTTCATCGTTAGCCTCCTGAAGGAAGATCGCTTCAGGAATAAATGAACGAATTTGAATAATTATTCGAGTCCCACTGGGCTGAAGAAAATGCAGTCATAATAGTGGAGATCGGAAAAGTTGGAAAATTGGGGCGAGAGAGACATGATATTGGTTGCTCACCCCCACCGCAATTCAAGGTGGAGACATTAATCTACTGTACATACACTGCTCTGTACTAGATATACAGGGCCTAATTGATTCCCACATGGGAACGAATACTGTATCATCATTTCAGGATAGTAAGAGGTACATACTGAATATCCGACGTCGGTTTGCCGTTTATGCAGATAGCCACATGCGCAGCTGATGAGAATAGCCCTACTTCAGATAACGATCTGACAGATCAATCTCACTCTCCTCCACCAACCAGGAGTTGATAGAAGTGAGAACAATAGATTGTTTAATTTGGCTATGACGCCTTCGTAAGCGCTAATCTCCAGCTTTCCAAGTCACGGTTGCCACTCCGCAATAAATACTGAAACGCCCATTTCTAAGTCCCAAGATGATCATGCAAAGCTAAAACTCGCAACATTGATGCGATCAATGCCCAATCCGAGACAAAGCCAACAACGGCCAAGATCTGCAAAGGCATCATCCCGAGTCCTAAGTACGACCCTAGATAAGACCCGGAACGAACGAATCCACGGAGCCGGGATTCCACCCCCGGTATGGAACCTCCTGCATAGTCCCGTATCCAAGGTCCTTGAGCCGAACGGGGAGAGCGGACCGTTGAGTCGGGTCTACAAATCTGCTCCGGAATGTGAACTGTGGAACAGATCTCAGATTTGAGATGAGCCCAACCGTGCTGGAAACGGGCTCGTTGGCGGATCTTGGAAAGATCGCCCCATTTGCGCCCCGCTAATTGCCGGGAAGAATGCTTACCGTCCGATCGGATCCTGGCATGCTAGCTATTTGAACTTTGATTTGTGACGGGGAACTGAGATCGACATTCTTTGATGCGCGGAACGCTACAGGGTTGTCCCGATGCCGGGAAATATAGTTCGGTTGGTCTAGAGCTGGAACACTGGTAATGTGATGGGTCGCTTTTCCAGAAACATCAATGAAGTGCATCTTGACATTCCATTAATCCTAGGGAGTTGGGTGAGGTCTTCCGGGACTGCATTTTGAACTGGATCGTTTCGATAGCAATTTACCCCTGGTGGCTTTGTTCAAGGGATATTTGCCGTCATGAACATATGCGTGCATCCTAAGCACTATTGAAAGTAGATACACTAATCAAACCTATAAAATTCTTCGATTCATTTCATTCTGGCAGAATCCTTGGAGCGCCTTTGTACTAAACGCCACGCACATGTAAAAGTACTTTGGAAGATAATACTGCAAGTACCTATTAATATTAAGGAATGTATATATTTCCTAGCCACTGAGAACGGAGGAGATGTTCGTATGCCAAACCAGTAGATCAGGTCACCAAGCTCAATCCTTGGTGATAACAGAAACGCTATCTTCAAATCTGACGTATGACTTAGATCACACATTAAGCTGATCGCAAGATAAACTCGTGCAACTTGATTATTCTCCGCATCGACTACCCTATCAGGGAGTCTCCGTACTGACATCGCACCATTAATATACCTTGCATATCCAAGACCCGTCTTACGCGCCTCGCATTATGCGTTTAATCTTCTCTCTGTCCGCCTTATTCTCCGTATCACTCATAATGAAAACACATGCGGTTCTCTGCCCCCTGAAGCAAAGTTCATGAAACCGGACCATTAGGAATCGGAAAGATCGACTACCCACATTTGCACTGTAACCTCGCGTTTACAAAAGCAAACATACATGTATGGGGCGTATCATTCCTTCGGTGCTTTCTACCGATCAAGTCGTGCTGATGTGGGAAGTGGGCCAAGCTAACGCAGACTAAAATTGGAATGTCGCCCAATGGGACAACCCGCTGTAGCCGCTCCACTCACTTTTGATTGCGTATTGGTACATCTTCCTGGCATTAAATGTTGCGCTGTTTTCGGGCAGCTGAGTCCAAGTGGCGGTTTGGTGGGGATGAAGCTGGGACCAGGACTCCAGCTAGGGTTTGGCCTCGAAACCCTCCGAAGTCACCGTATCCGACGATCCAGGCAATGCCCGCATGTGAAATGTATAAATGGGAGTGAAGGGCCAGCTGTTGAAACTCAACACCCTGGTTTGTACTACATGTAGCCACATTTTGTGACGCTCTTCTTCTTTGTTTTCTTCAACGCCGATATGACTGTCACTACACCCCTTTACTCTATGGTCAATCGACTGGGCCAGTTAGTGCAGCAGGAGAGTAACAATTCTTCACCACAAACCCATTTTGAGCTGCTACGGATGATTGACCAGTTCAAGCTGGCGGTGGAGAGTCCATCTGAGACTGTTCAGCGCCTCATTTATCAGGTATGAGGATCCACATCTACGTAATAATTTTGAGAGCTGAATCTGACCCACTATAGCCCCCACAGAATGCCGCGCTCCGAACCGTGGTTGATCTAGAGATCTTCCCTCTGCTTATGCAGAAGCAGTACCAGAATACAGGGATCTCGGCCGCGCAGTTATCGGAGTACACTGGTGCGGAGCAGGAGTTGATAGGTATTGCATCTTATCGTGTTTTTCCCTCGTGCGCGACTAACAATCACACAAGTCCGCTTAATGCGGGTCGTAGCATCTCTCGGTCTCTGCACAACCACAGAATTTCAGGTATATAGAGCGAACGAGAAGACGGCAGCTCTGACCCAGCCTGCCGGTCGTGATGGAATTCCTTGCATGTAAGACGGAGATCCCTGCCATGGTTATTTGACGGAACCTCCACTCACCGAATTCTCATTTGTCAGATATGACCTCGCAGTTCCAACTCTCAGCAAATTGCCAGAGTATCTGCGTGCTCATGATTATGCTAACCCACAAGACTATGAGAGTTCACCCATGCAATGGGCAGTTGGTCAAAGCCAGTTTGAGTGGTTAGCCAAGCACAAAGATCAGCAGACGTTGTTCAACTCGTACATGGCGAGTCGCCGACAAGGGCGACCAATGTGGTTCGATGTCTACCCAGTCGAGAGATTGATGGGTCATTCCATTCCTTGCATTGACACAGTTTTCCTCGTCGACATCGGGGGTAATCAAGGGCATGATTTGAGTCAATTCCGGCAGAAGTACAAACACCTCCCAGGAAGGGTCATCTTGCAGGATCTTCCACAGGTTTTGAACGGTGTCTCTGGTCGCGAATCTGGTATCGAGGTCATGCCGTACAGCTTTATGGATCCCCAACCTGTGAAAGGTGCAGCAGTGTATTACTTCCGCTCCATATTCCATGACTGGTCCGACGAGATCTGTCTTCAGATTCTGCGCAACACAATACCTGCTATGGCGCAAGATTATTCTCGGATTTTGATCGTGGACTTTGTGCTGCCCGACACTGATACTCCTCTCATGCAGGCATCACTTGATATTCAGATGATGAGTATTGGTGCTGGTGTTGAACGATCGGAGACTCAGTGGAGGGATTTGCTTAAAAAGGCTGGCTTGGAGATCACGGGCATTTGGAGCCAAAGTCCAGGCCAGGAGTCAGTGATTGAGGCTATTCCTATGTTGCTGGAGGCGCAAAACCGACCACTTTTATAGGGAGTCGGCTCTTTGTTCAAGTAATGCGTGAACTCCAACGGATGACAACAAGAGAAATGATAAAGATGGACAGACTGCGGTGTAGTAATAACTGGATTTTTAGTGGGTCAGCGGCGTCTTTGAATAGAAATCAAATAATGGAATGACAGGAAAAGATCAGTAAAACTTTGTAAAGTAGTCTTATGTTGCTTAAGTCTGAAAAAAATCTTTCTCATCCAAATCATTATCAGAAGCTCTACAATTTGAACATACAGGATAAAAAATGAAGAACAAGATCAACGATAAAAGTTAAAATATAAGGGAAAAAAATAAAAAAAATGAAACAGAGAAACGCTATCGGAGGTTTTGAACCTTGATGCCCCCCAGCTGGAACTCTCGACTTCCAACCAACTGCGATAACAATATCATAGGTATTATTCAATGGATTTTTGGTCGTTCAATGGCTCGAAATTGGCTAGGGCGGCTTAGGATATATTACCGCGTCGGCTGGATGTAAAATATTGTATTTATCACACAGCTTATCCACACAACAAATATCTGACTGCCATTACCGCTACATCCTCAACCACACATATCCCTCGGAAATGTAGTCCTAGTGTCGCAATTTGCTCTCTCATAGCAGTCTGGTATCCCTCATCCTTCATCAATCCACCAGTCAATACCAACTCCGTCTCCTCGGGTACAACATACCCGCAGGACCTAGGATCAACAAGACGATGCAGAGGCTTTCGAACAATGGAAGATACCTTGGCATCTATAATAGCCTTTGCCGTGCTATTCCCCGCTAGCTTCAATACCGCCTCGGCAACACCAGCAATGCGAGACTTGACACTCTGAGTACGAGACTGCGAGAGAATTTCGCTCAAAAGGTCAATGTTATCATTTTCCTCGACCTGCCCGCCCAATTTTCCTATCACAGCACGTTCAAATTCGCCTAGCTCATTTTGCCCAAGACCCAGATTCCTCTCTTCCAACACCTCTAGCACATTCTTGATGGCTTCAAGGCCAATGGAATAACCTCCACCCTCGTCTCCGAGCAGATGACCCCACCCGCCAGCTCGAGCAACACAGGTATATGCCTGGCCTTCGGTCCGGTTGTATCGCATCGCCACACTTCCGGTGCCTGCAATCACGGCAATTACAGAAGGGCTTTGGTTTGATGCGGCAGTCAACAAGGATACATCATTGGTTAGCTTGAGGGCAGGAGTGGTGTGATCCAGGCCAAATAGTTCACCGAGCTTTGGGGCCAGTATGCTGTGCAGGCCGCTTCTATCCATACCTGCTAGACCGATCCAAACTGATCGGAAGGATTGTTTGAGGCACTCCCTCCAATTCGAGTCCGTTAGCTCAGTTCCGGGTATTTTCTCTTTCAGCGCAGCCTTGGTTGCCGTGGCCAGCGCGGATATGATGACTTCCACATTGTTAATGTTATCGGTACTGCCCGAGTGTTAGCTGACGATCTTGCAACCGCTCCTGAAGTTCATACATATTGCATGGTCCAGCAAACCCATGACTGATAACGCCATCTTTGTTTGCGACGACAGCAGCACATTTGGTACCGCCACCATCAATACACAACACGAATCGTCTGCTCTCTGGTAAGGATTTTTGTGCAGGTTGACGTGTTTCTGTCAACGCCTTAGCGAGAACACCTCCAGCCGACGCCAAAGCCTCTCGACAGCTCTCAACGGATCCACTCGTTTCAGCAACTAGAATAGCGAGCTTGACACTACGATTGCACCTCGCAAGAAGCGAGTCCAACTCGGAATCCGAAAAGCCCTGGCATTTTCCACTCAGTCTCCGCAGAATATTCCGAGCGCGCTGCTCGAGTTTGAGATTCGATGCCACCATGTCAACCATCTGCTAACAATCAGTCACAATCATTTAGGCAAAAACAACACCTTCCTACCATATTTCCATAAGTCTTCCCGATTCGAATCATAGTTCCCGTGCTCAGCATGTTCAAGACCATCTTCGTGGCACTCCCCGCCTTGAGTCTAGTACTCCCAGTAACCACTTCCGGACCCGGTAGCGGAGCAATCAGGTAATCCACATTACCAGAGTGACCCATAGCCGATGGGGAAGTGCATATAACACCAATAGTAAGGCAGCCTAGCCGTTTGGCAAAGGAAAGACATCCAAGGACATAGGGTGTACGGCCGGAGCTGGCAATACCAATCACACTGTCAAGATTCCGATCGAGATTCAGACGCTGCAAGTCATCTCTACCGGCTTGCTCGTTATCTTCGGCGCCCTCTTGAGCTTGCCGGATTGCATCGTTTCCTCCGGCGATCAACCCGACGAATTGGGATGGGGAAGCAGCAAAGGTAGGCGGGATTTCCGAAGCATCCAGGATCCCTAACCTAGGAATTTCCGATGTTAATTATTTGTTTCTCTTGGTATATCTTTGCATTTGGCATGCTAACCGTCCACTTGTGCCTGCTCCAACATACACCACCCTGCCGCCTTTCCGAACACGCAAAGCCAGGGCATCGATCGCATCCGCAATGACCGGTAGACACAGTGCAACGCTCTCTGCTACTAGATGATCCTCGTTGTTTATTACCGTACACATCTCCAGCGTCGATACGCGGTCGATATCGGTCGTCTGGGGATTAACCCCCTCAGTCTGCAGTCTAGCCAAGCCATCGAGATCCATGTTCGCCGACAGTTGCCAGTCACTTGATTAGTGGTGTAGAGCAATATGCAGGAAAGCCGGTGTTTTGCGCGCGACTGAGACGAATAAACTCTTCCATGATTGACGCCATCCTCCCCTAGGAAACGATAGTCGGAAGCGACCGACATCCGCTCACCGAGACTGAAGCCCGAGCGAGATCCGTTAATTGCGGGGCGTTGCCGATAAAAAAAAACATCCCACGTTACGAGCCAGAGTCGCAACGCTACCCCAGTGTGGTACTCGGCTCCAATAAACCATGGGTGACATGTGGGGTTGTGTATCTTCCCCAGAACCTACCCAATGTGGAGTCTGAACAGCGCTTAAACCCGCGAATATATGCCTGTATTTATGCAACTTTTCCCAATAAATCGATATTCTCGTAGATCAGTGTTTAGGCCATCGGGTAATTTCCTTTTTCTTTGGCCTTTCTCCACATCAGATACCACTGCTCATGTGTGGAATCCAGGGATAGAACCCCATATCATGCCAGATCTCACGATTGGTGCTTGGATGGTATCCTTCAAATATTTTGGTTTCGAATTTCGCTTTTGCCGTTCGTTGGTCGCATCTGCACTTGCATCACAATATGGAGGACGGAACAAGGGCTGGAACCGTTGATCAGGGACGCAAGGATTCAGTTTGGCGTCGGATCTATACACACAGTTGGGTCCAGATTCTGCTGATCAGTTTTATCTGTTTTTGCTGTCCTGGGGTACGTATCGCGTTGTCACCACTTCAACATCCAGAGTTGAACTAATTGCCGGGATATAGATGTACAATGCCCTCACTGGACTGGGAGGATCTGGACAAGTGAATCAAACAGTTGCTGCAAACGCTACTGTGGCGTTACTTGCAGCCACGGCAGCAACAGCGTTATTTGTTGTTGGGCCGATTTTCAATCGCGTCGGTCCCCGTGTTTGTCTTCTTCTTGGCGGTTGGGCATATCCGTTGTACTCGGGGAGTCTCCTCTGCTTCAACTGTATGTATACAGGGTATGATATATCCTCGTCTATACATTTGCTAATTTTTACTTTTCACCCCTGGCAATAGCGACCAATAATGGTGCCTTTGTGATCGCCTCCGGTGCGCTCCTCGGCGTGGGCGCATCGTTCTTGTGGGTCGCACAAGGAGCTATCATGACAACGTATGTGCCCGAATCACAAAAGGGACGTGCAATCGCGGCGTTCTGGATCATCTTCAACCTCGGGGGTGGAGTGGGATCTCTAGCCAGCTTTGGGCTGAACTATAATTCCACCAGCGGCACGGTCTCGAATGCGACATACATCGCTCTCCTAATTCTCATGGGAATTGGATGGTTGATGGGCGTGTTCATCTGCCCCCCTGCATCAGTTCGAGTGGCCCAATTGAAAGCAATCCCAGAGGAAGAAAAGAACTGGAAGCAGACGGCGCGATTGTCCGTAAGTACCATCGCTGATTGGCGTGTCTTGTGCATGCTGCCACTTTTCTTCTCGGCAAATGTCTTTTACTCTTACCAGCAGAATGTGGTCAATGGCATGACCTTTGATATCCGCACGCGCTCGCTTAATGGTGCTTTTTACTGGATTGCGCAGATGTTGGGCGGCTTGATCATTGGTCTTATTCTTGACTTTCCGGGTCTGAACCGACAGGTTCGCGCGAGGGTTGCTTGGGTATTCCTTTTCGTGACTGGAATGGCTATCTGGGGCGGTGGTTATGCGTTCCAGAAATGGTCGTCGCGCCGCTTGGCCTTGGGCATCAAGCAGGATATCGACTACAAGGACGGTTCTGCCTCCGTCGGTCCAATGCTACTCTACATCTTCTATGGCGCCTACGACGCGTTTTGGCAGTCGTTCTGCTACTGGCTCGTGGGGGCTCGGTCTAATTCGCCTGCTGTCACCGCGATCTTGGTCGGTGCGTACAAGACCTTCCAAAGTGCGGGCGGAGCTATGGCATGGCGAATCAATGCATTGGGGAAGCCTGCTATGACCCAATTTGCCATGGATTGGGGTCTGTGTATGGGGTCGCTTGTCATCGCCATTCCTTCCGTTCTGGCGGTTACCCTGACCAGCGATACTGAGCCCGAAAAGATGAAGAGCATGGATGACCCGGATTCGCCGGATCCGCCGGATTCCGAGAAGCACAAACCTGTGCTAAGAAAGTAATAGATATCACGCAAGGCGGTGTTGCGGTGAGGCTTGGTCGCACACGTAAACATCCAGGGTCGTAACAAACGTCAGGTACACGAGCCTAAATTAATATTCGTTGCAACACTGTCCTTGGTTCGTAGACCGTTAAAGTATATACATGGATTGTCGCACATGCACACTCCCTTTACCGAACGCAGTTCTTCAGGACTGCAGTCTCCATCCATAGCTTGGTGTATTGTTGGTGCAACCAGACCATAACCGGGCCCATAGGAGCAGCGTCGGCCTTGCCCAGACCCTGATAGAAGCAGCTCTTCAAGGTAAACTCGGCCACGCCCTCTTCCTGCTTGATGACGGCTCCCATCTCAAAGAGACCATCGGAGGGGCGAACATCTTGGTGGCGGGGAGTATCACCGCAACGGACGGTGATCTTCTCCTCGGTTTTCTCAACGACTTCAAAGTGGTCGGTGATGAGGGTGCCGACTTCGTAGTTGTTTGCGAGGAGCTCCTTGCGGCTCCACAGGTGAGAGGCAGTTTCGGGACCCTGATATTTGTTGGACAGGTAGGCGCGCTGGACGATGTAGCCTAAGAGGGGAATTTCATTAGACGGAGTTTCGCCGATCGCAGTCGGTTGAGCTTACCCATGCCACCCCAGACACCGGCACAGAAAGCTTCGGTTAGCTTAGCCTTGTTTTCTAACAGCTCGGGCTTAATCTTCTCGAGCGGGACACGGCGGACACATAGGTCGTGCAGGGTTGGGTTCTGCTCGGGGTTGAACTTTTTGAAGAAGGGTGATTGGAAGATCGGATCGGAGGTTTGCATGGGCTCGAAGACGTCATTGCGCGTGGCCCCCCAGAAGACAGCAATGGAGGCGACGGTGCCGGCGGCGGAGATCTTCAAAGCGCGTTTGATCAAGCCCATTGTGACTGGATTGGAGGTGAAAGTTTGGAGGAAGAGAGAGTTGAGTGAGAGCTCGAGTTCCACGTTCGGTGAGTGCGGAGAACATTGGAAGCGGCAATTGACATTTCCCCGTCACGAGGGCTTGGCCTACGGCACATTTTCTAGTTTAAACTGAGATTGATAGCTAATTAGTGATGCCAGGCTACGACGCCAAATTTCCTATCTGATAAATATACATACCTTAATACCAATATAGCAGTTGATCAAATAGTGATTAGAATATTGGAGTTGGGTGTAGCACACCACGGAAATATGTATCCGCGTGGAGCTTCATCCTACAGTATCAACGAGTACCTACCGTCTCACCGGTCGATTCCAGGGAGAACCAATAACAAGACAATGCTTACATACCTCTGGACCGGGGTCCGTGAACCTACACATAACAGTCCAGGCACCTGTGGATTCCAAGCCTCGAAATGACGCCAGAAGTCGGAAATCCCGATTTCCAAAGTTAAGCATATTGGCACAACGACGATGTCTCACCCTACCAACTATATGATGAAAAGGGATCTCCGAGCACGAGTCGGATATCTACTAGTCCATAAATGAAGGGATTCAAAATAGATGACTTCTAGACTTCAATCGCGGCGCTTGCTCCATACGGCTTCAGCTTAGCTTTGGTTCTGGCGCGGAACGCCGATCTCCACCTTGAAGTCGGAATAGCCGAATTACATCCCCATCCACCTGGCGCACCACTGTATCATTCCTGCCCCTGCGCCCAATAGGACCGATCCTGTTAGCTGGAGCAAAAGTCCCCCATTTTCGATTGTGGGGAAGCAATCGCTGGGGTAAATCGGTGGGGTATTTGAACAAACCTTGCCGCGCCTCTCCTGGATCGACTTCTTTCTCTTTCCCCCAGACCGAACATATAAAAGCCCCACACATCATGACAGACACGAAAGACGACTCCCATCGATTCAGTGCTTCTAGCCATTTGGAGAATCTGCCCGATGAGCGCATGCCTTCCGTCGGCGATTTGAAACCGGTCATCGAGGAAGATGACGTGAATAATCCGCAGGTGAGAACAAGTGAATGGTTCAAACGAGGAACAAGAGATGCTCATTAATTCTCACAGAATTGGCCCCTATCAGCCAAACTATCCACCTACCTTACGATTTGCTCCTTCACCTTTTTGGCCAATGTCAACTCCAGTAATTTCACGGTCGCCACCTCGGCTATTATCAAGGAGTTCCATGTCAACCAGACCCAGGCGGGGCAGCTGGTCTGCTTTAATGTCTTTCTTTTCGGCGTGGGTAATATTTTCTGGGTGCCGCTCATGCGGGTCATTGGGAAACGCCCCGTTTACTTGATAGCGATGCTGTTCCTCTGCATGATGAATGTATGGTCTAGCCAGTGCACCAGCTACGGCGAACTACTGGCATCGCGCATTATTTCAGGCTTCGCAGCGGCGGCTGCCGATGCCACGGTGCCCGCTGTCGTGGCCGATATGGTTGCCGCGAAGGACCGGGGCCACTACATGATGTTTTTTCATCTTGCAATGACGGCCGGGCTCTTCGTGGGTCCCTTAATCAATGCCTACCTGGTGCAGCAACAAGATTGGCGCTGGATGTGTTATTTCCTTGCGATCGCGGTCGGTGTGGTCCTGGTGATCGCTATCTTCACCATCCGGGAGACAACGTACCTGAAGAGGCGCTCGGGAAACCTAGAGAAGCGATCACAGTTGCAGTGGATGTCCTTGACGCTCGGCTTCAATCGGGATGCTTCATTCCTGCAAGCTCTTTTGGATATTCTAGCCAACGCTGCTTACCCACCATTAATCTGGTGCTCGTTAACGATTGGAATCTCGGTCGGATGGTTAGTAACTCCTAACCCCCTCACGCCCCCCGTTAAGAAAAGATCGCTAACCTTAACCAGGAATATTGTGGTTCAACTAACATCCTCCCGTACATTCCTCAAGCCGCCCTATAACTGGCAATTGGGTGACTTGGGCCTTCTATCCCTCGCTGGATTTATTGGTTGCGTACTCGCATTTTATGCCGGTGGCCGACTGATCGATATTATCTCCAACCGGAGCACTAAGAAACACGGCGGGGCTCGTATGCCAGAGTACCGACTACCGGCGATTGTGATCCCCGGAACTATCGGACCAGCGGGGATCTTGATTTTTGGACTCTGTGTCGCACACAAAACACACTGGATTGGACCTGCTGTGGGATATGCCATGCAGGCCTTTGGCGTGGCTGCGATATCGAACGTGGCTGTGACCTACTCACTAGATTCGTACAAGCCGGTATGTGATACTTCTATGAGTGTCTTGGGTATAGCTGACTTAAAAACCCTATCAGGTCACTGGTGAGGCTCTGGTGATTATTTTTGTCATTCGCAATACTATTGGTATGCTGCTGTCGTTGTATGCGGCTGATTGGATTGAGAGACAAGGAACAGCCGCGGTCTTTGGAGAGATGACGGCCATTCAAGTCGTGAGCGTTCTTTTTGCTATTCCATTGTACTTCTGGGGCCGCTCTCTGAGGGCCTTCACGTCCACTTATGGACCCATGAAGCGGTTCCAGGACTCATGAATTCCTATATTGAATAGAAATTATTGCTAGATGTACACCCAATTCATTACCGATACTCATAAGTTTATCCTTCCAATCAACAAATTAACAAGATCCAAATAAACAGCCAAGTACTTTTAAGTAACCGAAATTAGCATAGGAGGACGAAATGTAAACTGCCATCTCTACTGTAGTCTCAGTGTTCCAATATAAGACTCCCGATTACAATCTGAAACAGTCAATTCCCTTTAAGTCCCTTGAGTGTCCCTAAGCAGGCTCATGTTCGATTGGATCTTAGGACGGTGTGGCCCAAATGGTAGACGGAATACACATATCAACAGGCAGGCTCGTGTGTGATGTCGGTCTTGATTTACGCACATCAAGCCATGAATCTCATGCTACATGATAAGAAATAAATCTCAAATGTCATATAAAATGAATTCCTAGCGCCGATTGTGTTCTAGTAGTACATTGCAATCCCAAAAAACGAGTGTACAAACATTAAAGAAAGACTATTGAATCAACCAGTGACCCAACCAAAAAACAGTGAACAAAATATCCGTCATGAAGACCTAGCCAAATAGGCAGATAGAAGACTGGATTTCAAACTAGCCATATCCCTTGTGGATTTAGGCCAGAGGGAAACCGAGGAAGGAGCTGCCCTTACCAGTGGGAGCAGCCGAACCAGCCGGGGCAGCACCACTGGGAGTACCGGAGGGAGTGGGAATAGCCTTGGAAGTGAAGCTGCGCTTCTGACCACCGAAATGCATGCCGGAGGGAGCACCAGTGGGAGCACCAGTGGGGCCACCGAAAGCAACGCCGGAAGGAACACCAGAGGGAATGCTAGGAGTGGGCATAGCCTCGGAGAAGCTACGCTTCATAGCGCCGGAAGCGAGACCGCCAAGAGCAGACTCAGCATCGGAGACCAGGTCGGAGATACCGGTGGGGAGAACACCTCCGCGCTTCATCGCGCCTGAAGCAAGACCACCAAGAGCAGACTCGGCATCGGAGACTAAATCAGAGATACCAGTGGGGAGAGCATCTCCGCGCTTCACAGCGCCAGAGGCGAGGCCGCCGAGAGCAGACTCGGCATCGGAGACCAAGTCGGAAATACCAGTGGGGAGAGCATCTCCGCGCTTCACAACGCCAGAGGCGAGGCCACCGAGAGCAGACTCAGCATCGGAGACCAAGTCAGAGATACCAGTGGGGAGAGCATCTCCGCGCTTCACAGCGCCAGAGGCGAGACCACCGAGAGCAGACTCAGCATCGGAGACCAAGTCGGAAATACCAGTGGGGAGAGCATCTCCGCGCTTCACAGCGCCAGAGGCGAGACCACCGAGAGCAGACTCGGCATCGGAGACCAAGTCGGAGATACCGGTGGGGATAAGACCACGCTTCACACTGTCGGCGACCAGAGAGGCCGAGGCCGAGCTAGAAGCGGGAGTTCCAGAGGGCTTAGGCAGGCTGAAGCTAGGAGTACCGCTGGGAGCGCGAGAAGGAGCAACGATGCCAGAAGAAGTAGGGTGGGCATATGTGCCATTGGTGGTGCCGTTGGAGCTGAAGGGGGCCGCGATGGCGGAGCCCGAGAGGGCCAAAGCGAGGGAAGCAAAGGAGGTCTTCATGTTGGATAGTGTAGAGAATGAGAGACAAGATTTGTCAAAAGAGTGAGATCTTGATCTGGAGAGTGTGATTGATTCTGTTTGATGATGGAGAGAAGAAGGCTGGACTCGAGGGGGTTTATATATCTTTTCTGGGGAGGTTTGTCGTCAGAGAAGACGATCGACACCTTCGCCATGTAGGCTGTTGTGCAGCAGCACCGGTGGTGTCCCCACATGGTTGCTGCTTATCTTGGTGGCAGTGGAGATCATTTCTCCAAGGTCCCAGACCAGAGTCTGGAAATGGCCCATTCTGAGGTGATCCCCAGGTCTCGACGGCGACCTCCCATGTCCCTGGGTCCTGATATCAAGGAATAGCCATCTGATTGATGGATCGATGTAGATCCGATTCCTTGTTGGGAACGGTTCCTCTAGTTAAACCATTCGAAACATGCACGTTGTCGATTGCCGGTCTCCACAATGAACATTTAAAGTTTGTCATCTAAAGCCATCCCCATAGTTGCAGATAACACAAAGGTACTAGAAAGCATGGCAAGTAGCCACATGGTGGAGAACGATACCGAACGGCAGGAGCCCTTGGAGAGTTTGAATCGACGGATTGGGCGAAGAAGTTGGAGAAGGAGAGATGGAGGGAGATTGATTGGAGGAAATGATTGGTTCGGTTTACTGGCTCAGGGACTTGCGACTTGGATATCTGGTGCCGATCGACGATCCCTTGCAGATCCCCGTTGGGGTCGCCGGAGTTGGCGATTCAGCCGAGTTCCAACTTCTTGGTTAACCCCATCAGCGATGGAATCGCGAGCATACTCCACCGCTCAACCGTGGTCGAACTCGGTACTCCCCACCTGAAATCAATGATTGGAAGGCTTAGTCGCACGATAACGACATCGGCATTTTGAAACACAAGACGATGCCGAGTTTGGATAATAGTAGGTATGGTGCACTGGCCTGGGACGTCATGCTAAGCACGTTGTGCAAGGCAAGTTTCAATGCATCCACGGAACATAGGCAATTAACGGTGGCGGCATTCACATTGAAGATCACTTTGTAGGTCTCCCGGGCGAAAGGTTTGCATCTCTGCCATCCAGTATCCGCCAGTGACGCGATTCCAGTCGAACGAAGTTCGGTTATCGGCATGCTTGTGGGTGCTTAGGACGGTGCCATGGGGAATCAAGAGGTAGATCGTGGAGGATATTCGCGCATCAGTGGACCTCGCCTACAAAGAACTGGTAACTACATGATTATTGAATATCACTAGCCGGGTGGGTCAATTTGGTCAATTGGATCACTATTTAGTAAATTCAATACTGTCTCAAAAGTCATAGTATAGCATGATTCTAACTGATTTTTCTGGTCACGGTTAGTATCAATGACAGGACATGCGATAATAGGAACTCCTAATGAAGCGTAGACTCTCGGGGATTTTGGCCGGACTTGACCCACTGAGGCTACCAAGGATTAGGCTCAGGTCCTCGAGACGACAAACTCAAGGAACTGCCTTATCTTGCCCAATGGGATGTCACCGCTCAATCCTCGTGGTGTACAAGAAGGTGGCAAACAGTGAGTCAATTAATCTGTAGCGCTGCTCAAACAGCCTCGGTATATTCAAATCGGATAGCATCATTGCCGAAGAGAGTGCTTTAGACCGAAGGCCAAAGATCCTGGTATGCTTCGGCTAGAACAATCTGTCTCCCTGAATGATGAGCCGAGGAAGACTGTATTATAGTTCTCTACATCGATGGTGCCCGGAGGCTCCGAGACGGATCACGGTGGATTGTCATCTTTGAAATGCCTAGTATTCATTCCGATTATTAAATTAATATTCTTCATCCGCTGTTACGTCCAAACGTTTCATAACATCATTTGTCCAAGACAACGGGCCCAAGCCCCTAAAATGAGAAGTGCTAGCATCACAATCGTAAATTATCGCTTAGGCCATCTGACGCTTCTGAACCTGCTCCCACTGGGGCTCGAGATTGTTTCCAATGGCACGGACAGCCTCCTTCACCAGCTCCCGCTGGGACAATCCACTCCGCTTGGACACCTTGGACTGAGAGTCCTCCTTGGACATCTCAACGTGGAGGTAGACAGCAGACTTCTTTCCGCTGAACATAGCGTGAGGGACGTTGGTGGAAGCATCGCTGTTGGCATCACCAATACCCCACACACCGGCCATGCTAGTGCGCATGCTGGCCGTGTTAACATCAATCTTTTCCTTGGTGATGTTCAAGCCCATCTGGGCAGGTAGGGTGGAGTGCTGAACGGTAGGGGCGTTGATAATCAAAGCACCACGCTCAACGGGATCACCCTCAGTGAAGTGGATGAGGAACTTGTCAAACTGCTGGTCGGTAGTCTTGTTCTGGTGTGTCTCGCCATCCTGTGTGCGCTCAATACGGGTGATGGTGCGGTTGTCAATTTTGACGTTCCACGCATCAAGCTGCTCTTTCCAGCCGTCGTGTTGGCTAGTAGCGGCCATCTCACCGGCAGGAGTGTCGGTTCCATTGACAAAGGCGATGATATCGGTGTAGAGAGTGTTGGTCTCTAAAACACTGCCGAGAACGTCGGCAATGCTTCCGAGAATGCCGAAAGGCTGGTCACGGTGCTCTTGAATATTGTTAGTCTTGGTTCTTCAAGTAGGATCGAGGGAATCGTACCATAACCGTCACACCATGGGCACCAGAAGAGTCCCTTGCCCCAGGCTTCATCCACACCGGGAGTATTGGGGAGCACATCGCTGACACCAGTTCCAAGAACAAGCTTACGCGAAGTGTAGGACTTGCCCGTGTCGTCGGTCACGTTAAAGGCAGACACGCCGCCTTTTCCATAAGGCACAATCGACAGCACAGTGGAGTTCTTGAAATGAGCTGTGGGGTAGTGAGAAATCTGCTGGCGGGCCAAGCCGCGGAAAACAGCAGGGGGTGTGCCTAAGGTCCCCAATTAGTAGAGGTCATAGTCAAAGCCATCGATCAGTCTTACCGTCGTTGCCAATCACATCGTGCATAGCCCGAGTAGGATCATTGCGGTAATGTTGGTTATCAAACAGCAAAGCAGTTCTCCGCACGCGAGAGACACCACTCAGAGCGCTGAGACCCGCGGGTCCACCACCAACGACAATGACGTCGTAGTCAGTCTTGGGGATGGCCTCGGCTGCGGCAAAAGAGCCCAATGCTAAGACGGCGGACAGGAGGGTAGCAATTTTCCAAGCCATGGTGACTGTTGCGACTGTCCGATACTGGTGTGAACGGGATCACCATGGGAAACCTTCTACCCTTTATAGGCAGACAGGCCCGCTGTTGATCAATGATCATTAGTTTGTCAGAGAATCCACTTGGATCACCAATCAATGTTCCGACTAGGTAGCATCAGGCATGCTCTGAGGGGAAACGGAACTCATTTGCTCCGAGCTGAAAGGGTTAAGAGATCTTCAAGATCTACATCCCCTGCAGTCACCCAAAGATGGGCCGAGCCTTGAGCTGGAGCTCTCTAGCAGGGTAGCGTCCACGGGTTGCTCGGAAGCTTGGCAATCGTGGACCATGGACGATCTCTGGTGTGATATGTACACACCGCATCATTGTCGACACCTTAACGTTGGAGTGAATAATAGTATTTGACGTTGCAAGTTACACCGTAGGCATATGGTCATGACTCATCACTGAAAAGGATCAGGTTGTTGAAATTGATTCCTGCGCCAGCCACGGGACGGCTGGAAGATTCGGATCGGCCGAGTGTAGGGAACTGGGGATCTGGTTTTCATGCAGCTTTTTGCATAATTGGCTTTAGTGGTCTTGGCGCATCGAGATCGATCGTCGCCGGCTCCAGAGCAAAGTTCCGACACCAGTCCCGCAAGATGGGGTATCGAGCATTTCAGAGAGAAAAAAAAAAAAAAATGAAAACCAACAACATGCAAGGCATATATCGCACAGTCAATTGAAGCCTTGAAAACCTTCCTCTCTATGGTATGATGAGGGTATCCCAGGGTTGCTTGTACTCACGCGTGATTATTTTCAGCTCCTGTCGATAGTTTGGTGGAGCTTGCAAGCCGCTGTGGGTCCCGGACCCAGCCTTTTCGGATTTGACTAATCACTGTCCATGACATAGACAGCCCTGCAGAATGAGATCATGACCATATCGAAATCAGGGTTTTCAGGGTCACTCGTGTTTGCTTGCAGTTCGTACTTTTTACAAGGTAGCTGCGATGTCGCAGTGGCGAATATTCAATTTAAATGTTATGTGATATGGATTCCAGTGTAGCAAGTGACCGGAATGTACAGTGCCCAAGCGATCGACGCACCAGGAACCCCATTTTTTCCGACTACTGTACCATTGAAAATATCCCAAATTTTGATCTCAGCTTCCAACCAGTTCATGAACAATAGGTAGGACATAATTAGAGGAACAACACGAGTAATACAAGTGGTATATCTACCGACCCATCCAGCCTCCATCCACCGTCAAAACTTCCCCAGTCACGTATGCGCTTGCCCGACTAGCGAGATAAACGACGGATCCCTTGAAATCATCAGGATCACCCCATCGGCCAGCAGGAATACGCGCCAAGATACTTGCAGCACGTTCCTTATCCTGGATGAGTGCAGTATTCATATCCGTCGCGACATATCCCGGGGCAATAGCGTTGACATTAATTCCCTTCGAAGACCACTCGTTCGACAATGCCTTCGTGAGTTGTGCCACGCCACCCTTCGCTGCCGCATAAGCAGGTACCGTAAGACCACCCTGGAAAGATACAAGAGAGGCGACGTTAATGATACTCCCACGTTGACCGGAGCGGTTTGGAGTGCGACCGAGCATGTACGCGCCGACGTCCCGACAAAGAGTGAACACGGTGGTCAAGTTGACTTGGAGAACCTAGAAATGGTGTGATGAGTCGACAATTATAGATGTTCACCGGGATGAAAATACGTACCTCGTCCCAATCCTCCTGGGGGAAGAGATGACTTGGGTGTCGTCGCTGGATACCGGCGCAGTTGAGTAGAATGTCGATATCATGGCCATTGTTAACTACGGTAGCGACCAGAGTTGAAACGGAAGCTTGCGATGCGAGATCCGCTGTGTAGATTGTTGCCTTTCGGCCCAGTTTCTCGATTTGTTCTTTGGTAGCGGGGTTACTGGTGTCTCTCTGCAATGGATCAGTTTGATGCCGCTTTCTCTTATCACCAGATCGTCTGTACCTGAATTAAGACAATGTCTGCACCAGCCTCAGCCAGAGCAATGGCCATGGCCTGGCCAATGCCGCGAGTGCCTCCAGTCACAAGGGCTGTTCGACCTGCAAGTGAAAAAAGATCCATGATGTTTGTGAGTGCCAGCTGTGACACGCGGGGAGGGAAGCCGGGCTATATACTGCAGACGCGACCTGTGCCCCCACGTTCCCCGCACTGAGGTGGAGGGTGTCAGTGATGTCCTGACTGTCACTCGAAGCATATATACATTGAGTGGGGGTACATTGGCGCATTGAGAAGATGCTGTATTGTCCTATAGATTACTACTGGTTGGAAATGTACCTCGGCAAACTTCCAATGAAGACTGCGCTTGAATGATTGTTAAACAGCATCGTGTGACGCATCATGATATTAAATAACTCTATCAGTCTAGAAGACTACCACTCACGGATCGATCCATCAGGTCCATGGAACTCTTTAGGTTGCCAGGGCTCAGTCTCCTTGCTGATCCGCCGAACCATCTCCTCGTCAATATCAATTCCGATACCCGGCTTCGACGGCGCCGCCACATATCCCTCTGTGATATCAAAGACATTTTTGTCGACCACATAGCTAATCAAGTCGATATCACCAGCCTCAACGTTATAGTGCATACCTAAGGACATTTCTTGGATGACAAAATTGGGCGTGGAAACAGCAATTTGTAATGATGCAGCAAAAGCGATAGGACCTAGAGGGCAATGAGGAGCAATAGCCACGTCGTAGGTCTCGGCCAAGCTCGCGATACGTCTTGTCTCCGAGATGCCGCCAGCGTGAGCAATATCGGGCTGCAGTACATCGACAGAGGAATCCTCGAGGAATCTCTTCACATCCCACCTGGTGTATAAACGCTCTCCAAAGGCAATAGGGATTGTGGTGGAGTTGGAAAGCTGCTTGAGTGCCTCGGGGTGCTCACACAGCAATGGTTCCTCGATAAAGAGAGGCTGGTACGGCTCGAGTGCCTTTGCGAGCTGCTTGGCCATTGGTTTATGGAGACGGCCGTGAAAGTCCAAACCAGCATCAAGGCCAAGTGCTTTGACCTGTTTGAGACGCTCGACGCAGGAGTTGAGGGCGGCGGGCGAGTCAAGCCAGTTGACGTCTTCGGTGGCGTTCATCTTGATACATTTGAGACCTTGAGCAATTCGTGCCTTACTATTTTCCCATTAGGATCATCGCCTTGGGTGTAAGAATCATCCATACTTACGCTGCAGCTTCCACATCACTCGGTCGGTCTCCTCCGATCCAGGCGTACACCTGCACCTTGTTGCGCACCTTTCCGCCCAGCAGTTGGTAGACAGGGACACCCAATCGTTTACCTTTAAGATCCCACAGTGCAATGTCAATACCCGACATGGCGGACATGAAAACGGGTCCTCCACGGTAGAACCCTAGTCGCCATATTGTTTGCCAGATATGTTCGATGTCACTAGCGAAATGTTAGCGAAGCAAAAGCTAACTTGGACAGCATACCATACTCCGCCTCATATCCGACAATGCGAATAATAATCTCATCTAAGGCTCCCTCAACAGCTAGGGAGTGACCCTCAAGGGTGCCCTCACCCCAACCAACCTGTCCCTCGTCATCGGTAACCTTGACGAACAACCAACGGGGCTTCACCCGGAAATACTCAATCGACTTGATCTTGGCCATGGCTGTAGATGATTAATTGAAGACTTGAAAGTGACAGATTGTCAACACGACCGTAGGGGAGCGGGGTATCATTTATTCGGTCGCGATGCGCGTCGATGCCCCCATTTACATCCCACGCCCCCCACGCGGGCAGCAGAGTCGGGGAAAGTCCGGGGTGAGAGCAGATTGAGTTACCGACGCATCCCCCACGCCAACCTCCTGATGTTGATAATTGGTGGAATAACCCTACGTTCTTGGTGGGGGGAAGCAGAGTACCTGATGAGTAAGGAGAGCTCTCGGGCACTCCCAATTTGAGTTAAGGGATTACTAGTACCTAGCTGTCGTCATTAATCTGGCATCGAAAAGAACATGACATTATGACGATATGCATCCGCGACGTTCCCGCGTCAAAATTTCGTTTTCTTCGCTTCGGGCTGATAAATTCAAGACTTATATTCATCTTGATCAAAATATTCCCAGTCAAGTGGTAGCTATGAGGGATATCTCACGTGAGTGCACAGTATAGAGTTGACAGAATGAGATAGGGAAAATCGTCCGGCCCGGCGACAGCGCTGATCATCGTATATGCTATGTAGCAATCCCAAACTTAGTCGTGCCTAGTTCACACGGCTGTTAAAGAATCCCATGCATATCCTTAGGCATCGTAATCAAAGGCAAGAGATAAATATAAATCTGAGTTGTAAACTGTATGAATTAAAGGGCTCCCCTTACTATACTGAGTACAATATAACATTTGATGTCTTAATATAGATACCGGAAATTTATGTTCTCCTTGTCTGTAAGGTCACTGAAGGCAGATCGATCCAGTTCGAGCTGTCGCAGGTAGTCAGCATCATCGCCCGGAGCCACACCCTGCGCACGGTCGCGGCGTCGATTCTCCCAAGCGAGCGCAAGCCCGAGCACGATGATGAGAGCAATCTCGACGAAGTTGGCCACAATCATGGACCAGATCCCGAGCGAATACACGGGGGCTTGATCCGACTTGTAAAAGAAAGGGCCGGCAATATTGCCTGCGCAAACTCCCAAAAAGATCATCGCATTTGTGATAACCTTCTTGGTGTGACCAGCGATATTACCTGTCAGAATAGACAGAATAATCACGAAGGAGGCGTTGTACGAGCCCGTCAAGTAGTAGCATATTAAGCGTCCGACCTGGTTTGATTGTGGCACGTAGTGGAGACCAAATGAGCCAGCCAGGTTGGGAAGCAAGAAGACAATAGCCACAATGCATCGATTGTTTCGAGGAAGGCGGTCATTCACGAACACTGCGAGGAGAATCATGATGGATATGAATGCGCCGTAGGGAATTTGCATCAATGTGGTAACCACTGTATCCTTGTTAGCTCTGGACCCTTTCACGCTGGTTGATTACTTACAAGTTGAGAATCCGAATCCCTTGATAATCAATGTACCAAAATTCGAAATTCCACCATTGGGAATGTTACCGGAAAACCCCAGAAGGAAAAATACCCATACCTTCCAATCCGTAACGGCCTCCAAGATCTGTCTCGGCTTGATATTCTTATTTTCAATACCAGTCTGGTTGTCGCGAAGTCGCTCAACGGCCAACCGCTTCTGGCGGTCGGATAATTGCGGTGCAGTGACGGGTGAATCGGGAAGGAAAATGATCATGACGATACCCCAGCAGGCACACAGGGCACCGATGACGAGAAATTCATATTTCCAGGATGAGAGCGCACCATTGATCTGGCCGATTCCGTAGCCAAGAAGACCGCCTACTGCAATACCAAAGCCATTGGCAGTGTACCATAATCCAATGCGAATAGGCTGTTGTCGGCGGGTATACCACATACTCGTGATCAGCATAAAGGCCGGGTCACTTTTCAGTCAGTCAACTGATCTCTGCAAGGTAATTGGTGGAGTACAAACCTGCAGGCCTCGGCTGCCCCCGATATGACACGTAGTACCGCAAGCTGTGTGAAGTTCTTCGCGGCCGCTGTCATGCACGGTCAGCAAAAAAAAAAACAGATCAATTGAGGTGACCATATTTACCCTGCAACATTAAAAAGAATCCCCAAAGAAAGATATTGATCCCAAGATATTTGCCAATGGGGAAGCGTTGCATCAGCAGATTGGTTGGTAAGGACCAGACCAAGAAGCCAAAATAGAAAACACTAGATAGCCATGAATACTCTGTGCCGGAAATGTTTAGGTCTTTTTCAATTCCGAAGATTGCAGCGTAAGACAGCGTCGTTTTGTCAATCTGTTTGATCAGCCAGCGGTCACCAATATCTGGAACAGAACCAACTGTACATAGTAGAATGCATAGCAAACAGATAGGAATGGTAGTATCATAAGATCGATCTTGCGAACTAGTTTCTTCTCTTCCCCTGGCTCGAATGTTTCGTGCATGTCCTCCAGGTTGTCGAATAGGGCCAACGCTGCATCGCCATTGTGAATTTTTCCAGTGTCGGTTGGAATGCCGGACCCTTCGAGGTGCATGGCTGCTGGCTTGACATGAGAATTCTCAGGAGATTCGGTCATGATGGTGCATGTATGTATAATCCACGCTTAATGTTGTTGGGCAGAGAACAAAGGTCGCAGAAGATGTGTTATATCCCCCACCCGGGAGGTATCCGAAGCACTGGGGGTCCATGTCACCCCGGATTCCCCAGCATTGCCAAGAAAGTGGGCCGATGATGTCGATCATGTCTTACAAAAACTTTGGAAGATGGGGAAATTGTAACCCCCACGCTTTCTCGGGTGAACCCCGCGAGCGGGGATCTGGGGATGTAGCGGCCCATTCTCTCTTTTCAACGTGTACATCGTTGCGGTAAAGCAATGCTTTTGTGTCAATTGAATCTCACATTATGAAGCTCTCACTGGCAGATGTTAAACAGCACAATAGCCGGAAATCTTGCTGGATTGCCATTCATGGTGCTGTCTACGATGTGACAGGTGAGTAATTCCCCCATGAGAGTATCTACTATCTCATAGCGGTCCTTATTACATATTTGAGTAAACAAGTAACTGAGAATTACCTTCAGATTTCTTAGACACCCACCCCGGCGGTGCAAAGGTCATCTTACGTTGTGCCGGCAAAGATGCCACCGATGAATTTGACTCGGTCCATTCACTAGAGGTCCTAAGTGAGGCTTTACCGGATAGTGCCTTGAAGGGTCAGATCGACCTTAACGAGCTGAAGGCCTCAAAGAATTCTGAACCTTCTGTCAGCGAGGTATCAGCCAAACCAGGGTATGGTGGCCCTCCACCACTGAACACCCTCATCAATCTACACGACTTCGAACAAGTGGCCCAAGAATATTTACCGGCTAATGCTTGGGCTTATTATTCATCCGGGGCCGACGATGAGATCAGCAAACGAAACAATAACAATTCATACCAGAAAGTCTCTCTGCGACCTCGAATCCTACGCAAAATCCCCGCAGTCGACACCACGACATCCATTCTGGGCCACTCTGTGTCCTTGCCAGTGTACATATCACCAGTTGGAATCGCCAAGCTTGCGCATCCCGATGGCGAATGCGCCTTGGCTGCAGCGGCCGGCAAAGAGGGAATAGCTCAAGTTCTTGCTAACGGCGCCAGCATGCCGATTGAGCGGGTGATGGAGGCCCGCACTTCGTCAGACCAGCCTTTGTTTGCCCAGTTATATGTAAACCGAGATATAAGCAAGTCGGTGGAGACGATCCGACGGGCAATTAAGGCGGGGGCTCAGGCCATTTGGATTACCGTTGACTCTCCGGTGGTTGGGAAACGAGAGATGGATGAGAGATTGAATTTGAGCGTCATGGTAAGACCAAAGATCCCTGGTACCGGCAGGTCTAACCGTTCCATGCAGGCAGAAGATAGTGATGCCCAGGGGCAAGGCGTTGCTAAGATCATGGCCAGCTCGATCTCTCCTTTCATTGACTGGAGCATCCTTACATGGTTACGCGAACTGACAGACCTGCCCGTGGTGATCAAGGGCATCCAATGCGTTGAGGACGCTGTGATCGCTTACAAGCATGGAGTACAAGGGATTGTTCTGTCAAACCACGGTGGTCGCTCTCAGGATACGTGAGTCTTACTTCTGTCAGCTTCATTGTTTAAATTTTCCATACTTACTGAGTAATTCTCAGGGCTCAATCACCACTACTGACCCTTTTGGAGATCCGAAAATTTGCACCATACATAGTCAAGAGCAAGATGCAGATCTTTATCGATGGTGGAATTCGCCGAGGAACAGATGTCCTCAAAGCCATCGCCCTTGGAGCTACTGCGGTTGGATTGGGCCGGCCATTTTTATTCAGTCTGTCGGGGGGTTACGGGGAGCAAGGAGTGCGGCGCATGTTGGAGATATTGCGACAAGAGATTGAGTCTAATATGGTGTTTCTTGGAGCAACCAGCCTTGAAGAGCTGTGTCCAGAGATGGTGAACGCCAGTCGATTGGAACGGGACTTGGTTGGTAGCGTTAAATTGTAAATTGTATATAGCCATGCATTTGGCTTAGATCAAATGCTTTTGTTTGAAGACGTATATTCGGAGCCATCAACTACTTAGCAGTTATCACTCGCCCAGACTAATACATGTTGCATATGACGCTTGTCACCCCCACGCGGTCAATGCCCGACCCCCACTGACCCCACCACTCCCACTGTGCGGGGATAACTCCAGCTTCCCTTGACTGGCAATGAAGTAGACACACCTCATATACTCACTTTCTGCAAGTCCTCGATTGCATCCAAAACTATGTCTGGCCAGATTGATGTTCTTCTATACGGCCTAGGAGCGTAGGTACTGGTAATTCGAAACAGGACCCGGTCGCTAACAGTGTCTAGCATCGGCTCCTTCTACGCATTCATCCTAAGTCGTTCCCCCAATGTGCGATTGACTGTGGTCGCAAGATCCAACTACGACGCAGTGAAAGCAAACGTACGTAGACTTTCATACCAATCGTCAGGCAAGGTGTTGACCATTATTAGGGAATCACAATCAACAGCGAGAACCATGGCCAGAATACCTTCCACCCTTACCGAGGTAATTGCACCCATCCACTGCATCCACAAAATGATTAACTCACAAACGTAGTCGTGAAATCGCCCGCCGAAGCTTCTCCAGTGGACTACGTCGTATGCGCACACAAAGCCATCGACCAAGAGAAGGTGGCAGCGCAATTAAAGCCAGTCGTCGATGAGGGTCGCACCACATTCGTGATTATCCAGAACGGCGTTGGAAACGAGGTCCCTTTTAGAAGCCAGTTCCCCGGATGTTCAATCCTGACTTGTGTCGTACGTGAGATTTCCATTTTTCTCGCCACTCTGCTAATCATCACGGATAGACGTGGGTCGGTGCCACCCAAATCAGTCCCGGCATTGTCAAACACACCAAATCCGAAGACATGCAGATTGGCTTGTTCCCCAATCACCAAGCTGACGATACAGTTGAGAAGCAGCGTCTCAAGGCTTTTGCCGACTTACTCGAGCACGGAAAAACTCGATTCAAGGTCCTTGACGACATGCAGGTACAGCGATGGGAAAAAGTGGTATGGAACGTCGCCTGGAACTCGATTACCGCCTTGACTATGGTGGACACTCAGACCTGGCTTCATTCTTCCAAGGATGCAGAACCGTTTACCCGACGGTTGATGCAGGAAGTGATCAATATCGCGCGTGGATGCGGCGTGGATCTTGCCGATGACCTGATTCAAAAACTCATGGATAAGATCAATGCTATGCCTGGAATTGGTAGTAGTATGCAGACTGACTGTAAGAATGGGCGGCCGATGGAAATCGACGTTATTCTCGGCTTTCCCGTCCGCAAGTCCAAGGAGCTGGGTATCCCTGCCCCTTACCTTGAGTCCCTTTATTTGCTTCTGTGTGCGGTTGATGGTCGAATCCGAGCGGCATTGTAGATTCATCTACAAAGAGGCTCATCATGATGTCGTTAGACTGGAAGAAGTAATGGAATAGATGGCCCATCCAATCATGTGCTGCAGCCCGATTTATAGTTCACCAACAACATAGACAACCTGGCTGATCGACGAAACTCATAATACATATAGCGATAAACCCGAGATAACCCCACGCACACCACGCACCATGTACATCACCCCGCAGATACCTTTTTGGCCCACTCAGCAGCCTCATCGGCTAATCACCCTTTGGGTAAGATGGCTCGGAATCTCTCCGCAAGCTGGGGTATTGTATGTTCCCCGCTCAGGACCGTGGAGTGACCTGAATCCCGATGCCCCCACACCAAGTTTAGCGCATGATGGTCCAAGTTGACTCAGGTAGATTAGGTCATGAGCGTTTACCAACAGCGTAGACAGACCATAAATAATTTATCTTCTCCCTGATTTGCATAATTTACACATGGGTACTGCACGTTCCCTAAGATAAATTCACAAACAGTTTATTCGCCATGGTCTACCTTGGTCTCTCAGGCAAAGGCCTCCTAGTAGCCATCACCTGTTCCGCAGGCATGGGCTTCATCATCTTCGGTAAGACGAACATAATATTTTAATGTGGTATACATTCCTCACTAAGTGATAGGATACGACGATGGAGTAATTGGCGGATTACTCACTGCAACTGCATTCAAGGAAACATTCAACCTCAGTTCCTCGATGGAAGGCACAGTAACAGCCCTATTCGTGATAGGCTGCCTAGTTGGATGTCTATGCACAAGTTTCAGCGGCGGACGCTGGGGGAGATTAACCATAGCTCAGATTGGGTCCGCCATTCTCAGTATCGGAGCTATAATCCAGGCTTCAAGCTACACTGTGCCTCAGTTGATTGTTGGAAGAATTGTTGCTGGGCTGGGACTTGGTTTGATCACTAGCAATCTGGCGGTTTGGCAATCTGAGACATCATCAAGGGAAATCAGAGGTACACTAGTTGCAATTTCTCTGAGCTTTCTCATCTTGGGGCAAGTTTTGGCCTACTGGATTGATTATGCTATGTCGCGGTATAGCACGACTGTTTCTTGGAGGTTTCCAATGGCTTTTCAGGCATTCCTGGGGATCATGCTTAACGTCATGCTGTTTTTCATGCCCGAGTGTACGTCCTTACTGTGCTGCTATTTTTGGATGAACTGACCGTTGCGCTTGGCAGCTCCTCGATGGCTCTTTCAACACGATCGATACCAAGAAGGAACTGAGGTTCTTCGCCGCCTTCGATTGTCGAATGGTCAGGTTGACGAAGTGGCTCTGGCCACCACGGTCGCCGAAATTCAAGACGCACTGGCGCTTGAAAGTGAACAGAAAGGATGGATGGATCTTATCCGAGATGACCGTATCCGCTCCCGCCGACGAGTTGCTTTGGCCTGTCTCTTAAACGCATGCCAGGCTTGGAGTGGGAGCACACCGATTAGTTATTACACCACCGTTATGTATGAGCCTCTATCAATTCCAAGATTATCTCGTCGGGGGGCGCTAACCTGCTTGACGTAGTTTTGAGGATTCGGTGGGTTTTGGTCATCAATTCGCTTTGTTGATGTCTGGGTTCCTACAAATTTGGTTCCTTATCGCTTCGTTCGGCACCTGGTACAGCATTGAAAAATTAGGACGACGGCGGTCATTCATCACTTCCGCCATTGGTATGGCAGCTGTCATGGTGATCATGGCGGCTATGCTAGCAATTGATTCGAAAGTTTCCGGAATTGTCGCTGCAGCCATGCTGTTTGCTTACCAGGCTTTCTATACCTGGGGTTTCATGGGAGGCATTTGGGTACGTTCCACGTATATGAATTCCATGCGTTCCATTGACTGAGGTGTCCCAGTGTTATGGTCCAGAGATCCTGCCTCTCGCCCACCGATCGAAGGGAGTCGGTCTAGCCAACGCTTTTCTTTGGCTATCAACATTTGTGGTAATCGAAGTGGTTCCCGTAGCGATTGACAACATTGGATGGCGAACATATATCATCTTTGCGGCGTTCAATCTCGCGTTCGTCCCAATGGTATATTTCTTGTACCCGGAGACTGCAGGATTCAGTCTAGAGGCGGTGGATCTGACATTCATGGATCCGAACATTTCCCCGGTGAAGAAGGCAGATGAGCTGTGGAAGTTAATTCGCCAAGGCCATGATGTGACTCTGACAAACCAGGTCAATGAGAAGAATGAGGATGACCGGGTAGACCATGTCGAGGTCGCGTGATTAACTCATAGTCGGCTAGTCTTAGAACTAATGCATATTGGACGTTGTCAATTGAGTCGCGGAAATCCCAATGTTCCCAAGATCGTTTTGGTCAAAAGTTGGTATATTGTAAGTCAAATATAGACTAATTTGTGCATGTCCAAAAATTTCAAAACATTTCAATGTAAATCACAAAATCCAACACCATTTAGTTCATCATCCAATCTTTGTACACCAAATGGCGATACCAGTTCGCCATCCGACCAAGCGCCGAAACAGAGACAAATCCAGATTCAGACCAAGTTGTCTACGAATCTTCTCTAAAACGCCCATCTCCCAAATATGTACAGTAAGCCGTGGTATCCATATAAAAATCAATATCAAATCATCAAATGCGTAACAGAAAAGAGTTAGGAAGGCGGTTCCCGGGCCCGCGGTTGTTGATTAGTGAGCTCTTGCAACTGGATAGAAGTCGTCTTGTTCGCGCCATTTGCATCGGCATCAGGATCGGGTTCGAAAGCAAGATGTTGCACATCCTGGGGATCATCAGGTAGTTTTTGTGGTGGTTCTTCATCTACGGCAAATCGCCAGCGACCGTCCGGACTTAAGAACATGCGGAACCCATAACGCCTATCCAACGCGGCAAGATGCTCCCGTCGCTTGGAGTTGGTCCAGGCGTGGGTGGTCTTGAAGTCATTCAGCATCCGACTGTGTGCCAGCCAGGGGACAATGGCGCCAATCGAACGTGGCATTCGTGGGCCGCGGAATCGACCGCGCCGGGTTCCGAATACCAGGAGGACCACTAAGGTATCGAATCCGATGATCATCAGAGCAATTGCTAGTGATGGGATTGATGGAACCATAGCCCAGGTGCTTCGAATGACGATGGGATTGATGGCGGCCACTGGTTTTTGTAGTGGTTCTAAATAGATGTCACGCCAAATAGAGAAATAAGTGCTGTAAACCCATTGGTAGACATGTCGAGTCAAATCTATGAGACGAGCAGGTTCAAGGGAGTCGAAATCGGGATCTTCACGTTGATAAAGACGTGCAACTAGGAATCCGGCCCAGTCATATGAAGATATATTGTATGTCCCATTGATGGTCGTGGTATTACCAACGTAGCTGTCAGGAATGGCGGCGAAGACCTTATTGAATTGCCCGAGGCTCACAGTGGCGTTGTCATACATGGTCCCTTCTGTGATGGAGGTATTTGCAACGGGTATGTGTGTGTGAATCTGTCCATGTTCATCAAATTTGATGGAGTAGTCTTGCATCCGCACTCGAGGCTCGCAATGCAAAGCGATGGTATTATAATCGGTAATATCGCTATTGGCTAAGTAATCCCAACGCCCCACGACTAGGACAGTGGATGTCTGGCAGACAGTGCCGCCATTCGCATCATCTGGTGAGAGAAAATGGATGGAGAGGGCGATACCTTCGTCCTTATTCTGTGATGGCATGGGGGCCGTGCATTCAACAGAAGAGTTGTGGAACATTGAATACTGCCAATAGTCAAGGCCTGTAGTTTTGTTGTGGAATAGACCTTCCTCCGGGGAAAGAGCTTGGCATTCCATTGCTGCCCCGATACCAAGGGTCTCCGCACCGTACATCACTTCAGGATCACGGTGATTGATGTGAACGGGAACGAAAGACTGATTAGAGCTAGTCCAAGATAGCATAGGAACACCACTCATAATGCTGGTCTGTATCAAGTCATACTCTGTGAACTCAGCTGAGAAGTCGCTTCTTAAGAACGTTGACTGGCTATAGTTCATAGTCAAGTCAGTGGTTGTGAGGTTGGACGTCGTCATTTCTTGGGTGAATAGACCACCAGCGACGACCGTCAGAACCATATTGACGACGCATGCTAAAGATACCAGGCTCAACAAAATATTCCTGTTGCGGACGCATTTGAAAAAGATTGCGAAAGGGCTCTGAGACGCATAGTTTGTAGCAAGCGAAGCCCGGGCGGTTGCCATTCCTCGCTGAAGGTGAACCCATGGCTCCAGGACGCTTATATTGCGGTGAATAGATGTGCACAAGGAGCCGACGGAAGAAGCCACAACCGAGGGAAGAATAGACAGAACAACCTGGAAAGAGCTAGAGTCGGATTGTGTCAAATGGCGAAATTTACCATCTCGCGCCAATGAACCGATTACAAGGCCCATCAATATAATGACAGCGGCCAAAAGGCCGAATTCAATGATGAAGAACGGGACCACAAGGAAGTGAGGCATTCGATCAACAAGGACTCGTGTATCGTCCCCAATCTGCACTGGAGACCCATCTTCGGCGAGAATCTCGAGTCGGTTTCCTGATGGAGTAGGTCGCCAATAGCAACGGGCTTTTCGGAAAATGAGGTTCAGTTGTCGAGTAGAAAATTGGTGAAAATCGTTGCTGGGGTCAGCCAGGATGTTGTTCGGGTGGAGAACGTCGGCAGCGATGCTACACATAGCGGCTATTGACCCGGGATCACTTTGAAGGAACGTCTGGCGCGACCGATATAAAAACAAAAGATATATCGAGGTCAAAGCTGCCAACCCGAGAATAAGCTCAGACCAGAGGGCGGCAAAATTCACAATCGCAATGGCAACTTTGTTTGTCGAGCTGGTTGCAAAGATGGTGGTTGGTTTGCGATCTGGGTCGAAGAGACGGCCTAGGGTTAAGACGAACGTTTGCTTGACATCACGCCGAATCCGAGCCTTGAATTCTGCTTGGGTCATGATGGCGGCAGTATCCAACATGAGCAATGATTCAAGATCGCCCATTTCCTCACTGATCACAGGTAGCTCCGTTACTGTTTGAGCCCCAGTGGTCTCGTTTTCACGGATAAACAACATGTCACTGGTATAAGGAGCGTGCTCAGAAAGCAGAGCCTGGAAGTGAGCGATATTGAACTCTGCTTCAGTAACCGTACGAGTCGTGGCTGGGTGAATATGGATGGACGTGATTGAACTGTTCGAGTGCATCTGCACCCTCGCTTCAGCTTTGTGGTAGGAAATATCGCAGGCGAACGCAACACCGGACGCAGCGTATTCAGGCTCGGATGAGGTAGCGCCAGTGGCATTCACAGAGATCAGCATGCCGTACAGATCGTGTGGGTCGCAGCCAGTAGTGGTGAAAGCGTGAGTGTGATTGGGATACTCCGCCGCTGCTGATTGATCGATAACGGGCTCCCAGTAACGAACCTGGAGGTAATCCGTGCCCGAGAAGAAGATACTAGAGTAGTGAAAATCCAACCTGCACGTAGAGGAGCTATTGTAATCGTCTTGCGAGTCGGTACCTGTAGCGTTCCATGAGATCGTAGGAAAGCCGGAGCTAGAGACGGTTTCGTTGATAGTGACCGACGAAAGAGATTCATCCACGGGCACATCAATACAGGTCAGGTCAGACCAGTACAGCATTTGATCCAATGTCCACATTGTGTCTTTTTCGCTGGAATCGGCAGGAATCTCCACCGGCGCAATCGCATAATTCGCTGATCGCGTGCGGGGTACCTTCTTATCAGACGAGAGCACCGAATCCATCGAGTGATTAGCCTGGGTCGACATCCAGCTCGCCTGGCTCTCCAGATCGACCAAATGGGGCCAACTTTTCATTTCCGCACGCTGAATCACGTCCACACCACGAAGCTCAAACATCGTACTTGTCAAGGCTGGAAGGACCATCCGAATTGAAAGTGTGACTAATGAAACCCATAGAACAACCCAATGATGGCGGCGCGCGGCGTTTATCGGGGTAAGGATTGTCTGGCCGAAGTTATAGTTGATGAATAGAACAGACGCCGGGGCGCCCCCGGGTTGCGATAATTGGAAATAAGGTTCCAGTCGAAGCACATCGAAGTCGGTAACAGTCCACACCATGAGTAGCAAGAGGGAGACGATTATGGGCAGATAGTTATACAAAAAGGACTGAACGGAAGTGACATCGTCGGTGTCAGAGAAGAAAACGAGGCCACCCTGACGATTGCTATATTGTCGGATACCTTCTAGGACCATGAACATACTCAGTATGCAGCATGCAAGACCAGCGAGGAACGGCGGGCGTAAGGCTATAGGGCGCCATCCTCGATCGGAGCGACGTGCGGCGGAAGGTCGAAATGGTGCGATGAACGCTACAGAAATATGGATGTCAGCATGCCGCGAATACGTTGCCTGCGGCTGATTGACACCCGGCGGAATTATTATAACGTCGGACTTCACTCACCTGCCCATTGTGCCCAAAAACCCCCGAGGCGCCTGATCGCCATCAACATACATGCTGGACTGGGGCCCGGGAAGGCAAAATGGTGCGGGGAATCGGAGAGCATTGCCAAACAACGATCTCGATTATGCGCAAGCCATGATAGGAATAGGGGTCGACAGAAGCGGGATGGGTGTTCGCTGTCGACAAAATCACGACTTTGCTGTCAACCCGGGGGTGGATGGGCACATGACGTACGGTGTAGAGGATGGGGAAGTCGGAGAGATCTAAAGGGGAGAATTTGCTGGGACGCGCGGTCTCGTGGGGCTTGATTCGCCACTAATAGCGGGTTCCGTTGTCTTGGCTGAGCAACTTGGGCCTTCGATGAAACTTGGCATTCAAAAAAAACTTGTTCATTCATAAATATCGACATCTGATATCAAGGAATCCATAGAATCGAACTTGTTGGGAATTGATGAAGATTCCCACGGTCGCGGATCCCCAGCCATGGATCGTCGGTCCAAATAACTTCAGTTCCTGAATTGAAAACAGAGTTTTATTCCCGGCGGAAAAATCTTGGCATTGATGACATGTTTACTCCTTGCATCAGACACAAAACTGCCAAAATTTTAAACATTACTGTGGAGCATATACACAATCCATGTAGTCATTAGACATACCCTAACATCTAGATACATTGATAGGTTCACGGGCTTCCAAATCCTGTCAGTGTTGGCCACAACGCCACTAAATTAACCGGCTCAGCCCTGCCCCGTTCACCACAAAGCTGCTCTTTACTGAGTGACAGTGGCTTGTCCGTGAACCGCTTCCGACCGAGCTTCCTGCGCTTTAGCAGCCTCCAAATCACCGTGCTCAAGTGCCACAGTGGTGCGAGTCTTCACGCGGGTCTTCCACGCCGGTGTGCCCAAGTATTTAATACCATTAGGATCCTCGAACATGGCTTCAGTTTCTTCAAGTGTCTTACCGGCCGTCTCAGGGAAAGCGAAGAAGACATGGATGAACATAACCGCGTTGAACACTCCGAATAATATGTAGGTCTTCCAGGCGATGTTCGTAAATGCTGATGGGGTGAAAAGACCTAACGCCATGTTGAAGGCCCAGTTGCCCGAGGTGGCCAGTGCAACGCCCTTACCGCGCAGGCGCAAAGGGAAGAGCTCGGGCGGGTATGTCCACGAGGCCGGACCCCAGGTAGGTGCATATGAAGCAACAAACAAGTAGGTACAAGCGACCAGTCCCTTCGAGGCCGCACCACCTACACTCATTGACACCTCCGGACTGCTCCGCTCAGCCATCGGGATAATGGTACCTTGCCCGGCCAAAATTCCTGCGTTCGCGAACATGAATACTGTCATCAAGAATGCACCCACCAGCATGGTTGGGCGGCGTCCCCAGCGATCTTGCCAGAGCAGTGCAGGGAGAGTCATAAATACGTTGATGATATATTCCACGGATGATGAGAGAAGGGCCGAGTTGCCGGTGTACCCAGCCATGGTGAAGACGTAACTAATATAATACACTAGAGGCAGAGCGAAGAAGTCAGCCTATGTACGGAGTGATCTAAAGACGATGCAGAACAAGGGTAGTAAAATTGAACTCACTCATGACGTTCATTCCAGTAAGTTGCGACCAGATCTGTGTGAATAGGGCAATAATCGTCCGGTTAATCATTCGCGGGGTGAAGAGACTCTGGTAGCTAACATGACCGAATTGTCGCTCCTGTTCACACATATCCCGGATGTCCTGCAGCTCAATTGCAACGAAGGGATGATCCCGGTCGCCCTTGCCATGAACCAGAGCAAGAACTTCATGGGCTTCCTCCCATCGGTCCATACGGGCCAACCAGCGAGGAGATTCGGGCAAAAGCATCATGGCGAAAAACAGAACGACGGCGGGGATCATCTGCAGGCCCCAGGGAATGCGCCAGGCTGCAGGGCTATAGTTGGACGAGTCCTGCCCTCCAATAAACGAGCATCCATAGGATATACTTTGCTGAGTCAGTCCATTGCATATCGTAACCCCAATAAGTCTATCAACAAAGGGGAAACATACTAGTACATGATCAGAATACCCCAAGTGATAGCCCACTGCTGCAAGCCGACAAAACGACCACGCTTCGAAGGTGGCGATAACTCTGAGATATAGACAGGGACTTGGGCTGATTCGATACCGACAGCCAAACCGTTGATGACTCGACCCACACACAGCATGGCAATGTCCTGCGAAGCACAAATCAAGACCGAGCCCACAATCCTAGCCGTATACAGTCAGTACCAAGAAACAGAATATAGATATCTGCATCCTACCATATAAGACAACCCAACATAATGGAGTATTTGCGACCAAGACGATCTGACACAATTCCAGAGATCAAAGCGCCTAACCAGGAGCCAGCTGCCATAGAGGCTGTGACACCACCTTGGTTCAAGGAGCTAAGACCACTGCATTCGGCATCGTCATTGAACGGCGGTCCGTTTGGACCCTGGTTAAAGTAACACTTGTAGGCATTTTCCGACAACTGAGCCGACATCGACGAGATGTCAAAGCCAAAGAGGCCGCCACCAACGACGGCGACGGAGGCAATCACATAAATATTCCCAATAACCATGGTGAATCTGGCTAGGTCGACACGGCTTAGAAAATGAGAAACCCTGCGTCAAAAGTGGGCATTGGAGGGTGCTTATATAGGGACTCGTACATGTTGGGGCTTGCGGGTCTAAATGAGGTACCAGGATTAAAGAGGTCTTAGAGACGCGTATAATCAATGGCCTGCGCTTTAGCTGATTAGCTCGACGCGATATCGCATGGAACTCATCTCGGGACCAGACAATGCGACGTACTAGCAAATAGGGGCCGCGATTGGTCGATGGCTAATCCACGTCCTGCAATCTTACGCAACTCGCGACGGTCTCTCCCCATGGGGTTGAATTTGACCCACGTTACAATGAAATACTTATTTATTTCTATTTTCTTACTCGTTGCTGCTGTTGTTTCCCCGCACATCGGATTCTGATCTCGAAATTGCAAGAGAACAAAGAAAATCACACTGTGACATTCTTTCCTCCAGTACAGATATCGTCGATCTATAAAAATGCCGTTCTTCCTGACTTTCGTCAATGGCGCTCCGGCAGAGCATAACAAAGCTTGGCTACGGGCTGTGGCGTTCATTCTGGCCTTCGCTTCGTACAAAAACAGATTGAAGGGCCCGATGCTCGTTAGTCTTAGGTTATTCCACCAATGACAAGTCATCAACTCGTTTGTAATTTCCATCTTTCCTTGTCACCCTTCAAAGCTTCGACGGAAGGGCGCTGGAAGGACGCACCCCCTGGTCTAGCGGCCCGACATCAACCAATCCTCATGGCTGGTGGCGTCTCGGGTATAGCCTGTAAGGGATATTGATCGACAGAACCCATCGGGCATGGTAGGTTACAGCTCGGTGATAAGGCGTCCGAGCCCGAAGCCCACGGATGTGACGTTCATGGAACATGAAAGATCATTAAATGGCGAGAGAGCTGTCCTAGTTATCTGAGGAATTTTTCATATCCTGTGACGGCCACGGCCGCGATATTGATGCGTTAATACCCCAGAACTTGTGTGGAGAACCCCACTCTCCGTCTGAGCTTGGCCTTGTGTGGGCTGGCTTTCGATGTGGGGTCCGTGGCACACGATGCATCCCCTGCAGGTAGGCAAACACACTCTTTCGGTGAGCTAGTCGTCTCTCATTACAGTAGCCGGAATGAAGAACCATCCTTTGAGTACAGATGTAAGAGGCTGAGACGTGGGTGATGAGAAGCTTGGCACATGATGATGCTCGGGACTAATATTTGTAAACCGTGCACACATTTGTTGTCCCGAACAAAATCCGTCGTCCCGCGTTGATGCATGATCGGGTAGCGAAACAGGCCCCGCGGGGAAACTTTCGCTGATATTCCAACTTGCCAATAATATATCAATGGAAACTAGAACAAAGGTAGAAGGGGTAGTTTTTCAAGTGCCATCCTTTTTTGCAGTGGATCAAACGGCGATGGGGTTGAATCAGTCTGTCTTCCAATTTGAAATAATTTCATGACTTTCATTTTCCTGTCTCCTCGATTTTTGCTCGGACATGAATCGCATTTTGGCCGTGCAATTTGTCGGCTCACTCTGCGGGTGAGTCGCTACTCTCGGTGCCGCTTGACCCGCTGGAGCTAGAGTCTGACTCCACCGGCGATCCCCACGAGCTAGCGGGCGATGGACAGAACGTCACGGACGGCGCATGGATTGAGTAGTATGCAGGAACGGGATGGTAACGCGGACTGTACCGGCTCATTTCATTCATTTTCTCCACCTCTTTCTCCCGTTCGGGGCACTCTGTCGCCCACGCAGCATGTGCGCCCCCGCAATTGGCGCACTTGAATTCATTCAGCGTACTGCAAGCTTTCTGCGAGCAGCTCCGAGAAAGGTGCTCGCCAGCGCAGTACACGCATGTCGGTTTGGTGTTAGTTCGGCAGGTAGTTGCTATGTGACCCCATTTTTGACATTTGCGACACTGACGTACGCATGTGGCTCGGTCATAGAGTACTGCAGATAGACAATTACCATCCCAAAGGACACCCCGGTCGATAGCGGTGTTGGCGGCGACTGGAGAAGAGAATTCCGCCACAAGCAAGCCCGACTTTTCAACTGGCGAACGGAGCCAATCCAATTTCTTAATTTCCACGTCCTCACCCCAGTCCTGTAAATTAGCAGCCACCAGCTTGGATATAACCGCATCCTGCACCCGTCTCAGTTCGTGTCGGGGGAATTAACCCCTAGAGAACGCACGTCAACGTCGTTGATAATAATACCCCACGTCGGCAGTAGAACCTCAGCTTTCTTGTGTAGGCGACAAGCCCAGTCCCGGTGCGTCCGAAGAATTTCCGCTTCCTTGGCAGACCGGACAGTAAAGCGGAGATCGCCTGATCGCAGCTGGCGGGATGCTAAGATCCTAACGGCCGCTAGCGGTACAGACCCTATAGATATCGCCGTGCGAGCTCGCATATGGTCGACCTTCTTAGTGAGAGAAGCAGGCGTCTCGCGCCGGTACTGAGTGACTGCTGCTTGGTCGTTAAGCCTGACAGTCACCTCGCAGTCCTGGGTGACTTCCAAGGCGGTGACCCCCGCTGAGGAGGCAGAACCGTGAGATGAGAGGTGATGGCAAGGCGCTGGGGCATCTCGGACGATACTGGCAAAGGTGGATGGACCGGCTCGGCTCAATATCTGCCGTTCGGTAGCTTCCCGCACGGCATTTAAGTCCTTGCGCATCTCGAGGGTCTGCTGCCGTAGCTGAGAGAATTCTGCGCGCCAGTCCGCCCCCCTGGGTTCTTCAGAAGGTCCGCGGTGAGCTCCTCAAAGCTTTGAAGGTAGGATAACACTAGATCGGGGACTCGATGGCCCGCCTGGCTGTTCATATGATCAAGCAGCTTGCGTACGTCTTAATTGGCGTTCAGAATTCTGGCGGTGGTGTCTGCGGGTGCATCCCGACCGGAGGCCCCTGAAAGGGCCGGCCAGGCGCTGGCTGGAGCAACCATGGTTGGTACTTGGGAATGGTATGAAAGTGTAGCTCCGGGGGGTAATTGGAAACCTCCAGATTACGTGATGTTACCAACTGGCGTAATTGTGGAGTACTTTCAAGAATTCGATTCCCAAGAGATAGATGTTTTTTTGTTTTTGTTTTTTAAGTCAACTGCATGCTCTTTGTGCGGAGCTTCTTTCATAGCTGAATCACGTACCTGAGTGACCATGACCTCCGTGGATGTAAGCCATCATCGACCAGAAGTATTTTATGATCATCCTCCATACAGAATCTGATAATACCAATGTTGCTCTTTGGTGTCTAGAAATGGTGGTACGTGAGGACTTCATTGAATTCGTATTCGTTGCTGATGCAATGTTCGCAAACACGGATTTGTCGTCGTGTATCTTTGTATCAGTGAGGTTTGCCCTCCCCCGGCAGATTCTGGGTAGCGTTTAAGCCTGGAGGAGGCCAGAGGCGAAAGTTACTAATGATACTATCTAATTGCTGTATGATTGAAGTTTTCTCGTTTTTGCCCATTAACTTCCACCCTGGATCCAGCGGCTCGCCTGGCGTTCGAGGACAAGAGAGTGAGGTTACTGTTAGGTTGCTGTTCATCATCTCTAGATTTTCAGGCCCAGCACTGTAGATGACCCAAGGCACCAGATGACCTCACTGATTGCCACCAATTTGACTATTGAGACATCCGATTCTGTCAGGTCTCTGTAGGGCAGGGCCAGAATGGTATCGTGCTCCCCATAGTACAAGTGTACTTAGTGGGAAAGCATGACCCACCACAAGACTCATACAAACCCCACTTGAATCCAGATTTAGTTAGTACTTTAATGAATCTCACCTGCAAATATGACACGATAGTGGCTGGTAGCAACAAATGAGTCACTGTCATCACGCTAAATTTGTCATGTGAAGAGAACATCATAAGTGGTAGATTTCATTCGATTGCTTCTATGAAACATTCCCCATTGTATTTACCCTTTGCATCCGCTCGTTTTGCAAATGAAAGGCTATTTTTTCTCCTAAAGAGTCGGTCATGACGTCGAACATCAAACACCCATATTCCCAAAGCTACCCCGACGCCGATGGGTATTTCGGCCAGTTTGGCGGTAATCATTATCCGCCCCAGGTTCATCCAGCCCTAGAGGAACTAGCCCAAGCATATCAACAGCTACGTCAATCACCGGAATTTGAACGCGACCTTAACAAAGTGCGAATCGGACTTCAAGGGCGGCCAACACCAGTCCATTACCTGGAGAACATCTCTAAGCAAGTTGGTGGCGCTCAAATTTTCGTCAAACGAGAGGATCTGAACCACACAGGCGCACACAAAATCAATCACTGTGTCGGCTTCGCACTATTAGCCAAGAAACTAGGTAAGACGAAACTGATTGCCGAGACAGGAGCTGGTCAACATGGCGTCGCGCTCGCAACCGCGGCCGCCTATTTCGGTCTCGAATGCGAAGTTCACATGGGCGAGATCGATATCAGCAAACAGAGTTCGAACGTCGGTCGCATGCAGCTACTCGGCGCACGCGTAGTGTCAGCAAGCACTGGCCAATCCACCCTGAAGGAAGCCAGCGATTCTGCATTCAACGCGTATGTAGAGCAGCATGCGCATGCTCTCTATGCGATTGGATCGGCTATCGGGCCACATCCCTTCCCAATGATTGTTCGGGATTTCCAGGCTGTTGTTGGCCAAGAGGCTCGCGAGCAATTTCTTTCTATGACGGATGGCAGTTTGCCTGACCATGTTGTTGCTTGCGTTGCGGGTGGCTCGAATGCGATGGGTATGTATTTGGGCTTCCTTGAGGATGACGGGGTCGTTCTGCACGCTGTGGAACCCATGGGTAAATCTGATGAGCTGGGACAACATGCGGCGACGTTATCCTTTGGCAGACCAGGGACTTTGCATGGTGCTCGATCGATAGTGTTGCAACAAGATGATAACACGCCTGCAAGTGTCTCGTCTGTGGCGTCTGGGCTCGTCTATCCCGGTATCGGCCCGGAGATTGCGATGCTGCATGAAACAGGTCGGATTTCTGTCGCGGGGATTTCAGATAAAGAAGTTATCAGTACATTTTTCCGTATGGCAAAAACGGAGGGAATTATCCCGGCTTTGGAGAGTGCGCATGCGGTAGCGTTTGCGATTCGATTGGCGTCGCAGCGCCCTTCGTCCGAGCGGATACTAGTCAATCTGTCTGGGCGCGGCGACAAAGATGTTGACTATGTGCTTGAGAATTATGGGACAGGTGGATAGTTTTTCTAGAAGTCTCGGAGCTTTGCAGTCGATCGACAATTGCTTGGGGTCTGTCACTGGCGGCATTGGCTAGGCCTGTTTTGAGAATGACTATATCAGCCATCTCTATATGTATCAGAAATTTGAAAGCCAGTTGACACATCTTGTTTTCATTAGAAGATTCTAACGTTTGGATTACATGATTGAGACATAATATTCAGGCGGGCCAATCTCATAATCACCTTGCAAAACTGAAGTGCTCCCACGGTACTCACCGATATACCCACGTGAGGAATTAATGACACTGCAATCCGTTGGCCTCTACCCGCGAACAAAATCCTTCTCTCAAACATTTTTACAAGCAGTGCAATGTTGTAAGGTTCTGACATAGAAAGACAGTATTCGAAAGATCTTCAAAACTTCCAACATGCTGCACTTGTCTGGAAATATGTGACCTCGGCCCAGTGGCGCTTTACCGTTTGAATTTCTAACCCTCAAACCACATTCTACTATCCCGACCGACTCATTCCGTGCCTTGATCTCCGGGTTTTCGGGTTCCCTCAATATTCAATTTGTCATAATGTTTATTGTCACAATCTCCCATTACCGTCGGACACACAACTTTACGCTGACCTCAGAACCTCGGTTGGGCTAGCTGAATGATGCTTCAATGACTACAGATTCTCATGAACATGGTATCTTGCGCATTTTAAGCTATAAAAATGCCCATTACACGAATGCACAATACCTATCAGGTCGAACGGATGTGGATGCAGAAAGTCCCCAGACGCGTGAAAAGACCCGAGGACAACCGAGGCAAAACCCCTCAAGGACATGACAAACATCCACCCCGCACCATTCGTTGTCAACACGCAACCAGTATCCTCTCGAACTCAAGCACCTTAGCCCTGAAGTTTTAAGAATGCAATCGGTGGTTTTCAAAGGTCCTTTGCAAGTTGCTCTGGAGGAGCGCCCACGGCCCCAAATCAAAGATGCTAAAGACGTGATCGTGAAAGTACGGTACACGGCATTATGTGGCAGGTAATTTTAGAGACTCACCGAACTCCAATGCGAAAGGAAAGACAAGACCCGACTGACTTGCCTGCAGTGAATTGCACGTCTTTCGTGGACATCAACCCTCGGGAACGGGATTCATCATGGGCCACGAATTTACAGGCGAGGTTTTTGAAATCGGAAATGAAGTCAAGACCTTCAAAACAGGAGATCGTATTGTATCACCCTTCACAGTCAGTTGTGGAGACTGTTTCTACTGTGATGGCGGATTTTCGTCGCGCTGTGCTCGAGGTCAGCTCTATGGATCCGCAGTTTTAGATGGTGGACAAGCGGAATACGTCCGTGTACCCCTAGCAGACGCCACCTTAGTCCATGCACCCCCGACAATCGACGAAAAAAAGTTGGTCCTGATGGCGGACATTTTCCCCACGGGGTATTTTGCCGCTTCAAACGCCTTCCGCTCGCTTGACTCGGCGACCATCGAAAAGAGCACCGTGCTCCTCTTTGGATGCGGACCGGTGGGCATTTGCGCTCTAGTCAGCGCCCTGGACTTTCGCCCTAAGAATTTGATTGCGATCGACAGTGTGCCATCTCGTCTTGAGCTGGCTGCAAGCCTTGGCGCGGAGGCGTGGAACTACCAACAAGATGAGCAGGGTTTGCGGGAGAGAGTTAAGACTTTGACGGATGGCCGGGGTGCGGATGTTGTAATTGAGGTTGTGGGGCATAGTAGCGCATTGCGGATGGGATTTGAGATGTTGCGCCCGTGGGGAATTTTGTCTAGTGTGGGCGTGCATAATGGCGAGATTCCCTGGACCGGTAATGAAGCTTATGGGAAAAATTTGCGTATTCAGATGGGACGGTGTCCTGTGCGGAGTAAGTTGAAATCCCTAGCTAAATATTCTGGTGACTGACTTTGGTAGGTATTTTTGGTGAGGCCATGGAGCTTTTGGCGAAGAAGCAGGATGTCCTTAAGTGAGTCGCCAATCACCTGGCTTCAAAACTCGACTAACAAAGCACAGTTTTATGTCGGATGATATCCGACCTCTTTCTCAAGCCGTGCAAGCGTAAGAACCCGTTCGAGTCGTTCCTCAGATGTTGAAACAGAAAGGGAAGGCTGACAACTCCGCAGTTTCGATGATTTCAACAACATGCGATGCCAGAAGGTCATCTTTGAGGCAGATAAGTAGTGTTTCATATCGAATTAGCATATTGAATTAGCAGTTAAATCGTCAACAAACCGAGTCAATGGTTCATTAATAGATTGGCACTAATCCTCATCGGGCAACGCCACCTAGTAGCACTAGACCCTGAATGGACCCTGAACCCTGAATCACCGGCGTCCGGGTTTTCAGGGGGAAAATAAATTAAAGCTGCAGAACCCATTCTTTTTACCTCAAGCCTGAATAATTTTCTCCGCCACCTTACCTCCCCCGATACCATGTCATTGAAAACCTGCAGTCTCGTCCTGGCGACCGTGGGCCTTGTTGCCGCACAGAGCAGCGTTGTGTCTCTGTTCATTCCCTTTGCCGACCCGCAACCACTCGCAGCATCAATCTTGGGCGAGGTCCGTACTGATCGGCAATGATCGGCAAACCCCAGCTAATCAATCTACTATATATAGAGCGCCAGCACTACAACATACAGCATCAATTGCCCTCCCGGCACCGATGGCGCAGACTGCGGCATGGGCCCAGGCTTGTACATGACCGTGGGTCCAAAAAACGTTCAGTATAGCATGAGCGAGCCGGATGAGGACTTGTACGACACTGCTTCCAACAGGGCCGGATGATTTTGAGCAGTTTCTAACATCATGAATAGTTACGATAGCATTTCTTGCTCCATGGGCGGCACCACTACTGCTGTTTGCGTGGAAGTGGCCAGCGGCTCGGGAGCCAACTTCCCTGGAACCGAGACTGGTACCTTCGCTCAAAGCGAAATCAGCTACCTGGCTGTGACCGTCACTGCTGGTCCTGCAACTGCGACTTCTGTGTCTACCACGACTGACTCGGCACACACCTCCAGCGCTGACAAGACTGCAAGTTCTGGAACTACCGGGTCCGCTTCTAGCACCTCGGGAGCTGCGTCTACCAGCCAGAGCTCCGCGACTAGCAGTGGTGGTCTTTCTCGGGTGACTGGAAACCCCGTTGTTGCTTTGGGAGGTGCAGCTGCTGCTATGGTTGCGGCTGCATGGTAAGAACTATTTATTTGGTACTTTGGAATACGCAGACATCGTGACATCTTGTACATGACATAATATCATTTATCTCTAGAGGATCTTCCCGAGAGGCACAATTTGAACTTATCGCATTTGAAAGGATTTGTACACGTGTTTCCAATACATTCTTCTTCACAAAAAACCATGCACCAAAGAAATTCAGTCAAATGAGGGTAATCAAAGCAAAAGCAGAATATGTTCATAAAACCAGCACTGATCTTAAGAAATCATCCCAACGTCTCAACGAGTCGTACAGGCAGTGGGTGGACAGTATCCATGACCACAGGCAAAGCTACAAAGACCGGTGTAAGAGTCATCTTCACCAGGCAAGGTGAGCCCTATCTTCCCCGTTGAGGGGGGTGCCGGGACAGGTGCTCCATATTGAGTACAGGTACAAGGGCCCGATGGGCAGTACCCGTATCCACAACAGAAGTTGCAGAGTCCAACGTAGTTGCCAGGTCCTGTGCCTCCTGTACAAACTTTGTCTCCAGCTCCACCTCCGCTTGATCCTCCACCACCTCCAGCGCCACCACTTGGGCAAGAAGTGGCTGTAACGGTTTGGGTGACAGTGTTTGTCACGCTCAGTGTTATAGTTGATACCCCAGATTGGGAAGGCGTGGTTGAGCTTGTTGTGCTTGGCGTGGTAGTTGGTGGGCCCGTAGTTGGTCCCGTAGGTGGTCCTGTAGTTGGTCCCGTAGGTGGTAAGGACGACGAGGATGTGGTACTTGCGACGGGTGGATTAGTCCCTAAAGAAGGGGTTGGGCGACACGTTGTGACATGCAATCCCTGAGTGAAAGCTGCCAGACCATCTGGCTGAAGAGGATCATCAAAGCCGGGTGGGAGAGTTCCAACTATCGTCAAATTCAGATTGTCAGCTCACTCTACTGCGCTGATGAGGTCAGAAAACATATGTGGACAATACTCACCATAAGCGTTGAAGTTATACAGACCACAAACACATCCGTTGATAATGGGCTTGAGACTGGTACCAGACAGAACAGATTGCCCGCTGCGACTCATTGAAAAAGCCTGTACACCAACTTTCATAGGAACGGCATGTGCAGATGCCCCAGCCGGTGCGTCATATTTGTAAACGGTGCCCCCGGAGTTCACCTCGACAGAAGCTGGTGACTTGAGCAATGTGACTACGAAAACAGAATCCTGCATGGATTGCCATCCATCCGGCCGACCAAGGAAATAGTTTCCGCTGCCATTGTTAGCAGGGACCATGCAGGTGTCTGTTGCGTCGCAGTTAACGTCTCGTGGTGCTGGTCTGTACCAGTATACCAGTTTCTCATCCGTAATGTACTTATCTGGTGCCGATGCACCGTCTTTGAAGGCTGCGATGAATGGCTTGGAGATTTCTAACCATCCATCATGGGGCCTGGAGAAGTCAAATGTCAGGCCGGTTGGAGTCGGTTGGAAAGGGTTTCTCTTACATATCATTGACCCATCTGGAAGCGCCATCATCGGTATGAGGTGACTTCAATGGCCCGATATAATGCGATTCACCATAATCATTCCAGGTGATAATCTCGATGAAGCGAGGACCGAGGGCAAGTATATCATTCCACCGATTATACCAGAGCAGATCTGAGGGGAATACCCAATTTTTGCTGTAGGATACCTCTGGTCCAAAATGAGTGGAAAACCAAGGCGAAACAGCTGGCCAGGAATTAGATACGATGCTTATTAGGTATGAGCAGGATGTGGGGATTCTCAGAACTCACGGGCGACATAAGCCTTTCCTTTCAGAGCATCGACGTAGACCTTATCCCCATCTGCAACGGATACGTTGGCCCCAGCCGTAGGTGCTTTGTTGTTCCCGTTGTTTGGCCAAGCCATCCAATTGAGCAGCCCATCAACGGGAGAAATATTAGTCCCGGTAGCTGGATGGAAGTTCGGTGCGAAGAAAATTGGTTTCCCAACCGCTGCTCGTAGCGCTGCTACATCTAAGCCATCTCCGGAGAATGAGGATACGAATATCTTGCCGTCGACCATCAACTGGGCTGGTTTGCTTCCATATTGGGCGATCTTCTGGCCGATCGCTGATGCTTGTCCGACATTCCACCAGTTGAAATCGAAGGACAGGAAGACTTTCATGTTGTTGGTTGCTGCTGATTGATAGGCGAATTCTAATTGCTGGTCCGTGTATGGGTCAACGCCAATGTTCAATGCGAATGCATCGATTCCAAGGGACTTTGCTCGTTGCATGTCATCATCGTAGGCCGAAGCACTACTTCTGTCACTGGTAATTCCAATCTATGATATTGTGAGCAAATTTAATCCCCAGGTGATCACTTCCAAAATTTATATGGGCTTAATATACCATGAAATGAGCAAAGACCAGATGATTGCCATCCTGTTTTGCGCCTTTGGCATCAACATTCCTAGCTGAAATAGGGATTGATTTCGCCCATATTCCTATCACTGAGAGAAAAACGACTAAAAGAGTTCGTAGAGCCATTTTCGTTGGCAGTTCTGGGTGAGAGAGTATTGAGACAAGCCTATAATGCCATTGAGAGCTTAGGTTGAAGATATTTATACGTCTTCATACCTACTACAAGGAAATGAATGAATCAGTCGGACCAACGGGGCTGACACTCATGACGCAAATGCCTCGGAGGATGAGTTTCGCATATGGCAGCTGATGAGAAAAGTGTAACTCTATGCTCCATTATTTTGGATTCAAAGACCGTCGCATATGCAAGTTTCGTAATTTGAAAAATAAGATGACATATTAAATCATGGGGGTAATGTCAAAGGACGTTTATATATGTTTTGGCCTACAGCGAGATAGTAAACCACTCTTATCATGACTTAGATTTGAATTTGAAACAAAAGGCACATAGTAACCATACATCCTACATTTGCCAGGGTAGTCAATGTACAAGAATTCTCTGCTAGAAGGCATTCGTCTGGAAAGCAATTCCTATGTATCAACATATTCCATAAAGCCGTTTAAGTTGTGGCGCGTTACACACAGACCGTTAATTTCTACGAAAGCCGGGGTGGTCATATTTACACGCTACATCGCCACCTACTACCCTTCATTCTCGGAGTAAAGGAGATATGAATATGCTGGTACTGTATATGCCATAGGAAGTAAGCATACACATGGAGAGAAAACGGAGGATTTACACGTGCTGTCGGGCGTTAGTAACGAGTAATAACTACGGACTGGAAATACTATCTGTCACCCGGGGATGGTAACATTCCGAATGTAACCCACTCGTGCATGATCGAATCTAAGGAGCAAACCTTATACTTAAAGAAGCATTTACATTACTCGGCACTTTCTTCTTCGGGATATGGGTTTCAAGGTTCTTCGTGTATTATGACCGATGAGCAAGTTCCATATGTAACATGAACGAAGAACGAAGACAAGAAACAGAACGATTGGCTAATTGTACATGAGGTTCGTGGCGCATGATGATACATAACTGGGAGATTACAATGAGGAAAGAGGCATTTGGCCCAATCCAGCATTACATTCTCCTTGTTTATCTGGCCGGTGTAACTCTACAAATGGCCTTTAATTTGTATTAGCCTTTGAACATCACGTGTAGGGATTGGGAAGACTTACGGCCCAAAGGCTTTGCTCGCTTGGAAATAGACTTGGCCTGATCGTGCTTGATTCTTGCAAGTCGAGCACTATTTAGGGCCTCCGTGTCAGCGACAATAAAAATTCTGTCGGAACCCATTTCACTTACTCTTCAGCAGCTTCACGTTCAAGGTGTTTAACATGATCCCGAGCCTCTTTTACCGCTCTTCGGGATGCCACGAGCGCCCTATCCGCCTCTTGCTCTGCAGTCTCCGCACGAGCAACCTGTTCTCGAGCCGCCATGATCGAAGGATCTTCAGGTGTGCGATGCAGAAGGCTGCGTCGGCGAGTGTTTCCTGTTGAGGATTTGGAGGAAAAGGACGTGTGGGATGAATCGTCTCCATATCTCTTGTGTCCAATAGAGGAGCGAGTCGACATTGAGGAACGAGGACTGGATGAAGATGCACTAGCAGAGGAATCGCGACCGAATATAGCCATGATGGATAGATGATATTTTTGAAGTGCGAGATTTGTCAATGTTTTTCGAGTCAAAGTAGTAGAACGGTTGAAAATATATAGATCTTAGCAACGTTGTGGGTCGAGTGGAGTATTTTGAATGAGCTTGTAGTGCTTAGAACGTTCAGGGACAACATCGAGTCTATTTTAAATTAAACAACTGGGCATACAGTTCAATCATTGAGGGGGAATCTGACGTCAAGGCGTTTATTAAGAAAAGAAGGATCAACATATCCCTTACCTTTCGTCGTCAGAATGTGACGTCAGGCTAAAGCATAAACAAATTAAGCCTGTCAACGAAGACTAGCGCGCGTACATGAAGCCCCTCTAGTCCCTAATTCCCCACATGCGTTCCCATTGCCAACGTTGCGGTGTAGAGATGTATCCATGTTTTGAAAATAGGAATGTCGGGCAAGACGATGAAAAGTGATATTTCAGCACGGCCACGAGAATCAACAAGGGCGTGATGTGTTTTCCAAATTGCGTCACGCCGAAAAATCCGTGCATCTCACAACTAAGCCTCCCCTGAATTAAATGCCCGGGAACATAAGAATCCGCCCGATCGGCGAAAACTAACACGTAGGCGATGATGGAATGTTATTGCTTAATGACTCGTGGTTTACAGGGGCGAATCATTATATGCAAATGCGTCATTTCGACGGTCGGCTAGAAGCAAGATTTGATTTGACCACGTCTAACGCCACTCTTTCTCTGACGTCGGCCGTCTTATCGGCAACGCGATTGAATGAGATGGACGAGATAAATCAGAGGTCCGAGGCTTTGGCATTTGTCCCAAGGCGGTATGGTGGCCGATAGACGCCACCAAAAGTCCCTATGATGCCACAAGGCCTAAATTTGGATGACTGTAGACAATAAGGCAATGCGCACATAAAATGGATGTTTGCATTTCGTGCACAAGTTTGCGCTTGGTAGCCCTGAAGATAAATAGTCGTGATTCATATCAAGGTCAAATCCACGCCAGAAACCTCATGAGAAACATGTAAAATATGCTAATAGGAAATTCAATCATTCGAGGTACAAGTTGTTTATGTCAGCTCCAATAAAAATCCCATCGGATTCGTCCTTGATCTTGCGGGCCGTCTCGGGCGATAACCACACATACCTCTCGACTCGCCCTGGCCGCGGCTGCACGCCCCCATAGATACCGGCATTCTCATAGGAATCATTCATTTCTGTTCGGTGAATCAAACTACAAACTGCATTTGATGTTGGCTCGAGATCGTTCTCAAGACTAACTCCGGTCGCCTCAAGCGGTCCGAGATATTCCCACTCCACGCCTTGCTCTGCTGCACGTTTTTCCAAATCTTGGAGGTAAAACGGATTCGCACTTCGCCGGGCAACTTCAAGGAGGCTTTCCCGGGGTGCAGGGCTGATACGTTGATAGAGTGGTTGGTAATCACAAATAATACACGTAATAGCAATCTGCGGCTCCATGTTTGGACATTTCGAGAACAAATCGTGGAGGGTGTTTTCTTGAGGCTTCAAAGGCCACCAGATCATCCAAGGGAGATATTGTGAGTCATTTGTGAGGCAGGAGATATCGTTAATCATGACACGTCGTGCGTTAATGGCAGTGCGAATCAGGGAAAGTTCGGTTTCGTTGTCATCAGTCAAAGATTTACCGGGGTAAATTATTCGCCTTGGCTGGATTTCGATCTGATCTGCCCACCATCGAGCGAACATGGTGTTGTGATGGATTCCACGAAGAATAGAGAAAAGCTCGTATTCTGTTCTGAGTCTTCGAGGGTGCATGAGTCGAACATATCTTTCCACGTTCCCATCATATGCCGCTGTCTGAGTCAAAATGTCCTTTTCGAGAATCGGGAGATCGAGTGGAAGAGGCATCCAGAGTAGTTTGGCCTGCTCTGGGCCGAGATCGAAGCGGGTAGTGTCCGGCTCTGTTTTCTCTAGGCCGATGAATCCATCTTCTTCGATATCAATGTCATCCGGGCTTATGTCTGGGACATTGTGTGGAGGTGGTACGCGTTTTTCTAGCATCCACCGAGGCTTCATGTCGCCATTCAGGTATGCAGGCGTTTTAGCGTCCAGATTGATGGAGCGAGAATAATCGTTCATAATAGCATATCTTTGGGATGCTGACATGATCATTTGATAGATTTCTGCTCCATGTTTACTCTCCCGAGCTTCTTCAGCGATAGAAGTATCAGGAAGAAGATTGAGCTCTTTATAGAGATCCGTGTATCCCGCCCCAGCACATGCTCGACCCACCTGATAGCGCATCAAGGGATATCGGCGAACAAGTTCACGATATGTGTTTTCATTTGCAAACTCCGGATACCAGATACAGTAAGGTTGAACTGCAGGACTTTTGAGTTCGGGTATGATATTACTCATAATTAGCCGTGCATTGCGGGCGCGGGAGAATTCGGGAAATTTGATTTCATCACACAGCTCGACGACTGATCTGCTCTGTGCAAATTCGAGAGAGGTACGTATGCCGCGAATAGTTGCGCGACGACTCCAAAGACAGTCTAGGTTCTCTGGGACTTTCTTTCCTTCCATCGCAGAGAAACATTGGTCGTGATCATATATGAGAGGATCTTCCTCACCAACCTCTGATTCGTCGCCTGATTCGCTGGAGGTTGACAGGTCCTTGCGAAAGAATTCCGACGCTATCTTCGCGTCACTTTCGCGAGTCACTGAAGAGTCCTCCATCGATAGGTTGCCGTGGGCAAGTTGTCAATAGGATAGATAAAAAATATATGGAAATGGGGGAACAAGGTCATTCAGAAAGTGAGGAGCTGGTAGCGAATAGTGTGGAACGTTAATCGTCTCAGCGAAAAACAGAGGCGTGAGGAAGTGAGGAACGCAGGTGCCTGCCAAGAGACCCTTTTTCGGCCCCCAATCACGCACATCGATGCAACCTTAAATAGCAACTCCATTTACGCCTACGATGAAGCATTGCCAAGGTTTGCCAAGTGCCAAGGCTATCAAGTCTTGGAATCAGTTCAGGGCAGTTACAGATGCCAAGAAATCTAGGACGGCCTCGGCACCTCAACTCTTTACCATGCATACACCCTCGACACCCACTTTGTGGGCCGATGGGGCCACAAAGGTAAGGAACTCGTACTTTACAGGCTAAGACAGCGGATTCAATATCATCTGTCTCCATATTAAACTTTACCTTGATAAACTAATTATCTCCTTTCCTGGCCCCCGGGGCCAACTTGAGAATGAAAATATTTCTTGGAAAGCTGTGATGCTTGGCGCAGAGCTAGATACTACACAGGACTGTTCAGTGTTTACTAGTTTGCTCAGAGCAGCCCACTCAATTTCGAGCTGAAACATTCAATCTCCGGTTAGAACACTAGTGGATAGGTAACAGGCCGTGTAGCCATTTGGTACTCAGGAGAGAATCCCTTTTTTCCTTTTTTAAGCGAAGATACTCCGGACATGGCCGAAGGTCTATAATTCAATCCACTGGGTTATCCGTACGTAATGGCCTCCAAACTGGATGGGCTAATGCGCCTAAGGTAACTGGAGCCTAAAGGCATTCCTTTTGCTTCAGAAAGAGCGGAGCAAAAGAGGAAATGAAAAATCCGATAGCGAGAAATGGGGAAAAAAAAGGGAATTCTCAAACCCAGATCATTTAATGTACAGATGACAGTCTCCCTGTGGAATTGAGGTTATCCTTTGGCAAAAGCTTTTCAAGCAAGAAATTTAGGAACTAGAATAGTCATGTAAGGCACAAGAAGCAAAGGAGTAAGTTATGATCTAAGTACAAGAATCTATGCCGCAGAGAATTGGCAATGGGTTCAATGTGCCTTATTGTGAAGAGTCGACTCCCCTAAATCAAAGGCTACACACTTTCCCGGACTTAGCACGCTTCCAGACTTGCAAGGTCTTGAAATGGGATATGTGTTGCTTCGTCCAACTGTCCTCTGCCGCTGTCTTAGGATTGCCAATATTGTCACCCTGTTATCAAGAATAAAATGTTAGCTTCTGGTAGGTTATTTTCAACGATCAAGTATCATACCCATTTTACCATCGCATTTATGTCGCCACCGAACTTTGCCTGCAATTTTTCCCTGTTTCTGGCATCATTCCAGGTTGCTTCAAAATCCACGGCTTTATAGTTCTTGTCGGGTCCGGGAACTTCGCACTCAACGCTAGTGGTTGTGACTGTGCTAACTGTTTTCGTGTTGTCGTTCGGGTCCGGCTCATTAAGACCTAGTTCACCTTGTGCTGTTCTAGAACCTCCCATCACCCTAATCAAATACTCTTGGCCATCTGCTTTGCGAAGGGCCACGACAGCTTTTGCACACCCTTTCATCATCTTATCTTGAGTCGCAAAGCGCCCTGTCCCCTCGAAATCGGTTTTGTGTTTTCCGCGCCACTCCACCACTTTGTTGTTGACAGATGCAATAAATGTTTGGTAAGCCTTGTCCGACTCTTTCGAATTATAGTTACCAGGACTGGCGGCTACCAAGGAGATAAGACCTCCATGACCATTCTTGAACAGGCTCTTTGAGGCCTCTGCGAGATCATCCATTGAGGTTGGTGCCGTCAAGGCTGGGGGTTTGTCGAGCAAATAATTGTCTTTCAAACGGTACATGAACTCATCGTAGTCCAATGGGCCACTCCTTGTGCCATCGTCATTCAAATGTTGGTTATTTGTTCCTGGACGTGAAGTTTTGCCTTTTCCAGAGGTCATTGGTAGAATGAGCTTTTGATCCTTCTCGTAATGCCTGCAATGATGACGGTGAAATTAGCCCCATGTAATGGAATTGAACCTCTGATATTCCACGTATACTGGGAGCCAGAAGAAAGTGAAAGCCCACTAAGAATCAACAAAACTCACAGTGCCATTTGGTATGCATTCCACAACCATATCCTTTCATAGGTATGCGACCACAAGTTGAGCTGCGAGTCGGCTGCTTCACCAAAATCCGTCAAAAGAGAAAGCCACAATATTATGAAGCCCACTATAGGCATTTGTGTTTGGAACACACGCATTCTGACCGTAGGGATTGTATTGTCAAAAAAAAAGAAAAACCTCGGGATGAGATACCAGTGATGGGGATCTCAATATTGATCCAGGGACACGGCAGGGCTCAAGCTCTTTAAGACTTTATGATAGACTTTCATAATAAAATTCATAAATAACAAACCGTCTTTCTAGAGCACCTTTTTTCGCCAAGGGCCCCGAGATCCTTTTGGCTTGGCAAATTTTCACTAATGCAGGGTCTCTCGGTGACCCACAGGGGGCCAAAGTTATTTTAAAAGCAGGATCTCTGTATCGACCCGGAGGAAGGCGAAAGTCAAGTACTACTCTTATTGCACTTCTGCATCACAAGAATATTCTGTAATTTATATTTGCAATTTATATTTTATGCCTATTTTAGTTCTTGCTTGTAGTTACAGGTAGCAGTGAGCGGCTTGAGTTGCGATGAGCAATGCTTCCCAGTGTTGCAGCCGAGGTATAGACACCATGAGTTTCCTTGGCAGCATAGAATGGTACTGGGAAAATCAAGGCTCGCCAAAATTCCCGCAGTGGAGACTAATGAAGTTGGGGGCTTTAGTTTCAGGAGCCATGTAGTAGCAAATGTGGACTGGGGCTTCAAGCTGTTCTGAATGGGTGAGACTAGTAAATTATTCGGGATCCAAATTGCCGGTCAGCCAGGTGTGTGCTGTCCGAACAAATCGCTCAGCCTCTCGAGTCGATATAAATACTATTCCCATAGGGCATCTGGACTTTGTTGCATCTTCATTTTCTTCTCTTCATTCATTTAAAGACCTACCAAGGTTATATGTCCAGGTGGTCTTCGCCGTCATTCGTTTATCATGAAGACCCCTCTTGAGGCTTTCGTTCCTTTTTCTTCCTTACTTTCACTCATTACTTTTCCTTATCTTATTTATGCCTCCTCCAATGCAGCCACACTGGCAACAGTTGCTCCGATGGGCGAGTTGAAGACCAACGACCCCATTGCCTCCCCTCTCGTTAATGGCTGCCCGCAATCATGCTCGCTCGTGGGTGACGATCCGGGTAATTGGACCTGGATCCCTCATCACGAGGATATGATCAGATGTGAGCAGCCGCTTTTATTTGACTTCCAAATTGGAAATGAGCCAAGCTACCATTCAGCTATACGCTCTTGTGCTGTTTCCACAGAGTTCGCCGAGCGGCCTGCAAGTCCCAGTAGGAACCAATTTAGCTGGGCTAATATCGACAAAAATGACTCCGAGGCTGTGGACCAGTCTTTGACAACATCCAACTCTTGTGGAGCATCTCAACGTACTACAGCCGTTGCTGTCGAGTTGGGCCCTACTGGTGTTATCAAAGCCGGTGATGATGCCGAGAGTGCGGTCAAGAATCTCGTGGATTACATGACCAATTCTGCATCGTGTGGCTCAACGATCCTCCTTTCCAAGGTTGGCCATACTATAGCTGCATTATACGTGGGAGCGGATGTCTACCAAAGCGGTGTTGGCTCCTTCCTCCAGCAGTTCTCTGAGAAGTTCAAGGGTGGCTTGCAAACGCTTCAAGCTTGCAATTCGAAGTCAAAGCAAGATACAACAATTGGAATTCGCATCATCGATTCAGTTGACCAGCTTGAAGCCACCCACAGAGCCCTGCAAGACTGGGCTAAGGGTACTTGTCTGAGCACCGGTGGACGGGGCTTAGTCCAAGCGGAGATAACTACTCTGGGAGTCTCTGCAGCCAACAAGCGCTCCTCCATTTCCTCCTTCTTTGAGAATACTCTTGCCCCACGAGGTGACTGCAGAACTATCACAGTCGGGAGTGGAGATAGCTGTGGGGCCCTAGCAAGCCGTTGCGGAATTTCGGCCAACGACTTCACCAAGTACAACAAGGCATCCAATCTTTGTTCAACCTTAATGCCTAAGCAGCGTGTTTGCTGCTCGGCAGGCTCTTTGCCAGATATCACTCCGAAGCCGCAAGCGGATGGAACCTGTGCCGTTCACTCAAATTCAAGCAAAGGACGACTGTGATGGCATTGCAGCTCATTTTGGAATCACCGTAGCCGATATCAACAGCTACAACAAGGCAACATGGGCATGGGCTGGTTGCAATAAGCTTCAACTAAAGCAGGTGATTTGCCTTAGCAAAGGCAACACTCCGATGCCATCTTCACTAAGCAACGCCGTCTGTGGTCCTCAGAAGCCCGGTACCAAGGCACCGTCTGGCCATTATACTGGCTGGAACTTGACAGAACTTAATCCTTGTCCTCTCAATGCATGTTGCTCTGGATGGGGCTTTTGTGGCACCACCGAAGAATTTTGCACCGAGTCACCAGCCGATACAAAGGCCCCAGGAGCCTTTCAAAAGGGAAAAAACGGGTGCATCTCCCACTGCGGCACTGATGTTGTCAACAATGACAAGGCTCCGGAGAGTTTCCATCACGTTACCTACTACGAGGCATTTAATGTGAAGCGTGATTGCCTCAACATGGATGTCAAGGAGATCAACGATGATAAATTGACACATGTGCATTTTGCTTTTGCTGGGTTGACCAAAGACTTTGACGTCAGCTTCGATGATAGCTTTGAGGACCAGTTCCTCAGCTTCGTTGAGTTAGATGTTCCATGGAAAAAAGTTCTGTCATTTGGCGGATGGGCAGAGTCTACCGACTCAGACACTTTCCAGCTGTATCGCGATGTCGTCAAGTCAGGTAACCGTGATAAATTTGCCAAGAATATCGCTGCCTTCCTTGACAAGCACAATCTGGACGGTATTGACTTTGACTGGGAGTACCCCGGTGCCACTGATATTCCGGGAGTTCCAGCTGGCGCTTCTGATGAAACGTCTGATTATCTTGAATTCTTGAAATTGATGAAAAATACCATTGGCAACAGATCGCTCTCGATCGCTTTACCGGCATCATACTGGTACTTGAAAGCTTTCCCCATCGCAAAGATGGCACCCTATCTGAGCTATTTTATTTACATGACCTACGATCTGCATGGGCAATGGGGTAAGTTCAGCATCATGTCTCGGAATCTTGGTTTGTGATACTAATCAAAGAATAGATTACGGCAATGCCTATGCCGATGTTGGCTGCTCTGGTGGAAATTGCCTCAGATCCCATGTCAACAAGACAGAGACGCTTAACTCACTGGCTATGATCACGAAGGCTGGTGTCCCCGCATCGAAAGTTGTTGTTGGTGTCTCTAGCTACGGTCGAAGCTTTGGAATGTCAGATCCAAGCTGCACTGGTCCTATGTGCACATACACCGGCAGTTTCAACCAGTCAACTGCTGAACCTGGGTTATGTACCAATACGGGAGGATACATTGCAAATGCCGAGCTGGATCAAATTGTCGACAGTGCCAACAATGGATTTGAGAGGTTCAAGGCTCGCACATGGCACGACGATAAGTCCGACTCGGATATCATGGTTTACGGCAGTTATGGGGAGATCACGACTTGGGTAGCATACATGAATGATACTACCAAGAACAACCGAATTGACTGGGTTAAAGGACTCAATTTCGGTGGTGTTTCAGACTGGGCGATCGATCTTGCCAGCTGGAACTCCGGCATCGACCCCGACTCGCAAGATGCTGTGGATCTGGAGGCCGAACTTCCTAAAGGATGCCCATCAGACGCCTGGCCTGACAATCTAGATGATCTCAATAACATGATCGATTCCATTGACACTGAGTGCCAAGGGCAAGCGGTCGTTCACGTCTTGCTCGCCATGGTCGGACCCGCCATCTCTGATTACAAAGACGCACTGAAAGATTTTGATGAATATGTATGTCTCTATGCGTAGTGTCAGATGTCTCAGATTAAGCTAATGTTTCTCCAGTTCGGATACTACGAAGAATGGGTCAGAAACCGCATTGACGATTCCCTCAAACTGTTCATGTGGAGCGATGGAAGAAAATATATGGATTGCAAGTGGAGCTCAAAAGATTCAAGTGGCTCTGGGCCTTGTACGGATATGCTTGTCAAGCAAGGTCAGCCGGGACAAGGCACTGTGACAGTCACGTACAAGATGCGGGATGAGGACGGCTTCTACAAAGCTCTTACGGACGACTACGGCATCGACAAAGACTGGATCAAGTGGGTTGATATAGGATCGGAAGTCCAACAGTGCCACTGTCCTGATTTGAAGCACAATTGTCCCGACTGCACGGGCGAACCTGACGCGAATGTATACCACAACTGGCCACAAAAGATCGATGACAACAGCAAGATCAAGATCACGAACCCCAAATCAGTCATTGAGGCCGCCATCCCCAACATCTCAGACCTTTCAACTGTCATGCTTGGCACGTATGCACAGATGCGCTTGGAGATCTTCGATGCGGATGACGCGGATGTTGCCACCGCATTCAGCATGCCCGTCTTCATGCTTGGAGACGCAACAGACTCAATCAAGGAAATCAAAAAGATTGGCAAACAGCAAAAGGAGGCGGACGACAAAGCAAAGATCAGCTTTATTTTGGATATTGTGAGCATCGTGCTCATGATTATTCCATTTGCTGGTGAGGCAGCTGAGGCGATTGGTGGTGTGGCCAATGTGGCACGAGCAGCAATGATCATTGGTGAGGCTGGCAATGCGGCCATTACTGTTGCTGATATCGTAGAGGATCCAACCTCGGCTCCGTTTGCTATCCTGGGTCTACTGATGGGAGCCAATGCTGGTGTCGTTGGCAAAGGAACTAAGGGCGCCTTCACTAAAGCTTCGGCTGTTCGTAAGGCGATGTCAACTGACACACTGAAATCTTTCAGCGACACGTTCCGCAAGAATGATGACATCGTGCAGAACATTATCAAAGCTTGCCGTGGTTAGATAGGGGCTTCACACAACCCTGGGCCTTGATAAATGACTACAGTTATGTATTCGTACGGTGAATACTAAGAAAGCAATTATGTTGAAGGGCCTATACACGTTAAACCTTGATGTGAGGAAGAGAGCAATGCTATGAATAGTCACAGGCGTTGTGAGATTAGCGAGAGTTAAGGACGATAACACAATCTGTGAATGATGAGATCTAGAGATATCGAAAGTAGCTGCTTGGGGGGTAGTAATCGCCCTTCAAAAAAACGCTGGCCGGGACATAATTTAGTGAGCAGGTTGAAAGGCCGATTTCTTTTGGCAAGTTAATGCTGCAAACCGCACGGCTGGTGGGTTTGAGACATGAAGATTGGAATAATAGAACAAGGGGCTTGGAAAAAATCAGCGGGTTTTGGGATTGTGGCCCCTGTGGGGTCAAAATTGAAGCTATTCAGGCAGAGAGAAAAAGCAAAAATAGAAATCGCTAGGTAGAGAAGGAATATAGCGTACAATGCCAGCCTAAAAGTTTCGTGTGCTACCCATATGAAGACACGAGGACCAAAAACCAAAGATGCGTGTAGTGGCGATGGTGACAGTGGAGAAAAAAAAAACTATAGTACGTAAAGAGAAAGCCTTCTACGGGCAGAGGGGGTAGCCCGACAGTCCAAACAGAGTTCATTGATTGCGGGATAAAGTGTGTGCCTGGGGAATGGGGGCTTCCACACAGCTGCAACAGTGCCAAGCAGCTATTTCTTAGTCTTTCTCTCGCTTCTTTTCGCCTCGTTGCTAGATTGCCAGACAAATCACACCATCAGTTCGAATGAGATGCCATTCAACCCCTTTTCCTAGCCATGATCGACCTTACTGTCCTTTCTCACAAGCTAATATTTTAGATCATTTCATGTAATGATTTGATCTTCCTGAAGCCCAGTACGGTTAAGGTATCCCCCACTCTCCCCACTGTCCCCTATCTTCTGGAGCCTTGGCTCAATTTAGCCTCCGAGGGAATAGAAAATCTCTGATAATTATGTGGAGCCGTGTGGACGCTTTGCTCGGGGAGCATGCTCAATTAAACCCACGTAAACGAATACGCGGTCCTTAGAGGCGCCGATAGTGGGGTTTTGACCCCTTACTACTGTTGCACTCATAATAGATAAACGAAGGGTGAGACACGTACTAAGAAGGGACCTTGTCTAAGATGCGACTAACTTGCCGATAACTAACTCCCTTAGGACGAGTTTTGGTAGTAGCAGCGTCCAGGATGTCAATTAGTCTCGTTGGCGTGACATGTGACACAACTGTAGGTGAGTATGGGGCTAGTGGGGTGGAACACTCAAACGTAGACAGGCAACGTCAAAAGGCCCTGAGGAGAAGAATAAGCCACACAGAAGGCATAAGAGAAGCAAGAGAAGAGACCAAAGATGGTCGCACGTGCCATGAGCCACGGTAGAGCCGAACGCTAAATCTAGCCTTTTCTGCGGAGTCAATCACTTTAAGTGCGGATTTTCCCCTAAAGAAACTTTAAAATAGAGTGGCGGGTGGACTAGGCCACGGTTACAGTAATAGGTGTCCTCTGCACCACCGATAAACGTGGTGAAAGTCACGTGGTATCGGTGATCGGCCGCGCGTATAGCCCGCTAGCGTCGCTAAGTTGACCCTCGTTGCCTATTAGTCGTCCTCGTCCCCGTATTCGCATCGTCCTTCCTCATTTCCACAACGGGTATCTCCCACGTTCATCCATTTGAGCCACTCGTCTACACAGCCCTCCTTGCGTCCCACTGATCCAGATGAAAGGGGCATCTAGCTATGGCGCTAATTCTAGGTAGCAGAATAAATATAGAATTGCAATGTATCCCAGCCAAAGCTCCTTAATTCCATTAAAAGAAAGTACCTTCACCGGGCTCCAAATTCTATATCTATCTGTATTAAGTTTGATGCTATATCTTCCAACCTACTGCAGCCTTGTTTGAAGTTTCAATCATCTTTAGATGTCTGGTTAGAAAACGCCCATACTTTCAGCGCCAAGTACAGAAGCCTAAGAGACTTTTTCTCCTACTATCGCCTATCTACCTCCCTCTTCGGCATTGACCCCCTCCCCCTCCATCCTGGTGCGTTCTTTCAGTCAGCAGTCTTGGAAATGAGCAAGACATCCACCCTCGCGAGGGTGAGGAACAAGCTCTTGTCCAGACGCCAGATCGAAGGCATGATTGCGGACAACCAGCTCATAGTCATCGTCGACGATAAAGTGCTCAAACTCGATGCGTGGGTAAAGTTCCATCCTGGTGGTGAGCTCGCCATCCAGCACATGGTAGGCAAAGATGCCACAGATGAAGTGAACGCGTAAGTAACGGATCCACTATTCTCTTCGCGCATATGCTGACAATGCAAAGGCTACATTCACCAGAGGCACGCCAACGCATGCATAAATTCCAGATCGGTCGCATTGAGGGACGATGGAAGAACTTCATCCCTCCTATCCAAAACGGAGAGTTTCGTCCGTACATCGAAGAAGAAGACGAGCGTCCCTCAACTCCCGTATCCAGCTCAGAATCATCAGCCCCACCTTCTCCCATTTTCGACACCAAGCTAGACACACTCGGTTTGACACGGAGACTATCAACGTCAACTATTTCATCTGCTGTCAGCTCTATCCCTCCCATGGACATAAAAGGACGCACATTTGTGGTAGACGCTCGTACGCAGGAGGAGATCGAACTGGACGAATCCAAGTACCCTTCTCTTGATATTGAAGATCAGGCGAATATCGCTCAAAAATACCGTGAACTCAACGAGCGCATTCGTGCAGCTGGGCTTTACAACTGCAACTACACCGCATATGCTATTGAAATTTGTCGCTACTCTCTCTTCTTTGGTCTCTTCCTTTTCTTCTTGAAGAATTCTTGGTTCTGCTTGTCTGGCTTTTTCTTGGGCTGCTTCTGGCATCAACTCGTCTTCTCTGCCCACGATGCTGGTCACATGGGTATTACTCACGATTTCCAGACTGATACTGTCATTGGAATGATAATCGCCGATTACCTCGGAGGACTCAGTCTTGGATGGTGGAAGCGAAGCCACAACGTTCACCACATTGTTACCAATGCTCCAGAGCACGACCCCGATATTGAACTTATGCCTTTCTTCGCCCTTTCGCACCGTTTTTTCGACAGCTTGCGCAGCACATACCACAATCGCGTCATGGAGTACGACGCCGTGGCGAAATTCACAGTCAAATACCAACACTACATGTACTACCCGATTCTCCTCTTCGGTCGCTTCAACCTCTACTTTTTGAGTTGGGAACACATTTACCTCGGACTTGGTCCTCGACATGGCGCTGGTTGGTGGCACCGATGGTTCGAACTAGCCGGCCAAATCTTCTTCTGGATCTGGTTCGGCTACGGCGTTGTCTGGCTCAGTATTCCATCCTGGTGGAGTCGGGTCGCTTTCGTCCTGATTTCTCACATGGTCACTGCGCCACTTCATGTGCAAATTACCCTTTCGCACTACGCCATGTCCACTGCCGATCTTGGTCCCCAGGAATCTTTCCCCCAACGGATGCTGCGTACAACAATGGACGTCGATTGCCCCGCCTGGTTGGACTTTTTCCATGGTGGACTTCAATTCCAGGCCATTCACCACTTATACCCTCGCATTCCTCGCCACAATCTGCGCAAGACACAACAATTTGTTAAGGAATTTTGTGAAGATGTGAAGATCCCGTATGCTGTTTTTACTTTCTATAATGGCAACAAAGAAGTTATCACTCGATTGGGTGATATTGCTAAGCAGGCGAGAATCTTGCAGGAGTGTCAGAAGGCATGCGCGGAACAAGGTGTTTTCGCTGACCACCTTCATTCGCACTGACGTATAACTTTGATAGATAGTTTCCAACATACCTGATACCCTTCCCAATTTTGCAGATAGACATTGTAACTCATGAGTGGACATATACCATTGAAATCTAAAAATACCCATTCATTACTACTACAGGTGCTTATACACCCAGGCTAGTGTCATCACTTAGATAAATAAAACGAAGGCCTTTCTAAGGTTAGATCTATCAAAAGACTTCGAGGTCCAAAATCCTAAGGCGGAAGGATCACACCGTGTGCGACTCCCGAAACTCATCATAATTGCATTATATATATCTAAACGGTACACCTGCTCAATGCTCTTGAAGTACAGTGGGTCAAGAGGAACAAATCTTGTCGCTATATGGGTGGCGTACTACGATTTATCAACTTGTGGGCGTGAGCAATTCCGGAGTCAAATATTGGATGGTGGTCGCAAGCCCTAAAAGATACATGTCAATGGGATTGACAATGGGGGAAAACCCCGCATTCGACATCTCAGTTCCTACACCTTTGCAATCAACAACTTTTGTCAACTAATGAGACCTCCATACATGACTCAGCATCATTGGTCTAGTGGTAGAATTCGTCGTTGCCATCGACGAGGCCCGTGTTCGATTCACGGATGATGCATTTCTTTTTTGCTTTCTATTTCTTTCCTTCTAGTTTCTCTATCAACAAATACTCACATAAGCTATATTTTACCCCTATCAAAGTCAAGAAATTGGGATACTATAATGAATCCTAGAGACTCAGATAACTGGTGCGTAACGACAGCCCATTGACAGGCCCATTTGGGGCTAGAGCTGGACTATTTCGGTTCTACCTCTACATGAATCACGGGTACCCACCGTTCCTAACCGCGAAACAGGAGCTACATAGCTATTGACCATGTAATAGTGTGATCCCAATCAGGATACGAGATATTGAATGGGTCTACCCCGTATGTTGGGTCAGCATTTGGTACACACGTCAAGCAAAATAGTGACATCATCAGTTCAAAAGGAAAGTATTTAGTACGAGTTTCAGCGCCGTATTATACGAGTTTCCTCTCAAAACAACTAATTTTCTCTTAATCAGAAACCGTTATCCAACGTTTTCATATAATCAGTATGCATGACTTCAAATACAAAAAGGCGGTACCACAAGAACTTACCAATTGTAGCAACAGCCATGAAGTTTTCTTTCCTCTCGACTTACCTCTTAGCTCTGACCTTGAGCACTTCCTCAGCTTGGAAGCTTGAAACAAACACTCTAGACATTCACGGAAGTCAACCCCAGGGCTGTAAAACCATTTTCATTCCTCGAGGTGCTAAGATCAGCTGGACTGGATCGAATGGTGCCCGAACCCTCCAGTTATTCAATGTGCAAGGAAAGTGCTCCCAAGTTTACCGAACTGTCATGGGCATTGGGGAAATAAATGCTTCGAACAACATCTATGGGTATATAGTAAAGCCTTGAGGATGCACTAAGGTGTTGCTGAGGGACCACTCGCCATTCATGGAATGTTATTGATTCGGTTCGAGGAGCTCAAAAGTTGGACATATTCCTTTGTTTGGGTGGGAATTCATGTTAACGAGAAGTGCGGCGAGCAATGTCTTGTAGTATTGTTACATTAACTTTTTCCTATTATTCAACAAGTGGCGAGTAGCGAGGGGAAAAGCCTCTGAGAGTATCTTCTAGATAAATTGAGAATTCATGGAAATATCACAATGTAGTGTTCATGACTGATATCTTTTGTAGCTCATAGTGATAAGTACTTATCAACAAATTGATTGCTTCGGCTATTCGTTGAAGGATCTTCCTATCTTCTTCTTAGCTCCGACGGAGTTCCGATTCAATACCCTAAAAAGTACAAGGAATCTCTCTAGGTAGATTAGAAATTGGCCGCTACACCACGAACCAGGGTGTGTATTTACGAAAATGGACATTGGTAAAAGGAGGGGGTAATCATGAAGACGCGTAAGCTCTCTTTATACAGTCTTCCGAACCCAAATCCATCCATTATAGGATTACAAGCTTAGAAATGGCGGGAGGCTCTAGTCTCCGGCTGGCATTTCTTCTGAGGGTCTGTTAGATAGTGTGTAGAAAGTTTCACATCAAAATATTTGACTGGGTTCCCACGTTCAATTTTTTGAATATAGGTTCGACAGGTCTCATCTGAATCACGCTTGCATACAGACACAAGGATATGACTATCGTCCAAACAATCTTCGCGAGAATTACCAAGTCTATCAACGCTGCTCAACAGAAAACCCTCTTTCGCAAACAATTCTGCCCAATGGATTAAGCCCTTCTTGTGGAGTCACCGCTTTCCATCATACGAAGCTGAGCTGCATCATTGAACTCATCCTGGTCGCTGCTTGCTTTATAAATATGGCTTGAGGAGTGCTGGGTTGACCGGACTTTTGACCATGTGGACGGAAGTTCGCGCCAAAGTAATTTCACCATGGCTTGATAAGAGATCAAACAGGGAGAGATCAGATACATGCCCGCTTCGATGGCTCCCCAGAACATGACTGTGGCTCCTGCCCACGTTTTGTCTCCCAAGACATCCGTTCGGACCACTACGGAAAGCGTGATTATCGTGGAATGCCATCATAAGTAAGCCATTGCATTGGAAAAGAAGATTCAAGAAGAATGGGAGCTTGACTTACGCGCTGCCAAACGCGAATGCAACCAGAAGACCAGCTTTCATCCGCCAAGACATATGAAGTGCCAGAGTCTGCGGAATAGGAAGAGCCAAGATTATTACATCTGTGAAAATATTAATAGCTCTCGATGATATAAAACACGCATCAATATCGATGCAGTGGCCTGAGGAGCTCCCGCCCCAAAGATAATCAAATGGAATGCACATCGCGAATCCCACAGCGCAATACGCAAGAAAGCTTCCGACGACGACAAATCCAGCCCCGAAGCAGACAATACGGGTAAGGCGAGATTTTCCGAATATGGTAAGGTACATATACAGCACGGCTACCTTCGGAAAGGTCGTAGATGCAACATACGTGAAGCTATTCGCAAGGACATACTTGCCCCAGAGCTTCAACATATTCGGGTCAATCATTATGATGCGAGCTTCATGTAACCCAACTCCCCGCATAATGTACTTCACCTATACAAGCCTCTGGTTAAGTGGTAGTTCTCTCGGTGATAATGATGCTTTTGATAATAACATACCGATAATCCCAGCTAAGAAGGCTATATAAAATATCCAGCCAAGTACCATTAAAGTGTCATCATGCTTCCATAGTGAACGTGTGATATGCTGCGACCAAAAACGCAGACCAATTGCGAGAGTACCCAAGATCATAAAAGTAGTACAAATCGCGTACATTGTAGACTGCCTGTCAGCCTCAAGGTAGGAAGGAGGCTATTCAGTGCTCGCGGCCGTCATCGTTACTGCTTTCCAACTTGCGTTTGATTTTTTCACCTCAAATGGCTTTGTCAGGTCAGGCTGGGAGTTGAGCATAAATATGGTAGAAGTCTCAGAGAGGCTATTAGCGTGAATTGGATATGGTGAAATTAATCCTGTGGGTCAATATAAAACCGGTGTAACGGAAAAAGAATTACTATTATTGGTAGCAGTTACAAGTCCACTAGAAGGTAGGAACCGTTGTTGAACAGTTTCATCAAGTCGCACATGCATAAGTGTAGTGCTTCAGCTTCTGTGGCCGCTTGCAGTACTCGTAGGTATCTACCACATTGGAGTACCAGACTATGGTTTGGCCCCCAAAGAAAAATGCCGCATATTACGCAAAAATTTATAGCGTGTGCTGGAAAGCCCTGGACTGGGATGAACAGGGATCCTGGTTAGAGGGGGTGTTTGCATTTTGCAGCACGCGTACCCTGTTAGAGTCTCAAAATTTTCTCATGAGCAAAAGTTAGCATGTTAGATATAATTATCAGGATATTAGCCTATTTTTTTCAGCGCTCGTGGTCCTGTCTGAAATGTTTGATATTTTACGCAGTAATTATGGAACGATGCGGGGAAGTGACCCTGAATGGCCCCCGAGAAATAAAACCAATTGTTGATGAATGTCGATCATTTTAAATGGAAATCAAACATAGCCACCATGTGTGTAAAGAATTACGCCCGAGAATGTCTGGCTACTGGGATTCTGGTCAAGAGCTAAATCTTGACGCATGTGCGAAGCGGTGCGATGCAATTCATTGATGGCAGAGGAAGGTCTACCGAGAGACACATATCAATCTCAGCCTGTTCTGTCATCTCCAGGCTTTTACGATGAATGATCCAGAAGGCCTGAGGATTCACAAAAGTTGCTCGAATTCATCACAGCATGTTTACTTATGGGGATGCGGCACAGCGAAGTTTGGCGGTGACAGGGCCTTGTGTTCATGGAACATTTTAGAGGGAACTCCAACCATGTTGGAATCCTGATTTCATCTGGGGGCCAAATTCTAGAGCTTGACGGACAGGGCAGAGTAAAGGCGATGTAGCGGTCAGCAACCGGACCTTTTTCGGAGGAATATAGCCCTTTAGGCGAACAAAGGGGAGAGGGGCTATTCCTGGTCGCCTAATGGCCTGCGAACCTCGACAAATGCGTGGTGCATTCTCCAAGATTTTATTTTGGACTCCACTCAACTGCTGCTACCCTCAAGTGGATGCCCTTCTGAATCGTTGTCTACTTTACTCACCACATGTATCTAGTACAATCTATTCATTCCAAGACAGCCTTTCAGAAGGTCCATAGGCTTGAATATCTGTCCAAGCACCCGTTTCATACTTTCTTTTCAATCTATTGATTGCCTCCGCATCTCTCCAGAATCGGATTTGTGTTCATTCACTCCTTTACCGATTCAGACCTTCTTCGCGTCGTCTACCTGGGTAACGACTCCATTGACTTCTCTTCTCCGACTTCAAAATGCCGGACAACTATGTTCTTCCTCGAGACTACCTCGACAACAATCGGTACTTTACTCCTTTGAATGCTGGCAAGACTTGAGCTAACACGAATTTCCAGCATGAATCTTCATCACTATCTTTTGCGAGAAATGCATGGGTACCTAGTTCATCCTTCAATACCTATAGACAAACCCGATCTGAGAATTGCCGATGTTGGGACAGGCACTGCGTGAGACACACCACTTTTTATAATGACCAATCAATATATCAACATTATGCTAACGTCAATAGTATCTGGCTCACAGATCTTGCTCACCAGCTCCCTTCCACCGTCTCCCTTGATGGGTTGGATATATCATTCGAGGCTACCCCACCAAAGGAATGGCTGCCTCAAAATTTGACTCTGCGGTCTTGTGATTTGATGTCCGAAATTCCTGAGGATCTGATTGGGGTTTACGATATCGTGCACATTCGGCTCTTTGCTTTTGTCCTCAAGAATGAAGACATGAACACGGCAATCGGGAATCTTTTGAAGCTTCTCAGTAAGATAAGCGTGACTCTTGTGGCTTGACATATTTGGAATATAGAACTAATTGTCTTTCTGATAAAAAGAGCCAGGTGGCTACCTACAGTGGTCAGAGCCAGATATCGAATCTTTTCGGATCCCGACGTCCGTGCCGGGTAATAAAACAGATGCTCTTGCCAACCTGATGGCTTTCAGTCAACCCAAAGATGTCCGTTACAAGCCAACCTGGATCGCCAGACTTCCGGAAATGTTTCACGGAAGTGGCTTACGCTCTGTCGAATGCGATGTTAAAGATCCATCACCCGAGATGATCATGCCTCTTCATGAATGCAACTTGTTGATCCCTGAACTATTGGCTCGCAAGGCAGAAAATACTGAGTGGGCGGAGAAGATTAGGAAGGCTCTGCCAGAGGTCCTCCGGGAGACTCGAGCTGGAGCAGCATGGGAGTACACTCGAGTCGTAGTGGTCGGTCAGAAGCCGCTTTGAATGACGCAAGGATTATGAGTGTATGTACTTACATTCTTTCGAAAGAAATCACAAGAACCACCTGCAGATCCTTGAAGCCGTTTTTAAGATTAGAAGCTTAGAGATAAATACAAGTAACGACAGGCTTTGAGGTAGAGGATCTTCAATATACAATTACCATGTCTCTGGTTTCTGGTTTCTGCGTTAAACAGAGAGAATACACTACTATCGAGTCCTTTATCAGGTTTCTACGAAAAAGGCACGACAGCTCACCGACTAAGCTTCCCTGACACGCAAGCCTACTCAATAACTACTATGAGTGAAAGGAGAAACTGCACAACTTGTTACTTATCTATTCGCTATAATGGCCTTGAAATGATTTCAGATGGGCCGTAAGTGTATCTGAACAAGATTAGAGATTGGTAAAGCGTCTCAAACTTATTGGCCTAACCATAGGTTTTATACTCCCTTCAGGGAGACTTGACTCTTTTGGCGTACAGATAACGGTCTGCAGTCGCATTGTTCGTTACATACTGAGGAACAGGTCCACAAAAATCCTCAGTGTCCCTACTCAAGCCGTAGCGAAGATTGAGTCTGCAGCACTCGGCTTTGACTGATGTCCTCATTAATATCCTCCCACTTAACAGTCGTGATCCCCCGGTTATAGTCTGCCGCTCCCTCGTTCTCATGAAGCGTAACTGTGCCGTCCAGCCAGTAAAATTCGTTTTGCCACATCTGGACTGCACCCTTCGGCAAAGTGATGACCTCGCCGTCGCAGCCAAGGCCAATCCAAATGCAATTCGATCTCGGGTGTTTATCGGTCATCACTCGACCACCGCCAGAGGCAACATGGAATAGAGAACCCTGAAGGCCCGTCCAAGTGGGGCATGTCCATCACTCCTCCACGGTTGAACCACGCTATCTCTCACCGGATCTGGAAATATCCAGTGCCATATAGAGTGATCTGTTGGTCATTGTAGAACATCAAGTACTTTCCACCAAAGGAACTGGAAAAAGAGTCCGTATATTCGCCAGTGAAGGTGAAATTCCCATCTGCTCTGACAGGGAGCCTAGGTGGAGCGGTGGTAACGCTAGGGGCCGTGCTAATCAAGCCGGCCACCCAGCCGTATGCGGACGGTCGAGAACAGTGGGTTTTGTGGGCCGATGCAGAGCTAGCACGCTCCGAAGTAATTTAAGTTTTCAGCTCAAGGGGTCTGTTATCAAAACATTTTTTAATACTTTGTATGTCCAGTGCCAAATTTTCTGAATTTTGGTTAGAATCCAAGGCAGCACCAAATATTTTATGATGTCTCTAGTCTAAATATAACAAGGCCTACGAATGGATTGCTGATCATGCTGTCATGCTTCACAGCCCTGAGCGCTTCCTAATCTCCAACTTCGCACCAAGGTCACTCAACATTTCATACCCCATTTCAAAAACCTTTGGCTTAAACCCTTCCGGGAGTCTAACATCGTAAGTCAACAGTATCTTGGCCAGTGCAATCTTGACTTCATTACTGGCAAAGAACCTACTAGGGCAGATTGGCTTCCCAATACCGAAGGCGATATGCTCCGGGCTTGAAGACGCTAGTGCTGCCCCAGTATTTCCAGATTCGCGTAACCGAAGGAAACGGTAGCCGTCATAAACGAAAGGATCGGGATAAATAGCGGGATCCCACATCATAGACGAATCAACGGCAATGTTAGTTCCACGGGGGATCGTCATGCCATTTGGAAGGACAACGCCCCGCAAAGCCTTTCGCTCGAGATTCACTTTCGGAAATCATCTTAATACATCGAAACACAAAATTTGACAATCCAGTGGAAGTAGCCACATACCTAATGATCCAGGCTTCAGCCTTTGAGTTTCCTTCACTACACTGTCGAGGAGTCGCATCTTGAAAACTCCAGCGGTTGACCATCCACTCTCTTCAACTGCCTTGCTTGCTTCGTATCTGATATCTGGAATCAATTTTGGATGCATGCAAATGTCCAACAACGCCTGCTTGAGCAGCTCAGAGGTTGTGTGCATTGCGCTTATTGCAAATGCTATCTGGGGGCAGTGGCATCGTAGGGGCGTCCTGCAGCGACCTCATCGAGCCATTGTATAGTATCATTAGACTTCTCTGTCTTTTGACTTTCAATAGAGGTGGATTTTCTGTGGGCTCTTTGGTCGAAAATTGGCTGCAGCATAGAACGAGCGAGACGCATTTGCTGTCGGCATTGTTTGAGTTCTGGTAAGAACCAATGAACAATTGGGCGGAGGACAGCAGGCCAGGCGCGGAGTGATCGGACTCCCATAAAAGTATTTAATGTAGACGTCATGATAAGCTCCTGCCAATTAGGATCACGAGCTAGTTCAAGGCCGACAAAGACAGATGCCGACATTCGCCCAACGAAACGAATCGTGTGCTGAGACCAATCAACGTCTTGCCAGTCTTAAGAGACAAGTCAGTGATTATTCAAGACATAGAGGAGGAGTGGAGGAATACCATCATCTTCCATTCAGATTTCTCTCAGAGCCGTAAGGTGCTCTGAGAACGATTCACACTCTAGAAAAGTCGAGGTCAGGATGACCATTTTTCAAAATAGACAATGAATATTCCACGTACAGCTATTTTGGTTCAATTTCCTCTTGGTGACATCGATGAGAATCTTTCTCGGATCAGTGACAACCTTCTGTCCTTCCATTCCAGGGTACGCCGCGAAGTATTCCTAGTTCGTTCAGTCGGTCGTCAATTTTCGTATTGTTGCAATCAAGGGAGCTTCGACGTACATCGTGAACGAGCTCCTGGTGATCCAAGCCAGGACAGTTTTTCAGCCATTCCGTATAAGATGCTGGGAGAATGACTCGAGAGCCAAGAGTGGTGATAATGCGAAATGGGCCGTTGAACTGAAGCATGCGGATCAGATACTGTATTTCTTTGGGGAAACCAAGTTATTTTACTGTCTCAATTCCTTCTTTAATCAAGCCTCTAGCGTTTGTCATAAATTCCGAATGGGCCATTTTCAAAGTGATATCGCGAGAATATGAGTTCACAGTTGGAAATGTCGATTTTGTCGACCAGCGCCATATCAGAATCACAATTAAGCCCAAGACGGCTGAGGGCAGCATGTAACCGCCCAGATTTTCTTTGTCCATGAACACGCTCATAATGACTGGTAAAATATCGTAGATATCTTGAGGGTTAGGCAATATCACGGAGGACGAACCTTGAGTAAGGTTGGTTAAATACTATATGGTATTATTTGTGCTTAGGATTACTAGTCATGTGTGTCAAGAGTTTAACTTTCGGGCCACGGGAGAGTGGAACAATTTGAGTAAGAATGACTCACCGTCAGTCACCGGCCTTGTTATTAGTTACGTGGCCCATAGGGGAGCAGATCACATAGCCCATTTGGCAAATGATGGTTTAATAACTCTACAGTAGTAGTCGAAATCAGATTTACCACTACACTCTTCGACTTGAACTTCCAAACCCTAATGTGAAACGCGCTAATCAGAATAGGGCTTAGGCGTCGATCCTCTAGTTTCTAGAATAGATTTTGTAATTTTCATGACGGTCTCATACAATACCAGCGGTACTATACATGAAATTGTTGTACTTACGCAAATACTTTGCCTGATTTCTCACCAAACCGATTTTTCCTTTCGCCATGACTTTTCAGTGCCGTATACGAGACTCATGATATGGCTCCGAGGCTCCCTCCCTCAAAGTTGCGGCTTATCCGTGATATGATCGAGAGTCGGTCACTCACCACATCTCAAATGGCCGAAGAGGCCGAGTGCAGCAAAGTCACGATTATAAACATTCGCAAAAACTTGAGGCTGTTTCGAAACGTCCACGCACCCCCAACTCGAATAGGTCGGAGACCGACAGTTACCCCACTAATGATCGAAGCGCTTTGCGATCACTTATCTGCGAAACCAGGTCTGTACCTTGATGAGATGGTCGCTTTCCTGTGGGACGAGTTTCACACTATGATTACGACCTCAAGCATCAGAAGAGCCCTGAAAGCTAAAGGTTGGTCTAAAAAGACGATCCTGTAGCATGCTAAAGAGCGAAATGTCGATTTGCGAGAATTATACCTGCACAATGTATCGGAGTACCAATCATATCATCTAGTTTATGTCGATGAGTCTGGATGTGATAAGAGAGCTGGGTTCAGACGGACAGGCTGGTCACCTCTTGGCATGGCGCCATTGCAAGTATCACAGTTTCATCGTGACCAACGATACCAGATACTACTAGCGTACACCCAGGACGGTATTCTACTTTCCCATGTCTTCCGCGGTGCAACAGATGCTATCATATTCGAAAACTTCTTAGCTCAGCTACTTCAGCACTGCGGAAGATGGCCAGACCCTAAGTCTGTTTTGGTCATGGATAATGCTTCCTTCCATCGCTCAAGACGGGTCTCGCAGATGTGTGAGGACGCTGGAGTGAAACTAGTCTATCTACCACCTTATTCTCCAGACTTGAATCCGATCGAGGAATTTTTTGCTGAGCTAAAAGCCTTCATCAAGCGCAATTGGGGTTACTTTGAAGCGGATCCCGATCAAGGTTTTGATGTCTTTCTTTCATGGTGTATTGACACCGTCGGTGCAAAGCAAGAAAGTGCGAAAGGCCACTTCCGACATGCAGGCTTAAAGATCGAAGAATTCGCAGAGTTTTAGGTATGGCCTCAATTGAGGAGCATTTCAATGTAGCTCGAAATTTTGTAAAAAATAAGATTCGTAATCTGTTCACTCTTGAAACCATGGGTCATCAAAGAATTTGTCGCGCTGACGCTCTCGCAGATGGCTCAAAATACAATAGCTTCCCGATGTTTACTCCTAGCCTCAATATATCGTCTTTTGTTCAATCGGGGTTATGCGGGCCGCCAAGTACACTTCTTCCAGCCATTTCTGTAAGTTCAGCCCGGTATCTTCGTGGCTTGGACCCTCGTTCATTGTATCCAAAGTCTCTTGCTATCTTCTAGGTAGACCATCGCTTTCCATCTCGCACATCTGGCCGATGAGTATCTGAGATGTTAGCAAGAAAGTGTCGAATGGTGGCTGTCCAACAAAAAGTTCAAAAAGCTGCATATCTATCAATTAACTGCCGCTTCAAATCCATCCCGGTCATTCACCCACTATGCAACCCATACTCTATAGGTCAACACGATAATCAATGCTATCTTTAAAAAGAACCTCGGGTGCCCTAACAGATAGCGGAGTGTGGATTTTGCGGAACTGCGGTTGATGACAAATATCGCCCAAAATCGATTATTTTGATCGTCGGAGCCAAATCGTTATATTTTGGGAATTTGAATATTACTTGCATACAGTCTCGATGTTGCCGTCACTATTCTGCACAAATCTATTAATTTACGTCCTTCCTTCCCCCAGCTATTCACAGGAATAATTCAGGGATAAAGACGACACCCCGGGAAGTGGAATTGTTCACTTGAACTAGCGAAGGAGAAAGTGGACAACGATGGTAATTAATTCCCATGTCGCGGATGAAACATCAGCTTTGATGTATGGGTTTCGGTTAAACATTTGGATGCCCAATATCCTATTCTCATTCTATGCCTCGACCAGAAGAGATACATCGACCGCCAAAAGATCGAAGCCCAGGGAACCAACTAGCGAAGTCCAAGACCACTTACAAATATCGTTGATATCGGCTCTTGAATTTGAGTTTGTGAGATTCGAACTGGCAAAAAGCAAGGCATCAGATAATCACTCCCCGACAAAACAACTAGTACACCAAAATCTGGTCATCTTTTCCTCCCTCGTCCCTCCATTTCTTAAGCACCTTCTTCATATCCGCCGCGATATTCTGAGCATAGTCCGGCCCAGCGGCCCCGGCAGGCAAATCCGCTGGGTTCCCCCTCGCCCAAGCAACAGGTTCTTTAGCGACACCCACGAATTTCTTCTTAAGCTCTTCAACCTGCTGAGGCTCATAGCCGCGACCGAAGATTATTGCGCGAGGAGGCCGGCTGTAATCGTGGGTTCCGATCTCATTGGGGTTCTGAGACTGAGGATCGCGACCTGCAAGCAGATGCGGGAGCTCAGCCTCTGCAGCCTCATATGACAGGATGAAGTGGATGACTGAGGAGCATTAGCACCATGCTTTGTTTATTTCAGGAATGTATATCAAGAACCTTCATATTCAGGCAGCAGGTGCTGGGAAATTGATTTCCCCATCGCGGGTATTCTGCCGCAGGCAACTACTGGCATCGATTGAGCGAATGAAGACATGTTGCGATAGCTGTACGCTGTACTCTGTACGCTGCGGTTGAATATATTTCGGAGCATTGGAGATAGAGAATAATGGAGTAAGCTGAGGTCGAGGATTCGATTTATATTCCTCGTTGCGGCGCCTCGGTTTTGTTGGGTCGATGACGTTCGGATAGAGCATGAGAGCCCGTTATGTTCGACTCCAGCTAATCGTGACGACCCACTTTTTCGATTATTCAACAGTCCCGACACCCCGACCCGATGAGTTAAGCAATCCCGTTCACGTCCTTCTCGCGTTCTTAGATTATCTATTACATCACTGCATGTCTTCAAGATAAAGAAAACGCCTCAAAAGAAATACACGATGGTCGGAGCAATGACTGACGCGCCCGCTCCTCGCAAGAGAGGCCGGCCACGAGCTGGGACGGACAATCAGCAAGGCCCCGAGGTGGGTACATCCCGAAACAACTATAGTGTAAGTTGGAACTAACTTAAGGAATCCAGAGACGTCGAAAGCAGCTTCGCGTCGCGCAGCAATTATATCGCAAGAGAAAAGATACCACGATCGTCAATCTGCAATCTCGTGTACAGAAATTCGAGTCGGGCATCGAAGAGGTCAGCGAGTCGTTCCTTTCCTTTAGTGATCTTCTGTTAGAGGCTGGGATTCTCCAAAATCAGCCTCGTGTCACAGCTGCTCTGCAAAAAATTACACAGCAATGCGTGTCGCTTGCTAAAAGTGGCTGCGACGAGGCCGAACAGGCATCTGCAGCCCTGGCGGACGTATCGCGATTGATGTCTCCCACGCTCAGCGATACACAAGATATAATCTCCAATCACAATCCGCTCATAACGCAACTTGATTCATGGCCAATAATAGGTGACGCTTTTTAGCCCTCGTCGGACCTCACGGCTCAATGGGCTGGACTGTCACAACTACCCCCCACGCCACACTTCCAAGAACAAGCAATTCTATCGTTCGGAATAGACCCGTCGTCTTCGAATATCTCTTTCTCGCCCATCCATAGTCCTACCTTGAATTTTCCGACCATAGTATCGCCCGATAGCCTCTTAAAGCAAGGGCGCTGGGAGCTCTCACACCGTCTGGTCCGACAATGCTGCGAGACTGGTTACTATCTATTAACAAGATCATCTGCAGACGATCCAAGAGTCATAGCAATCTTCGGCAAACGATTGACCATCGATGAGCGCGACCGCTTCATCTTCGGATTTTTCGCCAACATGCACGACGAAATGGGAGACACGGTCGAGTTGAGTACAAAAGTTCTCAGTTCAAGGAGGAACAGCTACTCTCCTGAACAACTCACAGTTTCCTCACGAGCGTGGCAAATTGTCAATGAATCGGGTGCTGATGAGTGGATGGATGCGAGTGGTGTGCAAAGGCTGCTACAGCAGCGAGGGATGCATATTCAGGACCGAAGCTCGCCCCTCTCCAGTCTCCAGTTCAATTCGGCTCCGCAGCTCAACGCCGCGAGCTTCACTAAATGTGAGTAGTGCCGAGATCAATGGATCTTTGTGTCTTATTTTCCATGCATCTACTGACTTTGCCGTAGATCTTTCCCTCGGCCCTATCTGTCTCGGTCGCGGACCAGCGTTCCGAAAGCGCGATGTTGAGAAAGCTATTCGCCTTGCAACTCTTGATGGATGATCCTTGGGCGTTTAGCGCTGTGTGCGCGAAATACCATGAACCATGTATAACTCCGTTTACTTTGCATGATGCGACGATTACAAGCAGGATCCCTCTGTGGAGTTGAGGAAATCCTTCCAGTACATATATTCCCTATGTCCGCGAAATTTCTTTCAAAAAGCGCCCTTTGCATCCCGGCCCTTCACCCTTCATGTCGACTGTCACTTTAGCGTCTCAGGGCTGGCCTTTGAAAATCCAGGAGCGGACTCCGAAATAACCCATATTTCTATTTACATTTCCTCCCTTTTTGGGTCACACAAATGCGTAGGCATATTATTAGTTGTGTCGACGCCAAATAGAGACTCTGTCATGGATCACCCCATTCTCATCCTTGCCCACAGCGTGCGTGCGCTCTAGCTGCCAGTACCCCACCCTCTCCAGGCCCTTCTTGCTGGGCTCTCGCAACGGGTCCGCAATGACAAGACCCTTATCGTTGTAGAAAATCTTTTCACCGGGGTGGCTTAGGTGCTCTATGTACGCCTCGGAGGGTGAGGCAAATGGAGGGCCGGGGGCCAAAGGATTCTTATGACGGGGAGATTCCAGACAGATCAGATTGCCTGCAGGTGAGGGAGCAAGGAGCTCGGTGTATCGGAAAGCCCATTTAGGACGAAGCTTTGGGTCCAACGCACAGAAAAACTATATGATTGTTAGAAGGAATAACCAGAAAGACCAGAGATCCAAGCTAGGTCGAAAATGGCACATCAACAGTCCAAAGACAGAGAGCGAAGCATCTTGCAGTTCCCTGGTAGAACGCAGAGTACAAGTGGAGAGAAAACGATGGTTATGACGAAATGGAGCCCAATAGCGGCAGCAAGTATACATACCGTGTAATCATAAATAATATCAAATCCATTTCGAGATACTTCAATTTTATTCAACCAGGCATCATCAAAGAAATCTCCCTGGACGAAAGTGGTCTTCCCTTTCCCGGCTTTCTCGTCTCGCACGCGGTACCAGCTATGGTTCTCCTTCTCTTCCTTCTTGCATGCATCGACAGCCGTGGCGCTGACTTCCAGGCCATAGGCATCATACCCAAAGCTCGCCAGTAAGAGTACATCAACTCCACGTCCACAGCCCGGCACCAGGGCCTTCCGCCTCTCACCGTCCTGGGAAATAGGCCCGCCAATAGTGCCAGCTCGCTGGATTAGGGTGTCTTCTAGCGCGGGGTTGGGGAAGCCACGATCCCAGGGCAGATTATCACTGTCCCAGAGGGGAGGCCCAGCCATCAACATACTTGTCGCCCGGATATTTGGCCCAGTGTGCTCGAATATTCTTAGGGTCAACGTTCGTAGAAGTCGTCATGGCTGCGGGGTGGTGATGGAGTGTCGAGGAGGTTGCGTTTCAGTGATAAACAGGGTAGATAATAAAATTTTACAGAGTTGTCAGAAAGCATTGACTACATGGGGAAGTAAATGATCTTGGGGGCAGGGCGTCTGTTCTACTTATGTGTGCCTCTGCAGACTCGTAATTGAGTATCTTTTCGCTGTTTCTGGAGATCCTTGTCGATCGATTACCTCAAGCTTTGACTGCGAACCAATAGTCAGTTAGGTGTTGGGCCGAAAGTGAATTAACCGGTCTTTGCCTGTTTATTCATCATACCGAGAGAGATCTGTCGAGAAAAGTGGAGGTTTCTATCACAGTGACATGGGATTGGACCAGGCGGAAATCTTGAGCCCGCCGTCCTCCAAGACTTACGCCGCTCTCCATTTTTAGTCACCATTCTTTGCCAACATTCCCCGAGGGCTTGACTGTCATTCGGACCGAGTACAGCAAACCACACTCGCTCAATCTGCCATAGAAAGTCAGGGCGTTACGATTGGGTCCGACGTAGACGGGGACCAAAAAGATAAGGTTTGACTGATGACATAAACTAAATGCTGCGCCACCCGGAAATATGAATAAACATTCTGACGTAATAGCCTAGATATCTGGATATTAACGGGAGTAGTGGCTGTGCCAAAATTATAATCAACAGGTTAGTCAACTAACTAAATTTGGGAGCAGACAAAGAAATTCCTAAAGAAGAAAGATGAGCATAACCCTTAAGGACAACTAGGTTCAGTCAGCCTTTATGGACGTACTGAATTGATTCTAGTCGTTCGATCATCGTAGCATATAATAAATGCGATTGATTAGTCGGTCCAACCCACGATCCACGGGGCTAGAGCTTATAAGTTTAAAAACCGCCCAAATAGAGCAGACAGAAATTATCCCCTGTTTGTCATCGCATCCGTAATGAGTTAGTGAGTTGGTTATTTTAACTAAAGCTAGGGAATGCATGGTAATTACTCTGCGTAGACATGCCTGATGAATCAGCAAGATGGTTGAACTAACTCATTACGCCGTAAGGAGGTGTTTTAATGTTGATTTATGGACAATACTTTCTGGTTATGCGACCAGCGAGGGATTCTCTTGCTGTATTGCACCAAAGCTATAGGACAGCGTAGAATTGAGGCCTGAATGCTCTAGGTTAGAAAGCACTATAACAGGTGTAATGCCACTGATTACTACATCCTCTGTGTGATTAATATTTTGACACGGTGATAAGGACTTTGTCTTATACGCCGCCACTAAATGCCTTCTTAAATGGTCCACTACGCTCACATTCTTTCGCACGATATGATAAGATCGTCTAATTGCTGCTCGAGAAAGGAGCCGAGGTCAAGGCTCAAGGTGGAGAGCATTCCCACGCCTGTCAAATAATAGAATAAGATTATAGAAATCATCCAGCACACCAGGCTCCTAGTTGATCTATACCCCTCCCTCACTTTTACGACTTCTTTAATCACGTCATTGGATTTGCAACCCAAGTAGCTGCTGCTTAAACGGAATGAATTAGCTTAATGACTTGCTATTATCTACAACTTTTCATGGACATGATTGGGTGTACATAAATGAAACGACATTGTGTCTTGCTGGACATACATACAGAAATAATTGTTTCTTCATGACTGATGTAAAGAGGTTCCTTCGCATCATCGTTAAAGGCTGTTTCTTTCGATTGACTGGGGACATTTTCAAATGTCTGTATTGTCTCGCGTTGTAATATGTGTCAGCGCAAGATTATCTAATAATGATGGATATACATACAGTAGCAAAATATTGGGCTGAACTTTAGTCACCGATACCTTCACCGATAGCTTATGCCCTCATCTAATGAGTGACATTGAAATAAAGTGATGTGCCAAACTAATCCCCAATCCGATTATATTGAAATCCCTTTTCTGAGATAGAACAATGATGGGCTGATTTCTAACTTTGGTGCGTTGATAAAAACTAATATTTGAACAACAATCCGTTTCTGAATAGGAATAAGTTGATCGCTAGCATTGGTTGTTTCTATCGCTAAAGAATGCAACAACCTCATGAAAAACACAAGTCGACGCCTAACCAGATTGTTACTAATCTATTTCACAAATAGGGATAACTCTCTTCACGTTATCGACCCAACACCGAATATCTTCAACAATTTGTCGAGCAATACCTATTTTTATCCCCTTGCTGATAAAAAAGTTGGGGTCTTGATCTTTGTAGACCTGCTCAAGGTCAAGACCATTCTCAATCATCACATCGCAGACTTGTCGGAATGAAGCTTTCAAGGTACCATCTGTCACATTCGACATCTGCCACATACTATATTCCTTAACCGCTTCATCCCTAGGCCCAGGAATATCAAGCGGACTTGAAGCCGTTAGGTGACTGTCAGCCTTCTGCGGGGTAGCAGTTTCCGATTCAGTGGCGGAGGAATGTGGCGGCAAGACATTGTTAGTAATGCTGATAGGGGGGTATGGTAAGCCATTCTCAATGACGTGCTTTCCTTTCCGCCCATGCTTCTCAAGCTTCTGTTGTTCTTCCATATATAAGTCTTCACGCACGGCATCCGGCAGGTCTTTATGACCATCTAGGACCCCGCCTTTCTCAACGTAAGTCACAAGGTGTTTCAGATGATGGTTTTTCATTTGATAGTGCTTTTTCCCCACAGGGTCTACCCAACAATAGGGGCCTGAAGAGCAAGTCATAGAGGCGCATCGCATCAAATTATAGACACTGCGCCAGAGTGGCTTCTGACCGGAAGCATGCTCCTCCGCATCGAGTTGTGCATCTCTTTTCTCAAGCATTTTTTTTGTCACAGACGCTTTTCCTCTTTTCTCTCCTCTCCGACCCGCAGCAGGGGGAGACTGACGATCGTCTACGTAGTTGAAGCTGATCTTCAGCGTGAGTTCCTTACCACAGGAGAACAGCCTTGACCACATTAGAAGCTGCTTCTCAATGGTGTCCCAAACAACATCGGTATTGTCAAATCGTTTAGCCAGATCACGCTGGGAACGATCATTTACCCTGACGACGATGGCAGTGTCATCAGCTCTCACCCGACGACTGCGGGGGATTTTCCGGCCTAGGACTTTCCCTAGCTTGTTCTGTAGTGTGAGCTGCCAGAAGGCACTTGGGGCTAGGACAACGTCTTCCTCCGTGTCCTTTGCCACTTCCCGATTATTGACTGTCACTCGCCACTCTATACGATAGTGGATACAGGTCGGTGGATCCTGGTCGTATAACCTTCCTTCTTCCCATTCGGAGATCTGAAGCTAAGAGCGTAGGGCTGTGACTGGTTCTCGAGGGCAATAGACGGGGAGGGTCTCTGGTTGAAATGTGTTGCATAGGGACTACCATAGTATCCAGGGGTTGGAGCATACTGTGAGTCATATTCCTATGGCCCCTGCTCTTGAGGGTGGTTGACACGATATGGACTCTGTGTCATATCTACAGGATTACTGTATAGTCCTTGGAAGGCTCATGTCAGCATCTCGGGAACCCCAGTTTGATATACATTGGAAACCAATGAACATCACGGCCAGTGAATCAAGTGTGGGGGAAAATGAGCATCTTCGCCTACCAGGCTTATTCCACTGTGAAGCCCCCGCAGCCTTCCATTAAAAATTAAATGAGCGTGGACGAAGGCTGCGTGTGACAAGGATAACTGGTCAGTGAAAAGAAAGAGAAGGAAAATCCAACAATCTGGCAAGAACACATGTTTTATTCGTTTGCATTCAAGTTTCTTTGGCAGAAACTGATGGAAGTTCTTTTAGTTTCTACCTCTTATGACAGTACTGAAACAATTACTCATTTACGTTACCAGCGGATACCGTTACAGCCCTACAAAGATCTTCCCAGTAGTGCTAAAATTAGACTAGCGTGTTTCAAGTTAGGGTTTGAAACTATATGTCTAAGACTTCGTGGTAAATCTGTTTTCGACTATTACTGTACACAAAAATTCATAAACGCGGCTTGCACAGGGGTCCACTTATCCTTGACACTACTATATTCTAGTGGGATGGGCACTTGGTACATACGTATTTGTCATAGCAACCTTCCTTAGACTTGAAAGTTTTCCAATTTGACTATAATTTTGATTTTGATATGTACCATGGAAGCATGTCAAGCATGTTGATCTTTTCCGGTATATGTGACAAATCAGTAAAGAGACATGTTGTTCAGAGTCAAGAATTTCCGAGATGGTGCGAATATAAGCCGCCATATCAGATAAAACTCGGTCATGCACAGAAAATGAGTTGATTTTATCGGGAAGCTTGTCAGTCACTCAGTAACTATATGCCTAGATAATATATACAGCCAGGCAATGCCTTGAAATCTTGTACCGTAACTTGATATCTTGGACCAATGATGGTTTCCAACACCGAGCTTAGTAGGTGTCGTTAGAGGTGTAGTCGACATGAGGGGCAAACTTCATCTCAACGGCACCAACATCAAACACAGTGACCACATTTTTCTGGAAAGTGTCACCAAGAATATATAGATCCTCAGACGAATCATCACCACCATCATCAATGCCAGAGATACAGACGGCATTCCCGTCATCGTCAGTGCCAGCGTACAGAATCATATCAAGCGGGTTGATAGTGAAAGCGGTACCACCAATAGTAATTGTGTGGGTGGGGGCTGTAGCATCGCAGTCAACAACGTAAGCACCCTCGTCATCGCTATAGACAGCAGCGGGGTCAAAGGCAGCGTTAACAGCATCGGCAACAGAGGTAGGATAGTAGTTCAGAGTTGTGCCGGAGTCCACCTATCGCATGTTGTCAGTATATCCGTCCAAATAAAGCTTTAGAGAGTGTCTTACAATGTACTGAATATCAGAACCTCCCGAGCCAGAAATAGCTTTGCCGTTGATTGACATGGAGTCAATGTTAATGGTGTAAAAGTCGTAGGAGTCGGAGTATCCCTCGATTGAGGTTACCAGAATGTCTGTGGTGGTAAATGTCTCATTGAAGTCAATTGGGGGAAGACCGCCAAGAGTGAGGTAACCAGCATCACCGGATACATCACGGAGAATGGCCAGACTGAAGTAGGAATCAACCAAGCCATCCTCGTACATGGTGGTGAAGATTGGGTTGTATTCTTCCTGCTGCTCCGTCCGCTCGGAATAAGCACTTGTCCTATTACATCCCTTTGTTAGCATGTAGCCATAATAGTAACGAAGAACCTTTTCTTACAAAGCAGGGTAGGCGAGACCAGTCAGACCGGATGTAGTGCCATCTCCCTCCCAGGCAGCCTCGGTCACAACAGCAACCTCCTGGTCAACAGTAATATCGGCCAGTGTAACCGTCTCGGTGGCCATGTATCCATACAGGTACTCACCATCACCATACTCGATTTCGAACTCTTCACCAGAGATCGTCTTCAAAGTGCTGTCAACAGTATATGCGGTGCCAAAATCGCAGGTCGACTGACTCGTCTTCTTTCCAGTGTCAAGGTCAATACACTCGAAGCCCGATTTCACGACCCAGGTGTCACTTGATCCAGTATCAACAATCACATCGAAGGACTGAGTGCCAAAAGTGATGGATGTCGCAAATTCCTCTCCCTCAAACAGAGAGATCAGCTCGCCGCTTCCAGAAGTAGTAGAGCTAGAGCTTCGGCCAGTCAAGCCTTTCAGGTACGCTGCGCTGCGGGGATTGGCGCGGTTTGTCTTAAGCTTCTTCAAGCTCATGGAGTGCGACGACTTGGCAGGAGTACGAGAAGCAACCTGAGCAGTCGGCTTCCAGGTCGTAACGTTGAGGTCAACATTGCGGTTTTGCAATGTGCGTTTAGCAATTTGGTTGACGGTAGGGCGTTCTAGGGGAGCTGCGTCCACCGAGGCCGTGAAGGCCGCAAGAGACAGCGCTGCCAGGCCTGCAACACGAAACATTCTGGCGACTAGAAGGTAACTAAGTTGGGAAGGTAGATGCGTGTGAGGAAAAGGAATCCCCAGACAGTGTGCCAGGGGACTCTTAAATACTCGAATCTATCTATGAGCGGGGTTCATGTTTAAAGTAATTTTACTTCGTCAGAACCTCCGTTTCGGTGCATCGTAATCATAATCAGGAACAATGTTTCAATTTGGTTTAGCGCCCTCAGTCTTGGAGATTTTATTGGCAGCAGTTGAGATGGACTCTCTAGGTAGTGAGTATGATCCTCACCACCCGCACCAGTAAGATTGTCGCGATTGCGAGAGTAATTTAACAACCTGTTTTAGCGCTTTATTCAATATTCCCCTCTTCATTAATTCCGACGGAAGCCCGTTATAGTCTCTTGCTCGCTTATGCGTTGGATAAGGCTAAGCCTTCATTGATTAGATGCGGGGGTGCTTATCTTGTATCTCTCGGACTTGCATCATGCAACTAGAAACAATACTGACCGCCAAAAGAGGATTATCATAAATAACAGGTGCTAGTTAGTGCCACATCTAGATCATGAGATCCGTTGTTTGTTATTTATATGAAATTTTTACGCGCGTTAGTGTTTTGAATGCAAGTTTTGATGTAGGTACCTGAGTACCTACTTGGTCTGGGTGGAGACGGAGCGCGGACTTGACCCCCGGATGTGGCACTTCTTCACGAGTAGTAATTGAGTATTTAGCGCGAACACAAGAAAGCTTGATACCACTATGACATAGGGTTGCGTATTCCGCAAATTTCCTCCAATCAGGTTGAGTAAAGGTGCGATTGCCCTCGAATATTGCGTACCTAATACACCTTCCAATATTCCATCGAAGATGCATCTCGGGTTCTTCGGAGCACCTAATGCCTTAATGATAGATGAGCGGATTATAATAGCGTTTCCGAGGCCTGGATATACTCGGTCTCCGGGCCGGGTCAAGCTTACTATGTTTGACGACTACAAACTTTAGCAGCATTGGGCTTCGGAGGCATCCATTTGCACCGCCGGATCTTTGTCTCTTCACGTTTTCCTCCTCTTTCTCTTTCAAGGTTCAATCAACACCCCATCTGCTTGCGATAATTTCCTCATGGAAAAAAAAAAAAAAAAAAATCTTTGGGTTCCTCACTTCTCGTTTAGAATACTGCCACTCCCATGCTCTATGCATGTGGAGCATATATGAGCCAAGCATGATTGACAAGACCCACGGGACCAACATTTTAGTAAGTCTTTTTGATATATAATAGATTTTTGGTCGAGTTTGGTCCAGATTGTCCCTGGCATGACCCCGGTTTAAATCATTAGATGGAAAAGAATTATCCTTGCGAGTAAATTAATTAAAGCTATTAATGCGGCTTCATTGGTGAGTAGTACAGACTAGAGATACAAAAAAAAAAAAAAACTATACATGAAGAAATTGACTCCTAAGAGCAGTGATGAAAAGACCACTTAATCACCAGACATTGGCGCGTCTTCCGTGGATACCTCTTTCGAGTGTAGCCTTGTGGTGTACGGCGACAAGATCATCGCCTGCCCCATGATGAAGCCCAAGAGTGTGACGATCTTGGCATAGCCAGCCTCGCTGCCAAATTCCGACCCTTTTCCAGCCATTTCCAAATGCCACGAAAATCTTCCTTCATCATTGATCCGGACGAAACGCCACTCCTTCCCATTCGTCACAACACCATGCACAGTGGCGTTCCGCCCTGGCCGAAGTCGCCTCTCCTGGTGGACGCAACCTGAAACCAAAACATACATAGATTAGAAGTTGCATCAGAGCGAAATGCCATGTAGCCCAAGACTTGCTCATCACCAGTCGAGCAAACCACTTCAGACGCCCTCGATTTGGCCTCGATCACAATCAGGTTGATGGCCTTTTCAGGCCCATCACCATTGCCATATCAGAGAGTATAGTCACTTATCCCGCGGAACCGTTGATCGATCCCCTTGACTGTGGCCATGTTTGACTCGAGGTTGGTTTTCATCTGGATATGAAGGGGCCAAGTGTCCGAAATATCGCAATGGACCCCCATAACCTGATCAAGCGCGCCGAAAAGCACACTCTCGATTAGAACTCCGGCGGCAGCCTCGTTGGGGGAGGATCGTGCCATATACTTCTGGGCTCGTTGTATCGAGATAACTATAAACTATCAGTCTGACATTCCACGACCACATCAAGGTACAAGGAAGACTTACCCCAGTCTGCTGGTATCAATCGAAAACATATTACGAGGGGGCCAAGGCTCGCGATTATCAGATGCAGGTGGCTCCTCTGAAATCCCAAACGCCTCCCAAATTTGGTCAGATGTCAGATCCCCGATCGCGGTCCAGATAGGGTCGTCGATGGGAGTTGGGTTTAGGATCTCTTTCTGTTGCTGAAGCGCTGCTTGGAGCATTGGGACCAGGCAGTCTGCCTTCCCAGGCTCGATCTGTAAGCGTCGTGTCTCTGAGCCAAACTGCTTCCATATCAGGTTGATCTGGTTTTCAATCTTCTGCTGCTGCTTGGTCTTCTGGTGCTTCGATTTCGACTTGCCCTTCTGGCTCTTTGATTTTGTCATCATTGAAATTCAACGAGGAGTAAAGGGAGAAAGGGTGTAACTAAAGATTTGAATGAACAAAGGGGTTGACCATGGAAAGTTGATTGAGAAAGATGACGATGGTGGATGAATGAGATGGTATCAGCACGTCGCGTGCTGGTCGATGCGGTCAGAAGAGACAAGAAGAAAGAAGCGTACGATTACGGGGTATGAATGCGCAGAAAGAACAAGACAGACGGATCAAGACGTTGTATTGTGAGGGGAATTGGCGGTGGGAGAAGAAGGAAGGAGAAGGGAAGAAAGGAAGAAGAGAGAGAAGCGCTGATCTACCTAGATTGGTCACTCCACTCGCAACAGATGGAAAGTAGGAAGGTTCACTTAATACTAGAAAGTACAATAATAGAACTAAACCTATTTGGAATAGCAGGGTATATACAGCGCCCTACAGCCACACCATATTCAATGGTGGCTCTATTCGAATATCCAACCCGCAAAGAAGGAATGCTATAATGATCACCAAGACTGGGTAATAACTAAAGGTACTAAATGATGTGTTATTCACGTTGTTCACGTTGTTTATGTTACGAGTCCAACACGTCCTCGTCTCTTTGTTCACTAGTACATACCTATGTACATATTTCTCAAACATCAAAATTGGACCAGGAAGAAGTTGAGGAGGGAGAAATAAAAGAAAGACGAAAGGAAGGACTGGGGATATTTATATCCATACAATAATTAGGCAACGATAATTGTTCCCTTTCTTAACGCGTTGTCGACACATGGTAATGTTGTTCCCATAATCACAACCCAACCTTTGCCTGACTGCGCTTCATGCTGAATCTGCATCCAGTTCATCCCCTCGCTTCTTTTCCCTACGGGCAGCTTTGTTCCATCGAGTTATATCTTTATTCCGATTGGCGAGACAAGATGCTTCCTGCTCTGCAGCCGGCAATTCAGATCCATTTCGTCGCACGAACAGTTTGAGATGATGATAATGATGCTTCCCGATTTGCATATCCGTTGTCAAATCTGTCAGGATTACTGATCTGTGTGGATTATTTCAGCAGATTCGTGTTCCTTCGTCCTACCTAGGATGCCGTGTACTTCCGTAGACATTTTCAAGGTCAATTTCACTACTGCTAGACAAAGTTATGTGAAATTACATTTCTAAGTACACTAATGCTAGCGAAATTGGAAATCATACTACCGTGGAATCCAAGCCCGTGGGTTCCTTCGCACAATAGAATAGGCGACTATTCACGCTATAGAGCTCGCTAGGATTAAAATAGCCCTCGATGGATTCAAAATATCCTAGACCTAACTCCAAAAAAAAGCGAATTATTCATCTTCGCTAATAACCTCACTGCGATCGGCCTTGATTAACGTGGATTAAGTTCTTGTATTATAGGAAGACTTGGACAAAGTGCGCCAGGTTTTTCATGGTCAGGCTTGCAGCAAGTCATGAAGCCTGACAAGATAATCACGATTCGCTTTTGGCCATTTTTTATTCTACTTCGTGTCATTATTCTTGATCGGGATTTTAAATTCCCTTCTATCGGCCGACAGGTTATAATCCTCGCATTACTGAGGGTGCGGGGGAATTCCGTGACATTTTCGTTGGTTCGTGATAGCGAGCGTTTTCATCGTCATCGAGTGATTATGGCACGCAATCCGAGGGGCAATCAACACATCTCATTGGTAGCAACCCCCGATGCCACCATTTAGTACTTGTTCTTCAAACGTTTTGTCTTGAAAAATCAAATCCCATTAGTCGCTTTGAGATGCCAGCTTTTAAAGTACTTAACCTATCTCTAGCTTCAGTGTTCCTTGCTAAAGCTGCTTGACAGACTGATAGCTTCCAAGTCGATTAACAATATTCTATGTGTATCTGGAGCTATGGTTGTAATTTGCGATCAATAGCTACGCATATATTAACTTTAATAGACCAGTCGATCATATATTTGACCAACGGGTATCAAGTTATGCGTCCTGCATAACGCAATAGCGGACACGAACCACGCAAGACCCTACGATACTGCGGACTATTATTTTTCTGGAGTATTACGCATTTTTTGAAGAAATGATTGGACGCGTACTATAGAATAGACTAGGCGCTAAAGCCACCTGGACCCTAGGATAAATAAGTATGTGATAGTATCCAGGTATCTGGACTGATTTCGTAAAATCTATCGCCTTGGCACAGTGGTCATGTCTAACACAATAGATACGGCCAAGCTGGCCTTGATCCCTCAAGGCGCAGCCTATGGCCTGCTTATTGGCCTCGGCGTGCTCTTCTGCGGTGTCATCCTATTAGCCGTCAAAGTTCAAAGAGCATATCTCTCCGAAGATTCAGGAAAATCCGAAATGTTCATGGTCGCCAATCGATCTGTTGGCACGGGTCTCACAGCCTCAGCAGTATTTTCGTCATGGATGTGGATCAATGAGACGGTCTTAGCAGCAGCGATGTGCTACAGATATGGATTGGCACTTCCCTTGGTATGTGAAATTCTACTTCAAGCCTTTGGTTGCAAGCTGACAAGAAAGTAGTGGTGGGGCTCTGGTCTTTGCTTTCAGATTGCATTGATGGCAGCACTCGGTGTCATGGCAAAGATTCGGGTTCCATATGCACACACTTCCTTGGAGATTGTGCGCATGAGATATGGGGAAATTGGACATCTTGTGTTTGTTGTGCTCAATTTGGTGAACAATGTTTTCGGTTGCGCCTCCATGATCATGACTGGGTCTCAACTTATCTACGGAGTCTCTGGCATGAATTTTGTGGCTGCGACTATCCTGATTCCACTTGGAGGTATGTTTTTCTCAATCTAATCCATGTGTTCATGCGCTGAGTATTGCAAAGTGGTCCTCTATACGGCTGTTGGTGGTCTCAAAGCCACGTTTCTTACCGACTACCTTCACACAACCATTGCGTTGATTCTTATCATTTACTTCACTCTGGCTGTACTGACGAATTCTGCGGTGGGCGGATTGAGTGGCCTTTACGATAAGGTAGTTGCCACCGCAGGAGAGAATTACATCTCCGGTAATTACGAGGGCTCCTTACTCACTTTCAAGTCCAAGGGAGCCATCATTTGGGGCTTGATCTTGAAATTTGGAAATTTGGCTTTGGTCGTCATGGTGAGGCTTGACCAATATGAATGACCAAAACTTAGGTTCATTACGCTAATCTTGAGTTGCATAGGACACCGCATTCTGGCAAAAGTCATTCGCAACGGAGGTCCGCGCCACAGTTCCTGGATACACCATTGCAGCAATCGCTGTGTTTGGTATTCCCTGGGGTCTAGGCACAGTGATCGGGCTGGCAGCCCGCGCAATCCACAACACGCCCATCTTCCCAACTTATCCTGGTGAACTCACTTCGACGGAGGTGAGTATGGGCATGGTCATGCCCTATACACTCAAGGCTCTGCTTGGAGACAAGGGGATTATCGGGTTCTTTTTCCTGTTGTTTATGGCTCTCACCAGCACCGTTTCGTCGTCCATGATTGCCGTGAGCAGCATCCTCTCTTACGACATCTACAAGACCTATCTGAATCCTCAAGTGACCGACAAGAAACTTGTGCGAGTCAGTCATCTGACAGTCGTAATCCACGGCATCTTCATAACGGGGATCTCCATCGCGATGAACTACGGCGGGGCGAACATGACCTGGATCAATTACCTACGACCAGTCATATCGTGCCCTGGTATCATCCCCCTCATCCTGACCCTCTTCTGGTCTCGTCAAACTCGCCTTGCTGCTATTTTGGCTCCCATTTTGGGGTTCTTTACAGGTCTTGCTGTTTGGTTGGCAACAGCAAATTCAATGTACGGGGCGGTCGACATTGATACAACGTCTAACGAGTACCCTGCTCTATATGCAGCTATTGCATCCTTCTTTTCTCCGGCACTTTACTCAGTCTTCCTGTCTCTCTACAAGCCCTACCAGTTTGACTGGCGAGAATTTCTCCGCATCGAATTGACTGATGAAGCACAGCTTCACGCCGGATCAGATGGGAGCACACTCAACGAGGTTGTTGAATCCAATGAAGAATATCTATCGGATGCTTTGAAAGACCTCAAAAGCTCGATTAAGCCACTGTCTGTTACTACCCAGTCGGATCCCAATCATGACCTTGACCCAGAGCGCATTGATGCCCTCGGGGAAAAACCAACCCCAACGACATCGCCATCGATGTCTACAATCCAACCCAACATTGATGAAATTCAACATCCTTTTGATGACGCGACTCTGAAGGAGCTCTACAAGTGGCTCATTATCGCATCCATCTCGTTCGTGGTACTCTTCTTGGTCACCGTCATCGTATGGCCACTTCCACTGTACCGAGATTACATTTTCACCAAGTCATTCTTTTCCGGATGGACAACGGTCGCTATAATCTGGCAGTTTGGCGCATTCGGCGCAGTGGTAATTTTCCCACTGTACGATGGAAGCGATGCAATTGCGACGGGAGCTCGGGGCATTTGGAACGCTTCTAGAAAGTACTTTAATCGGACTACATAGTCTGGTCCTGGATATTAGTTTTCACCACATAAATACATAGTCGCACTTCGGGTCGCTTTCCACAGTTCCTCTTTGGAATGACATGCAGCGAAAATAAACCTATCAGGACGCACAATCACATACTTCCTCCCCACCAGCTCTTTTGCAAGACAGCCAGCATCGTAGAATCGCGGGGCTGGTCTTCCTTCACATAAAGGAGATGTTTCAAATTCACCTCCGGTGGCTAATCGAAAAACGTTGGGTGCAGCATCGCCTAGGTGAGTCGAAATGTCCTCGATGAGGAATGTTGCTTCAGCGGCCCGTATCTCCCCATTTGAATGATCATCGATATCCATAATCTCCCTCTGTGCTGTGGGAAGTTCATCCACGTTTCTCAGATAAACGATAAGCTGCAAGAGTCCCTTCTTTTGTGAACTGAATATTACATCATCCGTGAACAAAACATCCCCATCTGGATTCTCGACAGCCTTGCAGTACACCTGAGGAAGGCATACACCTCCATTGTATTCCGGTAGGAATGGAAGCTTGTCCGAGGTATGCTCGTATCGAACCATGCCATTCTTGCGTTGGCCACGTCGGAGGTCATCACGCCATGATGGAATCATATGCGCGAACCAGAAATAAACAGTACGCCATAATATTTTCAATGGCTGGCTCTCTGATACGAATTCTCCATTCGCAATAGTGGCGGCAAGTGATCTTTCTAGCTGCTGCTTACGCTCCTCATACCATGATGACAAAACCTCTTCATGCCACTTGGACTTGTGGGGCTGGGTTCGACAGAGAAGTGCTAGACGCCAGGCTAGGGCAATAGCATCACGAAAACCTGATGCTATTCCTTGTCCTCCGACTATCATCAAGCTCAGTCAGCTTCATAGTTCCCCGCAATGGCACTCGGCGTATACATACAAGGGGGGAAAACGTGAGCTGCATCGCCACATAGAATCACCCGCCCATCAGACCATCTGTTGCAGCTTCGCGCAGAGAACATGAATGGACGACATCGAAGAGTCTGGATGCAATCCTCTGGGAAAACGATGTCTTCTGATAATCTGAGATTCCTCCGTTAGGAACCCGTATCAATCATATTAGTTAGACACAGTAGCTTACCCATACCGTGTTCCCGGATGTGTGATGTACGGAAACACGACCTTCTTTATCATTTCAGGCTTTGACATTTCATCACCGGCCTCGTCTTTGAGCACCACAAACTCGAATCTCCACAGTCTATCCGAGGGAATCCCAAACCTTCCGCAGACAGACGGCCGATTCGGATTGCATAGGAAGCGGAAATTGCTAGGGAAGAACAAATCGTAAACCTGCTCGGAAGTATAGCCCAATCTCCATAATGGAAATTCTGGGTGTGTCTTCTCGGTTGGAAGACTGATTTTCCAATTCAAGGCTACCCATACCTCTTCATAGAAAGCCCTTCGCATTGTTAGTTTATTGTACAATCGAGGGGATCGAATCATTTCGTACTCATGCGCTTGTTCCATGGCTATACCTCGAGGCTCCAGATACCGTTTTCTCGTGAAGCCCGTCTTTCCATCGGCCCCAACAAAAAAGCGAGCTTTGATTTGTCGTTCTTCTCCGTGAGAATCCCGGTATCTGCATGATACGCCTTCATTCTCTTCGGCGAGCTCAATCACTTCACATCCCGAGCGGAGATCGCAAAAGCTCGAAGTTGCCATGGCATCACGCAGACATTGCTCCAATGCCGGCTGCTTGTGGCATATAAAACCTACATGTCCTGTCCCGCCTTCTGTCTATAAGAATCGCCTAGTCAGTTTCTGGTCAAAAGTTGGGAGGATGAGAATCTCACTGTTCCGTAGTCCATTTCAACAAACCCTTTTTTATCCAAGACTGGCTCTGTACCTCCAATGAACTTGAAAGTGTTCATACCTTGACACCAATTATTAGTCATCTTATACTTCTTGATACTAACTGCACTGTACTTGTACTTACAGGTGCCAATCTTCGCGTAGATGGATGAATACAATCCTAGTCCTTGGAGCAGTCGGATTCCGTCTTCATCTAAAGCAATTCCGCGTGGATCCGTTGTGATCTCCATTCCCTTTTCTAAGACAATGTTGGATATGTTCATCCGGCCCAGGTACGCAGAAAGCATTGCCCCCGTAGGGCCACAGCCACATATCACCACGTCTGTGGTGTCATGATTAGAAGTAGACATGGTTTTACACAGTCTGTGCAATTCCAATAAACTTCAAAATAAAAGGCTACGGCTCAACTAGCTCTTTTGAATCAATTCAATGTTGTTCACCTCTTTTGCGGGGGTCCCACATTCCCACCAGCTTCAAGCCCCGCCCCATATCCAAGGAAAAGCGGGGGCGGGACACTAGCCCTTCTGGAGTGGGAATGATAATTCGAAGTTTGACAAACTCATGCCTATGGTGCACTCATGGTTCTTGGTAGAGCAGCTCACACTTCTACTTCCAATTTCGATCTGTTCTAGTTGGAAACCCCCTACACATGTCATGGATGCCTTAGGTGTATGCCTCTGCGGGCATGTAGATAGATCTCTTTCTTCCCTTTTATCTCCTTCCTATCCTTCTACGTCATCCGTTTCACGCCGTTGGACTCTTTTTTTACCACTACTCCATTTACTGCAGAATATCTCCCCATGCTCACAGCTATAGTCAGCTGACAACGCAGTGACGGAGCGGAATAAGTGGGGCGGCGGGACCGGGAATGCGAAGTCGCGACTCCGTGTCCGCTTCCGCTTCTTTACCTTTTGGTCACCCACCGTTTGATCGTCAACACCAAAATAGCTCCGATAATTATAGTTCCCCGCATTGCAGTGGACCTGGCTGATAGCCTGCTCCGCCATGGATGACTCTCCCGCGGCTCGTATGCCGAAGGCCTGCAGGACCTGCGCTAAAGCCAAAGTACGATGTGAACCAGAGCCAAATGGCGTCTGTAAGCGGTAAGTGACCATTGATCTACTCAAGCTTGATATAAACTAAGATATTGCAGGTGTCAGCGTCTAAAAAAGGAGTGTAGTGGCCAGACCCCTGGATCGCATCGTCGTCCAAGAGTAACTAGGGGGCACCTGTATGTATTTGGAGACTTATTATGAAAATTCACTAAATGGTGTAAAGCGTAAGCAGCGAGGTTTCGGCATTAGAGGCAAAACTTGACCGTATGGTTGAATTACTTGCCGCCTCAGAAAGATCCAGGGATCTTCCATCCAATACCAGTCATTCGCCGGAGCGATCTTCAAATCACCCCGACGAAGACAGTGCAACGTCGGACGAACAAGATGATGAGGCTCTTATGGATATCTTGAGAAAATCAATCATTCCTTTAATGCCATTTGTTGCCATCCCTGACCATCTGACTGCAGAGCAGCTACGTCGAGAAAAGCCCTTTTTCTTTCTGAACATCACTATGGTCGCATGTGTCAATGGACCACGTCAGCGGGAAATTGCGGAAACAATCAGGCGGTATGTTGCGGAACACATCGTCCTGAAGGGCGAACACAGTTTGGATCTCCTGCAGGGTCTTCTTGTTCATTTGTCTTGGTTTATCATTGTTACTCAAGTTCCACCCTGGAACCCATGCGATCAACCAGTCAACCCGGCAATTGACCCTAGTCACGGCATTCATGCTCCGATCAGCGCACAACTCGATGTATTCATGCAGTTGGCCATGGCGCAAGTCATCAGCCTGAATCTGAATCAAGGTATAGCGTCTTTAAGGAGTCTCGATCGGCCTCTATCCTACCTCAGAGCTGCGGATTTCCATCCTAATCTGATTCCTCCACGGACTTTGGAGGAGCGTCGGACCTATCTAGCGTGTTATTATGTCATTGCAATGTATGGACAGCTATTTCCAGTGAATGGATCATGGACACATGATTTACTGACCGTTTCCTTAGGTTTTCCATTTGTGTGAAAGACATGGAGGGTTTTCGTTTCACAAAGTACACCAATGAGTGCTGTGAAGTCCTGAAAGAGGCTTCGGAATTTCCTACCGATGCATACCTTGTCCAACTTATACGAGTGATGCATCTGGGTGAGAAAGTCCGTCATACAACAACCCTTGACGAGCTAGGCTCTGAGGTACTTTCCGCTCCACTCGGGCTGCTTGTCCGAGGTCATCAGGCAGAGCTTCAACAACTTAAAACCTCCTTCTCCTGTGAATTTCCTCATTCAGGTCAGTCCAAGAATCTACCTGAATTCCGTTTTCCCTTTCTGATGTTTTGGTCACTATCGCAAAGCCCTTTTGTCGTTGCATTACGAGACAGTAGAAATCATCATATTTAGAGTCTCTCTAAGTGAGAATTTCTCTGATTCCCAGTACGGAGACTACTCGACAACGCGGTTGGATCTTCTCTTCCGCTGCTTAGAGGCAGTGAAGTCATTCTTCTATGATGTCCACTCCCTCCCGTCCGAATTGTGCCCCTTCTTTCCTTTCACGATCTTGTGTCAATTTGGTCTCGCTGTAGTGACACTATCTCGGCTGATACTTTTTCAGGGGGAAAAGATCGGTTGGGATCGTGCTTATGTTAGAAGCACCATTGACATTGACGAAACAGCCGATATCCTGGTCCGAAAGATGAAAGAAGCCCAAGCTTTCGCTTTGAAAAGAATTCACCACCAGGGTACTTTGGAGCCACCTGAAATTTTTGAAAAACTGAACTCAAGGATGCAGCTATTGAAAGCGGTGCACCGAATGAGACTGGAGGCTCAGGAAAAAGCCAACCCGCAAGCGCCCTTGGAACCACCGGACTTTAGCTTTTTGCTCAACATGCCAGTGGATGCTTTGTTTCCATATGGTCATTATGGTGAAATCCCAACCGCCTTTGACCCTCCGAATCTAGCTCCGAATCTTGCTCCGAGGTATTTGTGACCGTCAAGGTGAATCACGGCCCCCATCGGACCGGTACTCCGTTCTTCCGAATAAGTCTATAATATATGTAAATAATGGTGGGGCAGGTACCCATCTTATATCGCTGGCATTATATAGGGCTGTTGGGACCTACTTAAAAAAGGACTTGTTCCGCCTGGAGCTCACTACATCCTTCGCTTTCTTATAATCTCATTTAATCTACTCTCTAATTTGGAAATATGTGCACCAAGTCCAACCCCGAGTGTGCCATGTATCTACCGCACGCAAATAGCACTTCTGGCAGATTACCTACAAGATCGCCTTCATCTGGTATTTCTGTTCTCATTGTCGGCGGGGGCGTCGCTGGCTTACTAGCTGGTCTGGAGTGTTGGCGCAAGGGCCATGACGTTCGAATTCTTGAAAGAAGTCCCTCGCGACTTTTATCAGGTAAACAAAATCACTTCGCGCTACAATTTTGAATCATTATCTCTTCTAATGCAGAACTTTGCAGGCGATGCGTTTACTATAGGCCCTAGCGCGATCCGTGCATTACAAAAGTGGCCAGAGATGGCCGAGGAAAACGAGCGTATATCATACGAGCCATGGATTTCATGGCACAAGATCACTGGGGAAATGATCTCAGGTCCGAAACCGTTCGAATTGAAGCTCTCCAAGCGTAATGAGGGAGACCAGATCACCCGAACCCCCAGGATATACAGACATAGTCGACCGAGAATGCACAAGATGCTGTCGGATCAGCTTGAGCGAATCGAAATCGCGGTGGAGTATGGCAAGCAAGTTGTCGATTACTACGAGGACAAAGCTTCCTCTACAGCCGGTGTTATTCTTACAAGTGGCGAGCGACTTGAAGCAGATGTGGTGATTGCTGCTGATGGGATCGGAAGCACTTCCTCTCGTATCACATTAGGCCATGAAGTCCGCGCCCGTCCTACAGGTTTTTCAATCTATCGAGCCTCCTGCCCCATTGATTCGGCTCATATGGACTGTATATTCGAGGAGAAATTTCCCATCTTAGAAAACGACAGGCCCTCTGCACAAATATGGATGGGGTTCGTTTCAGTCCCGATCTACCGTTGAGCAGAAAACTGATGACATTCCAGAGACAACGTGCATGCGATCTTCGGACGAAGCCATGATGAGATATCATGGTATCTCACATATCCGGTACAGCACAAGGCGCCTTGCGATTCTTGGCATAATCCAACTAACATCAAATTTCAGAATCAAGAACACAGCACGGAGTCATGGTCCAACCTGGTAGATCCAGAGACAGTCCTCCAAACCACATCCACGATCGAAGGCTGGCCCGAATACGCAAACCAATTGATCCAGGCAACGCCCAAAGACCAGATCCACGACTTCAAACTCATGTGGCGTGAACCTCAGCCCTGCTGGACTTCGTCCACTGGACGAGTAGTTCAAATCGGTGACACGGCTCACACATTTCTTCCGTCGTCTGGCAATGGGGCCACACAGGGAATGGAAGATGCTGTCTCGCTGGCAACATGTTTGCAGGTTGCAGGAAAAGATAACGTTCACTGGGCAACCCGTGTTCATAATAAGCTCAGGTTCGTCAACCACTCTTTACAGAGATACTGGGCAGGATTCTTAACAAAAGCTCTTCTCAGATTTGAACGCGTCGCCTGTATTCAGCTTCTAGGTGTGCTCAATCATGAGATGCGTCAACGCTCTTCCAATGCCAAAGCGTCACAGGCAAAGCCGATTGGCTTACTTGGCTCTTGGGTCTGGCAGCATGATCCGGAGCAATATGTGATCGAAAACTACAGCAAAGCACTCGCTAATCTGACTAGTGGGGACCTATTCCATAATACTAATATTCCCGCTGGCTATGCGTATCAACCGTGGACTATTGATGGAGTACTGAAGGCTATGGAGATGGGTGAGGAGATTGTACTCGATGGGGACTGGGATTGAGCATCGGTTCATCAAGTGCCTAGTACCGGAATCTCTTGTGATACATAGGATACAGTCATAAGGATAGAAATATCTCTTCCCAGCTTATCATCATTAGGCCATGTAGCTAGCAAATTATCTGTGTGCCTGAACTTCTATAGCGCCTTACCAGCAACCTCGCATCAGTCAACATCATCAAACCCGCTGAGCACGAGCCATAAATGCCGTCTTAGAGATACTTTTCCCATTCTTCACAAACACCAACGGCTGAGCAAGGACCTTGTACTCGATAGAATCGAATCCAGCTCCCTGGAACAACTCCCGCATACTCTCCTGAGAAAACCCATGGGTCTTGACCGTATGTGCCGCATCATTAAAGTCATGCTGATGTTTGTCGTGGCCATGGTCGTGACCATGGCCATGATCAGAGTCCGCAAAAAGATCAATAATAAAACACACACCACCCTTCTTCAGCCGCGCGCCCAGTTGCTGCAAAGCACGGTCTGGGTGCTCAAAATGGTGCAGCGCCATACTGACCGTCAACACATCCAAGTCCATGTACGGCGGAACAGTGAACTCGACCGGGACATCCTCGGCCAGAAGATCAGCTTTGTGGCTGATTGCTTTGTCTGTAAGCCCGAGGAGATTGGCATTGCGATTGAATTCTCCCACCATGTTTTCGGAAACGTCGACGCCGATGATTTGGGTTAAGAATGGAGCCAAGGTCTTTAAGAATCAGTTTCGTTTGTCAATTTTCATATGCAGCTTTTTTCAGTCAACATACCATTGAAATGTACCCTGGGCCACAGGCGTACTCGAGCATCCGGATCCCTTGGTGGTCGACGGTATCGGTCCATTGATCGCTGATCCAAAGTCTATTTGCCAGTGTCTGCTCGGAGAGCATTTTCATTGCGTCTGCGAATTCATTTTGGTAGGTTGTTGCCAGCTTGCTGTGTAGTTGTCAGCTTTTCATAGGCTTTGAGTCCAATGTTGGGTTGTCTTACTCGAAGTATTTCCGATTTGCCTCTGTGAATTCGGTCATAGTGGAGATAGTGGTCTTGCTCCAGGTATAATTAAGTATAATTGTGGGAATTTGTAGAAGGAGATAATCTTGGGAGCTTTTGAGTCCGTGATCGAGATGATGTTTAGGAATGAAGTTGTTCAGATCCATGGTTCGCAGTGCCTTCACTATATATACGTACTGGTTTGGAGCCTCGGAGACATTTCGGACACTTCCAATCGCCAGTAGAGTCATGCGCTAACCCTCGTTCATCTGTACAAGCTCGGAGACATGTCGAATTAAACTTCCATAGAATGTTTCCGACGTTTCAATCTATCGGAAATCAAAATTTATTCAAACCAGTGCCTGTACCTGTGAGCTTCTAAGGTTCTCCAGGGCTTGCAAGGTTCCAGAAGCTTTGCAGGGAGATCACGAGACAAGTCAACACTGATTCCTCGAAGCTTTGAAATAATCATGAAGCAGAACTGACCTTCAAGAAATATCTGATTATCAATGTTACATTTGAATATCAAGCAATGTTCATCTTATCGACACAGCTCTACACAGTAGTGCATAGTAAGCTCCTCACCGCCCGAAGCTGCGGCCAAAAAGACATCATCAACAGCTTCCGCCGCCCCATCCATCCAACATCCACTTAACGACCCTCTATCCTCCTGTGGTGCCATCCCCTCATCACAGCCCACGAATTCATCCCATCGGACCCTCCACATCTCCACCATGGAGTCCAAGATCCCCGACTTCCTTGCCGAACAGCAAGCAAACGGCACCCCCGAGACGCAAACCTACTTCCTGACCTTCGAAGAGTACTGGGAGCGAAAGCTATGGCATCAACTCACAGATTCTCTGGTGGAGTTCTTCCGCCTCCCAGAGAGTGCGCCCCAGCGTTTAGCCATCTTCAAGACCTTCGTGCTCAGCTTCGCCGATCGCATCAACCAACTCAAGTTCGTCGCGCTGGGCTTGATGGCATCGACAGAATGTGCTGGTAAGTGTTCCTAAGCAGGCTGTAGCAAGCTTTCTTCATGTTGAGCTTGTTGCGGTTGCCGCTGAACGAATTGCTTACCCGACGATAGATGACAAGGAACGACTGTCTTTCCTCACATCCCTCGCGGACAAGGTCGACAAGCCCGAATCACAAGACGCGTATGTGTATGCGCTCGCAGACGTCGCAAATGCCAAGCTACGACTACCAGATCTGGATGGGGCACAGACAGATCTCGCATCTTGCCAAAAGGTGCTTGATTCGTTCGACTCAGTCGAGACTGTTGTGCATGCGTCATTCTACAAAGTTAACGCCGACTATTATCACGTACGTGGACACTTGAACGAATCCAGCTCATTGATTTCCAAAAAGTAACGAGTCCCACTAACATCCATTCAGGCCAAGGAAGAATTCGCCTCCTTTTACAAGAACGCCCTCCTCTACCTTGCCTGCATCGACTTGGAAGAACTCCCCGAATCCGAGCGAGTCTCCCGCGCCTACAACCTCAGTGTCGCAGCACTAGTCTCCGACTCAATCTACAATTTCGGTGAACTTCTCTTGCACCCAATCCTCGATTCCTTGACCAAGACACCGCACAACTGGCTCCGCGATCTCCTCTTCGCTTTCAACCGTGGAGATCTGACTGCCTATGACGTCCTGGCGGGCAACATTAGCAAGAACAAGTTGCTCGAGTCACACCGGGTTTTCCTGTACCAGAAGATTTCTCTCGCGGCACTGACTGAGATGGTATTCCGACGTCCTCCGCATGACCGTTCCCTTGCTTTCTCGGCTATTGCTTCTGAGACGAAGGTACAACCTGATGAGATTGAGCATCTGGTTATGAAGGCTTTGTCGCTTGGTTTGCTCAAGGGTTCGATTGATCAGGTAGCGGGGGTTGCGAATATCCACTGGGTGCAGCCTAAGGTGTTGGATATGAAGCAGATTGATGGGATGCGGAATCGGTTGAAGGATTGGGATGCTGGTGTTAATCAACTTGGGCACTGGATTGAGGGTGTGGGTAAGGATGTTTGGGCTGCATAGACAGTTTACTGGTGAACAGCTATCTATAATGAATGAATAGGCTGGTTTTACTCCCAGTGACACGTTATGTTTTCATTTTTATTAGCACCAGATGATGTAGACACTGTATTGATTGTGGCTAGATTATATAGCAGAGGAATAACGACATTAGAACAAAGACGATCCCAGCAAGATACAGCCTATCAACCAAGCTGGCCACCAGACACACCACACCACGACTTGGGTCCACATACCCCAGACATCCCAACCAAACGCAGCTTGTGTCAAGACTGTCTCGACAGATACACCAGTGTACCAACAAACGCCGATGAGAACGGTAGGTGGGGAGAGGAGGTTAAGCAACACCAATCCCAAGCTTGAAAAGGCGTATCGTTTGGCTCCCACGCATTCCAGGCGGTTAATGAAGCTGAGTGGTGCGCAGAGAAGACCGATCATGAAAGAAAGGGAGAAATTGAGGGTTGCCAGCGTGGAAAGGGACAATCCCAAGAGTAACAGGGCAAATGACTTGATCAAAAGATACTGCTGTGGGACGAGGGGTGTGAATAGACCCAAGCCGTTACGGAGGAGGGCGGCTAGAAAGAGAGGAAAAACAATGTCCACTGCAACGACGACATAGGTAACGGTTGTGAAAAGCTTAAAAGCATGTCAGTAAAGAAAAAGATCGCGAGCAAGTTCGAAACGGCTTGTCACAGATGACTGACCTGATGGGGAAGAGTGTTAAACATCCAAAGCGGGACGAGACCAAGCAAGTGCAGACCAGTAACCAGGGTGAGAGGTAGGGCAAGCAGACGCTCCGCAATCGGTTGCCCACTGATCTCCGGTGCTGACGGGTCCTTGGAGCTAGGAGCATCGGAAGTCTTCTCAGTAGGCTTGGGGTTGGTGGATTTCTCGGCCTTATTATCCGGGTGATAGCCTGTTCGCATCCACAGGGCAATCGCCATGATGGTGAAGTTACCAGCAATAAGCATAGCACTGGGAAGATAAGTTCCAATGCTGACAAAACGATTGGATTGCATCAATAGGTAGAAGAAAAAGCTCTGATGCAGATGTTCCAGGAGATTGTTCAAGCTGCGACAGAGACTCTCGATAGTCCGCCCCAATGCCATTTCATCCTCCCAACCTTCGCCCTTGGGTTGCAAAGTGATGGCATCAATGTGGTATGGCATAAAGCTGCTGTGAGCTCCAGTGGCATACCCAAGACCCTGCTTGGTCATGCCGCGCAGCATAGTCTGCAAGCGCGCCTCATAGCTATCATTATGTTCCCACATCTCTTGCAGATTGGCACCAATTCCCATTTGGCCTCCTGCAATGGCCACTGCCGTGTTAAATAGGTCTAGATTTGGCAACTGGCCGTTGACGCCATCATAAACGATGTGTAGGTTTCTGAAACGGTGCTCGAATGGATACTCAATGACAAGTGCTCCTTGTAACGCGCCGCTCTTCAACGGGAGCGGGTGAACCGATGCCGGGTGAAGATCATGGTAGGCGTCAATCCATGCCTGCGTCCCAGATTTGCTGTCGGGGGTAAAAAGGAAGATAATATCCTTGGACCATAGTGACCACCCTATCAAACAAACTTGTCAATAGACTGTAAAGTGTATAAGTGCTTAATGTCTCAGGGTACGACTCACGCTTAAAGTATCTGGCCAAGGTCAAAGCCAAGGTAACACCATTCAAGTTCAACTCATCATCAGCCGTTTTCCATGCAGCAACTAATACGATCGCTTCCGTCGCATCGCCCCGAGGCGCATGGATAATGCCGTAGGTGTTCTCGCCCTGGTGGGTAATACCCGCGGAGGTGTACTCGTACTTCTGAGTCGCAACCTTCAAACCCGCAACCTGGAGGATCGACTGGATTTTGGCAGATATCCTTCCCATATATTAGTTATATGTTCATATCCAATGTGCTCGGATTATTCAACATACGCTGAAGTAAACTCCGCCTCATCTTGCCCGTTCTCGCTCTGTCCACCCTCATTGAGTAATACTTTCAGCTCTTGCTTGTAACCCCGGAAGATGTTTTGTTCACTTCCGGTGAAGTATGCATGGACTTGGCCCGGCAAGAGTGCATTCTCGGAGATGTAGGTATGGCGGGAGTATTCGTTCAAGGGAAGGAGAAGAAGCCAGGCTACGCCGACGAGGATGCAAATAAGCGATAACAGGGGAGGCAAGCGGACGAAGAGGAGTTGAGGATTGTTCCGCAAATTGCGGATCGCAGCTGGCATGGTGTATTAGCTTAGGGTCGGTCTTTGGTATAAATGGTGGGTTCTGATGTCGGGGAGGGTTGAGCGATTGAGGTTGGATTGAGATTGGCTCACTCACATTTCAGCGCCATTGAGTCCAGATCATTGAGAATATCCCAATATCCTTCCCATTCCGTAAGAAAGCGTACTCGGTTTGGGAGAGAAGGTGGAGACTATCATTGAAGCTCCAGCTGTTGTTTACGGGGAATTTACGCCCGGCGATAGTGACCAACCACGCAATTAGCAATATCATTATGTACAACATACTTCAGAGCCTCTACATACAGAATAGGTCTATGCAAATAATCCAACATGAAATTCGCTATGCTTTATTGGCGATGCTGAGATGATCCACGGATGCGTTTCCCTTCCTCATGAATGCCCATCCAGTTGCACCCCCATAATTAAAGTAGAAGAAAACGTAAAGAGCCATGGCAAAAAAGAAATATACACACGGAGGAAAAAATTAAATAGCCCAAGGCTGTCTTATGAGCCCAGGCGCTGCGTGGACCCCAAGTAGCTCAAGGGGGTTGCATTCCCATTGCCAGCGGTGTTGGCAGTTGGCAGGACCCCATATCGGCCATATGTCTTCTGGTCCACTGAGACATAGTGAGGCAGGCGGCCCAAGAGATTGAGCTTGCCCTCAATCCATCGCAGGATCTTCTCTGGGGGCACAAAGACCTTGAGGTATCCAAGGCCGACTAGTTGGGTCAGTAGATGCCTTGAAAAAAAATATTGGAGGGAGAAAACTTACAGAGATAGCCCACGAGAATTGCACAAAGATGTCCCAAAAAGCTCACATTGGACACAAGGATGGACAACACAACACATGCAAACAGAGGCGAGGTCCAGGTAGGAATCTTGTACGGGCCGAGGCTATAAAGAATCAGTAGGTGATAACCGTTAAGGGATCAAGAAACCACGAACCTGAAGTACGGGTGGGACTTGAATGTCCGAATGGCCTCAGAGCCCAAAAGCAAAAAGACCCAAACACTGCAGTATGCGGTTAGATTTGTATAAACCAATTAAAGAAAGTGCCATTCTCACCTTGAGCCAACAATCGGGGTATTCCAATGCAAAATCGCCTTCTCAACCAAAAGATAAATACCTGCGGGGAGAGTCGACAACGCTACCAAAGCCAGTCGTCAGTAAACGTATGTATCATCTCAATATCTCTCAGGGCTACCCACGTCCCAGGAAAAGGGCGACCGCAGTAAGGGTGCCATGTTCCGCCTCGAACCGCTCCAGGAGTGGTGTAAGAGCCAGAGTATTCAGTGCTGCGTGAAAAAATCCGGTGTGGATCAGAGGGTAGGTATTCAATCGGTACACTATAATAAAAAAAACATCAGCCGAATGCGCTGGATAGCCGAGTTCGAACCACGTGGATCAGGCGACCTACTCGTGCCCAGATTACACTCATCGGGAATCAGTGCTCCCCATTGCACTACACTCCAAACCGTCTGGAACTCTAAAAGCCAAAAGACAAGAATGACCAACAGTACCAGTCGCGTGAACAACGGCAACCGCACCAGGTATGATCGAACGCGCGACGGGTTGAAGGGGAGAGGTGGTAGAGCGGTTGGGGTCGCCATGATTCAATCAATTCCCACTAGATCGCAGCGAATGCAACAATGCTGAGTTATCTCCGATCGCAAAGGAGTATCAAGTCGGCCAGTTGGATCCGGGTAGCGTGATGTTCGTGGACTGGAATCGGCGGAGCGGAGGACCGAGGGGCGGAACAAGTTGGCTTTTGTTGCGGGACTTGCGACCACGTTTCAACAAGAATGTGAAGTTAGATTAGGGCCATACAACAACACGGCACGTTAGGAAAATCTGGGGGTGGTTAATTTGACACTCTTCGGGAAGCATTGGGCGTAGCCAGGGATAAACTCACGAGGCGCACGCGATCCCGGCTATGCAAGAACGCGACTTTCCGGAGAAAAGCCTGATACCGGACCACAACCTTGGAAAAAGCGATCAGCGTGATCGACTGCAAGCTGATAGAGATCCCCTAGAATATGGAGGTTATAACAGCGAGCACGTCTGGGATAAGGATACGAAAGACTCAGTAAAGAAAATCGGGAAAAGCGTAAGCCGATCCCCGCTAATCCCCGTTGGGAAGGAATTCACCTGGTTAGTCACGCATCGGACTATATGCCCTAGTGAACTGTAATAGTCCCAGAGTCTACTGCCATGTGTAGGATTGAAGGGGATAGTATCCACTGTCTTCTAATATCCTCATCTAATCCGAAGTCCCAGCGGTACAGAGGCACTAGGGTGTTTCCCTGCGGGTCTGCATTAAACAGCAAATGAACCATAAAGTGGAGCTAAATTGACTCTGGTATCTCATTTAAATGTTCAAGCCTTTGGTCTAAAGTGGGTACGTGGATATTGGACTACTTCCAGTTAGCGCCAGTATATATGAAGAGATGCGACTACTTCAACCACACTGGAGCCTCTGTAACCGCCAATCAAGCTACCTGTCAAATTTACAGGTGACGGTCAAACCACTGCACAGCCTGGCAGAAAGCCTGCTCTTTGGCCCACTTCTGCTTGGAGTCGCTCAGGTCGGCGCGGACAGCGAAGCCATGCTTGACACCACTGAACAAGTTGATCTGCCACTCCTGGCCAGTCTTGGTCAGTGTCTCCTCGGACTCGTGACGGAGCTGGGTGGTGAAGGCGGGGTCGATCTCTAATAAGCGGGTTATGGTTAGCTGCCATTTATTTCTCCCCCTTTGACCTCAGGATTCAGGTGATCAAACATACCGGCGGCAGCGATGGAAAGAGGTCCCTGAATGCCAGCGAGCTCCTCATGGGTGGTGCCAGTGGGGTGAGCGTGGTAGCCAACGTCGATCTGGCCGGGCTTCATGAAGCGAGTGACGTACTAGAGCAAGCGCAGAATTGTCAGTAGTGAATCGCACACAAGTATATCCTGGGTCAATGTAGAGACGAAAGTTTGTAACATACACGGGCACCGAAGCAGTAGCCAACAGCGGCGATTCTCTTCACACCGAGGGTCTCGCGCATGTACTTGATGGTCTTGGCCACAATGGGATCGGTGTGCTCGGGCTGGTGCTCCTTGAGCCACTCCATGATGTTGACGTTGCCGTTGTTCAGGTCATCGGGGCCGATCTGAGAACCGTTGAACAGGTCAGGGAAGATGGTGAGATAGCCATTGTTGGCAAACTCATCGACGAGAAGCTCGTTGTTGGGGAAGAAGCCGAAGACGTCGGACAGGTAGAGAATTGCTGTGTCGGACTTCTTGGCATTCTTGGGGGTACCAATGTAGGTCTTGACTAGAATTGAAGATTGCTGTTAGCTATTTAATCCCATATTGAGTGTATAAGGCTCTAGCTCAAACTAACCACCGTCAATGACCTTGAACTCGCCGGCGGAGGTGCCTTCGTGCTTGAAGCCGTTCACACAGCATGAAGAGGGAGGGTTGGAGGCCATGATGTTGATATGGTGTTATGAGGTGAGTTTGAAGTTGGAGGTATCACAGAGCAAGAGGAAAAATTCAAGTTGATTTCAAATGCAGGTCCTTACCGACTTATTCTACCCCTCTGTCATACCGGCCCCACTTGACCCGTTTTGCCCCTCATGCCATTATGAGCTTGAATCATGCAGTTGGTGGCAAGCCAAGCTTATCTAGGGTTGTGGTCTACTTATGCATATATTCTGTACTTGCTCTAATCCCTGTCTATGTACCTTGAAAAAAAAACAGGCAACTATGTAAGCTCACCCTTGGTGTCTCTGGCTTCACCTGTGAACGTCATCCAACTGCCGCTCGGTACTCGGCACGCTATCGGCGTTAGAGTTCAGTTATCTCCGCGTCGGCTAAATGCTAAATTCAAGAGAAAAGCAAGAGATCATCGTTTGGAGCTCAATTCGTTCAGCAAAATATAAGATTTTCATTATTTATTATGAGATATTGTCATTCATCCGAAAGCACCTGAGTAGGTCGATCGTCATCACCGTAATTACCACATTAATCCATGATTCATCATCCCGGCAAAAAGCAACATAAAACAAGCATCAGGGGTCCAAAGTTTTCGCACCCAAGTGCATCTCCACATGTGGATCATGTCCAGAGAACCCTTTATAACATGGGATGAAACACAACCGCAGAAATGTGACAGGGTATCAAGAACAGAAAGCAAAAGTGTAGCTCACTTCTTCATGGGAAGTGAAAAGTAACCTGCGAGGGCTGCTCCCGCTTCATAGCCCATGCTTTAAGCGTAATGAACAAAACCTCGAGAGCCATAATAAAGGCCGTGAATCCCATGCCTACTGTGAAAGTGAACATGGCATCCATTTCATAGTATTCCATGGATTCGATCACGTTCCGAGTCTATGCAATTGTTAGTAGCTTGTTCTGGAAATTTGCGGGTATCTTCTTGGACTTACGCTGAGCATGAAAATAAGACCTCCCGCCATCAAGCAGAATGAGGCAACGATCTCCGTTGGTGGGCGAGCGGGGAGATAGGATGTAGGAGGACGCAGGAATAGCAACACATAGGTCATGCCGCGGGCCAAGGCGAAACCAACGAGCATGTTGCCCCACTGCTTGTGCACCATAGTCGAGGTCATGCTAGTTTGATGGTGTGATCCCATCATCATACCGAGCAGCAAAATAATAAGTGCAGGCATCGGGTTGAGTGATACGCCTTGAGATCTGGGAAGCTGCCATCCCTCGTCACGAGTACCGTGAGTGGGTGACCGAAGGATGGTCATGTTGAGGGCTTCGCGAATGCGCTTAGACTCAAAAAGCATGCCCAACTAAAGAACCGATCACCGTTAGTCAATTAACTCAACAATGTAAGATAGAAGTAGGTCTTACCAGGCCACCTCCAAAGAACATGATCGAGATCGAAACATGCTCCAAGTCTGCCGGACCCCAGGCACCGCCCCAGCTGGAGAGATGCTCCAGGAACACATTCGACACGCCATAGAGGAAGATAACAAACGACTCCACAAATTCTCCCGATGGGACCTTGGCCTTCCATCGGTTAACAATCGGCGCCATGGGCTTCTTATTCCACGCCCAGCCCAGGTCGGCCCAGCAACCCATAAAGCGTCCCAGGGTGAGAATTCCATACCAGAAGAAGATTCCACCCTTAATGAAATGGGCCAAGCCATTAAAGATTTCCTTCTTTCTCATGATACCACCGTATGCCACCGCACCAGTCGCAATAGCAATGAATCCGAACGGAAGAATGATCCGGTCAATCACGTTGTATACAGTATTGCAGATCCGGAGCGCTCGGTTGGAAACCATCCCCGGCAGACGACTCGACAAGAACCGACCCGCCATGCTGCGGTGAAACCAGCCCCGGGCAGGGAGTTCCGCAGGCAAGGGATCTTCGGGCTTCTCGAAACTATCATAATCTTCAGGCGAGTCGCACGGAGATCCCGGGCTGTGAATGGACGAGGTAGGCTCCGTCCCCTGACCACTATCTCCAGACCAGCGGTATTCATGCAACGGGCCAGACGGGAATGAGCGCCCCTGGTGTGTGGGGATAGGCAGGAAAGTCGCACGCTCATATGAAGCCGAAGACGACTTGGATTCACCACGTCCGGCGTAGGCAAAGATGAGGGCTAAGACGGCCTGGGCACTGAACACCCAAGTACCGATCCAACCAATCTTGTGATGCGCATTATTCTCATAAAGATCGGGGGTCTGGTTATTATAGACGATACCGAGAAGGACTCCGAAGGCATTGAAAACCAGGAACAAGAATTGCGACGGAAGGGCAAATCGTGAACGCGCAATGCTGAGCATAACAGCTGTGGAAAGATCATTGTGAGTAAGCTCTCCATCTTCAGTTCTTTGGGATGCTATGCTTACCTGCAGGAAGAACGAAGCACCAACCCAGCACCATCAACGCGATATGCGCGATGATGGAGCTAGAGTGTTTCCCATAGGCAAAGTAGCTCATCGGGTCATTCGCACCAGATGCCGACGGAGTCGCTGTAGCTGTTGCTGTAGTCGCACTAGGATGCATACCCATTTCCATATCCATATTCATATCCATCTCGTCATCCCCGTGCGCAAGTGCAGTCGCAAGCGACGCGAGAAACACCACCGCGAAGGCGGCTCGAGTAGTGTTCCACATTCGGGATGAAGTCGCACAGCTTTTTTTCAACTTCTGTGAGGGTGCGCTATGGTTACAAGTGAAAAACTATGCTAGAGCTTCAACTGGCGCAAAGTAGTGAAGCTCTCGCAAATCGTGACGTAACGACACGGCCAACCCGAGAACGCACTCTTCTGGCTGAGGTGGAGCTTTTTTTTTTCCTGTTTCCTTTTCACGTGCTGCTTGAGATTACCGACAAGTAAGCTCTAGCTGTGCAACAAGCTAAGCTTGGTTGTGGAATGAGCAGTGGGTAGGTGGAAGCGGTAGGGCTGAAAATGAAGTATATCGAGTAGCGTGGGTGGGTGAGCCATATATAAAAGAGAGCTCTCTCTTTGAGCGGGGCAGGCTACAGGAATTAATGGGATCATAAGAACCGGAACCTGCACGGATTATGACTACAGAGTTGCCTAGGTGGGAATTTCTTTTTTTTTTCTAGACTCGCCGGCGCTGATTTCCAACGCTTTTCGGGGTTAAAGAACCGGCGCCGAGAGGTGCGTGGAAACAAGAGCTCTTCCTACTTCCGGCCCAGCTGCCGACCCATGATTCACTGCCCGAGTTGCCGCCTCTAGCTTCAAATGTGTCATGCTTCCTTTCTCCACGTAGAAACAGGGAAGCCCTAGAATCATGGAGTTTTCTATGTACATAGCTTTGGTCTCACACGATTCCTCGTGCTCATCGTACCCCTCATTTGGAGCTAAATGCAGCTTCACTTGACCAGCAAGGATCTGCGTGTGCATCTGGTTGTGTATTGTACAAAGGGGCGGATTTAAGAAAAAAAAAAATGGCTTGGCATTCACGAACTATGCAACAATTACCAATCAGAAAAAACCAATTCGGATGACTCGGATGGCTTCAAGGTCCACGAACCGTGACCTCATTTCCCGAAATCTAGAGCCAGGAAAAAGTGGAGCACTGTTTGCTGTGATCTGAATTTTCTTTTATTTTTTCCCCATTTTCTATTTCTCTCTTTTCTCACCAGAGCGAATTGTGTACGAAGTACAGTACATATGCACGGTAAGCGCTCCAGTGACGTAGTCGATCGCTGCCCAGTTGGGACTCTTCATCCCGCTTACACCGCTAGGACTAAACACGTCCCAAGCTCTGCCTTGTTGATGACATTCCCAAAAATCGGGCTGTTTTTCCATGATCCAAGACTCTCTTTCCAAGGGTTGCAAATTGTTCAACCTCCCGTAGGAATCGTATCCATAGACCCTTTTCCCACTGCCATTCTGCACGAGCTTCAGGTTCCATCGGATGATCCCCTGAGATGTCTCCACCCAATCAGCGATCCACAAACCGCGCATAGACCGCTGTATAGAGTAGATCCTTGCCAACGGACTCCCGGCTCTGCCAGCTTCCTTTTACATCCCTGTCTCGGTCCTTTGCGAGCCTAGCTTTCCGAGCCGCAGGTGCCCAGGTGGGGAGGCCTTTTGCACCCCGAATCACTCCGAATTGAATGGCCTGAACATGCATTGTAGACTTAAGAATGTGAGGAATCCAATGCGGATGTGAATGAGTCACCGCCCCTCAGTCATGCTCACCTGCATTGTACTTAAGCTCTAGATCACATGCGTCAAATGAAGATGATGCTATTCCCAGTGTATATAAATAAAAGAGTATATAGAATGAACTATAAAGATGACCAGTGACCAACAAGATGTCCCACGGTCATGGTAAGCTCAGAAATTAGTCATTTACTATGCGATACACATACATACTACTGTTTCGCGGCGACAACAGCTCGGGGACAGGCAAACATATCCCCGACCATGGAGAACAAACATCTTGTGCGAGTTTGATTTCTATCGTCAGATTCTATTCTCAGGTTATATCGTCAGATCATATCATAAGCTATATCTCTTAGACTCAGAGCCTCAGAGCCTCATTCTTCGATGTTGCTGATGTCAGCGCCAAGGTATCGGGCTCATGGTTGTTAACGATTCTTAGAGCGGAGACAAAGAAGCTAGTACAGTATACTGTATACCCGCTTTCCAAGAATCCAGCCACCGATAATTCCGAGGCCCACTCTAAAGGTCTTTATTGAGCTCATATCCAGCACACTGGAATATTGATCCAAGGACCGGGAAATACGGCAATAAAGTCAGAATGACGGTCACCAAAGGGTCCAAACTATAACGCGTCTGTGGATCCACGGCAGAACCATAAAGTATGATGGGTTGATTTTTACTTGTTATACAAGCAGGAACAAAAATGCCAAGAAAGAATCTGCTCTCATCTGACAACCTGGTGATCATCACTTGGCAATCATTGGCTATAATCGAATCGTACATCCGCCGCCTTCCGGGAGGGATCCGCAACGCACACGCACTTGAACGACGCACCGGGAAATCGGCTGATTAATGATTTTCTCGTTTCTTCTCACGGAGAACAATATCCGGTGCCTGTAATGGTACCTATCAGATGACATGAGTTGTAGAATCCCTCTCGGTCCTCCTGCAGGAAGCTCAGTCTCGGCTTTCCTTGTACCCCGGGAACGACGATCATACGGTGGCCCGCCATCAAGCAATATAGGAGCAAACCTTGGAATATAAATGAGCTCGTTCACCTTAGATTCAATGATTTATGTCGTACTGTTGAGACTTTGGATTGATCGCTCACTCAGCTTCGCGTAGACTTTCTCCAAGGAACGTCGTCTGTGCTAAAGCACAGACAACACGACTAAGATCGACAACGTACTATACATCTAACATGCCGACTCAAGCGGTGTTACTTTCCTAAGTAAGATAGCCCTTTGAGGAGTCGGATGTACGGCACGAGACCTTCCGCAAGCCGTCTTGGCTCTGGCATTTCCTCAGGTACCGTTGGCGCCCAATGAACATTATGGGTTGACTTCCCGTGCGATCAGCATGATTACCGGACTTGGGCACGGACTAGCACGTAGTAATAATGTGCATAAATTGTTCATTGAACTTTAAGTGACCAGCTGATCCTCGAGAATATCTACCCCAGCCACGTTAATTTCCGTCTTGCATGTGAATAAATGATCTACTTTACTCCGTACAGCCACAAACTTTGGAAAGGGTAAACAGGGATTTTCATAGTCCTTTCATGTGCGAAGCATCCTGATGTTTTCCTACCAGTTGCCGATGTCGCTTTCGCTTTTTGGAGCGTTGGAGATATAAGGCCAGGAATGGAAATTGGAGTTGATGATAGTTGACGGAAACATCGCAAGATTCTTGCTGTGTAGGATGTCATTGACTCACCACTGACATTGAAACAATGATATCTTCATCCATGAATCTGGGGAAAAGCTGCTTAACAGTGACAAGGATTTTAGTAAGTGAATTTGGGATACTACCATAGAGCATGGGACATTTTTGAACTTCGAGTAGGTCTCTTCAATGGCTTTTGACATATGCTTGGCGACGCAAATCTCTACGTTGTTAGCTTTCCATGTCTGGGGTATATCACCCGGCATATTGATCTGAGCATAGTTCATTTCACGACGCCACATGATCACGTGGACGCGCATGGAGACAGATCGAGTGTCGCAAAGAATCAAGAGGTCACATGCGCATTATAGGCCTTCATGAACTTGACAAGGCAGATAAGGCCCTACTGGATTGTATGCACATGACTCCCTGCTATATGTTAGGGATCCGTTTCCACGATTCGCTGATAGCGCGATACCAGACGGAAGACACCCAGCAGATATTTGATGTATAGGAATCCATGTGTTGCCAAGACCCACATTCTTTCATCGCCGTAGAGAACCTCGATGCTCAAGGGAGCAACTATTCGTACAGAATCCAGGCACCATTCGGATGACATAAGCAAAGACGCCGAATGGATCACATGATCTAACCCTGAAACAGGCTAGCGTGAGAATCAAGCGAGTTGGCCCGTGCACTTCCCCATCGGGGCGGCACACAACGATTTTCTACCCCGAACCTTCGACTTTCCTTCAACAGCGCCAACGACCCTCGTCAACAACCCCCCGTCAACTCCCCCCCACGACAACTCAAGATGACTCACGAGTCCGTTTGGTTCAGCCGCCCCCGCAAGTAAGTCGAGCAGAACGAACCTCTCGCCGTTGAAAATGCAGCAACTAATCAATTCACCTTTAGGTACGGCAAGGGCTCCCGCGAGTGGTGTGTACCCCCTTAGATTCCTCCCAGCGATAAGAAACGACGCACAAAGAAAGAGCGAAAGAACTTGCTACAAAGAGCACCGAAAACACGAACAATGAAGGAGGAACAACTTTGGCTAATTCATGTTCGATCGATACAGCCGCGTCTGCGCCCACCGCGCTGGTCTGATCCGCAAGTACGGCGTATGTGGAAACCCTCCTGATATATGAGACGCTGGTGCAGGCATACTGCTCCGAGTTTACGTCGCGAATCGAACTCAATGGCTAATACGGTTCTTTAGATGAACATCTGCCGTCAGTGCTTCCGTGAGAAGTCCACCGACATCGGTTTCGTCAAGGTTCGTTAACCTTTCCCACACCGAAAGAATTCAAGCATTCAGCCTACAAACCCTTGGATTTTTTTTCTTTTCAAGTCATCGATACTAACCTAGGTTTTCCGTTCAGTACCGCTAAACAACCAAACCATGTCCGCCTTTAAACACTTTTCTCGATTCCATTCGCGTCCATGATCCGTTTACGTGCCCTGGCGCTCGGCCACCATAGTGGCCCGGGAAGGGGAATGTTTCGAAGCGTCGGGAAATGTTAATGCGCCCACGTTTCTTTCGCATGACGGCTCCCAAAAAAAAGTGGTTGTTGATTCGTTATGGAGGAGGCATTATTCGTGTCTTGCATGGCACGGATGGACGAGTTAGGGACTGGGGTTGTTGTGTGAAGGAGTTTTTGAAAACGAGGATGTCATGTTATCCCTCATCCTTTTTCTTTATCCAATATCAAAGACGGGTTTTCTTCAATGAGTTCTGGATTCTGCGTACTTGGAGTGAAATATGGGGCTTTGGAACTGGCATTTTCTCGTCTGATGCAGTGTTTCGTCCAGGGTCCCCTTGGCTTTTTCTCCAGAGAATGGGAGGATACCAACGTAGATTTGGCTACGTAGAATGTAGTCTTCGCTGATGACGAGAGCTTTTCCTGTTTGCTCTGGTGAGGTGTGGCTGAAAGACTACGTTTTTGATATCTACAGTGACGACGGTATGAAAGAATGCTAGTTCTTATTGTCCGGGCCATGTCCGCTATGTACATTATTATTCAAATCCACCCTGCTAGGATCTCATCCGAGCGCTGAGTTCACGTCACATCCACCTATGGTAGGCTAAGTCTTCTCAGATCCAATTGACCGGATTCCGTAGAATAGGAGATAAGCATCCTGTTTCAAGACCTCCGCTACACTTGCAACGGTTACTTTATTATCGTCCATAAGCACCCACTAGAGCACGATTAGTAAAATTGCCTTGTCAAGTTTCCAGATCATGCAGCATACCTTGTCGCCAGCTATGCGGGTGAATGCGTAATAGTGGCCTGAATCCATGCTGCCCTTGTGAACGACGACCGTCGACAGGTCATAGATGTACTTGGAGGTGTCGACACGCTCCTTGTCTTTTTTGACGGTGTAGGGCAGCATGTTGAGTGTGATGGGGAAGTCGATGTGACCGTGCATCTTCTCCGAAGATGATGAGTTATGCTCGTACCGCTAGAAAATCGAGATTAGGAATGAAGCTCAGAAAATATCAGGGGGACATACCTTGAGATGCATGCAAAGGATAGAAGGTAGTTTGCGGATCTGTAGCCGCTTGGATGCTCGCTGGGGTGTGTTGCCACACTTCTCGCAGTGATACGAGGCATCCGGGGACAGGTCTTCGATCGCCGTGAAGTTGTCCAAGCAGCCAGTCAATGTGGCAGGGGTGGAGCTAGATCGGGGCGCCAGCTTGCGTTTCTTGTTCTGGAGCTGCACGTCGAGACTCAGGTCGGCCATGGGATCAAATGTGTGAGTTGTTTTGCCGCATTTGTGGCACATGACGCTGCTTTGAAGCTCGCCATAAAAGGTGCGGTGGAAAAAGCACTCGCACTTGGTACCGTAACTCTCGGAGTGACCAGGTGTGGCTGCATGGAGGGCATTCACGAGGAACTGGAAGTACTCATGGGCATCTTGTTGACGATATCCTGCCATGTCCTACGGGTAAAGCATTAGCGAGACTGTCTTAGATTCTAGTTGGAAAGGCCCTTTCATCCTACATACCCGGGACGCATCCCAGCCATGATAGAGCAGAGTGGCTGCCGATACGGCGTCGGTCTTTTCGCCGCTGTTGAACTCCATAAATACTTCAGTTGCGGCGCAGGCCATGCAAAAGCTCCGTTCACACGTGTGGATGTCATGCCCCCCTGCGAGGAAGTAGGCATTGAGAGTTGGGTCATGTAGCAAAGCTTGAAGAATTACTGATTGATAGCATGTTTGTCCCATATTCCAAACACCACGGGCACCACGACGGGAACAAGGGTTCTTGTAAGCGTTATTCTTGACGTAAGCCTCGGAGGCTGCGTCGGTAACCCATGCACCTTTTGCGTCTATGTGAAGGTCAGTGGGCCAATCTTTCCATCAACACAAGAATCTAGTGGGATCATGCTAACATTCGAACTTAGCCTGAGGCCCGCAGAGTCTTTCGAGACCATGATCATACACAAGGTCCGCACAACTCTCACAAAAAAGGAAACGGTTCCGAGATTCCATGTCTGGAGGAGAATTAGCGACCAAATGATCATTGAAACTCCGAGAGTGTACATACAGAAACCATGTCCGGTCTTCTTAGTGTGAGCTTTTCTTTCTGTGTTTAGACAGATCTCGGGACAGGAGACACAGTGATACTTGGGTTTCAGCGATGATACAGTGCGCAGGCCGGTAGTCTGAATCGCCACGGGCTCTGGCTTGGTGTACGGAGCCAGTGAATCATACAGCTTGCGAAAGCTAACTTTGAACTGGCCTGCAGTCTGGCCATTCTTCAAGACAGTGGCCAGATGCTCTGATAATTGGGGTCAGTCTGGGGTCCGATCTAGATCCGCAGCCACCAGGAATGCCAATACATACCGCAGCCGAAAGCTGCCTCGGAGAGGAGGTGGATTGAGTCAAGGTTTGCCATTTTAGGACCGTGAGCTCGAAACAGAGATTAAAAGGGTGAATGACAAGGGTGGGGCCCTGGAAGATATGCAGAGATAAAACAAGAGGAAGGTGCCGGCCTTCTATGAGGAAGAAAAAAGAGCAAAGAAATAGGAATAAGAAGAGTAGGGCAATGAAGATTGTCAATCAGACCAATTATCACCAGATGGTGAATGGCGGGATGGCAAGGGATCTAATTCAGTCTCAAGGACTTCCCCTGAATAAGGCCAGCATTTCACTGTGGAGAGGTCAGCTTATTTGCACTCGATGTATACAATGAACGATACCGACCATACCACTCACAAAGTAGGAATAGTGGAGATAGGGCGTGGAGGTGCTGAAAGGGTATAGCAATAGCTCCGTTGCGCGTGCACTCAAGGGTTGCCGTGCTTAGCTCGCTTCAGACAATCATGCCCCGCAATTTAATGATTAGGCCAATCAACCCAAGTAGTATTGCAGTTCCAGTTGGATTGGAACCAAGTCAATCCTATACACAGAGAAAGGCTGGGAGGCAATGAAAGGGAAGAGTGTTCATTTGTCATCGGAAACGGACTTATTTTTTTCGGCGCCTTAAAGCCTGAAACCCCGATCGGAGCAAACACCCGCTACGTCTTCAATTTATACACTTAAAAGATGTTCATTGCGTTTCATTGCTCATAATAATTACAGGGATATCATAGGGGTCTTCCATATGCAAATACTGTCTCACTTTCTATCTCCAGTCCAGTCCCCGCCCACTCCACTGGGGCGTGCAAAGACGTCATTGTGGAATATGGCAGAGATCATTGCTTGCGATCCATATCCAAATTTGGCGGCAGTGTTCAATGTGACTGCATACGGCAAGAGACAACAGGCCATAGGTCAAGGCAATTCACCGAATTCCTCGGCCCCGGGGAAGAGCGCTCGGTCGCGCACTGCTCGAACCTCGTGTGGTATATCGGCTGGTTGCCGCGCCACGCGTTGTACCCCGAGTGGTACCTCGAGTGGTACCGCGTGTTGTTCCGCGTGCTGTACCCCTTGTGGAGTACTTGGATGTCGGTTTAGAGGAAATCGTGCTAGGTGGGTGCTCGACAAAGGATGTGTCCGTCGTCCTAGTATGCGGTTAACGTGGCGTCCTCGCATAACGAAGTCGCAGCAGATTTGTCAATGCTTACAAAAAAGTCATTTCACCGTCCTCTACCGGTCGCGCAGCCTCACTCTCATGCTCAGCCTCTGTTTTGTTGTTAGATTAAATCTTTGGTTAAGGTGGACTCGACCTCATACCTTTCTGTGCCTCACCCTGCTTCGCTCTCCGAAATGAATCTGCAATTGGAGCCTGCTCACCAATAAGTAAATTTGAAACACATCGATCGCATTCCTGTCGCTGGTTCATACCTCCGGGAAATCCACGCAGAATGCGTTCATGTTCAAGCCATACAGAAAACTAGCGAAGCTGTCGCTGAAGCGCGTCAAGCTCTCGTGCATCAGTTGCAGGTGCATGAAATTAGCCTCTAGGTCTGCCATGGAGTCTGCAAGTTCCGCAAACTGCGGCTCCAAGGCATTGATGGCAGGCTGAGTGTATCCGGCATTGCTGATGCTATTCCCGTACCCGTGGGCTTCTCGGAGGGACGAGCGGGAGCTCGGTCGTAGCGGAGTGGTCGGTCGGGAGGAGGGTCTTGGACGTGAAGATGATCGAGGGGCGAAACCGTCCATGATGTGTTGAATGGCAAATGGAGGGGAAGTGAAGTTATTTTGTTTTGATTTCGGAATTCGAAGGCGGTGGGCACAATAAACATCAACAGATGCATAGAATCAGATATCTTTGGAAGGGAAACAATCCAATGGAATTGGGCAAATAAGTGATTCAGCTATCGAGTGAGATTGTAGGTTTAGAGGCGATTGTTGACTCTATGACCTAGTCAGAGTCGTACAGCGTGAAGCGCTAGTAGATTGGGTCAACTAAATGTGATGGGATGACTTCATTGACGACCATCATGAAGATCGAACATAACAACCTTGAAATTTCCCATCTACGCATGTTCTACCTAGGGAAGTACAATATAATCTTATCAGTTGAGGCGATGAATCTCGGGGTTTTCATGTAGATTCTTTCGGTCATCATTCCCCGCATGCGATCGAATTCCTGATTTTCTCGAAATCCACCTGAACTCCGCCCCAATTGGTCTTGTGTCTCGCCAGGGTCTTATCTGTTATACTTCCCCAATTGCACACTTTTAACTTCTTTTTTTCCGCCATATGCGGGCCTGTTCGATTCTACGCCGTCGCATCCATTCCTCGGCCAATCTCATTCCCCGTCAGACCGTCAACGGCTCGCAATTCCGGTCCCAACCACTCGCGAGACCCTACTCCACATATCGGCCACAGCAACCGAGGGAAACCTCATCCTTCTGGATCGCGTCCACCCTCCTGACCATCGGAGGAGGCACCTGGATCTACCAATACCTCTATCCCTCTAATCTCCCGCACCAGCCGCAACCCCGGCTGCCTCCGAACGGCCAAGACCCTTTCCTCAGCGTCATTGATACCCTCCAAGTCATGCCTATCGAACCAGCCCCGGGCACCGTCGGGACTCTGACCCCGGAACAGGAAGCCAAGCTACGAGAATTCTGGGTCCTGACCCTCAAAGTCTTTGGCGTCCCGATCGACGCCTTGGAAGCTGATCTCAACGCCTCTAGTGAACCCGGTCCATCTACGCCAGAGAAGAAACCCAAGCGCCGCGGTTGGGGATTGTTCAGCCGGGGTAGCGAGGATGATGGCGATGACTCTAAGAGTGTGTCATCAGCCAGTGGCGTCAACTCGAACGTAGCGGCCATCAACATCGCTGAGGGCGATGACAAGTACGGACAGTCCAAGGAATACCAGCAGGCGCTGAAGGATATGAAGCCCGAGGAGATCCGTACAGCTTTCTGGAATATGGTGAAGCAGGATCATCCAGATGCGCTCCTTCTGCGGTTCCTGCGCGCTCGCAAGTGGGATGTTAACAAGGCTTTGGTTATGATGATCTCGACTATGCGCTGGCGCTTGCAGGATGTGCATGTAGACGACGATATAATGGCCAACGGCGAGGCATTTGCCTTGAAGCAGTCGCAAAGCTCTGACCCTGTGGAGAAGAAAAAGGGCGAGGATTTCCTGTATCAGCTGCGTAAGGGTAAGAGCTTCCTTCACGGTGTAGACAAATTTGGTCGTCCCATTTGCGTCGTTCGTGTGCGTTTGCATAAGGCAAACGACCAGGATATCGAAAGTTTGGAGAGGTTCACAGTCTACACTATTGAGACAGCCCGGTTGCTCTTGGCTCCTCCGGTAGAGACCGCGGTAAGTTACCCCTCTGTGGTCTTATATTGCTATGGATCTGACAAAGAGCAGACTATCATCTTCGATATGACCGATTTCTCCATGGCTAACATGGTGAGTTTGATATCTGGCTGGCCTAACAGTGATATACTAATCACATCTTCCAGGACTACGCACCCGTGAAGTTCATGATCAAGTGTTTTGAAGCCAACTACCCCGAGTCCCTGGGAGCCGTCCTCATCCACAAAGCCCCATGGCTCTTCTCCAGTTCGTGCCCCGGTTCATCTCGAATATCTATCCGCTAACAAGGTTCATAGGCATCTGGAGCATCATCAAGGGCTGGTTGGACCCCGTCGTTGCCGCCAAAATTCATTTCACCAAGAACCGCCAAGACTTGGAGGCCGTCATTCCCCCAGGCCAAATCATGAAAGAGCTGGAAGGTGATGAAAACTGGGAATACAAGTACCCCGAAGTCGAGGAAGGAGAGAACAGCCTGATGGAGGATACTGAAACTCGCGACAAACTGCTCGCCGAGCGTCACGAGCTCGCCAAGGATATCCAGAGCATCACAATTGAATGGATCCGAGCCGCCGCCAAGAAGGAGTCCGGAGCTCTGTCTGCCGCCGAAGAGAAGCGCGCAGATCTCATCGAGAAACTGCGGAAGCAGTACTGGGAAATTGACCCGTACATCCGGGCTCGCTCCCTGTATGACCGCCTCAACATTGTCCAAGGCCATGGAAAGATCGAATTCTACCCGACTACTGTGAAGGCGGACATGGAGAAGGTGCGGTCTGGCACGGCCGAATAAGGTGCAGAGGCTATATACGCTGCATTCGACACGGATTTGTGTAGCATACTGTTATTGACATTCGAACCTAGACTTGATCTTATTAGAAATAAGGGGTGTGCGGATTTGTATACAACTTGGACTTGATTTGACCCATCACTTGAGGTTACACAATGGAAACCAATAATTGATTCTAATCACAAGGATCATCCCACTATCCCATTTCTGATATCTACTACCTGGGAGAGCCGATAAAGAATGCAAAGGCATTTACATCCTAGACATGATCCTCTCGTGCAGAGACTTCAAATTGTCCATGTTGGCCTCCTGACTAGGCCAGCCGATGCTCATGCCTTCCTCCTCGTTAGGCTTGGGGATCTGCAAGTATGTCAGTATATATAACCAAATGACGAAACCAGAGTCAATCCTACCATGTGGAAGTGAACCTATTCCAGGGCAATTAGTAAAGGCCATCTTCAAGATTAATTTCAACTTACGTGGTCAACGACCTGGTGCGCAATACGGCCATTGTTCTGCAGGATATTGAAGTCCGTCACGCCACTGGCCTTGGCAATCTTCTTTGCGACGGGCTATGTAAGGGAACAGGGTTAGCCAGGTCAAGGACCTTGGGGGTTGAACCGAGAAAGACCCGTGGACATCTAGTCTTATCTTGCACCTTCAACTCTCTCCACGGACACATTCTCAATGTCTTCTCCCCTGCAAATAAATCTTTCTGGGGGTGTTTCGCTTACCAGGATCTCCAGCAGGTCCTCATCGGGGATATCAGTGAGCTTTGCACCGTGGAACTTGGGGATCACGAGCTGGTCATTGCGTCAGCCAAATTTTATGTCTTATTGAATTGTGCTCCCAGGCTATTTGAACGTCATTGACCGAGTCGAGTCAACAATGCCATAACTCTTAGCTGTATCGGACGAGATCATGCGGTCGCGTCCGGTGCGGGGCAACAGAAATAGCAAAGCACTTACCGCATGGCCACGGCTCAGCGGCTGAATATCCAAGAAGGCAAAGACCTTATCACTCTCAAAGAGCTTAAAGGAAGGGATGTCACCTGGGATACACGTTAGCTGTGAACGCGGAGTCGGTGGGAGGGGAGAATTGTCGAGCTATAACCTATAGCCTCATAGATACAATAGGATAGACTGACCCTTGATAATCTTGCAGAAGATGCAGGCGGCGGAGGACATGGTTAATCTGGCAATTAGAGTGTTTTTGTGATGAGAGTACAGAAGGTGTCCAATTCTGACGTTCTGGCGATCAAGCTGAAGTCATCGAATGCGGGGTGGAGCTTAGAAGAAAATTAAGAAAAATTGGTCGGGGGTGGAATCGAACGTGGGATGTTACAATTTCTAGGTCCCTTATATTTTATAATTAGGGGCGAAATGTGAGGAGTGGGACAGACTAGTGCAGAACCCATTTCTTGCCTTTTACCAGAGATGGCCGTGGTTTGCCCACAAAACTCCTCTATACAATCTTTGGATCTACACTGCGACACAGCTGTCGTTTTATTGTTTTATTTTTTGTTGGTGACATATTATGTTAAGTCTTCTGATTGTGTTCTCTTTTTCTAATTTATTTTTATCCTCGAATTCAGGGTTTTGGAAATGCTGGGGTTGTGTCTTTAGATCTGATGGGCCGTGTACTTACCACGACTTATTGCGGGCCTACAGTACGTGCATCGCTACACCCACGGCCCAAATATTCCACAGTCTTCATTAAGAGAAAAAAGTGTCTGGGCTCCGGCGACTTCATGGGGCATAAATTGTACAAAGCATTTGTCGATTCACCATAATACACCATCATAACACTTCCAGACCTTAGAAAGCATCGTCAGCATAGCTACCCCGGTATACCACAGATACATTAGCTATACTTATTGCTTTTTGGAGTATATTTCAGCTATTGCGAGCTCATAATACATTAATGTAAACCATTCCAACAAATCTCGAAGCTTGGCTGGCTATCAATTGATGTTAATAGTGGAGGCTCAATGAGCGACGGAGTGCGGGTGCATATCCAATCACAGCAAGCGAATTGTCAGACCCGTTGGAGGGGAGAAAAGTGCAAGATGCAAAGAGAGACATTCAACCCTGTAGATATGCATGGCTGCTAGAAAAACATGAATGTACTCGAGTGTCTGAACCAATATAGTAATTTATAAAACAAGAAATTACTGAGAAGCAGTAGATTCTTGGAGCAATGATGCTCGACTCTTCCTAATCAGGACTAGCGTCCTGGTCCCGTGCCGAACCTGCGAAATGCAAGTCCATCAACTCCAAGGACCTCCAATCCCTCTCATCCCCCACTCCACTCCATTCCCCTCCCCGCTGGTCTCCTCTGATCTGCTCTATCAGAGACCATGCAGAAATCCCGGGCATTCAACTCTACCCTGGGTTCCCGGGCCTTTGCCCCGGCCCCGCGGGTCTCCGTCCACTTCCAGCGCCGCAACCTCCAGGACGTCGCTATCACCCGCACTGGAAAGCCAATCCTGAAGGTCCAAGGTGGCCGGTAAGTACACAATTGCACTACCAATGGTGAAATGTTGCTAATGTTGGTCGCTTTTAGCTCTTCCCTCGGAGGTATCCTACTCGCGCTTCAACCCCGGTCTTCATCGAATATACTCACCTCTCCCGATAGGTTACACTGCCACCGTCTTTGGCGCCACTGGTTTCTTGGGTCGTTACATTGTCAACCGTCTTGGTAGGTCAAGGATTGGTTCTGTACAGAGGAGCAATTGACACTAACATCCCGTAGCTAAGCAGGGATGCAACGTCGTGATCCCCTACCGTGAGGAGATGACCAAGCGCCACTTGAAGGTCACTGGTGATCTGGGCCGTGTCAACTTCATTGTATGGCGCTTTTCCAACCATCGGCAGTTTAGATTGGAGCTAATAATTTTCAGGAATATGACCTGCGCAACACCCAGTCCATCGAGGAGAGCGTCCGTCACTCTGATGTCGTTTACAACCTTGTTGGTCGCCAATATCCCACCAAGTGAGTGCAAGAACTTTTATTCGGCTTTGAGGAGAGGTCAATTGACCTAATTCAGGAACTTCTCCTACACTGATGTCCACGTCGACGGTACCGAGCGCATTGTTGAGGCTGCCGCCAAGTACGATGTCGACCGCTTCATCCACGTTTCCTCGTACAACGCCAACCGGGCCTCTGAGTCCGAGTACTTCGCTACCAAGGTAGGTTTCCCCCTGCTAGCGAGTCGATTGCAGAGATACTAAGACATCATAGGGCTGGGGTGAGGAAATCGCTCGTTCCATTTACCCCGAGACCACCATCGTACGACCTGCCCCAATGTTCGGTTTCGAGGACAACCTCCTTCACAAGCTTGCCGGTGTCACCAACCTGTTCACTGCCAACCACATGCAGGAGCGCTACTGGCCTGTTCACGTATGTCGCGTGGTCCCACTCAATGTTGCTCTCACTAACTTATCCTGCAGGCCATCGATGTTGGCAAGGCCCTCGAGATTATGCTCCACGACGACAGCTCCGTTGGACAGACCTACGAGCTTTACGGTCCCAAGAACTACTCCACCGCCGAGATTGCCGAGCTGGTCGACCGCGAAATCGTCAAGAAGCGCCGCCACTTGAACATTCCCAAGGCCCTGCTCAAGCCCTTGGCCCACAACCTCAACAAGTTCCTCTGGTGGCACACCATGTCGGCCGATGAGGTCGAGCGTGAGTTCCACGACCAGGTCATTGACCCGACAGCCAAGACCTTCAAGGATCTTGGTATTCCCCAGACCGAGCTGGCCGATCTGGCCGATCTGACCTTCCACTACTTGGTATGTTTGCACCTTGCGCCCTATGAATCTCCTTACCAGTGCTAACATCCTGCAGCAAATGTACCGTAGTGCCTCCTACTACGATCTCCCCCCGGCCACCGAGCGTGAAAAGCGTGAGGAGAAGAAGTACGTGCACGTACTGGATGACCAGTAGTTTGTGTTTTTAATGTGTATATAAGCCCTCCTAGACCCAATTTCAATTTCCTTGTGTTGTCTGGAATCTAGAATCCATTCGTAGTTGAGTTTACGCTCGTTGTAATAACCAGTAGCTAAGTGGTCAACCCCAACTATATACTCCGTAGCTCCGTGGTGCCCCGCAATCGCGATAACCAGAAAATAATCCGACCTTGAAACTTTCCCCAACAACCGATCACAATGCCTTCAACCCCAATCCTCCTCCTAAAAACCCGCTCATCCCCCCACGATGGCTATGACGACTTTCTCTCGGCGCAAGGCTACATTCCTTCCTTCATCCCCGTCCTAGAACACCGCTTCAACACCAAGAACCTCTCAAACGTCCGGGAGCTATTCGCATCCGGCGCATTCGATCTAAACCACACGAATACCAATGCCGACTCCAATTCCAATGCCGATACCCAGGATGCTCCCGAAGCTTTCAAGAAATACGGCGGTATGATTTTCACCAGCCAGCGCGCAGTGGAAGGATTCGCAAAGATGATTGAGGAAGATGGACGTGAGTGACATTCCTCCCCCACACCTGGATACTTGCACTTGCATACTTGCATACTTCGACTTCAAGCGATACTAACCACATCCAGTCCGCCTCCCATCAACACCCCTGGTCCTCTACACAGTAGGCCCAGCGACGGCCCGAACCCTAACAACACTTCGAGACAAACATATCCCCACCGCAAAGATCTACGGTGCGGACGCAGGGACGGGGGAGAAATTGGCCCACATGATGCTGGAGCACTATAACGCCTTACACGGATGTACATCCACATCGAGTGAAAAGCCAGGCCTGCTCTTCCTAGTCGGCGAACAACGCCGCGATATCATACCCAAAACACTTATGTCAGACTCATTACCAGTCCAGGACCGGATCCCCGTGCATGAGATTGTGGTGTATGAGACTGGGGAGATGGGGTCTTTTGAGAGGGATTTTGAGGGTGCTATAAAGCGTGCGGAAACGCAGGGGGACTGTTGGGTTGTGGTTTTTTCGCCTTCTGGGTGTGAGGCTATGCTTAGGGTTTTGGGGTTGGGGCCGTTTAAGAGTGATGGGGATGGGGAGGAAAGAAGGGTATTCGTGGCTACTATTGGACCTACGACGAGAGATTACTTGCGGAGTACGTTTGGGTTCGAGGCGGATGTTTGTGCTGAGAAACCTAGTCCTGAGGGTGTGCTGGAGGGAATCAGGAGGTTTATGGAGTTGCGTGACAGCACATAGATTGGATCTTGTTACGATTTCGGTTCCGAAATTCAGTGTATATAGTGTTTGTTTCACGTACGGGACCAAGTGCAGTTGGATCACATAGATTTTGCGTATTTTCAATGCTTCCAACAAGAATTCCCGTTGGGTTGAATGACGTGCATGCTCGATAAACAAATTTGATCTTCCTGATTTACCGCATGATCTCCTCGTAGATCAGGACTATACAAGTCAAAAGTTAACCAATATTCAAAGGATATGGGTGGAGAGGGGATACGTACTCTTCAGCTGCTCTTTGCTCAGTACATCCTTGTTCTTGTCGAAATCAAAGAATCCTTCGGGAATTGGAGGTGCGGTCGGCTCATCTTCAGGATCGTGGTACGGCTCAAGGTATGGGTGGCGCAGGGCGTCCTCGACAGAGATACGCTTAGCCGGGTTAAAGGCCAATAGTTTCTCGAGCAGATCCAAGGCCAGGTCGTTGCTCTTGGGGAAGAGGGCGCGGAAGGGGATCTTCTTCTTAAATGGGAGGGAGCGGATGTACTCGCGGGCTCGTCGTGATTTGATGCCGTAGTAGTCTTCCATGGTTGGAGTACCGAGGACATCCAAGATAAGGGTCAACTGGTGGTGATCTGGGGACACTTGTTAGTATTATTGTGAGAAAGAGAACAGGCTAGGCTGTTCACGTACAATCCTTTCCGGGGAAAAGAGGCTTCCCGCTCAGCATCTCTGCCAAGATACAGCCCACACTCCAGACATCAATAGCCTTGGTGTATTCCTTGAATGTCAACATGATCTCCGGTGCACGGTACCAACGAGTGGCCACATATTCGGTCATGAAACCCGAGTTGTCATCGGTGGAAGCGGCCGATCGCGCAAGACCAAAGTCGCACACTTTCAAATCGCAATTGGCATTCAACAGAAGGTTGGAGGGCTTCAAGTCACGGTGAAGAACATTGGCGGAGTGCATGGCCTTGAGCGCACGCAGGGTCTGGTAAATGAAGTATTGGCAATGATCGTCCGATAGCTCTTGTGTGCGAATGACTCGGTGCATGTCGGTTTCCATCAGCTCCTGCGCAAGGGTCAGTTCAGTTATTGCATACGGCTTATCCCTGGTTCGTTATACATACCTGAATCAAGTACACTTCGCTGAACGCCTCATAGTTACGAGGTCTTTGGATATCCAAGATAGAGATAATATTCTCGTGGTTAAAGTACCGCAGCAGCTTCATCTCGCGCAATGTGCGCAGACAGAACATTGAGTGGTCGAACGGAGTAATCTTTTTGATGGCAACCTTCTGGCTGGACGGTTTGTGGATGGCGGAGCTACACCTAATAAGCTTATGACCCTCAACCGGACCCAGCACCACTCACCAGACCACACCGTAAGCACCCTCTCCAATGACATCTTGGATCTCATATTGGTCGGACACATTGAAAGAGATCTTCCGCGACCCGCCCGATGGGGGGTTTTGCTGACCCATGTCGGAACTGCTCCTCGTTAGCTCATGCAGATGCGGGGGAGCTATAATAAACGCGGAGCTGCTTTTTCGCAGGTGCTCGGGGAGACCACACTGGAAACACGAAGCCTATCAAGCGCCAATTCCCAATATTGCAGGACTGGTCCAGACCCGAGTATTGGGGAATCCACTCGGGAACAGCTAGTGCGGTTTGTTGACAAATAACCACCAGGTGATAAACCCATCACATCGAGCACCGACGAACAAAAGCAAAACCGGGAAACAAGCTTACTCTTTCTGTTTGTGTCGGGAGTGTGGCAGCGAATTCTAGCCCTTGAGCTGTCGGGTGTTTGGTCTGGAGCTTCGCACAATCCTGGAAGTTAAGATGGATCGGAAGCTAGCAGATTCGGCGAAAGAGGTACAGGCCGATGGATCGATGGATAAATGCGAATCAGGGGGCAAAGGTATCGGGAGCAGGTGAACCACCAGATAAGTGTTTCGGGAGGTTTCTGGGATGGTGTTAGTTACTTGCGACATCGCGTGCAGCCGCAGCCGTGCCGAGGCGGGGTTGGAGCTTGACGCACCCCGACTCAGAGGAGACTCGTTCAGGGGAGGTTTAGTACTTACAGAGCTGCCAGAAGTGATGGAGGAAGGGAGAAGGGAGTTTCATGGAAGGTGGGGAGAAGAGGAACAGAGGAATCAGCGGGACTCACGGGCCGTCAGGTATGGTGGGGCAAGCTCAATAGGAGAAGGACACACTATTTATATATGGGTTTTAAGGGGCCAAATGTGAACTATAAATCTAGTTTCAATAGATCATCCTGGATCTATGAATGCTCCAAAGGCTTGGATTTGGTTCAGGTCGGATGTTATCTGCAAGTTCGAGAGCTAGAACCTCTGGAACCTTGGCTCCGTTTCCTTCAACTCCTCTTTCTCCCCACTATCCATTATCAACTCCCAAACCTCGACACCACTTACGACATAGCTGGGGGAAAAGCGAACTAAACCACATGCGCAGCCACCAGCGCCAAATCCTCCTCCATCACTTGCACACACGCTACTGTCGGAACCTGATCACAATCACAACTCCACTCAATCGTTCTGATTGGGGCGCCGCGTATTCCGCCCAGGTTTCACGCTCAAACACGCCGTCCCATTGGCCTGTAGATCAGGACTAAATTTCCATACGAAACAAGTACAGGAAATAAGTAGCATTTTCTGAAACTCTCGAAAAAGAAAAAGGACTCCAGTTGTCCCATACCCGTAGTCTACTGGGATTCCAAACATAAATGTGCCCGCCATTGAACAGAGATTCCCCCTAATGGTACAGGCAAGAAGCATCACAGATCGTGTAAAAAAAAGGAAAATTGGGGGGGAAACGTGGGATTCATCAGAAACAAGGTGAAACTCTACATGGGACGTCTACTGCACAACCTATACGAGACATATAGAATCAGTATATGAAGTCAAGGAGAATCGCAGAATGATCAACTCAAAGAACCTCATACCTTCTCCCGGAGAGTGGTCATCCACTGATCCAAGCTCACACTCTGGTCAGCCCGATCCTCCACCAACATCGTCTGGGCCCAGAGACGGAGACCAGGCTCTCCATCCTCGCGCACCACGTACAGGTGAGGCACGATGATGCTGCCAGCACCCTTGGACCGGTGGTCCCGACTCTTCTCCACTACAGCACGTAGGCGCTGGCTGAACTCATTTTCGATCTCAGGCAGGATCTGCTTGCCCACCCGCAGCTGGGTGCGGTCGGCCACGCCAAACACGTCCTCGATGAGTTGGGGCACCGCATCGCGACCCACCCACAGGAACTGGGTCTGTCCGTCGTCAATCAGGTAAAGACCGTACGAGGCGAGACGCTGAGAAGACAGGTTAACAGAAGGAGGAAGAATTATCTCCCCGGTGGTTGGGTCCGGCAGACCCGCGGCATCGGGCATGTCATGGAGCGAGTACATCTTAGGGTAGATGTATTGGATGAGAAGGGGCAGGGGCAGGGTCGACAGGAGACACAATGCGGCAGACCGCATATCAGTCGGGATCTGGGCAGACTTGCGAAGACCAAGCTAAATTCGAGGTTCAATTAGTATCAGGAACATATAGAAGGGGCGGGTATCTACTCACATTCTTGATCATGGCAAGGAACAAGACGGGCAGACCGCGGAGGTTGGCAGGGAACTGGAGACCACCGCCGCTCACGCTACCACCGGCAAGTTCTTTGCGGTAGGTGGTCAAAAGTTCAATAACCTTGGCCTGCAGAGCCTCACGAGCCGGCTCGAGGCCACTGCTCAAAGTACGCTCCACGGCCTTGTGGCTAAAGAAGGTTGCCACAGCTTGCTGATCAGCGGAAGCGTAGATGTCAGCCAGGTTCTGAGTGGTCGGGAGTGCCAGCGTGAGAACACGAATCCGACGCTCGCCATTGCAGGTGGTGTGGAGAACAGCGGCTTGCAGGCAAACCACCGGCTTGGTCACCGTCTCGTCGATAGCCACCTCAACAACATAGGCCTGGTCACGGGGGAAGGCTGGGAAAGCACAGAGATCGGAGCTGCGGTTGAAGAAGTTTCCGTAGAAGGTGCTCATGCGTAGACCAGTAGTGGCACGAACACGGAGCACGGCCTCCAATCCGATCTCGGAGGACAGGTGGTCAGAAAACTCGCGCGCAAATTTGATAGCATCTTCTTTGCGTGCAGCATTCCACCCAGGGTAGAAGTAAGTCTGGCCACCAGTGTAGCGAGGCAAGTTGCTCAAAGAGGCCACATCCTGGTACTGGGAAGAGAAAAGGAACATGTCCACCGACACCTGGGCCTTGGAACACTCAACAGCGAAACTCTTGTAGAAAGAATTGCCCGTCTGGAGGAGACTCGATTCTTTGCTGGTACCGAGCACCTTCTTGTCCTCACGCATGGTGAGAGCACCATGACCGATGTTGGGCAGCGATGCGCTCAGAACGGTGACCTTACCACCCACGGGAGAAATCAGCTGGTAACCGGCCCGCAGAGCCGATCCCATGGCGCAGCTGTTGTTCTGGGTGTTCTGGAACATCTCTTGCAGCTTGTCAAGGAAAGACTCCACATTCTCACGGCATTCGCTCAGGGTCACCAGGAGGTCAGTGGGGATGGGCAGGAAGGGCTCATCGAGGTCGCTGACAACAAGCATGCGGGCTTCAGAGCTCTCAGAGCCATCTCGGGGGATGCTGAAGTAGTGCAGGCTCGAGTCGACCGCGATAAAACCAAGGCGGGTTCTTCGGTCTGCGTTGGGAATACGATCAAGACTCTCCTTGATGCAGCGTGCACTAGTGGCCAACAGACCACTGGCCACGGAAGAATAGCTGACATCGAGCAAGAACAGGTAAACGAGCGGCTGAGGAGGGCGGACCATGTATTCTTGGGGAGCAACAAACTCGACCATGCTGTGGTTCAGGTCGGCACGCAATGAACGGTCCGCGGGCTTCTGCAGGGTCGAGTCCCAGTCAAATGCCTGTGGTACATCGTTCGTCAGGTTGCACATATTACAGCGCCAGCGGTGGCCGTGGTCGAGGAAAGTGACGAAGGGGTTAATATAAGAGCGGCAGCGTCTGCATCGTGAGATGACCTGGTCGGGGATCACAGGAATGGGGTCCTCGGCGTCGTGAAGGGCGCCATAAGGCTGGATAACCAAAGCGAAGGGGAGCTTGGACTTCTTAAGGAGGGAGTTATTTGTCGGGACTGCATTCAAGGTCGACCGCATATATTTTGTGGGGCAGTTGGCCGTGGGGGATGGGTAAACACTGGTCTGTGAATTATTAGTATCTCCGGTCGGGGTTAAGTAGGAAGGGGTCTAAAGGCGTACCCCAGGGGGCAGAATTATGGGAGGCGGGGGATAGTCCAATTCTGCGACATTGAAAGGTTGCGAGATGAGGTCCGTGGGGTAGAGCTGGTTCAGTTGAACGTTGCGCTGAGGCTGAACCGCGGGCTGCTGAGGCGGGGGCATGTGGTGCGGCTCGGCCATGCCCATTCCACCGAATTGGTTGGTCATTTGCGCAACATCTGGGGCAGGTGCTACTGGTTGCATCTGGACTGGTTCAGCGCCGTATGCTGGTTGCTGGTATCCCATGGGTTGGGGTTGCTGAGGATAGGCATCGTAAGCGCCTCCCGCGACAGGCTGTCCTCCAAGTGCAGCATTGGCACCCGCGCCAAATTCAAAGGCCTGGCCGGCATATGTTCGCTTCTTCTTTCCACCAGCGGCTGGTGGTGCTTGCTGGGGGACTGGCGACTCCTGTTGCTGCGTAGGATCCGGGGAGCCATAGCCCGGCTGGGCGTACCCTTCCTGGGGAGGGTAACCCCCTTGTGAAGCTGCCATTAAGGTCGGCGGAGGTTCGTTTGTATCGAAATTAAATTGCTCGATTTGAATGTAGAGCGGGAATGAGGAAATAGGGAACGAGGTCCGGGTGGTTCAGTTGATACGGGAGGGGATGCGGGTGACAGCTTCGCTAACTAGAGCCCCACAATTAGATTTGGAATTTGGATCACCTGGCAGAGCAGGAGAGATATCTGCGAACCAACACAGCTGCAGCGATCAGAAGGGAGAGACGTACCGAGACGAGGGGAAACCGAACACAGAGAAGCGGTGATGGAGATGGTGGTGTACGGTGGCCTTTAGGTTGCGGCTGTTCGGCCAATCACGAGACGGCGGAGCTTACTGTAGGAGACCTCATACTGTACTTACAGTCCAACTACACTTGGCGCATGTGGGACGATTTAATGTTCTATAAATGAAATGTCTGCTTGTAAGAAGTCTGCGTATTCAAGAGCGAGTGTGCAGCTTGGTGTTTTGCCTTTGAGATATTGTAAGATATACCTCGCAATCGAGTCGATATATATTCCCGAGGTGACTCGAGAGCCGAAGTGACTACCCAGCGGCCTGTGCACTTTCAGGTGTATTCCAACCTTGGTTCTCAGTATGGGATAGACTTCCACAGATATTGTCACCTTGATCCATAACTATTTTTCAATCCCGGCCAATGTTCATTTCATGACGGTGGTTAATACCCCTAGAAGACAAGAATGTGTGCGATCAAATGATGCCGCCGCGTTGCCCGGCCAACACTAAACAAACGCGGTGTCTTTTCATCTCACGTTGGAACTCCACTATTCAATCTTCTCAGTCTTTGCGTCCCCTCACGGTAGGTAGGTATTTAGATAGGTTTGTTTTTCTTTTCTTTTCTCTTTTGTATTTTGACGGAGGATTGCATTATATATTTCTGCATTTTTACTTCGGTTCACGCATCGGGAGCCACCTGCAGCATTTTGTCCTGATACCCGCATCTTCGAGCATCGTGCATGCGTTGAGCCAGCAACATGAGCGTTCGAGTCGTCGCCCGAGTCCGACCCCTCCTGAAGGCCGAACGTGAATTGGATATCATTCTTCGCACTGGAGCATCATCCGCCCCCGTGGATCTCAAGCAGTCAGCCAACGGCGACCGCAAATTGGCAGCATTGAGGGACCGGGATAACGTGGTACGGATCCCGAATCCCAAGAACGAGGGCGAAGAATATACATTTCAGTTCAATGCGGTATATGATTCCGATGTGGCACAGCAGGAACTATTCGATGCCGAGGGTGAGTGGTTTAAGGGGGATTCAAGGTCACCGCCATTTCGGGGTCCATACTGATTGAAGGATGATAGTTGCGCCCACAATTAAGCACCTCTTCAATGGATTCGATGTAACGCTCTTTGCATATGGTGTGACTGGGACTGGAAAGACGCACACGATGCGTGGTGGTAAAAGCCTCGCAGACCGTGGTGTCATTCCCCGACTCCTGAGCGGCATCTACCGACGAAACCGGAAAATCGAGAAGGATAGCAATGGCGAGACTACTGTTCAAGTGGCACTAAGCTACTATGAAATCTATAATGACAAGGTCTATGATTTGTTCGAGCCACCTGAGAAGCGCACTCTGGCAGGCCTTCCTCTTCGCGACAATGGGGGCAAGACAGTCGTTTGCGGCCTTACTGAGAAGGCGTGCACCAGTTTGAAGGAGTTCGAAGGGCTGTATGATCAGGCGAACAACAATCGCTCCACCTCTGCGACCAAGGTACGCAAATTAACTATCGACAATAGGCGGGTTAGACTGACGAGATCTAGTTGAACGCACATTCGTCTCGTTCCCACGCCATCCTCGGAGTGAAGGTGACAATTTGCTCCGCCGAACAGACTCGAGTCAGCACGGTATCCGCGATCGATCTTGCAGGCTCGGAAGACAACCGAAGGACGGAAAATGACAAGGAACGAATGGTCGAGTCGGCCAGCATCAACAAGAGTCTGTTCGTTCTCGCACAGTGTGTCGAGGCCATTACCAAGAAGCAGCATCGTATTCCATACCGCGAATCCAAAATGACGCGAATCCTGTCTCTGGGTCAGAACAACGGGCTGACCGTCATGATTCTCAATCTGGCACCAGTCCGGTCGTACCACTTGGACACCATTAGCTCCTTGAACGTAGCCAACCGCACAAGGAAGATCGAGGTGCGAGAAATCGAGAATGATCCTATATTCAAAGGGCCTGCCAGACCAGCTCCACGACCATCAATGGCGAGCTCCCGTCAGCCATTGCGACCGCTCACTGCTTCTGTCAACGTGAACATGCCAGTCCCTGCAAAGGATCCGGCCGCGAAGGACGAAAGCAAGCCTATTAAGGCTTTTAGTGTCTTCTCTGACCGGCCTAAACCTGTCACCCAGATTCGGAAATCAGAAATTCCTAAAAGACCTTCTCTGGCTCCAGAGGCACCCGCTACGCGCTCTCTGAAACCGCCTCGCCAGCCCCTTACGGTGAATAATCCTCCATCCAGTCATGCGGATCTTTCTGCTGCTCGAATTGAAGAGATGGTAGAAAAGAAGGTCGAGGAACTTCTTGCTGTTCGGGCCGAGAGCGAACTGTCAAAGCAGACTCAAGTCCGCGAACTGAACAACCAACTTCAGCGTCGTTTGGAGCTGCTTGAGCAGCGGATCGAAGGTACCGAGGATGATCGGGCAGAGGGCCTCTCTTACTTGCTTATGGCCAAGCAGCACCAGGCGCGTGGGGAAAACGGCTCTGCATTGAGAATGTACCAACTAGCGCTCCCACATTTCCCACACAACAATAAGCTGGTCGCCAAGATTGCCGCTTTGAAGAAGCGCATGCAAGATAAGCCTTCAAGACAGTCTTCCACCCCTGCTTCTCCTCCCAAGGAGAAGCTTGGAAGCATGCTGTCTCTCAAGAGAGAGTCTACTCTTACTATTCTTGGAAAGCGTCAAACTGAGGCAATTGATAACGACTATGAGAATAAGGTGGAAAATGATGGGTTCTCAAGTGACGAAGAAGACATTCCTCGGCACAAGAAGCGCGCTACATCCAAAAGCGTTCGCCAAAGTGGAGCTGAGCTTGAGGATTTCGACGAATACGAGAACGGCTCTCTATCTCCTCGAACCATGCATCTGTTGTCGATTATCAACTCGCGGGATGTGAGCCAGATCAAGCTTCTGAAGGGCGTCGGTGCGAAAAAGGCAGAGGCTCTTGTCGACTGCCTCTGTGAGATGGATCAGTCCTCTACTGATCTGGTATCGGACCAGCCTATGTTCCAAGTGGAGAGCTTGGCGCAGCTGAGCACCCTGAAAGGAGTTGGCGTTCGAACCGTTGAGAACATGCGAAACGGAGTTTTGGTCTAACGATTGCATTTGCGCTTTGGGCATATACTCGGAGCTTTCTACTATTTTTACTTCTTTATGCATCTTCCTTCAGCGACGGTGCTGGGGCGTTTTGGTCGCTAGCTTTCAAGGAGTTGTTTACTTTTTGCTCATTTGAGCTTGTCTCAATACATCTTGTTTCGAGTTATGATGATTGCTGTTGTCATTTGGTATCTATTTGCATAATCCATTATTCAATATGTAGTCCGGCCCTTCTATTATGTCCATTCTTGCTGTGTTAACAGCCTTCATCACACCTTGTTCAGCTTGGTTCCCCCAACGACGATCCTGGCAGCCACAAACAACGTTGCGCCAGCTATCATGACCACACCAGCGAAGACTTGTAGCTTGGTGTATGAACCCGTTAGGACATCTGGAACCAATGCACCGCCAATAGGTGTGCCGGTGAGAGCCGCGAAGGAAATGATCGAGAAGCAAGTCCCATTGCGCACACCGACCTCTCTTAAATCCGAGATCTGGGCAATGAGTGCCGGGGCAAGTGACACAAATGCCCCGGAGCTAAAGCCATACAGGGCACTGAACACAATTGCAGGCGCATTTCCCCTAGACGGAAGCCATAAGGCCAAGACCAGTATACCAGAGAGGTAACTGAAGAAGATCATGATGTTGAACCGCCCCAGGCGATCTGCCAAGTAACCCGGAAGGGTACGACCGAAGATACTACGCCATCAACCAGTGTCAGCGAACGGATCCCCCATCACAGAAGGCTCAGACTTACCTAAACGCGTTTAAAATCGGAATAAGATATTGCGACATGTTAGACGACATCCCGTACCGTTCAGCCTGCGTGATAACAAATGTGAAAGGCAAAAACATCCCCCAAAAGAAACAAAAGCTCCCAGCAACAGTCATCACAAACTTGATGTCCTTTAACGGATACACAAAAACCATGAGATTAACCGGTTTTCTGTGATGCGGCAACCTCGATTTCAACGTCAAGTTCGAAATACCCAACATAAACAGAATAAGAAATGCACAAATCCTCATAGCCCAAGGGAAATCAACCTCGGGAATCAAATGCGTAACCATAATTGGGAAGATCACGCCTCCCAAACTCGATCCCGAGGCCATGACCCCCAACGCGAATGCGCGCCGTTTTCCGAACCAGGTACTGACGGAGTTCACGCAGGCGTTGAAGATAGCACTTGCGCCTAGTGGGCTGCAGATTCCTTGTGCGAGGATGAACTGGTAGTATTCGGTAGATAATGAGGTCATCATTAGACCGAAGACGTGGAGGAATGTGCCGCCGAGTAGGATCCAGCGTGGTCCGAAGTTATCGAATAGTAGGCCGAAGACAGGGCCCTGGGTGAGTTAGTGCTGTGATACTGCCTTGGATTGGGGATGCATACTGCAAAGAACATTACGAATGTTTCTAGGGAGGTGATCCAGGCTACTGTACTGGGTGACATGCCGCTGAGCTGGTTGCTTTCGTAGTATGTTTGGAAAACACCGATACCTATACTTGTCAGTGAATGTACGACTGATCCATAATGCAAAAAACTCACAGTTGATCCATCCAAAACTGACGAACAGCCCACAGAACCCTCCCAACACTGTCAACCAGGCTTGAAGTCCTCCATCTGGCGGTGGACCTGGACCAGGAGGTACAGGAGGCGCATCAGATTTCTCTGCGCTCACTTCCTTTGACTCCGCATCTTTATGCTCCGTGCCCTTTTCGATATCGTGAATCTTATCGCTCACCGGACTGGACACATCGGATGGCGGAGTATTGTTTATAGTACTGTGAATGGAAGAAACATCGTGCTCCTGCGCCATCTTCGTTCCCCAAACAGGAAATAATCGACTCTTAAGTCCGAGGGTGTGAAGTCTGTAGCCTGTAGATTCAGCATATTAGCGGACATACTCGACTTGATAACTCAAGCACAGAACAGAAAGGCCGCTAAGAACCTGACAATTGCCTTCGGGGATGAATCACGACAAGATTTACCTTGATAAAGCGTAAATCGGAGATTAAACTCTAAGCGGTACCTCGTGGCCAATCCCTTACGTGAAAGATTGAACGCTCAAAGGGAAGCAGCTATTCTGTCCAACAAAGCCGAAAGCCCGAAAACGAACAGTATGTATAACCAAGGTTAGAAGAAAGAGGTAGGAAAAAATAGGAACGTGGGTAATGCACGCTCCTCGATCTTCTGTGATAAGCACCGCTAACCACGAATAGAGGCTTGGCAATTCGTTCATCCATGTATACAGTCGGACATATCGGAGACTAGGGCTTGGGCGGCCGACCAATTTCGGCTCCACCCCCTTCCCCTTTCCTATGGGTCTGTGGACTCCGCCCACTAATGCTCCGCGTTTTCATGCAGATGTCGGGATGGGCCGAAGCTGATTATCTGATTACGGGATCAGGATTACATTGTGACCTTGGAGTTCTGGTGGTGGGAATTCTGGTGCTTAATATGTGTTGCTTGGCTTCTGGTGATCACCGATCACTGATCATGGACCATGTGTGTGTGGTGCATATTGTGGAAGATGCGGTCTATTTTCAATGATCGAACCAAGCCCAAGTGCATGACCCACTGCTAGTGTAGGGGTATTGGTTATGAACCAATGGGGTGAGGATAACTGTTGAAAAGTGCCTAGCAGGGCACCTAGCTCACATGGATTGTAGATGAGTAACGCTAGACCCGAGTCTACTTGAACATGATGTATCTCCGGATAACGACAGCATACAGATCTAAACTGGAAAAATCGGACGGCAAAAGCCATGATTTGAGATACCTGCGATACTGTACAATGCCATTCCAAATCCACTCTAAAGCCCATAAAACAAGAAAATCAATTTCATAGCCTACACGTTCTTTGTGCGACCAACTTCCTCCACATCAACCTTACCATCGGAGCGAATCTGCGCAATGCTCTGACTGATTCCCTTGATCTCCTGGTTCACAGTCTCAATAGAGCGGGTAAGGTGAGGCACACCCACCGTCTCGGTCTCCTTCTCAGACTCTAACTGCCGAGGAGAAGATGTGAGTCCTCGAGGAGTGCCTGCGATCTCGTTCACCTCCTGAGCCGACAGGACATCGTTCAGACGGGGACCGCGCGATTGCACGAGGACAGTTGCAGGGCCGTCAAATTGCATAAAGAGCTGGATGAGAGTTAGTTTCAGCGAAGACTTGAATAGAGGGATAATAATCTCACCCTATCGCCCCAGATGGTCATGCGAGACCAGGTTCGTAGCTTATGGAAGAAACGCATAGTAGCCTTCCAGGAATCGGCATTGGTCACATTTCTGATGAATTCGTTCTTTTGCAATAGTCTGGGCAATGTCTTCAAGCCAGGAACCTGGAAGCTGAGTGTAGTGGACTTGAAGCGATATGGCCGAGGGGGGTTCGAGGACATGGTGTAAGCCAACACGTTACTGGAATAGAAATCAGTAACCATAACATGTTTTTATGTGAGCAAGCAGAGAAGCATACCTAGGGTGAGCGATATACTGCTCGCCGTCCTTCAATTCGACAGAGTATACCTGGCCGTTGCCAACCAAGGCAATCAATCCTCTTCCGGTCACCTCGGAGCTACCCCAGTGAGACAAGCCCTTTGAAAGTTAGCCCGATTCCGATTCCCTAATAGACCTGAGTCACCACAAACCAGGTTCGTATTGATAATCGGCTTAATGGACAGAGACCGGCCCGTCCATGCCAGCAGAGCATTCCGCTGAGCCACCATCCAATCCACAGAGCCGTTGAGGTTCACAACGGTGAAGGAAGTCGTCGGAGAGCGAGTGGAAATGAGCGCAGTAACCGGGCTCGCTGAAGACACCTGCAAGAAACCAGTTAATCGTTTTGCAGGGATTATTCCCAATCACAGGGTATGCGCGCACCTTTTGATAGAGGAAGGGCACTCCGATGACCGCCCTGCGGAAGGGTTCCAGAACGCTCAAAGTGGAAACCACCTGGTTGAAAGAGTCAACAATCCATTCTCATGCCATTTGTCTCGATGCATACATTGTCTGCCTTGCCGCTTAATCCCACCAAAGTTCCTCGACGCGTGTATAGGTTTTGCGAGGCCGAGAGTGACACCGAAAGGAGCGAGTATGGGGCGCCGACAACGTCGAATCGCGCATCTAAAGAGAGCAATAGTCAGTGTATGTTCTTGCGCACTTCGATGAGAGCACGTACCGCGTGATTCCGCTGAATTGGGAGTGCTGGCGAGGGGTAGGTGATCCCCGTTTACCGTGGGCTCCGCCGAGGGCGTCGCGCGAATTTGGACATATCTTGTCTGTCGGTGGACTCGAGGAACGACTCGAGTCCAGGACAGAGTCCGGACACCTCGTGGGAGGGCACGACTCATTGTACCAAAGGAGTGTGGATGTTGGCACTGACTGACAGAGAACTTTACGTCAGTTTTCGGAGCTTCAAGATTGAAACACGGGAAATCATGGTCCCGAGAACGCAGTTGAACAATTACATACTGTGGTAGATCGACTCTTTGACTACATTCATCCAATCATTTTATTTTAGTTTACTTTTCTCCGATCTTTTCTCCGTGTTTGTTTCCCAAAAACTCCCCAGAGGTCCTTGTCCCAATTCCGACACTTTTCTCCGAAGCCGGCGACTCCCAAGGTTTCCCCACGAGCTGTCGCAACCGCGGAGCTGCTGCTCGCCAGTTCCCCTCCGAGCTTCATTATGCTCCCCTGAACACCTCCACTGGTGAAACATACCACCTTTCTGGCTAGGTCTTTTTAGCAGCCATGCTGCCTAGAGCAGTCTCGAAGTGCTGGCGCCCAGCGCTGTACTCACATCCGCGCACCGCCGGTCGTTTCCCACGCACGAGACCAATTCCCACTCAACTACGCACATTTAGCTTCAATGCTGCGCGCCGAAATCAACCTACAAACAATAAAGACCCTCTACCCAAGAATGATGCTGTCGCGAGTACCCCGCCTTCGCAACCGGAGATAGCGAATGCCTCTGTGGTTCCGCAGCTGGAGGCAGAAGCGGAGGTTAAGGCCCCCAAGAAGGAATTGCTTAATGAGGGGGCGATTGCGAATAAGGAGCAGCGAAAGGCTGACTGGGCTATTATGCGGGAAATGGCCAAATACCTTTGGCCTAAGGTAATGCGATCGGAGATGTACACGAGGGAACGAAGTACTGACCATTTGGTAGGATGATTTGGGCACGAAGGTTCGTGTTGGAACTGCTTTATCATTGTTGGTGGGAGCAAAGGTGAGCTTGCTGAACAGATGTGTATGATTGATTTGCCGGATCAGCATGCTGACGGAGCTATAGATCCTCAATGTCGAGGTCCCCTTCTACTTCAAGAGCATTGTTGATTCCATGAACGTGGACTTTGCGACTCTTGGAGGAACCGCATATACAGTCGCAGGATCGATGATTATAGCATGTAAGGCATCTGACTTCTCCGGGTAAGGCTTGTCTAACCTTTCTCAGACGGAGTAACTCGAATCGGAGCAACACTATTCCAAGAACTTCGAAACGCAGTCTTTGCGAGTGTGGCACAGAAAGCCATTCGAAAAGTGGCCCGCAATGTCTTCGACCATCTTCTACGGCTTGATCTTAACTTCCACCTCTCGCGCCAGACAGGTGGACTGACTCGGGCTATTGATCGCGGTACGAAGGGTATCAGTTTCCTGTTGACTTCTATGGTCTTCCACGTAGTACCGACTGCACTAGAGATCTCTTTGGTGTGCGGAATTCTGGTAAGTGCTTTGCTACCTGAATTGTAGATCAGCACTAATCCTTCTAGACTTACCAATATGGTTGGAAGTTTGCGGCGATCACCACCACCACTATGGTCGCTTACACGGCATTCACCATCACCACTACCGCGTGGCGAACCAAGTTCCGCCGTCAGGCTAATGCGGCTGACAACCGCGGAGCTACGGTGGCAGTCGACTCACTGATCAACTACGAGGCCGTGAAGTACTTCAACAATGAGAAGTTCGAGGTGGCTCGGTATGACAAGGCCCTGAAGCACTACGAGGATGCATCCATCAAGGTGACCACATCCCTGGCCCTCTTGAACTCCGGCCAGAATATGATATTCTCGACAGCATTGGCAGCCATGATGTACCTAGCCGCCGATGGGGTCGCCACAGGCGCCTTATCAGTTGGTGATCTCGTCATGGTAAACCAACTCGTCTTCCAGCTCTCGGTGCCCCTTAATTTCCTTGGATCCGTCTACCGTGAACTACGTCAATCTCTGCTGGATATGGAGACCCTGTTCAATCTGCAAAAAGTCAACGTGACGATCCAGGAACGACCAAACGCTAAACCGCTGGAACTAAAGCGCGGTGGAGAGATTCGCTTCGAAAACGTCACATTCGGCTACCACCCCGACCGACCGATCCTGAAGAATGCTACCTTCACCATCCCAGCCGGATCAAAGTTCGCCATCGTAGGCCCCAGCGGCTGCGGAAAGTCGACAATCCTCCGCCTCCTGTTCCGCTTCTACGATACCCAGTCGGGCCGGATCCTGATCGACGGGCAGGACGTGCGGGACGTGACACTCGAGAGCCTCCGGAAGGCCATCGGCGTAGTGCCACAGGATACGCCCCTCTTCAACGATACGATCGCACACAACATCCGATACGGTCGGATCGATGCAACAGACGAAGAGGTGCAGCGGGCCGCTGAGCGTGCCCGGATTCACCAGCTGATCGAGGGATTGCCTGAAGGCTACCAGACAGCGGTCGGAGAACGTGGAATGATGATCTCGGGCGGCGAGAAGCAGCGTCTAGCGATTTCCCGTTTAATCCTGAAAGACCCGCAACTTCTATTCTTTGATGAGGCTGTAAGTTGATAATCATTCGTTTTCTTGTTTTTGTTTTCCCCCTTCCCCACAGAAATGTATTGGGTTGCGTCATCTCGCAGCGGGTCGGGTCTGGACTGATCTTTTTATAGACTTCTGCCCTTGACACATACACGGAACAGGCCTTGCTTCAGAACATCAATAGTATTCTGAAGGATAGGAGCCGGACGAGTGTGTTTGTTGCGCACCGTTTGCGTACCATCTGTGATAGTGATCAGATTTTGGTGCTGAAGGATGGCGAGGTCGCGGAGACGGGATCACACCGGGAACTCCTCGAGTTAAACGGTGTCTATGCGGAATTATGGAACGGTCAGTTTTAAATTTGCCTGAATTGCCGATTACTATTACTAACGAGTGAACAGTGCAAGAACGCACGCAGGACGAGGAGGAAGAGCCAACGCCTCAACAACCCTAGAAGTAGATATAGAGGAATCGTACAAAGTATAGCACCAGCAGTTACTATGGATACTGTCAGGTAATCCAAGTAATTCAGATGAAACAATCTCGGGAAATTAGAACAATCTAATTGATCCAAAACCCACTCAACCCACGAGGTCAGTCCCCACTATAAACTATGTTCTAGTCCCGACTTAGTGCGCCTTAGCGCGTTCTTCTTCCTCTCCTTCTCCTGTTCCTCTTTCTGTTTATCTCTATCCACTCATTCCATTCGGCTTTCGCTGCCCATTCATTCATTTCCCCGGGGTATCTAAATCCCCAATCCAGTCGTTTCCGAGCTCGGACATTCCACCCACTTCAATTCCCACAGAATCCCGTCATCTCCTAGCGCCAGCCCCTCAGCGTTTTGTGGCACCCACTAGTTCCTGGCGCTTTCCTCGTGCCGCTTCCCCTCTTCCCCTGATACTGCATGCAGCAAATACCGCAAACCTCCAGCCTCCAGGTAAAAGCAATTCCCACCCAATTATTGAATCACGAAAAAAAAAAAACAAAAACAATACGTCTCTGCGATCTAGACCCTGAGACTGACCCGTGGATCCATTCCTCAGTGACGTTTTAAGCACCGCCCACCTCGTGCTCCTATACTCTCCCTAAGAACACGGAAATTCAAAGCCTCAACAATACCCTCACACATTCAAAATGGGTCTCATCGATAAACTCCAAGCCAGTACGTCAGGCCAGCACAAACACCAACTCGCTCGCATATATGCACACCCTCGCAGACAGTACTAACAGTCCTACCTTTCGCAGAACTCGAACTCTACCGTCTAGAGCAACGTTACGCCCGACGCAAGCACCGCAGCACTTTCTCCACAGGTGCACAATACGTCGACGGCGAATATGTCTACAACGCCGGCGCGAATTCACCCACAAGCACAATCTCAAAACAATCCACCGGGAGCTGGCGGCCATCTGGGAGGAACGGGTCTTCGGAGTCGCGGTGGCGGTGATGTGATCGCGTGATGGCTTTTCGTTTCTCCTGGGTGTACTGGCGCTTGATTTCGTTGAACCTCTGGGTTCTGTTTTGTTTTGTTCAATTTCTTTAGCATTTCTGCTCTTCGCGTCATGTCCCTGCGAAGATCTTGACGACCTTGTGTGCATTGTCGCCATGTCTGTTCCGTTGGAATGTTTCTGGTTTTTCTTTACTCATGCAGCGATCGAACCAAAAGCTGGATTTGGGTCCTTGGGATTTCTGAGGTATTTACTTCATGTCTGTGAACCACACTTTTCTTTTTTTCTTCTATTCTTTTGGTTCACATAGGGATTGTCCATAAACTTTACATGTCATTTAGCCTCCATAGCGTGAACTGTGGTTTGGTTTGAGGATGGACCTTTGAATTGTGTGCGATGTTCGGTAGATCTTATATAAAACTTTACATCGCTACATCAAAAATGAGAGGATAGCAAATGTCATGTGAGCTATAATGAAAATTCCTGAAAGTATCTGGTCAAGTATAGCTACGGTTTCTTGGATTTGCGCGATCCAATACCTAACCGACTTCCCAAGTTAGGAAGACTCGATCTTTGTTTTTGCGCAGATCCCAGAATAGACGACGAACCAGCTTTAGGACTGGGTTCCGGCACACCACGAGCACCCATACCAGGTACAACACCAAGTCCAAGGCCACCAGTTCCGGGACTCATCATTCCAGGACCACCACGCGGTGTATCAGGGAGACCAGACCGATCGCGGCCACCGGTAGCAGCCGAAAGCGCAGCAGAAAGAGATGGGTTAAGTGAGTCAGTAGATTCAAGTGAGTGGCGCTGTTGAGCCTGTGAACGACGAGCACGTTCCTGGACTGCCTTAAATTTATCCAGCAAATCGACCCAACGGATGCTGTTTTCCTCGCGTTTGATTCTAGTTCCAGTGGGACGTTCGTACGAGGGTGCGGTTTGAGCGGTGCTGAAAGGAGCATTTAGCGGCGACTTTCCCTGGTGGGGTTTCTGGACATTTCCATACCTGCGGGGTGCACCATGGAGGAATCCAATGTTGCTGACGCTATTCAAGCGATTCTTGAGGGCAGCAAAGGCGGAGCTCTGGGGGAGGAGCATGAGGACTCCATAAAGACATTTGTACAGGTATGGGTATTTTTCGGGCTCGAGGAGTTGGAGGCGGAGATCTAGATATGTTAGGTAGGCCAATTTCAGGGTAAGCGATGAACAAACAGGTGAACACGGGAGACTCGAGAAGCTGTACCAGCTTGTCGATCTGGATGAGCATGTTGACTGTCATCTCGAGTTCGGCGCTAGTTCAAGTTAGTATTGGAACAAGCAGACAAATGTCAGGGTCATACAAGATCTGGAGGAGGTTGTATGCCTGCTCGTAGGCTTGGGCGAGCAAGCACAGAGAGAAGGTGGAGACGGCATTATGGCACCAGGATCGGAATAGAGCAACAAAAAACATTTGGCCCTCCTAGTAAAATGTTAGTCCCCTCCAACAAGAAAATGGGCGTTGAAACAAACTCGAGAGTCCTGGTTCCTCAGTCGCTTCCTCATATCTGACAGTTCTGGTGCGGTGATAAGGTTATTGTTGAGGTTCTGGACCATAATACTGGCAAATTCAAGGTCCTATGAGATGTGAGTAGTCAAACATGGCACATCTAGATTGTAAACATACCTCTTCCTTTTCCAGACAGTCCGCCAGCGTCCGGTAGATACGCTCTGGGCTCAAGTTCAGGCATAGTTGTCGGATAATGAGATTTCCGCGCACCTCAAGCAGATGTCTATCAGTGGAGAAGAGCTGTAACAAGTTCACCATGAAAGAAGCAAAGTAACTGTCTTCACTGTTTCTGGAGATCTGCGACAGGAGTTGCAGATCCTTTGTCACAACTGCTTCTGCTGGGTCGGACAGAGTTTTCAATAGAGCTGGGAAGGTACCGTCGTTGAACGCAACCACTTTGCGGGGCGTCTTGCGGTGTAACATGATAAGCCAAGAGAGTGCAGCTACCCGAGTGGTTTCATTCTCATTAAGAAATTGGAGGGTGAGAGAGTTAACCGCCGCGGCATAATCAAGATCGGCTGGTTGAAATGGAGTTGAAACGATACTGCTACGCGGTGTCGCCCCAGAAGTCTCTTGGACTGACTTTTTAACCTCATTGACCGTCTCCGAAGATTTTCTTTCTGCGCCATCCTTACTGGGCGCGACGGAAGGAGTCTTCGATTGAGCCTGTGCTGCTTCCTCGGGTGTATCATCTGAAAGGGTGTAAATATACTCAAGAAGAGACTTGTTGACTCGATTGGCTGCCTGTCGGACTGATTCCACGTCACTAGACATGGCCGGGAGCACCTGCGTGAGAAGCCGGGGGACAAACGGAAGAATGTCTTCCGGGTTGAACTCGAAGAAAGAATCGATCCAACGCAGGGCTTCGACCTGCATTGCCTCCTCTGTAAACATGTTAGTGTTGGGCATGTAGGGCGGATGAGAAGGATGGTTACCGTAAGAGGGGTCAATGAAGCTGACCAGAATCTCCAAGATCTTGGGGAAATCAATTTGTACGTCCTGCCCCGGTATCCAGTCCCCCTCTGTCTGAGTGAGATCATCGTCGAGGAGTGATTCTGAAACCGAGTCATCCACCGCAATATCATATTGATTTCCTTCTCCCGCACCCGTGTCTACCGTTTGCTCGGTTTTGGCGCTCATACTGGCAGAGTCGCTTGCAACGGAGCGCCTGCGACTTTGGCTCTTGCGATTTTCTTCGATCCCCTTTTTCAGTCGGGTGATCCTCCTGATCTCTTGCAGGAATCGCTCTAAAAGGTTATGGGTTGAGACATTGACATCTTGGTCGGGTCCACCCAGGAATTTTATCAGGCCCTCTAAAAACTCCGGTAAATAACTAATCAGCTCGAGGTCAGGGATAGTATCCAGCAGAGTCAACCAAGAGACTAGAAAGTTGCGAGTAAACGGAACAATCACATGGATCCGCTCTTTCAACAAGGGAAGAAACCTCTCGAGTGAGAACGCCGTGGGCAGCTCGACCTCCTCGAATGGGTCGGCGTCTGCTGATTTCTCTGATAATTGCAGCACAGAGACATATGAGGCAGCAGACTCCGCAACGATATCCTTGACCAACCGATCGAGAAGCTCGGCGCCATTTTTCACCGAAAGTTCAATGTCCGAGGCAAGCTATGATACAAAGCAAAGTTAGCTGTAGCAAGTCAGCATGTACATTGTGTTCTCACCTTGGCTAACGCATCGAAGATATCATTGAAGAAAAGTAGAATTTCCCCCTTGGCTACTTTGGCGATGTTGTACATACTCTCACAAGCATAGTATCTGACCCTCGCATCTGGATCAGTAAAGCATGCCAGAACGGGCGGCACGATCTCTTTCAGGTAAGGTGCTACTCCTTCCTGAGCCTGGTATCAGCACCATGTCTTGATATTCCACTGCAAATGTATTTGGAGACTCACGTATCCTAGGGCAATCGAAGCGGCCGCCAGACCAATCAAACCACCATTTCGGGCGTGAGGTTGGTGTACGGCGTATGCATAGTCATGACAAAGCTGCTCGACAATCCTCGCTACTTTCTCATGTTCCGACTTGAAAACAGCCTCGCGAACGATCAGCTCGAGTCTGCGGGAATGTCGCGTGTTAGCACCGCAGCACATGCAGGTTCCAAAAATTCATTGCAACGTACTCTAGAGCTCCTTGCTTCCTTTTATCATATAGTTTGTCGTGGAGCAACCTCTGAATTGAGTAATCCATTGCTCAAACGGAGAGTGCTGTCACGAGCTCCGATTAAGCAATGTTCATGTTGGAGGGGGTGTGTCGAGGTTCACGGTCGGGTCGCGGTCGATCGCGGGCGGTTTGAAGTAGCTAGAGGGAGCGGTGAAGGGGGTCCACAGACTTAGCTCGAGCTCTGTGGATCAGGGTAGCTTCCGGAGCGAGAGTGGTGATTGTGGTGAAGGGATGCGTTGTCAACGCGGAGATGGGAAGTCCAAGCGTGTGTGACGTATGTCAGCAGGATCGGGCCTGGACTCGGGCCGAAGCTATAGATCAACAACTGACACAAGCTACACCTGGGGAACTGAAGTGTGAATTTGAAGATTTCCAAGGGCACTGAATCGAGAGGAGTAGGACGCCTATGGTATAATTTTAGTAGTGCCAGAAAGTTCTTAAGACATGGAAGATCAAAGACCGAGTACTTGAACACAGTTGTATGAATTAAAACTTTGATTATTTATCTGAAAACTAAGTAGTATCATACAGGATCGCCATTACTGCGTGAAACTGAACACGGTCAATCCATAGGTAAGTACTTCATTCAATGGACTCCCTCCTTTAAGTGTACGTGCCGGAGTACATGGCTACGCACCAAGCCAAACCCCTAATCGAATAAGCCCCAGTATAAAGATTCTCCGATTTCTGCAACCAAAACTCGCAGTCTTCATGAATTATTTCCATTTATTTGAGAAAACTAGAAAGGCATGATATACTCGCGATAGACCTATATGTGTGTAGGGAATATGAAGTGTGGATCTCGTGGGGCAATGCGGCGCCGATCCAAACTTTCCCAAAAGCTTTACAAGTCTTCCCTTATCATTCATTCAGTTGTATTACATTTGACAACCAAGCCGAGAAGCAATTTCATGAGTGAATGGCACGTGTCTAATAGGTGATCTCGGTAGTTGTGGTGCAGCTCTCTAGTTACTGGCTGCAAGGATGTAATCACTAATATGTTTTGAATGCTCTCAAAGATTGATACCAAAGCTACCTTTTCGGGTTTCACTTGAGACTTGGTCATCTTGCATGACGAGTTCATTTGCATCCTGCAGATGGCCGTCAACTGAAAAATGTACAGCTACAATGACAAGGTCCTTGACCAGATCGTCCAGAGGTGAATGTAATTGTCTCGAGAGATCCGCAAAATCGCTGCCAACGTGATTCATTTTCATATCCTGAACAATGCAGACAGTGATTATAGTGCATACGCCATTTACTTTACAGCTACTGGGCTATATCTCGCATCAATACCGCGCTTCCTCGGTTATACTTATCACTTGGTCTTCGGTTCGGACACTCTTGACCCGTCAGGTAGAATGTCCACCATTAGCGCCTTCTACGGTAATACCAGTATCTCAATCAATAGCATCTCAAGCAAGCTAAATCAACACCAATACGGGCGACCAATTGTAGATAGAGCTAGTGCGTGTTCCGTAGCCAGTTACCTCCCGGTGCCGAATTATGCGCACTATGGGCACCCAATGTGAAGATGATGGAATATCACTGATAACCCCCAAAGGGGAACTGGCGTCCAGACGTTGGGCCATGAATCATTAAATGTAGCCTCCAAAGTGGAGCCTTGATACTGCCTAGTTGGTTGGTTCCAATCCGGGGAATCTGAGGGTTTAAACGCGGACCGAAACCCCGCTCACATGAGCGGCGAAAAATACGAGCCAAATCAGATATAGTTCACTTCCATGTTTCTCCTGACAACAGAGCTAGCTCATAAAGCCAGATAACGTTCCCCACAGGTAAGTCCTTCTCATTCGTGCCCGCATACTTGATTTCTCCTCACTTGTGCCGGTCTCAGATAGCATAGCTATTTAGCCAATTGCAACTGTGATGTGGAGAGATTGCTCGGTATCTTGCCTGTCCTGGGGACATTCGAGAGGAGATAGCCATTGTAAGATGGGCAATTACAAACAGACACAGTATGAAATCCGCTATTCCAAGATTGGGGTGTCAAAGCCCAAATAGAAGGTATAAAAGCCTGCTTTTTCCAGGCCTCTATATTACATTGATAATCCTTCATTTCCTGCAATTGGACGTTAACAGAGCAATTGGCTTTGAACGTCACTTGAACGATAATGGCAAACAAATCTGATGAAGTTGTTGGAGACCCACAACACTATGATGAAGAACAGAGTAAATCCATCATGGACTCAGCGTCAGCCCAAGTTGCTCTTGGGGATCTCATGGCACTCGATGGAGTTGACCAAGCCCTGAATGCAAAGATGAATCTTGTAAATGATGTATGTTCTTCTCTCCCAGCGAACTTTTGCCAACTGATTCTTACCAACGTAGGCAATCGATACAATTGGTTTCACTGCATATCACACCAAACTGTTCTTCCTCAATGGATTCGGGTAAGTGAAATCAACCACTTGGACAACACCAATGTCCACAATTCCCAAGCTGACTATACATGCTAACAGCTACGGCGTTGACTCCTTACTACTATTCCTCATGAGCATATCCGCCGACCAAGTAGTAGCACAATACCCGCCGAGCTTCACAAGGGGAGCACAACTAGGCTTCTATCTGGCCTTACTAGCAGGAGCTCTATTCTGGGGAAGCACAGCAGATATCATCGGTCGAAAATGGGCTTTCAACTTCTCTCTGCTCATCAGTGCTATCTTTGCTATCAGTGCCGGTGCTGCTCCGAACTACCCGGCATGGGCAATCATGGTCGCGTTATCGGCCTTCGGCTCAGGTGGAAACTTAGTACTCGACACAACTGTCTTTTTGGAATACCTCCCATCGAACAAGCAATGGCTTCTTACCCTGCTGGCTGGTTGGTGGGGAGTGGGACAAACGGTGGCTGGTCTGGTTGCCTGGGGGTATATGGGTAATCACTCTCACCAACCGTGTTCTATTACGATGTGTTTTTTTGCTTACGAATAACAGCAAATTACAGCTGTCCCACAGATGGATCGGTTCCATGCACGAACGTAAACAACATGGGCTGGAGATACCTTTTCTACACATGCGGAGCACTCGTTTTCATCTTAAGCATAGCCCGAGTCCTCGTCATCCGTTTCAACGAGACACCCAAGTTCCTCCTATGTCAAGGTCGAGACGAAGATGTCGTGAAAACCCTCCAGGATCTCGCTCACAAACATAATCGAGTTTGCCACCTTACATTAGATCAGCTTCAAGCACATGGCTCAATCCACAGCTCGCACGCCCAAAATAAGGCTTCGCTTTCTGAGTTGGTCGTTCATGTGCGTGGTCTTTTTGTTACAAAGACTTTGGCCCTTTCGACTTGTTTGGTGTGGCTTTCCTGGGCTCTGATTGGATTGGGCTATGCTTTGTACTATGTCTACCTACCGGAATATCTCGCTTCTCGGGGTGCATCTACAGGAGCAAATTCGACTTACCTTACGTGGCGGAACTATGCCATTACAAACCTTTGCGCGATACCGGGCCCTATTATTGCGGGGTTTATGTGTGAGATGCCCATTTTTGGGCGGAAGAGGACTATGGCTATTGGTGCTTTTCTTACTAGTGAGTGATGCACATCTGTCTTGGGGCTGGTTTGGCTAACAGGTTCTAGTGATATTTTTCTTCGGATATACTGCGGTGAAAACAGAAGCTCAGAACTTGGGATTTTCCTGTGCTATTTCTGTCTCCATTAATATCTATTACGCGACTCTGTATGCCTATACTGTGGAGGTCTTGCCGTCCGCACACCGTGGCACTGGGAATGGAATCGCAGTTTCTATGAATCGGTTGATGGGTACGGTCTCTGCATTGATTGGTGCTTTTACTTCAACAGCCTCCTCTATCCCGATCTACGTTTGTGCTGCCATGTTGGGAATGGGTGGTATTCTTGCCATTCTGTTTCCCTTTGAAACACGTGGAAAGAAGAGTATTTAAATAGGCGATATTACAGATAATTTCATCGTTCTGCAGATCTAGAAACAATCTATTTTTATCAGCCACATCGGTATCGGACCGTCCCCGTGATTACGGAACCGTCTCCGTGTTCGGATGCGAGAGGGGAAAGAGCTCGCGTGACTGCACATCACTCCTGCAGCCATGATAGACCAATAGAGAATTTCCTTGTCACTCGAAAGCAAATTGAGTTCCAGGCATGCGTGCCTTATCGTTCGTTTGTGGTTCGTTTAGTCGTCGTACACGTCCCTTCTCCCGCCGTTCCTCGCCTATTGTTCCTAGTCAAGTGCTGTGACCTGAATGAAAATCAGAGTAACTTGTGTATTTCAAAGGAGGCTGTCGAAAGGTCAGGTGGGTTGAAGAAGGACTTAGAAGAGTTGAGGATAGTTTTAGTCTTGAAAACAATATTCCGAATAGGATACATTGTACCAGGAACACAAGTCTCTCTCAAAGCTCTTGTTGAGCCCTTCGCATGGACATCAAATTCTACGTATGGAAAACATGCATGTATATTTGAGCAATGATTAATCTAGCCACATCAACATAATCCTACAAATTTCCTACCTCCCAAACACCCTGGTAAGGGTTCTCACTATCTTGAAACTGAAAGAAAGGATCGTGCGTAATATCCATAAAAGACAGGTCAGTCGAAATCCCCGGCCCCGCCCATCCCAGCGGTTCTCGAAGATGATGGTTTGAGCCATTATCAACAGAAACCAGGTTACTTCTTGTCCAGTCATTATCGGAATTCTCAGAAGCTGCTCGATCTCTCAATGTGCTAGAGTATGGCGGTAATGCTTGGCCTCCATCAGATGTATCCACTGCCCTAGCAGAGTGATGGAAGATTTCGGTTTCGACAGTCACTCTATCAAGTGTTTTAGATGGGGGTGGTGTGAATGAGGCATCGAAGAGACCATCTCCTGGAGGATCGAATGAGGCTTTGCTGGAACTGTGGCAGAGGATATCCCACATTAAGGCTGTGTCGATAGATAATGTTCGTCTGGTTTGGCGGTGATGGCTTGAGCGAGGACTGACGGCGAATGCTGACTGAATGAGATCTTGGACTTTTTGATGCTGATACAAGTTAGTAGATGAGTAAAGATTGGTGTTTGGTAGACTCACTAGTGCCTGGCACCGTGGCCATTTTGAAGCTAGATCACTAAGAAATCGTGTGCAGGTTTCTAGTTTTCGCTGGGCGGAATCTCTCATGCCTTGATCTGCGGCACAGCAATAATAAAGGTGGATTGTAGCTGCGATAGCCACCGCGTGGCAAAGGAAAGGATCGGAAACTTCGTATTCCTTTTCGTTTATCAGAGTGATTAGTCGAACGGTCCATGTAGTGTGGATCAAGGCCAGCTCAGAGGATGTCTTCCAAAAAGTATTTGGCACAGCCAGTTGAGAAGACTGTTGCGGGCGCCATGAGTAAAGGAATGGGTGATTGAGCACACTGTGCACAGCATGGTAGGTGAACTGGAGATAAAGCCAGGGGCTCCAGAACCCTCGGTCACGATTTAATTCTTCTCGCGATTTATCTTGAAATCTCACCGAATCATATCGATGACAAGTGGGTAATTTGGTCTCCATATCCATTAGGTGGGCCCCAATAATAGAGTAGCCAGACTCCACTGACCACGGAGGCGTGGAGTATCCACTAGCACAATGCGAAACGTATTGTTGGACTTCACTCCAAAGTGTAGCCAGTTGCACCATATACACCCAAATCCCTCCTCGAGATGTGAAGACGCCGTTTTCTTGGGGTGTTTGTGGTGGCTTCATGCCCATTTCCCGTGGCGAGTCGACGTTGACAGCCATATATTTTGGCCTGTGAATATCCCCTAGCATATTCAATTGCATACTGTGCGGGGCGTAATGCTGCTTAAGAAGATGGATGCTCCAGAAGACCCTTCTTTGCGCTTCTAGTGCAAGGTCTAGCTCACCCTCGTGCCTTTCTATGTCAATGCCCGCGCACTGAACGAGGTTTGCAGCAAGGCCGATATGAAGCCAGACAAGATGTGTGTCATTCGCTAAAATAGGTTAGATATGGCATAAAAACCCGGAAGGAATTCCTACCGATATATTCAGCCAGTGTGATAAGGCACAAACTCTTAATAGTTGATAGGTCCACAGTGCCCTGAGCAATTCGAAACATGACATAGCTACGCGCAGCTTCAGCGTAATGCCGACACATCTGATCAGTTCGCCCTTCCAGGAACGGATTGTTCGAGTATCGCAGAGCGAGACTGAGGATACCGAATATAACCTCGCTGCGGCAGGCTTCCGGGATAGAGAGTTCATCAGGGTCAAAAAGCCATAGAGGTTGTTTGTGACAGTACTTGAAATAAAGAGAAATGCCCTCTGCAACAATACCCTTGGGGGGCATCGCAAATGGCAACGGGTTTGAAACCTGAGGGGCTATTTCATCCCTGGAGATGCGTCGCTGTGTAACTGTTTCTTGTACTTCATTTGACTCGGAAGTATTTTCATGAGTAGGAAGCTCGTCTGGGCTCGAGCGGTGAATTTCAACTTGGCGGGTGGAGCTATTGCAATCAGCACTCCTAATCGGCGTTTTGGAATATCAACAAAATCGCACATTGGCCCTTCCAGCATCATTTCCATCTTCTCTTCTAGCTGTAACAACCTCTCTTCCTGATTTCAAATTAACCAATATGGCCTTGATGTTGATAGACAGGTCTTACCAAAACCCGATCGCCGGATCTCTCCAACACCTCATAATGTCTGCTATATTGACATGTCTGCTGCAAACGTGTACAGGTAGAGCAAGCAGGCCGCTCTCCCGGACATCGCGTCTTTTTGCGCCTTCGGGCAATTAGCAGGAATTTTTGCATCAGCTGGCATGAAACATACTCACCTACAATTTTCACAAGCCTGATGGGATCGTTTGTGAACTCGATTCATTGGGGGTGAAACAATAGAGATAGAAGTATGTCACAGATGTTCTTAAGAGCGGCGGGGTTATCGGGTTATGACCCGTGGACCGCGATAACACGGGGAAACACTGCCTAATTGGGTTCAACTTTATGACCGTATTTACTGTATCACGAAAACATATCCTTCAAGATTATATCAATTTCAAAATTGACTACCGCTAATAAAGCAAAAGTCATAAAGACTTGATCACCATTCTAACTCTCTATTTCCTTCACTGGAACAGGATAACCCAGCACAAAAGGCAATGTCCTCCGCAGTAGCCTGTCCCGCCGAATGCTGCCGCGCAGGCCAGATCTCCCGCTTCTCACTCTTCTCCTCATCCCTATGAGAAACAAGAAGAGCTCTAACCGTGTTCTGGAAGTAGATTGGCGCACTCTCAAGACGAGGATGCAGTTGACCATTGACAAACACGCCGGCATTCAAGTTCTTCTGCGCCGCATTGCAAAGATGCTTATCCTCATCCAGAACTCGCTTGAAGAATGAATCAATGTACTCAAAGTCCTCATCCGAGGCTTCCTTGTGTCGGTAAACTTCATATTCCATAGAACAGGCTCCAGCAGATGTCGGGACGCATCGCATCATGTAGAAAAAGTGTGGCCTGAACAACTGTTAGTGCGCATATCATCGAACCTGGAATTAGAAGTACTCACGAGACAGTCATGCACGCATTGGGGAAATAATAAGTACTGGCATTATGGATATCGTCCGCCACTTTCCCCTCCTGCGGTCGGGAGAAATGCTGAATATGTCCCGGTGTCGAGATGGTATAATAGTATGACAGATCAGCCAGATTGGCCACGTCAGGATGGGCAACAGTACAATGATAACATTCATTGTAGTTATCAGCCAGAGTTTTCCAGTTATAGTTGCCATCCATCTGCCAAGTATGATCGAACTTGTACTGACTGAAATCGAATCTCTGGAATCGTTCTTGCTCATCCACGCCTTTGAAGTCTTCTTCCCAAGGAATTGGATTTGGCGATGCGTCAAGGTTGACCCAAATAAAGCCCAGCTTGTCGACATGCACATGCACTGGGAAGAGACTCTGGCTCTTCTTATCGAAGTCTGGGACTTCGTCGAACTTCGGTGCTTTGGCCAGTTTCCCGTTGAGACCGTAGGACCAGCCGTGATATTTGCAGGAGAGGATTCGTGCGTTGCCCTCGTTTTCTGATAGGAGGGGAAATGCCCGATGACGGCAGATGTTGTGGAAGCCATTCAGATTGCCTTCTCGATCGAGACATAGTACGAAAGAGAATCCTGCTTCTTCAATTTTGAGGAAGTCGCCGGGTTTGGTGAAACGTAACTTGTGAGTGACGAGGATCCATTTCTTGGAAAATATCGCTCTTCGTTCTAGCTCGTACAGCTCTGGTGAGCTATACCAAGAAGCTGGAAGGGCTTTAAGGGATTTATCGGGAATATTCTGGGATTTCTTGATTTCTGGGGAGGAGTTGTATCCAAATAGTGAAGCAACTGCAGCAGCCATGATGAAGTATAAATTCAAATCAATGTTCGGCAGAGTGCAGTTGGTGATGTCGATTATATGCGTACAGCAGCTAGACCCCTGGATTTAATGTACATATCTCCGTTACTTGATCATGCGATCATTTACTAAAAAGGTTGCTCAAGATACAGTTGTCCACGGCGTGGGGCCGACGGAACCACCGTATTGTATTGTTGTAACCACGGAGCCATCCGTCACGGCCTTCGGCTGAAAGCCGCTCACGTGGAACGAGAATGTATCACGGGACTCTCCGCTCATGTGCACATAACGAGATCCCTTAGCTTTTGGCATACCTTCCGCCGAGGAATACAAGCCTAGCTTCGGTAGCACTTTGAGAGCATATTTAGCTCTATCGACTTTTTGGAAGAAATCGGATTCATAACGATAAGCGCTCAGCATAGCCGCTACTATCGATTTGACTGTACGATTCTTGACATTTATTGAAACCGGCGCAGTCGCTTTATTTTATAGGAAAGTAATGGTTGAAGATATCTTGGATTAGTTGAAAAAGAACTTCTATTTTGATCCTCGAAATCCCCGTTCTATCGGCTAAAAGCTTAATGAGCAGTCTGCTTGAAGATAATCTTCTCTTTTCGATGATTGAAGCTAAGATGTACTGTTGGTACAAGTAGGATTAGCATAACAGACGATATATCAATTTTTCAACGTTGACCAATTCATCCGCGAATCTATAATAGGAGTCTCATCAGTCGGAGGAATTCAGAGATCATATATTGACAAATGTCTCCGTAGAATCCCTGTCCGTTGTTTACCTACCGTACAGCCTAGCGACCAATCATAATAGGCCTCGGGCAGTCCGGCCCGAGCTACACTTTCGGGGGGAACTACGTATTCTGGCGCCGTAGTTAGAGCCGAGCTAAGAGCTGATGTAGATGCTTATGTCTCCTTCCTCGGCTTCATTGAATTTGATCCGTCATAGTCCAATTAGACACTCAGCTAATTAAATCCTTTCGAACAGTGTTTCCTTCCTATGGGTTCGTTCTTATTCACTGTTTTTCTCTTCGCCTTGGATGGAACAATAGTGAATAAAATACCGGCCGTGTCTTCGAGTTGCCCTAATCTTCATTCTGGATCGTAGCCCTTCGGCCTTCCATTGTTGAGACCTCCAAAACCGAGAATCGCCTGTCCTGGACTGGAGTGTCGCTTACGCTCGGAGATAACGCTATCTTGGAAACCTGCTTCCCGGACATTGCTGTTCTTCTCTCGGGCCCCACTGCCAAGGCACCACTAATGTTAAGAGTCATCCGTAGATTTTGATGAACATCGATGAAGAAACTACTGGCGAAAGTACTGAATGGCATATGATAACAGAGTTACACTTCTAAATATTCTCTCCCACCACGTCCACGTGATGATGGAAGTGACTACATTTGGTGGAATCATCTAAGGCAATTGCGGCCTCAATCCTCATTGCGGTATAGTACGGGGTATCCGGGGTATCCGGCGCACAAAATCGGCTGAAGACAGCTATGCTGATGACTCACACCCATTGCCAAGCGGATTGCTTCGAGGACACCTTTATTCACTCAAATTCTAAGTCTCAATTCTAAGTCTGGACAGTCACTTTCGCAATGTTGTCAACGCTGGATATTGCGTATTTGAATGACAAGCCCTGCCCTCGTCGGATCATTATCGTTGGAGGAGGCATTGTCGGTGCAGCACTCGCTTTCCATCTGTCCAAGGCGAAAAGTGGACATCATATTGTCCTGATTGAAAAAAGCTTGGACAGTTCGTTGGGATCTACCGGCCATGCTCCAGGGTTCGTAGGCCAGCTTAATGAGTCGCCTGTCTTGACTCGACTCGCCCAAGACACCGTCTTAGACTACCTCTCCATTCCTGGTGGTTTCGACTCTGTCGGCGGCCTGGAACTTTCCTCAACTCCCTCTGGCTTGGAGATGTTACAGAGCCGCCAGGCAAAGGCACGGGTGGCTGGCTTACCTGCGGAGCTGATCACGCCGGAAGCGGCAGCTTCTCTTGCCCCAGACTTCATCGACGCCAGTTCAGTCAAGGGTGGCTTGCATTTCCCATCAGATGGAACTGCAAATGCAAAGGTAATTACATCCTACTATTTCGATCAGGCTCGAATCAGAGGAGTGGATTTCCTGGAAGCCGCCGTTACAGGCTTCGATATCAAGGGAGGCAATGATAATATCACGAACATAGCCGCCATTCGGACTGAAATTGGGGATATCAACTCAGAGGACAGTACCGTGATACTCGCCACTGGGGTTTGGACATCTTCATTGATTTCGGCCGGCAGGAAAGCCCCTTTGACAGAACTTCCGATTCCCATTGTCCCCGTCGCACATCCTTACACCTTTACTCTGCCGCGACCACCACGGGCTGGGAGCCCATACCCGTTCGTTCGTTGGCTTGATCATCATGTTTACGCAAGAGACCACGGCAATCGGGACGGTCTAGGCAGTTACAATCATGCTCCACTGCAGCTCGATCCGACAAACAGCGCCATCGGAGCCTGGCCGTCGAAGTTCGATCAAGTGTTGTTGGAAGCGTCTTCGATCTTGAAGAATGGAAATGATTTCCAAGTCCAGGGGCATGGTGGGGGACCGGAGGAGCCTTGGTTACCGGAAAGGCCATTCAATGGCATCTTCTCTGTGACACCTGACAATCTGCCATTCGCTGGTCAGGTACCTGATGTTGCTAATTTATGGCTGTGCGCTGCGATCTGGGTCACGACTGCAGCTGGTACGGCTAAGCTGCTGTCAAGAAAGATTCTCGGTGATGCTTTGCACTCTACTCTTCCCGAAGATGAGGTTCTTCTGAGCGCGCTGAATCCTGCACGCTTTCAAGGGCTTGAAGCTGGTAAGCTTGTGCAGCAAGCTTTGGAAAAATATAACGATATATACAATCGAGAGACTTAGGACGATTGGATGTCAATTCAAGAGAAGCAGTTTCATGTTTTTCCCTCAGGCGCGAGGGCTCTGCAAACTTTGTGAGGTTGACCGGAGCGCTGGAGGTAGACACGCACAGACGTCGGGATGTGGCATGTATATAGCAGATTTATGTAAAATACGTTAGCTCCGAGCGTCATGTGGAAGGATAGCAGAGGTTCTACCGGGCATTGTATAACAATAAGAGGTAGTCCTTGATAGTCGGCCCAACCAGCACTGTATGTCTTAGTCTACCAATCCAATCCGAAAATAGCAGCTCGCGAGATAGTTCAACAGTTGATTGCATCTTTCCTTTTCCACTGCTTCGGAGCCGCGGAGCCGCAATACCTTCTCGTATTCTATCTATCTAAAGCCCATTAATAAGAAAATTGAATATCATAATATATCATTATAATCAACGCATTCTGAGACTCAAATCACTTCCTAGCAAGGGAAATCACGTAGCAACGACTCCATCCCCTGCAAGATATCCCCTTTCAAATCCTCCAACTCCTCAATACCACAACTAACCCGCAGCAACCGCTTATCACATCCTTTATCACTCATAGTCCGCCACTCCATCAAACTCTCCACACCCCCCAAACTAGTGGCATGCTGGAAAACATACATCCTCGTTGGCAAACGCCTTGCATGCTCCGGATCATGAGTCCAAATGGAGAACACCGGTCCAAACCCACCAGGCATCTGCTTCTGAAGCCAACCATCCTCCAAATTCTCCTTCTGAAGAGACGCATGCTGAACATGACTCACAACTTTCGAAACCGGAGACTTCGCATCATTCACCTGATCAGCAAGCCAAGCCGCAAGCTTCGTAGCCGTCTCCGCCTGCCTCATTACCCGAAGCTGCATGGTACGCGCAGACCGAATACCCAACCACCCCTCAAAACTTCCCATGACGCTACCGATGTACTGGCGGTCTGTATGTAACGTTTTCAACCAGTCCTCCTTCACACGCTCAGGCGCAAGGACCAGAATGCCGCATAGCATATCAGAGTGTCCACCAACATACTTTGTTCCACTATGCATGACTATATCGGCTCCAAGATCGAGGGGATTCTGAAGTGGAGGAGGGGCAAATGTCGCATCAACTGTTAAGTATGCGCCCTTTGCAGTTGCTTTTTCCCTGTAATAAGCTAGGTTCCTTGCTTCGCCGGTTGGATTCAGTGGTGTTTCGACGTGGATTATATCGCCTGGCCCGGCTTGATCAACATCGGTCAACTCCAGTTTTTCAATCCCTGATAGTCTCTGGATAATATCCAAGACACCATGACATCCATGATACCCGTCTCCAATGAATATCTTTTTGGGATTGATGAGGATCACCATTGCGTGAAATGCTGAGAGTCCGGTCGAGTATGTGATTACTTCGCCGCCCATCAGGCTGCGAAGCACGACTTCTAGTCGCTTGGAGTTTGGTGCGGTGTATCGGGAATATACGTGAGAGTCATTCGGGTTGTTTGGCTAGTACTCGTTAGTACTGGTTCGAAGCTTTGCTTTGGCTAGATCTAGAAGTTTCATAGCTTACATCGTTGTTTTCTTCTGGGACTAGATCCTCTGCGTCTCGGGCATAACGGAAATTCACCGCTGTGTGCATGCCGGGAGCGATAGCTCGGTGGGGGGTAAAGAAGTCGTCGGCATGAATCCCTCTTGTTGAAGGGTGCATATCCGGCAGGGCCTTGTTGAGGGCTTCTGCCGTCAAAACAAAGTTTGTATCATCGATTGAGCCCATTGTGTATACTGATGGTAGAATAAGCAATTGTGGTAGGAGTAAAACGTTGCAATTTGTAAATGAAGTTTTATAGCCAATTCTATTACATTACAGATACAGATACAAACAAAGGGTATGACCTGACGTTCGAGTCTACCCCAAATTGAGTAAACATGCGGTTCCGTATGGGCGGCCCGCTGCCCGATCAAGTGACCGGGGATTCCCCGGTCTAAGCGTATCGATGACATGTCAATGCAAACCCCTCATTGCTAGTTCAAAATCCAACGCCAGATGTCGGGGAAAAGGTCATGAGACCATGCGGAATATCGAAACAAGCATATCTTCCCGGGCGAGAGCCATCACGTGGACGGTGGATGATCATTCGCACCGTGCTCAATAAGCCAGGATAAAGCATAAAGATAGAGTCGAAGTCAATTCATGCTACTGACATACACATACCTTCCACAATTCAAACAATGACTCAAGAAATGGAACAATTCGACGTCGCCGTCGTTGGACTCGGCGTCCTTGGAAGCGGTGCAGCCTACTACGCAGCCCAGAAAGGCGCAAAAGTGATTGGATTCGAACAATTCGAGCTCGGTCACGTCCGTGGGGCTTCTCACGACACCTCCCGCATCGTCCGAACCTCAAATTTTGCACCTGAATACGTGGCACTTGCCAAATCAGCCTACAAGGACTGGGCCGAACTAGAGAATGTGACCGGGTATAAGATGTTAACGACGACCGGTGGGGTTGTTTTCTTCGCACCGGACTCACCTGTTCCTGCGAGCGATTTTACGAAAAGTCTCGCTGCTCTGAATGTGCCTTATGAAACACTCGATGCGCAAGAGGTCAAGAAGCGCTGGCCTCAGTTTGATATTGCCGATGACGTTGTCACTGTTTATACGGCTGATTCGGGCATTGCTCATGCCAATAAGACTGTCAGCACATTGCAATCCCTGGCGCGATCTCATGGTGCTGTTTTGAAGGACAATACGCCTGTTCAGCGTGTGACACCTCAGAAGTCGGGTGGTGTTGTTATTGAGACGCCGAAGGGACGATTCAGGGTTAAGAAGGTGATTCTCACTACGGATGCGTGGATCAATAAGCTTCTTGCGCCTCTCTCCGTGCATATTCCTGTCTCTGTTATGCAAGAGCAGGTCACTTATTATAAGCCTACCGATCCATCTGCCTATGAGACGGATAAACTTCCTGTATGGATCTGGCAGGGGACTCATTGTTTCTATGGGTTTCCTAGCTATGGCGAGCCGACTATTAAAGCGGGTCGCGATTATTCCAACAACTTTATGAGTCCTGAGGAGCGGACTTTCGTGCACTCGCCACAGTTACTCGAACAGCTCACGACTTTTATGGATGGTTTCATGCCAGATAAGGAGCGCACTCCGCTTCGCACGATTACTTGCCAATATACGATCACTCCCGACCGGAATTTTATTATCAGCCCACTCGAGAGGGATCCTGATATCATTGTTGGTCTGGGTGCGGCTCATGCTTTCAAGTTTGCACCTGCGTTTGGTCGTGTTTTGGCTGAGTTGGCTGTCGATGGTAAGACCAATGAGGATATCTCGAAATGGGGGATCCCCAAGGCTGCAACACTCAACAGCAAGCTTTGATGATGTGTAGATAATTTTTGAAGTGTTTTACATCTGTCGATAGCGACCAATTCAAGGCTACAATGTGATTGCTTCTTTACCGGATCATCCGAGTCTGGTCACTCCGTAAGTTCAATGGGGACCGTAAGTATTTCCCCAAGTGCGGGTCCGGTAGGGTCAACCCAACCACCAACTTTTGGGAAGGCTTGTACCACTCAGTATTAAGCGGGCTCTCTTCAATGTTTTACTTTAATCCGTTACTATAGAGAAGTATTTTGAAAAGATAATTCGAAGATCCATATAGCTTTTTGGTGACGATAGAGCGGTTTGAAAGTTTATGTGTAAATATGGAGGACCCGCCAAGGCATTTACTAAGCTTTTAAACCCCTCTAATATTATTTATATGTTATTAAAACAACGACTTATTCGGTTATATTTGAAGCTTATTTAAAGAGGAAGATATAACAGTATTTAATAGTACCTTCAGGGGTATGTACCAGGTTTATGGTGAGTAATACTATACGTAAAAAATAATGTGTTAGTATAAAGGGTGATGAGACAATTACTTATGGTTGAAAATCTTAGCGTAGATTTTCAAAAATATTTAGAGATAGTTCTGTGCGTCAGATGGGTATTACCTAAATTACTATGAGTAATTATATAGAACTTTAGTAAGATATGGTGGTGTCGTGAAATATTTAGTGAATATGTATAATTAATAAGGTAATTAATAAGGTAGGGCCGGAAACTGATCTGGGGTAATACTTTGGACTAGATAGTGTAGTAGTCCCCAAAGGGCCCTGGTTGCATCAGATATGACCAAGTTGGCTCCTCGTAGCCCATCATTCCCAACCCATACATCTGGCTCCCGTTATTAAAGGCAGGAAACATCATACTAGCATCGGAATCTGGCCCTGATTGTTGGAACTCCATTGTAGGCTCAGCATTGATGTTGCCATAGGGTAGCAGCTCTGCGGTAGGACCGACTGGATCAGCCTGGGACGCAGAAGCGGCATTTGTATCTTGCACTAGACTAGATGGCAAATTCGACCTTTTCATCTTTGGCACATATACTTGACGCAATACAGTAATCAGCTCTGGTGAATCAATAGCCCTTCCCTGTTGAATTTCAGCCTGCTCATGGGCTTCCCAGGCCTTGAGTATAGCCTGCCCTAAAGCAGTATGCATAGGACTTTTCAACCTGCGGATCAGACCTCGATGCTGATGATTATTGAAGATAGCTTTCCATGCGCGCTCACAAAGTGGCCCGGTTGTACGGTGCCGCAATTCGCTCATGAGGAAGAAAAACCCCGGCATGGGGGCTTGGAACTGAGTGTACCAAAGAAAACCACGTAGTTCTTTAGTGTTGTAGATCTCGTCATCGCACTCGATCATTTGCACAGAAGTCATGAAGAGATTGTCACGCTCTTGATCAGAGAGTTTTGTTGTTGGGATACCCCGGCACATGAAATCCACAACTTGGAGTTTGTAGAGCGATACTCGTGCTGTTAGTAGTGCGAAATTTTGTATGGGGATTTCGGGGTCACAATATTGAAGGTACGTCGATTCGATGTAGGCAGAATATTCATTGAGGCCACGAAATGGTGATTCGTTCACTTCAGAAGGATTGAAACTAGATGGTGGCACAAGGGGTTCGTTTTCTTGTCGATTTCTCACTATTGATGGATCTGGTCGCAGACCGCTCGGCGTAGTAGAAGCCAACAGTTCCACACGAGTCAGACAGAAGAGCATTTCGGTTGATCCTGTGGACGGTCTCGGAAGAGATTTGGTGTGCTTGTGAAGATCTGAATCGTTGATATTAAGAGGAAGTCGACAGTCGGTCCGGGATGATGATAGGGCTGTGATAGCAGAACCTGTCAACTCAGCTATACGCTTGTCAAACATAGCTAGTTGCCACCAAAGTCGTCGGCGTTGCTCGGTCTCAAATGGCGGGATTCCAAATTGATCGCCATCTCGATGTATACCAAGACGAGTAGCTACACGCACCGCGATACCGATCAAGCAGAAAAGAGATCTTGGATCAACAGATTGACATATGCTGAGCTGCAGTCCAATATTAATCAATGTAAATCGTGTTGTCTTTCTAGACAGGGCTCATATGCGAAGAAGAATGGTTGAGACTTTGAACTAAGGAGCAGAATAAGACTTACAAGGTATAAAAGCAGAGCCTGTAGCGTCGTCAGCTCGATTGAGCTCATAAACTTAGCATTGATAAGAGCCTGTTGTGACGCTGCATGGTACCGAGCCAACAACTCATTCTTTGAATCTCCAAAAGCTGCCTCAACTTCGTCATTCGGCATCGACGTCACCGATATAGAATATATCGCAAACATTAGGGCCTCAAAAGATTCATCAACTTCGGCAAGGTCGGCACTAGCTTTGACAATCTGGTTCTGCAGGGTGGGCACATGGCTGATCTTCAAAAGAGGGTTGACATTATTGAGGTAGATCTGCCACAGCTGGAATATTTGGATTGCAGATGGATGAAGATGAGTAATTGGACTTTTCGAGCCTCCTACCATGAATGGAAAACCATCATTACTATTTTCAAACATCTTGTCAAAGGCATGGTGAATTGTTGGCTGATCATGCTCATCATCATCGGAGCCTTGTAGCAGGTCATTGTGGGTTTGATACTATAAACGGTATAAGCATCTTGGAATAGATTTGAATTATGTGCCAGTCGCATGAAATTGCAGGGGTAAGCTGAGTGAACTAACCTCGTCATAGTATGCAGCCCATTTAGAACTTCTGTATCAAATTAGCGCTCGGAGCCAATAAAGATCGACATGATGCTGACTTTTTACGAAGTACATCTCGAGACTTCTCAGTTTTCGGAGAAGCAGGCCCCGGAGAGAGATCCAGTACATCACTAGGCATTTCCGACGTATTCCTCTCACGTTCATTGTCCAGAATTGAATTGAAGTCGATGCCATTCCGAGCCATTAGCGCCTCATATTTCTTGAGCCGATCGATCAAATCACCCTCCTGGATCTTTCGCTTCTTCCTTCGAGCTGGTTGTATGGGTGCAACCTTGCACTCGACCTGTGCTCGAACACAACCTGTGCAGGGTTTTTGTTGATCGCATCGGACCTTGCGCTGCTGACACAGGATACACGATTGACCTCGTGGCAAACTCATAATGCGGGCTGGTCTGGGCCCGAAGCTTTATTAGAAGTAGGGCTCGGTCCTGAACCAGTCAACCAGTCAGGCAAAACGAAATGACGATCAAAGGGCACAGTTGAGCCCATAAAGATTCGGGGAGAAAGGGTGACTTCGGACCCGAAACTGGCGCTCGGGACCGACATCCCCGTGACCACTAAACCAAAAGGGGTAGTATGAATCTCATCATCAAGCATTGAGAGATGGATTTATCAAGCTTCTTGCTTACTCGCAAAACTCGTTCCGAGAGATCGGAATGTTGTGTCTCTTTGAGGAACGGTCAATGCCTTGAAATAGGCCGAGATCCCCTTGATTGGAACCCAGTGACAAAAGGAATGCTACCATCAAAACTCCAAGACCAACTATATTTCTCAAACTTCCTCCCACTATCTTAACCTTTGTGCATTTAAAACTCGAGTGAAATGACTCGACCCTCACATTCAGAAAATAGGACAGATCCCGAGGTTGTAAATCAAGATGCTTCACAACAAACAAATACAACATGTCCACAACCATCATCATCACCGTCACCACCGGGGCCACCTGGCGGGCCTGCAGGCAGCCAATACCACCCCAAAACACTTCAATTCTGGCTAATAATGCTATGTAACTTCCTGTCTTTGTTACTAGTTGCACTAGACCGAACAATCATCGCAACAGCCATCCCTCGCATCACAGACGAATTCCATAGCCTGGGCGATATTGGATGGTATGGATCAGCCTATATGCTAGCTAGTGCATCAGCACAGCTACTTTTTGGACGAATCTACAAATTCTACGATATGAAATGGGTATTCTTGTCTTCAGTGGTTGTCTTTGAGATTGGATCAGCAGTCTGTGGCGCCGCCCCTACTTCCAACGCTTTTATTGCAGGCCGTGCCATTGCGGGATTTGCTTCGGCGGGAATATTCTCTGGTTGCATGCTGATCATTATTCCATTGGTACCACTTCACAAACGACCGATGTACCAAGGCTTATTTGGGGCTGTGTTTGGCATTGCTTCAGTTATGGGTCCGCTGGTTGGTGGAGGTTTTACCAGTAGTGTTACTTGGAGGTGGGCAGACCTAAACACGAGACTCGGGAGTTAGCCACTAACAATGATGGTCGCAGGTGGTGTTTCTATATCAATTTGCCCATTGGGGCGGTTAGTCTGCTGGCCATGACCTTCATCTGGCATCCACAGAAAGCCCAGCATGATTGCGTTCCCGTTCTGGTGCATATTAAACGCCTAGATCCACTGGGAATGCTCTTCTTCATACCGTCAATGGTCTGTCTTCTCTTGGCTTTCCAGTGGGGTGGATCGACATATGCGTGGAATAGTGGTCGGATTATTGCGTTATTCGTTGTATTTGGGGTCTTGATCCTCATCTACGCCGCAATCCAGATCTGGAGGCCTGAAACAGCCACAATCCCTGCAAGAATTATTACTCGTCGCAGTATCCTCAGCGCGGCTGTTTTTATATTCTTCACATCCAGCGCAATGATGATGATGATTTACTACGTTCCGATTTGGTGTGAGTAATACCCCAAACTGTCTGGAGCACGACATCTTAACTTCGACTAGTCCAAACCGTCAAGCTGGTCAATCCTGTCAAGTCTGGAATCTATACCCTGCCACTAGTCCTCAGTCTCGTCGTTGCAAGCTTTATCGGCGGCCTATCCACGCAGAAAATTGGATACTACGTCCCAGTCATGTATCTCAGTCCAAGCATTATGTCGATAGGACTAGGCCTAATGACTACCTTCGACCTCAACACCAGCTCATCGCACTGGATTGGGTACCAGTTCCTTTCGGGCTTTGGTCTCGGACTTGGAATGCAGCTGAGTGGATTGGTTGTGCAAAGAATTCTACCACCACCGGATATCCCAATTGGCATTGCGTTGATGTTCTTCCTCCAGCAGATTGGTGGGAGTATTTTCGCAGCGGTAGGACAAACGATCTTGAGTAATATACTTGTCTCGCATCTGAGTGGTGTCCCGGGTCTGGACACGAATTTGGTTGTGAATGAAGGTGCGACGGATTTGGTTTCGGTTGTGCCATCAGAAGACATTGTGATGGTTCAACGGGCATATAATGATGCTTGTAGGAGGATCTTCTTTACTGCTTTGGGGCTGACGCTGGTTGCTCTGATAAGCTCTCTTGGTATGGAGTGGAAGAGTATCAAGGAAGGCAAAAATGGTCAAGATGGTCCCGAGCACGGAGGAATCAGCAATGATGGTAGTAAGCACGATGAGACTGCGACTGGGAAATCTGGCCAGCCGCTCACTGAGAAACCCGAGAGGTGATCAATAGTCACCCTGATACATAATTTATCGGAGAAAATGAATTGTTTTGGTATGAATTTGTAATCAATGAAATAAGCATATCTATTTACCATACGAACGCCGGTCGAAAACGTCCAATACGCCAATATCATTCCCGCTGCGTGTACATTATTCTATCCAGGCTAAGTTATGTCTATCAGTGGCTGATATACTGGAATATAGCAGAGACATCACGTTCTCCGGCCTCCTGCCGCATGAGCAAGTCCTGGATCTGGCCCAACGGTCCCTGCTCTCCAGTATTGACCAAATGATTCCATGAGCTTGTGTCGCCATAAAGCATAGCCGGAGCCTTTACAAATTGTGTTCCATCCGGTCGGCATCGCTTGCACTTGAATGTATCGTGTGTATCACTACGAGTCTCAGGCTTGAATTGGAAAAGTTCTCGCAGCGACTCCAAGGAGAAATGGCGCTCAACATCCTCCGCCGAGTCCACGACACAAGACGAAAGAGATTGCTTGTGTGACTGACGCTGGAAGATCTTCTCCTCGATAGATCCAGTTGCAATAAAGCGATAAACGAAACAGTCTTTCTTTTGTCCGTCACGCCATACACGGGCCAACGCTTGTTGATCGGCAGCAGGGTTCCAGTCAGGGTCGAACAAAACGAGTCGATTTGCACCAATCAAGTTCAGACCGCATCCACCAGCCTTACTACTAAGGAGAAACACAAATTCAGGGCCATCGGGGTCATTGAACTTGTCGACCAGCTTTTGTCGCTTCTTGATGTTCATTGTACCATCCAGTCGTAGATTCCCGTAATTGCGCGACCGGCAAAGTCGCTCAAACAAATCCAGAGTCTGGGTGTAGTTGCTGATAAGAACGATCTTGTCGTTGGTATCTTGACGGATGCGAGCAAGCATGCGATCAAGTACCATCATCTTTCCGGAGTACCAGCTCCGCACATCCCTGTCGCGACCTCGATACTCCGGTGCAGTGAAATCCTCGGGATATGTGTGCTCACACCCTGGAAGGTCTTTTGCAAGGTCCAAAAGGTCTGGATGGTTACAAAGCTTCTTCAAGATACCAATGGCCTTCAATGGCTGACTGCCTTTTCCTCGAAGTAGACTCCGAATCTCCGGACTCTGGATGAAATGATTGTATAGGTCCAACTGGAACGGAGCCATATTGCAGAAGACAACGTGCTCATATTTGAGAGGCAGGTACTTTGATAGGAGCTCGTTACTTCGGCGAATAATGAACTTGTTCACAATACCAGATAGTTCCGTGAGACGTTCATCGCCTAATTTTCGAGCTTCTTCAGTACCTGCAGCATCCCGGCCACGCAGAATGGGTAATTCAAATCTCTTGCGAAATTCGGCTTGAGATCCCAGTAGATTGGGATTAGCAAAGTGAAGAAGAGCAAAGTACTCCGATAAATCGTTCTGAATGGGTGTTCCGGAAAGAATAACTCGACGGTTCACGTTAAGGCTATTCAAGGCTGTCCATGTCAAGCTATCCTTATTCTTGAGTCGATGACCTTCGTCACATAGCAGAAGTCCAATCGGCGTGTCTTTCAAGGCGTCCACATACATGCGGAGAGTTTCGTATGATACAATGAGGATGGGTCGAACAATTCCGCGACCCGATGCGATTGCCCACTGCTTGATCTGAAGAGTGAGTTCGGCCTTGGAGGCTTTTCCATCGATTGCAAAGGGAGTAGTCGCATCCTTTCCAAGCCATTTTCCTACATGCATATCAGCTAAGTGACCAATAGCCGCATATCATCATAACCTACCTAGTTCATTCGCCCAGTTGCCAACTAAACTTGACGGACAGGCGATCACGCACTTTTGAATTGTCGTTTTGCCGGCTTCCGGGGCTTGCTTGATCAATGTCCACATCAAGGTGATACATTGGAGCTAGGGTTGTTAACTAGAGAACAATATCTGACAGTCCATCTGTATCATACCGTTTTACCCAATCCCATACCATCTGCCATAATGCAACCATTGGCATTCTTATCAACCATCCCGGTTGTACATCGGTACATAAACTAAACAGAGCCACGGATGTCAGCATACAATTCACAGTGGGGTCATGGGGCAGAGTATAGTACCTTCACACCTTCCACTTGATGTGGTCGAAGAACCTTCGCGAGTCTGGGGTCTATCACCACCGGCACCTTCGGTCGCTCTTCCACTTTTTTCTTCAGACCAAGAATATCTGCCAAGCTTTTATGTACCAGCGGCTCCTCTATTTTCGGGCCGTCATCTTCCTTTGGGGCGTCCGGATCTTTGGGCGTAGGCTCTTCGATATCGTCGACAGTCGGGTCATAGAGGACAATCGCAAACTCTCCGCTGGGGTCATGGAGTGGTTTAACAACGAATGTCGCGCCCTGCCGCATGCCCAAGGTCGGCGCTGCGCGACCGGGATTGTATTGATCGGTGTTCTTGTTGATGAAAGGAATGGAGAACCTTTGTCGAAAGGCCGCATCCTTGTCCTTGGGCTTAAACACGGGAAATCTGTTCACCTCTCGAGTTGCCAACGCCAATCGATCATCGTTTGTGTATGGCTTCTCTGCTCCATCCTCCGTGCTACCGTCGGCATCTGCGTAGTTGACTTTTCGTCGCTTCCTCGAGGGCTTCTCTGAAACTCGTGTGTAGGTCGCCGATCCTGGGCACTTGAATGGTTTCGAAAGTCGGTCCAATGAGTTTATTGACTTGGGCTGCAGTGGTGTTTTGACACCATCGGTCCCGGGCGCGGCTGGCTTAGCACGATACCTTCATATTATTAGCAGTGATCAAGGAAAGGGACGGTAGGACGTACATGATTACAATCTGTGAATAACATTAAACAATTTACACCAACATTTGTACAAAACACTCTTCAGGCGTTCCTTCCTGGTAGAAGATGGAAGGTGATCGACGCGTTGACTCAGCCAAGACTCGCGCCTGCCTACAACACCAAAGTGCCACGCCCTCACGTGATCTACGAATCACCCCGCCGAAGTACAACCCTAAACGGGAACTGGGGAGCTGAGAGAGTGGGGAAGAACTCTTTCACATCACGAAAGCTGGATGGATTCGGGTTTCTGGGCGGGCTACCTTAGCGGTGCCCTTGGGATTATCATTGGAAATCCGTTAGATGTGGTCAAGGTTCGGCTTCAAGCGGGCAGCGCGGCTCATGCCCCGCCATCCCATCTATCCGGAATAGAGAAGGCGGGCTCACTTGTTCGAGGTTTGTTTCCACCAGACCACTAGCGGCTTTATAACCAATATTGTTTCGTGTGCTGATTCTCTATTCAGGTGCGGCTGCGCCAATTTTGGGATATGGAGCCCTCAATGCAGTCCTCTTTATGGCATACAATCGGTTGCTGATGACTATGGATCACTCCATTGTGGACCCCACGAACCCCGAGGGAGTATCTTTGTACAAAATTTGGGTTGCTGGCGCCGCTGGCGGACTAGCTAGTTGGACTATCTCTGCTCCAACCGAATTCATCAAATGCCGGGCACAAATAGATTCTCGTCCGGAGGTTTCCTCATGGTCGGTTGCCAAGGATATATATCGTTATCGCGGCTGGCGAGGCCTTTACTATGGAGGAGGAGTCACGAGTGCTAGAGATGCAATTGGCTATGGATTCTAGTAAGAAGCACTCTTTTCCCCCAAAAATCTCTTCCAAGGTTTTATTGGTCTTGTTTTGATCATGCATTCGGTGTCCATAGACAACTAACAGGCTACAGTTTCTGGTCCTATGAGCTCTGCAAGCGCCTTATGACAACCCAAAATGAATCTTCCAACCAAGCAGCCATGAAAGTCCTCCTATGTGGTGGAATTGCCGGAATTGTCACCTGGGGATCAGTCTTCCCCTTGGACATGATTAAAACCCGACTCCAAGCGCAGACTATGCATGATATGCATGATGTGCATACTTCCCCGGGTTCTGCAGAGCGCCAATCTCTTGTGCGCCCACGCCAGACCCTGACCACATTACAAATTGCCAAAGAGGCGTACAGAGCTGAGGGTTTGAGGCCTTTCTACCGAGGATTGGGCGTCTGCAGTATACGAGCTTTCATTGTAAATGCTGTCCAGGTGAGTTATTTTTTAAAACACTCCTTCTAATTGGCTATTTCTAATATGAAACCAGTGGGCGGCATATGAGTGGTTGATGAAAAGCTTTACTCAGACACTAAGCCAGCCATTAAGCCTCGAGCCGATGACCCAACGTGCCTAAATGTTTACTGTACAACTAAATCGCATGGATAGTGTGGGGTTGTCCCAAACAATAAAATGTATACCGAAACCCGATTCAGGTTAGATTCTTTTATTTGGTATTGAGGGATTTCTATTGGAATTATTACTCCGGGGTATTTGCCAGGAAAGGGAATAAATTTCGAGGACGCCGTTGTTTCATCCGAGAACCGGCGGTTTCGCGGTTCCCGTAAACCGGCAGAACACAGACCCGGCGGTTTTCGGCATATAAAAAAATTCACCTCACGTGAGGACTCCACCTTGGGAAGGTGCAGTAGTGTCAAGTGGGCATGGGAATCATGCGTAGACGTTCATATTTTGACCATGTCGACCAGACTGGGCTGAGTGGCAACGAGAGGTTTCCTGCCTCTTGGGTGGATTTTCCCTTTTGGTGTGGCGATCCGAGGCCGTGTTCAGATCTCCATCTCAGTATCTTTTTCAGGGCGCTTGAAGTTGTCGACGCCCAAGCCGACAACAGCCTCGGCGATCTTTTGGGAGTGAGGCTCTTCTTTCAAGATCTTAACTCTATTGAACGCGACCGTTAGTGATTTGATTGGCGGCGCAGGATTCAAAGGCTCGCAACTTACCTCCGCTTGTGGTTCTTGCCCTTGGTGTGCGCCTTCAAGTTGTAGTCACTTTCAAACCACTTGGAGCACTCTGTGCAGAAGTGCTGTCCAAGGCCTGGCAGATCCTCTACATCCTTAGATTCCTTGTAAAGCTCCAGGTGACGGGGTGATTGGATATCGGCAATGACCTGGTCGTAGTCTCTGTAACAGATCGAAAATTAGCGTCCGCACAAACGGGTGCAAAAAATCAGTCATTATCGAACGTACCTTGTGCGACGCTTATTCTTGACTCTGCGCAAAGCACCCATTTTTGCTAGACTTCGGCTTGCTTGCCGACACAAAAAATTGAAGATCGAGAGGTTCGAGACAAAAAAAGTTATCACCGATTTCCGGAGTGATAATGGGGCGGAGTGGGGAACGGGACAAGCGCCAGGAGGAACAAAGGGCGAAGTCATGGAGGGATTTTTCCGCTGACCGAGTGGAGCAAGCGAGCGATTGAAACGCATCGGACTTGATTGGCGGTTTCACTGCTTGGCCATGGACGCGGGAGTCCCGTCGGCACGCCTCGGCTCAGCACGGTAACCGGTTTTCAGTGTAATTTATGTATCGTAAGGTGAATATGCTTTATCCCTATGACGTTTGCATTCGCGGCATGTTGCTCCGGCCCTGTTGCGGATGTTCCTGTTCTGAGACATCGACAGGAGGCCAAATATGAATATTGAGAATGTATTAAAACGGACCATGTTAGCTATTATAACTATATACGGAATATCCTTGGAAGTATGGCTTATCTATATCTGGTGTTTAGATCCAAGCCACTCCCTGGATTCGGGATGATCTTCAGCCCACATGCAATGGGGAACTTGATACCTTGCGGGTAAATGGGGAAGGATACCGAGCTTGGAGTGTATAATCATACCCGAGTCAAGTCCCTTGGCCCGAGTCTCTAAAATAATGTTCAACCTGCTTTCTATATGAACGTTGTAATTGCAAATTCCGTGATTGGTGGCCCGCTTTGGTCCCGTCACATGCCGTGTATTGCCAGTACACCTGCATCGGCATGAGTTGATGAGCTTCACGATGCATTTAGAGAGTCAATGAATGTAATATTGCATATTAAAAGAAAGCCGGAAGCTTCAGGAATTAATGAGTTAGAGATCCCGATTTTTCTCACCATTCTACCTGCAGAAACAGAAATAAAAATCTTCGTGGATCGGAATCTCCAGTCTGGGTGGACGAGCGCATGCGGGAACCCCCAAACCACAATACGCGTACTGTATCGCTGGGGTAACAGCGAGTTACGGCTGTTCGGCTGAGCACAATTCTCTCTTCCCACTCAAAACCTCCAAGCTTCCCTTTTTCTCTTCTCTTTCTCTTCTTTCCTTTCCACTCTCCACTCTGCTTTAAGCTTACCACAGGTGAAGGTGGTAATTAGCTTTTGGACATCATGATCTCCACCCGCCTTGCGCGCGCCGGTGCGCTGGTACGTTGATATACCCTACCTCGTTGGAAGAGATGGGTGATGCGCTCATGGCATCCTCCCAGATTCTCCAATGTGGATCTTGACCCCGGACAAAGGACAATGATGCTAACATGTCTTCTCTATGACAGGCCCCCAAGTCCCGTCTTGTAAGCAACACGCACCCGATGCAGGTGCTACACCAATATGTGGTCCTGCGTCATTCCGGAGATGGGGTACAGGGGATTCGCAGCAAACTAACTAAGTATTCGTTCAGCTTTTCGGGACCCGGGCCTACGCTACCGCTAGCCCCCTTGACAAGAAGGTCGAGATGACCATCCACGAGAAGGTGAGTGGCTAAAAGCCTTATCCCGCTATAGTCGGTTGCGACTTCAGAATCGACTGGTCGAAAAACAGGGAACAACGGCTAATTAAAACGAACTCCATTAGGGCAACTACATCAACTACAAGTACGATATCACCTGTCTGAAAAATCAACAACAAAAAACAAAACAACAAAGAGAAAGAAAAGGCATAGCAGATCAAGGTTAACTAACATGGTTTTGCTTGTAGGAAGATGAACGAGAACCTCGACATCGTCCGTGGTCGCTTGCAGCGTCCTCTTACCTACGCCGAGAAGGTCCTCTACTCTCACTTGGACGATCCTCACGGCCAGGACATCGAGCGTGGTACCTCTTACCTCAAGCTCCGCCCCGACCGTGTTGCTTGCCAGGACGCTACTGCTCAGATGGCTATTCTGCAGTTCATGTCCGCTGGCATGCCTTCCGTCCAGACCCCCACCACTGTCCACTGTGACCACTTGATTGAGGCCCAGGTTGGTGGTGAGAAGGATTTGGCCCGTGCCAACGAGATCAACAAGGAGGTTTACGACTTCCTTGCCTCTTCCACCGCCAAGTACAACATTGGTTTCTGGAAGCCCGGTTCCGGTATCATTCACCAGATCGTTCTTGAGAACTACGCTTTCCCCGGTGGTCTGATGATTGGTACTGACTCCCACACCCCCAACGCCGGTGGTCTCGCTATGGCTGCCATCGGTGTCGGTGGTGCTGATGCTGTCGACGTTATGGCTGGTCTCCCCTGGGAGCTGAAGGCCCCCAAGGTTATTGGTGTCCGTCTCACCGGTCAGATGTCCGGCTGGACCACCCCTAAGGATATCATCCTGAAGGTCGCTGGTCTCCTGACCGTCAAGGGTGGTACTGGTGCCATCATCGAGTACCACGGTCCCGGTGTTGACTCCCTGTCCTGCACTGGTATGGGTACTATTTGTAACATGGGTGCCGAGATTGGTGCCACCACCTCCATGTTCCCCTTCAACGACCGCATGTACGACTACCTGAAGGCCACCAAGCGTCAGAACATTGGTGACTTCTCCCGTGAGTACGCTGCCCAGCTCCGTGAGGACGAGGGTGCCGAGTACGACCAGCTTATCGAGATCAACCTCGATGAGCTCGAGCCTCACATCAACGGTCCCTTCACCCCCGATCTTGCCACCCCTCTCTCCCAGTTCAAGGAGGCTGTCAAGACCAACAAGTGGCCCGAGGAGCTCAAGGTCGGTCTGATCGGTTCTTGCACCAACTCCTCTTACGAGGATATGTCCCGTGCCGCTTCTATTGCCCGTGATGCCCTCAACCACGGTCTCAAGTCCAAGTCTCTGTTCACCATCACCCCCGGCTCCGAGCAGATTCGCGCTACCATTGAGCGTGACGGTCAGCTCGCCACCCTCGAGGAGTACGGTGGTGTCATTCTGGCCAACGCTTGCGGTCCTTGCATTGGTCAGTGGGACCGTAAGGATGTGCAAAAGGGCGAGGCCAACTCCATCATTTCCTCCTACAACCGTAATTTCACTGGCCGTAACGACGCTAACCCCGCCACTCACGCCTTTGTTGCCTCTCCCGACCTGGTCGTTGCCATGACCGTTGCCGGTACCCTCAACTTCAACCCCCTCACCGACTCCCTGAAGGACAGCGAGGGCAAGGAGTTCATGCTCAAGCCTCCCACTGGCGACGGTCTCCCCGAGCGTGGATACGACCCCGGTATGGACACTTACCAGGCCCCCCTGCCGACCGTGAGTCCATCACCGTCGCTGTTTCCCCTACCAGTGACCGTCTGCAGCTCCTCGGTGGCTTCGCTGCCTGGGACAAGAAGGATGCCACCAACATCCCTATCCTGATCAAGTGCCAGGGTAAGACCACCACTGATCACATCTCCATGGCTGGTCCCTGGTTGAAGTACCGTGGCCACTTGGACAACATCTCCAACAACATGTTGATCGGTGCCATCAACGAGGAGAACGGTGAGGCCAACAAGGTCAAGAACGCCTTCACTGGCAAGTACGACGCCGTCCCCGCCACTGCCCGTGACTACAAGGCCCGCGGTGTCAAGTGGGTTGTCATTGGTGACTGGAACTACGGTGAGGGTTCTTCCCGTGAGCACGCCGCTCTTGAGCCCCGCCACCTCGGTGGTCTTGCCATCATCACCCGCTCCTTCGCTCGTATCCACGAGACCAACCTGAAGAAGCAGGGTATGCTGCCCCTCACCTTTTCCGACCCCGCCGATTACGAGAAGATCAAGCCCGAGGACAAGGTCGACCTTATGTGCACTCAGATCGAGGTTGGCAAGCCCATGACCCTCCGCGTTCACCCCGCCGCTGGTGGTGATGCCTTCGATATTCAGCTCAGCCACACCTTCAACGAGTCCCAGATTGAGTGGTTCGTTGACGGTTCCGCCCTGAACACCATGGCTCGCAAGTCCGGATCCAACTAAATGATGGAGCATCTTTGATCTGCAACATTTAGTTTCTTTTTGTTCCAGGGATCTTTCTGAGATGCCCGTGTAAACTACGTTCTCTCGTGTGTTTCAGCGCCCCAGAAAGAGAACGGAGTGACATCTACAGACCTCCAGAGCGAGTGGGGGTTTGTCACTCCTTTTTGCGTGTTCCTTTTTTGTGCTGGATATGAGGAGTTGCGCTCTGGGAAAAATTTCATGATCTTTTGTTTTAGGCCTATTGGTCTCGCGTTGGATTCCCAGATAGTTTGGGTGGGTTCAATGGATATAGTTGTTCAATTTCCCTATATCAGTACGTGCCAGGATAGCATGCATACACTATTTCCTTTATGTTCAAACCGGTTCATTGTAAAGCTCTCAACATTGTAAAACTCGTTCTTCAACTTTCTATCATTCATTCCGTCGGTAAGTCCCATCTCCACCTCGGACAAGTAAACAGATGAAGCTGAGATAAGCTGCCGAGGCCCGTTGCACCAGCCCCGCAAACGAAACCGCTTTCCCACTAGGCGTCATCGGCTTTGAGAATCCCGCAATTAAGCACATAAAGCAGAGAGGGGCAGTGGACCCTTAGGACTACATCTACCCCGGAGATTCTATACCAAGATCCTCCACATTCCCGATTTTCGGCGATTAATAATAGGATATCTACGTTTGGCCCATACGGCTCACGCATTCACGACCACACATACCACATACATCATGGCACAACTTGTTCCTCTCCCAGAAGTGGAACGTCTCAGTGCATCCGTGATCAGAATCCTAGGCGGCAATCCAGGAAAGGTATGTGCCAAAGAACCAACAAAATAGAAATAGAAGCGGTTGGGCAACAACGGTGGCTGACATCCTCTAGTTCACACTGCAAGGTAGGTGTCCGGACAGGGTAACTCGGCCCCCTTCCCCCCGGCGCGGGCTGGGCTCGACCCCTCACTAACCGGTACCAGGAACTAACACATACCTAATCGGCCGTGGACACCAGCGAATTCTCATTGACACGGGCGAGGGTAAACCCACGTGGGCTGCACGTCTTGAATCCGTTCTGTCAGAAGAGAAAGCCACGGTGCACCAGGCTCTTCTTACGCACTGGCATCACGACCATGTGAATGGCCTACCGGATCTACTCAGGATTTGCCCCCAAGCTGAGGTCTTCAAGCATCAGCCGGATAAGGGACAGACCGATATCCAAGATGGACAGGTATTTCGCGTTGAAGGGGCAACGCTGATAGCCGCCCATACACCCGGCCATACAGTGGACCACATGGCATTTGTACTGGAGGAAGAGGATGCGATGTTTACAGGAGACAGTAAGTTGCAGCCGGCTTCTCCTTTTCTTACCACCTTCCCCCCATGTTGACATAAGATAGATATCCTGGGACACGGCACCGCTGTATTCGAGAACTTGAAAGTCTATCTGGACAGTCTTCACCGGATGCGGGATCGGGTTACAGGCCGCGGATACCCGGGCCACGGAGCCGTGCTTGAGAAAGTCAGTACCCGTGTCAGCGAGTATATCCAGCACCGCCAGCAACGAGAAGATGAGGTGCTCCGGGTACTACGGTATGGGCAGCTAGAGGCGGCGGGAGACCCGTCGCCCGAGCGCAAGGCGTGGACGCCATTACAGCTCGTTAAAAAGATTTACCGGGATGTACCCGATAGCCTCCACCTGCCCGCGTCACATGGGGTGCTGCAAGTATTGTTGAAATTGGAGGATGAGGGGCTGACGGTACTTGATTCGGAGTCAGGGGAGTGGAGGTTAAGTGGGGAGAAGTCGGCGTTGTAGGGCGGGGGAAGGTTGTACTACAGGGTTTCTGGATAATCTACACGGGAGAATTAGCTATATATAACTCTTTATAATATTGGACTCCAAGTATTCTGGGCGTTCTTGTCGGGGCAGAGCGGGCTATATAGCTCCGGAATAAGCGTCTTGCATAGTCGGAATCCCTTCTGGATCGGGATTATCACCCATGGCTGAACTGCTGGCATTTCGGATAAAATCCTGCCTTCATTCATCAAGGTTCCCACGTTTTGGGTATAAATAACATGTCTAGGAGGTACCTAGCTATAAGCTATAGGAAAATGGATATAGGACACATAGATCTACGGCGGCAGAAATGATCTACCAGATTCTAGAACTACGTATGTTGTCGGTAGGATCGACGTCAGCGCATTGTCATGTCGGGCAGCTATCCAAGGCTTCATGAACGTGTACTACCGCTATATTCCCTGTAATTATATTAGTGGCTGTACTCCTGTATTTAAAGAGTCCAATCATGGGGCGTTAGTCGGGCTAGAACGCGGCGAAATCCTGTATTTTTGTCCAACTTGATTGAACGGATCATCATCCAGTCAATATAATAGCGTGAATTATTGTATAGCCCAAATTTCTTCATAGTCCCTCTCTGCCCCTTGCTCCCCTTTACTTATATCATGACCTGATGTGAGTGCTATTGAAGAGCTCCACTGTAGCTAAAGTTCCAAGTTTCGGGGCGCTGACCTCACCTGTCTTTCTCCCCCCACCTGCCACCTGCTTTCTTCCCTTTTTTTTTCCCCTTCGACACCCCCACGACATTAGACCTGCATACTCAGGGCATGCGTGCCTGAAAGAAGAGAAGTTGAGAATTTTGAAGAATCACTTTATTTTTCTGCTTCTCCGTGTCTTGATCACTGACCAGTCAATCTTCGGTTGGTTCTCTCTTCCCCGCGCTACAGAATTGCATGGGTCTGATCACATTGTTACTGTAATTGCAGCTGTTACCCCTGTCATCTCTTCGCCAACCCATAGCAAATACTAGGCTATTTGATCCAATACCCTCAGCCCAACGCGCAAACTACCGAGCCACTGAGACTTCCGCCACGATGCCGTCCCTTGAAGAGCCCAAGAACGAAGCCCGACTGCTCCTAGTCTCGAACCGCTTGCCGATCACCATCAAACGATCAGAAGATGGCAAGTATGATTTCTCCATGTCGTCTGGAGGTCTGGTCAGCGGGTTAAGTGGTCTCTCCAAATCTACAACCTTCCAGTGGTACGGATGGCCCGGATTAGAGGTGCCCGAAGCGGAGATCCCGGAGGTGAAGGAGCGCTTGAAGGCGGAATACGGTGCGGTGCCTGTCTTTATCGACGATGAGCTTGCCGACCGACACTACAATGGTTTTTCCAGTCAGTACCAACCCGATCGGATAATGTGGAGCAGACACTGACATCATGGGTACTCCCTAGACTCCATCCTCTGGCCGCTGTTCCACTACCATCCCGGTGAGATCACCTTCGACGAGTCCGCCTGGGAGGCATACAAGGAAGCGAATCGCCTGTTCGCCAAGGCGATTTCCAAAGAAGTCAAGGATGGCGACTTGATTTGGGTGCATGACTACCACCTCATGCTGCTACCGGAGATGCTGCGCGAGGAGATTGGCGATAGCAAGAAGAACGTGAAGATCGGCTTCTTCCTGCATACCCCGTTCCCCAGTAGCGAGATCTACCGAATTTTGCCCGTCCGAAACGAGCTACTCTTGGGTGTGTTGCATTGCGACCTAATTGGTTTCCATACATATGATTACACCCGGCACTTCCTGAGCAGTTGCTCGCGCTTGTTGTATGTACCAGTGTCTTCTTGAGAAATCGGGAGAATGACGTTAACTGACGAAAACACAGAGGCCTTGCGACGACACCGAATGGTATCGAGTTCCAAGGCAAGATTATTACCTGCGGAGCTTTCCCCATTGGAATCGATCCAGAGAAGTTCAAGGAGGGTCTGAAGAAGGAGAAGGTCCAAAAGCGTATTGCCATGCTGGAGCAGAAATTCCAGGGCGTCAAACTGATGGTCGGTGTCGATCGCCTGGACTACATCAAGGGCGTACCTCAAAAGCTGCATGCGCTGGAGGTCTTCCTCAGTGACCACCCGGAGTGGGTTGGAAAGGTCGTCCTGGTACAGGTTGCCGTCCCTAGTCGCCAGGATGTCGAAGAATACCAGAACCTGCGGGCTGTGGTGAACGAATTGGTTGGTCGAATCAACGGCAAATTTGGTATGTAATGCTCTGCGATTATATCACAACTGCTAACCAGTATAACTCCTAGGCACGGTTGAATTCCAGCCGATTCATTTCCTGCACAAGTCCGTCAACTTTGATGAACTCATCGCCCTTTATGCCGTGTCGGATGCTTGCATTGTGTCTTCAACCCGTGATGGCATGAACCTCGTCGCCTATGAGTACATTGCTACCCAGCAGAAGCGCCACGGTGTCTTGGTGCTGTCCGAGTTCGCTGGCGCTGCCCAGAGTCTGAACGGCAGTATCATCGTTAACCCTTGGAACACGGAAGAGTTGGCCGGCGCCTACCAAGAAGCTGTTACTATGAGTGACGAACAGCGTGCTCTCAATTTCACCAAACTGGACAAATACGTGTCCAAGTACACCAGGTACATAACCCAGCTGCTACCCTCCTTATCATTCCCTGGAGCTAATCGTACCCTCTAGTGCATTCTGGGGCCAGTCCTTCGTCACCGAGCTCAATCGGATATCAGCTCACTCTGCCGATAAGTTCCAAGCAAAGAAACTCGCTGTTGCCAACAGCGTCGCCAGTGATAGCGATGTCCCCGAGCCCACAGAAGTCGAATAGTCAAGCTGTACACACTTCTTTGGAATAAACACGTTGAATGAAACTTAGATGCTCTCACGACATGGATGTGGCGAAATAATCTTGTGATTTTGTGCTTTTTGGGCTGCATGGGTTTCGTTTTCTCTTTTCATACGGTTCGGTTTTCGAAGAATAATTCCCTACTCATCTAGATACAAAATGAGATATCCTCCGATTATTCTCGATCGTACCCCTAATGCCTGTGAAAGGCTTGTATATCCATTTGAGGCTCGCATCAGGATGTCTCTCTACGCGCTTTATTGCGTACCCATTGACAGTACACTACAGACCACGCCCCTCACCGTTCTATCTGTGAAATGGTCAAATGAACCAAATTCGACACATACAACCAATCCTCCGGCCCACTAGGCACCAAAACCCCAATCATATCTCAAGAAACCTTAATCTCCTCTCGGAATAACAGGAGACCCATCCGCGTACATGGTATCGCTGCTCAGCTAAGACGACCCCACCCGCGCCAGTCCTACTAAACGTCATGGCAGCGTCATCCACCGGCCCACGGTTCCGACGACAGGTTCTGCACGTACATCACAGACAATGCAAAATACAGTCCTCGTCTAGAGCGCCTGCCAGAAGACTTATTTACCGCGTCTTATCACGACGTAGAAAACAATATTTGCTACGTAATGTATACTCAAATACCTTCAACCCGCCAATAGCATTCATTGGTCTCAGTGGAGGAAATCTTGCCTTATCCATTGAGTGATGTTCATCGTCTATTTTCGTTTCTAGAGAATATTTCGCTGCATTATCGGTTTATACGCACCGACTAACCTGGCTGAAGATCCTGCTGAGGAGAAAGCGGGAAGAATCACCTAAGCAGATCTCTGTGGCTATCTGGACTTTTTCATAGTTGCTATATTCCTGATGTTGATCTTGGGATTCCGGGATCTCCCCACTTGCTAATCTAGATGTATCATCTGAGACATGATGTATTAGCGGCTGAGGAGTTGGAATTTTGCCGGGTTGAAGCGTGGTTGCTTGGGGATGGTGGGGTAAGTTTATGATGGGATAATTTGTTCAGGATGTGGCTTATATAATTGCTTGAGCATATTGTTGTTTGATGCTTGTAGTCAGATGTCATCTGGGATTGTGATCATTTATAAAAAGGAGAGAATTGTATTCTGACAACTTAAAATCAGCCATTCTTCTTCACCTACCATTTGCTCCCTATATGCCTAGCATGAATCTTGTTCATGAGAGAGAAGAGAAGAGAGAGGTCTTTTCATACTAAGTCAGTAGTCAATTATGGTTATTGCTTTACTATAGAACCTTGTCGAATCTTGCCTCGCTCTCTCATTATCTGCTGGGAAATTACTCCATTACTGAGCATAATTCATAGAATCTATCTCTCTATATAAATACCTATAATCCTCTCTGAAGTTCTTTCCTTCATTCCTCTAGCCACCTCCAAGGCAAATATTATTTCTTTATTATTCACCTTCTCTCACCATCCCCCTTTTCTCATCCTTCTTTAAATAATTTTACTTCTCATGGATTCACGGCGAGACTCATCTTTACGCATTTGCAGAGTGATTCGCAAACACTTTTTCAAGGTACGTAAAGGGCCTGAACTGCTTCCCCCAGTCCACCACACTCGTGACTCCCGAGTTTCTTTTTCTCAATTCTTATTATTGTTTCAAGATGCTGCGTACTCCTTCGTGTATCGCGCGCGACGAAGACTCCTCTTACTTCAACACACACTCACGGTTGCTCTGGCGAAGAAGAATGATGCCACGTGGTCTAGTAAGATGAGGCTTCACCTATGGGATCAAGACAATATAAATGGCAACAGGAATAAATCCTCAATCTCGAGGACAGAACATCATGGAGACACCTCAGCTTTGCCGCAGAGGCGAGGATACATGCTCATCTAGTTGCCATGATAGTTGGTCTTGGTATGTCTGATGGAAACGTAACGGAGTGTACCAATCAATGCTGGTTTGCCTACAGATGAAGATCCTCGTTGGATACTCTGCAATGACTCCCCTTCGTCGCGCGCGAGAAAGAATCATTCTACTATGACTTCTCTGAACGGCTATTCTGGCCGGGCAAAAAGACTCTTAGATGGCTTGGTATGACGACGCGTCAAGCATAAGCTAAGACAGTGGGAATGGAAGATGAAGGGAATTCTCCATCTTGAAAGACAGGGTTTCATGCCAAACCACAGCTGTCTCACCGACTTCGTGGATTCTGTCATGGGGAACCTCAGTTGTGTTGCCGAGCAGAACAATCCTAGCCATAGACTAAACCATAAGATATGCTCTCGGTATGTCTTTTGAATTCACTTACGGTGTACGAGTCAATGCTGATTTACCCACCGATGAAGATGTGCACTAGATCTTCCTCGAGATGAACATACATCAGGAAGTCCCAATTTTAGAGGAATGAAGGAGAGTTGGGAATCGTTTCTCTAGTGCTTTCGTGCTATCACAGCTGTGCCTATTTCGAAGATTCATTGAGCAGGGTTATTTTGAGAACTGACCTCATCTGATAAGGCCCCGTTGATTTCTTGATGGCTGGATTGAGAGGAGTGTTCTTCAAACTACCACTTTAGTCGTGCTTGCACCATCCCAATCAGCTCTCACTACTTTCAATTTCTTTTGATTTTCGTATCGAGAATTGCTCTGTGGGATCTGATAAGCTTGAGCGCTCTGTCTGGGGACCATTTGTTTTGCTTTTTGTGTTTTTGGCCTTCCAGTTGTTTAAAAAGAATTGTATCTCCCATTTCGTAGATGATGGGATCTACGTAGAGGAGATTCCGGAGGGGTAGAGAGTGACTCATGGGACTAAAGGCTAATGAACCACCTGGGCATGAAAGGATGGATGTGTTCCTAGGGCTAAAGTAGAGAGGTTAGGGATGACCCGGCCCAAGTCGGTATAAATTGGGTCAGAAAATGCATGGGATTGACCGTGTACAGATCGCACACTTGAATAGAGCTAGGCTTGGGAGAAACTCTAAGTAATCTTAATGATGAGACGGTAGCTGGGCCGGCCCGAACCGACCTGAACGAACTCATTATTTAGGCGCAGGAAAAAAAGGTCCCCATAAGGTGGGGCCCATTTCTTACCAGCCGATTGAAAAATAATGAATGCCAGAGATCTGGGGGGTGCGAGGGTATTGGGAGCTTCACATGACAGTAGAGCTGCGTGGAAAAGGTGTTGCTATCTAGCCAATCTTTTTCAGTCCCAGCCCTTCAGATATATTGGCAGTCCTGATAAGAACAACTTCTCTCCAACCTCACTCTCAATATCCCAGCTCATAGTGGAACCGGATTTGCCCCCTCGAGGCGACCAAATTCCGGGCTACACGTAGCTGCACATGGGTGCACGTAATATGCACGCCATGACTCGCGTACATTGGACCCACAGGATCGAGAACACGTTGCATTTCAGCCGTGACTTTTCATGCATAAATCAGCATCACTTCTCTTGCACTTACAGTCATGGGGCTCATGGGGCTCATGGAACTTGCCATCGTGACTTTTGTAGAACATATGTTCATATGTAGTGTTTGATCTGATTCCACATATCTATGGAACAGTCGGTGGTGGTTGTTTTTGGCACCTATTTTCGAAAGAAACCCTATAAATATGTCGCATCCTCTTATCAGACTAGAACTTCCTTTGTGAATTAGCAGTCCTTGATTATTCAGAGCCCAACATATTCTTTTCATCATGTCTTCCTCTAGTATTCAAAGCCATTCGAGTGCAAGCCAATATGTCACACCTTCGACGTTCAACAGCAATAGCCTCCAGAGCTTTCTGAAACAACTCAGTAAACTGGCGTCAAGTGCTGAGTCCCAAGCTGCGTCTGCTATGCTTGAAGAATCTGAGAATCTAAAGAAAGAGCTAAAGAAAGCTCACGATGAAATCCGCGATCTCAAGGAGAGAAAGCGAGTCGCCATTGAGGAGATGTTTGCGGCTAACGAGGATGGAAAGGCAAAACAGAAAGAAGCCCTTGATCATATCGAGTCACTTCGTGCATCAGTCAAACAAAAAGATCAATCTCTCACCGAGTATTCCAACCAAGTACAAGCGCTCCATCAGCAGATCAACAGCCTTAAGTCATCCTACTCACTGGAGCTCAGCAAAGTTTCTCAATCGGCAAAGAAAATTAACGAACTTGAACAAAGTTCGAAGGAGAAAGACAAGACAATTGACAAGATGAAGACTGCTGGATCAAATCTTAAAACAATGCTTTCATCAGCGCAGCAGAAGATACAAGAGCTAGAAGCTGAAAAAACCGCATTGAAAAAAGAACTACAAGCCAGCCAAGGCCGACTTCGAAACCTCGAAAGCTTCACTGTTCAGCAATTGGAGCTTGATGAAAGGTCAATGTAAGTTACGCGAGGGCCTTTAGCGACTTTTACATGCTAATTCATCTAACCCAGATCGACGAAGTTTTCTGAACTGTGGGCCTTTTCTTTAAGCGAGATGTTCACTGTCTTGAGGGAAGACCTTGATGAGACGGTTCTGAAGGTATGTGTACATCTAGGCCGCTTCACGGCATGTCCGCTTATTCGTTCGTTGTGAAGGACAAATCGATCTGGGAAAAGCTTCGAAAAGAAATTGCCAGATTTGCCGTGCAATATTTTCCTTTGGTACCCTCAAACTCTTCCGAAGCCAAAGGAATGCGCCTAGCCATGATTCTAGCCATCCTTTCAAGGGAGATTTGCAAAAACATCTTCCAGCCTGATTACATTCTACCGGAAGATTCAGCAATCCACGGAATCCTCAGTCGTCTAGCCGAGAATAATACCGAAAAGGAAAGCTTTTACCGACGTGTTCTTCTCTCCATTGACGAGAATGCCGAGGAGGAAAAATTCTCCAGACACGCATTCAGACGGTGGTCCGCAATATGTCGTCACTTTTGTGGGATTTGCTCTCGGAGACCCAACATGATTCGATTCGCACCAGCATAGAGAGGGTTGTCCAGAAAGCGGCTGAGTTTTGGCTTCCAATTCAGCGAGCTCAGCAGAGATATGAAACAGAATTCGATCTAATCGATCTTGAGGATGACGATTGGGAGCCTTTTTGCTTCCCCGGGGACAACACGATCCCAGCTAGGCAACATCAGGTTGTTCAAGACGTGAACATTCTCACTGTGTTTCCATGTATCTCGCTCGTCAAGGATGGCAACCGTGATCCTTTGACTCATCTTACTCAATTGAGGAGCACGCAGATGCTTTTTATAGCGGCAGAATATGAAGCTCGTCAAATGTCTACTAGCTTTGTCGTCCCCAGGAGGTCATCGACTCGCTCCAGGCGGAGGTCTATCGCTCAAAACACCGATCAACCAAACGGCGGCTCTTTTTTAGAAGGAAGATCGCCAGAGCCTTGAAAATTCGGTTGCGAAAATGATTCTGGCGCTTGTCCGTGGGGCTTTACCACTAGTATCATTGGTAACCGTTGTGATCCACAGAGGTCAAGGATAATTTGCTTACATGTCTTACTTCTTATGCTTGTTGCGCTGGTTTCGCTTGTTTTCTTTCAACAAATTGGCCCATTTCTATAGCTGTCGCCTCACCACTAATCAAACTCCCCATTGGCCCCTAATCCACCTTATCTTATTTTGAACGCAAGAAAAGTGCATGTGATTAGTTTTGCAACTACTCCTTGATCTACCTTTGAGTAGCAACGAGCGCCTTAGCCTTAGATTGAAGAGGTTATAGAGGCGACGCCCATATGCGGACGGCCATCTGATTGTCTACTTTGGTGCTATGCTAGAGAGAGCATTCTCGGACGAAAATTTATATATAATGCCTCCTTGTGATGGACGTTGGCACTGATAGGCTGGAGATATGTTTTGTGAGGCTACGTTCCTGGGGGGGGGGCGCAGGGTTATAGTATCGTAATCTCCTGAATCCACCCTAACTCCCACAACCAAGTATGCTATCGACCGGACTTTACTATTGGTTTCGATGGCAGACATTTTTGTTTTCCTTCCTTATACTGGGTTTTTGTATCGGTCTCAGCTACGAATGAAAGTAACTAAGCGGTCCTGATTTTGAACACATTCACTTAGAAAGATTCACGCTCTGCCAATTTTCAGGGTAGCCCGACTCAGGAATTTCCATTCTTGAACGCGCAAACCACAAGGCCAATGGCTGCCCCTTTTACTCTCAAGTCCTTTGACAGTCGCACTACAGTTGCAGTGACCATTCAAGTGACACATACCTAGACCGCATCAAAGAACATATGTCAAGTCTCATCTTTGCGCCAGGAGTCAGTGTCCCCACGAATCGGGACAGACTGGTATGTTAAAGGGGAAGGCGGCTGATTTGACTAGAAGCGCAGCTTGCTGGTGACGTTGATTCTATGTGTTGACGTCCAATCTGGGACAAGAGCCTTCCTCTACTACTTAAGCTTCACTCTCGTAGACTCTTCTTTTGCCTTCCTTGTCGCACTCAATACAGTCCATTCGTAATTCATTGTTCTGCTTCCATTCTCGCTTTCTGCTCTCATTACTAAGCCTTGTCATATTAAAAGCTTGATGACTTTGAAGGTAAGAACAGTAGAAAGTTCCAATATCATTAAACCGACGGTTTATTATGAGAAAAGGCTCTGGCAAACATCAGGCAACTACCTATGAACTTATGGGCCGGGCCGTTCTATACCTAAATGTCTACAATGGCAAAGAAGCTAAATCGGACATGAAAGTCAGTCGCAAGGACTGTTGACTTATTTTCTTATTAATTTAGCAACAGCTAGTGATATCATCCAAAAACATCAAAATAATACAAGGCCGATACAAAAGAGTGTAGCTCTTGGTCGATTGACCCCTTCCTAGCACGCCGTACCATTCAAGCACTAAATTAACGTATCTCAAGGCGTACCATGGCACTGGTCTCTAGTGGCGCCAGCAGCTAGGGACGAGATGCTCGTAGTCACAGACGCTAGTCTGGGACTGGAAGGCAGTTCCAGGACCACAGGTCTTCAGGACGGGCCTTCCGCCGACAGGGCACTCGTAGAATCGGTGGCAGTCTGTAGGATCAGCCCAGGCAACAGCGCCAGCGGCTGCATCGGTTCCATCGACGATGGGGGCGGCGTTAACGGAGTTGAATAGCACGAAGGCCATGAAGGTGGTGATCATCTTGTAGGAGAACTGCATTGTAGCGGCTGTTTATTGGTTAACCGGTGCCAGAGGGTCTAGGGTAGGAGTTTAAGGCGTACTATAGTGGTTCGGGGATTAAGAATTACTGTAAAGATTAGGTCTGGCCTTTCAAGCTGGTGGTGATGAAGCTGATTCTGGATGGTGAACTACCTCGAATTTTATAAAAAAAAGGTAGCATTCCTACCATCGGTTAAGTCTGCCTGCCCTTGATTAATCGTGGGGAAATGAATGGACAATAGTTAAGGTATTCCCCAGCATACCTTCTCCTGTTTGCCGGCGAGAATTTGAAGTTAAAGTAGCCGCCATCCCTTCGTAGCCACCAAATTTTCCATTGTTTTGTTTAATTGACATTTAGTGGCTTTGAGACAACTCACCAATTAGTGGAATGCAGCGTTCATTCCATTTTGTTGACTTCTCACGCCACAAATACTTTACTTTGCCAGTCTAATGTCTCCTGCGGACCTTGTGGTAGTATTGAGAATGAAGTTTAAAATTGCCACAAATTTCGTGTCTGAGATGAGAGATATTTTCATACTGCTACAGTTACAACAGCATTAGCTGGTAGTTTACCCAGAACGCATAGGATGTACTGTCACTGGTGGGAAATGTGTTGGTGCTGCGTAGAGAATTTCTGGAAGGAGCATGCCATGCAACTCCTTGCATATCATACAGACTGGGGCACTCTGACGGCCCGACTCCCTGCCAATGGAAATCATAATAGAAGTTTAACGGAATTAGGCCCGAATGCCCGAAATGCCACAGTACATTTCCGTTCCAGCGATGAAAAACACAGTGAGCACTACTGCGTAGCCGGTTCAGACGTCCAATACCACAAGTATCCAAATATGTTAAACCACTCAAATTACTGAAAGTTAAATCTGAAGCAAGGTACCCCTTGTAAATTGCTACAGATTACCATTCACCAGCTCCAAACCAGATAAAGCATTTGTGAGTCTTAACGTCGCGGGAATTAACGTCGCAATGGGGTGGGCTTCTATGACGCTCGGCTAAAAGGTACATAAACCCTAGCAAGAGGCGCTTCCTCTCTGCAGAGACTAAACCATGTTGGGCAAGATATGACCGGGTCCATATTAAGGATCCGTACGGAGTACTTACAACTTGATCCACCTGCTCGGCATTAGACGGACTCTCCGGGAAGATATGAAGATTGGAGCCTTGTGGTCCCAATTTGTGATTCTCTAGGGCTCTAGGCGCCCTGCATGAGAGAAGACTATGTCGAGATATGGGCTCTCTTTCGAAAACAAACACTATACAAATAACATCCAGAAACCAGAGTACACAATGTAGTTGGACATCTGATGTCCGTTCAACCGTGAACAGTGATCAGTCGATCCAATTGTTAGACCAAGGAAGCAGAAGCTTTGCTAGTCCGTCCTTCTAGTGGATCCTATTCCACTTGGCGACGAAAGGCTGGCTCACACTCCGCGTGTGCATGAAAGGTGCTCCACCTACGTACCACCGTGGAAAACATGCAGCCAGCCTCGACTCTGCTTACTATAGTCTGCGTTTAAATATTCTTCCGCTTGATTGACTTTGCCGCTATATATTCGGTAGATTGCGATCAATCACAGTAAGAGACATGAGACGTAATATCATCATGGGGCTAATAGCCAGCAGATTGCACATCACTGCGATTCTGTTATCGAGGCCTATATCAGCTCGACTAGCAATCGTCGACGTCATCATATATAGCAAGGCTAAAGTCATGACGAACACACTGCCTAGAATAGACAATAACAACATTTGTCGAAACACCATATATCATCCAAGGATTACTTTGGCTTCGAAAAATTGATTAGCGAGCGACATTGTCACCATCGAAATGTCAACAAACACGATGGCTTATTTTGAAGCTCAAGCATTATTGACAACCTGGACCGACGAGCTTGAATATTTGGGTTACATTCTTTGCGAATTAATCGGTGCGAATGGCTTAGATAAAATTGGATATCGATATCATCAAGCGGCTGATCTGCCGACTTTGTTTGACATCATTCATCATCAATTGGAAGAGCCAGATGGAAGCCTCATCAAAATGATGACCGAGAACGAAGTGAAACTCTTCGGCGAGTTGATGAGAAAGGCGAAGGATATTCGAAACAAAATGGCGCATCATAACGCTCTAAATGAGGACCAGTTGAACGATCTCGAAAACGTCAAACAGATTTTAAGCGACATGCTAGAGTTCGCTATCAGAAGTGTCGCCTCGGATCGTGGAATAAATCAGGTTTGCTTTGAAATTAAAACCAGTTCTGGTAATATACTAACTTCAATTCAAGGTCGCTTGGTCTCCGTATCACCATATCTGTAAAGCTTATATGGAAGAAAATAACCCGTCGGTGATCATGGTTCCGCTGAACAAAGACCCCTTGCTCTCCTTTCGTGAAACGGTCCTTCGTGATCATGAGATACAACAGACACGGTTGCTTCCCAAACGTCCTAAGCGCAAGGCAACTGAAGAAAGCCGACAAAAGCAGAAAGATGACTACGAAATCGCCCTGATCAGAAAACAGCAAAGGAAGGAGCAAGACATCGCCTTGCGGTCCCGTCATCGTATTGAGAAGCTTCAAAAGTTAGAAAAAAGATTCAAAACGTCACAAGAGCTGGGTTGCGCTCGGATAAAAGATATCGAAATGCAGATGAGAGAAGAGCAAGAGATATTCCGTCGGCGGCGAGCTGAGATTCTCAAAGACAAAATCTCCGAAACAGAAACCGATGTCGACCACCTAGGCACAATCCTTATTACAATCAGCTCCCCCCTCTGGATTTCGGCTATGCTCATCTACAATCTATATACCCGAACTTGTGGTCGTTCGAGCAACGCATGATGGCCATCAGCAATTCGATGGAGGGCAACCTTTCTCAATGGATCTTAATACAGTAAGAATTCACTCAGAACTCATTGAGGATACAGATGGAGAAGGGTAAGCGGCAGCTTTCCTATAGGGAGTTCACGAAGTCTTCAGGGGGGCAGTTGTGTTGTAGGTTGAGCGTATAATACTTGGTAAGGTTACAAATTCCGTATATTCATAAATGACCATGAGTAAAAGACATCAGCCAGTATCTTAGCAGGGCATTTCACACAACTTTGAATGGTCGGGGCGGACGCAGTTCTCACCAATGACTATAGTACTCTGGGATATAAAGGAGCCGAATACAACATGTTTGTAATAGAAGCTGATTTCGCTACCGAATGTATGTCAATCGAGACCGCGAAGGAAGAGACTTCATAATGGAAGATGTGAAGTACCAAAGTTCCAAGTGAGCCTCAAATGATATTGAAAATACATATCGACCTCAGAGTCAGAGTCCCTCGGGTCTCTCGGAGCAAATTCTGAAGGGTAGATTGAGAAAATAGGATGTGTCGTTGAAATTTCCAGTCAAGCTTTGTATAGTTTGAGGATCGCGATGGCATAGTCATCTCTTAGATCTGTGTCAAGAGTGCCTTATTGACCTTGGGTGACACCCACCTGGACAGTCAGAAACTTCATGTATGTAAAAAATTTAATACTTCATCTCATTTAAATTCACTCCAAACGGTCAAAGAATCAATTGAAGCTTGCAATTGTCAAATGTTCCAAGGTAAGAGTGGTGCGCGATGCGCATGCACATGTGCAAACAATGCAAACACAACTCCGAGAATTTCTCCTTCAACTCCGCAAACCCGCAACTTCGACCTCATCAGCATTTCCACCATTGTCTCCATACCCCGGCCTTGTACCCGGATCTCTGTATCTGATTCCACCTCAACTTCAACGGTGATCACAGAGAAACCCTAGCCACAATGGCCCCCAACAATATCCTCCGGGCGACAATGCCCATCCGGTCAATCGCATCCCCAATGGCCATCCGATCAACAATTCTCCCCTCAATCACCCAGAGCCTCCGATCAGCCTCTACAACCTCCACACAAAAGTCCACAGCTCCTTCACTAGACCCCGCACAGAACCTCCAGCCACCCGCCCTGCTCCGCAACTACGCCTACCGCCTGAAGACCGGCACCGTCGAGTCAGTCGGCCGCATGGACCGCACCGTCCGCGTAACTCACCGCCACAGCACCTGGGACAAGCACATTGGAAAATTCTACCCCAAAGAAACCCGGTACCTGGTTTCTGACCCGCTTAACTCGCTGCGCGAGGGCGACGTTATCGAGTTCTCGTCTGGTGCGCCTAAGAGCCGTCACGTTCACCACGTTGTTGAGCGGATCATTACTCCCTTTGCGGTGCCTCTTGAGGAGCGACCGGCTGTGATGTCGCGTGAGCAGCGGGAGCAGGAGCGGGAACGTCGCTGGGCGCAGAAGTATTTGCGTCGGGAGTCGCGTCGGCAGGGTGAGGAGATCGATTTGGTTGCGAGGGCTGCGAGTGTTATTGGTGAGGAGGCACAGACTCTTTCGACGGCGCAGTTGATTCACCGGATTCATGCTGGTCAGGAGCGTGTGGGCAAGTTGAAGAAATTGGTTCTTGAGCGGACGGCTGAACGTCCAGTTGAGGTGAAGGAGGAGTAATTGGAGCTTGTGTGATTATTCTCTTTGGCCTTCTGGACTTGAAATCCATGAAGATTTGCATGTTGGATCATATGTACTATATTATACAGCCTCGTTTCATTGATACACATTTAACTTCGCATCTGATATGACACGTATACTCTAGATTGAAGCTCAGTGACTCATAAGCTGTTTACGATTTGTATAGAAAGGTTATCCAAAGTCAATGATAAACGTAGCGGCATTAAAGAAGTATGTGCGAGAAAGAGCTCCAGCCCTGATACAAAGCCAAAACTGTATACACGGAAAAGCACGACCATCTCCCTCCTGTGGATGTGGTCCCCATTCGTAAATCACTTGTAAATGGAAAAAGTTACTGGTATCACAGAAGAGAAACCAACTCCTTTGCCTTGAAATGACGAACAGTAAAACTTTGCAGTCCGCCAGCTTGGTGGTTCCGTTGTACCGTTATTTCGTAAACTTGATCTGGCAATGACTTTCCGGCCAAATCGGCGCAGTTTGATGACCAAATTTTATGAGAAGCTTTGTCTCGTTTAGATTAGAGCTGCTCTCATGATGCATAGACCTTGACCTTGAGATCCACACTGGCAGTGGCAACAACACATCTGATCGACATTTTGTTTGCAGCCTCCTTCGCGCCATTTGCGCCAGAGTCTGCAGTGCCATTGGCTCCCTCGCCATTCGCACCAGTATCCTTGATCAAAGGAGGTGCCCACCGAATTGAGCTGACAAAGTGATCATGATCATCAATTTTACGCACACATTTGCATTCCTGTGTAAGATCCCAGCACCGTAGTGTCTTGTCGTCTGCCACTGAAAGCAGATATTTTCCACCAGGGTGGAAGACCAGCCCGCGCACCCAATTGTCATGGCCTATCAGGGTTTTAATCAAGTTGCCCCGTGCATCCCAAAGACGAATGGTCTTGTCACGACCAGCAGACGCAACAAACTCCGCGGATGAAGAGGCTGGTGGTGGCTTCTTCAGACCAGCCAGAGGCGCAAGATGCGGGTAACTGGTAGCTGGAGCAAAAGCAACGCATTCAATGTAATGTTCATGCCCCAAGAAAGTGGCCTTTGTCTCTCCTGAAGAGATATCCCAGAGCCGAGGAACTTGATCGTCACCCGCAGAAAAGAGGAACCGGCCATCTGGGGAGGGAACAACATCACGCACCCAGGCAGCATGTCCTTGCAATGTCTTGACGCAATATCCTGTCGTTACATCCCATATCCGCAAGGTCATATCTCGAGACGCAGACACCAAAAGGTTTCCTGACATTGGGGATCCCGCCGCCCCTGACGGGATGAAGCGAACCGCAGATACGCTGTGATCGTGGCCTGGTAGGGTCCTGATATTTTTATATTCATCGGCAGGGTCCCACAGCTTGATGGTGAGGTCAGAGGAGCAGGATGCAAGGAGGGTACCCCCTCGCGGGCCTCCATAATCCACATCTAAGACAGCCCTCGTGTGACCCTTGATCGTGCGTTCGAGCTCACCCAGCTCCCAGTCCCAGATCTTAATTGTCGTATCTTCTGAGCCGGATGCGAGAGATGAGAAAATCGGGTGAAAGGCGACACAGGTAATCGGTTGCCGGTGCGACTCGAGGTCGTGACGAGCCGGTGCTCGGGGCAGCCAGGAGGCGGGGTCCTGATTTCTTCGCGACAGCGACGTGGGAGTCGCGGTGTCCAGCTCAGCCTGGAGCGAGGCACATCGCGATTCCAAATCCATAATCTAAGACCAACAACGGATCAGCCCTGAACTTCCATATCCCTGCTCACCGACATGTGAATGCTCTCACCTTTTTCTGTAATCGGACTACACTAGTCCACTTCTTCTCTAAAAGACCCTCATATTTCTTGAGTGTAGAATCATCGACTGTGACCGAGTCACCGAGTTCTTCTCGCAACGCTGTGGAACTTTGAGATAGGTTCGCGGAAGCCAGGTAGGCAATGATTGACTTGTGTCTGCAGTAAGAAACGTTCATATTAGCATGTTGTCACTGTCGCGATCGACTCCATATTAGGGCGCATACAGCTCCTCCGCCTGTCGCGCCGTGAGTAGCTGGCTCATGGTGCCGGCGGCTTTGTGTGTTTCCCAGGCAGTCCTTTATCACCTCCGCATACACCGGAGGCCGTCGCTTGCGCAGAACCAAAGAGGGAATGGTTCAAATAAATGGCAGATAATCTCAAGGACAAATTGAATCCAGCGAGGAAGAATTGAAGATCGTATTCTCTACCAAGGGTAGTTTTTTTCCCCTAAGGAACTTCAAGATGTTAAAGGTGAAGATCCACCGCGGGGTTTTGAAGCAACAAAACAACGACACCGCCAAGCCCACTTGTTTACTTCCCGATCTGTGTTTATTTCCTTTTCCCCTCCGGATCTTGTAATCAACTTCCCCATCCCTCAAACTTGTGGGGTTTTCATGATTTGACGAGAATATCTTTCTCTATACATGCTCACCTTTCCTCGATTCTATTCTTATTATCCTTGTCAAGTGATCGGTTTCCCTGATCGCGCGGACTGAGGCCCATCCCGAATTTCCTCCCGTCCATATCTTTGGGCACCAAAACCTCTCGGTAAGGAGATCGCAGCCCAGCCTTAGATGGCAGAATTCTTTGATTTCTATATTTTGTTTACACTGCGCATTGGCGGTCTGTCTGTGTAACTATTTGCAAACGACGCTGACAACTGCGTTGCTAGGTGCCGACCCAGTTACACCGTCCTTTACCATTATCTAGCCCGTCACCATGGCGGATGCCGAACCAGATTTCTCCTCCTTGCCGTTGCCCGACCGGTTCGCCCATAAGGTGTGTCCTCCCTTTGCAGCGCCTCGAGGCAGCCGTCCGACGACGAACCGAACTGACCATGACACCATTCGATAGAACTGGAAAGTCCGCAAGGAAGGATATGAAGATGCCAAGGCACAATTCGAAAAGACACCCGATGAATCCGCCCCCGTATTCACACCATTTTTAAACGACCCTAATCTGTGGAAAGGGGCCGTCGCAGACTCCAACGTCGCCGCACAGGTGGAGGGCTTGGGCGCATACTGTTCGTTCTTGAAATTTGGAGGCCAACAAGCATGCGCAAGGTAAGTTCGCCGTTTTCGATGTGTTCAGCCTATATTTTGTGGGCCTGTTTATTGACTGGCTCTCTTAGAACTCGGAATCTCACGATCGGCCCGATCTCGGAAAAGGGTCTCCCGTGTGCCAGACCAGTAGGTAAAGCCAGCGCACAAGAGGCTTTGTTATTATGCGTCGAATTAGATAAAGCCGATCCCGTCCTCGAAGATCTGTTGCCTACACTATCTCACAAAGTGCCCAAGGTGGTTGCTGGTGCTTTGGCTGCTTTAACGCTTATCTACCATAACTTTGGATGCAAGATCGTGGACCCGAAGCCGACATTGAAGGCTTTGACCAAGGTATTTGGCCATGCGGACAAAAATGTGCGTGCCGAGGCGCAAAATCTCACAGTGGAGATGTACCGATGGCTTCGCGAGGCCATGAAACCACTCTTCTGGGGCGACTTGAAGCCTGTCCAACAGCAAGATCTCGAGAAGCTATTTGAGGGAGTAAAGCAGGAGGCAGCACCGAAGCAAGAACGATTTACTCGGGCCCAACAAGATGCGATGGCTGCGGCTAGTGCAGCTCCGTCGGGCGGTGGTGCTGAAGACGAGGGAGAGGAATACGCCGAAGATGAAGAAGATGGCGAGGTCCTCGACCTTGCAGAGCCTGTTGACATTATGCCGAAGGTGCCCAAGGACCTACATGATAACCTAGGCTCATCGAAGTGGAAAGACCGCAAGGAAGCATTGGATGCATTGTACAATGTGGTCAATGTTCCTCGGATCAAGGATGGCCCTTATGATGAAATCGTGAGAGCGTTGGCCAAATGTATGAAAGACGCTAACGTTGCGGTGGTGACGGTGGCTGCCAACTGTGTCGATTTGCTGGCTAGAGGCTTGCGTAGCTCTTTCATGAAATACCGATCCATTATCTTGGTACCAATATTGGAGCGTCTCAAGGAGAAGAAACAGTCCGTGACTGATGCTTTGGGTGGAGCACTTGATGCTGTCTTCTTATCAACGGATCTTTCAGATTGTCTGGAGGACATCCTGGAATATCTGAAGCACAAAAATCCGCAAGTGAAGCAGGAGACAGTCAAGTTTTTGATCCGCTGTCTTCGTACCACTCGAATTGTTCCATCCAAACCTGAGATCAAATCCATTGCTGATGCAGCCACAAAACTCCTTACTGAATCGACGGAAGGCATTCGGGCCGGTGGTGCAGAGACCCTAGGTACTCTCATGAAGATCTTGGGCGAACGAGCTATGAACCCTTACCTCGATGGACTGGATGACATTCGGAAAGCTAAGGTCAAGGAGTTCTTTGAGACTGCTGAAGTCAAGGCCAAGGATCGACCGAAGCCAATCGTCGCACCTCCTAAGCCCGCTGCTCCGGCAGGCAGAAAAGCTATGCCCCCCGGAAAGAAGCCAGCATTGGGCTTAAAGAAACCAGCTCCTGCTGCCGCTGCCGCGCCTCCACCAGAAGATCCCCCGGCCAAAGTTGCACCTAAGGGTATTCCCTCAAAGCTCGGTGGTATTCCAAAGGCTGGTGGTCTCGCTCCTCCCGGTTCGAAGCTACGAAGCAAGCTTGGTGGCCCAGGAGGCGTAGCCTCGCCAGTAAGACGAGCTGCTCCTCCTCCAGCGGAGGAAGAAGCCCCTCCTCCAGCGGCACCGAAATTCGGCCTTGGTCGTGGTCTGGCTGGTCGCCCTATTGCAAAGCCCTCGGCACCTGCTGAAGCCGCCCCTGCTCCCGCGCCTGCCATGAGTGGCATCTCAGCGGCAGAACGTGCGGAGCTCGAACAACTTCGCGATGAGAAGGAGAGGTTTGCTCGGTCTATTGAGGACATGAAGTCTGAGCGTTCCAAATTCAACAACCAGCTTACCGAGCTGCAGAATCAAAATGCTCAGCTAATTGAAGATCACACCAGAGATGTCTTGAGTATCAAGGCAAAGGAGACCCAACTGGTTCGTGCACGAAGTGACGCCGAGGCTGCTGAAGCCAATGTTCAAAAGCAGCAACGGGAGATTGAACGCTTGAAGCGTGAGTTGGCACGGGCTCTTCGCGCAACTGCAATGAGCCCGCCCCATGCTTCATCGGAAAGTGCCAGCATGGGCTTTTCGGAACCCGCATCTATTTACCAAGAAGCCTCCAGTGGAACCCCCTCGGCAGCACGATCCAGCCTCCATATGGGATCGCGATTCGAGAGCTCGCGGCCTCGAAGCTACGCCTCTGCCAGCCCGAGTGAAGAGAAAGAAAACAACGGCCATGAATCCCCGGGTCTCGGTAGCCGAGATGGTGGCCTTGGCCGACGCAAGCTCAGCCCGACCTATGGCTACTCCAACGTTGGAAGCCCAACCCGCTCATCGACTCGCAACTCCACCAATCACACCGATGAAGACCAACAGCCCCGATCATCAGAGCCTGCAGAGAACTGGAAGCGAGCTGCTGAAGTGACCAGCCAGCTCAAGGCCCGAATCGAACAAATGAAGGTAAGGCATCTCTCCGTACCGTTGCCCGTGAATAGACTACTGACATAAAACACCACAACAGGCCCGACAAGGTCTCTCACGACCTCCCACTCAACGTTAATGACACAATGACCACCATCATGCTTATATCCCTCTTTCCCTTTTCAACCCGGCCTCCTTTAGTCTGTCACGCCTGATCTCGTGGAGAGCATCTTCATTCTTCTAGGTGCGTTGGGTGGGGCTTGACGCTTCTGTACTTTATCCTTGGGTGTTCCTTCTGCTTGGTCTTCTATCTCCCTGTAATTTCTCAATACCACGTTTTGTCTGTTTGCAAGCTCACCCTTATTTCATTTTACGGGGGTTTTAATGGGCTTTTGTGGAGGTCTTGTCTGCTCAATGGCCCTTCTATTAACCTGAATGTTTTTCTTTCTGGCTTGGCTTGGCTCGAGGCAGATTGTATAGTGATTGCTATATGTAGTTCTTAATCCATCCCTTGTATTATTTCTTCGAAGGGTGCAGACCCCGTCTATATATAGTGTTTGCTCCTCGCGCACTTTAGCTTGCCTGCTTGGCTTAGCTTTTCTATATCATAATATATTACCCATTCATATAGCCGCTCTACTATCCTTGAATTCAGATCTTAAAACAGTGGAAGTTTCTCTGATTAACGTTAGGTATACTTATGAAATCAGCAGAAAGGTGAGAACAACTGCAAGTGAATACAGTATCCCCCAGAAATGTAAATGTTAATGTTTTCCATTCCGAATTCCACTCTCTCCAACCTACTCCTCTGCAGTTCTTTCCTTTCCAATCTAACTCACCAAAATAATTTCATCCTTCCATAATATCGACGAATTCTCTCCTGGATAATCCTGGGCAGCCCTCTGCCGATGTCTCTAAGGTCCACCAAGGGGGGGATCAGTTGTAACCCAGAAAGTAGATTATGAGGATTGAGATCAATCAACTCAAAGCATAGCCACTGGAAATGAATCGAGGTGGCCCTGAGATAAATGTGGACAGAGCCAGAGCAGGTTAGTAGTTAATGATGGACCAGTTCGTGCCAATGTACGTGATGCTTATCTCCGAGTCTCTATATTGAGGGCAAAGCTAAGGGGATAGTGGGGCGCCAAGCCTGGCCGGGCAAAACCCACAAGTCCTCACTTGAGAAAAAAAGAGCTACAAGTCTACGGGTACAGAGTGCATGAATGCTGATCAAATATTAAAGCCATTGGCATATTGAACAGGTATAGAGAAATGCATTCATGGGTATCTGCGGAATGGTACATAAAGGGAGTTCGTGAAGAAGAAATATTGTCTTTTTGGTTAGAACGGGCAAAGGGCCAAAAAGCTCTTTCACACCCATCTAAAGCTAAAAGAATTGGCCGTTAACAAGTTATCCAGAGCCTCGAACACCTTTCATTTCCCATTAAAACTTTTTTAGCGCTTTTATCGAGGCGATCCCGTCAAACAAAATCCAAGTCACGGAAAGTAAACTTAGACCTTGATGGCGTTCTCAGCAGCCTTGCGCTTCTTCTCAGTGCGGGCGTTGGCCTTGGCGCCCATGACACCACCACCCCAGTGGCGGCGGGACTCCTCGTACTTGTCGGTGTAACCCTCCTTGATGGTGGAGAGGAGCTTGGAGAACTCAGCCTTGTCCTCGGAGCGGACCTCAGTGAGGGCCAGGACGGCGGAGGTCTTCTTGTGGACGACCGTACCGAGACGGGCCTTGCCCTTCACGATGGCGTAGGGGACACCCATCTTGCGGCAGAGAGCGGGAAGGAAGACAACCAGCTCAATGGGGTCAACGTCGTGAGCGATCAGGACGAGGGAAGCCTTCTTGTTCTCAACAAGGCCAACGACGTGGTTAAGACCGTACTTGACGTTGTAGGGCTTCTTGGAGACATCCTCCTTCTTCTTGCCCTCGGAGACAGCGGTGGCCTCCTGGACGAGACGCTCCTTCTTCTCGGCCTTGGTCTCAGGGCGGTACTTGGAGAGGAGCTTGAAGGTCTGGGCAGCAGTGTTGCGGTCCAGGGTGGACTGGAACTGAGCAATGGAAGGAGGAACCTTCAGGCGCATGTTCAGAATCTTCTTCTGGCGCTGGAGGCGGACATACTCGGGCCACTTAACGAAGCGGGCGAGGTTGCGCTTGGGCTGGATGTCCTGGCCGATACCGAAGTTGCGGGAACGCTTCTCAATGAGAGGGTTCTGTGAAAAATTTTCATGGATTAGTATCTCGACTTCATTTTCTCAGACTCCCGGTGGGAAGAAGAAACTAACCTTGGCCTGCTTCTTGGAGGAAGCAGCCTTGCCCTGGGGGAAGGGCATGGCGGCGGTCTTCTTTCCGGACTTGGGAGGCTATCATTGAGAAAAGAAGATCAGCGATCTAGTCCATCATGGGCTGCATCTTCTTTAAACTCTAGAGAGAACACGAGGCCAACGCCGTTTATAGGCACTGGACTCATGCCTCAAGCCAGTTCATCGCCAATGCGCCAACATCTCTTTCGAGGCTGTTGGAACAATTGACGGAATTGCTTTGATCACGAGGATCGAAAGCGAGACAGAATAGTCTTCACGACATCGCTGCAGCAAGCGAAACGTGAGCAAGATACAATCAAATGCTTACCACCATGTTGTCGACTTGGGATCGTTGCGCTAAGTTGGCGATTGTCGAAGTGAGAAAGGAGAAAGTTTGGAGGCCGCGGGATCTTATTCCAGTCTTCGTGGGCCGGATCGCGCTAGTGGGGTCATGTGACAGGGTTAGGGCTCCGCTACCAGACTAGGGTATCCACTCCACGTGACCTCAATCTACCTGCCTGACTAATCATATCAGCCTCCAGATCCACTACTTAGATGGTGGAAAGAACATTGAATTCCACGGATGTTTTGTTTGAAAGCAGTACGGGTATGTATGAAAAAACTGCGTAAAAAAATCAAGATATCATTCGAGCAGCTGGAACTTTAAGGCCAATTAGCCAATGAATACCGTGGAATGGCTCGCGAGATATCATCTATGTACATCAACACTCATAACGCCAATCATTGAAAACAGACCATGCAGAACAATGTCGCTAAACAAAAGGATAGAATAAACCAAGCCCAAAGCACTGCATCACCGCCAAGCTCCAAGACTCGGAAGCGCACCTCGTCCCAGACTAGTACTGGCCGCTTGAACAGCCTTCCTCTTTCCGGCAGAACCCTCTTGATTGCGCACACCAGCGACAATCCTCTCGGTGTTTGTTTCAACCACAACACCTCCGACAATCATCTCGCTCAGGACAGCATGCATCGTCTCGTAGCCGAAGATAAGGTCGAGTTCGCACACATTCTCAAACATACGATCCAATGACTCCACGAAGACCTGGATCAAGTCGATCAAGGCAAGCGGCGATTCCATGGATGTAGAGATCATGATGAATGACAAGGTAGCGTAGGTGCGGTAGGTGATCTGCGTAGGCGCATCGGAGGGTCCAGAGGCACCGGAGCTGGCGCCTTGCGAAAGGAGCGGAGGCAAAGGAAGGAAGTTACATGCGCTTGCTGGTCTCTGTGCAACAAGCTGGTAGATCTGCGCGATGAGGGACTGTTGTGTTTGAGTGTCCTACAGAGTGTTAGTTCGATGCTTGGTTGAATGACTATGTATTGAAGACTCACCAGCTGTGTGTAGAACTTGGTCAGCCGTGGCTGGCCATTGTTGTTAAATACAAGCACGGCGTTAATCATGATGAAGGTCACAGCACGATAGTAGAACGTAGAGCTCAACCTTGAAGGTGGAAGAGACCAAGGTTGAGACGTGAGTCGTTCTCCCGATCCCGCGGTGTTCTTATCGATAAGGATGGTCCGTGCGCTGATTTTCTGGAGAACTTGATGCGCTTCTTTCCCAGGATTCGAGTCACCGCATACATCTTTTGAACATGAAGAGGCTTATAAGCAGGGCCTCTGCGCCTTCAAGGCGCTTATACTCAACATTTAAAACTACAACACCCCGTCCGATCCATCCGCCGAACCCAAACAAGCGCGGCCTACAAGACTTGACGATTTCAGATCTCTGTTATTACTGGGACACCAAACCACCCACCTCAGAGCAACTTGCTTTCGCAGACAGACTATTTGTACCGTCACGCCATTCACCTTTGAAACTATGGTCTGCAAGCAAGTTCCGTACAACACCGATGTCCTCAATCGAGCCCGAAGTCGCATTCCTCGGCCGTTCCAATGTCGGCAAGAGCTCGTTGCTAAACGCTATAATGGGTCAGGAGATCTGTTGGACTTCCTCAAAACCTGGGCGGACAAGAGAAATGAATGCATTTGGCATTGGAGGTACAAAAGGTGGCGAACATAAGGTGGTCCTTTTGGACATGCCGGGATATGGAAAGGCTAGTCGAGCAGAATGGGGAATGGAGATTATGAAATATCTCCAAGGACGGAAGCAGTGAGTAACTACACCGACCCTTCTTGTTCATGCTTGAGGGATACTCGCTAACAATTACTTAGACTTCGCCGTGCTTTTATCCTCATCGATAGCGAACACGGGATTAAAAATAACGACGCCGAGATCCTCCAGCTCTTCCGACACTATGCTATCCCACATCAAATAATCCTTTCAAAAGTCGATAAAGTCCTCGCCAAAACGAAGAAGCAGGTCAAGTCTGGTGCTTCGGCTGTGAGCGTACAGCGGCTTCAGAAGATGTTGGAAGATCTGCGGCCACAGGTTCAACCTGATGTGCGTGTCTCAGAGGGACCAGGTGCTTTGGGCGAGCTCGTCACTTGCAGTGCGGATATCTCTATTGGCGGTGGCCAGTTCCTAGGTGTCAACGCTGTGCGCTGGGCTATTCTGTCTGCTGCGGGTATTGATGGGAGCTTACAAGGCGGACAGCCGGCTCTTAAATCCCCTGTGACAATCTCTGAAACACCTTGATGCTCATTTCTCTCTGGAGATAAGACACCTTCTTTATTACATTGCAAGTGAGCAATCTCCCTGTGAGTGAGGCACATGAAAAATATGGCCCATGACACCATGATTCGTGAGGTCCAACGCCCAAATGAAAGATATCCTGACATTACAAGGCCCCCAGTCCTCGGAGGAATAGCTTTCGGCGTCACCTATATTCCAGAATCTCATATCTTGGGATCATTGATCCTTGACCCTGGCGCACATGCATGTTACTCTATTTGACTATACCATCTTCCTTCGCCGGGTCGCCTTACCAGAACCCACAGGCTGGGTTCGCCCAAGCTAGCTAGTTCCATGGTTCGCCTGAAGATGAAGGAAATGGCTCCAAGCATCTTGTACATATAATGATACACTAAATATTCAAGTTAAACATTCCAAGGCACCACTGTGCTTTTCTCCATCCAAGCATCCCATTCGAACAAGCAATCCACAGCCAATGATTCCCAACTCTAGATTCAAGGGCCTTGAGTACATTTCATCACGCTGTCTCTGCCATAATCTTTTCCAGTCATTTTTGTTCAGTCGACGATCATCTCATTTTGAAAACGAATGCAATGAACTTCGTACCTTCATTCATTCCATTCTTGGCCTGTCAATGCGAACACATCAAATAACCAGGAGAGTTCGGATCCGTGTCACAAACCCAGCCAAGTGGACAGTGTATCTCATGAGCACAGCTTTGGGCGAAAGCTGGAGTAGAAAGTATCGCGCAACAGAAAAGAACAGCATTGACAAGAACTTTGAAAGCGTACATAATGATGATGTGTTGAGGGTTTGAATGGATCCAGCCCAGACAAGTGTGGGGACAGACAGTCTTATAAGCTTCAATTCTCACTTGAAACAGGGACCTGAAGTAAGTTTAGAATCTGACCCTTGCTCCTGTTCGGAACCCGAAGGTCGATGTGACACGGTATAATAGATGAGGCTCTGATCGCGGGTTGCCTAGACTACAGTGCGACATTGGGGTCATAAGCTGACTGCTTAAACTGTAATTTGTTTGATACTCTGGGTGATATGCCCACAACTCATACATACCGCAGTCCAGACTTCAGGTATTGTCTACAAGCGAAGATATATGCCAGTGTCCAACACGGCCTTCTGTTACGATCACTACACTACGCCCAGTCATAAAGACCAAGCATGTGGGGGCAACTATGGAGACTGAGTTACAAATCAAAGGAATAAGTTATCGGAGACTTGACACTAGCCTAAACATTTCCAGCATCGACTTATCAGATACAGGGGAATGTTAAGGCCATTAGACGGCAGTACAGTGACAAAGAAAAGATAAGGAGGTAAAATTGACATGACAGGATGAAGGAATATGCCCAGATCGAGAAAAATGAAGAAGTAAAGTATAGTCCTCCTGTAAGAATCAGGAGACGTCAACGCCTGTCCCCATCGTAATGCTGGATGATCAATGAATGCCGACCACGCTATGCAAAGGGTTTTTCAAGTGAAGAGATATGAGTGCCATAAAGATGGGGTATCGTGAATGGAGTAAAGGGGCTGGAAAGATGGAAACAAGGAATAAAGGGGTAGGTGTAAATGTGTAAAGAAAAATGAGAAGGAGACCAAAGGTTGGTTCTTCGAAATTTCATGAGAGATGCAGGACCGTGGGTTTAGTCGGAATCGGAGTCGGAATCAGTGCCTGCGGCGATCTCGTGGCCACGACGATTAACTACGACACGCTGCCCCAGTTTATTCTCGGGAACACCGTCTCGTGCGGCACCGAAGTCAAGGACCTATAGGAATAAAGTTAATTTTGGTCTCTCCACTTCACTCAAGATAAAAATAAAAGACACTCACCTCGATATACGTCAAACTATCCCGCTGCACTGCAGCAACGCACCGACGATCATTGAATTTGACCTGCCACACACCACTGAGATCGGTGAGGAGGTCGCGGATACAGTTGCCGTTGCTAACGTCCCACATCTTCAAAGTCCGGTCCGATCCAGATATGACCTTTTGGACATCGTGCTGGAAGCAAGTGATGGCACCCGTATGAGCACTAAGTGTGTTCCTACAGTGGCCACGCTGTGGGTCCCAAATTCGCAGCGTGGAGTCCGCCGCAGCTGAGACAAGGTGATCACCCTGCAGCGCCAGAAGACCAACAAGAGAAGAATGGCCATCGAGATTGTAAAGCAGAGCTCCATCCTCGAGCGACCAAATCTTCACCATGTGGTCCATAGCACCACTGATGCAGCGATTGCGCTTGTGGTCCATTACGACACTATACACCTTCAGTGTGTGGCCTGTCAAAGTGAACTGGACGTGTCCGGTGGAAATCTTCCAAACACGCACGGTGCAGTCATAGCTGCCGCTAACCAAGGTGTCACCATGCGCCGCAATCGCACGAACCGAATGGGTATGACCAGTCAGGACGCGAACAAAATACGGACAATCATAATCATCCGCGGCGGGGCCGTGAGGAAGGTATACCGGGTCACCGGGCTTTGGAAGCTTCCACACCCGCAGGTTGGAATCACGAGATCCGGTAATTATCAAAGGCACTTTAGGCATCATTACGGCACGTCCGTTCGCGTCACGGCTGACCTCAGTCGGCAGGACAATCTGCAGGCAACGGACAGTGGACGTGTGGCCATGAAACACTTGGGTGCACCGGGCTCGCTCAATGTCCCAGACGCGCACGGAGCGATCAGTGGAGCCCGACACTAAGGTATTGCCATGGTACTCAAGAGCCCAGACACCACCATCGTGCCCCTCTAGAGTGGCCTTGAGGGCGCCGGTCTTCGTATCATATACGTTGATATTAGTGTCGTCGCTGCCCGTCAGGATCTTATCCGAATCAAACTGCAAACAAGTTACAACGTGACGGTCGTGAGCCCGGAAAGCGATATGCTGCGGCTTGATTTCTGGCTTCATCCACCCTTGTCGAATGGCATGGAGCCTGCGATAAAGAGCCTTATAGAGGTAAAGACCACGCAGGGAGGGAAGACCGACTTCTGGATAGGGCACAGCAGCAGCGGCAGTATTGGCCGCAGCGTACGGGGCCTCTGATGCCGCAATGTCTTTCTTCCAGTCTGGTTCGAAGTAATCTGTTCCACTGGATGAGATCTTACGTTTCGCAAGCTTCCGACTTGAAGCACGTGTGTTTGCCTTCCGCTTGGGACGTCTGTTGAGCGGCAGAGCCGAAAGTGGAGCCCTGTCAGTGGTGGCAGAGGAAGAGGCGACAGGAGACAGTTCGTGCTCCTTTCTGACCACTGTGGTGCTCAGATCTCTTTCCCAGTCATCGGGGCTACTGCACTGCCAGCCCCAACCTTCTCTGATGGCTCGCTCCAGCTCTCCCTCGGAGAGAACATATCCATCCTGGTCAAGAAGCTCTTTCCAGGTCTTCTCATCGGAATTGACGATGTGACGCCATTTCTTCGAGACTTGTGCAGTGCGACACATGGTCTGCACATCAAAATATTTCACAATATTTAGGCTGAGCTCCAAGGGTAGCAATGACAAGAAGTCACACTTCAAGGTTGGGTTGACCACATCCGCCACGAAATGCAAGGTTGGTTTCGGGCAACGTCGCAGGAACTGATACATGAGGTAGGTCTTCAGTTCATCAGGAACAGAGTCGAAAAAATCCAGAACTTTAGGCATATCCATCAAAGATGGCTGGGATCGCGACGTTGGTCCCATGGAAAGGTTCATTCCTCTCGAATCTGCATCATGAAGACGCATTGCCTTGGAGTGTCGTGGAACATTATGGTCTAAACTTGAATCCGTGTCGACATCGGGTCCTTCTGATTCAAAAGAAGACTCGGCGTGCAGTGCATTCATAGCGGTAACTGGTGACAGGCTGGGGCTTGGCAAACACATATCTTGGGCCATTGCATTGTCGATGGCTGAAAGCTGAGCCGATAAGTCCGGGCGTTGCTGCGAGGTGGTTTCGGCTGCGAACGACACATTCTGGCTGCTGGGTGCCGATTCGCATCCAGGTGCGTGATTTCCGTCGGCCAGTGGACCTTGCGGTTCCCGATTTTCGGTTGAACTTGAACTTGAGTGTTGCAAAGTACTCATCGATCCAGTCTCGGTCGACAGAGGCGAGCGCAACAGGGTTTCTCGACGCGGGAAGTTTGCACTGTGAATCCTTGGTCTTGAAGCTGCTGCCGCATCTCCAAGGCTTCCAACGTTCAGTTCCGTCTCTGGAGTAGCCAGACCAGCAGGGGAAAGATGAATGTTTGAGCTGTGGCGAGTACGTCGTGCAACGGGTTCAGAAGGGACTCGGCTTGCACGCGTTCGCGGAAGGACAAATGGGCGGGGATCGGAGTTGGAGACGGGTGAGACGGGGCGATTCTGGGAGTGAGGGTGGTTCATCCGCGTCATGGACCGCGGCGGGCCTAGTCGGCGCGCAGCAGTATCATCCTCGGAGGTAAATGAGTTAACGGAACGGATCGACCCGTTGGAAGCTTTCAAGGCATCGTTCTTTTCCTTCAGCTGAACGGAGTTAGTATATCTTGACAACGCCACAGCAGTTACGGGAATACTGACCTCAGTGGCTACCGATGCAGAATCGTCTGGTTCATTAAAAACGATCGACTTGTCCCCAATCTTGAATTTGAGGTTCTTTAGGACTGCTGGTGTTGGCGTCGCGGCCAACGGATACTGTCGGGCATCCAAGTCTCTCACTGCTCGTGGAGGCTTGATCGATAGGGGTGGGAACGAGGTTGTTGTAGTGGTTGTTGTTGTGACGACAGTTGTGCGAGTTGTTGGCGCGAAAGAGAACTGCCCAAGGGCGTTGGAGGGACCTTGCCCAAAATCGTCAACTTCGTGGTCGTCCATATCGCGTCGTCGGGCGGGGACTAGTCGAGACTCGGGGTTACGTGCGACATATGATTTTGGCACAAGAAAAGAGTCGGTTGTTTCGGGCGTGTTATTGGAAGTATGGTGAGAAGTAGGAAAGTCGGAAGACATAACAGGCGAAGGTGGGGGAAGCGTATGAAGGC